CTACCCCAAACACATTCAGTGCTTCAAGATGGCCCGTAGAAAGAAATACTCCAAGTCAACGATAGATGTGTTTGTTCCTCATTCCTATATTTGGAGGCTTGTATGCTCGTGGGATTAATTCGGACCAACTTTCACAAACCTTCAATCCTATGAAATTAGTATCACCACTCCAGATCATGTGCAACGAATCACTATCCATTCCAATGACCCCGCTTAATAGCCGACGATAGCACTAAGCCAATGGGTCAAAATTTACTAAGAGTTTTGCTAAAACCTGTAATTGTGCAAAAATATTCCATTTTTGAAGTCCACCATCACCGTTCCAATCCGTTATTCTCAGCTTCAGATATGGCCCTCAGGTAAATGGGCTGCTGAATTAAAAGGTGAATGAAGACTACATTTTATAGCCCAATGGATCTTTATTTGAGAACTGTTGCAATGCCAAAATATTGCCAACCTTGTCCGAAAGATTTCAGATCCACCAAATTTAATGTCCATTCGTTCGTTACTTGGTAAAAAATGACAAGATAGAAACTAAAGGAGTCATGTATTTCAACGTTACGAAGACCCTGCACAAGTCGCCTTCATGTGGGTCCGTACTCCATAGCAAATGATACCTGATATTCTTGCCCAAGTGAGCAGAGTCTGGAAATCTACTAGGTGATTAACGAAAGATACACAAATCAGTACAAAATTTAAAACTAAAGTAATATACAAGTTCTAAAGTAATGAACACTAGCGGTGGTTATGTCCTTTGGTGCCGTTGGTTGACTGTTCAGATAATGGAGAGTACTGACCCGAAAGGATGCTTCTGTTGGGTGTCGTATGTGACGACCACCTGATTTGGTCTGTGGTGTCTCTATTCAAAAGTGGCAGAGGAATTGAATGAGTTCCAGCACTTCATCCTTCATGTTACCAGTATCATCCATTGATAGCGTATCACTCATTCTGGTGATATTGGTAGTGTCTGCCCTTTTTTGAACCTTTTCTGGAAAGACCACGAGTTAATTTGGTCTTCAATCTTTCTCCAAGAGTCGCAGGGACATTTTCCTCCGAGCTTTCAGGACCTCGCGTGTGTTCACGATCACCTTCCTTGAGAGAAGGTGTCAATATTTGCTTATCTTCTGTAGGTGAGCCTGAGCCCTGTGAGTAATTGTTCAACTGGTACATTTGAGCTTCCCAGTCTAAGAATGATCCTGAGCAGCTGCACCCAAAGCAAGCATCCATTTCCACCTTTCTCACCACCTACCATGTCTGTGCGCGCTAACGGATGATTTTCTTTGAAACGAGGATTCTGTCATCTCGAGCTGGAGCAAATACAGCATCTGGGTTCTTGATACAATCGACATGATAACCAACACAATGATCATCACCAATAAAACTAACGAAAATCCAGCATTCAAGACAAAGAAAATCCAACCCATGATAGAAGCCACTTGAGCTGGTTGCCCAAAAAGATCAGAAAAGAATAAAAATAAGAACGAGTTGATGGTGTTCACAATGGCCACACAGTAAATTGACGATATTGGTAGACTTGTCCAAGTATGGAGCTTGGAGGAAAAGGTAAATTGTGAACGCCAAATCGAGAATGAAAATAACCAAAGCCGAAGTTTTTCCACTACCTTGACACAAGGCAATGAAAATACCTTTGACAAGACCGTAACCGATCACGATTCCTCCAAACCAGTATTTCTTAGCAGTGAACATGGTATAACAGACGCCATACTTGTTCAAAATAAGGGAGTCACCATATAGTAACGCTGCAGGATTGTTATACTTTGCGATAGAGAGACGCCCATATCTCCAAGTGGTCCAGAATGAGTAACCCACGATAACGAGTGCCATAATGAGAAAGAGCACTGCCAACACAATCACTGCTGGAGAGTCATTTTCCGTGAATTCCCACAACGACAAAATTATAAGCTGAGGAAATCCAATATACATGTACCTCAACAAACTACCTTTGAGAATGTTCTTAAATGATTTGCGAAAGAAATGGAGTCGGTTGGGGTTAACCTTGTTGAAACGAACCAATAAATCGATCACCTGCTTGACAAGGAAGAGAATAACCACCAAGACGTAACCAAAAAGAATGAAGAAAGTGAAACCCGTCACCACGATGGAAGTGGGTTCAATGCGAGAATTATAGCCAATTCTTTTGATGCTTCTCAACACCACCAAATTGTCATTGGAACGAAGAGTGAAAGAAAGCAACGTATTCCAGTCTGTAGATCACTGTTTCTTCTTGCAAATCGTGCAGCTCTGTAAGTAATCATATGCCCTCTGAACTAGAATCTGCTTTGCAGTCTTCTGAAGTACAATGTTGGGCTCCCACCCGAGCTCTGAATGTACCAACGGAAGATTTTTTGCATAAATTCGACTCTGATCAAGCCCATGGACCAAGCCAAGTTCTCTGCCCATGCCGAAGCAATAGGAGGAACTCTTTCCACATGTTGCATCGAGATGATCACTACTGCTTGGAAATATGAAAACAACGTCACAGCATTGGTAGAAATATGAGAAGCAGCATTTGAGCTTCCAAATGTGGAAAAGACGGCTGCAATGACCAAACCCAAGCCGGCAATGATTGCGGTGGCCCATTTAGCGCCAGTTTGCGAAACTGTCTTACCATTTGTGAAATTCGACTGAATACATGACACTGTTTTCTTAGATTTCCGATCTCTAACTTCAACTCTTACAACAGCATCTATGTCAGGCACCTGGTATGCGATTGCAGGAATCATCTTGACATACTTTGCGCTGATGTATTCGATACTGTCCACCTGAAGTGAACCGGGATAGAGCGGACAGAACTGCTTCCAGCCTAAGTCACAGAGATCGACGTCTTGCTCAATAATGAGAAACCCATAGGCGTAAACTTGGACATGGGCAGTGACATATGTGTTGATTTCAGTAGTCAAGTCCAAGGTATATCTGATTGATCGATCATCTGGATTGAATGTGACGTTGAAAAATGTGGGGGATATTTGGGAATTTTGCATACATGTAACCAAAGATGTAGCCAGTAACGAACGTTTAGCACTGACCACCATCAACTGGATCATCAACGATAAGAAGAAAAAGACTTTCATGGCAGCGTAATTATGTTAAGATTTTCAGCAAAGTACAGAAGATCGCAGTCTATTGAATGGCTTAAAGTTCTCGTTGGCCAAATGCTAGAAAAACTAGCAAAACAGCACTTCGAAGCTTCAACTGATTTTCAGATCAGGAGTGCCAAAAATAGATCGGCTATGCCAAGTACTCAATAAGTCAGTAATCAAGAAGTCAGTAAGCTTAGTAAAGTTAACTGACTTGAATTCACAACTTATGAGGTATTTGAGGCAAACGAACGAAATGCCCGGATAAATATACCTGTTTATTTCACAGAGAACAACAACTAACCTCCTGCTTTGATGCGAAGTAAAAAAATAAGGCTTGGCGTGCCCTGGCGGAAACACGAGTAATGCGTGTCTCGTGGTAAAGTGAAGCTATATACAGAACCACGCAGTCTAACCTTAATACTAAGACATTCATAAAGAACTATAAATGGTATTCAAGTAGTTTAGATTGATCAATTTTCATCAAAAGCTCATCGCCCCAAACGTGTTTGACCACATCCCAGAACTCACGAGCATAACATACTTCCATGTTGTACTTCTGCTTGATGTACTGTTCAGGATCATTCCTAGTGTAGTTGTAGCGTCTTTCATTGTCCTTCAACAACCCGTTGAGTTGCGTATCATCATTAATTTGACGACAGTACTCCTCTATGAGGTCTTTCCTATTCTCTCGAGGCACAATCACCTTGTCTACGCCAGCCAAGTGCGCACCAAGTATTTTCTCTTTAACTCCACCAATTGGAAGTACGAGTCCTCTCAATGTGATCTCACCTGTCATGGCAATATTCGAGGGTACCGGCTTCTCTAAAATTAATGATAAAAACAGAAGGGCCATGGTAATACCGGCTGAAGGTCCATCTTTCAGAATTGATCCCAGTGGTACATGCATGTGAATTTCAAGCTGATTCATTCTCTTTAATATTTCCGCATCGCTGTTATTCACATTCAACAAGTGCCCGTGAAGCATTGATTTTATGAATGTAAGTCCAATCTTAGCACTTTCCATCAAAACTTCACCGAGCCTTCCTGTCATGTGAAGTGAAGTTCTTGACTCATTAGAATCCTTGTCTCCACTGATTATACCGATGCTTTCGAAGATCAACACAGAGCCTGAACCATCCGAGTTGTACGAAAGACCATTAACGACACCATACTTTGCAGCCAGAGTGACAGGCTCGGATATTTCCGACGATAACTTGGGGAATGGTACACCCAAATACTTTGGCAAATCATGCTCCTCAACAGTAGGATCATAAGTTTCAGAACTATCCAAGCTTGAGGCATACTCAACAGCTTTGTATCTGCAGATGGTGCCGAGTTTTCTCTCGAAATTACGCACCCCAGCCTCTCTTGTGTAGTCCAAAATGATCTTCTTCATTACCGACTTGTCAATATAGACAAGATCCAACAGAGGGAACCCATTTCTCTTTATCTGTCTAGGTAACAAGTATTTCTCACCAATTATTTGTTTCTCATTGTAGTCATAAGCACTAACCTCGATCATTTCGAGCCTATCAAGTAAAGGCTTTGATAAGTTATATGGCTCGTTGGCAGTACAGATGAAAATGACTTGTGAAAGATCAACGGGAAATCCCAAGTAATGATCCATGAAAGAATTATTTTGCTCCGGATCTAATACTTCCAATAATGCTGCCGAAGGATCACCGTTGAATTTGTTGGCATTGCTGTTTCCACCGATCACCTTGTCAATTTCATCGAGCAAAATCACCGGATTCATGCATCTTGCTTTCCGCAATGACTGAATGATAACACCAGGCATAGCACCAACATAGGTTCTTCTATGGCCCCTAATCTCAGATTCATCTTTAATACCACCCAACGATACTCTCTGAAAGCTTCTACCAAGAGAGTTTGCAATTGACTTTGCCAAAGAGGTTTTACCCGTACCAGGTGGTCCCGCCAACATCATAATGGGTGATTTGTTCTTCTTAGAGACCATAAGGTCTTTTTGGGCAGACAGTTCAATTGATGTGAGGCTCCTAGATTTTTTATTCTTGTCCTTTGCTTCCTGGCGGGCTTTGTAAGTTAAGTCGCTGTTGTCAATCACAATCGAATCAGATTTGCGATCACTGTTGTTCAGATCATCATCCTTGGATCCTCCACTACCAAGGGCGTTTTTCTTTTCGTTGGCAATCTTCTCGGATTCAGCCTCGGATGTAATACCCAATAACTTCAAAACCACCAAATACTGAATTAATCGTCTCTTGACATGTTCCAAACCGTAGTGGTCTTCATCTAACTGCTTTCTTGCGAAGTCAATATCAATGTCTTGATTCGACTTGAATTTGGTGATATACTTATCCCAAGGAATATCAGCAACAATTTCCAAGTAGTTTCTGATAACGTGAAAGTCTGAATTTCCAGGTGGTGATGACTTGATACGCTTGAAATCTTTAGTCAACAAGCGTTTTGTGTCATTAGACATTCCTTGTATACTTGGCATCTTGCTCTTGATGAAACTAGTGATTGCGCGCAAATCATCGTCATCGTCATCATCATCCTCTTCATCCGCGTCCCCGGTTTCTTTTGGACCCACAGCACTACCAACAGATTTGGTGTTATTCTTGCGGCGAACAAGTTGATTGTTGGCCTTCACTTGAGTGTTCTTATCGTTTTTCGAACTTGACATCCCTTCCAAGATTAGCCTGATAGACTTGAGCTGACTTGCAACCACATTCGCTTTCTGGATATAGGATGCCTCATCGAAAAACCAATGGTTAACGTAGTTGTTGTTTGCTTCCAAATTTTTAAAGACGTCAATTAAGTCATCCATCATTTTGTTAACTTCTTTCACCCTATCTTCTGCTTTGAATTTGTTCAACAAGTTGAGCTTCTGGTGATTGGGGAACGGTACGATTGCACATGATAAATCAACCAAGCGGAGGAAGGAACGGGAGTCGATTTTGTTCCCCGAAGTATAGGTGGAAAATAGCTTTTTCAAACTGATGTATGCTTTTGTTACCTCTCTCGAACCATTAAGCTGAAGATACAACGCATTTGCCAATGGATTTAAGCATAAAATGTTGCCCGAGTTCTTTCCATCGTTGGCCTTCAGAATTTTCATGTTACTCGATTTGAGTGCTTGTTGATAGTCAGAGAGAAACTTATCAATGACATCGAACAAACTTGCTGCTTTCTTGTTCAAAGAGGGAAAGTTGCTAGAAGCAAGGCCATGGTTAGCGTTCAAATCAACCTTGACTTTTGCCTCATTGGGGTGACTTTTCTCCTTCTCATACTTCTTGAGGCCTCTTGTTAAGGCTTGAAGTGTCAACTTAATATTGTTTGAGTCGTCGGTGATCCCCACAACTCTCACTATAGTGACTACTTCGCAATTAGGTGGAGAAACCGGTGGATCATAGGCAGTGGAGGAAGGAGGATTCGTGATTTTCTGAGTATTTGGTGTTATAGCCAACACCAACCAGTCAAAGCCGGTTTCTGGGGCGGCAACTTCGGTACTGGAAGCGTTGGCCTGAGCTTGATGAAACTCACTGATACCCTCGGCAGCCTTTTCAGAAATAACCGGAACATGAGTGTCTTGGTCGTTATCGAAATCATACTCGCTGATCAAGCTTCGGATCATAGACACTTCTCCGACGTAGTGACGGAACCTAGACAACAACGCCGCTGCCTTGAATCGAGAAAAAGTCACATTATAGATGATACCAGGAAGAAGCACCAAATTGGAGTCCAAACGGTAAGTTGGAAGCACAACCACTGGCGATTCGGAAGGCTTGGACATTAGGGATTGAGCAAAATCTCAAAAAAATTGGAAATAAAAAGTTTGCGTTCTAGAGATACAAGTGGTCACCAAAGCTGTTAATGTCTTATCGCCTGTGCCACGAATATCACCCCACACAGCAGATAATTGAAACTTTTTATGCCTCGAAGGATCAAATGAAAGATCAATATTTTTGGCAACTCAATATTGTGGCAGCCTTAAGAGTGATTCAACAAGTTAGCTTAACTGATGAGGTAGTTCGCAATCAAGCGTGAGCTCAAATACGCCCTCGGTACTTTTGTGGGGAATCGGGCAATCGGTACTGCACACACTCGGATCATGTGCGATTGCCAGAGTTCCATGGGATTCGGAAGTGGGGTCCACCACGGAGAATATGGAGTGTAATGAGTGGTATATACAATTAATTTACTTAGGATGGGATTTTTGTGATCAGATGAGATAGTTCTGTCGTCTTGATATGAAGACACGAAGACACGACGACACTAGACACTAGACACTATCCTGTAACAGTCTAGTCATATTCTGTCCGAATCACTTTTTCTTAAACCAAACTGATACCTTCTTGCTTTCTTCTTCTTTTCGCTATTCATCAATTCTCGCCCAAAACGTCCTTGAAATTAACTTGACCAGACCCTCTGGCAAGTGGTTGTGGTTGGTTGTCACTCTTCTTCCATCCTATCATAGAAATCACATTGAAGGTAGCAGGAAGTGTGACATTTCCCTTGTCATCCTTCTCTCCATGTAATGACCTATAGATCTCGTTCGCGGCCAAAAGGACATCTCGAGGAAGGAGTGCTGGTCTCGAATGGACTGCGTTTTGCTCGCCCATACATTGTAGGTCTTCGCAAACTGCAGTTATGTCGGGAAATCCACCAACGACGATATCCTCAGCGTCAATGGTTAACATGGCAAAACCAGCCCTATTGAGCAAGGAGCCAACGTCTTTCAAGTCCACCAAAGGTGACAATCGTGGCGACATGCCTCCCAATCGTTCCAATTCAGCAAGTTGTAGCGACGTACGAAGCTCATACAAAGTATCTCCTCCAAAGATAGTTCCCATGAAAACTCCATCTGGTTTCAAGACTCTGTTGATCTGGGCAAGAGCCTGTGGCAAATCATTGATCCAGTGCATGGACAAATTGGATATAACAGCATCGTACTGATCTGGTTGTTGGAGACATTCATGGTCAAACGTCTCTTCATCTGCTACATTTCTTATTATCTTTCCCTCGAATTTCGTGTTGAATGACTCACTGATATCTCTCTCAAGCGACAGCTTTGACGAGTCAACCATTGTGATCTCTTTGATTCTGCTCTTCACTGACTCTTTATCTTTTTCAAGTTGCTTTGCAATCTCGAGTTCAACCTCATCACCCGACTCAGGAATTTTTGTTTCTTGACACAACACCTTGAGAAAATTGCCCAGATGGGACCCGAAATCCAACACACGGGTTAAGTCTCTCGTTATAAATGCAAGTCTCTCAATTGTTCTCAATGCAACCTCATCCTTCAAGTAGTCTGCTCTTCTTGATTGCTCTGGATTGGTCGCAGGGTATCTGGATCGCTGAATGCGTTTCACTTCTCTATCAAAGACATTGAATTGTTGCTTGGAAGCACTACTTTTGGCAGAAGTTGCTAAAAGGCGTTTTAAACTAGTGCTCATATTGAAATATTCAGATTCGCATCGCGAATTTTAGATCTTGGTGCATTGGTAGATACTTAATGCTATGCCGACGAGGGTTACGAATACCTCATTTTCACCTTCAGACCATCAGAACATTGTCTGTAAGCTACGAAGCAACAGAAACAAACCGCAAGACGAAAAATTATAAGCATCTTGTTCTCAAACAAACTCCAAACCTCACTTCCAAGAACCCATTGCTCGATCAATTAAATGTCTTGAAGACTTCCCCCCTGCAAAATGACGTACAGAAGTTGCTCAATGCGTGTGCCAGCGGAAAGAGGACGGGCTCTGTCGAAATTGCGATCGAAGCATACTTGTTGGCAAGTACGTCGTTACTGAATCTCACCAATTCGGAGATTGATAGAAATACCCAAAATCTCTTGACCACTTTCAAATACTGCAATGATGTCCACCAACTTTTACACCTTCGATACTTGTGGCTAAATGTAATACCAAAATTTACACAACTGCCGGTTAACAAAGTTCGATATTACGTCGCTTTCATTCAGGTAATGCTTAACACTTCCCAGATAATACGTGCAAAGGAATTGTTTATTGAAATATTGACGATGGAACTCGAATTGGCACCACAAGACAGATTGAACTTGATGCCCACTGCCCGATTGCTTGACAATATGGTCTCCTATTCTTCTTGCGACGACATCGTGGATATTCTACAAGTAATACAGCCCATAAAACCCATGGATTCCACAAAGTTTTTGTCTTTTGCATTGGTGAATAGCCACTACCGGTTATTGACTCACATCTTTGACCATCACATATCCCCAAATCTTGACAATACCAATGTAAATGAGCTCTTTAACAGAGAGACATTACTTCAAATTTTGCATACATTTGCACTCCACGGAGATGTGCAAAGGACTCTTGCCATGATTGAGCCATACTTTCTCCATGAATCGTTGCAGGGTAGAAAATCACTTACCAAAGAGCTATCTCTCGAAATAATCCAAGCATATTGCTATCATGTTCCTTCTCAGACACATAGCGATGAAACCATCATGAGAGTATTCGATATCATCTCTGGACTCAATAAAAAGTTGAAAAGGGAACGTCGTGACTTACTCACTTATAAAGACATCACTGAGCCTATGTCTCATAGGTATATGAACTATTATACTAGTGCAAGCGAAGAAACCGAACCGGATAAAGACGACATACAAATGGATGGAGGAAATCCCAACCCTAATGGGAATGCAATGGCTAATCTTCAAGCACTTTCCTCGCTAATCAACGTCCATCTAGCTTATATCAAACGGATGGAATATTCTTCGGACGTCGCTAAGATTTTCTTGAACAGCGTTTTGAATCATATCAATTTATATCAATCATTTACCGGAATGGTCAGAGCACTTTTGGCATTCCAGAGATTCGATCCTTCTTCATTCAAAGCGTTTGTGGATTACGATACACTCGACATTATTTTTAATTCCCTTTCAAACTCAAACGCTGCTAAACAAGCCAGCTTGCATCTTTATCAGTTCATGAAAGCTCAAAACATCCGCCTCACCCACGACAATTATAGATGTGTCATATCAGCCTCGTTGAGAGGAAACTTTCATGAACTACTCCAATATTATCTCTACTGCTATATATCTGACTTTTCAGGTGTAATTGATGGCAGAATATGGGATCTCATCAAGAATCTTCCGGAGTCCATTGTCAAGAGTAACACATCTACCAAGCTTGCAATAGATTATGTTCTGAAGGTTTACAAGAGGGAGATCACAGCTGATGACCTTGACGAATACTGGAATCAACACAAGATATGTCAATCTGAACCTTCTATCAAGGACGAAAATCTACCTAGCTTTTCGCGCCAATATAATTATACAGTGGATTCTCGTGATACTGCCTACTTGAAGTTCCATAACTCGTGACATTGTACTAATGGTTAGCAATTCTGCGTATATAGCATTGTTCAAATCTTCAGCACTGATCTCCACTTTCGTGGCCTTGTTGGTATTCAAGTTGTGTTCACGCTTCAGGCTGCGAGTGATGCTTTCCTCACCTTCAAGGTCAAGGATGTTTTTCTTGGAACCTAGGATTGAGTCATTGAACCCAAATGATGAGTTCATACTGGAGTTATAACTGGATCCCAATAGCGTGGTATCCATAGCCATGCGTAGAATATGACCAGCATGGCATGCAAGGTTATCTTCTTCTGTCTCTGGCTGCGAATCTTCATAGATTTGCACCGGACCAGATTTCTTACCTGAAATTTGCAAAAGGTCAACTTTTCTCATTTTCGACAGACCTTGAGTACCGAAATCAAGCTTTCTTCTGGTTGCATCTTTAGTGTCTGGGGTCGATTGTGGCAATGAGGTATTTGTCTTCTTTGTGAATTTGGGTGAAAAATACAAGGTTTTGCCCGCCGAAGGTGAAATATGATAACCTTGAGTCTTCTCAACGAATGAGTCTTCCATTTTCATGGTTGGAAGAACTTTCTTGCCACCAGTGGCCGTTGGAGAAAGTGAATCTAGCATCAACTTTTCGGTGTATGAGTCTATTACATTTTTGGATTTCTCATAAAGTGCTTCCAATGGATCGTCTTGGCGCTGACTTGAAAATGTTTTCTGGATTGGTTGTGCGACACGAACAGGATCTTTAGCTTGTGGCATTTTTACCAATGTGAGATTTTGCAGTATGAGAGCATCACGAGGTAAGAGAAGTCCCTTTCGGATATCATCAAACTGTTTCCTCGAGGGAAAAGAATAATCAAGGGAAATTGAAGAATGGAGCACGCATGACATTCTTCCGTCTATAAGGTCTTCAAAGAAATTAGTGGTGGTGTGCAATTATTATAGGGTGCAAGCCAATACGTTATAAAGCTGCCTCGCCAATGGAACCCTTTCCTAATCCGGTTTATTAATTGTTGTTGTTTGCAAATTTCCCAATTTGGCCGGTTCCATACAGACAATACATGGAAGCTAGTATTAGTACCAATACATAAAAAACACCATGACAGAAGCATAGGCGCCAATGGGATTGTATAGTAGTATCATACGACCTTTGGCTAGCATTACGATTTGCTATATCAACTATTTGTCAATTATTTGCTAGGTAAATCTCTCCTATCTTTACCGGTGCGGTGATATGGAACCACTTGGCGCATAGGAATTTCCGCAAGAAGTAATTTGCAGGCGCAGTTTCCCTTCAGTATTTTCCTGATTGAGTTAATTCTTTCTGAATTGAAATTTACGAAGGAGATCAGAACATTTTGCCGAGGGTAGTAGTTCCACAAGCGGTGTCAAAGCTGGCACCTCGTCTAAACAATTGAAGGTGCTTTGACGACAGTGGCTTAAAGGTGGCTTATAGTGTTTCTAGAATTGAGTTGGGTAGCTCAAAGCTAGCATTTTATGTAATTATTGAGGAAGCATACTGGCTGCAAAATTGCGTTTAATATACCAAATTTTTAAGAGTCTAGACCGTAATAGTAGGATGATTTAAAAACAAGCACTACTGTTCTCCCGTAAATTTTGGTCTTCCACTCTTCTCTACAGCTATAATATTTTTATGTGAGTCTGATTCAAGGTTTGATCAAAAAATATTGCTGATGGGGTATACAGTCAACAGTTCATTTCAGCCTCTGCCATATGACAGCTTGAACTTTAGAGCTAGAAGCTCGTTTCTATCTGAGACAAGTGCATTACTGCCGACGTTACTAATCCGACTCCAGAAACGCGTACACCAAGCTATCTCGGTATTATGCGAGCTAAGAGATGTTGAATTCAGTTATGGAGAGATTATTTTAATATGTGAATAAGGGATCTTTACTCTGAGTATAATGATTCTTCCGTTAGAACGATCTAATAGATGAGGCCAATTGAGTCGACAAGTAGCCCAATAAAGTCATAACTGCGAAAATGAATGGAACGTCGATGACAGAGTTTCTACGATCATTTTATATGATAAAGAATGATTTGATGACTAGAATATACCTGATAATCTTTGCTATTGTAAATTAACTTTATAACATTCTCTTCGCAAGGCGAATGAAACTATTATACAAGAATGAAATGAGTATATATATGTGGGTATTCCCAATTGATGGCACGAAACAGACCTGTGGCTGCCCCATGGAATTCAACGTATTGAAAGGCAACCGAGGGTATCAAACAATGATACCAGGGCTTTTCAACTGTATGTAAGGAATGGAGAATTTGGATCGCGATACACTTCTGGATCAAAATGACATCACTTCAATGCATGAAACGATTTGGTCCACAAGTGCTCTCTGGGAGAATCCAGAAGCAGATCATACCTAGCTAGTCAAACTCCACCTTCTGGGACCCATGCTAATTCATAGAACATTATTCTATGATCTCAACCTTGGGCTGAAATGGGTATTCAATAACGCTCACAGAGATTTCTCCTCTTTGTTTTCCTTGGCACGCTTTATACGATCCTCGAGTATCGATTCGTTACCATGAACACTATCAACAGGACACGGAAGAAGCGAATTGGCCGCTACCAAAGTGAAGCAGATTGCAAATGTTGAAGTGAATATTGAACTAGTAAGTCGATTTCTTTGAGTGGCCCTGATTGTGAATAGCATTGTTTATAGTTGTACGTGGTACGATAGGCGTTTACTCGGCACGCTAATTTATGATCGTAGATGCTCGAAAGAGTATGTAAGTAGTGGTTCGATTGACCATTGATGTTTTTTCACCATCACGATCACGTGACTTTTAGGTGATGGGCCAATCAATTAGCCCGATTTACACAACGTCGCCCTGGAGAAAGACGATCGAAATGAAAGTAATAGTGTTTTCTATGGCTACGATTTAGTGGACTGGCTAAGTTTGAGCTATTTCTCTATGCCCATTGATGACCTTTTTGTAAATTTGAATTGATCATCATTGTGCAGGATTATGTATTCTGGAAAAGGTGGTTTTGGCAGCTATACTAGCCAGGTTTCGATATTGGGAAGTGACGACTTATCTTACTCATTCATTCTCCGTGTCTTGATTCATTCCTATATATTAGTTGAATTTTTAAATTTGTGCATTTCTGTCTATTGGTACACACTTGAGTTTCTGTATCAAGCCACAGAATAGAATACGTGCTAACGAGAGGGTATAAAGCCCTCGAGTCACTTCCGCAATTAATTCTTTTCATTCATTCTTCCTTTGTTAGCACTATCTTCACCGAGTAGCAAATGGTGTACTACAGCTTCCCAAGGTTCGCTGGACGCCGATTATATACAAGCTTGGGTTGCCGAGTCGTATTGTTATGATTTATGGTTTAATCTGTGCAAACATCTTTCTCGTGATCATTCCACTGATTCTTGTTGATCTTCGCATCTACTGGTATGTTCGTTCTGCACCTTTTTTGAGTAATTCGAACCCAGGATTGAACTTTCTCTCTTTGTTCACCTCTTCTCTAGTCTTTGGCTCATCTACAAGTTCGATCTTTACCAATTCTTTCACGGTACGGAGTCTATGGGCAGTCGAAGGAGATACTCGCTGGTACACTATTTGATGTCTTCTTTTCAATCCCAAGGCTGTGATATTTTTCCTTACAATAGGATGACACCCGATGGTGGAACGAAGCTGAGTAATCTTATAGAACTGTTGCTTGGCAGCGTTGGCAACAGACATGGTTGAAGTCAAGTATCTGTAAAACAAAATTTTCGATCACCGTGCACCAGGTGCAGGTGCAGGAAAATCAAAAAGGCTTCATATTACCTCTCATTCAGAGTTTTGACAAAATGAGCCAGAATGGATATAGATCTTCCTTTTGGTGACGGTATCTCCAGGCGTAAAGATCATTTACACGCAGAAATCTCATCGCTTTTATCACGATTGTTGCTGAGTGAAAATGCAAGTACTAGCCATCTCAATGCCATAGGCGTCAAACTTAATAGCAGAATTGATGAGTTTGAAACATCACCAAGTCTTTTAGATTCGAAGTTGAACGACCACATCAAGGCAATTGCTGAAAAGTTCTTGATTGTGGGAACAAAGTCACATGAAAATGCATTTACTAGATCGCTAGCTCAGGTGGTGTATTGCTTTGCCAAGGTTCGTGGCTATAAAGTCGTCACCAATTGCTTTCCTAGTGATGTGTACTCGCTCAATGATCTCTACTTGCACTATTCCGATGAAAAAAATGACGAAAACGAGATTTATATGTTATCGTTGTGGCTATCAAATATAGTCCTAGCACCTTTTCCACTAGAGAAAGTGCAACCTGATATAATTCCCAAGCTTGTCTCAACTGCCAGTAAGAAATTGTGTTCATCTTATGCTTCAAAGTCACAAATCGGAGCCCTGGTGCTACTTTCACGCATTGTCACCAGACCGGATTCTTTTCGAAATGGTACCCTTCCACAATTTTATGAAAACTATATTCTTCCCACATGGCTGATGGGATTAGATAATGAAACACAGAAGCTAGGCTATCTGATGGTGCTAAACAAGATACTCAAATTGGCCACTTTGGAATCTGGTCAATACATTTCTGATTTGGTGTTTCGTGACATTCTATTACTAGACTCAATGTACTTGGATATCACCCGCCCAAACGGCCTAAGGTTGCTCTACTTTGTTAAGCTTCTGACCAGAATTGCACAGTCCTTTTTATCATGTGGTAGATATCAAGATGTGTCCAAAATCATCACCATACAAGTTCAGCAGATTATGGGCCTGTCCTCATCTTTCGACACCAAGCTCAGATATAGCACGGCAAAAGCTTTAGCCTCGATATCCCGGTCCCTTTTGAGTAAGGCTGTGAATTATCACGACCAATTGATTCAATTTCTATTTAAGCAGTTCACTACAAACTCACTGATTCAAATGGTCTCTCAAAGCTTCACCAGAACCATTGAAGTGGATGACGCTGTGACTGCAATTCACAGAATACACACACTACTTTTATTCTTTGGGCTTATAGCGATGAACAAATCATTGCCCATCGACACAATTCCACTTGTCTTGAGTGTTGTCCACAAATATTTGTTCTTTGAATCATATCTGGGCTCGAGTGAACTAGGTCTGCCGGTAAGAGATGCTTCGTGCTTTGTCCTATGGGCTATCATTCGCCTTTTGACACCTGAACTGGCCCAGAAGCTTGAGACAAAGAATCCGCAGATGTTTTTGACCATCTTTCAAGATGTATTGAAGGTATCAATATTCGACAGAGATTTGATAATTCGACGTTGCGGGATATCTGTGGTCCAGGAGCTTATAGGTCGTCACGGCAGACTTTGTCTTGACCAAAGTGGTTCAGAACGCTTAGGGGAGACAAGCATCAAAGTCATTGAGTTGATGACCTTTAAGGCCATTTCAGAGTCTCAAAAAACCTTCGTTCTCGTAGAAGAGTTACTCAAGCTTGACATATGTTCAGATGAGCTCTTGTCACCGATACTCAAGAACATTCTTGAGGAAGATGTTGATTTCAAGTTACAGAAACGATGTATCAGAACTTTCATCAATGTTCTTGATAATGAAAATGTTTCCGACGATATGATGTCAAACTTCTTTCAAAAACTATCTCAAATGTACAATGAGCATTCAGATCACATTCACTATTCTATAGTGGCTCTTGCATTCAATTCAGAAAGTGCTCGTCGCATTATATTAAAAGCGGGCCATTCCTTTCATTCAGAATTATCAAAAAACCTAAAGGTGATTACAGCAATCAAAGCAGAGACGTATCTCCTATACCTAGTGCTTTGTAAGACTTTAGGCATTGATTTCGATTCCACTCGAGCCTGGCACGATGTTTCGGTGATTACAATGAATGTTGACTCCGACGATCTTGATTGCCTTCTACAGCAATATTTGAGTCTTTGTGAAACACTTTCAGACCAAGATTATGATGCGGCTCTCGAGTTGATAGAGCATGGGGACAGGGCTTTTGCTAAAAGTATCAGCTCTATAAAATGTTCACAGTACCAAGCTGACAGGCTTGTGAACTTGCTCCATAAAGACAAGTTATCTTGCGCTTTGAAAGCTCTCATTCTAGACAGCTTTCCATTGCACTTTCCATTGCATAAAAACGATCATTCCAATTTAATGGGTATCTTGAAGTGCCTCGACAACTATACAAGAACAGAACAAGGAGATGTCGGATCTGAGGTTCGTTATTCAACTATTCAGCTAATTCAAGCGCACAGGCCAATTTTTGAACCATTGGCATTAGAGTTGGATAAGCGACTCGTTCGCATCAGTGGTGAACAAATTGATAGATTGAGAGTCAAGGCGTTCGAACTTATGGTGGGTGAGAAGGAGGTATTTGATCTGTCACTAGGATATTTCACTCGCTTATTTGAATATTATAGAAGTGTGGTTCTTGAAGAACATGAATCCACATTATCTGTGCCGTTCTGGAGAGGAATTGTCTTCAGTGCTGCTGCCATACGTGGTCCCAGCGATGTTATCAATGCCTCCTTTAAAGCAATGTTGGTATTTTTCAGACAAATTACGCCCAGCAGAGTATCGTCTGTATTTCAAAGCATCCTACAGATTCTTTTAGTTCCAAAGGATATGCCATTACAACAGCAGTCATCACGAGCAATTAGTACTTACACAAATACCTTGAATCTATTTGTGAAATTGTTTGAATCAGGTTTCGAATTTCCATCTGATTTTGACTACCAGAGGCTATACATTCGAAGTTATAATCTTCACATTAATACCACTAATGTGATGCGGATAAAGTTGGTTTTAAGAATACTCTTATTCCTAAGTATGCCAGAATATGGTAGCATGCGTGATGCAAGAAAGCGTTTATGTTGGATAGCATGCAAGCATTCGAATACTTATATTCGAAATTCGGCAGCAAATTGTCTTTACGAACTAGCTTTACAAATGGAAGCGAAAATTGACACGCTCCATGTACTAGAGTCTTGTGATTGGAATGATGTACAAAAGCTGAGTCTACAACTAAAGATTATGGAACCCATATTTATTAACCTTTAACTCCTAAAACTAATTTTTGAATAGATATTTTCTCTCACTTTCGGTGCCGATCCAATGATTGCAAATTGACTACAAGTTTACAATCAAATTATCTGAAGACAAGTGGAAAGTCTCTGACCTCAAACTTGCAATGCTGGGATTTTCAAACTCTTTCTTTGACTCCTCTTCAGGAGCGGGAATGTCACCTCCAAATGAAGTTGAGTCGCCAATAGTGACTTCGTTGTCAAAGTAAGAGTCTCTCCTCTCGTGCTCTTGGTCACCCAATGGGGTCATGGTTGAGTTGTTAAAGTGGTCGGTAAAGTGTTGAAAAGGCATTGTCAATAATTATGCTTGAAAAACAAGAATAAAAAAGACGGCAAAATCCAATCTCCAGGTATCAGGTGCGAGAGGCGCAGAATGCAGGGCGATAAGCTAATGTGGGGTTAAGAATATGGTACATTCTGGAATGTACGCCGCATTTTGAAATTTACCGCGGCGTGACAGACGAAAAACCCCGCATTTGAGAACAAAATATCTGCTGCACTCCTATTCAATATGCACACAAATCCGTTTCCCCTGACACTAAACCCCGCCACATTTTTTAGGACTGCGTATAATGTGCCGCTAGTGAGTTTTAGTATCTGGATTGATAGTTGTGCCTCCAGGACTTGTAGAATTTGGTGTGTAGTTCCATACTGGGGATTCCGGGGAGAGACCGATTTTACTGTAGCCTCGTTTAAGATTTATCAAATCATTTGCAACCAATCTCTCGTCAGCTTGATTTCCATTCTTCTCCTCTTTGGGATCTGCCATATCGATACGTGGTTCCGATTGCATTTTCGATAGAAGACTTGTAGCCGAGTAAGGAGCCTGTGAAGGACCAGGTGGGGAAGTGGAACAGTAAAAACTGCTCAAAGAGTCGGTTTCATGTAATGAACTTGAGACACCTGTCAACCCTAACGGCATATTCACTACGTTAGGTTGTTTGACTTGCAGCATTTTGTCGTCAGAGGATTCCACCCCTGGTGTGGGTTGCCTGGACCCTTCCTGTCGTAAAGCTCTTGCTCTTTTGAGTTTGTTATCCGACTTTTCCTGGAGCCAGTTAATTTTATACTGAACAAACTTGAGTATCTTCAAGTATTTTAAGTCTTCGTCCATATCTTCGTCGTCCCAATCAATGTCCATAGTCTCGTGGATTTCGTTTATTCCTCGGCTTGATCCAAGCTCGTCATCGTCGCTGTCATCTCCATTGGTTCGTGGCTCACGTAAAATCTGATCTCGAAGTTCATCATTCATCAATTTTCTGAATAAAGTGTCTTCTTTATACTTCTTGGCCTTTGACTGTTGGTTGCTGAAAACAGTGGCTGCATTGGTTTGGTAGTTGATGAATATCTTGATGAACAAATTGATACTGTTATTCAAAGTACTCGCGACGTTATCTGCAACGAGACCCTCCTTCTTGAAAAACTTGGTCAGACTGACCAATAAAAAGAGCATTTGCAAAAGAATTGACTTTTTGAAATTAATGATAGTCATCGATAACCCATTAAGCATGCTGTTAAAGGGAGAAGGAGGAAGTTCTCTAACTTTCCACTTGACCTGGTTATTGAATGCGTTGTTGGTTTTTCTCCTTTTGAACAGAAAATCGTTTATCACAAATCCGTCGTCGTCGTCATCAATCCCCAATGATCCCATTGTAGATCCTGTGTTACCAGTTGAGGCTGGAATTTTATCAATCTCATCGGCTGCACCCACATGTTCAAATATTAGAAGAAAGTATGTCAATACTTCTCTTGATATATTCGAAATTTTCACATAGTAAGGATGGGTCAATTCTTTATCAATCACAAAGTTGATGTAGTTCATAGACCTGATCAACAAGCAATGGAAATTAAGCTGAATTTTTATGAGCTGACTGGCAGTGTATATATCTGGAACACCTGTCAGTAAGTAGTTGACCATGCCTTCTCTTGATATCGTCGTACTCGATTGGGCATTGTTTGATATAATCTTGTGATACAAGTCATTGGTTGTCTGACTTGATAGTATAGGTAAGTTCATCTGCAATTGAAGTGGAACCAAATTCAACTGCTTCTCCTTCAAGGAATACCTCCAATTCGAGAGATTTTTATCGATGGTCAAGAACTGGTTGTAATTGTAGTTCAAGTTACCATCGTTTCCATCTCCGTCATCATCGTTCAAAATCCAGTCCAATTTAGGATGTTTTCGATGATGATGGCCCAGATTGTTGTTTGAGCCCAGTTTCAAGTACTGATAATAATTAGGAGAGAAGGAAGATGGGATGATGATGTTCACCAAATTTAAAAACTCCACGCTGGGTTTCAAGAGCGTCGTGAATAGCTCGTCAGTACCTCGTGAGGAATCTAATAACAGACTCAATTTTTCCGGGGTCAATTCGAAATAACGATCAATTGTAACTGGATTGATGACCGTGGTGTTAATACTTGGTTTGAAACCAAATTTTAAATTGAAGCATTTTAACAAAACTTTGAAGACCCAAAAGATCTTTACACGATCTCGCTTTTGATCCAAATTTAAGGATAAGTCATTGAAGAATAAGTTTTTTGAGTTAAGGTTTATTCCCAAGATTCCAATAAAGGCATTGACAAGTGCAGATAAGACCAAAGATTTCTCCTTGTTGTTTGTGAGGAGCGAATAGTATAGGAATAGCATGTAAGTTTGCAACTGAGTCACTGATACATGCTGAACATTTAGGTAGGGAAGAAAATCATATAACGATCTTATGATGGTCAAAGTTGCATGCGTTTTGTCACCCTTGTTCAAAGTAGTATTGGCATACCCCGGATTTGGATGGTTCAAGAGTAAGTTGAGATTGATAGTGGGATCGTTCATCATGATCATTGCGTAGATTTGAACCACTGTCATCAAATACTCATTTACAACTCGATAGTCGTTGCTCAGAATGTTAAATCCATTTATGGTGGCATCGTCGTAAGTGAACATGAACGGGTACATGGTATGGAACGCATCATAAGATTGCATGAATTTTTTGAAATCAAAGATTGGAATGAAAATGTTATAATTTAGAAAAAACTGGATGATCTGGTTATCCAATTCCTTTTTGCTGCTGAAAAGATTTTTGAAATTGTTGATCAATTTTATGAATAAGTCATAAATATCTTTGGGGAGTTGCTTATTTGTAAGGCTAGACACATCATCGAGCATATCGTGCGCTGAGTCTCTTGCCGTCAAAGGATTGTAAATAACATCTAAATCACGGTTATGGAACTGGTTGTAAGCGGTGTACGCTGGGTGGTACAAATAAGCGTTTGGGTCATTTAAAAGGTAATTATGAGAATTGGTGATCTTGAGAAAGGGAAGATTGAGATTGATGAGCAAATGATTGAATTGTGATTCAAAGTTCAAGTTGTCATTTCCAATTATTACCCCCTTGCTATCGAGATTGAAAATCTGATCAATCGGGTTATTGATGGGTACAGAAGATTGGTGTGGATTTGAAGTAGTGGATGTTGTGGTTGGACGAGTTTCTTCCTTGACACGGTTGGGAGTGTGAGCTTCTACCGCCGGAGCGACGTTATTTCCTCTCTCCGCTTTTAGTCGTTCGTTTTCTTCTTCGAGATCTCTTATACGGCGTTCGAGATTCTCGGTGTATCCCTTTGGAAAAGCTCTCCTAGTCAACTTGTCACTTGTTTTACAATCAAATCCAATTTTAGAACAATTCAGACAAGGAGTTAGGCCATTGCACTTGATTTTTTTGATTCTACATCGGTCACAAGCTTGAGAAACTCGAGGCCCAGAAGTAGTATTGATCAACTTCATATTCAGGTTTGACAGTCTTGAGCCCGCAGACTGGGTATCATCCTCTTTGGAATAGTCCATCTCGACATATAGGCACTAGGTGAGAACAGAAGATGAAATCGTTGTTCTTCCTTGTAGTATCAAAAATGCCCCAGACATCGGATGAATGGGTAACTTGTCTGCAGTCCCGGATCTCCGGGAATATGGGGAATATCCTCGGAGACTGCAGCTTACCGGGTGTCGGGTATAACCGTGTGAGCGGGGCACCCTAGCGGCCATATATATTTGCACATAGTTGCTAACTCCACAACGATTGGCCTGGCTAGCTCAATCGGTAGAGCGTTTGACTCTTATATAAGAGAAGCGATCAAAAGGCTGCGGGTTCGACCCCCGCGTCGGGCTAATTTTCTTTTTTTCAGTTCATTTTAAAGAACAAGTTCATCATTTTTTTGCTATTTACAAGCCTTACAGTTCATAAGAAATGTCTTTAGGAATGTCTCAAGAATATATACTTAAAGCTATATCAATAATTAACTTTTAATGTCATCGACGTATCATTTTAATGCAAACCACCAGTCCTTTGTTTTCTCAACTCATTTTCTTTTCTTTCAACTTCAGCGTCGTAGACAATGAAATCGTCCAATGCGTTACCACCTGGAACCATAGGCAAGACTGGCACCTTCTTCTCGACAACAACTTCCATCAAAACAGGACCTTCATAATCTAAAAATTCCTTGACACCGGATACTAATTCTTCTTGCTTCGACACACGAATACCCTTAAGGCCCATAGCTTCTGATAATTTCATGAAATCAGGGTTGGATTGATGAGTGTGGGCGTAACGATGTTCGTAAAAGAGTGATTGCCATTGAGTAACCATTCCTTGTTCTTCATTGTTCAAAACACAAATCTTGACTGGTGCATTAGCTTGAATAGCAGAAGACATTTCCATTAATGTCATATTAAAGGAAGCATCACCATCAATGTCGATAACGATTGCATCTGGCTTGGCCACCTGGGCTCCAATTGCAGCGGGTAAACCAAAACCCATCGTTCCCAAACCACCAGAGGTGATCATGGTCCGGGGTTTGGTCCAGGTGAAATGTTGAGCAGCCCACATTTGATGCTGACCGACACCGGTAGTTACAATAACCTCCTTTCCGTAAGTGCTGGATTGCTTGGAAATTTCTTTAATGAGGGTTTGTGGTTTAATCTTGGATCCAGGGGTTTCTTCCAAGTAGGCATATGGGTACATTTCTTTCCATTTTTCAACTTGTCCCATCCATTCGGGTCTCTCTTTAACGTTCTTTACCAATGGAATAAACTTAGCCAAGTTAACAGCCAAGTCTCCTTCAACAGCCTCAGTAGCTTCTACCACTTTGTTGATGTTCTTAGGACTGATTTCGAAATGAATAATTCCTCCCTTGTTCTGAGCAGCAGCAGCACGAGCAACAGGTGCAAACTCGCTCACTTTACCGGTGACTCTGTCATCGAAACGAGCTCCTAAGGCAATAATGACGTCGGCATTTTGAATAGCAGTATTGGCAGCGGCATTTCCATGCATACCAAGGAAATCTAGCGACTTTGGATCACGTTGGTCAAAAGCACCGAGACCCTGGATGGTGGTAGTAACGGGAATACAAGCCTTGTCAGCCAATTCTTTCAAAAGTTGGGGACCTTCTTCGCTGTTCATGACACCAGCACCAGCGTAGATAATTGGTTTCTTGGCCTTATTCAAAATGTCAGCGGATCTGTGGATGGCTTCCATGGTGAACTCTGTGGCTGCCTGGCGAGTGATTTGACTCAAGGCATTGAAAGGTAAGGTGGTCTTGATAGGAATGGATTCACGCAAAATCGAGGCAGTGACATCTTTGGGCAAGTCGACCAAAACAGGTCCAGGTCTTCCCAGGGTGGCAATTTCAAACGCCTCGTTGATTCTACGGGGTAATTCAGCAACATTTTTAACCATAACGTTCCATTTGGTGCATGATCTGGAAATACCAATGACATCAGCTTCTTGGAAAGAGTCGGTACCGATGGCAGAAGTAGGCACCTGGCCGGTGAAAACCACCAATGGAACACCGTCAGCTAAAGCATCGGCCATAGGAGTAATCACATTAGTAGCTCCAGGACCAGAAGTAACAAGAACAACACCGGGCTTACCACAAGCACGAGCATAGCCTTCCGCCATATGTCCAGCACCTTGTTCATGACGTGGCAAAACAAACTTGAACTTATCCGAGTTGTAAATGGCATCGAAAACAGGAAGAATAGCACCGCCAGCATATCCAAAAACAGTATCAACATTGTGTCTTAACATCATTTCATGGAAAATTTCACCTCCTGTAAGTCCAATAAACGAGTCGTCCATGATGAGCTGTTCACGCCTAAGATTTCTCTTGGTCGAGGGTCTTTCACCAGACTCATTAGCGGCTCCGCTAGGCTCTTGGTTGAAAGCTGGTGCTGGAGTAGGACGTGGGGATGAAGGCAGCAGCCTTTGGGTCATGGTAGCATTTTGCTGGGCAGACTTTGAAATGGCCCTAAGTTGTGATTTGTAGATTGACCTAGTGGCCGGGGTCTGTAGAGCACGTCTGACAGCTCTCATGTTGATTTTTTTTGGATTGGGATCAACACAAGTTTAAATGTTCGCTGACTCACGCCAATTTTTTTTTTTCCATCACCGCACGAGCGGAGATGCGATTAAGTAATAGAGGCTGCCAGTCTGGGGTATGGTCACGTGAAAGCCGGTACCGGCGCTGCCCGAAGCAATGTAATAAATGGGATGAGAAGGAGTAGCACTACGATAATACAAGATTTTTAAGAATACTAGAAATTATGATAGAAGCTGGTGATAGAATGAGATTACATTAAAGGCTCTTTGCAAATTTTGCAAATTTTCACATTTTGGCAAATACCTAGAAGTTACTGTAATTAGTATATAGTCCGCCGTGATAAGACTAGTAGCAATCTTTAGTTTGATCTTTAATCTCGTTTCAACCCTCTCAGTGAATTGGCGTTTATTTCAATTTGTTCGCAGCCATTTTCAGCCGCATAATTGCATTGCGACTTCATTTATAGCGGAGAGCCACATTTGATCACTTAACATGACGGTTCCTTTTGGTCATGAATTCCGCAAAAAATACTTCGACAGACTTGCTCCAGATGTCATTCCCGTCAACCATGCCTCATACGGCTTGACTCCAACTCCTATTCATGAAAAATATATTTCTGCTTTGAATCACGATCACGAGTTTCCCGACCGGTATATCAGGTTTGAACTTAAAAATGACTATGTTGCGCTGTTGAAAGCACTAGGAACTTTCCTCAATACAGATTATCGCAATTTGGCCCTTGTTGATAACACTACAACCGGAGTCAATACTGTTCTCCGATCCTACCCTTTTAAAAAAGGAGACAAAGTTGTGGTGGTTAGTACTGGTTATGACAGTTGTGTTCACGTTGTGGAGTTCTTGAAGGCCAGAGTGTGTGTGGAAATCATAGTTGTGGAAGTCAATTACCCAGTAGAGGATGATGAGATTATTGAAAAATACAAAGCAGTGTTTGAGAATGCTCGTCCACTGTTGGCATTATTTGATACAATAACCTCGGTTCCTGGGGTAAGATTCCCCTTTGAAAAGTTGGTTGCTTTGTGTCGTGAATTCGATGTGATATCGTTGATCGATGGTGCCCATTCCATAGGTCTCATCGATATCGATTTGGATAAGTTGAAGCCCGATGTATACGCTTCCAATTTGCACAAATGGCTTTACGTTCCCAGAGGCTGTGCGGTGCTCTATGTTGACCCTCGTCTTCAAGGTAAGATTCATACTATGCCTATCAGTCACTCGTATCTTGACGAAGAGACCGAATCAGGATTGGATCCAGAAGATATAAAGAATCGATTCATTGACAAATTCAATTTTGTGGGGTCAAAGACATATGCTCTGATATCTTGTATCGTTCCAGCAATTGAGTTCAGAAAATCAATAGGCGGTGAGAAGGCTATCGCCAAATATTGCCATGAACTCTGCTTAAAAGTCGGCCAAAAAATCACCGAAAAAGTATGGCCCGGAACTCAAATCATAGAAAATCAATCCAAGTCGTTGATCACGGCTATGATAAATATAGAGGTTCCCATAGATACGTTTGCCAAAGATGTTGGAAGCAAGGGATTAAACGTTACAGATTTGAAAGAAGTTAAGAAATGCGTGGATACTATTCAGTACCAAATGGCTTACAATGATAAAACCTACCTCCAGCTATTTGTGCACGGCAAGTTCTATTGTCGGTTTTCGTGCCAGATATATAATGAGCTTGAGGAGTATGTGACTTGTTGCAAGTTGCTCGAGGCAGCTTTTCACGATTACTTTTCTCTGAAACTGCGTTTATAATGTTTCAATTCCTACCCTATTAATGCTACGATTTTATCCTTTTGTTGCTGCTTCCAGTTCTAATCCTGTTTCTCGTTGACTTGTGTTCCCAGTACCGAACCCTGTGAACTTGTAGTTACTCCTTCGTAAACTGCTTCCTCGCTGACTTCGTTGTCAGTTGGTTCATTGACGGATTGTGCCATTTCTCCTTCTTCCTTGGCAACAGTTGGAGTTCCCCAGTCCAAAAAGTCTCTTCTTACCTCAACGTAATCGTATGCAAATTCTCCAATTTGGTCCTCATCAACACCAACTTCTTCGGCATTGTAGTCTATTCTCAAATGCAAACCTGGGATCTTGTTTATGACAAAACAAAGCACAGCTGTAACTCCTCCAGAGTAGGCAGCGGTAGCAAGAATGTAAACGATTTGAACGTACAATTGCTTCCAGTTGTGGTCGATCCAGCCTCCCGCATGGTCGGTAACATTGTCGTAACCAATGACTGTAGATGAGCCAAAGATTGCATTGAAAAGTAAACCAACGATACCTGCGATACCGTGCTCTGCCAACACATCAAGTGAGTCATCGACTCCACAAATGTACTTGATTTTGGTGGAAAAGTTACACACGATACCGGCGGTGATACCCAAGATTACCGATGCCCACAATGGGATCATTCCTGATGATGGAGTGGCAGCAACGAGACCGGAAATACATCCAGAACAGACGGCGACCATGGACCATTTCTTTTCCAACCGGAAATCGAGCAAACACCAAGAAATGGCTCCGAATGCTCCGCACAAGTGGGTGTTCATCATTGAGTATGGTACTTTTGCTGAAGCATTTAAGCACGAGAACCCGTTGAAAAAGAGCCATCCGACGTAAAGGAGAGCGGTTCCCAAGAATATTGTGGAGATATTGTGAGGGCGGTAGTTGATCATTAAAGTTTCGTTTCTTCTACCCAAGAATGCGCTGTAGACGAAAGCCGAAACACCGGAAAGAATTTCCACTGGTCCTCCACCGGCGTAATCCAAGGCACCGCCTCGCCAGGTAGAAGCCCATCCGCCACCCCATATCCAGTGTACCACTGGGCAGTATACGATGGTGACCCAGCAGAAGATGAACACCAATGATGGAAGAAACCGGCCTCTTTCCGCCACGAGGGCACCAGCCAAAATTGCCACGGTGACCGCCATAAATTGCATTTGGAAGATGGCGAATGCAATCTCGGGATAATCACTGGCAAGCTCAGATAATCCCAAAAGTCCTTTGAAACCAAAGTATGTCAAGTCGCCAATAAAGTTATTGGAAGATGGTGCAAATGCAAGCGAATAACCCCAAAAGTACCATTGGAAACATCCCACAAATGTACCCATTATGACGACCCATATCATGGATAATGCACTTTTTCTTCTGGCCAAACCCGAATACAAAAATGCCAAACCGGGCACCATGATCCAAATCATCGAACTGGCAATGGTGAATAACAACACCAAACTTTCATTGTACTCTTTGTCTTCTGCGAAGAGCTTTCTCCTACTAAGCATTGGAGATGTGAACGAAGCTAATTTAGCAAATAATATATGAAATGTTTATCCAAAAAATGAAACAATAGGTTTTGACAAATGGTTCTGTCAAATGCTTTTAGGCTCTTGTTAATCCTTCTTATTCTTATTGCTCTATGTTAGCTTTATAAATATGCTAAGCAAATTTAAATGTTTGATGAGCACCTGGAAAAATTTCTCGGTTCCGGTTACGCCCACCTTATAATTGTGCTCGGCTGCAAGTCGTCATCGTGGAACGCCCTGCAGGCGCATCTGAAAAGAAAACGAAATGTTTTTTCCTGGTTACGAGCGTGCGCGCGCTCGCATTCGCTATCGATGTGTCTTATCAGCCGGCGCGCCCTCCTGTGCAGCAACCGAGAGACCCTTATCGGTGAGCTTAAAAGAAAAAATTCTGGGGAAACTGCAGAAAAGACGGTGCCGCAGCTTGGTGCATATTTCAGGCGACGAAAAGTCTTGGTATGCATTGATTTAAAGCCAAGACAATTGGTCACAATCGTTTATCATCTACTGCCAAGGGTAGGTCAGGGCCTGCATATATTTGGGTGATAAGGAATAGCGCCAGATGATTGGCGCCAGTTCCCGGTAACGGCTCGGGCGGTGTGCAGGAGCGAGGGGACGCCGCAAGTTGCAGCTGCTCCTTTTTGATTGACTGCATATACTAACTATGTAAACTAAACTAACAACGTGAGTAGAATCACCATCAATGAGGGGACGAGTTTTGACGCTGTACCGCTATACACAGACACACTACAGGCAGTAATAGATTCGGCAGCAACCGAAGTTACAGTAATTGGAATTTCAGTTACTGGAACTTCGGTTTCTGTCTCAGTAGGACTTGCTGCAAAATCGTCAGTATTGTATTCGAATGTGAATTCAGAAACAGCAAATTGAGGAGGCAATGTTTCTTCTGATTCCTCTTCTGTTGTTGCTTCGGGCTCTGCTGTCTCCTCTGGTTCTACCGACTCTGTTTCTGGAACTGTTTCTTCTGTCTCCGTTTCTGTTGGCTCGTCTGGAATTTCCGAAATTGTCACCTCAGGCTCATCTGTCACCTCGGGCTCATCTGTTGTTATCTCAGGCTCTACTGGAATGGTTGTGATCTCAGGCTCCTCTGGAGTTGTTGTTTCCTCAGGCTCCTCGGGAACTTCGGTTTCAGGCTTTTCTGGTACGGTTGTTTCAGGCTCTTCTGGTGTTTCTGGCGTTGTCGTGGTCAATAGAGGAACAGAAGTTTCCGTCAGCTCCAAAGGAGTGGTCTCAGTTGCTTCACATTCATCACAGTGTTCTGTTTCTGTTGTCTTATGGGTTTCGGCTGTCGTCGATTGAGTCTCTTCAGTAGTCTCTTGAGTCTGGGACGTTTCGGCTACCGACAGCGACTTGTGACACTCTTCACAAGGGATAGTAGCTGTGGTCGAAACAGTTTCATGGCTTGTAAGGGTGCATGTCTCACATTCTGGGGCCTCAGATTTCTCCAGGGTCAAACTTGAAGAAGACTCAATTGATGTCTTCGAAACGCTAGATGTTTGCGTTGACGAAATACTGGAATTGGACCATCCTCCAGTAGGAACCTCGACAATAACCGTAACTTCAGTTGCTCCCGAAGTAATTGGAAGCGTCGTGGTAGAAGTATATGGATTCAGCCAGGTGGTGGTGGTAGTTGTGGTAGTTGTTGTAAGCTCAGGAACCTCTACAATAACAGTCACCTCTGTGGCACCGAAAGTTATTGGCAACGTTGTGGTTGAAGTATAAGGATTGGACCAAGTGGTGGTTGTGGTTGTTGTGGTAGTGGCTAAAGAAACCTCAGAACTCACCTCGACGGAACTTGAAGAACTTGAAGAACTCAAAGAACTGGAACTCGACTCAATCAGACTAGATTTCTCAGAGCTCGAAGAACTCTCGCTGGCCAGCGTAGGCACATCGACTTCGACAGTGATTGTCACCGTTGGACCTTCTGTCTCATAAGGCAATGTCTTTGTGGTCGTGAAAGATCCCGTCCATGGCAGAGTAAACGTTGTAGTGGTGGTAGTTCTGTCTGTATCAGGAACCTCTACCACAATGGTAATGGTACTGGCAGTAGACTCATATGGAAGGGTGGTGACGGTGGTATATGTTTCGGTCCAAGTGGTGGTGGTGACTATGATTTCCTTTGAATTTCCAGTGGAGTCGGAGTCACCAGTAATGACAACAATTTCTCTTCCATAATTGTTGGTTTTGGTTTGTCCCGACAGACATTGTACGTTTCCTCCAAAATTGTGGTACACAGTATCCGAGGTCAATGGGTATCTGTACAATCCTTGTAAGAACACTCTGTATCCGGCGGGGACATTTGAGAAACTTCCAACAATACGACCACTTTGACAAAGAACTTGCAGCAGAGGCACATCTTCATAACCTTCAGGAAGATAAAAGTCATTCAAATCCTTGGTCATCTTAAGACTGAATTCAGAGCAGTCGTAGTCGTTTTCAAAAGTAGCAATTGTGTATCCTGAGGTGATTCCAGCTGGACAAGAGGCTGACAAAACATACAACTGTTCGTTAAGCTGAGGAGTTGATCTCGAATAGTAGACCAAACCATCATTATCATTTTCGTTGAAAAATGGTCCTCCAACAAAATCCACAGTGGTTGAAAGTCCACTCCAGTTGATGGTATTTGTTCCAGCGTGATAAAGACTGGCTTCGTAGAGGTCAGAAGATCTTGAAGATCCACCGGCACCAAACACAAAGTCAAAGGTAGCAACTCCGGTTGCGGTAATGTCACGATCAGTATTCACAGCACTAGTCACTGTACACAGAAGACTCGAGTAATCGGTGATATACGAGCCATCCCAAGCATCACACAAGGCATAAGTAGTATCGTCTACAACGAGTCTAAGCTGTTGCTCACCAAACTTTGTACGAAATACTCCAGGCATAATGATATCAAAAGTGTCTCCAGAAGAGGCATCGGCAGTTGCAATCTTCCACCCCAAGCTAGCGGAATGGATATCCTGAGGACGATTACCTTGAGGGCTGGTAATTGAAAGCAGAGTCCAAACATTGGACAATTTTGCAGCCAGTGCTACTGTCGCAAAGCAAACATAAAACAAAAGTAACATCATGGAGAAACAGTGACGCATCACCCATGTTTATATATTGCCATGTTTGAAGCAGTTCGTAACGCTAAGTCATTTGTCTCGAAATCTGCCCATTTGATGTTGAATTGGGAGGAATCTCAAACATGTGGTGGACCCAAAAAGGAAAGTGATCCTAACCAAATGGGCCTTCAATTGTGTGAATGTGTGTATTTTCGTGCATGAGGTTCGTTTCAATGTGCATTAGAGTATCAACTCCGGATCTATTTACATGTACGTTGAGGACGATTGGGGTCCCAATCGGGCAGTTTTAGCAGTTACCGAGCCTGCATAGTATGTGAGTAACCGCTGCAGCGAAGGTACGAGGTGCATTAGGCGGTTTCATTGTGGGACTGTCGGCTCTCGTAAAAGTGGAACGATTCAAACACCACCTCGACCATGATGAGGATGATAATTATCCATTCGAGGCGGGTGGATTTTTTCTCGTTGAGAACAGCAAGAAGCGCACGTTGCTCGTCGGTTGCATAATCGAGTTTCCGATTGAGAATCGAGATTCGCGAAGGAACATCCATGGCTCTGGATATCGATTCATAAATCTTCTCCAAGGTGGGTTCTGTCCAGTAAACGTCGGGGGTTTCTATAAGTTCACTGTAAAGGTTGAGTTTACCACGGAGAAGAAAGAGGCTTCCGGTAAGCTTGAGAACATCATGTTCGTTGGTGCTTATACTGTGGCCCTTAGAAAGACTAATTGAGTTTTTTCTCGTCAACTGGATGTGATTTTCCAAGGCATTTTCGAGGATCGAGAGCCGGGTCGACCGTGAAAGACCAATTGCAAACGCAGCCATATCCAAGAGTTTTTTGTCTTCGTTATCGCCCTGGAGAACCATGATCTCTCCTTGCATATACGAGTTGCCGTAGTTTGGCGGTTTTTCGGGAATGTAGCCGAGGTCGATCCAGTCCATCTCCTCGGATTCCGGCACGCAAGGTTCGATTACTGCTGACCTTAGTTTCGGAATTATATCAGACTCCAACCGATCCTCGGGTGTTCCCCAGCCCACTACGGATCCATTGGCCAAAACCATCACCGTTTTGGAATCCACTTGAAAAGCACACACCTCATCGGGAATCACCATTCTTTTTTGACATTCATTGCCGAGAAGCAGTCGGACTTTACCAAGGTCAAAGGCATCCCCCACGGTGACACAGGCTACCGGCGAAAGGTACTTTTCCAATTTTGCATCTTCTGCTCCATTTTTATTGAAGAGCGAGAGTATATGGGTCAAATTACCATTGTCAGACGGAGTCGAACGACGAAGATTTTGAAGAGGAGAATTGATTTTCTTCTTTGTCTTTGTAGCTGCTGCAGTCAGCACGAAGCGTTCTATATATATGAGCGATTTTGGTCGCAATGCCTTCAAGGAACCCACTAGAGGTAGCTTGATAGAGAACATCAGGTTACTATTGGTTTCGCACGCAGCAATGTGCCGTCGCGCGATTGCGGCAACTGGAAGGCCAGAAGAGTTTCCCGGCTGCAGGACGTGAACCAAAAGGTGAGTTCCGCCACGATACGTCAAACTACAAATTGTACCAATGTGGACCAACCGCAGCCTTTTCTATCCGTCTGCTTCAATTGGACCTACATGTACGCACCGTGCTCACCTATACCCACCCTACGCGCTGTCTGTTTCACTACGCATACCGTCTCATAACTCTATGCAGCGCCAAAAATAGTCTCGAACTCTCTAGGACCCCCTGCGTGCACAGCCGAGATTGCAAACTTGATAATATTATTAGAATGAAGATACCTAAAAATAACTTTCAAGTAACCAATTACACTCACCTCTATAATAATACCGCTACAAAGCTTGCATGTACCTCGGGTCTACGCCTTGCCTAATTTTGCTATTGGCATTTTCAGTGATGCTGCGCGCCGCACAATTGTTTACCTCATTCTAATTAATCTCAAATCGGGTATAAAAGTTCTTTCGCCCACATTTTGCGAACTACTATACAATGTGGTAAGTAGAATACAAATCATGGCGCCGTGTGTGGAGTTGTGGGACAGAGGATTTGAGGAACGGAGTTATAACCTATGAAGAGGATATTGGACACCCAAACTTTTTTTTCTCGAATTGGAAAATTCTTCATCAAAGACGTGGCTTTGCTCCGAGATTAATCCGCCCGAAGTGGTTTGTTGTTATATCCTATGTCTCTTGCTTGCTGCCAGGGACCGTGGGACTAAGACAATATCCTCTATTTTCTCCTTTTGATCTTCAACGCGCCAGTTCTTGCAACGTATCATCATTTATACTAACAACAGTGGAATTTTTGGCTACGTTAACTTCCTCGTCGATAAAACCCGTGGCGAAATTGTCGATAACCTCATTGATGGTCTCCAGCGTTTGGAATACAGAGGTTACGACTCCAGTGGAATTGCTGTTGATGGCGACAGCAAAGATGAGACCCTCATTGTCAAGATTCCTGGTAAGGTCAAGGTTTTGAAAGATGAGGTTGAACGTCAGAAAATCGACCGTAAGCCCGTGTTTGACAACCACGTGGGTATTGCTCACACAAGATGGGCTACTCATGGTCAACCCAGAGTGGAGAACTGTCACCCTCATCGCTCCGATCCAAAGGGAGAATTCGTGGTTGTTCACAATGGTATCATCACCAACTTCCATGCCTTGAAGACGTTGTTGTTATCGAAGGGGTTCAAGTTTGAATCCGAGACCGATACCGAATGTATTGCAAAATTGTACAAGCACATTTACGATACCAACTTGAAAGCGGGTATCTCCGTTGATCTTAGTGAGTTGACCAAGCAAGTGTTGTACGAATTGGAAGGTTCCTATGGTTTATTGGTTAAGTCCACTCACTACCCTGGCGAAGTTTGTGGTACTAGAAAGGGATCGCCATTATTGGTTGGTGTGAAGACGGACAGAAAGTTGAAGGTTGATTTCGTCGATGTGGAATTCCCTGATACTACCGAACAGGCTGTCAACCATAATGCAAACGCTCAAAAAGATTTGGGCCTTTTGCCTGTGGCACAAGGCGACAACTTGAGGACTTCCCAATCGAGAGCTTTCTTGTCAGATGATGGAATCCCCATGCCAGTCGAATTCTTCTTGTCATCTGATCCTGCTTCTGTTATCCAGCACACTAAAAAAGTCTTGTTCTTGGAAGATGATGACATTGCTCATATCTACGACGGAGAACTCCACATCCATAGGGTCAAAAAGTCCGCTGGTGAATCCACCACCAGACAAATCCAAACCTTGGAAAATGGAGCTTAATGAAATCATGAAAGGTCCTTACAAACACTTTATGCAAAAGGAAATCTTCGAGCAACCAGATTCGACCTTTAACACCATGAGAGGTAGAATCGATTTTGAAAACAACAGGATCAATTTGGGTGGTTTAAAATCATACCTCTCCACCATTCGTAGATGCAGAAGAATCATTATGATTGCCTGTGGAACTTCATACCATTCGTGTTTAGCCACGCGAGCGATTTTCGAAGAACTCACCGAAATACCCGTGTCTGTCGAATTGGCTTCTGACTTTTTGGATAGACGTTCTCCCGTGTTTAGAGACGACACTTGTGTGTTCGTTTCTCAATCCGGAGAGACCGCCGACTCAATTTTGGCCTTGCAATACTGCTTGGAGCGTGGAGCCTTGACGGTGGGTATTGTGAACTCTGTTGGTTCCACTTTGTCTAGACTGACTCACTGTGGTGTCCATATCAATGCTGGACCCGAGATTGGTGTGGCCTCAACTAAAGCATACACTTCGCAGTACATTGCTCTTGTGATGTTTGCTTTGTCGTTGTCTAATGACTCCATTTCTAGGCAAGAGCGTCATAAGGAAATTATTCAAGGGTTGCAAAAGATTCCCGAGCAAATCAAGAAGGTATTATTGTTGGAAGACAAGATAAAGAAGTTGTGTGACGAATCTTTGAACGACCAAAAATCGTTGCTTTTGTTGGGTAGAGGATACCAACATGCAACAGCATTAGAAGGAGCGTTAAAGATCAAGGAAATCTCGTACATGCACTCAGAGGGTGTGTTGGCAGGAGAGTTGAAGCACGGTGTGTTGGCATTGGTGGATGACAAGCTTCCTATAATTGCATTTGCAACCCGTGATTCGCTCTTCCCTAAGGTTATGTCTGCTATTGAGCAGGTTACTGCCAGAGATGGTCGTCCTATCGTTGTGTGTAATGAAGGCGACGATGTTGCCGGCAATAAGGCTTATGCCACATTACATGTTCCATTGACTGTGGACTGTTTGCAGGGCTTGTTGAACGTGATTCCTTTGCAATTAATGAGTTACTGGTTGGCTGTCAACCGTGGAATCGATGTTGATTTCCCCCGTAACTTGGCAAAGTCAGTTACCGTCGAGTGATTGTGCGCTTATTTTCTTCCTAGTTGTACGTTATATAGAATCGTTAACATCATAATTATTATTCCATTAACTCAAAGGCTGTAATTAAAACTTACAACTTCCATTAATTCATTGGTTTCCATCATATTTCCATTAAGTATCCACTATAACTTAAACTATCACTATTTACTGATATCCCAAACCTACACTACTTTCTAACAAAGTAGCCAGAGCCTCCAAAATAAGCAGCACTATAGTCGAATATCAGATCGCCTATGTCCAAGTACTTCTTAGAGTAGTACCTGATGTTTTCGCTTTCGATGCTATCGAGGTTTGGTCTGAGTTAGTAATCAGTTCGAAACACAAATAAATGCATTTTTTCTCAAAGATAGTCAATTGATGGCAAAATGTAACTTACGTCAATCCGGTATTCCGCTTCACTCCAGCAAGAAATGCCGACACAAGAACCAAGTCAGCAGTGATATGAATTGCTCTCGTAATCTAAAGTTAGTAAAAACTCGTTGTGTGACCCAAATCAACCTACCATTTGGTTGTTATCTATTACTTGAAGCGGAGTGGTATGTGAGTATGCGGGGTTACCCGGGCGCGCTTAAATTGAGGTGGTTGAGATATAAGGACTTGGACGATACATCATTAAAACAAGGTCATCAAAACGAGGCATTTTGAAAAGTTGAATGGGGCTGGACATGCTCATAACAAACAGCGATGTGAGAGTAATGTATTCGTCGTTATATAGAAAGTAAAGTGGAAGATTGATGATTGGTGGGGATAAAAGTTTTGTTAAAAAGGAGTTTAAAAGCCACAATGGTGTGAAGCTGTATACTTGTAACACTGACACCACAAATTACCTCAAATCTTACGGTAAGACCTTTTCAGTCTGAGAAATCTATTGGTTAGAGAAGGATAATAAGGAGAGAAACCTTCCAAGATAATGCCGAAAACAATACTGTTGGACGGCACAGTATGCTGTTTCAGCTATCAAATTAAGTGTGTTTGCCGCTGGCATATTTTCTGTTGCCTGTTGTTTAGTCTTTATGGCGCTTTGCACTTTCGGTCCTGGTGTACTTTGGTCATTTTGGGCCATTAATTTTGGAGGCAAGATGCATTGCCATGATGACGATTTGTGACTTCTTTTTCTTGCATGGCAACATTGCTGTTTCAGCGCTGTCATGGCCTCTACTTCTCTGCGTAGTCAAAGGTGAGAGTACTCGCTTTATCCAAGGAACTCATACCAGCACTAATTGCGAGTGCGACTTTAAGAACCGAGTATCACCACAAAAAAGCCTCAGCACAGGCTGGAAATTGCAAGCCAGAATAGCAGTGCAGTGACTCTCAAACCATATCCATTCCAATCCCACCGACCATCTGGCCGATATTCATGACTATGGTTCCATCTGGTTTTAGTACTTCCAATGCCGGGTAACCCAGGATTTTGTTCATCTACCAGAGTAAACCCACAGCATACTGATTGCAGGTTTCTATTTCGGCAGTAAATCCCTCTGAATATTCGAACTCAGCATCATGTCTGATACCTACAAGCCTCCGTCTGGGCCAAAAGCTACCCGTACGATGGACGATGGTCGTCAAGCAGATCAGTCTCGAGACCAATCTTCGAGAGGAGGTCATCGAGGAGGAAGAGGTGGTGGACCAGGTCACGCTGGACACAATGGAAGGCCGAGTGGACCCGGCAGATATCCTACTGGACCGGTGGGAAAGCGTTTCCCCGATCGTGACAACTACAGACCATCTGATAGATATAGTACACCACGAGACGACGACCGGTTTTCAGGCAACAAACGTCCATTTCCTGGCGATAATGATCATGTAAATAAAAGAGGAAGAGGTTCTATGAGAGGACGTGGTGGTGGACCTTCAGGGAGGCAACCTCCTCAAAAGGGACGTCGAGATTACGAAAGCTCAGCGAAAGATACCAGTGCTGAACCTGGTGCAAAATCCTTTAATTATTCCAACGATGCATATCACGACGAACGGTATGACAACAGTTATGAGGGCTCTCAGAAATATAGTAAACCATCAGGTCCACGGGCGTTTGATAGAGGCAATCGTGGACGAGGACGTGGTGGTCTGGCTCGCGGAGGAAGGGATAATAATACTAGAGGCGGGCGGTTCGATGCTTCTTCTGGCAGTAGGATTCAGCAATCCGGGGCTGGCTCGACGTTGCCCACTACTCCAAAGGCACAACGTGCTCCAGTTCCCAAACTAGCGTTGTCTCAAATGTACTCGGTCAAGACCCCGACGGCAGAAGTTTACAAAAGAGTTCAGCAGGTGGGTGAAGGAACGTACGGCAAGGTTTATAAAGCACAGAACGTGTTGACAGGGCAGTTTGTGGCACTAAAGAAGTTGAGGTTAGAAGCTGAACGTGAAGGTTTCCCCATCACAGCTATGCGTGAGATCAAGTTATTGCAATCATTTGATCACCCTAATGTGTTGGGACTCTTGGAAATGATGGTAGAACACAACCAAATATTCATGGTGAGTGATTATATGGATCATGATTTGACAGGATTGTTAACACATCCCGATTTGCAACTCAGTGAGAGCCATCGCAAGTTCATCTTCAAACAACTCATGGAAGGAATAAACTATTTGCATTGCCGCAGGATCATTCATAGGGATATCAAGGGGTCTAATATCTTGTTGGATAGTATTGGGCGACTTAAAATTGCCGATTTCGGATTGGCTCGTACAATGAAAACGGTGAAAGACACAGAAAGTCCCGATTATACGAATCGAGTCATAACGATATGGTACCGTCCACCTGAGCTTCTTTTGGGCTCGACAGATTATGGTAGAGAGGTGGATATTTGGGGTGTTGGATGTTTGTTAATTGAGCTCTACATTAAGAGAGCAGCGTTTCAAGGATTTGACGAAATCGGTCAACTCAACAAAATCTACAATATAATGGGTACCCCTACCGTCGAAGATTGGCCCACAATAGAAAACCTTCCTTGGTTTGAAATGTTACGGCCTAGAATCAATCGGTCCAGCAGTTTCAAGGAACTTTTCGGATCTGCAATGTCTGAGCAAAGTTTTGACTTGGCTCAAGATCTTTTAAAATATAACCCTGCAAAGAGGTGGACGGCTCTGGAAGCACTTGAACACCCATATTTCACCACTGAACCGTTACCGGAGCCATTGCATATGTTGAAAGATATCAAGGGAGAATGGCACGAGTTTGAGACCAAGAAGAGAAGACGCCAGGAGCGGAAGAGAGTGCAGGAAGAGGCTAAAGCAGCAGCTCAAAAGGATCAGCTTAGCAAGAGTATAGCTGAGGATTCGGGAGCAGAACAGACGGGAGAAGCAAAAGAACCAACAGAAACAGCTGAACCAGAAACAGGTAAATCAGTGGAAGATGCTGTTTCTGTTACTGTTCTGATGGATCAGCCGGCTTCTCCGGATGAGGGGAAACTCAAGCACGAAGAAGACGACAAAGCAGCAACAACTGCCGAGACAATTGGGTCGGTTGCAGCTTCTACAGGAGATACGCCAAATGCCTGAAGCACGGCGGTAAGAACGAAATTTGCTACGTTTCAGCTTCATGAAAGTAGTATTTTCAAATACATATCTTTACAGGGACAAAGTATCTGCAACATTAATGTACTCTCTGCTATCCTACGCCGTCATTACATTTACAACGCCATAGCCACCCGTCATCGTTCCGTGCATAGTAGCGGCTGACTGCGTGATCGCCTCGGTTATATGCAGTAAGGGCTAAAAATTGGGTTGGTTTCAGTCGGACTATTTCAAATCGCACTCAGGGCGACAGGCGGCCATAACTTAGCATTAATAACAAACGATTAATAATTGTCTCGGGAGATAATTATTCTGTAATATTACTGGTGTATTAGCTGGTGTGCTTACTTTGGTAGCGGAACCAAGTCACCACCGACAATTTACGGCGATAAGACCCAGACAAGAATTGCAAATTTGCGTGAAACAAAATGGGAATTTGCGGATCAAAAGAAACTCTGGAACCAGTTTCTAGTGGTCAATCACAACCAAAAAGACAAGAACAGAAGCAAAGACTTCAAAATCTGGCCGGTGCAGGTACACAGCAAGATAATGGACAAAAATCACAATCATCGAATTCCACTGAGATTTCATCAGAAAAACAAGACAAGGCGGTACAAAAGGCCAAGCCAGCCGCAGGTTCTGTGAGCCTGGAAAAGGAGGTCAAGGTTCTTTTATTAGGATCTGGAGAGAGTGGTAAGTCTACGGTTGTCAAGCAAATGAAAATTCTCCATCAAAATGGATTCTCCAAGGAAGAATTGTTCGAGTACAAGCCGTTCGTGTATAAGAATGTGTTGGACTGTATCAAAAATGTCATCACAGCCATCCAGGAATTGGAACCTAGTCTAATTAGTGGTGCAACAGATAATGGAGAAGTGGCAGAAACCCCTCAAGAATTCTCTGGTAAAGGAATTTTGGACAAGGCTGATATCGACGACATAATGGACTTCGAGTTACCCTTGGATACCGAGGAGACCTTTGATATCGGAATTGCCCAGAAAATAACTAAGCTCTACAGCACTCCTGAGGTGCAACACTTTATTCAATATCAGCAGGGAAACTTCTACCTCATCGATTCGACATCATACTTCCTCTCAGACCTTGACAGAATTGCCCAACCGAACTATATTCCTTCTGTTGATGACGTTTTGAGGACTAGAAAAAAGACATCCGGTATTTTCGATTTCAACTTCAACATGGGCTCGGGCCTCAACATTCACATGTTTGATGTAGGTGGACAAAGATCGGAAAGAAAAAAATGGATACACTGTTTCGACAACGTCACCTTGATAATCTTTTGTGTTGCTTTATCCGAATATGACCAAGTTCTTCTTGAAGAAAACAAACAAAATCGACTCAAGGAGTCTCTTGCTCTTTTTGACTCGGTAGTCAATTCGAGATGGTTTGCTAGGACATCGATTGTTCTCTTTTTGAACAAAATTGATGTCTTTGCAAAAAAGCTTCCATACTCTCCATTGGAGAACCATTTCCCTGACTACAATGGAGGAAATAATATTAACAAAGCAGCAAAATACATTTTGTATCGCTTTAATCAGGTGAACCGATCGGGACTCAACATCTATCCCCATGTTACCCAGGCCACTGACACTTCAAATATCGAATTGGTTTTCGCAGCTGTCAAAGAGACTATTTTGGAAAACTCATTAAGAGACAGTGGAATTTTGTGAAGTTAAATAATAAGTAAAAGTTGAAATGTGCTATTTTATTGTAGCTATTTATGGTACAGTTGTTATACTTCTTGAACAGTTTCCAGAACCGGAGTCTTTTCTTGATTTAACTGTTCGTTTCGCACATAATGAAGATTGGCGCCACCTCTGCATCGTCTACGATTATTTCCCCTGCCTCTAGAGTTCCAGCTTCCACGTTTTGGTCTCTCTCCGGGCTCTGAATGACTCGTTGAACCATCGAACGTCTTAGTAGTCTGTTTGTTGGACCCGGAACCTCTTCGAGCGCCAGAGCCAGTGGCTCGTTCCTTCTTCGCAGCACTTGTCTCTCCGTCGCCATTGGGCACTGAATCTCGCGTTGTATTCGATTTGACTTCTTGTTTCGAAGTTAGACTACTTGCCCGCAGTTTATCATTAGACCTCTCAACTTTACCCTCTCCATTCTGAACCACAACATCTTCACCTTTCTTCTCCTCTGTCCCATCTCTCCTCCGCAGAGTACGAGCTTTGGGTGGCCTACGGGAACCGCTCGGTATATCCCTGGAATTTTTTCGGCCATTAGGTTTCGCAGGGCTATTGTTGCGGGGAGCATTCTTGTCATCTGACTCTGAAGTTATCTTGCCGTTCACATTAGGCTCTCTGAAAGGACCTCTGCCTTTGTACTTGTTAGGCTTCTCCTTTGGCACATACTTCTGGGTGATCTCCTCAAACATGTGTTTAAAATCTGGTCTGTTTTTCAGATTCGTTGAAGTTTGTGTCGTAGGGGCAGTTGCTTTGTTATTTTCTGAGGATGGGTCATCATCCTTTGGAGATGATGGGTTCTTGTTTGCATGGCTCTTTTCTTTCAAAGTAGGCTTTTCTGTGGTTTCTACGGGGTGCTTGATAGCTGAATCGTCAGGGTTTTGCAGCAGTTTTGCTTGGGTCTCTGTCTTTTCGGTACTTTCGGGTTCATTGGCCTCATATCTTGCAAGTTGTTGAACGCTTACGACAGGGCTATTCATTGCCTTCTTCTTCAAGATAGTAGGTTTTGAAACCGCTGGTTTTGGCGAGTTCTTGGCCGAATTTGCAGCCAGGTTCGAGTCACTGTTAGCAGCACTCAAAATTTGCGCCAAGCTTATACCACTCTTTCCATCTCCATACACAGATGTTACAGGCGCTGGTGAGTATTTTGAGTTGGGTTGTTCTGGCGCGGTCGCAGGCGGCCGAGGCGAGTCTTCAGCTTTGCTGTCCCTTCTCAAAATGTTCATGGACTTTCGACGTTCCCTTGGAGGGGCAGGTTCAACTGAGCCCATAGTCTTGATCGTGGTGTGATTAACAGTTATAAGCTTTTTCTGTATTTCGTCCTCCTTCGCTAAAACATCGACAGGCTTCGCGGCACCAAATGGATTGGGTTTGGGTTTCGGTTTGGAGAGTACCGTGTCGAAGCCTGGTTTTGACGTTTCCGCACCGGAGCCGGCTCCGGCGTGAGATCCCAACTTGGGCCCCAAGTTTCGGTGTGGAGCGATGGGCGAGGCTCTGGTCATAGGGCCGGAAGACCCCGTCAGGCGGAACTTTCCAGAGGCCACATCTTGTTCTAACTCGATTAACTGCTGCTGGTGTTCCTGGTTGTACTTGACTGAATGCTGGAAGTCTTGGAAATCTGCCATTTCCACCACTACCCTCCGTCCCTGGCGGTAATAGAGATCGTGCCATTTCAAGGCTTTGGTATAATCCTGGTAAGACTCGAGTTCCACAAACGCGATCTTGCGTACAATTCCGGTCTGTAAGGGGTCTGCTGCAGGGTCCACGAGAATCTTGAACTTGACATACGGCGTATATCTGCTCTGAAAGAGATCTTCCACGAACAGGTTGTTGCACGCGACGGGTAGTTGTGAGAGTTTTATAATGTATGGAGGTCCAGGGTCACCAGGAGCACCCCGGACACCTCTTCCGGAGCCTCCAAACGCCTCGTGATGTGATTGGTGGCGACTCCGTTCAATTGGAACAGAAATAGATGCAAGGTCGATGTCATCATCAGCCCAAGATCCACCGTAAGCTGTGTTAGTATACAAAAAATGTACCAAAATATCGCCACAATGATGTGCTCACAGTATCTGGTGTGTTCAGAGCATCAATGCTTGTTTGAATCACTCCAATGTGACTTAATGCTGTCAAGATGCCGCATGCTGCTTTATTAAAATTGGACATACCTTCATCGGAGATAAACTCCTGTAAAGTCATCTTTTTTGGAGCTACTGTTAGTATATGGTTGTGAGCATCAGATATTTGACGGTTCCGAAATCCTCAAAGTTGATTACATACCCATTGTAATAGGTGTTCTATTCTGGTTGTTCCCCCAGTTCGTGTTTTTGTGACCTGGAAGTATGCAGTCCGTGATTTACTCGATTGAGGTTGCAGTGGGTGCAGGACTTACTGGTTGCAAAGACAGACAGGGTAGAATCAAAAATAGGAACTATTTCATAGACTGTAGTGAATTTATTGATTGCTTACGTAGCAATAACTTTTTATACCGTTACAAATCGATATACTTGTCATAGGACTTTCTCCAGTTGGAGAAGAACCCATGGAAGAACTTGATTCCGTTTCCAATGTCCTTGGCTCCAACAGTGGCACGAATAGAGTGCATGGAGAGTTGGGGAATACCAAGATCAATTGTTCTTGCACCTGTCTGCATTGAAATAAATGGACCAATGGTTCCACCAGAACGAGAATCGTTCCTAATTTGGAAGTATTGGAGCTCATCTCCATTTTTCTTTGCCAATTCTTCCACGAGAGCAAGGCCAATGGAGTCGGTAGCCATGTGGCCATTAGGATCTAATGCGATCACCACACCTTTGTTGGGAACTGGCTTGTGGTGCTCGAGGTAGATGTTGTCGAAATTGGGGTTGACGAGATGGTTAACGTCCGCAGAAAGGATAATGGTGTTGGCATAGGTTACAGAAAGCAGATCGTTGACCGAAGTTTCATCGTCCTGGAAGCCACTAACAACTCTGGAAACTACTGTTTCAAACAAACCACCACGAATACCTTGTCTCGTTCCGGATCCAATCTCTTCATTGTCGAATAATCCCACCACTGAAAAGTTGTCTTCAGGAATATGGCCAGCTTCAGCAGCACCAATGAGCGCATGAATGGCGGCGTATGAGCAAATACGATCGTCTATACGAGGAGCAAAGACAAACTCCGAGTCCAAGCCTCCCTTAGTACCACGCTGAACATCGTACAATTGGAGGTCCCATTGAAGAATATCGGCCACTTCCACCTTGGCTTTCTTAGCAATGTAACGGAGCAATTGCAATGGGTGCTTGCCGTACAAAGGAGCTGACTTTTCAGATTCAGTTGGTTTAGAGGCTCTCTCGGCTCCTCCGTATCCAATGACTGGAACTGCCTGAGTTTCAGTGTTGAATGGACCTTTGGAGGGCTCTCCAAAATGAGGTGCAAGAGATGGAATCTTTGCAATTGGTTGCGGAGTCAGGTCCACCAACTTTTGGGTGACTTCTTTGGTAGAGCCATCGCGAACGAGAAGCCTACCACCAATTCCAAGGTCGCGGTCAAACCAAAGGTTACCCAAAGTGCCAGCGTATGGAGCAACTCCGAGAAGGTCATATCCGTCTACTGGAGTTTTAGACGAGCTGGGTTTCAATGCTGCAGTCAATGAATCAATATGGGACCCAATGGCACCCACACCTTTCGAGGGTTCCCAGTTCTTTCCCACGACGAAAGCTATCAAAGCAGTGCCATTTCTGGTGGTATAATACTTTCCAGGTCCAATATTCCATTGTTCCTTCTCAGAAACATAAGTAAAACCTTTCGCTTCCAAGGCTTCAGAAAAGTGGTTTACAACGTGGTAAATCGTTGGGTTTTCGTAGGTGAACTCGATATAATCGTCTGCTGCTTTACTAAAGAAATCGTCGTCATAATTGGCAGGTTCAACTTTGGCGTTTGCAACCTTTTCGTTAGCTCCAGTAGCCTTTTGCTCCTGAAGTGCCTCATTGAGCCGGTGTTCAAACGACTCGACAAACTTATGGAGTACTTTTTCTAAATCGGACATATTGAACAACAAGTGTGGCGACTCGAGCCCTTTATACCAAGTGGAGCCGTGCGGGTATGCAGTGCGCAGGCTGGACGCTGCCAGATACCGCTGTGCGTTGTGGCCCGCTTAGGTAAGGAAGTGATAGGAATTGTCAGTTAGTTGCCGAAATGGTTGGAGCCGTACAATGAGGGCTTATGCGGCCCGGCCCGAGGTGTCCGGAAACAACTCGAGGTATTTGGCCATTGGTGGAGTGTGTGTGGACCTGTATGAGTAATGAAGGTGGTGAATTGTCAGTCGAGGAAATATGAATAATTGATAGATAAGTAAAAGAAGTAATGTGCCAAGTTTGAGAAGACTATTTGTGTAGAGTCTTTTTAAGACGAGCTAAGGAGGGACTTTCCTTTTCTGTTACTAACACCAGCTTAATTATACTTGATGTTCCAGTAGTGTGCGAACAGCCGAACACAACCTTTCAATTGCACCATCAGTCTCATTAGCTAATTCCATTCCCACTACAACATGCTTCCTTGGTTCATAGATCTAAGTCCTATCTAAATCTGCTGCGATTCTTCTATTTACTTTTTTTGCAACATTTGACAATTTTGCAATTTTGCAATTTGCAACTATGGCTTGGTGGCTGCGAAGGTGGCTGCAACCATTAAAGGAAACACCACACTAACATCGGCGTACACCTTGACCGAATGAGCATCGGCCTTGATCTTTCCCCAGGAAACAGCTTCATCGGGACGAGCTCCAGCATCAGAACCATCAAACTCTTGACCAGTATTGATGTATACGGCGTAATCAGCTCCATTCCGCATAAGACAGGCATTGCAAATATGGTGCTTGATTAAACCACCTCCCAAAATGATCATACCTGCGTGCAGCGCAGCCATAGACATCGAGTTGATCTTTCTTATATCAGCTACTATATCAAGACGCAATTGCTGAGGTGATGCCTTGAATGTGTGGAAGAACAACATGTCACCAATGGATCCGTCGGTAAGAGCAGGACAAAACACGGGAATCTGGTTCTTGTGGGCCCAATAAAGAACCGAGGACTCATCGTTGATCTCTTTTCCTAACCGGTCAATCAACTTTGATGGAGTCCAAACAGCAGCAGAGTCAGCATTCAACCCATTGCTTCCTGCCTCGGCCATCGCAGCCTCTTGCTCCTCAAGACACTTGTCCAAAACTGGCACGATCCATTCCTCAAACTTACAGTAGTTATCGTTGGGAACCAAAAGATTACCAATTCTGTTCATACCCTTGTCTCGAAGTCCTTTTCCAGGTAAACTGAACTCTCCCATATACGTTGGCGCCAATACTTTGATCAAATCCTCCTCAATTCCACCAGCAGAAGCTACAATTGCACTCACCATCTTGTGTTGAACCAAAAATCTCAACGTATCTCTCAAGCCAGAAGAGATCAAGTTGGAAGTATAACCCAAGAAAATAGTAGTTTTTTGGTACCCTTCGTCATCGAACTCTCCAGTTTGTTCGTGTTCTGGCAACTCCAGCTTCTTTTTTCCTCTCCAACTTCTCATCTGGTTGATAATATCACAAGCTTTACTCACGGACGATGCTTGGAAACCCATATTTTTCATCAGCAGTATTAAATCTACCGCAGTCATATTGTAGGCTGAATCTTTGGAATAATCGATACCTTTGACCTCTTCAAAGTCTTCCGGTACCGGATCTGACTGTTTGAGGACCGCATCTGTGGCCACAGCTGGAAATTGAGATGCCATAGCTTAATTTTTCACTGCGATGCGAAATCTGATAAGGAAGTAAGCGCCAAGAGATTAATACGAATTGTGAATTAGCTCGGAAAACGACTGCACGCTAACACATTCTTGTAGCTGACTATCCTTGTGGTCTTTCTTCTGTACACTTAGTCCTTATTATCCGTAATATGTATTGTTGTAGCCTAACCAGTACACTCTAAATAAGTCATACCAGCAAAAACTCACCTGCAAAAGACTCAAATCCCACCAAACTAGTAGCAAACCAGCGCAGAATCTTTGAGCTCCAGCAAAATAACCATTCAAAGCCGTATTCAACAAGCCTACATGCAATGTTGTACACTCAGCAATCATTACTACTCAAGCCTTCACCCGCTCCTTAACTTCAGGATTCCAAGCGTTGATCTTGGGCTTGGCAGTGTTATATGGCACATAAGCCCCTTCACTTCCAGTCAAATTCATCTTGTGAGGTCCCATTGGAAAAGGTTGAACAGTCTTCTCTTTTCCTTGTAACTTGTTGGGAGGAGTGTTGGTTCCATAACCCAACCAGTAATGCCATCCAGGCTCAACTTTAGACATGTCAATTCCCCAGTCAGCATATTCTACCCATCTGGTTCTCATATGAATTTCTTCTGGAGCGTCGGTTTCATAATATTTGTTTCCATAGTCATCTTCGCCTACAAGCCATCCTCTTTTGGTATCGTTGTGAGTCTGTATCTGCCAAGCAGCACGTCTGAGTCCCGAACTGTAAATGTTCTTGATTGTCCGGATGAGAGAAGTGGACATGGTTGCTGACCTAGTTGTAGGTGAGAATAAAATCTCGCTCTCATTGGAGGGAGCCGGGCTACATGCAGTACTCAAAATTCTAAAATTCACATTGTGATGCACGAACTATATAATCATCAACGTTTCATAGCACCTGATTGTTCCAATAATTGATTAACATCGGTCGAATTGACCACTACGCCTCTCTCTGAACACTTGGCCTTTGACTTCAACTCCAGACACAACCCATCAATATCAATTTCGGTGTATTTGGGATGGTTGGTAATTCTCTCCCATATTTCAGAGCACTTTAATCCCTTTTCAGGAGCCGGTACAATTTCCAGCACATCATTCTTACCTGATGTATATGAGTAATCTGATGCTTCAGTTGCTGGAGTTCTGTTCGTAAAATCCTTCAAGTTAGCCTCAGGAGAATACGATACTACCGTATCTCGGGTCGAATCAGTACCACTGATGCTGCTCTTGACAAAATCGTTAAAATTGAAGTCCACATTCACTGAATCTTTCAATGGATCGTAAGCGGATTCTTCAGTTGTAAGGAATGCCAAAGGATCAGTTTCCACCTTTTCAGTTGTACCATTGTTTCTACTGCCCAAATCCTCAGAAAATGCTAAAGATACATCAAAGTTCTTGTCATTCAAAAATGACAATGGATCTGTGTTGTTGTTTGATAAATCAAAGTCAAAGGTACTACGACCATTGAAGAAAGAGTCGTTCACATAATCAGTGTTGTCCTTTGCTGCTGGAGTAGTTTTCGACGCAAACGGAGATGCATAGTTAGCCTTCAAATCCTTAGGAACTGGATCTTGCTTCGTTCCACATGCCTCATTTAGTTTACTGCAGAAAGGATCAATATCTTCTTCAAATTTGTAGAAATCGGGGGTTGGGTTGTAAGCAGTAGGTGGGTTGGATCCTGAAGAAATACTGTTCCCCGAATCGGGCGACACTAGTATATTATCATTGAGCGGCGATGTAGATGAAGACGAGCCACCAATCAAATCTGGAAGTGGAAAATCTTTGTTGTTACTGGCATTATATTTTTCAACATTGGGTGATTGGTTGTAGGTATCATCGGACCAGGGGAAATCGGCCGAAACTGCATTGTTGGAATTAGTGGAGTCACTACTCACGGAGGAGTTAGTTTGTGGACGAGGTACCGAAGGCTTTGTATGGGTAGGTAACTTACTGTTCAAGTCCAGAAGGTCAGTGGTACCACGATACCTGGCCAATTCTTGCTTCAACATATCCACCTGGGCCTTGAGGAAATCAGATTCAGTTGCAACCTTGATATTCTGCTCTTCAAGCAGCAGAACCTTGTCCTCCAAATCTTTCATCTTTCTCTCCTTTCTCTCACGGTACGCTCTCTGAGCGGCACGGTTTTGAGCGGTTCTCTTCGACTTGGGTTCGGTCTCTATCGGTTTTCTACCAGGTTTGGTATGCAACTTCTTGTCCACATGGTCAGATGGAGTGTCGAACTGAGAATAAGCACGCTTAACGTCGGCCATGATAAGTTTCGTAAAAAGGGGGTGAAGGAAGTGAAAAGCAGGCTATTAAAGCGGGGGTTTGAAGGAGCACTGAAATGTGCTAATAACGGGGGGAATGGGTTGCCCTACGACTATTGGGCAAGGAGCTGACAAGTAACTTGTAATTTACCGGTTTTCGTTAAATTTGCCACCGGGAATAAACACAAAAGAGCTAATCTAATGTGAAGTATAAGGGTATCTCAAAAAATGACTTTGACTGATATATATATGACCTCTGTAAATATTACCCGAGGAGATTGTGTGAAAAATACGCACGCGGCGGAAGGAATCCAATTACTTTTATACGTACGTCACCTCCTGGCAGCCTTTCTTTTCCCCCTAAATGCAGGCGCTTAGGCTAATATGGCCCCGCTCACGTGTCATGCACATTTGATGACAAATGAGCGAATTCGCACATTACCCGGCCTGAAGGTGCGTTAACAGCCGCTTCTATAAAGTTCTCCGAGGCCTAGAACAGGTTCATATTTGAAGATAACGAGCCGCGCCCAGCCGCACTCCGTATTTAAGTTCATAATAGCCGTTCGTCATTTCGCAACCATGAGCAAAATCGTAGTGCGTATCTAAACGGATACTCTCAAGACGGGGAAGTAATCCGCGTTGTTTTCAATTGTTGTTTTAACCTGCTTTTTCTCGGCCAACGCTTTTCGCAACTTATGTAACTCCAACGATTGTACCACACATGTTTTGGTCATGTTGTTGTAGTATTCTGTGCAATGAGTACCCAAGCAGTAATTTGTGGAGATTTCCGTTTCGCGACAAAGTTGCTGCAGAATTTGTTTAGCCTCGTTAAAGCGGGCGATCGCACTGGCAATTTGCGACCCCGCTTGCGACGCAATCATGTCTTCGGCAATTGTTGACTTGCGGAGGGCTCTAACGTACTGATCGTAAGTTGGGAGCGCTGGAACACCCACGGAAGACCACGGTTTCATGCGAATGTTATAAAGGAGTTCACGGCTGGTTATCAAGTTTTTGGGACCGGCAATGGCATCTATGAGTTTCAAGCTATGACAAATGGCATACATCATACGGTAAGCATCGGTGATGATGCGCAAGGCTTCGTATTTTCTGATGAGAAATTTTTCAATAAACTCTTGATTGCTCTTCAAACCTGGAAGAATGTTTGTGGTAGCAAATTGGATCTGCGCCTTCAATTGTTGCTTTTTGGGGCCAGCCTTGGCCTTTTTCAACCGCTTCGGCATGGCATCGGAAATTTCGTGAATTTGCAGCCGGATGATCATCAATACTCTGCCCTTCAAATGGTCAACTATCGTCATACTCAAGTAAGTTGCGAACCAGTACATCTGGTTCATCTCGTAAGGCTTGTAGATATCCAGTTCAAATCCTAAAAGGAGCACCTCAAGCATCACATCCAACTTGATAAAGTAGACAAAAGATGTGATTGCAAGCGCTGGACTATCATCCATTAGCCTATCACCTATACGATGAGATTGCCATAGCATCACTTCTAATGGCTCCGAAGATACCTGAATAGTGTCCCATATTAGAATTGATCTTGTATTGAGTTGGCGTTGTCGGCAGCGGTTATTGCTAACGACTGCGAAATTTTGATTGATGCCAGTTTCAATATCACCCAAAAGTGTATCCAAATTTTGCAAGAGTTCTTGCTTGATTGTCTTGACTTGTGTTTCGTCTCCTTGAATATTGTTCCATGAATCGGGACGCAATGCATTGCAGTATAGACAACTCAAATTCTCCATTAATTTTAGAGAAATTGACGTAATGTCTTCTTTGGAACCTAATATGGTTCGATCATCTCGAACCAAAAAGAGCTGGAATAACCCACGAGAGATCACATTAGCGGAGGAGAGTGGCCTGCGGATCTCAAACTCCAAGTAGGTGTTTAGTTGATGAATATTGGTGATGTTAGCCGCTGTGTTCACGAATTGATAAACCTCGTCAAAAAGTGAAAATATGCTGGTGTAACATTCGTCACGACATAGACTTGTAAGTTCTGCCGGTATGCTTTTGTTGTTCAAGTCCAACTGGATGAACTTGGAGAACGCTCCCTTAGGTGGTTCCGTTGTCAATTGTGCAGTTTCTTGATGGAGGTCTTGGGTGCAATGCTTGCCATTTGTTAGAAAATGCAACTTATCTTCTATTTGATCTTTTTCAGTTAGCGACAATCTCAAATATAAAATTTGATGGAGATTAAGCATATCGACTGCCAAAGCGAGAAACTTTTGCATAATACTAGCCTGCTTTTCGTCACTAATGTTAGATTTGATCCACTCCATTGACTTATTGGCTTCTGCCACAACAGTCTCAAATGGAACCGCAGTCAACATGTCCAAGTCCAGAGTTCTCGTGGTCAAATCCTCCTCTTCATACAAGACATTGAGGCCAACTTGAACACAGAACCCAATCCACTTGAGCATCACCAACAAGAAAGAACGGAGTACCTGGTGTACCAACATATATTCTGGAGACAAGTCTTCTGTCCCATGATTAGCATACCCATCTTTCAACCGTGGTTCGATTAAAGTACAATTTGTTAGTGTTCCCAAAGTATCAGCATGCCTTTGGTAGTTCTGAAGAAGGGTCTGAGCATATCGACAACTAAGTGCCGTGACTGGTAATGACGAGTTTTGGAGCCAGCTCATGGTGGTGCGGAGAAACTGGTCCATGATAGCAATGACCTCGGAACCACTTCGTGGAGCAGAAGTATCAAATCTTAAATCGTAGTCTTCGAGTGGGATGAGACCGGTGTCCAAACGACGATTACTAACCTCCACAGCCCTTGTTCCTTCGAGTAAGTTGAAGAGCTTCGACTGCACCACTTGACTGCCCTGGATGCTATCTATACATCGTAGAAACAGTTCTGTGACATTGACATATTTGCCATTCTCGAGATCCAACTTCAGTAAAACTAGGTTAGTATTTCATGCCATAATGAATTAAGAATAAAGTTGATATTCTCTTTTCATTCACGCTCGAAATAGGTCTCGAGGAAGTCTTCCTATTTTTAGGTACCCTACATACCCAGATCTTGTCGCATGAAAGAATCGCCGATTTGGTGAGAAAGAGTATATGAGAAACTGATGCGCAGAGCGTGATAGCGACAGGACTAACACCAATACCACACAACCGGGCGGTTGGTGTAGTGGTTAACATATCTGCCTTCCAAGCAGGTGTCACGGGTTCGATTCCCGTACCGCTCATTTCTTTTTTGTTCCCTCGCTACTCTGCGCGTTCGCATCAAATATTCAGATCAAGTTTGTTTACATCTAGAGTCTTTTTTGATTTTCACGCTGAAATGTCCAATAAAGCGACCCTTAAACAGATCCGACAGATCACCGCGTTCGAGGATATCAGCAATGCCATCTCTCAGGTCTTTCAAGATGCTCAAATGAGTCTTTCGAGTCACCGCAAATTGGTGATTGTATTAAAACACATTTACGAAAGAGCAATTGAGCTTGAATTCGAGGATGGGTTCTTGTTACGGCTCACCAAGATGGTCAATAAGATCCTTCCTTTGAAAAAAGGTGAACAAGTCGGTGACCGCATTGCCAAATTCTGCTCATTATTTGTCTCCACATTATTCAAAGACGAGGAAAAGAACGACGAAAATGAAGAAGAAAATGAAGAAGACAGTCCAGCAAACAGAGTAGCCGAATATCTTTTGCGTCACTTGTTGCGTGGGCTGCAGGCGAAAGACAAAAACGTAAGATACCGTGTTGTTCAATTGATTGCGTACTTGGTGATATTTGTTGGTGAGATTGATATCGAGCTCTTCAAAGCTTTGCGATGGTCTTTGAACCGTAGACTCTACGACAAAGAACCGACAATCCGTATACAAGCTGTTGTTGCTATGTCTCGCTTCCAAGAATTAGTCATTCCAGGCGAAGAACATGTTGAAGGGCATAATATGTCGACCCAGAAGCTCATAGAGGCAATTCAAAATGATGACAGCGCAGAAGTCAGACGCTCAGCGCTTTTGAATTTGCTCAAAACTCCAAAAACTATACCTTATTTGATCGAGCGGGCTCGTGACGTAAACGCCATAAATAGGCGGTTGGTGTACTCTAGAATTGCCAAAGAATTGGGAGACTTTCGAAATATTGACTTCGAGTTACGTGAGGAGCTTTTGAAGTGGGGTTTGAATGATAGAGATGATAACGTAAAGAAAGCTGCCTCGAAAATGGTCATCGATCATTGGTTCACCACTGTCAATTCTGATATCATATCGTTGATCGAGAATTTGAAGGTGTTGGATAGCTCGATGGCAGAAACAGCTATGAAGATCTTTTTCAAATCTCGTGATGAAGATTTGAACTCAATTGACTTGCCCAGCTCCATGTGGAAGGAACTCACCACCGAGACTGCGTTTCTCTTGCGCACATTCTATGACTACTGCAATTCAAATGGCCATATCACCCTAATTGACGACCGCTTTCCTGAGCCTGTTGAGATTGCCGAAACTTTGGAAAAATACTTGAAGCTTCGAATGCGCATGCTCGACGAAAATCGTGAACTTATAGAAAAGTACAAACGATCCGAGAAATCACAGAGACGGATCGCAGCCCAGTTGGATCTCTTGGCGCCAGAAATTGTCGAAGCACAAGAACAAGTCAATGAGGAAAAGAGCAAACGTGCCCAGCAGAAGTTACAGAAATTAACCAAAGATGCATCAGCATTGGAAGAAGAATTGAGAGCAGAAGTGATGAAAGCGAAGGAGTTCGAGACTGATTATAACGAGTTTTCGGATGTGTTTGCTGACTTGGAGTTTGTGATCAAGCAATTACTTCTTATCGCAAAAGATTACGATTTCAGCGATGAAATTGGAAGAAGAAGAATGCTACAGATCGTGCGTAGCTCTTTGGCCGACGACAACTTATCGAGCAAGTTGCTTGAGCTGTCATTGCAGGTTCTTCGTAAGATTTCCATTAGTGAGCGTGACTTTTCATCCATGTGTGCCGAGATCATCAATGACTTGCAAGATTCATATCAGACTTCCATCGAGGACACAATTATAGGCCAGATGGAAAATGACAGCGAGGACTCAGATGAAGAAGGTGCAAATGAAGAAGAATCTAGTCCCGATTCTAATCAAAAGCGCAGAAGAGTCGAGCCTAAACAAGCACCAGATGAGCTCACCATTCAGTGCTTACGGCTTTTGCAGCAGGTTCTCGAGCTTGTACAAGAACCCTTGAGTAGCAATTACGCCTTGGAGTCTCTTATTCAGAGCTTGGTAAAGCCCGCGCTTGACAGATGGGATCACATTCAAATTAGAGCCCTTGGAATGAAGTGTATGGGCTTGTTCTGCCTTTTAGACCAGCAATTGGCGAGTAGTTACCTAGTGGTGATAGGAAAGGCTGCAGCTAATACGCAAGGTGAATTGAGAGTCATTTGCATCAAAGCCATCGTTGACATTCTTTCAGTACATGGATTGAGTGTGGTTGGTAGAGGAAAGGAAGTTGATTCGCTTTCTTTGTCTCGGCTCTTTTCCAAGATCTTACGACTGTACGATGACCATGAAGCACAAGCTGTGGTAGCTGAGGGTTTGTGTAAACTCTTCTTGGCAGACATCCTCAATAATTTTGGAAATGACGAGAAAGAAGACCCTAAACCTGAAGACAATGAAGAGCAAAAGCTCTTGACTGCATTAATATTGTCGTATTTCCATCCTTACAACTCGGACAACCATGCATTGAAGCAAACTTTGGCATTTTGCATTCCGGTTTATGCTTTCAGTCACCCGTCTCATCAATTCAAACTTGCTAAGGTGAGTGGTGATTGTTTTTTCCGTATGTTCCGAGTAGATGGTGGATATACTCGGTTCGACAACTTTACGACAGCCAATGCAGTCATGCAACAAATTGTTCATTGGTGTGATCCAAATAATTTGGTAAATTTGTCAGAGGAGGACATCCTGAAGACCCCATCTCATGTATGGCAAGCAGTGTCTATGCTCCAGGCACTTGAACAAGATACCCCAAGAAGTGTCAAGAAGACCATCATCACTTACTTGAACAAACTCTACATAACAGAGAAGTTGGGATCTACGGTGCTTAGAGCACTTCAAACCAGTCTCAACGATACAAAGGCGTACTTTGAGACATGCCAAAACGAGCCGGAATTTACCATGGATGCATCCACGGAGAAGATGTGGGCCAAGTTTGAAGCAAATGTTCAGGCAATGATAACTAAAGCCGACGAAGAGGAAGAAACCAGTATGAAATTCCAGAGTTCTAGGACAGGAAGTATTAGCGAGTCGGCTGCCAGTCAAACCACTAGCCGTCGCGGAAGCCAAGCGCCGAGTGCCGTCAGTAGCCGAAGCGCTAGCAGGAATGCCAGTAGAGCTGCCAGTAGAAATTCTAGCAGGAATACTAGCAGAAGACCTAGTATGGCTGATGAGGAGGATAACGTTTTTGGTGGATCGAACAAAGACGAAGAACTTGCAGAAATCGATAAGATGTTAGAACAAGAAGAACTGGTGGATTACGATATCTGATACAAAATCGGCTCATCATCTCGTATAGGCTTCCTATTGATGTTGCAACCGCTCTGCATAAAATACTGGAGATCGTCTCGTATTCCCTAAACGAGTGTGTCGTACTGCATATTTATACGACAGGAACGAGGGCAGCTGAAAATAAAAACACCCGACCACGCAGAAGAAACACAAAAGACTATCGTTAAAATCATGACTTCTGAATTTAAACTCGCCGAAAAAGACCATGAAAGAGATTCCCAGTTTGCTAAGGCTCTTCATGGTGAATCCTACAAGCAAACTGGTTTGAGAGCTCTTCTTTCTAAGGCTAAGGACGCGTCATCGGTGGCCACTAACGGTTATTTCAAGCACTGGGACGGTGGTGTTTCCAAGGAAGACGAGGACAAACGTCTCGGAGACTACTCCCAGTTGACTGCACACTACTACAACTTGGTGACAGATTTCTACGAGCATGGATGGGGCTCTTCATTCCATTTTTCACGTTATTATAAAGGTGAAGCTTTCAGACAAGCTACTGCTCGTCACGAGCATTTCTTGGCTTTGAAGATGCAGCTCAACGAGAACATGAGAGTGTTGGATGTTGGATGTGGTGTTGGTGGACCGGGTAGAGAAATTTGCCGTTTTACCGACTGTACCATTGTTGGATTGAACAACAACGACTACCAAATTGAGCGTGCTAACCATTACGCCCAAAAGTACAAGTTGGATCACAAATTGTCGTATGTCAAGGGTGACTTCATGCAAATGGACTTTGAGCCCGAACTGTTCGACGCCGTTTATGCTATTGAAGCCACTGTGCATGCTCCAGTGTTGGAAGGTGTCTACTCTGAAATCTACAAGGTTTTGAAGCCTGGTGGTGTGTTTGGTGTCTACGAATGGGTTATGACCGACAAGTACGACGAGACCAATGAGGAACACCGTAAGATTGCCTATGGTATTGAAGTGGGAGATGGAATTCCAAAGATGTACAAGCGTGAGGTTGCCGAACAAGCTTTGAAAAACGTGGGTTTCGAGGTTGAATACCAAAAGGACTTGGCTGACAAGGACGACGAAATTCCTTGGTACTACCCATTGTCAGGTGAGTGGAAATATGTCCAAACTTTGGGCGACTACTTTACTGTTTTCAGAACCTCTAAGATTGGTCGTACCGTCACTACAGGTTTGGTGGGTATGTTGGAGACTGTTGGCTTTGCACCAAAGGGCTCAAAGAATGTTACCTATGCATTGGAGGATGCAGCTGTCAACTTGGTTGAAGGCGGACGCCAAAAGTTATTTACCCCTATGATGTTGTACGTTTGCAGGAAGCCTGAGAATGCTTCTCATTAATTTGTGTCTATAGACGAGATATTAATTTAAATTCCAGTTGGTGTGTTGAGGCAGGGAACGTGTAGCAAGGTTAGTGCACCTTTCCGGAATTCATGGGTGTGAACATCGATGTGGAAGAAACATAAACTTTTAAATTCATAGAGGCAAGTTACTGGTGCCGAATGTTAAAGTAATTCGTTTTAATGATTTCGCAACCAAACTCAAAACTAGTAGATAATCCATTTTTTTAGTTAAATTTTGAAAGGTCAAGTGAAATCACTTTCAGAACACTCTTTCCCTTCAAATTGACTTCCGGAAATTCACAAGAATAACCTAAAAACTTCTCTCCCAATTGTGGCTTTATTTCTCTACTCAGTCCGAACGGGCAACCCAAGTGTCCCGATTTCAGAGGTGCGCAACCAAAGCCATTATCACCGATTTTAATTGCAATTTCTTCAAATCTGACCATGCCCTTGACGAACCCAAACCTTGAAGGATACACAATTGTGCGCCAATTATGGATAGAATACTACAACAAACACGAACGTACATTTATAGCCCGTAAAAGGTGCTCTGGATGCTACAATGACAACAAGTTTGTTATCTGGGCAGTGTCAGTTGCAGCCCAGTCGATAGTTGATGGTGCAAGAATTTACAAGGAATTTTTGCCATTGGTTGGACCAGCTATCGATATCTTCCAGAAGTATAGAAACCCACATTTGAAAGGTTATTCTGCTGCAGAAAATAATGGAAATGATAAAGATATCTACTATGATGATGATGCCCAAGTTGCCAGTGCTATGTTAACGGCATACGAAGTCACCGGCGAAAAAAGGTTTTTGGACCAGGGAAGAGAATTGGTGAGGTTTTTGATGGGAGGATGGAACGATAACCCCAATGCTCAAACCAAAGGTGGAGTGAAATGGCATATTTCAAATGCTTATTTAAATGCATGTACTACGGCCGAAGTCGCCAAGGCGTGCCTTCAATTGTCAAAATTTGTGCCTAATGAAAGCAAGGTTTACATTGACTTTGCCGCAAAATGTTTAGATTGGCAAATTAAAGTGCTCCAAGATCCTGGCGACAAGTTGATCAAAGATGGTGTTCAAGATACCCTGAAAGAACCCAACGATACAAAATGGACCTATAATTTGGGTACCACGCTCTCGGTGGCTTCACATTTGTATCATATTACAAAGGACCAATCTTACAAAAAGATAGCTGATGAATTGGCCGATGCTGGAATTAACAGAAACGTATTTTTCTACGACAGAGACTTCAGCGATGACAAGCGTTACTGGAGAGATTCATCTTACTTTGTTCAACTTCTAATCGAAGGATTAGCCGACTATATGCTTTATGTTGGACCCGATGCTCCTGGAGATCTTCCCCAGAGAATCGAAGAAGAGATCAGAAGACACTTGCTTATGTTTTACAAGTACCTGAAAGATCCTAAAGACGGGATGTACATTCAAAGTTTTGAACCTCATCACACTTATAGAGAAGTGTATGACTCGGAGTACAAGAGGGAATTCGGAGAACGGAAGGGATGGGGATTGAAGGATGAAGACAAAGATGGTGACCAACCTCAAAAGTGTCTTATGGGATATGGTGCAGCAGCAAGGGTTTTCTTTCAAGGTGCTAGAGTCGTGCCTCAAATTAACCAGTAAACTCTTGTATGCTCTTTATATGCTATATATTATACATTAAACCTTCAACTTGGGCAAATCAAATGCTTTACTACCAGGTAACGAGAAGAGAGGACGTTCAACAACGACAATGCTCTCGGCCCCGAATGAATCTGCAGCAAGTATAGGACGATATTTACTGGTGAGCCAGAAAGGTCTGGCTGAGGCATCGATCTCTTCACCCTCCACCATTATTTCATGTCTTAATCTATCGACTTGACTTTGCTTCAGCTATCAATGGTATCGCCATTCTCTTCAATAGCAAGACCATCACGAGCTCTTTTCTTTCCAGCAACTACATTGTTGTTGGACTTTGTAACGGGAATATTTTGCAGAAGGTCGAAGAAGCAAAGCCAAGTGGATCCATATATCCATACTCGATCTGAATCATTTTCGGCAAACATTCCCTCTGGTTTATCTTCCAATTTGACAAACGGCTTGGGCATGAATTCAGAGTTACGTTTAGACCAAGCACTTAAAGTAGACTCTGAACCATTGACTTCAAATTCGAGAAGCTTGTTATCTTGCGTGAGTATGAGCACGGTGTTCTTGTTGGAGATGGTGATAAGATGAGGATATGGGGTTATTCTCGTCATCAACGAAGCTTTACCCTTGAATGGTATCATTTCAATAATCCCATCAAAGCCAGCAATTACCACAAAGTCTTTACCAACTGTCATGCTCTTTACTCTTGAGATTTTTTCTGTTTCGAGTTCTTCAATGAGAGAGATTTCCGATTCACCTACATTGAACCTGTAGATCTCATTATCGCATGTGAGGACAACAAGATCAGTATTTTTGAGTGCTACCGATTTTGCACCCGAAATGATCGAGTCAAAGTCAGAATCACGAATTTTTGTTACGGTCAATTTAATTCCTTCAGATTTTAAACGGAACAACTTGACTGCAGTGGATGTTGCCACAGCCATTAAAGAAACCTCCTCGTTTACGGAAACATCAGTAATATTAGAGTCGTCAGCCATGGTAATTTTCGAAACCAATTTGTGAGAACCATCAATGGTTCTCCATGCTTTGACGCTCTGGTCCTGCCACATGAATATCAAATTTTTGGGGTGAATGCAAACGTTACGCAGTTGTTGGCTAATAACGATTTTTTTATATGGACCATCTTGAAACTGGGAAACAGATTGAATGACTACCGATCGCTCGACACCTCCACTTACTAGAAGACCAGAACCGTGAAGGCTCTCGTGAATGGCAAGAGTACGGATATCGTTTGAATGGAGGAGTCTGTTGAAGCTGTGAATCCATTTAGAGGATCTCTTGCCGTTTGACGAGAGTAATGAAAATTGGTGAATTTTTCGATCAACTCCAGCGCTGAAAACCTTTTCACCATTGTAGTCAGCACAAAGAGTCAACACATCTGCATCGTGAGAGGTGAAGGTTTGCACGAGCGAAAAGGAAGAAACGTCCCAAAACTTGACCAGTCCTGTAGAATCACCACTTACAATGAGTCCACGCTGAGGCAATGTAATGATGGACCATACCAAAGTACTTTCAGTCTTTGATTTATCTACCCTCATTGTTGAAAGAATTCTTCCTCGAGTTTCGCTTGAGGCTGACCAGCATCTGATTCGGGCATCGGCGCAACCTCCAACTATCATTGATGACTTGTACCACTTTACCGTGAGCACTCTCAGGTCTTGTCTCTGACAGATGAGTTCATGTTCAATTGATCCTGGTCCCCCAGATACGTCAACTATCACCACAGACCCGTCGTCACATCCCACCGCAAGCTTGGTCCCACACTCACTGACGTCGATAGACCATATTATGCCAGCATTGCAATCATAATTAATTCGCGGGAGTCCAGTAGTAAGGTCCCATTCTGTGATGTATGTAGAACCACCAATAGAGAATAAACGGGGCTCTTCAGCTCCTGCCCAAACAATGCCCTCTATGGATCTACCACGGGATCCGGCAAGTTTGGTTTCAAACACCCAATTGTATCGCGGATTCCATATTTCTATATCTCCATTACTCCTCCCTATGGCGAGTCTAAGGGATGGATCGCTGACTTTTTCTGGGTCAGACACATGCGAAAATGCAGTAGCTGTTACAGTATGCGGAGTATAATCCACAAATCGACATCGATGAACGTCCATTGTTTCTAAATCATATACGTAACCAGATGCTCATCTCAAAATTTTCGAACCTTGGTGATGAGTTCAACACCCCTACACCCACACTAGACGAACCCCACAAAACTGTTGATCAAGTTTAAAAGACGAATAAACCACTTGTTCTCATCGGTGTTCAACACCATATTTATGACAAGCTCCTTGTGCTTATTGTTGGGTTTTTTTATGAGCGTCTGCTTCACAATGACATTACGCTTGATGCACCACACTAAGAAGAGCAAAGTCAAGCAGCTGATAGAAAAGTTCTTAGCAATACGCAAAAGTACCAGGCCCACTGCCCGCAAGGTTTTTAACGCTCGCTTGCGTGCCTCCGGAAGTTGATCACTGCTTTCGGACAGCTCGCTGCGATGACGTTTGTAGTTGACGATATCACGCGAGAGCTTGTTTATCATCAAGTTCACTTCTCCCTGCCATGACTTGAACTCGTCTAAAGATGATGCACCTGCACCGGCATTCCCTTGTTGCGCAGAGTAAACTGAATCTCCTGGCCCGGCATTTTTCACCAGATGTGTACCGCCATGCAGTTGCTGAAGCCTTTGCAGTTGAACGTACTCGTTTATCGAGAGCATGGTATTGCGTCGAGAATGGGAGTATATCTTTTGAAGGTTGTTTCGGTATTGTGTGCCGCTCCCAGAATAGTTACTAGGCGGCGGTAATGGAGTGGTGGTTGAATAGCGATCGGTGTGGGAGAACAGCGGAGAATGCGAAGGCAATGGTAACGGCATCGGAGGCGAGTCGCTATCTGGAGTATACTGCAAGTCCTTAATTTGGTCCCAGAGATATTCAAGTTCGCTGAGAAGTTCTCTTGCTTCCAAAGTACCACTGGCATATATTCTCATGGTCTCAATCAAGTAGGAAATGTACCGTCTCTTTGCTTCAGTACGGGAGACACCTTCTTCTCGTTTCCACGCGTCCCACTTCTTCTTTGCTCCTTCATCTTCAAGGGTAAATCCAACGGGCCTCGGCATAACACCATCAACATTGCCCTCGGTTGCTTGCTTGTACAACCCATAAAGCTTTATTCTACTGTCTGCTGGTGGGCGAGGAAGCGAACCATAATTGGAGCGGGAGGAAAGAGCTCGAATGGTACTTATGGCCTTCACAAAGACACGATCTGGGTTAGTTTAAAATTCAATTTTGTGGGTACCAGATCTGGGCCGAGGAACACTTACCAATAGAGTCAGACATGCGATTTGTGGCTAAGAAAGGATGAGTTTCTTGGTCCAGGTAGGAACCCAAGCAGTATTAAATACGTTTTACGTGTCCTTGAAGCTAGAGGCACCAAACCTTCGTCTAAAATATAAGAATGAATCGCCCCTGTGAAGATCAACAACAGAGAGCGCACCGCCAGTGCACCAATTGTGGGGTTGAGATTTGAGAATACATTACAAAAGCTGGTTACAAAATTTACAAATGTATGCGGATGAAATGGACCATCATATCCACAAAGGATATCACGGTGAGTAGACCGCCGTGGTGAATCTAGTTTGCACCAAAATAGGAACCAAAAACAGAAAAATTTGGCACCAGAGTGTTGGCAAACATGCACCTACAAAGTGCTCCATGTATGATATTGATTAAAACCCTATTAGACACTCATCTGTACATAATCTAGTTCTCTGGAACGTCAATCGAACCATCATTGATGGCGTCGATAATGTCATGAGGGTTCTTACCTTCGACACGGCATCCAACAGATTGAGCAGTACCCAAGATTTCCTTGGAAACGGAAGCTAAGTTCTTACCGAAAGACTTGTCTTTCATCTGTCTGGCAATTTCAAAGATTTGTTCCAATGGAATGTTACCAGAGTGCTTCACGTTCTTCTCCTTCTTTCTGTCTCTAACTGGCTCCTTCAAGGCGGTGATCACCAAAGAAGATGCAGATGGGACAACAGAAGCAGTAGCTTGTCTGTTTTGGATTCTCAATTGCACAGTAACCTTAATACCCTTGAAATCCTTGGTGGCCTTGGCGATATCTTCACCGACCTTCTTAGGAGACAAACCCAAAGGTCCGATCTTAGGAGCAAGTGCAGAAGAAGCACCTACTTCACCTCCTACGGCTCTCAAGTAGATGAACTTCACCTCAGATGGGTCGAATTTTGGTGGCATATTTGGTAATAATGAGAATCTGGCTTGAAATTTTTTTCGCAGGTGAGAAATTGAAAATCAGCCTGCACATAATGCACGTGATAGGGTTGAGCCCTGAACACACCTTTAATCGTTATCAGAGGGTGCCTCCTGGTATATCATCACCAATTCTGGAATCTTCGTATAATTGGTTATCGTCATCTTCAGAGGTGGCCAATTGACGTAGCATAATTGCCCTGGATGTTTTCCCAATTCTTGTAATTCTTTGAACACAACCACTGGTTTCTCTTGCAATTTGAGAATTCGTTCCTTGTCACCGTAGCAAATAACTAGAACATATTTCAGCCAATCGTCACGAGGGATATGGTGACGCTTCATAGCATGTTGTAGGACTTTGTAGCACAGATCATCAGACGATGCTCGGAGCTGTTTGAGGGGTTCATTAGATGTAGTTCCTAGCTGTGAAGTACTTGGTTGCGATGGCTTGAGAGTATTTAAAGTAGAGGTTGTGGTGGTGGAATTGGCTGATTTGGTCTGTATGAGTCGAGGTCGACTACTGGTCTTTTCTGGTTGGGAAAGTCGAGACCCTGGACCAGATTCCGGCACTGTTTGCAGTACTATCTTTCCAGTTCCAAGTGATAAGATGGAGCCAGAAAGAAAACCTATTGGACATTGTTGGACTGGGTAACGACGAGTTTCGGGTCGAAGGCATTGGTATCGACCGTGGTGGTGCTGTTACTTCGAGAAACGCTTGGGGGGAATAGACGCTGTCATTGCTGGTGAAACTTCCAGAGACGAGGTTGTAGCGGCGCTCAGCACCGAATTTGTAGGCAGGTAAAGGGTTGTAGGACCAGGATCCAAGGTTGGTGTTGGAAGTGGCTTTGTTTCCTTCATATATTTTATTACTGGAACCAAGTCTGCCTTGAGTTTGTTGAAGTTTTCATTGAGTCGTTTCATATCGAGTTGATGGGTGGGACTAATTGGTGAAGGGGCAGGGGCCGGTTGGCTTTGTTTGACCGAGATGGCGAGTTGTTTGAACATGTCACGCATGATCTTGGTTGATAAGGTGAGAGATTCGGCTCCAATGGCATTATTGTTAATTGGATAAGTGGTGCCGTCGATACCCGTTTCGACTATGAGTTCAGAAATTGCCCGTTTAATCGCTAATCTCGACCCGATCTTGGTTATTCCAACTTCTTTTAAATGGTCTGTGGTAAGATACGGAAGGAGAGACCCATCGATGTTGTGATCTAAAAATAACTTGCCAGAGTCTGGTTCGACTCCATCGATGAAATGCGACACTTGGGCTGGATCCCAAGTTAGATACGACTCAGACATGTGGTATTCAGCAGATCATAAACTATAATTGGGTCGCTGCGTTGTAGCAAAGTTTGGCGAATTAATGATGAAGTTGATGGCAATCTAATGAAGTCTGTATCGCTTTGCCCATTTCAACATGAATCAGCTACCTGCAGGAATAATGCAGCACACCGAGCGGGTCCAGAATTGGGGCTATGGGGGGGTGGGGTCAATGTTATGAATTGGCTTTATGAGACTGTTGCGAGTTCCAAATCGCTTATTTTTACTCTTTTGTAACCAGTCATGTCACCTTTACGAACGAAAGTGGTGTTTCATCTGCTTTGAATCGGAATGTTATAGTCGCCGCATTCGCAACTAGTCTCAAAACGGCAACGCTTGATACTAATTGTGGACAGGCATTGTGCAGGAAAATGCGTTCGGTGCCGGAACACGCTCGATAGGAAACGAGCTGCGATCTCCCTGATTACAATGGCTGTACAGGGAATTCTCCATTCGTACGTGCCAGACTTGGTGGCTTTCGAGTTCACAGACCAGAAAACTCCTCCTGCACCAAACGTGCTTGTATTTATAGGTGGTCTTAGTGATGGCCTTTTAACGGTTCCATATTTGCAACAGTTGGCCAATGGTCTAGAAACTGTAAATAGCACCTTGGGAAACTGGTGTTTGGTCCAGACATTAATATCATCTTCGTATAATGGATGGACATCGGGATCGCTCGAGCGAGACGTCAAAGAATTAAAAAAATTGGTGCAATATTTGAGGTCCGAAGCAGGAGGCAGTCGTCGAAAAATTGTACTTATGGGCCATCTGACAGGCTGTCAGGATACAATGGAGTACTTGACCAAGATATGTAGCCATGAAGAGGTGTCAGAAGACTCAATTCTTGACGGGGCCATTTTGCAAGCTCCAGTTTCTGACCGCGAAGCGATGGAAATGTTTAAAGGAACACAGGTAACTCAAGAACTAATTGAGGAGTGTAAGCGGGATTTCCTAGAAAAGGGACGCCAAAACGAAATGCTTCCACCAAAATTTTCGTTTTTCGATACACAATTGACTGCATATCGTTTCCACTCTCTTGCTGCTCCTGGAGGTGATGATGACTACTTTTCGTCGGACCTCACCTATGAAGACCATAGAAAAACATTTGGCATTGTAAACACACCTCTTTTGGTCCTTTATGGGGCTAAAGATGAATGTGTTCCAAAGTCGGTGGATAGAGAGGCCTTAGTCAAACTCTGGGAAGCATCGACAAACCCATACTATTGGAGCCCTTTGAGTAAGGTTCTTCAAGGTGCTACGCACAACGTTGGACCAGGATCAGATCCAGGAGCTGTTGATGATCTTGTGGCCACCGTCACAAAGTTTGTGGAATCACTTCATTAGACTATACAGAAGCAGTGCGGGAATAGCTCTGCACGTCATTAAATAGATCTTTACAATATTTTTCGAAGCTAACATCGTCCGACAAAACATCGTAGTATTGCGTAAAGGTATTAGTGGTCTCTGATTTGCCAATGAAACTCTTTAAACCGTCCCAGAAACCTCTTTTTTGCTCAAATGTTGCACCCATTTCTCTATTGTAGCGAGGACTTAATCTCGCTGTGAAAAACCGTGCTTGTGAATGATCTGTTTGTGTCACTATTATAGATGGAGTAAAGCTGCGTCCTTGCTTGAAGACATCAGTCTGCAAAAACTGTAGAGGGCCTGCTATTGTGCTGCTCCTATTGTATACCAAATCTTCATTTTGCGACAGATGTAACTTTAACAGTTTATGATGGTCGTCGGCAATATGGTTGTAAATAATCACATTAAATCCACAATCTAAGACGTAGAAACCGCTGCCATTTTGAGTAAGGGTTTCTATTTTTAATGGCACTTTCTCAAAGGTATCGCTTGTTTCGAAATAAAGAACTGGGTCGATCATGATGCTGGACTGGATACAACTGGACCTCATGAATACCAGGTAGTGGAAAGCCGTTTCGTCTGGTGAGGAGTTGAAGATATTAATAAGGCAAGGATTCCTGCTGAGCGAGAATATAAGCTGAGGAATCATTTTGAACTTTTTGTGTAAAAGTTCTTGTGTCTGCAAAGAAAGATAGGGATTGACAAGCGTCTCGCCAGCGTTAGCAAGCAATCCCCCAACAGAATATAAGAGTTTGACAACAGAACCATGAATGTCATTGGTAATATTTGCAAAGTTTTCGAACCCTAATGAACTATCGATCTTATCAAGCAAAAGTCTTGTGAATAAAACCGTCCAAGCGTATGGGTCGAAACTGTCTCTCCATTCCTTTTCCATGACAATTTTGCTTTTGGAGTTAACAAGTTGGTATCCTTTGCTGGTTTTTGTTTGGTGAGGTATCAAACTAGCAAGGGTTGTTGGTTTTCTAACAGTGGTAACTCGTATTTTCCAACTCTTTAAGTCCCAATATTTCAAACGGAATTGAATAAAAACTTCCGTGACTCCTTGCGCAGACAACATTGTGGACGAAGAAGCGGTAGTAGGCTCGAAAAATAGAGCCATGGTGTCTAATTCTTTTAGTGCATTGAAACTCCAGCGATTGGTGAAATTTCGTTTCTTCGTTGCGGAGTCAAACTCTCCCATAGTATCTGCTATCTTTTCATGGTGAGCCCAATTTAATTTATCAGATTGATAAGATGAAGGCAAGCTATGACCATTACCCACGAGCTTAGACACCTTTGAGTTTCCTGACGTGAGCACCGTTAGCTCACATTTGTACTTGGTAGATGCTCCAATAGACTTCATGAGGGCATCTTCAAAGTTTCTATTTGCAAATGAGCTGGTCAAATGTATAGTCCCATTAGTTTCAGTTACGAGAGGTTTCATTTCGTATACTCCAGCCTGATCTAACGAACCAAAAAATAGTTCAAAGGACCACCGAGGAGCATTGGGAGCAACAGGGTATGCAGTGGCTTTGGATGAAACATTGTATGCGATTGAGCTAGCAGCTGAAGGTGTGAGACCACAGGCCATCAAAGCCAAAGTGTGATAGTATTTCAGAGCGCTGACAAAATATGGAGCTTGCAACTTGGCAATATCATTATGAGATCGCATATGCTCATTACGTTTAGTGCAATCCATTACCATTCCGGGATTTAGCGTACACGGCCCACTGGAGAAGAAGAATGTCGTACCAACCATGTTGTTGAACTCGAAACGAGATAAAATGGCGGTAAGAACGTATAACGCCAAACCTGAATTTCTTGGAGGTTTATGGCTGTTAGTATACGTCGGTTGAAGAGAACGGATATATTCCACAAATGAGTTTCTCGTCGTTTCGTTCACTTCCACAGCACCAGAAGAAGGCCTCCTGTTGTTTTTTTTCGGACTTTTATCAAGTGGGACGTCCAAATTCAAAAGCTCTGATACTTTACTGAATTTGTCGGGACGAAAATAGTCCGTAGGTTTTATTGTTTGGTCCAGCTCATCTTCACGAGAAGATATAGAGCTTTCAGTTACAGCAAGAGTTAGCTCTGACTCTAGATTGTGAAAAGTAACTTTGCTATCAAATGAGATCAACCCAATATGAGCTCCATCTGGTATAGCAGCGAGCGAAGAAATGATTGCCAGTTTTAATCTCTCGAAAGATTTGTCACTGTCATTATCTCCATCCTTGTACTCGTATGAATCAACAACAAAATAGTAGACCAATGGTCCTTCAGAAGGCATTCCTATATCTGACGGAAGGTGATATTCTACAGTATCCACTTCCAGGTCAAGAAATCCTGGCAGGTTTCTGCGATCCTCATCTAACTTAAACGACTCGAAGAAGTACGACATCTTTCCACAGAAGGGACACTTCCACATATTATTAGCTCTGTCCAAGAGAATATGGGGATTTATGATTGCAGTGCATGTTTCACATTGAATCGGCTGGTCAGAAACGAAATTTTTTTTGCACTTTTCAATTACTGGTGTATACAAACACCCTACCGGAGTGACTATCTGAGATTCCTGGAGCCGAGTCGAAGGAAAAACATTCCAATTGAATCGTACTTCTGACATACCAGGTTTAACAGCCAAATTCTGAAGCCTTCATTTTTCGCATCCTCTTATCAATTACACCCATGCACCCGCGGAAATCACCGAGGCCATGGATGGCACTAAGTAAACGCATTAGAAGAAGAGGAGGAAAAAAGTTCAGTAGTGACAATTGGAAACCAGTATGATGATCTATGGTAGTATTTGTTGATTAGAAGCCTATAGTCCACTGAACCCTAGAAGTATAGAAGTTATCCGATATAGTGTAACGGCTAGCACGGTTCGCTTTCACCGAGCAGACCCGGGTTCGACTCCCGGTATCGGAATTTTTTTATCGATTTAGTTTCGCGATGGCTGCGATGAGGTTGTCTTTTTTGACTTTGGTAATTGAATAATGGCGACCAGACAGTCCAAAACGGCCAAAAGAAACAAGACACAGAACCAGAAGCGTAATGTGGAGCTGGAGGTATTTACAGACTCTGCTGCACGCAATCTTCTTGAAAACCAACCGAAACTAACTCCCAAATCGAAAGTCAAAAAGCCATCGAAACTCGCTGTGAAAAAACAGCAAGCCAAGGTAAGATTGTATGGCGCCAAGAATGGAAGAGAATACAAAGAATCCGAGCTTCAAATACCCGTTTTGAACAAAGCGGTGGTTCCTGGGGTAAAGGCTAAGAAGGGTAAAAAAGGAAAGGTTTTCGTGGATGACAATGATAATCTTACGATGGAAAGACTTGTCAAGTCAATTAATGATAAATATGATAAGGTGAACGAAAGCAAGTTGGAGAAGAGTCGTCGTTTAGAAGAGATCAGAGAGGTCAAACGTCGGGAAATGGAGAAGAAAGAAGAACAAAAGAAAAATAAACTTGACGACAAGAAGAAGGAACTCAAGAATAAAGCATCTGTGGCGCGAGCCAACAGAAGGAAGAATGCCAAGGAGGCAGCCAAGGAGGCTGAAAGTGACGAGCCTAGAAAGAAGAAGGTATCTTTTGCATAAATCCATTTCATGGTTTATTTACAAGTAATACTTCATGGTTTACTTACAAGTAATCTATGTACATTTAGAATGCAATTCGTCTGCGACGTACTGCCTCTCTACGCTTTTTGTTGTAGTACCATCCATAGGCAATTCCAGCTGCCGAGCCTCCCAAGTGAGCAGCGTAATCATGTACTCCCCATCTGAAAACGATACCTGCTGCATTATAGGCAATGGTTCCCAAAAACAAAAACCAGGCACCACCAGGTACGGGAATGAAGAAGAAGGCAAGTGGTGCTTTCGGAAGAAGATATGAGAAGGCACCAACAACACTAAAGATCGCACCAGAAGCACCCAAAGAAGCAGTCAGCAACGAGGATCTAGCCAAGACTGGAATCAAGATTGAGAAAAAGGATGAAATCACCGCCGAATTAAGGTACAAACTGGTAAAGTTTTCCACTCCAATCATCGATACCAAAGTGCTACCAAACGACTGCAACACAAACATATTGATAAGTATATGGCTGAAGCTTTGATGTGAGAAAGCCGACCCAACCATGGCCCAATTGGACACATTATCTTTCACCAAAAGTCCATACCTAGTCAAGTACCTCACCATCTGAGGCAGTTTCCACATCAAGAAAACAGCACCATTCAATGCTATAATGGTGTATATAAGAGCTTGTGGGTTTCTCTTGTATAATTTTAATGGGGTGTACTGATACAAGTAAGGCATTGCAAAGGTGGTTATTCCACAAAATGCCAAGGTAAAGAGTAATGGTTTTTTCAAGGCTTGGGCTCTAGTTCTGCCATAGTGTCGGTTGTAGTTCTTCCAGGTGCTAGAACGTTTTGTTTGGTTGACACTATTGATCACTGTTTTTTTGAGCTCATAATAGCGCCACCGAGGACCAAACCCAGCTTCTAGAATCGATAAATTTGACAGGATGAATCGACTCTTAGCAGCCCCGAGTCTAAGTCTGGATTGGAGCTTCATGGACAACAAGCTCTGATTCGAAAAGAACAAATTTCGTCCATTATTGGCCACATTAAACCCCACAAACCTCAACATCACTTGGAATTGGAACAAATAATTTTGACTGCGAAACCTTGTGAGCCTACCTTATATACAAACCAATTAGTTTATTAATGCTATTACATCTCTTCGTCGTCTTCATCCAAGTCTATGTTTCGCTTACCCTTGCCTGCCAATCTGGCTGCCGCAAGCTCTTGAGTAGCAACTTGGTTCTTCACCTTTTTCGTCATTTTCGCAATCTCTGCCTCTGCGTCTTCAGCGTCTTTTTCTGCGTATTGCATTACCAATCTTCTGCCTAATAAATGAACTCCTTCAAGTTGATCCATGGCATTTTCGGCTTCCTTGAGCAACACAAACTCAACGAAAGCAAACCCTCTTGCCGATTTGTCGAATTTTTTCGGCACTCTGACAGACTTGAGTTGTCCAAATGCCCCAAATAATTCCAACACATCTTTGCGAGTAGCTTCAAATGGCAAGTTTTTGATGATGATCTTGTTGGTCTTGTTGGTTTTCGAAGCTCCTCCCTTGCTTTGACCTCCTTGTCTGTGCGACAATTTGAGTTGCAACTTGTGTCCATCCAAGACATAATCGTTTAATGCAGAGATTGCAGCTTCAGCTTCTTCCTTTGATTTAAATTCCACGAACCCAAATCCCATACTTAATGTGGCGCCTGACTTCTTTGGATCGGGTTTAGTTTTGATGATTGCCAGGGCAAAACCAGGCAACTTTTCAAATACTGATGCTAATTGTGGTTGTGTAGTTGAAAAATTCAAGTTTTTGACGAAAACTGACACAGTAGGACCCTCAATTTCAGTTTCATCCTTAGCGTCATTGCTGATAAGAGAGTTTGCCGTGACCTTAGGCTCAATGCCTTGTTCCACTTTTTCTTTCTCAACTTCAACCACCTCAGAAGTGACTGGTTCACGAATGAAAAGTCCCTTAGGACCTTTCTCCAAGTAAAGAATCGAATTGTTGAACTTTCTGTATGCTAGTTTTGTGAAGGCTGCTCGGGCACTAGGTGCATCTTGGAACTCTATCACTGCAATGGTGCCGGCTGGTGGCATCAATGTTCGTTTTATAGGACCGTATTGTCCAAACATCTCATTCAACTCATTTACACCAGTCCCATATGGGAAATTTTTCACCAAGACAATTTTGTCATCACGTTCTTTCTTACTGAAAGAAGTCAAATCGACACCTTTGCTTTCAAAGTACTTCCTGACATCGCCAATAACATGTGCTTCAGCTAATGCTTGCTTCACACCCGATGATGAACTTTCGGCGTCAATCAAGTCCGACTTTGAAACTCCCATTTTGGCTGCGACAGATTCCAAAACAGCATCTGAATTCATATACAATGAGTTCCAGCTGAACTGCGATTTGGCTGCCTGTGCCTTCTTTTTCAAGTCTCTTTGTTTCTTCAAGGGCAAGTTTTTGATGTCGAATTCGTCTAATCGGTGATCTTTCTTTGCTTCAGCAGGTAATATATGCAATAAACGGCCCTGGAAAATTTGCTTGTCAAGACTTTTGTATGCTTCCACAGCATCCTTGGGCTGCTTGAACTGTACGTAGACAAACCCTTTAGACTTGCCGGTTCGTGTATCGACAGCAATGTGGACTTCTTCAAGGGAACCATATTTTTGGAAAAGAGTACGGAACTCTTCTTCAGTCGAAGTATATAAAATATTCCTCACAAAAAGACGGCCGGTCTTGGCAATCTTTTCACTGGGTGATTCTTCTTGCTTTGTTTCTTGAACTTCTATATTGGAATCGGCAGTATCTGGCTCTTCCGTGGTTTTGGCGGGGTCTGCCTTGTCTCCATTTTCCTTGATTCTAGTTTGCCTCTGTCTGAGCCAATCAAGATCACTCATCTCTTGGTTTGCAGCTGTTTCTGAACTATCTTCACGCTGGTCGTCGTTAATATTATTCAAAGGAATCATTTCCTCGTCTTCTTCATCATCTTCAACCTCGTCAAATTTAGGGAAATCATCATACTCGTCATCGCTCTTAGACCCTTCCGTATGGACCACATCAGGCACCTTATTTGGCTTTACGGAGACATTGTCCCCTTTTTCTTGTGCCTCAAGAGCTCTTTCAAGTTCCTTAGCAGAGGGAGCACCACCCTCATTGAAAACCGCATCATTGGCCCATGACTTGACCTCATGCGATGGTCTCATAACTTCCATAAACTCCTGAAGTTTTGGGTTGTTCTCGATTTCCTTGTCAATTTGGGACTTTGTCTTTTGTCTCTTGAAAAGCTGCTGTTGCAGAAGACGTTCTTCCTGTTCTTGAAGACGATTTTGTTTAATTCTTTGCTGTTCTCTAAACGATAATGGTACTGTAGGATCGGAAAATGTCTTGGCTAACTCCACGTGTATCCTAGCCGTGTCCATAAACGATTGGTGAAAATATTTGGCTGCTTTTTCTGCGTCATCGATCGACTTGTAACCTACAAACGCAAAGCGTCGAGACTCCCCGTTTCTTTTTTTCATCAATTTGACATCGGTGACATTTCCTTGCTTCAGAAAGTGATCACGAAGCTTGGCTTCGTCACAGTAAGAGGGCAATCCCTTGACAATGATTCTAGACATGAAGCTTGAAATGCGATGCTCATCAGAAAATTCAGAGATGAGGCACCTCAAATGCAGGACACACGATAAGGTCTGGTGCTCGATCATACATTTGAGCGACACAGAATTAAACCTCCAAGAATACAAGTAGTGGTCTTTAAACGATAAAAGCGATAACATTTTGTCACATCACATAATTTAAAAGAAAAACCTGATTCGAAAAGCAATACATAGTCTTTGTTCGTTTGGCTGCAAATTTTGGGTACAGATGGAACTCACACGTCAAATTGGATTGTCGTGGAATTTGAGCCCTTTGGGTTTACTACGCCAACTAAGAGCAGTTGCCAACCTATCATTGCTTATCTATTTTCTTTTGAGCATAAAAATACTCACTCACGTATTCTCAATTGTTCTTCTAGCTTTCCCTGAAGCGAAATTAAGAGTAACTATCGGCTTGGAAAATATATTTTGGAATCTTGTTATTTCATTCTTGGTACGTACAAACAAGAATCAGCAACTTCCTTACTAATGCAGAAATCTTCGAAATTTGGAATACGAGTTACAGGCGACAAGATGGATAGTGAATCAGCCATCATAATTTCCAATCATGCTTCATTACTTGATCATGTAGTATTGGCACACTTGGCTCAACACGAGACTGACGAGACCATGGCTAAACCAAGAGTTTCATTCTTCACTTGGTTTTCTCTATGGACCCTTCCTTCTACCAGAGCAATCCGAAATATGGCGAAACTGGATGAAAACTGGGAGTTGAGTCTGAATGCCGGAGTTCATATATTCAAATCTGTTTTGAACTCTTCTGTAAATGATTGGATTGTCATATTTCCCGAGGTGAATATTTTCAACAGCGAGAGTAAATCTCGCCAAGATTACCTTGGAAACAAGTATTTCCTTCCAAAGTTACAGCATCTCCTATACCCCCGAACACAGTCGGTCTTCAGTTTATCTTCAGCACTCTCTGGCGACTATAAGTTCAACAAGATGTACAACGTTACCATATGTTACTTTGCTCGAAATGAAGATTCGACGGTGTCACTCATCAATCCAACATTACTAGATTTATTTGCAGCCAAATCAGAAACCTTGGTTGTGGTGCATGTCAAACAGCACTTAATAAAGAAGCTTAAGTACAAGCGACCAAGGCTTGAAAGGTGGTTGGAAAAAGTGTGGTTGGAAAAAGACGCCGTAGTTCAGGCCAGTGTGGACTCTAAACTCACTCTTCCAGGATAAAGTTAATTGGTAAACTTCGAATAATTGACCTTTGATTTTCGTCCCTTTGAACCCGATAAAAGTTGTCTGTGAATTGCTCACCACCAATGTGGCTCAAAAACTTCTCATCGTGTGTGATAACGATCAACTGAAAGTTTTTCTGGCCACGACGAAATTCAATAATATTATTCAAAGATTGAGCCAAAGACTCAGTATTTTCCACATCCAAGTTGGTGGTTGGTTCATCAAGAGCTATTATTCCGCAATTGGATCCAAAGCATTCTGCAAGTGCTAATCTAATCAATATGCTCGTGAGCACCTTCTGGCCTGCGGAGCAGCGTCCTCTCATATCTAGCTCACAATCTTGCTTGTACATCACCACTCTATAATTATATGACCGGTTTCCTTTGGCTTGCAAATTTATGTCACTTTTAATAGCAATAGTGTCCACATCTGTTCCTTTGTAGGTTTGTTTCCATAGCTCGTTAAGAATTCTGTTTATGCTTTCCATCTTGTGGGTATGGTACTTCATAATTGCATTATCGAGGGCCTTTGAATAAGTTTGTAGGTCGCTAGTTGCTAACATATTTGTCTGCAATTTCACCCATTCTGCCTGATATCTCTGATCAACATCCACATACTCTGAATTCAAGTCTTCTTTCATCGTACGTATTTGATCTCGAAGTTGTTTAACCTCACCCACCTTACCCGCATGTTCGCTGTTGAGGTTAGTAATTTCTAGTCGTATCTCTCTAGTCCTTTCATTATACTCGTTTCGTTTTGATTGAGCATCTTCAATGTCAAGCATGCCTATTTGATTCTCAATCTCATTCATTTCATTTTGTAGCCTTCGATAATCAAGATTATCACGAATCTGACTTTTGAGGTTATTGGCTTCGTTAATACTCTTTTCCACCATCTTCATATCTTTCTGAATTTTCAGAATCTCAACCTCTAGCTTTTCGATGTTGGAGTTTATCGTCGAAATATCGTTACTAACAGTCTCAAATTTCACCCTGTCAACATCATCAAACTCCTTTATGTTTTGGAGCAAGTCTGATACTTGATCTTTTAATTTGTGATTCCGATTAATCTCTGCTTCCTTTTCTTGCTCAACCTTTTCGATTTCGACCGTTATACGTTTCAAGTTTTCCTCTTCCTCCTTTCGCTTTTCTCGTTGAATGCCCAACTCTTGCTCTATTTCCGTCATGCTTTGTTGCAAGACGACCACCTGAGCTTCATAGCCATCTATTGCAACTTTTTCGTGCTCCTGGTCTATTAAAGCTCGTTCAAGAACACTTATTGCTAGTTTCTTATCTTTCACTCTCCCTTCGAGTCTCGCAAGTTCTCGTTGCTTCACATACTTGGACTCAACATTATCACTAACACTTTGTCGTAATGCTTTCATTTCCCGATTTATTCTGTCCATTTCTCTTTGTAATTCAATTGGGCTCTGTTCTGTAACAGACCCATAATCTGTCAATGAATCTTCCAACGAAGAAAGTTCTCTCTGTGAGACTTCGATCTCTTTTCTTATACGAGAGACCTCAGCGAGTGGAGTTCTCAATGCTTTAAGAGAATCCACATCACCTTGTAATGACTCCAATTCAGAGTCAATTTTTGCCTTGAGTTTCTCAGCATCTTTCATTTGCTGCGTTTCCTTCGTCTTCTTGGCTTCAAGTTCAGGTAATTCTTGCCTGCATTGACGGTACTTTAAAATCAATGGGTTGATGTTTTTAGCTTGCTCAAGCTCTTTTGCTGTTTCTTTTGCTTCCTTCTCTAATGTTTCCGCAGTCATGCTCTTTACATTGGCCCTCAACTCCGTCAAAAATTTGGAGAGTCCAGGGGAGTCAAAATGTCTAAGACACAATGTGCAATATTTCTCGGACTCGGCAATCTCGATTGCTTTGATTTTGAACTGATTGGTAACTTCAAAGGTATTCAATGACTCTAAAGCATCACGATGATTTTCTTCGAGATCTGATATGACCTGCTCATAAAAGTCGATTTCTTCCTCTTCTATAACTTTCACAATGTCATTTTTTATGCTGGCTGTTTTGTCAAGGTTTTCGGTAATCTGCGCTTGCGTGCTTTCCAATTTTACCGTCAATGATTCGACTTGTCTCGAGAAATTTTTTTGTTCACTCGACTTGAGGTCCAAGCGAGAACCTGCCTTAGTTAACTCTGCCTCTAATTCGTCACTGCCTGTATTTTCATACTGTTTTCCAATCATCTTCTCAAATAAAGACCCTAAGGACTTTAGATGAGCCGCTAATGTTACTTCCTTGCGAGTTATACCTTCCTTGATGAATGAAACTTTTGACAAGGTGTCTGACTGCTTAGACGCTTGCGCAACTTTCCTTCCTAAAGTATCACTTTGAGACTCTAACTGTGCAAGTTGAGACCTTTCATTCTCGATCAACGAGTCCAATGATTTTATGGCATCGTTATGGCTCTGAGGGTCGTATTTATCCTCAAGGTCTTTTAATTCACGTTTATGAATCTCCAATTCTGCTTCTTGTTGCTGCTGTGTGTTTAATCTCTTGCGACCCTCGTTTATTTGACTTCTAGTATTCAGCAAGTCTTGCTGGTAATATTGGTACCGCTGCTCCAGCTTGGTGATGGTTTCGCTTATTTCATGAACTCGACTCGCAGCTTGTTCGTAAGACAATTTATTTGAAGATTTGAGTCGCTCATATGCACTTGATGCCTTTTTGATAGTATTGTCAAGATCATCCACTATTTTTTGAAAGTTCATATCATTAGGTTTCGGATCCTTGGCTAGCAGATTCTCTTCAATTAATTGTACCAATTTCTGTTTGTTCGTGTGGTATAGCTCTTCCTTCAGTTTTAGTGATCCCTCTGTTCGAGACAAAGAGTTGAGTTCCAGTCTCAAGTTTTGCAATCTCTCCTCCAGAGCTCGCAACTCGTTGTGTTTCATTGATGCTTCAGCTTGCCGTTCTTGCAAGTGAGATTCGAAATTATCAAGTCTGGACATTAACACTGTTTCAGAATCAGGAAGTATCTCAATGTTCTTCACTATACGCTCAAGCTGGACTTGGCACGATTTTTGTGAATACTGAAGCTGTTCATGTCTACTGAGAATTTCTTGAAACGATTGGTTCGAGACGAATAATGCTTCTGCTTCTCGCTCCTTTTCCTCAATGGTAGACGTCAAGTTGGCAATTTCTTCAGAAAGGGCATCACACGTAACGGAAGTTGACTGAACCTTACTTCGTATCTTATCAGCCCTGGACTTGTCGACACGAAGATGCTGTACGTTCTGGTCAATGAGTTTGATATCATTGGACATATCCTTCTTGATAGTTTTCAAGCTATCGAGCACTTTTGTGAATTTCAGTGCCTCAAAGATATCATCGAACCGTTTCTTCAATACTGAGGCTTCACTCAATGGCCATAAACTATCGTCCTGGTGACAAAATATGACATAGTCGAGAATGGCTCTAGAAGCACCCAAATAAACTGGAATTTGCGAGTCCAATTCTGCATTTTTTGTACTTATCGTAGACTTCTGTCCCTGGTCCATGATACTCAATTGCCCCTCGAGTGTTTTGAACGTGTTGGAAGCAACTCCTTTGCCTCGTTTCTTGGTCAATTGCATGGTCCTAGTACAGATCATTGACTTTCCATTAACATTTTGAAACGCCAATTTTACTTGGGCATTTACTGTGTTTCTAGCAGCAATGCTGGGATCATTCACAAACGTTCCCCCTTTAGAATTGGGAGGCAAATCACCAGTAGTGGCATACTTTAAGCACTCGATGATGGTGGTTTTTCCACACCCATTTTGACCACATATCAAGGTTAGCGGAAACCCAAACTCTATGGTTTCACTTGATTCAGAGTCGAATGATCGTACTCCTTGTATCGAAAGCTTATAGAGATTCGACATTGAGCCTGGGCTCGAGGTACTTCTTTATGTGAACTGCGAAATCTAGTCGCACACGGCTACAGTTGGTGGAGATGGAGATGGCTAACATACACTACTAATTAATATGAGCACCGGAGAGCTTGTCGGCAAGCGAGTCCACTGACTTGTCTTTGTCTTCCACGGTTATGCCTGCCAATTCCTTTTCTAATTGGTCCAAGTCGACTTCTTCTTGTTCTTCTTCGGCTTCATCAACCGACTCTTCGTCATCGTCCTCTTCTTCACTATCTATCTCCTCGAGATCGTCTAGTTCGTCTACTTCTCCGTGTCCTCTATCCTCAAACACGCCATTGATCTTCTCGAGCGATGGAGAGTCCTCTTCGAATCGGTTACCATTAAGCTCGAGAACCTTAAGGTTGGGAAGCTTGGCAGTGACCGCTTCGGCCAAAACTTTCAATGCATCCTCCTCTAACTCGTTGTATTGCAAGCGCAAGGTTTCAAGCTGAGTTTTTGACTCACTCTTGGAAAGTGCTTCTGCGAGCAGAAGAGAACCACTGGCTTTCAACAAACAGTCGTTCAAATTCAACTCTTTCAATTTGGGCCACTGGTCCAAAGTTTCCGCTAACACAGCCGATGGCTTTGCTGTGAACGTGTTATCTTGCAAGTCTAAGATTTGCAACTCCTTGTTGCGTGATAACCCATCGCGAAGTAAACGGGCAATTCCCTTGGGTCTGATACCATTTTGGTACAACCGGACCACCTGCAAATCCTTGTGATTTCTCAACCCAATTGACAAATGGTTGGTCGAACCATCCTCTAACCGGTTTCTACCGCATATAAATGACTTCAATGATGGTTTACCAGCAGCCTGCTTCGCCTTGGCCAACTTGAACAAACAGGTACCAATTCTTGCTCCAGCAAATGGACCCATTCCATTATTGGAAAGTATCAAGTGTTCTATGGTTACCGCCTTTGCAAGGTAGTCCTCAATAGGATCTATGGTTTGAAGACCAAATGCATTATCACACAAGTTTACCAACAGCAATTTAGAGCATTGCAAAAGTGCTGGCAAAATGTATTGCAAGGACTGAGGAATTTCGGTGTTGAGTCTCCCTGTATAAATATCGGACAAATCCACTTCCAAAAGAGTGTCTTTGTGAGCTATTATGGCTTTACTCAATGCTTCAGACGCTTCGATGCCTATGGTGTTTCCTGAAAGATCAATTTTCTGAACATTTTTTTGAGATACAAGGTCCAGAATATAACCAGAGACGCTATCCGCCGAGTCAAACTTGATCTGCTTCCCTGCCAAAGAATAAGTTGTCTCTGGGGTGATTCCCAAGTCCACTTTTAAAAGAGCCATCGTCGTTTTGTGTTCTCATTTTGAATCACAATATCGAGGGAAACCTGCACCCGACCACCAGCAACACCATTTCGCCGGAAAAAAAAGACTTAAACCTTCAATCATGTCTGGCCGTGTTCCAACTCCAAAGCAAGAATCCACTTTCGACCAAATCAAGAAGATGCCTGCATTCACCGTCGCTGTGAATGTGGGTTTGTTTGTGGCTGGTGTTGCCTTCATCCAATCTCCTTTAATGGACATGTTGGTTCCTCAATTGTAGTTGACTGAAAAGAGTCAAGTTGAAGACTGCTGTAAAGCTGTAACTAGTGCTAACTAGTGCAAGCTAAGCGTGTATTGAGTTGATCACCAAGATTTGGTGTATGTACATAGTGAATTGGATGAGATTTGCGAGCCTGATGGCATGTAGAACCTGTGAAAGATCAAGATGGAATGCTAATCAGCCTGATGAGGTTGTTTGCGTTGCGGATTTAAACCCCTTGACCGAGATTAAGGTGTTAGTTGACCGTGGCTGCAACCACATAAATCAAGAATAATACCAGGACACACTCAGCACCGAACAAGTTAAACTATATGAGCTTTAAGCAGTCGTTGACTCTCCTTGACTATACAGTTACTAAGTATAATGTTTATCTTCATCGTCTTTAAGTCAAAAACTGATAACTTTGCAGAGCTTCACATAAACTGATACGACATGAAGAGACTCAAAGTATTGAAGCGCACAACCAAACCGCTCTTGGTCCTCATTTGTGTTTACGGAAAACTCTCCTAAATCCATGCGATACAATCCACTTGATCTGGCTGAAAAACGTTGCCAGCAAATCGGCTCAAGGGGCCATCGTCACCAGCGTTATTCATGAATAACGCCTGTTCGGGCTCAACGAATGAACTAAAGCCAATGTAAAGATACAGTAGCAGCCAAAGAATCTCGTGAAGTCAGTACTTCATCTCATTTGGGAGTGTCGACGCCTGGTGGTACTTTTTGCTGTCAATTGTGCCGATATATGCTCTGTCCCCGAATCCTCCAACCATATAAATCTCTTCCACCACGAATTTCGTCCAGTGAGAGTTGTGGGGAGTAATAGGATTATAAGGGAGCCAATACTTGGCATCTGGATGCCTGGCCACAAAACATCGTTCTAATTTGATTAGTTCGCGAGGGTTGGAAAAGGTGACGTTCTCTAACCTACCCACCAAATTTATACGAGGGGACCCTGCGGGCGATGATGGAATAGCTCCAGGGTAGTTAGGATCCACATCATCATTTCTAGGATGGTCTCCTACTCTAATTGTCCAAGAAAATGAAGATCCACGGGCAATATTTCGATTGGTCGAACCAATATCAACAACTAGCCAATATGGATCACCATCATTGTCACAATCGGCATAGTACTCCATTAACGACACCGGAATTGGGCCGGTTCTCCCTGGAATTGAGGTGAATGTGTTGATATTAGCAAGTGACTCTCTCGCAACAAGGGTCCTAGCTATCGATGCCGCCTCGTCCTCATCAGGTATACGTTCCAAAACAATCTCGTCACCACCGAATGCAAGCGTAAACGAAGCAAGTATGCCACAAGTCAAAATAGTACCTAATTTCATATGCTTTTAGTTCGGATATTCTTTCTCAAGGATTTATGTATGGACCCTGTGTACCTGCACACAGTCAATCAATATCCGATACGGACATTACATATGAGCTGCAATTATCTTGTACTTTAGTTATGTTTGATGATCTGGCCATTCGTGGTGTGACATCGGCTGTCAACCGATGCCGCCGCGTTGAAAATGTGGGGTAAATGATAATTATTCACGTCCTGCAGACAAGCGCGGTTATTCCTATTGCCAGCTGACGACAAAGGTGGCGTCAGGTTCGAGAGTATGGCCAGAGTCACATCCGTTTAGTCCGAATCAAATCGTAAGTTTTCGGAAGCGGTAGGTTAGTGGCGTGGTCATTAGTTCCCCACCATGGAGAAACACGGTGCGCGCACGCCGGCCCTCGGTTCAGCTCAATTCCTCGGCTCACAGGTGCCGGATGTGCCAATTATAAAATGCGGGGGCCGTCGTTTTTTTTTCGAACTTAACGGTAGCATCAAAAATCAATATGTCTGTTTCTACCAATACTGTGACCTCTTTGCCTGGTCCTGACCCCCAGGCATCCTTCCGCCAGGAGCGGGAGAACCAAAAGTTCGATCCCGTACAAATGCACTACTTTTTGGAGGGATCGAAGGCTAGAGCTGAGGCGATTAAAAGACTCACTCAGCAAATGGAGCGTGACCCGGTTCTTGCTTCCGACTCCAGTATCTATGATTTGAACAAGGAACAACAGCGTGAGTTGACTGCTGTCAAAATCAACAGGATGGCCCGTTATATCGAGAATGATGATCCTAAAGACTTCAACCTTAGAATGAGTTTGTTTGGTCTTTTTGACCCACAAGTTGCCACCAGAATCGGTATCAACCTTGGATTGTTCCTTTCGTGTGTCCGTGGTAACGGAACCCCCGAGCAAATCGAGTACTGGACGTTTAACAAGGAAACCGCCGGTCTCAAGAGCATCTATGGATGTTTCGGTATGACCGAATTGGCCCATGGATCCAATGTTGCCGGATTGGAGACCACTGCTACTTATGACGAAGCCACCGAGGAGTTTGTCATCAACACCCCACACATTGGAGCCACCAAATGGTGGATTGGTGGTGCTGCTCATTCTTCCACTCACTGTAGTGTCTACGCCAGATTGATTGTCAAGGGTAAGGATTACGGTGTCAAGACCTTTGTTGTTCCTCTTCGTGACTCCAACCACGACTTGATGCCCGGTGTGACCGTTGGTGACATTGGTGCCAAGATGGGAAGAGATGGTATTGACAATGGATGGATCCAGTTCTCCGATGTTCGTGTGCCCAGATTTTTCATGTTGCAAAAATTCTGTAAGGTGTCCAAGGAGGGTAAAGTTACATTACCTCCATTGGAACAATTGTCGTATTCGGCTTTGTTGGGAGGAAGAGTATCCATGGTTCTCGATTCCTACCGTATGTCGGCCAAGATGTCTACCATTGCCTTGAGATATGCCGTGGCTAGACGTCAATTTAAGGGCTCCAGTAGCTCTGATGGTAAGGAAACGCAATTGATCAATTATCCATTACATCAAAGAAGATTATTCCCATACTTGGCCCAGGCTTATGTGTTGTCTGCAGCTGCCTTAAAGGTGGAGCACACCATTGAGCAAACTTTGGATGACTTGGATGCCGCGGTTGCTTCTAACGACATGCCAGCTATCATGCGTTCCATCGATGGCATGAAATCCTTATTTATTGATTCTGGTTCTTTGAAATCGACCAGTACTTGGCTCGGAGCCGAGGCTATCGACCAGTGTAGACAGGCATGTGGTGGCCACGGTTACTCGTCCTACTCTGGATTCGGAAAGGCTTACAACGACTGGGTTGTGCAATGTACTTGGGAAGGTGATAACAACGTTTTGGCCATGTCGGTTGGTAAGCCAATTGTCAGACTGATTCTGGAAGTTCTTGACAAGGGAAAGAAGGTTCGTGGATCCACTTCGTTCTTGAACCATACCAAGGAAAACTTGGGTGAAACCCCAGTCATCAGCAACGTTTCTGACCTTCAAGACTTGAAAAAGATTTTGACTGCTATTGAAGTGTTGATTATGCGTTTGGGTGCTGATGCTGTCAAGACCATCAAGGCCAACGGTGGAAACCAGGACAGTGTTTCTCCTCAATTGGTGGTTATTTCCAAGTTGAAGGCTAACCATTATGCTTTAGAAGAGTACATTCGCAGAGTGGACACCCACGATAACCTGGAACTCAAGCCATACCTTTTATCACTTGGAAGATTGTATGCTGCATCGATGATTATCGACCGTTTTGCCGGTGATTTCTTGACCTACTCTGTGTTGAGCACCAAGGTTGTGGCTGAAAACAACTCTATCAACCTTCCAAAATTGTGTGAAGAGGTTCGTCCTCATGTTATCACCTACACTGATTCTTTCCAATTGAGCGATATGATTATCAACTCTGCCATTGGAAAGTTCGATGGTAATGTCTACGAGAACTACTTTGGTATCGTTAAGGCTAACAATCCTCCATTCAAGACCAAGGCTCCTTACTCGGGCAGTTTGGAGGCTATGTTGAATAGACCTGCCAAAGAGGAGAGAGAAAGATTTGAAAAGATTGGCCAGGCCAAACAATTTTTATCTAAGGGTTTGTAAGTAAAATGCTATGACAGATGATGTATTGAGCTTCGTAGTAAACAATTGTCACGCCATCACCATAATCTACACCCGTGGGTATTCTGGTGGTTCCGGATTATGTGCACTCTGATCCTGAGAAGCTTGTGAAAGTCCCTGACTTTTCAGTAGCTGATGTTAGCATACAAGCTTCTGCTGGCTTCTGTTAGCTTCTGTGAGCTTCTGTGAGCTTCTGCTAGTCTTTGGTAGCCTCTGTTAACATTCTGCTAAATACATGTCGGCTTGTAATTTTGGCCCTTCCTTCTGCATAGTTACCGGGTTTCGGGAAAATGTGGGGTAAAAAAGGTGGGGAAGCAGAGTATAAAGCCATGGAGAATTGAGACTTTTTTCCATCCCACAATGTCGGCTACAAACAGTGTGAGCTTTGCTCCACCTCCAGATCCTGCCAGTCTTCTTCGTCGTGAAAGAGAAAATGCATCTATTGATCCATTGGCCATGCACAGGTTCATCGAGGGAAGCGCTGAAAAATCGAGTCAAATCTTAAGGTTGTATAGTTCATTGGAAAGAGACCCGGTAATGGCTGCGAGTTACCGTGACTACGAATTGGACCTTGAGGAACAGCGGGAGCTCACTACCATGCGTATCAATAGAATGACAAGGTACATTGAGACGGATACGGCGTCTGATTTTGCACGAAGATTGAACCTTGTGACGATTTATGATCCTTCGATGGGAATTCGTATCAGTGTTAATCTTGGATTATTTCTCAACTGTATTAGAGGCAATGGTACAAGTGACCAGTACGAGTATTGGGCGAAACATCATGAATCTGCCATTATGAAACAAATGTACGGTTGCTTTGGAATGACAGAATTGGGCCATGGTTCCAATGTTGCTGGCTGCGAAACCACCGCTACTTTTGATAAGGAAAAGGATGAGTTTGTTATCAATACTCCACACATTGGAGCCACAAAATGGTGGATAGGTGGTGCTGCGCATTCTGCCACTCATTCGGTGGTATATGCTCGTTTGCTTGTCGATGGTAAAGATTATGGAGTCAAGACTTTTGTTGTTCCTCTCCGTGACTCGAACCACGATTTGCTTCCCGGTATTAGTGTGGGAGATATAGGTGCCAAAATGGGCCGTGAAGGTGTGGATAATGGGTGGATCCAGTACTCCAATGTGAGAATTCCTCGGTTCTTTATGCTTCAAAAATGGTGCCGAGTTTCTGCTGAGGGTAAGGTTACTCTTCCACCATTGGAGCAATTGTCTTATATCTCACTTTTAGGAGGCAGAGTGATGATGGCTGTGGACTCGTATCGTATGAGTGCCCGGTTCATCACTGTGGCTCTCAGATATGCCGTGGGAAGACGTCAATTTAAAAGTCAAAGTACTCGCGATGGTAAGGAAACCCAGCTTCTTGATTACCCACTTCATCAGAAACGACTCTTACCATACCTTGCATTGGCTTATGCCATGGCGGTGGGTTCTAACAAGTTGGAAATTCAACATGGAGAAATTGTTGCAAACCTTGAAAAGGCCGTAGCCAACAATGATAAAAAAGGCATTGAGCAGTCAATTGCCCTAACAAAATCACTCTTTGTTGACTCTGGGTCTCTCAAATCTACCTATACCTGGCTCACCGCCGACTGTATAAACGAGGCAAGACAGCTGTGTGGTGGACTTGGATACTCATCGTACAATGGTTTTGGTAAAACCTATGGTGACTGGGTGGTTCAATGTACTTGGGAAGGTGACAATAACGTATTGGGAATGTCAGCTGGTAAGACTATTATCAACAACTTGAAGCTTGCAGTTCAAAAGAATAAGCTGATAAGTGGTTCTTTATCGTACTTGTCTCGAGGACGTCAAGGTATGAGTGACAAGTACGTTTTGGGTCAAGATTCCGATGTGGAAAGTCCTGAAAAAGTGTTGGAAGCTTTGGAAACGTTGATTATTCGTGTTGCTGGAACTGCCTTGAACACATTGAGTGACAATGGCAATGACTGGGATAGTATTAGTCACACTCGTGTTTTGCTTTCCAAGTTGCAATGCCATCGCTATACTCTTTTCACGTTCATTGAACGTGTAGCGGAAAACAAGGATACCCAATTGGAAGAAGCTTTGGTTCTTTTGCTCAAATTGTACTACCAAGTCAACATCTTGCAAGCATTTGCTGGAGAATTTCTCACCTATAATGTCATGCTGGGTCAAGTGCAAGCTAGCGTAAGCTTGAGAGCCATTCCTTCCACTTTAACAGCATTGCGTCCTCATGCCATTATATTGAGTGACTCGTTCCAGCAGCCCGATATGATCTTGAATTCGGCAATTGGTCGCTATAATGGTGATATTTATGAAAACTACTATGGAGTAGTTAAGGCTGCAAATCCACCTATCCGTGACAAAGCCCCATACTCTGCGGCGTTCCAGGCGATGTTGAACCGACCCGATTTGCAGACGAGGGAGCGGTTTGAAAAGTGGGGAGCCGCCAAGATGAAGTTGTCAAAGTAGAATTGGATCGAAGCAGGAGAGAATCGAAATCAGAGAGAATTACGTAGTTACCGTTGATAGCAGTACACGGTTTCAGTTGAGAGTATAACCTGATAACATGACTGTTGGGGTTGTAGTTATTTTATTTTTTCTTTCTCGTAGTCGGAGATTAATTCATTGTCATTCGAAGAACCTCCGAGTTTCCCGCTACATGATCTTAACGTCCCCGATGCGGAAGTGCGCGGCGGATAGGGGGTATAAAGTGACACAAAACCCCAGCGCGAAAGCTGGTCACCCCAACGAATTTATAATTCACAGACATCTACCACATATTTTTGAACTGTTGCAGTGCTGAAAATGGATGCTGATAAAATCGTTGCGCTCATCATTGGTAAGTATGGAATTGAGGGTACGGGGAAATTCATGAGATGACAAGAATTGAAGTCAAAAAGTCAAAAAGTCAGAAAGTCAAAAAAGTCAAAACAAAGTCAAACAGAAAATCAAAACAAATAAACTACGGAATAGACCTTTGATGGTCAGAGACTGGAACGGAAAGAATAGACAATTTGGCTGTTTATTCTAGACAGCCAAAACATCATGCAGACCCTCGGACTTATAATGGACCATCGCTCATACTAACTCAGCGCTCTTCTTGCCTCCATTGGCGGTGTTCATGAAGGAAGGAGCCACCACTCCATTGTGGATTGATATTGTGTTGTGTATCTTTTTCTGGTTCCCGGGCATTTTGTATGCCATCTATGTCGTATTGAAAGATTAATTTAGATTGATATAATACTGCTCCCCTCGTATTCCCGCCTCTATACCGTCCTCGCTACATTTCGCCTTTGATCTCCAGCCAATCAAATGGCGCGCATCAATCTAACCTTCGATGCATGCAGGGGGTGCTAGCTGCAAAGATAACCAAAACGTTCGATTTTATTAGCCTCCTTTGATTCACCAAGGGGTACTTTTCTTCGATGTCCGACGAACTCCCCCCGTTTCTGTTTTCTAAGAAACCAATAGAGTCACCTGCTCACCCTCATCTGGCTATTTCTGACATCATCCCCAAACCATCTTCTTCGCCATTTGTGGTTCAAGATGAAAAAAGTGAACCTAAAGCTGCTCCCCCGGATATCTTTGAAGCGGTGGACTTTGACCAGCAGATCCGGGCGCCTCGAATGACACTTTCGACCCATTATACTTATGGAAACCTGCAAAAATTGCCATCAATAACCCTGAAGAATAGTCTTGAAGAAGGGGAGAAACCACCCGATGTGTCACAAAAACAGTACCAAAAAGAATACCTCCCAGCATCATTCGATCTCTCACAACCCACAAGAAGGTTTTCCGCTCCTTCCGATTTGGACCTTCCAGAATCTCCTTCAAAAACCATGCTCAACTACACCATTAATAATAATATGTACGATAACCACCGGACCCAAGAACAACAAGCGCTCATCCGAGCCCTCGAAAATCTATCCAGCAATGCCACCACCCAGGAACGTCAACCAGAACGAGGTCCTGTTGTGCAACAATTGTATAAGCAGAAGAAACCAATGAGTGTTCCAGCGGTGCTTCGAGCCAATGATTCTAGCAGTAGCAGCAGATCATCTCCTCCATCTCCATACTTGCAGTTCAAATCATACCCTTTTCCAGAAGTATGTCAGTCACCTGCAACTTCAGATGGAGACAATTCCCCGAAAAATGCCGCCGAACCCACTCATATGCACTGGAAACCCAATAGCTATGCGTCATATTGCATAAAATGTTTCGATACATTCGGGACATTTTTCACTCCACAACGCAAACGACGCCATCATTGTCGATTCTGTGGGTTTATCTTCTGCTACAATTGCTTATATACTTCATCGTCTGATGATTCAAAGCGAGTATACTTGGATAAACTAGCCCGATTTGTCATCCCTATCGGCCAAGACGCCGATGCGTCGCAATTCAAGGCATGCAAAGTGTGCAAGGACTGCGGCCTGAATTATGCCAAACTAGTGGCAGCCGCCTCTACTTCTATTACTACTAAAGACAATAACCTAACCCACATCTTTGTGGAAAACCCATACACCGCCAGCCCACAAGAATCCCCCATTCCCATGCCACAACCGGCCGCTCAAAGACAGTCGCTGGAGCCGTCGCCAGACAATAGACGGCCCTCTAATGGAGTGCCCTCCGACTGGACATGGAGTTCGTTTTAGGGTTATAGACTTTCAATTCTTCACCGTTCATTATTATCACGTGCGACAAGTCGTCCTGTGGTCGTGTGGGCGTCGCGGCGTGTCCAAACCAGTATGACAACCTGTCGCGTTGACGAAGTTTGGATCGCTTAGACGAAATTACGCGTACCAGCATTATTCATCAATAGAACCTTAATCGTGTTGGTAAATAACCGCCTTGTGCCGTATAGAGACAAGAGCTTAGAATACATCTATATATTGGCTTGAATCCTCAGCTTTGCTTGAAATCTCGTCTTTTGCTTGTGTCAAGTTCACATACCATTCCAAAACATTCTCGCCTGATCCAACTGATCTACGGGCCGATCACATCTTTACCACTGCAGAATGTATCAGCAGCCAAATCATTCCTATACCTCGGCTGAATCGCTACGCCGACTCTCTTCCAATAACCCATTTCGTCAGCACGCTGCCAGTCGTGGCGTTCCTCTGGGAAGCCTGTCACACTCCTCGAACTCTGCGTTTGATGATTGGGTGGACAAGAACAAAAAACTCTTTGAGGAGTCTTCAGATGAAGAGGATTACATGGCAAATGGAGCCTCTCCAATGCACGAGACTTTCGCACGGCCTAAAATGCCAGCCCAGCCAGTGAGAGCAGGAAGTGACTCTAGTGTCAATTACAGGTACGTATTAACTAACAGCAGCATAACATGAAGCCATCAGATAATTCAAACCATCAGATGATTTGGAACTTTTTTGGGGCCCTTCCATGGTCCAGCCATCTGACTAATTCACTCTGCAGTCCAGCATTGTCTGTGGCGAATGACGCCTGAAACCACGTACCTGCAGGCGGTTGCGCGTCCAACCTGCAGTTGGTGGACTCATGTTATGTTGCTTTTATCTTCTCCTTATCTTCGGATTTTACCATTGTAGTTCCAAATACTAACATTGCAGAAGAATGTCAAACAATCCGTTCGCTTCGGCCCTCACTGATAATTTCAGTAACAGCCGTCATGATACCCCTCCCCCTTCGCGGGGCTACTCCAGAAAAGACCCACCGGCACGTCCTCCCAAGCCAGATGCGGTCTCTCCTCCTAGCTATGAAGAAGTCGCAGGCAGAGAAAAGCTGCGGTCAGAATACCCTCGTGAGAAAAGCTCGTCTTCGTCGTCACATCTGTCAGGCAGGCGCCATATGTCTCCTCCCGTAGCTGCGCCTCACTCGTCAAGACCCCACAGGTCTCATAGTGACGCTCCAAAATCCTCTTCTAGGCATCATCACAGAGATAGAGACCACGAGAAGTCACATCGCGACCGCGATCGCGACAGAGATCGGGATCGTCATCATAAATCGTCGAGAAACAAGTCTCCTAAGAAAACTGAAATCGTCAAGGCTAAGAATTTGGATACCATTGACAAGTTGGATGTTACAGGATTCTTTGGTGGTAACTTCCATCATGACGGACCCTTTGATGCTTGTACGCCTCACAGAAACAAAAACTCAAAGAAGGCTCCGGTCATGGCATTCCCTGTGGATGGGCCCAATAACTCTATTAAGGGGATGCACGGGAACGTCGATAAGGACCAGCAAATGAACCTTGCCTTTGGTAACTACGAGGAAAACTCAGGAAGACCAGATGCTGTTCCTGTGATCAAGACAAACCGTACGGAAGATGACCCGCAGTCCACGATGTACACCCCCAAGCAAAATCCTTCGGTGACGAATTTTGACTCTACTGGAAAACTACAGCCCGTCCATGGATCTGTTACTGAAGGTTTGGGATCGTCTACGTTTGTTGATGGTGCCCCAGCTCCTAAAACTGGCCATGATGACTACTTGAGTGTGAGTGGAGGTGGATTGGGTCGCAAAAAGTCGTTGGTGCAAAGGTTGCGGAAGAACAGCAGCAGTGAGAGTAATACGCGAAGAAACTCTCATGACACATCCGTTGCCGGCAACGGCGACGGCAGAAGACCATCATTGGGCGGATTTGACAGTGATGAGAATAGTGGATCTTCACTCATACGAAGGGTCAAAAGTTTGAAGGTTGGCAGACGATAAAGTAATTAACGATCATGAGTGTACTATAGGCGTTGGTGCCAAATTGGATAGCTTTATTGTGGTTTGTTTTGGTAAATATATGGCAGGTGTGTCAATCGACTAGTAGACATCCAATGCACCACCGTGGTTCTTTGGACGATTTTCAAGATTTTCTCAATACATTCAACCAACAAGATGTATAGGACATGCGGCAAAAATTTGCCCATAGCATCGGTGACTCGATTGTCCAGTAGGGGATTATCGTACACGTTGCCCACAATACCTCTTTTGGAAAACTTGAGAGTTGGAAACCAGAATTTGAATGGACTTTTTTCAAATCAAACCGTCAATGAATTGTGGTTCAAGAGAGGTCAGCATCTTATTGATCACCTCAATACCCTCATAGAACAGAATCAAATTGTTGGCTCTCACGAGCTCAATGAGCTCATATCATTATCATTTCATAAACCAGAGCTTTATGGTGTGCATGCTTATGCTTCGCTTTTGCACAATTTGCAATTCTTTTTGGAGTCTGTAAAACCAGTTGAAGGTGGAGATTCTGCCATCGAGAAGGCTTCTGCCGAGTCGTTGTTGAAGTCCCCAGAAATAAGCGAAACCATTCCTAATGAACCTAGTGACACCGAACTCAGACAATGGATAATTGACTCGTTTGGATCGATGGCCGAGTTTAGAACTTTGCTCTTAAATTCTGCAAAGGGTATCAAGGGAGATGGTGTGACCTGGTTGGTGGCTAGAGCTAACCATGCCGACCTGGCGCTTCGTGGTAGCATTAATAAAAGTAAGCCTGATGTCATCTACAGTACGTTGGCTGTGATGAACACTTATAATGCCGGAATTGTCGATGATTCCATCAGATCGGGTCAGATAACCAAACTTAACAAGCAGAAGGCTGCTAATCTTGCTTTGCAAAATAAGGAAGAAGGAACCACAATTAAAGATCAAGGCGATAACCTTCGTTTGGGAAGCATTGAAGAGGCAGAAGCTGCTACACTTTTTTCAGATAGAAAACTTATTCCCTTGCTTGCGATCGACTCGTCGTCTAGAAATTACTTGCTCGACTATGGTGTGTTTGGCAAGCAACAATACTTGGATAATCTCTGGAAGTGTATCGACTGGGATGTGGTCCAAGCCAGAGCTCCATCCAGATTTAGACAATCATTTGATTTGAATTAATCTTGTATATATGATGTAAATTAAGTAATTCTATTGTAGGTCAACTATTTTTTGAGTACCTTCTTCACAATCTTTTCCACTTCATCCCAGTCGTCTGTGGGAACTCTTGTCATCTCGATGTCATTGAAGTAAGACCGTATCTGCTCTAAATCTTCGTATGACTTTTTATCGTGAACAAACGAAACCGCAACTCCAACACGGCCAAATCTACCGGTTCTACCAATTCTATGCAAATAAGTAGAAGGGTCTGGTTTGTCGTCCTTGTCGACAGGAATATCGTAGTTCACCACCATCGACACCGATGCAATGTCAATACCACGAGCAAGGACATTTGTCGTGATTAAGACTTTGGATCTTCCCTCACGGAAATCGTCGATTAATTTGTCTCTTTCACTGTTGTCTAAATCTGAATGCAAAATCGAGCAAGCATGGCCCTCGCTTTTCATTTTGGCATAGAGGTAATTGGCAGTGGCTTTCGTCTTCACAAAGATGATTGAAGATCCAATGGTTAATAATCCATATAACTCAGAAAGCACTTCGGCCTTGTGCTTCTCGGAGTCGCAATCCATGTATAGTTGCTTGATTGCATCAACATTTAATTCTTCCTGTTTCAATTCGAGAGAATTAGCATTTGGAACAAACTTCTCGGCATATTTTCTCACTTCGGTGGGGAAAGTGGCAGAAAACAATACCAATTGGCAAGAAGTAGGAAGTACTTTCTTGACCCTGATACACTGAGCTGCAAGACCTTGTCCATCCAACATATTATCTGCCTCGTCTAGGACGAAAACCTTGACTTTACCAGTTCTCAAAAGCTTTCTTTTTATCATATCCAAGAGAGTACCGGGAGTACCCACCACAATATGAGCTTGAGTACCTTGATTTTTCTCCATAGCTTGTGGAACCACCAATTGTGTGGTCACCTTGGTGAATTTTCCCATGGTCGTTATCACCTCCAAAGTCTGTCTAGCGAGTTCTCTGGTGGGTGACAAGCAAATACATTGAGTGTTGGGATCGTTTACATCAACTCGACTCAACATCGTCAAGGAAAACGCGGCAGTTTTACCGGTACCGGATTGAGACTGGCCAATCATGTTCTTTGGAGGGTTAGAAATGAGCAAAGGCAATGCTTTCTCTTGAATTTTGGATGGTTTGTTGAACTTCATGGCGTATAAACCTTTCAATAATTCGGGAGATAATCCAAGTTCTTCAAAAGATTTGACGGAGTACAACGGAGAGTTGGGGTCGGCTTGTAAGTCCGCAAGCTTCACTTGCACTTCGTAAGACGATGAGATCAAGTTGGAATCATTGTTTTCAGTCTCGGTTTTCGTTTCTGGTTCTTTTGTAGGTTCACTGTTTTGTTCATCACTAACTTTATTTTCCGATTCGACTACGGGTTTCTCATCTTTTATGGGAGCGGAATCGCCTTGCTTGTTGATTGACAACGATTCGAGAAGCTTGGAGGCGTCAGAGTCAACAGGTTCTTCAGGCATTTCGAGGTACTGAAATTTTTGGCTGAACAAGGTTTTAGTGTGCTATCTGCAGGTTTTGAGTTTGCGAAAAAAAAAGGAAAAAAGAAAGAGCCCGACGCGGGGGTCGAACCCGCAACCTTGTGATTAAAAGTCACACGCTCTAGCCATTGAGCTAGCCAGGCTTTCTTGATGTCAATTTGCTTTCGGTGAGCATATATACTTCTGGAGCGGCACTGGTGTATATTTCAGAGTGGGAAAATATCACCCAGTGATCTCACACCAAAATGTCATCCAGTGCCAGCGCCACTGTTCCAGAGTCCACTCGGTACTCACTATGGAATATCTGGATCGTTTCCCTTGCTATAAAGGCATTGCTTTCCATTGGATATCATTCGACTGATTTTGACGTTCATCGAAATTGGTTAGCGATCACGTATAATTTACCAGTTTCAAAATGGTACGTTGAAAACACGAGTCAATGGACTCTAGATTACCCACCATTTTTTGCATACTTCGAATGGGTGTTATCTCATCTTGTTCCTAATTTCGTCAAGCGAGATGGATGTTTGGCTATAGTAGAGAAAGGCGTTTACAGTCTACCAACGGTAATGTTTCAAAGATTATCGGTAATTGTCAGTGAGATTGTTTTGTTTTTGTCCCTCCAGTGGTGTGTGGACTCTAGCAATGGCCGTAGTGAAGCCAGACGTTACTTTGTGGTGGCTGCGAGCTTGGTATTGTCACCTGGACTTTTAATCATTGATCATATTCATTTCCAGTATAATGGTATGATGTACGGATTCTTCATCATGATGATCAATAGTGCCCGGTTGAAAAAATACTTGATGTGTGGTTTCTGGTTTTCGCTTCTTTTATGCTTCAAACACATATACTTGTATCTTGCGCCGGCAGTATTTGTGTTCTTGCTTCGTGCTTACTGCTTGAACCTCAATCCCAACAAAAAGAACCTTCCAAGCAGAATTTTGGCCACAGTACGGTGGAAAAATTTGTTCAAGTTGGGATCTGTGGTTATTGCAGTATTTACCGTGGCTTTCGGTCCGTTCATTTACTTTGACGTCATGCCCGCGTTGATGGAACGTCTTTTCCCATTTAGCAGAGGTCTCAACCATGCTTATTGGGCCCCTAATATGTGGGCAATTTATTCTTTCTTTGACAGGGTCCTTATCCAGGTGTATAAAAGAGTGCCATATACTCAGCTTGCCTTGCAAAAAACCTTCAAATTTAACCCGAGCTTGCTTGAAGACACAGAGAAATTGAGGCTGTCTACAAGAGGATTAATTGGAGATAACGGGTTTTTTATACTTCCCACAATCACTCCACAAATGACGTTCATCTTGACACTCTTCTACCAAGTGATGGCCTTGATCCCGTTATTTTTGCAACCCACTTTCCATAGGTTTGTGGGAGCACTCACTTCGTGTGGTTTTGCCTCGTTTTTATTCGGTTGGCATGTTCATGAAAAGGCCATACTACTCATAATATTCCCAATGACATTTGTGGTTACTCGGGACCGCCAGCTACTCAGCGCTTTCAACTTGCTTGCAAGCTGTGGTTACGTTTCGCTATTCCCCTTGATCTTTACTAGCGAGGAATGGCTCATCAAAGTGGTATTCACTTTATTGTGGTCGATAATCTTTTACTACCTTTTCAGAAATGTTTCCAGGATCCCAAAGCGAGCTGTTGCGCGCTCAGGCTACTTGTTGGAGAGAGTTATAAACGGCTACATACTAGGATTGGTGCCATTGGTGGTTCTTGTGAGTTTAATTGACGTTTTCGAACACAAGTACAGTGCACTCAAAAACATGGAGTTTCTCAAATTAATGATGGTGAGCGTGTATTGTGGAATAGGTGTGATTTCCAGCTGGAACCGGTTCAGTTGGTTGTTCTTTGTACATGACTCTATATGGAGAGACGACTAATAAATGTAATATAGCTGAGGTTACAGTCTCTATAGGCCTGATGTTGGCTAGCAATGGTTCTAGTTCCAGAAATGGTCGTGTGGTCTAGTTGGTTATGGCATCTGCTTAACACGCAGAACGTCCCCAGTTCGATCCTGGGCATGATCATTATTTTTTTGCAACCTCTCCCTTGGTCTCTAGCCATAGACCTGCTGCAAGAATACTACCTTCTAATGGCGGTTCTTCTTGTTTCTTTCTCTTTTCTCTTTTTCTTACATCACTTTGTTGTCATCTTGCATATTCGGTCCGTATGCAACCTGCAACCACCATAGCAATTAAGCTGCAGGTGCGCCAGATAAATAGAAGCTCCGTTTTTCTTTTCAGCAACCACCTAAAAAATGCCAGAAACGATCAGCGTGGGAAGATATCTCTTCGAAAGACTCCACCAAGCGCCCATAGGACTCAATTCCATCTTTGGGGTTCCTGGTGACTTTAACTTGACATTGCTCGATAAGATCGATGAAGTTGACGGACTTCAGTGGAGAGGCAACGCCAACGAATTGAATGCCGCATATGCTGCTGATGGGTACAGTCGTATCAAGAGTGCCATGGGAGATGGTTCCGGTGGGCTCGCGGCACTTGTGACAACTTTTGGTGTGGGTGAACTTTCTGCTCTCAACGGGGTGGCGGGTGCGTATGCTGAGCATGTTGGATTGGTCCATATTGTTGGAATTCCCTCAATTGCGTCTCAGCAGAAGCAATTGTTGCTCCACCATACGTTGGGGAACGGAAATTTCGATGTGTTTAGACATATGTCTGCTCATATTACTCAGACCACTGGGATTCTTCATGATGAATCGCAAGCAACTGCTGAGATCGACCGTTGTATCAGAGAGGCATATGTGAACCAGCGTCCCACCTACTTGGCATTCCCAACCAATATGGTTGACGTTCAGATTCCAATTGAGTCGTTGGACAAACCTCTTGACTTGTCGTTGCCCAAGAATGATGAGGGTTCAGAAGCCGAGGTTATCGAGAGAGTTTTGGATATGATATCCAATGCCAAAGACCCAGTTATCTTGGTGGATGCTTGTGCTGCTAGACACGATTGCACTCGTGAAGCCAAACAGCTCATTGAGTTGACCAAATTCAAGTTTGCTCTTACACCAATGGCCAAGGGCTCACGCCATATCCACGAAGACGACGACAGATTTGTGGGAACTTATGTTGGAACGTTGTCTTACCCTCAAACCAAAGAGGCGGTCGAAAGCTCAGACTTGGTATTGTCATTGGGCGCTATGCTCAGTGACTTCAACACTGGTTCCTTCTCTTACTCATATCAAACCAGCAATGTGGTTGAGTTCCACTCCGACTATACAAAAATCAAGAAGGCTCAATACCCCAATGTCAGAATGAAAGAGGTTTTGAACAAGATTTTGAAGAGCTCTCAACTCAAAGAAGCCATCAAGAACTATAAACCTGCTGAAATTAAAAAGGACCCTTTCCCCAAGGAAGATGTGGAACCAGCCTCCAAACTTACCCAGCACTACTTGTGGTCTGCTCTTTCTACCTGGTTGCGTGATGGTGATACCATTATCACTGAGACTGGAACTTCGTCGTTCGGTATCATCCAAACCAAATTTCCAAGAAATGCCGTGGGTATTTCTCAGGTGCTTTGGGGCTCGATTGGTTACTCTGTTGGTGCTGCTTGTGGTGCTGTAATGGCTGCTGAGGAGTTCGATCCAAAGAATAGAGTTATCTTGTTTGTTGGAGACGGTTCTTTGCAATTGACTGTTCAAGAGTTATCGTCTATGATTCGCTACAAGAACAAGCCATACATCTTCATTTTGAACAATTCAGGCTATACTATTGAGAAACTCATTCACGGCGAAACCGCAGAATACAACAATATTCAGCCTTGGAAACACCAGAAACTCTTGGAGACTTTTGGAGGAGAGGATATTGAGAATGTTCGTATCAATACCATCAAAGATTTGAACAACATTTTTTCAAGCCCCGAGTTCGCCAAGAATGATAAGATCAGAGTTATCGAATTAATGCTTGATGTGATGGATCTGCCTGAAAATTTGGTCCAACAGGCAGAATTACTGGCCAAAACTAACTCGGGTTAACGTATATACAATTTAGTACAAATAAGCTTAAATCTCTTTGCTATAAATATCGTTTGGGAAGAGAGACTCCCAATCTTCGTTGAATAGATCAGATGTCATAAGAACTGGAGGTCCACCAAAAAAGCCTAGGTCTTCATTATAGTTAATTGGTAGCTGCTGGTTCTCAGAATTGTAAGACTCCACCGATGTCGAAGACAAAATGCTCGAAGGGTCTTCAGTCTTGATACCACCGAGGTCGGTTATCTGTACAGCTGGAGAAGGTTGAGCTGACAGGTCGACCGATGTCAAATTTTTATGCAGTGGTACTTTGGGAATAGAAATACTTTCGTGGCTGTTTGTTGAGGGATTGGAATCATCGTCGTAACCAAGCTTTAACCTGATCAACTTGTAAGATTTTTCTGCCAATTTCCATGTTTTTGAACAATCTTGAAGAATATCCATGAAAAAGTGCAATAATTCTCTCTTCTTTGGGACAATGTGCTTGTCTCTATTGATCAATAAAAGTGCTGAAATAGAGAGAATGCAGCAGTAAACGATAAAAATCGACATACGTCGAGTTCCATGGATCTGTTTAAATCGCCGAATAGCAGCGTATAAATCTTCTATAGCCTCCATGCATACCACGGCAGGAGCCAAATGATGTTCCTCGATCATAGCCACATCTATACCCACAAAAGGACGATTGAGGCATAGAACCAAAATGTAGTAATAGTATCGTATTGTCAGCAAAGTTGGGTCTTCTCCCGTTGCTTCAAGCGAGCGACGGTCCCATTGCAAGTCACTTGGTAGCTTCCTTTTCCAGTCTTTGATCTGATAGTTATATTCTGACAATTTGTCCAACCTAGACGCAAGATTCAAATCTTCGTTATTACTAAGGTCTGGATCATTTTCCGTTCTCGTGAAGATATCATTAAGCATGTTCTCTGAGATTGTCGTGAGCGAGGTGATATTTCGTAAGGTTCCAGAAATCTTTGACATTTCCTTGCGAGGCTTTCCCTCGTCATTGGGACCTCTATACATGTAATCATCAATCCACTCCAAGTCTGGAAGGTGGTCTGTTTCCGGTATGGTTGCGTCAGATATTTTAAGCAAGGACGGACGTCCAAGTACCAAGCTAATAAAATGGTCAGCCATATAGCAGCCCCAATATATTCTGCTTCGAATAGCCACATCTAGAGGACTCAAATCGCTCTGTGAACGTACAAACCACACTTCTGGGTTCAATTGGAATCCCAAATCAAACCCCATCCGTATAGCATTTCCTGAGAGCATCCACCCTGAAGCGTTGGAACCGTTGCAAATATCGTAAAAAGCTAGAAGCAAGAAGCTCTGCAAAGAAGTTATGGAAGGTTGTTCGAGTTGCGCAAGAAGTATGTCACGAGCCTCCTGGTAGTACTTTCTTGATTTCTTGAATACCAGCTCGTTATCAGACATTCGTGCTCCCAAAGAGCATATACTGAGCACAAGTACTCGAGAACAGTAGAGACTAGCAGGTTTCGGGTTAAAGAAATCTATCAAGAACGCTTCTCGAAAAACGAACATATTATGGTCGGGATACTGCCACGTGAAGAACAATTTCAAGCAATGAATGATATCGGGATCTTTATTAAGTGCATTGATCATCGCCGTTTCTCGTTTTTTCACCAGTCTTTGATGTCTCGAAGCAATATCGCTATCGTAAACCGACATAGGACCATAAACAGATCGCGTGGGTACTGGATCGTCGATGTTATCTGCTGCTTCAGCACCATTTTGTGTTGGAGAAGGTGTCATTCCTGCTTGCTCTGTTGTTTCGTTCAAGAACTCTTCTAACGAATTGGACTCAAGAAAAGCTTTTCTGCTTTCTGGGTCCATAGACTTGAATTTCTCAAAGAAGCCGGTGAAAAGTCGCACCTGTCTTTCCAAAGAAACCACATAAGATGCTGGAGGACGTTTCTTTCTCATGTCGGAGGAAGTCCGTTCACATTCTACACCCAATCTTTTGCAATTAGTACAAGGTATCTTCAAGTCACACTTCACTTTTCGTATGCGACATCTTTGGCACGATAACACCTTTCCTGAATCGCCGTCAGAAGACCTCTTGCGAGGAGGCATTGTTGTTGTTAAAGTCTGCTCTTCATGATGTGGGGGATTATACGATACTGTGTGCAGGTCCGAAAACAGAGCCGAATACTGGAAAATGGGTGCGAATTAAGATGGGTAAGATTCGAAAATGGAAAAGCTGAAAAATGGGCGGATCTTCGAAAACGGTAAGTTTACAAGTGAATAGGGTAGTTGAGCGTTACTTGCGTTTTGCGTTATTTCCATATTTGCGTATTGTCTATAAAATATATTTTTTTCAATTATTTTCTCTCATTATTTTCTATCTGTCGGTTATTCTAGCTAGTTGAGAAAGAGAATCTGGTACGTTGTGTAGGTGACCACCACAATTCCCACTGCCACAAGAATCACATCAAACACTTTCAAAAACTTACCCACTTTAGTCTCTTGTTTGTCATATTGGTAGGTTTTCAAATGAATAAGTGGAGGATAAATGTACACCAATGGAATGCATGCAAAACAGCCGTTGAAAGATACAAACTTGTCGATGTTCTTTGAATTGACGTAAGCCAACGTGCATATCACGATGACAAACAAGGCTCGGAACAAATTCTTCAACCATTTGATGTTGGTAGAGTATTTTCCTGAACCATGGTACAATCTACCATCTTCATCTTTGAAACCTTTGTAGTCCGCCGACACAAGAAACCCAAAAAGAGTGGACTCTCCTATCTTGACTGCAGGAAACAATTGAAGCGGTGCCGTCAAAAATACGGCGCACGAATAGAGCACCATAATCATATTGACCGATAATCTATCGTTGGGCAAATTGAGAATAATGATCGACTTTACCTCTTCTCCAAATGCAGTGTAGCCAATGGTACCAATGCAAACAAATAAAGTGGTAATCAAAACCATACTTATGAACAAAACTTGAGGGAACTTTTCTGGTTTGGCCATGGAGGCTTCAATTGGTAAGATTAATCCTATTCCTTCGAATGCCGTAACTGCAACACCAATGAGCATAGACCAACTCTTGGAGTTGAAGTTCACAATATTGGGACCCAATCCTTGTTCAGCAAGTTGAAGACCGGAATAGTAAAAGATGATAAGAAGACCCACCACAATAAACACCGAAGATATTAAAGATATGAGTGATAATTTGGCCAAGTTTCGAATCAAAACGAGAGGAACCAAGAAAATACATTGAATGATGACAATGTTTGCTGTGGTCAAGTAAGGGCTGTCTATGCTGAGGAAATTGCGACAAAACGACGTCATGTTTTCCGCCGTGAATAAGATGTAAGTGGCAACGAACCCCACTTGCGAAATAATGATCGAGATCAATATACAAAACTTGAGTGGTTTACCATAAGTTTTGTAACCCAATTCACCAAACGATGACAAATTCAAAATCTTTTTCGTCTTGATGAGTATAATGTAACACATGAATGTCAAGAACCCGAAGAGGGAAAGTGTGAAGATGGAGAAAACAAGTCCTCCATTGCAAAATGCTCGAGGAAGAAAGAGAACTCCGGAACCCACAAGTGCTTTAAACACCAAAAAGTATGTCTTGGCAACAGATGCTGAACCCTTTGGTTGTTTTCGAGGTTGGGAGTTCGATTGTCCGTGTCTTCGATCGCCCAATAACAGAGATTCTTCATCGAAAACTTCATCATAGTTATCTTCATTAGTATCGTCTTCATCATTGAAATCTTCACCAGCAAAATGACCATAAATGCTCAAAAACTCCATAAAATTGCTGGTGAGAAAGTTTGGAGGTTCTTGGTTTTCCTTCAAGGACTTATTAATGAGAAACTCACGGCGGAATCCACCGGGAACATTTAGATCACTAGCAGTACTTTCTCTTCTGCGAGCTTCATCCAAGTATGTAGAAAATGAAGAGCTTCTTGTTCGTTTTGGTCGCTGGTCTTCATTCCGATATACGTGGTCCATTTGCTGGTATATGTGACGGGCCACGTCACCTCCTTGGTGTTTAAGAGTATCTTCTTGATTTACCAAGTGTTTCGAAACGGCCCTAAAATCGATGTCTTTATTGTTCAAAGTGCCATGAATAGAATCTTGCGTAGAGTTTGGAGAGCTCAGCGTCGGCACAGGAGGCGATCCCGTACGCTGGAAGCTGCTCGTAGACTCACGACTCATGGGAGTACCTGTGTGAGCCGGTTTGGACATGATGCATCAAGTGGTAAAACATCAAAATTGAGACTGTGGAGATGTAGCGAGGTCACGTGAGTTACCGCGCGGCATCAAAAGCGGTGGCTGCGGCTACGGCGGCTCCGACAAATGGGGCTGTCGTGGGTGGCTGAAAAATGCTGACCAAGCCTTCGCCAAAGCTGACGTGAGGCGGACCGCGCGAATATCCCCGGGAAATCTCGGGTGGAGGGCAAACCAGCCTCGGAGTTAGATGAGGAAACAAGACAACATACTTTAGTGGCATTCCGACTTCCACATGACTAAGTGTCAAAAGCGCAGGTTTTCTAAATTCCGGATTGTTGGTGGCTAAAAAAATTTCACTTCTCAAATATTCGTAATTTTTATCGCTATAACTAATCCGAACGTGCTTCGGTGCAGCATCCCCGATTCTAAAATTCCGCCGGCAATTATTGCGTGCAACGCCTCGGTATCCCCTCTGGGCTCGATGCGGCAACCCGCACATGACACTTTCGGAAACACTTCCCGGCATGCATATGCACCTCCTTTCTCCACGGTTGGTGGGGGATGCGGCGCGGCGATAGATGACTGGTATAAAGAGGAGACGACGACTCTTGTTGTTCAAACTATTGTTTATTATAAGCCGATAAAAGGTTATTTTTATTTCACGGGTACATTATAAATACCAAAATTGTGCCAGATATCAACGAATTAATCATATATTCCATCCAAAAAAAATAAGCGTGTTTTTTATACCGCCTTCCAACTTCCATGTTATACTCCTTTGACGATATCAATACCTTGGCTGTGGGTCCTTCGTTCGATCAGAACATTGACTATATGGATCCCAAGACCATTGATGACTTTCATTTGTACCAATGTTGGAGACAAAATAACTCCCAGTCAATCCGATGCTATCAAGATGATATTTCCGTTATCATTCCTTCCACCATTTCCCGCCGGCTAGAAAATGTGTGCTGGAGGCGATGGTACAAGTCGATCAAAAGCCTTGGAGAGATCCCTCCCAGCGAAATCAATTGGTATAAAGACCAAGATATCACATGGCTTTACGGCCCCAAATTCACTAATGATTCGAAATTCGAGTTGGTTCCAGAACCACAACTCACCGAAAAAAATCTCCACAACAACGATTTGCAAAGATGTGAAAGCGAAGACGATGTTTGTTCACACACGAGCTCGTTATCGTTAACTAATTTATCATGGTCACTGTCGTTGAGCGATCTTGAAGACTCCGATTTAAAATCTTCATTAAAAACAGCCTCTACTGGCAAACGCAAATCCGTCAAGTTTTGCGATATTGTCAATTCTCGAGAGATAATCAATGGCCGGCCCTTTGATTATGACTTTTTGGATATTAGAGCGTAATTACTACAACAGCATAATACACCATTGGACGTTCACTATTCAATCAATTTGTAGCTTTAACCCCTGTACCCTATCCGCTCCGCCGATACTGTGGCCATGTTGCTCTCGTCTTTTTCGCAATCATTCACATGGCTCGGCTGAGGGGATGGAAGCGCCCAGCCGCGCTGTCAGTTTCCCCTACGACCCGTTGGTCCTGCATCGGTGTTTTCGCTATTTAGTGCGCGTGGGTGCCGCACGGACGTGCATAATTTTCCTTCGCCTGCATTGGTGGAAAGCCGCTACGCGCAGTTGAGGAGAGACCTGCGCGGTTGAGGAGAAGCTGCAAATAGATTAATCCGTCAAGTTTCAAAAAACCGATTTCACTGGTATTTGCTAATAAGGTTGCTCCTCGTATCATACGCACCTCAACGCCATATTCGGTGTTCCTAATTTTAACCTAAACTAAAAAAATTTCGGCTAGGCCAATTAATCCGCGATGCGCTCGTAACCTTATCGTCGGTAGCCATTCCGCTTTGGGAAGTGGGGGCTGCGGAATGATAAAAAAAATGTCGGAGAACTACCTCCAATTTCAATTGCGGCTTGGAAGAATGCAGCTGGCGGGGAACCCCAAGTGGAGAATGCGGAAATAGAATTGCGGAGTCTATAAACGGATATTGCGAAGCTATTGTTGGGAATAGTAAATAAACTTTTCTCGGTGCATCTTAGCATCGAACTTTTTACTGAAAATTAGTATTAAATTATTTAGCTATCTTTAGGGTCAGGCGAGTAGGCATACCTAGAAAACTTTCTAATCCTTGCTCCATAATAGAAAAACAAATATGGAATAAGACAACATGCAAGACTTATAAATGCCATGAGACTGGTAGCCCATTCATAACCCAATCTGTGATACATTTGGATAGTGAACAATGGGACACAAGCACCCCAAATAGATCTCACAAAAGTTTTCGCGGCCAATGCACTAGCAGCATAATGCTGGTATGAGTCGACAATGTAATTGTTAGCAGGGTTGTACAAAGTACAGAAACCAATTCCAGCTCCAAATCCACTGAAGCATGGTCCAGCCCATGACACCAGGGGGTAGGAAGACCAAGCAAAACTGAATAAACTGGCAGGAATAAACCAGCAAGCAATCATCATGGGAATTAACCGAAGTTCAGCGGGTGGAATTTCTCCACGATCACGGTACTTTTGTGCCCTTTTATTATAGTCCTTGTTGACTAGGGGTGCTACAGCGGTAGCAGCTAACACTCCAACTCCAATAGGAATAAACATAATTCCTGTTTTGGAAGCGGACCATCCTTTACCTTCCATGTACACGATTGGGTAAGCAAAGAAAAACATGTAAAGGAGCCCATAAATGACAGACATGTACAAAGTGATCAAAAACACAATGAGTTCACTTAACAAGACAAAAGGTCTTAAGAGAGAGTCTTTGGCCACTTGTTGAAGGGTTCTAATTTTAAGTTCACATATAGCGCGATACTTTTCATCACCGGTTTGTTTGCGTAATTTCTTGGCTCTTCTCTTCAAGAGGGTATTGGCGTGAGTTTCAGGTACAAGAATCAATAACACGACATAAAATACCGCCGCAACGATCAAAAAGCACCAATAAATCCATCTCCAAGTGGGTGCAAAATCTCCCAAAAGACCACCGAAAATGGGACCCATTACCGGACCAAGAAAAAGGAGCTGCTGAAAAAATAGCCATGGCTTTTCCTCTCTCGGAATCTTTCCATCATATCAGCCAATGAACCCCCAATCAATGTCATGGGTGCTGAAAATGCGAGACCATCAATCAAACGGCACACAAGTAAGGTTGCAATATTCTGTGCTAATCCACAGGGGATGATAAATATGACTCCCAAAAAGAGAGTAACCGAATAAATTGGTTTTCTTCCAACTTCTTCGGACAACGGAGCAAATATACATGGTCCAAAGCCAAAACCAAGCACAAACATGGTGACTGAGGCAAGAATAATCACCTCTTCAGAAACACCAAATGTAGCCGCTGGTCCCTCCAAGTCACCTGTTACTATGGCAGATCCAAGAGCCACCACAAAACAAATTATTCCCAACACCACGGTAATCATCCACTTTCTTCCGGTACCGAAATTCTTAGGGTTCTGCTTGTCATCTTCTACAAACTCAACTATTCTTAACCCAGTTTTTTGGTCAATGCGGGTAATGCCATTTATCTTTTTCATGGTACGTCGGTATGAGGGTCTGGGTGTGACTGGTAGCGTTTTATATCATAAGGCTGTTCGAGTTCACCAAGGGCTCCAGCATCTCGCAGTAAATCGTCTACAACCCGCTTGACTTTTTCATTGGTGGCTATGTACTGGAGAACTTCTTCACTTTCAGAAGCCTTCTCGACGGGAGATGCTTTATTGGTGATACCCGAGCTAATTGAGTGGTTATCTGACTCCATCGTTTTGAAACCCTGGAGTCGTAGACCATACTATTTATACTGGTGAGTATAATGCAAGGTCGGCTGCAAAATGAGGCATTTTTCGCACGAGATGAGCCGCACCAGATATAGATGGTGGCTTACGATTTATTTAAAGGTGAGTTTCTTGTTCATAAAAATAGCTTTGGAACAGCTATAAAAGGCTGGTGGTGTACTAGAAGTGCCTAATAGTCAACACATCTTCCGCATACCCTTAAATGGTGCTATATCAGTAAGCCTGTTGGAAACTACATCCAGTGCACCAATTCTCGTTCCTGCACCCAAGACCCCGATCGGTTCAAACGGTCGGCACAACTTAGGGTTGAACGAGTTGAGTGATTTTTTTTGTTTTCATGAAGCACCGTTTCGGCGTTAGAAGATTTGAATAGCCGTGTAAGCGTGGAACGTATATAGGCAATACCCGGCACTTACATGTATTTTTTGCAGTGCTAGACCGAGATCTGCAACTTGAAGAAACCTAAGATTTTAATCTACTCAATGTTATTCTTGTTCAGATTTGCCACTCTTATCTTCTTTCTTGATCGTAATTGTGTACATATTCTGTCCTTCACTAATGAAACCGATGCGATTTTTCAGTCGCGCGCGTTTCGATCTCACCACTAATTCATGAACGTAGGCGATGCCGACGGTTCTGATTTTGATGACTTTGATATCGATATAGACCAGATTCGAGAATCCGAGGCGGCTGCAACTTCAAAGAAGACTCCAAACACATCTCAGGAAAGCTCGAATAATTGCCATCATGTAATAGACTACGACTCACTTTCCACCTACATTTATCCTACCAACTTGGAAGTACGTGATTACCAGTACAATATTGTTCAAAGGGCATTCTACGACAATCTTTTGGTGGCGCTTCCCACAGGTTTGGGTAAAACCTTCATTGCAAGCACAGTAATGCTCAATTTCTACCGATGGTTTCCTCAATCAAAAATCATATTTATGGCTCCCACGCGGCCATTGGTGGCTCAGCAAATCAAGGCGTGTTGCGGAATAACGGGACTTCCCTCTTCCAGCGTGGCAATTCTTTTGGATAAGACTCGACGAAACAGAGGAGAAATATGGAGATCCAAATCGGTGTTCTTCACCACTCCACAAGTGGTCGAAAATGACCTTGCTTCTGGCCTTGTGAACCCCAAGTCGATAGTGTTGCTTGTAATTGATGAAGCGCACCGAGCTCGTGGAAATTATGCATACAACAATGTTGCCAAATTCTTGAACCGGTTCAATTCCTCCTATCGTATTCTCGCCTTGACTGCGACACCGGCATCAGACGTCGAGGGTGTTCAGGAAGTTATTGACAATTTAAACATTTCGAAGGTTGAAGTGAGAACAGAAGAAAGCATAGACATTTTCCAAGTACATGAAGCGAAAACGAATTGAAAGAGTTTCTGTGGGTAGCTCTCTAGATATCCGAGAATGCGAAGAGTTACTAGCTGACGCTATTTCCCCGGTCTTGAAGCTTGCAAATCAGCGCAAAATCTACGACATGACTGATCCAAGGAAGATCAATGCATTTCTTGTGCTTTCAGCTCAGAAGCGCATACAGGCTGATCCCACTATTCCAGAAGGATTGAAATGGGCAAACTATTTTATATTACAGTTGTTGAATGTGGCAGGACAATGTTTCAGGCGACTTAATATTTACGGTATCAAGGCTTTCTATGACTATTTCTCTGAAAAGCACCGAGAGTTTACTACAAAACATAAGAAAAAAGCCTCAAAGAACAAGAACGCCGTTCAGTTTTATTTTCATCCCAGTATCATGGCTCTCCGCGATAAATGCCGTGCTCTTTCAAGTGATGGGGAAGGAACAGACCATCCTAAGTTGGAGGTTTTAATGAACGAGTTGGCTGTCTTTGGTGAGCATTGTGATGCCTTAGGATCGAGGGCTATCATATTCACAGAGTTTCGCCTGTCGGCTCTAGACATTGTAAACGCAATTGAAAAATTTGGACACGGATTGAAACCTCACATATTTATTGGACAAGCTAAGGAGAAAGAAAAGTTCGACGAAGATGCCTACTTGAGCAAAGGCAAGTCCAAAAAGAAGAAAACTGAAAGCAAATCAAGAGATTCGTCCCTATGTTGCTCGGTCAACGTCTGAGGTAGCACAGGCGAAAGGTATGAGTCAAAAAGTGCAAAAAGAGATTGTGAAAAAATTCAGACTGGGCGACATTAATGTTCTAGTTGCTACCTCTATTGGAGAAGAGGGTTTGGACATTGGAGAGGTCGATCTCATAGTATGTTATGACTCAACCAGTTCTCCAATAAAAAATATTCAACGGATGGGTCGAACAGGAAGAAAAAGAGACGGAAAAGTCCTACTTTTATTTTCAGGCAATGAAGAACTGAAATTTGACAAAGCCATGGGTGGGTATGAATACATTCAAAAACACATTATGGCTGGAAAAATGATCTCTTTGTTGCCTCGCAATCGAATAATACCTCAGTCGTTCACACCAATAGTGGAGAGACAATTCATAGAGATTCCGGAAGAGAACAATGAGATTAAAGAGGTGGAAGATGAGGACGAAATTATCCGTATTGCTACCACATATATGACTCAAGGAACTTCGAAACGAGCCACCACTAAGGTGACAAAAAAGCCTGCGAAACAATTCTTTATGCCAGACAACGTGGTCACCGGATTTCGGTCTGCTCATCAACTCGTCGATCCAGAAGCCAAGCCGTTAGCGACTGAAGAAAAGGAGTATCCAAGTTCGGGAAACGACACCTTGGAGAAAATACTACAACCCGATGATTCAAGTTCTGAATCAGAAGTGGAACAGACTTCTTACCGTAAAGAAGGTTCGACCAAAGCGCCAGACTATTTTCCAAGGCAACTGCGAAATGCTGCTTCGCTTGGCGTTCGTAAAGTGAGTCGTCAACCGACCTTGAAGGATTTCATTCGTGATCACCAAGAAGACCATCCCAAACAGTCTCACCACACTAGCTTACCAGAAACTGATGATAATGAAGAGGACAGTTTTGACGACGGCCTAGATGATGAACTTCTCCAGATTGCAAATACTACTCTGTCGTTCAATGACAAATTCAATTTGGAGCAGGAAGAACTTTACCCCAATAATTTCTCGCCTGAATCAGGCTTCTTGAACGAGGAGGAGCGCTTGGAGCTTTACACATCACATTATACAGAATTGTCTGCCAATGACATGGTTCTGTTTTACGATCCTACTGCCCAACTGCAACAATTTACCACTCGCTTTCTGGCTGCAAACCACAGCTACTTACAAGTATTGGAGTGCATAAGAAGAATGAAATACGAAGAATCACGCAAATTAATCTCGAACTACAAATCAATAACTGTTCAGGATTTCAAATCTGAAGTAATTGTTCCCGACTAAGACATAATGAATATCATGAATGGCATTTATCCTTCAGTGTAGGTGTACTGATCTTGAATTTTTTGTTCCAGAAACTTTTCGGTTACCCGGCACTCGTCTGCTGCTATAAAAGCATCGCATCCACCTCTGTTTCTTCATCTTTATGCAGGGATATTACGTGTATCAGTGAGGATTCGTCCGAGATCATGTTTTTGCTAGTTGAAAACTACAACCTGACAGCTCCTTGATGTGGTATCCTTGTGGTATCTGCGTCCAGGGAATTTTTGGAACTTTTTTTTTTCATTGAATGACACCTTTTTCAGGGGTCACCAATCCATTTAGGGACTTGCAGTGAGGACATTGCCTGTCTTTAAGGAATAACAAACTTTTCCACTGTAGTATGTAGATGCCTCGTGCCTCGCTCGGCTTGTCTTTCGCTTTTCAGGTCTTGAGCTGGATGCAACTTTTCTCAATTTGGGTAATGTTTGTAAGGGGCTAAAGCAAACACGGTTTCCTTTGAGTGCGATTACATCTGGCTCGTGCCTATGGTGGTATTGTAATTATAAACCTAGACATTTGGTTGATAAAAATCTAGGGCTATATTCGCTTATGTAATCTCGGACCCTAATTGAAAAATCGACTTTTGTAGAAAGTGATCATCATGTTCAAAAAATTCACCAAGGAAGATGTTCACTCTCGTTCCAATATCAAGTCGTCTGCTCAACGAGGTTTAAAGGCCAAATTTGTTGACCAGTACGAAGGGTTGGAGCCTGCCATAGACAATGTCATACCGAAAAAGTCACAGTTAACTTTGATCAAATGTGAAGACAAAATTCAATTGTATGCCTTAGATGGAGAGGTGGTGTTATTCCAGTACTTTGACGATCTCATTCCCACTTTGAAGACCGTACACAAGTATCCTCAGGGATTTCCTTCTGTACAAGTTGATCGTGGAGCAATCAAGTTTGTCTTGTCTGGAGCCAATGTGATGTCGCCTGGACTCACTTCTGCTGGAGGAAAGTTGCCTGAAGAGCCATTACCACAGAACAGCATAGTAGTGATATATGCTGAGGGAAAAGAACATGCTTTGGCCATTGGGAAGTTGTTAATGGGCACTGATGAAATCAAAGAAAAGAACAAGGGCATTGGTATTGAATTGGTTCACTATCTTGGTGATGGTTTATGGGATTTCACCGAGTAATGTCAATCAGCTGAACGAAACAAATATCTCTTGACCTTGCCGAAAACTGAATCTGTCGAGCAAAGCAATATCATCATCGAGGTATTGCTTCTCCTGGGTTTCAAGACCATCTATAAAATAGTATAATTCAAAATCGGGAACGGATACATGGAATAATCTTGCAACGACTCCTTTCAAGCGAAGAACTGTATTGTCAATGAGGAATTGTTTGACTTTCACATTTTCACCGTTTCGAATACGAATTTGAATTCTTTTCTTTGCTAGTTCGCTAATGTTGGACTTTGTAATCGTAGTGAAGTCTTCTATGTTGTGCTTCGTAGATATTTCTCGCCAGCGAGTACGATCCTGGTTTATATGAGCTCTGCCAGAACGAACTTGTGATATAAAATACAACTCTGCTTCGTGAATCTCTGATTTTTTGAGCTGCGACCCATTGAGACTTTCAAGTCCATTAGGACCACACTTGAAGCGTGCCATTGTTAGGAAAGTCATCTCATCAATTGACATTTCCTCAAAGAGAGGATTTCGATTAATGCGTAAATCTGTAAGCTGCGTTGCTGATTCTGAGAGTTGGTCCAAAAACTCCCAGTCGGCTATTTTGTTGCCTCTTAAATCGATGGACTTTGACGAGATATCTCCTAGTTTATAAGAAGATATCAAGTTTCCTTCCAAGTTTATGGAGGGAATGTTGGAGCAGGAAGAAGGAAAGGTGGTTAACTTGTTAAATGACAAATCAAGTCGGTTCAAAGTCGAGATGTTCAAACTCTTCAAGTCCGAGTCTTGATAGCCATTGCCTGCAAGTGAAACTTCTTCGATATTGGGGAACTTCTTTAATATCAAAGGTAGAATCTTGAACGGAAAATTGGATGCTGGGAGTCGAAGAATCTTCAACAGTTCATGGGGTGAACCACCACAAAAACATACATCTTCGACGTCAAAAAACCTATTACCGCCTATGCTGAGCTCCTCAAGCGTTGGAATGCAGTCAATTACTTCCCAAACTAATTTCAACAGATTGACGAGCGAAAAACTTATATCCAAGTACTTGAGATTTTTAAGCCTTGAAACAACAATTTTCTCTCCCTCAAGCAATGGAATTGCCACGTTACTTGCATCCAAAGAGACCGACAAGAGGGTTTCAAAATGGGCTTGATAATCACCTAGTTTGTCAAACCCATAATTCTCCGCTGTTTTTGTTCCGAACGTAATTGTTTCATTTTTAATCACTTGCTTTCCATACCTTTTCAATAGAGCTTGAGCAAATGTTAGTCGCTCATACTCTAGTTTGCCTGAATTTAGCTTTAGAAACGATCCAGCACCAGCAATTTCAGTTTGAAAGTAATGCTTGCCCTTGATATCTCCACTATTTTTTCCTCTTTCTGGTTTATCCCATTCCACCCCCACAACCAATTCTTCACCCCATATATCGGTTAGGTATCCTACGTACTTGACGGTTGCTAAAAAACCATCTTTACTTCGGACGCGGTCGTTTTTTGCAACCTCCATCCACAAGATACTAGCACAAAGAAATGAATATTTTTGCGACTGCGAAATTTCCAATCGGTACTGAAAATTGCAATGGTACATATATCTACACAATTTTCCTATGCTTTCTTTTCCGATGCTAATTATTCTGTGTTATCAAGACCAAAGTTGTCTCCGAGTAATCCATCCAAATCAAACTCTTTAGCCCAACTAGAAACAACCGTAGTTTGTGCAACCTTTGGTGGTTCAACTTCTCCTCTCAACGAACTTTTTGGGGCATCAGGTGCTGGGGTGTCAGTGGCCTTAGAAGCCTTTGGTATGGTCCAACCAATAAGTCTACCATCTCTCCAGTCGTTTAAAATAGCCAACGCTGCCGATTCCAAATTGGGAACTCCACCTCTACCAAGACGACCTCGGGTTCTCGCAACATGAATAAGTAAGTGCTTTGCAAACTCTTCAAGGTCCGAAGACGGTAATGGGGGAAGCTGGTAGTACTCTTTCATGCCATCAGCCATTTGAGGATCCTGAGAAAATTTCTTCAAAAGAAGCTTCACTGCAGAAGAAGGATCGGTGATTTGCTTGGGAGGAATTGCCGATAAAAGTGCCAACTTTGCTTCAGTACTGGACCTCAGTTTTTTAGCCAGAGACCACTCGTCGGGGAAAACAATACCAGGAGAGTCCAAAATCTTTAATTTGTTGTCAACTTTGACTTCTCTCATCGAGGTAGTTACACCTGCGAGATTTCCTACCGGACAAGCTTTAGCATTATTTCCGTGTCTGTTAGTTAAGGCGTTGATAATAGAAGACTTTCCAACATTGGGGTACCCAATCACACCAACAACAATTGAACGCTTCAAATTTGATTTTGCTGCATAGCTTTTCAATGCTTGAAGAAGGTTTTTGGCAGTGATCGAATTTGTGAGCTCTTTGTTGTGCGAGGTGGAATTGGTTGAGCCCATTGATGCTTTCACCGGCACGGTTGGGAAGGAAGATTTCAAAACGTTGAGCCATTGTTTCAAAACTGGAGCAGGAATAAGATCAACCTTGTTCAACACCAAGATCAACCGCTTACCAGGATTCTGAAGAACAGCTTGTTCCACTTTACGAGATCTGGTGGCTTCTGGATCTCTTGCATCCAAGACATATAGAACCACATCGGAAGCCTCAACAACATTCTTGAAGATTTTATCGTATAATTTACGAGATTGTTCCCATTCAGTTTTGGCATCCTCGTCGATTTCTGGTTCGCTGATATTGTACTCTACATCTTCGTCAGATACCTCCATATCAGAAGTCTCTTCGGGTTCTCCATCGTACTCCTTGGCTGCTTTTTGAGCAGATTCAAGCAATGCTCCAAGTCCGTTACCATCGTCAATGTCGTCTTCGTCGTTATCTTCCATTACCTCTTCGCCTCTAGCCAAAGCCTCCTCGCGCTCCAATTGTTTCTGGAGCCTCTGCTGTTCTTTCTTCTCTTTATCAGCTCTTCTACTCTCCTCTAACTCGCTGATAATCCGATCTTTATATGGAAAACTTGCAGGAATACCAGGGTCTTTTGGCTTTCTCGACTTCCATGTGACGTCCTTCTTAGCTTCTTTTCTATTTTTTCTGTGTTGAGCGGCAGCCTTCTTTTTGATACCTTCCCGCATGCGGGTCGTCACCCTTTTGGATGTCGGTTTCTTTACTCTCATGGTATAGGGTACTACTACTCGAAGCCGCGATGAGCGCTAAAAAAAAATATGGAGATGAGATTGTTATATGCACTACTTGATTTGCAACCGATAACAAGCCCTATGTGGAGTGGTCAATTTCGCTATCTTCAGGTTCCTCTGGTTCGTCTGGTTGTGAATACGGATTCAGACCCGCTCTTATGCGCCGAGAATTGTATCTTCCAGCGTATTCGTCATCCGAATCCAGTTCTGACTCGGCATGCAGTGAGACCTCATCCGCTGCAGCTTTGGCAAGATCCGGTCCTGGAACATTTTGGGCAACTTGGTCTATTTCAACCGCTCCTAAATGAGCAAGCAACTTCTTCCTAAAGGCATTCTTCACACCCCGTGCTTTCTCTGGAACTTTTTCTTTTGCATACTCATAAGCATCTTTTACATCGTCGCCTGTAATAACCACATTTACCAGATTTACCTCTGGATCAGCATTTGTAATGGAACGGAGCATGGCCATACCGGTCACTAAGAGTGATAAATATTTCATATTTCAGGGAAATTATTGTCTTTTTCAGAATAAATTTCGTTCGCAAACGTGAAACCACAAACAGCTTTCTACTTTTTGGCTCGCGCAACGGAAGTATCGCTCATAGTTCGAGAAAGTTTTTCTCTGCTTGAGTTATCGCCTATCGAATAGGAAAAACCGTAGGGACTCTTCTTAGGCACAACGAATGGTTTGTTGATAAAATTGTTGTATGTTCTTTGTCCACCTTCTACCGGTGAAGTCTCAGGGTCCTCAACGAGGTTAATATTAGATCTTGTTCGAAGTACTGAAAGTGCTGGTGTAGACGGCATGGAAGGAGACTGAGAGACTAAACCCTCTTCCAAGTCTATTTCGATATCATTGGGACGTCGTGAAGCAGTCTGAGGAAATAAGGAATGTAAAAATGAATAATGTGGTACCGAATCTTGAAACTTTCTCTTCAATTGAAGGTAGCCAGGAATGGGGACGATTTTGGTACCGAATAAATGTCTTAATTTTGCTCCACCAATGACGTATACGAGAGCGAAGAAAATGATGAGAGAGAAAACATGCCACATGCCAAAATGTTCATCCTTTTCTGTGTCTTGAGGGGTCTTGAAACTTTTAGGAATGGAGCCCGCGGCTATGAACGCTTTGCCTGAAAGGTCACTAGGCTTGATCCCAATTGTTGGTGCATCTTGACTATCTGGTTGTATTCTGGACGATGCGTACAAGAGAACTTTTCCTAATGTCCATGAAAGTTCCTCTCCGTTAATGGAGTCTGCTGACTTGAAAGGAACATGTGTTTTTTCAATCTTATCCATCGTCTCTTTGTCCTTCTCGTTGCTATCGCCAGAAGTCTCCAACCCTAATCTCGGAAGTTCAAACCCTTCGTGCAAAATGTCTAAAACCCAGCTAGCTTTAAAACATGCATCTTTCAAAAACTTTTCTGGGTCAAGATTGGAATATTTGCCAGTTTCTGAATTCTTCAAGATATCCTTCCAGTTACTCTCACAGTACTCTTTAACCTTTTCGTTGAAACTGTGGTAGTTGTACTCTCCTCCACTTTGAAACACATCATTTGCAGTATACCAGTATTCAGAAATACCGACAAATTTGTCTCTTTCAAAATTGAGTTTCGGACCGTGAACTCCATTGAACAAACAGGGTTCTTCAGGACAAGGTATATTTTTTTGAAGAAGCGGGTAAATTGTCTTGAGGCAAACTTCGTAGTTTCCAGTTCCTTTAATGGTATATTTTCCCTCCTTAACGTTATACTTGAGCTCTGCGCCCTTTGGCATACAAGGATCATTGATGACATTTTTCAAGTCGGAATTCACCAATGCAAGGTTGATAAGCTGATTCAAGTATCGCTTGCGAGCCTCATTGGCTCCAAATCCGAGCCAGGTTTGAACAAAAAGTTTCCATTCCTGAGTAACTCCATTAATGTTTCTAAGCGTTACAGTGGACAAGTCTTCGTCGTGTTTTTTTATTTCCTCAGCAGAAGAAGGAACGAAAGCAATTTGGGTAGAGGCGCCACCCATATCCATAAACCCAATTGACTCGTGGACCTCGCTGCCTGGCGAGTAATTTGAAAACTGACCCATCAAATAATTCAATGCGAGCCAGCCGTAGATACCTTCAGTTTCTCCATCTATGATTTGAACGTTTTCACTGCAATTGGGAATACTAAACTTTGTCTTCTTCCGTAACACACTACAGGTTTTTTTCAAGATTTTTTTCTGGTCTGAGCTCTTCAATAAACGCATTCCCGCAGTTGCTAAAACGAAAACTGGGGTATCTTGATGCTTATCGGCTGGTATGATTGATTCGGCGTGTTCCATAAGATCTTCAAAGTGATCATCCCAGATTTTGTCTACTCTCTTACCACCAAATGTGGATATACCTGGACTGGTTTTTCGGGACCATCCTTTCTCTTGGACGATTTTAGGTGGTGACGATACCACTTCTTCTTTGGCACCTTTCATGGCAGAGTCGGCATTCTGCCACTTGTAGATCTGGATACGTGATCCTGACGATCCAGCATCTATCACTATACCATATTGGTCACCAGAATCCTTGCTTGGGAGCCTCATTAAATCGTATGAGTCTTTGCAATGATTTCAACTTTTCTCAAGTTCGCACTGATTTTCATTGAAATTCAGGTAGCTTTCCTGATAAAGCTTACAGGCAGACGTTAATACACCACTGCCTCCAGCGATGATTGTCCTTCCAGGGACACCATTTTTGTCAAACACAAAGAGAAAAGTAACAAATTTACCTCCAGAATTGACTTCAGCAAGAACACAGCTCGTGGATATATCATTAGAAAGTCGCCATGATTTCATATTGTATTTGAACTTATTGAATAACTACCTTGAAACCATCTTCCAATACGTGTCCACGAAAGATCACCAGCTGCTACTGTCTAGCATACATTTTGCAGAGTCCATTATAATTTCGGATACTGTTCCATGGCATGGAATTGAACGTCCTAAAGTGGCATTTGGAAAGAAACTGGAAGCCATTTCTTGGACATTAATGCATGAAATCGTCACAGTTGCTGCTGCTATGAGTCTCAACCATTCCTGTTTATCGTCCAAAATCATTGATGACTTGGTGGAAACGGAACCTGAGAATCTTAAAGATACAGCTGAAGCATGGACACCCGTTATTAAGCAGTACAAAAGCGCAGTTTCTCTCGCTAACTTTGGTCTAGAATGCTTGAGTCATGCTAGCACTCTGGATCTAGTTGCCATTGACCCTAATTGCTTTATCCTTCTTGAAAAAACGGCCAACGTCAGTACCCAGATCTCCATGCTTGTGAAGTCTTCATGGCTTAATCGACTTGATTTCAATAGAGCAGGCTCCTTCAGCACAAAAAATAATGGTACCTTGTCTCGAGTCGCCATATATGCCCTTGATGAATTGAAATTCTGTCAAAAACTTGTCGGTAGCTTTGACAGAAACTGCATTTTTTTCCGCCATGAAAATTGGCTCTCATACTTGAACCTCATGCAGAGTTACGCAACAGCTTACTCTGTTCTCTTTCTTTCAATTGACTATTACCAGCAGTCCAAACTAGGACTAGCGCTTGGTTTGATAAATTATGGTCTATTATCCCTTCAAGCAAAACAGATGGAAAAGCCCGGCAAAAACAAGAATATAGTGACCAGGTTTAAGACCAAGTTTGCCTCGCACAAGAATGAGCTGTATATTAAAGATTTACAGTCTGTGACCACCTTGAATATTGATAAGCTGCTTTTCAAATCGAGCTCCGGAGCCTTTTTGAAAGATCTTACTTTTCTTTTCGATCAGCTTATTCAGCTACATTTAAAACTAACAAAAGAGAATGATAACTTGTTTTTTGAAGATATAGTTGACTGGAAGGATGCCAAAAAAGACACAAAGTGGCCGACGGGTGCGGCCATTCCAACATCAACTGTGGACACTTTCCTACCCCAGTCTTTGCTAGAAGGTAAAAGGCAAGCGTAGTTCGATAAATAAACCGTAATAATAAGCAACATCGACAAGAAATCGTCATTAGAGTATGTAACCTTGAAATCTGTCTCTCCGTTACTTTCGCATTATTTCTAATTGTTGCAAAAATTTGAATTCTTGAAAACAAGTTTAAAATCGGTATTAATTCAAATAATGGTAAAATAAGATTGAAGAACAAATAAAAACCAATTGGGATTAAAAACTGTTTCTTTAGTTAATGTTGTCTCACTAAACCCAGTTAATACGCAATTGAACTATATTTTTCGTTCATCGTGTGTTGCAAAATTGCATCTCTTTAGAGTATTTAGAAGAGGTATTAGGAGCCAAAAAAGTGTAAAGAAATACGTTGTATAATTACAGTACTATTTGTTCAACACTCACCAGACCTTTAGTATATGGAAGCAAACATGGAGTGAATGTCTTGCTTTGAGATGTTATAATCAATGTCCCGGTCAAAATCATGACGAAGAATGTTGTTTAACCTGGTGAAATAGTCGGCAAACTTTCTCTCCATATCCTTCCAAAGCCTATCAAGCAAATCCTTTTCAAGCATGTCATTACCAGTAACGAAATGCTTCTCCAATTTCTTGTGCAACTCTTGTGCTTTTGCCGTTACATCCTTATTGGTGTATGCAGATAACAAGGTTTTGACATATTTTTTGTTGTACTTCTTTGATTTGCCATCACCCATGTTACTCAAGGACTCATAGTTGGTAACAAATTCAATCAACTTTCCAATTGACTTGGATAAAATTTTTTGGAAATAGACGTCCTGAACTTTGTTGAAAATGCCTCCTAACTGACTTCTCATGGAATTGACTCTCTTCAAGTTGAAAACAGAGAGTTGCTCAGTAACATAGAACAAGTTCTGAAGGATGCTCACATTTCTTAATTCTCTCTCCTTATCATCAAATTCATGCTTCTTCAAAAGAGGATCGTCCCTCATGAACAAATGAATAATAGCCTCTGTCAACTGCTTGTAGGTATCATCGAGTAGAGAACGAGTGAGTGTGTCAGAAGGCTCATTCATACCCCTGGAAGTTTGTTCAAGCGATGACTCGGCCACCAATAAAAGTTGTACAGCATTCTTCATAGAAGGTAATACACCGCATCCAGCCACAACGGTGGACTTGTTTATAATTTCGACTTGGGTCCGGACAAACTTATTCCAGTTGCCCTTGTACTTTTCGCTGATCTTTTTGAATACATCCACGCAGAAAATATTTTCGTGGTTTTCTTCATTTTCCAAGATGTAAGTCTCCAAATATGCAAGTATGACTGGAAGTGTCAAGTCGGCAACATTAACTTTTTGCAATAAGACGTTGAGATATCCTCCAAATACACCGTTCAAATTTGCAATTAAATCATTGGTAAACGTTTTTGTGACTGCATCATCCAATGTCGTATTGTCCAATGCTCTTCGTCTTTGAGAAAATGGAAATTGCTTCATAAAATCTTGAAAGTCTAAGACGTTGTTGTCGTAATGAAACATGCTCGCAAGGAAGAATTGGAGTACTGTAATCAAATCTTTCGTTTCATTGAGTAGTTCGATGACAGCCCTGGGGTCTTCCACCTCAGAGGAATTCTTGTTTGAAATGGTATCGACGTGAAATTCAGGCAGTCCTTCAGCCAGCGACCGCTTGTGCAAAAAGCGCTCCTTTCTCGCTGACAAGCGAAGTGTTCGAGATCTCCGTGTCAGCGTCTGTTCGAGTACTTTCGAAACATGTGAAACTCCAGTTGAAGAGTTTTTTATCGTTCTTACCCTTCCAATAAGTACCTTTTCTAAGATAGTGCTCATTTTCTCTGTAAAGATGCCATTCAAATCCAAAAAGTCAGAAATCGAAACATCCTTCAAGAAAAAGACAAAACTGGAGTATATCAATTGGTTGCTTAGCTCGTGATAAATTGCGCTCGGGTAGAATTTGTCACTGGCACTGTTTAACTGCTCAAAAAGTAAGTCAAACTGGCTTTCCATAAACTTGAGGAAATGCTTTGTGAACCTCGTAGTTACAGATTCATATTTGCTTTGATATTGGGTCAATGCTTTCATTGTACCAAGGCCAGTGGGCTTCGAATCTTCTTCAAAATCATTTCTTATAGCGCCCAAAGCATAATGCAAATCAAGCAACTTTTCTTCCAAGGGCTCGAGCAAATTCAACCGATCAAACTGCGTGAACGATTCTATATCCCGAAGATCATCGGCGTTGATCGAAATCTTACTCAATACTCCTTTGAGGTCATTGTATAGTAACTTCTTGTTTATGGATTTGACTTGTAAACCCTTCGAGTCATTTTCGATGGAGTTGATTTCATGAGAAAGGAACTTGAAACCTAACTCAGCGCGCTTGAAAACGGTTGACAAGTTTGAGAGCTCGTTCAAAGAATCGGTCATATCCTTTGATATGCTATTGTGACCAAAGTCCAAAGTCACGAGCTGCTTCACGTTGTTGTACTTGAGTGCGCTCAATTCATGTGACAACTTTTTGATTAAGATATCGCCATTGTCTGATGTTGACCAATTAATATCATCCAAGATCTCCTCCACCTCTGCATCCTTCTCACCCATGAGACCCGAATCGATTTTCGATTTCAGTTTTAACTCTAAAGGACGATGGTTTTCGGTAGAATTATCTTCCTGGGAATAGCTAGTCTCTTCAATAGTTTCGTCGAGTGTAGATGAATTCAATTCCCTTGAGATCTCTGCAGTTCGATTGAACAGGTCGTGATGGCCGTCAAAGTTCAATTGAGAGTCCATGAAGTCTTCAATATCTTGAATCGAGCTATCAATTGCATTTGTAGTATCGTCACCAAGTTTTGTGGACTCTTCTATGAAATCGTCATTTTTTTCTGGCTCGATGCGCTTCAGTTGAAGAGCAGGCTCGTCGATATCATCATCTTCAACCTCCTCAATTCCAAAGTCTGGCGAATCGTTGGGTTGAACAGCCAGTCTTTGTCGCTGATGCCCACGCAGACTTTGCCTTCTATGAGACCTTGAAGATGAGGATTTTCCCAGAAGTTTATCTTCTAGCTGCATTCCTAAGGCTGCTGAAGACTCCATATTCTCCGAGACTTTACGAGCATTCTGCTCTGTTGAATCAGCACGGTGTTTGTAATTGCGCAATGGTGAATTTCTTCCACCAGACGTGCGTACGTAGTCTTGCAACCTCTCTGGCAGATATGGCTCCTTTTGTGTAGAAGCTGTGTTCGGTGTGAAGACAAAACTGTGGGAGTCATTAGCCGAGTCGTCTGACTTATGGGATCGAGCAGCAGAATGGTCTTGGTCTAAGTTTGATGATTCAGCGACGTTCTCTTTGCTTAAATCCAGATAGAATGTATGCTGACTTCTGTCCAGTTGCAAGCGTCTGTAATCAGAGGAGGCCAGATCGTTGACACTTGTCACTGACGAGTTGGCCAGAGGTCTATCTACCAGCATGACCTTCATGGGCTTGGAAGGTAAATTACCATTGGCAGTAAAGTCCAAATCCGTGTAGAGGTTATTGGCTTGTGGAGAGTCCGCATTTTGCGGTTGAGGCGGCAATACCGGGTTGGGTAGGTTTTTTCTTTTCAATGATCTCGTTTTCAATAGTTGTGGATTTGGACGTGGCTCGTTGAGTTGGATATCTTCAGAGTGCGGAGCCACTGCATCGCCAGTCGGTTTTTTTTGAATGGGAGGAAGCTTCAAGTCCTGCAAAGTGTAGCCATTGAGCACAGGATAGCGACCCATAAACGCTCCATAGGCCTGCGCTAAATGCCTAGCAAATTTCACCGCTCGTTCGGCGCTCTCTGGAATTAACCAGTAATAGTCTTTGTTCAAGGACAAGATGATGCCTCTTTCTCCGGCTCGAGTAATGGCTTTAAGTTCGTCCATATCCCACGTTCGTCCAAGTTGATACACATTTTTGCTGTCGTTGAGTTTACCTTTTTGGATCAACGTTCGTCCAGTATAGCGGGTGCAGATGGTCAAGATTCTGTCTTTAGGCGTTCCAACTTGGCTGGGCGGAAGATTAGGTGGCGGAGGATGCGTGGGAAATGCAGAATACTCGCGGACATTGACGTGGGTTTGATATGATGCTTCAGTGACTCGCTTTCCATTCTTATCGAGAACCACCTTTGAGTAGCAATCGGCAATTATCTTATCAACTTGCATCCTACGCATTCTTGCTGGGTCCTGGGGACCCGGAGGAGGACCCTGGGGACGGTATCCTGCTGGTCTGGGTGCCTGGAAACCAGGTCTGGGAACCTGATTTGTTGACGGACCTGGGGCTCGTTGTTGGGGACCACGAGGATAGTTCATGGCAATTTAAGGTAGACTACGAAGAACAATGCCAATGGGAATATAGATAATGGTCCAGATTGCCTGTAGGGTTGGTGTATAGCACTAATAATCGAGGTCTATTTGTTGGCAAGGTTGATTGTAGATTGTTTTTTTGTTTTTCGCGGTGAGTGGAGTGCAGCAGATCTGCTGGTGCGACGATATGCATTCTGTTATGGTACATTGGCTACCTATTCTACTCTAACTTCGCTCTAATCCGTTCTCAGAGCTTATTCTGGTCTCCTTATCTCACTCTTCTTCTTTTTCTCACTTCTTCTTCTTGTTCTTCTTCTCACTCTTCTCAATCTTGTCGTCCACAACCTCAGCAGCCTTTTCGATCCGATCAACCTGGTAGCCCCATACTTCCGCCAAGCTGTTTCCCCTTTCAGTCATAGCATTCAATCTCCTTCTTAATGCCTCATTAAAGCATATTTCTTGGGCTACTGGAAAGAACAGTTGGGCCCATCCTTTTTTATATGATTCACATTCTTGAACAATTTGCTTGATCTCAATTTCCTGGAACTTAGCCTGGAATTCAAACTGACGGAACACGTCGTCTCCAATGAGTCCTTCCTGATATAAACGGTTAAATATGGGTTCGTTCTCTTTGAGCTTCAACGATCTGCGAATGGCTTCAACACCCCGACGCAACAAAGCTGCTTTCATCACTTTTTCATGTGGTTTCTGGTCTTTGGGAACTTCAGGGTCCACGTATTGCAGCTTCAAAAAGGCATAAAGAGAAGCTGGATGATTCTCTTTGAAAATGGGCTCGATTTCCGCCAACTTTTGGATCTTATTACGTCTATAAAAAATCGAAAACATCACAAACGCACCAAGAAGCACCCCCACATAGATCAACGGAGTGACCACGGAGATCTTGATTTGTTCCTGTGTCGTTTCCTCGTCCATGTTTAAGAGAGTAAGACGGCTTGCAACTAAAATTTCCACGTAGCGACTTGGCAGTGCGTGCAGGACAACAGAATACAAGCAGAACATACTGTGAAAAAAGTTCAAATACGAAGAGAATAGATGATGTGAAGGAAGATTGATCTCATACAACCAGAATCAACCTTGACTATTTTCTTCAAGCGAAAACTCGTTCTATAACTGTAATTAAATTCGTATTCTCATTCCATTTTCTCCTCTTTTTCTACCATCCTCCGCATTTGCGGACTCGAAGGCCCAAATACTTTGCTAGTTCGTCATGGTACTCATCGACTTCTTTTACGCTGAGATTTTCCATTCTTTTCCAGAATTCTTCTTCACTTTCACCATTACTTTCGTTTCCAGGTTGAAAGTTTTCAGGTAAAACTTCCTTGATAATTTCATAGAAGTGACACAATTGAACAATACTCTTCTTGTCGAGGCTCTTGAACTCTCCTACAGTCTTAGGGAGCAATTCCAGTGGAGTTTCACCGTCCTGGTTGGTGATGGGTGCAATTAGTCCATCATCATTTTCAACCGATAAATGACAATTGAACATTCTCCGTGTAGTTCTTTCTTCCAAAGCATCCAATTGACCCTGGAGTTCGCCCACAAGTTGCACAATGTCGTCATTGGTGATATAATCTTCCATGTCAATTTTCGATCCACCGCCGCCCATCACTTCCTTTACATTTTTAACTTGCATGGAAACCAATTGTTCTCCTGTTTTGCCAATCATCTTGGCCTGCTTCTCGACATACGCCGTCAAGGCGTCTACCCTTTTGGACAAGTATTGAACTTCTGACATGTTGTTAAGTAGTTGTCTTCTCTCTCCACGTCGCGGAAAATCTGCAGGAACCGCACCGCAATGACGTCACGAGCAATCTATACCAGATTATCGACCGCTTACGTGACGAGATCCCGTTGAAAGCCCGTGACAATTTGATAACACTCAATTCGCCTATAGCATGTCTGACAAAGTTCAATTGATAGCACAGCCAGAACAGGCCGACCGTAGGCCCCTGGCTCAGGAAACTCTTGAAAAACTCCAAAAACTCGCAGATGAAAATTCAGTGGAGAACAAAGAAGACAAAGAAGAACCTGCAGAATTAAAGCGTTCTCCTAGTCCTTCGAGGGTATATTCTCATGAAACTGTTCATAAGAGTGGTAAGAAGAATGACAATGGGTCCGAAAAGGAGACCAAAAAGGAGAGCGAAAAGGAAGACGAGAGCGAAGGAGAATATGACGCTGATGGGTTCAAGATTCCCGCCGGTAAAATACCGTTGGATGGCCATTTCTCTGCACGAGAGGTTGACCAATTGATTCTGATGGCACAAGATGAGGGTCTTTTGGATGAAGATGTGCGAATGAAGGTGCTTGAAAGAAACCAGATAGGTGATAAAGTTATCATTCTGGAAGAGCCCCCAGAAAGTGAAGAACAAGATGAAACCAAGGAGGAAGCGAAGAAGAACCAAGAACAAGATAAGAAAGAAAAGAACAAATGAAGAACCAAGTATAGAATCCATGAAGCCCTCGCTAGTACGACCTGGGTGTAGACCCTTTATGAGTAAATATATCGCATGTTGTAACTATCATATGAAACAATCAAAGGACTAAACGTGAGCATATTCACTCCCTATTTGATCATTCTCATTCATTTTTCTCAGCCCAATGGCTTATTTTGACCCAATACTGGGCCTCTGCACCTCGCTTGTTCTCCTGCCTTTTTTGCACCCAAGTCGCACCGCGAGAAAAAAAGCCTCGTCTTCATCGGGTTTCCACCACTTATCATTTCTCCACCACGCCCCTAATACCGCCGTTGCCGCCTCAATCCTCAATTGGCCTCCCACTAAAGAACCAATAAAGATGGCCAGACAACGTTATGCTCGAATATATTCACATGGTATTGCCGTGGTGGGCATCATAGTATTCATCCTGACGGCCCATTTATTCACCCAAACTTTGGAAGGGGCTGACTCGCCTGGGTGCCGCCAGGTGTTCATGGGCCCGTCTTATGCTCGGATCCGTGCCTTTGACGAATCGCATACAAAATTTGCATCCAAATATTCATTGTACTTGTATCGAGAACAGGGTAAAGATCCTCTTCCAGCAGACAATGCTGCTGAATTTCTCGATGGTATTCCTGCTTTATTTATCCCTGGAAACGCTGGAAGCTACCGCCAGGTCAGATCAATAGCGGCAGAAACTTCCAATTTGTATTTTGACGATAACGTCGGTGCCAAAAATTATGACTTTTTTTCCGCCGAGTTTAACGAGGACTTTTCTGCATTCCATGGTCGAACTTTGCTCGACCAGGCCGAGTTTTTGAATGAAGCCATCAAGTACATTCTTTTTCTTTACAGTTCCAAACCAAATCCTCCAAAATCGGTGCTTTTACTTGGACATTCAATGGGCGGAATAGTAGCAAGAGTCATGCTCACATTGCCGAATTACATCGAAGATTCAGTTCAGACTATAGTGACGTTGGCTTCGCCTCACGCAGCAGCTCCACTTACTACTGATGGTGACATCTTGCGTCTTTACTCTGCAATTGACAGATTTTGGTACGAAGGATATCACCTTCCCAAAGACTCCATTCAAAACCGACGCTTACTGAACGTGACTCTCATATCGATTACTGGGGGTCTACTAGACAATACTCTTCCTGCCGACTACACAACTTTGGGATTTCTTGTTCCTGAGTCTCATGGATTCACCGTTTACACTACTGGCATAAACCACGTTTGGACTCCGGTGGACCATCTAGCAATTGTATGGTGCAGCCAGCTTCGTACTCAAATTCTGCGAATGTTATTGGAATTTGCCGACGACAAGGTCCCTACTAAACAGAAACCATTGCAAGATAGAATGAAAATTGCCAGAAGACGATTGCTCACAGGATTTGAAGATGTTTGCAATCAAGATAAAAATATTCAAAACACTCTGCTGGACAGAGCAATTCAACTAGTAGTTGACGACTCGCAAGTCAAGTTCTTGCAGAGTCACGAACAGTTGCGCATATCGGAACCAACCCCAAAACTTATCCATGCTTTTGATCTTAGCGACCAAACAAGTTTTAGTCTTGTCAGCTCAAATATTCAATCGTGGAACAAGTTTGCGGAAAACCGTCGTCATGTTTCCGTCTTACTATGTAACAAATACCTGAAAGAGGTACCAACTTCGAAGGTATTTGTGCTAAGTGACCAAGAATCTAGCGACAAACTTACTTATGTCTGCTTTGATGCAAAGGACGATACTCATGTCATACCCAACTCAAAAGCTGACACACTCAGAGAAACTTCCAGCGGTGGAAGAAAACAACCATTTGACGCAATACGGTATAACAGTAAAGACTTGGCATCTTATGAATACGCATTCATTTTCACCGGTGAATCAGAAGATTTTGTGGCTGCTGATGTGAAACCAGACTTGGAACTCGTTGCCTCAGAGAGTCTCCTGTCCCTAATTTTGGGAGATACAAACATTGAAATACCTCTGGACCGTCCATTGGTATCCAATATCAAGGTACGTGGGGCATGGAGCAGTATCTTGGCATATAGACTCAGCTTTGATGGGTACAGAGGAGAAAATGAGCCGTTTGCTCCATTATTGAGACAATGGAAATCCAACCCATATGAAACAAAATGGCATCTACAACCAACCAATGTCTTGCTCACCGTCCATGGTGTTGCTCCATTCACACCGTTCAAGTACGACATGAAAAATCACGACCAAGGGCTTAATCTTGAGTTGTGGTCGGTATCAGAACCGAGCCAGCAAAGATTGCGTTTGACGTTGAAAGTTGACATAATACTGAGCTTGCGGTTGCTCGTTTTACGTTACCGTCTTGCAATCATAGCCTTTTGTGTTGCGATCACACTAGCCGTATTCGCGATTCAAATGAACACTTTTCTTCAATCCAAGACGTTTCCAGGTTTTTCCTATGCCTTATCCGAATTGACTTCGCCCAAAATATTTGGCTTATGTTGCTTGGTTCTTTCAATTTTGACCCCTCTTGCCAGATTACCAACGGTGCAAAAGATCTTGGATATGGTGGACCCTGTGGTACTTCAAGATAGAAACGAGATCAATATGAGTTTGCATACTGACTTCAAGCTCAATTCATATTATCTTGGACTCGAGGAAAATACCCTTTGGTTTGTGGGTCCACTTTTCTACATCATTGGTGTGGGCATTGTCAGTTTAACTTACTGGATAATGTATGGAGCTACAATTTTGTTGAGTTTCATTATTTTACGCTTTTCTAAAAAGCCAAATAAAAAGGAAATCAACGACAAGGAAACCATTGAAGTTAACTCATACGACAGAAACAGAATATTGCTATTCCTTGCCGCTTGTTTCTGCACTTCAATTTACCTTCCGTACCAACTAGCATATGTTGTATGTTGCATTATCCAGGCAGTAGTTGTGGTGAAATTGAGTTGCACAGGAAATCGAAGCTTGATCAACTATCATATGACAGTGTTGCTTTTGATGATTTGGGTTCTTCCCATAAATATTCCCGTGATAATCGTGTTTGTTCATAATCTCAGTGTGGATTGGACTACTCCATTTTCTTCTCATCACAATTTTTTGGCGATTTTGCCAATTATGTTGGTGGTGGGCAGACATGCCAATAGAAACTACTTGCCAAAGTTTGAAAAAGGCAGTGCTGGACTTAAAGTGTTTTACGGCTATATCGGGTACTTTACCTTATACTGTCTTGTATACGGTATCCGGCACACATTTTGGATCCACCATTTATTAAACTTGATGTTTTGCATCTTGTTCATTCAAGAAGTGGAAACCAATAATTAGATTACAATCAAAATCATAAGGAATATCTTAATTATTCATTACTAATATACACAACCCAAGGGTTTAAGACAGCGGACAATCTTAGTTAGCAGCAGAAGAGTACTTGGTGATGGTTCTGGTAGCCTCAGAAACAGCGTGCTTGGCCAATTCACCGGGCAAGATCAATCTAACAGCAGTTTGGATTTCTCTAGCAGAGATGGTGGACTTCTTGTTGTAAGCAGCCAACTTGGAAGCCTCAGAAGCAACTCTCTCAAAGATATCGTTAACAAAAGAGTTCATGATAGACATGGCCTTTTGCGAGATACCAGTGTCAGGGTGAGTTTGCTTCAACACCTTGTAGATGTAAGAAGAGTAAGTCTCCTTTCTGGTCTTGGTTCTCTTCTTGGAGTCAGAAGAAGCAGTCTTCTTAGCAGCTGGTTTCTTCTCAGCTGGAGCCTTGGAAGCGGGTTTCTTTTCAGCCTTTGGTGCCATGATCGAATTTGTTAGTTTAATAAAAACACCAGAAAAAAATTCTCAACCAGTGACGATCCCTTTATATATTAATGAATCAACCAAAACATGGAGTCTGCCGCGATCACGGTGAGGGTGGCGGGGAGTCGTGTTACCCGCCGCAAACCCGTCCGCGCGCAGTGCGAAGTTGGGACTGAGAGTTACCCAGCGCCCGAGTAAGTACTGGCACTAACATTCGCACTCGGCACCATGGAAATGCGGTGGTTTCAGCAACGCGTAAAAGAAGGTACGGTGCGTAGTTGTGCGCCCGCGTCTGGCGCCGCGTAGTGGCAACAAACACTCCGGCGAGGGGGTGGGCGTCTGTTTTATTTTCCCCAGCTTGCGTATTTAAACCAGACGATAGCTCGTGACGGGACTTCTTTTATTTTAGGTTCATCACAAATAACTAAATTATAATGTCAGGTGGTAAAGGAAAAGTCGGTTCATCCGAAAAAGCTTCAACTTCTAGATCGGCTAAGGCTGGTTTGACTTTCCCAGTCGGTAGAATTCACAGATTGTTGAGAAAGGGTAACTACGCACAAAGAGTTGGTTCTGGTGCCCCAGTTTACTTGACTTCCGTTTTGGAATACTTGACTGCTGAAATCTTGGAATTGGCTGGTAACGCTGCTAGAGACAACAAGAAGTCGAGAATCATCCCAAGACATTTGCAATTGGCCATCAGAAACGATGAGGAATTGAACAAGTTGTTGGGTCACGTCACCATCGCTCAAGGTGGTGTCTTGCCAAACATTCACCAATCCTTGTTGCCATCTAAGAAGTCTATCAAGGGTGCTTCTCAAGAATTGTAAGTTTCTGGTTAGTGCTGCTTGTTGCTTGCTAGGAGCTGTGTATATTAGTAATGAATATTTGTCAGACTTTAGAAATCTAACTATGTATTTTACACTTGCCAGTATTTTCTGGATATCGCGACTCGCACTGTCGCATGTGAACTTCTTTCTTTAGTTTATTGGCTATCATGGAGAAGTTTTCAAATTGGCGTGATAAGGGCACTGGAATATCGCCGTTCATGCCGGTGCCGGTTCCTCGGTCTTCTAGCTCAATGGCCAGTTTGGTTTTTCTCTTAAGGCTTCCTGTGGTTATTCTCACCGGACTACTCTACGTTGTATTTCCAATTCAAATCGTTGCAAAATTTATTACTCTTGTACTTTTGGGATTCAATCGATACGACTTGTCTGTGGAAGGAGTTAGGAGGTCAAAACTTGATGAAATTGATAGACTGAGACCCAGCGTGGGAGATTTTGTGGTCACAAACTATACCAGTCCTCTCGATGGATTTTTCTTGGCTGGTTTATCCAATACTTTTTGGTACAAAATAGTATTATTGGTACCAGATGAAAAGGGAGAATTGTACGAGTACTCCATTTGGAGTTTTTTCTGGTTGACGTTATCAAGAGACATTGGTGTTTCAAGGCTGAACATTAAAGCTGATTATTCAAAGTACACCAACAAATTGGTTTTTTTATTTGCCGAGGGAACCCCTTCTAATAACAAGGCGTTGTTGTCGTTTGTTCCAAATATTCCTCCAGTTCCAGCCAAGCTTAGATTCAAATTTAAAACCATAGCGTTGAGAATCTTTCCACCATATTTAACCACACCCATTCCTGTGGTGAGTCCATTCAGCTACTTGTACCAGGTGATTTCACACTATGACCACAATAGCTACATAAGGGCCAAAATTATCAACCACGATAGGTCCTTATATGGAGATCGATATAATATAGATGAAGCTTCGGCTTCATTCGAGTTGGCGCAACTCAATGTAATAAGTAAGGATCTTGACATTCAAGAAAAGCGCAAGTTTTATAGTTATTTTGTGGATTACCAGGTATCTAAATAGACTAATGAGGACTGGGGCTTCGTGAACGTTTTCGATTTTCTTGTCTGTCTTCATGTTTTCTGTGAGTGTCTTCATTTATCTTTCTGTAACTGTGCTTACTTCTGTCTCTATGTCGGTGTCTCTCTCGTTTCTTCTCGGTTTGTTTCCTTTCTGCAATGTACGCCTCCATTGGATCTTTAAACTCGTCGTCCGCATCTTCAACGTTATTCGTATCTTTATACTCTAGTAACTTTATGTCATTTTCTGGTTCAATTTCCTTCACCGTATCGTAATGGACCAAGAAATCGTCCTCGTTTTGTCCTTCTCGAAGCTTATAGTATACATGGTCCACTTTTATTCTCTTGTTCAATAACTGCACTCCGTTGAAATTGTCAATTGCTAACACACAAGATCTTACATCTTCATATTTCAAGTAGCAGAAACCCCTCGACTTTCCAGTTTCTCGATCTCGTACCAAGTTTATGTGTGTAGGATTGCCATACTGAGAGAATATGGCTACGATATCTTTCTCTTCGAGCTCAAGCGGAAGGTACCCCACATAAATATACGATGTGTCACGATAATCTGCATGCCACGAAGCCGAGTCACTGACATTGGCTTCAAGCTCGCGCTTATTTATGTCGATTATTTTTTGAATTGCTGCCATGGCCTATCAATCACCTCTTGTATTGAACTCTGGGGCATCTCTGTGTTTTCTGCAGGAACGATGCCATGAAAAAAATCGCGATGAGGTCGCAGCGACCATAATCAGCACTGTGCCATGGCGAAGAAAAACACCGTTACTGGTTCGAAAATAAAGCGGAAAAGACAAGATGAGTCACCGGAGGTTTCGGAGTCAGAAGAAATTGACGTGCAAGGACTCATAGATGACGAAGCCAGCGAAGATTCTGAGGATGAAGTTGAGAGCGAAGACCAAGTATTTGAGAATTCTGACGCCGATTCCGACGAGGAACTCAACAATTTGATTGGAGAAGAAGAAGACGTTAGCGACGTGGACTCGGAGGACTTCTCGGACGAGCTTCAAGACGACTCGAATAGCATAACTGACAAATTGACCAATGTTCGTATCAGGACCTCATCGCAGAGTTCGAATGAAAACGTTCATGGATTATTTGCAGATGGAACCGAACGTATAATAAAACCGGAAATAGAACCTGTTTACGACAGCGACGACAGTGATCACGAAAACTTCAATACCATTGGAAATATTCCCTTGTCTGCCTATGAGGAAATGCCCCACATTGGGTACGATATCAATGGTAAGAGGATCATGAGACCTGCTAAGGGTTCAGCCTTGGACCAGTTGTTGGAGTCCATTGACCTTCCTGAAGGCTGGACAGGACTTCTCGACCAGAACACTGGCTCTTCGTTGAAACTTACCGACGAAGAGTTGGAGTTGATTCGTAAGATTCAACACAACGAAAACACCGACGATAATATCAATCCATACGAACCCACCATCGAGTGGTTTACGTCTAAGACCGAAGTCATGCCTCTCACAGCAGTCCCTGAGCCTAAAAGACGTTTTGTTCCTTCGAAACATGAGGCTAAGCGTATCATGAAAATTGTAAGGGCTATAAGAGACGGTAGAATTGTTCCACCTGAGAAGCGAAAAGAACAACAAGATGAAGAACAGTACAATTTCGACTTGTGGGACGACAACACCGATGAACCCAATGAACATATCATGAACTTGAGAGCTCCCAAACTTCCTCCACCCACTAACGAGGAGTCGTATAACCCACCAGAAGAGTATCTTATGACAGAAGAGGAAAGAAAGAAATGGGAAGAAACCGATCCTTCTGAGAGAGAGACAAACTTTATTCCACAAAAGTATGGATCTCTCCGTAAAGTTCCAGCATACCAGGAGAATTTGAGAGAAAGATTCGAAAGAAGTTTGGACTTATACTTGGCTCCTAGAGTTCGTCACAACAAGTTGAACATTGACCCCGATTCATTGATTCCAGATTTACCATCTCCCAAAGATTTGCGTCCTTTCCCTATCAAATGCTCAACTATATTCCAGGGCCATATTGGCAGAGTGAGAACGTTGTCCATTGATCCACTGGGATTGTGGCTCGCTACTGGAGGAGACGACGGTACAGTCAGAGTGTGGGAGATTCTTACGGGAAGACAAGTTTACCATTGTGATGTCGTTGACAAGAAGAAAGATGACGACAACATTGATAGCTTAGAATGGAATCCAGATGCCAGTGTTGGTATATTAGCTGTGGCTGCTGGTGAGTCGGTATACTTGTTGGTACCTACAATTTTGGGATACGAAATTGAGAACGCTGGAAGACTGAAGATTGAAGTAGGATGGGGTTACGATACTTATGGTAACAAGAATAAGCGAGGAGATCTCAATGTTAATGGAGAAGAGGATAATGAGAGTGGTGCGAATGAGGTGAAGAAAGAAGTCACCAAATGGTTGACACCAATGGAAGGTCAATCTCAACAAGGTATTGCTGCAATTATACAGTGCAGAAAGGCTGTTAAAAACTTGTCGTGGCATCGTAAGGGAGATTATTTTGTCACTGTATCTCCCGATAGTGGAAACACTTCGGTGTTAATTCACCAACTTTCCAAGCACTTGTCACAATCTCCTTTCCGCAAGTCCAAAGGTATTATCGTCGATGCCAAATTCCACCCATTTAAGCCTCAACTTTTCGTGGCTTCGCAAAGAAGTATCAAGATCTACGACTTGTCTCAGCAAGTTTTGACCAAAAAGTTGATGCCTGGTGCCCGTTATTTATCGGGAATTGATATCCATCCTCGTGGTGATCATCTCTTGGCTTCTTCCTACGACAAGCGAGTCTTGTGGCACGATTTGGACTTGTCTAATACCCCATATAAGACATTAAGGTATCACGAAAAAGCCGTTAGAAACATCAAGTTCCACAAGGGACGCTTACCCTTGTTTGCATCAGCTTCCGACGATGGCAGCGTCCATGTATTCCATGGCACAGTCTACGACGACTTAATGACGAACCCATTATTGGTTCCATTGAAAAAATTGACGGGACATAAAGTTGTTCATAGTTTGGGAGTGTTGGACTTGGTATGGCACCCTAAGGAAGCATGGTTGTTCACAGCGGGAGCCGACGGAACCGCTCGGTTGTGGACCACGTAACGATAATAAAGTATAGCATGTTTGTTACAGATGTAGGCTACTTTATTTTCGGGATTATTTTATTAACTGTCCCTGCGGGTAGTAGACAAAGCTGATGAGAAAATTATTTGAGTATTTAGATGTGAACACAGCTTGCAGTTGAGCATCAAATACGTCTCGGAACATAATCTTAATATTATCCACCACTCCCGTATTTTCCTCGTGTAACACCCAATCCAAGTTTTTCCAGTCAAGAACACCTTCATGGCAGTAACGAATTGGAGTTGGGTATTTTTCCAATTGCTGCCGGGAAATGTCAGCAGTGAATAAATGCACTCCACCTTTATCCTCACCATCAACGTTCCACAATAAAACACCTCTATCTATATATGAATCTACGTTCAAACCAGTTTCTTCTAAAGTCTCTCGGATTATACATTGCAATGGAGTCTCATCAGCATCTAATTTTCCACCCACCCCGTTCCATCTACCCATCCATGGCAGTTTTTCTCTATTCAAGAGAAGTACCTGATTTGTTTCTGGACATCGTATGAACCCCAAGGTGTATTTCTGGTACATGGGCACTCTGGTATAAGTGCGAATCAGTACAAATCAGTAAAAGCAGTCAAATCAGTGCGCGCGCTGAGATGCTAATGAGAGGTGGTAAAGAGAGGAAATGCGGTAGACACAAAATAGATGTGTTGCTCATAACGTGCAAAGCCACTCTCTTAACGGCACAGCTTGGGAAAGTTGGCACGATTCCCCTAATTCCTTCACATGGTCTGGAATACCAAATTTGGTAATGTCCTTTTCCAAGTACATTAGTGCGAGCGAGCTTCTTAAAAGCCCACTTTGTCTCGACGCCATGTCATTCAAGGGCCAATGGAATATGGCTGTAGCTGCCAATGTGGATGCAGCAGATACATGGGGGTGGACCTGGCCCCAATTGGTTCCAAATGCAGGGATAATTAGTGTGGAGATGGTGCGAGGTGCATTTTTCGCAGCCACTAAAACGTTCCAAATAGTATCGAAGATTAGTTGTTTTGCGTGGTTGGGAGCAATTGGTTCTGGTACTGTCATTGATGGTGCAGATATGAGAAAGTCGAACAGCGGACCCAGCACCAAATGGGCCAAATCCACGATTTTGGCACTAGAAATCGGTAAGTATCCACGGTGCGATTCGGCGAGCAATTCTTGAATCTTTTGTTCCAAGTTCTTGTTGTTAATACATTCGAGTATCAGCCGATCAAAACCACCCCCCATATACCCCAAGGAGTTAGCGGGCGTCACTACGGCCGAAGGACGATTTATACTACATTGCTGCAACACCTTATCTATTGGGGCATTTTTTACAGAAACCGAGAAAAGTTGCGGCGGAAGATGACTGCGAATAAACTGGCACCAAACGGCATCGGTACTGACAAATACGATAGATACCATTCGGTACGTTTGCGTGACGTCAAATCAAAAAAACTGACACCCTCAACCCCACTTGACTGATCGCTTGTTCGTGACTAAAGCCCGAATAGTGGGGACCGCTCGCACCGAATGGTGTACCGTGGGATCCTGCAGAATGGCTCACCAACGGGCCACCACAAGTGAGGTGCAAAGCGAGAAAAACAAAGTTGAAAATGTGAGAAAATAATCGCACAGGCAACCTCCATCCACCGCGGGACCCCGAATCGCAACAAATGATTCCGACCAATGGAACCCGCAGTCGGAACGGGAATTTTCGCCACACACCCCAACACCAGCCTCGTGTGCGTTACCCGGCGGGCGTCCCCCAACAATAAATACACCCGCGCCGGCACCTCCCCACAAATCATAAATCACAACAAATGGCACCACCAGCATTCTCTGACATCCAAAAGTCTTCCAACGACTTGTTGACCCGTGACTTCTTCCACTTGGCTCCCGCAGCCATTGATGTGAAGACTGTGGCTCCAAATGGCGTCGGTTTCACCGTTAAGGGAAAGACCAACTCTGCCAATGCCATCGCCGCTTCCGTCGAAGCCAAATACGCTGACAAGTCTACCGGCTTGACTTTGACTCAGGCGTGGAACAATGCCAATGCCTTGGACACCAAGATTGAGTTGTCTGAGTTGTTGACTCCCGGACTTAAGGGAGAATTGGTGACCTCTGTGGTCCCCAATGGCGCCAGAAACGCTAAATTGAACTTTTTCTACCAACAGAACCAAGTCAATGCTCGTTTGTTCTTCGACTTGTTGAAGGGTCCAATTGCTACCGCTGACTTGGCTGTGGCTCACGATGGTTTCACCGCCGGTGCTGAGTTGGGTTACGACATCAACGACGCCACCGTCAACAAGTACTCCGTTGGTGTCGGTTACGCTCACCCTCTTTACAACGTGGCTGCCACCGCCACCTCCAACTTGTCTGTGTTCACCGCTTCTTACTACCACAAGGTCTCTCCTCTTGTGGAAGCTGGTGCTAAGGCCACCTGGGACTCTGTCAAGTCTTCCGCCGTTAACGTGGAATTCGCCACCAAGTACAAGTTGGACTCCACCGCGTTTGTCAAGGCCAAGATTGCTGACTCTGGTTTGGCTGCTTTGTCTTACTCTCAACTCTTGAGACCAGGTGTCACCTTGGGCTTGGGTGCTTCTTTCGACGCCCTCAAGTTGGCTGAGCCTGTCCACAAGTTGGGTTTCTCCTTGTCTTTCTCCTCGTAAGAGTTTTAGCTATAACAATTACATGATAAATCGGCATCTTGTATCCCCCTACATAGAAATACTATGCCACATCCACACACCAACACCAAACTCAATATCTTTCCTTTCTCTATTTCTATCGCAACATGCCTGAACCATCAGTCCTCCAGATCTCGAGGCCGTTCTTTGCCCCGGCAGAACTTTCGTATCTACACTCGTTGACTATTCCAGACCAGAAAAAACTAGTTTATAACCAGAGGAAACATCAGGTTTTTCAGTTCCTTTTTCAGGTCGTTAGACAGTTAAAGTTTCCACTTCGTGTACTTAGCACCGCCATGAACTACTTCCAGCGATTTTATTTGTTCAACATGTTCCAAGAAATGAACGATTTTGAAAACGAAGATTTGGAAAAAGACCCCTTCACCGTTGCATTGACATCATTATTTTTGGCTTCGAAGAACGAAGATTGCATCAAAAAACTCAGAGATATTCAAGCCGTAGCAAATAAGCTCCGAGAAATTGACGAGACCCGCAAAATAGTCATAAATGATGCTGCCGTCCCTTATAATGATGCACAACGAAAAGCCATCATGGGCATCGAATATAAGCTTCTTCAAACTATCAAGTTTGATTTTATAAATGGTTCTAGCATTCCATCGATTGACCAACTCGTGGTGATTTTTTGCAAACAATTAGACATTGATTACAAGCTCACGTTCCATTGCTGGCTCATAAGTTTTGATATCATGTCGACTCCATCATGCCTCATGATTCCACCCCACTGCATGGCCATGGCAATTGTCATAGTGACGCTCAATTTACGGCCCAGGGAGTTGATGACCAAGTTTACGTCGCCAGAGCATGAAACAGAATACCTCAGCAAAATATTGGAGCTGATAGACTGTTATGGCGATTTCAAATGTCCAGAGACATTGGTGAACGAAGCTATCATTTACATTCTAGACTACTATGTGCATCAGATGAACTTTTCTATACTCAACGAGTTCATGCCTCCCATCGATGCTGAGACCGGCAAGGAACAAATCTTCAAGTTCATGAACTTGAAGTCCAAGTTCAACGACCTCAAGGTGCTATCTGAACGGTCTTGCAGTTCTGCAGCACTACTCAAACAAGATGAATATCTCCAGGTATGGGACTACAACACCAGCATCAAGGGCTCAGCCCGATTCATGTTGGGCAATAAAAGGCGACGGTTCGAAACTGAGACTCGCGCAGAGCTTGCAAGTCCGCTTGCAACAACCGACTCAAAAGCTCCTCCCAGCTCAACTGTCCTGTAACTTATAGCTCACCAGGGTACCTACTTGGTGAATATCGGTGCTAAATGACTTGAATTTGACAGACTCAACGCTGTCGCCAAGAACGTAACGTCCATCTCCTTCGGTGTCGCACCACTCTCTTGGAATGGTTCTGGTATCATGATTGGGATCAGTGTAGACTAGCACATTGAATGTATAATCGTCATTCTTCAACACCGGGAGATATGAAACCAGGGTAGTAATTTGACGTATAATTGCCTGTATTTCCTTCAGTATGTCTTCTTTGGGTTTACTAACTTTCACATTTTCAGACTCGAGAATTTGAAGATTGAATTCCCATCTTTCAACTACGTCCGCCGTGGACTTGGCTACGAGAACAACCACCAATTTCAAGAGTTTCTTGCCATATAGCCATTTTTTCACATGGGTCATAATCTTGTTTATATAGTCTTGGACCTCATCGTCAGCAGTTATCAATAATGGTAAATCGTATTTGCGGACAGTTTTGAAGTCCTCTGGAGGATATATACCCCGCTGGAACAAGATGCTGTTTATGGCGAACTCAAAGTAGTCTGCAACCACCTTGGACGATCCTTTTAGTGCCAACTTGGGAACGTCTGTCATATATAAATTCACGCTTTCGCGCAAAATTGAGATTGATCTAATTTAAACTTTAAAATGGTAAGTCATTCAGCTCACCCAAAATGCTCAAAAATACTAACGTAGCAACACGGAGTCAAGCGTATCAGCCTCTCAGAACAGGCTCGTAAGGAAAAGATTCAAAGAGATAAACTGAAAATTGCCAATTATCGTGCTCTTTGTAAAGACCTATTGGACAAGAAAGATAAGGATGTTCGTGATATTGCAACGTTACAGGCTACCACAGACTTGTTATTGAAAAACCCCGAGTTCTATACGATATGGAACTACCGGCGTGATATTATCGTGGCTTTGGTGGATGCCGAAAAGATCAAGAAGAAGGATACTTTGGAAGACGATTTGAAGTTGATAGTGGCATTATTGAAGCGGTACCCCAAATGTTACTGGATCTGGAACCATAGGATTTGGTGCTTGGACCAGTTACAGCAGACAAGAGAGGCTAATTGGAATGTGGAGTTGGCAATAGTGTCCAAATTTCTTGACCTTGATAGTCGCAATTACCACTGCTGGCAGTACCGACGCTTCGTCATCAATAATATGGAAGAAGATACCTTGCTCGAATCTAGCGAGTCCAGTAATCTGGGACAGAAGGAGGCGAGGGCTCTTCTTCGGATAAACATCGAAGAGTATAAATTCACCACCTCCAAAATCAACAAGAACATTTCCAATTTTTCAGCATGGCACAATCGCACCAAATTGATTCCTAAGATTTATGACTTATTTGGTGAGCTCGATACTACCAATGATCACGCTGATGTCAGACATGTGTTTGCCAGACCGCAGACAATTTTGCAACATGAGCTAGAGTTGGTCAAAACTGGCATGTTCATGGATTCTGACGATACCTCGATCTGGCTCTATCTACAATGGCTCTTGACGAACCCTTTTTTCGTCGATGATTTACGTAAAGTCTCACCAACATGTTACCTTGATGTTCTCAATGCACAACTCGCAATAGTGGAAGAGCTTAATGAACTCGAACGCGAGGATCATCCCAAGGGCTGGGACCATCGTTGGTGCTTACGCTGCATTCTTCTCATTAAGAGTTTGATCCGTGAAGAAACGTCCGAAATTGGTGCTCTAGACGATATGTCGCGGAAAATGCTTCAGTCATTAACAGAGATTGATCCTCTTAGAAAGTGTCGCTACTTGGACCAATTGGAAGGAACCGGAACACTGTCAAGTTTGGCCTTCTAATATAATTGCACCCATCATAAATGCTGCAACCTCGCTGTTTTATGCAGGACCTCATCGTATCCTCATCACCTGAAAATTTCCTGATAACAAGTATGGGCCCTAAAGTAAGAGGAAGACGTGCCCCTAACAGGGAGACCCGCGAAGCCAAAAGACAAGAAGATCTTGTGGAGGATGAGCAAATCTCTGAGCCAACTAGCAACTTGACAACTCCTTTTTTTGGACTTGTAGATGCTAGTGAAATCGAATATTTCAAGCTGGCCGAATCGACTTTAAACGTTACGAGCTTTGAATCTACGGAAGAAAGAGATGCCTTCATAAACTCTGTGCTTGATGAGGCAAGTGGCAAGGAATTGAAGCTTGTGACGAACCAGATCTGTTCAAAATTGATGGAAAGAATTATCCTCTTCGGTGGTGATCAACAACTCATATCAATATTTAAGCTGTTCAGCAATCATTTTGTATCTCTTGCACACCACAAGTACTCTTCACATGTGTTAGAGACTTTGCTAGTGAGAATAGCAGGTCTTGTTGAAAAGGAATTGGCCAGAAGTGCAGAAGATGCTGCTGACCAAGAGGTTACTGTGGAGCACCTCTTCATCACGATGATGCAGGAGTTTTATCCTCACATAAATGAGATGATCACTCACCAATATGCATCTCACGTACTCCGGCTACTCATTCTCATCTTGGCCAGTAAAAAACTTCCATCTGCATTGACTGCTAACTCTACCTTGAGATCCAAAAAGTCAAAAATTGCTCGTAAGATGATCGAAATTAAAGACAACGAAGATTTCGACCGCTCGTTCGAAACACCCCCATCGTTCAAAGATGAACTCAAAAAGGTGTGTAAATGCATCAGCGAGAATAAGACCATGAAAGAAATGCGCGAGCTTTCCATTCACAAAATCGCTTCCCCAGTTATACAGCTTGTGATTCAAGTAGAAGGTCTAGTGGATAAAGAACGTAGTGTTTGGCATTTGGTGTTTCTCCCCGAACTGAATTCCGAGGATCCTCAAGAAGAAGCATTCGTTGAACATCTCTTATCGGACTCGGTTGGATCACACTTCTTCGAGTCTATAATCAAAAATGGAGGTGCGAGACCAAAGTACATTGAACGTTTGTACAAGCTCTACATGAAGGATCGTATAATGAAGCTAGCAAGGCGGTCTACTACCGGTGTCTACATCGTTCAAGCACTCATGTTTAAACTCAGACCTAATGAGGTGGAGTTCATTTTAGATGAAGTCATTCCCGAACTTTCAAATCTTGTGTCGATTGTGGATAATCAAAATATTGATCTTGGAAGATCAGTTATTGATGCCTCCATCTCTCGCTCCAACTATAGACGAGATGACATTATTAGCCAACTTCTTTCAAAGTTTGCTCCCAACTTTAACCCCAAAAATCCTTCGCAAAACGACAATTATGACTTATTGGAAAACACCCTCCTTCTTTCGCTGTCTACTTTGGGCAACACCAGAGATGACTGGCCTACTGCTGAAGAACGCAGAAACGCATTGTTTCTTGAAAAATTGCTTGACTACGATACTTCGTTCTTGTTGGCGGTGTGGACCAGTTTTCTTGCCATGCCAAAAGAACGGTTCTTGCAAATGTGCTTTCATGGTGTATTCTCTCACGTCGTGGAGCATGCATTGGCAGTTATTCCTGCTTCCATTGGTGAGTCAAAAGAAGTTAATATTTTGAGGAAGCGCTTACTAAATGTCTTCCAAGGTAGTATCGTCAGCTTGGCATGTAACGCTTATGGGTCACACATAGTCGACAAGCTTTGGTCATTCACAGTCTTGATGAAAATGTATAAGGAACGGTTTGCAACTGAAATGAAGGCTGAGTCTCATAAGGTGAAGGAAAGCACCTATGGTCGCCTAGTTTGGAAGAATTGGTCGATGGAACTTTTCTTGAGAAAAAAGTACGACTGGAGTCAATTGATCAAAGTTCAGGATGAGGAATATCATAACGAAGGTGCAGAGGCTGAAACGGAGAGGGTGAAAAGGCCGATAGAATTGAAAATGGAGCAGTTGGCCAAGAAGAACGAGAAAAGCTCTCTTGATTCTACGAATAACGATGAAAGAAATAAACGGCAACGGATTCGTTAAAAAAGTTGTCTTGAGTCTATTTACATGTATGATATATACTGCTAGGCAGAATGTTATCAATCTATAGTTTGGATATAGTAGTCTGCCAATGTCTCAGAATCCACATTTGAAGGACTAGAAACCACTGGATCCACACCAGATTGGTTTTTGGGGAAAGCAATAACGTCTCTTATGGATTGAGTTCCAACAACCATAGCACATAGTCTATCAAAACCTAATGCCAATCCAGCATGTGGAGGACATCCAAAAGATAATGCTTCTAACAAATGGCCAAATAAGCTGTTATAATTTTTAATCTTGAGAACTTCCTCCAAAACGTACTGTTGCACCAATGGGTTGTGAATTCTTCTAGATCCACCGCCGACTTCAACGCCATTTATGACAAGGTCGTAGTGTTCACCATGTGCCAAGTATGGGTCAGATTCCAAAAGTGAATAATCCTCCGACTTCACCATAGTAAATGGATGGTGAGTCGACTCTCGATGGTCCCAATTGTATTTTGGATAAAGATCATTACTGCCACTGTTTTCTTCGCTTGGGCTGAATAAGGGAAAGTCATGAACCCAACAGGAAACAAAAGCGTCTGAAGGCGGTACAGAAGTATTTCCAGAACTGTCAATAAGCTTTCTTTTCCATTTATCGGGATACTCAGCCATGGCGAGATTTCTGAACCTACCTAAAGGCGTTGGATTTTCATAAGGATGTTCACTTCGGTTGCTTATAGCTATTATGTCACCTTCTTCGAGGCCGAGCAGCTCATTCAACTTTTGAGGGTCAAAAGAGTCAACTGGGACCATGACACCATCTTTAGTGAGGGTTTCAAACCAGGTTGTTGCAGATGAATTTGTTATTGGGATTATTGAAGGAGCTCTGCGAGAATAGTTGTCTGGATTCGTCAAAGAGTCTGGAATATCACAATGTGCACATTTTGCCAAAGCACCTTTCAAAATGCAAGCCTCTATAATATTAAACTCATCGGGACAGTTAACAGGCTTGAAATATGATGAAAGATTCACGAACTGCAAAGATGATCTCAAGTCTGGCTTATCAATGCCGTACTTTTCTAATGCACTTTTATAGGATAATTTGTAGAAGGAAGGACTTGTGCCATTCTTTTGAGCCTCGATAATGTAACCGTCCTCGTTTAATGTGTAAACAGGCTTCGAGGCAACATTGTTGCAAATGCCATAAATGACGTCTTCTACCACGCACAAGACCTGGTCAGAGTGACTTATAAAGCTCATTTCGAGATCCACTTGGGTAAATTCCGGCTGTCTATCGGCTCTCAAGTCCTCGTCACGAAAGCATTTGGCGAGTTGATAATATCTTGTGAAGCCCGAACTCATCAAAATTTGCTTATACTGTTGGGGAGATTGAGGTAAAGCGTAGAACTTGTTTGGGCTCCTGGTAGGAACCAAGAATTCCCGGGCTCCCTCTGGTGTAGACTTGAAAAGCAATGGGGTTTCAATTTCGGTAAAATTGTGCTTCTCTCCTAAGACATGTCTAACAACAGCTGCCATTTTGGACCTTGTACGTAGATTTTTTTGAAGCTCTTTGGTACGAAGCTGGAGAAATCTATAATGAGGAGGCAATTTGTTCGGATCTGAATGCTTGAGTTTGTCTAAACGTGCTGCCTCTTCATTGGCCAGATTAAGAAGTTGAATGCTAGTTATCACGAGTTCCCACTTGCGCAGTTCACCTGCAACAAGCTTTTTCAATTGAACTGTGCCACTGACACATATTGAATCTTCTGTAGATGTCTTGCTTAATATGTCGAAATATTCTGGAGGGGTCCGATCTGGCATCAAGATGAGCTGAACAGTATCTCCACTTACGTCTCGCAATTCAGCGAAGCTGATCTTGGAACGAATCCTAGGTGTTCTATTGAGGTGTCCATGCAAGACTATGACATCCTTGTTGTCTAGATATGAATCCAAGTTGCTAGTAATAGCTTGAATCGAATGAGTTGCAGCCGGAAAGTTGAATTGAGGAAGAACAAATTCTGGTGGAGGGAGTTTGCTTCTGAGAAAATTGGTGTTAGATATGTGTCTGATATACCTGGGTGTATACGTATGCCAAATCTCACGTCTCAAAGAGCCGTATATCACCCGTTGTATCATCCAACTAGTTTGTAGGTTTAACGATTTCTTGTTCGATGAACTTATCTGCCGGAAAACCAGTGCGATTCCAATTGCCAGTTATAATGCGCCGGCAAGCATAGCCTATAACGAGGCTTTGCATACAAAAAGCCCTATTCTTTTTCAATTCCGGGCATCCACGGAACTAGATTCGATCCTTATGCCCTTTTTATACTGATAAAAAATGATCAACGCATTATCCGTGAAGGTTTCGAAAACCGTACTATTGATCGTGGGACTAGTTAACGTGTTGATCTTGATCCCTTTACTATTACTCTATAAGCATGAGGATGCGAAATCCCTTTTATACTCATCTACGGCATTCAAGAAGTTGGGACAACACCTCGATCCTCTCATGTATACTAGTGAAACCTATCGCCAATGGGGCTGGCACCTCGAACCGGCAAATGTCAAATTTCGCTTTACGAACCCCATGGGTAAAAGTGGTTCCCCTGAGGAAGTATTGGAAAATAACAAGGCAGTGTACGAAGCTGAATTGGCAAAAGAAGTCACAGAACCAAAAGATATCGATCTCACCGATTTGAGACCTCCAGATAAAAAACACATTGATCAATATGTTAGGGCCAATGCCACTATTATTGCACTCGTGCGCAATCAAGAGATGACTAGTATTCGCAGAACGATTCGGCGCTTTGAAAAGTCGTTCAATTCCAAGTATCGCTACCCCTATACCTTTATTAACGACGAACCGTTCACACAAAGATTCAAAGACAAGATGGCTCAAACAACTGAAGCACCCTTAAACTTTGTTGTCATTCCTCCAGAGCTCTGGGACAAACCCGAGTTTATAGATGTGACTAGAGAGCTGGAGGCCATGAACATTATGGCGAATCACAATATAGCCTACGCTAAAAAAGCGTCGTACCACAATATGTGTCGATTCTACCTGGGAACTTTTTACAATGTTCCTGAACTCAAGCAATTCAAATACTACTGGCGTATTGAACCAAATGTCGACTTCTTTACCGATGTTCAGTATGATGTGTTGAAGTATATGGAGAAGGCGAAAAAAGTGTACGGATTCACTGTGAACCTTTATGACATTGATGAAACGGTTGCAACCTTATGGCCAGAAACGTTAAACTTCTTGAACCAAGGAGACAATTACAAGTACGTGAACCCGAATGGTGCCCATCAATGGTTGCTTGAAAATAAGCAGAACCCCAAGAAGAATCTGGTAGCTGGTGGTTACTCAACGTGCCATTTTTGGTCAAATTTCGAAATTGGTGATATGGACTTTTTTCGGTCGGAGGCCTATAGTGAATGGTTCAAGTATCTTGATTCCACTGGAAAATTCTACTACGAGAGATGGGGTGATGCCCCAGTACACTCGATAGGATTGGCACTTTTTGCCGATAAAAGAGACATTCATTGGTTCCGTGATCTTGGATACGAACATGACCCATACTATAACTGTCCCAACAATCCAAAAACTTCAAGATGTACAGCGGGTAAATTCAGTCGATGGAAACACCTTGATGATCAAAACTGTATGGCAAACTGGTTTCAATTGCTGATGAGTAGTAAGGACACTTCATATTTCGAAGAATAGTCAAAAGACCAAATTTTGCAAATTTCGAAAAATTTGCACCCAAAACAACTAACGTAATTTACATCATATTGAGTTTCTAACACCACTATAAAACACTACTTGCTCTTTCTACGTCCCTTTTTCTGCTTGAACTGTTCTACCTTTTCGTCCATCATAGCTCCAATCTTAACGTACACTGGGTCGTCTCTGATGCGGCAACACCATCCTCCCAAGTTTGGATAAAGCTTGTACAAATCATCGGTTATTCCCACACACTCCTTTATACCGCCAGGATTGTCAAAGATATTTTCATAGACTGGGAACGAAAGCATGATATCAGCAGCCGACAAACGGTCTCCCACAAAATATCCGGTTCCATTTTTCTTGAGCTCACTTTCGAGGAAATCGACACTAAGGTACCATTCGTGTAAGTAGTAACCGTTATTAAGACCTCTAGTAACAAGTTTGGCGAGAGTCTGGAATCCAAAAGGTGCAATCTTCTTTGCGACAGAGTTGATAAGAAGGGTGATTAAAAGTCCCTGCAATGTGCCCTCAGCATAGTGTAAAAAGTAGTCAACCTTGAGCTTATCACGGGGATCTGTTGGAGTAAGCAAGTTTTCATGGTCATAATTGTTTAACAAGTATTGGAAAATCAATCCAGTTTCAGCCAACTTTAAAGGTGGTGAGCCATCGCCGAAAATAACTTCGAGTACGGGCGCTTTTCCAAGAGGATGAGCCTTGAACAACTCAGGGGGCCCACGCCAAGTCTGAGGATGTCTAAGGTACACTTTTACCTCGTACTCCAAATCAAGCACTTCCATCAACCATATTACTCTTTGTGCTCTCGACTCATTAAGCCTTGGGTTAGTTTCTCATGTCTGCAATAAAAGTCTAATACATACCAATGGAGGATGAATTTGTCGCCGTGATCTCCAGCGCCCATTTGTAAGGATAAAGAAACTACGAGTAGAGAGGGTTCTATTAGGCTAGGAAAAGGCGGGGACAATTTCCTAATCGGGCAAGTCTACTGGGTCAATGCTGCATGCGGCATCATACATGTACATTTAATTTACGACAGAAAATTACCAGCTTCGCATATTAAAGCTTCAGAACGATATTCAGATCGATATTGGAATATGCCTTGATTCTTCCTGGCTCATTCTTGAGTGTTTCCATCCATTTTGCCAACTCTGGATAATCGTCTTCAAGCTTCTTTTCGCTGCCGGTGAATAAGCCGTATGTAGGTCCAATCAACCCTGAAAATGGATACGATAAGTAAATATCTACGACAGACAACTTGTCTCCCAAGAAGTATGGTCCGGATGATTTTTTTAGTTGTTCAGTCAAATACAGGAGGTTGTTGCGTAATTCGGGTAAAAAATAGGTACCAATCATGTTCTGAAAATCGTCGCGAAGATGCTTGTGTCTTCTTGTGGTAGAAAAAGTGACGACAAGTCCAATTACAGATGTCATGAGAGTGCCTTCCAAGTAGTGGAGGAAATAGTCGACCTTTTCTTCAGCATTTTTGACATTGGGAAGCAATTTTTTGTTGGTATCGTAATGTCTAAGAAAATAAGAGCAAACATGGCCCGACTCAGCAAGGGTGATCACTTCGCCATTGTCCTTTGTGATCGTCACTATAGGAGCCTTTCCCAAGCGGTGGAAGTCTTTGAACTCTTTGGGAGCCGTGAACATCCTTTTAAGTTGAACATACTTGACTTCATATTCAACTCCTAATTCCTCTAAGAGCCAGATAATGGTATCCGCCCGAGACCCTTTGAAGCTGGATTAGTATGGCCTTGCATCAGATCAAAATATACTTACCCATATACCACGATTTTCTCACCCATGACAATTGCGAACACTTTTCGGTTTATATACGAGAAGGACCCTACCGAGGTTTGAGCGCAAGAAATATCGCGGGGAATTTCACCCGGTTATAGGCACGGGCATGGGAAAAATAGAACCGGACTATAAAGTAGTATCGAGTATAGGGTAGTATCGGAGTACTTATCATAAAGCAGTAGCATATATTTTCATAGAATATCAACATCATATCATATACACAGTCGTTGCAGTCTTCCTACAATTTCGCAACCTTTTCATTCGCCTTGATAAGCTTTGGTTCCTTGAGAATCCGGTCGGACCACTCACAGATGTTAGGAAAAAGCTTTCTCAAGTCAAAATCATCACCAGCAAATTCCTTGATTCTTTTGTTATCTGTCAAGTTTTCAATAAGAGGAAACTCAAGAATGATATCAGCACCACTCAACTTGTCTCCCACAAAGAACTTTGTCTTTCTCTTCGCCAAGTAGTTGTCCAAGTATTTGAGATTCTTCATGAGCTCAGTCTTGTAGTAAGCCTTGTTTAGTTCGTTGGTGATCATACGAACAAGAAATTTGACAGGAAATGGTGCCATCTGAACTGCATAACCATTGACCAACAACGATACCAAAAGTGGTTGCAAAGTACCTTCACAATAGTGCAAGAAATAGTCAACCTGTTCCTTGTCTTCTTCTGTAGCAGGAACGAGTTTCTTGGACGTATCGTAGTTTTTAATCAAATAATCAATAATGTGTCCAGTTTCAGCAATCACCAGTGACTTACCATCACGGATCACCTCAATGACAGGAGATTTACCCAATGGATGGACCTTTTCCAATTCAGCAGGTGCCCGAAAATCTTTGGTCCTCTTGTAGGTTTTAAGTTCATAATCGAGGTTCAATTCCTCAAGCAACCACAAGATTCTCTGAGACCGAGATTGATTAAGCCTAATGTTAGTATGGCAATATAAAGCAATTCCAGTTGCAAAATATCAACTTTCGTAACCACATACCAGTGCAAGATAATTTTATCACCCATTGCTGAAAAGTTGGGTTACGAGCTGACTTTGGTTCTTATATACCCGTCATGTGATAAACCTACGTCGTTTAAACTAAAATTGCTGCGAAAAATGCAGGCTGAGTTGGTGCAGAAACAATATACAGTATTCCCCGTAAAAATAAGGACCCTTGCATTTATGCCGATTTACGATTCAACTCTGGATTGCTTGAATGTGTCTACAGAACCACATTTGTTGCTGTTCAGGGTTTCGCTTGATATCTACATGTGTTTTTAAGCTCGTATTGAGATTGAATGGTTGCAAAATTGAAGCCTTTATCTCCTGGAAACCGAACAATACCCAAATTTTTTCACTTTCTGATCTGAAATGTCTCAGCCTATAAACTATGGAGCTCTCATATTTAGGTCAGATACTCGGATTATATTTGCGTTTGCTGAATCAATGATAGTTGGATTTCTTCGGTTGTGGTGTAAACTTACGTTTCAAATATTCAAATATAGTTGTTCGAACTAAGGTATTCTCACAAGAAATATTAGTATTGAAAAACTATGTGAGAAAATTGTTTCCTACTGTGGATTGGTTTAGATCAGTAGCCTTAAACTTCTCATGGGTACCGATATACAGGAACCTGCACTACGACCACCAGCTTATCATAGTCTTCAGCATATCGAGACAAAGATCAAAACTTCTCTTTTCACGACAGAAGGCATAAAACATCACTACGAGATTCCTTCTAGTCTACTTTCAGTAGTCAATGTCAATTACCTTTACCACCAGATTATCTGACTTCTGGGGTAGGTTACAACTGTGCAGTACATCATCGCATAAATTTCAAATTCTTCTAGCTTCAGAAAGATGTCTATGGCTCATGAAGAACTGAAACCAGGTTTTGAAGGCCACGAAACGACGCCAAACATCAAAACACTTGTCCTAGATGCGGGTCCGCTCATTACCCAACCTGCATCGTCCTTACAACAGCATGCCACAACATTTTTCACCACTCCAGGTGTTCACGCAGAATTGAAAGATGAAACTGTTCGTCAGCAATTGATCTTGTGGGGAGATAAGCTTCAGATAAGACACCCCAAGCCCGAATTTATCAAAAAAGTGGTTTCTTTTGCGAAGCTCACGGGAGATTATGCCGTGTTGTCTCTCAATGATTTGCATATTATAGCCTTGGCTTATGAACTTGAAGTCGAATATAATAAGGGAGATTGGAGATTGAGAAAGTTTCCTGGGGAAGTATTTGAACGGAGAAGAAAAGAAGACACCAAGAATACTGAAAACTCTACAGAGACGAACACAACTGAAGAAAGTCAGGAAACCAAAGAATCTGAGAATGCACAAGAAACCAAGAAATCTGAAATTTCCCAAGAAACCCAAAAGGAAGAAACCAATCAAGAAGCAGAGTCAACGGCGCCAAAGAAACCAAGACGGAGAGGAGGAAAGAAGCAGAGAGCAAAGAGAGAAGCAGAGTTACAGAAGGAATTGGATGCCCAAGAAGAGACATCTGAACCAGCAACTATTTTGGAAGACAATGATACTACTCAACCAGGAATAAAGGATTCTACGGATGTGAATGAAACCTACGATGAAGAAGAAGACGATGGAGATTGGATCACTCCCGAGAACTTGATGCAAGAAATGTTAAAGGATAATAACGAGCAGGTGAAAGAAACCAAGGAGAAATCTGGTCCATTCATCAAAGTTGCACTTGCCACGGGAGATTTTGCATGTCAGAACGTGGCAATGCAAATTGGTTTAAATTTGATGAATGCCATGTCTGGAAGACAAATTAAAAGGGTACGAAATTATATGTATCGATGCCATGCGTGCTTTCGCCTCACCCCAATTCCCAAGGATGGTCGACCCAAGCATTTCTGTCCCAAATGTGGAGGCAATACACTCTTGAGATGTGCGGTTTCCATCGATAATGAAACCGGTAAAGTCACTCCACATTTGAAAGCCAACTTCCAATGGATAAAGCGAGGAAACAAGTTTTCGCTTCCATCTCCTTTGTCCAAGAACCAACAAAGATTACAAGGAAATGGTGGTTACCAACACAACAAACAGAATCGTCACAAATCGTTACAAAATCCACTTCTTCTTCGAGAAGACCAGAAGGAATACCAGCAAGCGGTGAAAGACGACGATTGGCAACGGCGCCAAAATGAAAAAATGCTTCAAGAATGGATAGGAGGAGGCAGTGCGGACAACTATATGTCTCCATTTACTACGCAACAGACAATTAGGCCGTCCGGAGTCCAAGTGGGTAGAGGACGTTATGTCAATTCTTCCAGGCGGCGGAAATAGTCATACTATACTAGTAACATAAAACAACAATAATCTACTACATTCAAGAACAAAAAACCACTTCTACATTTATAGCAAAAGAGACATTCTTCTAATACTTATACTCAACATCTAATTTCAAACCTCTCGTCTACCTGCTCTCTACTCTGCCTCATTTGCACCCACTGCACGTGACTTCAGTTTAACTTTCATCTGGCAGCACCCAACTGTTATCTTATCCATCTGATGTCTGCTGGCCAGTCCACAAGCCAAGCTGCGGCATTGGCTGCTTTTAAGAGCATCAGCACACACCCTAAAACAGACCAGAATCCTTCAAAGGTTCATCAATCACCTGAACGCAATGTTAAACGAAATCCTTCTGGTCGCCTAACAAATTCAAGAAATGCTACAGCTGTCAATGCAATTAATAGACTGCCGCCAAAGGCTCCACAAAAGCCCCAACTATCGGTAGTAACGGCAAGTGGCCATGAAACGAAGAAAAATGTTGAAAATAATCGTCAACGAAGTAGCTCACCACTGCCATTGTATCGAACTACAACCCCTAAACAAATGACATCACCTTCTACATCTTCGGCCAGTCTTCCCCTGAACATGATCAAGTCGGTGAAAGACTCTATAGAGGCCAAAAGGCACGCTTCTGAGGCCAAACGTCTTGCCCAAGAGAACCAGCCCAGTGATATGCTCACCAAGATCCGCCAGTCGATCAACGATAGGACGAGAAACATACCCAACCAAGCCAAGGTGAACGAGAGAAACATGGCAACCATCAATGGAATTCGCGAGAGCATAGAGCTGAAACGTATAACTACTCAGGCCAACAGTAGCATGATTGTTCTTGATACCAGTTCAAATTCACCCTACAATTTTGCTCCACCTGACGAACTACGATCACCATATGAGGCTCACTCGCCAAACTACTCATACTCATCATTTGAATCTGTTCCTCTGGCATACAGTAATCCAGATCTGAACATCGACCTTCATGATCGTGGTCCTGAAACTCCAAGTATAGTGGTCGATTCCCCGTTCAACAGCCAGTATGATTTACTGTCTCCACGAGAAGACTCCGATATCGACCAGGAACGCAGAAATACAGCGCCAATTCTCATTCCACCGTCTCTGAATGCGTGTGCAAGATCTGCTAATTCGGCAGGCTCCGCCGACGATGCTCGTTCTCATCTCTCGAGCTTGAAATATCAGGTGGAGAAGGAGAAGAACGAAGACAAAAACAAGAAACCAAAAAGAAAACCTCCACCAGAACTCAAACCGACTACAGACTTAGATGGGGCATTCTTCTCAGATAGTTCGTCCTTGAATCCAGGTAGTTCACGTTCACTGCTCGACGCAGGCTCTTATCTGACAGACAACGAAAGCATGGGCCGCAACCGTATGGGAAGCAACGACAGTGACTTGTCTAAACCTATAAAACTTCCTCAGTATCCAGAGTTGGATACCTCAAGCACAAAGTTTAAGATCCGCAAACGCCACGGCGAATCGAACCAGAATGTTGGAAAGATGACTGAACTGGGCTCTGAATCAGATTTTGAGTATCCCAAGGCGACTGTTCCTGTTTCGAGAGCCACCGCTCCACCTTTAGTGCATCAGAAGCTGCAACATGTCCAGCTCAAGACCACAATGAGAGATTCGAAGAAGAAGAAAAAAGACAAAAAACTGTTTGATGTGGACAAACCATGGAAGAATCATAGTGATCTTGACCGGATCTCGGAAGCTGATCGCAAGAGATACGAAGGAGTGTGGGCGAGTAACCGGGGAACCTACTTCAATTATGTGGTAACTAGAATCAATGGAATTGATTACGGTAGCGGAGGAGGATCAGAACAGAAGATTATAGTCGACGAAGAAGATTCAATGAAGGCGGCAAGACTTTCTGCAAAGCAGCAGGCTGATACCGTACTGGGTGCAAATGGTGGCTATCAAAGTGCCGAATTTCACAACATCACCAATGCCGAGATCAGTCAATTAATACACAGCTCGGTCGTGGAAAGGATTTGGGAACGAAGCAGGTTACCTTCGGAGACTTTACGTGATATTTGGGAATTAGTTGATTATAGAAAGGACGGCACCTTAAATAAGCCCGAATTTCTCGTTGGCATGTGGTTGGTTGACCAGTGTCTTTATGGCCGCAAATTGACCAAAAAGGTGCCTGCTAGCGTGTGGGAGAGTCTAGAGGGAATAGGAGTCAGCGTGAAGAAGAAGGGAAAGAGATAGGACCACTGATTTATAGAATATAGAACATCGGGGCCGTCTTACATAAGCACCATATCTTCAACGGAAATCTTGAGACATGAAATCAACCATGAATTTATTAGATATGTTGGCGGGCGACCCTCCACAGGCAATTTACAAGACGGAGGAGTCACCCACAACCGTTATAGACTTGGAAACCACAAGCAATAATGAAGCGGAATCAAATGATGGAGTCCATTATTTGCCGACGGTTTTGACTCCAATGCAACGTGATATTTGTGAGATTATCATTCAAATAATGCGTCACCATCTCACGAATGGTGTAGAGTCACGCAGAACTCGAGCTAGTATCAATAGCTTGTTGGAAACAGCAGAATCATCCGAAGGAATAGCTTCAAGCTCAGATTCTTACGACATGATAAAACTTCTTTTTGACCAACTTTGCATCGCTTCTAGACACCCATCGTTGCTAGTTGATCATTTGATGCCCAAGCAGCTTCTATTGCTGGAAACTAACGAAAGACTTTTGAATCTTTCAGGAAATCTCAAACTTTTCAACGAAATAATTGATGGTATAATCGATTCTTTACGGGACTCAACGAAGACTGAAGTGTTCAATATCCTCGTTATAGCTGAGAACGTCAAAGAGCTCGAACTAGTGGAGGGCATAATCATAGGCAAGCAATTGTACTACAAAAATTTGAGCAGTGGAAAGATGTATGAAGACAACAGAGGCATGCCACTGAGCGAACAAAAGGAAGTAGAACCAAAATCCAAAAGGAGGAGATTCAGTAGCAAGGGACCACAAACAGGCTCAGCGGCTACTTGCTTGTACTTGACAACCACCCAACAATTCTACAATCATTATACTCCAGCGTCGTTGTCTGGAAACTCTGCATTCAACCTAATCTTTTCATTTGACCAGACCATCGACTGTGAAAGTCCTAGCATCGAAGTGTCGAGAAACGTGCATAATAACGGACGCAAAACTCCTATACTCATACCGGTACCTGTTATGTCCATACTACATATTCTCACACAAATTCCTAAACCAGCTGGCAATTTGGGCAACATTTCCATCGATCGCTTACTGAGTCCAGCTCATAAATGGAGACTAAGGGCGCTAAATGTGTATGCTGTGAATCGTTTCAATTTGTTCGAGCAAAGTGTAGCGGGCTTTTACCGCAAAAACCACCAGTCAATGATCGAGTTGTACAACTGGATAACGGATCCGACTCTCGAAACTTATCCTAGTTTTGGACTTGAAGAGTTTTCCACTCTGCTCAACTTCAACTTTACCGATGAAAAATTAATGAAGAAGCTTCGAGTGGACTATTTGGAGGCACTTGCTACCCGTGACCGTGAACTGCGTACCTACAATTTCGGTGAAGAAGTACGCAGTTACAAAGATTTCAAGTATACGTTGTCTGTTATTTTGAATGAGAGAACTGGAGAACTTGAAAGCACACAACGGTCTCTTTCAAATGACAAGTTGATAACGTTTAGGAATGATGAATCGAAAAGACAACTTGAAATAGACCGTGATGAGGAGTTAATTGCTGCCAACTATAGAGAGATGAAAGTCCTCATAGACAAGGCAAACGTCGCAGAAAAGTTATCCGCTCGAATTGATGCTGATGTAGAAAAAATTCGGCAAAAAAATGAAGAATTGAAGTCAAAGAAGCAGTTCTTGGAAGACAATGTTAAAAATGCAACGGAGGAAACAGTCGCTGTTCAGAAGTCAAACATTGCTGAGTTGGAAAAAGAATTGTCCAATGTAGCAGTGGAGCTTGAAAAGTTGAATGGGGAGAGCGACGAAACTCGATACAAGTATCAAGAGAGTTCGGCTATGGCCGCCAAATTATCCGGTGAACTTTCAGAAATACAAGAGAAAAACATCAAGCTACAACAAAAAATTACAGGACCAGGTGCGAGACTTCTTCCTACCTTATTCAAAGACGATAGCTTGCACAAAATCGAGGCAGAGTGTCACAGAATTGAACAAGAGAATAGAGTTATCGAAGAGATTTTTGCCCAAAAGCTCGACACCATCATAAAAGAAAGAAATGGTATTCTTGACAGTTCTGGAGGATCTTCAAGCAGGCAAGTCAATAGAATCAGCCGTTCAGCAACTCCTATGTAATTACTGAAGGTTGAAGGCTGGTCACTAATTCTTACATAATGAATCTCTGATCACCTGGTGCTTCATCTTTGTAGGCAAGCGCGGGACAAACTAGTGCACATAATTACCACACTTGCAAATTGCTGGATACACAAATGTTAAAGAATTTGGACGTCCAATTGCTCTCAAACCACTATTACGGTGTCCCTTATCTCCCTCATGACTTTCAGCTGTTTGTTTTTCTCGTACAAATATATTTCTGGAGGACAGTGAAGCAAACGGAGACATGGTATTTCGGAGAACATTCGAGCCCATTGCTCGGGTATTTGATGATTGCTCGAGATGTATTTTTAATCTATGTATTCTTTATTCGAATCCGAAAAGCGTTTAGGGTTTGGTGGGGATATGGCACTTTCAAGTTGATTTCAATGGCTCGTGATAAAGTATTCAAAGTGGTTTCCAGTTGGGTTTTATCACTTCCTCCTATCAAAAAGAAGGTGGATACCGAGCTCAAATCAACCATAGAGCTCATCGAGGATACAGTGATAAAGGGTAAAGATTTGGACCAACATATTACCCTTCCAGAAATCGGGTATTCCGGAGCAAAAGTCGAATCCGAGCTTGATAGTCTTCAGGCCATAAAGCATTCCGACTGGGCCAACGGACGTGTGAGTGGGGCAGTCTACCATGGTGGAGACGAGCTCTTGAAACTACAGACAGCAGCATATGAGAAATACTCAATTGCCAATCAATTACATCCTGATGTCTTCCCTGGAGTGCGAAAGATGGAAGCTGAAATAGTGTCTATGGTACTTAAATTGTTCAATGCTCCTGCTTCTGGGTGTGGGTCCACTACTTCTGGTGGCACAGAATCGTTGCTCTTGACGGGGTTGGCGGCTCGTGAATATGGCAAAAGAAAAAAGGGCATTAGTGAACCCGAAGTGATCGCACCAATGACGGTTCATGCTGGTATAGAAAAGGCATGCAACTACTTTGGAATGAAGCTTCACAAGGTCGAGGTTAATCCGGTAACCTATCAGGTGGATGTGAAACTGGTCAAGCGGCACATAAATAACAACACTGTGCTCATCGTTGGTTCAGCTCCTAATTACCCACATGGTGTAATCGACGATATTGAAGCATTATCAGAATTGGCATTGAAGTACAATATCCCATTGCACGTTGATGCATGCTTGGGATCGTTCATAGTTACCTTTTTGGAAAAGAGTAAGGTCCATGGAACTAAATCGATTCCCTTGTTTGATTTCAGACTCGCTGGAGTTACCTCAATTTCTTGTGATACCCACAAATATGGTTTCGCTCCCAAGGGCTCTTCTGTGATCATGTACCGTACACCAGAGCTCCGTCAATGCCAATACTATGTTCTGGTCGAATGGGCTGGTGGAATGTATGGATCCCCTACACTTGCTGGCTCGCGGCCTGGTGCTCTTGCAGTTGGATGTTGGGCCACATTAATGCACATTGGGGAAAAGGGCTACCGAGAGTCCTGTTTTGACATTGTCACAGCTACCATGAAGTTGAAAGAAGAAATCAAAAGCGGTAAGTTATCGCAGTATCTTGAAGTACTCGGGGACCCGATTGCACTGGTTATTGCGTTTAAGCTGAAAAACGCTTCTGTGAACATTTATGACTTGGGTGATGCCTTGACGGCCAAAGGATGGCATTTTGCCGCCCTCCAGAAACCAGCAGCGCTCCACTTTGCTTTTACAAGGTTGACAGTTCCAATTGTAAATGAATTGATCAGAGATTTGATTGAGTGTACCGAAGAATTAGCAGCCAATAAATCGGGCAACAAGAAAAATGATACCGCCGCTATTTATGGTGTCGCTGGAAGTGTTAGCACCTCTGGGGTTGCTAATCGGATCATTGTGGCATTTCTCGACGCTTTATACAAGGTCTGAATACCCCCACTCGGTTGCAACCTTCCCAATCCAGGTATGCCCCTTATATAAGCAGATCTCAGATAAGGCTGCGACTCATTCATACTTTACCCGAAATACATCCATTGACTGACTACCACTCTAAACATAACATGGACACATGTGGCCATTTCGTAGGGGTCTCTGACTTCTTCAGCACCGTTTCTTTGTGTAGCTGGATCTGTGCCCAGATGCCGCAAATCTACACCAACTATAAGAACAAGTCTGCCGACGGAATCTCACCGTCATTTTTGGCGCTTTGGTTTGCCGGTGATTTTTTGAGTTTTACGAGCTGCTTGCTCAATAAGGTGGTACTCAAGTTCCAGGTGTACTTGAGTTTATTTTTCATTTGCAACGACTTAACCTTGTGTTTCCAATACTACTACTACCTGGTGCGCACCTCAAACAATTACAAAAGCGTGAATGGACTCGTCCTGGAAATTGACTCCGGTACAACTACCCATGAAAGCTTGTTCCATACTGATGCAGAAACTCATATAACTGACGGCTCACATAGAGCAATTCCTACACCAGGGTCAATATCCAATTCGCCCAGCGGGAGCTACAGTTCTACGGATAACCTGCCGATTGTCAAGTCAATTGCAGTTTCCTCCATGGCCCAGGGAGCCAGCGCATTGCTGACAAGTAACATTCCTGAAAAAGAAAGTTCTTTTGGGGAAGTTTTGGGTGTCCTTCTTGCATGGGCATGTACGTTCGTTTACATGGCCTCACGCTGTCCTCAGCTCTACAAAAACTACCAAAGAAAGTCAGTAGATGGAATATCACCACTTTTATTCGGTGCAGCACTTATTGGAAACCTTACTTATACCTTGTCAATACTTACCAGTTGCGACTTTGTCAATGATGATTTGCGACATGAATTTTTTATAAAGGAGCTTCCATACATTCTTGGGAGTGCTGGAACAATTGTGTTTGACCTTGCATACTTCTACCAGCGTCGCATATATAGAAAGCCGGTGGAACCTCCCATTTCTCTTACTCTGTGGAACCACCAGTGAAACATCCATACCTCCATACATTAATACTTTCGCAGCATCTTCCACTAGATCGAAAACTTGCAACTCTGGATATATGTTCCGACGTATTTTCCTAACGTCCAAGTACGTGGGAAGATTTGTCAGAGCTAATAGCATATCAGCTACAACACACGAAACGGCTCTGATACCCATACAACATCCTCGTTTACGACCATTTTTATTTTCCAAGAAAGATGATGAAATCATCTGGAAGAAGATTTCTCTAGATACATATCCCAGCCCTTTGTTTGGTATGAGCTCAGACGATATAAGAAGACTAAAGATGGACGAGTATCTACACTTGATCAAAATTCCGTACAAATGGGTAGGAGAAACAGAACAATTCTGTACCAGCATGGCTGAAATAATTGATGGAATGATCCTTGATGATACGGAAACAGCGAGCATTTACTACTTTGCCATAGACAATTCAGAGCTCAAGGAGTCAGTCAATGAACAGCTCCGAATGTTGGCTGCGTCGGATACAATAAAAGAATCATTGGTAGAAATGATGATAGACCATACGGCGAATACCTTTCGATCCAAGTTTTTCCAAACAGTTGCCTTCATTCTTAAACTAAATAAAGAGAAACAGGCTACCACTCTTCTCTCATACCTTGATAACTTGAGGAAATTAAACGTTTGCAACGAGAAACCACTAATCTTGAATTCACTATTGTTCGAGCGAATACTTCGAATAATGCCCCGAGAAAAGTTTGCCGAGTTGTACGCATATCTAGTGATTTTGAACATTCAGACCTATGTCATAAGTCATATGGAGAAGCTAAAACACGAACTTTTAGCAGGACTGAATCTTGAAAAATTGGTCGCTAAAACCGGACTTTTGAACCCTAAATGGCATGATATTCGGAAACCAACCATTGCTCCAAGCCATATCACCAGAATGAGAATATTCTTTTCCGTAAGAGACTTGGCACGGTTTGCAACACATTCGATAGAAAAAAGAGACATCGTGAACGCAAATATGTATGTCAGTCTCTTGGTTACGAAATTTGAGGAAAAGTGCAAACTTGTTGGCAAAGAAAATTACGTACCTCGTGTTAAAGATTCAGACATCAATACCGACATCCTGTTACTTCTTAAGGTCCTTCTTAACCATGTTATGGTTTTCAAAGGCTCACAAGAATGCTTGAGAATGATGCAGTATATGGTCCATAATAACGTTACCATATCATTTGATATCTTGATGATCATTATGAAGAACTTGAGAAACCAAGGCTACTTCCAGGAAGCTTTATTGCTAATGAACAACATTCGTCCCGAAACGCTCACACGATCCGATTGCTTAGCGTTGACCGATCAAATATTGTGCTTAATTCAGGCTAAATACCCCACGACTCCCAAAATAATGTTTGGGTATGTTGCAGCCGTTTTCAAGGATGGAATAAAAGTGTTAAACAAACTCAAACTTCTAGGATTGGTTTACCAAGATGGTTCTGCTGTCGAGCTTCAGAACCCGGAGCTTCGAGTTCAACGTGCGAATATCGACGAAAGACTTGGGGGTTTCAACATTACTCCCAAAGCTCTCACTCAGGCATATGAGATGTGTCTATCGTCTCTTCACAGATCTGTTCTCACTTCTCAACTATTGAAGGAGTTGTACGACACGTACATTGAAACTTTGGTCAAAGCAGAGCATCCCATCTTCAAGCCATCGAGACAAAACGACCATGTGGTTACGCTAATTATCAAATACTTACTTAAGGAGAATCCCGAAAATAACGATATGTGCATGGTAAAGAGCGAAGCTGCTTACTCCACTGCAAAAGACATTATTGGCGATTACTTTAGCCGAATAGCTCCTACCAGTCGTCGCAACAGGAGCCCATATCTCTTTGATTTACTCATCACCACGGCCCTATCTGTTCACAGAGATTACGAGTTTGCTACGAAAATGGTCCGTGAATCGCGGAGTCTTAATTTGCCGTTTACCTTCAACCAAATCTACCCTTTCATCATGTACCATTACGAACACAAAGAGTACAAAAAAGCCGAACTTTGGTACCAACAGTTGGTGAAGCACGGAGTTAAAAGCGATGCAGAACCAAGCAAGAATCTCTTCAAGGTTGCCCGAGAGTTGGGATGGGAGGTGAACGGGTTCGTTTATCGAAAACTAGGCATACACCGCAACTACAAAAAGAAAGAAGAACTCAAAAAATTACTTAAAGATCCCATTGTGTTTATAAAGCCAGAGAGATCTGAAAATGAAACGGATGCAGAAGAGACACTCGAACAAGAGTTTCTCGACTCTTCACATCGCGGCAATTTCAGCGATGAATTATTGGCGTTGATAAACTGATTTCCAATTCCTGCACATACACTATTTTCATTCCGTCCGAAAACGGCAAGTGACGATAACATTACCCAAATCGAAAAAGACTGATGAACCAGGTGCCTCAAAAATTGCACTTGATTTCAAAGCTGATTCTCAAAATATTTCTCACAAACCACACACCATATTTGCCTGTTATACTAATTGACCATTACCATGGATTGCGAAAACCTGCGCATTAATCAACAGGATTTACCGGTGGAAGATTGGGATGGATCCACGCAAACTCCTACTAAGAACACAACAGACATATCGCATGTTTTATCCAACACCAAACCCACGGAGGAGATACTCACAAGCAAATTTGACCACATTGCGACCAATGTCAACCAAGCCATCGCCGACTTGAACGAAATATATACAAAGATCGGGTATTCGACCACAGAAACAAGGATTAAAAAGGCCGAGATATTTAGTGCCATCGAAGATACGATATCCAATTTCAGCTCCAGCTTGATGCGAGAAAAGAACAATATAGAAAACGAATGCGAATGGCTCCGACAACAAATTAGAATCATTCTCGCCATGATAAACGACGACAAGGGTGAACGAAACTTACGGTGCTCTGATCGTGGAATTGTGTTTGAAGACGTGAACTTATATGAGCAAGGATACAAAGAAGATGTCGTGGATCGACTAGAATATTTGCAATCTCGCCAACAGCGGTTCTACGCAACATCTCCATTCAATCTTACCTCGCCATACATTCCAGAAGAAGAGAGCTCACCAACCATCGCCAACCAATATGAGTACATGACAAAAAGCATTCCACGGCTCTCCTTGCTTCAGTTAAAATCCAACTTGAACCGAATATTTCTCCAGGTTTTACAAAGTTTCATGAAACCATTTCGCAAACTTACCGATCTCAATCTTGCATTCTTGGACATTTATGATACCGTGGGAAATATTACAAACTTAGAAGACTCCTCATTGCTCAAGACTCTACCAAATCGTCAGGAATCGGAAGAGCATGCTAAACTCATTCACGAATTTGAAGAGGTAATGAGTAGTTTCAAAGAATCGAAGCATGGGAAGGGGAATATGAATGACTCTACTCAGTTTATTGTTTCTAGTCCGAGAAAGAATCAAGTCAAAGAACCGCAATCACAGATTTCGCCGTCAAGCGATACTATTGAGGAACTCAGAGACGTCAACTACAAGCTCATCAGAGTTATTCGATGTCTCAGAATAACGAAAATGAGCACCGAATTGTTCGGTAGATTGCAGAAAATAATCAACTCTTATGCTGCAGCAATGGGTGAGCGAAAAAATCAAATGAGTGAAATGATCTCGAAATGTTTGACTTTGATAGGCAATTTACTGCTCAATGAAAAGCAGTTGCAGCTCATTCAGAAGAACTTTGATGCAATGAACGAAATCAAAAATGGGAATGGTTCTTCTGCAGCTTCGGAAGGTTACTTTGATGTTGAGACCCTTCAGTTTATACAGCACAATCCCACCGAATTTGGACTTCACGATGGTCATCTTCAGTTCGTCGAGAAATTCGTGAGTACTCTTGAACGTCTACACGAATCAAAGCAAAGGAGGAAGAACCACTACCTCAAAACCTGTACCATGCTCTGGGAGCGCCTTGACGAATCCGAGTCATATATCAATAACTTTTTGAGTTCAAACAACGACTTGAGCGAAACCTCTTTGGTCAATTTCAAGATGGAGCTAAACAGACTATACTTGAAGCGCTCTGAATACGTGGACGATTTCATTAAGAGAGCGAGATCTGAGATAGAAAAGTTATGGAACGATATGCTATACTCAACCGAAATGAGACAAAGTTTCAAATACTTTAATTATGACGCAGAGACCAGCGACGAGGACAAAGAAGAAATACTCAATAGTCATGAAGTCGAGCTTTCGGCTTTGAAACAAGAGTTTGAGGCAAGGAAACCAATACTTCAGATCTATGAACAAGTGCAAGAGCTTGCAAAAGACCAACAATTTTTGACTGAATCTTCGAAAGATTCCTCCAGACTATTGAGCAAGAATTCATGCAAGATATTACTTAACGAGGAAAAAATTAGAAAAAAGTTGATCAAAAACATGCCTCGTTTGATCAATAGCTTGAAGTCCGAAGTCATCAAGTATAATGACAGTCAATTGAGCCAGGGCAAAAAACCTCTCCAAGCATATGGTGAGGATTTCTTTGAGATGGTGATAATGCTAGAGTCGGAATACGTTAACAAGAAGTCGGACAAGAGCAGAAACTCCCATTCGCCTAGTCGACCCCTTTCTTACTCGCCCAAAAGAGCTGCAATTAATCGCCAATCACCAGCTAAAGGCTTGAGCTCAAGGAGCCCACAGCGAATATTAAAACCGGCTGAGATTTCTCCACCTAAGCGAACAGGAATTAAAAAACCCACCAAAAGGGCTCCCAAATTTTCCCGGAACAGCGTAATTAACAGCCGTTTAACCAGCGCAGTTAACAGCATGAGCAGCTTCAGTGACATGTCTAATAACCTCGATAGTCCTACTTCACTGAACTCGTTGAACTACACATCTGGGGCACAAATACCTAGCCTCTCAAGAAATTACAATCAGTTGCAACCATTGAACTCACCGTTGAAGCCTGAAGAAAGCTGTATCAGTCAAAGCACTGTTCGCTTGTCACCGCTTCAACAATCAGGCATAGCGAATACAGAAAAAATGAGTCAAGGCGATAAATTAACGCTGTCTCCTATCAGCAGAACAACAGCAACCATAAACCCTGAAGGTAAAGAGAATGAACTGACAACGATGAAAAAGGAAGTCGATCATTTTTCCGGCAAGAGACACAGTGAAGTTTCAAATGAAAGTTCATTTTTAATGAGTGATGATTATCAATCATGGAGAGACCAACGCATACGACTCTTAAATAGTCTTTCCTAGTGTATTATACTATACCCTATTATACAATGTAGCGACTTGTAACCCACTAGCTCCCCAACTTTAGCAGGCCAACTTTGTCAGACAAGTCTGGATGCGAACCACTTGAAGTTTTTTGTTCCTCACTGGAACTTCCCGTTTCGTCTGCATCGTCATCGTCATCGTCATCGTCGTCGTCGTCGTCGTCGTCGTCATCATCGTCGTCATCATCATCATCATCGTCGTCTACAATGACACTTCCATTGGCATCGGCAGTTTCTTCTTCCTCCTCTTCTTCAGGATATCCTCCGAGTTTCATCACAATCTTATTAACGACCTCATTCCAGTCCATCATACCTCCCATACCAATATCACCATAACTTCCAACAACTTTCTCCACAGGTTTCAAGATCTCTATCCACGGCATTTCCTCAGCAATCAACTTTAATTGTCGCTTTGTGGTGATGGCATTGTACGAGTAACTGACCATCGCTGGAGCTAGTAATATAGGGAATGATGTATTCCAGGCGCGGACAACATTGGTGAGCAAATTGTCACACAACCCCATGGATATCTTTGAAAGAGTATTGGCGGTGAGTGGACAAACCACCAAGATATCAGCCCACCTGCGAAGCTCGATGTGCAAGACTGGGTCCAGTCGAGTTTTCCATGTGGTCCACTCATCTTCGTCTCTCCAAATGCGGATTTTCTTGGTGTTCTCTAGATAATTTTGCACTTCTTGTGGAAGAAAGTTCTCACTTGATTTGGTGAGAATTAGCTGAATAGATATTTTGTTGGGGGTGTAGATCTCGTATAACTTCAGGATTATGAGCTTGACCTTTATGGTGGACAAAGCACCACACACTCCAATGAGAATATGGAGCTTACCATCTTCTTGTGGAAGTCGTGGATCTATATTTGCATTTTGCTCTGTTGGAGGAGGAGAGAGCGTGGTGGATGTTTCTGCGAGTTTGTCTATAGAGGATTGAACGGGTGCTGTGGTCGAACCCAAGGGGGAGGTTGCACTCAGTCTTTCAGGACTGTTAGTTGATCCTGAGCGAGAACGAATTACCTTTCCTGGCCGCATGGTTTCATCAACGTAGAAATGGGCATGGACAGAAGGAGATTTGTGATGAGCGGATGATTCAGGGGGATTCAAGATATGGTTGATTGATGAAGTGGACTCGTTAGAAGGAGCCTGTGATCCACCAGTGACAAAAGCAACCGGTTCTTTTTTCGTTTCTGTTTCCTTCCGTTTGAGCACAGCGCCTCCAGCAGGAACAGTTTCTCTAGTTGTAGCCAGGAGGCTTGGCGAGGCAGCCTGTGAGCCCAGCGGAGTCCGCAAGCTAGGACGGTTGGAGGTATTAAGAATTGGTGGAGGAGATGGACACCGTAAGTTGGAAATGGCCAAAACGGAAGGAGGAATTTGATCAGTGGAATCAACATTTTCTGACGAAATTGAGGCACTACGCTTATCATGGGGTTTCTGGGGTTCCGCTGAGCCCGCAGACGAGTTTTTATCTTCTTCGAGGGGATCGGAAGCCATCGTTGGACAACTTTAGTAATGCGGTAATCCTTTATCGATTTTTGGTGCGATCGCACCACACGACCGGGTGTTAGGATCCCAAGGACAGTAGAGAAAATGTAGCAACATATATTAATGCAATCCTAAAGAACGAAACGAGTCTACCAACTCGCGAGCACGCTGCTCCTCTCCAATATCATCGTGGGGCGCCCGCGCCCGTGGTTTCGACGGTTTGTGGTGGTTCCTTGTGGTTTTTTTCGGCGAATTTGCAGCCAATGATGGCTTGGGTTTAAGCTTCGGGGGAGTTGGGGTGTCCAGCAAGGAATCCACCGTAGACGGTTGTGTTGATAACTGGCTTGAAGAGTGGCTCTGTGATTGGCTTGGCGGTTGCATGCTGTAGGGGCTGGTGTGCGAGCCATAGTAGAGACGATGGTGGATGGTATTGCGTTCGTAACCCAAATTGCCGAGCATATTTGGAGAGCGATGATGCTTATTTCGAAACAAGTTTTGTACGACGTAGTTGTTATAGTCGGGAAATCGGTCGTAGCGAACCGTAAGTGATCTTCCCTCGAAAACGGTATCGTTGGTGAGTTTGATGAGCAATTCCGAGGTTTCTTGATTGCCCGTGGTGACGATTGCAAATCCGCGACTGGAACCACGCAGCAGCATTTCGTCTGTCGAAGACGATGTTTGCATGGGAATTTCCACCCTGAAGATATCGAGAGAGGCGTGCGGTTCAGCAGCGAAAACTGAAGCCACAAGAAAGTTTTTGAGCGATGGCCATGTGGACAGAAATGGGATGTTACCAACAAACAATCGGCACGGATTCACCTGAATTTCTGCACCTTCATCATCGGTTATGGTTATTAAAGACACATCGGATTTGTTTCCCGCCACGAGATTGGTGATGAATGAAGGTACTGGTTTAATGCTGGGATCTGGTGGAGGATAAAAAAACGGGTATGGGTAAGGAAAGTAGAATGGCATCAGAGGTTCTATATTGTGGTTGATCAACAGAGCTTCCACGGACCAAGGAAGTGGGCTTGGTAACGAATTGAAAAGCGCCACTGCTCGAGAAGCCACAATGTATGACGACGCTAAAAATACCGCTATGAGATCGGAAGATTGTGGATCGGGGCGGATTTGCAGCAAGATGGTTAACGACGGATTCAAGTTTGCCAAGTGAGTGGCAATGGCTAAGTTGACGCGTTGAACCAACGAGTCCGGAGTCAAGTTATCACCAGAAACCCTTAGTTCAATAGTGGAAGAAGATGACGTAGACGGCAGAAACAGGGGAGCATTTGGATTGAAACCTGGCATTCTTCAAGTGTGGCCCTGCGAAATCAAAATTAACGAGATTGACAAAGGAACCTCCTATCCAATTTGCTTCCCGGCGTGCAGAGAACAAGGAAAGAAGGAGGCTCAAAATAGAACCCTGTCTCAAATCTACGCCACACGAACAATTCGATCCAGTTGGAGATGGTGCGTGCGTGCGCCGCTCGCTTGGCCGCCCAAGAGATAAGATCTGCTTTGTGTCACATGAAGGGGCGGACTGGGGGATGAGGAGGGGAAGCCGTTGGGGCCGGTGGCGGGTAACCAGGGGCCAACGGCCGATGTCACATGCCGCGCGGGCCGGCCGCAAAGGGCAGCGACTGCAAAACGGGAGTAAGATGAGGCCGAGGCGGCGACGAGACGACTAAGTTGACTTAGTCGACAAGTTGACTAAGGTGAAGAGTGAACGCCAGGCTAGTTGGCATTTTGTAATTTGATTTGACAGGTAACGGAACGCTTAATAATCCACAATCCGCGTGCACCATCCGCGTTAAATCGACTTCATTCTGTTTTGTTTTCTAATTTTTTTTTCTTTGTTTCGTTTTTCTTTCTTCTACGTCACGGAGACCAATTGCATAATGAAACTGGCTTATTATTGTTTGAGCCGTTGTGTCTATGCCGTCACGGATGGTGCATCCCGCCTCGGCCCAGCATTACATATTGTTTGCCGTAAGGGGCCCACTCCGTTAGTGGCAGTTGGCGCGGCGTCATGTGCGGCCCCTGTGTTACATGATGCAGAATTTACGTGGGAATTCATGCAGGTTGGCACCGAATTAGGCAGGCGGTTAATTTATTATTTACTACTTTGGGAATATCATACATAGCCCTGATGGTGCATTTCCCTCTTGTGGATGCGAAAATGTTGCAGCGCCCACAAGAAAATCAATTGGAGGCCATGGATAGCTTCCAACAGAAACCTAGAAACTATCATACTCTACCACATAGAAATTTCTGGTCACGGTGCCGCGACAGTATTTTCTTAGGTTTTTAATGCATTGTTATTCGCGTCTTGATAACCATCTTCGTATGCACTGCACAATTGCTGAATACAGTGCTACGGTTTGACATTAATGTAAGAATTTTTTTTTCCCTCAACTTGCGAATATTGCTTGTTTTTCCTCGCTCCATTTTTGGCCCCGGTAACGCGAGCGAAATTTATATTAAGTAGTACTCTGTTACGACTTGTATTTTACCGCTGTAATTCCCAGCTTGATTTTCAACGGAAATAATTGTCATTAAAGTGTCAATCGATTGTCACTATTACTTGACTATCGTTTCACTATCATTTGGCTATCACTGAGCCAATTAACCGCCTTGATGCATTGCTTAGTTATCTCAAGAATCCAGCCGTTCTGAATCCAAACAAACCCGTCGCTGATTGGCACCGCATCACGGCATCTAAACACCACTCCCCAACAACCTTCCCATCATCGAGGCGTCGACCAATCATCACCGGTATCAACATTGGCGCGTCAATTGCAACATTTTATTGCATAGAATCCTATACCAATCGATCCTCATTCGGGTTGCCACCGCCGTTTGTCGCCGTTCGTCCCCGGTTTCCACCGTTGATCTACATCAACTCGCATAACTTTGCTGCACATCTTCTTGTGTGTTGTAATAATAATCCTGTAAACCACGCTACAGTGCAGGCCAAATTATCCCCGCTACCTCCCCGAACACCTTTAACCGCGGCGCACATATTGCAGACGGCATCAACTGGTAGGCGTGACATTTTTAGCAATTGTCGCCACGTCAATTGTATCCAGTGCAATCGATTGTTGTTTTAACCTCGCACCATAACCATACCACATACGCCACTACCAGCAGCCAAATGGCCAAAAAAAAGCTCGACCCCTCTGTCAAGCACAGCAGAACCAGATCCGGCTGTCTCACCTGCAGAGACCGACATATGAAATGTGACGAGCAGCAGCCGGTATGCAAGAACTGCCAACGTTCGAAAAGAAAGTGCTACAGAGGTATTCGATTGAATTTCACCCAATATTCGATATATTCCCCAACCACCACCGCTCCAGAGTCCCATAATCCACCAAGCTCCTATAGATTGCTCGATCAATCTATAACTATTGCTTCACTCTACAATAATGGCATTTCTCCCTATGAACCCTACATGCATCTTCATACTCACGAGGAACTTCGGGAGTCCGACCGCCAGTACGAACGTGATATTAACAGTTCGATTCCATCTTCCTCCACCACCAACAAATCACCTTCTTATGAACATGAAAAATCCTTGTGGTCAGCTTCCGGTGTATCGACCCTCGATCTATATCGACGCCCAAGTATGGCCGCAAACCCGGTGATTACGTCGCTCCAAGACCAAAATCCAGTTTATGAAAATGTCAAGCTAAAAGATTTTTTGTCTGACGAACAACTCAATTTGACCCAGTCAAGTCAAACTCTCGTTTCTGAGGCTGCACCTCCAAATTCGGGAGTGCCCAAGGATGATATAGATGCTTGCGAATTGGTGTCGCTCATCCATGAACAAAAGTTTTATTGGCTTTTGGATCTTCTTAATGGCCTCAATGCATGGAAACTGATAATCACCCGCTATTGCCTTGACGCTCTGTCGGTGGAAAATGACATTTATGATAATGAATTTCTCTTGAGATGCCTTTATCGATGTTCCATCAGAGACGAGGTGTCGGATATCTCAGAGTTACTCAATGAACAATCTAGTCGGTGGTCTCGAATTCAGTTCGAAGTGTTTTCCACAGATAATTTGACCCAGCACGAGTTGATACTCATAAGCATTGCATTAGTCCTCCTCCGTGCATTACTACGAATTCAGAATCGTTTACATGTCGAAAACATAAGTGGACTTATTGATGGACAAATTAACATTTTCTATCACATAATAACAAAATACCAAACATTACCCCAAATACAAAGCCAAAGACTTCGAACCGTTGTGTTCGTCACCACGGTGCAATCGATCACCATGCTCAAATACTTTCTCCACAAGTTGGTCGAAGACAATCATTTAAAATCAAAATCCGAAACTGGCAATGAAAAGCAGGGTTCAGACCTCACTACTGGTGAACTCTTGTTCTTGAAGTCTTTTTACAAAGATTTGGACTATTCAAATTCCACTTTCCAAATGGATATCGACCCATTCGTGGAAAGCAAACTGGATGCTCGTAAACTTCGAGAACTAATTTGGTACTTGATAAGAACTGAGCATCTAGCTCAAAATCCCGAAGAAGAAACCGAGGATTTGGAATATGGTCAAGTATTCAGTAATGAGTATAACTTGTTCGATTCACTCGGGGTCCCCGAAGTTTCGGATTATGGTGTGGAACAAGCTATTACTGCTGACATCATCCCGAAATTGGTGCTTCCCAACGAACAAGGGCTCGCGATATACCTCGTCAAAGAGTACATTAATAAGCGAATCAACGCCAACACCCCGGAAATGGTTCTCAAGGCCAATACGAACTTGAATCGCATCTTTAGTTATATTGAAAGCTCGACCATGGAGTCTAGTCTCAAGCTAAAGTGGACGCAAAACTTTAGTTGGATGCTACAATAGCTAAGCATAATAAAACCGTCGTTGCTAATTTCATAACGTATTGTATTTGCAGCCAAAAACCGTTGGGCGCGCCATGCACTGCAATGCGACTCTCTGCCCTAAACGCACGGCGACTGCATGGTTACCCACAAACCCGCATCTGGTTATATGTATAAAAAAAAAAATGTCTGACTCGGTATAGTGGCAAGCATAACCAATGTTGCATGGTGTCATGTACGTCATATCCCGCGGATATACTGAACCGCCTCTGTTTACGATCGCATGCAATGCACCTCAAAAAAAAGCTACAAAATAATGACGTTTTGAAAGGTGGATCATAATACAATTTGGCAATGTGCCGTAAAATCTCCCGAAAAAACGTAAAAATATGATAAAAAAACGATAACAGCTAAGACCTTTTAAGAAAAGAATCACTAGCAAGTATCATAACTCTTCAATGAAGTAAACTCAAGTTTCGTTCGTCAGTTCCATCATGTCCAAATCTGTTGAGTTCCATGTGAATTTCTTTATACACAAAAGCAATGCAAGAAACTGCTACTTCTTTGTATCGCTTAATTTTGCCATATTTGAACTCGGTTCCATCTTCTAAATTCAAGGGCGTCGAAATTGTTTTTTGCACATTGTTGATGTGGCTCTCGAACATCGCGTCGCAGAATTGGAAGCCGAAACGAATAACTGAACAAATTACAGAACAGATACCAATCAGAAGAGGTTAATGTTAGACGAGGTTAATGTAACAACGGGAGATAATCCAAACTAATCTACGCTGACAAAAAATAAAAATGATATTTTTCTTTTTCCTGTTTTCATACTACATGTGAATCAAGCCCTGTTGGTTAGGAACAACCTGCTGCTGGTTCGTTACCGGATCCTGTAACTCGATTGCAATTTCCTAACCGTACATAAATCCTGAAAACAGATGTATTATGAGATTTAAATTCGGATCAACTTGCTATAAAGGTGCATAAATTCGCATATGATTGCAATGTGACGCAAATTCCTGAAATGTTTCAATTCAACCCAAATTGATCAGCAATGCTTATGGCGACTCGGTCCCATACAGCCCCATCCTACGCGGCGCAACGACCACCAAAACTCAAAGCACGTGATCACCACGTGACACCACACGGCAGCAGAAAATTTTCTTTCGTTCCTCATCAATTACCACCATGTCCCAAGGTACTTTATACGCCAACCACAGAATCAGAACCGTGTTGCCAGCTGCTTTAGTCCAGCACTACAAGCTCGATGTCAACGTGGTCGAACCACCATCCAATTACGCTGAGAAATTTCCTCTTGGAAAAGTTCCAGCTTTTGCCGGTGAAAAAGGTTTTAAATTAACCGAAACAATTGCCATCACCCTTTACCGTAAGTACTCCAAATGATGAGAAAATTTTTAAAAATTAACAGTTATCCCTGTCTTAACATATTATGTCGAGAATTTATACTCTGAAGAAATACTAACCATCAGTTATCAACTTGGCTGACCCTAAATCTCCCCTTCTTGGTAAGAACGCCAAGGAGTATGCCCTCATTTTGAAATGGTTGTCCTTGAGTAACTCTGAGCTTTTGCCTCAGATTTCTGCTGCTTTCACTCGTTTGACTGGTGCCGCTCCTTACAACAAGAAGATTGTTGACGATGCTCTTGCTCAAGCCGACAAAGTTGCCGCTATTTACGAGTCGAGATTGGCTGATTTCACCTACTTGGTGGGTGAGAGACTTTCTCTTGCTGATCTTTTCTCCGCTGTTCATTTCGTTAGAGGATTCGACCACTTGTTCGGCTCCGAATGGAGAAAACAATTCCCCAACATCACCAGATGGTTCAAAACTGTTATCTCTCACCCTATCTTGCACGCCAAGATTGGAGACTACAAGTTCAGAGAGAAGCCAGTTGAGTACGTTGCTCCAAAGAAGGAGAAGAAGCCACAAGCTCCTAAGGCTGAAAAGAAGGCTGAGAAGAAGGCTGACAAGAAGGAGGATGACGAAGAACCTCCAGCTCAGGCTCCTAAGCCAAAGCACCCATTGGCCGCTTTGGGTGCTCCAAAGATCCCAATTGACGAGTGGAAGAGAACTGTTTCCAACAACAAGCCTGAGGTTGCTCTCAAATACTTCTGGGACGAGTTCTACAACGACGAGGACTGGTCGTTGTGGAAGGTCGACTACAAGTACAACGACGAGTTGACTTTGACTTTCATGTCCAACAACTTGGTTGGTGGATTCTTTGCTCGTTTAACTGGTTCCACCAAGTTCATGTACGGTGACTTGGTTGTGTACGGAGAGAACAACGACAACGGTATTACTGGTTTCTTCCTCGTCAGAGGCCAAGACTACGTTCCTGCCGTGAATGTTGCTCCTGACTGGGAATCCTACTCCTACTCCAAGTTGGACCCCAAGGACCCTGAGACCAAGACTTTCATCGAGAAGATGATCAACTGGGAAGGTGACATTGTGGCCGAGGACGGAAAGACCAAGGCTATTGTCGACGGTAAGGAATTGAAGTAGATAACCGTACAGTATAATTTCATTGTAACGTTTTTGTAGGCCATGAAATATTTTCCTGCACACCTAAAGAAGCCGCGATCAAAACTCGCTGACACGTTTGTTTCATCAACATGGCGTTCCTGAAACACCCGTTTGTGAGGCAGATACGAAGAAAACCGTTGACTCTCGTGGGTCCCATTGCCCTACTCTTTGTAATTTATTTGTTCTTTTTCTCAGGAACGTCGAAGTCGTCGAAACCAAAATATTCCTACAAAAGCAAAAATCAAAGTTGGTTGAGTCGGGCGAAAAAGGACAGTGTGGTGTTGAAAAACCTCCCCAACAAGCACATCAGCCACTATGACTTGAACAAACTCACAGCCACCGCCAACGGCTTGGCCAATAAAGAGGAAGTGTTGCTCTTATCTCCCATGTCCAAGTTTCTTCCCGAGTACTGGGACAACATAAATAAACTTTCGTATGACCATTCGTTGATATCATTAGGATTTATCATTCCACGCACCAACGATGGTGACGAAGTGCTCATCAAATTGGAAGCAGCCGTCAAAAAAACTCAAGCCGACAAAAAGACTCGGTTTAAGAAAGTCACCATTTTACGTCAAGATTCCGATTCCTTACTGTCGCAGGCTGAAAAGGACCGCCACGCGCTCGCAGTGCAAAAGGAACGCAGGGCAATGATGGCGGTGGCCAGAAACTCGCTTGTTTTTTCAACTATCTCTCCTTCAACTGCGTGGTGCTTATGGTTGGACGCCGATATTGTCGAGACTCCTCCCACATTGATCCAAGACTTGATGCGTCACGACAAGCCAATTGTTTCCGCCAATGTTTTCCAGCGTTTCCACAATCCCGACACCAACAAGCCAGATATCAGACCATACGACTTTAACAATTGGGTTGAATCGGAAGAGGGTCTCAAGATAGCCGCTTCGTTGAAAGAAGATGAGATCATCGTCGAGGGATACGCTGAAATGGCTACATATAGACCTCTAATGGCGTACTACTACGACGCCAAAAGTGACATACACACCGAAATGGCCCTTGATGGTATAGGTGGAGGAGCGGTACTCGTTAAGGCCGATGTCCACCGTGATGGTGCAATGTTCCCATCGTTTCCCTTCTACCACTTGATAGAGACGGAAGGGTTTGCCAAGATGGCCAAAAGATTGGGATATACGGTGTTTGGGTTACCGAACTACTTGGTGTATCACTACAACGAGTAGGCGTGGTCATAGTACATAGCAATAAGCACGACAAATAAAGATGTAAAAGAATTGCGATAGAAAAGCAGATGAAACAGCAGATGAAGACGAGAAGACCAGAAGATATAAAGCAACTTATTGCAGCGTCTCTTCACCACCTTTCTTTTCCCATCGCTATCAGCACACCCATACACCAAATATCTGCGATGCCGCCCGAGCACCACAAAAAAATTGCGATGAGGTAAATTGTATCCTCTTCCCACTTTGTCATGCAACTTACGTGGAAAGATATTCCCACGGTCCCAAATGCCAACGACATGTTGGACATTGTCCTTAACAGGACCCAAAGAAAAACTCCAACTGTAATAAGACCGGGTTTTAAGATCACACGTATAAGGGATTTTTACATGAGAAAAGTAAGATTTACTGCTGAAGGATTTGGCGAGAAATTTAATGATATTATCTCCAGATTTCCCAACATTAATGACGTGCATCCTTTCCACAGAGATCTTATGGACACCTTGTACGAAAAAAATCACTACAAAGTGTCTTTAGCTGCGGTTTCAAGAGCAAAGACCTTGATCGAACAGGTGGCCAGAGACTACGTTAGATTGTTGAAATTTGGTCAATCTTTGTATCAATGTAAACAATTGAAAAGAGCTGCTTTGGGTAGAATGGCTACCATTGCCAAAAAGTTGAAGGATCCTTTGGTTTACTTGGAACAAGTGAGACAGCATTTGGGTAGATTGCCCAGTATTGACCCCAACACAAGAACCTTGTTGATTTGCGGGTACCCCAATGTTGGTAAGTCGTCTTTCTTAAAGTGCATCACCAAAGCGGATGTAGATGTTCAACCATACGCTTTCACCACAAAGTCTTTATATGTGGGTCATTTTGACTACAAGTATTTGCGGTTCCAAGCCATTGATACCCCAGGTATTCTTGACAGACCCACTGAGGACATGAACAACATTGAAATGCAATCGATCTATGCCATTGCTCACTTGAGATCGTGTGTCTTATACTTTATGGATTTGTCGGAACAGTGTGGTTTCTCTATCGAGGCCCAAGTGAAGTTGTTTCACTCTATCAAGCCCTTGTTTGCTAACAAGTCGGTTATGGTTGTTATGAACAAGTCAGATATCTTGAGAGCTGAAGACTTGAGTGAAGAAAACCAAGAATTATTGAAGTCGTTGGAGTCGGTTCCCGGAGTGGAAATTATGCATGCATCTTGTCACGAAGAAGAAAATGTAATGCAAGTACGTAACCAGGCGTGCGAGAAGCTCTTGACCGCTAGAATAGAACAGAAGTTGAAGGGAACTGCTCGTGTCAATAACGTTCTCAACAAGATCCATGTGGCCAGACCTGAAGCCAGAGACGATACCGACAGATCTGCATTTATCCCAGATGCTGTGAAGGAGCTCAAGAAATACGATGTCAACGACCCAGAAAGAAGAAAATTGGCTCGTGATATCGAAGCTGAAAATGGAGGAGCCGGTGTTTTCAACATTAATTTGAAAGACAAGTATTTGCTTGATGATGACGAATGGAAGAATGATATCATGCCGGAGGTGTTGGACGGAAAGAATGTGTACGATTTCTTGGATCCTTCGATTGCTGCCAAATTGCAAGCTTTGGAAGAAGAAGAGGAGAGATTAGAACAGGAAGGGTTCTACGATTCAGACTCTGACATTGAAGATGAGGAAACCACCAACATTAGGGAGAAGGCTCAATGGATCAGAGATAAGCAAAAGAAGATGATCTTCGAGGCACGTAACAGAAAGGCATTGAAGAACCGTTCGATAATGCCAAGAGATAGTATTAAGAGGTCCTACGCCGAGATGGAGGAGCACATGTACTCTTTGGGCCACGACACATCCTCTTTGAAAGTTGGAAAGTCGTCTAAGAAAGATAGTGATATTTCAGGGGTGGATATTCTTAAGAAAAATCAAGGAATCCACAAGGCTAAAGCTTCAAAGAAGAAGGCTCCAGTCAACCAACCTGATAGGCTCAATGCAGGTATTGCCGATGGTGCTATGAGATCTCAAGCAGAAAGATTGGCCAAGATCCAACGCAGAGAGAGAAACAGACAAGCCAGACAAGGAGAGGGAGATCGTCATTCTACAGCCATGTTGCCCAAGCATTTGTTTTCGGGTAAGCGTGGTATTGGATCTACGGATCGTCGTTAGCATGTATACTAATGGAACTGATACTGAATATTGAAAAAAAGTAGACAAGAATATTAGACTTGAATGTTGTAATGATTATTGCACAATATCATTGTATTCTTATATTTTGTATTGTGATCGCAAGCTATGTCGCGCGGAATCTCGCAGCCACCACAGAGTTTTTCCTTATCTAATCGTGCCACAACTGACACAAAATCGAACAATTTAAAGATAAGCTCCTGATTACTTAGTCATAGAGCACATTTCTTACACGAGCTTCCAAGAGTGTACCTTTGAAAATTTGCTACCCATAATATACTACAGCTAAACCAAACTTACAGAGACCTCAATCTGGTCCAATTTATAAAATGGAAACAGATATACGGATGAAACCGGGACTTACCGGTAATTCCAAAATCACTCCTACTACCAAAGGGTCAGGTAGTAGACACGAACTGCGTCCTAGATCCACCAGAGACCTTGAATCCTTGAAGCTAAGTTCCGTAGATGCCGAACTTCCTCCCAACACCGGTCCTCCTGGAAAGGCTGCTTTGAACGGTAGTGGACTGCAGTCCAATAAGAACTTGAGCCATGTTCCTTGTAAGTTCTACAGACAGGGAAACTGCCTGGCGGGTTCGCTGTGTCCTTTTTCCCATAATTTGGACGGAACTTTGGGCCGCTGACAAACTTCCTTGTAAGTATTTTCAAAAGGGAAACTGCAAGTTTGGGTTGAAATGTGCGTTGGCTCATTTTCTTCCTGATGGAACTCGTGTGAATTCAAAGGGGTTGATGAACAACCACAATGGTTCGTCTTCACGTCGTACTTCAAGCAATCACCAGAACCTCCACCATACTTTTTCGCAGCCAGCTCAAGTTGCTCCACAGCCCATCGATATAAGCCACAGCCAGTCTTCTGGTAACATAGGTTCCTATATCTCGTTGGGATCCAAGGTTCCAACCCGCAACCCTTCGGCGACCAACCTTTCCAGCTTCAGAAGTGCTCCATCGTATACCGGAGCAGCCAATTGGTCACATAATGGAAGTAATGGACCTTTCCTGCTTTCGCCTACCAGCTTGACAACGCCCACCGGCACCACCACCACATCTCCGTTCAGCCCCAATGGGCTCGGTAGAGGCTCGTATTCGGTCAATTCTCCTCCATCGACTTACAACTACTCCAATAGTTTAGTCAATGATTCTGCAATCGTCGACGACGAAGATGACGAGAAAGACAGAAGCAGCCATGGGTTTTACGAGGAGGACTATGTACCAGGATCGCTTGGGAACTTGATTCTCACGCCTCAGGAGATGCAACGAAGGGACTCACGGTCGCAATCTGGAACACTTCTCGTTCGGCCCACTTTAAACTGGGGCTCGCGCGAAGATAGGACAATTGACGTTTCGATACTAAAAGGGGACCATGACAAAAATGACGATGTGTTTTTGATGGATTAAAATTGGGTTAGGGTTAAAATGGATGAAAAGATACAGTTAGTAAGATATGACTAGGCTATATACATGATAAGTTCGGTACATACTATTTGTCTTTGGATTTGCCAATCAAATTTGGATTGGATCTGAATAAATCAGAGCACAATACTTGAAATTTTGTCATTGTCTGGGCATCGGTAAAGTTGATTTCGGGTTGCACTCCTCTTATGTGATCCGAGTCGAATACAGATCCCACCAAGACCATTTCTCCAGAAAATGGATCAAGAGTGTACACCAAATTATCGGTAACTAGTCTTTCGTTCGAGTTCAGTTTGCCTTGAGTTGTGATAGTCAATTTCTGCTTGGTGGTAACTTTACACACAAATTGTACCAACGCAGTAAGATTATTGCTGTCAGGCAATGCGTTGAATGAAACAATCTTGGGGTTACCAACGATATCTGTCAATTGCCATTCGAGTCTAGTTCCACTTGCAGGAAATGTCGCTGCTCTGGCAGTCAAACTCTTAATAACTTCCGCTCCAGCAACATCATGCAACTGAGTGCTAATGTACTTTGCTCTTTCACTAGTTCTAGAGTTGCAAGCTCCAGCAAAAACCTTATTTACACGTACAAATTGGTCAATTGCAGTGTCTTTCCACTCATTAAAGTGAAGCTTGAGACCAGTTTCCCGCCTATATTTCACAATACTATATGTATTGATGGCGAAAAGTCCAAGTCTTCTGAAAAGAAGCTTGTGCCAAGAAGTCACAGGACTGCTCAAGTACCGAGGAGGAACATAAAAGTCGGCAATGACACCGATACTCCGAATGGGAATCTGCGAAATGTCTGCTGCCGGCGCAGATTTCTTCTTAGCTGGCTTATCGGCATAAGTTCGACTTATTCGAATGCTGGTTGAAATACCTGGCACAGAAAAGGGCCGTGAACCGACAAGTGTGCGGCGTAGCTGTGGAATGCCAATCATGTTGGTGTCAATCAAATCTGAAAAATTTCGACCGAATCTGTGGTACTGCATCCAAGCGGGAAATTTTAGGTGATGAGATTTGAGCAGCAACAAGTTCACGAATCATGCCTTCACAAACCCAACTTATAACTGCGAAGAGCAAGCCAGGGAAGCAGAAACTCGCTCCAGAGAAGGAGAGATTCTTGCTGTGCTGCGGAGACATTTCCTTGGAGCTTGTGGCATCGCTAAAAAATTCCAAAGATATCAATTTGAATGGTTTAATCATCAGATATGCAAAAAAATACAAGTTAAAGCAACAACCACGGTTGACCGATATCATTTCATCCATCCCAGATCAATATAAAAAGTACTTGATACCAAAACTCAAGGCAAAACCTGTCAGAACAGCATCAGGAATCGCCGTTGTGGCAGTGATGTGCAAACCTCATCGATGCCCCCATATAGCATATACTGGTAATATTTGTGTTTATTGCCCAGGTGGTCCTGATTCGGACTTTGAATATTCTACTCAATCGTATACTGGATACGAACCTACATCGATGCGTGCTATTCGTGCAAGATATGATCCATATGAACAAGCGCGAGGAAGAGTGGAACAGTTGAGACAATTAGGACATTCTATTGATAAAGTCGAGTACATTATCATGGGAGGAACGTTCATGTCTCTTCCCGTGGATTACAGAGAAGGGTTCATCACCCAATTGCATAATGCTTTGACCGGCTATAATGGTCGCGATATCGATGAGGCCATCAAGTTTTCTCAACAATCTCAAACAAAATGTGTTGGTATCACTATAGAAACAAGACCCGATTACTGTACAGAGACTCATTTGAGTGATATGCTCAAGTATGGATGCACAAGACTTGAAATCGGTGTACAATCAGTATACGAAGATGTGGCTCGTGATACCAATCGAGGCCACACCGTGAAAGCCGTATGCGAAACTTTTGCAGTTGCAAAGGATGCTGGCTACAAGGTGGTTAGTCATATGATGCCTGACTTGCCCAATGTTGGTATGGAGAGAGATTTGGAACAATTTAAAGAATACTTTGAAAACCCAGATTTCCGAACTGATGGTTTGAAACTTTACCCAACCTTGGTGATAAGAGGAACCGGATTATACGAACTTTGGAAGAAAGGTTTATACAAATCATACAATGCAAATGCGTTGATTGACTTGGTTGCAAGAATCTTAGCGTTGGTTCCACCATGGACAAGAATCTATCGAGTTCAGCGTGATATTCCTATGCCGATTGGTGACATCTGGAGTTGAGAACGGAAACTTGCGTGAGCTCGCTTTAGCTAGAATGAAGGATTTTGGAACAACTTGCCGAGATGTTCGTACTCCATTAGAGTCGGTATCCAAGAAGTACATCATAAGGTGGTTCCTGATCAGGTAGAGCTTATAAGGAGAGATTACTATGCCAACGGTGGATGGGAAACATTTTTGTCTTACGAAGACCCAAAGAAAGATATTTTGATTGGGTTGTTGAGGTTGAGAAAGGCGTCCAAGAAGTACACATACCGTAAAGAATTCACCAGTCAACCCACTTCCATCGTCAGAGAACTTCACGTTTATGGCTCGGTTGTTCCCTTACATTCAAGAGATCCCAGAAAGTTTCAGCATCAAGGATTCGGTACACTTTTGATGGAAGAGGCTGCCAGAATAGCCAGAGAAGAACATGGTTCTGAGAAAATAAGCGTTATTTCCGGCGTGGGGGTAAGAAACTACTATGCTAAACTTGGGTATTATTTGGATGGTCCTTTTATGTCCAAAGATTTGACCCAAGAATGAAGTGAACATTCATATTCATATGAATTATATTACAATATTAATATTTAACGATACACTAAAAAGTACAGATTGCGTAGACACATTAGTGATGGTGACCATATAGGTATTTGTGTCCTGGAGCCAGCGCAGAGATCTCACGGGACCATCCAGGAAGGTCTTCACCTGCGCCTCCCACGGGCCGTTCAAGAACAACGTTCTCCAAACCTACAGCATCGCTTAACCATTCATGATTGACCATGCCCCCAGCGTCTGCACGGAGTTCTGGTTGTAAGGCAAGCATGGGCATGAGAAAGTCTGCAATCTCAATGGCATCACTTACTGCAAACTTGTACTTTTCCATGAGCACATCTTTCAAGCCCCAGGGTTTGAGCTTCTGAATTCGATGTAATTCACCACGAACATTGAAAAAGTCTCTGGTGTAGTAAGCCTCTTTCAACATTGCTCGAGGAAATGGGCCAATTAGTTCCACAATTTGTGCGATATGATCATCATCTTTAGTATAGGTCTTTCCATCTCTTGGATCAAACAAGTAGTCGCCTGTCAAAAGTTCAAAGATCAAACAGGCAAATGACCACAAGTCTGCCAGTGATCCCCAATGGTAACCAAGCAACACTTCCGGTGATCTATATTGTCTCGTTTGAATTTCATCTGTAAAGTGGTGGGTGGTCCAGCAAGCATTTCCCAAGTCTGCAATTTTGACTGAGATGAGCTCGTCCTCGTTAATGACAAGGTTTTCATTTGAAGTGTCATTGTTGTATGCGTATGCTTCGGAAAGCTTGGAGTCGAACTTTCCTTGGAAATCGTTTGAGATTGTCATCGATGAAAGTGAATTATGCAAATGTTCGTCACTCCCATTATCCAACTCAGGTAACTCAGTGACTGGAGGAGCGGGAGTTGCTGCCTCATTAGTACCAGACATGTTTGAACTATTATACGAGCCTCTCAATGGAGTGTTGGCGGTGGAATTGGCTAACCCATAGACATTAGTGAATGATTTGTTGAATGTTCTCAACGGAGAAGGAAGTGGTTGTGAGCCGGTGATTAAAGTCTGACGTCTGGATCTTCGACCATTGCGACCCAATGAGGGAGGACTGTTGAATTTGTTGACTGGAGTACTAGAATCATAGACTTTTTGCTGTGGAGTACTAGCTTCCGATTTGGCAGGAGTAGTAGTTGTGCTCAGTCGTTCAGATTTCGACTTTGTTCTCTGAAGTCTTTTCTGACGCTTTGCTTGGTGTTCTTCTTCCTCTACCATGCGTACAATTTGCTCGACATCTCCAATTTCGATCAAAACGTTCTCGGGTTTCAAGTCAGTGTGAATAACTCCACATCGACGATGCAAAAAATCAAGTGCCGCCAACAACTGCTTTGCAATCTGCTTAACAAATACGATGGGGATTCCTCGATGTTTGTATCGCCGTATAAGGCCCAAAAGATTCTCTCCGAGAACTTCGAATACCATGACAACATGGACTCCATTGGGACCTTTATGAGTGAAAGTATCCAACAATTGAATGACATGCTGATGACCTGGATGGTTTAAGTCTGATGTGGTTACCTTGTCCAACAACTTGATCTCGTCTATGGCTGTTTCAGTATAATGCTTTGCACTTCTTACTACTTTCATGGCCACATGGCAATTTTTATCGTTGTCTTTGGCCAACCACACCGTGGAAAAATGGCCCCAACCTAACTTGCGGACCAAGGTGTACTTGTTGTTTTTGTATGTCTCTCCAATGTAACATGGATGGTACCCTCCAGGGACGTAATCCTTGAGATCTTCTTCATTTTCGGGTGCCACCGATTCATCATCATCATCATCATCATCATCATCGTCGTCGGCAGATTCGTCATCAGCAAGCTCGGTTGTTTCCACTTCCGCCTTCTTGTTCATTTCAGAAACAAAGTTAGTTTCCAAAGGCGAAAGCTCGGGGCGTACTGACTTTCCGACCTCTTCCGATGTCGACACCGTGGGATCGCCATGTTGAATCAAGGTGGGTAATGTCAGCGGCGAGTTGTCGGGTTCATGATCGGCTTTCTGTATTGCAAGGGAGAGGTTGGACTTTTGGAATTGGCTTTTGGGCATGAAACTGGCTCTTGAGGTGGCGATATGGGACGGATATAAGATTTATGAGTGTTGATGAGGAGTAGTTTTTCGGAACGACGGATGCCCTTTATAACTTTTTAAAGTTTCAATAATGGTATTAGCGTCTGTAGCAAGATGTTCCAAGGAAATTATGCCAAAACAAATCAAGGATATGCTCTAAATACGTCTAGTTCAGCAGTGCAGAAAAGACTATTATGATGGCAGAAAAAGTGTTCGTGCTGCGACCTGTATACCGGAGTGAAAAATCGGTCGAGCTTGCAAGCCATGAGAGGTGGTTATGAGATTTCCAATATGATATTATTATTGATCTATATATGCCCCTAATCCATCTTAATATCACCATCAGCATCATCGCTCTCCTTGGTTTCCTTCTTCTCTGGTTCACCTCCCTTTCTAGCAGCAGCGAGCTTCTCGGCCATGGCAGCCGCCTGGGCTTGTTCTTGCTTCTGTCTCAAAGCTTGCTTCTTTTCCTCTTCATTAGCCAAGTATCTACCACGGATCAAGTTTCCGAGCGAGGCCAATTCCTCGTACTTGGCAACGTACTTGGCCTTGGTGGAGTCATCTCCCTCGTCGTATAACCAGTCTTCAGCCTTCATCAACATGCCGGTCAATTTCTCCTTCTCTTGGTCGCTGGCAAAATCCTTGTACTGGTCGTCCAACTTACCTCTCAATTCGTAGATGTACTCTTCAAGGGCATTCTTCTTGTCTTCGGTGTCAGCGACAAGTTTGTCTTCAACAACCATGGAGTTTTCCTTCTCGAAAAGAGCTGCTCTCTCGTCATCAGACAAAGAAGCCGATTCCATAGTGATCACCAAGTCGTTCTTCTTGACCAACTTCTTGACTTCTCTGTATTCTGGCTCTTCATCCTCTTCATCTTCATCATCTTCCTTCTTTTCCTTGGGTTCCTTTTCGACCAATTCCTTCACCAACTTTTCTTCAACAGTGTAAGCTTCCTCAATGAGTGTAGAATCCAGATGGGTCGTTTCTCAACTTGACCTTAGTGGCAATTGAAGTTTCACCTTTTGAAGGAACGACACCCTTGAGGTACCATTTGGCAATAACTGGCTCGGTACCAGCAGCTAACTCAGATCTGTTAGTGTAACGTGCCTCAATTTCAAAGTCACCCTTTCTGTACAAGGTAATAATCCTTGGTGGATGGGAACAAACCACCTCTTGGGAAAACCTCCAAGTGGTCATCATCCTCCTCGTCTTTGTCCCAGAAGTAGGACACTGAGTATGGGTTGAAGTCTTCAAACTTGAAAGGTCTGACTCTCAAGGTTGGAGAGTGCATAGCACAAATGAAAGCATTTCCTCTGGCAATGGCTTCATCTTGGTTCAATGTGAATGATAATTGCTTTCCGAAAACTTCACTGATTCTAGCCTTAAGAGATGGAACTCTAGTACATCCACCAATCAACTCCACAGAGTCAATATCGGCAGCGGTAAGTCCAGCATCCTTCAATGCAGTCTCGATAGGAATGTGAACACGGTCCAACAATGGCTGGACAAACTCCTCGAGGGTCTCTCTAGTCAAGGAAGAAGACACATCAACGTCATTCATGACAGACTCGATATTGAAAGGAGCTTGAGTGTTAGCGGACAACACTTTTTTCAATTTTTCAGAAGCAGTCAACACTCTGTAGTAAGCCTTAGGGTTTTCAGTGACATCAATCTTGTACTTGTCCTTGAACTCAGCAGCAAAATGGTTGGCAATAGCAAGGTCAAAATCTCTACCACCAAAGTGCTTGTCGTAAGCAGAACCCAAAACCTTGAGTTCTCCCTTCTTAACGGCAGCAATGGAGACTTGGAAAGAAGAGTGACCGATGTCTATGAAGGCCACTTTACGGGGCTCACCTTCAGGCAAATCATTGGCTTTGAAAACACCGTAACCAACAGCAGCGGCAGTGACTTCGTTAACAATTCTGACAGGGTTCAATCCGGCAATCTTACAAGCATCGGAAGCAGCACGTCTTTGCTTCTCAGTGTACCAGACTGGAACAGATAAACAGATATCAACAATGTTTCCCTTGGTTTCCTTGTGGGTAATATCCTTGATCTTGTTAATGTACATAGCAGCCAACTGGGTCGAAGTGAATTCTTGTTGTTCACCAAGGTATCTGACTTTAGCAGACACGCCACCTTGAGCATTTTTCACCAAAGGAGCTGTGAAAAACTTCTTTTCAATTTCAAAGTCTGGGTCATCGTAATTCAAACCTAAGATTCTCTTCAAGTTATCCACTGTATTCTTGATGTTGGAACCTTGTTGGTTCTTACCGGTTTCACCAATATAACGGTTCTTCATTCCAAATCCCACAAGGGATGGGGTAGCTCTGTTAGAAACCTCATTGACAATGATATCAATTCCACGGTTTCTTGCACAAGCAATCACTGTGTTGTCGTTACCGAAATCTACACCAAATGGAGTCGACATTTTAGTATCTAATCTATGAAGGTTGCCGCATCTCTTATAACGCTGGCGAAATTTTTTCAAAATCCGGGTAACACATTCTAGAAGCTTCGATCTGGTGTTGGGGTGTTTTTGAGTGGGGACCCACCCCACGTTTGGTTGCAACTCAAGTACTCTGTTCCAAAATGGTAATTAATGTCATCCATCCAGAGCTCTCCACCAATTTGAGATAATCCTCCTCTTTTCTCTCATTACTTAATCAAACACCATTTGAAGTTCAGAATCGCCAAGTATGCCAAGTGTAACCAAGTAGACAATAAAATGGAAATTGGATAAACAGCTACCATTTCCAGGATCCGAATTTATATATCGATATGCAGCTCTTAAATCTTGAAGGTTTCCCATAAAGTCTCTGTTTTCAATGGTAAATCCATTCGTAAACCTTGGCGTTGGGTTGAGAGGAAATGCATCCAGCAATGTAACGAGAAGGAAATCAACTGGGAACGCAGGTTTAGCATTCGTCTTGACTTCGAGACCGTATTCATTAATCTTCAGGTAGAACACATCTGGCACATACCTCTTACCCTGACTTGAATTTATGTACAACATTGAAGGTTGTGTAGATCCAGTGATGATGTCTGCACGAACAAGTGCCTCTGCATTTGTGCTTACTTGAAAAGAACGTGGCTCAATCTCTCCTTCAAGGCCACCAGAAACCACACAGGTAACAAACTTGGAAGAAAAGCGACCTGAATTGCTATGTTTGGTTATATTTGGGTGTTCAATTTGAAACCGGGCTGCCATTAACACCTCTAAACAGCTCAAAAAGTAGGTATCCTTATGTCTTTTACACAACACGGTACCGTTTCGAGCCCCCGAGTCTGTCAAGTCTGTGAATGCAATTCCCACTGGGTACAAGTTTAACTTCTCTGCAACCTTTAAAACAAGCTCTTGATTTTCCCAAGGCAAAAGAGTAATACCATCGGTTTCTCCGGCCTGTGGAGGCTCGTAAATTGCTTCCACTACCGCCTTTATACCGAGTGGTACTTTATCAAACACCTCGTATCTTCCAAACATGAACCCAAACCGCTGGACTCCTGTTTGTCTCCAAACATCGATAAAATCATTGAGGATACCCGAGTCGGCAAACTCGACATGGTCTACCATCCGGAATTGTTGCTGTTGCAAAGTGATAACAGGAGGCTGACACTTGGAACAGATTCCCTTTGGGTAAGGTGCATGTCCACTTGGACAATTGAGATTCACATTGTAATCTGGTTCCTCCAAAGGAGACATATATGATGTGCTATTGTTACGGTTGTTCTTCTGTTCGTTAATCTGGTTGACATAGGCGTGGAAAGACATGTGTTTGATACCATTTTCTTCTCTATAGCCTTTATCCCATGAAGGAAGAGGAGAGCAATATTCACACATACCCTTCTCTCCATGACGACACAAGTTTGATTTTTTACGTTTGATCATACCGTCCTGCGTATCCAAGACATCGTCGACTTCTAATTGCTTGACTTTGGTAGGGCCATGTATTGGAATAATACCGGCGGTATTGATGGGTTTTGTGACGACTGCTGAGCCGGATTTTGGCTCATTGACGGATGCCGTAACGGCAGGAGACGATGATGTGGCAGTTCTTGTAACATACAACATGTCACCATGTTTTAGTCCCAAATCAGCCACCGATTTGCCATGGAAAGTGTTGGCACTGCTTCCTTTATCATTTGGTTTATCACTAAAAGTAAACGAGGAAAGGTCAGATTCTCCCATTTGGTTCCCAAGGTCATTTAGTAAGTCATTGAATGCCGTCTCGGGAGTGGCATTGACCCGAAGCATCCCGGAAGGAGTCCTGAAACGAATAATCTGAGTTAGTTGAAACTTGAAATTTATGATGAAATAGGATACCCTGAGACTTGCGAAGTCACAGAAATAACACATACCATTATGTCTTTACTAGGATTGTTTTTTGGGTTTCAACTCGTACGCTAGCCAATTATTAATGAATATAACTTGATACTTTGGATCTTGCTGAAGGCAAATTGAGATATCTTAGGCATCCCAACACCACCAATTGTCCTTATATGCCAACCAAAAACGAGAACGTCGTACTATCGTTCGCGATAGTACATTTGTCAATTTTAACAATACAGAGAAGATTAGCATTGTCCTTGCATAAAGATGACACGCTTTACAAAGAGATTTACCATTTTTTTTGCAGAACATCATAGATGAAATTCATCAAGTAGTGTTATGTTTGAAGGTAACTTTCATCCATAATTTCTCGATTGTGGCAATTTCACATTTTTTTCTCAGGTTCGAATCGAGGTCGCACCATAAATTTGATGATAACGATATGAACAAGGATCCCCATAAAAGTTTATTTGGGGATTCCATACACAATCCCAGTCAACTTAACCACTCTTTGGGGAGCGATGTACATGAATGGAGTGACGAAACCATCGAAAAAGTCGTTTCCATCAGATTTGGTGGCGATTATAACCTGTTTATACGACAGCTCTCAAGGGATATAACACAAAAGGAACAAGATATAATACTTTTAAGGGACTTCTACCTCCGCAGAGAGCGACAATTTTACAAGGTATGTGCTTCTCATGCCAATCTTACCCATTTGGAAGTGGATAAATTGTTGGATGACATTCAGCAAAAGGATACCGTAGATGATGTGCTACTGGATAATGATATCCGTTGCCCATGAAAGAGCCCGTTAGCTCCCACATTAAGAGAGGAGCCTTCCAACTACTATCTCATCAATCTGGCTCAGCAACCAAGATATTGAGGCTCATTCATCTGAGAGTGAAAGAAGAGGATGGTTGCGAAGGATGGATTCAAATCACCAAAATGATCTGCGGTACGAATGGGTTCGATCCACATCTAGCCTAAAATCAGGATCCAGGACTCCCAAAGGTACAGAAGATGCACCAATTGTGCCTCCTTTGGAGTTGGTAAGCATGAGTCAACCGGGCGATTCTACGATTCTTGATCCTGAAGAATTGACCAATACGGACCCTTATGGGTTTATTACAGAAAACGGCTCAGAAAATCCCAAACGTCAGCCCGAGGATGGCTCCAATTTTGATGCGAGAAGCAGTGTTAGCCAGGTTGTTAACCCAATAGACTCGTCGTATGCCACGCTTCAAGAAGTTGGTCGACGTCACGATGACGAAAAGCAGGCGATCGAAGCACGCTGGAATACGTTTTGCAATGAAGTGATGAAACTACGAAATGAACGTAATCAGGAAGAAACCTTTGTACCGACATTCGGATTGAAGGCTCTCGAACTCAAAACCTTGGATAGACAAATCTCGTTCAAGGAAGACTCCTACTTAAAAAGACTCCAGTCACTTATATCCAAACAAGGAATACCCCCTGGCTCACGGTCCAAGTTTTGGTTTGAACTTTCTGGAGCGTCGAATATACGTGTACCAGGAGAGTATAATCGATTGGTGGAGTTGGCAAAAATGCACGCCAATGACCCATCTTTGATTCAATCATTTAACCAAATCGACTTGGATCTACATCGAACAATGCCGTCCAATGTGTACTTTCACAATAGCACAACTTCTTTACCTGGTCCATTGCATCACCGTCTCAAACGTATCTTGGATGCGTTTGTCGTCCTACGGTCTGATATTGGTTATGTTCAAGGAATGAACAAGATTGTTGGAAATTTGTTGATCGCCGATAAAAGGGTTACAGAAGAGGATACTTTTTGGCTCTTTGTGTCGCTCATTGATGAGATTCTTCCTACTTATCATGGTGAGAGTTACTTTTCTCCCTCCAGCTTGAAACATATTCGGAATGCTCAAACGGAACTTGCACAAGTTCAATTTGCCTTGTTGATGCCCAAACTCTATGCTCACTTGAAGCAGCTCGATGTTCAAATAGAATTCATCACCATGAACTGGTGGCTTCTGGTATTCACCGATATTTGCAATCTGATGGAGCTATGGTACAGGGTAATAGATAATCTTCTTGTTTCCGACAAGAGCGAAGACTTTCTCAAAGCCCTCAGTTTGGGAATTTTCAAGCACTACGAAAAGAAACTACTTTCACTAGATAACTACGACGATGTCTATGTGCTCATGAACAGAAATGCCACAAGAAACATTGGGTTTCGAGAGTTGATGGAAATAACGAGAGAGCTTGAGCGAAAGATAGGAAAAATGGAAAAGGACTGAGGAAAAAGATGGGAGTAATTTGGAGAGAACAAAAAGAAAGCGACAAGAAATTACCTCTTGAGCCTGGAAATTGCGACTTCTGTTAACAGAAGCAAGTTTAGCCTAAATTAGAGTGTATACAAATTTCAGCCTTGTTCCACGCCTATAACGGTTCTCTAAGCCCTGCCAAAAAATATTAACGTGTGCAGGCTCCAAATTCAGACACCTGTCGCACTTTATTTCCTTCGCCTATTCGCATTCGAACTACAATGGCACGAAGCCGGGTCACCAATGCTCTAGCAGTCATTTGTGGGCTAGTGGTGCTCTACTTTTTCAGTGTGGCACTTAGGCCCCTGGTTATCTATGTAGACATAGTTTCGAACCTGATCGTTCCAGATTTCGTTCCGGGCAGTAATTCGAATCATGCCGCCGTGAAGGATGTTTCAGAAGATTCGCCTATAAAAGACACTGCCCACGAAGAACAACTTGCACAAAAACAGGTGGGTGATCTACAATTGGCAGGAGTAGTACTGAATGTGGAAACTGAATCGCAGCCCGTGTACGATAAGAGTAAAAAAGTAAAGGGTACATTTGTCACTTTGGCGAGAAATCAGGAGTTGTACGAGTTGATTAAGGCTGTTCGTGGAGTGGAAGACCGTTTCAATCGCAAGTTTAACTATGACTGGGTGTTTCTAAATGATGAAGAATTCACCCAAGAGTTCAAGGATTTGACATCCTCGATAGTTTCGGGAAAAACGAAGTACGGAAAGATCCCCAAAGAACACTGGAGTTATCCCGATTGGGTGGATCTTGAAAAGGCGGCAAAAAGTAGGGCGGAAATGAAGGCTGCTAATATCATTTATGGAGATATGGAATCTTATAGACACATGTGCCGGTTCGAATCTGGATTCTTTTGGCGAAACGAGCTCCTCGACGAGTACGATTGGTACTGGAGAGTAGAGCCTGGTATCCAGATTCATTGTGATCTCGATTACGATTTGTTCAAATTCATGGCCGACAATGACAAGAAGTATGGATTTGCCATTTCTCTTCACGAGTTTGAAAAAACCATTCCTTCGTTATGGCAACATACCAAAGATTTCATCAAGGAACATCCAGAGTATTTGGCAAAGAATAACATGATGGACTTTATCTCCAACGATGGCGGTGAAACTTACAATTTGTGTCATTTCTGGTCGAATTTTGAGATTGGTGATTTAAACTTTTGGAGATCCGATGCTTATCGTGCATACTTTGACTATCTCGATAAAACAGGCGGATTTTTCTACGAAAGATGGGGAGATGCACCTATACATTCAATTGCAGCGGCATTATTCCTTCCAAGAGACAAAATACACTACTTTGAAGATATGGGCTATAATCATGGTGTGTACACTCAATGCCCATTAAACCCACAGTATCGGTACGATCACAAGTGCAATTGTGATCCTGAACTGGATTTCACTTTTAGAGGATACTCTTGCGGCAAGAGATACTACGAAGTTAACAAGATGACAAAGCCTGCTGAATGGGAGAATTATCAGTGAAGACACTTTTGAGCCGCAGTCTGATGATAGATAGCTGAATGCGGCTCGCGACCATACCCTTGGATCTCACGAATCACATGTAGAATCAACGCATTACATTCAGAAACTATGAGAAATTATTAGTAGTCCTGTCCGATAAGCAGACCTGTTTGCCCTATAGTATTAAACTTCGCACAGGCCCGAAAATCTAGATGCCCGTGTGGGGCGGAAGTGCGCATCGAAGTTTGGCGTGTGCGGCGCGCTACCAGATACATCTTTGCCAAGAACCCACTAATAAAGTTAAAAAAAAGATGCCAAATTAACATTTTGGCGCTGCGTCGTATATTGACACGATTACGAACAGACAATAGAATGGGGTTTTAGTAAATTTTATTCAGACTTTTTAGTACAAATTGTCAATTGCAACACCCAAAGTAACACACCCACTTTTCTATCATTTCCCACTTTGCCCGTACAATATTGTCACCTACGGTTGCATTGATACCCCATTCCCTTGGCAGACCCTCCACTAGAAATTGCTCCATCAAAGTTCGCGGTTCGCACACTACTTCGCGAATATAAGGCGGGAAAAGCCACGACTACGAAGGCTCTGCGACGACGTGTTAATTGATTTTTCACAGTGACATAGACAGTAATTCTGGGGTTTTGAATACGACAAGCACCAGTAATTCTCGTAATTCACTTTTGAGACACCCGCCGTGGATCACCATTATATCGTACCAGTTTTACACTGAAACGATTCAATTTCACCAAAGTTCAATCCCGTGAAAAACTATCAAAATCACCATGAATAGAGGTTCGAACGCGCGTATAATCAGATTTGCCGTGTTTGCCCTCGTTCTTATCACCTGTGGTTTCATTCTCCTGAAGGGACTGTCGTATCTGGGTTCCAGTTTGACCCCAGCCAACGTCAATCCAGGCGCAGCCAAAGAAGTTCCTTTGGGTGAGGTCAATGCTCCTGCTGGGGGAGTTGCTGGAAATGCCGGCGCACAAGCTGCCGGTGACCTCGTGAACCAGGCAGTTCAGCAATCGAAGGTGGCTCCAAATAAAGGTGAAAAAGTAAAGGCTACTTTTGTGTCTTTGGCACGTAACTCGGACTTGCACTCGCTCGCCGGTTCAATCAGATCGGTGGAGGACCGTTTCAACCACCAGTACAACTATGACTGGGTGTTCTTGAACGATAAGGAGTTTTCTGAGGAGTTCAAAACGGAGATCTCAGCTTTGGTTTCTGGTAAAGCCATTTTTGGTTTGATTCCTGCTGAACAATGGGGCTACCCTGAATGGATCGACAAGGAAAAAGCTGCTTTGGTTCGTGAAGAAATGAAGGAAAAGAAAATCATCTATGGTGATTCGGTGTCATACAGACACATGTGTCGTTACGAATCTGGATTTTTCTGGAGACACGAGGCTTTAGAGCCTTATGAATTTTACTGGAGAGTTGAGCCTGATACCAAGATCTACTGTAACATTGACTATGATGTTTTCAAGTGGATGAAGGACAACAACAAGGCTTATGGATGGACCATTTCCTTACCAGAATACATCGAAACCATCCCTACTCTTTGGGACACTACCAAGAAATTTATGGCTGAAAACCCCCAATTTGTTCACAAGAACAATATGATGGACTGGATCTCTGACGATGGTGGAGAAACTTACAACAAGTGTCATTTCTGGTCCAACTTTGAAATTGCATCCTTGGACCTTTGGAGATCTGAAGCTTACAGAAAGTACTTCGAATACCTTGACAAAGCTGGTGGGTTCTTCTACGAAAGATGGGGTGATGCACCAGTCCACTCGATCGCGGCTGCTTTGTTCTTGTCCAGAGACCAAATTCACTTCTTCAATGATGTGGGATACTACCATGTGCCATTCCACAACTGTCCCGTCAACAAGGAAACGAGACTCAAGAACAAATGTGTTTGTAATCCTAATGAGGATTTCAGTTGGAAGGCTTACTCATGTACTGGTAAGTTCCACAAGGTTAACAACATACCTCGTCCAAAGGGATGGGAGGATTACACTGGTTAAGGCACATATTAGTACTAGTTTGTTTAAATAGCTTAGGGCACAGTCTATGGATTGAGAACTGAGTTTCAGGGACCGATTTTCTCCAGACACTGTACCAAAATGCACATAATCGCACTGAAAAAATTATAATATGGCAAGAAAATCCCTCAAGCACCTAAATTTGAGCAAATTGTATGTGACAAGGAAAATAAAAGCCTCGCTCAAGTCATTGGCCATTCTAATCAATTATTCTGAACAATAAGGCTATTCATCAACCTGCGTTACGAGCCCAGCAGATTTCTGAAACAAACGAGTATGCAGGTTTTCGCTTTTGGTCCACGTAAAAACTCACTACTGTTCCCTATAATCTCACACAACTCCAAGTGCCACACTTTGGTTTTCAGCCCACGAACAAGACTGGACGTGTATACTCATCGGTTCCATATACTGGATAACTTTTTGGTACAATACCCTCGGCCAATCCACAATAATCAACTCCGGTATTTGGGAGACGTTCGCGACCACCATGGTAGAAACTACAAAAAAGAAGCATAGACCAGTAGAATTGGACCTCAATGTACCCAATAAGGTGGAAGCAGCGCTTCGAATAGTGAGTCCTGGACTTCCAAAGCTATCACCTGGAATGCAAACCACCATGAATGAATCAATGCAGATTCAACGCCAACAAAGAGAACTCATAGCAGCACGTAATAACACAGAACCAGGAGTGGAAGTCAAAGAACCCACCAGTGTACTGGAGAAAAAAGTGGTGGTAATCACCACATCAAACCCGGACAGCGAGGTTCAAGATTCAAGTCGACTTTCTACCCCATCCACTACTAAGCGACTCAAGCGTGAAAATGCACCACCTCCGTTATCATTGGTAAGGGAAAATTCAGAAAAATCTCCTTCAATGCGCCCACTGATCCAATCGGCACCGCTTAGACCATACTTTATGGGCCCACATGCCAAAGGTGCATTCAAACCATATGGCTCCAATCCCTATACACCCCATCGTCAATTGCGTCGTTTGCACGTATCTCCGCCTCGAAGAATCATAAGACCATTTACAGCACATGCTGCTCATCCGCAATTACAAGGGGTATATCCAAGATACACAGCGGCTCCATACACCGCAGTAGCTGGTTCATTCCCTCGAGTACCTTACAGACATGTGTCGGGCCCACTTCCATATACCAAGTCGCCCGTACTGGCACAAGTTACTGACGTTTACCACGGCGACTACACAAGAGTAGCTCCATTTACGTCACAGCCACTTTCGGCGCAGCAAGATGCTTTCGAAGGTACAGGTGCGGTAGCCGATCGTACTTTAGCTACTGAAGAAGAAATGATAGAAATGAAGAGAAAACACGAGCAGGCAAGCAAAGGAATGTCAGGCTCCGAATCAGATGACTCTGATGATCCGGAACTGAATGCAATTGACCCAGAAGATCAACCTCTTCGCACCGGAAACCTGCGAAGTCGCTCACTGACCATCTTCGGGTCTATAAATCTAATGAATGAGTCAGTGTTCAACTTTAAGATATATGCATCATCCAAGAAACAGGAGGAGAGTAAAGACTCAACCCCGGCTTCTAATTCCAATGGTGATCTAAGTGAAAAGGTTTCACTGCCATCGTCGCATTCGCCCGAAAAATCACCAGTAACTTTATCCGCTGAAACCACTACAACAGATCTCCAAAAACAAAAGGAAAAGTTTCTCAAGATCTGTGAGACCAGCTGGGACGAGTTTGTGAGCACAATGGGGTAGTCCAGTGGGTTACCTTTAGCACTTTAAGTACATGTATTATATAAGAAGAATCTCCGAGTTACATAAGCCGAACATTAAATGGCAAATTTCCACCAACGCCATTCAAACCGAATCATGATGAGGAAAACACCAGCGGGCCTCATGATGAGGTTGGCTCCAAGAAACGCCGTACTCCGCGGTGTGGGCGGTGTCCTTAGACAGAGCCATAATCTGATAGTTTCACCTCGACTGGTGAACGTTTTTGCGGGGTTTAATCGATCGTTTTCCGCTTCCAGATTTCAGCTTTTTGAAGCTTCACGTAGATCACTTAGTGATAAAGAGGAGTCACCAAAAGACTCGGAAGACAAGGAAAAGAAGAAGAAACCCATGAGTGAAGAAGAACGTGACATTCGTAACCAGATTAAAGAAAGACTCAAAAAGAAGAATCCACTGTTGAACCCCAACAATATGAAGATATACCAACTTGATAACAAATCGGTTGCACGAGGATTGTCGGGATTATTCTTGTTCTCTCTTTTGGTTACTGTTTTATTGGCATCGAATCGTAAGCCTAATGACGAACTCTCGTTCCAAGATTTCAAGACCAACTACTTAGAGAAGGGTCTTGTTACCAAGCTTACGGTTATCAACAAGTTTGCCGTGGAAGCAGAATTAATCCAAGGAGCAGTTTCTGACCAAACTTTCCAGACTTTCAGCGGCCATCCCGCCGTCGTTTTCACTATAGGTTCAGTCGAGGTATTCGAAGAAGAAATGAACCGTGAACAGGATAAACTAGGGATTCCAATCGATGAAAGATTACCAATTTCGTACGAGGAAAGAGGCTCTTGGATGAACTACATATTGCCCATTTTGCCAACGGTGTTATTGATTGGAGGATTATGGTATATCACCGTGAGAAGAGCGAACATGCAAGGAGGAGGTGCTGGTGGTGGTGGGCCCGGTGGAATTTTTCAAATCGGTAAGTCTAAAGCCAAATTATTCAATCAGGAAACAGAAGTTAAAATCAAATTTAAGGACGTTGCTGGATGCACTGAGTCTAAAGAGGAGATTATGGAATTTGTCAAGTTTCTTCAGGACCCTGTCAAGTATGAGAAATTGGGAGCCAAGATTCCTCGTGGTGCTATATTATCTGGTCCTCCTGGTACTGGTAAGACATTGCTTGCTAAGGCAACAGCTGGTGAAGCAGGCGTTCCCTTTTTATCCGTTTCTGGTTCAGAATTTGTGGAAATGTTCGTGGGAGTCGGTGCTTCTCGTGTTCGTGATTTATTCAAGACTGCTCGTGAAATGGCTCCTGCAATTATTTTTGTCGATGAAATCGATGCTATTGGTAAAGAGCGTGGTAATGGCAAGATGGGTGGAAATGACGAGAGAGAAAACACACTTAATCAGTTATTGGTTGAAATGGATGGATTCGAAAATTCTGATCACGTTGTTGTTCTTGCGGGAACCAATCGTCCGGACATTTTGGATAAAGCCTTGTTGAGACCTGGTAGATTTGACAGGCACATCTCTATTGACGTTCCTGATGTGGAGGGAAGAAAGGAAATATTCAAGGTTCACTTGTCTAAATTGACACTTCAAGTTGAAGAAGATATTAGGGCAACCCAAAAGGACGTCGACTTCAACAAGTATCAAGAATTGAAGGCTGCAGCCATTGACAATCTTGCAGGTCGCCTCAGTGCTTTAACTCCAGGATTTGCAGGAGCTGACATTGCAAACTGCTGTAATGAGGGAGCATTAATTGCCGCTAGAGAGGATGCTACAGCTGTGGAAACTCATCATTTTGAACAAGCAATTGAACGTGTTGTAGCCGGGCTTGAGAAGAAGTCAAGAATATTGAGTCTCGAAGAAAAGAGAACTGTTGCCTTCCATGAGGCTGGCCACGCTATTTGTGGCTGGTTCTTAGAGTTTGCTGACCCATTGGTCAAGGTTTCTATCATTCCTCGTGGTCAAGGAGCATTGGGTTATGCACAATACTTGCCAAAAGATCAGTACTTGGTTTCGAAAGAGCAGTACAAACATCGCATGATAATGACTTTAGGGGGAAGAGTAAGTGAAGAGTTGCATTTTGATACGGTAACCAGTGGTGCTTCAGATGACTTCAAAAAGATTACTCAAATGGCTCAGCTGATGGTATTGAAGTTGGGTATGTCAGACAGTATCGGCAATGTCTATTACGATTCTGGAGAAAATAACAATGGCTTTCAAGTTCATCACACATATTCAGAAGAGACAGCATACACCATTGATCAAGAAGTTAAAAGATTCATTGATGAAGCTTACGAAGCATGCCACAAATTACTTTCAGAAAAGTTGGATCTCGTTGACAAAGTGGCTGAAGAGTTATTCAAGAAGGAAATCTTGACGAGAGAAGATATGACCCGTTTGGTTGGACCTCGACCATTCCCCGAAAGAAACGATGCATTTGACAAGTACATCAAAGGTAAGGATGCTTTTAAAGGTAAGCCTAAAGATACCGAAAATGAACCATCTGAGGCATAAAATAATGCACGTATATTAAATTGTATATAGAATGGAACCATTCCCGTCTTGTGTGTAATTTAACGCTTATCAATCCGAGTCGAATAACTCGTCAATTTCGTTCATTACTTCTGTCTTGGTTAATGCAATTTTGGGATTTGTAGGCAAATCATTGGCCTTTGTTGAGTGCTCATTTATCAAAGGCTTTTTCGAGATACTACGACTTTCTTTGGTCAAATGACTGGAGTTGATATTGTATGTCCGAAAATGATTTTGCAATGCTTCGAACAGTCTAGTTTGAAATGGGCATCCAAGTATAGGACAAGAAAAGGTAAACAAACGTGAGTCACAACCACTAGATGTATTTTGGTGCTCTTTCAAGTCGTTGAGGGTGAAGAATACCCGACGACATCTTTCGGTCGGAGAGAGCTTCATATTACAATGAAGTAGGGAGTCACTTTGCAACAATTTATCGAATGTTAAAGGAAAAACTTTGCTGATATTTTCGATTGTGTCAGATGAAATGGTGTCCACTCCCGTTTCTGTCTCAGTCTGAACGGGGTAACCTATCTGTTTCAACTCCTTTGGATGCAGCTTGAGAAGGTGCTCTTTATATAGGAAACGATTTCCAGTACAGAACTTGCAGTAGTGGAATGCACAATGATAAACGGCGTCTGTAGTAGGTGTCGAGAGATCACAAAGAGTGTATTTCGATGTCTTTTCCTTTCGCTCAAGAAATGGATTATGTTCTCTTTTCGGGGTCTCTTTAGCAGTCGGGAATAATCGTGTGGGCTGGAAGAGACTTTTGGAGTCAGTAATCCTCTCAAATCCCGAATTGTTTGGGTTTGCTGATGGAGATGAAAGTTGTGGAGATGAAAGTCTAGAAGGTGAAAGTCGTGGGGATGAAAGTCGTGGAGAAGTGAACTTCGAAGGGGGTGTATTTCTTGACGGAGATGCAGTTTTTGAAGGAGTTTTTGAGGGAGAATATCTTGTCTTCTTTGTAGGAGATGGCGATAAAAGCAAGACATTATCCTTCATGGAACTACTTCTTCGAATCTCGCTTACGTCTTTTTGTCTCGCGGGGGATATAAAGGTATTTTGTCCTGACTTTGATGTCATATATTGGCGAGATTGGTGAGGCTCTTCAACTAGATTGGCACTCCAAATATCGTCGAGACTCGAGGAGGAAACATCTTTGCGAGCCAATGCTCGAAGGTGACCATTGTCAGTGATTATCTCTCCTGTTGAGAGATCTATTTCGTCGCTTTCTTTCTCATCATCAATCTGAGAATATTTCTCTAGAATAGCCTCCCACTGGTTTTGGAAACGGGTTCGACTTCGGGCTTGAAGATTGGCTACTCTTTTCTCGAACAGCGCCTCTGCATCTCGCTTGGGTTTGAGGCTATTAGAGTCTTTGTAGTATCGCCTATGACTATTTCCAAAGGCCTTGTTTGTGTGCCCTGCCAGATTTGGCGGGCTTCTAGAGAACAGGTACCTTGAAGCTGTAACTGTACTTATGTGAGTCTCAGGATCACCTGGAGACGCCATCTTTAGCCCCGACTCGCTTCTATAAGGTTGTTTTGTGAGGGTAAGAACGTTACTTGAATCGGTCGCAAGTTGAGTTGTGATTGAAATCGCGGAGAGAAAGCGATGCGATAAGCCGTAGAATAGGTAAAAAGATTTGTGTGTTTAAAGCACAATAAATCAATGGAAATGGTTTTGTCCAATGAACTCCTGCTATGTTATGACCTACTACTTATTCTTTCGTATCAATTTATAAAACTATTACTTTTCTATTCATATTTACAAGACAGTTGGTCGGCATACTTTTGGCTCATAGAGCAGCTAAAAGTCCCTCACAAGTCGTAGTTCATACATAAACTACAACTCTTCATTATTGACAGTTTTCGTCCGCTCATTATTTTTATTAGCTTCCCAGCATTTTTGGAAAGCCTTCATTTCTTCTGTACATTTTCTCCAGTCTCCAGTGTCGGCATGACAAAGCTGAAGCTTCAAGTTCTCTTCATGGCACCCTGTGTCCATGATCCGCTGATCCCATTCATCCGGTTGATCATCGTCGTCAATTTGATGTGCCATGGTATACTGGTATTGAAAAGTTTGAGAGTATATTTCTCTCGCGCATACAGTCTATAGTTACAGTGTAAATTAACTCGCTAATAATTAGAAGCCAAACCCAGCCTTAGAGTAGGCCATTGGCTTCAAGTCGGGATGTGGCACTGCGTCAAACTTTTCAATCTCTAATGTCCATGGACAATTGGTGTCCTTGGCATCTCTATAGCCTTCACCATTATCGGAAGCAGCATCGTATTTTACATTCTCAGTTATGTGAACCACTCCACCCAAGTTTCCGGTGGAATCACAGTAGTTTGGGGCACTGAAGACGGTAATTAAGCGGCCGTTGTGCTCTTCTTCAACACCTCCCATTCTTACCTCGTGCGACCTCAATACCTTTCTTATCTTGTTCTTCAAACAGAACCGTTCAGTAATATCGGGTCCAAATTGCATTCCTATACCTCTCTTTGAAGGAGCACGACCGGGGGTTGGTTGGGGATCGGTCCATAATAACTCCATGGCAATTCCCTCTCTTGGGGGTTGACTTGATCCAGAGCTTGGAAATCTGTTGAAGTTCTTGATGTCTTCCAATGTCACATTGTCGTCTGAGAACAAGCCTCCATGCATACATAGGTATGAGCGGTTGATCAAGGTAGCTAAGGGTAAAGCGCCAAAAGATTCGGCAAAAGCCTCAAACACTTTTTTAGAATATTTCAGTTCACATTCATCGGTGAATCCGTATGTCTTGTTCATGTCATTGGTTTCATGGTTTCCACGATTCAAGAACAAAGAAGTAGGGTAAAGTATCTTGAGAACGTAGAGGTAGAAGGCAACCTCACACGACCATGATCCACGGTCAACAAAGTCACCGTTGAAGAGGTAGGAATGCAGGTCTGAAACAAATCCAAATTTGTTGAACAAGTTGAGCACATCATAAAATTGTCCATGGGTATCTCCAACAACCGTCAACTTTTTACTTTTAGCCAACAAGAGTTCATCCTTGGACGCTTCTGCATTGGTATACAGATTATGAGGAAGAGAAAGTTCAACCATGGTTTTCTCATGCTTGCAAATTTCAGTCACTTTTGCTATAATAGCAAATGCATGCTTCTTGGGTATCTTACCTCCTGCTTTGAAATGCTTGATCATATACTTTAAGTAGCCTAAATCAAGACCCTCGATATCCACCTTGACGCCGGATTCGGTGGTTGTGCTGGTGATCTCCAAAGATGGCCCTTCCCAGGTCTTCTCGATGATCATGGAATTGAAGTCTATAGTTGTGAAGATAGAAGTCTTTTCGTCACCGGCAATAGCCTTTTCAAATGCTTGCTTTTTCAAGTAATTAACACATTGCTTGTAGTTTTCCAATGTGAGTTTGTCGTTTGGTAAGGTCTTCAAAATTGTCTTAAAATTGGCTTGGGCTTCTTTGTACTTCAAAATAGCCATCTGCGCAACACCCTTTCGGTAGTAAGCCTTTGTAAAGCTAGGATCCACCTTTAAAGCTTCGTCACAATCTATTATGGCAAGTCCATAGTTCTCCAACTTGATGTGAACTTGAGCTCTGTTTGAGTAAAACACTGCATTTTTGGGATCTACTTCTATAGCCTTGGTATAACTTTCAATAGCTTCGTCAAATCGGTGAGCCTTAAAGTGTTCATTACCCTCGTCCTTGAGCTTGACAGCCTCAGCAACGGACATTCTTGATCTTCCGAAAAGTTGAGATTCGCGAAATTTCCACCGGAAAGATTAGCTCGCGGGACTGCCTTCTCGGAATTACATAGCTTATTTAGGTTTATATTCATTTTTTGCAAACAGTCATCTAGTTAGCTTTTCAACCGCAACCCCGACGCGGGCACTCCAATGGCAGTGATTTTCGTTATGCTACACAATTGGCCCTTATACTGTTCCTTGTACTTGGCCCCCACCAAAGCTTCCGAAACGCTAGGCTCACCTTTGTAGATAGGAGTAAATGATGCACAACAGATATCGAATTCTGCGTAGGGATCAAAATCGATTTCTATAGCATCTTTGGATATCAGATCAGACTTGGCCTTGATCTTGCGTGCTTGGTCAGCTCTTTGGCCGCTAGCTGAGGCGGCCAATACCTCGCCAGCGAAATAAGATGCACTTGCGTAATTCTTGTTTTTGAAAGATTGGGTCATAGCAACCTGCAACGCGTTGATACGATGTGGACCCTGGAGTCCAGCACGAGTAAAGTAAGCTGCCAACTCCAAATTGCGCTTGATATCATCGGGTCCTAAGGCACGACGAGCCAATTCCATGGAAAGTCCCAAGATATACTCGCGGCACAATCTTAAGATTTCCTCGCATTTCTCCTGTTCTTCATCGTCTGCAACAGTTAACAAAGTGATAGTGTAAATGATGTCGCGGAATACCTTGATAGCTTCTGGAAGCTGGTTGGCTTTGAAATGCTTGAAACCGACCGACAATCGATCTTCCAAGTTGTCGAAACCTGGAATCAATGGATGGAACTTGTTAGGATTGTCCTCATCGTTGTCGGCCCTTATGTAGTCCTTCATAGCTGGTAAGTCGTCAATACCTGGTAAGTATAATTTACTTGATTGGTAAACCTCAAGAAATCTAGGACGCAATGGCTCAAAGTTGACCACTCCCAATTGCTTGTTCAACATGGATGCAGTTTGTTCGAATGCTCCTGCTGCAGCGTACCCGGCAGCCGTCTTAGCATTTCTAAGCCAATAGCCAACTTCACCTTCGGCAACAGCCGATTGTTGAAACACATCAATTTCATTGCTTTGTTCAGCATCTTCGAATTCATCATCTGGAATGCTCAAGTCATCAGCATTGTCCCATGCATCTTCTTCCTCTTCAGCATCCTCGTTCATTGGGTCGTCAAGATCAATATTTGCACGCGTAACATCTTCAGCTCCATTCTGAGGGTCCTCCTCCTCAATAGACAAGTTCTCAACTTTACCAGTAAGTAACGCGGTCTCGAAGAAAGACAAAGTTGTGTCCTCGAGTGGCCAATGCTCAATAGTATTCTCTACCGGCTTTGGCAATTCACAAGGTCTTCCTAATTCAGGCAAGACAACCTTGTCCTCCGAGATACCCGCTTCCAGTAAAATATCGGCTGCCAAGTCATCCAATCCGTTAGATTTGGCAAGAGTGTACGCAAGTGGGAGCATACCGCTCTGGATGAGAGTTTGACATCTTTTCTTCACATCATTTGAATACAAGGTATTTTGCATCAAGGAAGAAAGATCACGGCGATGTTCAGCGATAGTAGCCATTTTTGCTAACCTCTCAGAGTCGCCTCTGCATAGATACAAGAAGGACAACTTGTCGAAGGAGTGGATCTGTTGATAAACAAATTCGACGATCTCTAAGTTTCCTTGCTTGAGCGCCTCATCTCCAAGCTTTTTCCAAATACCGTTGTCATTCAAGGTCTTAGCTTCGGACAATGCAACTTGCAAATTTCCGCATTCGACAGCCAAGTCGAAACGAGTTTCAGGATCTTCAACAAATTGCAAGGCCACTTCTGGATATCCCTTCTTTTGAAGGTAAGCGATAATGTTCTGGCCCACCAAGTTTGAATTTTTGATAATGCGCAAAACCTCGTTGAAGTTCTTATTAACCAAAGACTTTTTGAATCTGTATTCAGTTGGGTCAATGGTGATCACCTCCACCTCGCCAGCTCTATTCAAGCAGTAAACCTGCTTCTGAGACACCTTGGTGATGTATACAGTGTTTGACAATGTCTTTATGATGCCATGATCTCCATTCAAGAGCGAGTACTTGATATGGTTCAAGGTAGAGTACAAAAGCACACCTGAGTCATCCCAGGCAGCACTCTTGATTCTGATAGTTTCATGCATAGATGTAACGAGTTCCAAATCTTTGGTAGCAATCGTGATGGTGTGCTTCGACAACAAGGCCAAGTGTTGACCATCATTTGACCATGAGACATATTTCACATTATTAACGCTGATCTCAGCCAATTCTTTACGTTGCTGTACGTCATAGTTGACAACTGCGTGTGTCTTGACCAACAAAACTCTTCCAGGACCACCTGATAACACATCATTAACCGACGAATCAAGCTGAATGGTCTTTGTCGTGTTGTTATTAGTGTCCTTCACCAACAAAGTTTTCGAAGACTTCACAAAACTAACAAATCTATTGCGAGAAATGAAGCAAGCAAAGTTACCTTCACCCTGCCTTATATCTGTAGGCTCTATAGCACCAGTAACATGTTTAGGCAAGGTAATGTAGGCATATTGGCCGGAGTCACCTTCACCATGAGTGACCAAGATAGAATTGTCTGATTGGTTGTAGGAGAGTGATCGCATAAAAGACCAGGTTTTTCCAATCTTCTTGAGGGAAAGCATAGGCAACGAAGTTTCATTACGTGAAAAGTCGTAACATTGAACTTGCTTTTCGCCATTAACAAAGAAAAGCTTGTTTTGGAAAATAGCATGCGCCGGTCTTTCACGCTCTAACTTGAAAACCATCACTCCCGAATCGTGACATGTTGCAAACAAGTTGATATGAGGGTGAGAAGCTATAAGCCAGAAACGGTCGTGTTCTCTTCTAAATTGTTTCACTGGAGTTCTGCGGTTCATGTCCCAAACTCTAATGGTTTTGTCATCAGCGACAGATATGATCAAATCTTGCTGAGGATGGAAAATAGCACTCAACACATTTCCAGTGTGGCCACGGCAGGTATCGACTTCCCAAGCAGTAGTGGCATTCATTCTCCACAACTTGACCAAGCGGTCATCACCAGCCGAAACAATCAAAGGAAGGGTTGGGTGGAAAGTAGCATAGTTGACTCCCTTGTCGTGGCCCTCCAAAACGTACTTAACGATGGCATTGACGTTGCCGAATATATCCTGCTGAGGCAATTGTTGACGCTGCAATTGATCTTCAAAGGACCGAGCAGAAGAGGTAGGGGCCGAGTGTTTCTTACGCAAACCCGATATATCCCAAACACGGACGGTTTGATCCAACGACGCTGAGATTATCAAATCATCCTTGGGGTGGAATTGCGCCGACATCACATAATGGTTATGTCCAGTCAAGCACGCAATTTCCTGACGGTTTTGCCAGTTCCAGATACGAATGGTCTGGTCATCAGAACTCGAAAGAATCCACGGAAGATCATGATGGAACGACACTGCACGCAAATAATCCAAATGTCCATTCAATGAAAAAATACATTTACGCGTATTCAACGACCACACTTTGATGGTGTAGTCGTCGCCACCAGAAACGAAAAGAGGCTGGGTAGGATGGAAGTTGACACATCGAACCGGTCCTTCGTGATCTTCAAACCTGTCAATCAACGTTCCCATTCTGTAATCCCAAAGTTGGATTGTCGACGAGTGCAACGAAACGAGTACCCAAGGCCGAGTAGGGTGAAAGGCTACGCCCTTCGCCCGAGACGACTTGGACTCGAACTTGGTGAGCATCTTCATTTTTAAGTGGATTGAAGATGCGAGTCGAGGGTTGAATGTGTTGTCGATTCGTTGGCGTTTGCGAAACCACGGTGGACCGGTGTGAGAAACGCGATGTAAGCAACAAAGCTTTCTTACATAATACACATTGCAACTTTTATTTGCAACTTCCGTTTATGCTATGAACAATTAAAAAACAAATGTCAATCCGAGAGCACCAATAAATGTCATGACCCCCTCGATAAACGTTTTACTACCACCAGACGACGATTTGTTTCCAGTGGTGGAGGAGGTCTCCTTGGAATTTTGAACAAATCCTCCGATACCGGCTGATGGATTATAGTCAGCGGTAGTGGCCGCAGATCCATCGCCATTACCATTACCTCCGCCGGTGGTGGTGCGTGTTGGAACATTAGCTGAAACATCTGTGGTGGATGTCTTTTTCTTGGAAGTGGTGGATGCAGATCCCGAAACACTACTACTTTCTTCATCATCATCATCATCTTCGTTATCGGGAGCCCATCCAACAGCCTCGTCACTTCCTAGCCATGTCTTCTTGTTCGTGAGAATCACGTTGTCTTGATTACCATCAGTACTGTTGTACATGAACGAGTCCAACTTGTCGGCATCATCACCTCCAACGAGCTTGACATCATCAGGTAAATCATATGCCTCCACTGTGACGTTTTTGACATAAACATAGTAGTATCCATACTTCTTGATGTCATCAGAGTCCCAGTCAACGTCACCACCAGCCCACTCAATGGTACCAATACCATTGGAAGCAGCACCACCAGGCCACAATGAGAATTGAATACGAGATGGTGTTTGAGGGTACATGTACTGCTTTGTGGTGGAATTGTAAGTGTCCTCTTTCTTTAAAGTACGGACCTTTTCACCATCAACATACCAGTCCATTTTATCTTCTTGCCAATCCAATTCATAATTATGCCAGTTGCTGAAGGTATTTGAGGTTGACGAGTTCTTGGCGTTGGTATAATTCAACACACCCTGATAATAGTAATTCGTTTGAGGAGCCGTCAAGTTGTAACCCACAAATTCATAATCAATTTCGTCCTTCACGTCAGAAAACAAAATGAAAGCTGTGATAACTCCTCGTCCACGAGATGTCTTCATCGTTGCTCCTACACGACCATACCAGAGATATTTGGTGGACGAAACCACAGTACCAGTGGACTGGTTAGGCATTTGAAGTAATAAGGCATCATCATGGGTATCTAAGTAACCGGTATACACCCAATCACTGTCACTGGATTTACCCAAGTACTTGGTCAGGATCTCCACTTGTTTAGTTGACTTGAAAGTAGTGTTGAAACTGTCCATTCTGGGCATAGGCATACAAGCCGACAAGTTGTACGAAAACCTGATATCACATCCTCCCAAACAATATGCTCCAGTTCCACATTCACCATACTGGGAGCAACAAGGTGCATCTTCGGGACACTGAGATGTTTCATTACACGCGATTGTCTTTGCCGCCGACATGTAGGCGAAAAGGAAGAACAAAGCAAGAATATTCCACTTCATTTCAACCGAGATTCAGCAAAAGATATAGCAAAAGCCGCTGTTTAAACGACCGGATTGAAAAATAGCAAATTCCTGATTCAAGAGAAAAATTAAAGCAACGACCTGGATCCTATGCTTTTACCTAGCAGGCTCTAAGAGAGAGACTGAGCCGAGATGTTAATTAACGAATGGTAAGGAGATTCAGACTCTTCTTGAACTGATTAAATTTCTCACTGGCACTAGATCATCGAGGCGCGGTCCTAATTATAGGATCCCCGGGTAACTATTTTCATTTACCCATTTTGGGTGGGCTCGTAATATGTTGCATATACAGTCCAATGTGGTTCGTAGAAGTACGATTCTTTGAATATCGGCATAAAATCATCGGGTAAAGAAACTACTGAGCCAATTGCATTCTCAATGGCATGATATTGCATTGACTGTATTTTAGCGATTTTTGACCAAAAATACTACACTAACTGTTTGGTTTAATTGGCTGCAAATTACAATAGACTGCAAGACTATCTTTATTGACTTGATGTCCATTTCGTATGTCTAGCTGTTAGAAAAGAAGTTGTACATATTGGGCAGGTACGTCGACGGCTGGTTGTAGATCAAACCATCTGTGGGCTTTGCTGGCTGCTGCGGCTGCTGGGCATAGCCTTCTTTTGGTGGCTTGGGAGGAAGTGCCGGTGCCGGCCGATTGTAACTAGCACCACCACTAGATTGGGCCGATAAAGTCCCGGTGAGCTGATTTCCAACTTGTAGTGGTACCTGGTATGAGTTATAGTCAGAGGCCAGACTTATTGAACTTTGAGTTTGTCTTCTCTCAAGTGAGTACTGTGGACCACTGGTGGAAAACGATGTACGATTGCCGGAAGACTGTGGAGGAACTTGAGGACCCGCCCGAGAATTGACATTCATTGCTCTAAAACGGTCTTCAATGCTGGCCTGCGAGTTGTTTAGTGCCCGATTTTTCAACGTTTGAACAAAGCCCAAGAGTTGTTTGTAGAATCCAACTCCTTTGGTGAGACCTTCACTGTAGGCTAGCCAATTGTTGTCGTAAAACTCCTTTATCTTCTTTGATTGTAACACCATCGTCTGCTGCTTGAACTGGGTAGACGACTGTATATCTTTCACTTCCGGGTTGGAACTAAGTGCTTGCCAGTCGTTTGTCAATTTGCTCACTACATCCTTCTGGCGAGTCAAAAGATTGTCGAGCTCCTTCCCGTAGGGATCAAATTTTTTAAGTTCCTCTTCAAAAATGACGGTTTTGATCTCGTTAACAGATTTCACATTGCTGTTCAAGATCAAGATATCTGAAATGTCATCTTTGTGAATCGCTTCTTTCAATGACTCAATGAGCTGTTTCTTTTTTTGTTTGATCAAATTTAGCTCATGCAACGTCTCCTCAAGAGCTTTGATCCGGCCTCCAATATCCATGTTCGCTATTTGTGTCTCATCCATATCCAAGAGACTCAACTCATTAGATTTTTTACTAGGACTCTTTGTCTCAAAAAGCTGGCGAAACTCCAGAGAGTCGGGTCCTTTGCCTAGAATTGAATAAAGGGCCATGTTTTCGCTGTTGACAAGATTCAACAACTTCCCATCCGAGTTACTAGCATCGAAGAGTGATTTTTTGACCTTCATCAAATCGTCCTTTAATACAGAAGTGTCTGACATCTGATTGGCAAGAATGGAATCTACCTCACTAACAGTATCGAATATTTGCTGCCGAAGGTCGACGAGCATTTTGCGATTCGTTGTATCAGTCTGGTGGGACGCCTGAATGTTCATGGCAATGTTTATAATCTCGGGATTTATCTCACTCGATGTGCCACTAGATGTTGCATTAGCATTTTGTAACATCTCTTTCAACATGACTAGGGCTTTGGGCATTTTCAAGTACCCCAATGCGGACGACAATTCCTCATCAGACACATCTACCAAATCAAGTTCGTTTCTGAGAAATTGTGCCTTTTGCTCCGAGTAGTAGCTCATCAATTCATGAATGTGGATCGGTACAACGCTTTTCAAGAAATTGTTGTAGTTGTTCTCGCTTACTTCATTGAACAATTTGTTGTTATTCAAAGGTACAGCTTTAGCAGAATCAAGAGGCTTGATTTCGGGCAAAGTTGCTTCGGATGGAACAATTTCGTGATAGATGAAATCATTGTCTTTTTCAAGGTCATTCAATTTGATTCCAATGACTTCTTTTTGGTACTTGCAGAAATCTAAGAGCTCGTATGCTTCCACACCGCCGTGAGTTTCGAAATTTTTCAAGAATTTCGGGTCAATTTCATTCAATATTTTGAGAGATCTTGTTAAATGAGCAATAGCTTCTCCGTACTTTTTCGTATTTTCCAGGTTGAGTGCAAAATGATAATGGGAGAGAGACTTGTAAAGATTTTTTTTTAAGAACATTGAATCAGGCCAGTATGGGTCCAAGCTAGCAACGACCTGGGGCAGATCGGAAGAGTCAGGATCATAATCCGAGCTCAAATGAGCAGCATCCTCCTCAAAGTCATCGAACTCATCAGTTGCTGTATCAACAATAGTGTAACCTGACGAGTCAAATTTCGAGTCTTTTGATTCAGCCGCATTCTTTGACATCGAATAGCATTCGTCATAATAAACCGATGCACTGCTGCAAAGCTTTGCAATAAGAGAATTCTGTTTCTGCTCGGTATCACCACTAATAACTTTCAAAAGGAATACTTCCTGGGCTTGACCTAATGTCAATCTTACTAAAAACTTGATTGTAGATTGCCCAAGGTCCTTGGAGGGTGCATGTAAGAAGTTTTCTCGAAGAAACTCATATACACCCGCTGCCTGTTGGAACAATTGCAATGACTCTTTAAATGCTCCATCAGTCTCCGACGACGTAGATGAATTTCTCTGTGATTCCTGGTACTTTGAGTTTGCGAGTTTCGCTAATAATGCTCCCAAATTGAAGAGAATACTGGCTTTCTCAAACGCCAATGCATGCTGTTTGTAAGACTCAGAAGGATTGAAAGCATCGTACCACTTGAATTCCAACTTTTTGTGTCTATTTGCCGTTTCAAATGGTACTCGTAGGTCCAAGAGTTCAAGCTGGCTATAGTATTTGAAATAGAGTCTTATTCCTGTGCTGTCGGCATGACAGCCACGAAGGTCCAGGCGCAATTTATTGAAGTTTGTCAAGTCCTGTTGACACTCGGAGGAGCTCCCGTAGACGGACACCAAGTAGTTGTTCAAAGTTTTTGTCCAATTGACATCTTCGGTCTTTTTAAGAGGAATCTGAAGAAGCAGCGTCTTCATTGCTGATTTTTTTGGTAGTTCGATCCAGCTCTACTAAATCACCCTTTTGTGATAAGCACGGTGCCAGTCGCAACTCAATTATCGCATCTCGCCTGCAGTCCTCTATCAAAGTTGTTGCACATCTCTCCTACCAAATGGTAGTGCTGGATGAACAACAGCGAATATACCACGCTACAAATGACTTGGCCCAGCTAATCCCGGTTGGTATTGTCTTTTTAGCTGATATACCAGCAGGCTTCGATTACAATGGTTTGCCAGCCGAAAAGAGTGAAAATAGCGACCTCGAATGGAAATGGTTTGACGTCAATATGTTACCACATGACTTTTATAACACGACTAACGATGTGGTTCGTGACCTACGCTTCCTAGTGACATACAAGTACTTTGTTTGTACTTATAAGATGATTAAGATGGGTGAATTGCGGTTGTGCAAAATTCGTCTATATGCTGCTCCTACTGATAGACCTTATTCTCGAACTATAGAACGCTGGCGTTCAATGTTTCGAGGCCATTCTACCTTCCAAAAGACGTTTGTAAAATCTTGGTCTCGTGTCGCTAATGTTACTGATTTTAACCAGAGTCAATGGCATCTGGAACTGGTCTTAGTTCCTACTATACTAGTACCGGTGTCTACTCAATTGTCACTTCCGACTTCAACATCCAATTATCACATGGAACGCTGGCGAAACAGATGGCAGTTTTCTTTTCCGCTTCCTCTGAAAAATATCGAGTCTTTGCAATCACAACTCCAGCAGCTATACAGTTCCATCAAGTCTCCAGACTTGTCAAAGTACAAGAAAGTCGTCCAAGTTTTTTCCAACCAACCGCCAAGTCATGAACAGACGATTGCGAAACTAGTCAAAGCAGCTGAAGATGGTCCGGTTGTGGTGCCTGGTGTGAAATCGGCCCTTTATCCATTCCAAGTTCGCTCTCTTTGCAAAATGTACGAAAAGGAATCTGAGCCTTCAGTGGATACTCTACCTAGCTTCATTGAGATACAGAGTCCAGTGAACGGCCAAGTTTACTACTTTGACTGTCTGAATAACAAATTTTGTCTCGAGCCGGATCTCTTCTCACTTCCTAGAGGAGGAATACTTGCGGAGAATATGGGGCTCGGTAAAACTCTCATATGTCTCAGTTTGATATCTTTAACGAAACACGAAATATCCAAAGTTCCAGAAGATGTAATGGTGTATGAAGACGAAAGCGATGGCCAGATATCTCTGATAAAATCATTGGTTGAGATTTCTAGAGACACTGTTAACAAGTCTTCCATCCCATGGAAATATTACTGGGACGACTTACCGCCTTCGGTGAGACATTACATGAACTCATTGCCGGGTCATTTCAAAATATCGCTTTTCGATACTACATCTAACATCAATAACAGAATGACGAGAAATGAAACCTATAGACAAGAGACCCTCGATTCAAATATTCATGGAGAAGGTGTCGTCTATAAAACCCTTTACAAGTGCTCGACGACTTTGGTGGTTGTTCCAGATAACCTATTTCACCAGTGGAATGACGAAATGAAACTTCATCTTCACCAATCTTATCTCAAAGTGCTTTTTGTGCTTAGTCAATTCCAGAAAAAGCATGTCACGACGCTGGCTACATTTCAAAACCTGATCCCTTCTGACCCACTCCAGCTTCTAAGCTACGATATGATATTGATATCGTCTTCAGTACTAGCTAGGCTGTTGGACATGATGGAGATGGAGGAAAATCCAATATTTAAAGTGTACTGGAAGAGGCTTATAGTTGATGAGGGACATTCCATGAACTCCAAGAATTCCCGAGTGAGTCAACTATGCAAAGAATTGTACGCTGAACGACGATGGGCTGTTACTGGAACGCCCACCTCAGGCATGACAAGACTCCAGATGGATGAAGAAGAGGGAGATGATGATATTTTGGCCAGCCCCACGAAGAAGAATAGGTATACCATAAAGAACAAGTTCAATGCCAAGGATGATCTCTCCAAGCTAGGAGTGACCATTGGTAGTTTTTTGAAAGTTGAACCTTTTCATTCACAACCAAAGTATTGGGCTAACAGTGTCATCAAGCCTATGATATCCAACAACTCTCAGTCTAGGGTGAGTCTTTATCAGCTCTTGAATGCACTAGTCGTTCGACATGACTTACGAGAAGTTGAAAAAGAGGTAGAGTTACCTCCTTTACGACATGTTCCTGTATTTTTGGAGCCGTCCTTCCACAACACCTTATCCATTAATTTGTTCACAGCGGTATTGGCGGTCAATGCAGTGACGTCAGAAAGAACTGACTCAGACTACATGTTTCATCCTAGCAATAGGCAACAGTTGCGTCGATTAGTAACCAATATGCAACGAGCAACGTTCCATTGGACTGGTTTCAAACCAGATGATATCAAGACCTTGATAGATATTTGCAAGACTGCGCTTTCCAAGACTACAGAAACTGGCTCAAAAATCTATAATAATGAAGACACTCGTTTATTGGAGAAATCCTTAGAGATATCGAAGAAAGCCTTGTTGAATGGACGATGGAGAACTCTGGCATTGTTACATGAAATGTGTTACTACGTTGAAGGACTCCCAGATATATTCACAAGGGTCTTTGGTACGGGTGCTCTCGAACGAATGGATATTAATGGCGAAGAAGATGATATTAGCGTTTTCGGTGCTCCTCATTTACATTGTGTTCAGGAATTCTTTTACAAGAATCGATTTATGAACTTTGCAAACCAAGAGATGGTTGAAGAGAAGCTTAAAGCATTGGCAAAACCGTTTTGGGAGAACTACTGGGTTGACGTTGCCAAGCGAAATTCTGAAAGATTCAACAAGTTGGATGCAAATCAGCATTTCAAGGTGATGAACGACCTGACTAATACCTTTTCTGATTCCTTGAATGGCAAGGGCCAGAAGTCGGCGTCCACCTCCCCATTGAGAAAGAAGAATCTTGACCTCTCAAATACTCAACTTCGTCCAGAAGATAAGATATTGGAGGCACGAGAAGTGCATTCAAGCGTATCAAATTATCAGTCAAACTTAAACTTCAATCACATTAAACGGGCTCGAATACTTGGAACTGCCTCCTCTAAACTTTCATACCTTGGAGCCCGTCTTTTGGAGAATCGAAGAGAAGGTATCAAATCATTGGTATTCTTTGAATTTGAAGACAGTGCATATTACTTATCTGAACTTTTAGATGTTATGGGAATTGAGTATATTTTATATGCTACTTTCATAAACCCAGCAGAAAGAGCAACAAATCTCACCAAGTTTAGCACTTTTCCCCAAGGACCTGATAATGGTATTACCTTAATAATGGACATCAACCTCGCAGCTCACGGTTTGAATATAACTGCAGCCACTCACGTTTATTTCACAAGTCCAGTATGGCTGAGGTCAGTAGAAGCCCAAGCAATCAAAAGGGCACATAGAATTGGACAAACGAAAGCCGTGAGGGTCGAAACGCTTATATTGAAAAATACTCTTGAAGAGGAAATTTACCGCAAGCGATCACAAGAGACAGAAGAGAACGATCGAGAACAAAAATATGTCATAGATGATACAGGCATGCAAGAGTTTATTCTCAAACACAGATTTCTCAGCCAGCAGGAAACTGATCTTGAGTACTCACCTTTCGTTGCACCATTAACAAATTCTGAATATAATATTGCTGAAAAAATCTTCGAAGATGCATTGGAAAACCACACCGATTTTATTGATGACGGGCTTAGAAATTGGATGGTGTACTTGTTCACTGAGTCAAACTTGTCAAAGATGAACAGCGCCAAAAATACAAAACTTAATAAGGAATTTGTGCGGGATCAGTTTTTGAAAAGGTTTATGGAAGAAGCACCAGCGGCAGATGAGACAATTGATGAAAAACGAACCCAGGGCAGATTACAACCTTCCCGGAAAAAGGTCAGATTCTAAGTATATTACATATAGATTCAATGCTTCGGTCATATTTCTCGTAATATCACAGTTCCATCAGTGGATGATGAAGCTATAACAGCTAGCAGTGGATGATGATCAACATCAATTACTGTTCCATTATGACCATCGTACTTGTTCTGCATCTTTCTGGTAGCATAGCTCCATACTGTCGTAGTCTTATCCTCAGACCCTGATAGTATTAGTGTAGAGGATGGGTTGAAGCATGCTCGAATTAGGTAGTTTTCTTTTCCTGAAGGAGCTCCATCGTACATGAATGGATTAGCTCTGGACATTCCCTTTGGAACAAAGTCCTTGGCATTGAAAGTCTTTACTATTCCCTTCAAGGATCGTGAAACGAGAATAGAGTCGTCGTGGTTGATAGATAGTGAAGATACAGAATCGACCTGTCCCTCCACGGACCAATTGGCAGTATCAAGTTTTCGGAAATCATAGCACCTAATAGTGGGATCTATACCTGCCAAATAAAAGCTCGTCCGGCGACTATTGATAGTACATGCAAGGATTGGAAAATCTGACTTTATAGTGCCAACCGGTCTCTTTTCTCGAACGTCCCAAATATGTGAAATACCATCATCGCAAGCAGATACAAAGCTGGTTTCGTCTCTCATCGATACATCATTAATCACAAGTTCGTGTCCTGTGCACTTTCGTATACGAGCTCCAGTTTCACAATCCCAAATTCCAAGTGTTGAGTCTGCGCTGGCTGAAACTAATACTGTATCCTGATATTGAACTCGAGTCACGGCTCCTTTATGCCCCTTAAGTACACCATAATTGTACTCTTGATCTTCGGACTCTGTGGGTAAATTCCATAAAAGAATCTGCTTATCCATGCCTCCAGTAGCCAAGCTTGTCCCAGAAGTATTAAACCTGGATGTAAGAACTGCTCCCTCGTGGCCTTCTAGAGCAACAGCATTATCATATAATACCTTCCCCTTCCTATGGACATCCTTGTTGTCGTGGACAATCAAAGAGTCATCAACTTTCTGCCTTTTGACTACAGACATTGACCGAGAGTAGTTGGTGAGAGATGACATCCGCGCACCTACATATTTTTGATGTATGGAGTATTATGTGTAAGCTCACTATGCTAGGTATTCGTACATGTCATTCTCCAACCGACGTAAGTACTCTTTTTCAATCAAGTAATCGATGACTTTCTTGATATCAATTATGCGAGCTCTAAACCGGGTCAAGGCTTGGGTTGCAACTTCATTAACCAACTCATTATGTTTGATCTGCTTTCTAGCCTTCATGATACGCACAATACAAGCAGAAAGGAAATTCTTTCTAGATTCGTCGATTTCCTTGTTGGCATCGACTTCGTCTTGTTTCTGTTCTGACTTGATGGAGCTCACGAAATTTACACGAAGCTTTTTAGACTTGTACTCTTCCACCATAGTAAAGGTGGTATTTCCTTTACTGAATTCAGCAGTACCACTTGGCGATTGCTCCAAAAGCTTGTACTTGACAAAAGGGATTAAATGAGCCTCGAATGTATGCTTAGCAACTCCAACTATTTCCAAAAGTTGGTCAAAGGTGTAAGTATTGCTTTTATTGAAAGCAAGCAAGATCATCAACTGAACATTCGTTACAGTGAACAAGAATGGTGGCTTTCCCTTTCGTGACAAGTTGGCTTTCACCTCACTCTTTCCATGGTTCCAAAGCCACTTTAATTGACGACCGCTGTGTTTCTCCTTGTACAACGCTAATAGCTTGTCAAATGACGGCATTAACTCGGGTGCCAAGTTTAATTTGTAATCTTCCATATGTGTGAACGGCCACATGCTCTGAGCAAGTATTAAGGGAGTGAAATCCTTGACGGAGTTGTCAAACTGGACAATTTCTGCTCGCAAGAGATTCTTCAAATCTTCGGACGCTTTCATGTCTTGAAACATCTTGGTCATCTTCGAGGTATATTCCAAAGAATTTTCCTCTTGTAACCTTTGAATAATACTTTCCTCAAGTTCGTCTGATTTAGTATTGCTGTTTATCAAACGTTTCGCCAACAAACGACGGTAATGCTCTTCAAATGCATCCTTATCCTCAATGAATTTGAAGATTATCATTAATATATCAGGATTAAGCTCAGTGGTATCGCTTTCCTTGCTGCTTCCTTTAAGGTATGAATCAGCGTAACGAGCTAATAAATCGGGAGTTTTGCAATTTGACTTGAGAGCTGGGGTTGCGATAGAATTTTTATTCACAAAGAATCGGCATGCATTATCCAATGACTTGATGAAAATGGGATCCTTGCTGAAGGCAACAGAAACAACCTCATTGAATCGAAGATAAATGGAAATCAATAAGTGAACATATGTGCGAGGATTTGTCGCACCGGGCGATGACCTCTTGGATTTGCCAGATTCGGGAGTAGCATTAGCTGCGTCTTGTACTTGTTGCTCGTTCTGTTTTTTTATGTCATCGATGGCTTTTGCTGCTTCATCCTTGATGTACCTTTCAAGGGTGTCTGCGAGTGGTTGTAAGGTAGCTGGAACCCGCGACAACAACTTGTACATGCGTTGAATATGGTCAGTTTCGCTCTGTTCCAAAAGCCCCAAGAATTCACTGTACATTTCCTCGGCATGATCTTCTATAAGGGCCTGATTGAGGGTGTCTAAAAGAGGCTTCTTGGTGTGTTCTTCCAAGTAGTTATTGGACCGTGAAATTTCCTCAGCTAAACGGGTCTCACATTTGCGCATGTAATCTACCACATTATGATGCTGGAGGAATTGGAAGCTTTCCTTTTTGTAGTACTCCTTTGTTTCTTCCAAAAACCGAAGTTCAAAGTGATTGATGTACACCACCAAATTAGGCTTTTTCAAGTCCTGGACATCAATGCCCAAGAATACGAGTGATTTGATGGCGGTGGAGAGAGAACTGGTATCCACCAACTCATTATTTCTCTGGCGTTCAATTCGGGCCAAAACTTCACTAATCAAGCTCTCCTTGTTATTATTGAACATGTGGGTTTTCCACTTGAGTAAAGCAAGTGTGCTGACGTCGAAAACGTCACGGCGCCCGTCTGAGCGCTCCTTTTGAACCCAGTATCGATTCATGTAGTCAAACACGTTATTGAGGTACCCAGCACCAATGGTAAATCTGGTCCATTTTCGAACGTAAAATTCCAAAAATGTTTCGTCTGGTGATTTTTCCAAACTGGAAATAAATTGCACCAAATACTCGTCTAGCTTGAGGTATATCTCAGCACCAGAGTACAGGTTTGTTCCTGCTCCCCCACTACTCAATGAGGGGGCAGCACTATGCCGTGATTTGTTAGTACAATAGTTGTAAATTGCAGTGTAACAATTCATATACATTTTGGAAGTCACACCCACATCTCCCAGGGCCCCCAATATGAACTCGAGGCCGGGCTGGATGAACGACCAAGTTGCATTCAAGTCGCTGGCGACAGGGAATTGTGACATGGTAATGAGCGGCAACGACGTCTGGTTCACATATGGATCAGCGGTGAGCACACGACCTCAGGTCCCAGTCCCACTGGGACTGGAAGAGGAAGGGAATAAATGAAGATGTGAACATGTGAAGATATGAAGAAGTAGATTTAAGATGTCTACCTATACTCTTAGTTGAACTTTATTGCTCTAGCTGTACTCTAAGTCTTAGTCACGGCGAGGATTTGCCAGGCTCACCCGGTCCACCACTCGCACTATACTAATGGTGAATGTGAGGACCCAAAGACAAAGAACCATAAATAAGAAAGCAGCCAATGCCCTTTGGCGACGACAGATGGAGGATACGGACGGGTAGTAGATTCCAAGCTGGGCTAGTTGTGGAGTATTATCGTTTTGGCATACCCATTCGTCGTCGTATAGGGTATTGAATGTGAGAGAAAGGTTGGCCGACATGAAAATGATGAACAAAAGATCAAGCATAATGAGCTTCATTTTGCCCAATGGGTTCCTGATACCCAATGGCTTGCCGCTGTACTCGTCGTAGGCGATATAAATCACATAAACGATAGCTACGCATTGAACTACCAATGCCATGATGGTACTGGGTTGTTGTTCAATGGCAGAGCCTTTATACTTTTGTCTGGATTTGGTGTAAATGGTACAAGCGAGAGCTAAAGCACACACCGAGAAGATGAGGATAAGGATACGCAAAAGCAAAGGTACCAAAGGGTTGTGAATAAAGAGACGTTTCATTGTCGGTAAGACATCTGCTCGCTTTTCATCACTCATCCAATATCTCGCTTTAGACCGAACCCTCGCTTTTTCCGAATCGAGTTCTACAGGCAAGGGCTTGCTAAAGAACCCTCCCAACCCACAAAGGAGACCAGCTCCCTCTGCAGCACCTCGAGTTTGTTCCTCAGTAGAAGACGACGACCCCAAGAGTGCCAGTCGAAGACGCTCTTCTCCTCCCCATGCACCTTTCAAGTCATACTCCTTGCTCAAGTTGGTGTCGTATTCCAATTCATCTTTGGCGAAAGCCGTCGGTTGTTGGACAGACGAGAGAAAATCGTGCCAGTTGTTCCGGACCGTCTTCACAAATGGATCATTGGCAAAACTGAGATATTGTTCGTCGTCATCAGGTTTTGAATGGACAGTTTTTATCGAAGGATTGATATCTGACTGGTTGTTGTTGACGTTGTTATTGCTCAACTGTTCCTTATAGTGAGCTTGTTCGAGTTTATCGAGCACATATGGAGGCACGATGTTTGCCCGGTGACTATACGAATGGACGTTAGAATGCTCAAAAGGGTTTAGATGTCGATGAGAAGATTTGTTGAGTATGCTGTTGTTCTTGCTTGCAGAATGGTCTCCATTAGAGCTGTCTGAGACGCCATGGGCGCTGTCGTGGGTATCATCGGCCATCACTATTGAAGCAATTTCCCGGAACGCAAACATGAATATCCTGCATTGGCGAACGGTGCGCCGCGGCAAAACAGACGAGAAAGGAAGGAGGAAAAACAAGAAGTATTACAGAAAAAAATGAGTTTAGTATCATTGTATATAATGGTTAAGAGATCTCGGTCATAAACTTCTTCACTTTTTCACGTTCTCTTCCCAATTTTTTGTCACCTCTTTATTCACTTCACTTTTCACTCTTCTCTTTGTTGCTGCGTCGTTGCTTTCGCAGCTTGAGGGTGTGCATGTGCGACTTTTGCCATTGAACTGCTCATATGGGAAACCACTTAATGGCCCATGGTATCGCTAGATTAGGGCCGTTGCTTAAGACTTCCCCAGCGTATGGACTCAGACCCTTGGTATGGGCTCGAAAAGCAAGTTCTGTAGAGAACTTCACCACCAACAAGCTTCCTAAACTTCGAGGTGCAATCGATCATGATTCCATATTTGTTATTTCCCTTCCCATAACCACGAAGAGATCGTACTTTTACTGTAACCATCGACCTTCGATCCTCGACAAGTCACAGCTAAAAACGTTTCCTTTGATCACAAAAATCGAAACCAAGGCAACCGATTTGGCCAAGAAAGGTTGGAACAAGTTGGCCAGTTCGGAGAACAAAATCAACAAAACCATTATCAAGTATGTCAACAAGCTTCTCTACACCATTCCGTACGAGGAAAACTGCTTAAGGTCGTTTCCCTCTCGAAACTCGATGATACGTGAAATCAACGAAGAAGCTGTGTCTCGTGGTAAAGTCAACACCGATTCAGGTGCTTTGGTTCAACAAGAAATCACCAATCTCAACATCCCCTCTGAACAGCTCAAACGGATCCCTTTGATTCATCCCAAGTTCCAAAAACCACAGCTTGTACTTGATCAATTGCGTGAGCTTGGTGAGGTCAATCGACCTACTCATCTCAAATATAGCATTGCATGTTTGATAGGAGTGCCGCTAACTCTCCCCTTTGCTTTGGTGCCTGTAGTGCCCAATGTTCCCGGTTTCTACTTGGCATATCGTGCTTATTGCCATATAAAGGCATTGTTGGGAGTCAAACATTTGGACTATTTGCTTGAAAATGATACCACTCCTACTCCAGCAACTAAACATCTTGTTTTCAAGGATATGGGAGCATTATCAGAAGTATACGAACAGAGTGGTATAAACCTTGATTTAGACAGAGGCGATAGACAAGAAGAGGTAATTATCACAAAAGACATCATTGAGCAGTTGTGCTCTCGTTTCGATTTGGGGCATTTGAAGGAAGATTTGAAAAAGGCTTTGGATCAGGAATCCAAGCGTTTAAGGAAGAAAACTACAGAGTAAAGATAGGTTAATGTGTACATAGAGAATTCATTCACATATACCATGGTGGAGCCCTCTTTGACAGGTACCTTTGACAGGTGCCTCTTTGACAGGTACCCCAGGGTTGGGCCCTCGCACGTGCACCGGTCATGGCGGACGCAAACTTTCTCTGGTATAAATTCGAAAAGTTCGCAGTCGACACTAGACACTTTTCTTTTCAAGATGAGAAATAAGTGGAGAAAAAAGAGAGTTAGAAGACTTAAGAGAAAGAGACGGAAGGTTAGAGCTAGATCCAAGTAATTGGACAGCTTCCTCTGAATGTTTTGTGAAAACTACCGATTGATGAATTGTCGGTGAAAGGTGAATTTTTCACTTTCGTGATTATAGCTTGACTGATGGTTTGTGAATAGATATTTCCACAGAACAATATATTGGATGTTTAGTGAACTGTAGTACGAATTCAGATTTGCTGTGGAAGTTTTGGAACGTTGACGTTGGCGAACAAAGTCGACAACGACCATCCGGTGGTGCATCCAAGTATCACTAGCCACCATCTACCAAGTATAAGGTTAAGCCATGGGCTAGACTTTCATTCCCGCATATATGTGAGTATTCCTCTTCTATTCTCTTCTCGTCTCTGAACTTGAATCCTTTTATCGTTTCTCTTCCCTTCATCTGTCGCATGCGCATCTGTGTTGCACATCGCTTCTGTGTCATGTCAGTTCACAATTGCAACCTAGGCTATTATGTTCGCTGCTCTAAGCCCATTCATATTCAGTAGTTCGGTGCCATTGTGGGATAAACAGGGATGTGAAGACACTGGTTTGGATCTTGCAATGAAACACAAATCAGCACCTACGTGCTTCGTGAGCTCGGGTGCAAATTGTGATGTGGGTACTAAAGAACTAAACAAAACCACGAAACTGAAGCTGGGCTCTGTAAAAGCTGTGGAAACCCTGATTAGTCCCATATCTGCAAATATTTCTCCCGAAGAGTCCACCAGCTCCAGTTCAAATCGGGTTCGAAATTTATGGATAAGTCCATCAACTCCACCTGAAATGCACAATTTTGGTCCTATATACCCCAGTACCATCATTGGTGAACAAAGCGTTTCCGTAGAAGAGACCATTGATAATTCAAGAAGAACAAAAGGAACAACCGTGAGCCCGCTTCTTCGTGAATACTTAGAATTCAACCTCCAACGCTGGCAACCATCCGAATCCCAAAATGGAGCTACAACTCTAGAAGGAAACCATCCGTACCAGGCAGACGAACCTATGAACAAACAGGTATCAAATGGAGCCGTTCTGGTTTTCAATTGGTTCAAACCTCCTCAGAAGCAACAAGTTGAAATGGCTGCGAAAATCCCACAACCTCCTCCTACATGTGCCCCAATTTCTGCTCCATGCCTCTATGGTTCTCATATCATTCCTAACACTTCAAACTCGATAATAGCACCACATGCTCAATTCTCCACTTCGCCAGCTGAGGAAAATGGTGCAGAGTCAATAATGCTGCACCAACCGGTTGCTCGCCATTCACTATCATTAACTCCATATGGATATCCAATACTCCAAAGTAGTCCATTGGGGGACCAATGTAGCGTCGACGACACATCTTGCTATCCATCGTGGATTGAATCTCTTTGCCAATGGTAACACCTACATCCAACTATATGAAATTTTTATGATTATCTAGAACAACGTCTGTAGAGAAGTAAAAAGAAATGGTTTTTGTAACTTACTCAGACGCTTCGGCAAACTTCTCAGAAATTCTAGTTAACAAACTTCCAAATTCTTTTTCAGCTTCTTTCTCACCTCTGGATGGCTCGAAGAACTTGGACGATGAAACCGCATGCTTAATATCAGCAGTTTCTTCGGCCAATTTCGACCAATGGGCACCATTCGAAACCGCCTTCTGAGCTTCATCGTAGTACAATACAAACGCTCTCATCATGGCATAGGTCTTCCAAATTGGACAGAATGCATCATAGGTTGAGTAACCATTTTGCTGCAAGAAATCTTCCTTGATCAAGTTGGCCACATCCAAGGTAATCTTATCAGCATCAGAAAGAGCAGATTTACCAACTAATTGCACCACTTGATCCAATTCTTCAGCGTTGGAGATCATCTCCTTGATTTTATTTCTCAAGGTAGCAAACTCTGGATAATTTTCGTCATAATACTTGTCCAAAACGTTGGTGTACTTGGAATACGAGGCAGCGGTATTGATGGAAGGGAAATGCTTTCTTTGGGCCAACTTCTTATCCAAACCCCAGAACACTTGCGTAATACCCAATGTGGCTGTTGTCACTGGATCGGAGAAGTCACCACCAGCAGGAGATACGGCAGCAACAATCGACACCGAACCGGTTCTATTAGGAGATCCCAAGGCAACAGCATTACCAGCACGCTCATAGAAAGATGCCAACTTGGAACCCAAGTAAGCTGGGAAACCTTGATCGGCAGGCATTTCTCCCAATCTTCCCGAAATCTCTCTAAGGGCTTCTGCCCAACGAGACGAAGAATCAGCAATCATAGACACATCCTTACCTTGATCTCTCAAGTACTCGGCAAGGGTAATACCTGTATAGATCGAAGCTTCACGAGCAGCCACAGGCATATTGGAGGTGTTAGCTACAAGGGTGGTACGCTTCATGATGGGCTCTTTACGACCATCAATTTCAGTGAACAACTCGGGGAACTCCATCAACACCTCGGCCATCTCGTTACCTCTTTCACCGCAACCCACGTAGACAATGTTATCCGAGTTAGAGTACTTGGATAAGGACTGGGAAATGACTGTCTTACCACAACCAAAGGCACCGGGAATACAGGTGGTACCACCTTGAACACAAGGGAACAAGGAGTCCAACACACGCTGACCCGTCAATAATGGGTGGTCAGCGTTAAGCTTTTCAGCCACAGGACGAGGAACACGAACGGGCCATGTGTGCATCATAGTGTACGAATGTTTCTTGCCATCGAATTCAACTTCCAAAACGGTGTCCTCGACGGTGTAAGAGCCTGACTCGGCAATCGATGTGATCGTACCTCTGGCACGAGGGGGTAACAAAATCTTGTGGTCACTAAGCAACGAGTTCTCGAAGACTGAACCAAAGATATCACCACCGGTAATATGGTCACCTACTTTGAGTCCGGCCGGTTTGAAATCATATTTGGCGGTTCTTGAAAGTGCTGGAGCGTCAATACCACGAGGAATATAAATGGAATCTGCCTTTTCACGAATGTCTCTCAATGGTCTTTGAATACCATCATAAATGTTTTCCATCAAACCTGGACCCAATTCCACCGACAATGGCTTACCTGTTCTCATCACTGGGTCACCAACCGTTACACCGGCGGTTTCCTCGTAAACTTGAATGGTGGCCTTGTCAGCATTGATTCTGATAACTTCACCAACCAAATTATCATGTCCAACCTTAACCAACTCGTACATGGCACATCCAATCATATTCTCGGCCACAATAACCGGTCCAGAAACTGAAAAAATCTGTCCATAGTTAGCTTCCTTGTCGTCAAGGGAAAGACGCTTGACTTCCTTGCGGGCGTTTTCCATTGCGCCAGCCTGCGTTAGTGTCTAAGACCTTGTGTATGGTTATGGAGGTAATATATCGTTTGTGCTACTAGATGGAACCGATATATGCTGTTCACTGCCTCTCAATTGATATACTTACCATCTTGTACGTGTGTTAAAGGGCTCCTTTCTCCTTACTTATCTCTCACTCGACAAGGGCGTGTGTTACCCGGCCGCGAGTATACGGACAAGAACAGTGATTTAACGCAACCTCGCACATAAATCTGGTGAGAGATGAGTTGACTCCTGGAGTATTGTCCAGCTTTGTGTACCGCTGTGCGTTGTTGCCCATTGTGGGTAGTTAGTTATAATTGATGAAAATAGGTTTTGAGCTGAGCCACAATTAATTTGAGAAAAGGGTCTCAATCATAATGGTACTTCTTATGGATATTGCAGATTCTTCTTGACGATATTCGCTGTAACAGGAAAGTGAATTCTAAAATTCTGATTCAAATCTCTTTCCGGTATTATTTGGTAATATCGTGCTAACTCGCTTGAACTTATATGCCAGTAACAATTTCAGTTCGTACTCTATATGGCAACCTTGAACCATTACGACCGACTTTGTACTAGTCTGGGATATGTGTACTTTCAATGACTAACTCCTCGAACACATTCTGAAATGATTTCTTTTGGCTGCAAATTTCAGTCAAGTATATAGAGCCTTTACTAACATTTTCTTAAACATTGAATATTGCAAGCATATCTAGCAAAGTCGGACATTACCACTATTGCGAATCCGGAACTTGTATCTGTTGCTGACTACTACCATTCAGCTATAAAAAATAGTTAGCTGTATCGGTGACTACTAGGCCATAAATTATTCCTATCAAAATGTTCTTCGCTCTCGGCACTGGCAATTTGTCGATGAATTCTTCAAACAGACCTAAACAGATCCTGTCTTCCTACAATCAATTAGTTTTGTTCATAAATTCAATTTGTTCATTAATTGCGATAAGATTTCTCGTGCGTAGAATGCTTCCCAATTTTATCACAACTTGGCCTTCAGTGCCCTGTCATGGGCAATATCACACATAGCATTGAATGCCTCCACTCTCTCTTTCTTAATGTCTCCTCTTTCTATTCTTACTTTCATATTTTTCATTATCACATCGCGAGATCTTCCATTGACAAACACCACGTAGCGAAGACCAGGAAACGTTTCTTCGTACTTTTCGTTCCAGTATCCCAACTGTTCGGCTGCATCTGCTAGAGACTTTTGTTCTGCTGCTGAATGCTCGGAAAGTTTCTCTCCTGGTTGCGATGGTTTGGGAGCTCCAAGACGAGGGTGTGCAGCAATAATCTTGGAAATCCGAGGGTCCAATGGCTTTCCTGATGACGCTTCGAGTTCAGCGCTTAAAAGAAAATCTAGTAACAGTTTCCTGGCTGTTTCTATAAATTGGTCATAAGAATCGTATTTTTCATTATGGCTTAAGAGCGCAGAGATAAGGAATTCTCGAAGCACATCACACGGTTCAAACAACATATCGAGAACTCTACCCTTCTCAGGCAGCGACGAGAGCTCCAGAGCAGGAATTAGGCTCATGACTAGTTTATTGTGAAATTATTTTGAGGGAGAAGGTCTCGCTTATCTTTTCGGCGATTCCCGAGCGATCGATAATTAATGCATTTGCTTACGAAAGACGTAGACTCTATGTAAAGTGCTCGAGTTGGCGTAATCTCTTGCTTTCTTTGGTGGACGAAGCTCCCTCTTGAGCGATCAATGGGTGTCTCCATTGTTTGACGTAGGTGAACAATACATCGGCCAACTGGGTGGTCTCGAGACCCAAATCCTGGAACGTCTTGGCGCTAGCATCGATTTTTTGATCGATCAAGTGTCTTTGAATCTGGTCAGGGTTGGTCAACTTCCAGTAAGCAAACTGCTTGAGCTGTGCAGCCAACTTGGCCAAAGGCAATGGAATTTGGTAGTCACCATGGTTGTAAGAAAATGGACCAGCTTGCGAAAAGTCCTGGGTGATACCATGAATCATTTGTCTAATTTCGTAGAAACTCATTTTTTCAGGTCCGTATAATTCGTAAGTTTGCCCAATGGTGCTATCGTCGAATCCAATCTTTTCTAAGGCCTCGGCAACGTCGAGGACATGTACTGGGTATATCTCTTTAGCATTTTTGTTGGGAGTCCACATCTTCAATTTGGGTCCCAAGTAGTTGAGCAAGGTATCTTCACGTCCGTACATTGGAGCGGGTCTCACAATCGTCGATTGAGGAAGAATCTCACGAACAACCTGCTCACCGATTCCCTTGGTGGCATAGAAAACCGAGTCGGATTGTGGGTTTGCATTGTACGAGGACACGTGAACAAACCGGGGGACGCCGGCGTCTTTAACGGCCTGAGTGATTCTTTCTGTCAATCCAATGTTGACATCGGCCATAGAAAAGTTTTTGGTGTTGTAATCAGCACCAATACAGTTGTATACGATATCGGAATGAGCCACAGAATCCTCGATTGATTTCAAGTTTCTGGCATCAAACTCAACGAAATTGACCACTCCCAAGTCTCCTGACACCTTGAGGAATCTAGACTTCATTTCGTCTCTGAATGGCACTATGGTGTAGGTACCATGTTTGGCGATTTTAGATGTCAAGTAACGACCAAGAAATCCAGAAGCACCAAAGACAGTGGCGGTGTATCCGGTTCTGGAGGAACGTCCTCCACGTCCACTAACAACATTTACCTTACCATTGGCGGTAATATTGATATCTTCCTTCAAAACGGGAACGGTGATATTTCTGGTTCCGAACCGTTGAGCCACGTTGAGTGGTCTCGCAGCTCTCAACATGTTTGCTAACGAATATACCTAGTGTATGCAAGACGTAAAGACGAGGTACAAAGGTCTAGTTAATCGTCTAGTTTGAGGTTGGTTCCGTTAAACAGTCTTGGGTAATTTCGATGCGCGACTTCTGGTTGGCTAGAAATGTGGTGCGGGCACACAGGTTGCAAGTAGTGGTGCTTAACATGTATTGATTATAAAAAGTAGTCGGGTGTTTTTCTCGTAACCGTGGGTTCTCCTGGACGGATAGAAGGATCATATTGTAAGAACTGCCTATTATGCTGTTCATCAACTTCCATAATTGCAGCTTGGTTTCCACATCGGTAACAGTAGTTTGGAGCCGAAAAGATGGTTACTACCGACTCTTGATGTGACCACGAGTAACCCTCCATCACAAGCTGATGGGCACGAGCAATCAAGCTGAGGTCATTGGTGTGGTTGAACTGTTCGGATATATCTTGACCAAAAGTGAAACCGGCCCCTCTTGGAGATATACCCCATCCACCACGATCATCAGGGTCAGACCATAGTAAGTCACACATGGGTCCTTCGTGGGGGACTTCTTGGATCCTGTTTAGCTCTCTTACCTGATCGATGGTTTCAATCATTGGCGATAAACCACCATGCAAGCAGAAAATTTTGTTGTCCACCAATGCTGTTATCGGGAAGTAGTCAAAGAGATCTGTAAACAACTTCCATACCGTAGCCGAGCCGTACTTACGCAAACATTCGTCATAGAATCCATAAACTTGAGTGATTTGTCTGGATTCGTGATTTCCTCTTAAAATCGTGATTCGATTGGGGAAACGTACCTTCATACAAACCAAGTATGATACGGTTTCGACCGAGTAATAACCTCTATCAACATAATCGCCCATGAAAAGGTAGTTTGTGTCGGGACATGGACCTCCAATTTGAAACAATTCCATCAAATCATGAAATTGACCATGAACATCTCCACATATGGTCACCGGTACATGGACGGGTTGTACATTTTCTTCAAACTGCAACACTTCAATTGCCATGTCACATAATTGTTTCACATCTCCCTCTGATAATGGTTCACATTTAGCAAGTTTTTCAATCCATTGGTCTAGTTTGTCAATGGAAGCAGCAGGAGTTTCCTGTCTTATTGAAGAGGATGACCCCTGATTTGCACTATTTGTAGACTCGTCATTTCCAAATGTGTGACTCAATTGTTGGCTCTCACTTACGTCTTCCATTGGAACGTCGGTGTCTAAATCCATCTCGATCTACACAGTATAATCGGGTCCACGACAATAATACAAAGTAAAAGTACAGGGAAAATGTTGTAAAACACGCTCTAGAATGGCAATGAGATGATTGGGATAGGGGAGCACGAATTGGATGGGGAGTTCCTCGGTTGTGTATCTTGTCTTGATCAACAAGATCGTCAGTGGTCGATACTAAAAAAAACACAGAATTTCGAGGTGGGGTTTAAAACTTGAGAAATGGTATTCTCTTGTCTCTATTGAAAAGCTATGATGTCCAGGGTCCCTTCAAATGACAATTATAACCGCAAAAGTCAGTTGGTGCTTGTGCTGCCCTACTGTCCAGTTCCTTGATTGAGCAACGGAGAAATGCGAGCCGCGCACTACCGTCCGACGATGGTAAGACTACTCCACTCCTACACAGGAACACACAAATGTCTACTTCTATTATTCTATTCAAAGCATAAAATCCGATGTACTATTCTTGATCTCTTCCTGCGTAGGTGGCTTCCAGTCTCGGTTCATTCCAAAATGGAAAAGATTACTCAAACTATTGCTGCTGGCAGTCGTAGTCAAGTCATCATGAACCTGGTTAAAGAGGTTGTAAAGACTTTTAGTGCTTTCTGAAACAACCAACGGATTCATTTCCGGCACCTCTTCTCGCTTAATATTGGCCGGTGTGATCACCGGCGGTGCAGGTGCGGTTATTGGCACCGGGTTGAAATCGGCCAAGTTGATACTGGGACTCAAGCTTGTAACATTTGAATCAACTTCGTTTTCGATATTAACCTTTGACGGGACCATTGTATCCTCAACATGAGAAGATGGCCCGTTGGAAATGGCCTGCTCCAATTGGGTGCTATGGGGTCGTGGTGGTAGCAAAGCCATAGTGTGCGCTTGTGGTGCCGAGCTGGATATGACTGTGGTAGGGGTCTGTGAATTGGAAATGAGATTCGATATCTCTAGCTCATCTAAAAGCTCATATAGGTTGGGCTCTTTGGCGTCATTAGCAGCACTATGTCTCCATTCCATTTCTGAATCGCTGCGGTTATAAGGTTGCGGAAGACTTTCGTACCAAAATTTGAGCAGACGATTGGATTGGATCAAATTATCGACATTGCAGTAGCCTAATGGCGAAACAGCCACAATCTTATGGCTCAATTCAATTACGCTTCTTTTGTTATTGACAAATTCAGGTGCACCATTGCTCCGCTGTTCAATATCCACATAGAAGCGTAACAATTGTAAGAGATGTGGTATCACTTGTTGGTTGGATAAACTTAACGAAAGCATATTGTCTGAAGGATCCAACGCATCATTTATACCGTTGATGATTTCGAACAAAGGATCAGTTACTTTGAAGTAGAGATTTTTGGAGTAAAACACCAATATTTTGAACAAGATGACATTCTTGATGATGGAGTCGGATGGGCTGTATTTGGCCTGAACCATATCTAACTCTTTCTTGAACACCTCGAAATTGACGCGCGGTACGTAACGGTCGTCAGACTCAAGGGCATTTTCTCCTCGGAAACTCGTCGAAGGAACTAGTGCGTACGATGAAAGTGCTCCGAGAATCTTGTCATTGAAAAGATCATACTTGTTTAACACTTTGAGCATTTGAAACATGAAGTTGTCATAGTCGGTGCTTACTTGCAGTGAGGCAGAAAATACCCATTCTCGCAAGAGCAAGTTGGAGTCTTTCAAGACAAGATTGAATTGAAAGAGAAGATTGAATCGTTCCAGCTCAAAAACGGTTTCGTATAATTCATAGAGTTGCACGGTACTCAAGTCGCTCTTGTTTCCCACTGGGATACTAACGAGCTGGAAGAACGTGATGGCTTTCCGAAGGTAAATGAGTTTTTGCTGTTCATTGAGACTTGCAATTTGGTAGTAGCGAAATAGATGCAATGAAGTAAGTGCTTGGTTGTAGTAGGTTATCTGCTGTTTGAATTGGAGTGAAAACGAGGGGAAGATGAGGAGTTTGTCCAAAGTCGACAATGTTTCTGACAACTTTGTTTGTAGGTGATGTTTGAAGTTCTTGTAGTACGTCAAGTTGCGTACTTCAAAATTAAACTCGTGATTCAAAGACAAAAGTTTGATCAAATTCTCTATCAAGATTAGTATAAGGGTGAATATGACCGATAATTTGGAGATGAAAATGGGATCTGTAGGATCGACAAGAATTCTACCTTCATTGACAGAATTATCGTTGATGAACTCGATATGCTTTGCAAAAGATTTGATCGTTGAGGGAACTGTGAGCGGCGCGAGAAACGAAAACACCGTTGGCTGATTGAGCATTTGCAAAAGCTCCACCACCTCAGCGCTGGATATATCGGAAAGTAGATATTTTGTCAGTACTGGAGCGCGGATTGGGCTGTCGGGAACACTGACACTACTGATGGAGTCTAAGGTCTTTTTGTGCAAATTTTTCGGTCCACACTTCTTGCGTTGTCTCACCAGAGTACATGTTATCTTGTTACTGACACAGTGGTTACAAGGTCGATTCAGGTCACATTTAACTTTACGAATGGCACAAGCATCACACGCACGAACATGAGATGTTTTTCTTTTCTTGGTTTGCAGCTGTGCTCCTGAGCCATTCTGGGTGTTCGTCAGTTTGATAGTAGCCAGACTACTGCTACTTCGACCAATTTGTGCTAGTAGAGGTGGAGCCGAGCCGACGGTGGACGACGACGAAGAAGCAGGATGAGGTGCCATTTCTTCATCGAAGCTTGCTTTTGAATCTGGACTCACGCTGTTGGTGGACATCTTGGACCCCAGATCGTGAGACAGCATACGCGTGGGGGATATCATAGCATACTATTGTAATAGATGACAGTCCTTTTTAACTTCGATGCGAACACTAAAATTACCTGCATACCACATTAATCAGCGGGGCCGCCTGGGGTTGGTGCGGAGTGTTTGGATGCGTGGGGTAATAATGGGAAGTAGAATCTAGTGGGATACCTCATTTGAAGACTCGACAGCTTTTGGAAACGACTCCATTTGATGGCGAAATATTATTTGGAGCTTACTAAACTGCTCAACAAGTTTAGATTTGGTTCGCAACAACTCCGAATTAGCACCTTGTGCTGGGTCGTATATTTTTTTTAGTCGCGGCTCGCGAATTTCTTTTCGGTACCCAAGATCTTTTTGCAATCGGTGTCCCCACATGGCTATGAGACATGAACCCTCCACTACCTGGTAGTGGCTGGATGCTGGGGTGGAAATTACTGGAACTTGTAGTACCGTAGATAACAATTGCATAAACCGGGCATTTGCAGCCTGAGAACCACTAACTTCGACTTGGTCAATGGACTCATTTTGAATGTTTCTGATAATTTGCTCGGTTTGAAAGGCAAGAAACTCTAAGATCAAGTTGTAGCGAACCACAAGACTGGTTATAGTGTGATCCCGCAAAAGAGAAGCTTGAAGAATGGAAGAATTGGCACCGTCTATGAATGCCTCGCTCATGGAAAAATCATTGTATGGACTCCTATTGCCATAAACGTCTCCATAGTAGAAATAGCAACGGATAAGGCTGTTGATGGTTTGGTTGTGCTCTAGCTCTATTTTCCGGGTTTCCCTTTCAACAAATTCGAAATTATTGTGGTCTCCGATAAGATCGTTAAACTCGCGAAACAAGTCCTCAAAAAGCTTTCCAGTGGCCGGTTGACCAAATGAATATACCCTTTTGTTGGGCAAAAGTTGCCAGAATGGTCCCCATATTCCGTCTATTGGTTTAGCCTGGGAAGAACTTGTGGGCAACACAAAACAAGTCGAGGTTCCTGCTATCATCGAGAGCGTGCCATCAACCTCTCGCTCGAGAATTTCAGGATTTGTAGACACCCAGCCAGCATAGCAGTCTATACAGCCATGGTAAATGGCAGGCTGTCCTGAAATCCCCAATTTAGCCGAGAGTTTGGATGTCATCGTGCCAATTGCACTTCCTAGAGGCATAACTCTTGGTCTGTCCAAACCATATCCTCCAACTCTAATTCCATTTCTGATTTTCACCAGGCTCAAAAAGTCCTCAGACCAACCCTTGATCGAGCCGTCCATTGCCACATCATCAGTTCCATACGAATGATTATATGGTACAGTTTCACCATTGCCAACAATGAGGAGATGAGATATCCAGTCGTACAATTCAAAGCACATCAATTGCTTGTCTGTATGATCACTTAACCACTTGAGCTTCGGCAATCCCATCTCGGGGATATAACTTCCACCCACAAACAGCAATTTGTCTTTTGGAACAAGTCCATTCAATTTTTCACATTCACCACTACTTCTTGAATCCATCCACATGATAATGTCCTGATCACCATTGTATGGACCAAGAACCATTTTGGTTCCTTCTTCGTCTATAACCTCTCGGACCACCATTGAGCACGTAGCTGTAACGCTTATGCCATCTATAGCTTTAACTGGTGACAGTTTCAACAAATGCCGGAAAGACTCTTCTATTGCTTTATAAATTTCTCGAGACGATTGAGTCACTATTGCTCTATTTTCATGGTTGTAGTTGATGCTTATCTCTCGTGACTGCGTAGCCCTATAGTTTTCTGCCATAAGCATGCATCTTACAGATCCAGATCCTACATCGACCCCCAAGTACGACATTGATGAGATGCGCAACTGTTCGCGATCGCAACCTTTTTCACTTTAAATATATTGTACATTTAAAACATCTAAACAATTGTCATGAATACATTAGTATCCAATGGACGCCTTGGAGCCAGATTGGCTGGTCCATCCGCTGACGGTGGACGATGACAAGACGGAGCCAAAGTTGGTGCTATCGTCAACTTGAACGACTTGAATGGAGCTTCCAGAGAACACAACCGCAGCCTTCATGGATCCACTGGTTGGTCTTTGGAAATAGTCCTGGGAACCACCTCCACCGTATCCGTTGCTAGAACCTTGACCATCGTGCAAGTGGCAGATCAATTTATCAGAACCGGCGGACAAAATTTCAAACAAATCCAATTCACCACATCCAGTCTTCCAGCACGAACAAGAGGCATCACCGTATTGCAAAGTTCTTGGGATCTTGGCGTTCAACATCCAGATAGCTGGCATGTCGTAGTTGAACGAAGAGCCACCGCTGTTATCAGATGGCATTTCAAACTCAAAGATGAAAAGCTTGTCGGCACCACCGAATCCGTGGTAGGCAGGGATACCCTCTCTGTAGTATCCACAAGAGTTGCCACTGCACTTGGAGGAAGACATGATGGTGAATTCACTGTTGGAAGAAAGAGTGGTTTCCTTCAAGGCAACGGGAGAGGAAGAACCTCCACTGTTGTCAGAGTTGGCATAAGAAAGCGAGTTACCAAAGGAAGACGACCACACACCAGAACCCGAACCACCAAAGTAGTTGAGGAAGGTGACGTTGTCGGCGTTACCAGGAGTGTAGTAAGACACTCTCTCCCAGTCACCAGCGGCAGCGGAGCTCGAGCTATCAGACGAGGCAGAAGCCGAAGGAGCAGCATTCGAGCTGGCTGGGGACGAGCCAGATCCAGAAGAGCCAGAGCCAGAGCCAGAGCCGGAACCAGAACCAGAACCAGAACCAGTGGCAGCAGAGGTGGGAACGGCAGCAACTTGGGAGGTTTGAGTGTTACCATTTCCATCAACAAACACGGTTTGGGTCACCTCAACAACCTGGGTTGCTCTCTTGTGCTTGTGGTGCACATGCTGGGTGACACACTCCTCGTCGTCCTCTCTCTTGTTGTTGGAACCAGAAGCTGGGTAGTAGACACCAAATTGCAACAATTTCAAAGGACCTCTGAAATGAACCGATAATTCTTCGTCCAAAGGAGAAAGGTTTCCAGAAAAGTCGTAAGTCTCCTGAGTACATTTACCGGTGGATTCATCCATGTTGGTGACATCTTGGTACGAACCAGAGAAACCAACACCTTCAAAGTACACCTTAGATGTTTTTGAACAGTAGTAGTTACCGTCGACTTGTTGGCACGCGGCATGGACGGTGGAAAGGGAAGCCAAAATAGCAGATAAAATGGGCAAAGAAAACTTCATTGCTGATGGCTAGGCTAGCAAAATAAACTTGAAAGGAGGGAATAGGGAGGATATAGCTCACCGGGTACTTTTACTAAATGAATGGCAGATTTTTTCGAAGTGATTCAGAACACTAAAAACTAATTTCTCCTAATTTCGTTGCTGTAGTAGACGACAATACTTTTTCTGCGCACGAATATCCCTGTTGTTTATGAATGGCTTGACGACGACAGAAAAAAATCGCGGTTTGGTGTCGATTATGTAAGCGATGGCAGTGCTGGTTTGTTTAGCCAGCAAAAACTTGGAAAAGTGGCGGAATGGAGCAATGGGATACGGGGGTAGTTATAGAGCTTGTATGATCATTTTGGGCTTCAAAATTACAGAGGTAATCGTGTTTTCAAGCCCATATGTTATGCTTGGCACCCGGGTTATGAGCGGGTAAGTTGTCTCGAGTGCGCATGAGATGGATTGTGCTGGGGGTGTGTGCTGCGGCTGGTCGCCGCAGTGTTCCGATTTAGGCAGAAAACCACCGGTTTCGCGCAGCTGCGGTGCCAGCCATTGCGGTAGACACATTTGATGTATGCAGGGATATGGGCTGCGGCTGTCAGCTATGTGCACGCCGTTTACAAGAGGTTTCAATGCAGTATCTTTAATGTCTCATGGTATACATTATGTCAAGCTATTAAAAAGATGGGGAAGTTCTAAGGCTGCGAAAAGACAAGATTCTTTCGTGATCGTGTGACTCACTTGTAGCAAGTCAAGCTCATCAATTTTATAAACGGAACCAAATAAAAAAGAGCAGCAGCACCTAGGTTCCAATATAGTCTTCTCTCATTCAGGCTTTTTATCGAATTGTATGTTGGCCAATTGGGGAGAAGTAGATGTTTCCAATCTCAATGAATCTCTTAAAGCTTCAATATCATAATTTCCGGTGTCTCCATCATTATTGATGTACAGAAAAGTAATACCATAATAGGGTATTGTATGGTTATAGTTATTCTGCAATGCAAACCAACTTGCAAATTCCTCTCTATTTCTAGTTCCAATATCACCCTCCAAAGGTAATCTTGTGTCGTCCACCTGAAGGTACGAAATATTGCTTTCATCGACAATACGGCCGTTCAAGATTGCAAATCCTGCAGCATCGTCGCCAAGTCCCAAGGGTGTAGTATATTGCAGGGTGAAAGCTCCCAATAATTCTTTGTCGACTACTATAGCGGTGCTAATACCAATTGAAAATGCTAAAAATGTCAACAGATAGGAAAGCACAAGGCGTACTGGTGTTGAGTACATTTTAGATATCTTAGTCCCGAGTAAGGTCACTCTTGTGCCTTTTATAGGCTTTTTCTCACTTCATTCAATTCGATTGCTGAAGAGTGGCTCAGCTAAGCCCCACAATTGAAGGGAAGTACAGAAATCAAGCGGACCCCAAATCTTCGATCGCCATTTTATGGCCAATTGCCAAAAAATCATGCGCCGATCGAAGGGAGAGACTAAAAAGGACAACATTTCAGCCCAACGTATACTCTACCGTCAATTTCAATGCAAACAAACCAAAGAAACCACTCAAAAGATTTCAGCTCTAGGGAACGCGGAAACATAATCGGAGGATATTTTTTGCCCGTGTCACTCCATTCGGCAAAAGTCCCGAGAGAATGACCGTCATATACGTTAATGGTGGTTTTCCCGCTAGAACACGGTCTATTGGCTTTTCCTGTAGTTGCTGCAGGATACTCCTTAGTGTGATTCCTTAATATGAAAAGCATATAGTTCAGATTCGAACTTGTCTCTTGGGTGATGTAATAAGTTGTAAAGCTGAATATAAGAAAGTTATACGCGGCAGAGTGAGGCGCATTTCAACCTAATTACACTTGACGTCATGGATGTTCTTGAAAAGTACCCTTGTCGCATACTCTTTATGGACAATACGAACATTCACAAGTAACAACTGGATAGTCAAAGCTATGGTAGGTATTTTCGCTTATTGAGTTAATTCTGAATTTGGCATATGATAAAGTTGAAGGAGATCAATTGCTAGATACTAACATCCAGGTTCAAGAAGCAACAAATTGATTAGTCGTTATTTACATTTCGTATTCGAGGGAATCAAACTGGATTTGCAGCCGCTATAAAATTGAATCAAGATAACCTAAAAATTGATCACTTCTCGATTACTCAACCAAAGACACTTACACTTGAAACACCTAATAGCACACAGCCAGCTTTATAGGACATTTCATGAATCCATATAGCATAAGTTTATCTTGTAGGCTGCGGCCGCCGCAGTGTTCCTGTCCCAGTCCATATGCACGCCATCAACCTGTTTCGGAGCACTGCCCGCCTGCAGGCGGTGCCTGAACTAAACACATCTGATTTTGCTAAATTTAGTATACTTGTCGATAACAATTTTGTGGTCTGCTTGTTATGTCCAATCCTTATGAGGCAGCCAAGCGCAAAAGTGTGCTTAATCAAGAAAGAAAACTGGGGTATAATGGATTAAAAGTAATTGTTCGAGAAGATCCAGCAGTACCCCAGTATCAAATTCTCCCCACATTTAGCAAGAAATCGGACTACCAAATGAAACTTGTGGTTGTTGGAGATGGTGGATGTGGAAAGACTTGTCTTTTGGTGTCTTATACCCAACAAAAATTTCCAGAAATTTATGTTCCTACTGTGTTTGAAAACTACGTTGCCAACGTCAGAACCCCCGAACAAAAACTAATTGAGCTTGCCCTCTGGGATACCGCAGGTCAAGAGGAATACGACCGTCTTCGTCCGTTATCGTACCCTGACGTAGACATATTACTCATCTGTTTTTCACTTGACAATTTGACATCACTTCAAAACGTAACCGATACGTGGTACCCTGAAGTGAACCATTTCTGTCCTGGAGTCCCCATTATTCTCGTAGGGACCAAAGCTGACTTGCATTCATCCATTGATGACCAATTACCCATCGAGGTGGCCACCGATATCAATGCTGTTGGTTACGTCAAATGCTCAGCCAAGTCCATGTTCAACATCAAAACGGTGTTCAATTTCGCCCTCCATCATTTCCAGCGCCAGATCAATGTCAAGGAACAGATGGAAAGAACCCGACAACACCGTCTTTCTCGGGCATTTGGCCACACCCGAAACCAGTCTTCAATCTCTACTAAGAGAGGACATAATAAAAATTCGTCCATTGAGTCAGCCCTCCTCTTGGAACAACCATTGACCGATGGAGACGGTGATTACAACCCATATGTGGCTTCCGATAATAAATACAACGACGACGAATTTGCATTTACCCGAGAAAAGGCCAAGAAGCGAAGACGCTGTATAATACTATGAGCTAATATAAGATGACTAGAGGATTAGACAATGACAGTGTAATCTGTCAACCTGTCCGGAGCACTCTATTTACCACGGTCTCTGTACTTTTTTGGTCTCTTTTTCCGTAATCTCCATATCTCCGTATCTACTGTTCCGTATCTAAATCTCATTTCGCGAATTTCTTCTTTAATGTCAGAACTACGGCTGAGGAGCACTGCTCCTACACCGTCCACCACCGATGACAAGAAACCAATCGATACAGATGCTGGAACCCTCCCCAATGACCACTATAAATCACATCTTTCTCCCACTCGATTTTGGTTGCGGAGTAAACTTCTTCCATATATTCGAATGGAAACTGATATCTTGGCGTCGCTTCAAGCAGCCATTCGAACACCAATGCTTGATTTCTACTTTGCTTGGACAGCAAACTTGGCGTCGCATACGTTCTACGTGCTTATGTTGCCGGTTCCATTATGGTTTGGCTCCACTTTGAGCCGTGACTTGATCTATGTTTTGGGTCTTGGAATTTATATATCAGGAAACCTCAAGGATTATATGTGTTTGCCTCGTCCTCGGTCACCACCACTTCATCGCATAACCATGAGCTCATACACTGCTCAGGAATATGGGTTTCCATCCAGTCACAGTGCCAATGCGACCGCAGTTTCGTTGGTCTTGTTTCTGAGACTCTACGATTCTAGAGACCAGTTCACCCCAATCAAGTTTGTCGTTTTGGCAAGCATTCTCTTTATTTATTACTTTTCCTTGATATTTGGAAGACTTTACTGTGGAATGCACGGATTCCTCGACTTGTTGGTGGGATCCATTATTGGTACTGGATTATTTATCTTCCGCTACGTTTGGGGAAATGCTTGGGATATGTTGCTTTTCAACGCTAGTACAAAATGGGGTAGAGCTCTTGCTCCGGTCCTCGTGGTTGTGATGTATCTTTTGTTAATCAATACCCATTCGGAGCCCGTTGACGATTGTCCATGTTTCGACGATACAGTGGCATTCATTGGTGTTCTCATCGGTGTCGATTTGGCTCACTGGCTCTGTTTCAACACCGGGTACTTGGCTACCAGCTCTGGCGATCCGCTCGTGATCTTCTATGATTATAACACACTTGGTCTAGTTAAAGTGATTGCAAGAGTGGTACTAGGAGTCTTTTTAGTTGCAGTATGGAAGTCGGTATCCAAACCTGTGGTGTTCACAATCCTCCCGCCAATCTACAAGCGCGTAGGTGTCTACATACCCAGAAAGAACTTCCAGGCTACTGCTTTCACCAAGCTGACCACTCGTCAAATTCGGTCTCAGTCCATTTCCAACTTGAATAACAGTGCTGATAACATTGGTGATTTCAACAAACTCATACGAGGAATTGCTGACCACTCAAAGACAGACATGGTTGGACCCGCAACCGATATCGATTACTACGAAATGTTAGATTACAAGAACAAAAACTCGGGTGCAAATTTACCAGAACCACCAAAACGTGCTGGTGTTTTCAAGCCCAGATTCGATGTTGAAATTATCGGAAGACTTATTATATACGGAGGAATGGGACCAGTATCAGTTTGGGGGTTCGCCTTGGCCACCGAGTATTTGGGTTTAGCAAAGTAGCTTACCTTGGGCTGCTTGCCCATTGGATCGATTGTATGCAGTCGGTCCGATAGCACATACAAGTCATCGCATCGGTTATTTTTATAATGACTCCAGCTGTTACGAACGATCGCAAACGTGCGGGAAATGACCCGGGAACGGGCCACAAGAAGCAGAAGAAGGTTGTTCGACGTAAATATAAGGCAAAAGCTGTAGAAGAAACCTCGCCATTGGGTGTATTAAAGCATGAGATTGATTTATTGATGAAGTCTGTTTCTCTCCACGAATCTGATATTGCTAATGACATGCCTGGGATCCTCAACGAGCCTGAAATTGCATCCAAATATCACCGAGAAGTACAAAATGTCAAGATACGACAATTGAGTTCGAATGGAGACGGGTTGTCTGTGATTCAACATCCTACTAATGAAGCTGGAAAACAGATTATATTGGTACCTTTTGGACTTCCAGGAGACATCGTTACGGTGAGGGTATTCAAGACACATCCCTTGTACGCTGAGGCTGATCTTTTGTCTATCGAGGAGCCATCCGCCTTGAGAGATGATCTGCTCATCAATTGTCGTTATTTCGGTAAATGCTCTGGATGTCAATTTCAGAATGTAGCCTACGACCAGCAACTTGTGTTCAAAAAACAGACAATAGAGAACGCATACACCCATTTTGCACCAAAACTCATGGCAGCTAACTTGTTACCGAAAGTGGACTCCACTGAACCATCACCTTTACAATATAATTACAGGACCAAATTAACCCCACATTTCAACCTTCCCTACAAGAAGCCGGAGAACATGCCGCTTCCACCGCTAGGATTCGGATCCAAAGGAAGACCTGAATGGAGAAATACAGATGGAGGTTCGGGTTCAATATTGGACATTGAAGAATGTAGCATTGGAACTCCAATTGTGAATGTTGGAATGAAAAATGAGCGTTTGCGATTCAAAAAAGAGTTTGAAAAGTACAAGAAAGGTGCTACTATTCTTCTCCGTGAAAACACTAGCATTAACGACACCGATCTTGTAGGGTCTACAAATGAGAGTGGTGAAGTTTCCACAATCAAGGACAATGATAGTATCAAGACTTGTGTGACCAACAGCCGACAGATCGTGCGAGAAGTTGTTGATGGGCGTGAGTTTGAGTTTTCCGCTGGTGAGTTCTTTCAAAATAACAATTCTATTCTTCCAGCGGTATTACAATACGTTCGCTCCAATCTTGCAATTTCAGACAAACAAGATAATTACTTGGTAGATGCGTATTGTGGATCTGGACTATTTTCCATCTCGTGCTCCGATAATGTCAAAAAGGTGATAGGTGTCGAAGTAAGTGCAGATTCCGTCAAGTTTGCCGAGAGGAATGCCGCCAATAATAATATTGCCAATGTCAAATTCATTGTTGGTAAAGCTGAGGAAATATTCAAGGACATAGATACGCCTGCTCTGCAAACATCTGTGATCCTTGACCCTCCTCGTAAAGGATGTGATGATGTCTTTTTGAATCAGTTATCAGAATACAATCCAGTCAAAATTGTCTACATTAGTTGCAATGTTCATTCACAAGCAAGAGATGTGGAATGGTTCCTCAACAACACCGTGAACGGTGCAAATTACAAGGTTGAAAGTATAAAGGGTTTCGATTTTTTTCCACAAACCCATCATGTGGAATCGGTAGCGGTCTTGATTCGGGTATAATTTGCACCCATTCCTGCAGATACCAAAAATAGGTAGAGATAATAAAGGAGGTGCAAAAGTGCAAAGTAGACAGAAGGTGGTATAAACAACTAGTTTGATGATAACAAACGACCAGTGGCCACGGGATTGATGGTTTATAACTGGCAATTTGTTTGGTCACGTGTTGGTCTTTCTCTCGTGTAGGGCTCTACCCTAGCAATGTGTGCACACCATTTCGAGGTGTGAAAATTTTCGATCAACTACGAAGTCAACTATAGTCATACAACAAGATGGAAAACGACAAGGGTCAATTAGTAAGTAAAATCTAGCCAAGTGTGACTTATACACACTGTTATAAGTCTTATATGGTCCAAACTGTCGAGAAAGACTTGAAAGGGGGAATTCTTGAAGCGTTAAAGACATCGAATTCATGATGATTCCAAGGTATATTCAGCAATAATCTTGTGCTGTTCACATAGTCATCGCCTTATGGTGACCCATTTGGTGACCGTGTAGCTTCAGGGCCCCAATATTTTGCTCCATACTAACCATCAGGTGGAATTGTACGTTCCAAGAAAGTGTTCTGCCACCAACAGAATCATCAAGGCTAAGGACCATGCCTCTGTCCAAATCAACATCGCCAAGGTCGATGAGGAGGGAAGAGCCATTGCCGGTGACAACATCACATACGCTTTGTCCGGATACATTAGAGGTAGAGGTGAAGCTGACGACTCATTGAACAGATTGGCTCAACAAGATGGTTTGTTGAAGAACGTCTGGTCTTACTCCCGTTAAGGTATTGGGTGTGTCCGTTGTATATCTAATGTCATAATTGTGAACAAATGTAGTGAATGTAGAGAAAATGAAGAAAAAGGATTTGAAATGATGATAGATGTGAAGGTGATGAAGTACGAGATTAATCTATATATTGACTTCACTACATCAAATGGTGCCTAGTTGGTGTATTTGAAGCTTGGTGGGTTCTACCTCATATGGATATGTGTCTCTAATTAGACGAATTAGGCAACGATAGCACCTCATCCAGCTCCGCATCTCCTGCACGGAATGGCGTGGGGATCTCCGAAACTCCGGAAACATTATCCTTGTTATTTGTGGGCATTGAGACTTTGGCAACATTAAAGCAATTCGAAGGATTCTGAAAACCCTAATTCACATAAAAGTTGGCTTGAACTATTATAAAAAACCTTCATCTTTAAGTTTCCATTTGGGTTCTCATCTCTCCAGAAGCATAGGCAAATATTTAAAAGAGGCATTGAGCATCCTTGAATAGCCTGAAAAGACAGTCACTCGAGCATTCTCATTATACGTTCACCCCATTCACTTGTGTCATAGCAAAGCAGCCGTTTTGGAAGTGTGGCCCCAGAAATTGCTGCCATGACCTCCGCAATCTTCACCTTACTTTACAGTGATGATTACTTGCCAGGAGCATTAGTATTAGCAATTGCATTGAAAAAGCTCCTTGCCAAATCCCAGACCGTAACAAGTCCAAAGTTATGTGTTCTTATCGATAAGCAGGCTTTCACCCAAAACCATTTGCTGCTTTTGAGTCAGTTTTATGACGACTTGGTTGATATCGACCCTATAAGTACCAAGGATATTGATACATTGAATAACGACTTGGGCAGACCGGACCTTAACAAAACATACAGCAAAATTCTTCTCTGGTCCTTGACTCAGTATGACAAGATTCTTTACTTGGACGCCGATACACTTCCGAACATTAACGGTTCGCTTACGGTGGTTGATCTTTTGGACCTCGACTTCCCACAAAACAAAATTTTAGCGGCACCAGACAGCGGGTTTCCTGACATCTTCAACTCTGGCATGTTTCTCTTGCGACCAAATGTCACTGACTTTGGTCGTTTGAGCCAACTTGCGTCTTCTTCTGAAGGCTCGGTTTCCTTCGATGGTGCGGACCAGGGTCTTTTAAACCAGTATTTTAATCCAAACCCAGATTGGGTTTCAGACCTTTTGTGCTCCAATCGTACTAACGTCAACGAAGCGCAGGGCTTTACAACGTCTTCATGGGTCAAATTGCCATTTTTATACAATGTCACTCCGTCGGCTCAATATGAGTATCTACCAGCGTTTAAGCATTTTACTGACGACAATAGCCCTGTGAATCAAAGTCGTGGTCTGTCTTATGCTCCAGGTCCTGAAGAAACCAAGTATGCTGGTGTTTCGGAAACTCTTAGTAGATATCACTCAACTGCTGCATCTTATTTCAACTCCGGTTCGCTGTCTGCCTTTGGTGCCAATGCCAAAACCAAGCTCGTTCATTACATTGGACCTTTCAAGCCATGGAATTCGAACTGGAATGACCCTTCCTATGGCGAGTGGTGGAGTCTCTGGTTTGGCCAATTTCACGATACCATTGAAAGTGTTCTAGGATGGACTTCGGAGGAACCTTCCAAGACAATTGAAAAACACCCTCAACCCCATAAAGAGTCACATATAGAAAAGGAATCCACTTTTGATCCTTCCACTCTCTGTGATCCAGTCAATTACAAGCACATTCCTGACACTGTTCGTCCAAGTGCCGACGCTCTTTGGAACCCAGCAAATGCACCTCCACCGGCGCCAGAACCCGATTATAAAAGCACATTTGATATTGGCGAGTTCAAGAGCTCATGGGATGAGGAACCTCGTCAAGCTCAACAAGAGACTCAAGAAGCTGTTGCAGACACTCAAAAGGGTGAACCTACCATTGAGCCTGGGTATGGGTATCATCCTTCCCAACAACCAGAACGTGTGTTCGAATCTTCTCAAGACTTTGTTTTAAGCCACCCTCTTTATAATAAGCAGTTGGTGGAAGACATTCAAGTTGATAAGGAACAAGACGGAGAAGTGACAGTAGCACAGGTCGAAGAAAGGTTCCAAGAGATTGGTTTGGTTGAAAATGAAGTTGAAATGGATCCCGAGATTAACGAAGAAGACGAGTTTAATCATGGAGCTCCACAATTGTTTCCTTGGGAGCGCAATCAACGTCGTCCGGAACGGGTGTTTGATTGGTAGCATTTTGCAAATGTTAGAATTTTTGCAACAATATATAATAAAAGTATGTGATTGAAAAATTGGTCGAGTAGTAACGAGAGCGTAGAACTTTTCAAATCAATGAAAGATCAAAGAACTATACTCCGATATCATCTAATCATCATCTCACTAGCCAACTTTCTTGCAGCCAGATAAGACGGCATCGTGTTACCCGGCCTGGTGCACGGGCGCCAAATTTTCATCATTTTTTTCTCTGTGATCCCAAAATCATTGCCAGGGAAATTTCTTATTGAAAAACCAGAATGTCGCAGGAATTCAACGAAATCGACGCTAACACCATCGAGACCAACTATGACAATGTTGTCTACTCGTTCGATGACTTGAACTTGAAGCCAAATATCGTTAGAGGTATTTTCGGTTACGGTTACGAATCGCCATCCGCTATTCAACAAAGAGCTATTTTGCCCATCACCGAGGGACGTGATGTGTTGGCTCAAGCTCAATCCGGTACCGGTAAGACCGCCACCTTCACCATCTCTGCTTTGCAAAGAATTGACGAGAACTTGAAGGCTACCCAAGCTTTGATCTTGGCTCCAACCAGAGAATTGGCTTTGCAAATTCAAAACGTTATCACCCACATTGGTTTATACTTGAACGTTACCGTTCATGCTTCCATTGGTGGTACCTCCATGAAGGATGATATCGAGGCCTTCAAGTCCGGTGTTCAAATTGTTGTTGGTACTCCTGGTAGAGTTTTCGACATGATTGAACGTCGTTTCTTCAGAACTGACAAGGTTAAGATGTTCATCATGGATGAAGCCGATGAGATGTTGTCGTCCGGTTTCAAGGAGCAGATCTACAATATCTTCCGTTTGTTGCCAGAAACCACTCAAGTTGTGTTGTTGTCTGCCACCATGCCTCAAGATGTGTTGGAAGTTACTACCAAGTTTATGAACAACCCTGTTAGAATCTTGGTCAAGAAGGATGAATTGACTTTGGAAGGTATCAAGCAATTCTACATTAACGTTGAACAAGAAGACTTCAAGTTTGACTGTTTGTGTGACTTGTACGACTCCATCTCCGTTACCCAAGCTGTTATTTTCTGTAACACCAGATCCAAGGTTGAATTCTTGACCACCAAGTTGAAGGCTGAGAACTTTACCGTTTCTGCCATTCACGCCGACCTTCCTCAATCTGACAGAGACACTATCATGAACGAATTCAGATCGGGTTCCTCTCGTATATTGATTGCCACTGACTTGTTGGCCAGAGGTATCGATGTGCAACAAGTGTCCTTGGTTATCAACTACGACTTGCCTGCCAACAAGGAAAACTACATTCATAGAATCGGTAGAGGTGGTCGTTTCGGTAGAAAGGGTGTTGCCATCAACTTTGTCACCGATGAGGATGTTGGTATGATGAGAGAGATTGAAAAATTCTACTCGACTCAAATCGAGGAGATGCCTGCCAACATTGGTGAGTTGTTTAACTAATTCCACCCTTAGCTCGGGGTATGTATTTTTTTAGCAAATTACATGATTCTTAGGACACTTTTGTAGCGCGCGCCGCAGCGATCGATTGGAATCGCACTGACTTGTTTAACTTAGCCATGACCCTTATTCCAGGCAGTTTTCCACAGGATGAACCACTGGAGATCCCAGGCTACGTCACCGAGTCGGCGTCCAAGATAGTGGAACAGGAGGAACTCCATACTTTCTCCATCAGACAAGACGGCCACAATAAAACCCGACATCAGATCCATGTCATCAAGCAATTAGAAGCACTAGTATATATATTGATGGCATTTCAGTTTGTCAAATATTGCCATTCGGCATGTATAGTGCCCATACTACTTCATGGGACTGCTCAACTGATCCTAAGTTGTGGTTCCATCACTTTGGCTCGATCCCGAGCCGAACAAACCTGGTTGCCGACAATGATTCGAACCATAAATCAAGCAGATGGGCTTCAAGCATGGGAAAAGGAGGAACGACAAGACATAATCTTCAGACGCGTATGCTGGTTTATGTACGCAAAGACGTTTTTCGTATGTATATACCATGGACTTGTGGTGGCATGGCTTATACTGATTGCCGATGAAGATAAATTGTCAGTTATCGAGCATGGTACCTGGTGGTTTGTTTCATTCATAGGTGAGTCCACACCCAATGTTCCCTCGAAAACTGTGTGGTTCAAGAAAATCATACCTTTGGGACTTCCTCAATTGATTCTAAGTGATGTGGTGATCATGGTACTACAACTTACTCTCTTCCAGTGTATATTTCGTCAGTCCACATTGACATACTTGGGCCACCGGCTCAATACCGACGAGCTGACCGTCATACGTACCTCGACGACCGAACCTACTGGTGCTATTCGAACCATCAAGAACGCACCATTGGTGCTCAAGGTGAAATTGTACGAGACCTTGAATAAAGATGCAATTCTAGGTGATTAGAATTGGAGGCTGCTAAACGGCATCGGAAATTGGGTATAATGAAAAAAATGGGTATAATTTATTTTGTGTCCTCTATATATGGACTCTGTAGTCTGTCGCATTATGTTGAAACGCATTTCTCTGCAAAAATGCAAACTTTGGAATAAAACACCATTTGACTTGGGCTATCCCATTTTATCTTCCGAGCTTCAGGAAGAGAAGCATCGCATCCACAAACTACTTTTCGGCTCTCAAGACCTAGAGTATGTAGACACAAACAGCTCCATTTATCGAGAGTTTGTCCATCATCAACCAACCAAACTAAGTGGTTTTGACTTGTTTAGTCAACAAGCTCAATTGCTAGCTAAACAGAAACACAAGAGGCTATGGAAGAACCTTTCTGACGACACAAAACAAAGTTTTGATACCATGAAAAATGATATTTATTTGCATCTGTTGAGAATATGGAGAGGATACGAAGTGGTGGAGTATATAAAACGGTACGAGAATAAGCACAGATTCAATCCGTATCCATTACTGGGTCTATATCCTTGGGAAATCATAAAAGACAAACTTCGAGCCAAAAAATCACCGCATGAATTTGAAAGAGACTACTACGATAACTTGATACCAGAGTCGTTCAATCGTCGGTTCATGAGGCCAGAAACACTTTTTCGTGCTCAAGATGGACACGGTCTGTTTAGGGAGCTACTGGTCGAAGAAAAAGAGCAGTTTGTGAGCCTTGCTGATAGACGAAACAAGTTCATCATGAGCACTTCAAGACTTCCTAAATATTCTAGCGGGTACCTGAATTTTTATAAGCAGAACTATAGCGACTACCTTCCTTCACCAGAAGAAATCAGGCAAGTTCCCGATGGAAAATTGAGTGTCCACCAACGAAAGAATGCAGCAGTTTCAATTGCTGCTGCTAATCATTGGAAAGGACTCTCTGACCATGAAAAAGTCCAGTACAGCCCGCAAGATAAGAGAATTTACTCTCACAAATACAAGCATGAAATCCTCGATTGGAAAACATCAATGGTGATGGACTACATTTACTCAGTGGGAAGAGTACGTCATGCCTCATTATCGTACAATTGGCGTAATGATATCAAAGGAAAATTTGGTGACTGGCATTACCTTGAAAGAGCCTACACCGACCGTCTTATATATATAGAGAATGGCAACTTGCACATAGACAGACTTTCATAGACACTTTCATAGACACTTTCATATTTGACGCGACGCGACTCTCGAATTTTTCACTTCTTCCTAGATATGACTACCCCCAAAAAACAAAGAACAGGACCAGAACTCAAAGTCTTCTTGAGGTCTGACAAAGCCACCTTACCCACTAAAGGTTCAGAATTGGCCGCAGGCTACGATTTATACTCCTCTGAGGATGCAGTGATTCCTGCCAAGGGCCAAGGTATGGTAAGCACTGACATTAGCGTTATAGTTCCAGTTGGTACTTATGGCCGAGTCGCCCCCAGATCTGGATTGGCGGTCAAGCATGGAATCTCTACAGGCGCTGGAGTCATTGATGCCGATTACAGAGGTGAGGTGAAAATTGTCCTTTTCAACCATTCCGATAAAGACTTTAAAATCGTTAAAGGTGACAGAATTGCCCAATTGGTTTTGGAACAGATTATCAATGCTGAAATTGTTTCCATTACACATGAGGAGTTGGACCAAACAGTACGAGGTGAAGGTGGATTTGGATCCACCGGAACAAACTAAAATAAATAGGGTTTATTGATAATCATAACGATCATTCGTAAATATCTCTAATATCTATGTGCAATCCTGAATGGTTTTATTTTTGAGTTGTTTGCTTTTCGTTAGACTCCTCGGCTTTCTTCACGGCCTCCTTTTCTGCTACTTTGTCCTCCTCTTCTGGTTCTATCTTCATACCCTCACTGGCGGTATCTTCGTACTCGTCCAAGTTGATATCATCCTTAACCTTGTTGACGGTGTCCTTTTCACGGTAATTCTCCTCGTTAATCATCTCGTCTTGCTCCTTCAAAATATTCAACTTCAATTTGGAGTCATCCGATAATTCCAACTTGGCAACGTTGTAAACCTCATCTGGAATAGACGACAAAACCGCCAACAATGCATCATAGTAAGTATCAGTGCTTCGAGATTTATCTCCATAAGTGTATACCGATGACAAAATGAGTAATGTCGATGGGATTTTTTGTCTCAATCTCAAGTCTAACCAGGTAGCCAACTCCTCTCGCAAATGTCCAGGAGAAACATCCGTGGTTTTAATACCTCTCTGTTGGCATGCAGTGTACAATTCAGGGATAGTCAACGATTCCACACCCTCATAGTCAATAGCCTTGTCATCCTTGATGATGGTTAATAAACGATGTCTGATTTGGTATCTCAAAATTGAATCGTTACCGAATGGTCTCAAAGACATGTACTTTGCCATTGCTACCAACTGGTTCCGTGACAAGTTATCCAACACTTGGTCATTTTTGAACAATCTAGCAACTTGAATCAAGTGCTCACGAGATGGGTTCTGACCGTTGGAGATTATATGGAAAAATGAAACAAATGCTTCTCTTTCTTTGTCACTAATCTTTTTGGACAATTTCAATCCGGATTCTTCCATAGTTTTCTTAATGTACTCAGAAGTAGAAGTTCTGGTCTGTGACAACTTTGCCTTCTTTGCCTTACGGTCCTTCTTCGATTCATACGTCGATGGTAACAAGTTGGGAAACAATTTCAAAGCTACAGGTAAGAGCAATTCAGCGAACGGAATAAGCACAAACATGGAAAAGGGAACCAATCTGATCACATCGACCATAGTACGTTGCAACTGGTTTTTCTCTCTTCTGGACAATTCGTATCCTGCGGCTAATTTGAAAAGCAATTTTGTAGACACTTTCATTTCGTAACCGAGTAACTTGGTACCATCCCAGTAATGCTGAACCTCATGCTTGACTTTCTCCCAAAGAGTAGGCTTGGGAACTTCGCTGTCTTCAGGCTTAGCAAGCAGAGTACTTGGGCCATCTTTGATAGGCAACAACTCCTGAGTTTCTGCTTTTTGCAAGATTGTTTCTGCCCTTTCAGTCTTTTCAGTGCTCTCAGCCTTGTCAGATTTACTCCTGTGAAACCTCAAGAGTGTCACAGGACGTAAATTATACCGAGACGTCGCCACCGGGGAAAAGCCTAATCTCCGGTAACCAGGTTTCGAAACAGCAAACCCATGATTTGTTGATAGCAGACGATATGACGCGGAGTAGAGGGTTCCAATACGACGAACACCTAGCGACAACTGCCTTCCCATGATGGTCATAATTCGTCGCCTCGTTCAAAGTTGCAACACAAATTTATCAAGTTCAAATTTCGGTGCTGGACACGGCGCGTGTGCAGGAAGACATCGGCAGCCACGGACCGCATGGCTATGTATTCAGATCTATGTACTGGTTGTAGATATGGACTAATCCTCTTCTAGAGCCAGAAGCGTTGGCTGCTCCTTAGCTTCTCCCGACAATCCCACAATGACAATTTCATCTATCAATGTATGCAAGTCTTCGTCATCTCCATCGACAAAGATCGTAAGAGACTGGGTCTTTTGAAACCGGACAAACTTCAAGCGACACTCGTACCAGCCATTTTCGTCCGGTTCGCCGATTTTCTCAATGTGTCCTGGATTATTGTCGCTTGCGGCGTCGTCAAAGGATATGAGACTGGTGTGATTTGCCCATACTTTCACCACCGAGGGGAACTGGGTCTCCTGGGAGTAATCTTCTTCATCAAGAACGTATTCCTGCTTGTATTCGGGCTTTTTGAGTTTCAACAATATCGAATATACTTTTGAAATGTTCATCAAGGGCACATGGAGTAACAATTGAGCATCGGCATCGGATATAATTCCCATTTTCTTGGTACTCTGCTTGATGGTAACTCTCAAGTCTCCGTTGGCGTATAAGCTGATGGCATTGAGTGCTTCAAAGCCTCCAGTATGAACCGTAGAATTTAGAATCTCGTAATTGCCGCTGATATATTTCTTCAATTCGTCTGCAATCTTTACGGGAGTTCCTCTCTCCTTCCTCTTTAATCCCTCAGGAGCTTTCTCCCGCAAGGCATCGAGTTTCTGTTTGATTTCAGGAATATTTCCTCCCACTGTTCGACTCGTTTCCTTACCCTTTTCAATAAAAACAAACGTAGGCACGCTGGTGACTTCATACCGACGACACACCTCCTGCTGAGAATCCAAATCAACCTTAACCACCTCTATCATATTATACCGTTGTTCTGGATCGCTGTATAATTGTTCCAAAATAGGTGCCACTGCTTTGCACGGACCACACCATGACGCGGTGAAATTGATCATCACATAATCATTCTGGGATATGTACAAGTCCAAATCATCCTTGGACTTGATGTAGGGAATTGGCATTATGGTGAAAAACTATGGTGGTGCTTCTCAAGGTGCCACTATTTTTGGTTCATGATTTCCCCACCCGCGCCCACTGCACCTATACATTTTACACGATCCGCAGTACCCTTTATAGTTTCAGACTTATACGTATTCCACAAAAAAAGCTCGTTCGTCCCTCGAAAAGAGCCCACAACACGGCGCTATACATGTCACCGTCGCAGGCTGCTCAGGAGAATACTCCAGTATCTCCTAAATCGCCTTTAATCCCGCTTCGGTTATCAAGTGGAGAAGTCAAGAATGATCACGGAGAAGCTGAAACCAAGCGAAATAAGCCAAAAGACGGCCACAAAGGAAAGAAGAGCTCCAAGCGACCGATTCTGTCAGATTCAGCAACAAAGAAGTTCGCTGTGAGTAATGACTGGCTTAACTTTGATGTCCCCAAGCCCAGTAGAAAGGCAAGAAGCGACGACAAAGCACCACAAGAAGTAGAAGTAAAACAAGCATCCCAACTTGCTTCTATTCTATTGGACACGAAGAAAGTGGTACAGGCTAACGATTTGGTACAACCTCCAAATGAAGACCGCAAGAATACTTCTATAGCTGCTTCGAGCAGTACATTGGCTAGAGCAGACAAGGTAAGAACCATGTTGGGACTCAAGTATTTGTATATCCACCGTGTGTACGAGTGGTCTCAGTCTCCTGAATCAATATCACACCCGGGAGTGGAAGGGCTATACAATCCTCTTCAGATCATAAGGAACAGAAAGATCAGGGCCAAGTACAAAGAGTACCCTCGCCAATTAACCATAAGGCTTCTTCCTTTACCATGTAATGCATTTAGCTCCCACAACGACTCACGAAAGAACTGGAGAATGCTTTGGGGCATTGACCTCAACGAACTTCTTGATGATACTCCCTGGCGACAAGACCACTGGCATGAAATTAAGAACCCAAAGGGCCAATTATGGTTTCCCAAGAGACCCACATCGAACGAGTCGTCCCTAGAAATCCATATGCATGGTCATAATATTCGAAAGCGAATGCACGAAAAGCTATTTGCTGATGACATCTCAGACTCGTCGAAAGACCTCAAAAGTCTGTCTTTGAATACCTCTATCACTGACGAAGATGACGGCAAGTTCCTCATAAAGATCTCGAGAGCTAGATCTCCTAATCGTCGCCGACATCATGTCAAAAAAAGAGTAAAACGTGGAGCAAGAAAATTATACTTGGGATCATCACCTTCAACTTCAGAGCTGGAATCTGACGTGGAAGACTTGGAAGAGGAACCAACGGGGACTCATGAAGATTTGAGTAAGCAGTTTTTCAAACCTGTGTCCCCGCCGTCAAATGAACAAGATAATGTGGATCCCTTGGATTCAAGCCCAAACTACAAAATGATTCCACCAGAGATATACATCGAACTGGAAAATGAAGTCAAAAAAGTACCATTCAAATCGATGCTGAGGGTACAAGTTAATACCGATGAACTGCCCCAGGATTCGGATAACGACCAAGAAACTACTCAGCTTTCAGTCGAGCAATTGCAAGCATGCGACAAGGATATTTGCATTACTCGCTCACAATTTTCATACCTCCAGGCTGTTATTGAACTCAAACTATACTACATGACCAATCTGTACCCTGATCTAGTGAACAAACTCACAAGTATAATCCAAGAGATTGTGGAAGTGGACCTCGTAAGGCTTAACGAGTCTACCTTCGAGATACATGAAAACATATTACCCGCGTATGAGATGTTGTACAACGGATTTAACGACGAAATCAAGTCTGTTATTCACCAAATCAATGAAAATTATTCGGTTCGAATTGACAATCTTTTAAGTAGCAGTGATCGTCTGATTGGTGAGGTGAACACTTCAATTTCTCACGAGCTTCGGAAAGTCAATGAGAAGCTCGACCGGTTAAATAACTCTTTTTTTGGAGGTATGATAGCCGGAGCTTTGAAGGATAACGAGTATATGAACATGAGTGATAGTGGGAATAAGCAGATATTGTACCTTATTTTGGAGAACTGCATTGTCATTTCCTTGCGGATAATATGGGTGATTGCCAATGTTTTCCGATGCCTTCTATATATTATTAGGGTGATATGGAGAATCATTAGGATATTTATATAGGAATAGTCATGAAAGAATCGAGTTGATTTCGTGCAACATTTTTTCAGCATACAATACTTGCTTGTTTCCCTGACCATAGCTGTCTCCACTATCAATTGTAACACCCATGACTTTGTGTCCAGCTGGGCCGTTGATGGTACGTTTGACCAAACTGAGAACTTCCTCATAATTGGAGTCACCAAGCTTGCCAACATCCAACATCACACGAGGGGAATCGGTGCCAATTTTTGGATAATCGTAGATGGCTTTTATTTTCGAGCCAACTTCGTCCTCTGAGGGCATGGAAGAGAGTGGAAGCACCACAAACGAGTCGGAGTTTCCTTCTGTTCCCACAACTGCCACGGTGCCAAGCTTCGTCACAGAGAGAAATCTATGAGGTTGAGCAGATGCAAACATGGCATCCAATGCCGAAGACAAGCGGTGATTGAACATTACTGGGTTCAAAACTGGCTCTTCGGTTGTTGTACTGAAACCAACTGGATATGAAACTCCTGAGGCAAGCTCACGATGGAGCTGAGACTCAACAACGTCAGAACCAACAATTCCCATCGAGTACAAATCGGAAACGTATTGAGGTGTGATCGTGTTGGTAATATCTCCCACCAAAGGGCAATCTTTGGCAATGGAAAGCAAGAGAGAACGAAGCCTGGGTAAGCCAAATTCAATCTCGTAAGGCATGAGTGACTGTTTGTCGTCTGTCAACAGAACAAGTCGAGGTTTACTCAAGTTCGTTCTTACGCTCACAAGTAAATTAGGGAAATCTTGGATGGAGGACACCCAATCTCGCAAGCTTTCGGCTTGCTCTATACCTTGAAGATGAGAAGGACCCACAACCACCAAAAAACCGGACCTTTTTCCTGGTTTTGACTGCAAAATATCGGTAATATCTTGACGATTTTTGAGAATTCTTGCTTGAAGTGACGGCAGAAGAGGAACCAAATAGTTTTGAATAATTTCAGGCTGGGGAATGGCAAAGTATCCCCGTTCCTTCAAATTGAGACCCGAACCAATGGTAGATTCGCCGGCTGAATCAAACTTCCAAGCGGACGAGTTGACATGTTCGTTTTGATTTTCCGAAGGTTTTCGCTTTTCGTCATCTAAACTAAGCAGCTTGATAGCGTGCCTAGAAGCGAGGTCTATAATGGATATCTCACTCATAGAGTTCCCTGGTGTATAATTCTTTTTGTAAACGATGAGTCAGTAAGAAAACCTGGAGTTCTATCAGGTGACACAGAAGTGCGCATTTCTTCACAACTTGAATTGTTTCGGCAATGCAACCACGATCTATAGCCTTATTACGTAGGTACCTTGGTTTTTTCACGCTACTCAATTACTAACGAAGAGAAGATAGACTCGACAATTGAACAAATACTACAAAAGTTTCAAGATATATTTGATGTTGCCAATGTCGAGGATAAGTCCAAAGAGCTATTAGCGGTAGAATCACTTACAATCGAGTCAGATGCATTCATGATCATTCGATTATGTGAAGATATGCTCACAATGACTCGAGGGTTAAAAGAAGTGTGGTGTTTGGGAACCATGCGTGTCGAAGAAGGAGATGTCAGTGAGACTATAGATGTCGCTAAAGTATATGAAAGATTCAACCAATTGATCGACACCATTAACCAGAAAGATATCGAAGTATGATCATGTATTCGTGTATGCTATTAACGTCGAAGTGGGCTCGAACATCGCGAGGATGGTTGGCTATCCACACTGGCTTTTTCCTCAAACAAATTGACAAACTTTTGCACCTTGCCAATCTTGATGAATTTGAACTTCTTATTGTCCTTGATGTACATGGGTACAGAGTTGGATTTGTCCTTGAATGCAAAGTCTAAATCCTGATCCTGATAGTCAATCATCGAGAATGATGCAGTGGACGTTTTGCGTGAGAGATTATCATTCTTCTTTGGAGAAGCATAAGACGTCACTGACAGTTTTCTGGTCAACGGACCTTCAGCTTCCGGGGATTTTGGGGAAGAGGGTGGTATCTGGGATTTCTCGTCACTTTCGTTATGTCTCAAGTTGTTCACATCGCTAACAAAACTATCACTTTTGTCGCATTCTTCGATGGTATTCAAACGTGGTGATAGTCGCGTATGGAGATTATGGGTATGCTGGTCGTCTCGACTATTGGATCGGGTGGCACCATCCATCATGATGGCGTCGTCGATATCGTCGAACGATGATGTTTCGAAGTCATCGTCGACAACATGTTCGGTATCGTATTGGAACGATTTATCGAGGTCTATGGAATCATTAGTTTGAAGGGTTGAGTCAGTAAGGGAGTGGTCATGGAGGATTGACGATTCGTCTTCCAACTGGTCGATTACCACCATATGGCGAATGGGGGTGTCGTCAGGCTCCAATGGCTTGTTTGACGTTAGGCATCTGTTAAACACGATAGAAATATAATTTTCGAGTTGGGAAATCAACGTGTGGTCGCAAAAGACAAGAATACCGTAGTTTTCGTCTTTGAAAAAGTCAAGTGTTATCAGCACTCCGTCGTTGTGACGTCGTACTATGAAGTCGAGGATCTTGAGAGACATGGAAACAACGAATATATCATTTTCGTCCAACATTTGGGGCTGGATATACAAGCGGTCGAGTGGTACCTTGGTGTAATTGCGGTTCTTCTTGCCGGTTCTTGCCAAATAGATGAGATTCTCCTTTAAAAGATCAGATGCTCGAAGACGTTTGTTGCGCACCAAAAGCAGATTAAGTTCAATATTTATGTGTATCTCGGTGAGCTCATCGACATAGTCCGTAAGGTCTACCACGTCCTTTTTATAGCCGCCTATTAATGCATAGCGGGATGACAACAGCTGAACGATTTCACCGATATCCGAGGAGTAAATGAAATTTGGTTTGTCAAAATCTATTGGTTGCGACCTTGGACGCGCCCTCGGTAGATAAAACGAATGGCTGGGCCGGAGCGACATGAGGACGTCCGGATAATATTATTATCGGTAGGGCTTTGTTGCCGTTAGGTTTCTCCGAACGATAAACAAAACAATCAGCCGCTGAGTCGCGGAATCTGGTGGTTGGATGTGAGATCACAATCGAAAGTTTGTGGGGCTGTCTTTGTTGAGACTTCGATGTCATCGTACTACTTTGCCATTATTGGTACGCGAGATAACCCGGTGTATGAGCTCGAGTTTTCGTCTTTCAAGGGTGCGCCCAGCTCACAGGTGGTACCTGGAGTGTCACAGTTTTCTGCAAGTGTAAAAGAAATTCTTCCGTTCATTTCTCATTCGTCACTTGATCTCATTGAAGATTCTCAATGGACTCTGAACCAGTTTTATTTGGGGAAAATCGACCTGTTTTATGGCCTATTGGTCAATGCATTCATCACTCAAGGAAACATTAAATTTGTTCTCTGTTTCGATGCCAATGGAAATACTGGGCCGTTCCCAAGTAGTAAAAACGACGACAATTCGATGAAACAATTTTTCTCCGAGGCTTACGATTTATATACAAAGTGCCTTCTAAATCCGTTCTATTCCGTCAACGATGCCATAACTTCACCAGACTTTGATATGAGGTTGAAGTCGCTCGCACGAAAGTATTTATAGACTATATACATGAACTCTATTGGGTTTCACCTTCTTCTGGCTTCAATACCTTTTCCGTGGCCACCTTGTATTCTCCATTTTCCTCCACTAAAATTCCTTGCTCGAGAAGCTGATCAAACATGTCTTGTGGAACCCAACCATCAGTGGCTGCAAATGGAGTCGAAACGATATCGGCCTGATACTGGTTGAGAGCTTGCGTGTGCTTATCCAAGTACTCTTTGGAATACTCAATGGGGAATTTTGCGTCGGAACTGTTGCATAACTCATTTGCAACATATGCCTCCCACATGGCCTGTAATTGCACAATACAGGCCTCAACATAAAGATAATCCTGGTCGTTTCTGTACTCCAAAACTTGAGTATATGGAGACCGAAGTACCTTGATGTGGGGAGAGGCCACGGCTATCAAGTCGTGTCTTCTAGAGTTCAAATCGTTCTCCCAAATACGCTCGTTTCTAGTCTTGTAAAACATGAATTCATATTGCTGCTTTTCAACCTCATCCATGTCAGCATAACCAGGAATATCATTTTCCAAGTCGTATACCTTGGCTCCATGATATGCCACAAATGGTGGGTAGTTGGAAAGAATAAATGGCTTGATCGTGGAATATTCAAAGTCCAAGAAATAAGGCTCGTTGTCTCTGTTGACATTGATAATTGCATTCATTGGATCAAGATCAGGAACATACAATCTAGGCTTGAACAATTCCTCTGCGTTCATGATAGACTTGGATTTAGGATTCAATAATTTGGGGCCCATCACTTTGAGATGCTCGAAAGTGGTGATTTGTTTCTTAAGGTTTTCCTGGTTTTCCAAGTCGCTTCCAGCATCTGCCTGGGAAAGCGCAAGTCTATTTTTCAAGTTTTCAAGCTCAATCTCTGTAACCGAAGTGATCAATTGCAATGGTTCATCTGCCTTCCATGGTCCATTATGTTGTGCCACAGTTTTTGCAGAAAGTTTGTTCTTTCTTTTGGAAAATGGCTTCTCTACGCTGGGACCAATTCTCCATCTACCAGACAAAGATTCATTTTCTTCTCCCTCGTATGCAGCATCAAGTCTGTGTTCCGATGCCACATCCTTATCAAAGTAAAGAGAACCAAACTTGTTAAACTCGACAGAAATCACCTTCAGATGGAAATCAGCAATTGGGGTTATAACACTTTTCACCGTTTCCTCGTCTTTTGACATGGGCTCCCATTGCTTCATTAACAAGTCTCCCTCGATATATTCCATCAAGATGAATGGATGTTCGAGATCATTAGAACGATCAGGACCATATGCGAGAACTTTGGGAACATTAAGCTTAAGTTTCAAATCAAGAAAATCCATTGTAGCAACCTCGCTCTTGATTTTTTGCAGGATAGCCACATCGGATTCAAGCCTATAAGGCAATCTTAATACAAGTTGCTTGTCTGAAGATAACAGAATTTTGTACACACGATGGTGCTTTCCTTCGTGGATACTCGAAATGGACTTTATAGTGACATTGGTATCGTTTCCTATAGTTTTCAGCAAAATATTGTGAGATAAAATCGACGAACCGTTTTTCGATATAGGGCTTTTTACTGTTCCATCACTTTTTTCCTTGATCAAGTTTGCTATCAATTTAGTAGCTCCCTCGATGGAAAACCTTGTGGTTCTCTTTGCACGTTGCTTTTCGTTATCCTTGAGCCAGGAACCCCATGAATATTGGAAAAACTTGTCTCTTTTGGGATCTTTGGTATCGGAAATTTTGGTATATACCTCTTGAGGGTTGGGCCCAAGAGACTGAAATCTCCGAGACATGACATTGACGATTGACCTTCGGGTCAAATTGCCAATACACCTGGCCTGAATTATTGACATGGTGTTATTGTAAAGCTCACTGGTGGTGAAAAATTGAATATAGGTACAAATCACCCAGTGCACCCACTATCAAGAGATTCTTACAAGATACTGGCTAAAAGCACATCAATTACTAAGTCACAGGTCATTATCGGTCATTATCGAGTAGGTTTATCTTCTCTTTAAGGGATACAGGAGGGACGGAATTCGAGTATTCCTCGATTTGAATCATTCTTCTTTCCCCAGGTTCTCCATCAAATTCTGCATTGGTGGTTTGTAAAGAAACCAGGCTCATGTTGTTCAGGTCAGCAACACTAGGAGAGAAAGGTATTCCATACCCCGGTGTACCGGAAAGCTGGGGTTTTGCCGCATAACTGGGCGAATAATCCTCCTGAAGATTATGAGTTTGAATCATGTTCTGTATAATGGCTGCTGAATACGGCGAGGGTCCATACCGGTGGAATCGTTTTCCTTCAACGCCATCTTTGGTGGCAGTGGTGGATAAGCATGATGTAGTCGAATTTCTCGACATTGGTCGAGATCCTTCAAACTGAACTGTTTCTTGATTGCGGTCCATACCGGCGGGACTGCTAGTATCACTGGTAATATCAACACTTAAGTTGGTGACATCGTTTAAATCGTTAACGTTGTTTTGGTAGTCACTAGAGGACGACGCTATCGAAATATTAGTCGACGAATCTTGTTTATACATTAGTTTGTTATTGGGAGGTTGCACCATGGTGTCATTCAAAGTGCGAAGATTACGAGAACTCACGCTGAGATTTGAAACATGGCTGCTGGGGGATTCTATCTTATCGTGTATATCATCCATATCTTCATCATATCCATAAGGGTCCATACCTTCACGATCAAGGTTGACCTTACCACTGTAAATCGATTTCACACTTGCTGCTGGATGAGACATATTGACCACCTCAAGCAACTATGTGTAAGAGCAGGACAAGTACAAAGGGTTTGGGACGTGAATAGGGACCAAAGTTAAATATGAAAGTTAAATTGGTGGGGTGGTTATGTTGTAACTTGTAAACTCGTGATCGCAAGCGGAGACACCTGGTGCACCAGCCACAACCCAACACCAGCGAGCCAGTTGTAAGAACATCACAAATCATCTGTAACCTGGATTACGAATTAAAACGTGGAACCAAATACGCGACTCTTGCCGATAATGAAGCCTTACAGTGGCTTGTGATGAATAATTATGCACTTCCTCCTGCAAAATTACGAGGAACGCATCTTCATCGTTAACTCTTTTTGACGAAATCGGTTCATCCATTTGCGTTCGACTGAACCGTAAAACAACGGCCGGATCTACTTCTGAAATCCAAATATGCAATGATTAATAAGATGTCCTTCATTGTCTGTCAATTATGCCTACGAATTATATCTTAAATGGGAGACAGTTTATGCGCAGCGGCTAAATAAGGACCCTTACAAACATCAAAAATTATTTAGCTGTGGCTGAGTATACTTGCTATTTTAAACTGTGATCTGAATAGCCCTATATGGGCAACTTTATGAGCCAATCTCATCAACAATGTACAAAGATCTAGTGTCTTGCAGGGTGACTGAGTGACCATTTGTTCCCCGCGTTAAGTTTGATCAAATTTCCCAATTACAAAACAATGTAATTGAGCGCAAATGGCTCAGGCCCAAGCTGTTATATTCGCGACTTTGATAACCAACTTGGTGGCTGCTATTTTGTATCGAATACCTCGGGGAAATTCCATTTTTTTCTCAACTTAAGCGCCATTGCATGGTCATATCCGAGCAAAAATCTGTATCCGGAACAACTACGGTGAGCCTCACTTGTTGTTAGAGGAGACGTTAATAATACCTCGGATTTCAATAATTTTTCAAGGTATTATCTTGACCCGCATTTCGTGTCTCGCAATGCAACCAACGCAAGAAAAATGGTTTTACTCCTTGTGTAATGCACCACGATTTGCACAAGCCAAAATCCCGGCCTAAATTTTAACCCTAGTGCATCAATAGCGTTTCGATCGAACCGTTCAACAATAATCGAGCACAACTATTTTTAGCAATGGCAACCGTGTCTCAACACTATGACGTATTTGTGTCCCGTATTTGTGTCCGTAACTGCGACACCGGGCGATAGATCGCCACCCGAAAGAAGCCACCACAACGTTTTCAATCAAATTGTTGATGGGCCGATTTTTGCAGCAAATCGGTGCAACCGAGGTAATTTTGGCGATAGACCGGCCGTTGAATTTCCAAAAAAGCCCAAATAGGTTTATCTCTCAAGGTATTATTCCCGATTATGACCACAACGACCACTTCCAAGTCCTTACTATGCTGCGCGGATATTTTCTAGGGTTTTGCGCCAATATGCATATTAGGTTTTCCGCGGATAGGTGCCGCATCATGCTGCATAATATCCTGCAGACAACCGCCGGTGGTTATAATAGTACAAGCATATTCGCACCGATGAGAAACAATCAACCACGGTTCTGGACCTCGTCCTCGTTGGTACAAGAGATTTTACTTAGTAATTCACCCGCGAAAACAAACCTCCGATCTTTAATGTTCCAAAGTTGTGTGTTTGAGGTATCAAATCTTTTTTTTCTTCAACCATCGTAATTTTTGTTTGTTAAAGAATCATGCCCAATCGACAACGTCAAATGACCGGGGTTAGAAGGCGGCATACCAACTCCAAACTCGGGTGTCTGAACTGCAAAAGAAAAAAGATCCGTTGTGACGAAAATCTCCCTCAATGTGACAACTGTGTAAAGAGTCGACGGGAAACTTGTTCCTATCTTAGCTTATCAAAGGGTGAAATCAACAAGATAAAGCTCACTCATTCCCTTCGTAACAGTCATAACAAGCTACTCACTCAAGATTATAGACTTCCAGCTTCCACCACCAGAGCTAAGCCGGAGACAAAAGCGGCTCCTCTTTCGACAAATGTTGAGGATTCATCACTCGAGTTTAAATTTGAATTGTTGGACCTTCCTTTACGTATTCCTCCAGTGATGTATCCGCCGATACATTTTAGCAATGTGTCCATGAACGATTTTGCCCACGAGTTCAAGGTGGTTTACGAGAGCGATTTTGTTAATGAAGATTCACCACGAACCGAAACTACGTCGTCAGCATTACCCAATGGGATCACATTCAAAAAATCATTCACACTCCACCGGTCTGGCTTAGCGGATTCGATTGCTCAAAATCCCAAATCAAGCACAAATTTGGAGTCTCTGCTTGTAGGCTACGACTCCGGATTATTGGACCACCTCAATCCATTCTTTAAAGACCTCAAATCAAAAGACGGCATGATTGACATTATAGTTGAATCTCAAATTTGCATGGGCCAATCAATTGCTCTCAATGCATTCAACCAGAAACGAGAACACAAGAGCTTGACCAGCCAGGCAGCAGCATCCAAATCGGCATTCGAACGAAATTGCCATGAACGATGGGTAAATTTGCTTTCTCAAATGGAAAAGGCGATGAAATATAATAGTTGGGAAAAGCTTCGGGATGCACCAAAGTCCAGAATGGAGTTCATAAGTAGTGCTATCTACTCAACTGCCGTGAGCCACATGCTTTCGGGCGTAATGCTCAATTATTCCTTGGAATCTTTCCTTGAATCACAAGCCTTTATCGTGAACATTCTCGAGGTGGCCACGAACTATTTACAGAGTCATTCACTAAAGGAAATCGAATTTGTCCACCAACAATCAGAAACCCTCACAAACGCTATGCTGTCAATCAAAATCCCTTCATATTGGCCCACGTTTCTTTACGAGGTGTATTCAAACTTGGTGGAACTCCACTCACTCTACAATAATCACTCGTTCAAATTTTCAACAGAGATCAACAAGAATAGGTTTCAACGGTACAAGGGACAATATAACAGTTTGACAAAGTTCTTGGAACACCAATTATTACCTATCATTATTTCGTCACGAAACGAGGACTACGTTCTGACATATCCTCCAGAACTTATATTCCAACTTGCTAGTAACTGGTCAAGAATCGTCCCACCAGAGAGCATGACCCACTACCCTCGATATCAACCAGATGCCGATGATGAAACTGCATATTTGAAAGACATTTCCACCACCCTTTACATGTACTACATTTCAATATCGGTTGCACTTGATTCTGTGTTTCCAGCATGCAAGTATTTGTTCAATTTTTCATTTTCGGCGCCCAGAAGACAATTTTATGCTGTTAAGCATATTATGACCCCCCGACCTCAAAACTCATGCTACCCACCAGACATCAATGGAAATCTCATCCAGAAACACAACTATTACTCTATGCGTCTCTTTGCATTTTTCAGACGGCGCTATGGATTCTATGAAGCATTACCAGCATCTATCAAGGTGCTGATTACGGAAGAAAACAAGAAGAATCGCTTGAGATCGAGACGATTCGAACACACGATGGAGGTGCCTATTACCAACTTCAACACCACATTGATAAGACCCAGCCATTACCCTCCAAAAGCAAAGATTGGTGTTCGACAAAATGTTGCTTCATTCTGTCATGATGACGAACATGTCACTACCCCTGAAATATACTCACGTAACATCGAGACCGTTGACTTCTTCAACAAGAAATCAGTAATTCAATACGATTACGAAACCATGTTGCTACTTCCAGATTATCGTCCTCCTCCATACCGGCCATCAACCGATCGAACTTTCCTTGAAATCACCGACGTGAAAGAGTATTGCACTGACAAGAGATTCATCTTTTCCGGCTAGCAACCAGCGACTACCAAAAGCATTAAGTAATTTAAATACCGTGTACTATATATATAACTTGCCAAACATGATGATGTCTGGGCGTTGATATTTGATAGCGCGCGCGATGAGACCTCTTCACTCTTCATGTCAGTTATAATACCAGGAGATCATATTCCGCCCAACGAGGTCAAAACAACAATCGGACCTGGTTTTTATAGACAACCCATCACCGATAATGTGGTTCCAGTGTCTGCTGGTATCGTACATGACAAAATTAATAAACAAGGTACCAATCGTCTTCTTTATGTCGACTCGAATTCCAAACGTTACATCCCACAAGTGAATGATTTTGTCATAGGAATAGTCACCGGGGTTATAGGTGAAGCGTACAAAGTTTCGTTACAGGGTTTCTCGTCTAGTGTGCTGTTATCGATGATGGCCTTTCCCAATGCCAATAAAAAGAACCGTCCCAATCTCAAAAATGGTCAGGCTGTTTATGCCAGGGTAACCAAAGCCATGTCTGAGATAGAGAGTGAAATAGAATGTATGGACTCATCTGGTAAGGAGGGTGGTTTTGGTGTATTAAGTGAAAGTGGCCTCATTTTCGAGGTGAACTTGCATTATGCTCGAGACTTATTGTTCAGCCACAACTCACCCATTTTGGAGAAACTCTCTTCCAAATGTAAATTTGAGATTGCTATAGGTATAAATGGCAAGATATGGATCAAATGTGGTGAGGGTCTCGTCGATGTGGTCAATGAAGACCAAGACGAGGCCACCATGATCCACGATATGAAGACTACATTGGCCGCATCGAGGTATATCAAAAACTGTGCCAAGTCTGCCCCCGAGGATTTCGATCGCCAGCTCAAAGAAGCATTCAAGGGCTTGTAGCCCGCATATAAATATCAATGTACACTAGCACTGTAAGCCGCACCCGTTGATGTCGCACCGCATCTCATCTCAACGAAATCACCTGAATATACAATGGACCCCAAACTAGCAAACCAGCAGGCGAGACAAAGAAAAAAGATAGAAAAGGATAGGCGAAGAAAGCAGTATGATGATATCCAGGTCCAGGGAACAAACAATTCATCGATAGTGTCCAAGAGATCTGTGGAGATGCTTTACACTTCCAAGTTGGATCCACAAGCCGGCGAATGGTTCAAATTCTTTGTGAAAAATGCAAAAAGGAGATCACCGGCTATTAATAGAGGGTACTGGATACGTATGGAGTCGATAAAGTCTATGATTACGAGAATCATCAAAATGAATCCTACGAAAGAAATATGCATTGTGAATCTTGGATGTGGCTATGATCCATTACCGTTCCAATTACTCGCCGAAAAGAAACATAACAACGTCTCGTTTCTTGACTTCGACTATCCTGATCTCCTCGAGAGAAAAGTTAGCATGGTCAAAAATTCGCCAGAGATTCTCTCATTATTGGGCGATGAAATTGAAACCGACAAATCTCTTGGAGTTCTCTTTTCTAGTGACAAGTACAAGATAGTTGCCTGTGACTTGAAAGACCATAAATTGTATGCCAAGCAGCTTTCCCTGCTTCTAGACGACAGCAAAGTCGCCATCTTTGTTGCTGAGGTTTCATTGGCATATATGAAACCAGAACATGCCAATCCTGTAATAGAGCTTTCGAGCAAAGTACCAAATTCCCACTTTTTGATATTGGAACAGATCCTTCCCTGTGGTGAATACCACCTGTTCGCGAAGAAGATGTTGTATCATTTTAGTCATTTAAGATCACCATTACAGTGTGTCCAGACGTACCCTACCAAAGAACATCAGCTCAGCAGATTCAAACAGTACTTTCCCTACGCAGAAATCCAGGATCTCTTTGAAAATTGGCTGTATCTAGTCGACGACGAGATGAAACGCAAGGTTTCCACCATTGAACCCTTTGATGAATGGGAAGAGTTTATCGTTTTCTGCCAGCATTATGTCGTTGTCCACTCATCTAATATGGACCAAATGATATATCCACAAAACCCACCACTTCAGACTTTGAAGGAAGACAGTATCAAGGCAAAAATGTCTGTTAGAAAAGATATTGAACAAATGCAGCTAAAATTCTCAGCATCTTGCAGATATGACAAAAACATTGTGGTATTTGGTGGTTCAGAACAGACCAGAACCAACAGATTTTTGGCCGTTTCCGAAACCGGAATTGACGAACTTGATGTCAAAGGAAATATTCCAGAGGCAAGAATGTGCCATACACTCACGCAAGTGAAGGACATGGCCATTTTGATAGGTGGAAGAGGACGGCCTGGAGACTTATACTCGGACTGCTATGCTTTCTCAAATGATGAATGGAGAAAATTAGACAACTTGCAGAGTCCCAGAGCACGACATTCTTCCGTCAGAATAAACCTGACACAAGTTCTTGTTTTTGGTGGAGCAGATAAGATTGAAAATGCATTTGAGATTCTTGACACTTGTACTGGAAAGGTGCAAAAGTTAAGTATCGTTGGAGAGCATATTAATTTTTCGAGCAGTGGAATTGCTTACGATGAATCAGAAAATGTTGGATATATTGTTGGCGGAGTTTCTGATCATGATATTCCAAACGTGAGGGATTTCATCTACCAATTTGAGCTTGAGAACGATACAGTCCGTATCAAGAAAGTTACCCATAATGATGCCTTTAAAAGAATAGGATGCCAGCTCCACCTCACACTGAAAACACTATACATTATCGGCGGTGCCAGTACTGTCAAGTGTCTTGGCGAAAAAGACAGTATCATCAAGGTAGACCTCACTTCCAAGGAAATTTATGAAGTGCCTATAGAAGAGCAATTTTGGAAAGATTACGCTCCAATGCTTATAGGATTCAGTTTGGTGCCCAGCAAGGACAAGCTCACCATAGTTGGAGGGGGAGCTGTTTGTTATTCATTTGGAAGTTGTTACAACCTTATTACGGATATAACGTTTTAGGTGCAAAAATTTGCAGCCATACAATAGGCTGCGAGCTGCGTGCGAGCCCCAGGGTACATGCAGCACCCTGCAAGATTACCTGAGCCGCAGGCCCTAATGTTAAACAAGCAACAATATGGGTTATGGTGTGTAATTACTCGTAAAAAATACACAAAAACACGGTGAATATACATCAATCAGTCATAACTATTCAATTGAGGGTTACCAACATACCCAAGGATAACACGAGGTACAGCCCGTGGTGTAGGGTTGTCGGATTGCGCGGATATAATTTCCCCAATAATACCCTCATTTTTATATGTGGAGGATTATGTATGCATGGGATCATGTATGCATTGGCATGCAGAAACGCAGCAATCTCGAGAAAAAACCACCAGATTCTGCAAACGTTCGCATCGTCATATATTATTGCCACATTAACACGATTTTTCTCACATTTTAAATCACCCAACGGTCCATCGTAACCACTGGGCACAGTCGCGATATTATCCCGATTCGGTCGCCTGAACACTACATCAATACACCGTGCATAAGGGTCCACTCCACGAACCAAGCGGAGCCAACAAATTCAAGAGCTTGGATATTGCGAAGGTTTTCCCTCTTCGGAACGTGTAGCAGAAACAGCAAATAAGAAACAGCTGTCATTTGCTACTACGTGACTTCTGCTTATACCTCCGTTTATAAACCCGAATCTTGATGGCTGAACCCACATTATTACTGCACCGCGATAAGGAGGAAATCCCTCCTAAGGCTGCGACGGAAATTGATGCCAACCCTATTGATAACAAGATACATGATACCCACGAACACCATGATTTGGGATCCACCACCGACAACAAGAGCCATCTTCACTCTTATCGTCATGTTTTTCATAACACTCATACCTATCACCCTGCGAGCGGGTCATCCGATCAACTAATGTCCATGCAGTTTATGCATAAACCAAAACGTTCCAATACTTTGCTTGAAAAGTCTGTCGATCCTACTAGAGCTAATAGCATTTGGAACTCGAAATCCCACGAACCTGGCGATCGTGAAGAAAGCAGCGATGCGACATCGCAATCTCCTGAACCTGCAAATTCTCCAATTCATACCGACACACTTGACGAAATTGTGGACGAAGAAGTGCCCACCCCGCAAACAATAGGGTATAAGCTAGTGCGTAAGAAGTCTGGTGAACTAGTTAAACCTTCCTTGAAAGAACCAGGGTACTTTGACTCAAATGTCAAGAGATCAAAATCCTTGCCCACAACCCCAACCTACAAACTGGTGCATTTTGGCGGTGATAACCACGTCCGCTATTTCAAAAAACGCGATGTCCCGTCTGCAATATCCGCTTCTAACTCTCCAGCGCTAGACGGCATCGACGCTCTGCTTCAGGAGGTGCAATTGGATGACGATGATGACGACAATGAAGATGAAGAATTTCGATTGGGGCCGGCTCCTCAATTCAACCTCAACCCTGCTGCCATAACCAAGTACCCTAACCCTCACCACCAGCCTCTAATTGAATGGGAGCTTAAGCTCTTGAATTTCGGCAACATATCATACGATACAAAGATACACCAACAAGCATCTCCCGTATTTCTAGAAAGGGTTTTCATAAGCGTTGACAGAAAATACTTGCTTGGTCATATTGCTGTCAAAAACATCAGCTTCGAAAAGCATGTCACTATCAGATATACTCTCGATGATTGGTGCACCATTATTGAAATTCCCACAACCTACTCCCCAGACCGCCCCAACGTGCTTAAACAAAATGACTACGACAGATTTACTTTTAAAGTATCTCTCGAGAACCTATTCAACAGCTTTAGGATTCGGGATAACAATGATTCCTCGCTGAAAGAGCAAGAGAACAAGTATTCGCTATGCGTGAGATATACTACTGATGATAAAGAGTTTTGGGATAACAACAACACTATGAAATTATGACCTCAAACTAACCAAAAAATTGAAAAATCAATCTAATTCTAAAATTCAAGAGCATTCAAAGAGGCCAAGATACTCGTCCTCTTACCTCAAAAGAAGACTGTCAGATTCTAAACTCGAAGTAACGTCACCGCAATTGGAAAGTAGTACCAACTCCTTTTATCAGAACGACAACTCGTCTTCAGATGTGAATGACTTTGTGAAGAATGACTTTTACATGTCTTCTCCAATGTTCACCTCACTATCGAGCCACTCAGAAAATAAATTCAAGCATTCCCCTGACAGCCTTTTTTCTCCACCAATCAATACGCATACTTCACAAAGTCCACTGCCTCAGCCTGCCCCTATGTTTTTGAAAAGTAATTCTGACTCGCATGAAAGGTTCACAGGACAAGCTGGATCTTCCCTGTTGGATTCCAAGTCTTACAGAGATTTCTTGGAAAATTATTGCTTTTTCAGCTCAAAAGAGCAAGATGGCACTAGTGAGTCAAATACTGAAAAAGGAAGTGGAAGCCCAACGTTCACAGTCTCATCTCTCTTGGGTACTTGATGATACATCGTTCACAGGTTATAGATAAAAGTTGGACGATGATGGCCTCACCCTTAGTTTTAAGCATTATGTTTTCCGGTGATAGATAATATACACAAAATAATAATACAAGGTCAATCAAACGACCACATTTTCACAGTACCATTCTCCAATCCAGCTGCAAAGCGGGAATCGCTCAATCCGACGCAACTCACGCTAGAATTGTTGCTGAAAGTGTGTAAGCAACGACCATTTTGCAAATCCCAAACCTTTACTAAGCGATCGTGAGCGCCACTTATAATCCTAAATGTATCAGCACTTAAAGACCACACAACGTCGATATGGCCAAATTGAGTTCTGATACATTTTCCAGATTTAACTTCCCAAAGCTTGATAGTGTTATCGAGAGAACAAGTTAACAAGTGCGTTGGATAACCCAGCTTTTCGGGAAGTGGGGTGTTATTGATCTCGCTATCACTTGCAAACTGCTCTGATGGATCGGAATCTCCAGAAAGATTGACACTTTCGTTACTTCTGCTGGGTTGGTTCAATCCTGTATCGCTCTCATAAACGTCTTCGACCAATTCGTTATTGTAAATAAACGGAATCACGCATTGAACTTGTCCAATATGACCATTATTATTGACTCCTCCAAAGACTCGAAGACAATTGTTGTTTTCAAGGTCCCACATACGCACTGTTGTATCATCAGATGCACTGAAAACAGTGTTGGACAATGCATGAATCTTTACTGAGTTCACCCAATCCGTGTGGCCCCTCAAGGTGTAGCATGTTCGAGAATCAACATGCCACACCTTCACTGTATGGTCAGCAGATCCAGACACTATTGTCTTGTTCAGGAAATCAACACTAACCACAGCATCCGTATGCCCTCTATAAGTTGAAATGCAGTTACCAGTATGATAGTTCCAGACCTTAATCGTCGAATCAAGTCCACTGGTAATCAACTTCTGGCCATCAAATGCCAACGAGCGGATTCCCTTCTTGTGACCAGTTAAAGTCCTTATGCATTCACCTGTGTCAACTCTCCAGATCTTCACAGTGGCATCGTAAGATCCAGTCATCAAATACTTTTGATTGAACTGCAAGCATGTGACACCATCGGTGTGTCCCTGGAAAGTTTTGATGGTACATAAACCTTTCCGCCAGTTTTTCTCGAGCTTGTATCGCTCACTATAAACTGACTTCCAAGGACGCTTCTTCAAAACCTTCTTCTGACGAGCGTGCTCATTTTGTGACATTTTTATTCTCTTTAATTCATTTTCAACTTCATCACTTTCATGCTCACGTTTTTCACCAACGGAAGACATGGTAGAAGTTGGAGAAGTCACAGGAGATGCGCTCAGCTTTGAATCTTCGTCGTTCATTTCTCGTGCACGCTTCATATGCATCAAGGGAAGACCCCATCCACAATTGGGGCACTTTCTATCAATGTGTTGCTCACACATATGGTGCCATACTCTATCATCATCTGCCAAAGACTTCCATTTTCTTGAAACTTGCGCTGCGTTGCAAAGAGAAGCACAGTCCAAGTAACAGAGAATCTTTAGTGAGATTTCAGATGGCAATGCCGAAAGGAAATCTATGCGAATGAGAGAGCTGACCTCCTGGGAAACAAAGGAAAGCTGAGGAAAGCAACACTGTGAGAGCATCCCACGAAGAATAAGCCTTCGATGAGTATCTGGAGCTGCATTGAAGATGGACCATACATGGTTGATGGCTTCCTGGTCTCTGGATGGAAGTTTTTCGAGACTCTTCTGAATATATGTCATCTTGCTGTCGTCGGCTTCTTTGTTGCAAGTGACTTCTGGATTGTGGCGATAACAGTATCTGTAATAGTTATCTCGTGGAATTTGGTTCTGGTCGCTGAGATGCTTGGCAAGAAATGGAGTAACAACCGACACGTTTCGATTGCGGTGTAAACCACTTCCTGTGCTCTCGGTGGCAGACTCACTAGCAGAGGCAGACTCAGAGATTGTGGAGTTCCGTTCGATGAGGTTCGATTTAGTGGTACCCGCTGATGGTGAGCTGTGAATGAAGTCTTGACTAGCGACGCCGTTATGCAATATTTGGTGAAAATTTTCCGTAGTGTTAGACTTGGTATCGTCACAAGGCTCCGAAAAATTCATTATCTCAGGAGTTGCTTAGATATTATAGATGTGTAAACCTTGAGGTGTTCACTGTATTAAAGAAACAGTATTTAATTTCAAATAGACGAGCTGTATAAATATTTCACTTGACGGAGCAAGAAACGCGTATAAACAACGCCACAAAAATACCAAAGCTGGTCAAAACAGTTGCTATTGTTTGAAGGTTATCTATCAATTAGTAGCCACAGTCCTCCGCACTTTTTTGTAACCACAGTTTCTTCAGATCGATTACGTAACGAGGCTGCAACCTTGGAGGCTCCCAATCGAAGTATTTATTGCAGAAAGACCGACTTAATTTGAATTTTTACAATTTTACCCGAACTAATCCAGGAGAAGTTTGTGGTTTATCAGGCAGTTTCACGCTCTCAGTGCTAATCTATTGGACATCAAATTTTCATGCTTGCAAAATCTCGTGTTGTGCCGTCAGCCGCGTGCAGGAAATGAGTCCAAGGAAAAAGAAAAGTCTATTGTCTCCGCGAAGCTTCCATCGCGTACGTAATCGATGGTGGTGAATTACGTAACACATAGTTAATTAATCAGCTCATCGCATCGAATTCATGAAGAGATCCGACATCGATCCCCGTGAAAAAGACAAGAGAACGAAGATTATGGGCGACAATTTTCAGAATGTCGGAGAGCAGGTCGACGAGTTTCAGCAAAATGAAGGGTTGATGCAGACTGGTGCGGAGGACGCTCAGGGACATCCGGTTCAAGAGATTGAAAGTATGTGTATGAACTGTCATGAAAATGGTACGACAAGAATGCTTTTGACCAAGATTCCGTATTTCAGAGAGATTATAGTGATGTCTTTCGAATGTCCTCACTGCGGATTTAAAAACTCCGAAATTCAACCAGCTGCTCAAATCGCAGAAAAGGGTTCCAGATACCTCTTGAAAATCGAAAATAAGGAAGATTTTAGTCGTCAAGTTGTTAAATCTGAAACAGCAACATGTAAATTCGCCGAACTTGACATAGAAATTCCACCCAAGAGAGGCCAGTTGACTAATGTTGAGGGATTGTTAACAGAGATGATTGATGATTTGGAGTCTGATCAGCCTGCCAGAAAGGAAGCTCAACCTGAAGTTTACGAGAAAATTGCAGAGATTATTGCCAAGGTAAGAGCTTACATTAATGGTGAACCCGGAACTTTACCCTTGACATTTACTGTCGACGACCCATCAGGAAACTCTTGGATCGAATATGTTCCCGATGAACCAAGTCATAAATGGTCCATGTACGAGTACAATAGAACTGCAGAACAAAATGTGTTCCTTGGCTTAATATCAGCCGATGAGGTGGCTCAACATCGTCTCAAAGAGGCTTCTGCTAAGAAGGAAGCTACCAAGTCGAACGTTTCCTCGAATCTTAAGGAGGATGAAACTCGCCCAGGAGATGCTAGTGACATTGAGAACCTCGCCAATGAGGTTCAAACTTTCCATGCTACATGTTCATCTTGTTTCAAGCCCTGTGAGACTCATATGAAGACGGTGAATATTCCTCATTTTAAGGACGTTATTATCATGTCGACAGTGTGTGATAACTGTGGATTCAGGTCCAACGAAGTCAAAACTGGAGGTGAAATTCCTTCTCATGGACGTAAGGTCACATTGAAGGTTACAGACCCCGAGGATTTGGCTAGAGACATCCTTAAGAGCGAAACCTGTGGCTTGGTTATCCCCGAGTTAAACTTGGATTTGACCCCAGGAACCTTAGGTGGGCGTTTTACCACTATCGAGGGTTTATTGACTCAGGTCTACGAGGAATTACATGGCCGTGTTTTCACGCAAACTTCTGATTCAATGGACGATGCCACCAAAACAAGATGGACAACTTTTTTCGCAAGATTGCAGGATGCGATTGACGGAAAGATAGGATTTACAATTGTTATGGTAGACCCCTTGGCAGCTTCTTACATTCAAAACGTGTATGCGCCTGATAATGACCCAAATATGACCATTGAGGAGTTTGAGAGAACTCATGAGCAAAACGAGGATTTGGGGTTGAACGATATCAAAACTGATTAACTCATTATAGATTGCTTGTAATAAATGCATGTATTCTGGTTTTACTAGTGTTTAGGGTTACTTCTGACCCTCTTCGTCTAACGTCAAATCTATTAGCGAGAGATTCTTATCTCTTTTTCTCTTTCCTCTTTGTGGATCTGCAAACGGCAGTTCAAAAGTGTCAATCAGCCCCATGTCATGTACTTCAAATTTCGGAACATTCGAAACACTTCCGCCCTCTCTGGAACCCTTTCCATTATAGGTATGCAACGGAGAGTTGGGGATGTACATCTTGTCTTCCTCAAGAAGTGGTGAAGCAGCCTCATCATCATTGAACAAATCAGGTTTTCGTGGGATGGTGGTGAAGTCATCAACTACTCGACTGCTTCTGTCAGAGCCAGACGACCGCGACTCAGGATACTCGGTACTCAAGTAACTTGATCTCCGCAAGTTTTCTGTGAAATCAATGTTGGTATCACGGATGCCTAATCGCCTATCCTTTGCATACTTCCAACGACAAGAATAAGCTGCAATTGTCTCGTAGACTCGCTTCGTGTGAAGCCTTTTCTTGACCTTCTGTAAAAGGAGTCTTCTCTCTAAGAAATCAATCAAGTCAAGACAACTTCCAGCTTCGAAATAGGTGTATAACGGCAACTGAAGCAATATTCTTGTGAAAGAAATCCCAGGATCTTGATTGAGTTCCATAGTTAAAAGTGCTTCTTCAATGAACATTTCGTACAACTTTCGCCTTTCTCTAATTTTCTCAATATCCATTGACTGCATGGTTCCTTCAACGGCACTATAGTTGATAGTGATATCATAGGGATTGTTAATGTCATTTCTGGTAATCCATTTCTTACACAACTCAGGAATAGTGAGGGACCCAGAATAGAAGTGGAATGATATAGCACCATTTAAAGAATGCAAAAGCTTTGGCAAATAATATGGGCGTATATATCCAGTACCTTCTGGATCAAACTTTTGCCATGTACGTTTGAATTCTCTGACTTCTTCTCGGTCAATTAAATGACTATAAGCAGTTGCACTGTTGATGTAACTGAAACTGTCCAAAATCAAAGAAACGAACATATTCAAGAATATGTACATGGAAATTAAGTTCCACGCAATAAATAGGATGTATGCATATTGTTTGTTACCACAGTCACTGTCGTCCAAACTATGTGCTGAATAACAGAATGGTGCTTCAATGGTGTAATCTTCCATAATATAATTCCAACCTTCCCCGAAACTGCACCGGAACAAAACAATCAATGCTTTCGGCACAGAGCGGAGATTGAGATTGCCAGTTCCGTTGGGACCAATTCTGGTCAATCCAAAGATTTGGTTCAAGGCAATTGCAAAAACCAAAAAGACAACAATCCAAGTGAAAGACAACGACAAAAGCAGCGGTAAACTTGCGGAAGCAAATCGCAAAAGTTGACTCAACCTGTCACTTCTAGGTATGATGAAAGTCAAGGTTGCAACCAAAAATAACTTGTTAATGTTGATAAAAGCACTCTCTGCGCTTATGAAAAGACCAATCAAAGAGGTGACGAAGGCACCTAAGGATACAAAGAAACTGAACGTGTTCCACTTGTATCTAACAAAAGTTCTCCAGCCTTGCCCAATCATTTTCATAATCGCTTGCAAAAGAAGAAAAGTGGAAGCGAAAATGTACACTGCCGTTCTGGCTTTATCCAATCCAGTGCTTGACGGAAAACATTCCATTAACAATGCAGCCACCTGGGCAGTCAAAACGCAAGTCAAAATTCGACTCCAGTTCACGTTTTTTTCAACGGTCATTCTATAGCAGAATCTGCGAAAGGTGCTCATTTCTGCAAGGCTCATTCTCTTTGATGGTCTCACTTGTACCAAAAACCTCTTGATTTGATACCACGAGATTTGGTTTTTGGTCATGTATGCTCTTCCAGTTGTTCTGGAATAATTGCTAATAATGACAGACACGAACAATGTCAAAATGAAAACCATACTGACAAAATTGAAAAGAATTATCATGAATCCATTCATTGGTGAAGCAAAGTCTTCCTGTGGGGTGCCAACACCGGTGCTTTTCATGACGTTTATCAAAAGGTCTGTCCAGCCTTCTAGCGAAACAATTTCAAAGAAAGTTGCAAAAGATGTGGCCCATCGATTAAACTCCAACTGTGGATTCGTGTATACGTTAGGACTGTAGATATTCCAGTTGAAAACCTCATTATCGTACTCGTTAAGACAGTGATCTTGATCTGAGGACCCATCGAGACAGTATCCCAATCGCCCATTGAAAACATTCAATCCCCAGATTGAAAACGGAAAGAGCAAACAAAGCGAGATAAGAGCAGCATTGATAATCTTCCAGAAACCAGTAATCATGGTGTGCTGAAAGTTGTTTTTTGCAACTTCACTTATCGTTAACAACCGCAATGCTCGCAAAGCCTTAAAACCTCGAATAAATCGAGATAAGTTACCATCATTTTGCATGAAGGCAATAAACTCTATCCACAAAGCCAAGAGGACCCAAAGATCGATGATATTCCATGAAGACATGACATAGGCATTGGGTGTGAATATAAGCCCATCAGCCAAGATCTTGATCAAAAACTCAATTGTGAATATAGCCAAGAATCCGTTGTCCAAGTAAAAAGTCCAGTTATACTTTCCATGTACCTGGTCAACACTCTTCCGGTATAAGGGTGTTAAGTAACACGCAGCAATCACCAAGGCAAGCGTAACCAAAAACATAAAAAACACTATGGCTTCTGAAACCTTCTTGTTTGGTTCAACTCCATCAATCCTCTCGCCATGACTGGATTTCACTAGACGTTGGCAACACCGCCTAACAGGATGTCTTGGTTCTAAAATATAGAATACCTTGTTGAAATTAGGATTCTCTTGTAAAAATTTGTTTTGTTTGCTTATCAAGACATTTCTATCTGAAATGATGTTCTTTGCAAATGCAGCGGGATCAAAATCTGTCACATTATGAGTATGAGTTTGTTTTGCAAAGAAAGGATTTCTCAAGTGGCTCGTTAGTCTTGCCATGCGTACTTGTATCCAGCGTTTCCATTTGACCGTTGAAAGGGTAGACACCAGCCCGTTATCTCTTTCTAAAGCGTCATCAGAATCGCTCTCTTCGTTAGTGTCAAGAAAGTCGTTGACTGCAGTTCCACTCAAAAGCAAATTAACAACTGCCTTCTCGAGCTCATCACGAATTGCATTCCTTTTGAAAAACTTGCTTTTGAACCTAGACAAAAAGTCCACTTCAGTTTCGAGAGTCTGAAGTCGAGTGGTCATATTGTCCATAAATTGATGTAATTGCTCCTTCCGCTTATCTTCTTCAGAAACTTCCAAGGTTTTAGCAATGATGGCAATAAAAATATTCAAGATGATCATATTCGACACGATAAACCAACAGATCAAAAGAACCGATCCAAAAGATCTGTAAGAGGTCGTTGTTGCATACTCTTGTACCCCATAAAGTACATCTGTCCAGTTCTCTGTTGAAGTGATGGTGTAGAGCCCTACGAAAGTATTGGGCAAGGTGTGCAAGGGGAAGTCCAAATCGGAGATGTCATCCACAGGAATTGCTCCTTCGTAGTATCTTGAAACAATAATACTGACCACAAAAGTCAAAATGAAAAAGAACAATGTCAAATCAAAAAGAGCACGGAAATTGACCATTATTTTCATCCACAAATCTCGTGTAAAGCTTGTAGCCAAAACCACTCGATAGAATCTCATTAGCTGGAACACAGTGAGCCAATAGTACCCTTGCCCCAATTTATCCTTAACGGGTTCAATAATAATAATAAATGTAAAGACCGCTAGAAATAGGTCAAAGCAGTTTCTATTTGAGACAAAAAAGAGTCTCCAATGAGGTAAATGCATGGCAAAACGGATCACTATCTCAGCAAGAAGTATGACCGTATAGACACATTCGAACCGGTAAAGTAAATGCCTTCTGTAATCGTCCATGCCATGTTTTCGAAAACATTGAGTAAACATGGCCGCAATGATCACAATTACGAAAACAAATTCAAACTTGTAGTAGATTCGTAAGGGTCGATGCAGGCGTTTTAATTCATCAAGTCTCGCGAGATTCTTTCTGCCTGTACGATCAAAAAATTTCAAGAATAGAAGTGTACTTGTTCTTGACAGTTTTTCTTGATCTTGTTGTTCCATTCTTGTTATGTTAAAGGATGTGACAATAACCGCAATGAAAATGTTAATCAACCAAACAGTCATGATGAAGATACAAAATATGAAGAACAAACATGCACCCAAATTGTCAGAATCCATGGTGTAATACATGATATCGGTAAAAGTGTTTGCACTCATGACAACGAATACAAGCTCCATACTTTGCAAAATATTATCAAAGTTGACCGTACCATTATATGGATTGTCACCACTGATACATTTTGAGTTCTTAGGGCAGCGGTAACCTTTAACATAACTTGATTCTGTCCCATCTCGAAATAGATAGGGTCTTGCAGTGCCATCAAGATCAGTGTATGATCCGCAATATTGTTCACTATTAATGAAGGTGTCAGTTGAATTCTGTGGATTTGTCCACACACAATGACGGGTAAGTGACGACTTGAAAGACTGTACACCTATAATGCCAAAAAGTAACCAAAAACATGCAATGAAGATCGAAACATCGATCAACTGTGGTAAGGCTGCCCTACAGGCAGTTAAAATTGTTGTCGTACCAGTCGTCATATTGCACAATCTGACTATTCTCAAGCAGCTCAAAGCACGAAACAACATTATATGGTGTTTGGCATCATAATGATCGATGGACAACGCTAAAGATATCCAAAAAGTTACCATGGAAATAAAATCGACTTGCTGCCAACTGTTCTTCAAGTATGCCCTTTTCAAGTGCAAGGCATCAATGTCGATCTCTTTCTTTGGTAGCATCAACGTATTGGAAGGTAATAGTTGTGTCTTTACAGGCGGATTCCCTTCCAGCAAGCCTGCTCGTTCGTCTATGGACAGCCGAGAATATTTGTCCTGAATGGTGTGGATTCCCCGATTTGCCTGGTCGGTTGATTCCTTACCATTATTCCCCAGATTATCAATTCCGTGATCTCCTTCATCGCTAGAATCATAAGCACTATCGTGAAACTTACCTTTACCAGGCACAATGTACTTTCGCTTTCGAGGATTTTTCAATCGAAGATACTCGAGAAATTTGATAATGTAATAAGGTCTGAAAAGCAGCCTTCTATCGATCTCCCTTGCTATTCCTAGTTCGGCGTACATCTGGCTATCGTCTATCAACCCAAATGCAATACATTTGAGAATAATCTCTATCGTGTAGATCAAATTGACACCAATCAAAGTGTAATCTGCCCAGTTATAACCAGAGTAGAAGTACCCGTCAAGAGCTGGAGGATTCCACTGTCTGTAAGTTAGAAGGACGACCTGAAACAGAAGTAAGGCCAAAAGAAAGAGATTCGTGAACAGATTACAGGAAACTCCGTAAGCAAAACGTCTTATGGGTGATGAAGGAGGAAATATCTTCAAAGATTTTCCGTAAAGGTAAAGGGAATCTTGTATGGGGAACTCACCTTGCTTTGGGTACCTAGCGATGGGCGGGGCAATAGTACCTGGATCAGACAATTGATCCGTGTGATCTTTTTTCGGTGATGAATGCTTCGGTTTGTTTGCGAATGTGTCGTTGCTCAAATAAAGTCCAAGACCACCCAAATCACTCTCATCGTCCGCACGATTCGTTTTGTTATTTTCATCGGTGATCGTAACGTCGGGAACACTATTGTTTTCCCCACGCAAATACTCAGAGAACAGGTCGTTTCTACCCAGATAGTGAGGCTGCAACGAATGATTGTCATCGGGTTTCATGAGACTAGAATTTTCCCTTGATAGTGGTAGATGAGGAGTTTCAATTGTGGGAGATTTGGCTACGTTTCCAGACCCTGCTATACGGTCTGATACACGAACCAACACATCAGCAAATTTGGAGGTTGGGGTTCCAACGGCAAGTTGAGGAGTCATAGGCGATAGACGGCCACTTTCCAAATCTTGGGGAGGTATGACTGTCAAGTTTGGAGGAGCACGACGGGAGGGACCTTTCTTATCTACCTTATGGAATGGAAATGGAGTAGAAGAAGAATCAATCAAAGATGGGTGTTGGTGAAGTGGGCTGTTTGACGGTAAATTTTCCAACGGAATTGTTTCAGTGTAGACATCATCATTCAGATATGCATGTGCCAAATCCGCCTCAGCACTTGTGTTGGAGACATGTCGGCGTATATCTTCGGAGCTCTTGTTTTCATTCACTGGAAACCAGTTTGCGTGCTTATCGTGAGACCCAAGAGCAAAGTTCAAGCCTTCTTGTAAAGCTTCAAAGTCACTTGCTTTAGTAGCCTCGTCTATGAATGATTTGGGTTCGGGTATAGGAGGGTTGGAGTTGGGCTCTTGGTCACGAAACGGATTGAACGATGACGACTGGCGGGCAGCAGTGTGAGAACGATCAGCATGGTTGGTCGAAAGAATAGATAGGCGGTGTGAATGATCTGGGGACTGATGAAAAGAATTATCTCCAGAAACATTTGCAGTGAGATGAGCATGTTCGTCAGGATCAACGTAGTTGTCATCGAATGGGTTTCTGCTTACTCTGCGCAGCAGATGTCGACTAGCGAATCTTGCTGACAACGGACTTGGATCCCGGCTGCTAGAACCTTGGTTTTGCCACAAGCCTCTTGAATCTGAGGGAGAGCTCATGTATGAAGAAGAACTCTGCTATGAAAATCGCCAGCAACTTGTCTTCAGAAACTATAAGTTATAGATTCCGCGGCAGACACCTTCTCAGGATTTACGCTCCGCGTGTCTAATTAAGGATTCAAGTGGAGCAATAGCCAGAAACGGAAGAAGGAACAGTGGCGTATTAGATAGTAGCCCTCAAAGTCTGTAAGCAACAGGTATAAAGATTAGCTTGAGCTTTGCTAAATTTAGATTGAAAAGTCTAGGGAACTAGGGCTATGCCTTAGCATGATGCACACTGTCTGCAGGAAAACACATCGTGCCGCATCAAAGCATATTGGGAAAATTTCCACCACTGCGAACTCACCATGTCGATATTGAAAGGGTTACCGTCAAAGACCCGATTGATGGAGGTCAAAAAGTTGGCTGCGGACATATTCCAGAACCAATGGAACCCCAATAGAGTCAGAAATGGTGCCAAGGTGTTACGGGCACCTTTGAAAGGTCCACAAGTAGCATCCTATTACGGTAATAACGACGACATGCCAACGTTCAAAGACTTCAAAGAGTGGTTTCCCGAGCTTCAGTTGACGGATCCAAAGGAGGAATACAGACTCAAGATGGTGAGAGATAGAAAGAAGAGAAATAAGGGTGCTCCAAAGAAGAAGACAAGCTAATGTACATAGTGACGAATAAATACATAATTTACCGGGCCGAGCTTATGCTCAAGTAAATATGGCTAGGAGCGACTCTTTAATCCAAATGTGTCGGTGATATCGTCGTTCGTTATACTAGGCAAGTGTAATCGCTGCCAGCGACTTCTCGAATCTTGGGTTGGTGGACGGTGCTTGACACTTGTAATGGTTGGCTCGTCACGTAGAAGCTCCTCATAAGCAACATTCATCGAATACCAATCGCTCTTGAGACCCTCGTTAGCAACTTTTATCAAAATGGTGCACTTGTTGTCTTGCTCATACACAAGTGTATCGTGAATAATTGAGCTTTCGAACAAAACTTGTACACTATCTCTCTCGACCAGGTACGCTATGATGTATTGACCAGCAACAACTATCATAGCATTCTGCGCAGAATCTTTTAAATGGATCACGGCATCAATTGGCTCTGTAAATTTCAAAGTGCTCTTGTGATCGAATTGTACTGTTTCCGTTTCACTCAAAACGTATACGAGAATAGTATCATGGCAAGTTATCGACAAACAATGATTCAGCGAGTTAATGGCATTCAAATCTTCTAGTTGAACGCCCTTGGTGATAACTTTGCGCACCGTGGAACCATGCTGTTGCCAAACGTAACGAATATTAGCGTTCAGGAATGCAACTTTTGTTAGCCGAAGTTTCAAGACTGAGTAGCAAAGTAGCTCTACTTGTCCATCCAACAAACTGGCGATCACTACCACTTCAGAATTTGCAAGTTGTACCCACAGTGATAAATAGTTTAAAGCTCCATAAGTCACCAAACTTTTGGTAGCACCTGCAGAACCTTGATGAATACCGTCAGTAAGCCAATTTAAAGTGGCTACTGGAGTACCTTTGCGGATTTCCAACCCTGAACCAATACTTTGTGACGTTGTACCAAGACCAAGAGAATTGTATAAATCCATGCAAAATCCAAAAAGACATTCATTTGTGGAAAAGTCAAGGAGCCAATTACCAGATTGAGACCAACTTAGCTCTGGCGCACAAAGACGAGTAGTCGATTCTTCGTCAGTCAATTCAAAAGTATGGAACAAACTGCTTTCGGAACCAAAATTGAAGAACAAGTAAACCACTGGAGGATGTGAAGTTGTCAGTATCTGCTCGCCAACTAATGTCCATATTCTGTTTTTCAGACAAGGCTTTACAATGATGCCCGAGTTTGGTACTGGGGTTTCAATTGTCCACAGGATGGTGGTACAGTCCAAAGAATATAACTTTGCATGTAGGTAGTTATCAGTAAACAACAACAATTGCTTGCAATTGATATAGGCACCTTCTGGCGCTTCATCTATTATAGGAGGAATCCACTGGAATTTGCACAAGCCATCTACGCGAGTTTGGCGAATGATTAGAGGCGGTGATTGCTCACGGATATCGTATACCAACAACATTGCGTAAGTTTCAATCAAAACGCCAATTTTGGATGCTTTAGTATCTGGTAAGCAGAATTCCCATTCAACTTGGGTGATTTTGGGTGAGGAATGACTTGTTGTATTTCCTTCACGAACGCTTGTGTGTTGCTCAAGATCATCCAAAATGTCAATAGTAAGCTCTTTATAAGAATTATGGCCTTCAATGGGTCTTATATGGATTGTTAGAGTCACCAAGTTGCAAAACGCGATCATGGAAGCACATGGCGAAGGTACAGAAACCACTTTTTGCTTATATGAAGACATCATATTATACAGTTTTCGAGGTGACGGTGTAGCATGGATGGAATTCCTTGTTCCAAAGTTTTTTGGTGGTCAATAGGTATTTGGTGGTTATGCCAATCTTCTCAACACAAAATCATCGCGATTCCAACTTCGCACCAAATCACATACAGGAAGAACAACAAACAAACAAGATGGGGCCCAAGAGACGACAACCACAGGACCCAAAAAAACCCGGTCGGAAGCCACGAGCAAGGAAAAAGGAGCCCGTGCGCTCTCCTGTACAGCTTGCAAGTCAACTGGAGTTGATTGAGGCCGCCCACGCAGTTCTAGACCACAATCAATCGAGTCAGCTGCGATCACAAATGAGTCTGATTCTTCACAAACCGAACCGATTGACGGAGATGATCCGGAATAACAGCTCGCAAGACTCTAGCAGACGAAGACTGAGTTTCGAGAAGGACGATGGGTTCAAATATAAACGCGGACTGCAACAAAGTGACCGACGGAACGGAGCCATGGAACGTTTAGAACGGGAAGTGAGGCAGCTTGAGGAAGAATATGACGATTTAGACGGTGTTAATTCGGTGGTTGTTCCAAAGAAACGTCAACAAAGGCCCAAAACTGCTGCTACTAGAGGTAGAAAGCCAACGACTCAAAAGCTTCTGCGCACCGAAAATCTCAAGAAACAACCCCAGCTTTCGTCGCCCATCCGGCTGCCCAAGTTTGTGACTGAAATTCCGGACGATTTCTCATCGGACGAATATGTGGAGCAGGTATCCCACGAGCGGATCCAGCTTGCTGGACCTTCCAAGCGATCGAAGCCGGGCAATCGTAGACGATCGTCTTATTATAATCGAGGTAAACGATTATCGTCGATTGGCAATGGATTTGAAGGATTACCACACGACGATGTGAGTCCCAGCGACTACTACAAACTATTAAATTCTGATCTTCCTGAGCCTCAGCGAATGCGCCAACTATTAGTTTGGACCATGCGAAAACGACTTCAGGAAGAGGATCAACGAACCTCCAACGACGACCAAACAGTGGTTAACATTGCAAAAGTCATCAAGGACGAGGTACTACAGCAGTTGGTACTGGGGGAAATAAACGTAAACTGGTATAATCGGGGAGACGACAATGAAGATATACCTGAAATCACCTTGCCCAATCCACTCAACATCCAAAACGAAAAGAACCTAGCCACGTTCAAGAACAAACTACAAGACCTTATAAACGAGCAGCAGCAGTGGCGCACCAGCTACCAAAAGGCCATTGCGCCTCTTGAACAATCTAAAATCAAAGACACTGATGTCGCATTGGACCCATCTACGGCATCGACTTACGATTCAACGGTACTCGAAGGCACTTTACTTGACGACCTCGAGAAATTCTCTCATGAAATCTCATCACATCAGGTAGCACACGAGGTGGAAGCGGCCGTCGATAAATTATATCATAATTCGTATCGACTAGACCGGGCTCTGGAACTTGTGGGGAAACTTCAACATCAACAATTCAACCCGCAACTTTCACAACTTCTCAAGAAGTATATGAGCAAACCAACAAACCCAGCCCCAACTACAAAGCAGTTACTTCGAGGACTCACAAGAATCCCACAAGACTAATATGTATACTACACTCTGTACCACTAGTTGTAAGAAATATTATAACCGAACCCCACAACTTTAACCGCATCGCCGCACGCATCATTACATTATAGTTGCGAAGTTGAGCCGCAACCCCATTAACCTTGGCACTTCAGTAACGATTCTCGGGATTTTTTTCGACCTGCATTATTGATCGGCTCTTCTGGCTGCATAATCCCCTCATAGTTTCCTTTGATGGTGCAGATGTTTGGATCCGTTTTCGGCTTTCTTTAACATTGTGCGTTACATTTGCGTGATATGCTATGAGTATAAATAGCAAGCAACTGCTGAAATGGTCGCATTACATACCTGTTGGCCTGCCCAGCGACAATAGTGACCCAAGATTTCCCCAGATTCAAGATACTCAACTTGCATTAGAAGATCAATTATTGAACTCCTCCACTCCACGTGAATTCAATCTTAAACCAAACCCTGAATTGGGCCAACATAAGCAAACTACCGAGAATCTGGCTTCTACATTCTCCAGAGCGCTTCAATACATAACCCTGTTTATTTACCGACGGCGCAAGATTATACAAATCATGATTATTTCCGATATAATTATACTTTTCGTGCTCCATCTTTGGTTCACGTCTCTTTCAAATGCGTTTCCATTGAAGGATGACAACCTTACATGGTCACAGACCTCCAAGATTACACGAGACAGTTTGGCTGAACGAAGACTGGCACTCTTTGACGTTATAAATGACAAGCTAAACCAGGATTTATTTGTTCAGCTCGAAGGTTTAAACCACAATTACTTCTTTGACCTCGGTTCAAACACGGTGGGTACAGCTAGCTTCCCTATGTTCAACCAGTACCAGCGCCAGCCATACGTATCGAACGGTTACATTGGAAGTCGTATCCCAAATTTGGGTCAAGGTTATACCCTCGATCAGCAGAGTGATTCCTCAGAAGCTACCAAGGACGATCTCTCCAACGGTTGGCCATTGTTCAACAAACGTTTCGCTGGTGCCTTCATTGCAGGATTTTATGATATCCAGAAGAACACAACGGGAACAAATTTTCCAGAGCTCTTAGAGAATGGCTATGAAAGTGTCATTGCTGCAGTTCCTCAATGGACTTCTCTTTCTATTTCAACCGAGAAGGATGGCCGCCAGTATGAGCTCAACCCTGCAAATCTGGAGCATTTGGAATCCACCATCAAGAATTACCTGCAGACCATGTCCTTCTCTGATGGTATTGTAACCACAGAATTTGTCTGGCTCGATGACATCTACGTACGGTATGACATTATAGCACATCGTGAGGACACATCATTAGGCTTGGTGAACCTTCAAGTTGCAAATCTTGGAAGCGAGGAAATAAGCATTGATGTGAAGGACGAGCTTGATTTCAAAACCTCTCTGAGGTGCCAGCTTGTGGACGTCGGTAGCGACGATGATGGTATTTTTATCCAGTTTCAGCCACTGTTGCTTGATCAGGTTAATGCTGCGATCTACTCCAGATTGAAGGTATCAACCAAGCCGGAACAAGAAGACATGAAGTCATCAGGTACATCCGTCGAAAATACCCAAACGTTTCAAATCAAACCCAACGACAATATTAGTGTTGTCAAATTTGCTGGCATCGTCTCCTCAGACTTGGACGAATCAAAATATCTGTCTGCCAATTCTACATTAGAAGCTGCCAAACTGGCAGCCTTCAAATATTCTTCGGGAGCAAAGGCACTTTCGACACATAGATTAGCTTGGGATAAGCTTTATGGTTCGGTCCTTTCAGTCACGGTACCTGACGACAGGATGATTACTTTAGCCAGCAGAGCATCGATCTACCATATGGCTGCGAACACTCGGCTGGACGCAAAGGGAGTCTCAGCAGCTCTCGGTGTAGGAGGGTTATCGTCTGACTCTTATGGAGGTATGGTATTTTGGGATACCGATTTATGGATGATGAATGGAATACTTCCATTCTTTCCGGATCATGCAAAAAGTATCATAAATTACAGAGTCCACACTCATGAACAGGCACTTCAGAATGTTAGAGATTATCGTCCAGACTTCAATGGAGCTGCATATCCCTGGACAAGTGGAAGGTATGGAAACTGTACAGCTACAGGCCCTTGCTTCGACTATGAATATCACATAAATATTGCAGTTGCAAGGGCTGCATGGGAGTATTATTTGAGTGGTGCTGGTGATGACAAGTTTCTCGAAGAAACTGCATTGCCATTAATTCAAGATTCTGCTCAATTTCTCTCCGACTATGTTGAGTATAACGATACTCTCAAGCAGTTCACTACTAAAAACTTGACTGACCCTGACGAGTATGCTAATCATGTGGACAATGGCGCTTATACAAATGCAGGTATATCCGTGAACATGAAATGGGCTATTGCCGTTGCCAAACATTTGAACAAGGAATACCCAAGCTCGTTTGATATTATCGTCGGTAACATGCATCTTCCTGAAGCCAATAACGATCAAAGGGCTACATTAGAGTACACTGGAATGAACTCCTCTGCAGCTATAAAGCAGGCTGATGTGATCATGTTAACCTATCCATTCGAAAATGAATTGATATCCGATGAGCAAGCATACACAAACATGGAACTATACTCCTTAAAACAGGTCAGCTATGGTCCAGCAATGACATTCCCCATCTTCTCTATCGTTGCTTCAGACTTATCGGAAAGAGGATGTGCCTCACAAGCATACCTACGCAAATCTGTACAGCCATTCTTGCGTGGTCCATTTGCCCAATTCCTGGAGCAAAATAATGACAATTTCTTAACTAACGGTGGAACGCATCCAGCATTTCCCTTTTTAACAGCACATGGTGGATTTATTCAAGCTATTCTCCACGGGTTAATGGGCTTCAGGTATGATTTCGAGATGGTTGATGAAAAAATACTGAGGATCTTAAGATTGGATCCTATTGCATTACCATGTTTGCCCGGAGGTATTCAAATATCAGGAGTGAAGTACATGGGTCATACCCTCTCTTTGGCTATAAATGAAACATCATTTACAGTCAAAGACCTTTTGAGCGAATCTGGTGCTCCGAAAACCATCAACTTGAGGATCGGTAAGAGGAACGTTAAACATGGCAAATATGAACTTCAGTCTGGCAAGAGTTTGACCTTCCCATTATTCGAAACTCAAGTATCAATACCTGGCAGTATATCAGAATGTGGCTCAGCTTCCTTTTACAACATCACAGAAGGCTCCTTTGGAGATGTGCCATTGCTAATCAATGATGGAGACAATACAACTCATTGGCAGGCAAATTACAATGATTCCACTGCCAAGATCTTAGCTGATTTCAAAAAAACCAGAAACTTGACAGGTGGATATATAAACTGGGGAGACAAACCGCCAACTTCATGTTCTTTGTCTTCATTCAACTATAATGTTCCCTTGAGTAATGTTTCATCAATCTTAGGACTGGTGGATTTTGGTACTGATGTCCATGAGAGATACAAGTATTCAAGAGTTCACGACATTGTTAACCAGTCTGATGTATTCACTCAAGTTTTGCAAACTAAGGTGGATGTTACAGCACCATTTGATCCCAAGGAATATGCATCAGTAGAAGTACCGGATCGAATCAACCTCACACAGTTCAGATTCCCAGAAGCTGTTCAAGCACAATTTTTGTTAATTGAAGTTTCTGGAATTCACGATACGGAACCAACTGATGGATCGATAGGTGGAGCAAAACTCTACGAAGTTGTCTTTTATGACAAATGATTTTCATTTTAAAAGTTACATAGCGAAAAGATATTCAACTATATGAGTATTCACATTGCGTAGTTTATAATGTCGCCTCAGCCATACTGATGAGTCTTTTCAAACCAGGGTACCATTTACCCGTCTGCTCGCTGTGATTTGTAGCGAAATCGACATTCAATTGAGTTGCTGTTGCATAGTCTTTGGCTTCTACAGCAGAACAGACCTTTTTCAACTCAGCAATTGCGTCGTCTGACAACAAGTCGTCGTTATTCAAGTGATCGTAAAGGAAGTTCAACCGTTTCTCCATATCCTCTGCATGTTTGATAAACCGCTCTGGAACATTGGGTTTCACTGCCTGCGTCAAGCTGTCCAATGATGTGTAGATTTGAATCGACTTTTCGGGTATGTGAGACCGATCTCCAGCTGGGTACTTTGGCTTAGTAGGTGGAGGGGTAAGTTCCACAGGTGCAGCAGCACTCGCGTTTCTGGATCTAGGTTGAGTCAAAACTGGACCAGGAGGAGGGAGGACACCACCAACCTTTGGAGGAGGTGGTGCGGTAACTCCACTGGGGGCTGCTCCATATGAGCCTGTGCGAGGTGGAACCATTCCGGATGGAGACATACTGACTTGTTGAGCAGTTGGAGCATATGGGTTCTTGGGTGGTCCATTTGGTGATGGTCCACTAGGTGTAGCTGAGGCATGTCCAATCTTAGGCGTCTGTGGTTGTTGCACGGAAGGAGTAGGCACCAGAGGCGCATACTGATTTCTTGGCAAATTGGTAGAGCTTGTTGCAGCTGGAGCATATGGGTTTTTTGGAGGAGCATGGACCAGCGGGGTTGGTGAGCCACTTCCGTTGCTTACCTCGGTAGGAGCATTGAAGCTCTGGGGAGGAGCATATCTTGAATGCAATTGAGCTGTCAGTGCACTAGGTGATGCCGCTGTAGGAATAGTAGGAACCGCAGTCCTTGAGCTACTTCTACTGCCCTTTGGTGGGGGTCCGGCAACTGCAGAATTGCGCTTGGGAGGTGCAAAGTTATTAGCTGGAAGAGCTGGACTCAAAGAGGGGGACACCACTGCCGCTGGGGCTGCCCTACGGGTTGACGTCTTCTGTTTGAATGCATCAGGTAAATCATTCCATCCTTCAGTCTCTTGCCTGTACGCTGGCTTTGGGGGACCAGAGACAGCCGGAGGTGGCGCGGACACTGGTTCAGGAGCAACTGGAGCTGGTGGCTTATAAGGGTTGAAAGCCGTGGCTCCCTGGGGTGCGTATGGGTTTCCCACTGGCGCTGGCTTCCCGTAGATTGAAGGAGTCGAAGCAATTGGAGGTCTATTCGACACTGGAGCTTGGGGTGGTTGAGGCATAGATGGGAACGAAGGAGTAGCCGGAGTCAACACACTGCTAGCGGCCGGTTGACCAGCTAGACCCCCATAAGGGGTCAGTGCAGCAGGAGCAAATGTTTGGTTCCCTGGAAGTGTAGGTGGAACGGAGGCTCCTGGAACAGGAGATTTTCCATAAGAGCGAGAAGCTGTGGCCTTGCTTGTAGTACTTCTGGTGTTGGAAGCTTGAACTTTAGTGCCAGACGCACGAGAGATTCTATCTTTCTCTGTTTTCAAACCAGCAAAATCGGAGGGTAACAATTGCAAAAAGCTGTCCGCCAACTCAAATTGGCCGTAACCTGCAACCAAGTTTGCGTACTCAAGAATAGCATTGCAAATTGGTTCAATTGAAGGTCCTCCCAATGTATCATTCGCTTTGGTGATAGACCTGTATGCGAGAAGCTTCTCCATGAAATTATTAAGTGACTTGAAGTGTGCATCAGAGGGAGTCGAAACGTCATCGTCAGGAGACTCCAAAAGCGATTTTTCATACTCTGGTAATTCCCTCAACCAAATAGATGCAATCTTTTCAAGAGCATTACCTGCAAGGTAACAGATCATAGCATTATTACGGTCTTCTGTGCTTGGGTTCTCAGAAGCTTGCACGATTCTATCACCAAGTTCTGTGATTTTACTGCTCAAATCGCTCTCATCTGTGCTGAAGGCAGCAATAGCGGCGGCAATCTCCTTCCAAGATTTGACGTCAGCATTGGCCACAATGTCGGTAATATTCTTGGAAGAAGCATTATAAATCAATCTCGCAATTTCATCACCTTTTGTGTTCGTAAAGTATGCATTTCTTACTTTAGCCTTGGACTCTGGTGATGCATCAAGAGCAAGGACAAGGGCAGCAGACAATTTCTTTTGATCCAAACATGCTGAAATCGCGTCTTCGATCTTGTTCGATAAAAGTAACTTGATGATTGTTTTGTCTGCCTCGCTTTGGTCACTTGTATCGATTGAAAATTTCCCTTCGGGAACAAAGTTTGGAATAGACTTGATTGGACTCTCACCAAGTTGTTCGAAGAAATCATTGTCACCTTCTTCTTTTCGTGAAGGCTCAGTGCCATCTTCGGAGGAAACGTCAGGCTTCTTACCGTTGGCCTGCTCATGTTCAGTAGAAACAATTTCTTTGAGGAAACCTTCCTTACCAACTCCAGATAATTTCAGCAAAATCTCCCAATCTGCCTTATCAGTCTTGCTGTGTCTAGCATCCGAGATTCTTGCTTCGATGATATCCTTAAAGTCATTGCTTTTAAGAGCTTGACTGAACTTTGAAGTAGTTTCCAGTACTGCGCCATTCTTTACAAATGGTTGAATCTTCACAACAGAGTGACTATCTGAGTCTAAGCTTATCAGTACAAGTTTCGAACCAAACCCAAAAGACACGCTCAGGGTACGTTTGAGCCACGCAGGGGCCTGATGCACAGTAAATACAGGTTGTTGAGTTTCTGTTGTTGAAATTTCATTCCAGAAGTCGTTGTCGTTCTTTGTTGTCACCTTTGAAGTCATTGGAGGGGAGGTGTCCTGCAATGATTGTATGACAATCTTTCCATCAAATGATGCTGTTGCAAAAATTTCTGGTGCCGCAGGAGCAAATCTGGTGTGGAAAGCCCAATTGGCCGTAGTTGGGTATTCACCAAGTTTTTCACCTTTGATTGGATTCCACAACATGGTAGCATTATCCTTACCACTCGAAATCAATATTTCTGGATCCTGTTTACACCAATCCAAGGACAATATTCCCTTCTTATGACCACGCATGATTTTTTCGGGTGCATTAGCATTTTTGAGGTCCCAAGTCAAGATTAAAGCATCGCTATCGTTTCCAGTCGCAGTTACAAGTTTCGTAGATTGGGTTGGATGCCAAGCGACGCATGAAAAATTGGCGCTGTACGACAAATGAAGAACTTCACGTTTTGATTTCAAATCCCAAATTGAAGTGTAGCCCGAGTTTCCGGTGGTTGCAAAGATGTGGCTTACAGAATTGTTCCATGACACACACGATATCTCGTCCATTGGCGTCATAGCCTTGCCTGGGGCAACGGGATCAGAGAGTTTTTTGGTGTCCCAAACAAATATTTGGCCATTGGATCCACCAGAAAGAAGAACATGCTCTTGCAACGGATTGAACTGGAGAGTCTTCACGGGCCCCGAGTGGGCCGAGGACTTGAAAATGGATGCTTTTTGCAAATCTTTTGACGTGATCAACTCTTGAACGTCCCACAATTCAATTGTCCCATTTTCGAATGCTCCAGCGAGTACACCCTTTGATCTACCTTCAGACGGCTTTGACCATGCGATTGCATAGAAGCGGTTATCCACCAGAGCAGAAAAGATCGGATCCTTACTGTTCGTAGCGGAGAAAATGTCCCAAATTTCAAGGGACGACGACGTGCTGAAATCAGCGTCTACTGCACCAGCCACGGTTCCACTTGCGAGTAATGGCAAGGGATCATTATTCCAAGCAAAAGTAGACGTCTTGGAAATCTCCTCGATTTTCATGGCGGATGAAATCGACAATAACGTGTGTTGTGAAACTTAGCAATATCAAACAAAACACTGAGGCAGCAATTGAGTTGAATTCAAGGTTAATATACACTTCCTTAAAAATACAGGTATTGACTACCGCCTTTTATTTTGTAAAAAGTTTAGCGTAGCTTGACTTAATACCGTTGGCTAATGAAACGTCAGTGTCAACATTTGCTACGCTGTGATTTTGTCAACGTATCCTTATTGTTACGTAAGCGATCGCCATTGATTATGACAGATCAAGGTGAAGGACGAGTGACAATGGTGAGACAATGGCAGTAACTTTGGCTGTGAACTTATGATTTTGGACTAGTGACTGGAACCCGATTTAAAGATTGTATGGAAAATTGGGGTGAAATTGTGATGTCAACTTCAATGATTGTTGGTGTGTTTGTAGAGTTATTACGTGTAGATTGTGAGCCATTGATTCGAGGAATGGAGAGTTGAAGAAGTAGCGAAGAGTCTGAAAATTTAGTCTGTGCTGGAAGACATTATCTTGGGCTTCGTGGCCAAATGTAGTTGTTCACCTTTTCATGGCAATTGAAATATTTACATGAGAGTTCTTGACAATACCTCTAGCACTTAACAAGTAGAGAGCCAGTTTTGGTGGTGAAACTTTACTGTTACTCAAAGAGCATTTTGCTGCTAGTCTACGTGTATGAAATCACTGAGGCTTGAAAAGGGGTATTCTCTCGACGTATGTTCTGTAGCCTCATAAACAGCATTGTCACCTTAAAAAAATAAGTGGTGGACTTAGCTTCAATGCAATCCTCGTTATGGCTAGCCAATTCAACTCACGATTTCGACTACTATTTTGACTGCTATTTTCGCTGCTACTTGGCTGCAATTTGCTCTCTTTTGCTCACTCTTTTTGGCTTGTATATGAAGATTTCGCTCTTCGCGCACAGTAAAGTTCAACTACAAATGATACGAAAATGACCGACGATGAATCAGATATAGAAAACATGGATATAGTAGCGGACTACGAGGATAATCCAGACTCCTCTGGGGTGGGATATATGAGTCCTCCTCTCAGCCGTTTGACCCTGGAAAGTGATTTAAACTACTCCATTTACCGATTAACGGTGGCACTTTGTGATCCATTGCAACAGCCACCTGATAACGACAAGCAGGTATTAAGTCTTGACTTTCTCGCAGATATACTTATACCTTTATCATACCATGAAGTATCGCAAAAGCCCCATTTTCTTTTTGAAACAAGCAGTGTACATCTCATTAAATTCACGCTATCAACCATATATTTCCGGTTATATTGTGCTCTTCAAGAGACATTGAACACAGACGACGAACTCAAATTGCGACACGTCGATAACTCGCCGGATCATTGGTTCGAAAATTTGCATTATTGGGTCCCTTCGAAAGAAGTTCAGCTGCGACCTCGCCAATTCAAGGTATACTACTCCATGTCATGTTTACTACTCGTGGCAATTTACAAGCTATTTGCTCCGGAATCGCCCAAAGAGCCTTATAATTTGACCAAAAACCCATATCTTTTCCATCTTGTTCGATCGTGGAAGTGCCATACCAATGTCATATTACTCGCATTGGAAATCGACCGACGAATCGAACTTCAGAACGAAGAAGAAGATTCAGACGAAAACCAGACCCCAGAGATAATATACAATGTGCTAGAAGGGTCAAGCGCTGTTAGAAGCGTACTTGCATGGATTCTCAACCAGAATCCCTCCGTCGATATACCAGATACTAATCTGGACTTGGAGACCATAGAAGATCCTGACGTCGACTGGTCATATGATATCAAAGAACTTCCATTGTTGGAGTTCGTACTTCCGTTGAGTCGACGTAGGGCCAATTGTGGAGCACTTCGGGTTGATATGAGACTTATTGTCATTGCATTAATCATCATTAGAAGTGGCTCACATGTTGTTTCCACTTCGAACCAGTCCTCAAAACCACCGGTATCATATTCATATCGAAAGCAAGCTCAACAAGATGCAATCAGTTCTGTTGGTGATTTGTTGGTAGACTTGGAATACGATGATAGATTTGATGAGGATATCCGCTACGTTTTCGAGTTTGAACTAGATGGTTTCCAGGATGAGGACGAGAAACAAGGAATCGATGATTCCCAATTGGAGCCAGTTGCAATTGGTGATAACATGGAATACACACCCGCTTTTCTAGAGGTGATCAAGTCGTTCGAAAGTGCAACGGAAGAAGATAAACGCAAATATATTTTCGATGATGTCACGGAACTCGGGTACTACTTGAAATTTGTCATTTTGAAAACGCTGTCCTCGTCAAAGGCTCAAGATCTGCCATGGGACCAAGTGCTTCTAAACTCGATAGCATACGCAAAACATGCTGCGTCGGAGACTCATTTTTACCTTTATCCAGGTATAGTGCTAGGATTTTTGAAGATGCCAGCCTCGATAGAAGATATAGAAGAGTGTCGCAAGAAGAACCTCTTTCTACTCCCAATTTCTCCCATTACAAACTTTGAGTTGTTCCTCAAAAATAATACTCAACTCGCACGCAGTGTGTTGGATGAGCTAATGATGTTCCCTTATACCCGCAGCAAGACGCTTAACTTGTTATCGAAAGAGCAAAACTTGAACCCTCTTATGATCGACTACGTTTATGAGCTCGTTTCCGGACTTCGTGGTCGTCAAGAACATAGTGCATACACCTTCAGTCGTTTAGGTGGTAAAGTCATTTTGGACGAACGAGAGATACAGCTTTTTTTGCATAACTTTCTCACTCGATGTAGCGAGTATTTTGCTGCCGTGGATGGGTTTGAAGATCTTGACGGCAATCGTGTTATACTCCCAGAATCAGTAGCAAAGAAAACCATGCTGTTGTTGTGCCTTATGATCAACCGATTGGTAGCACAAGGAATCATTGCACTAGGAAGTGATGGACCTTTTACTTTCAATACGGAACTTCGGGGATTGCTAATTGGCTGGATAGGAAGAGTCAAGGAAGCTAGAACGCTCTATTTCGAAATCAGCTCTGCTTTATATGACGATGCAAGAGACGGTATACGAGAACAAGCAAATGGATTTGAAGACGAAACTCGTGAAAAAGTTGAAGAACCACCCACTAAAGCCCGAAACTACGGTATTTCGGAATCCACAATGGCCAAAATCGAGTCATGGGAATCCAGTGCTGAGACCGTTGCTATCGTCAACACCTCTAAAGCTATCCGCGACGAATTCGATAATTATGTTGGTCGTTTGAAAGAGTATATCGCATCGATCGTATGGGTATCGGAGGTTCGCTCGAGCATTCCTGCCGACATCGTTGCTGGGGATCTCAGGTTTTATCTTGACAACTTTAACGTACTCTGTAAAGTGGACTACTTTGCTGGTGCCATGTTTGAGGTGTTTGAATCATGTGTAAGTTCTGAGCCACGGTTGGGGGAAAGCGAATTTAGTGAGGCTTTCATAAATGGCGAGACAGAGTTTAAGGATGGTAAGAAGAAAAAGAAGAAGAAAAAGAGCAAGAAGAAGAAGTAGTTTTTTTGCAGCCGTGCAACAGGCACCTCCGAGTCAGCTCGAGTCACCCACATACAGGACTGAACTCACTAACGTTGAGAAAGTGCGGTGAATCATATCATGTTTAGAAGTCAATTGAAATCCCAATTCCTCAAAACCAAGATTATGTCCAGATCCAGCTCCTCTCTCACACCTGTAAGTGTTCTGCCAATGCCATTTGAATCGCAAAACTAACATCTCAGGTCAAAACTGCCAACGCTCCTCCACCAGCAGCGTCATACTCCCAAGCTATCAAGGTGAACGGTAAGTATAAATAGATCACAGCCTTATCTACGTACCATATAGGGTTTGTTGGACCTTTCTAACTTTAGGTTTTATCTACGTTTCTGGCCAGATTCCTTACACCCCTCAGAACAAGCCATTGTCTGAGAACCCCTCCATTGAGGAACAAGCAGAACAAATTCTTCAGAATGTGTCCAACATCTTGGATGCATCCAACTCTTCATTGAACCATATCGTCAAAAATACTGTGTTTTTGACCGATATGAAGAGTCAATTTGGAGCTTTCAACAGCGTCTATGCCAAATATTTTAACGAGCACACAACCTGCGCGTTCGTGTGTTGCAGTCAAGGAGTTGCCATTGGGCGTCGACGTCGAGATGGAGTGTATCGCCGTGGAAAAAGATGACTCCAGGTTGTAGGTGTGTTCCCTTATATAAGTCCGGCATATAGTAATCTATGAGCCCTAAAGGAGTGCACGTGAGCATGTCGCACGGTACCATCTGAAAATTTTACTAGTTGATCGTCTCTTGCAAACTATTGACTGACTTCGATATGGCTCAACGTGTGACATATAGAAGAAGAAATCCATGTATGTACTTTTCAGAGGTGCCAGATTAATTGATTGAGGTTTTTTGTGGCGATTGATTGTTTTGATATTTTGAGAGCTTGAAATTGTAGATACAAAGACTCCATAAACCTACCTCAAATGTTGTGCTAAACCTCGGATACTCTAAAACTAAGATACACAATTAATATGCTGCTGGTATGATAAGCTATATCTTCGGTAATACTAACAACAGACAACACCAGATCCAACAAGATCAAGGTGGTCAAAACCCCTGGTGGAAAGCTCGTTGCTCAACACGTCAAGAAACAAGCCTCCAGACCAAAGTGTGGTGACTGTGGTGATGCTTTGCAAGGTATCTCCACCTTGAGACCAAGACAATACGCTCAAGTTTCCAAGACCCACAAGACCGTTCAAAGAGCATACGGTGGATCCAGATGTGCTAACTGTGTTAAGGAGAGAGTTGTGAGAGCATTCTTGATTGAGGAACAAAAGATCGTCAAGAGAGTATTGAAGGACCAACAAGCAAAGGAGGCTGGCAAAAAGTAAGTACATAATTGCATAAACATACCGAGTCGTACTTGTAGATTTTAAAACATAATTTCATTATTGTAGCGGTTAACCATGACTAATTCCGATGGATATAACAGTGTTTCTTGGAAGTATCTGAGATCACAGAGCCACAGCGATGTGTTAGCAAAAAGTAAGACAACAGAAGCCAAGAGAAGCAGGCCCGCATCCAAGATGAAAACGAACGCTTCATGTTGCATTACATAGCCATTGAACCCTTGGAGAAACTCGACACAGCGATAGATACTTCTCACCATAATAAGTAAAGTTGCAACCAACAATCTGACCAAAACTAATCTCCAATCGTTCCACATGGACGAATTGACACTTTGGATCTTGCCAACTTCAGTGGGCAGTCTTAAAGATTTGAACATGAATACTGATAAGATTACCACGAAACTGGCGACGCAACCGAGATGCCAAATGGGGGAACATTTGGTCAACAATTGACCCCAGAATGCGTTCCCGCTGTTTTTTGATAATACGAGACAAGCACCAATGAACTCAAGTAGCATTGAAATAATTTCTCCAACAACAAAGATGATCGTTATGTAGTTCAAAGGCATAGTTGCGTATGCTGAAGCATTGAGGATTCGTACAACTTCTCCAAACATCATATATATGGATGTGGTATACAAAGCTGGAGCGTTTAAAATGAGAAAAGTCAGACTAACATATGGTAGCAACAGCTCTGAATGGGTCACTGACAAGTATCGGATTCCATATCCCAAGCCTTCGACCATACACCCAACTAGAAAAGGGATTGTGATCACCATATACTTAAATTTTTTCGTGGAATCTATATCATTGTGTTGGGCTCTATAGTTTTTAATGAGTTGTAGAATTCCCACCAAAAAGAGCAATTCGTAGAAACAAAGGTATTGAAGATTCACCCATTGCACTGGGGTATAATTGTAGAAGGGACTCAGCTCATTGGTGGGGCTTGTCATGGGTAGAGCTCATTTTGCGAAAATCATTTTGACAGGAGGAGCCGCACAGGACATGAGGCTGAGTAGGGATCTATTTATATACGAAATGTAAAAGAAGGTTTGGAGAAGAAAAGTTGGGAAATAAAATTGGTTCTTTTAGGGCCCGAAGGGACCCAAAAGTATATTGTGACCTTACTAAGAGTCTTATGAACTATTTATGAACTTCGATTTGAAAAAAGACTCACAATGAACTCAAGCTCATTCGAATTTTGAAGCCCATGTAATCAGAATGTATTACAGTACTACAATGTAATCACTAGAGCTACGAAGGACATATATATCTCTGTCTTCCACTTCATCAATTGTACATTTCGGGGTGTCTCGGAATTCTCTTGACTCACCTGCCATGCGGCGTGCGGCCTTATCTACTGATAAGCGCAATAACCAAGTATAAAAAGGCTGCAATTCACGCAAACTTTATTATGGATCAAACGCTGCTCTCCGACAACTTGTCAAACATATATATACCTCAGAAACGAGATAAAGTACTGGCGACGGTACCTATGTACCATCCATGTCTAATAGTGCAAGATTCACAAACTGATGTCACCAAGGTAAAACCTTGTGGATGTGCTGATGCTTATTGTATTCGAAATGCACCGGAATGGATCCCACGAGCCAAGTAGTAGTTTATTAGAGCCTATGTCGTTCAATAATACTGTTTCGTTAAAAGTAGAAGGATTCGTTGTCATAAGCAGTCGACTCTTCGCTTCTACTGTTGCTGTGTTCATGGGTACGAAATTTCTCATCGACTTTTTCTATAGTTGTTTTGGTATCACATTTGTAGAGGGATTTTTCGTCGTTAATTGGGCCATTTGGGTCATGGTGCTTTTGTCTCTTCATTACCTGCCAACTGATTGCATTGCCAAAGATTTGTGAAGGGTAGAGCGGAACATAGAAAACACAAGCCAAGAACACCATGAGTGCATCCAATGTCATGATAAACTGTTCGTGGGTTATCAAGAAACCTGTCCAACCTTGACTGAGTTCCGCTACTCGATATGCACATCTAATGTAGACAAAGAGAACTGATGCCGAAACCACCAATGGCAAGTAGCCAAAGAGGTACCCTCGTCTCACGTCGACAAATGCTGGGTCGTAGAAAGGTTCCAATTGCTGGCGATATTGGCGGCCCTTGGGGGTATTTAATAGTAAATGCATACATCGACCCAATGAGAATTTAAAGTTGGGATCGGCTCGAAAGCATGCTTTGAAGAGCATGTCGCACCAGCATATCACAAATAATGTCATCGAAAAGAGTTGGAACGAAATACCAGCAATCATGATATTTGTTCCCGTTGGTCTGAAAATGTAACGTCTGACTTCGGTCGCAGCAATGGCTCCACCAACCGCCTGAGTAAATAGACTGACCACATCGCAAAAGATGAACAAGTATGTGTACCAGCTGGGCGGTAGAATGCCATAGTTTCCATAGACAATTCTGAGTTGACCAAGAATATAGTATATTCCTGCCATGATGAACGCCGGTGCCATAGTTAAGCAAATGATTTGACACAAGTATTTGTCTGGATTAGCGTAGTCCTTAGCTGCTAGAGTGCGAGCAAAATAGCCACAGAACTCAAGCACAGTTCCACAGGCAAAACACACACCGAAATAAATCTGCTTGCCGGTGAACATCCATGCGACAAACACTATAAATAACAACCCAAATAACGCCGTAAAAATCGCATTCGCAGGGATATTCAACGCATTCGTATAAAGGTTCAGGTCCCATTCCAATGCCTTGAGGTTCAAAGTGGCATTGAAAACCAACTCCTGGGCCATCGAGATACTCGCGGTCTCGGTGGGATTTGCAGTTGCCAAGTATTTCTCGGCTTCAATGATGGTGAGCGAAGCGGCAGCTCCTCGGAGCACTTTTGACACCTGGTACAAAACCGGGGTTTCAGTGGCAGTCATAGCAACGGCTGAAGCCGAAAGAACGGTTTCCCAAAGTCCGTTCGCATTAGTTGGATCGATGGAAGATAATGAAGTCAGGGCAGGTATTGATGAAGGAGTCCATGTAGGAAGCGACCGAGTGGCAGTTTCGGTAGTAATCTGCTCGAACCAACCCATAACGTACGGGAAAAAGCAGCCTTGATGGCTTCAATTTAAATTATTTAGGGTCCCATCTTGCTAAATTTAAGCCTCAACTTACCTTACCCAAAACGGTATCAAAATTTTTGTGCGGCGCAACGGACCATAACAAAATGGGGTAGAGCGGAACGGGCTAAACGAGATTCTATTTTAGTCCTTTGAGTACAGAGACTATATACATCAATGGCAATGTGGAGACAAAGGCAGGCTGGCTGTGCGACACTTGTTCTACCCTAATACATTGGCAATTGCCATGAGTGATGCGCATTGGCGGTTGAGGGCTTAACCTGTGCAGAGCGCAATAGTATAGGCGCCAGGCACAGAAACCGCTTTGAAAACTTCCTTCTATGGGTGGGCCAAGCTATGAAGGCAGAAACTCCTTGGCAACCCTTTCTCTCTTCCAAAACTTGAGGAGTAAATCGCCATAGTTTTGCATATCCTCCACCGAGATCATGAGCTTGAAATCGAGAAGTAACAAGAATTGAAGCTCTAAATAATTCAACTCATCCAAGGGTAATCCTCCCACCTTGGCATATCGTAAATTCTTGTAGAAAATGTCGGAAAAAAACTTGGACGACACCGTGATACCAGATATAATAAGACGATGTATGTTATAAGAGTCCATGACGAAAAGCTGTTCTGCTTCTTGTTTGTGCTGTAAGTTGTTTGCCTTTTTGGCAATTCTATCAAAGTAGACAAGTAGTGAGAGAAATACCTCGTTAGTAACCGGGCAATACTTTAGCACTCTGGCAAGGTATGCATGGAGGGATATCCCAGGAACATTGGCACCATGAAATGCCAAAACGTTGGCAAGGTACTTGTTTTTCATCTCATCATCTTCTTCATTAATGCTTTCTGTATCGCCATTGCTCTTGCGTTCTTCTTTTAGTCTCTGGCGAGCTGCAATTGTATTGTCAAAGTGATTTGGGTGCAATTTGTCGTTGGCTTCGATTATCTTGGTTAATAACGAAGAGAGCATCAATATCAAGTCATTGACAGGATATTCCACGATGTTTAAATGTTCTTCGTCTCCGGGAAGTGTCAGGAGATATTCATGGTAGGTCATGTAGTGATCAGGGGCCGAAAGCGCAGCTTGAGGGAGGGGCAATGACTGAGGTGCAAACGGATTCTCGGTGATTTTTGACGTCGAAGGAAGCGATTGTGGTACTGGAATGGCAGAGGTGGAAAGATGTGGAGCAAACCCCATCATCGATGGTTGAGGAGCCGTGGTAGTTTCCATGGAGATGTTTGTTGTGGGAGACGCTACGGGCGGCCGGTAACTGGGATACAGCAGGAACTGAGGTTGTAAAGATGACGAGTGGGAATGATTGGAGACATACGACAGACTCACCACGTTGGGAGTGTTATGTCCCGAAGGCATGTAGTCATGGTACGGCTGGAACAGGCCACTGCCGTTGTATTCGTACGACTGTGACGGTATGAATTTGTTGTGGGAGCCTTGGGAGGGAGATTCGAGATACGACGGAGGATTTTGGTATTTGTCAACCGATGACTGATCCGTCTGGGATAGTAGGGTTCGGGTCAAATTTGACATTTTGGGAGCTTCCGACATTGGTGCTAAGCTACTGTGGTCGGTGTTGTCATTAATTGACCCTTTGTTTGTGGTGGAAATGGGGTCACAGACAAGTGGGACCGATGATCAGAATCGGAGACACCAGAGTGTGATTGGACTAAATTTAGCTATGGGTACTGCTATATACTGCACGAGTGATATACCAGCACTGGAGCAGCAATTGACAACAATATGTGAGTTTAATATGAGAATTCAGTTTCCCGCCAAGTTTAGTGTCGCTCCTCAAATTAATCGACAATCCGCACGGATGTTCCGCTGCGGCTGTGACACAAAACCGTGGCTGGGATGGAGAACTCCCGACACTACGATGGAAAAGAATCATATTTAGCCATGGGAAACTTCGCCACTTGGTGTAGACAAGATTAAATTATAAACCTAATTTTGTAGAAAATACTCTATTCATGTGTTCTAGAGCTACGGCTCACTGCGACCCATGCGGCTATAAGAGCACGAAATAAATAGAGGTGATTTTCTTATTGATTTCTCTTGTCACATTCAATTGCCTCTACACTGCCTCGTCTTAACATTGAACTCGTCACCGTCACTTGCTTCTGTTCTTGTTCTTGTTTTTTGTTTGTTTTCTATAGGCTCGGGTTGTCCCGGTTCCGGTAGTGCCCTACACCCAGAGCCAAGTGCCCCAGATGCGATATAGAGAGTATGTCCACTGCGTCGAAAATCACCCTTGGCCTCTCCATCACATTTGCCGTGACGGCACTCGTAGGTGTCAACTACTTGCAACGGCTCGAGAGGGCGGCACTTCGTCAGGGACCTATTAAGGATGCCGAAAGAATGAAATCCAAAAAGCAAGTCCTCAATGAAAAAGAGCACCTCGAGCAGATCGAGTTACGGAAAAAGTACGAGCTGTTACAGCCGTTGACGGGAGAAATCATTAGAGGAGAAGAAAATGTAGATAGCAACAACCTGTAGATAGAAATAAAGAAATTGTGCGTGGCTATGGAGACACCCAATGGTGAATGTAGTTCACTAGATGTACTATGATGCACGGCTTTATTACTCTATGGGCGCTTTTGGCGGCTTCTGCTCTAGAGAACTTGCCAAAACGGTTCGTTCTGGAAGAGATTTCGGGCCCGTGAAGGGACCACGCCAGAACATTACCAAAGGCACCCAAGATGAAAAATTTTGGTGAAATTGAAAAACTATATGTCTGCGGGTGCACTGGGTGTGCCAACCACCAAAGACTTCTACGCTTCAATGTTATAATTGTGCAATCCGTATCTATAAGTTTCGTTCCTCATCCAGTCCCACCTCTGGCAGACTGGTTTTCTCCAGGCCCGATTTCACCGCATGTTCGTCAGCCTCGTCGGGCTGGTAATGGTGGGGCATATTATCGGTTGGTGATTTGAGGGCCTCACTATGTAAAACGGTAGACTGGGACCTTGGCCGTGGTTTCTTGAATCCAGTAACATCTAAAAACCCGCCTTGTAATGCTGTCTGGTCCACAGTGGTTCCTTGGCCTCGAGGGCCAGAAGGTGGATGTTGCGATACTGAGCCTTGACGTGATTTCAGAAAAGCTGACGATGGTTCTTCACGTCCGAATGTTGAATGCCTCCGTGGAGTCTCCGAGTTCTCATTCATTCCCACCAATATGCTTGCCGCTTCCAAGAGTTGTACCAGCTGATGCTTGGAAATGAGCAACTTTTTAGTAACGTTCCATTCTGGCGTATGTTCCCACAAGTGCTTGGCCAACGACGATATATGTTTATATCCCTTGCCGCAAGCTTCACACTTGAGCTGTTCCTTAAGTCGGCCAGTTTCTCCTTCACTAATACGGCGAACAACAAATTCTCGACTGAGTATGGGCGGGTCTATGTCGTGGTTATTATGATGGTGTCCAGTGGAGAATTGTGGTCTAGAGGAAGGACTTAATGGACCATGGCTATCACGGCGTTGCTTGTTGGTCTGATGCTTTGCTGGTATCGAGTAGGGTGTGACCGATGAGTGACGCCTGTTGTAGTTATAATGAGTGGTAGTCATGGTAGGCTTCCGGCACAAGCCTGGCTAAAAGTTCAAACTGTAGTATGCACTTCTTTTGGTGGTCTATTTCCCGCAACTATAGCGTCTCGAACCTGAAGATGGTGGTGAAAAATGCAAAAGTAAAAAAGTGAAACTTTTCTCTCCAGGTGAACTTTTCGCATTTTTTACGGGCGCGCCGCGCAAGAAAAAAATAGACCGGGCGTCTGCAATTGCTCCCAACCGAAACATTCGAGAAACGGGGAAATGCCACAGTACGATTTGACCTGTCAAGAGTACGTTGTGTCCCCGAATCCAGTTGTACCAAATCTCCCCTATTTACCCTTCTGCGACATGGAAATGACCCTGGTACGAAAGATGGGGAAAACTAAAATTCGTCCCCATCTTCTGCCTCAAACCCTTCTTCGGTTTTATACAAGATAGCCTGTATTTCTGCGATGAGCTCGCTGGTGGGAGTCTGTGTATCGCTGTTCTTTGCCGTTTCGCAAAGCACCTCGATTTCTCGTAGTTTGTTGAAGTAAAAGTTCCTCTCTGCCTGGAGACTTGTGACCAGAATCTTGTAGTCCTTCAACTCCTCCAACGTAGCCTCCAATTCATGCGACTTGTTCGCTAGTTCCTGTGACATATGGCCAGAATATATGGGAGTGGTACGCCCCGAAATGGTCCCTGAAACGGACCCAGGTACAGATCCAGGAACGACCGATGTTCCAGCAGACACCACTCGCCTTGGACCACTTGGGGCACGCAGAGGCGCACGGCTCCTGATGTTGCTGGAGGGACCACTGGTAACTCTTCGGCGTGCCGGGGCATCATATGGAACGTTAATGTCTTTGTTTTCCGTCCAGAACTTTTTCATCCATTGCAATAATTCGAGGTTGTCTTGGAGCCTACATTTGATGAGTCTTTCAACTTCCACTGTTTTGGCAATTTTATGTTTGGTGAATACAGTTTGGAGTATCTTTAGGTTGTGTCGGTAATCGTACTCATTGCTGGCATTGAACTTGATTTTACCCATGGGAACATCGCCATATATCGAGTCTATAATTTGGCAATACGCTGCTCCTGTTCCACATTGTTCTACACGATTATAAGTCAATCCCAAGGTAGAATTGAGCCACTGTAGTAACTCTGTTCTCGATTCCCCCACCATCGCCGCAATATCACCGAATTTTTTATGTTTGTTCAGACGGCGTCTTCAGTTTAAACTTTGTTTTCATGGTACCGCGAAACACACCCCCAAAAACAGTCGCTACCATTTACAAACCTGCGGCTTGTGGGCGTGCGCGCACCATAGGGCCTCGGTGAGAAAATGATAAAATTTTTCAACCACTTCAATAGACAGCATGGACACTAAAACGCCAGTTACTTTGGCCAAAGTTATTAAAGTGTTGGGCAGAACCGGTTCCAGAGGTGGTGTGACCCAGGTCAGAGTCGAGTTCTTGGAAGACACTTCCAGAACCATCGTAAGAAACGTCAAGGGACCTGTCAGAGAAAACGACATCTTGTGTTTGATGGAGTCCGAGAGAGAAGCTAGAAGATTGCGTTAAGATTCATGGTGTAATATACAACATATTGGGTTACTTTGTAGATGTCATCTCTCATTACTGCTTGTTTTTGAATAACTTTTTTTTCGACTTTTTCAACGACATGGTTCTCTTGATTTTGGAAAATGACAGCTGCTTAGAAGTGTTTGTTGTCGTAGACAGCTCCAGTGCACTGCGCAGCTCGCGATCCGAATCCCCCTGGGTCAACTGGGGTGATAAGTGGTCGTATCCTTGTCTCGCTTTCATCTGATCGTCAACCTGTTTCAAGAACTGCTGCTTGATCCTCGCTACATCTTCGCTTTCTTTTTCATGTGATGTTTGAATATCTTCAAGTTCTGGCGACGTAGACCGCAGGCACAATTCGTTGACTTGCTTCGAAACATTGTCGGTAACTTGGCGCTTCACTCGACTTATGTCTTCCAATTCGTGAGTAGGAATCTCCTCCGATGAATGTGGGGAATGTAAGTTAATTTCGTCCATCTTTGCGAGAAACTGCTGGGTAACTTGCTTGCCGACTTCTTGTATCACGTCGAAATTTGGCGAAGCTGGAGTCATGGTAGACTGTGGCATATCGAGTTCACGTTTCTGATCCTGAAGATCTTTGATTTTGACGTCAATCATATGGACGGCTTGATTATGTGCTTTGATGTTTGAACGTTCGGGATCTCTGTTGTTCGCTGAATTGTTGATTCTGGATGCAAGCAACTCATTCTGGTGGTTTTCTTTAGTGATATCTTTCACATCTTCAGCCAAGTCTTCAGCTTCTGACTGAATAGCTTGCATGGCCGTATTAGTTGCCTCGGCCACTCTGTTTGTCTCCACATCTTCTGCGGTAACTCCTTCTACCACCTTGATTCCACTTTGTTCGCGAAGTGGTTGTGGCTGGTTCTCTTGGTAGAAAGTATTGTACTTCCAAATAGTATATTGGACCATGGACTCAAATGCATCTTTATCGTAGCGAAACAAGTTGGCCAGATCTAAATTAAGCGGTGAGTCTGGCTCCGGGTCGTCGATAAGCATGAGAATAGCTACCACAACATACTCTATCGTCCAAGCAGGAGACCAGCTTTCCGACTTCAAAATGTCAAGACAAATCTCTCCCGTTCCAAAATCCACATTGGGGTGTAATATAGGTGTTTCTTTACTAAACCAAACCTTGGGAGGTACTTGAGGATATTGTATTGGCAATCTGATGTCTAGCTTCCATTGGCCATGATAATAATAAGGCGAGTCTTCGGTTGTTTGCTTCGCTATAGCTGCTTCCCAGATGTATATATCTTCTCCCACGGGAGATAAGCTGATAATTTGATGATTAGAGGCACTTGGCGGCGATTTTCGAAGCTGGGTTAGCTCTTTTAAAACCCTTTTATTCGACATTTTCACCAAAATATCGTTTCCAAATAGTGCGGGAGTCACTGAAAAAGAGCTGAAAAAACAAAATTGAACTGGTTATGCTTTCAAACTGTAAAAATACAGTGGTAGATTCGGCTAGCATGCGAGTCAGGGATTTGACTGTGACGGTGGGTGTGCAGGATTCTTATCTGCAGGATTTCTATTCTAACCGAGGTATGACTATTTAGCGATGGCCGCGGCAGTATGGTCCAAATGTTGTGTGGTTGTCTGGCTAGCAGTTACTTTGAAGGAGACGTGTATTTCCCGCTGACATTTGTCGGATTTTCATTGGCTATCTGTATGCCGGTCCGTGCTTATCTGCAGGATATGAATTTTTCACTCGGGTGAGCGGCCACAGAGTGAATCATTTCCACAATGTTATCTGCTAGAGTACATTCTAGACTATTTTCCACTTCGGTGGTCCGTTGTGAGAAAGTGCTCAACAAGTACTCTTCGATCGTGACCCAGGATAAGTCTCAAGGTGCTTCGCAAGCCATGTTGTATGCTACGGGCTTTCAAGATGAAGATTTCGATAAGGCTCAAATTGGAGTTGGAAGTGTATGGTGGTCAGGAAACCCTTGTAATATGCACTTGATGGACATGAACGACAGATGTACAGCTTCTGTGAACAAGGCTGGATTGAAAGGAATGCAATTCAATTCCATTGGAGTTTCTGATGGTATCACCAACGGTACTGATGGTATGAGATATTCATTACAATCGAGAGAAATCATTGCCGATTCATTTGAGACTTTAGTGATGGCCCAGATGTATGATGGTAACATTGCCATTCCATCGTGTGACAAGAATATGCCTGGTACTCTTATGGCTATGGGTAGACACAATCGTCCATCGATTATGGTTTATGGTGGTACTATCATGCCTGGATCTCCTTCTTGTGGTGGTGCAAATGTTCCTGAGAAGATTGATATCATTAGTGCTTTCCAATCTTATGGTCAATTTTTGAGTGGACAGATCAATGAGGAACAAAGAAAGGACATTGTAAGACATGCTTGTCCAGGTGCTGGTGCTTGTGGTGGTATGTATACCGCCAACACCATGGCTTCTGCTGCTGAGGTCATGGGTATGTCACTTCCATACTCTTCTTCAGCTCCTGCCATTTCGAAAGAAAAAGCTGATGAGTGTGACAATGTTGGTTATGCCATGAAACATTTATTAGAAATTGATTTGAAACCCAAGGATATAATGACTAAAAAGTCCTTTGAGAATGCCATCACCTACATCATTGCCACTGGTGGTTCCACAAATGCGGTGTTGCACTTGATTGCCATTGCTCATTCTGTGGGTATTGACTTGACTGTTGATGACTTCCAACGTATTTCTGATACCACTCCATTGTTGGCTGATTTCAGACCATCTGGTAAATACGTTATGGCAGATCTTCAACAATTTGGAGGTACTCCTGCGGTGATGAAATTGTTGTTGGAAGAAGGTTTCCTCGATGGAGACCAGTACACCGTCACCGGTAATACCATCAAAGAAAACTTATCAAAGGTCAAGGGATTGCCAGCCAGTCAAGACATTGTTCGTCCTGTTTCTAACCCATTGAAACCAAATGGACACTTGCAAATTCTCAAGGGTACTTTAGCACCAGGAAGTGCCGTTGGTAAGATTACTGGTAAAGAAGGTACCTACTTTAAGGGAGCTGCCAGAGTGTTTGACAATGAAGAATTGTTCATCAAGGCTCTTGAAAAGGGAGAGATCAAGAAGGGAGAAAAGACCGTTTGTGTGATTCGTTATGAGGGCCCTAAGGGTGGTCCTGGTATGCCCGAAATGTTGAAACCTTCTTCAGCATTGATGGGTTATGGTTTGGGTAAAGACGTTGCATTGTTGACTGATGGTAGGTTCTCTGGTGGTTCTCATGGTTTCTTGATTGGTCACATCGTGCCAGAAGCCGCCGAGGGTGGCCCAATTGCCTTGGTTCACGACGGAGATGAGATTGTCATTGATGCTGAAAACAACAAAATTGACTTGCTTGTCTCGGAAGAAATTCTCGCTGAAAGAAAGAAGCTGTGGTCTCCTCCTGCTCCAAGATACACGAGAGGAACCTTGGCCAAGTACTCCAAATTGGTTAGTGATGCTTCCACCGGTTGTGTAACTGACTTGGACTAATTGGCAAAAGCTGAATTATATCTGTGACCGATCGCTACCTGAATAGCGGGTCATGGATCTGTACCTTAATATGCATATAGTATCCATGAATGGATCATTTCAATTCTATTGAGTCTCGTAGTAAATCAAGCATAAATTCTTGATCTTGTTTCAAGTCAGGGTACTTGTAACTTTCATCAATGTAAAAAAACGGCACTTTAAAACCTCGAAGAAGCTCATGGTTCTCGTTGCTTAGTTTCTTCATTTTATACGCCATACGCTCATCTAAGCTCCTCAAATCAGTTTCTGTTGCTTCTCTTAACCTTGCAATTTTACTTTCATTAATACTGCTAAGAATTTGTGGTCCTTTATTCTGGTAGATTTGACGTTTGCTTTCGTTATATTGCTCAATTATTTCATCTCGTTGCTTCTTGAAGTCTTCTTGGAAACTTTTATGCTTGATAATTAGCTCTCTTATAGCCCTAACCTTGATATCATCGTTAATAATTATTTTTTCAACATATTGAATTGCGTGATATCGATTGGTAATGTAGAGTGGATCAGGTAAATTCGGGCGTTTGTACAATGGGGCTTTTCCTTTTACAAGCTTCAAGTTTTGGTGAAGCCATGTAAAAAGCTTTGATTCGTAGTAATCTTTCTTTGAAAGAAGTTGAGCAAAATCGTCACTGTGTTTTTGTACGATTCTATCTACTATCGCTGCTTCGTTCTCGACATCGAGACCCATATATTTGCCATTCAACACCTTTTCATTGTAGACGATGCACTTGTGAATGGCTTCTCTGATTCTGTCGTAGTCCATCAAAATTTGAACTTTCGCGATATTTTGAAATTTGGTGATTCTACGATAATTTAGGCAGGTTTAATATACACTAACTCGTTCTTACCGTGTAGTCATCACCAGACTGGGTTATATAGCGCACCCAAGGGTATGACTGGTACTGTAATTTTGGCTCGTTGATTCTCAAATAACGAACTTGTATACCACTAGTGGTAAAGTACGGTATAGAGAATTTGGCCTTGATTGGGCGTCTCATAGTAGCCAATTCTTCAGGATCAACCACCGCTGGCAATCCCAATTCTGCTCTCATATGGAACTGTTTGCCTCCTGGGAAAGTTCGCAACTTCCATATTATGCATGATTTTTCAGGGTACCATTTGACAGTTCCGTATTCAGGAACAAATTTTGGGGTATCAGCATCTTCAGGAATTGGAATGACGATTTCCACGTTATTAGCGGTGGATTTTTTCTTGATCTGCGCCCGAGCAGAACACATTATTTCTATTCTCGAGTGTTTATGCACTTTGGTCTTGCAAGTTATCAAAATGAGAGGCTTCATCAAAAATTGCGCCAGAGACAATCTGTAAGACATGAGGGTGAATTCCCCATCGGGAGGAATGAACGTGATTATACGTTCGTTTTCAAACTTGGACAACCGAACACACTGATGGAACTTGATATCTTCCATTTCAATGCCTTTACTGTTTGTCGATTCACTCGAAGAATCGGCCGAAAAAATTCCCTTATCATTTAATCCCAATCGCAAATCGGGCATGCCACTAAGGTGCGATTTAATCTTGATTTCACCCAAGATCTCACTATTCAACACCTGTCCTTGGGCATTTATTAACATATTGATGGATTCCACCACATCCAAAAACGCCTCGTTTTTCTTGTAAAATATGCCTTCTTTTCTCCACGACACCGCGTTGGTGACAGCATTGGGTGGCTGAACAACCCGCAGAGGCGTATTTCTGATCAATCTGTAATAGTCCTGGGTAATGTACTCCTTGAGTATTTTTGTGTCAGTGGTTTGAGGAATTCCATAGTCCATAACTTCATCGAGCAATTCGTAAATAATGACAAAATTATCCCTGATTGATTCCTCCTCCAAACTCTTGAAATACAGAGTCAAAACCTCTATGAGTTTCAGGAGGAACACCACCAATGCCATGACATTTTCATTCTTTCTCGTAAGAGCACAAACGTACAAATTGTTGTGGTTTATATAGACGTAGTTGATGCCGTTGCTGTTGACAAAAGGCCGATAATTGGATTCATCTTCATTATCCAAATCAAGGAGTAAAAGTGGAAATTGATCTATAGCGTTTGCTGGGATGTCTCCCTTGTAGTCTCGGGATAAGAGAGACTTACCCTTTATATCTAGAAAATGCACTTGAGACGCCATAACTATGTGGAAACTGAAGACACCGATATGCGACACAGGGATTACCCGGCCGGGTGCGTGGAGGCACTCTCAGGGTTTTTGATCTGGGGTTCGAGTCCCGGCTGATGCAAACCACCTTGATGGCACCAAAACTCGTTTATTTACGTTGCACATCAACACGATTTGCTGCGGTCACTTTGTTTGTGCCAAGCGTTGCCAAGGCGATTCAACCTCTCACGATCACAAAGTACTGCACACAAGCGACAAAAATAGCATTCGACTGATTCATAAATATAAAAATACCGTCGCGAATGGTGGCTTACTTAACGCCGCACAAATAAGTGGGGTAGTCCAAGTTTGATGCTGAAACTCAGCAATAATATCGTGAATATTGTACCACATCTAAATCATTTATTTTGAAACAATCCCATTTCACACGTGCGCCAAGTCTTCGTTTCAAAGTTTGTTTTGCGCCCAAAAAAAGAATTGCTGCAAAGACGGCTTTTGTGCGGCTCCATTCTGCGAATAATGCCAAGTAAATGTCGCCAAATCACTCCAGACCCGGCAAAATTCTTGGTAGTGGCAGTGCTTGCGACGCGTGCTATTTGAGGCGGCAAGGTGTCAATGATCTAAACTTTATATAGCGTCGCTGGGGTCTACGGCAGGTACTTGATTCGCGGTGGTTATAAGCTCTGGGTACAGGATAATAGCGCCGATATAAAAAGCAAACCATTTACCGGGGTTTTCGCATTCACTTGTTTTTCTGCTGCAGTCTATCGCTTAAGTTGGTTTTTGGCCCGCACATCTTTTTTTATAAACACCACTACAATCCACTCGTTGTTTAATTTGAACCAAAAATGAAACTTTCAAACCTCGTCGGTCTTGCCTTGTCTGCTGTGTCCTGTTTGGCCTTGGATCCAGTGGAAGTTAAAGGTAATGCTTTCTTTGTCAAAGATTCGAGATTTTATATTAGGGGTCTTGATTACCAGCCCGGTGGATCTTCCACCTTGATCGATCCTTTGGCCAACCCAGATACTTGTGAGCGTGATATCAAGTATTTCAAGGAATTGGGAATCAATACCATCAGAATTTACTCCATCGACAACACTGCCGATCACGATGAATGTATGGAAAAGTTGGCGGATGCTGGTATTTACGTTATTTTCGATGTCAACATTCCTAACGCTTCCATTGCCAGAGACGACGCCAAGTGCTCGTACAACACCATGTACTTGAACGAAGTTCTTGCTACCGTGCTCAAAATGGCCAAATACGACAACACTTTGGGTTACTTCGCTGCCAACGAAGTCATCAATGACGAGGACAGCACCAAGGCTGCCAGCTATGTCAAGGCGGTGGTCAGAGACATGAAGACATTTATCAAGAACAGAAAGATTAGAGCTATTCCAGTGGGTTACTCTGCTGCCGATGTTGCCGAGAACAGATTGGAAACCGCCATGTACTTCAACTGTGGTGACGACGAAATGGCTCGTGTGGATATGTTCGGTTTCAACGACTACTCGTGGTGTGGAAAATCCTCGTTCAAAACCTCCGGTTATGACGAAAAAGTGAAGGATTACTCCAATTATTCTGTGCCACTCTTCTTCTCTGAATACGGCTGTAACAAGGTTACTCCAAGACCATTCACCGAAGTTGAATCTCTTTACTCCACTGATATGACCGGAGTCTTTTCTGGAGGATTGGTTTACGAGTACTCCGAAGAAGCTAACAAGTATGGTTTAGTCAAGATCTCAAGTGACAACAAAACCGTTACTCCAAATGACGATTTCGACAACTTGAAGTCCGAATTCTCGAAGACTCTGAACCCAAGTGGTGATGGTTCGTTCCAAGAAGACTTACCCCACAACAACTGTCCACCCCAATCTGATAAGTGGGAGGCTTCCAACAAGATTCCAGACACTCCAAAAGGTGCCTTGAAGTACATCAAGGGTGTTGAAGACCCTAAGGGTAACGGTTTTGATGCTAGCACTCAATGGGCTTGTGTTGCAAAGGGTAATGACGATGATGACAGTGGAGATAAGAGCACTAGAACTGGAGCAGGTTCTTCTGCAACCAAAGCCTCCGGTTCTCAAAGCTCTGGTGGATCTTCCAGCAGCTCGTCATCATCCAAAAAGGGTGATGCCGTTGTCGCTTCTGCTTCTGGTGCTTTGATCTCCCTCGCCTTGGCTGTGGGTGCCTTCATCATTTAGTAGCAAAACTTAGAGAAATAATACGTGTACTTTCTATACCTTCTGCTTAATTCCGTGCATCAACTCTTCCTTGTTGATCAAATGCCCAATGCTATCAATCTCTTCCAACAACTTGTCCACGTCGTAACACCAGTCGTTTAACAAGCTGTTGATATTATCAGGACTCTCCGATTTGCCAACCTTATCAAACTTGACGATGCCTTCGGGGCGATTTATCTTAGCTGAGATCATTCCCTTGCTCACCAACTCTGAAATGTAAGACTCCAGTTCTGTATTCGATAATTGAAGCAAGTAGGCTAATCGGTCAAGCCTAATAATCAGGTAGTATTTGTTGATTACTCGCAAGTTGTGCTCGACAATTCTGTTCTGCAAGTTCTTATAGTTGGATTCTTTGCGAAACATACAGTTTTTGCTGAAGTATTCTTCTTTGTAGGTGGCCTCAATTTTGGGCCAATGGATCAATTCATTAGTGGTGAACACCTCCAACAAGTCATAGATTTTGGCATCAACATTCTTGCGGAACACAGAGTTTGCTTTGATTTTATTTATCAAGTCCAGCTGGTAGTTATCGTAAGGTGCCAAAACAATGCAGTAAATGATTGTAACCAACAAATTGTCCAACTGAGGTTTATCCTCCTTTATCAATGGGATTTCAATCAACAAGAGCGAGTTTTTGACAATATCAATGAAATCGTTCTCATGGTACCCAATTTTGTTCAAGTCTTTCAAGTAGGTGGCTTTGTATAAATCGGCTTTTTCAAAATTTTTCAACGATTTGAGAAGAATCTTACGACTCAAGATACGGGCCTGGCCATAATCACCCTTTTTCAACGTCAATCTGATCTGTTCCAAGATGTAATCTATCTTTGTTGAAAATGTCATCAACGAGTAAGTTTCCACTTGCAAATCACACAAGATTTCTGTTGCCTTGTCCAAATTATCATACTTTTCCAAGTATATTTCTGACAACTTACGAGACACAATGGCACGCTCCAACTCCACAAAGATCTTTTTGTCAGACACAGTACGGATGGTTTCGATGAGTTTCACCTTTGTTTCCAACTCAGACTTATCATCGTCAGAAAGTAACTCCAACTTGTCTATGGTGGACTGAAGAAACTGCTGGATTGACGACTTAAGCTGACCATGTTTTTTGGACAACAAAGTGATCAACTCATTCAAGTACTCCCAGTCACGATTCTGTGCCAAAGTGTCGACAATCTTCACCAAAACCCGCTTGGAAGAAGCCACATCTGACGACTGTCTGGTTTGCTTTTCCAATACCAAGTATTTTTCGACGGCTGCCTTGTAGTCTGTCAATTTCTCAATCAACGGAAACTGCTCGTCCAAGGTTGCTGAGTAGTCTTTCTCAGCTTTCAAGGGATCTTCTCTTGACATGTTGTATGGAGAATAAGGCTTGTCCGGTGGCGCGAATGATTACGAAAATGTCGCACAGAGCGAATTCAAGACAATATTGAGTGCGAGGATTCAGCCATAAATACAGTAGTCGAGTAATTGAGTAATCGAATTATTGTATTAGGGGCGACTACTTTGTACAATTGAAATTGTTCGGCTCGCGGTAAAAGTTACTTGTCATTTCTCGTATGTGGTATTCCAAGTGAAATTCGTATTTTTATGACTATTACAGTGACTCATGGACCTTATAAAACGGCCCTTTTTCCCGTTTTCTTGATTGTGACAAAATGGGAAAAGTAGAATTTGGAAAGGAGTTTGGACGAAAACACTTCAATACAAGATCAGAGGACGTAATTGACGTGAATAATGGATCATTTGGTAACGTTCCCGATGTGATTTTGCAACTGTATTGTGACCATACCATGGAGCAAAACAAGTTTATTGAAAAGTACTTGAGGTACGACCAGCGTAAGGAGTACATTGATGCTTTGAAGGCGATTGCAAGTTTGGTGGATTGTGACTTCAAATCGTTGGCACTTGTGGGCAATGCTACCACCGCAGTCAACACCGTGTTGCGGTCGTTTCCCTTTCAAAAGGGCGATAAGATTGTCTATGCTTCCACAACGTATGGTGGATGCTCCAAGACAATAAAGTTTTTGGAAGATAAGGGACTCATTGAAGCGATTGCAGTGGAAATAAAGTTACCTGCTTCAGAAGACGATATTGTCAATTATTTTGCAGCAGCTATTGAAGAACACCTGCCCACGATGTGTTTCTTCGATACAGTTTCGTCCAAGCCGGCGCTAAGGTTTCCATTTGAACGCTTGACACAATTGTGCCGCGAAGAGAACGTTCTTTCGTTAATTGATGGAGCTCATGGAATCGGCCTCATTGATATTTCAATTGACACTTTGAAGCCTGATTTTTTGGTGAGCAACATCCACAAATGGTTGTATGTTCCTCGTGGCTGCGCATTCCTCTACGTTGATCCAAAACACTTTAGCAAAGTCCACACCATTCCGATTTCACACTCTTATCTTGCTGATGATCAAGTGTTGCCTGACCATCTTGAAGAATACAGGCTAATCGATAGATTTCAGTTTGTTGGCACCGAAAACAAAGCGTCGATAGCCACAATTCCCCAGGCAATAAAATTCAGAGAAGAGGTCTGTGGAGGTGAAAAGAACATTCAGGACTATTGCAATAAACTTTCCGAGGACGCAGCTGAAGAAATCACCACGAAAGTGTGGCCAGGAATGAAAGTGTTGAAAGTTGACGGTGCTCCAAGTACGGCATTATTTAATGTTCAGGTACCAATCGAGAAGTACTTGCCTACAGATTTCAACAAATCAGAGCTTGCAGATTGTTTGTTATACCTTGAGGAGCAAATATGCTTCAACCAGTCGACTTTTGTTCCATTTCTGATCTATTACAACAAGGTGTATGCTAGGTTTTCGTGTCAAGTGTTCAATACCGTCGACGACTATGTTGAGGTATGTTCCAGAATAGAAGCCGAAATGTCCAAGTTTTTCAGCTCAGGCAAGTATAAAGAGCTTTCTAGTCAGAAACATAGTGGTGCATTGTTTCAGCTCATAGAAACTTTAAGTCTATAATTTATTTAGTGTACTAAACTCTACAATTCGAAAGCTCAAACACAAGGATGTCAGATGCTCCCAACTTCTTTAATTCGTCCATGACATCTCCAATGCGTTTTCTAGACACCATTGCAGAAACAGCAACCCATTCTTCCTCTTCCTCAGATTTCTTCTCCAACACAGAAATGGTGGCAGATCTTCTTCCAGGCGTAACAGGCAACACACTTTTCAAAATGCTTCTAGGTGCATTATAAGTACAGACAACATAAGCTTTAGCAGCCATGATACCCTCGAAACGTTGGTGAATCTTCTTGACGAGTTCTGGGTGCTTTGGAGTCTTAGACGAAATCAAGTGCGCTGAAGTTTCCAAGATAGTTTCAATGGCCTTCAAACCAGCAGCTTTCATGGTTTCTCCACTTTCCACCAAGTCCACAATGGCATCAGCCACACCCAAAGCACAAGAAGCTTCTACCGAACCACCAACATACTTTACTTTTGTAGTAACATCAGAAGCTGATTCAACCTTTTCTACACCTTTAAAGTAGTCGGTGGTGAGTTTAGTGAACGAACTGACAATTTTTTTGCCCACCAATTGGTCAACGCTAGTGTACTCGCCTTCAGCAGGAACCTGGACTTGCAATTTACAATTTCCAAACTCCAAATCCAACAAATCTTCAACCGAATCGAACATGTCTGCTTCTTGAATCTGGTCAAGACCAGTAATACCCAAGTCACAATTACCCTCGCCCACGAATATTGGGATGTCTGCGGCAGGAAGGAAAATGATAGCGACTGGAAGGTTTGTAGAAAGAGCAATGTCGAGTCGGTTACTTCTTCTAAATTTGATATCGGCACCTTTCATGAGTTCACAACATTTTTCATAAAGTCTTCCCTCTGAAAATTAGTATTGAACAATGGACAAAACAACGTAGAAAAACTTACTTTTCGGCACAGCGAATAACAACCTATCAGGAAGATGATTTACCAAATCCATAGTTGCAAATTTTAGATATCAACCAACGTCGCAATGAGTCAAGACAGGGCCCGATCACGTGGGTTCAGATGATGTAATGTAATAAATATGCCAACTATTTACTTATAGGGTCTTCGTCTGAAGTGAAAGTGTCTTCCTCCTCTACGGCGGCATCGACGGCTGCATCGCTGCTGGAGTCACTATAATCGTCCTCGGCAGAATCTGGCACCGGTACCGGAGATTTTTGTGCGCGAGCGCTGTCACCGGGTGCCAGTACTACAAACCCGTTTCCATGGCCGTACCAATAGGTGTTAAAACTCCAATTGAGCAAGATTTTGGCCATGTGAAGCGGACTGAACTCCGGCCAGAGCCGGTCGCTGAACACCACCGAGCATTTAGGCAGAACCGACTGCCATAATAAGAAGTCCGAGAGTCGGTAGGTGCCCGAGGTACGAATCAAAAGGTCCAATGGAGGGGTGTATAAAAAGTGATTAAACGCCGATTCTGAGATCTCAAACTCCGGGTTGATAAGTGACTCGGCCACCACGTTTCGAATCAGCTGCGTCATGTCGTCTCTGGCGGTATATGGGAAGCACATGTAGAGAACCGCTCGCGTATTATTTTTGGTCATATCTTCGGTTTCCTGAACAATTTGCTGTACATCCACCGGAAGTAGTTTGCGGTTGCCCACAACCCGGAGCCGGACTCCGTATTTTTCACAAAGCTCACCGTGCTGCCGTATTTGGCAAAGTCTCAGTCTCGCCATATCCATAAGGGCTTCCACTTCGTAAGCCAGTCGCTTGAAATTCTCGATCGAAAATGCATATACTGTCGCACATTCCACCCCAGCTTCAAACAAAAGCTCGAGCACACTGGCCATGGTCTCAAATCCAATATTATGACCCTCTCTTATCTCCATCTTGTGGCTTCTGGCATACCTTCGATTTCCATCCATTATAATTGCCACGTGTTTGGGAACCGGTCCCGTCTGTATTATACGCCCAAAGAGTTTTTTGGCCCCGGTAAGCACCTGGTCGTACCCCGGGAACGTCGAGAGCTGTTCAAACATGGCGGTGTGGTGGGTGGAACCAGCGTGAATGTGGAAACTTGTCCTTGTGAAAAAGGCGCACCGGACTGCAGGTGGGGCGATGAAGGATGGGAGGAGGAAAGGAAAGGATAAGAAACGATAAGGAAGAAAAGTAATGAAAAACAAACCAAAGAAAATTTGAGGATTATAAAGATAATGAAATAAAAGATAATGAAAGAAAAATTAATGAAAGACAATGGACGAATTTTCTGTAGCACCCTTGTATTATATTCCTATCATATGGGTGGCTACCTGCAGGATATCGCATCGCTTAGAAATAATTCATTTTGTCTTTGCTTCTATCATGTCTGATACGGAGAACCAGGAGTATTCCGAAGAAGTCGAGTATGTCGACGCCAACGAAGTTGACGAGGAGGTTGTTGACGACGGTCGTCCTGAAGATATAGATGACGATATGGACGAAGATGATCAAATGGGCGATGACGAAGCCATTGAAATTGATATGTCAAACAATTCATGGAGTTATTTTGACCAGCATAAAGACTCGATATTCTGCGTATTCAAGCACCCGACGTTGCCCTTGGTTGCTACTGGCGGTGGAGACAATACGGCGTTTTTATGGACAACCCATTCGCAGCCACCTCGGTTTGTCGGTGAGCTTACCGGCCATAAAGAGTCAGTTGTAGCTGGTAGTTTCACAGCTGATGGTAAATTTGTCGTTTCTGGAGACATGACAGGGTTCATTCAAGTACACAAGTCGCAAAAAGGTGGTCAGAAGTGGACCAAATGCTCTGAGTTGGAGGAGGTGGAAGAAGTATTGTGGATTCAAACACACCCCGTTCTTCCCATATTTGCATTTGGAGCCAACGATGGGTCAGTATGGTGTTACCAGATCGATCAAAATGGCCAATTAGAGCAGCTTTTCTCAGGATTTCTGCACACGCTTGAATGCAACAATGGACAATTCATTGAAACTGCCGATGCACAAAATGATGTCCAACTCGTCACCGTAGCGGAAGACGGTACCGTTATCAACTGGAATGCATTTACTGGAACTGTGAACTACAAGCTTCTGCCAGACTCTGATTTCAAAAACGTGGAGAGTCCGTTCGTATCTATTAAAGCACACAAGAATATTATTGCTGTTGGCGGTCGTGATGGACAACTAGTTATCATAAATAACGATTCAGGAAAGGTTGTTCACACGGTTAAGGTTCTCGAGGATGTTGAAGATCAATATGAGCTTTCTTTGGAAGCATTAGCGTGGTGCCAAGCTCCGCTGGTCAACCTTTTAGCCGTGGGATTGGTGTCTGGAGATGTTATATTGTTCGACACATTACAGTGGAGGGTTAGAAGCTCTTTCAAGGTGGACGATGCAATTACGAAATTACAGTTCATTGAGCAAACTCCCTTCCTCGTGGGCTCGAGTATGAATGGAAGAATTTACAAATGGGATGCTCGTACTGGTGCTGAGGTTTTCGTGGGAATGGGCCATAATATGGGAGTATTGGATTTTGCAATTTTGGAAAATGGTTCCAAATTCGTAACTGCCGGTGACGAAGGGGTATCGTTGGTGTTTGTGCCTACCGCTTAACGGAAAAATAATAGATGTAGCATAGAGTTCAATGGTCGTACTATACTCAGTCCGACCGACTAAATACAGTCCTAAATACTGCGAAACATTTCATCGCGAAAAACGCGTCTTCATAGAATGACAGTAGAAGCCATGGCAGATCCCGTACCATCACAAGCGGCTGTTCCTGCCGATTCAGGCGTATCTTCGTCTGATATGCTCTTCTTTTACCAAAGATTACTTCCTTTTCGTCAAATTTTTCAATGGTTGAATCATTCACCAAAGCCTTCAAAAGACTTCACTATGCGTGAGTTTGCATACGAGTATAGAACTGGCGCATATCAGCGTTACAACTCGTTCTCCAATCTCGAAGAATTCAAAAAGTCAGTGGTTCAAGCAAATCCTACAAGATTTGAAGTCGGTGCGGTTTATTCTGTCAACCCCAAAGAGAGGAAACGGCTTCCCAAACAGGCTCTCAAGCCACTTGCAAAAGAGTTGGTATTCGATATCGATTTGACAGATTACGACGAAATTAGAACCTGCTGTTCGGGAACCGATATCTGTAAGAAATGCTGGCGTTTTATCCAGGTTGCAATCAAGATTCTCGATGCCGCGTTACGAGAAGATTTTGGGTTCAATCGCTTAATATGGGTATTTTCCGGAAGACGTGGTGCCCATTGCTGGGTCAGTGATGCCCGCGCACGTTGCCTTGATGAGACAACTCGAAAATCCATTGTGGAATACCTAGATGTGTTGGGATCTCGACTGAATCGCCAAGGCAAGAATCTGCTCAGCTTGAAGAGACCATTCCATCCGCATGTTGAGCGCTCATTCGACCTTCTCAAAAACGAGTTTGTCGATATCATACTCAAGGAACAAGATCCTTGGAACACATCATCAAGCGAGCCCTCCGACAAAAGTTGGGAACAAGTCGAAACTCTCCTTTCTTACGTGCCAGAGAAGCCTCTCCAGGAGGAACTTCGTCGCAAATGGAAACTGCAGACATCGGTTTCCACCTCCATGTCAAAATGGGAGGACATAACCGTGATTGCAAAAAAGATACTCAAGCACCAAAACCAAGTTAACGCTCTCAATGAAGCAAAGAAGGATATCATTCTCTTCTACATGTACCCACGTTTGGATATCGAGGTGTCCAAGCAACTAATCCATCTTCTTAAATCTCCCTTCTGTGTCCACCCTAGCACTGGAAATATCTGTGTACCCTTCGATCCTCATCATAACTTGTCGAATAACGAAGAAGATGACGACTATGGTTTCAACCCTACAAATGCGCCAAATCTTAGGCAGCTTCAAAATGAGATTGAAGTCTGGGACGTAAGGAGAGTGAATCGGGACTCTAGCCAACCATTGGAAGACGGTGAATCGGAAGCTGACAAAAGAATATCGGAATATGAGAAAACTAGCTTGAAACCCTACGTCGAGTATTTCCAGAAATTCGTCAACAATCTTCTCAAAGATGAATTGAAGGATTCCGGCAAAAGAGGTCGCGATGATGACACTTTGGAGTTTTGAAGATATGTACTGGCTAATCTACGTCACCGGGCATTGAGGTTGGGTGAAATAACCTCGATCTCTGCCTGTCATATCTTCAAGTGTTCCGCTGCTATTTTTAATGACCATTGAATGTTGGCGCACACCGTTTCCTGTTGAAGATTCAGGTGGCAGTGGACTCTTGGACTTGTTGTCGTCATTGTGGTACCACTCAAGATACTCTAGTGTATCATTATATCTGACATACCCAGCTGTCATAAATATATCACCCACATTCAAGAACGGATAATGCCATTTTGGCACAAAGACAATTGTAGGAATGTTCTTTTCAACCAATTTGTGATCCAAAATTACTGTGAAGGCAAATGCAGAAGACTTCAAGTCAAACTCTGCAACCTTCAATACACCAGACAGTGCCACAACGAACGGCCTAATTACAGCACTAACAGCACGGACACCATCTGGAGAGGGATAACATCTCCTTATATGTTTCTTATGAACATTCTCAGAGTTATGTGAAATAAGACTGGATGAGGTTACCGACTGAGCATCGCTGAAATCAAAATCCTGGGTGGTCTCAGCATCATCAGATTCTGTCTTGTCAAGAGTTTCGGTTTCACTTGCAGACGATGGATATATTTTGTCAAATGTTCCCAAATTCAATCGCTGACATTTGGCTCTCAACAATGAAGTATAATCTTGCACAGTCAGTTTCAAAGTAGGGACTGCGACACGAGCGCTTGGTGTTCTCTTTGGGGTAGTAACCCTTCCGACAGATGATCTCCTCAGAGCAGATCTAGATATAGTATCTTCATTCAACGAAAAATCCAAGTTCCTGTCCTCCGGGGACCAGAATGAGAAGTCTTCATTGTTCCATCTATCACCCCATTTATGGCAATTGACACTGGTATAACACCACCATGTGTGGTGGATTCCAGTTCCTTCCAAGGCGTAGCTCAATGCGTCGAGTGCTCCGGTTTGAGAATAATACCTGCCATCTTCGTATGCCCTTTTTCCATCCATATCGAATGGCATACCGGTTTCTGACATCAAGACGGGAATATCACCCAAGCATTCCTTGCATTCCTGCTTGATCTCTAAAAACTGCTTTTTAATACAGTTTCGAATTGCTCGTTCTCCGAACACAATTCCTAAAACTGGGTTGAAGTACCGGCCGCGCATGATCCCTAATGTATCAACATTGAACTTGGTGTTCCAAGTCTTGAACATTAGCGACATACCATCGTAATAATGAGGACAGTAGACGGTTTTAGAATCGATGATGTTTCTTTCATCGTCCTTGATGGTCGGAGGCTTTTCCAAAACAGGCGGCTGAAATAAACACAAAACAGTTTGGGTCAATATCACGAACAATCTTTTTAAACCGAATGTAAAACTCCATAAAGTTGTGGTTGGTGAAAAATTCCATGTCCACTCCCTTTTGTGTGAATCCTTCTTTCACTTTAAACTGATGCTTTTCAGAATACTGGTTGAAGAAATTGGGCAATAGCAACTCACAGTTGTAAAGTGATAAATCAAGACGTTCCTGTGGAGTCATATCCTTCAATTCATCAACATTGACACTTTTGTCCCATTTCCAGATTTTTGCCAGAGCAAATATGCATTCACCAAGCTTCCAACGAGGATCCCTTTTCCAGCCATATTTTTTATCAATTTCTACGGCTTCCTCTTTTGTTAGCCATGCAATTGTACCTTCTGGGTCAACCACTTTTGTCCCATCTTTCTGTGGGCCAGTTATGGTGATCTTGTACACATCGACTTCGCATGCAAAGCCCATACCCAACTTGAACGATTGGTAAATGGTAGGAGTTGTGCCCACACGAAGCTGTTGTTTTCCAGGAATGTGTTTAAGATGTTCATGACCCATCAATCCGCAATTAGGTTCGTTGATCAGCTCAAAGCCAAGTATAGTTCCTTTTCGAAACATGTCAGGAAGTGTATCATGAAGTTTGCTCCAAAAGTAGGAAATGGTATCGAAGTAGTGTTTTTGCAAGTAGTCTTGGATATTCATGCCATTTATGCAAAGTTGAGGAAAGTAATTTCTTCCTGAAAAGAACAAGGTGAACATGACCAAAGAAGCCAAACGCTTATAATTGGATGTCCAAATCATCTTGGGGTAGTCGTCTGGCTCTTCTGGGTGGTGAAATCGGGGGTTATTATGCAAAAGGGCTGCTTCAGTTGCATAGAATCGAGTGGGTTGCAATCCGGCAGCATATAGAGTCCACATGGGTGCACCGCTTCCACCACTAAATCTGGACCACACGTCCTGATGGGTTTCAAAAAAGACGTAGAGTCCACCGACAGAATCCATAATTCGAAGAATTTTTATAGTATACTCGATGAAATCATCGTCGTATTTTCCAGGACCAGAATGTTCAATGGCCTCCCAGGTGATGAGATACCTTATGGTATTGTAACCCCAAGACTTGATACGACGAAAATGGTCTTCCGCTTCATCTAGGGGGAACGGTCTGCCAACAAACGACACGTTATCGCCCTCAAAGAAGATGTTGTTGGGATCTCGACAATCTCCATCATAGCTATGGATTTCCGGATTGTTGGGTAATTTCATGGCTCCGTCCAAATTAATGCCACGAAGCGTCCGACGGCGCCCCTGGGGATCTACAAACCCTCCTTCACCATCAGTTTCGAGTGGCTGGCATTCCAATATCGAATCGGATGTGACATCCTCAGTTGGCGGGATGGACTCTTGACCTTCAAACTGACGCCTTAGAGGCCTTAAACCCACCGAGGAAACAGAAGAGGTGCTGTTGTATAAGTTGACTCGATCCTGAATGGCCTCCCTGGCATATCGAGCACCCTTCATAAATATATGTCAATAGAATCGATTCGTTTGTCAAGCAAAGGACCCCACTTATTTTTCGCGAGTCACATGCAGCATGCCAGACAGTCCTGCACGGTTTAAGCGAGCGGCTGCAAATAGTGAAGGAACAATAAGTAGCTCAATAGGAAAGAGGCTTATAAATGCAGTATATTACGATGTACGATTTCTAATTGGTTGCACTTTACGCATTATCATTCAACAATTCAAGCGCCTTGCGCTTGGTCTCGGCATGGGCACTGAGTCTCCACAGATTTTGGTCTTTGGAAAACCGATCATAAAGCGGCACAATTTTTTGTCTCTTCTTCTTGTCACTGAGCTGTGCTGGATTGGAGGCACGGAAGAAAGCAGGCGCCAACTCTGGAAGCCAACGAGGGTCTATCACAGTAACACAATGCATGTACTCTTTGGTGGTTAAAAGCAAAGTGTGATAAATGACATATTCTGGATTTTTGTTGAACAACAGTGAAGACGGGTGCAAAGACACTGGGGTTCCTTCCACCAAAGTTTTGAAACCTTCCTGAGGGTCCCTTTTGGCGCAATTCTTGAAAAATCCACTGCACAAGGCACGCCTAATACGGTCAACTTTGGTTCCACATGTAACGATTTCATGCCCAAACCGCCGCATAATAGTCACAAGTTGTCTTCTCACTTCCTGGGCTCGTCTCATACTTCTCTCGTGAATGAAATTATTGGAACACCATTGTTTGCTGGACCCGTTCATAGACCATGCTCGGTATACGTTGAGCAACGTCAAGTGGTCACCAAATGGACTGTGGAATCGAGCCTTCCGCTGATCTGCTGCAACCGCCTTGTCTTTGGGCCTGTAGAATACCGATTGCACAGAAAGCATGGCCACAATCGACAAGATATCTTCCGAACATCCAAACTCAACCGAGGCAATAAGCGTCTTTGCAAGACCAGGATCCATAGGAAAATCTGCCATTTTACGACCCAAACCCGTCAAATACCCGTCGTCGCCAAGGGCAGAAAGTGTGTACAAATCCTGGAGTGCAGTAACCATAGTACTGGCTGGAGGGGGATCCATGAACTCAAAGTTGACGAGGTCGTTTATGCCCATGGCCTTCAACATTAGGATGGTATAGGCAAGGTTTTGTCTTTGTATTTCAGGAACTGTGTTGGGAAGCATCTCATTACGATATGCTGCTTCAGTATAAAGCCTGTAGCACTTTCCAGGTCCAGTACGTCCAGCACGTCCACTTCTTTGATTCGCTTGTGCTTGACTAATGGGAGAAACTTTCAAAGTATCCATGCCCAACTTTGAGTCAAATGCATTGATCTTGACATATCCAGGATCAATTACATAGTATATCCCATCAATGGTAACCGATGTCTCTGCGATATTAGTGGCCAAGATCACCTTACGAGCTCCCGCTGGTGTTGGCTCGAATATACGACTTTGCATTTCTGAAGGAAGTGCTGAATAAACAGGTAAAATTATTAGTTCACCAGCAGCTTCTCTCAACACCTTCATTCGCTGGTATAGGATTTCGCAACTCATGTCGATCTCTTCTTGACCGGTCAAGAAAACCAAAATGTCACCTGGACCTTCTGAAACATGAATTTGAACCACCGAATCCAACGCAGCAGCCAAGTAATCAACCTCAGGTTCTTTAGTATACATTATTTCCACCGGAAATGTTCTGCCTGGAATCTTCATAATAGGGCAATTGAAAAAGTAATTCGAGAACTTTTCCGAATCAAGGGTAGCAGATGTTACTATGATTTTGAGGTTGGGGTTTTTCAGCGCTGCCTGCTTCAACAAAGCAAACAAAACATCAGTTGCAATAGTTCTTTCGTGAGCTTCGTCTAACATTATCACGGAATACTTGCTCATCTCCTTGTCATTTAGTGCTTCTCGTTGAAGCATACCATCGGTCATATACTTTATTCTGGTATTAGGTCCAGTTTTGTCATCGAAACGGATCGTATAGCCCACAGTTTCTCCGATCTTACATCCAACTTCTTCGCTAACTCTCTTGGCAACAGACTCTGCTGCCACTCTCCTAGGCTGAGTGCACCCAATCAATTTGGTCTGGTCACCTTGTTGGTTAAACCCTTCCTCATAAAGGTATTGAACTATCTGCGTAGTTTTACCAGAACCTGTTTCACCTACAATGACAAGAAACTGATTTTCTCGAACAGCTTTCACAATATCATCACGCATAGAAAAAACTGGCAAGGTTTCTCTTTGTTCTTTAATAGGCAAGTTTGTACGTTTACCAAATGAAACTTTGGTTTTCTTTTCTTTCTCTCTCCATTCTGATATCACCAGGGTCGTAACTTCGTCTCTTACTTTACGAAGAGGATCTTGTGAATAACTCTCTTTTTGCTTCGCCTGCTCTTCGTTGATTTTAGCTTCTTTGAACTCCTTGGCTAAACTCGATCCATTTTTGGCAGACCGTTCCATGGATCCTTCTGGGTTCTTGATAATCTTTATGGGTGCCAACTCGATCGCTTCTTTGACCTGGCCCTTCAAAAAACCAGGCTCAGTATCGTTAAGCTCAATGTCAATTTCCACTTCCTGGTCCATATTAGCATTATCTTCTTCGCCGCCAGAATGGTCAAGATCATTTGAGGTGTTAATATCATTGAGTTCAGGGTATTCACTAGCATCAACTGCTCCTGAAGCTATAAGTTGTCTAATTTCCCATCTCTCCGGAGAAGTGAGTCGTCGTCTTTTTTGTGCCGTTCCTTGACGCTGCAACTTTCTCTTCTCTCTTTCTACTTGTTCTTCTTCTGCCAAATCTTGAAGTTCCTGTGACTTGTCTAACCCTGTATCTTGATCTATACCTCTCATAGACAAGCTAAACCTCTCACGCCGCCCTTGTGTCTCTATTTTGGTAATTTTCACAAACACCTGCTGATCGACTTTAACAACTTGTGATGGTGACAGGATTTTGGTTCCAGTGAACGTTAACTGCGAAACATGGCATAACCCAACCACCGACTTTTTACCAGATTGCAAACGAATAAAAGCTCCATAAGGAACTATATTACTCACAGCTCCAGTCACAATCTCCCCCACTTCTAATTTCGGCTCATAGCCTTCACTACCGGGAATCTCATCTTTGATTTGGGACTCTTTCTTGATTTTGGGCTCTTTCTTGATGTGAGATTCCTGGGGTTCGATTTTCACATTAGGAAGCGATAAGCCAGAATAAATGGGCTCTGACTTGACAGGATAAGGTTGAGATTCTTTCTTTATAGGATTCAGTAAAATGTTGTAAATGTCATCGACAAATTGAGATGGAAACTCGCCTCCATTTTTCTTGAGAGTTTCTGAAAATCGAGACACATCAGAGGCTCCAGATTCTTTATACAAGTTCAGTATGAACTTGGAAAGCGTATAGTCTTCATCCTGTAGACTCAAATGTCGGTTGATACAGGTGGCGATCTTCTCTATTATGGGGTCCACCTTATTCATGCAGAAGAGATGCGATGCGCGACGTTTATGGGAAGAGAATAAACTGGGGAAATTAAGACGGTGATGCGAGAAAGAATACATCATAGGATAAATTGAGCTTTTGTCTTATTGACTACGTTCAGATCATACTGTATTATTCTATAGACTGACATCTTACTCCACAAGCTTGATACCTTCCTTATCGACCACTTTGATGTAGCAGCCCTTAAAGTCGATAGGCATTCTTGTCTCCAATTCTTTGATACACTTCTTCAACAAGTCAAGACCGTCTTCAAAGTTCATTCCCTTTTTATAATGTTTATCCAACAAAGATGTACAGTAAAAACCAGCATAACCATGAGCTGCGTATGGCAATTCCACCTGGGTTCCCAAGTAGTCAATCCAGTTCAAGCTGGGTTTTCCAGTATTGGTATCGTAGCCTGCTAGTAACACATTCACCTGATAAGGCTTTCTGGATCTTATGGAAGTTGCAAGTTGATTTCTCACAAATGAGGCAGTGGCCTTGGGTGATAATTCTGTGTCATTTTCCCGCATGGTGTACAACTGAGTATTGGCCTGAATGTATTCGGCAAATTGAACCGTGTCTCCTGCTTCTCCAGAATACGCCATTAAATTATGACTGTTAAGTTGACGAGTTTTATCATCGGTGTCTTTCAAAACAGAAATACCTCTGGTTGCCGCTTTCGATGTAGCGACCAAAGTACAGTCCTCGACTCTAATACCCAATACGATATCCATCACGAATGGGTTCTTATTGACGAATTAACTTGGAAGGTTCGAATCAAGTAAGATACAAACTATGAGATTGAAATTTATTTGTTCAGTCTTGATTCACCAGGCACTTCAAGATGCAGGTTAATGGACGGAAATGCAGAATCACAATGGAAATATTCGTAACTCAAGATTGAATGTAGAATTGACGTTACTCTTTAAACTGAACCACCTCGACCAACTGTACGCAGTTTGCCACTATCGTGCGAGACTCATAAATTAGCTGGTGATTGACAGTGCGGACACAAATAGGTATAATCCGTGATTTACAAACTTCCAAGTACGATTAAGGTACATTCATTTTAATTACTCAAGTTCGTTCATAATCTAATTTCTCTTCAATACGTCGTCCACTTTTTTCTCCACGAGCTTGCCAATAAGCGTAGACAAGGGACTAGTCTCATCCTTAATATAACTAAGAAGACTAAGCTCGATTTGCTTCTCGATCAACTTTCCAGTTAGATCAACTTCTATGTTCACAGAGTCTCCACTATTCTTCAATGGCATGATGACTTTCTCCTGGGTATAGCTCACCATCAGAATGGAAAACTCAGACTGCTCATGATCAACATCTGTTACCGTAAGCGAGGTACCATCAATGGCAATAAATCCCTTTTCCACTATGTATTTTCCGTACTGGCTGTCTCTGAGCTTGAACGTAAAGTTAATAGCATTTCCATCACCACGACGGTTCACAATTGTTGCAATAGTATCAACATGTCCTTGTACTACATGGCCACCCATGCGTACATCAGCCTTTACTGCTCGCTCAAGATTCACCTTTGATCCCGGTTTTAACTCGCCCAAGTCAGACCGACGAAGGGTTTCAGGGGATATTCCCACTTTAAATTGAGACCGAGCCATATCAAATTCCGTAACTGTTAAACATACTCCATTCGTGCAAATTGAATCTCCCAATTGTACATCTTCCAAAATCTTCAGGCAATCACCTATCACCATTGAAACCCCGTCACCACCAGAGGCGGTCGTGTCCTTCTCCGTGACTTGTAAAACGGTACCAATATGCTCCACTAAACCTGTAAACATTATCTTTACCGTTCTCGATTTAAGCTTCGGTATCATACCGGGGACTGCATACAACAATATGATCTGCCCAGCCAATAGTGAATTTTAATGTTTTGGAAGGCTGGAAACTGAGTCCTCTAGTGTTATGCTGAGAGCTCCAGCTAATGCACATCTTTTATCGTTTACTTTTCGTCTTCCTCTCGGTAAGTGCTTCCTCTCTAGTTGAAATCACATCCATACACCGGACCACTAATACTCAATTTTTCAATCTCACGGCTGTTCAACATGCCATTTCGGTTCCCGGTGGAGTTTGAGCTTCCAAAGCACTGTTATTTGAATGCTCGTGTGATAAAGGACCAGTTTAAGCGCCTTCAGTTTGCCGAGCACGAAGTCACCAGAAATGCCTTGAAATATATTGCCAGGAACACCGAACTTCCTCCAAGAGTTAGGCTTGAAGCCCAATTGCAACTCACGTCTATGCCCAAATATACCTCGTACACCCAGGTTAAGAACAGATGTGTTGCTTCTGGCCATGCCAAGTCAGTTTTGACCGACTTTAAGTTGAACAGAGTAAGTATTGAAATTCTTCATGCTTTGATTTTCCCCCTACTAACATCAGACCGCATTTAGAGAACGGGCCCGTGCCGGCTTAATACCAGGAGTGTCGAAAGCCTCGTGGTAATCATGTATATATTGTATAGTAATAGACCATAATTCCTTTGTGCTTAGAATTTTGTGGGCCCTCTCCATACATTTCGCGAAAATTATTTCAGAACCACAAGTAGATGATATCCAGCTGGCGATGTATTGGACTCTCTGGTCCTGGTTTGAGCAGATCTTTGGCTGCTTCTCGAAGCCTCTCGTTAAAGCCTAACTTCTCCAAGTTGAAAAAAATTCCCCAGCCACCTGGTTTCGTGGTGGGAACAGTCAACGATGCATACGTTCATCCCACTCCAAACCACTATGAAGGAGGATACCACTGGACATACGACCGGGCGATTGCCATTGCCATGGTTCCGATGGCGTTGACTCCTTTTGTTGCTGGCGTTGAATATCCGATTATAGATACCATGTTTTGTTGTGGACTCTTATTCCACTGCCATAGTGGTTTCAAGTCTTGTATCATTGATTACATCCCAAGACGAGTATACGGCGTTTGGCATGGACTTGCTTCCAAGTTGTTGGCACTTGGAACGGCGGTGGGACTTTACGGGATATACGTTCTTGAAACCGCCAATAATGGTCTCTTTGACTTGGTCAAATCCGTGTGGTATCTGTAAATACAAATAAATGTAAATACAATTGAATCACAAATGAATCACAAGAAAGTCAATGTGGTTGAGGGTAATCAAAGAGCGTAGATGTCACCGACACCAACTTGTCGATTGCGTTAATCATCTTGTGTATGTTTTCGTTAGTATCTTCTTTGTACCCTTCTCTTTCCGGATTTACGATAATTTCACTAATTCGTGACAAGGTGAAGGGAGGCAGAGTACTAAACTTGTCTTTTAGTTGTTGAATAGTTTCTTCTATTGTTTCATTTAGTTTATTCCCTTGTTTATTTTCAAAACTCTGAAGCCATGACACGAGCTCTGGTAACACAGTGACTTGCCAATACAGGTCAAAAATGGGTTCAAAGGTCTTTTGATTGCAGAGGCGCTGGAAGATACTTTTGTCAATTGTCCTCGGTACAGTAGGGTCTACCATGGAAAATACAGATGTGAGGTGTGAGATAAATATAACGGCTGCAAATGCGCGCTAAGCGTTGCGAGAACAAACAGCGAGAAGAGTGAAGAGAAAAGGTTTAAATATAGGAAAGGTAGATAAGGTCAAGTAGAGAAAGAAGAAATACATTGTTAGTATAATGTTAAACTACACTGTTTAATTTATATATCACAAAATTTATTTGCAAGGGAAACACGTTGTTCAAAATAAAGAGTAAAGAAAACGAAACAAACGAGAGGAATTATCTGAAATTTCCTCATGCTTACTTCTCCACTGCTTCTTGTTACCTTGGCTGTATACGTATAGTGTCTACATTGGCCCGTCCCAGATTTACGCGCCGTGTAATTTTTCGCACACACCAGAATTTTTCAACTCAAGCACCATTTGTACGTCATGTCTATAATAATGAAAAGCTTGCTTCGGCAAGTCCAGTTGCACCCAACAACGCCTCGTGGTTTGGCCGGAACCATAGCTACGAGCTTGAGGTTCAACTCGTCCAAAACAGCCGAAAAGACATCCAATATTAGTTTAACTGCCCAAGTCTTTCCATTGCATAAAGAGAATATCACCGAGTCAGATGTTGATGAGTGGTTGAACGCAGTCAAACAAATGCGCAAGAATGGTACAGGCGGAGCCTCCAACGAACTGGAGGTTTTCATATCCCAACTAGCACAACCAGAACCTTTTTTACAAGAAAAGTTCGAGCCAACCGCCGAGCAGTTGGCGGAAGTCGAAGCATTTGCCAATAAAAAAGTACCTTTGCCCAAAGATCCTATGATTGAAAATTTCACCAACCTTATCATGAGACACGGAAAGAAGTCAAAGGCTCATAAAATACTTTCTCAAGCATTATATATCGTTTACTTGAAAACGAGAAGAGATCCAATGCAAGTTCTTGCAGAGACTTTGGACAAACTTGGTCCACTTATGAGCACCAAAGTCGAAAAGACTGGAGCTGCCAAGAATAGAACCGTTCCCTATCCTTTAAATCAAAGACAACGCAATCGGTATGCGATTACTTGGATCTTGGAAGGTGCTGACAAGAAGAAATCGTCAGATTATTCGGTAAGATTGGCCGAAGAAATCCTTTCTGCCTTTGAGGGCAAGTCTTCTGGATATGATAGGAAGGCACAGATGCATAAATCGTCCATTGCACACAGGGCTTACATCAGATTGTGAGAGCCACCAACTTGTACATAGTGTTTGTGGCATATACAAATAAAAAAACACAGACATACATAAAACCATGCTGGATGCTTTGAAGCTAAAATACCGCCAGGTTCGGTTCAATGTTCGCTTTGCAATTGCTGACTATAAGCAACGGTATTACACTAATTCCAAGAATTCTCGAGTGATTCATACCAAGCTTCAAAATCAACCGCTTATTACCCTTCGGACTGAACCACACGATAAATACTTGCATTCGCCAGGAGAGTTTCTCAAAGTGCCAGAAGAGACCGAAAACAAGGAACAGGTGGATTTCTTTGACTCCCAGAGTAATATGGATGCTCATTCGGTGATGGTTCCGAATGTAATTGCAACTGAAAATAAGTGGAATATTACCTCAATGCTAGGAAAATTTGCTGCTCTAATGCCAGTTGTGACCAAGGAGAATGTAGAGCATGTCAAGGAGGATGGAAAGAAGGAAGAAGTGTTGGAATCAGATGCCTTGATTGGTGTCTTGGAATCACAACCAATGGCAGTTAATGTGAATGTGAGCGAAGATCATGAAAAATTGGCATGGAAAAGCATTCTCAATGACGCTTCTCTTTCCGCTGCCAGGATCTCCGTCGGAATTGATGTCCCTCAGCTGAGAGACTCATACATCAACTTGGCGGCCGACTTGACTGCTGCAAAGGCAATTTGCAGCCATTCTGACCTGCCACAAAAAACCGCCAGAAAGCTTCAAAATGAACCATTCAACTCGGTACTGTCTCGAAAGAGCGCCTACTATGGTATTTTGTCTCTTTACAATGAAGTTGAGTCCGATATGGAGAGCCAGAAATAGGAGAGTAAGTGGTGCGAGATTGAATTATTGCCAGATTCTAAACAGCTCAAAAACAAAGTAGAGGTAAAATCAGTAAGCTTGATAACCAAAACTACCTTTAACTAGTCAACAACATCTATTCAATCTGCTTGAAATTGTAGTTTATTCATGCTGGGCATTGACAGAAGGTGGCTTACCTGCAGTACCATAAGAAATATACTTTTACAACTGTTTCAAGCGACTTATGGCTCATTCGAGCCGTTTTGCGTCATTTGCAGCTATATACCCCCCACTACCTCCCACCCAAATCTCAATATGTGGCCCTTCCCATTCCACGCTCTCTGATTGGTCAAAACCCAAGTCGCACAACTTCTCAAATTTTCAAACCATCCAACCATACACAGACGTTTAATTATGATTCGTGGATCAGGTGTTCGTAGTGCTGTCAAGTCCTTGGCTGCTCGCCGTTTCGTGTCTACTGCAAACAGTCAGACCAAATATGCAACTTTATCGAATGGAGTCACCGTGGCTACCGAATCCAATCCTCATGCCGAAAGTGCTACTCTTGGTTTATGGTACACTGGAGGTTCTAGATCGGAACATCCATACAGCAATGGTGTTTCTGCATTGACCACCAACTTATTGGCCACCAAGAGTGCCAATGGCATTCTTTTCAGCAGTGAAAATGGTAAAGAATTCAACGGAGTTATTGCACAAACCACCAATGACAATGCCAAGGAGGCCGCCAAAGCTATTGGTGAAATCGCCTCTTCTGCTTCCAGTGTGATCGGAAGTGCCGATGCTGGTGCTGTGAAAGCCGCTTTGATTGCTGAGGCTGCTAAACTTGAAGCTACTCCTTCCAAGATGGTATTGGAACATTTGAACGCTACTGCTTTCCAAGGTTACTCTTTGGCTTTACCAACCTTGGGAACCACCGAGTCGATCTCTGGTTTGGAAACCCAGGATTCCGAGCGTTTCTTGGACAGACATCTTGTAGGTTCGAACGTGGTGATTGCTGCTTCCGGTAACATCAACCACGACGAATTGGTGGATGCTCTCGAATCCTCCGTCAACATCAAGCAAGGATTGAAGCCACAAGTCAAGCCTGCCTCCTTCTTGGGTTCTGAGGTCAAGATGAGAGACGATACTTTGCCAAAGGCTTACGTTTCTCTCGCTGTTCAAGGTGAGGGTATTACCTCCCCAGCTTACTACGTTGCCAAGGTTGCCGCTGCCATTTTCGGAGACTTCGACCATCACTCTCCTGTGGCTTCGTACACCTCCGCCAAATTGGCTTCGAGAGTTCAAGAGTATCACATTGTGGACAAATACACCCACTTTTCCACCTCTTACTCGGACACTGGTTTGTGGGGTTTCAATGCTGAAGTCTCTAACGTTACTTCGCTTGATGAATTTGTCCATTTCACCTTGAAGGAATGGAACAGATTGTCCACTTCAATCTCCGACGCCGAGGTTGCTCGTGGTAAGGCTGCCGTTAAGACCGCTTTGTTGAGTGAATTGAACTCGAGTAAGGCTATCGCTTCCGACATTGCTTCCAAGGTGTTGTTGGCTGGCTACAGAAGCTCATTATCTGAAGCTTTGGAAAAGATCGATGCTATCGAGACCAAGCATGTCAAGTCGTGGGCCCAAGCCACTTTGTGGGACAAGGACATCGTCATCTCCGGTACTGGACAGATCGAAGGTTTGATGGACTACAACAGGTGGAGAAACGGAATGGCCATGATGAGATGGTAAGCTTTCTCACTGCATCATTAGACATAAATAGTCAGAAAATAATATATTGTCTACGAATATAACCCTATAAGAGACCACTCTTTTTGAGATTTTGTTGGACAATCATATCAGTTACCGCTGAAAGTACAAATTTCATTGAATTGATATCGGTAGCACACGTTCGATGCACATAAATGGGACGCTTTGTTCGATTCAAGTTGAGAAATGTTTGCTCAAAGTACTTGATTCCATCTTCATAACTGTCTGGTGGACCACTATAATCAGCAAAATGTCTCCTGATGGGAGATTTGGTAATTTTGCGTTCAAAAATATCAATTTTGTTCATAAAGAGAATAAATGGGGTATTAGAAAACCATTGCGAATTGCACAAGGTATCAAAGAGAACTATCGATTCTCGCATACGGTTCACCCTCTCATCTTCAAAAAGGACTTGATCATACTCCGAAACTGCCACCACAAAAAGAATTGCAGTAACGTTTTCAAAACAGTTGATCCATTTTCTTCTTTCCAGTCGCTGGCCACCAGCGTCGAGAATCTGAAATTTGAATGAATTTATCACAAAGTCTGTTTCGGTAATACCAGTAGTTTTCACCCTACCATTTAAGATATCCTGATCATTACACTGGTAGTTGGGATCGGCAAAATTGTAGATGTTATTGAAGTAATAAACCACACTGGTCTCCAACTGGAACTCATTTGACCGATCAAAACAGCGTTTGATACCGGAATCTTCTTCCCACAACCGCCTAATTGCATCGGCTATTTCAAACCTACTGTATTGCTGATTTGCGTTAAGAAGAGGAACATCCACGTCATCGAGCACTTCTTCCCCCTGGTCTTCTAATGTGTTCAAACCAATTCCAACCATGCCAAGTGCCAAGCCAGTACTTTGCATTTTGCGTTTTCTGTTATAACGTTCACCGTACTTGAGAACATAATCACTCAAAAAGTTGACTCCCCCTGCGGCACCAGTATCGATTTGGCCCAATGCATTGGCCTGTAATACTATATGTTTACATTTTAGCAAAGGACTATCATCCTTATCGCACTCCAACGCAATCTTGAGCTTTCGAGCCTGCACTATCAAAATCTTCATTGACTGGATTACATCGGCCCAAATGATCTGGGAGTACTGTAGCCTTTCCTGCTGTGTAAACCCACCCTTGTGCATCAATTTGAGCTGCTTTAACACTGTGGATTTTCCACTTTCTCCTGCTCCCAAAAGCAATAGCCGCATTTTATCCTTTTCATTTGCCCGCCGAAAATTGAGACCCTGCTCAATGGCATCATTGATACGTTTGTCGTGATAATATGGATCATTGTCGTCTATGGGAGAACTATACCCACAACCCATGTTGAGCAAGTGGTGGAAATATGGCCCTTGTGTAATAAATCAATTTTGCAGCCGCAGCGTTATCACCACATTTTTGTTGCTGTCTGCAGGACCTAAGCTGTAACAATGAACCAAGTGTACAATAGTATGACAAGCATGCCAGTGATTGCGGCATGTTTCAAAAATTGCACTAATCCTGTCCTCTTAAGCATTGCACCTAATTCCTTCATTTTTTCTGCCATGGATTCTTGCGGCACTTTGGTATTTGTATAGTTGGGAATCGAGCTCATAACGACCTCTTTTGCTTCATCTTGTTCCTTCAAAAAATCGGAGATTCTTCGAGTTGTAGAGACTGTAGACGGTTGACCCGCGAGTGGGAGTGTCGCATATCCGTGGCGAGGATGTTTGCGCGAAAGGTCGTACCAAAGAAGAACGAGTCCAGACACAACTGCGGTGACGACATAGCATGCAATATTAATGTATGGTGTGGGCAAGTAACATAGGTTTGTCTCATATTTGAATTGATTTTGAATGTTGTAATCGTTATCGTTGCCGCTATTGGCAAACGAAAGAATTTGAATAGCTGGGTACTTAATACCCATCGCCATACTAATCGACTTGACGGTTATTTCACGAAAAGTTTCATTCTCTCCAGAAGGTGACGGATGGTTAACATCACAATAATCGTGATCATCGCCAGAGAAAATCAAATCGGGCTTTATTCGATTAAGGATGTCGCTGGACAATTCTGGAGAGAGAACCAGCTGGTATTGATAGCCTTTGGAGGTGTGGAATACCGAGCTCTCTCGAAGGGGTCCACATGTAAGTTCATTAGGATCTCTGTAAAGAGGTACGTGGGTAAATAAAACCCGAGGCTTCGTCTTGACTATCGAAGTTCCAAAGTTGGTATCGAAAAACTCGCGAGCTGGACCGTAGATGGATTCTTCCATAGCCGAAAGAGAAATGGTATCCAACGAGATGAACTCAACATTGTTGATCACCTTGACAGAGTTGGGATTTCCAAAGTACTTTTTGAAGCGCTTGCGGGATGGAATCTTGACCCCATCGGCCCAGCCGATATCGTGGTTTCCTGGTAAATTTATCATCCATTTTTTTCCCTTCTTGTACTTTTTTCGCTTGAAAATAGAATTGAATCGTTCGAGTTGTCCTCGAAAATATTTGTCCGTGGACAGTCTGCCGTTGTCCAAATAGTCTCCCAAGAAGAATACATAGGAGGGATTAAGTGCCCGCAACATTGCCTTGTAATTTTTCTTCAAATACACATCTACCGTGTGTTGAGAGAGCTTGAGCAACAATTTGTTTCGTCCAGGATAAGTATGGCTATCGATGAGTTGAGGATCTGCGACCAACATGATGTTGATAACGTCGTTACTGGCGACCGAGTCGGGATTCTGGTCATCTATAACCACTGGCTGTTGCTGCTCGGCCGAAGACTCGACATTTATTTGCGGCCACTGACATCGTGCTGCTGCCTTATATGGAGAATAACGTTCATGGTAGGCAAAGACTATGGCCCACGCCACGAGTATCAAGACGATGACGTGGTGAATACTTCGAAATTTGAGCATAGTCCGTGGTCTCATACCACCGCTACCAAGACAAAACTGCTATAAATGGCACACCACTGTGCACGTGCCGCGCAAGTTGATTTTTAGATCGGAATTCAGACTCGACGCCGAGGAGCGCATTCTCTAGTCGTTGCACCCACTGCACCACCAGAGGAAACAAGATAACCATATGGGTATGTCACTTACAACAGAACAGGTGGTTTATCATCTTTTAGCTATATTGGTGGCTCGCTATGTATGGCTACGAATACTCAATTCATTCAGAGATGCTAGCGATGTTTATTTAACTCAGCAGCTGGTGGTGGACACTGTGCGGAACCCTTCTGAGTCGCCTATTTACAAGTCGAATAAGTTGGATTATCTGAGTGGTCTTCGCTTGGGACTCAACATTCGGTATGACCACTACAAGATTCGAAACGGGAACTTGAACGATGTTTGGGAAATTGCCATGTCGTCTCCGAAATCAAAGGTGAAGATGAATGGCGTTGAGATCACACGAGATCAATTGAATGATGGAGTGGAAAAGGTTCGTGGAATTTTGACTAAACTAGGCATTGAGGAGGCGAGTATGGATCATTTTGAGCTATTTTCACTTGAAAACTTTATTGTTTTCATTAGTTGTCTTGTGGGCCAAATACCAGTCAACGTATACGGTCCCGGTACGAATGGCAAAAAAGGATGGGTTTTCTCCAAAGGAGCATTCCATAAAGGAGCTGAAACGGTAACATTGCCTTTCAAACCGCTGGAACTAGAATGTTCTACTCGTTTTGCTAATCCGTACCATCCTAGTAAAGACAAGGGTATTTGTCTCAAATGGCATTATAAGCTTAATCCTCATGTTTCCGCAACCACAGAGTTCACGCAAGCCAATGTCATAAGTGCTATTGCATCCACCCTTAAGCATCTTCCTGCTGACTTCACATTTGATAGTAGTGATCGTCTTTTGGTCGTTGATGATTTCTCCTCCATGGAGTACACTTTGGCCCACATCGTCAAGATCCTATCCCTGTTTATATATCCCACGAATGTTGTGGTTGCTAATCCAGACTCCTGGACGAAACTTCTTGCTTTCAAACCAACTATATTGACCATATCTCTACCAAAATGGAAGACTCTTTCACCAAAATTTTCTCTCAAAGAAAAAATGGCTGCAAGATTTGGAAGGTATTTCCTTTCCCATGGAATATATCTTCCTATTAAGAAAACTATGAAACTCACTTATGTGCAATCATCACTCAATAGCAATATTTCAGTTCGAACGCAGGAGCTAAACAATTATAGGGCCTTAAACTCAAGACTCATTTTAGAATTTGGTTACCACAATATTGCTGGCCCCGTCCTAGCCAGCGATCTTTTTGACTATCGAGATTTTCCATTTGCCATAAAAGCGTCTGGTTGTTTATCTCAGTCCTTGGAGTACAAGCTCACAGATATGGATGAAACCAAGAACGGAGTTATCAACGTAAGAGGCTTTATTATTGGTAAGACTACCTTCAGTATTGAGTCAGATAAAGCAGAACGTAATTCGGATGGGTTCATGCCACTTAACGTGAAAGGTAAATGGGGGTCTGATGGTTGCTTGTACATAATATAGATCTAGCTACACTTGAGAATGGAGTGTGAGTTGTACATAAATATATGCTAGTTAACACTATGGTAACTGACTTTATATCTCTTAGACTCAAACTCAAATGCGTCACCACATTGTCTCTTAGATCCAGTCTGTGAGAACAAAGTTGGCACATCTTCTTCTGATAAAACCACCTTCTTACCAATTTGAGCGACGTAATAGTCGGAAAAATGAACTTCGGCAGCAAGCAATGCTTCAAAATTCAACTTGGAAAGAAAAAGTTTCCATTTCTGCAATCTGGACTCTACGATCTCAGGCTGCGCTTCCCAAATCAACTCTTGGGTAAGACACTTGTGACATCTGATAAAGTCATAGCCAAAAATAGCGAGAATGTTACACCAATTCTCATACTGTAAGCCGTTGATGTAACAATTGTAATCGAGGAGTTGAAGACATTGTACTTCGACTTGCTTAAGTACTTTCAAGTTGAAATCTGATGTCGAAGACTGACCATTGCAACCACAGATCTTGAGCCACGACTTGAACAGGTAGTTCAAATCCTGATTGAACTTGGAAGCAATGATAAGTAATCCCAAGAAGAATTTCTTTGGGCATTGAGGAAGAACCCTTTCTGATTTTTTCAAAATCTTCAGGAGATAGAAACAAGTCAATTGCAAACTTTGAACTGATGTTTTGGATCTTCTAAGAATTTCAACAATGAAGAATCTCAACTTTGACTTTTGAAAGTCCAACTCTGGATACAACATTCTAAGCAAGTTGACCGAGCAATTGACCAAAAGAAAGTTGAATTGTGGTTTTGTGAGATAATCATTATAATACTTCACGTTGATGGGGGAAATAGGTGGAGTCTGCTTATGGTTAAGCTCCGACGATGAAGGGGTGGGAACGGGGTCGAAAATGTCCGACACAGGAGATTTGGGTGAAACAGACATTTCGTTATAACAAGGGGAAACCAATGAAATGATAGATTTTGAGATCTATCCCAGAAAGGTGCACTCAAATTAACCTCTTCAAGTACACATGTAAAGCCTTTGAACGAGTCAAAGGACTATTGAATCATCTTCACCTTATAAACACCGGGGAAAATAGTAAAATGACAAAAAAAAAATAACCAAATGAACTTTTAAACACTAATAGACTGAACCACTGTGTAATAAATTTAAATGACTCAACCAAAGAGCCAACCGGATTACCTAGCTTCACTAGTAATCAAATAGAAGTAAACGGGACCGTAAATTACCCACCAACACCTGGAAAATAGATGACTGATAATCAAAAAAGACGATAACAATCACGGATAAAAAAAATGGAGCTTGAAAATTCAAAAGATAGGATTATAAAAACGACGCCACAACAAAAACACCTCAGTCAGAGTTCGCAACTAATCGCAAACTATGGTACTTTAGTAGGCGCGCGCATGCTCCTTTTAAATGGATTATTACTCATTGTATGACTGATAAGCCGCATGACACATTTGCGGCACTGCTCATGGTCACGTGCAAGATGAGTCAAAGCCGATAACCGGCTGCAACAGGGTGAGATGATGCAATGATTTGAACAAGAAGTGTGATATGTGCTCATTGAAATGCGAGAAGCATGGAAGAAATTTGGAAGAAATATACGAAGTAGATTGGAATGCTTAATAACTTAAAGATTTAGTTCTCCGTACTCAATTAACTACCTACTCCCATTCGTCGTCAGATTCAGATTTTGCATCCTGCTTCACTGGTTTTCCCTTTATTTCCGAACTCGCTTGTTCTTCCTCTTCGTCGTCGTCCCAAGTAAAGTCATCTTCCTCTTCTTCGTCACCTTTCTCTTTCTGTAATTCACGACGTCTCTTCTCTGCCTGTTTGAGCTCAGCTTCATGGTGGAAATAGCGGTACCAAAATGTGTTGTAAGGTACTTTGACCGGAACTATATCATTCATGAGTTTCGTCAAGGTATTGGGATAAGTTTCAAGCAACTTGGCAATTTCTTTCGTCTTTGAATCGGCATTAAAAGTGTCAGCCTTGTCGTCTGAAATAGGTTCTGTGTAATATTCAGCTGTAGTATGCAACTTGAATAACTCATTATCGTACCTTGAGGTACCATACTCAGAAGTGGGGTGAGATGGAGCCACGAATATAGTACTAGTTTCATCTTCAACCTGTTTTGCACCCGACTGTGGGGCTGCTATACTGACAAAATTGGTGAAAAATGAAGACATTTGTGACACATATTTTCCAGCTTGCTGTTCCACAAGTTCAAGCTTGGAGTCAAGAACATCAAGGGCATCATTGGCTTGCAGTTGAAGCTTCTTCAAGTCCACTTCAGGAATGGGTACCTTCTTAAACTGCTCTTCAAATTGGGCCAATGTTTCTGTCACCTTGGCTTTATTGTTGAGATTATCTTTGGCAACCTTAAGCTGATCAAGCAATTGCTTTCTATGCTCCTCAACTTGATATTTTTCTTGTATTTCATTGGCATTTTTAGCAGCATTCGACCATAACGAACCAAAACGAGTTTCAACTGCTGCATATGCTTTCTCGATTTCGGATTCCAATGCTTGTACGGCGTGGTCTGTTTTTGTATCACCTCCTTTTTTGGTCTCTGGAACATCGTCCAGTGTGACAATTGGATCGACAAACTCCATGATGGGGATTAAAGTCAGGCGGAAAGCGAGATAGTGTCGGGTTGTGTGCAGGTTCTATGATAGAGCTGAAGAAGTATGAACCCAAGTAGAAGAAAACACTAATGTAGATGGTTGATTGAGCTTGCGATGGTAAGTATTAACGGTACGAAAGGATCGTGAAGAATTAAAACGGAAAGATATACATAAAAAATTGGCTGCTAAATTACCATGATTTCAGCCATTTCTTTCAGGGTAAAGTAGAGGTACATCGATTCGATATATAAGCAAGGTTGACCAAGATTAGCATGTTCCGTTGCCATTGAGCTCAAACCCAGCCATTCTGTTCAAAAAATGGCCCTTAATAAATTATCCGCTTGTCCGCCAACTCCGCGAAATGCTGCATTTTTCACGCAACCATTTATACTTCTTATGCATTTAACACGGAGGCTCTTGTCAGCTGCTAAACCTTTAATCTCGATCGAACAGTCACTTTTTGAGAAGCGGGCGGTGTACGAGGCAGGCATACGTAGAAAGGAGTATGTGTTTCCCAATCGAATCTCTCATTTTGAAGCTTATAAGCCAAACAGCTCCACATCGGGTTCCACAAATCCTCACTTTTGGGCAGTGACAGGTCCTAGAAAGTCAGATTTTCTAAGCATTGTAGCTGGGAAATATGTTCCTGAGCCAGCAACGGGCCGAAAATACTCAATTCTACCACATGAACGCATTCAATTCTTGAATTTTCGTGAATCTTCAGGTCTAGACAAGGTCCATTTGTCGGCTAGATACGAGTCGTTTAGCAGTAAAGCTGACCATGAATTAACCGATGATGTCAATTCAGTACGAAACTACGTTACTGGGGCAAATAACTATAACAGTAAGACATCGGCTAGTGTATCAGATGAACTCACCAACATGCTTTTAGAGATGTTTAACTTGACCCATTTGGCGAAAAAATGGATAAATTCACTAAGTAATGGCCAAATGAGAAGGGCAAGGATTGCTCGGTCTCTCATAAACAAGCCAGACATGTTGGTCATAGATGATCCTTTCTTAGGACTCGATCCAGAAGCTACTGAGCTTGTGTGTGCGTCGCTCGCCAAAGTTGCTAATGAACTCCATACTAGTGTTATACTTGGTTTACGAGTGCAAGACGACGTACCAGATTGGATTGGACATATGGCATTTGTCAACGACGATGGTTTGGCTCTTGCCGGTGCTCGAGACAAAGTTGAAGAAAATTTAGACAAATTTGTCAAATTACAAACTGTTATCCACGAGAAAAATGAGAGGGACCATGCTCACCAATGGCGTCAAATCGATCAAAGTGTGCTTCAAAACGAAAAATGTCATGTCCAGTTCCAAAACGCTTCGGTTGTCTATAAAGGATTACCCGTGCTTCAAAATTTCAATTGGTGTATTCCTCGTGGGTCTCGCTGGCGTATTCTAGGTAACAACGGTACTGGTAAAACCACAATACTCTCGTTGATTACTGCAGACCATCCTCAGCTGTGGAAATCAGTTCTTTCTATCGACGGGGTATTAAGGAAAAGTGGTAGTGGCGCCAACTTTTTTGACGTTAACAATGCTATTGGCATGTCCTCGCCTGAGTTGCACGCATTGGTACCCACTTCGAAGACGATGATGGAGATTATTCTTAATGGACTAGTCAAGGACGTGGGTAACTCGAACTTTTTATACAAGCCCAAAGAACCCATAGAATTACCGAAAAGCATGGAACGGTTCCAGGACCGTCTCAGCATCTACGGTGACGTTCCCTTTGGTGAATTATCAGTTACTGATCAGAAACTTGCATTGTTTTTACGGGCAGTTATCAAGAACCCTTCACTCTTGATTTTGGACGAAGCATTTTCATGTATGGATGACGAAGATGTTATGGTTCAATGTCATCGGTTTATTGAGCAAGAACTCCAAGATTGCACCGTCTTAACCATAGGTCATATAGATTGGGAAGTTGCACCACATGATTACGTTCTCAAACTCACGGGAGATGTACATCGCAGCTACCAAATATGGGCCAAGAAATCTTAAACCACAATAGGTGCGTATGACTACACAAGACCGCATAAAACTACATAAGACTACACTATGACTGTAATTTCACTTGAGCCGAGCGGTTATATTGTCTGCTCCGGCATATAGCTGCTCCTATTTTCTTGTAACGCGGCTTTGTGTGACTTTCTTGTGGACGTGCCATTTACCTTATTGTTAGACAACATTTCGATTCCCATCAAAGTGTATCAGTTATAAAGTTAGCGGCAAGATTCACAGCCTAATAACATTCCTTTCACTCCTTTTTACTCATTTTTATCAAACTAGGAGTGAAAAAGCTGATTTGTTGTTGCTACTAATATAACTCTGGTCAATTTTTTGCACTTATTCTATCAATAATTTATATCGTGTGTTTTGGATAGTTTCTTGATCCATATAAGCTCATGTCGACCACCATTCCAAATGCTCCACCAGATGAAAGGTCTGATGATGAGTTGGCAGACATGGAGTTTGGAAAATTAACGTCTAAAGAATATTTATACGTTTCTAAGCATCCAGTTGGAGAGCCTTTACCTACTCCTATCGATGACGAACCTCCGTATGTGATCTTTCTTGCCACTTACATCAGTTACGGTATATTAATTATTATTGGACATGTCCGTGATTTCTTTGGAAAGATTTTCAAGCCTCAAGATTATGAAGACTTGGTTGAACATGACGGGTACGCTCCTTGGTATGATGGATTTGAGAGCTTTTATGTGCGTCGGTTGAAGACCAGAATTGATGACTGCTTTGCAAGACCAATTCATGGTGCTCCTGGTCGTCATGTAAAGTGTTTTGAGAGAACAAGATTCGGAAGGACAGGTTACAAGTACTCTGGAAAAATGAGAGACTGCCTTAATTTGCTGTCATATAATTACTTGGGATTTGGCCAGTCTCACGGTGTCTGTACGGATATATCCAAAAAGACGGTAGACGATTATGGAACTTCGGGTTGCTCTGCAAGAAATATTTGCGGAACCAGTGATTTGCACAAGGAGTGTGAAAAGATTGTAGCTGATTTCGTTGGCAAGGAAGATGCTATCGTGGTAAGTCAAGGTTATGGAACTAATGCTAACTTTTTCGCCTCTTTGGTTGATTCCAAATGTTTGGTAATCAGTGATGAATTAAATCATGCCTCGATTCGTTTCGGAATTAGAATTTCAGGTGCTTCAGTCAAAGTGTTCCGACACAATGATATAGCGAACTTGGAAAAGTTGTTGCGGGAGCAAATAGCTCAAGGTCAACCTAGGACACATCGTCCATGGAAGAAAATCGTCATTGCAGTGGAAGGTTTATACTCCATGGAAGGTAACATGTGCAACCTTCCTGACTTGGTCAAATTGAAAAACAAGTACAAATGCTATTTATTTGTGGATGAAGCTCATTCTATTGGTGCCTTGGGACCCGGTGGTAGAGGTGTTTGTGATTATTTCTCGATTCCTCCATCTGATATTGATGTTTTGATGGGAACCTTTACCAAGTCGTTTGGCGCTACTGGTGGCTACATTGCTGCTGACAAGGTTGTCATTGACCGGTTGAGATTGGACTATATAACCAATGTCTATGCGGAGTCGATTCCACCCCCAGTTTTGGGACAAATCATGTCATCATTGAATGTCATCAAAGGAACAATAAATCCAGGCGAAGGTGCCGAGAGATTACAAAGAATTGCATTCAACTCAAGATACTTGCGTTTGGGATTAAAGAAATTGGGTTTCATCGTTTATGGAGCTGATGATTCTCCAGTCATTCCAATGCTCTTGTTCCTTCCCGCCAAGATGGCAGCTTTCTCGCGTGCAATGTATGACGTGGGCATTGCTGTCGTTATTGTCAGTTATCCTGCCACTCCTCTTATCAGTGCTAGAGCCAGATTCTGTGTTAGTGCAGCTTTGACTAAGGAAGATTTGGACTATGTGTTGAAGAAGATTGATGAACTTGGAGAGGAAATTTTTCTCAAGTTTTCAAGCGGGATTGCTGGCGGATCGCCCATTCCTGGTGTCGCACCAAGAATGTCCATTGAGGACGTCATTGCTACCAACGTTGAGGATTGCAAGAAACCCAGATTAATGTAATTTCCGTAGATAATAATATGTTGCATCCTATCCTGGCTATATACAGTATCTCTCTCATCAAATCCTCCTCTTCAGATCTTGACCGAACATGACTTACAATCTTCCCCTGCCATTAATACCACCTATAAAGTTCAATGCTGTGCAGCCATACATATACAGAGGGGCATATCCACGTGAGGTGAATTTTGAGTTTTTGGAAACGTTACAATTAAGAACAATACTTTCATTAACACCAGATCCAGTCACATTAGAATCTGATACAAAGCTATATAACTTTGCCAAAAAGAACAATATCACCCTAATACATCTCAAATGTGATAAACTGGGCAAGGGAAAGAAAAGAGGTGTTCCAGTGGGCTATTCGACTGTACTAGATGCTCTTCATTATATGATACATTCAAGCTATGGACCCGTATATATCCATTGTTTAAATGGAAGTCAGACAACGAGCTTGGTTGTTGCGTGTCTTCGTAAACTACAATTCTGGTCGTCAATAGCAATTTTCAATGAGTTTATCAACTTTGCTACTAATATCACACTTAACGATCGAGCTTTTGTGGAAGGATTTGAAGGTAACATCGAAGTGAATAATCAAGATAAAGTCGAGTGGTTATGGGCTGGAATGAGTAAAGGGGTCGTCGGACACCATCCGAGCATACATGTCACCCAGCTTGATGCATTGCCACATACTTAAATTCAATTCTACATGCAATTTATTGGCTTCTATATTCTTTGATAGAAAAGGCAGTACGCATTCTTGTTTAAAACCTGGGACTCCTTACAGTTATAGGTAACTTTCGAATCATCAAAGTAGCACCACTCACGAGTCTTCTTTGCATCGCTCTTCTTGCGAACATAAGATGTATAATGTCCGGTGGTAAGGTTACCAAAATGATTTGCAACTCCAAACAACTTGTATCTGAAGGGAGGTACCTGGTTTCGCGTGGGAAGTGTGCTAAGTACCTGCTGTTCCCTTTCGACCAGCATGACCTCAGAACTTGCCATCGATTCATTCACGGATGTGCCGACTGGCGGCCAATAGGATGTCAAATCTAGAACTTGATTCACAGGATATTTTATGAAGGTGTCCAACTTACTAAACTGTCCTGTTGGAGAGATCTTGAACCTTTTGAAGTGAACAATCAAAACCTGGGGTAATCTGGTAATGGTCAATTTCTTTGTCAGTTTTGTGCGTTTCTTGCATTGCGGACAGAACCACTTATTGTCATCGTCCAAAAGCTCTGTGGTCACAAATGCATCCAAGCAATCATCTAGCAGTAGTACGGGTGGAGAACTCCCAAGGCGAGTTGGTATAGGTAGTGAAAGAATCAGAAAGGCGTTGTATGTCGTTGATGTGGCGCCGCAAATTAAGCACCTCAATTGCGAAGAGTATTGACCTTGAAAGAAATCCACAATGATTGAAAAATTTAGCTTCAAGTACCTCTCCCACTCAATTGTTGAGGCCAAACGAACCGGTAATATTTCTCGCGTCTTCTCCTGCTCTGGAGTAAGTTCACTGATAGCCCGTTTTTCTTCGGGATCGGAAATCACCATTTGATTTAAATCTTCATGAAGCCTGTCCAACAAAAATTCCAAAAACTCAATGCAATCTTGCTGGTCGTACGTGGCAAACTGCTTGGATGGGGATAAAGAGCCCATTACTCTCTTGAACTCCAGAGGTGTAAAGTAGGCACCAGTACTTGCAAACATATTTTTTAATAGTGTAACAAAGTTGGTTGTCAATATTCCTTTGGTGCCGAGTCGATTGTTCACATTGATATGCTGTCTGTAAGATTGCACAGATGAATTCTCAAGACTAGCACTGGTACTCAAACTAGGAAAGAAAAATCCAGTTAATTGAGGAGTTGCACCTAGGCATTGTAATATGCAATTCATATAGCAAGAATTTCCAAGATTGGTCAATCCCGTAGTATACTGCTCCAAAAATGTTGTAGTATCCTGTGTCATCAGCGAACTGCTAGAGGAAGACAGTGGACTTGATTTCGGCTGGTATGATGCACCCACATTATTGCTCAGGGATGGCTTCCTCGATGGGGCTTTTGGAGCCAGTACAGTCTGGGTGGGTCTGGGATTGACGGGGATTGATACACTTGAACTTGAGGAAGCCTTTGAAGGGACAGATTGCGTAGTAGTGATCAGGCTAAAAGAAGGCTCAACGGGTCGCAGGCTTCCACTTTTAACTGTGGATAAGTAATCACCAAAGTTTTTGAGATATGGTGACGTATGTTGTCCTTCGTCGACTGGTTTCAAACTTGGCTTTCTTGCTGGTATAGAATTTGTGCTCCCTTCACGGGAAAAACTTGCTGGTGGTCTTTGAAGTACTGGATCTTTGATCGTTCTAGTGATAGAATCCTTACCAAAAACCTCAAACCAATTACTCACGCCGCCCGCAAGATAGCAAGGGTAGCGGGATAATGTGTGTCCTGGAAACTTGTTGCGGAACATTAGTATATCAATTAGTTCATCGAAAGGTGTGGAAGAAATTCTATCGCGAGAGCCAGCTATCACTCTCTCGCACAATGCATCGAACCTATTGGGATTAGCACCTGTCGGACCAAAGTTGAAATTGTATATCACAACCAAGTCATAAGATGTTCTTTTTTTGAGGCGTGCAAGATGAGCGTCGGGGATTATATGCGACAACTTTTGCTCCAAGTCGACATCGGAGCAGTTGGGAACCTGTGCAATCAAATTGTTAACTTGCGAAGGCTCAATGTTCACAATCTCGGGGTAATTAATATGATTATGATTGTGGTCTTTAGAAGCACGGAAATCGATCAAAAGTATCTTGAATGATCTTATCAAGTCATGTAACTCAGACGCCGTTACACATCCCTTGAATTTGGCGTAATCTATTAGTGGTATATCCCCAGAGATAAGTCGAGACTCATCACTCGCTTTAGTCGCAAAACTATCTGAAGACAGTGATTTTAAGTTTTGAAAACGGGCTAACAAATCCGCTTCTAGATCTAATCCATTACCAACATTTTTCTGTGGATGATTGTCCGATACTTCTAAAACTGCTGAAATAGTAGCATAATCGTTATTCTTGAGGTTGTAAGTATCCCTGGTTGCTTTCACCAAATCACTGTTTTTATCCTGTTTTTCACACTCCTTACACAATACACCAGCGGCTTGATAACATACAAACGCTAGTTCATAGTCACAGTACCCTAGTTTGGAATTCCTTTGTATTTCTTTCTTGAACACTTCCAATAATGAGATCACATAACTCAATAAAGATGATAGTTTCTTGGTGTGAAATAAGAGTTTTTGAGCCATCTTAGTGGCGACTTGTCGTAGTTCTTCATCATTTCGAAGCCTGGCTACTTCCGAAGTCATCTTTTATATTGTTTGAACCATAAGCAATAAGTAATAAATGCGGAGGCGAGTGATAGAATCCACACACCAGAAAATTCTCGATATTGGCTGCAAATTATAAAGAGTGAAAATGTGCATTTAGATCATAAAGCTAGCTATTTGCAAATTCAACCAAACCAGCCTGATACCCTTGTTCAAACTCCCACAAGTGTTTCAGACTGCCATGTTTCTTGATATGTTCTTGTAAGCGTGCGATTTTCCATGGGTAGACACGGCCAATGGTAGATCCATTAAACTTGGCGAACGCAGTGGCATCGTTCCAGGCAGCTTCAAACCCTTGCTTGTAACGATCATGCTCGTACTTTTCTTTGGGATTTTCATTGTTCCAATAGTCACAGTGTGCCTTGAATACCTGATCCAATCTTTCGTTTCTGATATTCTCATCTGGAACACTGTCTCTCACAGTTAAGGGCTCAATTGCTCCCTTGTTAACCATCGTTTTGAAGTCCCACTCACCTCCATTTCCCGATTGGAACTTGTAAGTCCAGAAATAGCTACCAAATGTTGCTCGTTGACTCAATAATGTGGACTGTTTGCGCCCATAATCTACAACGAGATTGTCCCTCTGGTCTTGCGCACCGTCCCGTTTCCATGACTCCCCGTCAATTACACAAGAATACTCTCCAACCATCAAATCGACGCCTTCGCCATTATTGTTGAGATTCGTGAGCAAATCTTTATCCAAATCCTCGGTGATTTGTCTGGGAGATTTCTTCTTGTCGTCGTCAGAAAAACATCTATAACAATGATGGTCAATAACGACTCCCAAAGACTGGCCCTCACCTTGATTACTCTGGACCCACTTTGCCCACTGGTCGGGCCACCATCCGTCAGAGATAACAACGGGGATATCTTTGTCGTGTTCTCTAATCAGATTAATTGCGGCAGCATAGTAACGTTCTTGCCGTTTAGGATTGTTAGCAAATTCCGACTCATTGACTATTTGTATGCCACATATGTTGTCATACTTCTTCAAGTCTTTGGCAATGAAGCGAAGCATATCGCATACCAACAATTGCATGTCTTGGCTATTCCAAAATCCAGCCTCTCCACCCGATTTCTCCCCACTATGGTCATTTCCATTGGCTCCATTGGGAAGACCGTGGATATCAACTAGCACAGAAATGCCGTGGCTACCAGCTGGCTCGACGAATTTCTCCTTGAAGATTTTCCATGCATTCTGGTAGACATCTTTCACTTTACTAAACCTTGTGCCATTGGTAAACTTGCCACCATCAACTTCCCAGTATCCCAATGGAACTCTGATTGATGTGACCTTGTGCTCCTGAAGCCATTTCCAGTCGTCATCATTCATAAAGTCGATCCAATGGTTCTCGAATGCCTCACGAGCACCGTCTTTACCCTTATCTTTAACAACCTTTGTGACAGCATCTAACTCGCAATCTGTTCCTTCTGGGAATAGTTCATGGAAAATCCACTTTTCAAGTACAAAACAAGCACCAATGTTGACTCCAAAGTTTCTACGTGATTGGTAGATCAGCTTCTTGGTGGGTTCGGCTCCGGCTTTAACCACAGGATCTGCGGCAGTAATTGAAGAGCCTTTTGACTTTAACTTGAGTTTATCAAACATTTTAACGGTTTCAATCTGATAAAATGAGAAGTCTCGACAGGTGACTTATAATAAATTCAATTACTCGTGCGTTAAAAGCAGCAAATAAACTCAATTTGTTCCTGCGTCAGAAGCAGCAACCTTTGGCTGCGGCACGGTGTCGTTTTTATGTCGCGAAAACGCGACAGTTTCCAAAAGATGAGCACTGATCTTATCGGAGCTACATGAATGATAATGATGAAAACGAGCTCTCAGGTGGCTTCAAGCGTCTCTATGGACTCTTCAAGGTCCTCAATACCCACTTGACATTTCTAGCATCGCATTCCCGTACTACAATCCCTACTTTCGAAACAATCCAAAAGTTTCTTCCCAATATAACCCAACTTGATTTGGCTGTGATTACTCATATTCTACCACAGGGAGACGTTGCGTACCGCTATGTCGATGAAAATCAGGTGCTTTTGTCATTTGCTGAAAAAGTGGAGTATAGCTGGAGCCATGGATACAAACTGACAAAAGTCAGTGAATCTACATACGAGCCCGAAACTGTCTCGAAACAATTGCTCATATTTGATTTTCGAGATACTAAATTCCACGGCATTGGTTCGAAAGTAAAGGGTGCCAAGATAAAACGCAGAAAAGTTGAAAAGGATAAACCTGAAACTGGATTTTTCTTATCCACGGCAGACTTGTCGTTACAAAATCTACTGAGTGATCAATTGCTTAAAATAATTACTTCTAGGAACTCCAAATTTATCAGACACTTGAAACCATACACAGACAAAGCCTACGAAGATTTGGAGAGTCAATGCACTGATTTGATACCCATTCCCCCACAACTCCATGATCCTGTTGAAGAGCTCGAACTGAAGCAGGTAATACTAGCGGATCAGTCCAGTCGTCCTCTGATAAAGACCATGGTGTCAGCACTTAAGCTGGCTGACTTCTACAAGAACCAGGTGGAAGCTATAGAAACCTTAACTGCTTCTCGTCCGGCCACCACTCTTCCTTTGGACAAATCAATAGAATTGCATCCTGAATTAGTCTTTGCTCTCAAGACAGTGAAGAATATTGACGTTGAAAAGGATCTATACAGTCATCAGTCCGAAGCACTCAAGTCCATTCTTGCACACAAAAACCATACGATTGTCAGCACTTCCACTAGCTCCGGCAAATCTCTCATTTATCAGATTCCAATCGTTAATGAAATTTTGTGGGACTTGGAAGAAAATTCAAAAGCTAACAAGAGACGAAGCACAGCATTTTTCATTTTTCCCACAAAGGCTCTTGCCCAAGATCAATTGCGCCATCTTCAAAACTTGATAAGTGCCTTACCAAGCAATAGTAAACGTCAAATAATCATAGACGCATACGATGGAGATACTCCGGCAGAATCTCGATCTAGAATAAGAAGATTCGCTGATATCATATTTACTAACCCAGATACAATTCATGCTTCAATACTACCGAACCATAGTGGCTACTCTTATCTGGACTCTTCAGATGGGTGGAAAGATTTTTTATCAAACTTGAAATTTGTTGTCGTTGATGAACTACATGTGTACAAGGGAACTTTTGGTGTGAACATTAGGTACGTGATGAGTCGGTTGCAACGAATACATGCAAAAATTACAGAACATTTATCAAAAGATATTATATTTGTTTCTTGTTCAGCGACAGTTCTGAATCCACCTTCTCACTTCAGAGCCATCTGTGGTATTCACAGCTCTGAGCACGTTATGCATATTCATCAAGATGGAAGTCCTTGCTCTGAGAAGAAACTAGTTGTGTGGAATCCACCTCCTTTGATGAATAAAAGAGGTCAGACTCAGTCCCAACTACAGTCATCAAGCGAGGTTTCTATCACCAACAAATTTATACCACGAGTATCACTGGTGGAAGAACTGGCCCGCTTATTGCTACACTTGTTGTCAAAGCTTCCTACCATCAAGGTGATTTTATTTTGTCCTATTCGTGCAGTTTGTGAATTGATTATGAAGGAAGTTCGAAGCCTTCTTCTGCAACAGAAGTGGCCCAATGTTCAGAGTTCTGATATCATGTCCTATCGTGGTGGGTATTCCAAATCAGATCGTCGTTTAATTGAGCAAAAGATGTTTTCAGGTCAACTCCGGGCAATAGTAGCCACCAATGCCTTGGAACTAGGAATTGATCTTGCTGATTTGGACATTGTGATCGCTTGTGGTTTTAGTGGATCCAAGCTGAATTTGCACCAACAGTTTGGTAGAGCTGGTAGGGGACGAGATTCCAATGGAAGCTTGGCTATCTATGTTTCAGGAAGCTCTCCAGTTGACCAATACTATCTCAAGAATTACATGGAACTATGTGATAAATCTGAGTACGAAGATTTGTGTGTTGAAGGGTTGATTGAGATTGGACAGGCACAACTCATTTTGGAACTGCATTTGCAGTGTGCTGCTTTCGAATGGCCAATAGACCTTGAGCACGATATGAAATGGTTTACATTCAATGATTCAGCAAAACAACAAAATCAGTACGTTGAATTGTGTCGTACAAAATTAGTCACAGACAACCTTGGAAGGTATCGAACAAATCCCACCTATCTTCCGTGGCCCGTTGACCATTGTTCAATTCGTCATGTAGACGACAATGTCTATGCGGTTGTCGATATAACTGACGGTAGAAATGTGGTAATTGAGGAGGTCGAAGAACTGAGAACAAGCTTTACATTATATGAGGGAGGAATCTTTCTACATCAGGGAGTTTCGTATTTGGTAAAAGAATTCAACACAGAAGAAAAGTATTCAAAGGTACAGAGAGTTGAAGTTGATTGGACCACCTCTCAACGTGACTATTCTGATGTTGATCCAATTGAAATTGAGGTAGTTAAATGTCTTCGGTCACCCTTGAATTTCATCAATGATATTCCCGTCTTTTACGGAAAAATACTAACCACGATCAAGGTCTTCGGATACTTCAAGCTCAACAGGAAAGCAGAAATATTGGAGGCAGTTGATGTGGCCAATCCTCCAGTCTTTTTGAAATCAAAGGGTTTCTGGATAGATATACCAGAGAAAGCTCTTCTTCTTATTCAAGATTTGAAGTTGTCCCCAGCTGGTGGTGTCCATGCAGCGCAGCATGCTATCATGAATATCTTACCACTATTTATAAGTGGTGGAGCCACCACCAATCCAAATGCAAGATTTCTTTCCAACGTCGGAGAGGCTGAGCTTCGAACCGAATGCAAGGCTCCTGAAAAAGAATTTGCTAGGAGAGAAACCTCTAGAAAGCGACCCGCTCGCTTGGTATTTCACGATGCGAGAGGTGGTGAGAGAGGAACAGGAGTATCTGCCAAAACCTTCGAACATATTGACGAAATCATCTTCACAACTTACAAGCGGATTAAAGAATGCGAGTGCGAATGGGGCTGTCCTCTGTGTGTTACGGCATCGTTTTGTAAAGAGAACATGTTGGTAATGTCAAAGCCTGCTGCTATTATTATTCTAGCTGACCTATTGGGGCTTCCCTTGGATAAAATCAAAGAGGAAGTTCCCCATGGTCCTGAGCCTAATATGCCTCGACAGTCCATTGAGACTGTGTTGCCAGTTCGTCAGGCAATAAAGTTCTCCAAGGATGTTGAAATAATAGCGTCGAGACCTATAGCTGAGCCAGAGAGAATTGTTGTGAAAACGGAGGATGAATCTGACTGAAAAATGTGTATACGGACACAACTAGCTATAAATATAATACCTAATGCCTATGATGATTGTCTTTGCTTGGTACCTAGCGTTTATTGACTTTGAGGGATGATAAAATCGATGCCCTTCGAGATAATTTCTTTGCAAAGTTTGTGCTTTCATGGTCCTGTGAATCAGGTTTGTTTGGTAATGGTTGCTGCAAGTTCATGGAGCGCACTTTTCGCATGATGGGATCAACCTTCTTAGAGCTAGAATTGGTGGACTTTGTGCTTGACGTACTTTGCACTGGCGTGGGCGTATTTGAGGACCTTTGTTGTAAAGCTGGACTTGGTTGCAATTGCTTTACTTTAGCCATGCGAAATACATGCTGAACAGGCTTCAAATATATAGAGGCCAAAGACCCAATATTGAGCTCCAACTCCTCTAGAATCGAAGGGTCGATATTCTCATTATCGTAGGAGATGGATGGGTTTGGATTGAGAAGAATCTGCTTCGTATGTTTTTGGAAGTTCTCTTCATCCAGTGAAGTGTCTGCGGTGAGCAATCGCCAATAAAAGAAACCCCTCTCTCTAATATCGGGGTTATTGGATTCTTCGGTTGCCCATTTGAGTACCGAGAGAAGAATTTTTTCTCCTTTGTCGACTTCGCAAAGGTATAATTTGGCAGCAGCAGTCAAGAAAGCGTACTGGACTTCTACAGGATCTTCAGTGTAATGTGTAAGAACCTGCTCGAATATAGAGCCAACATTTTTGATCTTGGTACAATATTGGCCCAAGATCCAGATCAATGCAGTTTTGGCATCAGGCTCATCTATAAGCTTATGATGTCGGACTATATCGTCGATTGCAAAGTCAAATCTGTTAGGGTATCGCCTTAAAATATTCTTCATTACTGAGACCGCTTCCTGGACCACATAGGGGACGCCATTTGAAACCAAGTTGCAAATGATATTGACACACTCATCTGCTGCGCTGCTTAGTTTAATTGCCAAGTTTCCAAATGCTCGTATGGCTTTGCGGGCCATTGCAACGTCAACTTCTGTTGCGTACTCCTCTAATTCTTGTAACACCAATGAGACGTTATCCTCATTGGCCAATAAGTATATGATCTCTAGTTTTGTATCCTTGACGTAGATTTGATCGTCATAGAGACAAAAGAATTTTTCCACATCAAACTTTACTAGTTGCTGTCTTCCTAAGAGAAGAAGAATCACATTCCGCAAAACTAGGAACTGAATTTCTGGTGGATTTGCCAATAATGAAGAGAGGGCCGATCCAAGTTTGGTGGGCAAACTCGGTATCACCAACTCTGGGGACCTGACATAGTTGGTGAGGTACACGATGATTTTGATAGCATTGAGAGCCACTCCTGGGTTCTCGTGTTGCAAAGAAGGAATGATCAATTCTATAAGTTCGAGAGCCTCCTCTTCTGTTTGGGGGACGTATGACATGAGTGAGTTTAAAATGTACACCTGAGACCACTCATTTGATTTTCCCAATAGCAGAATCAACGTTAACGTATGATTACGATCAATTGATAAAGAAAGTGTTTTTCCCTGTTCTGTAATAAAACTCAAGGCAGCCAATGCATTGGTGACCACATTTGTATTGGGATCATGTAAAAGGTCATTTAGACCATCGAGAAAGTTCATTGAAGTGGTTAATTCTGGATCATGCTGATAAAGTCTTGATACGGCAAATGCGGCTTCCCGGCGAACGTGAGGAGCAGGATCCGCAAGTGCAGCTCGTAAGCTCTGTGAGGTGAGATCTACAAAGTCCTTGGTGGGAATTGAAGACATGGTCCGAATGGAAAGTGCTCGTAAAGTGGCATCAGATTCATCTCTAAAACGAGAGAGAAACGCAATGGCTTCCTGTGCCTGTTTTGGTTTGACACTGGCGTAGGCTGTCAAGTATTGTAAGCACATTTTCCGGATTTCTATATCGTCTGTTCGCATAAGCCGGATCACATCGGACATCATGTTTGCAGTCTCTGGATTGTTTAACACCACATTTGCAATGATTTTTTTGAGAACAATTTTGACTCTACTTTGTGGTTTTGATTTCTTGAATGCTTGCTCGAGTTCCGCTCGGAGCTCAGATGACTTGGACCGGGCAAAAAGCTTGCTGTCACCCATGTCGCGTGTGGGTCAACTTTGAAATTTAGATAGATAACTGGTGCACGGGTGGAGAGAAGAGCCAGAGAATAAGTGAAGTAGAGGGAAGTAAAGATGAGTAACAAAAACTACTTTGACTAAAATTGAAGTTTCTCGTTATGTTGTCATATATCATTGAGTCGTAATTGGGAGCGCTACGTATCCCGAAGCGTAACTGACGCTGCTCTCAGTGGGGCTTGTCACCTCACCACTTTGAGAGTAACCGATCCAGGAAAATCCAGGATGTGCACCTGAATTGTCAAGAAGCCGCAAAACCACAGAGATTGGTTTTTGACCACAAATGGTGTTTTGTGTTTCGTCGATATAGCGATTCCAATCGGTATGAGTACCCTTTGAAGCAATCTTCATGGCTTCTTTGTCTAATATTTCTATCGAGCGGTGAATGGGAATGCTCTGGACGAGCTGGCTCGAAGATTTAAGAGAAACCAAACTTTGTGAGGTTATTCCTTCGGAATCAGGTATCTTTTGAAGATACTTGGTGTAGCCAAAGCGAGCTCCCCAATGACAAAAGTCCGAACTCACGGCAAAAGTATTTGACTTATCGGCAAAATAAGGTTCTAAAGCCTTCACTATCTTGTTGTAAAGACGTTCATTCATAGCACTGATCATTATTGGAACGATTTTGGGGCTCCCATGGGGTAGATCCTTAGTCTTATAACGGATGAAAGGTGCATGCATTTCAAACGAATGTTCGTTTTCGTCTTCTTCTTCTGTCATATACGAGAATGCTCCTTTGTCCACCAACTCTGAGCATACTTTTGTGTCCACATCCAAGTTTCCAAATGGAGTTTGATATGAGTCAAATTTAGACACTTTTGCGGTGGAGGAAAAGTAGACATGATGCGAAGGACCCAAAATAAACACACGTTTGACCCCAGTGGTGTCCCACGCTTCATAAGTTTCCGCAAGTTGAGTGCCAGAGTACGTGTACCCAGCATGGGGGCCAATTAGTACTCGAGCTCCTGGCACATGGGGACCACCATGAGATTTTTTTAGATTATTTTGAGCCTTGGAAATGAACCTTTCCATTTGAGACGCTAGGGAGGCGTTGTTGGCTGAGTACCATGAGCCAGCATGGGTTGCTGGTCTAACTGACATAACACGGACTGAAACTAGTATGGGGTTGAGATCGGTGCGAAAATGGTATACAGGAAAACAGGCAGTCGTGCATAAATTCTTACAATATCTGTCAATAAATACCTAGGCCTTGGAAACAATCTCCAATTCCCATTCCACAATCAAAATGTCTTTGCCATTGGCCTGGTAGTTGGACTTGGCATTGTACACACCACGGATCAAAAATCCTCCAGGTGTACTATCTTGAGGGAATTCCTTCAGGTAAACTTCGTCGCTGGCAGCGTAGTCGCCAATTTCCACCTCTCTATTTTTAACGGTAATTCCCTTACGCTTAACCACTTGCTTGTAACGGAAATCCTTCAAGTCAGTTTTGGCCTTGAAATGGATCGTCATAACGTAATTCGAGCTCTCAGGAATCTTCACTGACACCTTATCGGCACCAGATACTGGGGTCTCAATAACCTCATCGATACCTTCGACTTTGGTAACAAACTTGACAATTTCTACGTCTGGGCTTGTGAACGACATTTTTAGCTCTTGGCAGATCTTGTAATACGATCGCGCATATTTATACTATAAACGCCAATTCCTTGCATCCGAATCTGGCTAGATACGTCAATTCATTTGAAGAACCTCGGATGCAAAGTGTGGAGACCTCCGCAGGAAAATAGTGCGAATTCCCGAAAATAATGGGGTATTTTACCCACCGCGCTGGCGCGTGCCGCGGACTGCGTCGGTAGCGGCGGGGAAAACCCGATGCACTACTGGCGCGGGTGCGAAACTATAGTTCAAGAACGATTGAAATTACCTACTTCCAGCTCGAGAAGGGTTTTAAGTTGACGTAGCGAAGGATGACTGTTCTCGAACGTAAAGTCGAACAACTTTGAACACTTGATCTCGCTAGCAGGGTGACGGACTGGGTTGAAAAATTGGTGTTTCAATACTCTTTCAACAGTCCATCTCGTTGATGGATCCCATTCCAAAACTTTATCCATAATCTCAATGGCTCCATTGTGGGCAAATGGGAAAAGAACTTTAAAGTCCGTTCCCGTGTAGCAATTTCCTTTGAAACCCTGCCAATTGTATCTCACCTGAATCGATCGCAGTGGAGTACCTAGTTTCTTTTCAATTTCATGGAGCTGTTGAAGACTATCCCGACTAAGGAAAAGCGGACGCCGTCCATAAAACTCGGAAAAAATGCAACCGGCGGCCCATATATCCACCGCTTTTGAATACCGTCCCTTGGACAACATAATCTCCGGAGCACGGTACCATCTGGTGGCTACATAATTTGTAATTGAGTGTCTTCTTCCAGTGTTTTCTCCATGAATGCCTCGAGCGAGACCAAAATCACCAATTTTGAGAATCCCTGTCGTCGAAACAAGGATATTTCCCGGTTTCAAATCACGGTGAATAACATTGGCCGAATGGATGTAGAGTAACCCACAGAGAATTTGGTAGAAAAAGTCTCTGATGTGAAACTCAGAAAATTGCGCCGACGAGTATAAAACCTGAGCCAAATCATACTCGGCTAAACTCTGCACACAGTATAATCCATCAGACTCTTGGTGCAGAAGTTCTAAATGGATAAGGTTCACAATCTGAAGGTTAGTAAAATCTCATGGTATGTACAAATGTACTTACATTTCGATGACCACGAAAGTGCTTCATCAACTTGACTTCTCTTATAGTTCGTAGAAGTAAAACCTCGTGATTCCAAATCCTCGTAACTTTCTTTATGGCAACCGGTATACCATCTTCTCGTGAACCTTTAGTGTCGAGCGCAGACACCACAGTTCCATAAGTACCCTTTCCTAAAAGTTTAAGAATTCTATATCGTGAATCTACTACGAACTTTTCATCAGCAAACGTTTCTGACGTCTTGGAACCTTCCCGATTTCGTTTTATGATCATACCTTTCGGTGGTTTTTGCACCCATTTCGACGCAAACGTGCAACCACAAAGTAGGTGATTATGTCAGCCAGCCGACGAAGTTACGTCATCGGATCCGTGAAAAAAAAATCACATTTTCTTCACTGGTTTTTCCATCTGTAATCATGAGTTCATCTAGTTGTCGATTTTATGAGAACCGCTATCCCGAAGTCGGGGAAGTGGTCATGGTGAATGTCCAAGAGATTGCAGAGATGGGAGCATATGTAAAATTGTTGGAATATGACAACATTGAAGGTATGGTTTTGTTGTCGGAATTATCCAGAAGGCGTATTCGTTCGATTCAAAAATTGATTCGTGTAGGTAAAAATGAGGTTGCCGTTGTGTTGAGAATGGACAAGGAAAAGGGATACATTGATTTGTCCAAAAGAGCGGTTTCCGCCGATGATATCGTCAAGTGTGATGAGCGTTACAATAAGTCAAGAGCAGTACATTCAATCTTGAAGCACTGTGCCGAGAAATTCAACCTTCCCTTGGAGCAATTGTACCAAAGTGTTTGCTGGCCATTGAGTAAAAAATATGGTCATGCTTATGATGCATATAAGTTATCTATTGCCGATGACTCTATTTTCGATGACATAAAAGCACCTTCACCAGAAGTGTTGGATGAGTTGAAGTTGTACATTTCGAGAAGATTGACCCCTCAACGTATACAAATTAGAGCTGATGTGGAAGTTTCATGCTTCAGTTACGATGGTATCGATGCCATTAAAAAAGCATTGAAGACCGCAGAAGAAGTCAGTACCGACCAAATGCAAGTGAAGGCCAAATTGGTGGCTGCTCCCTTGTACTTTATATCTCTCGAAGCTTACGACAAGAACCAGGGAATTGCATTATTGGAAAAGGCCATTGAAAACGTAACCAAGAGCATCGAATCATTTGGAGGTAATTGTAAAGTTAACATGGCTCCAAAAGCTGTCACTGCTACTGAAGACGCTCAATTACAGGCATTATTGGATCGTAAAGAGGAGGAAGATAAGATTTCTTCGGACGAAGAAGATGATGAAGAGTAATATGCCCCATAATTCATTAATTCCTCGTATGTATAAATAAACTACTCTATTTGCTCAACGTAAGTTGTCCCTTATTGGCTCGATCGATAATGTAGGCAGGCAAGTACGATATCAATTGCGCAGGAATTCGAAGGTCTACCACGCTTTCTGGTATTTGCAATTGATCAATATTATAAAGTTCGAGATTTCCTCTTAAATCCAACACTTTGAGCTTGTTTCCAAAAGTTACATTTCGTATGGTTTTTAGTCCATTGTGTGCTAGGCTCAACCATGTCAAGTTTGCAGGCATATCGATTCCCTCGACACTTTTTATGGCATGATGTCCCAATTTTAAGACTCTTAAATTTGGTGGAAATACAACATCTTTCAACGATGTTAAACATTTGTCTTGCTCCTCGCGGAAGGCATCATTATCAAAGTCTAAAACTTCTAATGTGTAGGGAAACTGGACGTTTTTCAATGTAGTGATTAAATTGTTTCCAACGTAAAGAGTTTTGAGTGAGGTAGGGAACTGAACCTTGTTTAAAGTTTTGATGTTATTATAGCCCAAGTGGAGGTTTTCAATGCTATTTGGAAGCTTGAGTGGGTTTACACTGTTCACTCCATTGTGAGCAATGTTTAGGTTTTTAACGTTATACGGAAATTTAAGGCCTCGTATGTTGGTCATGGAACGCTGTAGGTTAAGGCTAAGAATCAGATCTGGCAATCGTATTCCAGCCATGGATTCGTTGGGTATGTGAGATATGTCAAGGTACTCGAGTTTTTCTGGAAACTTGGCCCCCTTTATATTTTCAATTGGATTGTATGACAAGTTGAGTGACTTTAAGTAAAGTGGAAAATTAATGTCCTGTAAAGATTCGATCCTGTTGCTGGAGAGATCAAGGTGCTTAAGATATGGTGGAAAATCAACGTAATCGAGGAAATAAATTTTGTTTTCTATCACAGTCAAATTCTCCAAGGTTGAGGGAAATGAAATGTTGTCAATGTTTGTCATTGAGCCCGATCCTACGGTCAATGTCTTTAGGCTGGGAGGTAATTTGAACCCCGATAAGGTCTCCAATGAAGCACCACCACCGATATTGAGGGTCTGTAATGATAGTGGAAATTTCACGCCCGGAAAAAACCGAAGACCATTTTCTCGATAGTCAAGAGTATGAAGCTTTGGAAATTGCAGAAAGTCATTTTGGATTTGCAGACCCAATTCTTCTAGTTGATCCTTTTCTGTAATGAAAACAGTGCTGCTGTTGTATTTGTGTATAATTGAAGCTTGGACAACGTTATTGCCAGCCACCGAGCGAAGGGTATTTAGGGCACTCATTATTAGGCTTTTGCTTGACTCCTTGACTTCAGACCAGTCCGAATAAGGGTCGTAATGTATGTGGTATGCAATATTAGGAAACGAAGCCATATATGAGCCATTGCTCATCATAAAACTTACAAGCTTTTCTAGGTGCTTTTCAAAACCTTCATAAACCTCGATGCAAATATCCATTCTATTATACGATCCCGAGGACGATTCGAGTTCTTCCATGGTTATTTGTGATACATTGCTGTTGCTGAAGTGTGATATGAACTTTTCTATGGCTGGATAGTGGTTATTTTTATCTTGAATCAATATCAAATGAGTAGGACTGGGCGAAGAATGGGCGGAATGGGCATCTAGTATGTCAACCTCGATTACATCTTCGGAGCCCTCGAGCTTTAGTGGGCCACCATTCATGGCTATTTTATGCTAGGATATGCTGGAAAGTTAATTTTCGTAAGCGTAATTGTAGATGTTGTGCATTCGGCTCATCGCGATTAGTGAGCCTGCGATGAGGAATGGTGCACGCCTACTCGCAGGAATTACTATACGAATTGCAACCGAAATTTAGGGTAATTTTTATATTAGTTATAGACTATTAGGTTCATGCTCTTCTTTGTGGCCACATGAACATGCATTTGAGAGCTTGCATTGGAGGAACTCTGACATCAAGATGGCCTCCAGTATCTGAGTCGATATGAGATGAGAGACGGTCCCTGGCAATGACGTAGCCTCGCAAGAGAAGGACACTTGCGGAGCAGGCAAAGAATGAAACACCTGCGAAAATAGTACAATGCAAATATTGTGTAGGACTAGTGATTTCAGAACTACCAGTAACCAATCCCACACCAATAACTGGCGATGCAAGTCCTGATGCTCCAAGACATACCCAAAGCATACAGAATGCAACATTGAGCTTTTTCAATCCCACAATTCGGGCCACCATGGGAGCACAAGCACCATAAATAGACCCCATGATGCTTCCCATGATCAAACCGTAGATAAGCATTGTAGCCCAGTTTCTGGCAGGAATCCACATTGCAAGTGTAAATATTGCTGAAATCAAGTACACGATCGTAAGCATGGTGATAGGTCCAATTCTGTCTGCCACCATTCCTATCAATGGACGACCCACAACAGATCCTAATTGAATCATGGCGGAAACAATTGAACCTTGGTGCTCACTGTAACCAAGAGACGTTGTGAAATTGACCAAAGTATAGAGCACCACCACATATCCAAACATACAAGTGATGATAAAGAATGCCATAACATAAAATCCAAATGTTCTAAGCACCTGTTTGTCGATAAATGTGAATTGAATGTGACCGGTATGTTTATGCTTGTCTTTGATCAATAAAATAGAGATCCATACGAGACCAAACCCAATTATACTTTGGCATCTCAATGCCCAGAATACGGTACGGCTCCTGATAACAGCCTGCATTCCTAAATTGAACACAATACCTCCACAACCAGATCCTGCGGTAGCCAATCCACCAGCAAATGTTCTCTTTTTCTTAAACCATTGGGGAAGAATGGTGAGTCCAGGCAACGAAATAAATGCTAAACCAAAACTTTGCATTACTCCCTGTGTGAGATAAAGTTGCCATAAGTTAACGGACCAACTTGCAAGCATAAGTGCTGTAAATTGTAAGCAATTTCCCAATACAATAGTCCATTTGATGCCAATGATGCCTTGAATGTAATTGATGATAGGAGCGAAAAAAAGACCCACTCCAAAGGCACATCCACCAATGACACTATAATCTATTCTGGAAGCTCCAGCGAAAGTATTGTTGTTGAGATAATACGAAAAGTAAACGGCAAATCCCGAGTTCATACCCCATGTAGCGAAGTTTAATAAAAACACAGCAAACACTATTACCCATCCATAGCCACCTTCCTTTTCTTCTGGTATCACTTGCTTTTCCGAGTCATAATTGATCTTTTTCTCTTGGTCATCTACTTCTGAAATCGTTTTACTGTGATCTGAACCCGTTGAAGTAATATTTGCGATGGTCGGAGAAGTGGCCACATTATCCGATACGTCGTTGCGTTGCAAACCAACTGTGTCACGGTCCCCCATTTCTTCTCCTACAGATGAGGGTTCAATATTAGTGCAACAATATCGCCCGAGTGCGAGATTCAATATATAACAAACGTTAGTTAAATATCTTCAGAAGGTGGGGTCTCAACCGTTTTAACCGGCGCTGAACCGGTGCGGCGCGCGATGCTTAAAAATCAAGCCTGAAAAATTCTGTGTTTAGGTACAGATTTTAGTTTGGGAAAAGGAAAAGCAATTTTGAGCTATCAAAGCTGTATGAGGTATTGGTTGTGGGTCTATACGACTAGTAATTCATGGCTGGAGTTTGTTCGATAAATTTCACAGCCGCACTTTCTCGGCGGAACCTCGGGCCGGCTGTCAGAGTGCGTAAACCTGGAGTAGTGTAAAGCCACAGATGACTCAGTTGCGGAAAACCCCGAAACGAACGATATGCTTGTAGCCACAATGTCAATTACTGTTGGCAAATGTAGCCTAACTAAATGACTCTCTACTTTTAGATTAGACTTCGAATTGGTAGGGCTGTTCTAATAAAATTAAAAAAGACTTGGGGCAAGCTGGGAATTGAACCCAGGACCTCCCGCACCCTAAGCGAGAATCATACCACTAGACCACATGCCCTTGTCGGTTAAAATTATTCCAAGCGTAACCCTATACGAGGTGAGACATTGAAAGGAACCGTTTGTAAGTGATGAATCTTGAATAACCTGGTCGGCACAAAAGCATTGGTAGTACATTGCAGCGGAAATCGCAATAAACGTCGCGAATGTCTGACTGTCTGACTGAATTAAAAGTTATAAACACCCGATCTCGAACTCATATTTAGTCTTTATATTTGCATCTCCTCAGTAGCCCATCTTTGCTTCACATTTGAATCTGTTGCAAAAAAAACAATCGGGGCAGGCTGGGAATTGAACCCAGGACCTCCCGCACCCTAAGCGAGAATCATACCACTAGACCACATGCCCGATTTGTGATGGAAAAGGTACACTGTACAGGCCACAAAGTGAGTAGCTATCCTCTATCGCGATTCAGAAAATAAGTTGTCACCACTCTCCATATTTGCAGTTCACTCAAAAATTGCAAAATCTCAAATTTTCACAATTAAACTCTCTCAGAACACGACATTAATTTGACGAGACACCCTTGCACCCACTCATTAAAACTTTGGTTACAACCAACTTCTTCATGTTTAGCATCAATGCTAGGACAAAGGTTCCCATTTGGGTTCCTTTCATAGCTAGAAAAGGGTTCCTGATGTCCACGAGGCAACTTGCTGAACCAAAACTCAATCAAGTATCCTCTTTGAATACTAGAAATATAGGAATCATCGCCCATATTGATGCTGGAAAAACTACAACCACCGAAAGAATGCTTTTTTATAGTGGAAAGACAACCACAATGGGAGATGTTGATCAGGGAGATACCGTCACCGACTATTTACCATCTGAGAGACTGAGAGGTATTACAATTCAACTGGCGGCTATTACCATTCCATGGAACAATAATAAGATCAATATCATTGATACTCCAGGTCACGCTGATTTTACGTTTGAAGTGATTAGATCGCTCCGCGTGCTTGATGGATGTGTGACGATTTTGGATGCAGTGGCTGGAGTCGAGGCACAGACCGAAAAAGTATGGAAACAAGCTCAGGCATTGAAGATTCCTCGAATAGCATTTGTGAACAAAATGGATCGCCCGGGGGCTGGCTTCAGTCGAACAGTGAAAGAAGTGGTGCAAAAACTTCAAACCAAAGTGGTCTTGTGCAATATTCCATACTTTGAAATGCTGAAAGATGATGCAGTGTTTGTGGGAGTAATCGATATTCTTCACAACAAGATACTAAAATGGAACATTGACGAGGATCCCAATGGTCGAGATATCACTGTGATAGACCTTCAAGAGGCTAAAGAAAGCCACCAAGAAGCATATATGGAAGCATTAAAGTGCCGTGAGTCAATGGTGGAAACGTTGGGCGGCATCGAAGAAACAGTTGTTGACGCCTTCTTGGAATGCGACGAGGATTACATGAAGATACCTTCGTCGATTCTCAAGCTGGCTATTAGAAAAGCATGCATTTCAAACCAAGTTACACCGGTATTCTGTGGTTCTGCATTTCGCAAGATAGCAGTACAACCACTTTTAGATGGGGTGGTAGACTACTTACCATCACCTCTTCAAACACCCGTTCCAGAGATCACCGCTTCAACATCAAAAGTGTCAAAAAAGCAAAAACAAAAGAAAAATTCAAAAGTTTCCTCCGTACCAATAGAAATGAATCCAAAAAAAGGGCTTATTGTTAACAAGAACCCCCAACTAACGGTTGCCTTAGCGTTCAAGGTGATGACACACGCTACAAGAGGAGTCATGACGTTCTTCAGGGTATATTCCGGGTCGTTGACATCCAATACGACGGTTGTTAATACTCGTACGGGAAAGAAACTCCACTTGAATAAAGTGTTATTAATGCATGGTGACACTCCAGAACCAGTTTCACAGATTAGTTCTGGAAACATCGGTGTAATTACTGGAACTGAAAATGACGTTATAACTGGTGATACTTTGGTATCGCATGGTCCAGTGAAGCGCAATTTCACTGATCTTGAAACGAGCATCAAACTTTTACCAATTGAAATACCACCACCTCTTTTCAATTCCAGTATCGAGCCTCTCACTGCCGGTGATGCCAGGTACATGAACGAGTGTATTAACACTTTGATAAGAGAGGATCCTTCGTTGAATGTAAATGTCGATGAAGAATTGGGCCAAACTATTTTAAGTGGCATGGGAGAATTGCACCTTGAAATAGTCAGAGACCGCTTGATCAATGATATGAAGGCAAAGATTAGGTTGCGCAATGTTGCTGTGTCGTTTAAAGAGACTGTATCAAAGCCTAGTCTTGAAGTTGTGAAGGCTAGCAAAAATGATGGTTTGGTCAAGGTGGAGGTATCACTCGAGGCAATTGATGGTCCAGCTGAAGAGTCTACTCATGCGGATGAGAATGGGTCGGTACTACTTGAGACTGATAACAATGTTGTAAAATTACCTCCAGAAGCAGCGGCATCTCATATTAATGAGAGTCTTTCGGAAAGGCGATGGAAATCTGAACATTCTCTTGAAGAATTGAACGACATTATTTTGCAAGGTATAACGACTGGTTTGCAATTGGGTGGTCCGATATTGGGGCTTCCGCTTCATTCGGTAGTTGTTAGAGTTATACATTGGGATTTTCCTGTCGAAGGTAAAGAGGTGTCAGCATCCATGCTTCTTGACGCCAGTAGACAGGTGGTCAGAGAAGCACTCAGCAAGCTTCCAGAGTCTTCCTTCTGCATTCTTGAGCCTATAATGCTGACCAGAGTGTATGTTGACTCCGGATCAATGGGTGAAGTTGTTCATGATCTTAGCCACAGATGCCTGGCACACATAACGTCGATTGAAGATGAAAGTGAGAACATGGATTCCAATGCATGGGCAAACGAGGAAGCCGAGAATCTCTATTTGCCACAAGATTATACCATGAAGTCGGGTAAAAATGCGGTAAATTTCACCAACAAAAAAGTAGTTGTTGCAGAAACTCCATTGCGAGACATGGTTGGGTATCTTTCAAAACTTCGGTCCATTACCCAAGGCCGTGGAGTCTTTGACATGACATACTTGGGAATGAGAAGAGCAATTCGTCCTGTCTTACTAGACAGCTAATGTACATAGTCAATAGTTATTTTGCACCCATTTGCTATATAGTGGTGTATGGGTCTGGCACATGCACCCCGCGATTTTATTTCCTCGTGCAACTTTGCTCGTCAAGAATGTCAGATCTACCACCACCAGATTTGGGATCTGAGGAAATTTCGGTGTCGCCGACTTCGTCGTCGTCTTCCTTCGTTCCAATCGACAAGAATCAGCTCCAAGATGCAGTCCAGGTTGTCAGCGAAGCCAAGGAATTCAACAGCTTGATTCTCGACTATGTGCGCAAAGCGACGCCGGCTTCTGAAGTGAACAATAATTACCATATTGTATCAGTTTTCGGCTCCCAATCGACCGGAAAGTCCACGTTGTTGAATCGCCTTTTCAACACCAACTTTGATGTGATGGACGAGTCGAATCGTCTGCAGACCACAAAGGGCATATGGATGGCTTATTCCAGTATAATCACTACATCGCAAGGTCCTGTGCCAAGTAAAGGGGGAGAGAACATCTTTGTGATGGACGTAGAGGGAACTGATGGAAGAGAGAGAGGAGAAGATCAGGACTTTGAGAGAAAAGCTGCTCTTTTCGCTTTGTCGACTTCAGAAGTTTTGATCATCAATGTATGGGAACATCAAATTGGTTTATACCAGGGTGCCAACATGGGACTTTTGAAGACGGTGTTTGAAGTAAACTTGTCTTTGTTTGGACGTACCAAATTGGAGATGAATGAACACAAGGTGCTTTTATTGTTTGTCATAAGAGATCACATAGGTACCACCAGCAAAGAGAGCTTGGCAGCAACCGTCACTCAGGATCTCATTAAGATGTGGGATAGTTTGAGCAAGCCTCAAGAGCTCGCCCACCTCCAATTCTCCGATTTCTTTGATATACAGTTCCACACATTGAGACACAAAATTCTTCAACCGGGAGAATTTACAACTGATGTACAGCTTCTTGGTGACAGATTTACCGATCATAAAAACGAAGACTTCTTGTTTAAGAAGTATTACCATCACGACATACCAATTGATGGCTGGACAATGTACGCTGAAAATTGTTGGGATCAAATCGACAAGAACAAGGATTTGGACTTACCTACCCAGCAGATCCTTGTTGCCAAATTCAAGTGTGATGAAATTCTCACTTCTGTTTTTGAGGAGTTCCGTTCAAAGTTTGAAGAACGCCATGCCAAATATGCACCCACCGATATAAAGGAAGAAGTTGATTATGAGGAACTTGGTGGCTCCCTTGGTGACCTTAAAGAAGATACCTTGGAAAACTACGACATGATGGCCTCCCGTTACAATCAATCTGTTTATCTTCAAAAGAGAAAGACTTTAGAACAGAAGATAACTGACGTTTATCAAGACTTGGTAGACCAGCATGGTGCCCACATGGTGCTGAAGCTTTCAGCCAAATTTGCGTCATCTTTATCATCAAAGAAGCTTCCAAAGGATGTTTCTTTCGCTCTTGCAACTGAAGCATTACGCAAAGATATTGTACACCAGTTCCTCAAGAACTGTTCTTGTATTACATTAAACGGGTCCCTCGATCATGCCAAGCACGTCACAAGCTTCACTCGTAAGCTTGACAGTATTCTTCTGAAGCAGAGATTTGTTGAATTGAACTCAATTCTCGCAAAGAGTCTTAAAAAGGTGGAATCCGCTGTTGCTAAGGCAATTACCCAAGAGATAAGTGAACCTTCCGAATCCACATGGGACCGTGTCCTCGAGAAATTCAAAGGTGCACAGGATGAATACTTCTATTCCAAGTATGAGACGGCTACAGGAGTAGACTTTGGATTAGGAACATCTGCATCTGTGAATGAGCGTGCTCTCGAAAAGTTCCAATTCAGGGCTTGGAGTCTTCTCCATTTACAAATGCGCAAACTTATTTCTAAGGATAACCTTGTTATCATCTTGAAAGACAGATTTGAAGATAAGTTTCGTTACGACGAAAATGGTATTCCCAGATTGTACCAGAATTCTCATGAACTAGAACTCAATTTCACGGCTGCGAAAGAGCATGCCCTTAAAGCATTACCTATTCTTACATTGGCTACGCTTTCGGATGGAACTACAATTGTTCCGAAATACGATGTTAGGGACAAGAGACTTCAAAAGAAGTTGGGAGCTGCATTTGACACTACTGGGGAAGTAGACTTGAAGGATGAAGATGTCGAACTGGATACGGACGAGGAAGATGAAGATGAAAATGAACCCAAGTGTTTTGCAGAGGCAATTTCTGAGACGGATAAAGCGCTGGTTCTTTCCAAATTCAAAAAGGAAACCGATGCTACGTTTGTTGAATCCAAACGTGCTCTCATACAACATGTCACCCACATTCCATATTACATCTACATTGTGATACTTGTGCTTGGGTGGAATGAGTTCATGGCGGTATTGAGAAATCCATTCTTTTTCACATTACTTTTGATGTTGGGAGCTGGAACCTATGTTTTGTACCATTTGAACCTTTTAAAACCTGCTATGGTTGTGGTGCAACGGATGTTTGATGAATGTCTAGTTATCGCCAAACAGAAACTCAAAGAGTTCATAGATGAGCAACCTCAAGAGCATGCCAAGAGATTGTCGAAAATGGCCGGGATCACCGAAGATAAACCAGAAGAAATTGAGATGCTGGATCTAACCCCACCAGGTGAAGGGTCGTAACCAAGAGTTTCCATCTTCCCCATTATCTTTGGAGCGCACACGACCGATGCAACATGCAACATAGGGTGGCCCAACTCAGGTTACATTGGCGCGAGGCTTCTACCGCGCACTAACTAGGCAGGATTCGGAATGCTACATAAAGTTGCAGGTTACTTCTGGGGAAAGGTTACAGTGCATAGGAGAAGTTATTTATTGACAGTATTTTGCCAATATAGGGCCTAAGCTATATTTTGTACAAGCAAACGTTGCATTCATTCTTTGGCATATAATATATCTTGTTGATATCCATACCAACCATATTCAGATATCATGACTGCATTCACTCGGATTTCAAACGCTTTCAACTTGCCCAAAACTCAGGTCCAAGTGGTGACAAAAGAGTTTACAACTGACTCCCCATTAGATGTGTTAACTGATGAAGCTTCCGAAACCGATGATCTGCTTCTTTCAGTTGGGTCTCAACTGTCTTCAACATCGGTTATTCTTGCACTGGCCGTCCACGGTTTTGCAAGTAATGTTAACAGTAACAACCTTTCATCCCATTCAGACACGATCTTTTCACATTTCAATGAAGCACTTGCAGAAAATTCTAAACTTACCATGCTTCCCAACTACAATATCAAGGCTACTGGAAACGAATGTGGCCTGTACTTGGTTATTGATCTCGGCGGTTCGACTCTCAGGGTAGCTGTTATTGATATTGCTGCTCCATTGCTGGACGATGAAGAGGACCGAAGTGGAAGAATCGAGGTTGTAATCGAGAACAAGTGGGAAATCAACGATTCCTTCAAAAATATCAACAATAAGTTTTTCGACTTTATTGCATCGAAAATATTCGAAACGCTCAACAGCCAGTCATTAATTGCCATCGACCCGAATACCATAATCAATACGGGGATCACCTGGTCATTTCCATTGGATCTGATATCACATAATAGAGGAAAAATAGTCCATGTGAGTAAGGGCTATACGGTTGATCCCGAGATCTATAACCAAGATTTGAAGCAAGTTTTGGAATCGGCTATGAAGCGCCAACATGACTTAAGCTTAGATGTGAAAGTAATCATCAACGACTCGTTGGCAGTGTATGCTGCTGGTTCCTTCGTCGACGCTTACATGAAATTAGCAATGGTATTGGGTACTGGGGCCAACATGTGCTGCTCTTTAGACACCGCCAAGCTTCATTCCGAAAAGACTTTAGACCTGGATGCTGTTTTACTCAACTCAGAGTTGTCCATGTTTGGTATGAACTTACTGCAGGACCTTTCTACTCCATATGACAAGATCGTAGATGATCGTTTCCACAGAGCCTCGCTTAACTTCAAGCCCCATATGGAGGTGGATCCCGATACCATGAGTATTTTCCAGCCTTCAGAATTGATGGCTAGTGGAAGATATCTCCCAGAACTTACTCGGTTAGTGATGGTGGATATGATCAAAGATGGTGAATTATTTGCCCTGATTGATCGCAAGTCTTTGAAATCGCTTTATATTCCATACGAGGGCTTCACTGGAGAGCTCTTGTGTGCTATTTGTGAAGGAAACGACACCAAGAAAGCATCTGAATTGTTAACCAAGCAATACGCACTCTCACAGCTGGTATGTGAGGAAGATGTGTTGAAGATTAAAACGATTGGAAACTGCGTTATTGAGCGTGCAGCTTATATTGTTGCATCCTCCATCATTGCTTTCATAAAGCTTTTGAAAGATCACAATGGCCCATTCACCAGCAAATTTGTCGATATTGGATTTGTGGGCTCGGTCTTGATGTACTTTCACTCTTACCGAGAAAAAATATTAAAGTTTGTGAACGAAAATAAGGATATCAAGGATTTGGGATTAGAAGTTGACCTCAAGCCCATCGAAAATAGTTCCATCATCGGAGCTGCCATTGGCGCTGCATACTACATAAATCAATGAACGATGATATACAAAGAAAATGTTACAGGAAGAGAATCTATGAATAATTGATACCAAAGAATGCTATTATTCATGATCGATACTAAAGAAAGTGCTACAAAATCGAATCTATTCATGAATTGACTGCTAAAAACCAGTATTTTGTTGGCTATTCACTAGTAATTTCTATAACTTGGACTTGAGACCTGCTGCGCCAGTGTCTGAAACAATGAGTACATTATGGTGATCTTGTAAATAAGACGATGGGTACTTTGGATCGTTTCTCTTTCCGTTTATAGTCTTATCCAAAGCAAAGTGTTTTGCCAGTCCCAAAACAATAATTGCAATTTCATCGGTATTATCCAAAATGGTGGAGATTCCAACTGATAAGGCAGTCTTGGGTACTTTTGATGGATCATTGCCAAAGAATCTCGAGTTGGCATCAATGGTAGACTGAACCAAAGTGACCTCTCTAGTAACACTAGTTCTTTTAGATCCAGCTTCATTGAATGCCAAATGACCCTCTGGCCCTAAACCACCCATGAAAAAGTTGATTCTGGGGAACTTGTGAATTTTGGCTTCGTAGTCCTTACACTCCTTTTCCACATCTTCCGCAAGTCCATTGAGAATATTTATGTTCTCACGAGGAATATCGATATGATTGAAGAACTTGTTGAACATAAAATAGTGATATGATTGAGGGTCTGATGGCTTAAGACCCACATACTCATCCATGTTAAAAGTCACCACATTTTTGAAAGAAATTTTCTTATCCTTATAAGCTTGAATAAGCCGAGCGTATACGCCTTCCGGAGATGATCCCGTAGGAAGTCCGAGAACAAATGGCTTGGAAGCCGATGGGGAGAAATCATTGATCCTGCGAACTATAAGGTTTGCAAGGTAATCTGAGGCATCATCAGTGGAGGAAAAAATTGCTTGTTTGATAGGCATTTGTGATTTGAGGAATTTGAAAACTGCAGTGTTTATATTGCAATTAATTTTTCACTGCAATCACTGTAACCGGCAAATGAATGATTGTATTTCGGCCCCACATGTAACGTTACACGGCTAATCTCCTGCATACGCGCCGTTTTGTGCATGTTGGTGCGGCGCTGCGGAGTCACCTGCAGTCTCGCTCCCGATGCAACCGGTGGTTACATTGATGACACCAGCTTGCAAGCCGATTATATATGGATACAAATTCAAGACCATAACAACACGAATAAAATGTCTTTTATCAGATTCACCAATGGACATTTATGTGACAACGGCGTGTTGTACCATGATGTGGACTTGTACGTAGATAAGGATAATGGCACAATCTATGGTCAAGTACCCCCTCCTACCGGACTGAAAATTGAAGTGGTGGACCTTGGTGGAAACGTTTTGGCACCTGGATTCTTGGACATTCAGAATAACGGGATATATGGACTCAATTTTTCGGATTTGAGAGAAGGTGCAACCAAAAAGGATGTCAAGGAATTCCAAAACTTTTATAGAGATGCCATGGCCAAGTATTTGACCACGGGTGTTACTTCCACATGTCCTACTGTCACGTCCAACTTTCCGGAAGTCTATAATAACGTGCTTCCGCTTTATCGTCGCAGCAGGCTGCAACATCAGGTGGACTCGCTTGGAGCTCATTGTGAAGGACCATTTATCAATTTGAAGAAAAAAGGATGCCATCCAACTGAGACATTTGTCGATGCCAAGGAAGGTCCTTCTAAGCTATTCGATATTTATGGCGGGGTGGAGAACTTTACCGAGAACGTGGCCATTGTGACTGCTGCTCCTGAGATTGAAGGAGTATTGCAAGCCATTCCTGAAGTGGTGGAGTCAAACATAGTGTTCTCGTTGGGCCACACCAACGCTGATTACAAAACCGCAGTGAAAGCTGTTGATAACGGTGCCACCATGATCACTCATTTGTACAATGCCATGCCACAACCTCATCATCGAGATGTTGGGGTGGTGGGTCTTGTCACTTCTCCAGTGGTTGGAAAGACTCCATACTTTGGTATCATTTGTGATGGAGTTCACGTCGATCCTTCCATGGCTGTTATAGCCTTCAGATCCAACCCCGAGAAGTGTATACTCGTCACCGATGCCATGCACTTAATAGGCTTACCCGATGACACATACAAGTGGGACAACCAAACCATCGTCAAAAAGGGCCCATACTTGTACTTGAAAGGTACCAAGACTTTGGCCGGCTCAGCTACCACTTTGCCTCAATGCGTACGTAATTTGATGGCGTGGGCAAACATTCCTTTGGCTCAAGCCGTGAAAACCGTCACCAACAACCCAGCAACATCCATCGGCGTCCAACACGAGAAAGGCTTTCTCAACAAAGGCTGCGATGCCGATTTGGTGGTTTTGGACCACCAGGGCTTCCTCAAGGCTGTATACAAACTCGGGCACTTAATAAGACCCGTAGACGAAAACCAACCATCCAAGTTGATGGCAGCATTGTGATAACATATAATTAAGTAGCATGTAATATACCCCAGATTGCAACCATTAGTGCGGCGCTCACCGCGACCACACAGTATATGCAGACTCCGATACGATTGTGCGAAATGGTTCCGATCCCGATCGTACCTCCCTATGGAACGTTGTCTTTACAAGCAGCTTTCCAAAACGGCTGCGAGGACGTACGCCACGGCTGCCATACCCCATGATGAGTACCACAAGAAATATGATCTTCATCCGTGGCCAAAATCCAAGAAACCCACCCCACACGAGATCTTCAATCTTGACCCATCAGCACAAAATTTACCAACGTTGGAATTGAACAAAATACTCAAGAGCTGCTACGTAAAGTACGTCAAAATATACCACCCGGACGTAAGTAAAAACTTGGTGTTGACCGATGACAAAGGAAAGCAATTGACGGAAGAGGCTAAGCGTCAACGGTATGACGAGATCCAGTATGCCTACGATGTGTTGAAGGATCCTCGCAGACGAGTCGCTTATAACCGATATCAAAGCACAGCATGGGAAAACTACGGCAAAAATCCAAACCCTTCTTCGTTTGAAGCTTATAGGATGGCCAATGCTCACAGAAAGAAGTACGATTTTAAAGAGGATGAGCAATTTTGGAAAGCGGGAACTTGGGAAGACTACTACCGCATGCGTTACAATCGAGAGGCTCCTACTGAGGAAGAGTTTAACAAGAACAAGTACAAGATTCTCGTGGGAGTTCTTGCGGTGGCTGCGATAGTGGTGACTCTTCAGGTCATGACGGCTCTAGAAAACGCAGCACAATTTCGGCGTCGAGCAGAGATGAGAAATTTTACGTCAGGCACGGCATTGAGCCAGTCGTTAGACAACTATGGACAGGGAACGACGCCGATTCTGCGGCTCCGACGGTTCCTTACCTCGAGAAGAGCATCTTTGGCGGACCGCACCGACGAACAAACCCTCGATGAATTACGAGAAAACGACCAGGAAATAGTACGCAAGTACGCCCAGCAACGGCTTGCCTCTCTTGAAGGGGCAGGAAAGTTATGAACAGCATATATACAATTTTGGTCACAATACACATAGGTACTGCATCAACACCCGCTCCGGGACTAAAGTCTCAAGTTTTTCACAACCGACACTAATCATGGACTTCACTAAACCAGAAACTGTTCTTGATCTCGGCAACATTCGCCAGGCACTCATCCGTATGGAGGACACAATTGTCTTTTTCTTGATTGAAAGGTCGCAATTCTACTCTTCTCCTTCCGTATACATCAAAAACAAATTTCCCATCCCCAATTTCGATGGTTCATTTTTAGATTGGTCTTTGCAACAGATGGAGAGAACCCACTCGCAGATCCGTAGATACGAGGCACCAGACGAGATTCCTTTTTTCCCCGAGGTTCTTTTGGAATCGTTTTTACCTCCCATAAATTACCCAAACATACTTGCATCTTATCATAAAGAGGTCAACCACAACCAGACGGTTTTGAACTTTTACGTGGAAAACATTGTGCCCCAGGTGGCGTGTGAGATCGGAGAGCAGGAAGAAAACATCGGATCGGTTTCTGTATGCGATATTGACTGCCTTCAATCACTTTCTCGTCGGATCCATTTTGGAAAATTTGTCGCTGAAGCCAAGTACCAATCGGACAAACCCAAGTATATCAAGTTGATTTTGGCAAAAGATGTCAAGGGGATTGAAGACTCAATCACCAACTCTGCCGTAGAAGAAAAGATTTTGGAACGTCTTCAGAAAAAAGGTCAAAGTTACGGCACTGATCCAACATTGATGTACTCTCAAAACCCTCAATCCAAAGTGAGACCTGAAGTCATAGCTCAATTATACAAAGACCACGTTATTCCACTCACCAAGAAAGTGGAAGTGGACTACTTGCTTCGAAGGCTCGAAGATGAAGATGAAGCGGTGGTTGCAAAATACAAGTAGATTAGGTTTGATGGGGCAGATTACATAACGGTGATTTTATATGGTCCCGCATAATTATGTGGACTTTTGCCGTTAACGGATGCAATACCGCTATCACAGGCTACGTCCCGCGTGAGCCAACACGTTTTCAACCATAGCATGCTCCGCGTTGGGTATTGATAGGTTTAAGCCATGCCCACACGTTGCGCGCATGCCCCCACGTTGTTGCAGCCATGTGGCCGCGGAGGGCCTGTATGCACTGGCACAGGTTAACCTGGCACATATAAGAGACGTGGAGAATGTAGAATTAGTAAATAAACTTTATGTTGGAATTGAATCTTGAAAATCCCTTGGATCTGACCAAGGTATATTTGGTAACTGCCATATCTGTGGTATGTGCTCTTGGTTATCTGATAAAGACCAGTGATCATATTCGATCATTGTTGGTATTTGCCTGGGCTTGTTTTGTTAAACCCATGGCATCCAAGGCCAAAAAGCGTAACTCAACCGAGCAACAACAGGCTTTAGAAACGTTTTACAAAACCCAAGCTCACGTTTATGATAAAACGAGAACAATTCTTTTGAAAGGTCGCAAAGAATGCTTGAAATTGTCAATTGCACACTTGCAGAAAAAGTCTGATCTCGTGTGGATTGACGTTGGTGGAGGCACTGGTGCCAACATTGAATACATGGACGAAGTCAGCTCCATTGCCAAAAACTTCAAAGCGGTTTATTTGGTTGACTTGTCTCCATCGTTGTGCGAAGTTGCAAGAGCCAGATTTGCAGCCAAATCTTGGACCAATGTTCACGTCCTTGTTGCCGATGCATGCGATTTCTCTATTCCTGAAGAAAGCGCAAACTTGATCACATTTTCCTATTCGCTTTCAATGATTCCAAATTTCCATGCTGCCATTGACCATGTACTTCCTATGCTTGATGCAAATGGAATCGTCTCATGTGTGGATTTCGGAGTACAATCGAGTGAAACCTCAATTGGACGTATTAATACTCTTGGAGGTCTTTTGAATAGAAACATTCCTTGGGTGTTAAGAAACTTCTGGAGAATCTGGTTCGAGGCTGATAAGGTGTACCTTGAACCCGCTCGCCGAAGCTATCTCGAGTACAAGTTTGGTACTGTCAAGTCGATGAACGCTTATAACAACAAATTGGGACGTATTCCATATTACTTGTGGATTGGATGCGACAAGAATAAAGCCACTGATTTACTTCATAGAATCAACTGTTTGGCTACTGAGTCACCATACCTTGCCCCAACCAAAAACAGCGCTGTTGAGTTAGTCGTGGATGAAGGCCCCATGAGTAAGGGACATGAGGCTGCTCTTCTGAACTTTCAAAAAAACATCCCCTACCCTTCCATCTACTACCAAAAGGAAGCATGGAGAGTGTACTTTGATGAAATCAACCCACAATATCACCAATTCAAGGACCAGTACATATACGCTTTCACGTGGGAGGACCCAAGAGAAGACCACAAAATCTTGAACTTTACTTCCAAGGATACAGTGTTGGCCATTACTTCTGCGGGAGACAACATTTTGTCATATGCCTCGCTCCCTAACCCTCCAAAGAGAATTCATGCTGTCGACTTGAACCCTTGTCAAAACCATTTGCTTGAGTTGAAGTTGGCCGCCTTGAGAACATTATCAAGAAAGCAGGTGTGGGCTATGTTTGGAGAAGGTAAGATCAAGAATTTTGATGAAATCCTCTATTCCAAGTTAGCACCACATATCTCTTCTAATGCTTTCCAGTACTGGGCTGAGAGAGGAAGAGATACTTTCGACGTCAATGGAAGAGGCTTGTACGATACCGGTTCCACCAGATGGGCATTGAGATTGGCTCGTTACATCTTCAAATTTTTCGGTGTTAAAGACCAAGTCACAAAGTTATGCGAGTGCAAGACAATGGAGGAACAGATGAAGGTATGGGAGGACCATATCAAACCAAGTTTATTCAATCCTTTCGTTGCAACTCTTATGGTTGGAAATCCAATTTTCTTGTGGAAGGCACTTGGTGTACCTGCTAGTCAGGCTAAGATGATGGGAAATTCGGTATTGAGATACGTTATTGACACCTTAGAGCCATTAATCAAGCGGTCGTTGATCTCTCAAGACAATTACTTTTACTACTTGACCTTGATGGGAAAGTATGCCAAGGACAACTGCCCTGATTATTTGACAGAAAAGGCTTATAACAGATACCAAGCACGCAACGAAAAGACAGGAGAAGTTCCTCTCGACACTATTAGATTACACACCGATACCCTTCAAGATGCATTCTCCAGATTGAGCAAAAAGTCCATTTCCATTGCCATTATCATGGACCATATGGATTGGTTTGACCCGGAAGGTACCGATGCCGAAAACGAAATCGCGGCATTGAGCAACTGTCTTGCCGATGGAGCACGTGTTATGCTTAGATCTGCCTCTACTAAGCCATGGTACATTGAAACCTTCAAAAAAATGGGATTTTCATGTGAGGCTGCAGCAGTAAGAACCAGAGGTCAATCGATCGATCGTGTCAATATGTACGCATCCACCTGGGTTTGTACTAAAAATGATGCTGCTCGTCGTAGAATGAGCAGTCTCAAGATCTAAGCCCATAGATATAGTTAAAGAACGATATAAATGAACTTTTGTAACGGCTGCAAATTATGGGTATTTTTCCTGCAGCTTCTATGGGCGGTGTTATGGGTGCGAATCACAATCAAATGGCAGCGCTACCGCACAACTATTACTAATGACAGTCAGTAATGAATTTGAAATGCTGTTTGCAGTGCCCTTGGAGTGCCAGGCCTGTGTAGACAGCGTGTCCAAGGCACTTGCTTCGATTTCGGAAATCACCAAGTTCAATGTGGACTTACAAAATAATCTCGTGACAACCACCGGTTCCGTGGCACCGTCGCAGATTGTAAGGTCGATTCAGGCTACGGGAAAAGATGCCATAATACGTGGAACCGGTAAGCCCAACTCGGCAGCGGTTTGTATTCTCGAATCGTTCGATAAAAAGGACATTGCAAACCCAGTGAAGGGATTGGCACGAATTGTCAGCATTGGAGACAACGATGCCGTCGTTGATTTGACCGTCAATGGACTTCCCGCGGGAACGTATTATCCTTCAATTAGAGCCTCAGGCAACTTGTCTCAAGGTGCCTTATCGACTGGTAAATTATTTTATGATTTGGGCCTGATTCTGGTGACAGAACCTCTGTCTGTAGAAACTGTGATAATGAGCGAAGGAGCCCACCAAGAACCGATAAGCGATTCTTTTGCCGGTCAGAGTTTTCTTCACGCCAAACTCAACGTTTCAGAGCTTATTGGGCGCAGTATAATCTTGTCTCGCGTCAAAGATTCCATCGCTTCAGATTCGATTTGTGGGGTGATTGCTAGAAGTGCTGGTGTTTGGGAAAACGACAAACAAGTATGCAGCTGTTCTGGAAAAACCGTTTGGCAGGAGAGAGGTGATGCCAAAAAAAGAGGGGTTGCTGTGTAGATGATATATACTATGACGATGTAACGACTCCTGCAACCTCCTGTTTAGCCTGGGGGCCGCGCGAAAAATATACGATTTTTCCGCCTTTCAGCTTTAGTGCCAAATGTCTGAATACCTCTCAGCCAAAATGCTGATGCTTCAGCTCTTAACTGAGCAGAAGGACCAGGTAAAGCAGCGGCGCACACTCAAGCTCAATCAACTTGCGTTATCTCACCCAAAATTATCCATGTCCGAGGTGATTGAATGTGTACACGAATTTCTTTACTCATTCCAACCGCCATTAGAACTCGAACGACTATCGTTACAGGGCAATAATCTCGAGAGTTTGCCCCTAAACTTTGCTATCATTGCCAATAACATCAAATATTTGGATCTTCAGAACAACAAACTTGCGGATCTCCCTCGATCTGTTACCAGAGCCACTGGGTTGGAAATTCTTGATCTTTCGAAAAATCGAATTTCCTACCTTCCCAAGCAAGAGTTGTTGAAATTGACATCTCTTCGAGTGCTTTCACTCAAGGAAAACAACCTCACGGTATTACCGCCAGCACTTGGCGAATTACCCCTCTTGCACCTTATCGAGGTGGCTGATAATCCCCTCCAGTATCCACCCATGGATGTGATCCGGGTGTACCAAAAGCACTCCACCGACCTTGAGTGGGTTCTGGAACTCAAAAGTTATCTCGTAGCCAACGCTGCTATGCTAGAAGCAAAATTAAAGGAAGTGGAACCCAAGCCCATCTTGCAAAATGCACCCCCTGCCATTAGCCGATCCAAAAGCATATCCGAAACCAGGACAAAAGCATCCAAGGCAGCAAGAAGAATGGGTCTAATAATACGAAAACCAGACGCTGGGCCTGAAGATCGTGAACATTCAAATGAAACTACTGATACCCTGTTTGATTCGGACCTCTCATCTTTAAGTTTACCATTTCCAACTGCCGATTCTTTCCCGCTGAAGACTTCACCCGTGCCAGCTACGACCACTGCAACGACAGCAATGCCCAAAACTTCGGTTTCTTCAACCTCATCACCATCTACAACGCCCCGTCCTGGGTCAAGAGGTAGGTCTAGATCGAATACTTTGAAGGAGATAGACATAATTCTCGAGAAAAATGAAACGGTTGATACAGAGCATAAGTCTGGGGCTTATTTTAGACGCCTTTCGACGTTACAGGAGCTCCCAGCTGACGAATTGGCATTAAAAAATTTCCATTCTGCGTCTTTGAGTGGTCCCTCGAGAACATATAGAGAGTCCACCGACCCACAGAAGAAAGCAGAAGCTGTCAACGAAACTAATGAACAAAGCAGCATCCCCAAAATCGATACGTCACTGGCGAGAAAAGATTTCAAGACAGAAATGCCAACGTATAACGTTTCGGCAATGATAAAAGTTTCCAGAAAAGTTCTCTTTTCGTTTTCAGAACTTCACTCTTCGGTGAGGCGGTTTACTGGTTTTTGCGTGGACAAGAAGGTAACGATGAAAATGGTAACACACTTGTTCACCGCAAAAGCCAACATTGACACTTTGGTGGAGGACTTGGAAACCGTGGAAGAAACAGGAAATAGTAACGAGCTGATTGTGCGATCGTTGCGGTCTTCAATTTCTTCCATTAAAGCTATGATGTCACTTCTTAGTGATAACTTCCCGCTCTTTGTTGCCAAGATCGATGTTTGTTTTGTTCGAATGCTCTACCTAACTTTGTTTGGGTCCTTCAATGAGCTTTTGAATGCATACCGCTTAGTCCCATCATCACCCAAAATTGCTGCTTCTACCGAAACAAGACCAAAGCAATTAACAATTAACACTACCCTTGCTAACGAGCTCGATGAGGTTGACGGACAATTATACAACTCTATAGAACATGCTACCGCCAATGCTCAAACGGTGTTTGGAGAACTTACTCGGGCGATGAGTAAGAGTGCCATCGCAAGTGCACAGAATCCCAGTGGTGTGGGTTTCAACCCGACATTGACAGCGAAGGTGAAGGACTTGACCAATGTCTGCGTTGCATCGATGGACATTACCAAGAAGCTCAAGACAAAGTTGATAACCATCAGAAACAATCCGTCGCAAACGACAAAAAAGCTCTTTTGGGACGATATCAATTTATTCTTGAAAATGATTATACAAACATTTTCCTCGGTTAAAGGAATCATGAGAGAAATGCCAATCCTCAACGACATAAGGAGCTCAATGGCTACGCTTACAAAGGCTACCAAGGATGTGACAGTTCTTCTCGAAGCGTCATCATACAAGTTGATGTCACAAGAAGGGAACGTCCTGTCGTCTTCTCATCCTCCTTTACAGTCAATGCCCAGTGTCTCCAACATCTTCACTCCATTAACAGCACATCCTTCTCTGACAGGCCACTCTCTCTCGCAAGTGAATTTGGTGCAAGCGGGCCAAAATGCAGCTTCAACTCGAGCCATAGGTGCAACTTTAGGCACGGCATCCCAGTCGATGATTCCTCCAGCTGCTAACCATGAGGTCACCACGAGCAGTCCATTGGCTAGTCCTGGTGCCATTACCGGGGGTGCAAGCATGACAGCACCTGCCAACTCGTCTGGACTGTACTACGCACGAATCGGGATGAATCCGTTTGATGGTTTGATTATGGCCACGAGACGAGAAAATGAACAGATGGAGTCTGAGCGCCGAGATAGCGACAGGGATAAATGAATGAGCTACACCATACAATTGACATGTAGCTAATGAGATTGAGTATTTAATGTAGTTAGATTGACTCTGGGTCGCCTTGGCGCTGCATGCAGAATCGATGAGATCAGAGTCATAACCTGGAAAAAATCTCGAGATAACTGCTGTGTACTTATGACAATTGAGTTGGAAGAGCCACCTTTGGCCGAAAATATCCAGGTCGTCAAAGACCTATTTGGTGGAACTGTGGGAGGCATTGCTCAAGTTTTGGTGGGTCAGCCGTTCGATACGGTTAAAGTCAGATTACAATCTGCCCCAGAAGGTACATACACAGGAGCATTGGACGTTGTTAAAAAACTTCTCGCTAATGAAGGACCAAAAGGGTTCTATAAAGGAACCTTGACTCCTTTAATTGGAGTCGGAGCTTGTGTTTCCGTTCAATTTTCAGTCAATGAATCGATGAAGAGATACTATGATGGAATCCATCATGGTCAACCATTAAGTATTCCACAATTTTTCAGTTGTGGTGCCGTTGCTGGTTTCGCTAACGGGTTTCTTGCTTCGCCAATTGAGCATATTCGTATCAGACTCCAAACCCAAACCGGTGCTACCAAGGCATTTGCTGGTCCCATAGATTGCGCCAAAAAATTGTATAAGAACAATGGAATTGCTGGACTTTTCAAAGGTTTAACCCCTACATTGGTCAGAGAGTCTCTTGGTTTGGGAATCTACTTTGCAACATATGAAGCTCTTATCGGTCGAGAACTAAAGGTGCAAAAGAATATAGCGAGGGCAGATATTCCTGCCTGGAAGTTATGTCTCTTTGGTGGACTTTCAGGCTACACTTTGTGGATCGGAATCTACCCAGTTGATGTGATAAAATCAAAGTTGCAAACTGACTCGTTAGAAAAACCTGCCTACAAAAGCTGGACTCAAGTCGTAAAAGACATTAATCAACGAAGCGGAATTAAAGGGTTTTATAGAGGGTTCATTCCAACAATCTTGAGAGCTGCACCAGCTAATGGTGCCACCTTCGCAGCCTTTGAGGTTACTATGCGTTTTATTTCTTGAATATATCTATTCACTCTTCTTCGTGGAAGCATCCATTCCTCCAAAAGGACTAATATCGGTCGAATCAACTGGTTGTGTGTTGTCATAGTCATTAATTGTTTCGTTGTCTTCGTAATCTTGTGGCCGGAGCTCCTTGATAAACTCCATGAAATCCATGGCGTACTCTCCATTGAGAAGATAGGCATCCATTCCGAGCAACTCAAGCGACTCGTAATGAAGGTCTTTTTCTGAAGGAACGTTGATATTCTGACCTTCAATGTCAGAGGTAGTTAGTTCAAGCATTGTTTCTTCTTGGTGAGCATTTCTTGCCCATCGCGTTCGCTGGTTGAAGGTTTTGTCTATTCGCAAATGTAACCCTGGTGTGTAGTCAATGAGATACAAGAGAACAATGCTCATCACAAAGACGTATGCCGATGTAACGGTGCATCCCAAAAGTTGATATGCAAGCTGAATCCAGTGTCCTTGAACCCACCCACCATCAGAAGAGTATTCTGTGTTCGAGAAGATTCCTGTCAATAGTGACCCCACAATACCCGCAACTCCGTGAATTGCAAATAAATCAAGGGCATCGTCTATCTGAGCATAAAACTTGAGTCTTGTTGCAAGATTGCAAACTATTGCACTAACAACACCGTAAACGAACGGCTTCCAAAAATCGTTGGGATTAGAAACGTAACCTCCACCGGGGGTAATGGCCACCAATCCAGTCATCAAACCAGAAGACAAAGATATGACAGACATCTTTCTGGTGGACTTGAGGTTGCCCTCATAAGGAATTGCCGAAAAGTAGTAATCTATGGCCATCCAGACAATACCACTTGTGAACGCACTCAAGAGCGTGTTGACTATGATGTACACTGAAAGTGTAGAAAAGCGAAAGTCACAGCCGGCAACAAACCCACACCAGCCAGCGACAATAAAGAAAATTCCTATTGCCACATACGAGGTGCTGGAGTTTCTATAATTGATGAGAATCTTTGGATTGCGAGGACCCAATATGTATGAGTAGGCAAGGGTGGTAAATCCACTCACAATATGTATGCAATTTCCTCCCGCAAAATCGAGTACCGGTTGCTTGTTGTATTCCACTGAGAGCCAGCCCAGGCGGTTCCAGAACCAATAAGTAACAGGGTTGTAAATGATGACAGACCAGAAGAAGCAGAATACTAACATTGGAACCACACGGCCCCTCTCAGCAATACAACCAGGAAACGTCAACGCAGCGCAGACAACCTTCATCATCCCGTTGAATAAAAAGTGATTAACAGACAAAATACTGCCTCTTGAAGTTACATAGATGGTGGTAGCAGAGTCTCTCAAGTGCCGTAAAACGACAAAGTTCAAACTGCCTATATAGCGATTGACAGCTGAGGCATAACACAAGGAGTAACCCCATATGAACCAGTCTATGAATACAAATGGGAACAAAACAAGTGGAAGCACCAACATGGTCAAAGATGACCGCCTTTGAGTGAAGCCAGAGTAGAATATTGCAACTCCTAAAACCACAAAAGCAACTGCTGTGGTACAGCTCAACATGTAGAGAGAGTTGACCGCTATGGTGGGATCAAGATCTATACCCCCAGTAGTCATTTCCATGAGAGTTTATTTTGTTGTGGTCAGCATAGATGTGCTCAACTCGTCAAAAAGATTTGATTTGAGATTTGAAATCGCATCGCCTACTGGAATTAGATAATTCTATAATATTAGCTATAGATTGGAACAATAAAAAAAACACCAGCCTAGACGATGCTACTATATGATTATGATGATTAGAACTCTTCATCGGAAGAAACATATGCATCACCCAACTCCTTCTTCTTCTTCATTCTCTCCTTCTTCTTCTTTCTCAACTCGGCAGACGACAACTTGGTCTTCTTCTTAGCAGAGGCAATCTTGTTACCCATAGCATCGAATTTGTCCTCTTCATCGTCATCCTTCTTTTCCAATCTAGGACCAGCACCTTGACCTTGGACCCAGTTGTGACCAGATGGAGTCATCTTACCATCCAACACAGCCCACACTTCCTCAGTAAGGTCCTTGGTGAACTCAGCAGAGTGAGTAATGATGACAATACCACCATCGAAAGCTTTCAAGGCCTTGGAAAGAGCACCCAACGAGTCTCTGTCCAAATAGTTGGTTGGCTCATCCAACACAATCAAGTGGGGTCTTTGCCAGGTACAAGCGGCCAACACCAACTTGACCTTTTGACCACCAGACAAACCTCTAATTCTGGAGTGAGAAACCAATTCGGCGTCCAATCCCAACATGGCACAGTGCTCTTCGATCTCCTTTCTGGTCAAAGGTCTGAATTGTCCAGAAGCCAAAGCCTCCTTCATATCAACCTCAGCAACCATCTTGGAGTGGGTCTCCATCAATTCACCTCTTGGCAACCAAGCGTTGTCAACAGACATCATAGGAACCCATCTCTCGTTCTTCATGCCAATGTTCTCACCCAAGAGCCAAGAACATTCGTACTCGTAAGAGTTCTTGAACTTTCTTCTAGCGTGAATACCAGCAACTCTTCTTGGGGTACCTTCAATCTTGAAGATCTTGTTCATGGCGTTCTCATCGCTCTCGTTGATTTGTCTAGAAGCTCTGTCCATGGTCTCTCTGTCCTCACCGGTTTGGAATCTCCATTGAATGTACTCGGATGGAGTCTTGTCCAAATGGTTATCAATGTGGGCGAAAGCATGTTGCTTAATGTAAGCGATACGACAGTTCTCGTGCACATAAACTTCACCAGTGGTTGGCAACAATTCACCGGTCAACACATTAATCAATGTGGACTTACCGGCACCGTTAGGACCAATCACAGCAATTCTCGAAGAAAGAGAACACTGGAAGTTAATGTTTTGAATTTGAGGCTTAGAAGTACCTGGGTATTGGAAGGACATGTTGGACACCTTGACAATAGCCTTTTGCTTGGTCTTGACACCCTCCAAGAAACCTGGCTCTGGGAATCTGAACTCCAAGTCGGAAGCTCCCAACTCGTAGTAAGATTGAGCAGATGGACATTTCTTGACGAATTCGGACAAGTTACCCTTGTACTTTCTTAACTTGAAACCTTCGTAGTGGATAACGTATTGGACAACATTGTCCAAGAATCCAGAGTCGTGGGACACAATGATGGAAGTGATACCACAGGTTTGCAAGTAGTTGACCAACCAAGCGACGTTGACGGTATCCAAATGGTTAGTTGGCTCATCCAACAACAAAATGTCAGCGTTCTTCAACACAGCTCTGGCCAAAGCCAACTTCATCTTCCAACCACCAGAAAGAGATTGGATAGGCATCTTGATCATCTCGTCGGAGAAACCGAACTCAACCAACTTGTTTTCAACCACCTCTCTGGTCAAACCAACCTCACCATCTTCGATAACGAACTCAACGACGGTGGTGTCAGCGTGGGTACCATCAATGTCGTGCTCGACGTAGACGGTCTTACATTCTTCTTGAGATGGGAAACCCTCGACTTGACCATTAGCAATGGCTCTCATCAAGGTGGATTTACCAGCACCGTTAGGACCACACAAACCGTATCTTCTGTTTCTCTTCAATCTGAATTGAGTCTTGTTCAACAAGATCTTAGCACCGTAAGCCAAAGAGAACTCACAGTTACACAAGTCTTCACCTTCGTCCTCCTCATCCTCGAACGATGGAGGTTCTGGAATGTTGTCGATAGCTCTCTTTCTGAACTCCTCGATGATTTCCTTGGCTTCCTTCTCGTGCAAGAAGATGGTAGCGAATGGCAACAAACTTTGGACCCAAGTGTCTGGGTTGATTTGTCTCTCGTCGATCAAGTCACCAGCAATAGCGGCAATGTAGTTCTTGGCAACGTCGAATCTGGAGGCAATCTTCTTACCTTCCAAAAGCTTTTCGAATTCACCCAAGGTAACGGCAATGTCACCAGCGGTGGAAACCTCTGGAATGACATCACCCTCCTTGACGTCACCAACTCTTCTTAAAGTGTTCAAAGCTCTGTTGGTAACTTCACGGGCTTCAGGGTCAGCCATGGTGGAGAAGTTAGCCTTCAAAGCAGGCAACAACTTGTCCATGAAAGGAGCAACGACTTGAGGGTCGTCGACCAACTTACACATGTTGTCAACAATGACAGCAGCCTTACGCTTGATGGCGGTATCACGTTCAGCCAAACCTCTAGACAACAAAGGAGCCATGATAGAAAGAGTAGCCATGGTAACTTCGGAAACGAAGGTAGTGGCACCCAAAAGGTGGACGGTTTCTGGAACCTCAGTTGGCTTAGCAATACATTCGATCAACTTTGGAATAAACTTTTCAATATCCTTGTTGTCGATGGTCTCGGTAGACTTGGTCATAGTCTTGGTGGCGGCTTCCTTGACTTCCTTCTTGGTATCCCACATAGACTCGGACAACACTGGAATCAATTCCGGCATTCTCAAAGCGATTGGGCCCTTGGCGGTGTCAACCAACTGGGAGATGGCGGCCAAGATGGCAACCTTCTCAGTCCATTTGTTGGTGTTGCTCAAGTTGTCCAAGAGTTGGGGCAACAAAGACTTGATGGCAGTTGGGGTGATAGCCTTGGCAATAGAAAGCAAGGCATTAGAAGCAGCAGCTTGAATGTCCTTGTTCTTGTCACCAGCTTTGGCGGCAACATCCTTGGTCAATTCAACAACGTATGGCTCGACAGAAGGAGCCAAGTCGTTACCAGAGGCAATGTGCTCGTAAGCAGTCAAAGCAGCAAGAGAAACTTCAGCCTTCTTGTTGTTAATCTGCTTTTTCAAGTCAGCAAAAAATTCTGCTGGAACATCGTGCTCAACAATAGAGGAGTTGAGGAACGATGCAATGTTGGAAGCAGCTTCATCTTTGTTGTCAGCCACTTGCACCTTGGCCAACAACTCAGAAAGCACCTCTTCGGAGTACTTCGATTCAGCGGCAGCAGACATCCTGGTTGTTAAGAAAAAATTTCACAGGAAATCGCGACTTAAAAAGCCAAAAAAAAATTTTCGGCCTTCGTTACACAAAAGCCCAGATAACGGCAAAAGAAAAGAAATTGGTGATGGGTTACGTAACGGTCCTATTCACGTGGGTGATTGGCTATATGCTATGCTAGTGAAGGGAAAAAGAAGCGGAGATTAGAGACTCGAACGTGGAGCGTAGAATGGGAATGTGATGGCACTTTGTAGTCTGAACCATTTTTCGGAAAAAGTTTCAAGTTTGAAGGACATTGAAATATGCGCCGTAGTGTACCGTTCACTAGCGGTGATTCGAGTTTCCACCAGCCATACGGATACGAAGACGCAACAGCCATTGCATTGTCTGGAATACCTTCAAGGCAGAACACTCGGACGCAATTCCTTTACAGGTTTGGGCACGGTGACCGTCATTCACACCACTCTTCCCATTAATCTCTCCGGTTCTTGCCTCCACGGCTACTTTACTTTCTCGTCCTTATCTGTTTTACTCTCATCTCTCTCCCTTATTTGGTTTCTCTGGGATCTCATTTCCCACAGCCTTGGGATTTCGAGGCTTATCCAATTCCTTTTCTGCTCCCACCACCGCTCCTTCGTTTGCAATTCCTCCCTTGGGTGCTTCGGCGACTCCCAATCCGATTTCGCCATTGGACCCCTGAGCCATGTTTCCTGCCAAGTCTACATTGTCGATCTCACCATCAGCATTTTTACCAATCTTGACCATGTTGTCAAAGTTCTCCTGAGGTTTATTCACCTGGGGTATAGGGTTGTTTCTCAACAATTCAGGTGCAATTACTTCGTATTCTGGATCAGGTGTCGGCCTCATATCTTGCGCAACCCAATACATTATTACGCCAAACAACAGCAACATCAAGATGTAACCAATGATTTTTCTCATAGGAGTTGTGAAAAAAGTACGAGGCATCTTATCGTATGGAGACTGAAACTTCTTTTTGGTACTTGGTTTCATGTAATAGGGCCTGGGAAGCCCATTGTTTTTGTAGGTTCCTTGCATGGGCAATGAATCTGCGGTGATCGCAATTTGGCGCGGGCTTTGGGCGTCGAGTGCGGAAATGAATTCGATCTTGTGAGAGGTAGCGAGAACTGAGAGCTCGGAGAACTTATGACAAGACAAGGAACTCAAGAGAGTCAAGGAACTTGCTCGTTTGCGTCTACGCACTTGAAAGAGGTAAATGTAATGTATCTCGTTAACTCTTTATTTCTTCATTTTCATTTATCCATTTCATTTTCCATTTTCTTCTCTCATATATTACACTGTTCGTAGCTACGTTTGTCCATAAACACCTCGTCGATTGTGTTGCGAGGAACACTCACCAACCCCAATTCTCGTGTGTGCAAAGTTTCTGGATCAATTTTATCGTTGGATGATTCCCATACATTCGACAAGAGAATGTTTCCAAATGGATCCACCACCGTTATCACACCATCTAGTACACGATTATCCTTCAAGGCGATTTTGACATTGGTACCTATAAGTGCTTCTGGTGTCATAACCCACACTAAACCCGAAGTTCGTAGGTGGTGGTTAGGCTGGTGTTACCCGGGCGCGTTGATAAAAATCTCAACTGTGCCAAACATTTTTTCCTTAACATCATCGCAGGTCCACCCTTTGCAAAGTTTGTCTACCGCTCTATAGTAGACTGACGGAAGGTTTACCAGTGGTATAAGCGTAGATTAACCGACAGGAGCACGTTTCTGGGCGCCCGATGTTGAATCAGTGACACATTGGGAATCAGTTGTGACTAAATTTACCTAGTAGACGCTGTAGTTATTTATGGACATTTCGACTCGTAATCACGAGCTTTCGGTGCTCCATCGTGAGTACGCTCTGTATTTTCCATCGTGCAATTTGGTGTTGAAAGAAACCGAAAGTGCCCCGGTTGACGATGACATCTATGCCAAGTTATTGCTGAAGAGATCACCGCCAAGTCACATTGTTTTAACAACTCAAGAAGGAAAAGCCCTAAAAGTCACCGTGGGCATAAACGGCTGGTACCTATGCGAAGAGCCGGAAAAGCTGTATGAAACATTTGAGTCGCTTCTCCAGATTATTTCACCAGCATTTAGAGACGAGTTCGCACAGCGATTGTCTTCGCAGCTTGAACAACTACAGAGCTGAATTATATTTGTTAAATGACTATGTACAATACTACTTTCTCTTCTTGAGCGATGCCTCGACATCTCCCACGTCGTACTTGGTGTTTCTGATGTAGAAATGCTTCCGCCTTGGAAGATACTTTTTGGGTTTATTTATCACCTCGATGTTTCTGATGTTGGGGTTGAAAAGTGGGATTCTAACTTCACATCCCGTCTTGTTGATTTTGTTACGGATCAAAATGTTGGTCCCCACAGAATTCACTGACCTCTTGATGGCAATTACCTGGCCCACTACATTGGTTCTGTCGAGGTAAGTTACTCTGATTGCATCGCCAGCTCGTAAACCTGTCTTCTGGTCTACCAAGGCACTTCTTTTGCCGGCGGGATCGTACTTTTTGAGGAGCTGCTTGTGCAAAAACGTAAGGGCATTTTCTCCGTTTCTACGGGGTGGTAATGGTTCGTAAACCGTAGGCAATTCTGTGGTCAGTTCGATGCGATATGATGAAAAATTAGCTGAAAGTCACTTACTTTGCTTCAAGGGTATATACGTGCGAACAGACTGAAGTACTCTTGCGTTACTGATCATGCTGTTGGATGCTGCTTTGGTTGTGGTGCCAAAGGCTGGCATGAACCTAAACATGATTGATTAAGATTGGAAATTTTCAACGAATTTTCGCGCAAATCAGGTGTAGGAAAGATTAATGGAAAAGTACGTAAGGGTATTTAGGTACGTAGTGGTACGAATGTAGACTGCTAGTACTAGCTGCTCAGATTCAATTGTAAATGCTTGGTATGTTATTCTGACATATGCTACTATACACTAGAAACGGGGTCTCCGCTTTCTTGCTGTAAACTTGGAATCAAGAGCCACCTTCTTGCCTTGTCTCCTCATGGTTTCCTTCTTTCTCGCTATGAACTCCTTCTTGGACTCCAAGTGCTTCCTCTTTTTCCTATTCATGCTCTTATTCTCGCTGGAAACTTCCATTTCGGTACCGGCCAAATTGATCGATCTTTCACTTTGACCTGCCGTCAATACCAAGTAGTACTTTTTGTGTCTTTTTGACTCCGGATCGTCGATGACAAGTCCTCCTCCAAACCCTGCTATCTTTGCAGCGTCCAAAATGGCTTGTGTTTGCTTATCGTTCATAGGGTAAAATTGAGCCACAAACTTTCCACCTCGTTTTAATGAAGCATATAATGAATTGAAAAAGTGCAAAATTCTCTTCTTGGGGTCTACATTGGCTGAGTCGGCATTACAGAGCCACTGGATCACCGAAATAGATATGGCAGCATCAAAAGTACCGGGTCTGAATGGTATACCATTTCCAATATCTGCCAAGAAAAGGTCTCCTTCAACTTCTCGGTCGAGGGCTGACGCCAACATACTGGGCGCTATATCCATTCCTACCCAGTTGTAGCCTTCTTCTGTCAAAATTTCACCTGATAATCCAGATCCACAACCAACATCAAGTATAAAGTGCGGAGCGTCCTGTTCCAAGTTGAGAAGTTCAAGAGCCCTAAGTGTCATTTGGGCTTGAATATGCTGTACACGAGTCGAGGATGTGTACTTGTGAGACTCTACATCATTGTAGTACACCTCTGGAGGTGCTAGTTCTTCTGGTCTGGACATTAGAGTAAATTAGAAAAGTCGCGATGAGCTGCATCTAGTGCGATAACTACACAGATGCTGTATGCCTTATAAATAATTAAAATACTAAATACAAAGTACAGATCATCGATGGTCCAGAAATGAATCCTACCCAGCAGATAACATTTCCCAACACTTTTTTGTCTCTCATGAATTTTGTTCGACTAATCATTATCAATGGAAGCTGAGACATCTGGAGCGCCAACATGTAGAATCTCACCTTTCTAAAAATGACAAACATGACAAACTCATGAACAAAACTCAGAATGATAAACGTCACCAACGACGCTTGGTTTTTATTGAGTTTGAAAGTACTGATAGTTGACTGGTACACATGACGAAGCAAAAATTTGTGAACAGGACGATTCCAAATTCTTGCAAATTCCGACCAATCGGTACAAGACCACCAAGGACCATAAAAGTCCCGATCTGCAAACCTACTCAATTCGGCTATCGCATTTAGGATCACGTCCCAAATCAAGAAAAAGGTGAAAAGATATTCCATGAGAAATGGTGGAATCATGTCTAGTAAAACCAAACAGTACTGCAATACCTTTTCTCTTGACATTGGGAGTTTGCTAGCCTCTTGTGCTCGTACAACGATAGGATACATCCAGTTTTGAGCGACGGTGATCATCAAGAAGATGATGCCAAACACTGCAAATGACTTTTCCATGACGTAACCCCATCTAATACGCTTTGTACGTGGGAACTTGAGAGAATACACCACTGTTGGAAACATTGAATACCTGAAAAAATCGAAAAACGTAATGTTATTGGGGAAACTCACATAGTCGTCATCGAGTGAACTGGTAGACTTGGTTGTGTTCAATTTGTTCTTGTCGCCGGTGATTTCGACATCCGTGTTCACGCTCGTTGATTTGGACTGGTACTCCAACTCGTATGAGCAGAAACCAATGCTGTCTACCAAAGCCTTTCGCAAATCGGAAACACTCTTACCCTCAATCATGGATTCATCGGTCTCGTCCAATATCTTCAAGTACTTTCGTGACACTTGAAGCTCGTTGAAGATGTTCCAAAGATAGCCGTTGTATGTGGCATAAGAATGCATTTTCATGAGAAACACCAAGCTGTGAAGTGCAAGAAACACCTTTCCAATCCAAGGGTAGTCCATGTACTTTGGCGACGCAAAGTAACTCCAGGCAAAGAAGTACACGAATGAGTATATGTTTTGCAAGGTGGCTCCTGTTGAGCTCCAGCTATACCATCCTTTGCGGATGCCCAATTGAATAAAGACAGAGACGTACATCGTCAAGTACATTCCCAAGTCTGTAAGAGCAATTTTAAGTAAGTCCTTTTTAAACGTTCTGACAACTGGTCCATCGAGAAGATTGTCTCCGTTCTCCAAAAATGTATGGACCAAGTTGTTGAGAATTAAGAATGCCGTTCCGAGCCAAAAGAGAATGTAAACTCCAAAGAACTGCGATTCCTTAAAGTAATCAGCATCGAAGATGGTTGTCATGTTTGAGTAGAAATGGATATCTCCAAACCGAGACTTGTATTTAGAATGGTCATCTTTATGTTTTTCATGTTCTTTGTGTTCCTTTTTATGCTTATCGCCCTCACGGTTTAACCTCTGGCGTAATCTAGAATTTGTGGTTCGATTCAAAGTGTCTATCGTTTTCAAGAACCTTTTCTGTTCAGGTGACTCAGACAAGAGCTCTGTAGACGATTGCCTCTTGTGAAGAGTTACGGTCGGTGTTCCGTTTGTCGTGTTGGCCGAATCCAGACGACTGGATAAATCGGTGGAAGAGTAGTCAACGTCTGTGGCCAACGACGGTCTTCTCTCAGTATTATACTGGCTGATCTTAAGTAAGTTTTCCTTGGACATTTGCTGTGGAATTGAGGTTTCGGGATCTATGGAACCATATATAATGCCCCGCTCCCGATCGAGAACAAATTAAAGATGTCTTGGATAGGCTATGTACAGGTACCGGTATATCCGTCTCGGTTCGGATAAAGACGCCAAGCGGCCAACAACTGCGGCCAAGTTGTTGGCTGTGAAAGACATTACGGCTCTTTTCGTAGCTTCTGGTTTATCGGTATACTCGCTCGAATGGTCGGGTATCGTTGAAACATGATTCCCATACTGCATTCACCACACTTTCTGCTTCTTCTTTCGAGCTGCAATTGGGGTTGGCGCTCACAGATATAGCTGCTCTTCTCCTGACACATGCCTGGAACTTGCTTCCAAAGTCTCCGAGCCCGGTCTTTTTTATCTCATTCAATATTCTACATTCTCCACTCAATGCTGATGCTCTGATCTCAGTACAAGCATGATGTTTGAGGTTTGTAAGGTCCACCTTGAACTTGAGGTGGTCGTAGGCATGGACGAGCTCGTGTGTGAGGATATCTTCTAATTGCCACTTGTCTTTGATCCAATTCAGACAAAGTAAAATACCCATTTCTGGATGAAACCCTCCACCTTTCATCCCATCACACATATCACAGGTGATGTTCTTGCTACTAAGGTTTCCTCCCAACTTCTGCACGTGCTCCATCATAAACTTGACCGATGGCGAGTACTTGAACATCCAGTCTCGGTATTCAATACAACTATCACATTTCTGGGGAAGATTTTTCACACGGTAATCGTGTTCAAATTGCAACTTTTCCTCCTCATCTAGCCCTAATCCCGTTCTGTACTGTAGGGACCGTCTCCACCACTCGAATCCCTTGAGCTTGTCTTCCAGCGACGTTTGCCGATCGTCGTTCATGCTGCTCGACCAAATCAATTTGGTTCCACTTCGGTATATCACATCCATACACCGGCTTATATCGGGTCTTTTACGGCCACGTGAAAATGGGTAAAATGAAGGGTTTTCGAATAATTGGCCACACGGCCAAAACTTTCAGACTGGATAAAAACGGCTATATAGTCAGTTTCACCCATACTGTCCTAAATCGTCGAAAGAAGCAACTTCTTTAATGTGTTCCATCCTGCAGATAGTCCGCCTCATCTCTTCTCATTCAGATTCCAAATCCACCTGTGGTACCGAGTACGATGGTTTCAAATATATGGGTGGCTGCGGCCGATAACCAGATAGACGTAGTCAAGCAGCATCTAGACCTGGGGAAAGTATCTCCCAATTCTAGCGATGCTAATGGATATACTGCCATTCATGCTGCTGCTTCCTATGGTCATGTCGGCCTCTTACGGCTTTTAATACAACGAGGAGGTAATATAAATGTTCAGGATAACGAGGGGGATACTCCATTGCATCACACAGAGGACTTGGCCACAGCTAAAGTAATGGTGGAGGAATTTTCTGCAGACTACAAAATCAAGAATGAGGATGGACTCACAGCTGGACAGTACATTGAAGAAGAAGGAGAGTTTCCTGAGTTAGCGAACTACTTAAGGTCACTCATTCACGATGGTCCAGAGTCCAGTGGGGAATCAGTAGCTGGTTCTGGTTCGACAAGTGATCAATTCATTGCATCTTTGCCCACACCAGGAAATGTCGATGGTCATGAAATACGCTATACTATGGAAGCCGACGCACCCAACTTGACGCCAGAAGAAGAGGCGGAAAAGAAAAAGAAGATAGAGGCTATTCTCAATAGTGAAAACCCAGAAGAGGCACTCCGAGAGTTGGTACGAAATGCAGTCCATGATGGCATGGCTCAATTTCGAGCCGAAGCCGAAGACGGAGACAACAAGCGACAAAAAAGCGGTTGAGCAAAGAAGAGCTTACCTAAATTGACCAATTCAGCTATTTTACAAAAAGCATCCTCTCCTTTTCATCTCCACAGTGAAAAATTACACAAAACCGCCGCGAAGTTCGCGATTTCGCCCACCATCTTCATATCGACAATGAATTTTAATCTCCCATTCTTTGGCAGCCGCAATGTTGCAGAGACGGTGGTTGAAGAGGTGTAAGTAGCCCCATCTTTGGTTTGTGCGAGTACATACTAATTATAGTCGTAATTCTTACCATCAGTATACTGTTGAAGAGTTGAACAAAATGGGGTTGGTTAACAGAATCAAGCTTACCAACTGGCGTCTCGAGGTAATTACTTTGTCGACCATCTTGGTTTTTTGTTTCTTATTCAAGATTGGCGATTTGTACAACCAGCGCAAAGTTAAAGCGTATTTGAACGGTTTGTCAGATTTGTTCACCAACAACTTTTACCAATTCGGAGTTGCCCCCGACAAGTTGTATGTCAAGGATAGTGCAGAAAGCTACTCCAGTTACGCTACTGGCCGTGTGAACATTGCCAAAGTGAACCTTGAGTTCAGATTGAAACCAAGACACAATCTTTTCGTGTTGGTATTGGAAACTATTATGTCCTTCTTCACCTCCAATGTTCAGGCGCCTAGCGATAGAGTCGACATCATCATTACGCCATCTTCAGACGCAGAATACGACAACTTTATCTCGGCCATTGTTTCCAAGATTGGTATGAACGAGTTTAGAAAGTTCAACTACTTCTTGTCGTTGACCAAAACTTCGGACTCGGACTCACTTCCACAATCATTTGTTTTCATGAGCGAGTCTAGCGAGATCCAAGACAAGTTGTTGTCTCCTGAAATCAAGGACGCCTTGACCATGGAGTCTGCATCATGGTTGAAGTATGTTGCATTCACCGATCAGTCTGTTGAGAGACCTTCCACTCTTCTGGAGTACTCTCCAAGGCGTAGAATAATCATTGCTACGGATGTCGCTTCTTCTTCTGTTCAGATCAAGCAGATTTCTGACGTTTTGTCCGGTGTTTTTAATTTGGTGGACAAGTTGGCTGCCAAGGAAATCACGTTCAAGTCAGAAACCTTGAGAAAAGTCGTCAAGACCAGAGAGAACGAACTTGCCAAGTGGAAACGTATTGAGGACGAAATCAAACAAGAGAAATTGGCGGAGGAAAAGGCCAAGTTGAAGAGAGAGGAGAGACTCCGTAATCGAGAGTTGTCCGATGCTGAACAGCTCAAGCTTGAAAAGAAAGCTGCCGAAAAGAGACAAAGAAAAGCCGCTAAGAAACAAAAGGTTAGAATGTAAGAATTCATATGTAGTTTAAACCTTCCCTGTCAATTTCCATCCTCTTCCTACTGGGGTATTGAACACTTCAATGACTCCTGCTCCTAATGCATCGGCCAATATCCAAAAGAGATCATAGCCATAAAATGGTTTACGAAAATTGGTCATTTTGGGTGTTCCATTGGTAGAATATCCTTCCCATTTCTGAAACAAATTTTCTTCTAGCAACTCTTTATGCTTCGATTTATTCAAAGTCTTTACCAACCATGCTCGACCAGAATTAATTAGTTTAAGAAATGTTCCGCAGTTTGGATAGGCTACACTGTACTGGTGTGACTCTATCTCGTTGAGGTGGTTTGAAGTCAACGTTACGTACCCCAAAGAAACAAGAGTTGAAAGTTCTGCACTGGCAAAATCGTCCGAGTGGATGTAAAGTGCTGATGGATTTCCCTTCAAAAACTGCAAATATTTCTTCAAAGTGGTGCTTTGCAACTTTAGTCGTTCAGATTCTTGCATGCTATTACACTTTCCAGCTTCTGAGTCGATTGCGTCCACTTCTCTCTCTATCAAGTCGTAGTATTGCTCACTCTTCACGATCACCTCCACGTTTTCATGGCCGTAGGTAACTCTTCCTTGGTACTTGTTCTGGGTTCTCAGAACTACTGGCGCAGCATTGGTTATGACAAACTTGCGGACTTTTCCCTCTCGAAGACGAAGCTCCAAATTACGGTCAACATAGGTCGGGCCCTGTCTATCGTATATCGAGTAAAGTTGATTAAGCGTAAGAAGACCAATGGGTAAATGAGACTTTCGATACCTCAATATATCTGCCTTCACTTCCATGGAGAGTCCTGGAAGCAGAAACAATAATTGGTCATTTGACTCGGATGCATTTATCTCATCTTTGGTGTGAAATCGATGATGAAGAGTAGTGGATTCTGCCCACTGGTTTTCTAGAACTGTATCTATAGCCACCATGATATCATTCTTGGCTGAAAGTTGGTAATCTAGCTGAACATTGTAGTCTTGGACAAGCAAAGCATCTTCATTTGAAGATGACTTGGGTGCCTTTTTGAGATTTTGAAGGTACTTGGTTTGAGAAGGAAGGATGTTGCGCAAGGTGCGTTGTTTCGTAGGTGACAGGCTGGCAGAGCGCTTCCCAATGGTAGATGATTTGGCTGCTGAATATCGAAGATTAGGGGCCATATTAATACCTACAAGTCATATTGAAGATATCGAGATTTAGTCAGCGAGTCACCTGAAAATCGCACTATATACATGGCTGGGAATGGAGGTGACTTGGAGCCTCTATTCTATCTCCAGTAACCTCTAGATCACTATTTCTGGCACTTATAGCATGTTCTAAGAGCTGCTAGCATTGACCACTAATATTCTCTTCACGTTGGTGGTCTCTCCAGGAACATCGATGGTGTATTCATATTCGCCAGCTTTGGAAATTTCCGTCGCTCCATTCCACTTGATCGATGACTCGGGTACCTCAAGTCCTGCAATGTTATATATGGTTTCGGAAAGTTGCTTTTTGGTATATGGGAATGTTTCAACTTGGATTCCATGAACTCTAGGTACCAGTTGTGTCAACTCAGCAGCAGTAAATCCGATATTTTCACTAGCAGAAAACGTTGCCTCGCCACTTTCCCTCGCTGCGGTCCCTCTTCTTGATTTTCTCATGTTATTGAACAAGGTCGAAAGCTCGTCGAGTGACATGGCGCCAGAATTTTGATCGCTCTCCACAACCTTTGGTGCTGGAACCGTTTTCTCCACGGGTGCTTTACGGACCTCTTGCTTCACTTTCTTTACTATCGGAATTCGAGGTCCTTGGCCCTCTAGCAAGTAGCAAGCCCCATTATTTACCTGAAGATAGTTTCTCATGAATGCAGGCTTGACTCTGACCACTTCTCCACGAGCTCCTACCAGAGGAAAATCTTTCAACAACTGTACAGATATCTTTCCCGACTTGTTTGCCACGGTCCTGGTGGAGGCAAAGCGCACCAATGACGGCAGAACAGTGCCAACTTTAAAGGTCGTCGACATCGTCGCTTTGAGATTCAACCGCAAATTGAATTTTTGTCCACTGTGATTCCTGCAGACAGCGCCCGAGTCTGTCAAATTGAACCCGATGAGCATCGCGGGGAAAGTTGATGGCTCCAGTTTGTGGGATCTGTTCCAAGGAACCTTCCAAATACAAATGTCCCTCTTGTGGCATGCAGACGTGCTCTTTGGAGTGTGTAAAGTTGCATAAGAAGGAAAAAAACTGTCTGGGGTTTGTGGATCCAGCCAAATTCTTGTCATGGAAACAGTTGAGCGAAGGCTCAATCCACGTGAACCGAGATTACAACTTTTTGATCAATGCTGGCCGTCATTTGGATGTTCAAAAAGAGACATTGCGTCTGAAATCGAAGAACTTGTTCAAGAGACAAGGTGGTCCCGGCAAACGGCCCCCTCCCAAGCGCCAGAAAACTGAGCTGGAAGATTTTCGGATTCAGTTGATTAAAAGAGCATTTCCTCATGATCCGCCAACCAGCATTAAAAGGAAAAACACGGTCATAGTTCTGGTACCGCCAGGGATGTCTCGAGCCATGGCTAACAAGACTGGGTACGATAAGAAGGCCGGAGCATTTGTGTGGTCTGTGGAATGGGTGGTTCTCGCCGATGACGGACAAGAGATCGGTCGGTACATGAGCTACAGATTGCCTGAAGGCAACACTATCCAGCAACTTGTTCCGATAAACTTGATCAAAAAGGCACATGGTGATGAATCTGATCTAATTGTACCTGAAAAATTGTCGTACTACCTCATGAACGTGGTTAATTGCAAACCTGGTCGTTCTTTAATACCATTGGAAGCCCCTATGCCTCTCTGCGATGCATTGGCAGACCGTATTGTGTTGGAGTATCCCACAATATACGTCTCTCAGAGTGGTACCAATGTGGGAGATATATGTACATCCTACAATCAGAGTCTTACAGATGACGAGGACTCACTGTCAGATTCGAGCTCAGACTCAGAGGACTCTTCAGATCCGGATTCAGAGTCAGATTCAGGTCTGGAATCTGAAGACTCAGACGATTCGGCACCAGAAGAATCTTCGTCCAAACCTCCTCAGCTCAGTAATACCGAAGAGATTGAGGTTGACATGTAGCATAACAGCATAATAGCATGAAGCTTAAGCTCATAGAATAAGCAGCTTAAATTAATAGCATAAACAGAATTATCATAATTGAAACATTGAAGGGTTTCCTATCTCCTACATCTAATTACTTGCATCCTAATTCACTACGCTTTATCTCATCATCGCGAACTTTCTTTTCCACTATATGGCATCTGTATTTCGAAAACCGGCGGACGCCGATAGAAACGTCAAGGCAACGCTATACGTGGGCAATCTTGACCCTCAGGTCAACGAGGCTCTTCTATATGAACTTCTCATACAATTTGCACCAATCAGATCATTGAACCTACCAAAAGATAGAGTGCTGGGTACTCATCAAGGGTATGGATTCGTAGAGTTTAGGGGCATTGAAGACGCAAATTATGTTTTGGAAATACTAAGAGGGGTCAGACTATATGGAAAGTCCCTTAAACTACGCCGGGCAGACCCTAATTCTCGAGGAGCAGCTGGTACTACTTCTAATTTTGCCAACAATAATTCCGTAACCAATGCCGTTGATGTTGGAGCCAAGCTATTTGTGGGCAACTTGGACCCATTGATTGATGAACAATACTTGCATGAGACATTTTCCAAGTTTGGAACCATGGTTAGACCTCCAGTGGTTATAAGAGACTCTGAAACTGGCGAGTCAAAACGTCATGGATTTCTTACTTTTGGTGACTTTCAAACGACAGACTCAGTCATAGAGAAAATGAATGGAGCAGTGCTTATGAACGCGCTGATTTCCATCGACTATGCATTCAAAGAAGACCCTGCTAATTCAAATCAAAAGCGAATACGCCATGGTGACAAGGTGGAAAGAATGCTAGCTGCCAACGTTTCGAGTGCAAATTAGTATGTAATTAGTCTATCTACAACTTCGGCCTGGCCTTCTCAAACTTCTCTAAGTCTTCGGGGGTTGCTACACCATATACAATGGTGCCTTCTCCATTGGTAATTATGGCAAAGTAGACCCCAGAATTGAAAAAATCGGCCAATTTTTCAAGAGGGGTGTCGGGAGTAATTATATCAAAGTGCTTGCCTTTGCTTTTTGGTTTCTTGATGGTGCTATGAGGTGCTGTTCTCAATTTCGTCGAAGATGCTTCGGGACGAGACTGGCGACCGTAATTCTCTCGAGCTTTCTGGTTAAACCATAACATGTAGTTGCTCACAATGGGCTTTAAGAAGTCACGAGAGCGCTTTTCCTTGTCTGTCTTCAACTTTTCCACTTCAAAAATGCCCAAAAGCTGTTTGTTGGATTCGTGGATCACTGGCAAATACGAAAATTCATGCTCAAAGGAGATCTCAAGTGCTTCATCAAGAGACGTGGTTGGGTTTATTGATATGGCGGGCTTGATATCCAAGTCCTCGACAGTTGCACCCCTGTAATCCCGCTGCTTAAAGTGTTTCTGGCTCATGATGATAAAGAGAAAATGAAATTTGGAAAATTGCGAAATTATGCGACAAGTCAAGAATTCACAGTTTCGTTATTATAAAGATAATTTAGGCCGCCTCAGCTGATTTATACAGTTTACTCTGGTGGTCATCATTTACTTCTCGTTGCTCCTTGGCTACTCTTCTCCACACATCTTCGTCATTTCCATCATCCAAAAGCCCGATTCTCATCGTAGCCAAGAGGTTGACAGCAGCCGTCAGATGTCCGTAGACTCCACCGTAGAATGCCTTGGTAGCATCTAAGCCATGGGACGCTTTCAACAACTGAATTCCGCCGGGATGCTGGTTCATGAAGGGGGTGATATCGTGTATCACTTTTTGAATAATGATGTAAATGCGGCCACTGTGACTGGCAGAAGCAAGTATGTCCTTGAACTGTTTGGGAGTAATGAGAGGAAGCTTGGAGATTGGTGTGCCCCAATTGAGCTGGCTCTTCATTCTATTAATTACTCGCTGTTGTTGCTGGATTTGAAGCTGTGTAATGAGATCTTTTGGGGTTTTACAGAGTTCGTCAACCATACCGATTTTGCTCAATATCCATATGAACCACTTGGTGGGATCATAAGCTAGGTGTGACGATTGTGAACGGTAGTCGTGGGGAAACTCATGATGATAGTTCTGTGCTGCGTTTCCATAAGTAAGGAATGCCATAAGAGGATTATTGCAATTTTGCGATGAATTCTTATCATTGAATGGCTGGGTAGGAATTGTTGCTTGAATATGTTTAAGGTGACAGACAGACTGCGTGAGAAGAATGGGCTGCTGAGAAATGAACATCCGAAGAATGCCAGGGTACAAAAGGCCATTGATCACAGTATCGTTGCATATGGTAACTGTGACGAGAACAGGTATGACAATGGTACTAATGAACCAAAAAACAAGATAGAGTCTTTCCTGCTGCAACACAACCAGTCTCATCTGTTCTTGGTAAGCTCTCTTCTCTGAATCAATCTCATCAAAAAAGTCATCTTCGTTGTTGTCGTCGATTTCATTCTGAATCACGCTCTGCTCATCAGGAAATTCATGCTGCACAAAATCTTCATAAAATTGAACAATTTTTGGTTTTCTTATTAGCCACCCATAATGTGCCCAGGCGAAACCTCTCTTGATCAGGTATGGATCACGCTCGGTATCATCGGTATATTGGTGGTGAGCCCGATGTAAAGTAGCCCACCAACGAATGGAACCAAGGCCAATTCCAGCCCCAAAAATAGCAAAATACCACAGAAGTACCCCGTACTTGACTCTATAGGTATTATGGGCAAAGCATTTGTGATATCCAGCGGAAAATGCCAATAGCATCACATGATAGTAGATGAAAGAGAACTTGAAAGTGGCAGAATTTTCAGGTAAAAGTGATTTGGCATAGAAGAAAACATACACCAATGCCAATGCCGGCAAGACAGCCACAGTAAATGTATTCGTATAGTTTATTCGGGTTAAAAAGTCCCGCTTTCGCCTCCGCATCAGGTTCATTCGGGCATTCTTTATATGTGAGGCCTGGTTGAAAATGTGGCTCAGATTTTGAGACGATGATATCTTCTCGCCGCCCAGAGCTGGCTTGCGCCGTTGGACCCTCGCCGGAATTTTATCAGGAGTCCACTCTGCTTCTACCACAACCATGGTGTGCTAATTTGCGGCTTGTTGGAAATTGGCTGCGACATGCGACATGCAGTACACCGGTTTCAGATAACGGTAAGAGGGGAATCGAATTTTGACTAATTTTCTTTGTTAAAAGTACAAGGAACTACAAATAAAAATTCACGAGTGGCTAGGAACACATTTGTCACAGCACAGAAAATGAGTATAAACCACAAACTACCCTACATTACTACCATCGACGTACTGCATACTTGTCGCGTTCTCAATTCTCAACTCTCCAAAACAATTTCTCCACCATGTCTGCCCAGTATCCCAGCCAGACGCTGACGGTGCCTGGGAAACCCAGGCCCAACCCGAGTGCTACATCTAGCATCTCATACACTCCCACAGACACCTCCATTCCTCCTAAATTGTATGACAAGGTACCCAACTTGGACATGTACAAAAAGCTTAAAGATGCCGAGCGTCAAATTGACCTTGTAAATGTTAGAAAAGGGCTTGATTTTCAATCCATCCACTCCAAATCCATTCAACCATCCAACTTTCCACGAGAAACCGGAATTTTACGTGTGTTTATTTACAATACTTGTAGTAACCAACCATGGCAGAAACAGCTGGCCCAAGAACGTGGAGACATTACGGCTGACAATGCCGGCGAACCTTCGTGGACACTTCGTGTAGAGGGGAAACTTTTGCGTGACGACAAATCCCTGACACTGACACAGGAAAATCTGAACTTGAAGTTTAGCTCGTTTTTGTCGGGATTGTCAGTTGATTTGGTGCCCAACGACGACTATCCAGAAATGCAAGCAGCGCAGTCCAATATCATCGAATGGAGAGACACATCCCAGCAGCAAATGGAGAACATGTACTCCAATAACGCTTCTAATAGGCTGCTGGAATTTGACGGGTTGGACGTGAAGAGAAACGGAATGTATGATCTCGAAGCCAAAATTGCACTTTTGATAAAGTCAGATAATTCAAGACTTGGTCTCAGTCCCGAGATGGCACAATTTATTGGAAAGGAAGAGGCTACTCAACAGGAATTACTATATGCGGTATGGCAATATGCTCTCTTCAAAAGGTTGTTCAAATGGAACGATTCCTTGTCAAACGTACCTGCTGCTCCAACAGACTCGTCTATGAACGGAATGAACAGACCAGACGACACCACAAATGACTTGACCGTCGTGGAATGCGATGAGTACCTCTCAGAGCTTCTTAAGGTTCCCAACTTCCGATTTACCGACCTCTACAAACTTCTTTACAGTCACTTCAAACCCAGAAAACCAATAATTTTGGACTACACCGTCAACACGAAAAAGTCAACGACTTTGGGAGACCTTGTGGTGGATATTCCCGTTGAACTTCCTCTTTCACTCAGTTCCATCCAAAAGCAAAATGTCGAGCGTAACAAACAGGCCTATGAATCGCTCACAAAATCAGATGCAGAAATCCAAACCTTGAATCACAAAATTGCTTTAGGAGTTGTTGCGTTACAGCAAGCCAATTACCGCGAGAACTTTTATAGAGATTTGAGTTCGGATCCAGTCAACTTTATGAAACAATGGGTCGAGAGCCAGCTGGAAACTCTTAGGGCTTTGAAGAGTGACGAGGGTTTCCACGAGCAAACTGTCAGAAGGGCTGATTACTACGAGAAAAATGATGAACTATTGAAGGAAAAGATAGATATCATGCTCGGGGCCAACAGAATCTAGTGTGTGTATTATATAGTGAAGACTCATTCTTCATAATCTTCGTCGTCTGTGTCTGGAATTTGTTGCACGAATACTTCACCTTCATCAGACTCAGGCTCTTCTTCACCGTCTGCGGGTTGCTCATTATAATCAACAGTTCTACGGGTGGAGCGAGTACTGTTACTCAACCCTTCAAACCTTTCGAGCAACTTGGTGATAGTCGACAATTGCAGAAGCAAGTTCATAACTGGCTTAAAAAGCATGGAACTGGAAGTGATAGGGTCTTCTAGGCCTGGCCTTATACCCAATTTGAGAGCCAAATGATCCGTGAACTTTTTAAGCAGCACCACATCGTTTGCTACCTCAAACCATATTGGACCTTCATCGACAGGTTGAGCAACTTCTTCTCCGTTTTCAAATGAAACTCCGTACGTAGCGAGAGATTGAGCCAACATTTTATATACATCTTCAACGTAAAGTTTGAAGCGAGAGGGGAGCCGATTCGGCAACTCATTAATGTTGTTTCGTACACTCTTGAACCGGCGTAAATTGGAGAGACCTCCATTGTCTCCTTCTGCCATCCAGCACAAATAAAAGCGGCCAATGTTGAAGCCACAATCGCCCACCAAAAGCTCATCGAGTCTGAGACGCAAAGGATGCAACAACGGGTCTGAGGTGGGGTCCATAAAAGCTGGAGAATCATCCTTCTGTTTCTTGGAATTCTTCTTGTCCAATTGTCGTTTGGCCGTCTCGGCATGTTCGTAGCCTTTTAAAACATAATGCAGAGCATAGCTTGTTTCTTTGTCAACTACAATATCATGGTTTTTGAGCTCGCTCGTGATGTAATTTTTCATCGAATCAGAAGCTATGAGACTCCACTCAGCCATTGTGACCAACATTGTGAGTCTGTCAAATGGATCTTTGAGGCCGTTTAATCCTAAGCTTTCGAAATCTGGCTGGTCATAAAAAGGGTTGCTTCCAATGGAGGGTTGAGGATAAACGTTGATTTCTTCAAGTCGAATTTCCGGGTTCTTGGGATCGAGAGTTTCGTATTCGACTTCACTAACTTCTGGCTTGAGAATTGCTGAAGAACCAGACCACTTGTTTGGAAGTCCCAATGATGTAGAAATAGTCTTTAAATCGTTTATAGCTTGCTTCTGTGAAGTGAGTGGAATTTCCCTCTTTCTGTTGAGAATGAGTGCCGCTAGTTTACAAAATAAAGATTCCATCTCCTCACTAACGTGCTGATCCCCATCGAGTCCCAAACCTTTTTCGAAATCCTGAGGGCCCAAGTAGCCCACAAATATTACATCCTTGAATTTTTGAAGATATGATACAAGATAAAGAATGTCAGATGCATACGGTGAAGGCGTAACAGGGAATCCCAATGCTAGCTTTTCCTCTGTAGCTTTGCTATTTTGGCTAGCGTCCATAATATTTTCATCGTAAAGGTCATAATAGAGACCTACCAACGGCCCCACTAGCTGTTTGGCAGTTTTTTGACGATTGTTGAGAACAGTTGTTCGACCAGTAGAGGTCAAAGTGCGGGTTTGAAGTTTACGTTTTTTCGTTATGGGATTGGTCTTTGTTTCAGATTGAAGGTTTGTTGCATCGTCCTTAGGAGGTATGGCTGATGAAGACACTTCAGGATTGTTCGCTGGTGAAGACAGATCTTCGTCTTTTGTATCAGATCCACTGCGATCAGCCTCAGTTTCTGATTTTGCTTTGTCAGTTTGAATAGAAGGAAAATTGAGTAAAGCCTGCTTTCTCTTCTTGATTGTGCCCAGAGTAATACGACCACGAGGCAGATTTCTTGCACCTTGCTTGCCACCACGAGAGCCAGGGCCCTCCACAGGGATATGGTCCAACCGAAACTTTGAAATTTTGGCCTCGTAGTGGTTTTTAGCTGAAGAATCAGCAGGCGATGGCTCTACAAGAGCCTCCATATTCTTGCGAGGACGCCCTAATCTTTTCGTTTTTTCAGCAGGATTGTACTCCACTAGCTTCACAGCTGGTATTTCCGAAGCCAAGGGTGTCTCAGAATTAGCAATGGCTTCAGATATCACATTTTGGGGCACTTGTCTGTGGTAGTTTTCGTAAGCAGTGGTTCGTAATTGAGCATCGGGATGATTTTCCAAATCAAAACTCATCATATGTATGCCAGAAGTATTGGAAGCTTCATCGTGGCTGGCTACGGAGTCTTCGTGGGGCGCATTCACGTATTCATTTAACCTTAAAACGTTGGTGATGGACGTGTCTTCATGGTCTACCAGATTGGGTTCAGGCTGTCTACTGGCACTCGACACCTCGTAGAGTTCTTGTTCGCCTATGGACGGATCGATATTGGCGTCCATAGAATCAAAGGTTCATTACTTTGCGAAATGCTAGTGGCAGTAGCAACTAGTCACAGTGGTATATATGGGGCTCGGTGCAGGAAACTTCACCAAGCGCGTTCGCAGCCGCGTAGATACTCATTTTAAGTAGAAATAGCCATGACCGATTTAGGATACGGAAACTTTGGAGATGGCGGATTTTCCGATACTGCAACGGGAGGGTTCCAGGCAGACGTAGATGGGTCTCAAAAGCCGCAACAAACTCGTTCAAGTATTACTCCCGTGACGATAAAACAAGTGATCCAGGCAGTGGCTTTGGGACCAGATCTTGATTTCCGCATCAATAACGTGGAGTTGAACATGGTTCGTGTGATTGGAGTGCTCAGAAAGGTGGACACGAATGCCTCGGCCGTGAATCTTACGATTGAAGATGGTTCTGGTTCGATGGAGGTGCGTAAGTGGACTGATGAAACCGCGTCTGCTGCCGAAGCAGAGAAATACTCGCTGTACTTGAACCAGTATGTTAGCGTGAGCGGAGCATTGAAAGAGTTCAACAACAAGAAGGGAATACAACAGGCTACCATTCGACCCATACTGGACCATAATCAAGTTATATATCACCACTTGAGTGCCATCAGCCACCACTTGAAGGCACAGGGCTTGCACGTGCGTAGGAAGCCAGAGAACGAAAATGGACTATTTGTTTCTGAAAATGGAGGAGGTGATTCGTTACAGGAAAGAGTGCTTCAGGTTATTAATGAACTCACTCCCTCAATGCAAGAAGGTGTCCCCCTCCAATTAATTGCCCAGAAAGTCAACGCCACTGATGACAGCGTCGAAAACGAATGCCAGGAGTTGGTACAGAGCGGAAGAATCTACCTGACTTATGATGACAGGACTTACTTGGGTCTTTAGTAATACTTGTATATTGGTTCTATTAATTTTATGTCCCTAGTTTGAAACCTGCCTTTGATGATTCATTTGTTTGTGCACAAAAGAAGGCGCTCCATAAGTCGTTATTCGTGACAGTTTCTCCCTCTCCATTCCCCTTATTAATCATCGTGTCAATTCCTCCACTGGTCATTAGTGCCATAGATTCAGCCTTCGTCAAATCTCGCTCTGATGATTGCGAAATTCTCCCAGCTATGTCGCCGTCTTTGGACTCCAAATAGCCAAGTCTCTTATTCGTCGACATCAACAAAATACTCTCCTCAACCGTGTTTTCAATAGCAAACAACCATACGGTGGTGACTTTGGTTTGGCCAATTCTATGAATACGGGAAATTGCTTGCAACTCCAAAGATGCATTCACCAATGGTTCACACAAAAATATGTGGGTGGCATTGATCAAGGTCAACCCACTTGCTTGTGCTTTGGCGTTTAACAAAAAACATGTAATGTTATTGCTTGGATCCTTAAACTCCTCAACACTATCATACTTGTTACGACGACGACCCGAGCCAACTTCTGGTGTGAGAGTTCCATAAGATCCCAAGTAAGATATGTCCGCAGCCTTGAAAGCTGTGCCTAAAATGTACAAGAGATCTTGCCATTGACTGAAAATAACAATCTGAACTCGAGGATTCTGACTCCTGAGATATAAAACATGTCTCACAATGGTATCTACTTTCGAACTGTAAAAGTTCTTGAGTTCAATATTCTGAATATCTTCAACTACCACATTGTCAACAGGATGATAAATGGAATGTAGATTTTTGGCTGGTTTGTGTCGATCTGCGATTTTGTTGGCTTTCAAGTCGGGCTTATAATGTGTGAAATTGTATACTGTCGATGCATTAATGGCAGTCTTACACAAGGGACATGTCTTCAGAGTGACTAGCCACCGTTCCAAACATTCCTTGCAGTACTTGTGTCCACACTGAGTCAAAGACCCGATAGTGATTGTAGAACGACATATAATACACATCAATTCTTCATTATTTTTGGGTTCATTGGACATTGTGCCTCCGGATAACGATTTGAGGTACCGAAACTTGGCTATAGCCTTACCTTTTTTGATGCTCAAATTGGAAGAAAGATTGATATAGCTCTGCTGTTGGCGTTGAACCAACTTAAGATCAAGTGCTTCTTGATCCATGCTAAAGTGCTTCGTCTTGACACTGTCAGAAATCAACTGAAGCTGCTTGAAGTAGTCAATTCTCGAATTGAATACTGCATTACAAGACAAGTTGAGTTCTCTTTGTAAAAGCACCAAGGCAAGCTTTTGGTTCTCGAAAATGTTTCGGATCTTCTGCCCCATTGAGTTTAACATTTCATGATACACTTGAGTGGCTTCACGATCCAAGATTTCTTCACCCTCTGTTTCGTTCTCTAGTTGTCTCAACTCTAAAACAAGCTCCTGCAAGGAGCTTCGAACGTTGACTTTGACTGCGAGTCTCTCGGCCTGTAACTGTTCCAAAAAATCTTTGTCATGGACTCTGCTTGCTTCTAGCTCAAACTCCTTTTTTTCCTGGCTCTTTTGTATAGTGGTAATTTTCGTGGCATTTTCATTTCCATTAACAGATTCACCTCTATCCAGCAAAATTTGTGTCAAAGCATGCAAGTAACACGATGCCAAGTCTTGATCCACAATGGATTGTTCGTATTCTTCACCATTGGGATCTTTGTCGTGGCTCACAAGAGGTTTGCAAAGAATTTCCACAAGCGTTGACATCCACTTATTAATCACCAAAGCCTGTGCATTGAGTTGATCGCTGATTCTTTTCACCTTGTCAAAATAAAGTGTTTGTCTTATGCCGACAGTTTCATCCTTCAAATGGCTAACGTTGATAGTAGGAGCAAACCGGAAAAACTTACGAGAAGTTTTAGGAAGCAAAACATCCCCGTTGTCCTCCTTTAGCTTTCCATTGTCATCATACCACCCTCTGTTTGTAATTCTCAGTTTGACAACCTTCTCGACTGATTTAATGGATCCCTTTAAAAGATCCTGCCGGGTGTGTTCCGCAAAATCGTAATACTGCTGTTCTAAAGCACGGTGTGTCTCTTCTTTATTACCCTTGACATCTGAGGTTGTCCTTGGACTTGTTTGAAGTTGCTCTTGAGGAATTTCACTAATGAAAGAGGCCACCTCGTCCGTGAAATCATTTTCCTTGATACGATATAGCAGACTGGATACCTTAAATGACTTTAATTGTAGTTTTTCAATCTTTTCACCATACTCAGCATCATAGCACTGAAAATGGCACGACGCAATAAGAAAGTAGAATTTGTGCAACAACGTCAACCATGATCTAATCTTCATACGAATGGTGCGTATTTGCTCCTCGTACTTGAAAATGATCTCACTACCTTCATGTTTCTTCTTACTTGCGGAAGATTCTGACTCGTCTATTGTGTCGAAATCGTCGTCATCGTCAAGAGGAGTGAGGTTCTCTCGCTTGCGTAGTTCTTGATACTTCGAGGCAGTCTTCTTTAGAACGAGCTTCAACCGATGAATCACCTTTTCTGCTTCATAGGAACCGACACTTAGAAAGCCTAATGCATCTTCGGGAAGTAAGATGAACTCCAAAAATTGTCCCACCTCAACATAAGTCAGAATTATCGATCTTTCAGCTTCGGTGATCTGGTCAGAAGCCTTCTCCAACATATCATCCAAGACCTTATCTAAAGTCTTTAATTGCTGTACTGTTGCAACAATACGATTATTGTAGGATGAATTCCTTGAGCGGTAGCGCTTTGAATTGAGATTTAGGTTTCCAATCTGAGGATTGCTGCAAACTTGTCTTAACCTCACGAGCCAAGAACGCATATAAGCTAAAATTGTTGGCGATGGATCCCAGTCCTCAAGAACAGGATTCCCATTTATGTCAAGACAAACAGAGGCGAGGAAATCCTCAAAAAGTTGATTATAGTTTTCTTGTTCAACCAAAGAAAACGGAACTGTCATGAGAATTCTCCGCTGCTCAGGCAATTGAATATCATCATGTACCATGTCTTTGGTGTGACGAATCCCAATTTGTGACCAGAGCGACACGAAAGATTCGTTAGCGTTTGGCTCATATTTCGAAGTTATTCTAGCCCACGAGTTTTTCGCTAACTCACCCACAAAAAGGATCGAGCTTCAAAAACTTGAGAATGGAATGCAAATCATTGAAATCTTTTTTAATGGGAGTTCCTGATACACCCCAGGCATGAAATCGTGGAATTAGGGCAGCACTTTGAAACGCCCGGGAAAACTTCGAAGACACCATTTGAACCTCATCTAATACAACTCTCCAAAATTGAGATAACATCAACGGAGACTGGTATTCTTGGTTTCTGTAAATGTCAGGTATGTTGTTATGCTCGATAGAAAGTTCTAGCTCATCTTGCAATGCCTTTTCGTAATCTGTCTCTGCGTCATCACCCGACTTTAGATTTGCAACTTTTGGTTTCTCGGTTCTAATAGTAAGTTGAAACATGGCAGTGTATTTTTGAAGAAGTTCCTCTCTTCCTGGATCCACAGACAGCTTAGAGTCAACCGCCTCATTCACCATGGATTTTCGTTTGGATGCTGTTCGTGTAGGTTTGTTACGAGCAGAGTATAAAGCATAGTCGAGCTCTTTTGAAATCATGGTGTAAGTCGTGAACACAATATCGAATCGACGAAGATATTCCGCAATCATACCTGCATTTCCTCTCAACCGGGGGTACTTGTCAACTCCTTGATAAACTGTGACAGCCAACGAAGGAGCTAAGCGCATTACTTCCTCGACCCACTGCTTTAATATAGAATCAGGAGCAACCACCAAAGTGGTTTTGGCCTTAATGACAGTCTTGAGATCACCATATGAACGTAATCTAATCTCTATTGGTTCGTTGAGATCTTCTAGGGAACGTCTATGCAATAGACTCAAGGCAGCGACCTCTACGGTCTTCCCTAATCCCATCTCTTCCGCCAATAAACCTTTCGCTGGTGAATATTGTTGCCTTTTCAGTTCGAGGTACTGGTATGTTGTCACTAAATGTTGACACATTCTTTTGGACGAGCACAAATTGCCCGTGAAGCTATTAAACCAGAAAGTTTCTTCATGAAAAGTTATTCGAATCCACCCGAAACATATTTTGTTTAAAAATTCCGAGGTTTGGTTATCAATTTCTTCGCCTGTAGTACTTCCATCCTTCAACACTGCCTCTAAACTGGCATAAAAGGAATCAGAAATAAGTTTCACCGGAATACATCGGTTCGTCTCCCAGTCATACACAACATTTTCTCGTTGTAAGAGCCACCCCACCGTTTTCTTCTGAAATGGGAGTAAGTTGGTTTCAAGCTCTGGAATATCAAAGTCCTGCGTAACCGGCGGTAACCTCGATGCGTGAGTAGCAACCGTTTTATAAAACAATTCTGGGTTGATCGGCTCGTCAGCTAGTTGCTCATATTGATGAGAAGCTTCAAATTGAGTTGGTCTAGTAGTGGATACTAGCAGTATCAATGGTGAAAATTTGTTCAGAATTTCAGGGGGAAAGAATGACGTTATTGACTCCCTAATGCTGATATGATAATCGAAGTTTATAGTGATTTTGTTGTCAGGGACATTGAAAGTCAATTGAAAGTGAGGTCCTTTGACGTCTATATGAGGATACTTTAAACGGGAGGCAGGAAGACACAAAATATCAAGTTCTGCTTTGATAGGAATTAGGTCTTTGTGTGTGAAATTTAATGACAAAAGGGTATCGGATCGAAGTGAAGGAAGTGTTGTAGAATTGAGATAAAGCAACTCTCCCGTCTTATCCGCGCTTAGTTTGATATGGTTCGTTTTGAGCTCATAAATGTCTTGCTCTAAGGTTGAAAAGTTGTTAGGGTTGAACTCAGTATACTGAGATAAATCGATGGGTGAGTCGGCAAGTACCAGTATACTTCGATGAGATAAAGATATCCATCGGTCACTTTCATATTCTGGTTCTTCTTCTTTCGAGGTTTCGTCTGGTGAATAGTAGTTCTCTAGCCCTTGATAATGTCTATCTTCTATAATAAGGTCATTTCTAAGCCTTCGCTTTTTGGTTGCCTTCGGTTTTTCAGAGACGACCACTTGATTTTGAAGAGAGGAAAATTTTCCAAGATGATCGGAATGGAAATGTATAATCTGTGGGTGCACCGTATACTGTTCAACCCCCTTATCTCCTAAGCTACTCATAGCTACGACAAGCTGAATGGATCCACGAGATAAGAAATTTCGCAGCTGCGAAATAAAGCTGCGAAAGTTGAAAATTAAAGCTGCGAAATCCAAGACTAAAAGCCAAGAATCGAATATAGTAATCGTACCACATAACTATTACGCTATAAAAAACTTAGATCTTTACAGGGACCTGCTTCTGTTTTCTCCTCTCTAATATCGACGCACCACCCAAGTCTAAATCAAACAAATTATTTGCTTGCTTTGGAGCATGCTTATGCTGATGACGAGGCATTTGTTCTGCATCGCGTACAACCCGGCCCAGTCTATCCACAAGCTCCTCATTATCTTCCTCCTCTTCTTCAACGAGATCACCTATAACCGAGGCATTCATTCGTGATGAGAAATTCTTTTCCTCTCCCATTCTATGGACTGCGGTAGAAATGTCAAAAGCATCTCTCATTGCTACCGCTGCTGGCGAATAGACGTCGTTCTTCATGAACTTCTTAGAATAACGACTGTTGATAGCTTGCACCGGATGCGTTGCCTTCTTTTCACTGGTATGTAACTTCTTGGGTGGGGGCATGGTCTCTTTGGTAGTACCCTTCAATATCCATGGATCGTTCAAAAACTCAGAAATGGAGTAACGTTGGTTAGGGTCAACTGTTAATAGCCTTGAAACACAGTATTTGGCCTCGGTCGAGATTTCGTCCCACCATGGAGCCAAAAACGTATACTCTCCCTTGGCCACTTTTTCAGTCAAAGTCTCGATTCTCTCATCGTAAAATGGAGGAAATCCACAAAGTAAAGTGTACAATACACACCCAAGAGCCCACATATCTACCTCACGCGAATACTTTTCGTCTCTAACGATTTCTGGTGCGGTATATCCAACAGTTCCACACGGCGTTTTCGTATTATGTTCCCAAATCTGTTTGGATAACCCGAAATCTGCCAATTGAACTAAACCAATGGTGCCGCCTCCAACGCCTTGTACAAATTCTCCTTCGTCTCGCTTAGTAGCTGGGTCATCGGATTTGCGTAACTTCGAGATAGGGTTCATACTGGGACGGAATTCAATAGGTGTGTAGAGCAAATTTTCTGGCTTTATGTCTCGATGTACAATGCCAACTTCCTCATGCAAATACTTTAGTGCTTTACCAACTTGGGTGATAACATGACGGGACAAGTCTTCTGAAAAATAGGTGTAGTTGACGATAGCAGTGAAGATCTCACCACCAGCAGCCAACTCCTGGACAATATAATAGTATGGCTCAGAATCGATAAACTCAACAAACAGGACAATATTGGGGTGATCCAATTGTCTCAAGATGGTCACTTCCTTCAAAACAGCCTGTTTCTGAGCCTGGTCCATCTGGAATTTTCTCAAGATCTTGACTGCAACGTAATTACCAGTATCAAGTTGTTTAGCCTTATGAACCACAGAGAACGCACCTTCACCCATTTGATCCAAGATTTCATATCTCTCGAGACCAGGATACTTTTCGTTCTTGCGCTGCTCCTTCTGAAGGTTCTCCTGTTCCACGATCTGCGAAGCAACCTGAGAATAATCCTTGGTTTCTTTGGGATTGGTATCGGTCAAAGTAGCAGTAGCCGAGGTCAAGTCAGCTTCACTCACGGTTCTCATTCTAACATCACGAATCTGAACTCCATCCGCATCCACAGCCAGCGAGGGAAGATTGGATATGTCCACAAGACCATCGCCATCAAATTTGGTTGAAAAGGTGGGATCTTCTTTTCTCTTCAACTCATTGGCCTGTTTGCCATGTCTAATAAACGCCTTAAGGTTTTCAAACATGGTTCTTAGCGCTGAGTAATGTGGTTATCACCGTGAAAATTAGTTAACGATAGATTTTAACCTCGGATTCCGATCTTATAAATCTGAGACAAAAAGCAACTATACCAAACAGACAATGCTTATCACAGTAGTATAACCAAGACTATAGGATGGCGAGGAAGCAGTCAACGGAACAAAAATCTAACGAAGTGGAAAGTCCAGAACTTGACAATAATCAAACAACTTCGTCAATATCTGGATCAAATCCTTTATTAACGATGCCTTTAGCTCGCGACATTTTCAATTGCTGTTGTGGCCGCGGGTGTCTGGGTGTCGGCAATCGACGGAAACACATGCTGACAAACCGGACGCGCAATATTTTAGGGAGAAGGCTTGAGCCTACGCTAAGCTTGAAAGCACATGACGCAAGTACACCTACATTTCCTTTACTTGTATGGTTGTTTTTGATGGTTTTGGTGCACGGGTGCCGTCCACATGCTCCGGAATACCGAGCGCGTTGATATACGGCGCGCTTACGTAACTATCATGTAGGGTCGCCGAAATATTCGGGGAATCTACGCTCAAACCTACAATGACTCCACCCGCAATTGTGTTCACCGACTGGGACGGTACCGTGACATTACAGGACTCCAATGACTACCTCACGGAGAACATTGGATTTGGCAGGCCCAAGAGATTAGAGATTAATGATGACATTTTAGATGGAAAGATTTCATTTCGTGATGGATTTAGAAAGATGTTGGATTCGATTACCACTCCGTTTCCAGAGTGTATTGAATACTTGCTCAAACACATCAAGTTGGACCCGGGGTTCAAGGAATTTTACCAATGGTGTGCTGCCGAGGGAATTCCTGTGATTGTTGTGAGTTCAGGAATGAAGCCCATCATTTATGCCTTGTTGGAAAATCTTGTTGGAGAAGAGGCAATCAAAAACATTGAAATCATGTCCAATGATGTTGTAGAGAACCATCCTAGTGCTCCTGGTGGCTGGGAAATCATTTACAAAGATCCAGAATCGGATTTTGGTCATGATAAATCCAAGTCTATTAGAGAGTATTTGGCCAAGAATGGATACACTGATTCTTCCAAATTGCCATTGATGTTCTATTGCGGAGACGGAGTCAGTGACTTGTCAGCAGCAAAGGAAACCGACCTTTTATTTGCCAAACATGGAAAAGATTTGATCAAATATTGTATCAGGGAAGGCATACCATACACCGAGTTCAACAGTTTTGCCGATATTTTTGCCAAGACAAAAGCCATTGTCAATGCAGGTGGCGCCAATATCAAGGACTACATCGAGAACTAGACTAGATATAGGAGGCTCAAGATGTAATCTTGCATACTCCGTATTCGCCCGACATGCGGCTTGTAGATGAAAAATAGCCAATAGAGGTTTCAAACCATAAAGGTATCGTACGATACTTTGTAGGATTAAGCTATATTTAGCCTAGCAGCCGGCAACAGCCTAAAGTAGAAACAGCAAGTGGAACTCATTTTGCATGTTAGCAGGTGCATTGACTAGTATCTCCTCTTCCTTCCTCCCGGCCCTATTCCTTCCCTGCAGTCCTTCTCGTAACTTAAAACCGCGCCCAGATAACTTCAGAGGTTATATAAGTTGCCAAGTCCTCCATTTTTATCTTCACCATGTCTGACGCTTCTGGCGAGCTACACAGAAGAAGGACTGCTAGTGGCTCACTCTATGGATCGGAAATAGATAGTTTCCATTCCGTAACTCAAAACTCAAAATGGAAGAATCTCAGACAAAAATCATTCACAATACTTAGAAAGTATGGGTCGTTTATAGGACCTGGTATCATGGTTTCAGTGGCATATATGGACCCAGGTAACTATGCCACAGGTATAACAGCTGGTGCCTCCAACAGATTCTCCCTTTTATTCATCGTTCTAATTTCCAATATCATTGCCATTTTTCTTCAAAGTTTATGCATCAAGTTGGGCTCAGTAACCGGCTACGATCTTGCCCGTTGTTGTCGAGAATACCTTCCCAAGTGGCTCAATATCATTCTCTGGATCCTTGCGGAAAGTGCAATCATTGCAACTGATGTGGCTGAAGTTATAGGTTCAGCTATTGCCCTTAATATTCTTCTTAAAATTCCACTTCCAGCAGGCGTGGTAATTACAATAGTGGACGTTTTATTTGTGCTAATGGCGTATCGCAACGACACTTCCTCTACCAAGTTTGTCAAGATGTTTGAGTATGCAGTTGCTTGTCTTGTGGTGGCCGTGGTGGTTTGCTTCGCAGTGGAAATTGCCCATTTACCAGTCACTTCAGAAATGGTTCGTGAGATCTTCAGAGGTTATGCTCCTTCGAAAGAAATGGTCCAGGGAAGTGGCTTGACCATTGCTACTGGTATCATTGGATCCACAGTTATGGTACACTCATTATTTTTGGGTTCTGGTCTCGTTCAGCCTAGATTGAGAGAGTACGATGTAACCCACGGTCTTGTGGATCTTGATCTGGTATGTTCTGAGGACGAAACTACAGCAGATACCGTCTCAGAAAAATCGTCTACCAGAGTTAAAACTACTCGTATCGACAAAGAAGCTCTCTTCTTTTACAAGAGTTACAAACCATCGTACCAATCAATTCAATACTCGTTGAAATACTCAATTATTGAACTTGTGGTTACGCTTTTCACATTTGCACTTTTCGTCAACTCGGCTATCTTGGTGGTGGCTGGAGTTACCCTCAACGATACCCCAGAAGCCATCGATGCCGACTTGTACACTATTCATGCATTGCTCTCCAAAAATTTGGCACCTGTTGTAGGCACAGTTTTCATGCTTGCGTTGCTTTTCAGTGGTCAAAGTGCTGGTATCGTCTGTACTATTGCTGGACAAATGGTAAGTGAGGGCCATATCAATTGGAAGCTTAAACCATGGGTGAGAAGACTAGTGACAAGAGCCATCTCAATTATACCTTGTTTGGCCATTTCTGTTGGTATTGGACGGTCCGGTTTGGGACTCGCCTTGAACGTTTCACAGGTTGTGATTTCCATTCTTCTTCCCCCATTAACGGCTCCTCTTATCTACTTTACATGCAAAAAGTCCATCATGAAAGTGCCATTACCCAAGGAGATGCAGTCAGATGATGAAGACGAAGTAAAATACAAATATCTACACAACAATTGGCTCACATCCATCATTGTCTTTGCCATCTGGCTCTTTGTGCTGGCATTGAATATCTACGCGATTGTTGACATGGCCAAAAATGGTGTGGCCGGCAGTTAGCGATAAACCTTAGTATAATACACACATCCATACACCTCAAGGTCGTGTCGCTTGCAAGGAGCATTTTCCCGATTGTTAAATCCAACGCCTCAGGACGAAGCTTTATCAACTTACGTATACGAGCCATTGGTGTTGAATAATTGTTAATTGCCATCACCGGTGCCCAATTCCTTTGCATTTTGCATTTTGCTGTGCCATTGATTCCTTTTTGTGGAGAAATCATTGCTGGCCGCAACAACCTAGGTTACATCTAACACCTTAATCTAAAAAGATTGAGTACTATATGTCGCCCAATCTACTTCAAAAACTTCACTTGACCAAGGCCAACCAAAACGTGACAGTTAACTCTCTCCACAACATTGAAACCATGGAGAACATCTCGCAACAGCACCAGCCAATTGTGACACCCCAAGACCAGATGTTGGCTCAATCGCAGGCCCAGGCCCAGGCACAAGCCCAGGCTCAGGCTGAACACGAGCTACAACAGCAGAGAGCTCAAGAAGCTATCGAGAGGTCGCTTCTTCCTCAAAGATCGACCGTAAGTAAGGGCAAGTATTCATTGACAGATTTCCACATAATGAGAACATTGGGAACAGGATCGTTTGGACGAGTCCATTTGGTCCGGTCTGTGCACAATGGCAGATATTACGCTATAAAAGTGTTGAAAAAGCATCAAGTGGTTAGAATGAAGCAGGTGGAACACACAAACGATGAAAGAAGAATGCTTAAATTGGTTGAACATCCTTTTTTGATTCGGATGTGGGGAACGTTCCAGGACTCTAAAAACTTATTCATGGTGATGGACTATATTGAAGGTGGTGAGCTCTTTAGCTTGTTACGGAAATCTCAACGGTTCCCCAACCCAGTAGCCAAGTTTTACGCTGCTGAAGTGATATTGGCATTGGAATACTTGCACACCCACGACATCATTTACCGTGATTTGAAACCTGAAAACATATTATTGGACAGAAATGGACATGTCAAAATCACCGATTTTGGGTTTGCCAAAGAAGTCAGCACTGTTACCTGGACTTTGTGTGGAACCCCTGACTATATCGCCCCAGAGGTTATCACTACCAAGCCCTACAACAAGTCGGTGGACTGGTGGTCGTTGGGAGTGTTGATCTTTGAAATGTTGGCTGGTTACACTCCATTCTACGACACCACCCCCATGAAAACTTATGAAAAGATTTTGTCCGGTAAGATTCATTTCCCTAGCTACTTTCATCCTGATGTTATTGACTTGTTGACCAAACTCATCACTGCTGATTTGACCCGAAGGCTAGGAAACTTGCGTAATGGACCCGCCGATATCAGAAACCATCCATGGTTCCAGGAAGTTGTGTGGGAGAAATTGCTCGCCAAAGACATCGAAACGCCGTATGAGCCTCCTATTACTGCCGGTGTGGGAGACTCATCGTTATTCGACCACTACCCAGAAGAACAGTTGGACTACGGCTCGGTAGGCGAAGATCCTTACGCTCTGTACTTTACCGAGTTCTAACGTTTTATGAGACACAGTATACTATACTGACCTATAATACATGTATTTATAATTCAAGCTCTAAATACTTTTTTACACTCCAAGCACACATAAAACAAAATCATACTTGTGTCTTTACGCCGCTGCTGTGACTGGAAAAACACACAATCCTTATTGCTACAACGCGGACACTCTTTATCTGACCTTGGCAACGTTGGATCGTTTCCTATATCTTGAACAACACCCGCAGTTTCTCCAATATTTGTCATTAATTCGTGACGATAAACTTTGGGATTCTCAGCCAACTCAGTATAATCACAATTTCGGCAAGAGTACAAGAGCCGTGAATTCTCTTTATCTTCTCTTGGATACAACATATTGTTGCACTCGGCGCAGAATCGAAAAGACGCCATGTTTTGTAGTGTCCCGTCTTCAATCCAAGCACCGTAAAGATGTTGAAGTTGAGATTGAATATAGGGTCGGCGTGCCCCTACCAACTTTTCGCGAGGATTCTCAAATTTTCAGTCGACGGAAACAGTTGATACTACCATGAAGTCCGTCACCATGATGCGTCGTGCCGTTGTTCCTTGCGTGAAAAGGGGCGTTTTCAGGAGTTCTGTGCTTGCTGTTCGTCATAACTCAACCGCAGCCGCAGAGCCAGCTTCCCAGGCACAGGTTGACCCAAAGATCTCCTCCATAGTCGATCAGATTTCCACCTTGACATTGTTAGAAACGTCTTCATTGGTCAGTGAGTTGAAGACGAGACTCAACATCTCCGACATTGCACTTCCAGCCGCCGGGGCCGCCGCTCCTGCAGCAGCAGCAGCTCCAGCTGAGGAAGAGGTGAAGGAAGAGGTTGAAGAAAAGACCATCTTTGCCATCAAATTGGAGTCATTTGACCCTAAATCCAAACCAAAGGTTATCAAGGAGGTTAAGAGTATGTTGGGCTTGTCATTGGTGGAGTCCAAGAAATTTGTTGAGGCTGCTCCAAAGGTGTTGAAGGACAATGTTGCCAAGGAAGATGCCGAAAAGATCAAGAGTACGTTGGAGGCATTGGGAGCAAAGGTGGTTTTGGAGTAGATTAACTTGTAAATATTGCATCTACGATAGCTTTGGAAAACGTAGGATTAAACATCTTCAAATTCGTCTTCCAATTCGTTCAATTCGTTCAATTCGTCAAAGTCGTTCAGTTTCTTAGCACTCAGGTCTATCGATTTGTGCTTGTGAGTTGTGCTATCTTCAGTATCTAGTAGCTCATTAATCGAAGACACCAATTGTGCGATTGATGGTATGGGCTCGTTGTTGCTTTCAGCAACGGTTTGACTCTCCTCACCAACAACTTGCAATATTCCAGATATGGACTCGAGAGCTCCAAGCAAATATGTTTCGTCACTTCCAACTGCTTGAGACACAAGATTGTTAACTGCCTTTTGTAGTCGGTTTGTTTCCATTTTTGGGGAAGTCATACTAAACAATTACAAAGAACAAAGTAGTTTAGAACAAGTCACAAAAAACCAGAAGAAATTATTACACGAAATACTATATATAATTCTGACACAAATAACTTGGTGCGACTAATTTGCAGCTAGTTGCACTTTCATCATTTTCGCGCACAAGAAATAACCCTTCTATTTATAAAAATAACTTTATTAACAGCATTTCTTGTTTTTCCATGCTAGTACAATAGCTCCCCAGTCATAGCCTCCATGCCACTTCATCAGAGCTCCCTTTCTGAGTTGTGTCTTCGAAATCGCAAGTTTGCTACAAAAGACAAAATCAAACCATGGCTTCAAAAAATACTCCAAGCCCGCAAGGGTATAAATATCGTGATTGAAAGGTCAGATTCCAACAAAATCATCTTTCGCTGTAAGCCTGTTTCCAAGCGTGATCTGGAGGGCAAAGCAGTAAGACAAAGCACATGTCCATTTAGGGTTCGTGCCAACTATTCTAGTCGTAATCGAAGCTGGTCTTTGGTTGTTATTAACGAATGGCACGATCACGAATTAGAACCACATGGGCTTGTTCCTGTGCTTTCTCCATCCATGGAAATCTTCGAAGGGTCAGAACCTAAGAAAGAAGCAATTCTTTCTTCACGCACTTCCACTCCCAAGGCCAGACAAAAGGATTCCCACTTTAAGGTATTCAATTCTTTGACATCAGATCCTGAAAGCAAACTGCTGAATTACATTCTCAATCTTCTCACAAACGAGGTTAATTCACTAATCAAAGAAACTGTGTTGGATAATAGAGCACTCAGTGATAATGATAAAAGCAGCATACTTCGTGGTTTTTCGAGCCAGTTCCTTAATGATTACAAGAATGTCATGTCACCTCCATCTAAACCGTCTGGCTTGAATAGCTGGTTGTCAACTCCTAACACTAGCCATACTACCCTTAACCCCAATCCAAGTGCCAACCTTATTCCTCTTACGCCATTATTGAACGAATCTGACCAGGATTATACAGATACCGAGTCGGCAACGGCAAACACACACCCTCAAGCTGCTCTCGAAAGCTTTACTCATCTACCAGGACTCAACTTGAATCTCAATTCTAATACGATTCAGCTTCTGCTGCTGATCCAAAACCAAGCCCAACAACTTCCTTCTTTCAATTCCATTCAAAATCAGCTACCCTTCAGTCCAACATTGGGGAGCTACAATGGCAATGGCTCATCTACAACACTCAATCCTTCTCATTTGCACAACACAACGAAGTCCAGCTCCAATGTCATTTTTGGGCTAAATGAGTTCAAGCTCAACGGACCTAGCACCTCACCCGCCGCAAATGTCTCCACCGATACATTTGCATCGTCGTTTCCTCAAACCTCAAATGTTATGAACAATCAGTCTGCTCTTTCAATTCCTGGCTTGTCATCCCCGAGCAATAATGTCATCCATAATAATCCTTCCACGTCCCAGTTAATGTATCGTGATCCTCTTGCAAGCTTTGCCCATTCAAGCCATCAACATCACGGACTTGCAAATATTTCTGATGGGTGGTAGGAACAATAAAGGATACACCCAAAATGCCAAAACCATTAAAACTGCTTTAACCCCAAACCATACAAACTTCTTAACCCAGAACCATGAAACTTTAACTACTCCAACAGTAACTTCAATCATGTTTGCTACACCTTGCTACCTGGTAAATTTTGCAATACATCTATCTCTGCTATAACGTAAGCTCAAGTGTCGCACTAATTCTCAATGGCAATCGTGAACTTCACTACCATGGCCAACTTCGATGGGTCCACAATAATAGTACCTTCCATTTCTATGGCCAATGTGCCTCAATTGGCCGTAGATCTCCTCATCCATACACTCAAACTTGAAAAAGTGGGTTCCTTGGACGACAAATACTTATATCCATTCAGTGCTCCATTCGATAGAATGCCAGAAGAAAATCCAAAACTTGGAATTTCATCAGCTGTTGAGATATATTATCTGAAAGAATTACAAGTAACGGCCATACAGCAGAGATCACCTATATTACCCGGGTTCACAGAGCACTACGTTAACGAGACAATTGCACCATTTTTAAGTCAGCACAAGTTCAGAAATGTTTGGATTCTTGATTCTGTGGATGCTGGTATGAGTGAAGGTTTGCCATCAGGAACCATGAAAGTGTTCTCGAATCTGGAAATGCTTCGAGTTTCGCTCGAGAGCTTAAATATTGGTGGCGGTAACAAATTACCTGATCCCACCAATGTGTGTCATTCGCTCTATGCCTGCAAGCTAGTGGCGAAGTTGATTTCTCCTGGAGCTCGAAACTTCGAACTAGGTACTATTGTCACATATATTTACGAAGGAGACAATTTCAACGAGGCGGAAAAATTGAGTGATAAAGTGGCCGAAATATGCGAGTGGAAAATCGAATCCTGGAAACGGCCAGTCAGTTGGTCAGGAGTCTATGGAGACCGTGAGGTTCCAACTGCCATGGAGGAGGGATTGTATGGTTAAAAAGAGTCAAAAGTCATTTGTACCAACTCCAAAGTGGTTCATTTAATCCGCAGTTAAGTACTCTATCTAGTAGTTGAGTGCATACTCTATGGATGCGGTGTACCCGTACACCCCCAAACCACAAACTACCGCTACTGCCTTGTCACTCAAGTAAGACTGGTGCCTGAAAGGTTCTCGTTGGTGGACGTTGGTGATGTGAACTTCAATGAACGGAATAGCAGTTCCAAGCAAGGCATCTCGAATGGCCACAGAAGTATGAGTATATGCCCCAGCATTTATAACAATGAATCCCACACCATCCTGTTTTGCCTTATGTATCCTATCAACAATAAATCCTTCAGTATTACTTTGAAAAACTTGGAGTTCACTGCCATCTTTCTTCAGATCTGCCTGGTCTCTTCCGGCCTGTTCTATATCTTTCAAGGATGTGGTGCCGTATTTCTCGGGCTCTCTGGTACCCAAAAGGTTGAGATTGGGACCATTAATTAGCAACACTTTCTTGACCATATTGCAACTTGCTGTGCTCACAAGACTCTACTGGGCAAATATTGTAGGCCAATGCACCCGAACATTATCGCGGCAGCTCATTTTGTAATCATTTACTAGTCGCGAAAAACTAAATTGATCTCATAGTTAAGAGTTGCACGCCACGCACCATGGTGCGAATTTTGAGGACTAAATTAAAATTACCCTCTACAATCATGGAGCCGTTTTCAGAAACAACCTGGAAGTACACAACGCTGCCCAATCCCGAGTGGACTCCAGGGTCAGGAGCGTCAAATGATGAGTGGAAAAAGTACAAAAAAATTGCAATTGATCCATACGACTCCAACCGTGAGCCAGTCGACAATTACAAAATGTTGATATCCGCCGTTGTTCCTCGGCCTATTGGGTTTGTTTCCACGGTGAGTACTAATGGTATGAAGAATTTGGCTCCGTTTTCCTACTTTACAGTCATGAACCATGATCCGCCAATTTTCTCATTGGGGTTTTCCGCTATGACAGGAAAGTACAAAGATACCTGTGCCAACATTTTGCAAACTGGCGAGCTCACCATCAGTATCATCTCAGAGTGGTTTCTCGAGGCTGCTAATTTCTGTGCTATAAATGCTCCTTCTGAAATTGACGAATGGGAACTTTCTGGATTGACTCCAGTCGAGTCGCAAAAGGTTAAACCTCCACACGTCGCCGAGTCTGCGTTCTCTATCGAGGCCAAACTAGTGAGTCACCACGAGTGGAAGTCTAAATCAAATCCAGAGCTCACCAGTGGAGTCACATGTCTCGTAGAGGGAATCAACTTTCATGCTCGTGAAGATGTAGTCGATGAAGAAAAGAAGATCTTGGACATTTCCAAGTTGAAGCCAGTGTCGAGGTTGGGAGGAATCACATATGGCCGCACCACCGAGGGCTACCAGCTTCCAAGGCCATCGTACAAATGAACTGGGAAAAAGTGGAATGGATAGAGTTCTTAACCATTGCAAGTTCATTTCCCTACAGCTAATAATTCAATTGCCGCAGCTAATAAAGATTTTACACAATTTTACTCAGTCTTTCAATCAATTTCTTGGATCTCTTGCTGAGCGTTTTCATTGATAAACGGTCAACTTGCCTATAACTTCCCTATAAACTAAAGTCTTTTTACTTTTCGCAGCCATTTGAAGCGGCTGTGCGATTGTTCTTGCACCCCACACAATTTTCCGCCGCGCAGATCTCGTCAATCTAAATTCGATCCGCGTTATCATGGCCGTTACTACTAGTTCTGTCGCCGGCATAGTTTCGGGCAGAAACCCGCTAGAATATGAAGCTAGTGCGCCATGGACTCTCTTCTTGTTTCAAGTGATTTTAATCACCGCCATGTGCCAAATTCTCCACTATCCATTAAAAAAGCTCCGCCAGCCGCGGGTGATCGCTGAAGTGTTATCGGGCATAATTCTCGGTCCTTCAGTCATGGGGCGTATACCCAAGTTCACAGCGACATGTTTTCCTCCCGTCTCGAAACCAGGACTCTCGCTTGTGGCAAATGTGGGCATAATTTTGTTTTTGTTCATCATCGGCATGGAAGTCGATCTCAAGTTTGTCCGCAAAAATTACCGGTCGGCGTTGTCCGTGGGGCTCATTAACATGGCGATTCCGTTTGCCTTGGGATGTGGTATTGCCAAGGGCTTGTACCTGCAGTACAGACAGGGCAACGAAGATATGCCTCCCATAGAATTCACGACGTATATGGTGTTTATAGCCGTTGCCATGTGTGTCACTGCTTTCCCCGTGTTGGCACGTATTCTTGTTGAGCTCAATTTAATTGGCGACAAGATTGGTACGATCGTGTTGTCTGCTGGAATTATCAACGATTTGACCGGGTGGATATTGTTGGCACTCGTGGTGTCGTTAGCGAACTCTGGAAGCGGCGTGAACACCGTCTATATTCTTTTATTAACAGTGGCATGGTTTTTCTTCTTGGCTTACCCAGTCAGGTACGCTTTGAAGTATTACTACAAAAGATTCACCAACGAGATGGTTACTGGCGAACCCTCCCACATGCTGATGGTCCTCTTGATCGGGCTCGTTTTCACTTCTGCATTCTATACCGATATCATTGGAGTTCATCCTATTTTTGGTGCGTTCATGGTGGGAGTTTTGGTCCCAAGGGACAATGGTTACGTGATTCGTGTCACCGAAAAACTTGAAGATATAGTCCACATTGTCATGATCCCGGTCTACTTTGTTATTGCAGGATTGGGTGTCAACTTGGGCGACTTAAATCATGGAATCGATTGGGCTTACACTATTGGAATAATAGCTTTGGCCATGGTTGGAAAAGTTGCAGGTGGACTAATTGCTGCCAAAATGAACGGGCTTTACTGGAGAGAGTCTTTAGCAGTTGGTGTACTCATGTCATGTAAAGGTATTGTGGAAATTGTGGTGCTTAATGTTGGGTTGAATGCAGAAATCATCTCTGAAAGAGTATATTCCATGTTCATTGTTATGACTTTGATCACCACTTTCTTAACTACCCCATTGGCTTTATGGGTGTACCCACAATCCTACAGAGAGAGAAACCATAAGAGCAAAGAGAATTCTGATGAAACTGCATTGTTGCGCACACAAGAAGAGATATCTGTCGAGAATTTTCAAGATGTCAGATTCTCAGCAGTGGTTTTATTGTTGAACAATATTGATACCATCCCACAGCTCATGCTTCTTTTGAAGAATTTGCAAACGTCCAAAGAAAACTATCAAATCAATGCGATCCATTTACGTGAATTAACTACGAGAACTTCTCATTTGCTTGAAGCTTCATCCAAAGACGAAGCGAATTTTGGAACGAATGATCATGATCAAGGTAAATTCACTTCTATTATGGCAATTTTCACCGCCTTTAGTTCTATTCTTAACATGAAATCATCGATCAAGTCAATTTTGACGCCTGTGGACAGCTATGCGGTTACTGCAATTGAACAGATTGGCAGCAAATCCGACCTTCTATTATCGTCGATCCCGGCTTCAAGTTTAACTCACTCGCCAGAAGGCATAGAGATAATCGAAAACCAATACAAGCAACTATTCTCACGGTGTTGGGCCAATGTCGGAGTATTAATCACTAGCCAAGTTGGCACTTGGGACCAAAAAAAGACGGTGCATTGCGTTTTGAACCACAACAACTTTTTAAGTTCAAGTGACTTACTTTGTTTAAACATTGTCAGTCTGTTGGCAAAGACTTATCCCTCGATTCACGTTCACGTGTCTTCTTCAACAGGTACAACTAAAGAATTTGAGCATCAATTTGACGGTCAACTCAAGTCCAGTGGACCAAACGTCGACCTCACAGTGTCCTATTTTAAGGATTTTAATGATCTTATTTCAACTTCCTCGAGAAAGGAATTGGATACTGCGCAACGCATGTTTGTTTTACCTTATGATTTTGCAGAATGTGCCGAAGTGTTGAGGATGTCTCGTCTTGGCCAGCAAGTGCTGTATGACGATATTCTTGTTGTGAAGTCTCACAGCGAGCACTCCCAGTGAGATCACTGAAAGTGCAAGTGAACTTCATTTTATGAGAAATATACGAACATGAGCTAAGTAAACTAGTTTTACTCTACTTGAACATTTCGTGTAACGACTTTGAATTCTAATTTCATTGTCCACTGATTGCAAAGTCTGGGGTACTGGATTATCTGCAGGCAACCAGAATTTTTCACCGTGCGAAGAGCATCGAGGACTGAGCTCATCGCGTCACAATGTCGGTGGTGGGATCTTTGATTTTTTGTACGAGTTGCGGTAACTTGCTCGACGCTGCTGGCTCAAATACACAGATAGAATGTAAAGTTTGTACCGCTTCATATCCGGCATCAGGGTTTGCCAATTTGAAGGTGGTTACTCAGTCGGCCGAAGATGCTTTTCCATCTCAGTTAAAATTAAAACGGTCTGTTGTGAAGACATCCTTGAACAAAGACGAGATGGACGAAGGTGCTACCATCAAGGAAAAATGCCCCAAGTGTGGCAACGAAGAAATGCAGTACCATACACTTCAATTAAGATCTGCCGATGAGGGTGCAACAGTATTCTACACTTGTACAGGGTGTGGATACAGGTTTAGAACGAACAATTAGACGAATAACGATGGTCACATAGCATTAATAATATATATAACAGAACTTTTTTCATGTTTTGATGGTAGCGTATTCCATCTCGTTGGAGTTTTCGTACTCATACATATCCAAGGCTACGACGGCCGAATCTCTAACCACATCCTCCTTATCGTTCATGAAAGACTGCAATACAGGCAAACATTCGTCGGTGGCAATAGATCCCAACGCCTCGGCGGCTTCGTGTCTAACCATACCAGCTTCGGACTCATCTTTAAGCACTTTAATCAAAGATGGAACAGTGACTGGGTTGCACAATTGACCAAAAACATAAGCAATTTCGTGCTTGAACAAAGCTGAAGGGTCGTCAAAACCAGATGCTAACGCAAGACATGCCTCATCAGTTCCCAAGTCACGCAACCTGAACATGGCTCTATACCTCTCGAACAAAGATTCGTCTTGGTCATTCAATATTTTTTGTAACTTTTCAATCTTTGCCTCCTTGTCTAATGCCATAGGTGGAGCAGGGTCTATAGAGGTGTAAGCGGATTTTTCGAGAACTTCCAGTTTCGCCTTGGCGGAATTTTCCCATTCAATTCTTCCTATAGCCAACTCACAAGTTTGCCGTATTTCCAACGAGGGGTCTTCCTTGTAGTACTTTTGCAATAACTCCAATGACTCCTTGTCACCAAGAGCACCCAAAGCCTCTGCTGCTTCATGCCTCACCATAATTTGTTGGTCATTACTGGTAAGCACATCTCTCAAAAAAGGAGCAGCAAACAAGTTGGAAGTCTGTCCCAATACGTAGGCCACCTCGTGCTTGAGAAGTTCAGACTTATCTTGGAAAGCTTGTGCAATATATTTGATCGCTTTGTGAACCTCTTCTTCATTCTCCGATTCGGCACCTATCGATTTCAAGCTGAATAATGCCCTGAATCTGTTGGCGAGTTTCTCCTGGCCACTAGTATTGAGGAGTACATCGCGGAGCTGTTCCAAACTCGCTTCGCTTTCGTTCAAGTCGCTCATAAGTAAAATTTGCAGTTGTGAAAAGAATTCTTTTTTTTGCAGAAGACCGAGTCCTGCATATATCGCGAGGCTGCAGCGGCAGAAGATTCATTAACGCGGTGAAGCGAAGGTGGAATTCCTGGTATTCAATGTAAATACCTGTTCATTGAGAGAATCTATTTCAAACCAGATTTAAGGTGGATAGTGACTCTTTAACCACAATCGTAAAAAATGAAAAGTGACGTTTCTCGCTTCTTTCAATTCATTCTGTTCTAGCTTTCTCCCAACTTGTCAGTCTTGTCGCCAGTATTCAGCTGTATCTACCTTTGTTTGACGCTTCATTTTGATACCTGCTCTCTCCTCCCATTCTTTTCGTAGTTCTTGCAACTTTGGCCACCTGCAGGTAAACCAATCCTGCACCACGGCATTGAAAAATCATTTTAAACTTCAACTCCCACCTCTACTACAACCATGGCTGCACCCCAACAGGCGTTGCCCGACATGTCTAATGCCATAGTGGCACAAGATGAGATGGGGAGACCATTCATCATAGTTAGGGATCAAGGAAAGAAGCAGAGAAAACGCGGTATTGAGGCTACTAAATCGCACATTTTGGCCGCCCGTTCGGTGGCTTCGATTGTTCGTACATCATTAGGACCTCGTGGATTAGACAAGATATTGATCAGTCAGGATGGCGAGATCACCATTACCAATGATGGTGCCACTATTTTGTCGCAAATGGACATTGACAATGAGATTGCAAAGTTATTGGTTGAATTGTCGAGATCACAAGATGACGAAATCGGTGATGGAACTACAGGTGTGGTTGTACTTGCTGGAGCGTTGTTGGACCAAGCTTTGGGATTGATCGAAAAGGGAATCCACCCGCTCAAAGTCGCAAACGGGTTTGATGAGGCTTGTAAACTTGCATGCGACCAGCTCGATAAAGTTGCTGACGAGATTCATTTCTCGAGAGATACTACCGACGGCAACTTGTTAAGAGCCGCCAAGACATCATTGGGCAGTAAAATTGTGTCCAAGGCCCACGATCACTTTGCACAAATGGCAGTGGATGCTGTGTTGTCAGTTGCCGATTTCGAACGTAAAGATGTTGATTTCGAACTCATAAAGATGGAAACTAAAGTGGGTGGTGCTATTGAAGACTCATCGTTAATCAAGGGCGTTTTGCTCGATAAGGAGTTCTCTCACCCTCAAATGCCTAAGAAGGTGGAAGACTGTAAGATTGCTATATTAACCTGTCCTTTCGAGCCTCCAAAGCCAAAGACCAAACACAAGTTGGATATATCCACAGTGGAAGAATTCAAAGCTCTTCAAGAGTACGAACAGAAAAAGTTTCAAGAAATGATAGACTACGTCAAAGAGTCTGGCGCCAATGTTGTGGCTTGTCAGTGGGGATTTGACGACGAAGCAAACCACTTGTTGTTAGCTAACGACTTGACTGCCATCAGATGGGTTGGAGGTTCAGAGTTGGAGCTTTTGGCCATTGCTACCAATGGACGTATAGTTCCTCGGTTTGAGGATTTGACACCGGAAAAGCTTGGTCATTGCGGAACCATCAAGGAGTTGGAGTTTGGAACCACTCGTGACAGAATGCTTGTCATTGAAGATTGTTCCAATACAAAGGCAGTGACATGTTTCATTCGTGGTTCAAACGAGATGATTGTAGCTGAAGGGTCCAGAGCTTTGCACGATTCGCTTTGTGTGGTGAGAAATTTAATCAGAGATAATAGAGTGGTTTACGGAGGAGGTGCTGCCGAACTTACATGCTCAATTGCAGTTTCTGCGTCTGCTGATGAGCAAACTGGTATCGATCAATATGCATTCCGTGCTTTTGCAGCAGCCTTGGACGTAATTCCAATGACATTAGCGGAAAACTCCGGTCTCGATCCTATCGAAACCTTGTCTACGCTCAAGTCAAAGCAAGTGAACGAGGGTTCGTCTCGTTTAGGAGTGGACTGCTTGGGTAATGGAACAAATGACATGAAAGAGTTGTTCGTCATAGATCCATTGATCGGCAAGAAACAGCAACTTTTATTGGCCACGCAATTGACAAGAATGATCCTCAAGATCAACGATGTCATTATCTCCGGCAAGGATGAGTATTAATAACGAGTAATACACAAAGTAAGTATACCTTAGATTTTGCTAATACAAGTAGTAGGTATACCCTATATGTGTCTTGTCTGCAGTCCATGTATATTCTTCGAACCTCCAATCTCACTACTCCTTACCGTTCACCGAGCTACCACACAAAAACATAAATACATCATGGCAAGCATCGGTACGCCCGCAGTGGTCATGGACAATGGTACCGGGTTGACCAAACTTGGTTTTGCCGGAAACGATTCACCCAGTTTTGTCTTTCCAACGGCCATTGCTACAGCGTCCACGTCTGGTGGAGGCGCCCGTGGAGGCAGCAGCACCGGTTCGTTTTTATCTTCGAAACGAGGATTAGAGGACTTGAACTTTTTCATCGGTGACGAAGCATTGAGTGCTGCCAATGGCCCAAACTATAACTTATCGTATCCAGTCAGACATGGACAAATTGAGAATTGGGATCATATGGAACGGTTTTGGGAGAATTCCATTTTCAAATACTTACGATGTGAGCCCGAAGATCACTACTTCTTGTTGACGGAACCTCCGTTGAATCCACCTGAAAATAGAGAGAGCACTGCTGAAATCATGTTTGAATCTTTCAACTGTGCTGGTCTTTACATTGCTGTGCAAGCCGTATTGGCGTTGGCTGCTTCGTGGACATCTTCCAAGGTCAAGGATCGGTCGCTCACCGGTACGGTCATTGATTCGGGTGATGGTGTTACTCATGTTATTCCCGTTGCTGAAGGCTATGTCATCGGCACCTCGATCAAGAATATTCCATTGGCTGGTCGTGATATAACATCGTTCATCCAGTCTTTGTTGAGAGACAGAGGTGAGCCTGACACATCCTTGCAGACGGCGGAAAAGATCAAGCAGCAATTCTGTTATGTGTGTCCTGATATCGTTAAAGAGTTCAAGAAATTCGATCAATATCCACAAGAAAAGTTTGCCCAGTATGTGGTTGAATACGCCGATAAAAACAGAAAGAACATTGTGGATGTTGGATACGAACAGTTTTTGGCTCCGGAAATCTTTTTCAATCCTGAAATTTGTTCCTCTGATTACTTGACTCCATTACCAGAGGTGGTGGATTTGGTGATTCAATCAACTCCAATTGATGTGCGCAAAAAATTGTACAAGAACATTGTGTTGTCTGGAGGATCAACAATGTTTAAAGACTTTGGCAGAAGGTTACAAAGAGATATGAAAACGATTGTGAACGAAAGAATTGAAACGAGTGAGCGTTTGAGTGGTGTGAAGAGTAGTGGTGTCGACGTCCAGGTTATATCACACAAACGTCAAAGAAACGCTGTTTGGTTTGGAGGATCCTTATTGGCACAAACTGCTGAATTTAAGAGCTACTGCTACACGAAACAAGACTACGATGAATATGGGCCAAGTATCGTTAGAAACTTTTCCTTGTTTTCCGTGCCATAGAGAATATGACGAATTGACTAGAATTGACTAGAATTACTGTAGTTTAAGGTCCATTAGCTTGGCTGATCACTCTTTTTCCTCAAATTCTTCATTTTACTCCATGAGCTGACTACTTCGTAATGCCTTGCTTCCCGGCCTTATCATTTATATGCCGTCCCAAAATATCCCAGCGCCCATTGAGATTCGACCTGGAGAAATAATCACGAAATGTCCTCACAGGTACAGATCGTTGATGTCGCCTTACACCAGATCTTCAACGGGCTCCGATCACCGAAGGAGGAAGAACGCAATAGATGTGCCCATGAATTAAGAGAACATCTAGCATCGGTAGCCCGGGATGTCACCTCAGAGCAGTTCAATCGAATTAATAACGACATAAATAAGACTATATTCGAGCTTTTACACAGTAAGGAGACTTCCGAGAAGCTCGGTGGTATAGCTGCGCTCAATTCCTTGATAGATTTCGACTCTGGAGTCGGCGAGGAGAATGCTACAAAGACGGCTAGGTTCTCAAACTACCTTGGTTCATTGATATTATCCAGTGACATAACCATTATGAAGCAAGCTACCAGAACTTTGGGAAAGCTAGCAACACCTGGAGGCACATTAACTGGTGATTTTGTTGATTTCGAAGCCAATCGAGCTATTGAATGGCTTCAGGCAGATAACAAACAGCACGAAAACAGGAGACACTCAGCTATATTAATCATCAGTGCTTTAGCTGATAATGCTCCTACATTACTCTACAACTTCATTAATCAAATCTTGGAGCATCTTTGGATTCCATTGAGGGATACCAAACTCGTGATAAGGACAGATGCTGCGGTGACGTTACAAAAGTGCATGGCAATCTTGTATGACAGAGACGCCAATTCTCGTAAATTTTGGATAAAAAGCTTTATCGATACGGCTTCCAGAATCTTGGGCGATAACAACGATAATCTGGACACCCATACTGAAAACGGAAATGTGTCTGTCATCTCGTCGGCCAATGGAACCTCAAATTCAGTGAACAACGCTGCTTCCGCGGCTCTTAACTTTTTAGCATCCTCGTCTTCCCAGCCAAGTGAGTACATTCACGGATCATTACTTGTATATCGGGAGCTTGTTCGCTATCATTATGATTCTTACATCCAGCAAAAATTCGAACTTATCTGCGAAAGTTCAATGGCATATCGCAATCATCGGTTTGCAGTGATAAGACAAGAGCTCACCAATATTTTTCCATTGTTGTGTCGAGTTAATTCAGAGGTCTATGTCGAAAAGTACCTCCACAAGACATTGCATTACTACTTGTCGCAATTGAAAAAAAATAGAAACCAGCATAACGAAACCGCTAACCATGACAAAAGTGCTATTTTCATGAGTATTGGATTAATCTCGTTGGAAGTGGGTAACCACATGGCGACATATCTCGATGCCATCCTCGACAACATACGGGAAGGTTTAGCATATCCAGCAAACTCTAGCGTGCAACTGTTACTACTCAATGCCACCAGTGTAGAGGGTTCAATTTCCGGATCTTCTAATTCTTCCGGCTCTGGTCAGCATTCTGCATCTGGCCTTACATCCTTACCATACTCGGTATCCGGCTCGTCCAAATATGCATTGAGCAGAAAAGATACAGAACCAGCGATTTTTGACTGTATTGGTAAATTGTCTATCGCTGTGGGACCGGCATTAACTAAACACTTGCAGCGTGATATTTTGGATATGATGTTTAGCAATTGCTCGCTATCTACACACATGCAAAATGTGTTGCAGACTTTGATCTCAAATGTTCCTAGCTTGACAAACTCCATCAACATCAAGCTTCTTAATTTGTTGAGTTTGGTTTTGTCAGGAAAAACCTATCAACCTCCAGGCTCACCTTATGGTTCAATCAAGACCAATGCTGCATTAGCTCGCAACTACCGACTTATCATGATCTCTAGAGACACCGGCATGAGCATCAATCAAATTCTCAGTAATCACGATTCCTATGACACATTCGACAGTGAGATTCTAATACAAGCATTAAAAATGCTCAATTTTTTCCAATTTGAAAACTTTCAGTTGAATGAACTCGTGAGGTTTTGTACTATCAAGTACGTGGAACATAGTAACCCCAGAGTTCGTAAAATTGCAACGGTGACTTCTTGTGAGATATTCATAAGAGACCCCATATGCCAACAAACAAGTGTGAATGCACTTAATGCCGTCAATGAAGTTTTAGACAAGTTGACTTCTGTCGCCATTACCGACCCTGTTCCCGAAATTCGATTAGAGGTTCTCAAATGCCTTTCAAAAGCCGAAAGTTTTGGCCCTCAGCTCTCGCAAGCTGAGAATGTCAAGCTATTATTTATTGCATTGAACGATGAACTTTTCGCCATAAGAAAGATTGCTGTTCAAATTCTCGGAAAGCTTTCCTCCATTAATCCTGCTTATATTGTTCCATCCTTAAGGCGTACTCTTATCCAATTACTTTCTCGTTTAGAGTACTCGACGCTGGCGCGAAGGAAGGAAGAAAGTGCAACTCTTCTTGCAGTTTTGATTGCGGAATCCAAGGAGCTTACAAGGCCATATGCAAAACCCATCGTGGAAGCGTTGTTACCCAAAGCCAAAGATCCAAGCTCTTCTGTTGCAGCGAGTGCTATTAGCTGCTTGGGAGAGATGTCTGTTGTTGCAGGCGAGGATATGACAGCCATTTATCAATGGAATTAATGCCTTTGATTTTAGACACTTTCCAAGACCAGAGCTTCTTCATTCAAAAGAGATGCAGCATTGAAGACACTCGGTCAATTAGCAAGCTCTTCGGGTTATGTTATACAGCCTCTCTTGGACTTTTCCTCAGCTTTTGGGAATGTTGGTTGGCATTCTTAAACTGGAGACCTCCCCCACATATTCGTCGAGAAAACCGTTCGATTATTGGGTATTTTAGGTGCCTTGGGATCCATACAAGCACCGTGAGGTCGAACAAAATTCAAAGAGCATTTCTTCTGACCAAAAATGCTGCCCCAGTAGATGTGGCTTTCTTGATGCAGGGAATGTCTCCTTCAAATGAAGAGTACTACCCAACGGTTGCCATAAACAATTTGACCAAAATTTTGAAAGATCCCTCTTTGAGCATGCACCACAACAAGGTGATTCAAGCAATAATGTATATCTTTCAAACACTCGGACTCAGATGTGTTTCATTCTTGCCACTAATTATACCAGGAATCATCAACGTTATGCATACTTGCCAGACATCGATGTTGAAATTCTACTTTCAGCAACTTAGTGCCCTCATTCTAATCGTGAGGCAGCATATTCGTCCATTTTTACCAGAAATCTTTGCCATCATCAAGGAATTTTTCACCCTGATTCACAATCCTAATATCCAAATCATAATCATCTCCCTCATCGAGTCCATCTCGCGTGCATTGGAAGGGGAGTTCAAAATGCACATGCCAGAAGTTTTGACGTTACTTTTGAATGTTCTTGAAGAAGATGAGACCGCCAAGCGTGAGCCTTCCTTACATGTGTTGCGAAGCTTAGTTGTATTCGGAAGCAACACTGAGGAATATATACATATCATGGTTCCAAATATCGTCAAGTTGTTCGAAGTTGGTCCTATAGTGTTGCGTAAAGCCGCGATTGAAACTATCGGTAGACTTTCGAAAACAGTTCTGTTAAACGATATGGCTTCAAGAATAATCCATCCAATATTGCGAGTCTTGCAACAAGGAAGTGATGAGCTAAAAGTCACGGCGATGAACACCTTGAGTTATTTACTATTGCAGCTTGGCACAGAGTTTAGTGTGTTTATTCCAGTCATCAAGAAGGTTTTAGTCCAGCAAAAGATTCACTCCAATACTTTTGAACAGTTGGTTACAAAACTCTTGAGTGGAGATCCATTACCCACACATCTCAACATCTACAAAGACTATGATATCCATCTGAATTTTGATCCAACCGATGTCGACATGCCTTCCAAGAAACTTCCTGTCAATCAGTCTGCTTTAAAGGCTGCTTGGGACTCGTCACAAAGAAGAACCAAGGAAGATTGGCAAGATTGGATAAGCCGTTTGAGTAAGGAACTTTTGAAACAAAGTCCTTCGCATGCAATCAGAGCATGTGCTGGATTAGCTTCCGATTATTACCCATTAGCAAAGGATTTATTCAATGCCAGTTTTGCAAGTTGTTGGAGTGAGCTTTATTCACAACATCAGGAAGAGCTTGTGGAATCGTTTTGTATCGCATTGTCGTCACCAAATAATCCTCCTGAAATTCATCAAATTTTGTTGAATTTGGCAGAGTTTATGGAACATGACGACAAGTCATTACCTATAGCAATCACTGTTTTGGGCCAATACGCTCAACGATGTCATGCTTATGCCAAAGCGTTGCATTACAAGGAGCTTGAATTCTATGAGGAACCGTCTACACCAACTATTGAGTCCTTGATTAGTATCAATAATCAATTACAGCAATCTGATGCCGCAGTTGGTATATTAAAGCATGCACAATTGCACCATGATCTCCAACTTAAGGAAACATGGTATGAAAAGCTACAGCGTTGGGACGACGCTTTAAGAGCTTATAATGAACGACAGATATCAGAGCCTGATAATATGGATGTCGTCATGGGTAAAATGAGATGTTTGCATGCTCTTGGAGAATGGGAACAGTTATCTGAATTGGCGCAGAGCAAATGGAATAACTCGTCCAGTGACACCAAGAGAATGGTTGCACCGTTAGCAGCAGCTGCTGCATGGGGTTTGGGTCAATGGGACCGAATGGATACCTGTATCCAAGTCATGAAATCCGAATCTCCTGATAAAGCATTTTTCAATGCCATTCTTAGTTTGCACAGAAACAACTTTGAAGATGCATCGAATCATATATTGGTTGCAAGAGACTTGTTGGTTACTGAAATAACAGCGCTTGTCAGCGAAAGTTACAATAGAGCATATGGAGTCGTTGTCAGAGTTCAAATGCTTGCCGAGTTAGAGGAGATTATCAAGTATAAATGCTTGCCTCGAGGTTCTGAAAAGCGTGCAATTATGAGAAAGACATGGAACACCAGGTTGCTAGGATGTCAACGTAATGTCGATATCTGGCAACGTATGCTTAAAGTGAGGGCCTTAGTGATCAAGCCCAAGCAGGATATGGATATGTGGATCAAATTTGCCAATTTATGTCGAAAGTCGGGCCGTCTTAATTTGGCTGAGAAATCTCTCAACTATTTGTTGGAGGAGGGGTTCCCTGAAAATCCTTCTAAGGCTCCACCACAAGTGGTTTATGCTCAGATAAAGTACATGTGGGCTAAGGGACAACAACGAGAAGCACTCCGCCATTTGGTTGATTTCACAGCTCGTATGTCGCAAGACTTGGGTTTGAATCCAAACGATTTGATCACCCAACCTCTACCTTCTGAAGCGCCAGGTATTCCAAAGCATGTGGAGGAGTACACAAGACTCCTTGCCAGGTGTTTCTTGAAGCAAGGGGAATGGCAGATTGCTTTAAATAGCAACTGGAGAAACGATACTTCCGAAATCATTTTGGGAGCGTACCTTTTGGCTACTCATTTCGATACCAAGTGGTACAAGGCTTGGCACAACTGGGCGCTAGCAAATTTTGAAGTCATCTCGCTGTACACCACCCAGCGTACAAATTCCACAAAGGATACTAGCGTTCAAGATGACATCATGCCTCAAAACGGAACTCTTGGTGCTGAAGATGAAGCTGGTAAGGGTCAAAATAAGGCAGCTGGTCCTTCCGCACCACAGTCCAATATTATCCCAATGGAAATTGTGCAAAGGCATGTGGTTCCTTCAATCAAAGGTTTCTTTCATTCCATTGCTTTATCCACCGCTAGCTCGTTACAAGATACTTTGCGTTTGTTAACCTTATGGTTCAAATTTGGTGGAATCAGTGAAGCTGCGAAGGCTATGACTGATGGTTTCAATATGGTCAAGATCGATAAATGGTTGGAAGTGATACCACAATTGATCTCGAGAATTCATCAGCCTAACGAGGTTGTGAGTAGGTCCTTATTTGGTCTTCTCACAGATCTAGGCAAAGCTCATCCACAGGCGCTTGTATATCCACTTGCAGTTGCAGTGACTTCTGAGTCTGTTAACAGGCAGCGTGCAGCGTTGTCGATTATAGACCAAATGCGTTTACACTCTCCTGTCTTAGTCGATCAATCAGAACTTGTCAGTCATGAACTAATTCGTGTTGCTGTTTTATGGCACGAACAATGGTATGAAGGACTAGAAGATGCATCGAGGTTGTTCTTTGGTGAACACAATACTGATAAGATGTTCGAAGTTTTGGAGCCTCTACATCAAATGCTTCAAAAGGGGCCCGAAACTTTGAGGGAATCTTCGTTTGCAAATGCGTTCGGGAGGGAGTTGGCAGATGCCTATGAATGGGTGTTGAACTTCCGTCGTACCAAGGATATCACCAACTTAAATCAAGCTTGGGATGTCTACTACAATGTGTTCCGTCGTATTAGCAGGCAACTCCCACAACTCCAAACATTGGAACTTCAATACGTTTCACCAAAATTAGAAGAGGCAACGGATCTTGAATTAGCCGTTCCAGGTACCTACGAACCTGGTAAACCAGTGGTACGCATTGCCAAATTCGATCCTTCCTTGACGGTTATATCTTCGAAACAGAGACCCAGAAAACTTACTTGCAGAGGAAGCGATGGTAAAGATTATTCGTTTGCCTTGAAAGGACATGAAGATATCAGACAGGATAACCTTGTTATGCAATTATTTGGTCTAGTCAATACCTTATTGGTTAACGATCCGGAATGTTTTAAACGACATCTCGATATCGAGAGGTCTCCAGCTATTCCCCTTGCTCCAAAGGTTGGTCTCTTTGGCTGGTTCCCACACAGTGATACTTTCCATGTTCTTATCAAAGAGTATCGTGAATCGAGAAAGATCACCTTGAACATTGAACATCGAATCATGTTGCAGATGGCTCCTGACTATGACAGTTTAACTTTGTTGCAAAAGGTTGAAGTCTTCATGGGTGCTCTCGATAATACCAGAGGTCAAGATTTGTATAAGGTGTTGTGGTTGAAGTCCAAGTCTTCGGAAACTTGGTTGGACCGTCGTACTACATATACCCGCTCCTTGGCAGTCATGTCTATGGTGGGTTATATCCTTGGTTTGGGAGACAGACATCCTTCCAACTTGATGCTTGACCGTATAACCGGTAAAGTGATTCATATTGATTTTGGTGACTGTTTCGAAGCGGCTATACTACGTGAAAAGTATCCCGAAAAAGTGCCATTTAGGCTCACAAGGATGCTCAATTATGCTATGGAAGTGAGCGGTATAGAGGGCTCATTCAGAATCACATGTGAGCATGTAATGCGTGTGTTGAGAGATAACAAAGAGTCCTTGATGGCCATTTTGGAAGCTTTTGCTTATGATCCGTTGATCAATTGGGGTTTTGACTTCCCTACAAAAGCCATGGCTGAAGCAACAGGTATTGAGGTTCCACAAGTCAATGTGGCAGAACTTCTTCGTCGTGGACAGATTGATGAAGCTGAGGCTGTTAAACTCACGAAGCAGAACGATGTTGAAATTCGTAACGCTCGAGCAGCGTTGGTATTAAAGAGAATTACTGATAAGCTTACCGGAAATGATATCAAAAGGCTCCATGGTTTGGATGTACCTACTCAAGTCGACAAGCTTATACAACAAGCAACTAGCGTCGAAAACTTGTGCCAGCACTACATTGGATGGTGTTCGTTCTGGTAGATTATTACTGTATAAAATATGCATTTGATCACTTTAAGCAATCTTTTTGGAAACACTCGTAAACCCAATTCCTTTCATAGCGCAAGTCATAAAGTCTGCTTCTTCAGGGTCGATATCATCCAGGCCATCTTTGAAGAAAGCTTCTGTGCCAACTATTGAATTTATGTCTCGCAAAACCCATATTAAGTTGGAATCGATTTGGCTTTTATGGAGCTTTATACGACCAATGTCTTCCTTTCCGATGGCCATGTAGGTCAATGCGAGTTTTAATTGACTTCTTCCTAGAGTTCCACTTAGACTTAATTCCTCGAGTAACTGGTATGCTACTTTTTCACCAAGTTCCTCTGGGAGCAGCTGCGCAGCTCCTACTCCCTCCGAAAAGATTCTCCATCCTTTTTTCAGCTCAGCGACTAAAGTAACTCCAAAACCTGGAGACTTTCCCGATTGTTCTCCACGCCAAGCATCGGCTGTAATATTCACTTCCACCCCGGTAGGCTTCAACACTTTACGAGCCGCATCAACTATCCGGTTAACTACGCTGGGTGAAACTCTAGTACAGTATGCGACACCTCTTATTGCTGAGATCTTGGGAACCTCAAGAGCATGGATCGTCAATGGCTGGGCAATCAAGGAGTCACAAACAAAATGGACTTCACCTCCACCCAAAGGAGGAGATCCTCTCTTATTGATATGTAATGCAGCTTCACGGACGCCGAACTTTTCCATGACGGGGAGTATTCCCCACTTCAAGGCGTCGATTCCAGCATCATCTGTGTCGTTCAATGCAGTGAGTCCGCGGAAAACAATGGAAAACTTCTTTTTGGAAAATGGAGCCAAGTACAACATGGGTTCTACAAAGTATCCTATAGGTTTAGTATTAGGACAATTATGAGTGATTTGACCGCCAATTATGATGCCAGGCTTGTATATGACAGTAGTACCAGTGTATGATATTTCGATATGAGTGCCGTTAGTTACTGATTCCAAGAGTCGAAGGAACGATACTTCATGGTCACGAAGACCAGGATTCATGTCATCGGATCTAATTCTGACAATTTTTATTGGTTTTCCCGACAATGTAGAGAGCACGAGTCGTAATCGGAAATTTCGATGGCCTTCAAGCGTCACTATTTTCGCCTTTACCGCCGTAGACATCTTTGCAGCTTTCTACCTCATCGCACAATTTTTGTATGATACATGGTGTGCACACAAAATCATGTTCCTGCACCCGCGCCCAGGTCTAAATTGACCGGAGACTTCGCGAGTTGAGCACAACAGGGTACTGATAATGCTGGACTCCGACGGTTCTAAGAGGCCCTCTGAGACCCCGGACGCGGCTGATTCGGACTCTAAGCGCCAGAGAGGAAGCTCAAAATCGCCTGTGGACGTTGATGAGGAACTTAATGCTATTTTGGGAGCCAACGGCATATCTGAATTGGAAGCAGCTTCGGGTAATGCTAACCAACAAGACATTATGGACATCGATTTCGATAATCTCCCTGCTGAATTGTTGCAGAAGGACGATATACAAGCGGATAGAAATCTGGTAGGACGTTCAACTTCGGGCTCACAAACTCCGCAACCCATCAAATCTGAAAGCATGATAAATGTACCTCAATCGCTGCAAATTTCTCGCCCTATAATACGTCCCGCCATGCCCTCGGCACCTGTGGTTCCATCATCATCGGCTCCGGTAAACAGAATGAATCCGTTAGTTCAGCAGGCCAACAGTATTCACGGACTCAACACCTCAAGCATTGACAACAGAACAGCGCCCAACTTTTCCACGGGCCATTCTACGGGCCAAGCTGGCGGAAACAACCAGGATCGTTTCCATACCAACGATCCTTCAAAGTTGAACGATGCTTTGGCTGCCGCTGGAGTGGATATTGGTAGGGAAGAAGAATTGCTTCAACAGCAGCAATACAACCGGGCTCCAAGAATAAACGTCCAACAACCATCTTACCTCCAGCTGCGTCCAGCACGGCAGATTCAGCGAACGCCGTTTCTCAACTCGTATCATTTGGGCACTTTTATGCAAAGGGTAGCCCGTGAAAATGGAGTCTTGCAAAGTTTCATGAGTGATAACGAACTTCTCGAACTAATGTCGGCGTCGTGCGAGCAGTGGATTAGTCATATAGCCACCAAGACCGTGTTATTATCACGCCATCGTCGTCGAGGAATCCCAGCTCTCAAAAACAAGAAGCTTGCTGCAAATCAAATTCCTCGATCTGAAGTATCTAAGGAACTACGCAATTTGGCTCTCAAGCAAAAGGAGCTTGAGGAACAGAGAGTCAGCAGGCGTATTCTACTTGGACTTGAAAACAAGGACGCCAATCTGGAGAGTAATAAAGTGGGCGCAGAGGAAACCTTACATAGAGCCGCTAATGAAACTGCGGCAATGATGACGTCAAACAAGAAAAAGTACCTGTGGATGAGCTCAGGAGCAGGAAATGGAGATGACAGCAAAGCTATGGAAAGAGAAAAAGATAAGCAGAGTCACTTGTTGGCACTTCGTGGAGACAATGGTCTTAGGTTCCGTGACATTCGAACGGGAGATTCAGTCACGATGAAAGATTTACTTGCTGCATTAGAAGACGAGAGGATGGGAGTCAACAAAGCCATTATGAAGGGCTATGCTCGTCTTAAGGATTAATAATTGTATACTAGGATAGCTCATCGGCGTGTTCCTGCACAAAACACGGTACACAATTCGATGCGTAATCGCGCAGATCAAAAACAAACACACATCAATATGGAGTTCAGTCTAAGTAGTAACTTCAATAATTTTGAAGTCGACAAGTCGTATTCGGTGGATTTTCCAGATGTGGACTCTAAGCTTGAATCAGTAACAGAGGTGTTAGCTGCCAACCCTGACAATATCAACTTCAATTCGGAACTACTTGATGAGCTTATGGAACTTGTACACGGATACAAAACGTTGAATGAAAAGCATCAGAAACAAGTAGTGTACTTAATTGCATCATCTTCAAACACGATTTCCCATCAAATAGCTGGTGCTGTTCAAAATGGCGATTTTGTGGACGCTGCTGATAACTTCAAAGCTAGCCTTGAAAAATACGGTTATCTCATTTATGTTTTACTTGTCTATTTGGGCAAAGAAGACCACAGCCGAGCTTTTGCCAGCAAACTGAAACATGGAAATTCTGAAGCTCATCGATTGTGGAAAGCCAATTGTGCCCTTGTTGAAGAATTGTTGGAATGTATTCATAATGTCTTGAAAATCGATCTCACAAGAATATTCATAACAACTCCGGAACGCGATCGGTTCATTGAATTGTTTACGAGGCCCATCTTTCGCTTAATGGAAGTAGCAGAAAGGATGAAAATCACTCCACTTAAACTATTAATGTTCCGAGACCTTGCAGTGGCAGTCAAATTTCATGGCCAATCTCTTAACGTCCAAAGTGCTATCATCCAATGTCTCACCTACTACATACATCTTCCACAGTACATGGCAGAGTTTTTACACGTTCTAGATGAACTGTATGATCACAACGGATTAACAGAAGAGGTTCTTCGTGAGATCTCACAAATCGAATTCAACTCAAATGATAACAACGGACCCAAGTCAATCTCAGAGTTTTTGATTAAACTCTCTGAGTCGAGTCCAAGACTCATCCTAAAACAGATGTCTTGTATCGCTCAGCTTTTGGATAACTCCAACTACACTCTCCGTTGTTCCGTGGTAGAGACTTGTGGAAATATTGTCGTGGATGTTGCGAAGAAGGGCCGCCAAAATGACGACGAAAGTGGCAGGAACACTGATGTCCATATTGATGGCCTTGTTGACCTCCTTCAAGAACGTTTCCTAGACCAAAACCCATATGTTAGAACAAAGGCCATTCAAGCCTTTGTCAAAATCTTCAACATGCCATCGCAATTCAATGAAAGGCGTCAAAAAATCATGGAGCTTCTGGTACGTTCACTTGATGATCGAAGTACTTTGGTGAGAAGGAACGCTATAAAGCTCATGTCGAAGTTGGTCTTGACTCATCCTTTTGCTGCTCTTCATGGAACCCAACTTTCCTACAAGTTCTGGTTATCTCGTTATGAAAGTGCCAAAGCATATTTGAAAGACTTATTAGAAAGGGAGGGGCATTTGGCTCCCATAAATGAAGATGTCAACTCTGAGCACGATGAAGACGACGGCGATGTTTCCATGGAAGAAGATAATCCTGACGATGAAGAGGATCAGGAAAGTGAAGATGGCTCCGATGCCGATGGAGAAGCTAACAGCCCACGTGTGGACTCAGAGAACGATCACAGTGGTAGCAATCCCATCTTGCAAGATTCGAATGCGTTGATTAAAGCAAGGCTCACTCTCAAGTACTATGAAGATGCAATTGCATTCATTGAAGCCATCCATGCCGGCGTGGATATTATTTCGAGACTACTTTACTCGAAGAATCGAAACGAAGTCCTTGAATCGATGGACTTCTTGGTACTTGCTGACGCTTATGACATTCAAAATGCTTCCGAGGGAATTAGAAAGATGTTACACTTGGTATGGATGAAGGGATCATCGGACGAAGGTAAATCGATCTCGGCACATTTGATAGATTGTTATCAGCAACTATTTTTATCTCCTCGAGAAGATTCTAGCAGAGCCGAACAAGCAGCTTACATCGCCAAGAACTTGGTGAGTTTAACTCACGCAGCCTCCATTGCAGATTTGGCATCGTTGGAAAAACTTTTGTGTCTCATGTATGAGAACAAATTAGTTCATCCCGATGTACTTCAAGTCTTATGGCAGATTTACAACTTTAAAGGCGAATCGACCGAATTTTCGCAGAAACAGAGACGAGGTGCAGTTATTGTACTAGGCATGTTTGCGTTGGGCAACAGTCAGATCGCTGCTGATGGTTTGGACTCGTTGTTGACCATTGGACTAGGTGAACTCGGAAAGAAGGACATGTCGCTTGCTCGGTACACCTGTATAGCACTTCAGCGCTTAGTGGAGCCTAATGACAAGGAACCACGAACAGTTCGTATCAAGCGGGAAGACGAGATCGTTGAGAAACTAAGTTCTGTGCTTCTTGAATTCAACGAAGATGGCGAGTGGTTTAGTGTTGCCGAGCAAGCTATTGGTGCACTCTTTACGATTTCTGACAAACCAGACGAGATTTGCTCAACCATTTTAAAGGAGAAGACAGCTCACGTCTTCGGTGATGACTCTTCAAATCAGATCAATTCATTGTCCCAACTTTTGTTCATGGTGGGGCATGTTTCCATCAAAACTATCGTTTATTTAGAAAATTTGGAGGGTCAGTTCAAAAAGAGAAAGCAAGCTGTGGAGTCAGGAGCCACTAAGGAAGCAGCCGAGAAAGACGGTGGTGAAGATAACGAACTTGAGATGATCGGTGGTACTTCTGAAGATGATTTCGCCGATGCTGTTCTTTACATTAAAGAAAAGGAACTACTTTATGGTGAAAATTCACTCCTTGCAAAGTTTGGCAACTTGGTACGTGAGATATGTTCAAAGAGCAAAAACTACCAGCATCAAGGCTTACAAAGATCTGCCACTTTATGTCTCGTCAAACTCATGTGCATTTCATCACGCTATTGCGAACAAAACTTACCCTTGTTGATAACGATTATGGAGAAGTCGCCCGATCCTATCATTCGATGCAATTGCGTTTTGGGCTTAGGAGATATGGCAGTTTGCTTTAATAATCTTGTTGACGAAAACACAGACTTCTTGTATCGAAGACTCAACGATAAGAGTATCATGGTTCAAAGAACATGTCTCATGACAGTCACTTTCTTGATTTTGGCTGGCCAGGTGAAGGTGAAAGGCCAGTTGTCTTCAATGGCAAAGTGCTTGGAGAACCCTGACCAAGGAATCAGCGATATGTGTCGTTTGTTCTTTAGTGAGCTTGCAACAAAGGATAACGCCATTTACAATGGTTTCATAGATATTTTCAGCGGGCTTCTGAACGACGAGACATTGTCAAAGGACTCGATGAAGAGAGTTGTCAAGTTCCTCGTTGGGTTCATTGAGAAGGAGAGACAACAGAAACAACTTGCTGAAAAGTTACTAGTACGGTTAACAAAGTGCCTGGATGAACAACAGTGGAACGACGTTGCGTTTGTTCTTGCAACAATTCCGTACAAGAGTGAAGCCATTACTCAAGCACTCGATGGAGGCTACAAAATTGTTCTGGCAAGGCAGTAGAGCTTCATAGATGTATATTATTGGTTCATAGTCACATACTTTTTAAATTTGGGACCTGAAAACGATTTTCTGGCCACTCACCTTGTTATCATACAACAACTGCAAAGCCTCGTTAACGCTTTCCAATCCAGGCTTGATGACCTTCAAGTTTGCAGAATTGATCTTGGGAATGTATTGAGGAAGTTCGTTGAACCAATAGTCAAGATATTTCTTTGTGGAGACAGGGTTGGTTGGGAAGTCCATGCCCCAAATGCTATAGGCGTCTCCTGTGGCACCGTACATGCTGGTTGCGTGAAAGGAAACCGATCTGGAAGAATCTGTCTTGATTTTGCTCTTATCGAGCGAGAGCAAGTTATCGAGTTCAACATGTTTCGAGTTGGCAGTTGCATCGTAAGTTTGTTGGAAAGTATGTGTGCTGGAAACTGTGTCTAAGGCATAAGCAATGGAGTCGCCAGCCTCAGCCTTAATAGCCTCGATTACATTGGAATCGTTGTAATCAAAAACAACGTCTGCTCCAAGGCCCTTTAAATAGTCATGGTTCTTCTTGGAAGCTGTGGTAATGACTTTAAGACCAAAAGCAATCTTGGCCATTTGAATCGCCAAAATCCCCGTGGCCGTGGCACCTCCCCAGATAAGAATTGACTTACCTTTGTTGGTCAGAACATCTTTGCTGATGTTCATCAAACCAACAAACGACAAAATTACAGTCGTCAAACCCAATGTGACCGAAGCTGCCTGTTCGAAATTGGTGATTATTCCACCTTCGTAATCCCCAACCTTCAATTTTGCATCCTTCACAATATTTTTGTCGTACTTGATGGTGAATCCAGGAACGGCTGCTACATATTCTGCAAAGGCAGAATTGTCCTTGTTGTAACCTCCATGCATAGTGACAGAAACAATGTCTCCCACTTCGAATCCAGTCACTTTCGATCCTACCTCTTCAACATATCCACTGGCATCGGAACCACAAACATTGCCAGCAAATTCAGGCGAATTATGCTTCCAATCGGTTGGATTTGCAGCATACGCAATTGGCTTGATCAAGATTTGATCGTCTCTTATTTTAGGTTTGGGAATATCCTTAATTTCCGTCCAGTTGTTTTCGGGATTTCCAGTAAGAATTGCTGCTTTCATGTTGATTCCTGGTGCAATGTGCTGGAGTGAGCCCGGAGTTCTGTCAGAGTAATCGTTCAGTGGACGGCTGCAAATTTAAAACTGGCTGCCGATTAGTAAGCTCTCAAAAGGGTAAGACCGAAGAAATAGTAGATAAGGTCAAGATAACAATAAAGGATGAAAATCTTCTGACTGGTGTATTACCAGGCTGCCAAATGAGTTTTTTTCCAGTGTACTCTTTTGGAGCTTTGTGGATTGTAGTGGTTCCTCGTGTATCTGCAACTCGTATGTTGCAAACCATTGCTCACTGTAGTTAGTGGTAGTAAATTTTCAATCTGCGGTCGAAACCATGAGTTAAGATCCACCTTTCAGGACTTGATAATGAATATCGGTTAATGTTAGTATTATGACTTCAGGCTATTACTAGATTAATCCCAACCAGTTCAATCAAGGTCAATTTACTTTATCCAGGATTTGTGATCATTTTTCAATAAAAGCTGTTCATAGTGCTTCTGCTTATTGAGATTGGTTGAGTGCTAGGTAGTCGCTAGAGTCAAATGGCACCTTGGGGCATGTTTCGCATTCTCGATCTTCTCACAGAAAGACTACCATATTATTATCATCGTTAATAAATTCGCAACATGACGTCGAAGTCTAACATATCATATCCGGAAATACTTTCGGTTTGTGATAATTGTTAAAATCTGTCTTAAGTCCTAGAGATTCTCTTGTTCTTCCTTCGTAGTAGTTCTACGTCTCTAGTATATCGGCTGCAAATGCGACACCTTCAAGCAAGTAATCAGTGCATCTGGCAAATCTTAAGCAGCGAAGCGGGTCCTGGGGCTACCGCAAGCAAGAAAGCAAATGAAATGTCCAACTCAAACTGCTAAGCAGTCACTTTGACAAATTTCCGAAACATTAATACAAACATGAATCACCAAAAACCAAAATATTTGGAAGTCCCTGTGGAGTCTTTTTTGAGGGGGCCATCATAGGTATAACACATAGGTAACAGTAACGAACCCATATCTTCAATTCCACTAGTAACTGCTGACAATAGTACCAATGTCACCGTAACAAGAAAGAATCAAGCGGGTTCAACCTCTTTAAACTACCATAATCAACGACCAGATACCAAGTTGGTGACGATTTATACCAAGTTTTTCTAGGTCCACGACATAGCGCTCTCTATTATCTTGGCGATCGACTTCTTTCATAGCCTTTCAATGGCAAGTTGGCATGCTATACTTGAAATACTTGTGTGTCGTTTGGGGAACATGGCAGCTTCTGGTCTGGGAACCGCCACAACAAATGAAACACATGAAGATCATCTATGTGTTTTATGGCAATGGTAATAACTCCATACACAAGGTCCTAGTATAGCATTTGAGATGATCCATTTTTGGAAGCCTTATCAAAGCGAACAACCGACACAGATATCTCTGAGCCTCGGTGAGTAGTAGGCAATTCTGCGGTTAGGTGCTCATAGGGTAGTAGCGCGGCTATATTAGCAACATACTTTAGAAATGGCACCTCATTCCAGTGCGCGGCTACAATTAAATCGTGGAGAAATTAATTTATTTTTGACAGATCGCAATATGGGTCTCCAATTATTATTACACCTAGCGCTGGAAAAGGTGGGAATTGAGGAGGCCAATTTCAAAGTGCTTCTATGTTCCTTGCTATCATTCCCTTTCAGCGTGATCTTCAAACGTTTGCCTGATGATCAGTATACCCTCAAGAATGTTTATATCATTGGAGTATCATGTTTTTATATTTTTGGAATTCTCGAGCTTTATTCTGGTCTCCGAACATTGTTGATATCTTCTATGGGATGCTACTTCATTACTCGATACTTGCGTACCTCTAGTATGCCATGGGTCAATTTCGTATTCTTGATGGGACATTTAGCTTATAACCACCTTCAAGCTCAGTTTTTCGCTACTTATGATCCAACCAAAATTGACATTTTAGGAGCCCAAATGGTTCTTGTGATGAAACTCTCGGCTTTTGGCTGGAACGTTTATGACGGGAAAGCCCCAAAATCAACGTTGTCTGAATTTGGTCGTTTACAAGCTGTGAGGCAACATCCAGATTTGCTCTCCTACCTTGGATTTGTTTTTTTCTATGCTTCGCTACTTACTGGTCCTTCTTTCCATTATAATGACTACGATAGGTTCATCAAATCCATCTTGTTTGATGATGTTCCGGAATCAAAACGTCCTGGTAGAAGAGTGAAGCGAAGAATCCCTCGCAGTGGAATCCCTGCTCTTTTTAAGGCGCTGCAAGGATTTATGTGGGCGTACCTTTTCATCATCTCTCCCAAGTTTGTCACTGTGGAATATCTCTTGTCCGGGGACCTTGTAAAAGAACATGGGTTCGTTTACCGACTGGTATATCTCTGGATACTTGGGTTTTCGTATCGTCTCAAGTATTACACAATATGGCTGATTGCAGAAGCAGCATGTATTTTGTGTGGAATTGGGTACAATGGTTACGATAGTGCCACAGACTCGTTCAAGTGGAATCGTGTTCAAAACATTGACCCTGTAGCTTTTGAAACGGGGCAGAATGTTCATGTGTGCTTGGAGTCTTGGAACATGAACACCAACAAGTGGCTCAAGAACTATGTTTATGCTCGAGTTGCCCGTCCAGGAAAGAAACCAGGGTTTAAGAGTACGGTATTCACGTTCGTTACGAGTGCATTTTGGCACGGAACTCGGCCAGGCTACTACTTGACTTTCATTATGGGTGCTTTCTCGCAAACTGTGGGCAAAATTTATCGTCGAAACTTCAGACCCATGTTTGTTGAGCTGGACGGGAAGACTCCAAGAGGAGCGAAGTGGCTTTATGATGTAGTGTGCTTCTTTGTCACACAACTCACGTTTGGGTTTATCTGTCAACCATTCATGATTCTTGATTTAAAAAACTCATTATACTGTTGGAGTACAGTGTACTTCTTTGTGCCCATCGGTATGGCGGTAACATTGTTTGTTTTCAAAGGACCATATGCTAAATCCGTGACAGCGTGGTGCCAGCAGTACCATAGTAAACCTAAGGACGTTAAACCAAAGCATAAACTTACCAAAGAGGAAAGTGAGCGAGTCTCTACAGCTGTGGGGGCATTGCTTGAGAAGAACGAGACTGACCTAGCTGAAGCGCCAAGTTTGGGTCTTCCTTCCATTGAAGTGTTACAGGATGTCGATAGACACGAAATCGACGAAGAATTGAAGGAACTCGGTCAAGCTTGGAAGTCTTTCCGGTCGCGGAGAGGGTCAGTTACGGAAGATGATTTCGAAGGCTTGAGAGATGCCTATAATAACTTCACATCAGAGATCAATGAGATTTTCAGTTCCAAGAGAGAGGAAAAAAAGGGTTCTGGTTCCGAACTGAAAAAGAGTGTATAATTTAATGTCGACATTTATCGCATGCATGTGCCTAGACAAATTTTAAATTTCGCAGCAATCTATTTCATCAGTGGCACCTGCTTGCGAATTACCATGTTTCGTAGAACAGGATTTCAGCCTATAAATGGCTTTGCTAGAACATTTGCTAGGTTCAACTCCACCAAGAATGGCACAGGAGTGGTTTTCATGAACATGGGTGGCCCATCAAAAGTCAAAGAAACGTACGATTTTTTGCTTCGATTGTTCTCCGACGGCGATTTGATACCGTTTGGAATCTTTCAAAAGCCTTTGGCCAAGTTTATTGCGAAGCGCAGAACTCCCTCGATTGAAAAGAACTATCAGGATATTGGCGGAGGTTCACCTATCAGATATTGGTCCGAATACCAATGTAAAAAAGTTTGCGAGATTTTGGACAAGAATCGGCCCCAGTCGGCACCACACAAACCTTATGTGGCGTTCCGTTATGCCAATCCCTTGACAGAAGACACTTTAAAGAAAATGTTGGACGATGGAGTTACTCGTGCTGTTGCCTTTTCTCAGTACCCTCAATTCTCATACTCAACTACTGGCTCGTCCATCAATGAGTTGTACAGAAAAACGTTAGAATTGGACCCTGAAAGAAAGATCAAGTGGAGTGTCATTGACAGATGGCCCAAACAGGCAGGAATGGTGAAAGCTTTCTCTCAGCACATCACCGATAAGCTCAATGAGTTTCCCGAAGAAGATCGTTCCAAAGTGTTGGTTTTATTTTCTGCCCATTCATTGCCCATGGAAATTGTGAACAGAGGAGATTCCTATCCTGCTGAGGTTGCTGCCACTGTGTATGCTATCATGGAAAAGTTGAAATTTTCGAATCCATACAGACTTGTGTGGCAGTCTCAGGTTGGACCCAAGCCATGGTTGGGGGGACAAACGGCAAAAATTGTTGAATCGTTAGAGAAGAGAGACGATGTCAAGGGCATTGTCTTGGTTCCAGTGGCATTCACATCGGACCACATCGAGACTTTGCATGAGCTTGACATCGAATTGATAGAAGAGTGCGAGAATCCCGAGAAGGTCAAGCGTGCTGAATCGTTAAACGGTAACGAGGACTTTATTAGTGGATTGGCTGATTTGGTTAGCGAACACTTGGACAAGAAAGAACCTTACAGTTCACAGTTGGAGTTGGATTGTATTTTGGGTGGGCAAAAGGCCACTGGAACATTCAAGCATCCAGATGAGATGTTTCGTCCATGAAAAGTTGAAACTATGTATATAGTAGTCTAGTCAGAATCCTCTTCTGAATCAAACAAGTCAAGACTCAATGGAGCAGCATTTCCCTTACTTTCGTTATTGTCAAAGCTCTGAATGATATCCTCTTCTGGCTCATTGTGTTCCTCTGCCATCGTTTGTTCTGCCTCCGAGTTTTCTGCTGTGCCCAATTCCTGTTTTATGAGTTCTTCTGGCTTGAGCGAGCTGAGAGCAAGCATTCCTCTCCTGAGAGAATCTTCAGCAGGCCAGATAAAGTTGTTGGGGTGAATTTGAAACTGAGCATTTCCGACCATAGGTGGAGCACGAGTAAATTTGGCAAGCTTCATGGCATATTTTAGTGCTTCTTTCACGTCTATCTCCTTGTTTTGAGACTCCTTATCATCTCCTTTCAGAGACAAGCGTGGCATTTTACGAAGTTCTGCTCGACAAGAAATCAATTCTCGGAGCATTTGTTTCGCTTTTGTGTCTAATTCGAGATTCTGTTGCTTCAATTGACCTATTCTCTTTCCTAGTTCCTGGTGGGTCTTTAAGCTCTCGAGCTCTTGTTTTAGTGTGTCGTTTAATTGTACAAGTTGCAGCATGGAGTCGGCCAACTGATCACCTTTGAAAGATGAAATGCTGGCGGTGAACGCGTCTAGCTGGTTCTCAAATTCCGTCAATGTGGCCACTATAGGGACGTTTTCGAAGTTGGGAATATCATTTTTAGCGTCATGGTTGGTTGGAGTGATGGGGACGTTTCGGCTTGGGTTGAGCAGCGATGAGATATAAGACGGCGAATTTGGTCTTGAAACGGTATTTAGCTGGTTTAGTCGTTGTGTGGAGGAGACTCTGGATATGGGAACCGATAAGAAGCCATCGTTTTTTTTTCGTGGAAGCATATTTGTATACAATTTATAGTACTCGAATTATTTTTCAATTCTCAAATGAAGCGCAATGTGTTTGAGAACGAAGACAGTGAGGAAAGTGATAATGAGAACGAAAAACCGATAAAGAACAGAACTCAATCTGCTAAATTGCGAGGACTCGTACTGGAAAATAGTAAAAAATCTGATGATGAAGAGGATTATATGGATTTCTCAGTGGATGCAAATGATGGAGAACTGGAAGTACACGAAGATGGTGGAAGTGGCTTACAACAGAGTCTATTCGCTACTAATAAAGATTCAATTGGTCTAAAAATGATGTACAAGATGGGGTATTCCACGGGAAGTACTTTGGGAAAACGAGATAATGGTCTTGCCGAGCCTCTAGATGTTACAGTCAAGTTGGACAAAAGAGGTATTGGTGCAAAAACCAACCAAAGCAGTTTTAGTGAGCCAATCCCGGACTATACTGGGTACACAGCTTCTAATAGTGCCAAATACAAAGCGAGACATCAAAGATCGTTACTAGAAAATCTTCAAAAAGTTGCATTCAATCTCAGTGGTGATGCTGATGATTTCCACGGCGGTAACCTTGAAATTGAGAGTGTTCATCCGCTCTGGAGAGAATACAGTGAAATTCTAGTGTCTGAAAGAGTATCGGAAAGAGAACCAGAAAAGGAGTTGGAATCACAGATTGTTGAATTGGTTGACTATCTACGATCACATTTCAACTACTGCTATTTCTGCGGTTGCGAGATTTCTTCGGACTGTCCTGGTCCTTACGAAGAGGACCATACTTGAATCACAATTGAGCTTCTTTGAGTATTTTCTGATATCCCCTTTTTCGAGAAAGGTAGTGCTCGTTTATAGCACTCACGGTTTGAGGCTCGCTCTCCTCGATCAATGGTAGCTCGTCCGACTTTTCATATATTAAATGAGGTTGTTGGAAAACTCCATACTTTTCGGGTAAAGGTTGTGGCGGGTTGTATTTGGAGGTGGCAGGAGCCATGGTCAACTTTGAAGTTTCGGAAGAAGGAACATCGCCATGACCCCATGATACTTGAATGCGACAATCGTTGATGATTTGACCATACATGAAAAAAATTGCAGTTTCAGCATCCTGCCGATTGTAAAATTTGACGTAGCCAGAATCGAAATCTGACGATAATGTACAATATAAGATTTCCCCAAACGAGGACAAATGCAATGCGAGTTCTTCTTCGGTGACTTTACCAGACAATCCATGAACGACAATAGTATTATTCGTAGGATCGGAGAACCTGGCATGTTTCGGAAGCTTGACTTCTTCTTCGATGGCAGGCGATGCTAATCGGTCTGAATGGACTATGTTAGTGACTGGTTGAGGTTTATTGGATCCAGCAGCCATGCCAACTCTGATGGCACGACTACCTACGACCATTCCATTAGCCTCAGTTAATGCTTTTGCTTGTGTGTTTGCATCGAAGAAACGAACAAAACCAAACCCTTTAGATGCTCTCGTTGAATTGTCCATCATGATTTTTACCTGCTTTACTTGGTCAGGAAATAACGAATTGAAAGCTTCGTAAAGAATAGGTTCAGACACATCCATGGCAAGGTCCCCAACGAATATCGAGAAATCATTAGCGGGCTTGGAATTTCGCTGAATATCTGTTGCAGTATTCTTGCCTCGTGATGCTATGTTGAGCTTGAAATGCTTTGAAGAATTAGGAATCGGTGAGCCGTTATAAGTAAGCGCAGTTTGTACGGCATTGGCATTGGCAAAGGAAACAAAGCAGTAACCACCCCCAGGTTCTCTTCCGTCCTTCATAATTTTAATGGAAACCGGACTTTCACCTATTTGAGACCATATATCGGCAATCGCTTGCTCATTCCAGCGAGGATCCAAGTCTCCCATCCATACCTGATTCTCATTTCTCGGCTTTTGTACGTCCAGATACTGTTTCTGATACTGATTATGGCCTGGCTGGTGATTCTGGCTGGAATAATTGGGGTAATTTTGGCTTGAGTAGTTTTGGTTGTAATTCTGTTGTGGACCTCTGCGTTCGTATGGCCGTCGCAGGTAAGCTGAATTGTTGTTTACTGGCCTATTCTGGTACAGCTGTCTTTGGTAGCCTCCAGAGCGATTTCCACGACCTCGTGGGGCATATGACATTATATACAGAGGGAGTGCTTAGACAGTTGTAGCGTTTACTGATCGATGGGATTCCTGCAGATTGCTCAGGTGAGGACGTTCGCGAGTCCAATCACAGCGAGCTTTTCTTTCTTACCTCACACCCACACGAGTAGATTTGCCATGATCAGAAACGTTCGTGTAGCTGCCAGACGGTTCCAGTCCACCGGGTCGTTCAAGAATACCTACAATTTCAACACAAACCCTCCTCCTGTACATGAATACTGGAACATTAGAAACAGCGCTGTTCTTTTAGCATTTGTTCCCGTTTATGTTGCCGTGGGCTACATTGCCCAGGGAAGCGGCCAAGGTTTGAGTGGACCAGAGGGAATAAAGGCTGCGGCCAATGCCGAGTATGTGAAAGGATTGGAATTCGGCCAGCCACAAACAAAATAAGAAGTGAGTTTGGAGAGGTTTTGATCAAAATGAAGATAATCGAGGTGTGGTCAATTGTGAGCAGTGTGACAAAGTGTATGTTGCTAGTTTGCACTGTGTGCATTCTGGAGACTCAATATATTGAGGCATAGAATAAGATGCATGGCATTGATGTATAGCATGAAATGCAATAAACGTTAGAAACCAAAATGAGTAAGTAGAAGGAGAGTTTGGTGCAATTGCTCGGTATCCTCTCCTACAGCTCCTAACTACGCTATTTCTCTACCATTTCTCTAACTCCGTCCTTCAGCTCGTCTTCTCCCACCTCCGCTCCTGCACACACCCGTGACAAATTTCCGCACTTCATTGGCCAACCAATCATCCTCCAAACATGTTGCCAGCTTTGAGGAAATCCGCCGGATTGTCGCTTCGTGGCGCCGTGCCTCGACTCTCCCGGTCCTTGACCACTAACAGAACGATAACAGATCACACGACCGGAAGAATCATCACGTTGACCGATCCTGAGCGCCCTGAAATCGCAGACTACCCTAATCCAAAACCTGAATTTGCTCAGTTTAAAGACCCATATGCCAAATACGATGACCAGCAGAACAGGAGAAACCTCAATGATCCCGTAAACATCGACGATGACTTGTACGATATGTGGTCTCCCGATGTTTTCAATCACACCAGTGACTCCACCGCATTGAAACACAATGCCATTTTTTTTTCACTTGTATTCGGATTCGGCGCCGCCATATGGTACTTTGAGTTGAACCCGGCCAAGCCCGCCATGCCCCGCTCATACCCTTATGGTGGATTGGCGAAAACATTGGGTGCTGGCAGCGAGGATGATGAGGGCTTCTACAGAGTGAAACCAGACACCAGTGCCGAACAAGAGTTGGGATTTTTGCAAGCGGATAACACCATTGCTGAGCAAAAGGATGCATACATCAAGGAAAACTCCGACTTTATCTCAGCATAGACTAGTCCAGTATACACATTTAGTTACATTCATTGTAGTATTATTTTACATCCACCCACCAGTTCTGTTGTAACTTTTGGTTTCACACAAAGTTCCATACAACAGATACATTCGTCGATTTTGCCACTTTTTCTCAATTTGGCCACCTTTGAGTCTACCCGTCTCACAAACATCATATTCTGATGGTATCTTCGACGTCAAAGCGCTCCAGTGGTGCTCAGAGCCGTTCAGCGTCTCGTAATGCTGCTCGACTAATATCGAATTCGAGTGAAACTTCAAAATCCTCATCTCTGCTGAAGACTAATGGCCACAAGAGACGGCGTATAGCATGGCAGGATTCTAAAGAAGAACGCTTAGCCGAAATAAGTGCGGAAATTAGCCTCGCCGTCAACGAATTGTTCCAGTTGAAAGAATACACATCCATCGCGTACTGGAATCCAGCGGATTTCTCCCATACTAGCAATGCGGTCACCCCACAACTCTACGATGACTTTGTCAAGAACCCCGAATACCAGCTCAAATGGCCTAGCAACATGACTCCTCCTGATTTGGACAGCATTCCTTTACGACAGCAGAAACGAGCGATGGCGGAATACGAACAAAAATTGTACGAAAAGTTTCCCTTCAAGGAGAAAGTGGAGCAACGGAGCAAGGAAATAGAGACGGAATATTTGAATCTCATAGAGGATCATACACAAGATAAAAAACCCATTCCTGAACTGAAACCAAAACCTAAAAAGAAGCAGATCATGCGAGAAAGTTCAGTTTCTGCCTCTGCTTCTCCAGCTATGTCTCCTTTCACATCGGATTTAGACGACCTAAGCATGCCCAGTGATACAGAGTACGACACCCATTACCAAGTCAGCAAAGTGAAATGCACCATTCCACCACCACTAATCACCCACCCTTCCCATATACCCAAATGGAGACCAGTAGTGTCTCAAAATGAACTTTCGGAGCAAAAAGAACATACAGTCGAAAGCTATTCCCCTGAACCCATACAAGTAATTTCAACGGCTGAGGACAAGTATATTGCGCCACTGGTGGAAGAAAAGCTCCGCACATTTATGACCTCAAAGTTTAAAGCAGCTATTATCGATGAGAATACAACACCGGACTACAGCTATACTCCAGAAGAGTATGCAGCAACTTTGGATGAACAGAAAGAGCTCATGGCGAAATTGCGTCACAAAATATATGATGAAAAGCGACTCGAATTGAATGGCGACAAAATCGAGCCTAGAAAAACCGTGTTCAAGCAATCGACAACTAAAACCATGGATCCTTTTAGGGCCCACGGTGTAGTCGCACCCAAAGTACAGGGCCTAGAAAACAATGCCACCTACCTTGACTACTTGGTTAGCCAAGGAATGGCATACTCCAGACTCCATCAGCATGTTAGGAAACAGCGCCAGAATAGAGCCAGAAGAGTAGCACAACTAATAGAGCAGCACTTCAAAAAGAAGAGTGGTGAAAAGGAACGTTTGCAACGAGAACAAGAACAAAACTTGAAGAAAATGAGCCGTATAGCCATCCAGGCGGTCAAAAAGAGATGGACTCAAGCACATAAGGTATATCGTTATCTCCAAGAGGAAAAGGAAGAGGAATTGAAAAAGATTCAAGGACGCCAACATTTGAGTGAAATGTTAGAACATTCTACACAATTGCTTGAAGCGCAATTGAACAGGACACTGGAAAGTGCTAATGAGCAACCATCGGGGGATTCTGACTCTAGCTCGCATTCTTCTGATATGGATCATCGAATGAGTTCTAGCTCTGACTCAGAAGGTGTTCTGGGAGATGAAGACCAACTTGATATGGACCTTACTGTGGAACAGTTGAAAGAAAAATACGCCAGAATTGAACTGTCAATGAGTCCTTCGATTGATAAGCTGCCCCAAGTCGATTCTGACGATGAGGACGATGATAAACAATTTAATTCCAGCCAAGGATTGGCTGCGTTGTATGATGGAGAGGTGAGGCAAGATGATGTTAAACAAGAACTCGAGTACTCTCAGGAACAAAAAGACCTTATCGAGAAGATGAAAACTGAATCTGTTGATCCGGCGTTGGAATCTGACGAAACATCGGATTCTGATTCCATTTCTGACCTGTCTGATCTGGAAACTGATGCTTCCGATTCTGAAGAGAATGGAAACGTGAACGGCTCCAATCCTGGACTAGCAGCATTATTCGGTAATACAGAGGATGTATCAGAAGACGGCAGTGTTGTTGAATCAGATATAGCAAGTGATAGTGATGTGGAAATGTCGGACGAAGAGGAAAATGGTCAAGCTTCCAAAGAGACGAAAGACGAGCAACAGGAAAAACTCAAAGAGATAAAAAAAGATGAAGGAGCTGTTGAAGAAGTCAATGGTTCCAAGGTGCGAGATGTTCCCGTGCCATCATTGTTGAGAGGAAACTTGAGACCATACCAAAAGCAGGGCTTGAATTGGCTTGCGAGTTTGTACAACAATAACACCAATGGTATCTTGGCAGATGAGATGGGACTTGGAAAAACCATCCAAACGATATCATTACTAGCATATTTGGCCTGTGAACATCATATTTGGGGCCCTCACTTGATCGTTGTTCCTACTTCTGTCATGCTCAATTGGGAGATGGAGTTCAAAAAATTTGCTCCTGGGTTCAAAGTGTTAACTTATTATGGTACACCACAAGAGCGAGCTCGGAAAAGAAAAGGTTGGAATAAGCCTGATACTTTCCATGTTTGTATCACTTCGTACCAATTGGTCGTTCATGATCACCTGTCGTTTAAGCGAAGAAGATGGAGATATATGATTCTTGATGAAGCTCACAATATTAAGAATTTCAGATCAACTCGTTGGAAGGCACTCCTTAACTTCAACACAGAGAATCGTTTGTTGCTTACAGGTACTCCGCTTCAAAACAACTTGATTGAATTATGGTCTTTATTATACTTTCTTATGCCGTCTTCAAAAGTCGATCAAGCGATGCCAGATGGTTTTGCCAATTTGGAAGATTTCCAAACCTGGTTTGGAAAGCCGGTTGATAAGATTATGGAGCAGACTGCTCCGGCTAGTGGTGGGGACATAATGGACGAAAATGTTACCCTGAAAATGGATAGTGAGACAAGAAATACTGTTGCACGTTTACATCAGGTCTTGCGTCCGTATTTGCTTCGGCGGTTGAAGAAGGACGTTGAAAAGCAAATGCCGGGGAAGTACGAACACATCATTTATTGTCGATTGTCTAATCGTCAACGTTACTTGTATGATGACTTTATGTCTCGAGCAAAGACAAAAGAAACATTAGCATCAGGTAATTTTTTGTCTATCATCAACTGTTTGATGCAATTGAGAAAAGGTGTGTAATCACCCTGATTTGTTTGAGGTTCGTCCTATTGTTACTTCATTTGCTCAGCCCAAATCCGTAATGACGTTGTGCCTGAATGAAGAGGAAAGTGTGCGACGCTGTTTGAAGGACGACTCGTTTAAAGGTAGAGTATCTCTCGATGTCTTAAATTTGAACATCACTCAAATGGACGACCTTGACCTTGTGGCATCCCAAACAGCAAATAGACTTCGTTCAAGGAACATCATTGACGAGCAAATCAAAAAGATTGAAGCATTGATTGAAAGTGCAGAACAGTACAAGAAGGCCAATCTTGATAACTACTTGGAATATTACAAGTATATCAAGGTGAGCGAACAGTTGGAGGTACTTGAACGCTTAAAACAAGCCCAGTATTTGAATGAGTTCAGGTGTAGCAAGTACCCTCTATATGGACGCAATTTATTGGCCAAGTTGCGGGGCATTACCAACTACAAAGTATTGAAAAGTGATGCCTACGATGATATAGTTTTCAGCGTTGACAGACGCTCTGAGGAAATGGGGGAAGTCATCGACAAGTATTCGGTTATCACTCCAAAAGTTGTCGCCGTTGATATGAAAGAACAAATGATTCCTGTTTCGACAAGAACATACGTGCAGCTGGCAGCTTTAGATGGGACTGTTGATAATCCGTTCCACCAATCTCAGGTTAAGCTTTCCATTGCTTTTCCAGACAAATCGTTATTACAATTCGATTGCGGTAAATTACAAAAGTTGGCTCAATTGTTGCAGAAATTGACTTCTGAAGGTCATAGGGCATTAATCTTTACTCAAATGACTAAGGTTTTGGATATTTTGGAGCAGTTCTTGAACATTCATGGCTATCGTTACATGCGTCTTGATGGAGCTACAAAAATTGAAGAGAGACAGGTTTTGACAGAGACTTTTAATCGAGACCCCAAAATTCCGGTTTTCATTCTTTCCACAAGAAGTGGTGGCTTGGGTATCAATTTGACAGGTGCTGACACTGTGATCTTTTACGATTCTGACTGGAATCCTGCCATGGATAAGCAGTGTCAAGACAGATGTCATAGAATTGGTCAAAGCAGAGATGTGCACATTTACCGATTTGTGTCAGAGTACACCATCGAGTCTAACATTTTGAAGAAGGCAAACCAGAAGAGACATCTTGATAACGTTGTCATTCAAGAAGGAGAATTCACCACTGACTACTTTGGCAAATTTTCTGTTCGTGATTTGGTTGCTGATACCTCGATTGCAGTCGAGGTGCCGGACAAACCAATTGACCAAGGCAATGGTAACATGGAAAAGTTACTAGCTCAAGCCGAAGATGAAGCAGATAGAGTAGCGGCTAATGCCGCCATGAGAGAAGTTGCTATTGATGACGAAGATTTTGATGAAGAAAAGAATAACGGTACTACAAACGGACCTGTGAGAGACAAACTTTCGTCTACTATGAACGATATCGGCACGGGCCAGAATACTCGAAGAACCGAGGACGAAGACTTTGACGAAGGAATTGGGCATATTGACGAGTATATGCTACGGTTCATAGCTGATGGGTACTACGACTGAATCTATGTCCACTGTGTATACTGTATATAAGCCTTATCACTGCAGACAGAACACCACGACACCCGTCGCCTATTCTCAACTCCACTTCACCAACGGGAGATAACCGCAAAGATGTCCTCCGGAATCCAAGCATTGCTTAAAACAGAGAAGGATGCAGCCGAGATCGTTAACGAGGCTCGCAAGTATAGAACTAACCGTTTGAAGTCCGCCAGAACTGATGCCCAAAAGGAAATTGATGAGTACAAGAAACAGAAAGAGGAGGAGTTGAAGCAATACGAATCCAAACACGCAGGATTAAACGAGTCGCTCGAGAAAGACGCCGACGCCCAGGTCCAGGAGGAAACTTGAAGCCATAAGAAAACAATTCAAGGAAAAGAAGGATTCCGTTGTGAAGCTTCTTATCGATGCGGTGAACAATCCCACGCTTGAATTGCATGCTAATGCTTCCAAGTAAATTCAATTCAAAGTTAGATATCTTCTAATGTTTAGTCAATAGAGTCCTTAAGTGTTCTAAATCTTATTTGCTACTTTTAGCTAGTTCTTTGAAGGCATTGACCACCTTCCACAACCGGTTGTCATAGCCTGCTCCATTAAGATTCTTGACGAAGTTCCATGCTTTTTTGTCATCCTTTATAGGGTAGTCAATTGGAGGAGGAATGGCAGTAGCAACACCCAAATAACGCCATATTGGCTTATCCATGACGACAGACTTGGCTACACACAAACCAGTTAAGCCTTCTTCTCCACCAAATTTTCCAAAGCCTGATTTCTTAATTCCTCCAAATGGTAGTTGGGCCACGTAAAACGTAGCAAAGTCGTTAATAGCAACATTTCCGCTCTGCAATCTGTTTGCAATTGCATTGCACTCACTATAAAGTTTTCCGAATACCGAATTTCCAAGTCCATATTCACTGGAGTTGGAAAGTCGCACCGCATCATCGGCATTGTCTGCTCTTATGATAGTGAGGATGGGGCCAAAGACTTCTTCCTTAAAGATCCTCATATCCTCAGTAACGTCCACCAAGAGTGTGGGCTCAAAGTAGCTTCCTTGTGGATAATTGGGGTGCTGGTATTGAGATCCGCCAGCTACCAATTTAGCACCTTTATTAATTGCGTCGGCTATAAGTTCCTTCAATTCTTCAAACCGGTTGTCTGATATCATAGCGCCCATGTCAATCTCATCTAATTGGTCGATGTCAGACCCAACTCTCAAACTTTTGACTCTGGAGCTCAATATCTCCACAAGGCTGTTGTAAGCCTTGGGCAATGCAATTACTCGCTCGATACCAATGCAATTTTGGCCAGCGCTCTGAAATGTACCTCTCATAATGACGGACGATAATGCGTCAAAGTCCTTAACGTCATCCAAAACAATGACGGAATCTTTTCCTCCAAGTTCTATGACGCAAGGTGTAATCTGCTTCGATGCACTCTCCAATACTTTGTGAGCCACAGGCTTTGAGCCAATGAATGTTATATGCGAAATTCCTGGATGTGAAGTGAAATAGTCGGCATCTTCGGGAAAGCAGCAGCACAATTGTACCAAATTTTCATCGATGTCAAGCTCAGTGAGCACCTTGCGGACCAACTGAACGAACCAAGTTGACGACCATACTACTTGCTCGCTGCATTTGATGATGATAGCATTGCCAGTAAAAATAGATGCAATCAATGGACCCATAAGGTTGTGGAATGGGTAGTTCCAAGACACTATGGCCGAAACTACTCCAAGTGGTTCGTATCTTACTTCACCATTTTTCAACAACCCAATCAAAAGATTCGAGGGACCCGGTCTCTGAGAAGGTCTCAACGCCTTCTCTCCATTGGATATTATCCAGCTGAGTTTTTCGAGGGTAACCATGATTTCTCCCATCAGCGCATCCAACTTTGTCTTTCCACTGTCTCGACATGCTACTCGGGCTATGTCTTCCTGGTGGTCAATGATATAGCGACTTAAAGTCCGGAGCACTCTTCTTCTTGTGGTAAATGCCGACTTGCTCCAGCTTTGTTGTGCCTTACTTGCAAGCGCTATTTTCTCATCTAAATCTTGTCTTGAAGTGGTGTCAAAAGTACCCAACGATTGGCCCGTTGCAGGGCAAAAACTTTGTATTTTATTGGGTTCGCTGGGCACCCTCAATGTTTTCTTCCCAGAATATAACCTCTTTCCCTTCCAATGTGGCTTGGCTTCATCGGGAATCGGCATTTGAATCTTCAATGGTGCCTCAATTTTATTGTATCGGTTGGGGCTTTTCGAAATATATCTCGCATAAACATAGTAAAGCGTTGGCACTATCACACATATGAAGAAGGTGGTGGAAATGTGGTAGTGCCATTGCCAGTCTTCAAACTCAATGGCTATCATTAAGGTTGGGTATTGGGTTGTTGAGAGTAAGACTGCACGAAGTGCGGAGCGGACATTTCGCATACAACTCAAATTGAGTAGAGTATCGGAGCAAAGTAGAGCCTATAAGTAAGTTAAGCCTATATGATCAATTATGAACTAATATTATTCTAAACGTATAGAATGATTCGTAGGCTAGTCTATGTCGCTAAGCGCATCTTCTATGTTCAATTGCGCCAACAATTGCTCTGAAAGATTGTGCACGTAGTCCTCCAAATAATCTACCACTTTTGAGCTTTCGGGCGCTTGAGGAGGAAACAAATCGTATTCGAACGTCTCTCCTTCCCATACCTCTGAGGGAATTTTAGACATTAAGGAACCCTCTCCAGAGAGAATTGAAAATCTAAGAAGATTTGTAGATATGGGACGAGCTTCAGATGCTGAGGGTCGCATCCATGACGAGAAAAAGCCTCTAGATTCAGGTTTATGTTGAGTCCACAATGCTGTCAATTCGTTTCGCAAGAAATCAATGCTCTTTGTATCGTTCCACATCATTTTGCTTCGTATCATGTATGTCTCAGCTTCCAAAATATCTCGTCCGTTCGCTTCTACTTCGGATTCTTTGACTCCAACGTCACTCACCTGCACTTGCTCTGCTAGCCTGAAAGCCGTATACCTATGGCGCATAAAGGCAGCCTTTAGTTGGCTCCTGGCTTTCTCAAGGTTCCCAAGTCGCAAGTGGGCTAATGCTGTTGAAAATGCAATACCGGGAGTGTTCCAATTGTCATAGCACGTAACTAGATACGAGTCTGCAAAGTCAATCAAAAACTCGTATTCTTCACTCAAAATGGCGTAGAAGTCGATGTAGTACCTAACACCAACCGGATCTTCTCCAGGACTAAACCCCAATAAAAGCTTGCAATAATTCAATGCTGTCAGAAACAAGTTTCTCTCTCCCAACGCCACGATGTATCTGAACAAACATAGGTAAAATTGACGGTTAGCATAGCGCTCGTAAGGAAGCCTTATCAATTCCGATTTACCATCCAAAAGTAGTTGATGCAATTTGGGATGTAAGGCTCGGTCAAAGATAAATAAACACCTTTCAACAAGCGCATTGCTCGTAGCTTTGTCACCTCCTTGTCTAAGGAGAATCATAGCTACTTGTAACAAGGTCTCGACGTGATATGGGTGTCTTTGCAATTGTTGTATCAATGCATCGTGGTCCGACATGACCTTGACAGATGCAATGAACTGGCTATCTGCAGCCTTGTCTTGCGATGTAGTAGCTTTTTCAAACTTGAAGTACTTGATACCCATTTTTCTCTCTCTATCGACTTTTTTCTTGAAGTCTTGTGGTGCTATGCCGATGTCATCTTTATAAAGTGAAAACTCGATGATTTCATCTTCTTCTGACTCCTTCATCGTCATCGATTTGCGGTGTGTGGGTAGCCAGTCATCTCTAATCTTTGTCATCAAAAGTTTTCTAGTCGTTCCTGGTACACTTCGACGGTCCTTTCCTCCCCATCCACGAGTAAGACTTGCCAACTTCTTGAACTGTGCCAACACTTCAGGAGAAATTGCAAGAGAAGAGGTACTGTTTGCGTCATCAATTGTCTCTTGTGACAAATTTCCGAACAAATTTTTCAACTCGTGATCAGGATCTAATGCTTTTGAGGTCTTGACAGAAAGCAATGGTAGCGACGCTTTTAATTTTTTTGTAGTCAAATTTAGAAAGTTGGCATCATCGTCACGCAAGGTCTCGTCGTCTCCAAACTCATTATCAGGGTCACCGTCGTCGTATTGCTCAGGTTCTATAATATCTTCAAATGCATCACTAAGATGGTCATCAGAGACACCGTTAAAATCTTCAGGCTCTGTAACTTCTTCCTTAACTTCTTCCTTCTTTTTTCCCTTTTTCTTCTTCTTCTTGCTCTTCTTGTTCGTCTTTACGGGTTTCTTCTCTACTGGCGGTTCATCAATTTCAATTTGTTCGTTTTCGGTGTCTGAACCCAGGTCGTCTCCACCTAGTACTGAAAATGCATTAAAAGCCTTTTTCGGTTGTTCTTCGGTATCCAGACTCAGAACATCAAGCTCGGTCTCTTCTTTCTGTTTTTGAAGACGCCGGAGTGCTCTGGAACTCATGATTCTTCTTGTGTTAGTCACAAATCTTTACTTCTATGATGGGTGTGTTGGGTGCCCTTTTTTGGTTGCGACAAAAAGAATGGCTGCAACTTTTCTTGTGCGTACAAAGATAAAATTCACAACCCGCCTACAAAAATGAGCGTGGTGGACTCTCCCTCATTCCATCTCAATCTCTTTCCTGAAAATGTGTCGGATGAACTTTCGGTACTCAATTCCCCTGCTTTCAATAGTTGGGTGGTTCTGCCTGGCACAGAACTGACTACTGATTATACGTCGCCGGTGCCAAATTTGTCATTTTCTCCCTATGATAAGACACTCAAGACGGAAAGACAGCAGCTACATTATCTCATGGAGGAGCTTGTCGTTTCCGAGGAAAACTATGTTACAAACTTGAAAGTTCTTGGAAACTACTATTTGGATACATTTAAAATCAGGCAGCTATGTCGTCCTTACCCAATTGTAGAACTACAGGCAACAGTTAAATCACTCATTGACTCACACAGCATGCTTGCAAAACATTTAAGGAATTGTTTCTCCAGCACCTCTGGTAATGGAGAAGAAAGGCTTGTCAAGATGTCGCATATGGTTTGTTCATATGGAATTGAGACAGCCTGGTATAGTAAGTATATTGAATTGTTTCACTATATTCGTGACTTACTCGAGGCAAACCCATTGTGGTTCAGAAGCTGGGAGTCGTATCTTCGTTTGATACAACACAAACGATCAGATCTATCTTTCATGTCTGTCATGCAAAAACCGTTGGCACGCATTGCTCGGTACAAACTATACATCGAGGCATTTATATGCAACACAACAAAAAAGAGGGAAGACTTGAAGCGAGCTTACGAACGATGTTTGAAATTACTACAAATTGTCAATGAAATCTCCATATCAAGTGAGGAGTATAGCAAGGCAAGAATGCTCAACAATATCTGTGATTTCCTGTCCATTTCCCGTTCCATAAAAGTATGTCTGCAATTTTTCGGCACATGCTTGTTTGCCGATAGCTCACAAGTAATATGGAAGTCCCAAAAGAAGTTTATCAACCGAGTTTATGGGGTCTTTCTTTATAAACATCATCTTGTTTTAAGTGAAGTTGGACATATGTGGTCCAGAAAGATGAAAGTGCGATTTGTGATTCCTTTGAAAGGATCAAAATTTTATCCTAGCCCGGTGGATACGAGTGGAGGCATCTTCAGCAAGTATGAATTTTCCAGCAAACTAGATTTCACAGATAAAGAACGCCGGTATGAGATCTTGTTCGTGGCTGCAAATTGCTGGGAACATGCGACTTGGTGTCAGCATTTTACCACCCAGGACCATGAGGATGGCTCCTCTTCTATGTTCAAAGTACCGCCACAGATTACACCAGTAGATGTGACCACTAAGCTGTTGGCTGAAGAGGATCGAACCAATTGCTATTTCAATGAACTCATAATTGTGGATAATTGCAAAAATCGAAAAAATGTCGAAACCGATGTCCAATATTGGTTTCTGCTTCTACCCACGAAAGACGTTGACTATTTTATACGAAAGGTGGAAAAAAGCAACTCAAGGACAAAGAACCATCAAAGCTAGTTGATAATGTACCGAGTTGATATTGTACTTTGCTGATTTGAAATCACAGAGGCACTACACTGACTACCGAAGTCGTTTTATTGGCTTTTATGCTATCTAGTTACCAGTGTTTCCTGCACCCATCGAGTCGTTATGAGAATTACCTCCTCTTTGTATGGAGCTACCTTGCTTGTCACTACCCTCTTTCAAGATCTTCTTAATAATGGCATCGACATCAGTTGTTCCAAATTCATTGGACAATTCGTTCTTGGAGGCTTCATCCAACACACCCTCCAGACCACCTTGTCTATTAACAAACACTTTATAGATGGAAACAATGTCAATCAAGGGTATGGTGGTGTCACCTTTGAGATACTTTTCACGCAAATTAACGTCGTCAACAAAAATCACGAAATCATCGACATTCGATCCCTTGTAAAATAATTTGTGTGGTGCGGCCATTTCAATCTTGTTTAAATGTCAATTGAATCTTGAAAGACATTCCCCTCCTCCTTATATAGTGCTGACGATTGCGGCGGTCGCAACTCCGCAACCAACGGCTACGTAATAGGTGCATACATTACGTAACCCGAGAATAGCAAAAACCAGCTCAAGCAATTGCGGCACTCAATTGACTCCAGAGTCAGATATAAATTGAAGGCGTTAAAACTGTCAGGATACTACGTATATGTGACGGTCTTTGTGACGTTCTGGGGCTTCGGAAGGCTAATTTTGTTTTGTGCTTCCCCAGATTTTGATCCGGCACATAACCCGTGTAATCCCGTGTGACCAAAGCCTATTCGTGCAGCAAACAATCGAATCGTTCAGTCGTACGAGAGCGAAAATCGACACTGGGGCCAAATGTGGTGCTTACGTCATAGGTAGAGACGCCGTACATATAGTACGTAATGGTGCCTAATCATCCATGAAGATGGAAAATTCGAGAAAAATTGCCAATTGCGCCATAATTTGCCACAGTCTGTCTGATGTTCGTTTTTGGGTCCATATGGATTCAATTGACTATTTGGGATACGCTCCGAGAATAGTCGCCAAGCATGTGTTGGCGACTGCATATACCGCGTGCCTCACTTTTAAAGCACATGCTTTATAGCCGTGCCGATATCTGGTCGGCTTGAAGTTAACAGTAGGGGTAACAATGGCGCTCAATTGGCACCTCTAAGTCGGTGTGATATTGCTTCACATGCCTTATGGTGATGCATATACGACTTTCAAGCCTCAAACGCTGAAATTGGCACAGTTTTGTATTCTGCGACCATCGGGACCGGCCGCGGTGAGCCGACTTATTTTGCAGCCGATTATAAATATTTCATGGAGGTAAAATTTTAGCTTTTTTGTCACTTGGAGGCTGTACCAATCGTGTTTTTCTTTTCATTCACACTGAAATATTTGCCTAGAAATTGAGATGGTGTCTACGGAGAGTAGTACGCTCAGCTCTATCAGAGGGTCTGATAAAGTGCCCAAATCTTATCACAAAAATGATGCTTTTGATTCCGATGAAAAAGTTGATGCGGAAGCGTACCTGGCCAAGAATATAGAGCGAACCATAAGTGAATCCAGAAGTATCCAAAAGGTCGTTTCTGGTCTCGAAGAAAAAGGTGGAGCCTTGGGTGAGTTGGAACAGCCGTACGACTTGAAAAAATTTCACTCTAGAGCAGACCCCTCTTCTGACTACAACGAAAACGATCCATGGAAGTACCCAATAGACCAACAAACCGAACTTCGTATTGTGGAGTTTGTAGAGGGTGACAAGGAAGATCCTAAAAACATGGGCTATGGAAGAAAGTGGCTCCTTACATTAATTTTAGGTTCCATTTGTTTTGTTGTGGCTCTCGGTTCTGCAATTGTGACTGGTGATCTCGAGGGGCCTCGAAATGAATTGGGTGTTTCAGAAGAGGTGATTATTGTGGCTTCTGTTACCACCTTTGTGCTTGGTTTTGGATTTGGACCATGTATATTTGCTCCAATGTCAGAAGAAGTGGGCAGGAAACCGGTGTACACGGTAACGTTGGCATTGGGACTCATATTTATCATTCCTTGTGCTTTGGCCAAGAATATTGAAACACTTTTAATTTGTCGTCTTATAGATGGAATTGCATTTTCCGCTCCAATGACTTTAATCGGTGGATCTTTGTCAGATATTTGGCACAGCAGTGAGAGAGGACAAGCCATGGCTATTTTCTCTGCAGCTCCATACCTTGGACCTGTCATGGGTCCGATTTTTGGAGGTCTTTTGGGCGACTATGCACCAACTTGGAGATGGATTTATTGGACCTTTTTGATCGTGGCAGGTTTCTTTTACGCTGTTCTTACTATATTTGTTCCTGAAACTCAAGCCAGTACTCTTCTTAAACGCAGAGCAATAAAGTTAAGGAAAGAAACTGGTGATCAACGTTACAAGACCATTGGAGAATTAAAAGTGAGAACTTTTAGCCAAGTTGCCCTGGACTCTTTATTGAGACCTTTCTTATTATTGAGTGAGCTTATTGTGTTTCTAATCACCATTTTTATGGCTGTCATTTATGGATTGTTGTACATGTTTTTCTTTGCCTATCCAATTGTCTACATGAAGGACAAAGGTTGGTCTGCTTCCAAAACAGGAATTATGTTCATTCCCATTGGAGTGGGAGTGATCCTCGCCACCTTAATTGCACCTTATGTCAACAGAGACTACAATAGAAGAGCACAAGTGTATCGTGATAGAGGTGAGTTACCGCCAGCTGAGTTAAGATTGATTCCTATGATGGTTGTATGCTGGTTTATTCCCATTGGTTTGTTTTGCTTTGCATGGTCCTCATATACGAGAATCTCATGGGCAGGTCCTTGCTTCAGTGGACTCGCAGCAGGGTTTGGCTTCTGTGCTCTGTATAATCCAGCCAATAATTACATCGTGGACTCTTACCAACACTACGCTGCAAGTGCATTGGCTGCGAAAACTTTGGTGAGATCTATCTGGGGTGCTTGTGTCCCCTTATTCACCATTCAGATGTACAATAGGTTGGGAAACCAGTGGGCATCATCATTAATGGGATTTATTGCTTTGGCATGTTGCTTCATTCCGTTCTTGTTCTACAAATTCGGTGCCCGAATTAGAAAGTTTTCAAGGTATGCTTATTCACCAGAGTCGGAAAAACACTGAGAATGATAATATACACCATAGACAGATAGAGTGCTTGCAAGAAACCAAGTAAATGTCAAAATTATTAATTTTTAGTATATAATAAAAATAGTCTGTATTGCCACTATAATTTAAACTTTGAAACTTCATACACCACTTGTGGATATCGCAGCTAGAACTGTACAGAAATATCCGATATAGTGTAACGGCTAGCACGGTTCGCTTTCACCGAGCAGACCCGGGTTCGACTCCCGGTATCGGAATTTTTTTGCACTCAATACCATCAAAGAAACAATTGACAAGTAGTGTCGTTAAGTCGTAAAGGCTTCATGAGTAGTGTCGAGTATTATATTTATGTATACAACTATTTCTTAGATCCGTACTTGGACACAGTCTTACCATCGGGAATGGTATAAAAGACAGCTGGACTACCCTCGGAATATGGTTTGTCCAATCTATAGTAGCCCTTTCTCTCGAACTGGATAATATCTCCCTCCTTCAAGTTTCTGATGTTAAGGTCAGCCAAAGCTTCAGTGTGGAATTCGGTTTGTGGGGTCAAGAAATCCTCAAAGTTGTCTCCATCTTCGAGTTTGTCTTTGGTGATCAAGTGATCAAAGTCAACCAAATCCACAGGAACCTTATCATCTGTGTTGGCCAACCAAGTAAGTTTTTTGGAAGTTTTACGGAAATCACCCTCCAAGTGCAATTGACCCTTCAAAGACTTAACAATACCGTCTTCTTTGGTAATTTCGGTGATAATGACATTACCCCAATCCATGAAAGTAACCTCCTCTTTGTCTTCGATTAAAGCTGCATCGGCCTGGTCGATAAGTACCTTGTTATACAAAATGACGTCTTTGGTTCCGACCTCGGGGTTCTTCTTGTGCTTGGGTTTTTGTTCCTTTTGAGGCGTGGAAGGAGCTCCTTCAATTTCAACCGGAACGGCATTCTTGGCTTCGACAGCAGTGAATCTAGGTGCAACAGGATCAATGATTTTCTTGTTCATTGCCCAAATCACCGACCAGTCCAAGTTGATGATATTTCTTGAAGGACCTTGGGAAATGACAAAGTTTCTCAATCCTTCCACAGTCATTCCTCTTCTTCTCACACCACGAACTGTAGGAAAACGTGGGTCATCCCAGTTACCAACATACTTCTTGTCGACGAACCACTGTAACTTTCTCTTGGATAATAAGGTTCTGACAAAGTTTGTTCTGGCAAAATCCCAAATGTCGACATGACGCAAATTCAAAGCCTTCAACACCCATTCGTACTGCGGATTTCTGTCTCTGTATTCGTTGGTTCTCAAAGCATGGGTGACACCCTCGATGGAATCGACCACTGGAGCACAGAAGTCGTATGTAGGATAAACTTTCCATTGGGTTCCAGTTCTGTGATGAGGAGTCAAATTACATCTGTACATGACGGGGTCTCTCAAGGCCTTGTTAGGTGCCTTGTAATCGATCTTGGCTCTAAGACAGTATTTTAACCCTTCTTCTGTACCTTTGGTCATTTCCTCAGTGAAAATTCTCAAGTTTTCGTCGACACTGGTGTCTCTCTTGGCAGAAGGTTCTCCGACCATTCTTTGCTCTCTCATTTCTTCCAAAGGTGTGTTATCGCAATAAGCATTGCCGTCTTTGATGAGTTGGAGAGCCAAGTCGTACATCTGTTGAAAATAGTCAGACGAGTACGAGACAACGTCACCTTTGATACCCAAAAGTGCCAAATCTTCAATGATAGAGTCTTGAAACTCAACTTTTTCTTTGGTTGGGTTGGTGTCGTCGAACCGAATGATTAACTTACCCTTGTAAGCATGAGCAAAGTATTCGTTCAAAATAGCAGCTTTGGCATGTCCAATGTGCAAGTACCCCGAAGGTTCAGGAGGGAAACGAGTAACTACCTTACCAACCTGAGCATTTGGAAGATCAATATCAAAGCTGGCTTTGTGAGCCTCCTTCTTTCCACCATTCTTGGTGGCCTTGGCCAGCTTTCTGATCTCATTGACTGACTTGGTCATGGTTTCCACTGCACCTTCAAATGCCTTGTTAGAGGCAATGAAGTTGTACCAACGAGAAACATTCTGATAAACCTCGTTCTTGATGACTGAACCCATCAATGCGTTGGCTCTCAATACACCCCATACAGCAATATCAGCAGCAGACACGGAATAGCCAACTATAGTACTTCTCAAATTCAAATGCGCATCGAGCTTTTCGAGATCACCAGTCAATTGCACTTAAAGTTTTTGACGTACAATTTGGTGATGGCGAATTCAAACCACGATTCAGATTCTTCTGCATTTTTGATGATGTCTGGGAACTTGATTCCCAAGTGGGCAAGAGCCAATTCTTGTCTAACGATTTCTGAACCACTTTCAGTGATCAAGTTGATTGGAGCATCCTTGTCGCTTGCGGCTTTATCGTCCACATATTCGACTTCAATAGATTCGGAGTTGTTGGAGTTGTTAATGAGATTCACTGCAATCAACACAGGATAGCCCAAAGTGGCTGCCTTTGCTGCTACAACTAATTTCATAAAGGATGAATCACTGAGTATTTTTGAGACATTGAAATTTTTCAGTCATCGTCACGTGACACAGAGCGGAGAATTGGATGTGTATTCACAGAAACTAAGGGTGGTTAAGTGACGATGGAGCTCTAATGTTATCTCTGAGGTGCTACGTGCTCAAATCAAGCAAGAAAACCACCTTTTTCCACTTTTCTATTTCATTTTTATTTCCGTATTCTTTGAGATTGTCCGTCTCTGTTGATTCCTGCACAAACCACAGCAGGAACCCATCAAGCAACCAACAACTTATTTCTGCCCTTATCTGGCATGAGTACAAACTCGCCCTATACCTCGGGAAACCGCGAGATCCGAAGGCCCACCGCCAAAAGGTCGCCTTCTATCTTGGTCACAGACTCCAGAACAAATGGCATAAAGGGAACGAGAGCTCCGTTTGCCGGGCATAATTATAAGAAACAACTCCAACAACAAGGTCAACCTTTGAGTTCAGGCCCGCTACACAAACGACTAGTGAACCGTGTTAACAAATACACCGATATTTCCGTCGATAAGCTTCTTAGCAATTCTAGTGATATACCATCAGGGCAGAGCAGACTACCACCTCAGCTAGCGAGTCATCCTTCATCTCCTCAACATAGACCAATGTCTCCTCCTGTAGAAGGCTACAGTCGAAATCCCATCCGTAGCATTCCCAAACTTTCCCAGTCACTTCCTTCCAGAACTTCCAAGACTTCCCAAAAACTTGTACTCATTCCTGAGCAACAGCGTTACACTTCACCTCCACCACCCATGGCACTTCTGTCCCAAATATCACCCGAACTCCAGACCCAGATCCAAAGATCGCGAGCAGAATTGATGTCCAAGGAGGATCGGCAACACGAATTCAATCGAATGACGGCGTACTATATATGCGAACAGTTTAACATTGAGGCCGTGTCCAAATTTTTGGCGCAAAATCACGAGGTGAAGCCCCGACTCTACGACGAGTCTCTTTTCGTGCCGTACCTGTTGCCGTTGTTGCCGGGAAACGATGGCTTCAGGGTTAAATCGAACAATTCTGCAAAACTTGAACGCAAGAACCAATTCATGGAGAAAATGATCAACAAGAATGAACAGGCGGATCATTTATACGAGTACTACTCTGGAGTAGAGACCCCCGAGGATGTTCAAAACTACTCAATGGATCCAGAAACGGAAAATTTCGACAATACTCCCTTCGATCCATCTGAGCCTCAATTCTTTGCACCACCAGTAGACGAAACTACGAGTGATACTGATAGTGGTGGCAGCATTCCAGCCCCAAATAAAAGCATGTCCGATCAACCCAGCGGGACGGACAGTCGAATCAACGCTCAGATTGAGCTCTCTAAACATCATGGAGAGATGTTCATTTTCAGCTATGGAATCGTTGTTTTTTGGAACTTTTCAGAGATCCACGAAAAAAACATTCTAGCTGACCTTGCATTTGCTACAGACCTGCCAGACACACTCCTCATCAACCCCATTGACGAACAGGACATTGAAACGGAAGAATTTCATTTTGAATACGATAGTCTGATTCATCGTCCTAGAATCTACAATGACATGATTACACTTCGGTCGGGAGACCATCTCATTAAATTAACCATGTCTCATGCAATTGCGCAGCTGACCAAGCTATGTCTATTCGAGAGTCGTATTGTTCATATCTTACAACTGATCTCCAAACTTCCCCGGAAACTTGCATTAACTGGCCGTCTTGGTCTCAAAAGATCACAATTACTCAAAAAATCAGGAAAACTTTTCAAACTTCGTGTGGATGTCAATCTCTCGAGCTCCATTCTCGACACTCCACAATTCTTCTGGTCGTCAGAACCAGCACTTCATCCACTTTACAGTGGAGTTCGTGAGTACTTGGAAATTGAACAAAGAGTGCAAGTAATCAATGATCGTTGCAAAGTATTCTTGGAGTTTCTGGACATCATAAGTGACAGTATGAACGAAAGCAACACAACCCGAATAACATGGATGATTCTTCTCATCATCCTCTTAAGTCTTTCAGTCAGCGTATTGGAGTTTGTACTAGGCATCGTATAGTTTATATACAGTATACGCATCAACACAGTTCACAAAACCTACAACCCACTACACCATGCTTCCATCCAAATATGCCCTTGGAGGGTTGAGCTCCGAGCAGAGCTCCAAGACTGTTACTGTCGGGCGACGGCGTCCAGTGAAACCTGTTAATTATGTGTTGAAAACAATAGAATCGAGGGTTAATCTGGCAGCCGATAAGAGTTCAGAGGATATCGAAATGGTTCCAATGGACGATTTTCTGGAAGTTGAGGCTATATCAGACTATGTAGTACATCGACGTAACCAAGGATTGACCTCAGATGAGGTCATGGACCTAGATCTTGAAGATGCACATGTTTCACCATCAGCACTTGACTACGCATACTTGGTAGTAGATACCAATTTCCTACTTTCGCATCTAAATATTCTCGACGACTTGAAAAAAACCGGTCTGAAGTATAAGCTCAAAGTAGTCGTGCCTATGGCTGCAATTAAGGAATTGGATGGGTTGAAAAAATCGACGAGAATTGCAGACTTGGATGGAGAATTATCAGGAAAGTCTGTGGGCCATCTTGCCCGGTGGGCTAACGACTGGATTTACGCAGCATTGGCCACCAATAGTGATAGTGTAGTGGGACAAAAGATGTCGCAGGTAATTGATAAGTTTGCAACTCAGGACGATGCGATCCTAGATTGTTGTCTCTTTTATCAAAAAACCTATCCTAGCTCACTCGTTGTTCTACTTTCGAACGACAAAAACCTTTGCATGAAAGCTCTTACAAACGAGGTTCTCACTGTTAGTTATAGGCCGAAGATGACTGCCAAATTGATTGGAGAAATGGTCTTGAATGAGAACCAAAGAAGAAATGTGCAGCTGCCCAGACTGCCCATAGATCTTTTAGACCAATTGCATAACCATAGCCAGACTCCAGAACCTGTTGCTATGGAACTGAATAACCACGTAAAGGCAGACCAAGACATCAAAAACATAATTCTGTCAGAGATCCAAAAGTTGACAATTGGTGCTGTGGACAAATGTATGCGAACTGCTTATGGAGACGACTTGGACTTGATAAGAGACTACGAACGAAGCAATATTCGCAACTTGAATGACGTTCTTCGAGTTTTGGAATTGTTCTGGTTGCCGGTGTTTTCCTCATATTTAAAGCGTTCCAAGATTTCCTTCCAAAAAAGCCGGGTTCAGGAAAATACCAAGTTTGCAGAAGTTCCACACAATCAAGCCGACCTAATAGCGTTCGTAGGCTTCTGGCTGGAGATTCTCAAACGCATATACGAGAAAGAAATGAACCAGACGGAGAATAATGCACTTGCTCAGCTCACCCAAAGATGGAGAAACCTAGCCCAAAATTCGGGTTAAAGAGTTAGGTTTTCTTGCGCTTAGACACCTGTCCAAGACGTTTGACAAACTTCTTAGGAGACGGCTCTTTAGAAGTTAGTTCATCAGCATCGGCACTTCTTTCTCGTTTGAGATTGAATGTGCCTAGCTTTTTGATGGACCTTGCCTTTTTTATCGGAGACAGTTCCACTGAAGATGAAGTTTCCTGCTTAATTCTTGGCACCGGTGAAGGAGATTGTGGTTCTACTTTGACCATAGTATCCGTCTGCTTCGATGTGGTTGGCGACCTAGTGATTCGCTTGATATCATTCCATACATCTTTGCCCTGATACGATTCTTCGGACCATTTTTGCCAATCGTCCTTCTTCAACTGCAAGAGTTCGCTCTGTTCTTTGAAATTCCGCTCAAACTTTCGAAGAACTTCGTCACCATTTATAGATTTAAGGTTTTGGCTCAAGAACATAATATAGTAATCACGACCAGCGAGCAATTGATGTAGTTTCTCGATGCGGTGTAGTAAGAGACCCTCTTTCTGAAAATGTTGGCGATTGAGTTTCTTGAAAAATGCAGCATTCTCTTCAACGGAAGCTTTCCTGAGTCGAAACTTCCATTCCACAGGATTCGAAACGACAACTACCAACTCTTGCGCACCAACCTCAACTTTCAAATCTTCCTTATCCACACTTTGTTTGCACCCAGAAAGCAAAAACCTTATATCGGCATCTTTCAAGTCTTCAATTCCTTCACTCTTGGCCCGAGCAACAATTTGCTCCTTATCTAGGGTCTCGTAGTAACAAATATCCAAATCAGACAAGTATATTGAGTAGCGAAAGTCATCTGAGTCGCACGCAAATCCACAGATCAATTGACCAATTGAGGAATCTACAGTGTTCCATTCACCAGGAAACAACTCCATAATTGCTACTATGGCACCCACACACAACCAGGATCCGGTGGAAATCAGCGCAAACGATATAAATAACCTTGTTCAAAGAGTGGTGAATTTGCACAAGAAAGGCTCAAGAACAATTGTATCAATTGCAGGAGCACCAGGGTCGGGAAAAACTACGCTTGCACATAGGATAGTGGACGAACTTAACACAAAATACAAAGCTATAGTATTGGGACAAGATGGTTATCATTTGTACCGGCATGAATTGGCTGCAATGGAAGACCCAGTAACGGCTTTTGAAAGAAGAGGTGCTCCTTTCACTTACAATGTTGAGAAGTTTGTTCAGCTTGTGAAAAGCTTGAAGGAGCGTCAGAACGAAACCATAACGGCGCCAACCTTTGATCACAAACTAAAGGATCCTACGGAAAATGCAATTGTCATTGGACCAGAAATCGAATTCGTGATTCTCGAAGGTAATTATGTTTCGCTACCAGATGCCGGGTGGAACTCAATTGAAGACTATGTTGACGAAACTTGGTTCATCGAGACTCCAGCCGACTTGGTTCGTGCTCGTATAATTAAAAGGCATTTGGAAGCAGGAATTTCTCAAACGGAAGAAGAAGCTACTCAGAGGGCGGATGGGAGCGATTTGCAAAATGCAAGATATATCGCTCAAAACTCCAAGAAAACGACGGTCAAGATCAAGGGTGTCTAGAGATCAAATTTTTGAAAAGTTTCAAACGAACAAAAAACTGCAAGAGATCAAGAAGAAACAAAGCCATAGTGAGTCTCAAGATTCTAACTACAGTTCGTGCTCTAAAGTAAAGGACATATTTCCTTATTCTCTATGCAATATATAAACATGCTACAGAGTGCAGCTGAAGTGGTTTCTAGGTCTAGTTGGGGTGGACATTAAATCTCATCTTGATACCCATAGCTGCCAACTCCGAGTCCAAGTACTTCAAGACGAATGGAATTGCAACGGTGGTGGTGTTATCTCCACCAACAAACTTCTTACCTTGTCCGTCCTCCCATATTTCGGAATCATTGACATTATCGTTCTTGCCGTGAGCTTCAAATTTGGATGAACACCTACGACATCTGACGCTGGCAACGGAACCCACTCTTGGAACTGATGTTTGTGTGTTCAAAAGTGAGCCACATGAACGACAGATGGAGGTTTGTGTGTAGTCAGAACAATTGAGCAATCTGTCCTGAAGTAAGAACGATGTACCATGGCCAATCAATGCATCTCTTTCCATCTCTCCCACACGAATACCTCCCGATCTCTTTCTTCCCTTGACAGGTTGCATTGTCAAAGAGTTGACAGGTCCAGTGGAACGGACTTGGAACTTATCGTTCACCATATGTCTCAATCTTTGGTAGTAGACACAGCCAATATATATATCGGCACGAAGTTCTTCACCAGTGGCTCCAGAGTACATGGGTTCATTTCCATGATAGTTGTAACCTGCCTGTCTTAATTGCTCACCAAAGTAGTCGGCTGGGGTATCGTCTTCACTGAAAATCCATGGGGTAGAATCCTGTGCAATTCCATGAAGAGCACCAGCCTTTCCTGCCAAAGATTCAACAAACATTCCAATTGTCATACGTGAAGGGAAAGCATGGGGGTTGATGATAACATCAGGTTGAATACCCGATTCTGAGAATGGCATATCGACTTGAGGCCATTTTCTTGAACAAACACCCTTCTGTCCGTGTCTGGAAGAAAACTTATCACCAATTAATGGCTGTCTGGTAACTCTATACTTGATAGTAATCTGCTGACCTTCTTGGTTTCCTGAATCATCACCCAATAATTTGACCTCTTCGATATAAGCTGGTTCACTGGAATGGTATGTTTTAACTTTGGTCTTGCCCAAAGTATCGTCAAAGTATGCTACAATTGGGTCACCTTCCTCCACCTTGACACCAATAATTGGCAACCCGTCGCTATCCAACTTTTCTTTCCAGGATTCTGGCCATGAGTCTTCACCAAATCCAAAATGCTGAGTTATAGGATCTCCTCTTCTTCTTGATTGCGAAAGATCCACCTTCTCAACCTTGTACACTGTACCATATCCAAACCCTCTCTCGTCTGCAGACTTATTGATAATCATAGCATCGTCCATATCATAACCAGTGTAAGAGATAACCGCGACAACGGCATTAGTACCGTTTGGAAAGTTATCCATTCCATAATCGTCATATAAGTTTGCCTTGACAATAGGTGTCTGTCCGGTTTGAAGACGGTACAACTTGTTGTCTGATCTGTGTGCAAGGGCCACACCAGGAGTACCCATAGTTTGCTTACCCATTTGACATTGGTACATATTTCTTGGAGACTGGTTAAAGTCTGAAAATGGAGTCAAATTGGCCAAAATTGATAACACATTTGTAGGAGAAAATTCCACATGGGTATGGACATTGTTCTCTATTTCTGGAGGGGTGACAGCAATGTCCATGTAAACTTGTTCAAATGGACCAACTATATCCTGCTTGTCCAATGGTAAGTATTTCGTGGGTCTCATCATTCTGGAATGCCCTCCAAAAATGTAAAGACCTGGGTATTGACCTTGATTAGAAGGAGGAACATAACCGATTTCCAAGTCCAAAGGCAAGCCGTGAGTGCCTTCAACTTTCCAGAATCTTAAGGTGTCAGCAACAATCTTACCATGCTCGTGAGTAACCCATCCAACCACTTTTCCATCCAATTGAATACAGCACAAGTTTGGTCCAGCTGCAAAAGCATGGGCAGGAGACACACCCAACTGGGCCAAAGCAGCGGGTACAGTTGAAACGTCTGAAGCTTCAGTAGCAATTTTACACTTATGAGCCAAATGGTTCAACAAACCACAAGGAGATCCATCTGGGGTATGGACGGGGCACAAGAAACCCCACGATTCAGGAAGCAATTTTCTCACAGTGGTGGTCTTCAATTCGGCAAAGAAAGAACCTCTATGGACCATTCGGAAATGCGAAATGAATCTGTGGAAATTGATCTTCTCTGCCACCACAGTGTATCCAGAAACTTGTTGTAAATCAAGACCCGATTGAGAAACTAAATTACCAGTCGATAAGAAATACTGCAACTTTTGACCAATGTTCTCGTTGATTCTCAAAAACACTCTCGACATGTACCGCCTATCATTAAAGTTGACAGCAACACCTCTGTTTATATCGGACAGAATTTGGAGTCTGATGCTTTGTAAATACTCTTCGATTTTTTCCTTGATGATCATACCATACAAGAATCCTCCGAGCAATACCTCTTGATGCTGAGTGGCATCGGGATTGTCTGGACTACAATCGCCGGCAACCAAGGTATAGAGCTTTCTTATCATGAAGAGAAGCATGCGGAATTTGTCCTTGGGGTCCTCAAGGTGGACCAATACAATTCTTTTGAGAACCTCTTGACCCACCTCGATGTCAGAAACGTCTGGTGTAGCACCGAATACCACTCTGAACTTGTCACCCAAGTAAGCCAAGGTTTCTTGTTTCGAGTACAAATTGTACTTTTTGTAGCTTCTCAACAACAATTCTAAACGATCGGTCAAGAACGAGTTGGAGGTGTCGGCACCGACTATACCATCGAAAATTTCACGGTCGCTTGTTTCAACTAATGCCTTCATTATCATCATGACAGGAACCAAGTACTCGTTCTTTCTCCATGAAAATCTAAACGTGACATTACCGTCGTTCAAGTAGTGTAAAACATTAGTTTGTGAAGTTTGGTCGGGACGAACACATCTGATTTGAATACCAAACTTGGTATATGATGCACCTCTATTTCCGAACGAAGGACGGATGATCGCCATAGGGTGGTTACGACGTTGCACAATCAACATCCGAATCAACTTCTCAATACCATTGACAATGAAATAACCTCCCAATTCATCGGACTCTTCTTTTTGTTTCACCAACTCATCAGGAGATAACTTTTCCAAATGACATCGATTTGATTTTAACATTATAGGAATCTGACCGGCCTCACGAACTTCGGAAACCTCCTCGCCATCGTTGACGGACCATGTGACCTTCAACATTAATCTAGATCTGTAACTGGTCATCCTTTCTCTACATTCCGATGGGTATGTTCTTCTGTTCATCGACAATTTATCGTTTGCTGGAACAGCTGGCTTCGTCAATTGAACCGACTCCACCCTAATACTGAGCTTGTTACCCAATCTGTCGGTGTCATTGGAGTCGAAAATAGTCTTGGTGCCAATATCTTGAACTCCCAAGTTGAGCAAGCCACCGCCAGGTCCTTCAGTCAAGGCGTTAAATGAGCCTATATGAGGCGATACCGCATCGGCTAATAGCGGGTACGCAGATTTATCCTTGGGCGGATTTCTGAACCTGCTTTCTCGTTCTAAGGTTCTGAACTGGGCCCCCATTTTCAGCGAGATGATGTAGCTTTGAAAAATTTGAGATGATGATGCGAAAATGAATCGCTCATCGCCGCTTACGTCAGCGCGGTATATTGACCCATCTTATCGTACTGTGCTCGAAGACAATGGCTAATTCTCGATATGAGTATGTCAGGCAGTTCGAGAGAGAAAACTTTCTACTTCCTGACACCTATATCATTGTGCGGGTCGATGGAAAAGGGTTTCATAAGTTTAGCGACTACTATAAGTTTGCAAAACCAAATGATGTTGGTGCTTTGGAGGTGATGAACGAAGCAGCTTTGCATGTATTTAAGCAAATTTCTGACATTGTTATGGCATACGGTGACTCTGATGAGTATTCTTTCTTACTAAGGAAAAAATGTTCCCTTTATGAGAGGCGAGAGATGAAAATTGTCACTTTATTTGCAGCAACTATGGCCGCTGCTTACCAGCATATATGGAACACAAAGTTTCCTGAAAAGCCACTTCAGTTAGAGAGGCTTCCCATATTCGATGCTAGGGCAGTTGTGTATCCTTCCATGGAACATGTATCAGATTACTTTAGATGGCGCCAAGTTGATTGTCATATTAATAATTTGTACAATACTACATTTTGGGCATTGGTACTGAAAGGTGGAATGAGTCCTAAAGAAGCCGAAAACCGGCTTATAGGAACGGTTTCCAGTGACAAAAACGAAATTTTGTTCAAAGAGTTCGGTATCAACTATAATAATGAACCAGAAATATTTAAGAAAGGCACGGTCATTGTACGAGAATATCAAGAATCTGTCGACGAATCTCAATTGTCACAGCGACAGAAACAGAGGTATGAAAAGAAGCGTGGTAAAGCTTCAATCATGGTCCATCATATAGACTTGATCAAGAACGATTTTTGGGACAGTAGGCCATGGCTACAAAATTAGAAACCAAATGTGTATACATAGTATAAATTCTATACATATATTTTCCAGCACAGAAATGAAAATCAACGGTTATTAATACAGGATGGTTAGATGTGAATGGAATCACTCAACAAGTGGAAAGTAGATGCGGGGGAGTCGATTTTCGAGCCGCCAAGTGGAGCAGTTAACAATGGAGAAGTTTGTGGCTGCTCATCGCCTCCAAAGAAACAGTATTTTTCAAGAAGGTTGGCATACGATTGAGAGTTGAATTTGGTTGGTTCCTCTTGTGAAGTGGTGGGTTTGGAGGTGGAAGCATTCTGTCTGGCCTTGTATGATTGAGAATATTTTGGTTTCTCCGGAATATCAGATGATGAAAACGAGTGCTTTAATGGGGGTCTGGTGGGCATTAGCGACAGATACGATTGAAATGCGGGTGCTGGTATCTTATCGCTAGTGGAAGGTTTCTTTGATTCTCGAGGTTTAGATAACTCGGCATTAAAATCATACCTTGAATGGAAATCAGATCTAGTTTTGGAAGGTGAGGATTTTAAATATGTGTAATTGCCGTCATCTAGGTTGGCTTTTGCTTCAGTTTGGTACAGGTTCAATTTGGTGACCAATTCGTCAAACTGAGGTAATGATTGGGATGGGAAGTTGTAATTGAATCCCTTGGTTTGAGGTTTTTGTTTGACTAGCTTAAGCTTGTAATTGCGCTGCAAGTTATTGTCCCAAAATGTTTGGTTCGCCACCTCGTATTTTATCACAAACTCCACATTCACAACGGAAGCTAAGTTTTGAAGGGGGATCGAGAAACGAAACTGGTCATAGTTGATTGCTGCAAACGACCTCACGTAAGAAACGTTGTTGATGATGAGTTTGGACTGCCATCCATCAAAAGTCAATTTTATACTGATTGCCTTTTCAAAAGCGATATTCTTTGCCATCAACATTCCATTCAACGAAGTCGAGTCGGCAGAAAGCAGCAAAGTCAGGAGATAAATGGGCGTCCCATCGGTGCAATGCAAGTTTGTTACCAGTCTGAAATTGGACCAATCCCACTTGTACTTGGTGGGTCCTGGTGGTGTAATCACACCTTCTTCGTCCGAAACCGAGTTACTATCGCTTTCATCGTCGTCCCAACGTAAGTCAAAGTAGCTTTCGCCTCCTTCGGCTGCGGGCGGTGTTCCTGTGGGGGAGTTCTCGGTGGTGGAAACCACGCTGGGGGAGTCGGTTCCGTCAAACATCTTGATGTTTGCCAACCGGCTAGCGAATCTAACGGACTTGGTCGGGCTCAAGAGAGACGATGCCGATGCTGATTTTGTTAATGATGAAAGTCTCAACGAAGATTTAATCAATTCTCCTGATTTTTTCTTTAGCAACGGATGGGGACGGGTGAGAGCCGAGTCATCCTTGGCTTGCACTTTAGGGGCTGGTTTGGTGGCAGAGGATGTTTCGGAATCACTGGAACTGATGTTGATAGTTACAGTCATGATTTTAACAGAACGACCAGCGTTTGTTTGAGGAGTTTGTGCAAATAAATAAATAGCACCAGGATCCGATTACTCAGAAAAAATGACCACGGGCACAAATATGAAACAAGGTAATTTTGTGGTTTGGAATCAAAAGGCGAACTGCAAGCTAAATACCACAATAGATTTGCTGCAGGGAGTCGAACGTAATGAGGCAACTAAAAGTTACAATAGAAAAATTTTCGATTTACTCCGAATCCGATACCCAACACCCAAAAAGGAAAGCGGCTATAGTCACAGCAACTATATTTGAAAAAAGTAATAGAGCTGGATCGTAGGTATACGATAGAACCTTAACAATGAATTAAAGGTCCACTAGTAGCACTTTCAAGGGAAGTGGTTTAATATGAGAAACTTTTGTGAAAAAAAGTGATATCCCCCTTAAATAAACTATCCACCACTACTGCAGGGTCGCCGCAGTGCCAGCTGCAGCCGCATTTCGGTGAGTAAAACCATCCACTATTAGGGCGATGTGGTTGGGCCACGACCGATTTTGAGTTTGTGCTGGTGGATGAAGTTGGAGATTTTGGCAAGGGAAAACACGCCAGCAGATGTCTTATGTTGTGAAGATATGACTACAAGAATCTGGAAGCTTTTGGGTTACGTTTTACATGAAAGAATATGGTTGTTTCACCCTATTGACGAGATCGCACACCGCTTTGTACGATGCGCGTCACAGGGGCGGGAAAGGCGCGAAAGAAAAAATGAAATGTTGGGAAAAAAAAAATTAAAAGGCGGGACAGCAGTGGGGTTGAAGGTGGGGAAAGACGTGTTGAGCAAGTATATGCGAAAAGATCATAGCCTGCTGCAAATGCAAAACTCTTAGGCTGGCATTGCAGATCTCCCCTGGGTCCCTTGGGGCATCCATTGCACCGCAGAAAGTGCTATGAGCTCATTATCAAAGTGAGCCCATACTGACATCTAAGATTGTCTGAGATTAAGATGTGTGCAGGCTCCAGATAATGCAAGATATTAAGGCTGTGGGGTGTGGAGATGATGTGGGGTTGACTTAAGTTTACTTTGAATTTACTTTATGAGAGGTGGATGCAAGTGGTGATAATTGGTAGAATTTAGCGCTCGAACGGGCCAATTACGGCGTAATCGGAGAACTGAATTACAATTTTCATGTTTATCTGCAGGCGCGGTATTTCTCTCCTTTATTTGTCAATTGCTGCGTTTGTTCAGGCTGCATTAGTATGTGCTATTTTACCATTGCTGCATTACATCTACCCTATTCACATCGGACTTTTCGGTTTTAGCTTGGCGTGCGTCTCGTATTTGCATCGGTATCAATTAGGCAATTCATGCACGCCATTTTGTACTGCAGACAGTCGCATGTACGGAAGGTTGACGATGAGATTATACGCATTATGGGTTATTGGCTATATTATGCAGGATTTTGCAGCCGCTATACACTACTTTTTGGAATCTTCCTTGAGGGTCACAATCCGGTTCAACACCAAGTCGGAGTCTGTGCTGTCCTTGTCCATACAGAAGTACCCCACACGCAACGCCTGGAACCTCACCGTGTATGGACCTCCTTTTTCAGGAATGTTGAATTCACTTCCTTCGATAGGAATGTTCATTGGAGATTTGGCCTTAATTTCTGCAAATGATGGTTCAATGATTGCATTCTTGTACACGAGCTCTGAGTCGGGATTGATATCCTTCAAGTATCCCTCAGGAAGAGCGAGAGGATTTTCACTCAAAAATAATTGGTTCTGGATTCTAACTTCTGATATCTTCAAGTTGTCTTCTGGAACCCATTGGATATAAGTCTTTGGTTTTTTGTGCTCCTCGTTCTCGTACTTGGCATGTATCTTTGTCACGTTGCCGTTGTCATCTTTATCAACTTTAACAACGCTGATATTGAAGGGAACTTTCATGAGACCAACGCTCTGACCTGGTGCCAATCTAAAGTATTCGGCAGATACATTATCACGGTAATCAGAGCGATCAATGTAGATGGTTTTCGTGAACGAGACCTTGCGTGAACCAAACTTGGCATCTCCTGGCTTGTAAGGAATCTCCACTTCTTCCTTGAAGTCGTCGTTAACATTCACAAGTTCAACCTTAATGGGGTCCAAAACCATCATGAGACGAGGCGTGGTTGAATCCAAGTAGTTTCTCACGGCGCTGTCAAGACGAACGGCTTGAATATTGGTGGTGGAAGTGGTGACACCCAAAGTGTTGATGAAGGACAAAATGGCACCAGGAGGAACTCCACGACGACGTACTGCCTCCAAAGTGAACAATCTGGGATCATCCCATCCTCTCACGTACCCTTCATTGACAAGCTTTGCAATTTTACGTTTCGATAACACCGTACCGGTGATGTTCAATCTACCGTACTCACGCTGAGCCGGCCTGTAAACATGCAAAACGTCACAGAGCCACTCGTAAGACTCTCTAGAAAGTCTAAACTCGACGGTACACAAGGAGTGACTAATATTCTCAAACGAATCAACAAGACAGTGAGTGAAATCATAGGTTGGATAAATCAACCATTTGTCCCCGGTTCTATGGTGCTTAGCATTCAACACTCGGTAAGCCACCAAGTCCCACATTTGTGGAGAAGGCGATGTCAAATCTTGTTTCATTCTCAAAGTGGCTTCACCTGATTTGTACTCTCCATTCTTCATCTTGCGGAATTCAGCCAAATTAACCTCTGGCGTACGATCTCTGTGAGGACAAGCGAAACGCTCTCCACCAAGTGTACCATCGGGCTTCATTCCTCGTTGAGCCTTGACTTCTTCTGCTGTACAGTGACAAACATATCCCTTTCCAATGTTAATTAATTTTTCTGCCAACTCATACAACTCGTCAAAGTAGTCAGAAGAATAGGTGACTTTCCATGGTTCGAATCCCAACCAGTCGATTATGTCGCGAATGGAGTTGAAATAAACCTCCTCCTCGGCTTCAGGGTTGGTATCGTCGAACCGCAAGTAACAGTTTCCTCCGTGATACTTGGCGTATCCAAAGTTCACCATGATGGCTTTGGAATGGCCGATGTGAAGGTATCCATTAGGCTCGGGAGGAAAACGTGTGAACACCTTACCGCCCGTAAACTTCAAGTGCTCCTTCATTAATTCAGGGTACATTTGAGGATTTTCACCTGGTTTGTGTAGATCTCCAAGAAATCCTTCGGAGAACATCGACCTCACTGGCTCAGTTTTCTCTTTCTGAGCCGGTGCTTTTTCCTTCTTCTTTTTCTCCTTCTTGACTACGTCTCTCTCGTCCTTGGGACCCAAAAGAGCCAAAACTTTTTCATCTATAATGGGCTTGAACAATTGAGGTGCGGCCCACTTCAACTCGGGAATCTTCTTCACTTCGCCTAAAAGTGCCGGAACACCAGCATATCTCTTTGCCTCTATCTGCTGCTTGTTCTCGTTAATGTAATTGCCAATGTGCTTTCTAACATCATCTTCCGTGACCTCAACACCCACACCTGAGTGTTTTTCCATGTCGGAATTGTTGGCATCAGGATGACTGTTTACGTATTTGTAGGCTTCAGAAACTTGTAAGTTCGATTTCAACCTCCCGTCTACAATGGCATTGGTCACGAGATGGCGATTGGGAACATCAGCACCTTTACATTCGACTGCCAAAGCATGCAATAATGAGATGGTTTTGTCATCATAAATGGAATCGGGCTTGGGGGCTTCGTTGATGATATCAAATAAAGACTTTGAAACCTTCTTGTTCTTGATGATCTCTTTTGTCTTTTTATCGGTTAATCCAATGCGACTGAAGGCATCAATAAATGCATCGTCAGACATGACTGATCGTGAGAATAAAATTCGCGGTGACATCGAAAATTTGATAAGACTACCTGGTGTATGGATTGATCTATTAAATAATTTACATCTCAAGAAACTTGAAGAGATTATGGGCAAATGATGGAGGATTGTCCAAATACACATGATGGCCAGCGTTGGAAATAATGTCATAGTGGGCCAATTTTTTTCCGGCCAAACGGTTGATATCTTTTGTCATTTCTAATCCTGCCTTCTCATTCATCCAATCTTTATCGCCGTAAACCCAATAAGTTGGCAAGTTCATAGCTGCGAATTTTTCTGGGCACCGGTCTATAAGTGGAAGCTTGGCCAATGCTCCGACTCCAAGTACCCTCGTCAAAGCGTACTCACCGGAACCTTTGCCATTGAACACTCTGTAGATGTAATTATGCATATTCTGGAAGAAGACTGGATTCTCCCTGTATTTATGAGCAAACCGCCTCGTCGTCCATCCGGAAATCCACTTTGATTTCGCTGGACCAGCTACACGGATTATCAGGAAGAGTGAGTAGTTTCTCTTCCACATGTACAGGAGCCATGTCGGGTACCTGTTTTCGTCGGTAGAGGTGTCTGCGTCTTGAGAAACAACCTCTTCTTGGTTTTGTTTAATTTCCTTTTGAATGTCCACATCATTTTGCTTACCGTCGTCTTTGATGTTGTTAAACAAAGAATGACGGCTGCGCTCGACACCCACAGGACTGACTAGCACAAGCTTATCGAGAACATTGGGGCCTGCTTGTGTGGGCTTGTTATACTTGAGGGCATACGCGCAACTCAAATATCCACCAAATGAGTGGCCAATTAATGTGAACCGGTCGAGGTTTCTCTTGAGTCTCCACTGTTCGAACGAGTCAATGAACCAATCCTCCACCTTGTGAATATCCTTCTCTGTTTCACTAGGAAATTTGGGAAAGTGAGGGCGTGAAGAAAACCCAAAACCAAGCAAATCGATGGCATGGATTTTGATGCCAGGAATTGAGGAAAGATCATCAAAATTGTCTATAAATAGACCAAGTGATGCCGCATAGCCGTGTACGAGCACGATATCGCGAACCTGGTCTGGTTTCTTGGGTTTTTGTGTGTTTTCAATGAAAAACTCATGGATGTAATTGCCGTTTCCAATGTCAGTATTTATAATTTTGGCTCTTCTGGTGGCATCTCCGTCGGGAAAAAACGGTAAACACGAGAGCAACTCGCTTTCAACCTTTTCATCAGAATACTGACTACTCCATGTTTGACTAAGCCAGTCATTGAATGATTTTTTCCACGTGTAATGGGGTCTAGAGGGCTCTTCAATAGCCACAGTTCCAGTGCTCATCGCATCACTAGTTACCGGCTCGGTCTGTACAGTCTCGGTAGCCATGGCAGGTGCGGAAAAAAGTCGAGGATTTATATGCGGAAGAAGCAACAGCAGTTTTTTGCCACTATCAATAAAAGAGGCTGCGGCATGGCTTATGTCCGTTTCCGCCGCGGCGACGGAGAACCGCATTTATCCCGACGGCAGCGCGGTGCACCAGAAAGACGCTCGGTAGGAACACGACAGTGCACGACTTTTCGCTGTGAAAAAATCAGTTGGTGCATTTTCATTACAACAGAATAAGATGGTATGTATCAGGATAACGAGGCTATGATGCTGGTTAGAGATGCAGTGAAGGATAATGGAGATTTGATTTGGAAAAGAAATTAGAAATTATAAAATTTGAACCGATCTGGTCAGAACAAACGGAACGAACCAAGTTAAATTGACAGATAATTGGCAAACAATTACGTTCTGATCACTCAGGGCATAGAGAATACGAATACTGCTTGCTACGGCTTTACGCTGCTGATTTTACGTTATTGGTGATCCTTCACATTGACTTTTTCAAATGATTGATAACTTCATTTGCATCCAAAACCTACTTGATGAACCTTCTAACACAGGATACCAAAACTCCAGTAACTTTGGCTAAAGTCATTAAGGTCTTGGGCAGAACCGGCTCCAGAGGTGGTGTCACCCAAGTGAGAGTTGAGTTCTTGGAAGACACTTCTAGAACCATTGTCAGAAACGTTAAGGGTCCCGTCAGAGAAAACGACATCTTGTGCTTGATGGAGTCTGAGCGTGAGGCCAGAAGATTGCGTTAATCTACATAATTCATATAACTAATGGATCACTAGTATCTAAAGTGTAGGTGTTTGGTATATGCGTGTCATGTGACTTTCGCGTGATGTGGGCTCTGCCCTCGCGGCATGTCGCACAAGTTTTTTTTCAGTTTCACAAACGGTAGTTATTTTGGTAGACATGGCTCAAAGAGTAACCTACAGAAGAAGAAACCCTTACAACACCAGATCCAACAAGATCAAGGTGGTGAAGACCCCTGGTGGAAAGCTCGTTGCTCAACACGTCAAGAAACAAGCCTCCAGACCAAAGTGTGGTGACTGTGGTGATGCTTTGCAAGGTATCTCCACCTTGAGACCAAGACAATACGCTCAAGTTTCTAAGACCCACAAGACCGTCCAAAGAGCATACGGTGGATCCAGATGTGCCAACTGTGTCAAGGAGAGAGTTGTGAGAGCATTTTTGATTGAGGAACAAAAGATCGTCAAGAGAGTGTTGAAGGACCAACAGGCAAAGGAGGCTGGCAAGGCTAGAAAGTGAAGGGGAGGAGTGTATACTTATGACTTAGTCAATAATAAGAGCAAGTGAGAAGTTGTAGAGGCATTGTTGAAATGGATGATAATTAGATGTAAGACTATTAGTTCGTTATTAATTTTCCAAAAATCGCTTGAACGCCTGTTTGGTGGTTTCGTCTCGTTTTTTTATCCTTTCTTTGGACCAGTAGCTTTGCACCTTGGTAAAGTATATGAGATGGTTAACATCGCTAAAATTTGGGTGGTTTAGTATTTCATGGTATATGTCCTGGGCTCTCATATCGAGCCGTTCGCTGATGTATGTCTTGACTTTTTCAGGTAGAAATTTGTATGGCAGGTGGCAATGGTGGTGGTAGGCAATGTCTATGGTAGCGGAAGACTGGTGGTATTTGATACAGTAGCAAGAATCACAATTGAATTCTTTTAGTGGATGGCTCAATTGACGGCACCGGCCATTGGGTCGTGGTGGTTTCTGCTGTGAACAAACGTATTTGATAGTGAATGTCTTGACTCCTTGTTTCTTGCCAGGGCCATCTTTGCGGACCCATTTATAGCCGGTAATGGCTAAAAGTGGCTGCACATACTTATCGTGGAGAGCCTTTACTATATCGTCGCGTTCGTGGGAGCTGATAGTATGGTCGGTAAACGATACCTTATCGAGATGAAGGGGGTACCTACGGTTTGTCCTGAGGGCTTCAATGAAGGCTTCGTAGCTTGTGGGTACCTTGAAAGGAGGAGGGGATTCTTCGTCGTGGGAGCTGAGCGAGGTAATGGAGGTGACAGTGTTGCGTCTGGACAGAGAAAGACTCAGCAAACTCAGCAAACTCAGCGGTAGGCTCGAAGAGCTCGATAATCCCAGTGAGCTCGCTAAATTCAACGGTAAGCTCGGTAAATTTCGTGGCAAGCTCATCGGTAAACCTTGATGGAAACTGTCGGAGTCGCTATCGATGGAAACTTTGCGCACTTTATGCGGATTTTCTCGGCTCAAGCTTCGTCGGCGTATAGTGGGACGGTCACAGCTCGTAGTGTGGAGGTGTCCGTCGTCATCTGGATTCACCAACAAACTGATATCCATAACATATATGTGGTGAAGAAATTCATTGGACGGTGCGGAGCCGCACATAACCTGCGCAGGATCACGGCGGGGGGAGGCAGAAGGCAGGGAGAAGCATAATTAGAGGAGATGAAGCAGAATGGTGTGGGATGGTGTGGGGTGGTGTAAAAGTGTGCAGAAAGGTAATAGGGTGGTATAGAAGGGTTTTTGGGTATTTTTTCTTTTGGTTAGGTTTGGTTTATTGATTGATGGAAACAGGGCAGTTGCAGCCAAGCGTGGAAAATGCAATTTTTCAGTTTTTAGGAAGATTACAGAATATGTGTCTCTCGTAACCGTTAACTTTATCTTCGTTTGGTTTTGACCTCTTCATCCCCCAAACTCCTTTCTTTTCACTCACCCTTCTCCTTCTCCTCCTCCCCTTAGCTCGTCACTAATTTCGCACTGCGCGAACATTTCATCTTTCACCTCAATGTCTGATTTGGACGACGACTTGTTGGCACTTGCCGGCGCTGGCTCCGACGGCTCTGACGTCGACTCCGATGTCCCGTTGAAGAAACCAGACTCCAAGAAACGCAAAAAGCTCGATGAAAGTGATTTGGACTTTGATGACGACGATGACAATCTTGCGGAAAATGACGATGCCACCGCCACCGCCGACTTGGTCAATCCGTACCCGTTGGAGGGCAAGTACCGAGACGAGGAAGACAGGGAGAACTTGTTGAATATGGACGAAATGAAGCGAGAAGAAATCTTGTTCGAGAGATCGCAAGAGATGGAAAGTTACAACGAGAAGATTTACTTGCAACAAAGATTGAAGCAGCAAGCAGCCCAGGATTCTCCGAGGGCCACGCGGTCCAGTAAGAGAAACAAGACGTCGGCTAAAACCACTTCCAAACTGGACAAGTTGAGTGAATTGCGGAAACAACGTGAACAAAAGCAGCGCCGGATGGATGGTGATTTTGACGACGACGAAGAAGAAGAAGACGAAGACGACAATTTGGACGACGAAATAGCCGATCTTGGAGGCTACGAGGACGATTATGACGACGAGGAAGAGGTCAAATGGGGCTCGGGCCGCTCTAAATTTGCTCCACGAAGTTATGTTCGTGCCTCGTTGGACGACATCAATAAGATTGTTGTGGGCAGAAGTATGCTCACCAAATACTGTTACTACAACGGCTTCAACGAGACCATTTTGGACTGCTTTACAAAAGTCAATGTGGGTGTAGATCGTGCCACCAGACAGCCGTTGTATAGGATGGTGCGTATCGATGATGTGAAGAGTATACCGCAGAAACCATACTCTGTTGCAGGCTCCAAGATCGATTTGTACTTGACTGTCACCCAGAACAAAAATCAAACCAAAGAATTCCCATTGACGGTTTTTTCAGATTCTCCTATTTCGACTCAGGAACTCGACCGGTACAAAATTGAGTTGGAAAAAACTGGCGAAGAGTTGCCTTATGTTGATGATGTTAACGAAAAGCACGAACTGTTGCAACACTTGACGACGAGAGGTCTTTCTGATAAGGATGTTAATGAGATGATTGAAAGAAAGCAAAAATTGCAGGCTAATGTTGGTGGGTACAACGCCGTTTTTGAAAAGTCAAAGTTGCTCGATCTTCTTAAGATTGCCAAGCAGGAGGGAAACACATCCAAAGCCGAGTCACTTCAGGCAAAATTGACGGCATTGGAAAATACTTTGGCGTCGCAAACCAACACCAGTAATACCTCAGAATCTTTAAACACCATGTCGAAAGTGAACGAAAGAAATAGAAGACTAAACCAAAAGAATATTCGAAAGGCAGAGATCAAATCGTCACAGCTTCGAAAAGTGGTGGAAAATAACCCCGATGGTGGAGATCCGTTTTCACGGTTTAAGACTGCCACCAGAGTATTTTATCAAGATGTGGTTCAAGAGGAGAACAAGAAAGCTCTTGTTGATGCGCAATTGAGCTACCAGGAGCGAATGGATGAAAAGTCCAAAAACGAAGCCAAGATTGAAAAGTCCACCTACCGAGTGTTGGGAGTGATGGACCAATTAATTAAACAGGTGGATGTAGATTTGGGTGTGGTGACCAGTATCTAAACGTAATGCATAAAATATTTACATGATAGCTAAATCTCAAGCTCATTCATAAACTGGAGGCGAAGCTCCTCGCGTTCCTTCTCTTTATCATAGTCGGCTGGACCTGCCTCGCTAAAAATAGATTCGGGGTAGTCGTAATAGAAGTCATTGTTATCCAACTCGGAGTAATACGTGTTGACCGACTCCGAGCTTATAGACTGTTCTTCTTCCGAATTGTATCCTCCCGAAGTGCCGGCAAAATTCCGCAAATTGGAAGGATTGAAAAGGAGGTACTCATCTTCAAAGCCACCCATGGCTGCAAAATTCTCGGTGGTGAAGTCCAGCGACTCGGATGCAGATGTTTGTGTATATGTAGGATGTTGTGAAGTTACTTGCATCAGTTTGGGTTGTGAGTTAACCGATTGCAATGATTGTGATGATTGTGATGATGCAGATGGAGATGAATGAGAAGACCGAGAAAGCGCCGAACCTATTCTGGATAATATCGACCTCTTTCTGGACGCCGACGACGCCGAAGATGCTACCGATGTGGTTCTTACACAAGGATCACTGGCGGACTTCTTGCGGAAATTTCCCAAGATATTTTTTGCCTTTCTTTGGTCCGGAGTATAATGAACCTCACATGGTAAATCAAACAGCATTGAGTTATCACGAGTATTTATGTAGTAGTACTGTCCCAAGATTTCGTCGTATTGAAGCGACCACTGTTTATTTGGACACCCCATGATTGATAGAGGAAAAAACGCCAGCGCCTCCCAATTATATATAAATTATGCAGCTTACAAAAATTCTACGGAGATAATGCGGAAAAAGTTAGATCCGTTGGAGCCGTGTTGGCAAAACGCGCTTACATAAGCGGCGTACGGCCGGTACGTCGCGTTTTCCGTACCTAATGCGGTATCGCCGACGGCCCCGACGGTTCTATGCGGCTGGTGCTTTGTCAGTGATAGGCGAAGCTTCCACAGAATGTACCGTTTACGGCTTCCGCTTACGTTACCCCAGGTGTGAGCCCTGAGCACTGCGTTTACGAAGTCATCGAAAATGGTAAACGCGCTGAGGTAAGCGGCACAAAATGAGTGTTGATGACTACAAATGGCACAGCGCACCCTGCGTCAGATCCTAGGAACTCACTATGAGCAATTATGGTGCAAATTGGAATGTTCTGGTGTCTGGGTGCCATCTGTAATATACGATCAATTAGATCGGTGATGATTTTGCATGCTAGAATACGAATTTGAGGCCCAAACTTGATATTTGGGTACTTGAGGCCCATCTGGTTGCAGTTGGCCCTTTCCCCGTTTTTCAACAACACTTTTTTCCCGTTTTGAATGGGCCCAAATGACCGACCTAAGCAGGTATGAGATTTACGCCACAGTCTTCCTGGTGCGTAACTTTCGGCCCCTACCCCAGCCGTACCCTGCAGGCTACCGCGTAATATCGATTCGCTGGCACACTTTCACACCCTCAAACATGCCATCCCAAGAATTTACCGATATTGTAAGTTTTACCAGTCAATTGTGATCTCCATCTGCTAACCGTAGGCCGCCAAGGTGCAGAACCTCTCCAAACGTCCTGGAAACCAGGAATTGTTAAAGTTGTACGGATTGTACAAGCAAGCCACCGTTGGAGACAACGACACCACTCAACCTTCAGCTTTCTCTTTTGAAGCCAAGGCCAAGTGGAGTGCATGGAAGGAGAACGAAGGAACCTCGCAAGAGGACGCCGAGGCAGAATACATTGCGTTTGCCAAGGAATTGATTGAGAAGTACAACTAGATACAAATATACTCGATTGATTTGCTATTGCAAGAATTGCTACTATTGCAAGAATTGCTACTACTGCTACATATTGCTACTATTGCTACTTATTGCAGATATTGCTCTGCTCACTCTAGCTTCTTGCTATCAATTTCTTCTGTGATCACGATCACTTCCTCTCTCACGCCAACTATGGCTAGAATTCTGTTCAAATAATCTACCATCATAACAAAGGGTATGGCAAAATAGGGAACATACACAAGTATCAATTGCTTCACCTGAGCCTCCAGAAGCCCATAAGTGTGACCCTCATAAAACACATGAACTATACAGATTGCTGTGGTGAAACTGGCATTGAATCCATACAATAACATGTATGGATATATCGATCTGGACTTGATATACAAGTAGTAAGCACCAATTACAAAAAGTGGAAGCTGGAAGAATAGTTCGACTGCTCCAAAAGCCTGGAGCCAAAGTGGTAATTGCACCAAGAGAAAGTCCTTGTTGGTACTGATATGAAGCTCTATTAACTTGAGCGAGATCGATGGAAGGTATTCGCGAGGAATAACTAGACTTGCATCCACAAGCAACGTGATGGGAATGTGGACGAGAAAGTACCACAAGTAGAACTTGTCAAGTGTTGATTGCTCCATTTTGTGGGGTTTTTCGTTAGTTGCGAATTTTCGCCAGGTCCGAATTTTTAGTTGATGAGAAGAGCGCTATCGAGCCTTAACACCCACGTATCTCGAATAAGCCATCTCACACCGATCCAGAATCGCATAACTCGCTCCATACCTTTTACAATGACTACACGCAAGCTTTCTGTTACCGATACAACGAACAAAAAGCCCAAGCTCGAAAATGGTGAAACGAAGCCCAAACAAGAAACTCCACTTCAGGCGACACAGACAATTTTGAAGGCCAAACCCAAGGTGTGGAAGCCATTGGTGTGGATAGACTGTGAGATGACCGGACTTAATGTTTACGAGGATCACATTATCGAAATATGTTGCATCATTACCGATGGTCACATGAATATCATCGACTCCCAAGGTTATGAATCAACCATCTATTATCCCAAAGAGGTCTTGGATAGCATGAATGAATGGTGCGTAGACCAGCATGGAAAGTCGGGACTCACAGCCAAAGTTTTGGAAAATACCGACCGCACACTTGAAAAGGTACAAGATGAGCTTCTAGAATACATCAAGAGGTTTGTGGAACCCAATAAGGGAATAATGGCAGGAAACTCCATCCATATGGACAAATTTTTCATGAACCGTGAATTTCCTCGTGTAATCGACTACTTGCATTATCGTTTAATTGATGTCTCTACTATCATGGAAATTGGACATCGACATAATCCTGAACTTATGAAGCTTTTCCCCAAGAAAGATGGTAACCATACTGCCAAATCTGACATATTAGAGAGCATCGCTCAGTTGAAATGGTACAAAAAGCACTACTTGAAAAGTAAAGATGATGTCAAAGATTTCATCAACGAGAACAAACCTGTGACTGAAGATCCTTCCTCTGGGCCAGTGGCCACCGAGGCTACAAAAATAAAAGAATAGACGCATAGATTCGACTATTACTCTACTTATTGATTTCCTACTCTGCATCTTCTTCTCTATCTGACTCGACGGCATTGGCGTCGACGCTCAATCTGTAAATCACCACACGCAATTGGCCTCGATCAAGAGGCTTCTCAAGCACCTCAGCAAACATTCCAGATTGGTGGGCGTCTTTTGCGTAACCAGTTATGGCCACCAATGGTGTATTGGAGTTGACACCGCTGGTATATTTGATCAATTTCACGGCATCCATGGCATCTACCTTTGGTATTTTAAGTGCCGTAAAGATAATATCAAACTTGACCTGACTTGTTGCTCTGCGAATGAGCTCGTCTCCATCACTAACAGAAACCACAATGCAGCCCAACTCTTCCAAAAACTTGGAAATAGTATGACGAACGATGGGAATTGGCTCGCAATAAAGGACGTCGATCTCTCGGTGCTGAGCTCGAATATCAGAGCTGCTATTGCGTGAGAACAAGCTGCCGGTAGCGCTGGGTTTCCTTGAGCTTTCTCTTCGTTTTCTGACTCGCAAAAGAGCAGAAGATATCGAGTCTTCTGTGTCGGAGCTAGAGGGAGAAAACTCACTGACAGACTTAGTGAACACTTGTTTAGTCAACGAATGGCGATGGCCCGTTTTCGTTTTCTCGCTTGGAACCACAGAAGTCTTGAAAGTTTCGAATGGGTATTCGTCACCACTGGAATAGGCACTAACTGCCGAACCCATTCGTTCGTGTTTAAAGTTCTGCGACGACGGAGTGGTAGCTGGGCTCTGTTCGGTCTTCAGAGGCGATGGTACTCGCTGTGCCAAGAATGCTCCAGGTGATAATGGCCGCTTAAAAGGACTTCCAGATGAACCACCAGAATTATTGGAAAGTGATAAACCTCTGGGACGACCTAATGGAGTGGAATCAGATGACGAAGACGAGAAACTGCCTCGGTGCTCCAAATGCTCAGACTTGAGTCTGTTTATGACGTCCTTGTTGGCTTTCTCCAAAACAGACAAGTTTCGGAAATGGAACGAACCAAATTCACTAGGGTCTGCCAATTTGCTGCTTCTTCTTTCTCGGGTGCCAGAACCACCTATACTCGATCCGTACGGCTCCGCAAGAGGTGCGCTCAATGGAGGCGAAAGCTGGTGTTGCCCGTGATAATATTCACCGTCCTCCTCGTCTTCATCTTTGGGGAAGTGAGAAATATCTGCACCTCTGGAATCGAAGTAGTCTGTAGACTCAGGGTCTTCAACATTGGGGATAAACGAGGGTATCTCCTCGAATAATGTGTCCCAGTTGATCCCTCTGAAATAAGGATGGTTTTTGATCTCTTGGGCACCATCGGAGCCTAATCGCTTTTCGGGGTCGAGCGTGAGAAGTTGAACAATTAAATCTTTCGCTGAAGGAGGGCACACTTCTCTGTCTTCTTGTGGGCTTAAAGGAGGCCAGTCAATATTACACGCCAAGATTCTCTTGAAGACTTCATCGGGTGTGTCTGCGTGGAAAGGTGGGTATCCATATATGAATTCAAACAAGATACATCCAAGAGACCACCAATCAGATGCTTCACTTTGTCCTATTCCTTCGATAGTTTCTGGTGCAAGGTAATCCGGGGTCCCCACGAAATGTTTGAGCTCCTTGTCTTCAGTGGGGTCGTATAGCGCATACGACGTTGGAAGTGCTATATTAGTCGATGGACTCGATCCATAATCATCATCGTCGAAGGGAAAAGACATATCAGAACCGTCCTTGTGAATTGATGGTCGAACCAATGGTGAATCTAAACCGGTTATAGAGCCTGATCTCGACCCAGACCTTCCACGTCTCAATCTGAAGCCTCCTTCACTAGTATTGGAAAAACTTTTCGAGTCTCTAGATGAGTCAAGAGCTGGTGACAACGAAAATGGAGTTACTGACGACACTCTTTTGTGGTTCCCAGAACTGCCTTCGTTAGGTGTAGAGTGTGCTGAACCTGGCGAGTCATCACTACCGAGTCCAAGCCCTATGACATTTGCCAAAGGACTCTGGTTTCCTTGCTGTAAGCTTCGACGGAATAGCTCAATACCTTGCTCCGAAGTGCTGCTCTTTCTATGCGATCGTGTCATCCTGCCAACCACTCCCATTTGAGAAAGACCAAAGTCGGTCAATTTGAGGTGGCCCTTGGAGTCAATCAATAGATTGTCTGGCTTTAAATCACGATGAATAATTCCACGCTCATGAAGATCATTAACACCAACTACCACCTCTGCGATGTATCTTCTGGCCCATTCGTTGCCCAATGTTCCCAACATCTTGAGCAAGGTTGCACAGTCTCCTCCATTAAGATACTCCATTACCAAGTAGAGATAGTCTTTCGTTTGAAACGAGCTGTACAACTGAGCAACGTAGGGTGAATCTGCCTGCTTCATCATCACTGCTCTTTCAGAGCGAACGTTCAAAACTTGATTTTTTGCAATCATATCTCGCTTCTTGAGGCACTTGATAGCAACATAATCGCCCGTAAGTTTCCTTTTGGCCAAGAAAACTGATCCAAAGGCTCCCTTACTGATAGCCTTGAGCACTTCGTAGTCCTTTATCTGGCCACTGGTCGATTTTCCTGTTGGAGTCAGGGAAACAAGGAGCGGTGAGAGTGGTGGTTTCATCGATGCCATTCTTGGGTTGATATTGAGATGCAAATTTGTGATGCCAGAAGAATCTGATTTGCGTTTTTCGTTCGAATTTGTAGAGATTGGAGTGCCAAGAAGCTCAGGTTCCCCGCTGTGGTTGGCTTCAATCATAGGCGAAGGCGGGTTGGTGTGTGGAAGAGAATTGGTATTCTTTTGGAGCAGAGACAAACTGCCCTTCTCAAGATATGGAGCTGGAGAAAGATGCCTTCGTGGTGAACAAAACGAAGAGCTATTCGACAATGACGATTTCTTGCTTAGATCGAGATCGTTGAGTACCTCAGCGATATTTTCGCCAGCATTATTAGGAGACACATTCTGTGAAAGAAGCGATGCAGCAGACGGATGCTGACTGTGACTGCGTAGTAAGATATCGTGGGGTGTTATAGAGGTCCTCGACTGGTTTTCACCTTGAACCAAATAAGTCGGGCTCAAAGTACGAGCTGGTTGAGGAGAATGTATTGTTGGTGAGGCGAGAGACCGAGCCTTCTGAACTTCAAGATTGTCTGGCTGTGCGCTCTCCTGATCCACAGGAGGTGTAACGCTCTTCTCGTTCTCCCTTTTAAGCATTCCCATGATAGGTTCTCTCTTTTCGTTTTCCATAGTTTGCTCACGAATCCTCGTCACGGTTTCGTGAACCACGGCAAGAACTAGCTGGTCAACCTCAGTCTTGATCTTTTGTGAATACTGGAGCATCGACAAAAACCGAGTGGCCGTTTCGATTTTATCACTAGCCAATTGCTGTGTATCTTCAACCATTGCCCGTAAAGCAGGGTCAGTAGTTTCAATAGTTTTCCATCGTTCCACTTGTGACATTGCCTCTTTTGTACTGGGAGAAAATTGGTACTGGCCAGAATCGTCGGAGTCGGCTGGATTTATGAGCATAACTTCATCGCATAGGTCGAGAAGTCGTTGAAGAATTCCAAATGGGAATCGGCGGTGAGCTGTGCTTCTGGGTCTGGAATTGGTTACTGTACCCCCAAGAGGAGATGGATTAAGCATTACCCCCGGAAGAGCCTGATTTGCCAATTTGGGAGACGAGGTGTCAGACGAAGGCATTGGTAGTCGAATACCCTTATAGTTGTTTATGAGGGAAGAGGTGGAGCTGGTCAGACTTAGTGAGCTGGTTGAACTCGATGAAGAGACAGTCAATGAGGTGCCTTGCAGCTGGATCCATAGTGAGTCTGAGATGCGTAAAATGAGATTGCGTTGCTCAGCAACTAATTCATGGCAAGTTTGAAGTTCTTCCGAAAACCGATGTTCCACAATACACAAATCGCTATGGCGCTCGATAAACCAAGCGGGTATATTCTGCTCGCATATTCGACAGAGAACAAGCTTGGGTTGCGGTACGGAATCTTCATCGATAATGCCTAGTTCTTGTAGATTGGAAAGGTACCCTTCGAGTATTTCTGAGCCGAATCCTAGCATATTGCTTAGTTTTGAAGGAATAGTCAATTCAACATCCACATGTATAAATGGCTTGATTGTCCAGATTGAGTGGCTGGGTAGCTTGGTTGTGGGATCATGGATCAATATGCCTTGTGCTTCCAATTCAATGATATCACCATTGTTGGAGAGCTGCGAACTAAGCGAGCTGGGGTAATTGTCGTCGCTGTCATTTGCATCGTACTTGATACTCTCAGATTCAGGAACCTGCAACTCCGACTCGTCCACCATTTCGTTGAGAGAATTTGTAGGTGTCACCTTTCCTCCTGAGTCCGATACTGTGGTTCTATCATTCGTCGCCGTGACAAATTTGACCTTGTAACTTCCATCATCCTGAACCATATGGTGAATTGCATTGTTGAATATCTTCAAATCCTCATCGGAAACACCTATTATAATCTTGGAAACTGACCTGTGGATGATCTTTTTGATATTTGTTCCTACAATCGTCTCCCAGTTTTTGCTAAGATAGCGCACATTCCCATCCATATCCAACTCCATAACCGCCGCAGGGTTATCAGACGAAGCAATTCGCAAGTCTATTTGCTCCTGGAACCCATCCATACTAGAACTTTCCATCATTTGTTCTCTTACCAGATCGTACACGGAGTTGTTGAGATTGGCTGCTTCAAGAGGAGACACGGAGCGGTCCAAATCTCGCTTTGAGAGCTCATATTGGTCAGAATGTAGCGTTGACATCGTTACACGAGAAATGTCGACGAATTTGAGGGCTGGGAGGCTTTTGAGTGGTGTTTTGTTGGATCAGTGATAAGCGTCGATGGATGTCGATGTTGTAAATGAGAAGATAAAACCCTTAAATGTGACCACTAGAGGTCAGTATTCGTCTTTTATGTGGATTACAGGCACTTATATCCCGTATTTGATGGTCTGAGGGGTGCAAATGTGCGTTATTAAAGGTGGTGACGTTGAATTAAATGATAAAGTTGACCACCACAATATTGGTTTTGGCGCGGAAATTAAGTGCAAACAACCCATTATCAATTTTACAATAGAATGCAAATAGACGAGATAGAGACACGAGACTACACTAACAGCTGGTTACTGGCACGTTTGATACGGTATATTATGTATAAGAACAACCAATGTCACCGATTTGTTGGAAATCGAAGCCACGGATTGCAATGACGGGCATTTTCGTGTTGAAGAATTGAAAAGGCAAAAGCGTTTCTAGTTTTATAGTGATTGTAGTTCGTCAGTCGTCAATATCCCAGTGAGTTGGATCACTGTGGATGAACTCTGAACCCAGCCGAAAGTTGGATTGGAGTGGGTGTCAGAGTAAAGTTCGTTAGTTGTAAGTTCTAGTTGGTGTACTGGAACGGCGTGGAAGAAGCATCCATGATAGAACGCTTCTTTATTTGTTCCAACCAATCGCTATTGCGTTTTTCGTTTTGCTGAGCAATTAAGCTCTTCAAACATTTGTTCTCCATTTCTACCGTCTTTAATTTTTTCTCCAAAGCTTGTACCTTTTCCTGTAAATCCTTGCTCTGTTGGATCATTTGTTGCTCCTTCATCTTCTTCTTGATTCTAAATCTAGCTGAAGCGGCCGTATTTCTTTTACGTTTCATGTCGCTGGAGTTAGAGTTAGGTCCCATATCTTGCTCGTTGTCTTCACCATACACTCCCAATGGCTCTGGACGTTCTTCGAGCTTTACGGCAACATCCTTAGCGGGAGCAGCTGAATCTCTAGCAAAGACATCTAAGTCTAAAAATTCGGATTGAGAAAATAAGTACAAGTCGTTTGGCGACGTGGAGGTATTTGACGAAAGTGTGGGAGAAACGTTCCCGAAATCGACATTCAAGTCATTAAGGTAATCAGAAGCTTCGAAATTCATTTTTATTCGACGTTTGAAACCAAAGAAATTGTTTTAAAGGAAATAGCTTTGACGTAATTGACTCTGAGTAATTAATTTTTTTTTCTTTCTCATGAATCACTGGTGTTGGGATGCACGCCCTTGCTGATTAATGCCTAGATTAGGCAAACAGATCCAACTTGACCACCTTCAATGACATTTAAAATTCGAGTTTATATCGTCAATTATGCAAAGATTTCAAGAACATATATACCACACTTAATGCATGATGTGGCGTTGTCGTGATATAATGTGACCTTCTGTGATCGGTGCTTACGTTATAATGAACCGGTGTGTTTGTAAGCGTAGCATGATTGCGCATGCCGGAAACGGCTCCGGTACCGGTCCCGAACCGAACCTCGGAACGCACCTTACAATTGAAAAACCGTCTATTTTAATAACATCCTCTATATACTTTGCCGTCTACTTTGATGCCGCCTGCGGCTAGTGGTTAATTGAATCAACGAGTGACTTTAAAACGAAAGACTCAGCGTTCGATTTTGAGCTGTCGTGATCCTGGCGCGGAAACCGCCGCGGAACATGGGTGTTCATCTGTGGGCTTGGCTGCGAATTGTACTGTCCAAATCCCGAGATTGTGGCAGGAAATTCGGGTGTAGGATATGACCAACTGTTGTGTCTTTCCTTGGCTTGTTGGCCGTGTAGATTCAGAGCTCTTGGGGCCAGGAACAGTGATGCTGAAGCCATCAATGGACTTGTCGAGAGAGGGCTCTTCTTTGTAGTGGGTTGGTTGGCGTAGGGGTGCCCAATCACAGCACACATCCAGATCCGTGTTTTGTAGATTCTAAAGAGCTCTCTTACCAAATCGCGGAAATCAATTCTTTTGGTTGTAGAGTAGTAGAAGATCAACTTCTTGCGGTCGTACTGATATTCTGCATCCACCAATGCCATTTGAAGGAGATCGGAAGTGTTTACGTTACCGAGTCCCGACGAATGGCCCGCGGTGGTATTGGCGATTTTGGCGAGACAAAGACGACAAGCTTTTTCTTCATCTTGTTTCTTGTTTAAGATTTGAAGAATTTCGCTTTGTTGGGCCAACCCAATCACTGGTTTGGGGAAATGAAGCGTGTGTGGAGTTTGGTTTTGTTGCTGACCGGGACTGTGGTGGTGCAAGTTCTTGACCAGAATACTGTTCATATCGTGATCTGAAAGTGCAGATTGCTGTTCTTGAAATTGCAACAATTTAAGTAGACGAGCCTCGTCAATAGAAATATCCTTTTTGACCACCTTTCCAAGATCGTGACCCCTATCAGCCTCCACAATCACAATATCACCCACGTTGATCGAGGCAACGTCGGACGGCAAGTAAAACACATCGATGCGGCCCGCCTTGAAAGCAACAAGTATCAACTGCTGAGTTCGAAGATTGTGTTCGATGGGAAACTTGGGGAGCTGGTAGGCGTCGGAGAGGAACTGTTCTTCCTGGAAGAAACGTTTGTTCAAAAGGTCTACGGTGACTTGTACTCGCTGGTGGTGGTCCACCATGAAGTAGTCATCGACCATTGCAAGTTTTGCCATCAAATCGGAGTCCTTGTGTGAGCCTTTGTGAGTGCTGGAAACACTGGGAACACTCTGGTGATTTGTCAAGCTCGGAGCCACAGGTTGGACATTATGGTTTTGTAATTGATAATTATGGGGACTTTGAAATTGGGTGGTTTGTAGGTTTGGAGGGTTTTGATTTTGTATTTGGCTCGGGAGATTTAATTGCAACTGTCCGGTCATCAACTGAAGACCACGGACCTGGTTTGGGCCTTCGGGAAGACTCAGTGCAAGGCTTTGGAGGCCGCCTTGTTGAAACCCCTGTGGTTGCTGCTGATAATTTGGAACCATTTGCAGTGGATGTTGCAAGTTATGGATTTGCATTGGGTACACGTCGCCATACAGATGACGACGAGGACTCATAGTCCATGTATTTTCAACTGGAGCCCATATATTTGTGGAATCATAACTTGTTCTATGCTCCCAAGATTGATCTGCAAAAGGAGTGAAATCTGCTGACAGTCTTCTGGACATTTTGAGCGGTCACCAATAAGAGTTCTAGTTGGGTTATAGACACAAATAGTTATTAAGGAAATTACAAAGAAATAAACCAGGGTATAAATTATGTGGGGGTCCAGTTTGCATGGGGTGATAGGTCAGCCCTCGGTGCAGCATCCACGCACCAGATTGCAGCAAGGCGGGAATGAGGAGATAATTAAGTTGGGATAACAGAAATGGGAATTTCGGCCAAAAGTGAGGTAGCAACGTAAAAAAATGTATAGAGAAAGAATTGGCTACGAGAAGAAGGAATATTTGGGATATTTATTGATTTTTGATGGCATACTTGAAAGAACCTCACCGTTCGGCGCGGAGTGTCCTGTACCATATCTGTGGGGAAAGATGCAGCAATCTGCACCCACCGCGCCTTGTGCAGGGAAAGGGTTCTTCACTTGTGGTGGTCGGGTGGCAGATGCACAGCGTAACCTCAAGAAGACAGATACGGTTTGAGAAATTTGGAGTTTACGCCGTGACAATGTCAATGTTACCTAACATCATTCTTAAAGTACATACAGCTATTGGAATTGTTGCTGGTTGGTCATATTGCCATTTTGCATGTTGGCAAAATACTGTTGATACACATTAGGGTCATTGTAGCCCTGAGGAGGAATGGGGATACCGCCTTGTGGATGGCCAGCTCCTGGGTATGGCATTCCATGGGGAAGCGGGGCTCCGGGTGGAAGCTGTTGTCCAGGCACCTGTTGGGCATGGTGCACTTGAGCTGGGTGCTGTTGCGCGTGACCCTGAGGTACCCCAGCGTTACCCGTTGGAGCGGCATCGGGCAGATCTTGCGAGCCTCCATCACTATTCTCTCCTTGTTCATCTCCAAGACCTTCTTCTGGGGCATTGAGACATGCCTGAATCAAGTTCTTACCTTCACTCTTAGTTACCAATGGTTGCAACTTGGGAGTGGTGAAAGTGTACACCAATCCGGTTTCACTCACCACCAACAACAATACCTGAGTACCGGTTAATACCGAAAGTTCGTAGGCCTTTTTCATAATACCTGCTTTTCTTTTCGAAAACGTAATGTGTCTCCTTGATTTGTCCTGAATGAATTTGATTTCAATTTTTCTTCTCTCCTTTTGGGGCTTTCCTCCTTGTTCATCGTCATCATCATCCTCGGGAGGAGCTCCACTCGACGTGTTGAACTGATTAGAAGCAGCGTTGGATCCGAGTTGTTCTTCAGGTTCCAATTTGGATTCAGTAACGTCAGACATCTGGGTTAGTATTATGAAAATGAAAAGAAAAATGGAAAAAGGAGAACGGAAAATTGGATTGCATTATAGCAGAACATTTGGAATCACCAACAGTATGGTGGTCACACCAGAAACAAAGACACAATCACTTCCAGTCCACGTCAATGTTCCAGTATAATCCTGTTCACCTTGGAGACACCCATATTTAATTACCCCTTTTTCCGTCACCCCTTACCACCATCTATCCATCAACCTCCTTCAATCCACAGCTGTCTGTATCGATTTGGTGCCTCGGCGATGCCTCCAAGACCCTCATAAACTTTCGACAAACTTGGTCTATGCCATGAAATGTGCAACACTCCCTAATAGGAAATTGCCTTTTACCATTTTGGTAATGCTCTAATGCAAATCTCAACACCTTTATAATTGCATAATTGACCAGAAATGGAATATGACGAGGTATACATGCATGATAGTTGGTGGTATGTGCCGTACTTACAATTAACCCTTGCTATGGTTTACACAAAAAAAACTATAATCTCTAGTTGTGCTCGACTAATCGAGCATGTCATAACAACAGGGAAAAACGGGGGCGGGCTCAGGACCGTGCTGGTGTTTACGCCGGGTGTAATGGGTGTCGGTCTTACGGGCCGGTATTCTTGTGTGTAGGAAGCGTGGTTGCAAATGAATCCTTTAGAGAGAAGTGGAAATGATCTGAGTATAGTTGAGGTGTTAAGCTGGCTGAGATCGTTCTGTGAAGTGATGAAGGCTGATTTTTTGAATGGACTTTTTTTCTTGACTTACAAGACTTTTAGCTTCTCCAGTTACTCACCGATTAGTTCTTCTTTCTTTATGGTCTCTTCTTCAATCTTTTTTATTCGCTGCTCTCATATGAAAGTAATAGACCAATGAAATCACAGCAAAGATTCCCAACATAGCCGCTGATGGCATTATCATACTTTTAGTCGCTGAGCTCAAAAAACTCCATAATACCAAAAGCACTAAAAACCCAGTACTAAATGCCCAAGCAAAATACAAAGCAGCATTTTCAGCGAGGTAGTCGTCGGTGATACCTTGGGCTTCTAGTAGACGTTTTTCCCTGTTTTTTTCCACCACTTTTTTGACTTTGTACTTGCGTAATAGTGCTCGAAGTCCAGGTGTGGATCCATAAGTCACCACATGACTCTTTGAACCTACAAGCGCCAATATTATCTCCGAACTTGTGTGATGCTTCAATGCTTGGGCTCTGTCAATAAGATTTTGTATCGCTGTTTCAGTATCGTGTGAAGTATCTGATTCCATAAGCTCCACCAAGTTTTCATCAACCTTCTTTACCAAAGTTTTCCTCAAGACGTACCATATGAAGACTATAAGGCTCAATGGCACAAAACTCAAGAGAATTGGTATGTAATTCATCTCGCTTGTATAAATTAGGCCGAGAAAGGCAGTGATGAAGAACCCTATCAGAAACCACTGAATCAAAAAAAGAATACCCGAACTACTGTCTTTATATTGTCCCTCTATTTGTGAGCGGAAAAGAAAGTCATTTTGGATTTCTAGTGACAAGTGTTGCAACATTGGCGATGCAAAACTTGAAACCATACCGTCGTCACTTATTATTGACATCATTATTTCTGTACCATATACTTTGTGAAAGTCATATATGTCATCTAGGAACTTGGCTCTGTCATTGGCTTCATTTTGGGGCTCCTGTGCCATTGTCTCGTCTACTTATGATAAGAATGTGATATGGAACTTTCAGAGAACTGGTCGGAGACACGGAAATTATTATGATTGGGTTACCTTGAATGAGTTGCTGTATGACTTACTTATACGTCGTACTTTCTATCCAATTTTATCTTAAAAAGAGTATAATTCTTGATGGTATTAAGGCGCAGGTATTAAACTCTGACTATTAAAGTTGGTGATTATTGAACTAGAATAGCGTGCAGGACGTCGTAAATAAAATCTAGTAAAGGTCCACCACCTAGTGTCTTGAATTTCCGTTCTTCGCAGCCAAAACCCCCTCTGAATCCTGATTCTGAATATATAGTTTTGGCCATGATAATATCAATCTTCTAGTCGTTGTTCACCTTTATATCTTCTACCTTTTCCTCCTTTTGGTACTCTTTCCCTTCTTCTTTTTTCTCCTTTTCGTTTTCGTTTTCGTTTTCCTCCTTTGGCATGGGCGTAGCCTCCTTTTCCTCTTTTTCCATCATCTCTGGAGTGTTCTCTTCAACCTTCATTCCGAATACCAGCTCGAGTACTTTATTCACTTCTTTCTTCAACTTGGTATATGGAAATGTGTCATGGGGCTTCCTAGCAGTTAGCACAAGGACCCTGAACAAATTGCTCTTTGCTAATAATGTATATGGCACATCCAATTTTCGCACCGATGCCAAGGCCCTAACCACCTCTTTCTCATCAATTTCTTCCTCCAACAAAAGCAGAGTGATTTCAAAACTCACCCCCTGGAATTCCTCTTGTGCCTCTTGTAGTCTTTCGGTGATATCAGCTGCTTTAGGAAACTTTTTATCAAACTTTTGTTGTTCCTCGTCTTCAAAAATGTACGATTCAGGGTCGGCTTCGTCGTCCGTTAAGCCCCAATCCGAGTCGTACCCAAGCTCATTCTTGTCTTGTTTCACCTTCTTAGTAACTTTCTCCTTCTTGGCGGTTTTTTGCTTCTTTCGACGACGACCATAGACGATCTCTTCATCCTCTTCATCATCATCTTCTTCCTCTTCAATCTCGTCGTCCTCAACCTCCTCTTCATCCACCAAATCCTCCTCCATTTCTACATCCTCTTCCTCGTATTCTGGGTCCAATTTTTGGTTTTTGGGTGGACCTCGAGAACCCCAGGTGACAAATTCTTTCATATCTGGAGGGTTTTTGGCCAATTGATAAGCCTTTTCCAAAAGCTTGTCTTTGCGCTTCTTGTCGGAACTCAAATGAGCATCTATCATCTGCTGAGTCATGGGTTTCAACTCGTTATCTTTGATCCAAATATAAGTATCGTCACTGAAAAATCGTACCGGCAACACCGTAACATCCTTTCCTCTTCCCTTCCGGCCACTTTTCTGGCGTACGTTCTTCGGCCGCTTGTCCAATATGTTCTGAGGAAGCAAACTTTCATCGAGAACCATAGCTGGCCATGGTGGATAGCCTTTGACTTTGGCCAAAACTACCGATGTTGGCGAGTACAGTTTGGCACCATTTGAGGTTGGTTCTATGTTCTGCGATGTGTTTTGGTTGGTTTCTGGTTGCTGATTGTCCTCTGACGACTCCGGGGGAGTGGACCCTACGTCCTGTTTTATAACCATCTTGGTGAGATGTTGATGAGCGTACTGCAGATGGCCGCGGACAAGAATGAAGATAGGGTGCCTACAGAAAAGTAGTCAAAGGGGGAAAAATTGAGGGGAAGTGGTAAAAGAAGAACGGGATGATGTTAAGAAAGCTATTAGGAGAGTGAAGGTTCTTCTTTTACGATATTTTCGAAATATGCAAAATTATGTATTTAGCCAAATAGCTCTTGAGTTGCCTTCAAAACCCAAAAGCTTCCATAATTAGAGTATATTCTCCCAGACATGCAATTTCCCGTCGCCTCCGGAGGCAGCGAGAACGTTCTTGAAAGGACTATACTTGACAATGCTTATAATTTTTGATTGTGGAAGCTTTCCTGGTTGAATTTGCAACTGATTGATGGTGGAATTTCCCAATTTCAAATGATGCAAAACCCCAGTTTCTGAGCCGGCAAAAATGTGTTTTGTATCATCATAGAGATCGGGTACCATAGTGCTCGTCACCTTGTACTCTAGTCGTGGCAGGACAGGGTATTTGTACCTACATTGGGCCAGGTTGGTATCCCATAGTCGTATGGATCCATCTTCAAGTGTCAAGAGACAAACATCCTTGTGTGTTTCTACTCCCAAAACACTCCCACCAGAAACCGAATCCGATGTCAATGTTTGGTTTCGAATGTCAACAGTGTACAAATTACCGTCAGCACAACCTATGGATACCACATTGGCTCCAAAGTCCAAACTGGTGAGATTATCATTTCCAACCGGCGCGGCAAAAACCGGACGTAAACGCTGCTCCTGGCGAAGATCGTGCAATTTCAACTCCTTATTACTCCCACAAGATGCTACAAGGTCAGCATTGAGATACTTACAAGCCAAAATATCATCCTTACCACTTCCCTTCAATTTGGCCAACTTTGTATGCTTTACTAAATCCCAAACCACCACAAAATCCCCTCCACCAGAAATAAACGAACTACCGGACTCGGAACAATCTAGATCATTCACAGAATTTACATGTTCTCTTGAAAACAGATGAGGTTTACCTGAAGAATCTACATTGTGAAGTCTCACAAGAGCATCATTTCCACCCCCAGTAAGTACAAAATTGGTGGCGGCAACAAAACATAACGCGGTAACCGACGATCGTTCATGAGCCTCAAACCATTTGTATACCATACAAACAAACACTTGCCTCGTTTGTGAAAAGTTGCAACTCTGCTGACGTAACCCCCGATGACGTAGTAGGCTGTGAGTTGCACATTGACGAGAAATGCGGAGACCAGACCGTTAAAGTATGATGAGACATTGGTATAATAAGACATTGGTACAAATAAGACATTGGCATTACATTGGTTGGGTGTTTTGATCCATTGTTGTATGACAATTGAAGGATCATGTTTTCTATTTTTGAGTATTGTCGGTCCTGTCTTGTACCAACGTCCATAACACATTCTCTAGTAAGGTCACAGCGCGGTATTGTACCTGCAGAGCGGATGTTGCAGGGCTCGGATTCAGGTGGTATAAAGGTGAATTACCTGGCAGAAACAGCCAATGATGAAAACTAGCTTTTTCAGTTTGACGCTTTTGGGATGTGCACTTTCTTTAGTGTCCAACCTTCCAAATATCAATAAGCAGGCATCTCCTGCCCTTGGTGGTGTATCAAAGACACCTCAAGACCTTTTGTTTTCTGGAGATTCTGTTTGTGACAAATTTTCGTCGACAATTCAATCCAACAACGATACCACCGATTTTCCCATCGACTTCAATTTGTATGTTGCAACCACTGAAAGTGCTCCAAATGACAACTATACCGTGGACTTGTACTTTAAGAACCCACGGCACAATTCTCTCAATCAATTTGCCATTTTGAACACCACCGATAAGCCACAGGCTTTGGAGCAGTATAACCCACAATTGATTTCACAGCAGCCAGGATTCGGCGTAGAGTTCAAATTCGACTTTTCAAAGGGTTTATTGTGCCAATTCTTGTACGAATTCCAGGTTATCTATCAATTAGAAAGACAAAACGACACCAGTGCCAAATCAGATAAGATTTTCTTGGTGGGTTCTTGCCAATTGAACCAGCAGTATCACCCAGACGACTACAATACGCTCATTGACCAAGGATTCAGATGCGTAGAGTACAATTCAGGGTTCAAATACGATGGAGGTAAGGACTGGTGTAGTAAATTTTACCCATCTGATCAATGCTGCGATCTGTACCAAAATGACGAACTAGTGGCTAGGGATACCTGTCCTACAAAATCCGGTGTTCTGCTGGCCTCTGCCCCTACCGTGGCACCAGGACCGCTGGACAGACCCAATGGACCTGGACACGAACCAAGAATTGCAGTTGCTTCTACGTTGACTACCAAGAGAAGAGCATGATACCAAAAAATGATCCAAATAAAATGACACCAAAATAAAATCAAAATTTACAAAACTTAAATTGAAAAAACATACATACTTTACATACAGTTAAGCACAATCTCTAATACCCATCTATTGGTCACTTCCTTCATCTCTACTTGCTCTTCCTTGTCTTTTCGCAGCCATTCATGCAGTGCGCCGCATTAATGTTCCGTGCATCAAATCTGGGGAACCATAACCAAATAAACCGAAAAACCCACAGCCAGAATTCCACTCAAATCACTTTCACAATTAAAAGAGCCCCATCTCCATTTTTCCGCCTTCCTTTCCCCTCAATGCCCCACGAAATACCACCCAACTTTTTCCATGTCCTGCACGATGCCACACACCTGCATCACCCCACTCCGGCCCCGAACGCCCCGTGCGATATCCCTTTTGTGCTTCTCCTTAAACCCAATTAATTCCAATTTCTTCTCAAGAGGACCATGGGAGACTACTTGACACCGGCCGAGTTGCCACACCCGAAATTGAAGCGTACAAATACTGGGTTTACCCCCAACCAGATTATTGCTCTTGATGCTGCCATTCCCGAAGCCGCAAAAAAAACCTGGAATAAATACTCACTTTTGAAGCCATTGGGGGGTCGTAACCATAACGAGGAAGAGCCTGGTGTGTTCAATGCCGAGGAGAAATTCGAGGAATATTTTGTCCGCCATGTGGAAACCACTTTGGCAAGAAACATGTACAACTGTGATACATTGGCTGCGTACCAGGCTACGTCAAATACCATTCGTGACGGGCTTCTTGTTGATTGGGCTAATACCCAGCAGAAACAAACCATCCATGATGGGAAACGTGTCTACTACTTATCCCTCGAGTTTCTTATGGGGAGGGCATTAGACAATGCGCTCATCAATTTAAATGCTCGCAACAATACCACAACTTCGTTGGAGCATCTTGGGTTCAACTTGGAGGATGTATTGGACCAGGAGCCAGACGCTGCGTTGGGTAACGGTGGTCTTGGAAGACTTGCGGCGTGTTTTGTAGACTCTCTTTCCTCGCGTAACTACTCGGGTTGGGGTTACGGTTTGAATTACCAGTATGGAATTTTCAAACAAAAAATTATTGACGGCTACCAGGTGGAAACTCCTGACTACTGGCTCAAGTACCTGAATCCTTGGGAAATTGACAGAAACGAAATCCAGATTCCTGTGGATTTTTACGGTTATGTCTACGAAAACTACGACACCAACACTGGCGAAGCAAAGAAGGTGTGGGCTGGAGGAGAACGGGTACTTGCAGTGGCGGCAGACTTCCCTATTCCAGGTTACAACACCAGCACAACCAACAATCTTCGTCTTTGGAACGCAAGACCCACCACCGAGTTTGACTTTGGAAAGTTCAATGCTGGTGATTACCAGCAATCCGTAGCGGCTCAGCAGCGTGCCGAGTCCATCACCTCGGTGTTGTACCCAAACGACAACTTTGAGAGCGGCAAGGAATTGCGTTTGAAACAACAATACTTTTGGGTAGCTGCTTCATTGCACGATATTATTCGTCGGTTTAAAAAGACTCACAAGTCAAACTGGGACAAGTTTGCCGATCAGGTTGCAATCCAGTTGAACGATACCCACCCTACGTTGGCAATTGTTGAACTCCAGCGTGTGTTTGTCGATGTAGAGGGCTTGGACTGGGACAAAGCATGGAGCATTGTCCGCAAGGTATTCGCCTACACCAACCACACAGTGATGACAGAAGCATTGGAAAAATGGCCTGTGACGGTGCTTAGTAGACTTCTTCCAAGACACATGGAAATTATCTACGATATCAACTTTTTCTTCTTGAAAGATGTTGAGAGAAAGTTCCCCCACGAAAGAGATATCTTGAGCAGAGTTTCGGTGATTGAAGAGTCTGAACCAAAGCAGGTACGCATGGCATACTTGGCAATCATTGGGTCTCATAAGGTCAATGGTGTGGCTGAATTGCACTCGGAATTGATCAAAACCACCATCTTTAAAGACTTTGTGAGAGTCTTTGGACCCGATAAGTTCACCAATGTCACCAATGGTATTACTCCTAGAAGATGGTTGCGCCAGGCCAACCCCAAGTTAGCAGCACTCATTGCTGAAGCTCTTAACGATCCAAACTACGAGTACTTGACCAACTTGGGCATGCTCAAGAAACTTGAACCTTTGGTGGATGACGACACCTTTTTGAAAAAGTGGGATGCTATCAAGTTTGACAACAAGCGTCGTTTAGCTGGTCTCATCAAGTCCGAAACGGGTATCGAAGTTGACCCCAGTGTCATGTTTGACGTTCAAGTCAAGAGGATTCACGAGTATAAGAGACAACAGTTGAACATCTTTGCTGTGATTTACCGGTATCTTCACATCAAAAAGTTGATTAGAGAGGGCAAGTCAGTAGATGATATCAAGAAGAACTACTATATTCCCAAATGTTCTATTTTCGGTGGAAAGGCGGCTCCAGGTTACTATATGGCAAAGACCATCATCCATTTGATCAACGAGGTTGCAAGTGTGGTGAACCATGATACAGAAATTGAGAATTTGTTGAAGGTTGTGTTCATTCCCGACTACAATGTGTCCAAGGCCGAGGTTATTACTCCAGCTTCTGATCTTTCCAATCATATTTCCACCGCTGGAACTGAAGCCTCCGGTACATCAAATATGAAGTTTGCTCTCAATGGAGGACTCATCATTGGAACCGTTGACGGTGCTAACGTTGAAATCACCAGAGAAATCGGCGAGGAAAACATCTTTCTTTTTGGTAACTTGGCAGAATCAGTTGATGAATTACGTCACAAACATGTTTACGAAGGTGTCAAGGTTCCAGAGTCGCTACAGGAAGTTTTCTCCGCAATCGAGTCAGGTTTGTTTGGCAATGCGGACGAGTTCAAGTCGTTAGTGGAGAGTATCAAGTATCACGGCGACTACTATTTGGTCACTGATGACTTTGATTTATTCTTGGAAGCCCACCGCAAGCTTGAGAAGGTATATGGCCATGATGGTAGCGGTCACCTCCACAACTGGGTGAAGAAGTCTTTGCTCAATGTTGCCCAATATGGGCTTTTTCAGTTCTGACAGATGTATTGACGAGTATGCTGAAAATATCTGGAATGTTGAACCACTCAGTGTTTGATTTACGAATCTAGAAGTCATATTTAGAATTTTGTATACTGCTAATATGCCCTAAGAATTTCGTTCAACTCGTCTCTTTTCAAGACGTTCTCAAACTTGAACGAAGCAGCCATTTCGTCTAAATCCTCAAAACTCAAACCAGCGAACAATTCGGCAAACTCATGCTGAGCATACTGCGAGAAAAGCATATCTTTTGTAACCCTGTAGACATAGTCGGTAACTGACCAGTTGTGAGGATACAATGCCTTTTGGTGTTTTTCAGGCATGTTAGCCTTGAAATGATCAACGAGATTTGCATACAATTCAGCATACTTTGGGTCGATATCATTTCCCCATCTGTCCAAACCAAGATGCTTCTTCTTGATCAAAAAGTCGCCAAGAACCTTGTACCATTTGGAATCTGGAGAGACGTAAGTCAAGCCTTGGTACCCAATATCTTTGTACAACCAAATGGACCAACTAATCGGTGTCTTATCGCCAGAAGGGTCTCCCTTCTTGTACACCGCCAATTGGTCTTTGGCAACATTGTACCGAGCCCTATTGATAGTTTCTGGGTCACTATCTCCTCTCACCTTGGAGGCATAGACAGGGCCCCATTCACCATTCCAAACTGGAACATTGTGAGCTTTCATATACTCAATTTTGCGCTCATATTGTGACTTGAGTTTGGCCCTTTCTTCTTCACTTCCCTTGTATAAAGTTCCTTCAAGGTTGGGGAACCCATACTGGGCATAATCGTGAATGGCATAGACACAATTTGGAATTGTCTTGCTTGGAAATTGGCGGAAGTCCATGGCATAAGTGTTACCGTCCAAGAACAAGATGTGATTAGGATCAACGGCACGAACATCCTTGTCGATTCTGTTGTAAAAATCGACCAACTTGCTGTGGTCTGCAACTGCTGGCTCATTCAATGGATTGTAGCCGGCAACCCAAATGTTATCCTTGTAGTACTTTGCAATCTCGACCCAGAGGTTGACAATTGCGTCCTGAAACACCTTGAACTCCCAGAAAAGTGACTTGTGGATTCCAGAGTCACAATGCCAATCTTGGTTCTGTCCACCTGGTGCGGTATGCAAGTCCAAAATGGTGTAGATTCCATGCTTGGCACAAGTGTTCACCAAGGCGTCAAGTCTGGCGAACCCTTTCCTGTTGATCTGGAAAAGATCACCTTCATCATCCAAAAAGTGACGGTGATTGAATGGAATTCTCAAGCAATTGAAACCCAAAGACTTGAAAAATTTCGCATCCTCTTCTGTCCAGAAATATTCGTAAAACTTGTCGAAAAAGTACTCGAATTTCTCCGCTCCCATTTTGGACTTCATTACCTTTTTGTGTTCGGTTTCATGTCCGGGATAGCCCGTAATGAAGTTCTCCATATTGAGATGGCCGCCGGTAGCGGCCCCGGTCAAAACGGTGACGAAGCCGTCACCATCGACAATTTTTGTACCTTTAGTTTTCAAGAATCCTGGCATGGTAAGTGTAAAGATGCGAGATAATGGGAGACACCAGCTTCCTTTAAACCCAGTCAATGGTAATGGTTTTGGTAACGAAGCCGGACAGTCCTCAGTCAACGGATAAATTGCTGCATTCGGGCGGCGGGACACCTCCCCATTTAGGCAAGTCTGACGGGTTGTTGGTTCCGTGTCATGTACCCCGCAAAAATCACAGAGAATACGAGACAGATCGGGTTAAACATGCATATTACGGGCCATATGCCGGCACGGACCCACAGCGAATTCGCTCACGCTTCGAATTAACCTTTCATTCTAAAATAGCGTGGGGTATTAATACAAGGGTAAAAGCCGCAGTGGCTCCCAAAAATCATCGCCAAGTATTGGCAAACTTTTGATACTCCGATCCGGATTTATTCCTCCGCCTCGACGCCGTACCCCACCACACGGTATTGCTGATACGGGCAGGTCTACCGCCTCGATATCGTATGCATGCACCTCAGCATGCAATGAACTACTAGCAAGATGGTTTCAGGCATGTACCTCATCACGGTGCCCCACCCCCCGCATTTCGTGACGTGGAGGAACGCGGCAAAACAGCCTAATCCGGATATTCTTTCGTACCTCAGTCGGCGCACCTGCCTCATTCATCCGAAATACCCTGCTCCCCGCGTACGGTTTATGAGTTGACCTGCTCATCATTTCTTGGACAGAGCTCGGAAAACATCTCACCCCTCCTGTTTACTCTACTATATATAGTGGCATGGTTTCCAATTCGTCTTCATACTGGAAAATGACTGATTCAAACTCTAGCATTGAAAAACAGCAGGTTATCACTACTCAAGAGAGTGGTATAGATGTCACCAACCACCTTGAAATCGATGACCACTCCATCAGCGAGTTTATTCGGGAAACACGACCATGGTATCGTGTTTCTCACCTCGTTTACTTGAACATTTGTGTGTTTTTGGTGACTCTTACCTCCACCAATAATGGCTACGATGGTAGTATGTTGAACGGTCTTCAATCTTTGAGTTCATGGCACACAAAGATGGGAAACCCCACTGGCCACATCTTGGGAGCTTTGTCCAATGGTACGATTTTTGGTGGTATTCTTGCACTTCCCATCGCACCGTATATTTCTGATCGGTTTGGAAGATGGTGGGCCATTGTTGGTGGAGAATTGATTACCGTTATTGGTGCTATTCTTCAAGGTGCTTCGACAAACTATGGCTTTTTCCTCGTGGCCAGATTATTCTTGGGTTTCGGCTCAATGGTGGCTGTGGTGGGAAGTCCTACGCTTATTTCTGAACTCGCATACCCTACCCACAGAATGGTCGCTACCACCTTCTACAACACCTGCTGGTACTTGGGTGCTGTTATTGCTGCCTGGGTTACTTATGGGACTCAGGACGTGAAGGGCAACTATGCATGGAGAATTCCTAGTTATTTGCAGGCTGCTTTACCTGCTATTCAGCTTGCATTCATGTGGATGGTACCAGAATCACCCAGATTTCTAATTAGCAAAGGAAAACTCGAACAAGCTGAAAAGATCCTAACCAAGTTCCACATTGGAAACTCAACCCACCCTGACGACGTTGCTCTCGTCAAATTTGAGATGAGAGAGATCGAGAGGGCCATTGAGGTGGAGAAACTCCAAAATAAGACCAAATACTCCGACTTCATTAAGCGCAAAACTTACAGAAAACGTCTTTTCATCTGTATGTTTGTTCCCACCATCATGCAACTTTCTGGTAATGGTCTTGTTTCCTACTACTTAAGTAAGGTGTTGATAACCATTGGTATCACCGAGACCAAAAAACAGCTCGAAATTAACGGATGCTTGATGATCTACAATATGGTCATTTCCATGACAGTTGCTGCTGTTGTCAATCGGTTCCGCAGAAGAACCTTGTTCTTATTTTCTACCGGAGCCATGTGTGTCACCTATGTTATCTGGACCGCCTTGTCTGCGGTTAACGAGCAAAAGGACTTCAAGGACCACTCGTATGCCAATGGTGTCTTGGCAATGATTTTCCTCTACTACTGTGCGTATGACATTGGTGTCAATGGTTTGCCATTCTTGTACATCACGGAGATCTTGCCATACAGTCACAGAGCCAAGGGTATCAACATTATGCAACTTGTCAATCAAATCGTGTTGGTTTACAACGGGTTTGTAAATCCAATTGCCATGGATGCCATCTCGTGGAAATATTACATCGTCTATTGTTGTGTCAATTTCTGTGAGTGCATCATCGTTTACTTCTTCTTTCCCGAAACATCCGGCTACACTTTGGAAGAGGTTGCCAAGGTGTTTGGAGACGATCCGGATACTACCATCCATATTCTTGCCACTCCAAAGGAAAAATTATCGCTTGAACATGCTGAAAAAGTATGAGTTAGTAGCTGACAAAATTAATATGACTGGTATAATCAACTGCCTTAGGATTTTCTCTTGTGTAGTCTCAGGTTATAGTTTCCTCTAGATCTTCAGTGGCGACCGATATCTCCACTTCATTCGGAACCTTACGGAAAGTTGAAATTTGATGTTAGTAAGCCGCAGGGTGGTGCATTGACGGCTGCAAATTATTAATGCGACTATTCCCTGTTTTTACCCGACGGCCGAATCACTCCTTTGGGAAATTCGCGCGACCACTGGCTGCGAAATAATCGAAGCAACCCAGGGTATAAAAGACATACCCAATTCCTGATTCTTCCAACAAGTATAATGTCTAAGCTTTTTGTCGTATTCGGTGCTACTGGCCAGCAAGGTGGGTCAGCAATTTCACATGTTCTTGACGATCCTGAATTGTCAAAGCAATTTAAGATCAGAGCGGTTACTCGGGACCCTTCAAATCCAAAACTTTCATCATTCAAGGAAAGAGGTGTGGAGGTAGTCAAGGGAGATTTCAACGATGCCTCGTCTTTGAAAGCAGCAGTGTCAGGCGCTTTTGTTGTTTTTGGAGTGACTCTTTCAGTTTATGATCCTGTTAAAGGTACTGAGGAGGAAGTCAAACAAGGTAAAAGTATCGTTGACGCAGCAATTGAAGCTGGTGCCAAGTACTTTATCTGGTCTTCTGCTCCAGATCCCGACAAGATCAGCCATGGAAAGTACAAACATGTTTCCATATACGGAGGAAAGAGTGGAGTTATGGACTATATCAAATCTCAGCCCATCACCGGAATTTATTATTCTCCCGGATCATTCATGCAAAATTACCAGAGTCAACTTGCTCCCAAGCCTCTCGGTGATGGCACATACGGCATTTTTGGCCGGTTTAAGCCCGATACCGAACTTCCAATCATTGATATCAACGACACCGGAAAGTTTATTGGCGCCATTCTTGAGAACCCAGAGAAGTTTTCTGAGCAGTTTGTAGCTAGTGCTGAAGGGGTATACAAGGTTGAAGATATAGTTGCCCGAATTGCCAAGGTCTCCGGAAAGACGATCACATACCACCAAGCTACTGTGGAGCAGTTTAAGGAAAACGTTCCTCCTTTCTTGAAACCATTCGCTGATGTTTTGAACGATTTTTTTCAACTTATTGTCGAATTTGGCTACTATGGACCAGATCTGAAGAAACAAGTGGACAACTGGTCGAAGCAGGCTCATGGAAAGCTTACTACTATTGAAGAGTTCTTTGAGAAAAACCCTCTCACCTTCAAGTAAGCTATGATGAATGAGGTCTATAAGTTTATAGTTGATGTTTTGAATAAAATGAAAATAAGTTCATTCAGTTTATTGTTGCCAAAACCAAGTGATCTGGTGGCTGCAACTTTCCTTCGCAAAGCGACGGACTGCATACAACCCAGGTGTGTACACGTTTTTTTCTGAGGTTTGGGATCGTTTGTAACAAAGGGTACACTTTCTACTACATTTTTGTTGACATACACTGTATTTTCAACGCACAAATCGGGTACGCGAGTGTAGCTGGCTGCTCACTCATACCCTAAAACTGAATTCAAGTCACTCAGATTGCACCAAAACTCATTTTTTCTTTTTCATATCATTCAGCTGCCATGTTCTTCCACGCCATTTTGGTACTTATACAGGTAGCGTTAGCATTAGGGGCATCTCCCAGGGCCGGTAGTAGCGAGAGGAGCAAATACTTTGTTACCAGCCTACCGGGAATGTATCTGAATCTACCCAAGGAAGAGATTCCAATCATGTTTTCAGGACAACTTGAATTGTTTCCCGAGAATAATACCCACTATTACTTTTGGAAGTTTGTAAATCCAAATCCCATTGCAGAAGCAGAGAGAAGAACGATATTCTGGTTGAATGGTGGTCCAGGGTGCTCATCTATGGACGGTGCGTTGATGGAAGCCGGTCCCTTCCGTGTCAATGACGACAAAGAAATAGTTTACAATAACGGATCGTGGCATAAAGCCGGCGACATAGTATTTGTTGACCAACCAGCTGGCACCGGATTTAGTTACTCGGACGAATATGAGCACGAATTGCCGGATGTCAGTGTTCATTTTCTCAAATTCTTGGAAAAGTATTTCGAAGTTTTCCCTGAAGACCGTCAAAACCAAATATTTTTTGCGGGAGAAAGTTATGCTGGACAGTACATTCCATACATCGCCGATGGTATCCTTAAGCGCAACAAAAACTTGAAGGCTGGTGAGTCACCTTACGATCTTCGCGGACTCTTGATCGGTAATGGTTGGATAGCTCCCAACGAACAAAGCTTATCTTACGTTCAATATGCTCTTCAGGCCGGATTTGTATCACCATCGATGCCTGGCTGGTCGCGACTCTTGGCACTGCAGGAACGGTGCCAGAACGTGGTTAACCTGGTTAACACGCAAGACGATAGCGTTTCTGATTACAAGGTGGTTTCTGACGTTTGTGACCAAGTTTTAAATACATTGTTGGAAGTGGCTAGGGATAGAGATGCGCCCGCTGATCAACAGTGTGTTAACATGTATGACTACACTTTGCGAGATGAATTTCCTTCGTGCGGAATGAACTGGCCTCCTGACTTGGTCAATGTGAAACCTTTCCTCAACATTCCTGGAGTTCAATCTCAGTTGAATCTCGTGCATAAGAAGCCATGGCTTGAATGTTCGGGGAGAGTAGGCAGAAACTTTGTTGCACAGCGGTCCAAACCGGCAGTCCATCTTCTTCCTTCCCTTTTGGAAGATGTGCCTATTTTGTTGTTCAATGGTAACAGAGATATCATTTGCAACTATATAGGTACCGAAGCGTTCATCAAGGAGTTGGAGTGGAATGGCCAGAAAGGATGGGACGACGATAATGTATTTGATTGGAACTTTGATGGTAATCTTGCGGGATACGTTCGAAATTCAAGAAACTTGACGTTTGTGAACGTTTTCAACTCTTCGCATATGGTGCCCTTTGATTTGCCTGACACATCACGGAGTTTAATGGACTTGGTCACCGGTAATTTTGACATTAAAGATGACAAGATCTTGACATACAAGTTGGGAACTCGTGGACAAGCCAAGCAGAGCGACAAAAAACCAGCATCAACTTCATCAATTCCGTCCGAAATCTCTGCTACTGCATTGGCTTCAGGCTCTTCGTCCGCTTCGGCTCAAGCATCTGCGACTGCCAATGAAGCCGACGGTGATAACAACACATCGCATAAGATCGAGCGGGCTATACAATTACTCGTCATCATTGTTCTCTTGTGGGGCATATATGCACTTTATTCCTCCTACAAGTCGCGGCCATCACTGATTATCAAATCAGGTCCAACAGGTAAAAAGAAGAATGTGCAATGGGCGGATCAGCTCCGCAGATTCCAGGAGGACGATCAGGTGCGTGTACAACCACATGGCATTTTTGCTAAAGCATTAAACAAATTCAAAGGTAATCTGGATGGAGCATATGCCCCAGTTCAAGGACGCTACGAAGACATTGAGATGTCATCAGCATCACCAATCGACGACTTTGTGGTGGTAAGTGACGACGAAGAGGAGGAACCGTCTAGAAACGAGCCATCCAGCAACCAGAAATAGATTTTATGACTTCAATGAAAGATATCTTGTATACCGTAGTGTCCCGCTCAAGTTTACTGGTGCGAAGTGAGCGATGAAGTATCGATTTGTGCTTGACGATTGGTTAGCATTTGGGCACCATAAGCACGGAAGCACATCGTACGATACTGTAAAAGGTTCAGAAGAGCCTCTGGATAAGCCGTGATACAAAATTGAGCAATATCATCACTTTTTTCGTCGATTTTTCACCACAGGTGCTTTCACATTTCCACAAATGTTTAAACAGATCCGCCAATTAGCCACGTCCGGCACGGTTTCTGGCTTCGGCGTAGCCAAACCACCAAAGTATACGTTGGGATCGCTTCGTAGCTTCCCATCGTTAGAACCTAAAACCTTTGTCCCACTTCCAGCATCGTTTTTCGATGCTCCATTCCGAAGAGATATATTATGGAGTGCAGTAGTTTATGAAGCTGATGGTGCCAGAGTCGGGTCAGGATACGTGCCTACAAAGAGCGACAAACTATACTCTAATCGCAAACTTCATCCTCAAAAAGGTACCGGAAGGGCTCGTGTAGGAGATGCCAACTCTCCCATTCGAGACAATGAAATTAAAGCCCACGGTATCAAAGCACCTCATGACTGGTCTACGGACTTGCCCAGAAAGATCTACAACAAGGCAGTAAAGACTGCTATATCTGATCAGTACCGTAAAGGAAATATTTTTATCGTGGAAGATGGAGTCGATTTCAAATATGCTCACCAAGATGCGACCAAACAATTTGTCGAAGCCCACAGCTTGGATAAATTACACCTCTTGTTTATCACCAATGAGCAAAGAACAAACTTATTAGAATCTACGGAATATTTGGGAACTAAAGGTGATGTGATTGTCAAAGAAGCGGTTCAAGTTCGCGACCTTCTCAAAGCCAATCGTATATACATTGAGGCAGATGCCTTGAAGTGGATGATTGGAAAATACATGTAAATAGACGACACGATAATAAAGTCAAAAGAATATCTACCCTTACAACTATAGCTTCAGTGGGTTTAATGTAGTTCGTCATTGAGCCCTAACCATATCACGTGCGCGCGTACAGGGCTCCGTCTCGTGACCGGTGCTCGCACGGTGAAAAATACTCGAAAAAAGTTTTGAGACTCCTTCAACTTCAACAGAAACATGTCATTAGTTGTCCAAGAGGAAGGTTCCTTCCAGCACATCTTGCGTTTGTTGAACACCAACATCGATGGTAGAATCAAGATCATGTATGCTTTGACCAAAATTAGAGGTGTTGGTCGTCGTTACTCCAACTTGGTTTGTAAGAAGGCCGATGTCGACTTGAAAAAGCGTGCCGGTGAATTGACCCAAGAAGAGTTGGAGAGAATTGTCACCATCATGCAAAACCCAACCAACTATAAGATCCCAGCTTGGTTCTTGAACAGACAAAAAGACCAAGTTGACGGTAAGGACTACCATGTGTTGGCTAACAACATGGAGTCCAAGTTGAGAGATGACTTGGAGAGATTGAAGAAGATCAGAGCTCACCGTGGTATCAGACACTTCTGGGGATTGAAGGTCAGAGGTCAACACACCAAGACTACTTCTCGTGGTCGTTAAATAGCTTCATAGCATTAATAAGATGAAGGAAAAAGAGTGTAGAGAAAGAGGCAGTAAGAAGTAAAGGAAGAAAAGGTGTACGAAGGTGTGAATTGGGTAGAGCTCATTTCTTGCTGAGTCTTACTTTCACCACAGGCTGAATTCAACCATTCTATTAATTTCTACTCTCTCTCACATATCATTAATTCGTCTATACATTAACCTTTTGACTCCATTTGCCCGATTTCAAATGCAAAAGCGACTCAATTGCCCCGTCGCTTTCCTTCTTGAATTTCTGAGGAAGATTGACATCAAGTTGGCCCAATGGCTTGCGTTTTCTGGGGAGGTCGTCATCATCAATATTGGCAAGAATATTGGCGGTGGAAGGACGAGCAGGACCCAATTTGAATGTCATGGTGGTGGCGGTTGCGCCATTGAGAGAACTGGGCTGTCTCTTCTTAGTTTCGTTCAAAACCAACCCAATTGAGTTATCGAACGAATCATCGTTTTGAATAAACGACGAGTTGGGGGTGGTGTAGAAGCGAGAAGACGATGCTGACGACACCACTGATGTGTTTGAAGAAGGCGCAGGAGACACGGTTGTTGGGTATGTGTGGGAAACCGGTTCTGGTTTGATTGGGGTGGATGCAAATGGGCGTGGTGCAATCTTGACAGGCACCGGGGTGACAGGAAGCTCTGTAACTTCCTTCTCGACAGCGGACTGTTTTCGCAAAGCCTGGCGTTTGTTCTGGAACCAGATCTGAACAGCTTTTTCGGTCATCGACACCATATTGGCGATTTCGAGACGACGTAATTTATTGGGGGTGGAACCCGATTGAAACTCACGATTGAGAATGGCGAGTTCATTGGGTGAAGTTCTTCTGCGCTTCCGTCTAGCGAGAGGCGCGTTGTCGATGCTGGGTTCCTGCGAAGGATAAGTGGCAGGAGAATGGGAAATGAATGCAAACGCTTTGGAATTGGAAGATTTGGTGGATTTTTCAGTGGGAACCATAGGTACTTCAGAAGTTGCCGATGTGGGGCTGTGGCTCTCAGAGCTCGAGAGCGACCGGTGCACGGGACCCACGCGTTTCGATGGGCTTTTGGTGGACCAATCAAGGGAGTCAAACGAGGGTAACTTGCTGGGATATGGTGTAGAAGAAAGTATGGTAGACAATGGAGGAAGACTTGGTTTGCCCACGCTAGGCGTTGGAGGTAACACAGGCCTTTTTGGGGTGGCTAAGGGCATCAGCATGGCACAGCAACGAATATTGGATGTGGGAGGATCAGCAGCAGTTTTTATGTGGGTGGAGTGAATGGTAAACAAGCGACGCGAAATTCGCGGTCGCGCCAGGGGTCGTCGCGGACGCAGGTAATAATGCAAAGTTTTCGCGATCCGGTAATAGTTTAACGAAAGGGGATAATAGACGATTGTCCAAAAGAAGAAAAAGCGATGACGGGACAGGAAGAATAGAAGTGGTAATAATAGAAGTGGTAATAATAGAAGTGGCAATAATGGGCGATGAATGGTAAAAAATTAGTCGATCTAGTCAATCATAGACAGTTAATCATAACATCACCAATCATAATAATCACAGCTAATGTTACTTAAGTTACCCGCCGGAGTTTGGATCACTTGCTTCCGTTCATTTCCATCACTTTTCCTTTGTTGTGTTTTGCCTTCGCGCCAATCGCGTATCACCCCTCCCCATACGGTAAATTGATTACCGCATGCGAATAATTACCTTCGTTGGCGTGTGCAACTCACACCATCTTGTCCGGCACGTGGATTATGTAAGGTATTCCATTCTTCTTTTAGCGATTATACCGTTTCTACTCGACCCCACAGTCCATGAGAGTGCCCCAAGTGTTGCAATGGAGCTGTATGGCGGTTGCTTGTGCTGCACACATTACGCAGGAGACACCATTGTCGTTGGCTGAACTAGGACTTACGGAAACAACCCCGATTACCTTGTCCAATAATCACAAACTTCATGGCAGATTTCTTCACATAACAGATATGCATCCAGATCCGTACTATGAGGAAGGGGCGTTCCAGCTGGAGCTCTGCCACGTAGGAAAGGACAAAGACGCAAAAAAAGGAGATGCTGGAAAATACGGCGATGCGGTTTCTGGTTGTGACAGTCCGATGATTCTCATGAACGAAACTTTAGCATGGATTTCAAAACATCTTCGAGACAAAATCGACTTTGTGGTCTGGACGGGAGACAACATTCGTCACGACAACGATAGACGGTACCCTCGTACAGAGACACATATATTTGATATGAATCAATTGGTCAGTGATTATGTCGTTGATACCTTTCGGTCCGACAACAACTATGGTTCTCCATTGGGAATTCCCGTGGTGCCCTCGTTGGGAAATAATGATGTGTATCCTCACAATTTGTTTGCCAAGGGTCCTACGTTGCAAACACGAGAAATGTTCAAAATTTGGCAACCTTTCATTCCGCCAGAACAACTCCATGTTTTCAGCCGGGGTGCATATTTCTTCAAGGAAGTGATTCCTAACAAATTGGCAGTTTTGTCGATCAACACCTTGTACCTCTTCCAGTCCAATCCATTGGTGGACAACTGTGATCGTAAGAAAGAGCCAGGTTACATGCTCTTTAAATGGCTTGGGTATGTTCTCAAAGAAATGCGAGCTCGCAAAATGAAAGTATGGCTTTCCGGCCATGTTCCTCCCAACGAGAAAAACTATGATATCTCGTGCCTTCGAAAGTACATTATGTGGACCCACGAGTACAGAGATGTCATTGTTGGAGGACTTTATGGCCATATGAACATTGACCATTTTATACCTTTGGATGCAAAAGCAGCATACAAGTCTCTCGATGCAAAGTACGGCGGTGTACAAGTTCCTTTTGCAGATGAAGAGGTCTCTTTTGAAGACGACTCTTTAGAAGGTTCATACCGAAGATTAGGGTACTCCATTTGGGACGACTCAATTGATGGAAATTTCGACCAACTTCCAAAATTTTCATCGTTCAATGACGTTCGAATTGCCGGTGGAATTCCCAACAACAAGGTCAGATACATGGAAACGATTCGTGATGAAGTATATCGTGACATTTCCAGGAGAAAGAAACAGGGTGAATTCTCAGAACGGTACGCTGTCGCTCACGTAACCGCCAGTATTGTACCTACATTCAACCCAGGAATTAGGGTTTGGGAATACAACACCACAGGGTTGGACACCAAAAGTGACATTGAATATGCTCCCTGGGACGAGTTTTTCTCGGGACTTGAACAATTGTTGCAAAATAATGAAAATCATGACGATAACGATTTGCATACATTAAAGCGCGATAAGACATTCCCGCCTAAAATGCCCAAAGATCTCCCATTGGGCCCGGCTTATGTGCCTCAAGCATTCACGCCTACGAGGTATGTTCAATACTACGCCGATTTGAAAGCTATAAATAAGGGAGATAAAAAATTCGGCTACGAAATTGAGTACACTACCGACGATAAAGACCACCAAATGTCACCACTCACGGTTGACCAATGGATGAAATACGGTCGCAAACTTGCAAAAGCAGGCAAGAAGAAGGCTAGCAACAAAGAAAAGAGAATGTGGAATGCATTCCTTCACCAGGCATTCGTCAGTAGTGGGTATGAAGACATGGGCTTGGGCTGAGCCCTGGCACGTGATATACTTTGCGCCCAGTGCACCAAAGTTTTCGCGGCCGGCGAGTAAAACTTTTCAGTGCGCTCGAAAGTTTCATATCGGAAAGACCATTAAACATTCCTATCGTCAAATTATAAGTCGAAATGGGTGGTATTCGTGATAAGAAAATTGAGTATTTCTCAAAGTTGAGAGAATTGTTGGAGACTTACCAATCCATCTTTGTGGTTGGTGTCGACAATGTCTCTTCTCAACAAATGCACGAAATTAGACGTGCATTGAGAGGTGAAGGTGTTGTGTTGATGGGTAAGAACACCATGGTTAGAAGAGCCTTGAGAGGATTCTTGGCTGACTTGCCAGACTTTGAGAAGTTGTTGCCTTTCGTCAAGGGTAACGTTGGTTTCATTTTCACCAACAGTGACTTGAAATCTGTTAGAGACACCATTACTTCCAACGTTGTTGCTGCTCCAGCCAAGGCCGGTGCCGTTGCTCCAGCTGATGTGTGGATTCCAGCCGGTAACACCGGTATGGAGCCAGGTAAGACCTCTTTCTTCCAAGCTTTGGGTGTCCCAACCAAGATTGCCAGAGGTACCATTGAAATTGTGTCTGATGTCAAGGTTGTTGAAAAGGACGGTAAGGTTGGTCCTTCCGAGGCCACTTTGTTGAACATGTTGAACATCTCTCCTTTCACCTACGGTTTGACTGTTGTTCAAGTGTACGACAAGGGTCAAGTGTTCCCTGCCACCATCTTGGACATCACTGACGATGAATTGATCGGTCACTTTGTTTCCGCCATCAACACCATCGCCTCCATCTCGTTGGCTGCTGGTTACCCAACCTTGCCATCTGTCGGTCACTCTGTTGTCAACCACTACAAGAACGTGTTGGCTTTGTCCATCGCAACCGATTACACCTTTGAGGGCTCTGAGGCCATCAAGGACAGATTGGCTAACCCTGAGGCTTACGCTGCCGCTGCCCCAGCTGCTGCTGCAGCTTCCGAGGAGGCTGCTCCTGCTGCCGCTGAGGAGGAAGCCGAAGAGTCTGAAGATGACGACATGGGTTTCGGTTTGTTCGATTAGGTCACATACTCATAATTGCACAAAGATGTAAATTAATAAAATTTGTAGTTTTGTGGTGTGCCACAAACATGGTCGGTCAAGTAACTGAACGAGACCTTTCGTCAAAATTGGCAGAGATCCAGTTTGCAATCGATGATTTGACTACTGGTGTCAATACATGGTATACGCTTCTTTGCCATTTGCTGCAAATTGTTCCTATTCTTGAAACTGCTTCTATCGACGAAAAGAACGAGTACGAGCAACTACTTTCCACGAGACTTGGCAAAATAATTGATATTATTTGCTTGTTTGTTCTGGATGAAGCTCCTCTAGAATTGACTCTAGTTCTCACCGATGTCTTCCTTCAAATCAAGTTTGTGTTGCAAGATCAAGCTGCTAAAATTCTGTCTCAAAAGGAAACATTGATCAACCTCAAGGCAACATTAGACTTGGAAATAGAGTCAGAGGCTTACAATACCCTCAAGGGAGCCGTCAATTCCCTCACATCTTGCTTGGAAACTGAGGTTCCAAGATTGTTAATTTCGCAGCCATCGACGGTGTTTTCCACTTTTGCAACCACTAACGAAAATGACTCCAGAGTGGTTAGACCTAGAAAGAGATTCTACCGGGACTTAACACCACATGCAATTTCGAGTTTGGGTCCCAATTCTGAAACAGTAATTTGTTCGCCAAAACGGCAGCGATGTGCGACTCGAAGCGACTTTCGGTATCACAGCATCGATGTTTCGCTAGTGCCTTCATGGATGGATAGATTATTTTCGGGTGGTGTAGAGCCAGAGCCAGAACCGCGGTCTTCAAGAAGGGACCATTTTATGAACAGAGTGAAACGGTTTTTTGACTTTTTCAGAGAGCCTACATCTGGGTGTAGAAAGTGTATATTTCTACCATGGCATCGTTTCTTTCACAAGACCTAAATATATACAATGTGTTTAATCCCTGGACCGGATCAACTGTTGAGGTTCTTCCTGGACAGTCTTTGCATCCTCAAACGTAGGCTTTGGAATGTGTTGAGTCAACTTGGATGGAGATGGCCATTCCTCTGGTAATAATCCTGCTCTCTTGAACAAAAAACCAACACGGTCCGAAACCTCGGCACCGTTACCGAGCCAGTACTTGGAGCGGTCGAAATCCAACTCTATATGCTTGTATGGTTTGACTCCTTGAGCCTGCTCTTCGGGTGATAATGGAACGGGTATGGGATTATAGGTTCCTAATACTTCTATGGGCAAACTATCTCTTGCTGAGCGTCTGTTGGCCACCACGATATTATAGAAGGGTTGGTGCTTGCGCCCAAACCGAGCCAAGCGGATTTTGATGGGACTTTTCATTCTACGTTTGTGTTGAGAACTGAAAATTTCCAGTGAGACTTTTCAAAGGTGGTGCATACAGGTTTTTACATCAACTTGGCTTCATTAAATGTAGTATATATGATACGCTCAAAGCTTCTTTCTAGCTTTAAACTTCTTTGGCTTCGACACTCGGCTATTAGTAGTGGGCTTTTTCTTCACTTCTGGTTCATCGTCTGACCAATCATCTTCGTTTTGGCGCTTATTCTTGAACTTCAATTTGTTTCTTTGGCCACGAATAGGTGCTTGTTTAACGGCATCCAAGTACGCATCCACGCCAGAACCTTTGTTGGCAAGTGTATCTTCAACATCGTCTCCTTCGCCAAACACCAATTTTCCATTCTTCGATGGTACGTTTCTACGTTCCATATCTTTCTTAGTAAACTTTTTGGGCCTCGATGAGGATATACGTGCCATAGTTTGACGATCCAACAAGTCCAAGGGAGTGTCTCCCAGCTCCAAAATATACTGGTTGGTTCTCTTTTTGGAATCTCCATTGGCATCGAATTCTTGAATTTCTTCGTCGTCGGAAACGTCAGAGTTGTACAAGGCTTCCTCGTACGCCGACACAAACTTCTTGGTTTCTTTAGGCTTCTCTGTGGTTTCTCCTCCGTCTTCTTGCTTTCTCTTAGCCCTGGTTCTTGACTTTCTTATGTTGACCACGAGCTTTTTATCATCTTCGGGAATCGCTGCTTCAACAACATCTGCTCCAAACTTTCTAATGAGTCTTTCAACAATATGCTTGACCTTGGACTTGAAATGTCCCTTGTGCTCGTGAGACCATCTCATCAACTTGGCTAACAACTCTGTCAAGTTCTCTCTCACCACATCTTCCGGCAACGACAACACCTCAACCTTGACAAACCCAATAGCTGCCTTTGCAATTTCTCTGGAGTTATGGGTCAAGAATAATTCTATAGTAGAAGAGATCTCTTTCAACACATCAATTGCAAGAGAATCCTTGAATTCAAACATCAAACAAGAAATGGCAGTGATTGTAGCCGAAATCATATGCGGAGTTTGTGCCGCCAAACCAGCACTAACCATGGTGAAAAAATCACCCAACGATGCTTCTTGCTTTGCTTCTTCCGCTTCGAATCCTGGAATTTGAGACTGGTCGATTACTCCACCATTAGACATTTTCTTACCCATGGAAATCAAAATTTGATACGAAATACTTCTTGTTCGTTCGTTATTGTCTTTAGTGGACATGATAACTTCCTGCAACACGGAGGGTATGAAATGTAATTCAGAGCTGGGAAGCAAGTCCAAGATAGCCAAAATTGCAGCCAATCTGGCTCCTCTAGCTGATGGTTCAGTAATTTCAGTCGACTCCACAATCACCTTTTCGAGGTGTGCAATAAAGTTAACCAATGAGGACTTTCCTTCGTTGGTTTCAGAAAGTTTGGAAATAATTCTATAGGACCGTTTTTGCACAAGTGGGTCTTTTATCGAAACCGTGGTTGCGAAAACCGAGAATAAGGCATTGTGTGAAGATTCTGGCAAGTATTTGGTCATGGCAACTATTAAGTCCATCATTGTAAGACTCAATTTTGAGCCACTGTCTTTCGAGTTTTCTTGCTCTTCTTCGTCTAAGGCATTCTTGAAAAGTCCACATACCTTATTGAAGGTATTTTCCAATTCGTCCTTGGGAACAATTTGCAAGTACATGTCAATTGTCTCCAAAACAAATCCTCTCGTGTCGGGAGAAATTGACAGAAACACATTGAATAACACGGAAAGTAAATTAGATGCTCTTGTGGCTAAGTGTTTCAAGTACTCTTCTGCCAAGTGAACGGGAAAGTTCTGTTGCATGAGCTTGTCGTCCGATAACGCACCCCCCACATAAGCGACATTGGATTCGACGAGAGACCTCAAACCATTGCAAATGAAGGTACGAAGTTCGACTCTAGCGTACAAAAGGTCGGAAAGTTGGGCTGCAAATTTGTCATCGAAACTTGTAGACAAGTCCTTGGGAAGATCACAAAAATGAGGAAGCAAAGACCAGATTTGCTCAACGATGGTCTGGAAGATCTTGACATTGACAGATTCCTTGTTCGTGGACTCCTTAATTTTATTCTCAAAAAATTCACTCAATGGTAGAATTTGACGCTTGTAGAATTCAAGATCGGCGTTTCTCACATTGTCTCTCAATAAAGGTAACAACCAAGCACGGCCAGGACCACCAGTTCCGGTCAAGTTCAAGGGCAAGATACTCAAGCATACCTCAGGTCCCAACTCTGAAATGCATACAGATATGAAATCTTCTGCTTCTTTGTTGAAAGGAAACTCTTCTGTTTCATTGGTACGCCATTGACCAACAATTTCCATAACGTTCAAGAAGTCAGGGTTGCATCTAGATCTCAATTTTGAAACCACTGCGGTAAGGAACTCCAAGATCTCTTTGGTAGCGGCCTGATATTTTATAGAAAGCACTTCCTTTTCGGTGAATTTTGCAAGAAACGCAACGAAATCGTCCATAGCCTCGTATATCGTTGTCGATACTGCTGGTGGATCGAGAATGAAGTCGTCTGGCACCGCTTGGGTAATTATGGCAATAAGACATTGCGATGCAGAGCTGTAGATATCTTGAGAGTCAGACGACAAATAAGATGTAACAATAGGAATGACTGTGTGGAGTTTTTGAAGGCACATTATAGGAGCAAGTTTGGAGAAAGCAGCAATTGCTTTGGCTATCACCGCCAACCACGGAGCTGCCAAGTGGGTATCGTTGACTGCCGGCTTCAATTCAAAGATGACATTCAATACGTTGGTAAATTTTTCAATATCAACGTCGTTGCTCATCGATTCAAAGAGACCCACAAATGCTGAGAATGCCGAGGAAACCATGTACTGATCTGAGGTTCTGGAAATACGCAATAAGCTATCGCAAAGAGGTTCGATCTGAGATTGGGGCCACGAGTTGGCGGAAGTTATGGATGAGATCAACTGCAAAATATGGATGATGGAAGAGTTGTTGTCTTTCTTTTTCGTGTCCAATAAGCTTGTGAGCTTCTGAAGCGATAAGTCTGCGCATATAGGTGCCGCCACATGTATTGGAGAAGGAGAAGGAGGAGGGTTGCTCAAGACGGTGTGGATGGATTCTTGGGCTCTCTTTCTGACTTTTGGTCGAGGATCAAATGATAATTCCATCAAACCGATTAAAGCTCTTTTAGGTGAGACATTTCCTTTGGATGTCCACTGCTGGTGGTCCTGTGCCAATAATAACGTCTCGACCGCTCCAATAGTAGACCTAACCAATGGAGCATCGGCATCGGGATGAGTTAATGGAGTGGCTAATTTGGTCAAGATTTGAGAAAACTTGGATTTCAACAACAGTTTAGGAGTGAATGGAAAAACCAAATCCAAAAAGTACGCGGTAGATATGGCCAAACTATCGTCGATGATCTTGTCATCGGTTATACATTCATCAAGCAAAGACAAGAACGACACAACGTAAGTGACTGGTGATCTAACGTTACCCTGCTCATCGATATTTTCTTCAACAGCAGATAAAATCAAAGCTAGCTTTTTTTGGTTGTCCAACTTGGAGTTTACTTGTTGACGTATCCTCTGTAGTTTATCTTCCATGACCCATTGGTCCTGAGATTGTCCCCCATCGGGGTTATTATCAACCATTATGCAATAAAGTTGCACAAGAATTTTTTTGGCACCGATGAGATCCTGTATACACGCCAAGGTTGCAAGTTGCAAAATATGATTAGGGTCCAAAATATAGAACGGTATACCTACTAAACTACATATGAGTTGTGAGTTTACGGATATGTATGACTGTGACTGTGTATTTGAGATCAAGGAGTATTTTCAGTCTAATGATAGTTGAGCATCTGTGATATTAACACTAGTTTAAAAGTCCACATTTGTTCAATCACATACCACTGAGTGAGTTGGTCAATAATTCATCATACACAGAACGACTCAAGTTTAGAAATTGGACATGAATAGAAGGTCAAATAATCTTTCAAATCTGTTTACCAATGGCCCAAGAGGGTTATGGGCTGTACGAATCATGATTCATATTGCAACGTCTATACTCTAAGCATCGAGTCCGATATATGTGAGTAAAGAGTCGATGATCTCGTTGTCGCGTTCAACAGGATCCATGACTTGCCAGTCGGGATTCCCTCCGTACTTTTTGGTGATATAGTATCTTATATCGTCTACCAACTCAATGGTATCCACATCCTCTCTTTCTTTGATTCTATGAGCACTCTCTTTAATAAGTTCAATGAGCTTTTCCTTTTTTTCTTCGTCAGCAACAATGGATGCGAGGTTGTGTGCGAGCATTTGCGATATATGGTGCTCTATTCTGTCGCACCGAGTGGCCCATGCTATTCTCATAAAGTCGTAAATATCAACTCCATAAATTGATTCACAGGAAACATACTCGTTCCAGCTAAATTGTGCAAACCGGGATGTCAAGTTCACAGCACACATCCGCTTCAAGCGGTCTAAGTAAAGTTCATCCGCAGCGTAGAGCACATCCACCGTAAGTTCTGGGGGAATAGCGTGAACATAGTCTCTGTATAGATGCGATATGACTATGTCAGCTACCTCTTGTCCCAATGTACTCATGAACATTCGCACCACAGGAATGTGCTCGGGGAGAAGCTCGTGTCTTTTGATAATCTGGGTATCTCCCTTGGTAATAGCAGGAGGATCAGGCACTGTCATTGCAAATAGATCTGACTTGAACATGGTTTCAAAATACTCTGACCGGGCAACAATAGCCTTGTGCACTGGATAGAAAACCACCTTCATGCTGTCGGTATCTACAACCGCCAAGAGAATATCGGCAAACGTCTCTGACTCTAAAACCTGCCTTTTCATGTCGTCGCTAATAAAGCGACTTGGCTCAAAATCGTCGAAATCAGTATCCAGCTTCACATCGAGCGGCACTTCGATCTTGCTCTTCAATAGCACTTCGTCAACGAATCGCTCTAGGTCCTCCTGTGCCGTCTTAACTATATTATATTCCATTTGATGGCGAGCTTTTGCCTGTAATCGACGGTCCGGCTCGCTCAAAACTGTTTCCATGGAGCTTTTCAATTCATCGAGTTGAAACTCATTACATGCTTCGAACAAATATCTTTGAATCTGTGAGTTGTTTAACGGTAAAGTGTCGGTTTTCACATATATGTAGTCCACAATACATTTTAATATCGTAGACGAAAACGACTTGGGAACAACTACCTCGGTGCTTGTAGCCCACTGCCCATCTTTTGCGAGATATTTTCGAAAAAGATCACCTCTTAATGCTAGGACAAATCGATTCAAGTAAAATTCCGTATCAGAAGAAAGTACGATATCATTGTATCGAAGTTCATTTAAAGGGTTCAAGAGCGAGATGAGATGGCTCGCAAATGGTTGCACAGCATCCTTTTTGGAGATATCAAAACTGATCAAAATGTCCCGAATCTCATCGTTGAGTGCTCCGTAGATACATCTGGCTCCTTGTAAGGTATCACGATCACAAACTGCACCTCTTGAAAGCAACATTTGAACCACATTTTTGTGCCCACAAAGAGACGCAAGGATCAAAGGTGTGTAGTTCCACTCATCCACCATGTTGATATCAAGGTCTGGTGTCGATGTAATAATAGACTCTGCGGTATCATAATCTCCAATTCTACAGGAGAAACAGAGGTCTTTGTAAGCCGATTGGGCCAAAGCTGAATGGTGGTCCCGTGAGATTGATGAGGCATTCCTGGTGTTTTCGACGTACATGGGTATCTGTACTGGTTCATCATGCATAATATCGTCTTGGTAGTCGTCAATGATAACGTCTGATGACATTGCAGTAGTACTTCGAAGCCACACCTATGGTGTAGGGTAATATACAGGAGATGTGATAAGGTTTGGTAGATATCACCAAATGGGTAGCAAATAGTAGCAAAGATTAGTAGCAATAGCAGTATATAATAGCAATTAAATTATTGTAAACCACAATTTTTGGTCTCTTTAGTGATTTTAGTCCTTAGGTTCACTTATCGTAAGAGTTGATAAAGTATTTGAACAATTTATGTTTAAATTTGTTCTTCTTCTTGCGTTCACCACGAGAGTTGACTTCGATAGACGGACTTGACACTTTCTCATTTTCATCACCCGGCTGGTGGGTCTCAACTATTGGATTACTCGAATCATTATCCAAAGTGCCGTTAGTCTGTTCTTGAAGACCTGGTCCGAATTTGTCTAAGCTTTCCTCATTCAAACCATGATGACTTGATATAGTTTCTTCCGAAGTGAGAACAGTATGTACCGGTTCTGCAGGTTCTTCTGGCGTCCTTGTAGCAGCAATTGGAGCTGGTATGACCTCTGCTGAAGTTCTAGTTAAAAGCTCAGGTTTTGCTGTGACTCCACTTTCTGAACTATGTGCCACCATTGAGTCATCGTTATACCTTTCGACGCTTTCTGAGGTTCTAGTGGTAGGAATAGGTGCTGCTGGTTCTCCAGCATCTGCCTCAATAGACTCGTGGGGTTCAATTTCGAGATTGTCAAAAACTTTCTCACTATGTTCATCTGCAGACAAAGGTACAGTTTCGGGTATCAAAAGCTTCTCATTTTCTTGATTCGCTTCAGAAGGGCTGCTGGCAGCTAAATTCTCAATAACGACAGGTGATTTGTCTTGTTCATTCGGTTCCTTTTCAAAAGTCTCCTCTGATGTGCCTTGAACTTTTGAGATGAACGTGTGCAGAGGAAGTGAGCCAGATCCAACCCAAGGATCCAAGGATGTTCTTGCGGTGGCTGTCTCGTCTACGAGTTCGTCTTCATCCTGTGAACTAAGACTAGCAACCTCATTCAAAACAGGTACTTCTATCAGTTCTGTATCACCTTCGGGCGAAGGAAGGTCGACAGCTTGTTCTTCAATGGAAGGAACGTCAACCAAAATGTCCTGGGGTGCTGAATTTAAGTTTTCAGTGGGTTCAGATGGATCATTCAATTTTCTTGTTGAAGCAGTGGTGGACGCAATAACGTCGTCCTGCGACGTCTCACTCTGTTTGGGCAAGGGCTCAGCGACAAGGTGGGTTGTTGGTGCAGGCAATGGTTCAGTGTCAGGAATCGACTCTGGCATTGTTTCCACTAAAGAAGCAGCGCGATCTTGAGCGTCGTGGTTGACAAATTGTGGCAGAGTTTCAGAATCAGGAGACGTTAAGAAAGAGCCAGGAAGCAAATGCGACGTATTACCAGCATTTGTATCAGCTTCGGTAGTGGTTTTTACAGGATCTTCCAGCGCCTGCGGAAGTGGAGTTGTCTGATTTACTTCATGAGAAGCGCTCTTGCGTCTACCGAAGAAGAATTCTCTTAAAGGTTTCTTTTCCTGTTTCTTCTTTTCCTTTTCCACCTCTTGTGGTTTCTTGGTAAATTCCTTCTCTTCCTCTTTCTTTTCCTTTTCTTCCAACTTCTTTTGTTGCTTTTCTTCCTTCTCCTGAGCCTTGATTCTCTTTTTCTCTTCCTTGACTCTCTCCTTTCGAGATGTCAGTTTGGTGTCACCGCTTCTCATCGAGTGTGCTGGAAATTCCTTGTGATGGTTCTGATACACATAGTTATCGCTGACACCAGGAGTTGATGCAGCAATCGTGTTCCTCTTCGTTGCGTCTTTCACAACCAGTTTTTTGACGTCACCTTTCGAGTCTATGCCCGATGCCTCGGGGTCCTCCTTTGTGCCGTACACATTTTGCATGGCAACCTCCATTGCTTTCGCGTAAAGCTCCTGCTCTGTCAATTGCTTGGGTTCGGACCGCGGGATGGGTATCGTCTCTACCTTGCTCACGAATTTAATTGAGGAATTTGGTGAGCTTGATTGACGCTTATGAGGGGGTGTATAATCTCTATGGCTCGAAGAGTAAGCCGATGGGGATACTTGGCTGCTCAGGAGGGAACGATGATCCAGATGAGAGGCATCTGGAGTAGCAGGCACTTTAATCTTGGGAGGTTGGGAAAGTGAGGGAGGTTGAAAAGGTTTCTGGTTCAACGTGGGTGACATGTTTGGCGTCAGAGGATCCGCAGCGATAGCAGGACCAGCTGGTTCTTCTACATTTTCCAGCGACTCGCCTTCTGGAGAAAAATTTGGTCTCAGGGTATTTTTCAAAATGGAACGAAGGGGTTTTGAAGGTGAGGACTCCAAGGACCGAAGTTCATCCCTCCGACGTTCGGCCGAATGGTCACGAGGTGGTATCTTCGATGCCAGATCTAATGATTTCAAAGGTTCTCCTAGACCTTGATTAAGGGTAAGACCCTCTTCCTCATAGTTGTAGTCAAAATCTCTCAAGTCCTCATCTATCTTGGATAAATTGTAGGCGGTTCCACCAGCTGATAAAATTGAGTTGTTGCGAGGAGCAGCCGTCAAAGAATTGGTCCGCGAGCCGCTACGAGAAATATTTCTCTTTGTGGTCTCGATCTCCTTAGAACCATCAGCATAAGTCTTGATGGTCTTGGTGGTGATCAGCGTTAACCTGCCCTGAGCATCCACCATTTTCGTTGTCTGCATGGTTATAACCGCATCCTCCAATTCAGCGTCTTCTTCAAGCTCATTGATAGGCATTGGTGTACGAGAGTTTATTGAGCTGACCCGCTGCGAGCCATACGAACGGCCTGGCTGAGAAGTAAGTGAATACGAACGAGGCTGCGCAGGGCTCCTCAAAGGCTGTCCTCTGTTCACAGGCTGTCCCGCCACGTACGAGGGTTTGGGATTGTAGGTGTAGGAACGCAAGGAATTGGAGCGATTATTGGAGTTTATCGTCAATGAATTCGACCGGCGAAAAGCGGCACTTTGAGGTTGATTGGACGGTGTGTGTTGTGGCTGACTGTGCATCCGGAGCGCTGCCATCGCCGCCTGTCCCGCTCCACTGGAGAGAGACTGACTTCGAGCTATATTGGAAGTATTGTTTTGAGAGTAGGACCCTTGGTAAGTGGTGGGAAGCCCGGTATTTGGAAGACCATTGCTCGGAAGACTAGAAGAGAGCTGGTAGCGATTAATTTCATCATGGTACTTGGTGAACCCCAGATACGAGTCTCGTTTCTGCGTTAGTGGAAATTTATAAAAAATTGGCCCAAAACATGGATGTTTGTATTCGCAACCATCGAAACAGTATGAGTAGAATATGGGCAAATCAGGTTGTTCAGAAGGTTGAAATTAAAGATAAACTTACCTTGCGTGTGAAAAAGCCCATTGTGAAGAAAGAAATCAAAAATATACAACAGAGCCGAAAATACCCGTATGCATATGTTTCGTTTCTTCACAGGTGATATGAAATTATAGTGACCCTCAGCTGACATAATCACAACGGGAAAGCAGGAACAGTGCAAGTGAATTTTTCGGGAGCGGTGCGCGGGTATTTGAATTTGTGATTTCTCAGCTAATTTCTAATCTTACTACTTTGTGAGTAAGTGCGAATGCGGTGATTTTCTATATAAAGCCATCGGGCCATAAAAGTATTTATGAAGTATTTTGTGCTTCTGGTAGCTCTAGCAATCATAGCGGCAATTCTATCCTCATACTTTATATCCAAAACAATGGCAACCACGGGTGTTCTGACTGCATCTAAACTGGCTGCGACTTCCGCGGCCGTTTCCGCAGCAACTTCTTCAGCGACTTCGGGCAAGTTTCCATATCCCGCGTACTTTTTCAGCCATGGTGGGCCCACTTTCATGTACGAGACCGACCCCATGGGTGATGCTGGGGCGTGGAAAACCGTGAAAAAGCTTGGAAACCACATCAAAAACGAATTAAAACCCGACTACATTGTTGTGGTTTCAGCCCATTGGCAGTCGACGGCCAGCAATAGAGTAGATATTGCGGTTCCAGACAAGCCCAATGGCCCCAACAAACTCATATATGACTTCTACGGATTCCCTGACCACATGTACAAGGAGAAATTTGTGCTGAACTCATCGTTTTCGGTTGCAAAACTGGTGCAAAGTCAATTGCAAGCCAATGGGTTTCAGAGCGATTTGGTGAAACGAGGCATTGATCACGGCGTATGGGTGCCTTTTAAAGTGGCGTTTCTGGACTATAACACTTTGGGTCCTCAAACAGCTCTGAAATCAGAGTCTCCAGATTTACTGGATATACCTCTAGTTCAAGTTTCGCTCACCAGCAATGACGACGATTTCCGGTCCCACTTCAAATTAGGCAAGGTATTGAGCCATTTTAGGGAAAACCCAGTGTGGGACGAGTCCCAGAAACGAGAATTGAGGGGATTGGTGGTGTTTTCAGGGATGTCTGTGCACAATCTCCGTGACTTATCGTCGTTCAGAAACCCAGACCAAGTCAAACCATATGCGAAAAAATTCAATGCTTTGCTCAGAGATACTCTCGTCAACGACGACCATCTCTTGGAAAGACTAGAAAATTTCAAATTGGAGCATCGACAACTCCTTTACCAAGCACATCCTACTCTTGAGCACTTTGCGCCTTTGGTCGCAGCCAGTGGTATCGTTAGTGGCAAGTCGGAGCCAATTAAAGAGCTCTATAACAAAGAGTTAGCATCGCTCGGATGGGGAATTTACCAATTTGGAGCATGAATAACTACAAATCAACCTAAAGTATAATGACTGTATATGTATCGAATGTAACTACTTTTTCAACAATTCCGACAATGCCGAGGCTATTCCTTGCTCATCCAAGCCTTCCAAGTGGTTCTTCACCTCCTTCCCTTTCTCAAACCGTGCTGTGATGCTGGGAGGAACTCCATAAGCTTCTCTGACTAAAATGGGTATTTTGTAGTTCAGCTGTTTTTTCAAAGCAGGATAGTTGGCAGTGAGAAATTTACGCAAAGGAACCGACGCCTCACCGGTCTGCGACAAGTGGAACCTCAACTCCCGAAGGGTCGTAGGAAGGACAAACTTTGACATTAGAAGGTGGGTAATTTGTCGAAGTGTGAGTGGTTGAAATTGTTGATGGGTGGGTTATATGCAGGCTTATAATATACAGGCGGCGAGTTGCAAACACTACTAGACGGCTGCAAATGCAGCTAAAAGTTGATTTCTTGAGTATTAGAGCTATTGGCTATATATTCAATGCCTTATAGTCCGGGTGAATGGACGAGGTGCTGGGAATCGTTTGTGGAAGTCCTGTTTTAATCGAGTTCATCACAGCGTTGATGCATAGCTGTGCCTGTATTCCGTCTTCAGCGGTGCAAAGAGGCAGTTCACTACCATTTATTACGTTGAGAAAGTGGTCTAGTTGGAGATCGAATGGGTGTTTGCTTCTCAATACTTCGGGATGAGGACTGACTCTTTCTCTTATCACCGGCTGGTTCCAGGTTTTTTCTAGTGTATGCTGCTGGTGGTATAAATGCATGTCTGGCACCGAAAGTGTTCCGTTGGTACCGTAGACTCGATAGAATCCTTCTAGTTGTTCATGAAATGGAATATTGGGATTTTCGCCGGTTCCGGACTCAAAGTTGAACGGTGAGGTTACCGAATCGCAACAAACAAATGTACCACAAACTCCACTAACAAAGCGTAGAGTGAGTGCTGCGCCCTCGTCTGCTTCCGGGTAGTGATCTCGCTGTTTCTGTAGCACCTCGGCGTATACTCTTTCGACGGGTCCAAATAAATATTGAAGGATGTCAATGTCATGAACAAGATTGATTAAAAGAGTTCCTCCACCAGATTCGTTGGAGGTGCGCCATGGAGATGCTAGAAAGTAGTCGTCTGGCTTGCAAAGAGTCCATGTACCTTGCAATGCAACAATTGTACCTAGCGTTTGTAGATGCTTTTTCGTTTCGATGATAAATGGATTAAACCGACGATGATGACCCACCAAAAGATGAACATTTTTTTCAGCACAGTACCTTTTAAGTGCTTCTGACTCCTCGGCTCGTGAGCTGAGTGGCTTCTCAACAAGTAAATGAATTCCGTGGGATGCCAATTCAGCTGCAACTCGTATATGGGTAGCATTTGGAGTAGCCACAACCGCTCCATGAGGATAAGCAATTCCTTGGTTATCACAGTGGTTTATCATAGCAGATATCGAATCAAAGTAGTCAGTATTATAATCCTCGGCTACTTTGCGACCAATAGCACTTGGATCTACTATACCAAAAAGTCTAGCGTTCTTGTGCTCTTTAATATGTTGTGCATGACGAGGTCCTATAAGTCCTGCGCCCACTACCACTATTGATACAGGCTCCAGAGCAATCATAGTGAACAGCCACAAACGTTTTTATTAACTGTGTTGTTTTAAAGGAAAGATGTGGGGTGAAAAATTTTAGGCTGGTTCCGGTGCGATGCGGGGCGGAATCTGGGGTAGACGCACCGAAGACTGAAAAATAGAGGATGAATATGATGAGGATACATATTTATTTCGGGCGGCTAAAGACGGTATCTAAAATATGGGTTCTCTTTATCTGTCATGTCAGCAAATTCGTAATATTCAAGATCATCGAGCGAGGTTTCTTTCAAAAGAACCAATTCCTTTTCCTTTCTTCTGTTGCCGAGCCAGTAGTTGTAGTAGATAGCAGCAATAAGAATCAATGTAATACAGTCACAAACAACAAAACTGATCTTTCCTCCAGTATATGATGGAGCTTGTTTTTCAACAAACGTCTGAGGACCTATAAGGTTTCCCACACAGTATCCAATCAAGAACACCGCATTAGTGGTTATCTTCTTGGTATGACCAGCTGTGTTGGAGGCAAAGCATGATAAAGCACAGATCATGGTGGTGGGGTAAACGTACATCAAGTAGTAACCAGCGAGCCTCACTTCTTTTGGGCCAGCAAATGCCAACATACATGAAGCCGCTAAAGCAAGTGCCATTGCTGTGAACGAGATAGCCATACGATGAGGAACAAACGAGTGGCTGGCTGCAAACAAAATACAACCAACGAATTCAACACCTCCGCATGGCATATTCATCAAAAGTGAATTTTTGGGGGTGTAGCCAAAGTCAGAATTCAACAAAATGCTTCCAAAGTTGGTGAGTGCACCATTAGGAATGTTTGAGGCAATTGCAAACAAGAAATAGAGCCAAGTATTGACATCAAGCATTGCTTCTTTGAACTGATGGATTTTAAAGTGCTTGTTTCCAAATCCTTGCTGATTGGACCTAATTCTTTCCACCACCAATTTCTTTTCAGTAGGAGTCAAGAACCACGCTTTTGATGGGTTATCAGGAATGTGAATTGCAAATAGAATTCCAACCACAATAGTCATGAGACCAGTTGTGATGAAGAGAACTTTCCATGCTTCAAGAGAATAATGAGCCTCATGAGATGCTACACCATATGCAATTGCTCCTCCAATGATGATTCCGAGTCCATTGCAAGAAAACCAAAGCGCAGTGCGTAGAAACTGCTCTTCGGCTTTATACCATTGACTTGTGAAAATCACCATGGCAGGAGTAACTGCAGACTCAAGTATACCCAAGACTGTTCTCAATGTGATCACTCCAGCATAAGTTTTGGGAACCGCATGCAAACACAAAATAATACCCCATACAATGATAAAGGCAGAAGTTGCCTTTGCAAGTGGAAACCGTTGAAGTATAGCATTGGCAGGAAATTCAAATGCCAAGTACCCAATGTAAAATGCAGTTCCACACCACGAGTACATATCGCCAACCATATCAAAGTCCTGCTTGAACCCCATCACGGCAGCATACGACGTGGTGGTTTTATCCATGAACTGAAACGCATACAATAAGCAAATGAGAGGAAGAAGAAACATGTCGATTTTTCTCAAAAGTCTTTTGTTGGTTTCTTCGTCCAAAACTATGTCTTCGTCAATTTCCAACGCCACTTTCATGGCTTCGTCGACGTCTCCTGTTACCTTTACCACTCTCCCATTGGGAGAAGTAAAAGCAGTGATGACATCGTCCTTGCCTAGATTTTCTTTTGTGAACGAGTTTATTGGCTGCAAACTATCATTTGCTTCTCTTTTCTGGGACATGATTCAGTTGAACTGATTCACTTGACTTGCACAGCGGCTTTCAGTGGTTTTAACATTGTGCTCGCACCTTGATAGGTTAGGAACCAGGTGAAAGATAAGCCGGCGCGAACGTCCGAATGCGGCGCCTCCACCTGCCAAATTTGACAGGTGCAGTCAGGATAAGAACTAACCATATAAAGTGGGAAAACATTTTTGGAATTTCTGTGCTGGATGTAGAGATTAGTGATTGTGTCTGCTTTAGTTGTCTTTAGTGGTCATTTAGTTATCGCTTTTTTGTCGTCGTTGTAGTGAGTGCACTGCAATTCGCAGCCACATATTTGCTGAGATATTATTTTGCCAAGAAAATTCTGAAAGTGTGATAAAATAAGGTACTTTCGCCTTTTACCAAATACGGTCGACGTCAGGCGATGTAATATAAGGATGAAATGGTGAAGATATTGTGGCTTCATGTACTTTTCTTGGGCAAGTATAAGCTTCATGGCTACGCCTGATCATTCCAAATTAACTTTATTGTCAATTGAATTTTTTTCAGTTGATGGGTGATTCGGTATCCATCTGAGCATTTAAATAGACTTTACACCATACCTTTTCAGTCAGATGAGCGTAGACACAACCTTATCAATATGAATATGACATTCAAATGGATTACATGCAATGACGGAATGAAAGAAAATAATAAAGGAAACTGGATAACTCAATCTCAAATTCGTGATGGCTGCAAATTACTGCTACTATTCATATCACGTTGTCTGACTCAGAGATTTCCTTCCTCTTTCAATGTAGTTCATGGGGCTCTACTAGTAAGCAATTGAGTAACGTAGGGATATTGTTATTCGAGAGGTATTCATTTTTCGTATTACCACTGAAACTTTCATATTCCTTCAAAATTTCATTTTTGTCATTTTTTACAAATTCTCGAAATTTTAACTCAACATCTCAAGCTCAATGAAACAGCTCCTGTAACCCCAGCTTATGTCAACTTCTGTTCATATCTCTCAATCTTTCCCATTTTCTTCCTTATTCTTGCCCCACCTCTGCAACCCATTTTCGCAAAATTCGCCGCGCACTCTTTACAAATATATACCACGCCAAATGTCCTTTGACATAAATTGGTCACAACTAGTAGAAGATGAATCCATTAACAACTCCATAAAAGAATTCTTGGCATCACAATTCCTGAGTGTGTCCTTGCCTTCATATATTGATAACCTTACGGTATCAGATTTTCTGCTTGGAGACAAAGCTCCAGAAATCATAATACGAGATATTGGCGACACTTTTGAAGACTTCTACGAAGATGAAGACGGTCCACGGAATGCTGGAGCTCCTACAACTACGGCTACCTCGGGAATGGGAGAAAGTGATTCGAGTGACGACGAAGATACTCGAGATGGACTCACGGGAGAAGTAACTCTTTCAGAAACCACAGAATCTAAAACCCAATTTGCTCCACAACCTTTGCATCCCATACCTACTAAACTAAGGAGGTCCCACACAACTCTGGCAGCCACCCCCTTGTCTTCACATGCCCATTTGAATTCGTTGTACGCATACAACCTCACCAATGTGGGATTGGGAACTCTTAATCTCAACTCCGCCACACCCTCGGGAAGAGATACACCTACACAAATACTCAATCAGATGCGGACCGGACCGAATCTGCCGCCAATTCTGAATACTCCCATTAGTTCGCTGAAAAAACTGAAACGAGGCGAAAATGACGTCCAGATTATAGCCGAGGTCAAATATAAGGGCAATCTTCATATCGAGGTCACGGTGGACTTATTCTTGAACTATCCCTCTCAGCATTTCGTAACACTTCCCATCAAATTGCATATTACCGGGTTTGAGATTCACTCGCTCATTTGCATTGCATACCTCCAAAATGCAGTTTACTTTTCCTTTCTTTGTGACGTCAGCGACGATTCACAGGCGGACTACTTTAACGGTGCTCACATGGAGTCTGGAGGGAATTTTGTGGAGTACGTTTCGGGCACAAATAACAAGGAGAGAATCGACATCATCAAGAAAGTCAAAATCGAGTCTGAAATTGGCGAGGTGGAAACTAATGTCTTAAGAAATGTGGGCAAGGTTGAAAAGTTTTTGGTGGAAAAAATCAGAAGCATAATCAGAGAGGAGACCGCTTGGCCCAGTTGGCTATGCTTTGACATGAGTGATTGAGATTATTGAAGGATTTCAACATTTTAATTTATGCCCATATTCTCGTATTCCGATGTCGAAATTCTTCACAAAACACATCACTTGCATTTCGTTCAGTGGAACAGAGATACTGACTCTTGGATACTTTGCAATTACTCCAATGTAGGGCTTCTACAGTCCCTGCACACCTAAATAGTATATAGTGATATCGGAAAAAACTTAATGTCGTGATGAAATTGAGTATTACAACTTTGAGTATTTTGAACAGACCATTCAATTTTGTTCTCTCGAGTAAAGGAGTCTGAAACTGTCACTGAAGTCCATTGGTCGATGGCTGCACAAATAGAGCTTATTTTAGCGAGAAGAGTCAAAACGAAAAAAAGTCAAAAGTGTCGAATACTTTTAACAAGTTTGAAAAAGTTGGCAGATTTTCAGCTCAAATTTCGTGAATCCTTAACCAGAGTCATAGAGAACTCAGTAGTCTTGAACGCTATACAAAGTTTGTGGTGATTGGTGACAAATTTTGTCGGCGGCCTGCATAGACAGCTACCTGCAAGGGTTTAAGCAGCGCGGCTAAAACACGAGAATGCCGGTCAAGAGTAGCCGGACTCGGAACACATAAAAGGAGGCCATCCCCAACGATTCTACTACAAGTATAGCAAGTAACGTACAACATTAGCGTACTTTACTCAGATCTGATCCAAGAATCTCGATTTCGTACTCATCTTGAACATGTCTCAATTGCAAGATCTTGTATCGAGCTTTACGCTTGTAAAGTTGTTGAAGTCGGACCCCCAGACTAAATCATTGGTCCTTTTGGGCTCAATTGACGACAAGGATGCCATTATTACCATCGAGAGGTCACATTTTCCAGTCATCGACAACCATTTTGATGTTCAAGAATGGGTGGAAAAACTTGAATTGTTGAACAACAACGACGTTTACTTTTGGTCACTGGCTCTAGTAAAACAGTCGTTGCCTGATTTTCCAGCGGCAAAACTCAATTTGATCTACCCAGCAACAGAAACCCATATTAGAAAATATGCTGGTCTGAAACACCATTATGTTTTGGAGACACCAGCAATGTACCAAAAATTCACGAAACCTTATATCGAGACCATGCGTGGTGATCGCATCAAATGGGTCTACAATATTCTTTTTGAAGGAAAGGAACTGGAAACCTTTATATACCACGATAAAGACCCAGAAACCGGCTTTGTTCTTTTACCGGATATGAAATGGGATCGCCTCAATATGGATGCTCTTTACTTGTGCTGCATTGTCAACCGTACTGATATTACCTGTGTTAGAGACTTGAACGGAACTCATATTGACTTTTTGAAAAAGTTGCTTGCAAAATTGCGTCAAGTTACATCGGAAAAGTACCTGCTCGCTCCAGACCAATTGCGTATTTTCATCCACTACCAGCCTTCTTACTATCATTTCCACATTCATGTTGTCAACATTACCCATCCTGGATTGGGCGAGGGAACCAATGTTGGCAAAGCGATTCTTCTTGACGATGTCATTAGCAACATTGAATTGAAAAGTGACTACTATGAACAAAGAACGCTCTCCTACACTATTGCGGAAAACCATGGTCTTTGGTCTATAGAAGGCTTTAAGGAGGAGGCACAAAAGAGCTACGCAAGTTAATTGGGCTCATCATTCATTAGCTTATAAAATTAGTAATTGAACTCACTGCTTGCTGAAGAAGCAGCCAACTTGGCCATGCGCAACATTTTCTTGCGGGGATCTTCCAACTTTCTTGATTTCTCTCCGTATTCCTTTCTTGTCAGAGATGACTTGGTAGCAAGTGATCCTAGCTTTTTAGGAGGTTCACGCAATCCAAAACTCTTAGCCAAGTGTCCCAAATGGAGAGTTTTCACATTGAAAAATGTCTTCTCAGAAGAAAGATGGGTTGCATATGCTCTTATGTGCGAAGTGAACGCTTGCTTGGCACTTTCATGACTTGCAGCGTCTTCCAAAAGCCATCTTTCAATATCCAAATGCCATGTAGTTGCATGCATGTCCCATTTTCCCTGCTTACTTTTAGGGTCTGATTTCTTGATTTCTGAGGAATCGCCAAATGCATTTTGAAGAATGGTTTCATAGTTTGTGATTCGAATACTACCTTCAGGATGAACCACCCGAATTTTCCCATCCACATAACCTTCTTCAATTCCTGGTAAGAGAAACAAGTACGAGCTACCTTTGTTACCAAGTCTGGCTGTTCTACCAATTCTGTGCAAGTGATCTTGAACTGAAAATGGAGGATCGTACTCTACCACGGACGAGATATTCGGCAAATCCAACCCTCTGGATGCAACATCGGTACAGAGAAGTATTAGATGATTGTAGTTGTTTTCCGAGTTATCAAAGGGAACTGCTTGCACAAATGACTGCAAAGTGGAAGTACGAACTTGTTGGGTCAAAGAACCATGGAGCTTGTAAACCACCGAATTTGCCAGTATGGTAGGAGCAGAAGAGATTTTGGGAATCTCGGTATCAGATCCTTCGGCGTTCGCTTCATCTTCACCGACTGTCACCATTTCAAATCTGTTTGTTTCAGCGTTCCGAGCTTTTCTGAACTCACTTCCGTTTCTCTTGAAGGCTTCATAGTGAAAATTGACCGAGTCGGAACAGGAAAAAAACACTATTGTTCTTACAATTTCCGTAGACGATGTTGGTGCTGTTTTCGCAACTTCTTTCAAAACGGCACTCAAGGTCACAAGTCGGAGCTTGGCAGGAACCACCACCACCCGCTGGGTCAATTGAGCTGGTGCCATCAGTTTCGAGTCGATTTCGTCACCTTCTCTCAGTTTCGAGGTATCGATGCTTATTTGTTCTGGGTTGTTAAGAATGATACTTCCCAACTTTTCGACATTATTTTCCATCGTTGCTGAGCAGAGTACATTGACTCTTTTGGTAGGTAACCCCTGCCACTTTTGTGTCGACTCAGAAATTCGACTACACCTTGTAATTGTGTCTGTAATTTTGGTGATGGTTTCTTCAAAACCAAGGTCAATCAAACGATCACCCTCGTCGAGAATTAGATAACGTAGCTGACTCAAGTCAAGACTGGTGGTGTTTTCAATGTGATCTGCAAGTCTGCCTGGAGTTGCAACTAGGATGTTGACTCCTTTCCGAATTCGGGCTTTCTCAGATTTCTTCTTTTCTCCACCGATTACGATGCCAGGTACGATTTGGTGGTGGCATCGAGTGAGCGTCTCGAGAACACCATAGATTTGATTTGCAAGTTCTCTGGTTGGTACTAATACAATAGCGAAAACACCAGACTCTCTGGTTATTGGGTTCTTCTTCTCTTGCATAAGTTTGTGAAGAATAGGCAACAAAAAAGATAAGGTTTTACCGGAACCAGTTTGTGCCTTAACAAACAAATCCCTGGAAGTGGACAACAAGCTGGGAATTACCGACTTTTGAATTTGAGTAGGGTTCTTGAAGCGCAAGCTTTCGGTGAGATGATGTACGAGATTATCGTTGAGACCCAATCCATTGAAATCATCAGCGCCTTTCATGGGAGCATTGGACGGTAAATATGTCTTTTCTTCTTCTACTTTCTCATTTTCAAGCTTACTTTTGGTATTCGAGGTGAATAACGAAGAAACATATGTCTCGTTCTTACCTCCTTCTCCGCGAGATTCAAAGTATTTGGGCCGCTTTGCAAGCTGCTCCTCTCTAAAGGACTGTGGTTTCGAAGAGGAAAAGTCTCTGGGTTGGGCAATTGACTCTTTATTGACTCCCGTTTCTGCTCTTTTGTTTCTTCCTCTGCCCAGAAGACTGAGCTGAAGCTTTCTACGGTCCTTCCAGCGGCCGCCGCTAACTTTGACTGGTTTCTGAGCACTCGACTTGGAGGATGCATTGGAGTCTGGGGCGGCAAAGTTCAAAAGAAGGCCATCATCATCCATTTTGAGTGAGGAGAACGAATCGATGAGCTGCAAAAAGTTCCTGCGAAATCTCGCGAAGAGCATCGCACCTGCAGATGGTGGTAGGAAAGCAGGAAGGTAGTAGTAGATTGGTAGCAAAATTGATTAGAATGAGCATTCTACACCTTAATGTTCTTGTATTTCTTGTCTATTATCTATGGTACATTATCTAGTGAGTTGAAGGATATAATCAGACAATTGAGTGGTGGTAGATAACGGCTGCGCATCGGCATCTCCAATGAGGTGCTGATTGAGTTCTGCCGAAGGAGCATCGTTAGGACCGTGATATTGTAGATGGGACCACTCCTCGTCTTCAAATTGCCGTATATGTTTCAAGGACTCACCAAGCATGGTGGTTGAAAATCCATCTGGTTGGATGCCAGTTCTGGCCGAGGTTTGAAGCACATGGCTGCTTGTTTGTTTGGGTATGTGGTCGCCCATATCAGCCTTTCGTTGGTTGGTTCTTGCTGTTTCGGCGTCGTCAACATACTTGAAACTTGGGCGGAGTTGGGCACTGCATTCTACAGGAACAAGTACCACCTGCCTCTGGCCATCAATTTGTCTAATTTTTCCAACGTAAAGCCCCCCACGGGTTTTATCCAAAACTCCTTGAAGAGAGTGCTCCGTGACCTGGACCCCCCATTCTTCAGCTCTATTTTCATCATAAAATTTCTCGGTGACTATAGGAACTTTCACCTCCAAGTACCTTGATTCCGGCTTTATTGAAGCGGAAATTCGCTCTTCTTCCACAGGACTACTCTTGGGGCGTCCTGGATACTGTAGAACGTAAACATGCTGGTTCAGATCGGGTATATCGTTCATAATCACCGGGATGGATTCCACGATGGGGTCGTCCTCTTCACCATTTTCGCTTTCATCCAGCTCAAAACCACTGGCGGTTTGTGACAGTAGACCAGACTGTACTTCGGGCTGGTTTCCCGCATCCTCCATGATCTCGTCGTCATCTACAAACAACCCAGCGTGATCCATGGTCCGAATCAGGGAAGAAGCTGCGAAGTTGCGAGAGTTGAGAATTCAAGAGTTGAGAATTCGCGACATTATTCTCATCGCTCCACTATTGAAAGTGCCCAGCACGAAACTGTAACCACTATACCAAAAATGACAGGCGAGTCATTCGATATAACACTGACCTACTTGCGGTTCTTGGAAGAGGATCTGGAGATGACCATGCCCATAGCAGCTATTGAGTCTCTTGTCACCATGTTGCGAGTTAAAGAACCATCGACTCAAGCGGAACTTATTAAGCTTGTAAAGTCCAATATCGACTTATTGAAGTCTTCCATATCCAATGCTGTGTCCTTGTCTGCTGGCTGTGACTTATTCATGAGATTTGTGTTGCGGAACACGAACTTGTATGCTGATTGGGAATCTTGCAAACGAAATTTGGTTGAAAACGGAGAGTTATTTGTGCAAAGAGCCAAGGAATCGAGAAATAAACTGGCAGAAATGGGGTTGCCATTCATTAAAGACGACGATACGATTTTGGTGCATTCTTATTCTCGGGTTGTCTATCATCTTTTGAAGAAAGCTCGGGCTGAAAAGTTGATACGATTTCGAGTTATTGTCACGGAATCGAGACCCACCAGCAAGGGATACCACATGGCGAAATTGCTCAAGGAAGCCGACATTCCAGTGGAAGTTATTGTGGATAATGCTGTGGGTTATGTCATCCACAGAGTGGACAAGGTATTGGTGGGTGCTGAAGGTGTGGCCGAAAGTGGAGGTATTATAAACCACATAGGGTCTTATCAGATTGGATGTTTGGCTAAAACCAACAACAAACCCTTCTACGTGGTAACAGAATCGCATAAGTTTGTCAGATTGTTTCCTTTGTCTCCCAACGACCTTCCCACTGGTATGGGCGATATGCTCGGTATGGGCAGTTCCCCAGACGTCAATATTCCACAAGCCAGCGAAGAGCCAGAAAGCGAGTTGCTAAAGATGCAGCTCATAGACTTTACACCACACGAGTACATTACTGCCTTAATCACAGACTTGGGTGTGCTCACTCCATCTGCCGTTTCTGAAGAGTTGATCAAGATGTGGTACGACTAGAAAAAAAGAAGAGCATAGATAAGTACACATAACTTACATACACCTGTATAACCAGACATCAGTTGTCTATAACTCTATTTTATTAACGCCAGCAACTTTTGCTGGAGATCATGTGTGTCGTAATATTGGGTGCCTTCTTGTCTTTCAACAGGCACACAGACAATTCCCTTATTGTTCAAAGTTTCAACATCCACCTCGATTTCCAGGTCTGTGAGATATACCAAGTGGGTAACAAAAGTTGTCCATTCTGGGGATTTAGGATTCTTTTCATTCAACGAGTACGTTGCCAGCTTGACAATTGTCTCCACAAAATCTGTGGCTGACATTCCAAAAGTTTCACGATCATGGGAGCCATTAAGCAATAATATCTTCTTCTTGTTCTTGGCGGCTGCGATGGCCCTACCGACTCCTTTCAAGATTAAGACTGGTACTATACTGGTCATGAGAGACCCAATGGAGTATATAATGGCATCTGCACTCGTCATATTCGAGGTTACTCGATTTGGAGCCGTTGGGCATATTTCTTCACCGTATGGAGAGATGTAGAAAATTCTCTCAATGGGGGAGAGTAGAGGTTTGATATTCTCAGACTTATCGAAATGAAGCTGAGATTTCTTTAGTTCGGGATGAGTATACTGCGGTACATTACCGGACTCTTCTTCATCCGACAGAACGTCCGATACAGGCTCGGGAATGTGGGGTTGAACATGAGACTTGTGAAAGTACTCGGCTGCACATTCATCTAAGGGAGTAGCAGGGCGACTGACATGGATAGGAGGTGGATAGTTGGAATGATCTGTTGTTGATGGATGAGAGATTTGAGACTGGCCCGTTATTATTAGCCCGTTTTGTAAAAGGGCACTTATGTGGTAGGTGAAATTTGTGTTAACACAAGGAAGAACCTTTATACTAGGATCAATTCCGGTGAGTCTTGAGAACAATTCAATTGCTGAATCAAGTGAACCAATAAAGAGACGAATGCCTGTAAGAAACAAATTACCCACATTTGCAAGTTCGTATCGAAACTGTTTCTTATTTGGATGTTGCATGAATTGGTGTCGAGATCGCTTGAGTAACTCTACATGTACATGCACCAAAAATGACCGAAAGATCTCTCTACTTGCAGGTTCAATTGGTGCCCACAATGGGTGTGAACCTTCCACTATTTGGTTCCATTGACGTTTTGCATCCTCGGGATCGTCAGATAATCGGTAGCTGAAAAGTTGCCTGTATGCATCCTGATGCTGGGGAATCAAACGAGTGAGTCTCAGACGAATATCACCAATTGCTGGACCTCCAATAACCCTAATCAACTCCGAAGTCGAGCCTCCGTTATCCAGAATCGGAAGCACATAGGTCACACGAGGAGTAAGTGCCAGAAATAACAGGACGAGTTCATTGGTTGCGGTTCCGCCGCTGACTATGGTAATGTTGGGTTCCATGATATTTGTGGTCAGGACGGTTTACGTGTGCAATCAGAATCCGGGGAAGATACACGCGACCACGCGAAATGGATATGCTTCAAAAAAAAGTTTGAGATTTTTTTTTTATATTTGACCGGTGCTATAATTTGCAACCATCTTAACAATTATACCTCGGAATCCATGCAGTGAATGGTCGGAATTTGTAGCTCCGGTCAAATTAATCAATGTGCAACCATTTTTTTGGCTTTGTGTGGGTGTAGGGCGTGCTCGGCAAAAGCAGTCACTGCGAGCGTGTGTATTTCCGAGCACCAGGCGGTAGTAAATGACAGCACAAGTCGAGGGTACCGTCGGTTTTGTGTAACTGAAAAATTTTAGATTCAATCTACGCACTCACCAGTCTGCAACACCAATTTATATCTAAAAAATGGCTGATCAAGAAGTTTTGGTTTTAAGAGGTACCCTTGAGGGTCACAATGGATGGGTCACTTCGTTGGCCACCACCCCAGCTCACCCAGATTTGTTACTTTCTGGTTCCAGAGACAAGACTTTGATCACCTGGAAATTGACCGGTGGTGAAGACAACCAATACGGTGTGCCAAAGAAATCTTTCAGAGGCCACTCTCACATTGTTCAAGATGTCACCATCTCTGCTGACGGTGCTTACGCTTTGTCTGCTTCTTGGGATAAGACCTTGAGATTGTGGGATTTGGAATCTGGTGAATGTACCAAGAGATTCGTGGGCCACACTGGAGATGTGTTGTCTGTTTCCATCGCCAAGAACTTGAGACAGATTGTTTCTGCTTCTCGTGACAAGACCGTCAAGGTTTGGAACACCATTGGTGAATGTATGCAAACTTTGACTTCCCACTCCGACTGGGTTTCTGCTGTTAGATTCTCCCCATCTGACAAGACCAACACTGTTATCTCTGCTTCTTGGGATAAGACTGTTAAGGTAAGTTTTTTTTTGTTTCTCTCTTCTTCACATGATGCTATCATATTTGCTACTTCAGACGGCTTCGGCTGAATGAGACATATTTAATCACCAAGATCTCTGATTGAAGAGTTTTATTGAAATTTTTATACTAACATAGTCCTGGGACCTTAACGAGTACAACGTCAATGCTGACTTCATTGGTCACACCGGTTACATTTCTTGTATCACCATCTCTCCAGATGGATCATTGTGTGCCTCTTCTGGTAAGGACGGTGTCATCATCTTGTGGGACTTGAACTCCAACTTGACTTTGTACACCTTGAACGCTAACGCCGAGGTCCACGCCTTGGCTTTCTCTCCATCCAGATACTGGTTGGCTGCTGCCACTGCTACCGGAATCAAGATCTTCAACTTGCAAGAGAGAACCTTGTTGGACGAGTTGAAGCCCGAGTTCGCTATCGGTGCTAAGGCCAAGGACCCAGAAGCCGTTTCTTTGGCTTGGTCTGCTGACGGTCAAAACTTGTTCGCTGGTTACACCGATAACGTCATCAGAGTGTGGCAAGTCATGACTTCGTCCGCTTAAGTTTAATAGCTACTATACACAAAACATTATTCAAACAAGTAAACTTTTCCACTGGCGCTTCCACCAACACACCAGTTTTCCGTAGGATGAAGCATGGACACGGCTGGAACTGCTGTCATACGATCAGGATCGGTCAAGTGGCATAATATGCGTCCTTTTTGATCGTAAATGTCAAATGCTCGATTCATGTTAGCAATGACAAATTTCTGGAGCCCATCAGCAGGATGAAGTTGCCATTTAGATTTCAATATCGACACCCACCTTCCTGTCTGACAATTGTGCTTGATTCTAGTTAGTGCTTCGAGCTTTTCTGGGACTCCATCTTCAATGGTGGTTCTCTTTTTCTTTTCTGTTTCGTAGTCCTTTGACCATTCGGTTACCAAAGGCAACTTATCACTGCCGCTTAGATCAAAAACGTTCACAGTATCATCGTATCCATTGCATACCAAATGGTTATCGTGGTTCCAGTCCACGCAAGACACCGAGAGTCTGGAATGATAGGTGCAATATAGGTGAGGAGACTTGTCGTCGAATTCACTCCAGTAAGAATTCTTTTGAGAAATGTTGCGTAAATCCCACAACTTCATGGTTCTGTCGAGCGATGCGGTGGCTATCTGATGAAAGGCATTTGGATTTATGCTGAATGATCCAATTTTTTTGTCGTGAAGTCGAAGCAATTCGCCCTGTTTAAACGGACTTCTCATGTCGTATCGGTAGAAGTTACCACTGAGTGTCGTCATGTACAACAAATTGTTGTCAGCAACATTTATATCAGAAACTCCAAGAGGATAATCGCTGGATTCGTACGGATCTTGAAGGTAGGCTACTTCAGTGGACTCAAGCCTTTTTAGGTCAAGACGTCTTACAGATCCGTCGTAGGAACATGTAAGTATCGATGATGGTTGTTGCTCCGGAGTGAGAATGCGAGCTACTGCTTTGCCATGTGGTTTAAGAATGGTAATATGAGGCGAAGTTTCATCGTCACCTTTAGCATCCACCGCCCATATTCCCACATAACCCGTAGTATCTCCTGCCACAACCACCCTATCGTCCTTGGCTGGGTGGAAAGCTATGGATGTGATTCTTTGCTGGGTAATTTTGATGTCTAATGGATCAAATCGCTCGTAAAGTTTCACTCTATCAAACTCTTCCCGCTTCTCTTGCAACACAGTATCGTCATATTTCAGCTTTGTATCCTTTATCATTTCGTAAAAGTCACCGGCGGAAAAACGGTCACCCAATTGCTGAAGTTTCTGTAAAACCTCGTTGTCTCGTGAAAGATCTATCGAATCAGTACTGTCTTCCTCTTTTTTTATCTCTTCTTTTTCCTCTTTTTTGATTTCGTTGTCCTTTTCCTTAGCCTTTAGTATTTTGTCCTGATTTTTGAACTCGCCTTGCTTATTTACAACAAGATCAATGAGCTTGAAATCGCCAAAAAGGCGCGTCAGCTTTAATTTTTCAAGTTCTCTTTTCCGCTCTTCTGCTTTCTCCATTTCCTCTCTCATCTGTTTATCTTCCTCGCTGTCCTCCATTGTCGACCCTGCCAATCTCCTGGACCTTCTTGAGGGCATTATTGGTTCCGTTTTGACGCGAGCATTTTCGGTCTTTCGTCTCTTTGCTTTTGGCTTTGGTTTCGGAACCTCTCGAGATATGGAGTCATTGAGCGAGTCCAATTCTAGTTGGCGCAAGAGCTCCTTGTTGCGCTGGATGTTTTCCTGTCTCTGTTTTTCAAAGTCCGATAACGTCATCGAGTCAAATGGTGAAATGCAGTAGTTCGCGATTTACTACGGATTATGGTACTATAAAGGCGACCTTCAAGTCATTACCAAATTGAGGTTACAAGAATAGCTCTATCCACCATGATCTGTAGGAGTCTTTCAATCTTCAGCATATTCAACAAACCTCGTCTATTATCATTTCCTTTGAACTTCACTTTCTCTGATCTGCATCTTCATTATACTGACTCTCATTCAAATCATTTAGCTTGAACGAGCCTCAAAACGTCCGACACCAAGTAAAGACTTCCAAAAATGACCACTGGGCGTCGATCCCCATTCTCCTTTATGCCTGAAATACGGCTGAGTATATCCTCTAAATTGCCATATGGCTGCAAATCGTCGGTGTATTTGTTGGCTACCTTTGTGATACCTTCTGGTGCTGCCGGGGTTATCCACGGCATTCCTTCTGGCTGCGAAAAGGATGTAGGGTATACGATATCATTTTTGGTTATGGTGTGTTTTAAGACACTGTCAATGGATTTTCCTTTGGTGAACCCGACAACAAAGATGATTCCTTTTGCTCTCTCTGTAGAAACCTCGAGATGATTCGCAAGCTCAATGGCAGCATTTTCATTGTGAGAGCCGTCCACGAGAACCGTGAGGTTTTTTCCTGGAATTTTGACGGTTTGCAACCTTCCGATCCACTTTGTATTTTCAATACCTTCTCGAATAGTGTGATTATCTATGGGAAGATACCTCTTTAAGATGTCAATTGCTCTGAGAGCGACGCAGAGATTGCTCAATTGGTATGCCCCATTTAAAGGCGATAATTTGATCAACTCTTCGGCGTCTTTATCACCGCCTGCTATTATGAGCTTGCAATTTAAAGATGCTGCTTTAGATTGAACAGTCAATAAAACCAGCTCCTCGTTGGTTCCGTCAATAACGCAGGGAATGTTCTCCTTCAAAATTCCAGCCTTTTCATTCGCAATCTTTTCTAGAGTATTTCCCAAGAAACCCTCATGGTCGAATGCTATTTTGGTGATTGCAGTTACAACCACTCCAGGCAGCAGTACTGTATTTGCCTCTAGCACGTTGGTGGCATCTAGTCGTCCTCCCAAACCCACCTCTATCAATGCAATTTCCACTTGTTCTAGCTCGAATATCTTGAATGCTGTAGCCGTTAGCAACTCGAATTCTGTACATTGGAGCTTTAACTCATCATTGGTCTGGCGTACCAAAGCCCTCACTTGTTCAAACTTGGGCATTGGGTATATCTCGTTGTTTATACACACGCAATCGTTATAGTATACCATATGAGGAGATGTAAACCGGCCATTTCGTACTTTACTCGAGGTCAAAACCGACGATAAATATGCCACCGTTGAGCCTTTTCCATTGGTTCCTGCTACATGAGCAGACTTGTACGTTTTGTGTGGGTTTCCTAGCTGACGGAGAAGCCGCGAAATCCTCGATAACCCCAAGTCGATGGGCATGTTGTGGAGTGCGAAATCAATCTTAATCAAATCTCAATCTTCTCAATTTAAATTCTCAATTTAAATTCTCAATCTAAATTCTCAATCAAATCTCAATCTCAGTCTTAATCTAATTTTGATCTCAGTTGTCGTTCATTTCTCTCACCATGGCGGAAGGCAGCTTCGTCAGGGAGCGAATCGACTCGTTGTATGACATAGACTGCAAAATCGTGTCGCTTTTGGACAAAATGTCCGGGATATTCGAGACGTATAGCAGCCCGAAAGAAGACATTGACAAGGTAAAAGAGCAGATTCAACTGCAAACTAAAGGCATTTATAGCATGCTCAGCGATGTTGCTGTGGAATTGAGGAAAGAGGTGAAGATCATGGATGAAAACATTGGATGTTACAACAAAAATAAAGACAATGTAATGATCTTGCCTCTTCCAGTTGATCAGAAAAATACCAAACTTGGCAATTTGCGAATGAAGCAGGAGATTGAACAGTTGGACAAGCTCTTGGGAAAGGGAGATAGCGATGTAAAGATGGAAGACAGTGAGAGCGAGGCGTAACTAGCAATTAATCAGTGGTATTAGCGGTCGCTGATCGCTGGTGAGCTATAGAGTTTTTAGGGTAATGCTTGACAGGTCAAGTAGTAATATAGACACTTTAGTCTACAATTCCTCGAGGTATCCCTGCTGGATTAAGCGTTCGACGTCTGATTTTCTCACATAGAACTGAGAATCTTTGATTAAATTGAACACGCCGTATTCGGTCTGGACTTCGCCGCCGTCCTTGAGTACTCGAACGTCGATGAATATGCTAGTTGGTGGCTCCAAGTCGCCGGAAAGGTCCAAGTCGGCAAAATTGGATTTGTAGTTGGTGATGACTTCTTGATAATTGCGGAAATATTCCTGTTCTTCGTGGCTCAAATTGTCCAAGTTCAACCGAGAAACCCGCGATAACGACGCGTCAGCTTTTTCATTATAAGACTCCTGATCTGGATCGATATTGAGCCACGAAAATTCATCGATTTGGTCAGCACGCAGCTTCTGATATGCCAAGAGACATCGCTTATTTCGACGCATAGACAAGTGTGTCACAAACAACTGGCACTGGTTGATCTTCTGTTCTTCCTCAGTAAACGACCCTTGACTTTCTTCTTGTAGTCGTTGTTGCAGTGTTAAGTATTCAGCATCTTTGTTTAAGTCGTCAATTTCTCGAATCACATCTTTGACCAAATCTGCCTGAAATAACGGCACGTCATTAAGATTGAGACTTCGTTTCGCGTCAAGAACTAGTTTTTTGGCGGCATCTCCATACATTGAAAGAATGTACAATCTATGAATAATAGTCTATGAATAATTCGCGTATCGTTCAAGTTAGCAGTTTATGGACGCGGGCATAGACAGGGTACAAGTGAAGAATGCTCGTGTGGCGCAGTGGTAGCGCAGCAGATTGCAAATCTGTTGGTCCTTAGTTCGAACCTGAGTGCGAGCTCTTTTTTTTATTTTTTCGCAGCCACTCTTGTTGCAACCATTCAATTTTATTCTACGTTTTTTCCTAACTTCTTGTATTACATCAACGACGTACGACCACCGATCTCGCTGCTCGCAGTTCCGTCGGGCATGTTTCCGTCACGATCGTTCAAAAATTGACGATACACATTGTCCAACTTGCGCTTTTCTTGGACCGAGATCGACGGTTTGGTTTCTTTGAGAGAAGCAACAAAGTCGGCATGAGTAATAAGGACCTTCAGGGATGTTTTAGATTTTTCACTGGTGGATCTTTTTGTCTCTTCTTCAGTGTATAGCAGTTCAATCTGCGACAAAAGCTGAACTCTCTCACTGGGGCGAAGAGTGTTGCTCTTGAGTTTCGAAGATGTGAGCTGAATGAAATCATAAGTCGTTTTGGATTTCGATGAACTTTGTCCCTTGAGAGCCTTGGACTCGTCAGCTGCCAATTTCTCGTGCACACCTTTCAAATAAGCATTATATCCTAATCCTTGCATATCCGCTCCACTGAAGCCTCCAGTTTGTTCGGCTATTTCTTCCAAAGAAACATCTTCCGCCAAGTCCATCTTAGCCGTGATACTTCTGAGAATGTCTAGTCTGTCTTCGTAGTCTGGCATATTACAGATGACACTTTTGTCCAATCTTCCTGGTCTCAACAAGGCAGAATCGATCAAGTCTGGCCTACTTGTTGCTGCCAAGACATATACCCCATCTAAGCCCTCAGCACCATCCATTTGAGTTAACATTTGATTGACAACACGGTCGGTGACACCGGTGGAGTCATGTCCTCTTTTGGGTGCTATGGAGTCGAATTCATCAAAGAACAAAATACATGGCTTTGCCGATTGAGCCCGCTCAAAGAGCTCACGAACAGACTGCTCAGACGCTCCAATGTATTTGTTCAAGATTTCAGGACCTTTGATGGAGATAAAGTTCAAACCACATTGACCAGCTACCGCACTGGCTAATAATGTCTTTCCACATCCAGGATACCCATAAAGTAAAATACCCGACCTGAGTCTCAAGGGACAGTTTGCAAAGATTGGTGCGTACTTTGTGGGCCATTCCAAAGTCTCCAAAAGCACATTTTTAGCTTCTTGAAGTCCTCCAATATCTGACCAATTGACCGACGATTTCTGTAATTTCACACCTCTCAAGTTGGAAGGAGTATATCCTTTGAGGGCGGTTTCAAAGTTGTCTTTAGAGATGTGAAGGGCTTCTTCTTTGCTGGATGCTGACGCAAATAATGCTTCATGATAGAGCCTGTCGCTCAAAATCTTGAGGTCGTTGGGGAGGTATCCTTCGGTTTCAGAAACAATATCCATGATATCAAAGTCAATATGGCATCCGAGCTTCTCTTTGATATACTTGGTGAGTATAACTGTTCTCGTTGACTTGTCTGGAGCCTTTAAATGGACGTAATTTTCGATCAAATGGGACAGGAAAAGAAGCTTGTTCAACGATTCTTTTGATGTTGCAGAAACAATTATGGACAAGTTGCTATGCTTTTGACCATGAATCCGCTGCAATTGCATAAGCAAGTACTCGGTGAGTTGCTTTGAGTTGGTGGAATCTGTGTGCTCTGCTTCCGCTGTAAGAATTTTGTCGATGTTATCCAAAATGAGTAACGACGGCTTGTGCCATGAACACTCCTGAACCCATTTTGAGATGTGGTTGGCCAGTAATTGACTAAAGTTTTCATTCATTATCGATTCGCAAGAAATGAACTTGGTATGGAATGATCCTTCAGCAGCTACTGCCTTGGCTATCAAGCGGAGAACAAGACTTTTTCCAGCACCGGAGTTTCCATAGACCAAAGTACCGGTATTTCTCGATGTCAAAATAGACTCGACTGTGTCGTCGATGGTGTCTTGAATTCCAAGGGCCTCTTCTAGCTTTTCAGGTTCTAGAGGAGTCTCGATAAAAGAAATGTTTCTGAGAAGTTCTTGGCCCATTTCTATTTTAGGGCTCTTCCCACTTGCAGAGGGCCGAATCCAGGCGGAAAATTCATCATTTTTCTTGAACTTGAGAAGAGCGCCGTGAGGAAGCAACAGGTGGTTTATAGGCACTTTCACGTAGTTTGTCACAGGAGAGTTGAAGAAAGATTGCCCAGCAAGCATCTCTGTGATTGAGTTGGCAAGTTCTGCTGTTTTTGTCTTCTTTTCACTTGAATTCAAGTTCATAGAGCCCAGTTTTGTCTGGGTAATATATGGGTGAACAACCACCGTTGTGGGACGTTTTTGAAGAGGCAGTGCTGCTGGTTTCAATGCAATAATGGATCCTATTTGGTCTTCGACATTGAGAGCCACTGCCAAATTTCTCGATAATCCAATGGAGTTTTGTGGGGTTTGTGGGTAACTAACAAGCTTGGCAATAATTCGCTTGTTTTCTTTAAGAGAACTGAAATCTTTGTCTGGGTTTGTTGGGTCGCTCCCACCCTCCTGTGTAGTGGTTTCCATGGCGTTCAGCTTATCGTTGGGTCCTGGAACCAAAGATACGGCAACATAGTCGGTGCGTTTCAATGTGCTTACAACTTCGTTAAAGTTGACGTAGACTTCATATGCCGCAGAGCCGTCGGTGGGGATTGATTCACTGGCGAATAGTGGATGTGGGAGCGGAATCCCACGCTTGAGTATACTGGGAACGTTAGCGTATGGTTCAGACGATATATTTTTCGCCGACTTTGAAGACTTCGTTGAAGCAGTTTTTTTGGGTTTGAGCTTGGGCGCTATAGCCACTTCGCACATGGGAGAGATTTTGGCATATTTGTGGTCCTTGGATCCAATATCAGTGACAATCAATTTTGCTGATGAAGTTTGACTCGGATAAACCACAAGTATCTGGTCCACTGAAACACACCGGGTTTGCGACAATAACTTGTCTTCCAAGATCTGGGCGTGTAGCTCCACCAACTCCCAATCTGATGAGGTTAGAGGCTCCAAAAAGATTTGGGAGGTTTCGTAGTTGTTGATTTTGATGTTCAAAGTCACCGATTCATTTTCGTTCAATCCCAACGATTGAGCAAAAACAGTGTCTATTTCGACCACCTTGACATTTGAAGACGACATTCCTGACCACCCAGCATAATAACGTTTTTTGGAACTCGAAACTATTTCAATGATGACATCTTGAATATTTATATTTGCATTGAAAAGAAGATTGGACAAGCTTGAGGGTAGGTTGAGCAAGTTGGAGCGAACAGATGCGTACGCTATGGTCACACGATGGCCATCCATGGTTATTGGAAATGGCAATGCCTGAAAAAGAAGAGTGGTGGAAGAAAGTGATGTGGGGCCGAGGTTTCCTGCATGTGCAAAAGGTGGGGGAGATGGATTACTATGTACAGAAAGATTGAAAGAAATAGTTGAGCAAGGACAATTTGACTTTGGGGTTTTGGACTTTGGACTTTGGGAAGGGATATTCAACACAATTGACGGGTAGGTGAAAATTTGTGACTTTGTCTTTGCCGATTTCCTCTTTCGCAGCCTGGAATTTTTCAGCTAAAAAAGTACCCAATTGAAATCACAAGTACCACAATTGAGTGTTTGAGCTTTAGAACTACTTCAATTCTTTCATAGTCTGCCTTGCTTGTAGCCCTTATCTCTTTTTTTATTCCCTCTCTTGAACCTCCTTCCACTTCTTCATCTGCTCATCGCTCGTCTGCTTCTCTTCCCATTTTTTCGCCTGCTTTTCTTGGTTTTTCTGTCGGGCTTTTTCCACCGTCTCAAACGATTTCCGCCGTAAAGACCGGCATTGTTCCCATCCTACAATGTTGCCTAGGAAAAATCCACACACCGCCCAGTTCACTGACCTTTGGGGGTTCTTGTGGATGAGAAATGTGATGGCTCCAAGTACTCCCATCGACTGGAACCCGGTTATCATGGCTTCCCGGAAACACGGCATGTTCACATAGTGGGAAATGGTGAAATCGGAGAGTTTTACTTGCTTGAAAGCTTCACGATACATGCTCTCTGGAGGTTGTCTCGGAGCAGTGTCTTCGAATTTAGGAGGAAGGTCTTCCAAAAATTGCTGCTCTTGCTGTCCATTGGAGTTGGAAGTGGTGTCTATTTCGGAAATGTTCGATACTTTTGCAGGGGAGCCGCCGAACCAGCCCATCGTTAAAAGAAGAGATGATTAGATCCAAAAAAAAATATAGCGCCGCCCGGTTTCGATCCGGGGACATCAGGGTTATGAGCCCTGCGCGCTTCCACTGCGCCACGGCGCTTAATCGCGTGTTATTTGGTGTGGGGGAAGAATAAGTAGAGTTAAAAGCTTTTTGAATTCAATTCTGTCGTCTTTGTCAACTGGTTGTCTTCATTGGTTATTGGTCCTTCTACGTATTTCATGAAGAACGCACTCTTCTCTAAACTTTCTTTTTTTTTGTTTCCTCTCCATTTTCAGTCTCATTTGAGTTCGCATTTTCTCAACTCAATCTCTCTTTCTATGGATCTCCCCGACATTGAGCTCGATCCCCAGCTCAAATACTGGGTTCTTCTACCCATTTCCTTCGTCATGGTGTTGGTGGGACTTCTCAGATCGAATATCACCGTGATGATGCAACCCAATCCCAAATTGGAGCCGTTTCGAAAAATTCGGGAAAAGTAAGTTAAAATAAGGGAACAAAAAACACGAAAATTAACTAAATACCAAGCCAGAGTGGTTTGTTTTCGGGGTCTAGTACTAACACAGGCAATTTCTCAAGCGGGCGGCTTGTTTTCGTCAAAATAATGGCGTTTTAACTGCGAGTGAGTTCACAAATCGTCAAAATTACTTTATTGAAACGCTAAAATCTCCCGAATTTTACGCTGAAAAGCCAGAAGCCAACGCTTCCCCAACCAACCCTTTCACTGATCCATCGATGAACGACGCATTGATGTCGATGGCCAAAGGAAACTTGATGAACTACATTCCTCAGACAGTTATTATGGGCTGGATCAATTTTTTCTTTGCTGGTTTTGTGATCATGAAGTTGCCTTTTCCGTTGACCGACGGGTTCAAGAGTATGTTGCAAAATGGAGTGGCGACGCCAGATTTGAACGCAAGGTACGTTTCAGCCATCTCGTGGTACTTTGTCAATTTGTTAGGATTGCGTCCAGTCTACTCTTTACTCATGGGAGACTCGACCGCAGCCGACCAATTGATCCAGCAGCAGCAGCAGCAGCCCCTCCCCAATATTGGTGGCCCTGGAGGTCCTAAGGTGGACAAGGTATTTGCAGCCGAGGCGGAAAATATTCAGATTTTGTCGCACGAGTCGGTTTTTACGGGTATCGTGGATCGTGTACTAGCTGCTCATTCGTAAGAATGAAAGGAGCAGAAAGGAACTTTCTGCTACTTTTGCTCTGCTTTCTGATTCTGATTCTGATTCTGTGCTGATTCTGTGCTCGTCATCCTGCATAGTTATATATATATCTCATCGCAAATATGTCAGCTTACCATCATGCCCAACACCGTCATATGTATCGGCATGGCCGGGTCTGGCAAGACCACGTTCATGCAGCGTCTCAACTCTCATCTCCACGCCAAGAAAACTCCTCCATATGTGATAAACTTGGATCCTGCTGTTCTCAAGGTGCCTTTTGGTGCCAACATCGATATTAGAGATTCGGTTAAATACAAAAAAGTAATGGAAGAATACAATTTGGGACCCAACGGAGCCATTGTCACATCGCTCAACTTGTTCGCAACGAAAATCGACCAGGTTATCAAGCTTGTGGAAAAAAGATCCCTGGCAGTGGAAAATGTCATCATTGATACTCCAGGTCAAATCGAGTGTTTTATTTGGTCTGCCAGTGGAGCCATTATCACTGAAGCATTTGCATCGCAATTTCCCACGGTTATTGCCTATATCATTGACACTCCCAGAAACTCATCTCCAACTACTTTTATTTCGAATATGCTTTACGCTTGTTCGATTCTTTACAAGACAAAACTTCCTATGATTATTGTATTCAACAAAACAGACGTCAAGAAGGCAGACTTTGCCAAGGAATGGATGCAAGATTTTGAGTCGTTTCAGGCGGCACTCCGCAGAGACCAGGAAATAAATGGTGAAAATGGTGAGTCGTCGGGGTACATGAGCTCGCTCGTTTCTTCCATGTCATTGATGTTGGATGAGTTTTACTCGCAACTCGACGTGGTTGGTGTCAGCGCATACACTGGAGAAGGATTTGATGAGTTTATGGATGCCGTTGATAGCAAGGTTGACGAATATAACGAGTACTATAAAGCTGAACGAGACCGGATATTGAAACAGAAAGAGGAAGATGAAAAAAAGAGACAGACAAAAAGTCTTTCCAATCTCATGAAAGACTTGGATTTGGACCAGTCTCAGAAAGACCTGGATGTCTTATCAGATTTGGAGTCGGAAGAAGACGAAAATAATGGAGAAGTTATGAGAGATGAAGATGAACCCGAACGCCAGTATACATTTCCCGAAGACCGAAACTCGGAAATCAACGAAAGTACCGATGCCGACCTCCAAAGTCGGTACCAAGCTGCGTTTGAAAAGACCGCCAAACTGCCCAGCTCCGAGACGGCCGAGAACATTGCAAACTACATCCGGAGATAAAAGCCATACGACTAAAAGGTTTTTAGTTTTTCTGCTATCTACTGAGAGCCTCGTCAATATTGTATGGCACTCCATCCTTGAAAATCAAGTGTGGTTTGTGCGCTGCCAAGTGTAAGATGGTCTTACCAAACTCCGAGTTGCACCAGGCAAACCAGGACCGGGTGTACTGCTTTCCATGAGGTGAATTGACATGGACACTTTCGTGCATCAAGCCGAGATTGGCACTGGTTTTCATGATAAGGTTCAAGCTTTCTGTGATTTCCTCATCGTCATTAGAAGTTCTCATCTTGACGAGTAGAGACATGGGCCATGCGTTGTGGATGCCAATATGAGGACCACCTATGCCTTCAAAATGGGTTCCTTTGAGATAGTACGGATTGCCGTCTTTAGCAAGAATCATTTTTCTAGTGTTCTGGTAAATTTCATCGTCAATGTCCAAATATCCTATATCTGGCAATGACAAAAGCGACGGAATATTGGCGTCGTCCATGAATACATTTCCTCCATAACCATCTACTTCGTAGGCATATACTTTTCCCCATTTTGGGTGGTTGACTATTCCGTAGTTTTCGATTCCAGAGGTGATGCTTTCAATAAAGCTGTCCACGGCAGTGATGAATGTTTCAGCTGGAAACTGCGACGGCATTTTTTCATTCAAAAAATTGGTTCTTAATCGCTTCAACTCGGTGACCATGTGCGCATTGGCAGGAATGAAAAACTGCAAAATCGTAGCATCGTCCGAGGGCCGGAACGCTGAGCGTACTAAGCCGGTATCGTAGTTGACGGGGTTCCCGATTCCAGCGAGCGGAAGTGTTTCGGAGCCGATATTGGTTTGTCTTTTAAAAGCGTAATAAAATGCCAAAGCTTGGCCGGTCTTTTTATCGAACGAAGGAAACGATTCTCGCTTCATAACGATCAAGACTTTCTCGAGCGCCCTCATCCAGAGCTCAGACAAGAACAGAAGGTCTCCATTGGAGTTTTCGTAGTAATCGTTGGTGAGAGTGAGAAACGAGGCCAAGGAATCAAGTTCGTATTTGCACTCAAAAACTTGTCTCCAGTCAGGTCGAGGATAAACATCGTCCATGGCAGTTTCTCCCTTTTTCACATTAGACTGGGGAGGAGGATGGAAAGCATTGCAATATGGAGAAATGAGAAGATAGTTGGCCTGGGTATTGATTGCACCCACCATCAAGTCTTTGAGTTTTTGATCATGTTTGATGAACGGTTGGTACACAGAGAGCTGACGGGCAGCGTCCCGAAGCCATTCGGCATGGATATCTCCGGTAACAACGAACGACTGGAGATTGGAAACTCCTTTGTTCTCTCGTCCTCGATGCCACAAGATGGTGGTATCCAAGGTATTTGGAAGGCAATTTTCCACCAACCTTGCGAGGTCAGGATCCCTCAATCTGCTCTTGAGGTCCTGGATCACCCGCTCAACGGCGCTGGACACAAACGTACGACACTTGGGAGCTGGTCGCATATATGGGTATTGGAACTTTCCACTGGAATACGGACTATGTCTCGACTGAGAATATTCGACGTAATTCGGACACTTTCCTGTTTTCTTGTCGAGTTTCTTGAGAAAAGCTGCACTAACATCATCAGAAATCTCCTTTTTGTTGTGCTCAAACTCTCCTTCTATGACCGGCTGGGGCTGGAAATTTTTTGGAAACTGAACAAATTCTTGTATGTCTTCACCAGTACTTTGCAGCTCGTTTTTTCGAGAAAAGATGATATAGAGCGTGAATGCGACCAACGTGAGCGCCACAACACGCGGGCGAAAGTGTCTACCACCAAACGGCATCTATGTATTGATGAATATGGGGTCAGCGTATCGGCAGGAAACTATGTGCAGGTGCAGAAGATTCCTAACGTATATTATGGCTTTACTAGATATATGCAATTGTGGCCCAGTTCCACTCTGGTGAGCCCAGATTGGCCCATATACTCCGCGAGCGTGGCTACGTTACTCTTGGACTGTTTTGTCTGTTGAAGAAGGTTATCGTAGTTGGAATCGGACTCCTTTGCAGCAACTTCGGCCTCGAAGAATTTTGCAACTTCTGGAAATCCTAGCGAAAATCTCGCCAAAGAAACCTCGAATTCATCCTCAAACTTTTCGAGGATATCAAGGATGGACCTGTCAAAGTGCGGAAGCATCAGAGACTCAATTGTGATGCCATACAAAGAGTTGAAGGTGAGGTCGTATGGGAATATTTCAGCCACATCTATCCCATTTAAGAAGGCTTGGTATAGCTCATTGATGGGATATTGGTTTTCCATGGAATTGAGGTCGTGGGCTCCGTCGTTCACGATAGCCACGTTCTGAGCACCAGCGAGAAAATTGCAAAATTCGTCGTTTCCGCTAAATTGAGGGTGTGCATTTTTCACCGCAAGAGATAGGATATCTGTAGATGGAATGTCAAAAAGATGGTAAGTTTTGAACCGAGAGTTGTTCAAGTTGCGAGTGGTCGCGATTTTCGACTTGAGAAGGTCAATTTGAGATTTGAGGTCTGAAAACGGCTTGTTAATTTGATGCAATGAAGAATGAGAAAAGAGCCGATTTTTCTGTTTGAGTATGATGAGAATCGGGGTGTCGTTCAATAATCTCGAATACCATCGATATGTGTTCCCTACTGCCGGAACATTGGGCACTTTTTGCATTGGGTTGTAAAATGAAGCGAGTGAGTTCAATATTCGTGCCTGGAAATCGGTATACCTTTTCGTCGTAGAAGTGTATTTAGTGTCTATTGTTTCGTCCAATTGGCCAAAAGTTTTGAATATTTCATCGGTAGATCGGCTCTCTATATTCGGAAGCCCAATTTGACCGGTAAACAAAGGTTGAATAATGTGTGAAATCAATGGAGGATAATCGTTGGTATCCATCTGCAAATCTTTAGCGGTATTATGTACAAGTTTTTGTCTTGAAAAATTATGGTAGAATGGAGAATTACGATTAATGAGGTCACTTATACCCACCACTTTGTCGAGCGGCTGTAGAGCATTGGAGGCGCGTTCGTAAATGTTGAATAGATGCAATACTTTTGGTGGTAGTCGGCTGATGGTATATCGCGACATTTGGTCGGAAGTTGGTCGGAAGTTGGTCGCAAGTTATGGTCGGAAGTTATGCACGGAAGTACGCAGCTCATCGAACGCACACTAGAAGTGTTTACATCCACACACCAGCTATACCGTCTGAACAATTGCAGCAGCAGCAGCCACTTTTCCGGTGATGTCTGACGACGAAATCGATGTGAGTTTATTCGAGGAGCCCGAGGGGTTTCTTCCACCACCTCCAGAGCCACATTTCGCAACTTATGGGCGCAAAATACCTGGTGCTAATCCCTCCACCATCGAGATGAGGTTGGTTGGAAAATCGCCATTGTGGGGCCACATGCTCTGGAATGCTGGAATCTATACCGCAGACTACCTCGATAAGCATAGCAGAGAACTCGTGCGTGGAAAAAGGGTTTTGGAGTTGGGTGCAGCCGCCGGATTACCAAGTCTTGTATGCGGGCTCAACGAAGCAGCATACGTACTTTCCACCGATTACCCCGATCCGGATTTGATTGATAATATCCAGTACAACGTGGACCACACTCCAGACGCCAAAAACATAGAGGTCAAGGGATACATATGGGGAAACGATATTGGAGCCATGATGTTTAATGAAGAGAACAAGGCTGCGAAAGAGGATGAAAAGTTTGATTTAATTATTCTTTCGGACTTGATCTTCAACCATAACCAACACCACAACTTACTCAAGAGCTGTAAGCAGCTTTTAAATGCAACAGGACTTATATTTGTTGTATTTTCACCGCATAGGGCTCATTTATTAAATGAAGATTTAAAGTTTTTTGAAACATGCAAAGAGTATGGATTCAAAAGCAAACAAAACGACATGCAAATATGGAAGCCGATGTTTGAAGAGGACGAAGAAACAGCCGAGATCCGGTCCCGAGTATACTCGTACTTTTTAGAATGGGATCAATAACTATCATACAAATTATCAAGAAATTTGCACATGGATTTGCTTATCCTTTCATTCTCACCTTCACTTTTATCCTCTCATCTCCATTCTCACCTTCTCCTACTCTACACTATCTCGTATTGAATTGTATTCATATACATTAAATGCTTACTGGGAAGCTGGGGAGGGGTTCATCTTTCTCTTACCGTTGGTCAAGGTAACGTTGACGAATCTTCTGGTGTATAACAAACGCTTGTAAGCTCTTCCTTTTGGCTTCTTTGGCTTCTCTTGAGGTTCAACCTTTGGAGTTTGCGACTTAACTTTACCGGCACGAGCCAATGATCCGTGGACTTTTCCCTAAAAGTTAGTATAAGCTGATAAAACTATTTACGGAGCACGTTCAGACGTATCAGAACATCCACCGATGTATCCAGCGTGTCAAAACGCTGTTATTTTTGATTTACTTACCATTTTGTTTGTGGTCTAAGTTTTCGGTGTGATAATGACGAAAATTTTACAGAGGGGCAAACTCGCGCGAGTGCAGGACTCACGTGAACGGGCATGGGGCTGCGCCCTGGAGGTGGTTCGGCGCACGACCCTCGGACTCGTATTATCAAACCTGTCAAACGCGGTCGTGCATCGATATGCAAGGAAGGCGTTTTTACGCCGATGAGGTGAGGAGGCGCATGTGAAATTGATCGGCCAAGCTTAGAGTAAAAAATAAGATAAACAACGGTCTAAATGTTATGGATGTAGATAAGTGCCATGTTTTACGTAGATATTTTATAAGAAGTATGGAATTGTGTTTAGGTGTCTTGCAGCAAATTTCATGTAGCCTAGACGTGATGCGCGGTGCGGACGTCAGGGTGCAGCTAACTTGCCGTTTTAAGGATCATACCGAATACGACCACCAGGAGCATCAAGATAGCCGCTGCCAATAAACCAACGGATAACCGAGTTGCTGGGTAATGATTCTTTGTGAGAGAGTATTGTACGAGAAAAAACCGGAAAGCTCCAAATGCAACCGTGAATATTCCGAGGGCAATAAACACGGCTCCTACCGGTTTACCAAACCGGTGGACTGCATGCAAGTCGGGTTCATTTTGAAGATTAATATAACGATCGGAAATTTGTACTCTTGATCTGGACGACTCGAGTCGGAACAATTGGGTGATTCCAATGCCCATGGTTATGAATGACAATGACGTTCTTAGCCATGCCAAAAAAGTGCGTTCGTTGGCGAGCTGCAGTTAGTGATTGTTCCAGTGCATTGCATCACAGCCCTTTATCAGGCAATATTTCCGCGCGTATACCTACATGATCGCGAGCTACTGACCCTCGGTTTTCCAAGGATATTGACCGAAGATTCCCCGGCAGAAATACCTTGCTTAGTGGGTGCCGATACCCACCCTCGGTTTCAGGAGTGTCTGGCATTGAAGACAATTGCTCGCCCAGATTTTTCGCACCGTGACGATTGGGTGTGGCGCGGCGCACAATCCTGATTCCAGGGTGGTTCTGTCTTGGCTGGCTTGGCTACACATGTTTACTGTTGCTGTCTATTGTGTTTGCCCTTGTAACCCAGTATTATGTCACTCGGTGCTTGTATGCTAATGTAATGAGAATGTAATGAAATGGTAATTTGAGGCTGAAGTGAAATTCTCTTCTCTCTTCTTCTTCTCTCGTGTTCGATTTCTTGTTCAGAAAATCATGCCAAGAAACACTGCCATGCCCATGAGAGCAGATGTAGAGCCAGCGTTGAGTATTCCGTCGTTGGCAGAGATAGTAGTACGTTCATAGGACCTTACTTCACCGATGTTTCCTGATAATGTTCCAAGTCCAACTTCTCCGGATTTCACATCACTGGTTTCAGCACTGGTATATGTGGATTTGAATTCTTGTTTGAATGCAGTTTGGATAGTGGCCAACTTACCAGATTGGGTGACGGTGACCCACACCAAGGTGGTGGTGGTGGCCGAAGTCGTCGCTGCTACCACCATGGCAGTGCATATTGTAAGTAGGGTTAAAAATGCATTCAATCTCATTTTTTAGTCGGTGTTGAAAAACCACGATCCGCTAGGTTGAGGCTGCTCCCTCAATAAATATTTGTGCCAAGCTCATCCCGTTGCTCCCTGCGCCCACTATTTATATCCTCAGCAGGATTATAGATCCTGAGAGAAGTTCTGCGGCGCGTGCGGCGCGAGTGTCTCGAAGCTGCATACGGAAGCGATGAGACAAATGCACCACGCGCGTCAGTGGTACAGCCTCGACTGAACTGAGACGGGACAAGTGTAGCCGGTTTAGTCTTGGTAAACCTTAATTGCAATTGAGGTGTGGGCGTTGCCGTTTTCGTAGGAGTGAAGCGGCAAACACTTGCGGGAAAATTCCGCGCCGTAAACTTTCACAACAATAAGGGGCAGGGATTATAATCTCGCATGTCAAAAAAATTTTATCGGGCCGACCATGCATGCTTATGTGAAGGCATGTAGGCTGAAGTGGGCTATTGCAGGCAGATAAGCATGTTGACATGGATCAGACAAGCTGATCAGACAAGGCTGTGAAGTTTTCAATTGTGGTTGAGGCTGTGGCTGTATGATGTAATTCACATAGGCAAGTAGCTGAGTGTATTGTCTTGCAAATAGCCGTTTGCTATACGAGTTGTTGGGTCTCGTAAAGCTCCTCCATATAAATATAGTTTGGTAAGTAGGGCGGCAGTTGGGTACCAATTAATTACCAATTAGGATCAGGGGTCCGCTAAACTCTTGTGTGTCATGTGATTCTTGGCCATGGGTCCGTGGATCACGTTCACTAGCCCATACGTTCTGTGGTCATGTTCATTGCCATTGCCCATTGCCCATTGGTCATATAAAGTAGTCGGTTTGAGGTCTCTTTGTAGGGGTGTCGTTCTCTGGGGTCACCGCCTCAAACACCTTGTAATGGCGCTCGAGATCGTCGGTGATAGTAAGCACCAGAGCGATGTTTCCGCATCGATAACAGTAGTTGGGTGCCAGCCACACCGTCACCAATCCACCATCAAACATCTCCTTGTAGCCCTCCATGACAAGCTGGTGTGCTCGCGCTATGAGCGACACGTCGTTGCGGTGAAGAAACTGCTGTACTTCGTTGTTTCCAAAGAGAAACCCAGCACCGCGTGGCAGAATCGCCCACCCTTGTACGTCCTCTGGGTCCAGCCACAAGAGATCACACATTCCCCCTTCGTGGGGCACTTCTTGTTTTCGGTCAATGACACGGATTTGGTCCACGGTGTCGATATCAGGACTCAAACCGCCGTGAATACAAAACACCGCCCCGCCCACAATGGCACCAAGCGCCAAATAATCAAACACTTCGCAGCAGTATCGCCACACATTTACACTTCCATACTTGCGCACACACTCGTCGTAGAACCCGTACACGGTGGTGATTTGTCTGCTTTCATGATTGCCTCTTATCAACGCAATTCGATCAGGATATCGAACTTTTAACGCGAGTAGAAGCAAAAGACTTTCAAGTGAGTAAAATCCTCGATCCACAAAATCCCCTAAAAACAAGTACTGTGTTCCAGGACACTCACCTCCCGTTCTAAACAACGTCAAAAGGTCATGAAGCTGACCGTGAATATCTCCACAAATAGTTACTGGGGTGTGTAAATGTTGCACATTTGCTTCTTCTATAAGAAGCTCAATAACCTTGCTACAAAGCTCCTGGACATCGGATTCTGGCACGTGTTTGCACAGCTTAATATTTTGAATGGTTCTGGGTCAGTATATGGCTTGAGAGAATGGAGTTGAGGACACTTACTCGTCTAGGTTTAACATGAAGAGAAAGTTGCCGCGCGCGTTTATGGGTGTGGGCAGGATTTGCAGCCGCGAGTGCGAACAAGTAATCTAATTGATAGCTAATGGTATACAGTAAAATAAATTGAGTAAAATTATCAAGTTAGAGTTGAGTGAGATTATCAAGCTGAGCCCAAGAGTATTAATGAAGTGAGACCAATAGGGAAATCAATTGTAGCATGATAACTAAACGAGAGAATCAAAGTATTGCAAATTACAACCAGATGACTGATTACTGGATTCACTTATAGGCGACTAAGTGAGAACAATTGATAGTCTATTATAGTCCAGGTATGAAACAACCAAGTGAAGTAGACTTAGCTGATTAAAACAGAGAACATAATGGAAGAAAACTTCAACAAAGTAAACTTAATGAGCTTGAGAATTTGGATATGCCTTTGATCAATGGAGTGAGAATGACGACGAAGGTAATTTATGTGGAGATTGACTAGAGAAAAATACTGAAATACTAATGAGATTAGTGACAGACTAGTGAAATACTAGCGACAAACTAGTAACAAACTAGGGACAAACTAGTGGATACTAATGAAGTAAACCAGTGATAAACTAGTGAAATACTAGTGAAATACTAGACAAACTAGAGACAAACTAATGATAACCTAACACGATTGTGAAAGCTGGAAAGAACTGATACGACCCAGTCCAATAAACTCCCCAGACAGTTAACACTACACTGAGTTACTGTTACATGAGTGGAACCCTTTTCGAATATTTGAGCTTTTGTTCATTCATTCAATATCTGTTCGTTTCCTAGCTGGCTTGCCGCACCGGCAACGTGTACTTCATAAACGACCGTTGGAGCTGCCTTCGAACAGTCACCTTCTGTGCTCCCACAAAGCTATCTATACTCACCTTGATGGCCCGGTTAAGGTCATTTTGACTCACAAAGTCCGAGAGTCGCATCTTGGCAAATGCCTCTGCCAATCTGAGAATACTTTCCAAGTGTCTGACAGTAATGGGAAACGAGCCTGTGGTAACGGACTCTCGTCTCAAGTCGGCATACACTCGCGAAACTTTATCCATGTCCATCTGGTGGAGTTTGGGCAGAACCTTGACTCGCGCATAGTTGATATACTTGACCAATAAGTCTTGTGGAATGGGGGAAATCTCACTTTCTTTTTCTTTGAGAGCCTGTTCGTTCCGCTGCTGTCTGGTTTTCCTTCTTGGTGTATTTATATCTTGGTCTTCTTCCATGTCGTCGTCGTTTTCACCATCTTCAGCCAGTGCTGGGTGCGACCGCATGTGCGAGTCAATGACGAAACTGGCCAATCTTTCGTCCAGTTCTGGATTCACTAAGTCTCGTACAACACACAAGATGTCAAAACGAGACAAGATCGGCTCGGTCAAATCAACATTTTGTGAAAGCGGCAATGTCGAATTGTACTTTCCTCCATTAGGATTTGCAGCCGCAATAATGGCACACCGGGCTTGCAATGTCGTGACAATACCTGCCTTGGACACCGAGATAGACTGCTGTTCCATGGCCTCGTGAATACTGGTTCGATCCTGGTCGTTCATCTTGTCGAACTCGTCAATCAAGCAGGTTCCTTTATCGGCCAAAACCAACGCTCCTCCTTCCAAAGTCCATTCTCGAGTAATGGGATCTTTCCTTACGGACGCCGTTAATCCCACAGCAGAAGCACCTTGCCCAGTAGCGAAAACAGCACGATTGGCAGTCTTTTCGGCATACTTTAATATCTGCGACTTGGCGGTTCCAGGGTCTCCCAACAACAACACATTGATGTCTCCTCGAATGGAAAGCTTGTTGTTGACGTTCTTGGGCACTCCGCCGAATAAGGAACATGCTACGGCGGTCTTGATATCCTTGTGACCATAAATAGACGGAGCCATGGAACTGATAATTTTGTCGATGATTCCACGTTCTTTGGAAAGTTTGCGGAATTCCCGCTCTTCCTCTTCGGTCCACGCATTAATGCCGTCGCCAAAAGCTGTTGTTTCCTTGCGTTTAATGGAGTTTGCCTCGATCACCGTCGCAAAAACAGGAAATCCATTCTTCGCATTCAAGTGGCCATCATAGTTGTTCTTGTAAATTCCCGTGACTTCGATTTCTTCCCCGGGTTTGGCAATGTCTACCAAGTCCCAGAGCAAGATAATTTCTCGGTGTCTGGGCAATCTTCCTGCTGGAACGCTTCCTGGAGATTCCTGGAGAGTGATTCTCTGGTAGTTTCGGTAGAGGGTTTTCTCGGAATTGATGCGGAAAGGTCCCTTGGCTCGACAGTTGGTACAGAACGAGATCTTGACCTCTGTATTGGAGTCCTGGACAAAAGGACCCAAAACTACACCGCATTTTAAGCAGTCGAATTTGACATACTTGAGCTGGGGAAAAACGCCGGTACGACGAGTGACGACACCGGAGATTTTGATCAACGAATTAAGGTTGCTTTCGCGGAGGTCTCTCAACGTCAACAAGTTGGGAAAGTTGGTGATACGGACGTGGATTTCCTGGTGGATTTGAGAATAATTGGGGTAATGGAGCTCAGTGGCTTCCATGGCAACGATGTCGAAAATCTTCAACATTTCCGTTGGAGAAGTTGCCAAGAAAAGTGCCAAAATAGCTTTGGAATCGGCCAAGTGGTCGTAGAACACCTCTAACGACTCGGCATTGACCTCTCCCAAAGTTCGGATCTTGGCACCGTAGACGGAACGACCTTTTTCATCGGTGTATTCAAGCAAAAAAGATTTGAGTTCCCGGGCAATTGACTTTGATACGGCCGGCTGGAGAATCCACTCGGTGACAGTAGCTGCCTTGACGTCGCTCAAGCTTTCTAGCGACAATTCTTCGTTAAAAGGATCGATTTCAAATCCTTCCATCATATCGTCATGGTCGTCGTACTGTCTTCTACGGCGTCTTTGAACAGGAAGCCCATATTGATCGACCTCTCCCACATCATCGTCTTCGTCGTCGTCCATATATGCCTGTCTTCGAGACCGGTCGTTGGTTCTTCCCATAAAGTCATCTCTTCTGTCCATCTGCTGGTCGATCCGTCTTCTCGTTGCAGCGTCCAATTCCTCGTATTCCTCGTCGTCGATGTTTCCTTCTCCCAAGTCGTAGTGGTCCTGCGACTCGTTGCGTCGGTAATCCTGCTCGAGGTTGTCCAACAAGTCCTCGCCGTCATCCTCATCGGAGGCATTGAGATCGTGGACATCGTCGATGATTTCTTCTTCCTCGTCAGCAAATGGAATAGCAGGTGAAGAAGGGGGCAATTGAGGACTGGACGCGATGGATGGAGAAGACCGGCCTGCGGCATCCCCGTCGTCGGCCTGTCTTTTTCTGTGATTTGGACTTGACATCGGTGGTGAAGAAGAAATGCGGGCTGAAAAATGTAGACGCGGTGCGCTGCGACTTTTTCCGTTTTGGGATTATTAGGTGCAGACGCGGAGAGATGAGGAAGACAGAAACGAAGAATAATTAAGAAATAGAGAGGAAAAAGGAGGGTGATTAAAAAGCGGAACTGACGATCGGAGTGAACAATGAGAAAGGTCAATTTTGTGTTGAATTCTGTGAAATACTCAACTATTGAGAAAGTCCATTTGACAAAATTATTAAATTTGGACATTTTGCAAAATTACAACATTACCAAGTTTCAAGCATGTTCCTGCCTTTCCTCCTTCTTCTTCTCCCTTTCCTTATTTTCTTCGTCTCCTTCTCTCCTCTCTCCTCTTCATCTTCCCTTGCACCCATTCACCTGCAGGACCCGCATCACAACCGCACCTTCCTATCTTCTTCCTTACCATGTCCGATCTGATCACAGCCGTCGACTACTTGGAGTCCCAGCGGGAGTTGGAACAAGAGGCTCGCACCTTGATGCCATTCGACCCCACGGAGTGTACCTATACTATGGGGGAATTGCGACAGCCAGTATATGCCTGTTTGACATGTTCAAAGCTGCAAAATAATGACGATTTTGTCCCCATTGGCGTCTGCTACTCGTGTTCCATACAGTGCCACGCCGACCACGACTTGGTGGAACTCTTCTCCAAGCGAAATTTCACCTGTGACTGTGGAACTACAAGAATGTCCCATGTTCCTCGCGGCGGTTGCACACTCCGTCATCACCAAAAACGATCCAGACGATCTTCCAACCAGTCCAGTATCTCGCTGACACCCGTGTTAAGAGCAGGACTCGGAAGCGCCTCGGAAAACCTTCGGGATCGCCGAAATTCGTTGGAATCTTCGCAGAGTCTGCCGGCAGACGATATCCCTGCGCTGGGAAATTTGTATAACCAAAACTTCAAGGGGCTCTTTTGCTCTTGTAGCGAACCATACAATCCATTGGACGAGAGCCGGGTGATGGTACAGTGCCATTTTGGCTTTGTCTGTGGTGAAGACTGGTACCATGAAGACTGCATTTTAGGTGTGAAAGCACTGCCAAAATCAACTTTTTCAGAGCTGAAAAATAGACTAGACGACTTGGAACCTCCTGCAGAAGATGCCCAGCTGGAATCCCTGTTGAAGAGGGAATCCCCTGTGAAACAGGAGACTCCGAAACCTTCACAGAGATCGCCTTTTCCTAATTTAGACGACTTTGATCTGTTCATTTGCTGGAAATGCGTCGAGGTATTCCCTGCGGTGTTTGAAGAGTTGGCAGAACATACAGACATTGTGCTCAAAAAGCTTCCATATCACCAGGTGCTGAGCATCGAAGAGTGGAATACTGCTAACGAAAGACAGCCATCGGATGAAGGACCACAAAAGAAGAAAATAAAAACTGAAAATCCCTCCACATTCAGGTACTCTGTATTTTTGAATAACGGGTTTCAGGATCATATGAAGCGGTTGAGAAAGACTTTAGAAGAGCAACCTGAAAAAGCCAAATTTCGTCTTTTAGATTTTCTCACCAACTACGAATACCTCTACATGGACGACCCAGTCTACGAGCCGCCCGCAGACGAAGATGATGACGGTTCTACCCTCTTGGACTTGGGGGCCGAAGCCTTACATTCACTACCTCGAGAACAGGCTATCGAAGGCCTACAAGTCTACGACAAAATACGGTCCAAACTCCGGGACTTTTTCAAACCGTTCGCCGAAGAAGGCAAGGTGGTAACAGAAGATAAAGTCCGCGAGTTCTTTGAACAGATGAAAAAGAGCGACGACCACTAGCTGTGACATATATGTACACTATCTGATATATACAAAACCTTACTTTCTCTTTGCTTTCTTCTTCTGATCCAAGGCAGCAAAGTCGTCCTTCCAGATATCATTGATCTCTTCCACAGAAGTGTTGGGGAAGATATGGTCGAATACCTCCTGGTACCACTCAACAGGAATGAGCTCAATTCCTTCCTTCACCTCTTCAGGAATCTCTTCAAGCACATTTTCGATATCCTTAGGGAAAATCACCTTGGTGCATCCGTACCGCTTGGCACCCAACAACTTCTCTCGCAATCCTCCCACAGGAAGCACACGGCCAGTAACAGTTATTTCACCAGTCATGGCAACTTCTGGTGGAAGAGGTTTGTTGATGGCCAAGGAAATCAAAGAGGAAGTGAACGAGATACCCGCAGATGGCCCATCTTTGGGAATTGCACCATCTGGACAATGGACATGGATGTCCGCTGCCTCGAAAAACCGATTATTAGGGTACTTTTTCGACATGAACAGTTTCGTAAATGAGTAGGCAATCGAAGCAGATTCCTTCATCACATCCTTCAAGCTACCGGTGACATGCATGCCTGGAGAACCCGATCCCGATGCAATTGAATGCGTCAAAATAGACTCAATGTAGAGAGCATCGCCATTTCCAGATGAGCTGTATGAGAGGCCAGTAGCAACACCAGGAGGAGGGTTGTCGTAAACACGATCTCTCGTGTAAATCTCAGGTCCCACGTAATCCTTGAGCGTATCCACAGAAACCGTAATTTCCACATCCTCGGGAATAGCAATTGGCTCCGGCAAGTTTTCGTCCTCAGAGGACGTAGATTCTTCGCTAGAATCTTTCTTTGCATCGGCCGCTACTCCATCGGCAGAAAACTCTGTGGCAGTTGCCTGTGCGGGTTCCTTGTCCACCTTTTCATCCTTTGCGTCTGTCTTCTCGACCGACTCAGTTTTGACAATCTCAGCCTTATCTTCATCTTCGGCTGATCTCTCTTCCTTGGCAGAAACTTCTTCTTCTCTCAGCTCGATGTCTTCCACGATCTTCATCGAAGCTTTGCTGTAGATTCGGTTAATGAACTTTTTCACATTACGAAGTCCACTTTCACGACAGTACTTTTCAATAAGACGACTAATGGTTTCGGTTGGGATCTTCACATGGCGAGGATCCAACCCAGCTTTCTTGGCAGCATCAGGAATCAAGTGACGCTTAGCAATCTCAATCTTCTCGTTGTTGGTATAGCCGGAAACATCAATGATCTCCATTCTATCACGCAATGGAGCAGGAATGTTGCCCAAATAATTGGCAGTACACACAAATAATACCTTGGACAAATCAACCTTAACATCGATGTAATTGTCCACAAAAGAGTTGTTTTGTTCCGGATCCAAAATCTCCAAGAATGCAGATGCAGCACCACCACCTCTACTCAAATCCAACTTGTCGATTTCATCAATCAACATCAAAGGATTCGAAGTTTTGGCTTGCTTGAGTGCAAAGATAATACGTCCTGGAATCGAACCAACGTAAGTACGACGATGACCCTTCACTTCGTGGACGTCTTGAATACCACCCATGGCAATTCTTACGTACTTTCTATCGAGCGCCTCAGCAATCGACCGAGCAATCGACGTCTTTCCGGTACCTGGTGGACCCGCTAAACACAATATTTTTCCGTCCACTTTGCCCGAAACTTTACCAATGGAAATGAACTCCAAAATACGGTCCTTGACGTCCTTTAAACCATAGTGGTCACGGTCAAGAATCTCTCTCGCACGCTTGATACTGAAACGGTCTTTTGAATAAATTCCCCATGGGATAGAAGTCAACCAGTCAAGATACCGCTCACTTACGCCCAACTCGCTTGAATGCTCGTTCTGGCTTTCCATCTTGGTCTTTTCAGCGTTGTATGCCTCCATGGCCTCTTCAGTCAATTTCAAATGCTTGAGCCGTTCATCGAATTTGTGGGTTTTCTTGTCCTCCGATTCACTGATTCCAGCTCTTTTCTGAAGTTCCTTGATAAACTCCTTAATGAAAAGTCTGGTTTGGTACTCATCAGCTTTCGAGCTCAAGTTGTGAATGGTGTTCTCTTTGATCATACTGGCTTTTAATTCTACCTTCAATAATTCCAAAGCCTTGGATAACCTGGATTGAACATTCAAGGTCTCCAAGATTTCCTGGATTTTTTTGGGGTTACCATGGATTGTCGAACCCACAAAATCGGCCAACTTGGAGGGATTGTTGACCAATTCCGTGCCCTCTTTGATTTGGAGTTTTTCAAGTGGATTCTTTCCTCCCATCTTGCTCAAAAGAGTCTTGAGCGACTCCACCAATGACTTGATATCAGCAGACTCTTCGTCATAGGGTTCATCTGAGACACGCTTGACGGTAGCATACGACACATTAAGGCCGCTCAAATACGAAGCATCCGAGGCAGAGGAAGCGTCAACTTTCTTGTCTGAGTTGGTCTTTTTACGGTCGCTGGGACTGCTCAATTCTTGCAATTGGCATCTATCCAAAGGATATCCCAACACATTGAACACCCCAGGACGGGGCGTAGTATGACGAATAATCTGGCAATGAACACCGATATCGTACACGGAATCTTTGCTTCTGATGATATCGGTGTCGGGCTCATTGGGGTCCTTTACATGGAACAAGAGAAAGTAGGGCTCTCGTTTGTCTATGATGGTGTAAATGGACCGAATAACGTCGGGATCGGTAATGTTAATGGCGAATGGCCGTCCTGGAAGTGGAGGTCTGTCCTTCATTGGGATCGCAAGAAGTGGAGGATAAAGTCCTGTTTCTGGATCCACCGCCTGTTCCTCTGGACCGTTGCCACTTCCATTGCCTCCGTTGCCCCCCAGGGGAGATCCTGGAGCACCCGGAGCACCTGGAGTATCCGAAGTACCACCGAGTCCCGACGAAGAAATCGACGAATCTGACTTTTCTGTGTCTTTCAGCGGCTCAGGTGTCTTTGGCTGGTCATCTGAAGGAACCTCTTTGCCCGGCGAGTCGTCTTTTTCATCTCTTTCATCATTCTTTTCACGCTCTACCGGGGCTTTGTCAGCACTACCATCGGTGTTATCAGACGGTACGCCGGACTTGTCGCCTGTAGAAGAATCTGAGACAAACACAGAAGACGTGGCATTTGTGCTATCACCGGGAAATGCGCGGAACGGTTCCGATGGGCCCGAAAAGTCGCCGTTCCAAATCGACTCGACGGTCGCAATCCGTCGTTTGCGAGCATTTTTTTCATTTGATACAAATCTGGGTATCTGAGGAGATGCGGCCGAAGTAGCACAGCGTACTATGCTTTTCTGCGGCCCGCGAAGCCTCAGAACATGCCGCATGTACGTTTTTGCCATCGACATACTCAATGTGGAGTTGACTAAATCAAATGGTGAGAATTCATAAGCGCGGTCCTGCATCCAACACAGGGCCTTTGGTGCTACAATGGTTAGTGAGTAGGAGGTATATTTAGTCGATTTTGAAAACGTTTCTCTTCTTACGCGGCGGATCACTTGAAGCCACCGGCTTTCTTTCGCCAGACCTGGCTTTGGGTGAGCCAAAACTTGTGTCTGCAAATTGTTCATCTCGGTAGTCGACGACCTGGTCGTCGTCGAGATTTATATGGCTTTTATTTGGCGCCAAGGTAATTTTCGACAGCAGGGCTTTGCGCAAGCTGAGCTTTCGTTTTGGTTTTGTAGTGGGAGTGGACGCCAGAATGTTCATGGACTCGGCGGAAATGTTAGGGCCGGGCGTAGAGGTGCCCATATTCTGCGAGAAAGAGTGCTGGTTTAAGACTTCCTCAAACGACTGCGGCTGGTCAAAAAGACTACCTGGAGTACGGTTGGGGGTGCTGGAAGCGGATTGGTGCTCGAGATCAGAAGAATCGTCGTCAGAACGATCAAAATTTTCAACGAAAGATAGTCGCGATGGTGTCTTTGTAGGTGAGCCTCCACGAGCTGCGCTTCTCGTTGTCATTTTTTGTAATGCCCGTTCCGGAGTCGACTGTGTGGGTTGGGGAAGGTCTCCAAGCACATCCTGGCTTTCTTTTTCGTGATGATCTTCATTTTCTTTTGGCTCTTTGTCCTTTGGTTTTGGTTTTGGTTTCTGATTTTTTACACTTTGAACAGTATTTTCGGCGCTCTCGCCTGTGCTGTCGGTGCCTAACTTCTTACCAAAGTTCTTATACGTTGTGTACTCTCGTTTGGGTTTCTTTTTCCGTGCTGGAATTGGTGAAAGAACCGTTGTGTCTGCGAGAAGCGATTTGTTCAACGAGTTGATTGTTGGACTTAAATAGTTTTTTGCCTCTCTTTTCTGCGATAAGGCTCTAGAGAGATACGGGGATGTCGAAAATATCCCGGTCTGTTTCCTGGGAGGCGGAGGACGTTCAGAAACGTTGGTTTTACCTTTAAGTTGAAGCTTGAGTCGGGTGACTTCATCGTGCAATTGTTCGATTTTCAGCTCCTGTATTCGTTCCTTGGTGATATACTGTTGTCTGAGCTTACTGAGCGACACCTCATACTCATGTTTCTTGGAATTGAGTTCATCTATTCGATTTTCAAAACCTTCGGGCGACATTTTGAAACGCTTATGATCCAATTGAAGAGCTTTTAGAACAGCCAAGCGGATGAGTGCTTTACGACTCAAATCCTCGTTGGCGATAGCCCGGAGATCATCGTGTAATTCACGCAGTTTTAGTAGGGAGGAATACATGAGGCCATCAAGTATGTTTGTTTGTTGCGCGCTGCGAGTGAATAGATTCTGTGCAGATTCGCGAGCGCAGAGCAGAGCGAGCAGAGCACTGCTCGTTGAAACTCACTGTTAACATTTACTTATGAACTACACACGCCAGGACATAGCCAATGCAACCGTTTATAGTCTGTGCAATGGTGACATCAAAACAGGAGTGTCCATAGACCATAAAAAGTTACTAAAATCTGGGGCAAAAAATAACGACAGATGGAACTCATCTCGATGTTGAAATTGATCTCGATCGAGATAACCCAGATATATATAAATCCAAGGGCCATACGCTACCGGCGGATGAAGTTTTACAGTTGAGCAATACCACCGAAGTCAAAATACCCTTAAAATACCGAGACGAGTTTCCTGCTGGACAGGGACTTCCCTCGTCGGAGTTTCTCAAGGCATTCCATTACTATGCCAGCGACAAATTTTCAAGTCGAAAAGGCACGATTCGAACCATGGACGAAACAGCGCTACTTGCTTTTGGTTTGCTTGCCGAACATTGGATCGACCAAGCCATTGACGAAAGTGCACAGCTATTTGTGGAAGAAAAAGATGAAGAAAGAGATGAAAATGAGGATGAAGAGAATGAAGAAAGAGAAAATGAGGATGAAGAGAATGAAGAAAATGAAGAAGACAGTGTGGATGAAGATAGAGGAAATAACGAGGATGAATGAATAACTCATGCATTATACCGTAGCTTCCTTCTTTTGCTGATAAGCAGCCTCTTTTCCGGCATCTTTGGCCAGAGTTTCAATGCCAAATACTCTATAAAGTAGTTCATTAGTGTCTTTTTTGTTCACCATCAAGTTGACATTGGTTCTTCCTTTCCATAATGGCAAGAATAAATCTTCTAATCCTTCTTCACGTTCCACAGTGAGGAACACACATCCTTCTGACATTGCATCCAACCTCTCAGAAAATTCTGGGTCGATTCCTTCCTCTTTTATAGCTTCAATTTTGGGGAAAGCTTCTTGGAACAATTTTTCCAACAATTTCAAATTACATTTCAACAGACGAGCATCACTCAAGTATGGCTTGATAGTATGCAACGATTCGTTTTGAACTCTCCATGGACAACTTCCAGTATCACTTCTCTGGGCCACAAAGAGCTTTATACCTCCATGGACAATCTTGAGTTTCTGCTCGGTGATAGTGAGTATATCTCTGATAACTGGTGCCACATAGTAGATGGTTCTCAATGGTTCTCCGGTAGCATTTCTGACCAATGTGCAGTCCCGCGCAAAGTCGTCGCTAAAGCCATAAAATGGCCAGCACTTGGCCAATTCCGGGTGCTGAGGATCGAGGAAAATAAAAGGTTCTTCATTGGCATCTCTGGGCAAACGTTCTTTCTTTGGTTTCTGTTCAGTCTTTTCATCTATTTTCTGTTTTTTGCTTTCTTCTTCGTCTTCATCCGCACCTCTCTTGGCTGCAACTTTATCAGCTTCAGGGTCGATTTTCTCAAACACAGTGATGAAAAAACCTCCAGTGTTCTGTAAATGAGGGTAGACTCTAATACAGTTTTCCAAGTGGAATTCTCCAGCTTCGGTTTCTGATGGTGGGAACGCAGTTTCTGGTATACCCTCGGCACCCTTTTCTTTCTCTTCCATATCTTTTCCCAAAACTTTCCAGGTACTAAGACCTTTACGTCTGACCAAACCGGGCAATTCGTCGTCACAATTTACTAGTTTAATTTGGGCACCCCATTTTCTCAACGCAGCTGCTACAACTGCCTCATTTTCCACAGGAGACAAAGAACAGGTTGAGTAGACCAAACGACCACCTTTCTTGAGCAATTGCAAGCCTCTGTTCAAGATGTTCACCTGCAACAGATGCAAACCCAATGCATTTCCCACGGTGAAATCTTTCCACACATTGACATTTTTTCTCATGGTTCCATCACCAGAGCAAGGCACATCACAAAGAATTCTGTCAAACTTCAAGAACTCAGATGCTCCGTTCAACTTGATCTTGGGGAAGAGCTGGGCATCATGGTTAACCACCATAAAGTTGGGAGAATTTAATCGCTTCACTTGATGAACCAACATATGAGACCGCTTATAGTCGGAGTCATTGGCCAACACAAATCCTGTAGGGGCCTTTTTTTCGTCTTCTGCGTGCAACGCCTCGACCAATTGAGCCGTCTTGGAACCTGGAGCTGCACACATATCGAATACAGCATGGTGTGGCTTGATATCCATCAAGAGAGGTGGAATCATCGAAACGGCCTCTTGTCTAGAAATGTTACCAACTTCAGTTTCAAGCACCAAGAACCTCTGGGTCTTTGCAAACTGCTCGTTTTTACGTATAACCGCCTTGGAAACATCCAATTGCCATCCAAGCTTGTTTGGATAGTATTGCAAATTCTTGGGCATCAATTTCACACCTTCGAATTCGGCATCTTGCAATTTGGATACGTGATTTTCGATAAAATTTTCATTGATTTCTTTGGAATGCGCACGAGATCCAGTGATACGGAACGTCAATGGTAAATTTTCTTGACAGTGTTTCTTGAAAGTATCCCATTCATCGTCTCCAATGATGTTCATGGTCTTGTAGTATTTCTCCCACTTTTCGTTCTCACGAACCTGTTCTGTCCAGTACTCCTGACGGCCCTCATTACGGTTTCCAAAGCTCTTCTGGTTGCCCTTGTTCTTGCGAAAGTTTCTCTTACCCATAGCTACTGACAACTTTCTAAGATTCATGCACCTCATCTCAAATTTTTCAGAACCCACATGCCGGATGCGGCACGCTGCAGCGAAGACGATGCACGGTGCGGTAGGCGAACACGAGTAATCGAGGCGGGACTTGGCAAAATTTGCCCTAAGTTTGATTTGGAACGCAGAAGCTCTAGATGAAACCAGTCTAGAATTTCAGAAATTTTTGGGGTGCTTATGACCTCTTTGGCGGCTACCCCTATCGGGTAATCTCTCTTATGTCAAACGCTGCATCCTGCAGGCTGATGCGAGCTTGTTCTCTATTGCGTATTCTTTTGCATTTAAAACATTCACCAACTAGTCCCTATAAAACTTCAGACATGTTGGGGAACACTTTTTGTCGACGACTTGCGTACGAAATAGACTTTTCCAAGTCAGAAAGCCTTGCGAAATTTCAAACTAGATTTCATGGTTTGAACTTGTCATTCTACCATCTTTGTTTCCTAGGGTTTCTTTTGATCGTAAATTGTGTCAAGTGGGGGATGTTTGGAAGACTTACGAGGAATGAGGTCAAGCACTTGAAAGACCGGGTTTTTTACACTGGTTGGGAATTTTCGTTTGGTTTTATTCTTTTTTTCGTCAATACCAAGAGAGACATGGCCGACATCAAAAACGAGCTTTTCAAGTTTTCTGGTTTATTTTTATGCGTTCTTCTCCTTAAATGCTTTCATTTCTTGAGTGCCGACCGAGTGAATACTGTGTTTGGCAATTTAAATGGAAATTTTCGGTGGGCTCATCACCGATTTGGAATGGGAATACTACTAATTGGCTTCATTGATATACTACTTATCAGCAGATTTTTCAAAGAGGTAGACAACTTTCGGTCGATGCACAAATCGTCGTTTGGCGACAACATCTTGGCGGCAATTTTCGGCTTTGAAATCATCAATATGTTTCCTCTCATTGTCTTGACCGGGGTCAAATATACCTGTACATTGTACCGACAAAACCATTACTCAAAGACATCCCGGATGAACCAGGCAGTCCACGTTGCTGAGTTCTTGGTTAATCTCTCACGGTTTCTCATAGTGTGTATTTTTTCGGTGGTGTTTCTCTATTTTTACACTTTTCCATTTCACATCATGCCATCAAGTTACATGAGTCTTCGAGTTCTAGTCACCAAAACCCGGCATTTGATCATGTTGCACCGGAAACGAACCCGGCTTCTAAAGCTCAAGTCAGCTCCCCCAAATGGTGACTGTTCCATTTGCTTTGATACCCTTGACAATGAGTGTCGCACCACCACCTGCAAACACAGTTTCCACCTTCAATGTCTACACGAGTGGGCCAACTATGCTGAAACTTGTCCCGTGTGTCGTAGTGTGTTGTAGGAAGGTGACTAGCGGGTCTAGCCAAATATTTATAGTAAAACACATTAGAAGTAAAGTTTTTTAGAAGTTAAAAGTAGTTCGTATCGCCCGCGAGGGTGTCAATTTCCGAGTCTTCGTTGGTCAATTGCTTGGTCAACTCGTCAATATTGTGGTTCTCGTTCAATGGCTCTTCGTTTGGATCGCTGATAAAGTCGTGGTACTGATAGTCGTCGTGCTTGGTTACTTCTTGGAGTGGAATTTGGTGGTCTTCCAGTTCCTCTTTCAACTTTTCTCGGTCTCCATAGAAAAAGGTGTGTTCTTCGGAGTTTTCTTGGTCTTGGTCTCCTCCACTTTCATACTGTTCTTGACCGTTTTCATAGGGTTGTATCATATCGTCATTGATGGGCGACTCTGTCACCGCCGTTTCTCCAGTGTCCACAGGAATTTGCAGGCTGGACTTGGAGTGTTTTCGAGACACCCGGGTCTCGCCTCGTTCCTGCTTGATAGCCTGCTGTTCTCGGTACTTGGCCAAATAAATTTTAAGGGCCTCAGCGTAATTTTCAAATCCAAGATCATGCATCGAGTACAAGATATCTTCACCGTTTATGGTTTTTCGTTTTTCCCGGAGACACCGCTCCGAGGCCTCGCTCGTTAAGAAAGATATAAACTCGGAAACACATTCTTGCATACATTCTTTTGCATCTTTGGAAACTTTGGCGGTATTAGGAAGAGTGTTTTTCATGAGCCGGGACACATTTGCTATGGGAAGCCACCTATCTTGTTCGCGAAGTTCCACTTCGTGTGGATTGAGCGTAGGGTCCATTTTCGCGTGAGGTTTGCCGGCGCTGGTAGCTGCTTTGGATGCCCTGACTTCTGCTTACTTTGTTACGGTCGACACTGGCTAGTTTGCGTCGATGGGTCGCGGTGCTGAGAATTACGCACACTTTCGTGAGAGTGCGTACGTTTAGGAATAATGTCTATGCCTGGGAAAGACAACGATGAAATGGTGTCCACAAAACATGAGGATTCTGCTCTGCTAAATTCTGGCCTGGCTAGTTCTGCTGGTGCATCTTTGCTTGTTCTTACGCAAATTTTCACCAAATTAGCCACGTTTTCTCTCAACCAATTGCTCGTTCAGTACGTGACACCAACAGTTTTGGGCACAGCTAGCTACTGGGAATTTGTGGTTCAAACCATCTTGTTTTTCAGTAGAGAGGCAGAGCGTTTAGCGGTGCAACGAGCCGACAGCGATGTGGCTGCAAATTGTGCAGAAAATGCACCACATGCATCAAATCATGAAGACGACGCAGCAGATGATGCAGCAGACGATGCAGCTACCTCTCAAAAATCGTCTCTGCAAAAAGTGGTCAACTTTGGCCACTTGCCATTGTTTGTTGGTATTCCAATGACAGTGTTCATGCTAGTATGGTCGCTCCGTACTCAAAATGCACCAATTCCAGTTTTGGCGTCGTTTCTGGTAATTATGGAGCTCATGGCTGAGCCCATGTATGCACTCAATCAGTTCCAGCTTGGATTTTCAAAGCGGTCTCGAATTGAATCTTTAGCGGTAATTGGTCGCTGCTTAACGACGTTTATTGGTGTGGTTCTTGCTGCAAGAACGAAAAATGATGTGCATGCTGCTACTGCCTATGTCGCAGGTCAGCTGGTATACGCTGCTGTGGTGTACATAATGTACCGGAATTCAAGCTACAAGATAAGACCAATTAGCAACGCGGGTCTGGTTTGGAAACGATACTTTTCACCTCAACTTTTATCAGTTTGGAGAGGTCTTTTTATTCAAATGATATTCAAGCATTTGCTAACCGAGGGAGATCGACTTTTGATAAGCTGGCTCTGCTCTGCGGAAGAACAAGGAGTTTATGCTCTTGTGACAAATTATGGTTCTATCTTGGCTCGGGTTCTTTTTCAGCCGGTAGAAGAGTCGCTTAGGTTGGTACTATCCAAAGAACTTTCGACTTCAAGTTCTAGAACTCAAACTCAAATGGCCGCGAAAAATATGGGATACATTCTTTTGATGTATTTTCACTTGAGTGTGGTTATGGTGCTCGGAGGATACAATAACGGTGCCTACCTACTTCAATTTGCACTTGGAAGAAGTAAAGCGTTGATATGGAAAGAAACCAATGTGTTTCAAATTTTTTCCACAGTATATCCTATACCTTCCCTTCCTTGCTTTCAATGGTGTAATTGAAGCATTTTTCAGCTCTACAGCCTCAGAACTGCAAATCCAGAAATTTTCATGGTTTATGCTGGGACTGACAGCATTTATTTTGTTGCTCCTGTACTGGTTAATCCAAGTTCAAAATACAGGTCTTCTGGGACTAATGGTTGCAAATTCGACCAATATGATTCTTCGCATAATCTACTGCACCACTTACATGCAAAAGTTTTTGAAAACAAGAGGTATAAAGACGTCTATATGGCAGTCTATTTCACGAATTCGCATTGGAATTTTTTTGGCTATTGCATTGGGTTTGTCTCAGTATATCACTACTGAAAAATTACAGGTTTATGGATTTCCAAAACTTGTTCTTGGCTGCTTTACCTGCCTAACATATTTGGCAATAATTGCAGCCAGTGAAAAAAACTTAATACGACATGCCATCAAGTTCAAACGTTTATAGTAATAAAAAGAGTGGAGTCGACATACCAGTCACTATTCCGTCCTCCTTAAACAGCTGGGTCTTCCGCTTCGCCTCTGCACGGGCGGCTTACTGTGCTGAATTGCTTCCCTCCAGTGGTACTGCCGCTCGCTGCTAGAACTGCACAATTGATTACTCGAATTGAGACATTCTGACCGCGCGGATCGAACCGGACCCACGAAGATAGGTAAGCCGAAATAGTGCGCGCTCGGTACGCTTCTGCCAAATGCCATCACAGCACCAATTTTGGTAAAGTTTTTAGATATATCGTGGTGAAAATTATTTAAGAAACGAATTTTCCATTTTGCATCTACATGTCTGCTATAGAACTTCTGAAAACGATTGAAAGCCTCGTCCAAGTGGTGAATGAGAAAAACCGAGAACTAGAGAAACTCAAGACGGAATATGGCTCGAAAATAAACGAAATTAATCGATATTTACATGCTCTTCATGATTCCATCAGCCAAAAAGCCGCCATTTCTTCAACAAAAGAAGGCGAAATTTCTGACGACGAATTGATTAAAACTCTCAAGAGTCAAGTAAAATGTCCTCAGTGTGATACAGAGGTGTGGAATAACGACAAAAATACCGATTTTATTCTTTTACCTAGACAGAAACTACAAGCGATTCACCATCACGAGGTCAAAGTAGACAAAATCGACCAAATAACAACTTTAAGCCCCAAGAGCCAGAATTCAAACCAAAGCTCAAACCAAAGCTCATCGCATCCCCCAAAGCCCAAAAAGTCAGCAAAGAAAACCTGTTCATTCTGCCACCAAACTGGCCATTCCAGGGCCCGGTGTCTACAAAGACTCAATAACGACTCGAATTCATTACGAAAATAGCTATATGCTTGCAAATATAGTACAGGATTATCGATGCCTACTTGGCCGACTGAGCCATAGCCTCTGAAGTTAGTATTGGTGGCTACCACAAGTGCAAAAAAATTGTACATACCTCGCCTTGACGCATCTTGCAACAATGTGCAATCCACGGTGTTGGAGCTCATGTGCACGTAACGCACGGTGGAACCTCTGATAAACAAGTTTTTGACCGATTGCATGTGGGGGTACTTGTCCTCATTCAAACATATGACATTATCCAACTTCAAATTCAAGTATTGGTCTACGGTTTTTAACGTTCCCCTGATCTCTATGTCGTTCTTCAACTCCACCGTCACCTCTTGGTCAACAAGGGTCTTGAAAAAACTGAAAAACAACATGACGTTTGTTCGATGTGAGTGCCGAACTTGTGGATGAGAGAAAATAGCACCCGTACACCAACTGAGCACAGCTCCTGAAGGCTGTTTTCGACAAGTCAAATCCAGGAGTTTTCTGAGACTGGCGGGGAGTAATCTAGCATATACGGGTTCAAAGTGGCGCGCATAAAGTTCAATTCTTCATGGAACTCAACAAGGTCGTCGTCTTGTACTTCGTCGTTGAGCCCAAAGTCCTCGGGCTGGATGCAGGACGACTGAATCTTTTTTATAGGCGAGCTGTTTAGGGCAATGGTGCGGCTGGGCACCTGGTGATTGGCTGCAACAGCCAGTTGTTGCAACAATGCTGTATCGATAAATTCGGGGCACGGCGGTTCAGTATTTTCGTGGGAGAGAAAAGCATTGTTGACGAAAGATTTCATGAATGGTGTGTTGGTTTGGTTTTCGCTAGACATCAGCATAAAGTGATTTTCGGCGCTGGAAAGGCTGCTGTCGGTTTCAGCATGGTGACTGTAGATGTCCAATTTTGGAATCTGCGAAAAGTGAAAATTATTCGTGGGAACTATAGCTTTGTTGTCCACGGTAGGAAGATGTAACGAAGGAAGCAGCGGCAACTGGATACATTTTTTTATTCTAGGGAGCCTGGTATTCGGCCCCTTGGAAATGTAGCTTGATGGTGAGCGTCCTCGTACAACGAGAGGTGGAGTGGTGGTAGTGGCTATGGTGATGGTATTTCCGTTCATGAGAGTCACCGTGAGTTCAACTTGAAGGAAGAAGTCGCCTGCTATGTCGAATCGTCGTGGTGACAGGTTGGTGGAAAATTGGATTCGTTCGTATCTTGCAACCCTCGCTATTCTTTCAGCAGGATAATCCGCTAGCATCGAATTAGGGTTGCAATTTTTTCTCGCTGTTTTCTCCAAAAAAAGCATGTTTTCCAACTCCCTGATTTTGGATCCGTTGCGTATATTGGAAGATTCTCGTATTACCTGGTGACTTGGTAATTCGCCAGGAACGGCCACAAATACCGTAGGTTCATTTATGGGTCCGCGGTCTCTTTTGGCAGTATGTTGCACCAATAAGGGGTCAATTTCGTCCGATGAGCATTCACAGCATATCTGAAGACTGAAGTTTCTCACGAATTCCCGCCCATTTTCACCATCAACGTATAATTTGTCCTCTTGTAAGAGCAGAAGCCCTGGGTGCGAACAGAGCTCAAACGCAGCCACAAGACTAAAATAATTGCGTTTGTACCCTATCCAAACCGAGTCCACAAAATCGAACCCGCGGTCAATTCGTGCACTTAATCTTGGAATAACTACATCGTTTGTCGTTGCCGAGTAAATATTTTGAAGAATCAACGTTGTTTCAAACGGCGGTCCCACTTTGTACTGGTACCTAGAACGAGGTGCAACTTTGTCCTTTGGGTCTAGCGGCGGAAGCTGGGACATCATTTTGGTGCTGCTGTCGAATTTGTGACCTCGACGATGCCGTCCCATGTCGCTATGGGGTACAGTTGGGTTTGTTGAGAAAGATGGGTGCAAAGAAATTTGCAGCCATGTCACGTGACAAAATTGAGAGATAGTGAGTCAGAAACTAATGAGGTTTTTTATGTGTGTTGAGCAGAAAAGACTTATTTTGTTGCATGAGCTCATACGGTACATTGTAAACAATAGTGACTTTTATGTTCAAATCTCAATCAACGATGAATCAAATTTAACGATACACAGTTCTTTGCTGCAAAAAGAGGCTCTCAAGTATAAAGAACGGCTCGAACTTCACTTTAAAGTCAGTTTCAAAACTATTTTGCACATACTAATGAGCGACGATATCAGCCAGGTAAACAATGAATATGATGAAGACTTGATATTTTTCACTGACATTTCAGAGGACTGCGGCTTAAATCTCAGCTTTGGCAGGGAGATTTATATTGTAAGTTTAGCACTTGAAATTGCACAAAAAGCTGATGTTAGCCGATTTATTGAGGACAGTTCGTGGTGAAAGTGACGAACGGCGATGTTTTATACTATTGAATTGATATTGGTATTTCCTGTTATCTTGGTGCTTCTCTCGCACTATAAAACGACCATAAAAAAACAACATTTTGTTAATTTATAAAGGAGTGTACCAATGAGACCTACATATATACTACAACACTAGCAAGCTGTGTTCTACTTTAGTCGTGCCCATTGGTAAGTAGTCGTAGGTTCCCCATATTCTGCAACCGGTTCCCGCACGCCTCATCCTCATCTCGTTTTTCACATCAACAGACTTACTGCAAACATGGGCAAAAAAGCAATTGATTCCAGGGTGCCTGCGCTCATCCGAAATGGAGTCCAGGAGAAGCAGCGTAGTTTCTTCTTTATTGTGGGCGACAAGGCCCGTAATCAGCTTCCTAACTTGCATTATTTGATGATGAGCGCCGATTTGAAGATGAACAAATCGGTTCTTTGGGCATACAAAAAGAAGTTATTGGGGTTCACATCACATAGACAAAAGAGAGAAGCCAAGATAAAGAAGGATATCAAGCGTGGGATTCGAGATGTCAACGAACAAGATCCTTTTGAAGCGTTTATTTCCAACCAACACATCAGATATGTGTATTATAAAGAGACAGACAAAATCTTGGGTAACACTTATGGAATGTGCATCTTGCAAGATTTCGAAGCACTCACGCCCAACTTGTTGGCTCGTACCATCGAAACTGTAGAAGGAGGAGGATTGGTGGTGATACTTTTAAAGTCGATGACATCTTTGAAGCAGTTGTACACCATGACTATGGATATTCATTCCAGGTACCGTACCGAAGCCCACGACGATGTGGTTGCGCGGTTCAATGAGAGGTTTTTGCTTTCGTTGGGTTCGTGTGAAACCTGTTTGGTGGTGGATGATGAATTGAATGTGCTCCCAATTTCCGGCGGTAAGCATGTCAAACAATTACCACACAAAGACGATGATGAATTAACTCCCAATGCACGAGAACTCAAGGAGCTCAAGGAGAGCTTGGTGGACGTTCAGCCTGCTGGAGCCATGGTTTCATTGGCAAAAACCATCAACCAAGCTCAGGCAATTCTCACTTTTCTAGATGTCATTTCCGAAAAAACTTTGAACTCAACTGTTGCTTTGACAGCTGGAAGAGGTCGAGGAAAGTCTGCCGCATTGGGCATTGCCATTGCTGCTGCCGTTTCTCACGATTATTCGAATATATTCGTCACTTCTCCATCGCCTGAAAACTTGAAGACGCTATTCGAGTTCATTTTCAAAGGTTTCGACGCCTTAGGATACACCGAACATATGGACTACGATATCATCCAGTCCACAAATCCTGCTTTTAACAAAGCAATTGTCCGGGTGGATATCAAGAGAGGACATCGTCAAACCATCCAGTATATTTCTCCCAACGATAGCCATGTTTTGGGCCAAGCAGAGCTCTTGATTATCGATGAAGCAGCAGCTATCCCATTACCAGTTGTCAAGAGCTTAATGGGACCTTATCTTGTGTTCATGTCTTCGACTATCAATGGTTACGAAGGAACTGGTCGTTCGCTTTCATTGAAGTTGATCCAACAATTGAGAGACCAGTCTACTTCCAAAAACAACAACGATGAAGTGGCTGTGGTTTCAAGAGATAACAAGGCTATTGGTACCACCAGTTACAGCAGAACTCTCAAGGAAGTGGTTCTTGATGAACCTATTAGGTACGCTCCCGGTGACCCAGTTGAAAAATGGTTAAACAAATTGTTGTGCTTGGACGTAAGCTTGTCGAAGAATGCCAAATTTGCTACAAAAGGATGCCCTCACCCATCGGAATGTACTTTGTTCTATGTTAACAGAGATACACTCTTCTCTTACCACCCAGTCTCAGAGACATTTTTGCAGAAAATGATGGCATTATACGTTGCTTCGCATTACAAGAATTCTCCCAATGACTTGCAATTGATGAGTGATGCTCCAGCACATCAACTATTCGTGTTGTTACCACCAATAGAGGAAGGAGACAACAGAATTCCCGATCCTCTTTGTGTGGTGCAAGTAGCACTCGAAGGAGAAATCTCAAAGGAGAGTGTACGGAGATCTTTATCTCGTGGACAGAGAGCTGGAGGTGATTTGATTCCATGGTTGGTTTCTCAGCAGTTTCAAGATGAAGATTTTGCGTCTCTTTCTGGTGCAAGAGTGGTTCGTATTGCTACCAATCCCGATTATTCTGGCATGGGTTATGGTTCCAGAGCTTTGCAACTTCTTCAAGATTACTATGAAGGCAAGTTCACAGATATCAGCGAAAGAGAAATAAAAGAGCACGAGATCACCAGAATCACTGATGACGAGTTGGCGAATGCATCTTTGAAAGATGAAATCAAGTTGAGAGATGCCAAGAGCTTACCACCTTTATTGTTGAAGCTTTCAGAAAAACCACCATACCATTTGCATTACCTCGGAGTATCTTACGGACTCACACCGCAATTACACAAGTTTTGGAAAAGAGCAGGATTTGTTCCAGTTTACTTACGGCAAACAGCCAATGAGTTGACAGGCGAACATACTGCAGTTATGATCAATGTTCTTCCAGATCGTGAATCGGGTTGGTTAAATGAGTTTGCCAAAGATTTCCATAAGAGATTTATTCAGCTTCTCTCCTATGAATTCAGAAAGTTTTCTTGCATTCAAGCACTAAACATTCTTGAAGCGGTCGAAGCAGCAGGTGCACTCAAAAACTCCTCTCCATTGACCAAGGCTCAACTTGATGAAGTTCTCTCTCCTTTTGATTTGAAGAGATTGGATTCGTACGCCAACAACTTGTTGGACTACCATGTCATTATCGATATGCTCCCATTGCTTGCATCAGTATACTTTTCTGGAAAAACCAGCGATCACCTCAACTTGTCTTCTGTCCAGGGAGCAATTCTTTTGGCTATTGGGCTCCAAAGAAAGGATATCGATGCTGTTTCGAAAGAATTGAACTTGCCTTCAAACCAATCCATGGCGATGTTTGCCAAAATTGTGCGTAAGTTCTCCACTTACTTTAGAGGAATTTTGAGCCAGTCGATTGAAGAGTCTATGCCAGCTTTGGAAGACGAAGACGTTCAAGAAATGGAAGGTAAGAAAGAGCATGTTGACTATGAAGCTATCGAACAGCAACTTGAAGATGATCTCGAGGAGGCCGGTAATGACGCTGTCAATGAATTAAAGTTGAAGCAACGAGAACTCATTAATAATCTCAACTTGAACAAGTATGCAATTGCTGACGACGAAGACTGGGAAGCAGCTGGAAATGCTGTGACCAAGGCAGCTAAAGGTAAGGGAGTTGTGAGCATTAAAAACAAGAAAGTTTCAAAGAGAAAGGGAGAGAGTGCTTCGAGCATTTACGAGCAGGAGATGAAAGAGTTGAAGAAGCAGAAGAAGAAGTCGAAAAAGTAGGATGAGAAACTATAGAGGTAAGTAGTCGAACGACTTAGAATTGAAGTTTATGAAGAAAACCTAGCTGAAAAAACTAGTGCTGAAGTTTAGAAATCTGTGTATAGTCAGTTCAATGTAATAAGTCTATCATCTAATTGCAACCATCCTAGATACGAAATTCTATATACTATTCTATGTCTAATGTCTAATTCCACTTCTATTCTCTATTGTCAATCTCTTAATTTCTCCAAAGCAACTTCCACTAAATTTTTCAACGTTGTTCCTTCGTTGTTTCGTATACTTTTAACACCCAATTTTGCAGCAGTTTCGTTTAAAGAAGAGTTGACATCACCATTTTCAAACAAGTACAGGTGGGTCCTGACGTATTCTGGCCACACTATTCGTTCGAAATAATGAGGAGGGTCCACCCAAAAGCCTTCAGCTGTATTATAACCTTGACGACTTTCTCGTCTAGTTTTTAAAGTTTCATAAGAAGCGTGAAAAAAGAGTTTCTTGTCGTACAAGGAAATAAGTTTCTTGTCGTGGAATAACATGAACCCGTCTATAAATACCAAAGTTTCGTGGGGCATAATTGCTGCACATTTTTGCTTTAAAGATGAAATTTCATCAGTAGTCAATTTCAAGTGTGGATCTATTTCCAAAGATGGAGCGTCATGTTCCAACAGACCTCCCAGCTTCAAGTTTTTAAGGTACCGGTAAAACTTGTCAAAGTCAATTGCTTCGGGACAATCCCAATTTTGCACGTTGAGATTATTGTCTATGGGTATTTTACTATCTGGAAAATAAAAGTCATCGAGATGCACAAGAATGGAATTTGCAAACAAGCAATGCAACGCGTTGGCGCATGTGCTTTTCCCCGAGCTGGAAGGACCGCCAACGGCTACGATCACCAAGTCTGGCATGGGTAATGAAATGATGCCGGAGGACAAATCAGGTTGAATTGTGCGTTAACCTGCAGCAATAGCGAAGGATCGAGACGCAGTCGATGGCGCGACATGCAGGTCAGGGCAGCACGGGCTTCTGAGCACAATAGGTAAGATAGCGGTAAATTAAGTACCCAAAGAGAAAACGAACGGCATTTTGCAAAGGAGGGGAGTGACCACCCCACATGGAGAAGTTTCAAGAGTTTTGGGGTCCATTACGGACCTCTAGCCCCGACAGTTTATTCATCTTTCCTAAGGCCGAGGAACAATAAGGGTGCAGGAAGCGTGCGGCGGAAGTTGATGTAGCCACAACAGAAGCGGCAGCATACGATGATAAACGTGCATCTACAACATGCATGGATCGGGCAAGAAAACTATGTGGGAATTATGTAGATCATTGATTTGCGTTTTAAGATAACATCAAGCTGCAACCACGATGGGCCGTTTGAACCTAAATCGCCATTGATTAAAAGTTTAATTCCCCCTTGTTCTCAATGAATAATAGCAATGCATACGATCGGATATAGGTTCAGGGGACTATTGTATGTATCTGGAGATGGCAAGCTGTTAAAGGAAATAACCCACAGGGGGTATCTGTTTCGGGTATGCAAATTGCCTATTACATTACCATATTGGGAAATTTTGATACTTGCGTCAGGTTGCAGAGCCTTATTGCCTAATACAGTAACTTTGCACCTGGCGATCAAAGCCCTGACTTTAACTTACGGCCCATCTTTTATATAACAGCGATAACCTTCGGGACTACGGAATTCGTGCCAGTTGGAGATCATAGAGTACCGTCATTTGGCTTGGAAATAATATTTGATACCCTGATTTGCATCCTTTTATAAACTGTCTTTTCCTACATGCCCTATAAACTCATTCAAAGTGTTGTCGATTGCTAATCTCATGAGCGCTGCGGAAGCCAACAAAAGGTCCAATGACGCTTCGATCAACGACCGGGCGCCAGGTTCCCATTCGCATTCGCATTCCCCAATCGTTCATCAGTAATCTTAAACGGTTCAATATTGATCCATCTTCCAAATATAAGCACTATGGACACCAGTCGCTGCTCAATGCCACCGCTGTGGAAAGCATTATGGCTGGTGAACCACAATCTCCCTCTCCAGAACACCCACCTTCCACAGATTCAGCCCGACTTGTGATCGATGAATCTCTTTCTCAGATGTTGGGAATTCCACCACAAATTCTTTCTGCTGACTCGGTGTGGCCATATACACCAGAAAACGCTAACCGAGGTGATTCGGTACAAGACAGAACAAGAAAAAACTCGCCAAGAAGCCATAAAACACGACTACACAGTTGCAGCCGTAGAGTTGCTCCGGTTGGCTAGGTCGATGAATATTACTGGCGAAGCATTGTCGAGTCTTTTCGGCGACTCAGCTACTTTAGAAGCTTTGGCTGCAAAACTGGATAAACTTCGTCGACATGAAGCAATGCACGAAATGATGGCTGAGTCAATACCTAGACGAAGTTCTGATCCACGAACTCACCACACTCAGCTTCCATCTTTCACAGAAACTACCGAAAGTATCAAGCCACAAGGTAGCCGAGCCAACAGTATATATACTCGTTCTCCTTCCAGACTGCCACCATTGAATCACCGTAGAGTGAGATCCGATGCCAGTGACCAAGTCGAAACCAAAGACCACGATCTGAGCACTTCTTCCCAAACTCCTAAAAGTGTTCAACAAAACCTGCCAGGACCCATTGAACAAACTCCAAAACAAAACCGATCTCCACAAACCTCCAACCAACAAGCACCACACCATACTCCACAAATGGGTCCAATTCAATCTCATCGGTCGTCGCCAGGGTCTGCGTATCCAGCTTATAAAACTAATGGTCGTGGTAATTTGGGTTCACCTTATAACCTGAAATATCCAACTATTGTATACTCAGGTCCATTCAATTCTCAATACTTACCACCACAACAGCATTACCAATATTTCGTCAGTCCTCCACCTCCTCCTGGAGCCCCAGCATCGGGTCCTCCTCCGGGCCATTACCTAGTTCCTTCAATGCCCGGTCAGATTATTCCACCTTTTGCTCAGCTGCCTGAAGACCATAGAAGAGAAGATTTGGAAGATAACTCGCCCGGGCACGGAACCAAGAGACACCGATCCAACAATAGTGGTAAGACTTCGTCAATCAATTTTATGATCACCACTCCCAAAAACCCCCCCGCGAAGAAGTATAACAATTCCAAGGGTAATACGTAATTAGCTAGGTTAACACCTACACTCTTTGATTCCCATTAAATAGCTAATCGATAGAATGCATTTAGTACTTGAACCGTTGAGATTATGCAGGTCGCGCATATGGTTGCAAAATCGGCTCTCTAAGCTTCGAACCGCTAAAATTGAGGTAAATTCTATGGGTTATAGTCAACGTCCAATGAGCCTTACACATGACCAAGGAAGCCAATTAATAATAAACAATTATATACTTTTAGTAGGATCCTCAGAATGAATGTATCCACTGCCAAACCTTTTCTATTTATTGTAATTAATACAAGAACAGTACTTTATATCGTCTTCTTTTACCCCATTGTACCTCTCAGTTGTCCGATGAGCTGTCACCGACTTGAAAAATAGATCAATTCTAGCTATTTCAACTTCAATTTCAATGACTTGAGCTAATATAGCTTTTGAAGGAATAGAACAAAAAAGCAACCTTTAGCATCAGTAAATCCTATCAATAATCATTGAATCTAGGTAGTATAGTTTTATTAATGATATTTTATTCTTATAGTGATGCTTTTGATTATTTTGGTATTTTATTATAAAAATCATAGTAGCAACTTCTCTATAATTGGGGTAAAACCTAATATACCAAATGCAAAATTATTTGAACCATACTTCCATATTCTTGGTCGAGTTTTCTTGGGAAATATCGTTCAGATAAAATTGTGACACCAATATACTTAATACAACTGTTGAGTAGTTTTGGGAAGTTTCAAACAAATCGGCCAAATCTAAAATTATTTTCAACCTCATTAATGGCATACTCCAAGATGAACATCGAGTTTTCTGCTCAGATCCTTTTTACATTTCAATTATCGATTTCTTAGTTTCTGACTCGTAGCTGTTGTACAAGAAGCTTCGCACTCAAGTTGCTTTTCTTCTCACTCGAGTTTTCGCACCCATTAGATCCATCGGCAGGACCATCGGCTGTCAAACCTGCAGAGAAGCCCGGAACTCGTGCCGGATCTCGGGTTACGGAGTTTATATCTCGGCTCCGATATGTCATCACATCTTGCTTTTTACATATAAGGCGTATGGCAGCCATAAATTTGAAACCTGTTAATTTTACTTGATTCATGAATTCTGATACAAAGGAGCATGTTGTTCCGTACTCCATATTCGAACATTACGACAGACTTGTGCTTTCTATAGTGCTTTCCCTAATCGGCGTGTGGAGTTCTATATCGGGTACGATTCACGTACCTGCGCTTCCCACTTTGGAAAAATATTTTGGTGTTAGCTCCTCGGAAATCAATATCTCGGTGGTGACATACTCGATTTTCCAAGGTATAACTCCTTCATTCACACTGACATTTGCAGATGCCTTTGGTCGACGGCCGGTTATCTTATTATCTATTATTTGCTACACTGCAGTTTGTATTGCAATCTCGCAAATTAAAGCTTTTTGGCTTCTTTTGTTCCTTCGATGTCTTCAGGCAGCTAGCATTGCACCAGTAATAGCCATTAATCTGGGAATTGCTGGAGATATTTGCACACCAGCAAACCGAGGAGGATTTGTGGGAGTTGTCAGTGGCACACTTTTGGTCGGAAATGGGTTTGGTGGACTCATTGGTTCGGCTTTGTTACAAAGATTTGGTTGGAGAGGAATATTTGAATTCTTGGCTATTGGTAGTGGGGTAACTTTTGTGCTTGCATTTTTTATTTTGCCTGAAACTCATCGTTCCGTAGCTGGAAATGGTCTGATCACTCCCAAACACTTTGTGCATCGTCTGCCGTATATCAAATTACCACATTTCCAAAAAAAAATGGACCAAGATATGTCTACATTAAGACCAAAAGTCCCATTAAATTTTTTGGATCCGTTCAAGATTCTTATAGACAAACAGGTGCTTTCTGTTTTGGTGCCAGTGGGACTCCAGTACGCTAGTTGGTTCATGGCATTGACATCCATATCGTCTATGGAAAAGGCTCCTTACAATTACTCCATTATTCATGTGGGTTTGGTCTATCTTCCTCAAGGTATCTTCTGCTTAATTGGTCCATTCTTGACCGGTTACCTACTCAATGCCTACTACAGAAGGTGCCATGCCCAATACGAAAAAAAATACGGCTCACTTCCCAAAAGTGAACGTCCTCCATTCAATATTTATATGACAAGATTAGCCATCTGTCTTCCCTTAGCATTATTAATCATCGTGGGCTTGCTTATCTTTGGCTGGTGTCTTCATTTCCACATGAACGTTGCATCTATCATCATTTCAAGTATTTTGATCTCATTTGCAGCTGCATCTTTTCAATCTGCTGCTACAACTTTATTGGTGGATTTATACCCTGGAAAAGGTTCCACACTGACAAGTTGCATGAACTTGGTTCGTTGTCTTCTTGGAGCATTATTCGTCGGTGTTCTTGATAAAATGACCAAATCCATGGGTTTGGGCGGATGCTACACATTTATGGCAGCACTTTGTCTTTTATCAAATGTACTGCTCGTCTACATGGCTATGACAATTTCCAAGGAATTGAAACATTCACCAACACAAACACCACACCTGACCGATAGCGAGTCCACAGCATAATAAATATAATTTACAATTTAATCTTTAACTTAATTTGACAAATGTATTAGCTCTACCATATAACTTATTGCGAAGCACATTGCACGCCAGGACCTCCTTGGCCACCCTCCTCATCGTCTGAATCGTAGGAATCATGTCTGGATCCACTCTGGTGCTTACGAGGATCGACATCAACCAAGTCACATTCGTCCACCTCGGCTTTCTTGGGGATGTTGACGGTTTGTCTTGCTGGTAACACTTGTTCGAGAAGCTTCAACTTGTCCTCGGCGGCAAAGTTGGCAGGTGGGAACTTGACATTGAACTTGACAAACAAGTTACCACGGCTTCCATGACGATAGATTGGCATACCTTGGTTCTCCATCACCTTCAAGGTGCCTGGAGCGATGACTTCTCCTGGAAGAATGGTGGACTTGATGTAGTCTCCAGAAACGTGAGGGAAGGCAATTTCTCCACCAGCCAACGCCGTGAGCAAATCGATCTCGGCTTCGTAGACTAAGTCGTTGCCCTTTCTGGTGAACTTTTCATGAGGTCTTTCATCGACCACGAACACAACATCACCAGGAGTGACACCGGGTTCTTGGTCACCCTCGCCGCTAAAAACAATTCTTTGTCCATCCTTCATACCAGGATCAATGTGAACTTGCAAAATCTTGCGCTCATTTTGAGTCTTCTTACCCTTACAAGCAGTACAACGGTCCTTAGGATCGCAAATATCACCAGATCCTTGACAAACATCACACACAGTTTGGAATCTCTGTATCATAGGACCCATTTGTCTTGTAACAAACTTCATACCTTGACCATGACACGAGCTACATTGCTTGATCTTACCCTCTTTACCTCCACGGCCATCACATGTCTTACACAACACCGTCTTGTTCAACGCCAATTTCGCAGTGCGTCCCTTATACAACTCCTCCAATGTACAACTGATGGAATGCTTGATGTCCTTACCCTTTTGTGGACCTCTGGATGCGCCACCACCCATACCTCCAAATCCACCACCAAAGAATTGTGAGAATATATCCTCGGCACCCATGCCTCCCATTCCTCCAGGACCACCTCCGGTCAATCCTTCTTCTCCATAAGTGTCGTAAACCTCTCTCTTTTGATCATCGGAGAGAACTTCATATGCGTGAGAGATTTCCTTAAACTTCTCAGCTGCCTCGGGAGAAGGGTTCTTATCGGGATGGTACTTGAGAGCGGCCTTTCTGTATGCTTTCTTCAACTCTGTGTCTTGCGCCAGAGGCGACACACCCAAGATATCGTAAAATTTCGTTTCCTTGACCATGATTAACCAGTGGAAGAAAGCTTACTTATTCTTATGAATTTTTTTCAGGCAACGTGAATGTTCCATCGGGTTCGACGCGAGTGCAGGAAGGAAAAAAGATAACCGTGGTGTAGGGTGCGGAAAACGAAAACGAAATTCCACCGAGATCTTGAAGAGCCCCTGGTGCACTGGATGCCAGTCGAACCTATACCTATATAGTTTAGCCGGCGTGTTCCACCACCTCGCTGGTCAAACTGCCGTTCTTAACCGAGTGCTTGAACTGCTCTGGCACCGCCAATTCCACAAAATCGCCATCCTTGGGCACATATATGTTCATCGTGGTGGTACTGCTGGTGTACACCTGAGCATCGGCATCGATTGATTCTTGTGATAAGTAGACGGAACCTTCATCACACAAGTCAATGCTGATCATGGGTACTACTCCTGTCACCTGGACGCCAAATTTGGACGATTTGATGACATCAAGTCCGGAAATGAGCGAATCAACTGCTACTCCCGTACTCTTTGTTTCTGAGATGGAAACGGCATTAGCCTTTCCTTTGATTTGCACGGTAATTCCCTGGCAGTTTCCAATAAACACCAGCTGTGTCATGTCTGTCTCAATGACTATGGGCTCAGAAATGTCCTGTTCTGAAAAGTTTTCAATGATCCACTTAGAGCCATCTACAAGCTCCTTTTTGGCGGGTTTCTTTTTGGAGTTTCCCGACAAGTTGCTGGGTTTCTTAGGGGGCAATGGTTTCTTTGGCGCACTAGCGGGGTCTCTCAGGCGCAATTCGGGGTTTTTATGGGTCATTTGCAGTTTATCAACCTTTTTGAGCGACGAAGTAACATTCTCGCCCTGGTTGAGATCGGCAAACACCGCCTTCATTCCGCCGGAGGAAGAGCTGTCTGAGCTCTTGGAGGATTCGGAGAAGATGTCGGCTGGAGGAGGCGGAGGAGGAGCGGGCACTGAACCAGATTGAGAAGAAGGAGCCGATTTTTTAGGCGATTGAGAAACCACCTCCAGCAACAACTTTCCAGATGGATTCCAGCTAGGTCCCGTAGGATGGTATTCCTTGACGTATGCCTTCAAGTCATCGAAAATCCCCAAAAACGACCTTGTCCATTCCTGGTGCTGGGGTTCTGTCTTGTACTCCTTGACCACTCTGTTGGCCCAGAACTGGGCACTGTCCTTGAACTCGGGAATCAACAGCACTGGGGTATCAGAGACGATCCACCCCAACACGGAAGCCCCCTCGCTAATTGTAGCGAGATGATTGGCAGTTTTGGTGCCGCGGTTAGTATCTTTGAGTTGGTTGATTTGTTCAATTGCCTCGTTAATGGGCTTGAGAAGTGCAAGAAAACCAGCATCTGCCATGTCTGGTTTCTTGGCCTGTGCTACCACGCGCAAGAAGTGCACTTGCTCGTCGAACGCGTGGGCAAATAAGGTGGCGGCATCGCCCACAATAGGGCCAATTTGCTTGGACTGGTCGACGAACGGATTCACCGAGGAGGTGATGAAATCGCCAAACGCAGTGACGAATTTGGGGTCTTCGGGAGTTGGCTGAGCTGGGGGAGCTGGGGGAGCTGAGGGAACTGAGTTGGTTGAGTTTCCGGGAATGTCTTTTGAGGAAATTGCCTTTGATTTCGACAGACTTAACGAGGCAACATCGTCGTTTGAACGCGTCACCTCATCCTGGAAAATTGTAATGTCCTCCAAGCGCGAGGTGGCCGCTTCCAAGCGCTTGAGAATGGTGACTATATTATAGCCTTGTACGTTGAATTGTTCGTCGGACATTGCAGTTGCGGAGAGAGAGAGGGACAATTGGCGAGTGCGAAAAGTAGGAGTGCGTAGGAAATTGGTGCGGTGCGAGCAATTGGTGCGAGTGCGTGTTGGGGGAGAATTTGAGTGCGTAGCGACAAACGTAAAGGAGTGCGACTTCAGTGCGCGCGCAGACCGTTGGCTCTCTGCACTCCTCAACTCACTCGCACAATTTCCAGTACCTTCATCTTCCTCTTCCGTCATGGCTCCCTCGGCCGCTGCTACTCCTAAAAGACAGGGGACTCCCGTTTCCACCGCTCCCTTGCCGCCCCGTCCAGTAACTAGTCTCAGGGAGTTTTCAGCACCTCCAGAAGTCGATTCTTTTTACTCCAAATATCAACCTGGTGTGCCCATTGCCATTGATTTCGGCAGCAGTTATGTTAGAGCTGGTGTTACCAACGGTCCCGAGCCCAACAACACGTTTCCCAACGTGCTGGCTCGTTATAGAGACCGCAAGGGCGCCGTCAACTTGACTCTTGTGGGCCATGATGTCTACCGAGACGCTTCGATAAAATCGTCAATTCGCCCTAGTTATGACGGTACGTTCATCAGCAACTGGGATAACGTCGAGACGGTGTTGGACTACACATTTGAACACTTGGGGGTCACCAGCAATAACAACAGAGTGGATAATCCCATTATCATGACAGAACCACTTGCTAATACTCTTTACCATCGCAAAGGAATGTATGAGCTTCTTTTCGAGGCGTATGGTGTACCTCAAGTGGCATTTGGAATTGACTCTCTTTTCTCGTTCTATGCTAACTGCAAGGGCCCAGCGCTGGGCTTGGTTATAGGCGCCAACAACATTCTGACCCATGTGATTCCCGTGCTTGAAGGCCGTGGAATTCTTCAGCAAGCCAAGAGAATAGACTATGGCGGCGACCAGGCAGGCCAGTACCTTCAGAAGCTTCTTGCGCTCAAATACCCGTACTTTCCCGCTCGGCTCACCAACCAAAATTATGCTACCATGCTCACAGATCACTGCTATTTTCTGAAAGATTACCAGCTGGAAATCTCGTCGTACCTCGATATGGAAAATTTGGAAAAAACCGATGTGATCCTCCAGGCCCCGGTGGAAATAGCGCCGGTTGAAAAGAAAAAGTCAGAAGAAGAGATCGCTCGACAAGCTGAAAGAAAGAGAGAACAAGGTCGTCGTCTTCAGGAACAAGCCCGCCAAAAGCGTCTTGAAAAACTCGTACAGAAAGAAAAAGAGCTCGAATACTATACACAGCTCAAAGCAGAATTGGGGACCATGACTCCGAAACAGGCTCAGTCTCGTCTTGTTGAAGATGAGTTTTCGTCTATGGCAGACTTCAATAAGTACGTTGCAGGTTTGGAGAAAACCCTCAAAAAGTCAAGATCGCAAGATGTTGGCGACGCAGAAGAAGATGTGGATCCCGCAGCCAGCTTTCCGTTGGTCGACGTTCCTGATGAGGAGCTCAATGACGAGCAAATCAAGGAAAAGAGAAAACAGAAACTTCTCAAAGGACATATGGATGCGAGATTGCGTGCCCAAGAAGAGAAGCGTCAAGAGGAGGAGTTGGCTATCCAGCGTGAAAAGGAACAAGAAGAGTGGAGAGCCAGAGATTTGGAAGGCTGGTGTGCTACGGTTCGTGAGCAGTGGAATGAGGTAGTGGGCAGAATAAGGCATCGTACCAAGATGATGGAATCATTTAAAGACAGAAAGTCCATGGCAGCACAGAAACGTATGAAGAACATAGCGACGCTCGCACAAGATCCAGATGCTGGTTCTAAGAGACGCAGAAGGAACGTTAATTCGGCTACCATTGATAACGATCCCAACGACACTTTTGGAGCCAATGACGATGACTGGGCAGTCTACCGTGATATATCTAACTCTGCGCTACAAGAAGAGCAGGAAGCGGATCACGAAGAATTGCTACGGATTGAGCAACAATTGCTCGACTACGACCCCAGTTTCCACCACGAAGACACATTTGCGGCATCTCAAACTTTTGACTGGCGTAATTCGGCCCTCCACAAATTTCTTCATGGGCCTCGTGAAAACATTACTGTGAAATTGCAGGCAGAGGGCACTGAGCCAGAAGACCTACACTCACATCCCGAAATCTTGAAAAAAAATCACCAGTTGCATTTGAACGTCGAGCGCATAAGAGTTCCCGAAGTACTTTTCCAGCCTTATATGGCAGGTTTGGACCAAGCTGGAATTCCTGAGCTTGTGGAGGATCTTGTTGTGCGCCGTATGGATGGAAATTTTGCAGTTGGTGGACAATCTCGCAATTTATGTGGTAACGTTTTCGTGACTGGCGGATGGGTTCAAATGCCCAATTTTACAGACCGTCTTCACTCGGAATTGCGCCAATTCTTGCCGGTAGACGTACCGTTGAAAGTATGGAGTGCCGCCGATTATATGAGGGATCCATGGCGAGGAATGAAGCTATGGTCGCAATCTGATGAGAGCAAGAAAAGCTACGTTTCCAAAGCCGAGTACGATGAGTACGGACCAGAATACATCAAGGAGCATGGATTAGGCAATGTTTGTTTAATGTAAGTAGATCTATGTATTAGGGTTGATTCCCTTTTTCTTTTTGCTGCGCTTGATACTCTTATCGATGATCTCAGCATCTTCTTCGTTATCGAACTCAGCAAAATCTCCATGAATAATACCTTCTTCTTCGGCTTCAGCACGAGCCAATGCTTCTTTCTCTTTAGCTCCAGCTTTGGAAACATCCTGAGGAGCGGGAGCAATTTTCTTAAACTTTGCGACGAAGAATCCATCAACATTATAAGTATGTGGATAATAACGTCTTGTTAACGATAATTTAGGACTGAAATTCTTTCCACGATAAGAGGTGAATCCTTCCTTTCCGATTTGCAACTCAGTATCGACCAATTTGACGTTGGGACGTTTTCGTAAAGCGTAATCTACTACAGCCTCATTTTCGTCGACAGCCACCGAACATGTGGAATAGACAATAACACCTCCAGTGGAGCTATTGGCGTCCACAGAGTCAATAGCACTCAAAAGAAGCTGTTTCTGTAAGTGTGGGATTTGCATAAAATCTTTTTCGGTACGGCTCACTTTCACCGATTCGTCTTTGGCAATCACTCCAGTACCAGAACATGGAGCGTCCAAAAGCACACGATCAAAACCACCTATAACTTTTGGAAACTCACGGGCATCATAGTTGCACACTATGGTGTTCTTGCAACCCAAACGATGAATATTGGCTATAAGAGACTTTGTTCGGGCTTTATTAGCATCGTTTGCGAAAACGCAACCGGTATTTTTCATCAATGCTGAAATGTATGTGGTTTTACCTCCTGGAGCTGCTGCCATATCCAAGATTCTTTCATTTTCCTGGGGTTGCAAGGCCATCACTGGCAAGAAAGAAGATGCTGCTTGCAAAATATAGTGTCCAGCGAGATATTCTGGGGTGGCTCCGATAGGCACTTGCGAGTCGAAAATTTGAAGTCCAACTTTTGTCCATGCTCCAATAGGCTGTAAGTTCACACCACGGTTGACGAGTCGCTGGGCTAAGTCACGGCGTCTGGACTTGAGGGTGTTGGTACGAATGGTGACAGGACGGGCGATTTCGTTGGCCTCGAAGAACTCCATGGCTTCGGATGGAGAAAATAGATTGAAAAGTTTCTCGGCCAAAAACTCGGAATACCCAAAGTATTCACAGATATCCTTGAGTAGTCTATCGACATACTCAGATCTCGAGCGACCTTCTTCGGAAAGTTCCTTAAAGTTCTCCAACACCTTCACCACCTCGATCATTCTTGTTCTCACCAGAGACAAGTCTTGGCGTGCCAACTGTTTGGCTTCCTCTTCCTCCTCTTCTGTAGGAAGCACCTTGGCTCTGGGCTGTTTGGCACCACCTTCGGTCAACTCCAACTCGGCTTCTTCAGCTTCCAACTCGGCTTCCTCGTCAAGCTTACGAGACAACGCTTCCATGTTTGCAGCATTAAGGTCGACGTCGTCGTTGTCCTCGTCGTCAGAGAACATCGGGCGCTCGCGGGCATCCTCGTCGGAATCGTATGCTTCGTCGTTTTCCACTTCAAACTCATCGTCTACAACTTCATCGTCGTCTTCAGGAATCTCGAATCCGTCCAAATTTTCTTCATCAGAGTCGTCGAACAACGCCTTTTTCGTCATTTCTACCTCATTGTCGTCGCTGGCATTCTCCTCTACTTTTTCTGGCTCCTTATGTTGCTTCTTTTGTACCTTGGAGATCTTGTCATCTTCCTTTGAGGGCTTCGAAGTTTTGGATTTTTTGTTCTGCGACTCCTTGCGCTCTACGATTTCACTCTTACGTTTCTCACGGCGGTCCTTCTTGGCCTGGAACTCGTCGTAGCTCGGGGGCGCACCCTGCTTGTTTTTGGCCCGTCTTCCCATGGTGGTTGTGCTATTCTTGAACCCCAAATATTTGTGCGCGATGAGCTTTTTTCCCTGGGAGCCGCACGACAGCGATGCCATCTCACAAGAAGTGTCCAATCCACAGCACCATGTCCATTTCTGCCAACCAGCATGCCCTTGTACGACTACCCTCGGAGGGGATGAAGATTGTGGAGCTTAGACCTTCGGGAGTTATTAGTTTAGGGAAATTCGGCTCCTTCAAGGTGGAGGGTATACTTGGGTTTCAGTATGGCCAGAGCTTTGAAATCATTGAAGACTTAAAGGTGAAGCCCATTAATGGTCTAGAGGCTGTATCTATGCCGGCTGATAATGAGGCTGTGGACGGAGAAGGCGCAGAAGAAGAATTGACTAAAGATGAATTGACCAAGATGTTTTCCAATAGTGCCGAAAATAACCAGAATATCATTAATATTGGGTCTAAGATACAGAAATTGACGTCTGACGACGTCCACGAGCTCAAGACCTCGGGTGCAAGTTCGGAAATTGGACAAAAAATTATTGAAAAGATGATCGCAGGCCATGAAGGATTCGACAAGAAGACGATTTTCTCTCAGGAAAAGTACTTGAAACGGAAGCAACAAAAGTTCTTGCGCCGGTTTACGGTAGAGTACCTTGGACCATCGCAATTGCTCCAATACTATAACGAAAAAGACAATATGAGGGTGTTGGACATGAGCGAAGAATCGCTTGGGTTGTTAATGAGCTATGGCAATATTCGTCCTGGTGGAAAGTACTTGGTTGTTGACGAAACTGGAGGCTTGATCCTCTACGCCATGATGGAAAGGATGAAAAATTCGAGGGGGGATGTCGAGGGAACCATAGTGGTAGCCCATGAAAACGAACATGCCAATCATATTGTACTTCGTTATTCTCCATATTCACCAGAACAGATTTCTGCTGCTGTCAAGACAATAAACTGGCTCCAGTTTATCGAGCCAGAAAACGAGCGTATCATGTGGGAAGAATTGCCTGGTGAAGAGCTTGCAAATCTTAAACCTTCGAAACAACTTCAGTATGAAAGACGCAAGAAGAGAGCAGCGGAAATTAACCTGGTTATAGATCTAGTCACTGCCGGCAATTTTGATGCCTTTATATGTGTGGGAACATTAAATTTGCCCACTCTCTTGCCATATGTGTTGCCAACCATAGGCGGTTCTAGACCCATTGCGCTTTACAGTCAGCACAAGGAAGTTCTTCTCGAAGCCCAGCACTTTTTAACTGCCGATAAACGGGTGCTAGCTCCATCAATTTTCGAAACCAGAATGAGACCCTACCAAACCATACCCGGAAGAATGCATCCACATATGACTATGAGAGGTTATGGAGGCTACGTTTTGTGGGGAACCAGAGTGTTGCCCCAAGAGTCAGGAATCACAGCAATTGGACGAGGAATCATAAGAAAAAGAGAAGAAGCCGCTTCAGCCAGCGATGTGGAAATGAAGTAGAACCTAAGAACACATTGCATCCAAGCTCAATTGGTCATTTTTCCACCCGGCAACACATCGTATTTTACCCTGTGAGTCGTAGACGGAACCACAATTGTAGACTCCTTGTAGCTTTTGCTGGACATGTTTGACCTGCTTCTCGTCGCCTACTTCAAACACAAATGCTTCTACCTCGAGGGGTACCACATAATTGGAGATCAAGGCATCGTAAAACTCCAAATCTCCAATTAGTGCCAATTGAGGTTCATACTTCTTAACCGACTTCAGAACACCATTGAGAGCCACCGGCGAGTTGTATTCCTCTCTTGGTATATACGGAGGATTGGCTGTCAACAAATCGACTTTATAAAGACTGGAAGGGTGTTTTTGAAACACATTACCAACCAAAAATGAGATGGTGGAAGACACCCCAAAGTCACGACTATACAATGCAAGATTCTCTTTGCACAACTCAATTGCAGTCTCCGAAACGTCAATTCCACACACCTCATCCTGGGGCCGTTTATGCTTTATTGCCAAGGGAATACAACCGGTTCCCGTGCACACATCGACAACTTTAAGCAGCTTTGAATTCTTCTCTAGAATGTTTAAGAGGTGTCCTACCCATTCTTCGGTCTCCCATCTCGGTATAAGTACGTTTTCCTTGCAGAGAATGGTGAGTTCACCAAACGGTTGGGATCCCAAAATGTATTGAAGTGGAACTAAACGCAGTCGTCGTTTCGCAGCCCAAGTCCATTTCTGTGGTGGGAGTTCCTGTTGCACCCATTTTAGTTCTTGTTTAGCATTTTCTAGGGTACGATTTGCGGCAAGAAAGTATTTGAGGAGTGGTACCTTTGAAGCTTGACGAATTGTCCGAGGACTAATTCGCATGAGAGAAGAAGCGAGAAGTGAGATCAGTGCGAGAAATCTTAGCGAGAGCTGTGCGAAAATTAGTGAGAAATAGTAGCGAGAAATTAGCGAGGATTCAGTGCGCATGAATTTAACGAGAAAGTGACGAATGCCTTAGAACGAAGAGATAATAAAATTTGTAAACTGGTAGTGCTACACTTGGACAAACAAAATCTTTGAATCTCTTATAACCTATTTTTTCAAGAGGATTGACATTTCGTAATGATTTTTGTAATAAAAATCTTAATGAATATTCTTCATACCAATCACATGAGTACAATTTATTATGACTTATATACAGATTACATGCCCTTTCTAGCATAGTACATGTACGCCCGTTCGTGGACGTGGTCTGGGAACGGACTGATAACCTCAGAGTGGCCGGGTCTCGCTACTGGGTCTCTCAAGTAGACGGCATGGCAGGTGGAGAACGACACTTCGAGATGTGAAGGTAATACGGCAAAACACCCAATGAAGGGTCTAGGTGTCCAAGGAGTAAAGTAGGGTTTTGCAGGGTCTTGACGACCAAAGAGACCGCGTTGCCATGGAAGGTTGATGGAAGCCTTGGATTCGTCTTCGAGAATGGCTTCTTTTTCCAAAGGTGGATGAAACCGCAAGTTTTCAGCAAACTGCGGAGAAAATGGAATGGATTTTATGTCTTCGGGAAGCTTGGACTCGTTGGAAGATATACGAATGTGCTCATGCTGCGATTTGACCACTTCAGAGAGAACTTGTTTGATGGACGACGCAAGCTTAGTTTCTTCTTTTGAGCCAAAATCTGGCGCTTTTTTGGATATGAAAGCAGCAGCAGATTCAACTGAAGAGTCCTTCAACAAAGCATGATCGTTCTCCTTCAACAAAGTGTATGCTTTGTAGCACTTTTCCTTGTTTTCTTTGCCGAATTCTTCAAAGGTGTTGGGAGACACTTCTTCCGTTTGGTTGCCGAGAGTAATGATGCGAGACAAAATCGTGTCACGAGTAGTGGATTTTTGCTTGGCGAGCATACTTTTCTCAATCTGCTCATTGTACCGCTTGACCTGTTCTTTGTGGGTCAAAGACTCCTGTTCTATCAACGGATCAAGCGACTTGGGCTTGGCCTGTTTGAGCTGCCATGTTTCTTGTGGATTCGTCTTGGCGGTCTTGACATACTTGTTCCAGGCAGCAATCTGGGTGGAGTCTACGCTTATGGCTTTTTGAACGCTGGGTTTGGTTCTTCCCATGGCAGTCAACACTTTTTCAGGTATCACACTGAAGATATCTCCACTTTTCAATGGAAAAGAAGGGTGTTTTATAATCACCCCATTCACTTTGACATACCCATTGAGAATGTATTGCCTTGCCTGTCTCACAGAAGACGCAAACATAGCTCTAAACATGGCAAACTCCAATCTTTTCTCCAAAGCAGCATAAGTTTGCAACGGCATGGGAGTCAACGCCACGTCCATTCCTTTCAACGAGGCATCAAGCTGGGCCACAGACTCGAGATTTGGCTTGAACAACTGCTTCCAGCGCCCTTCAGTCAAATGCTCACCATGGTAGGCTCTTGTCTCGGCCTTGGCGGTCCATTTCTGTTGGAAGAGTGTCTTTCCTTGGTAGTTTACGTTTGGTTTTTTGTACAAATTGAAGAGATTGTACTTGTTCATGGACGCCCGCACACGGCCACGGGCCATGGAGTTGAGGTTCTGGGTCCTCCGGGGCATGTTCGGTGGACAACGAAAAGTGAAAATCTATTTTTCAAAACTATTTTTCACTCGATTTCGCACTCAATTTCGCACTGCGATTTCGCACTGAAGTCTAATCCACAGGATCAGCGTCAAAGGTCAAGATGTCAAACAGTGTGGAATGGACCGTGGACGACGAAATATCGCTCTTCGGTCTCATTTGTGAGCGCAAGCCGGCGGGAAAAGACAAAGACCAGCACATGGACTGGATCGTGAAGCGGCTCAACGAGAAACTGAAAAAAGTGTTTCTGGCCGCGGACGTGTGGGAAAAATTGCTGAGTTACTACGACTTGGAGAAGGTTGACGAGTTAGAGGAGCGAGAGGAGAGTGGAGACAGTGACGAGGAAGCGGATCGAGGCAAAAATCGGGAAAAATCCGCGAAATTGAACGACAAAAATGGCGATAAAGCTGAGAAAGGTAGTGAAAAGTCTACTTTAGCTTCAAAGAAACGAACCAAATCCGGTAAGGAATCGGACCTAGACAACGACGACGACGAAGACGACGATTCTGCTGACGACTCACATTCAGAAACTAAAAGAGTGACGAGATCTCGTCGACAATCAGTACCACCCAAAAAGCGAGCTCGTTCTGTAGCCGCTAAAGACTCTGAACCTCCCTCAAAACGACGTAATACTAAAACCGCCAGTCCCACTCCTCCAGGAAATACACCAGCTTCCAAACGCAGGACTCGTTCTGAAGCGGCACAAGAAGAAGACGATGAAGAAGAGAAACAGACTCGCACTCGAGTCCGGCGAAGTACCCGAAAAAAGTAGCACCGTACAAGGGTAGTTACAGTTACTTCAATGGCAGTTACCTCCAATGGGTACTTGGGACTTCGATAGTGCTCAGGACTTTGATGGGTAATTACCATTACTTCCAATGGTACTATTATGGTATTTTCCATGAATACTCACAGCTTCTTTGACGGTACCCAATGGTATACAAGCCACTTCCAATGGCACTGTTAAGGAATTTTCCATGAATACTCGGTGTACTATTGGTACTTTCTGTACTATTACTTTCTGTACTATTTCCTTCTGTACTATTTGTCAATACGACGTTACGCTTCTACATTTCATCTGCTTTCCGATGTCTGTACCTTAAAATCATAAATACTTTTACCGGTACTACGTACCCTTTAATGCATGTGCCTCACGACACAATATTCCAAAACTTTTCCCATAAATTGCGTGGTTCGTTCTCTTCCCACACTGTATCGTCGATTTCACGAGCGCCGGTTTCAATGTCACATTCTTCCAAAGGAACGAGGAATGCCCTCTTGCTGAACAAGTTGTTCCAGTTAAAGTAGATGTGGAATGCCACATACGAAAATACAAAGAGAATCACCGAGATGTAGGCAGTGAAAAACTTGGATGCATCTATGTCCCAGAAGCACGAAAAACCTTGGATGAAAACCAAGATGAAGATGGTAATGGTGGCATAATATGAAGCATATGGCATGCCCAATGCCCGGTAGGGCAATGTGTCTCTTGAGATGTTTCTAGACTTCAAAATGTTCATGAATCTGATGTGGGTGAACGAAATGAAACCCCATGCAATGAGTCCAGAAACGGCGGTGATATTTAAGAGCCAGTCGAATACAGTTTGGCCGCTGTTGGAGACCGAAAGGAAGCCCAAGGCACCAAACGCAGCGACGGTGACGACACTAACATATGGTACGCCGTGTTTGGTGGTCCATTTGAACACTCTTGGAGCAACTCCAGCTTGTGCCAATCCGTACAAGACACGAGAACCTGAGTAGACGTTGGAGTTTCCAGCAGAGATAATGGTTACCAAGATGACACCGCTGAAGATGTCGGGCAAAATTTTGGTACCGGAGTTTTTAATAGCGATGATGAAGGGAGAAGTTGCAACGTAACTTGCGTCACTGCTGAAAAGTGGATCATTGTAAGGAACCAACAAACCGATAAAGAGCATGGACAAGACGTAGAAAAGCAAAATTCTGATCAACACCTTTCTGATGGCCGCAGGGACGGTTTTACGAGGATTGGAGGATTCACCACACGACAATCCCACAAGTTCACAACCTTGGAATGTGAATGCGGCACTGATCAAGGAAGATAACCAGCCCAAAAATCTGGCAGTGTTGATGTTACTTTCCACCAAAATACCAGGGCCCCAAGGACCAGGATTTCTCCAGTAACGGAAGCCCACAGGGCCAGTTTTGCCAGCTCCACACACCATAATGAAAGCGTAAATGATCCAACCAGCAACGGCAATCACCTTGAGCGAAGCAACCCAGAACTCAATTTCTCCATAGTATTTGACGGGGAAGAGATTGGCGGCTGTTAAAATGACAAAGAAAATGGCAACCCATGCAGCCAAAGGTACCGGGTTGGGCCAACTGGAGTTGATGATTTGACCCACCACCGACACTTCAAGGGCAAATGTTATACACCACGAGAAACAGTAATTATATCCATTGGCAGCGCCGAGAGCAGGCGAGCACCATCTTGTGACAAACTGAGTGAATGAACCAGAAACAGGAATTAAAGTGGCCATTTCTCCCAACGCCTGGGTGACACTGAATGCCAACGAAGTAATGAACAAGTAACAAATTAACGACGAAACAGGTCCAGCATCTTGAAGAGTCGAACCTGAAGAGATAAATAACCCCGTACCAATGGTTCCTCCCAATGCAATCATGGAAATATGACGAGCCTTCAAATCTCTTTTTACTTCATGGTTTTTTGTTTCACCAATTTCCGAGTTGAAATCGGTCACGTAGTCCACATTCTTCTCTTGGCCCTTCTCTATGGAGTCACTAAAAGAAGTTGAGGCAGGCATGGCTATTAAATTTTTGTGGTTGCAGCCACGGGGGTTGGTTATAAAGTTTGTTTAAAAAGAAATTGCGTAAAATTTTTTACTCGGTGCGATAAGAGTCAGCCAAGGCACTTTGAGTAGGATGAATAGAAATGGAGAAAAATGCGAAAGAAAATGCATTTAAATAATGGGGTTGAAATCTGAGATTAAGCGGGGTTTAGAGGATCTCTCCGTTATCTCATATCGTGCATTTTCATGCCGTAAAGATTAACCATTTACATCTCGGTGTCGCCTGCTGTTAGCTACCCTGAATCTGTAACGCCGTGCGAATTAGCGAAAAACGGCAGAATACGGCATTCTGCGAAGATTTCTATAAGGCATTCATGGTGCAGGAAAAAGAGAATGAGAAGCCAACAGCGAGCGCGCAGGAACTGACAGCGACAGCGGTGAGTCACCATAACCCATTGCATTCCACCACATGTCCATTCACCATCCGTCTACGTCTCTACTCCGCCCTCTTTACTTTCTCTGTCTTAAACATTCGTAACTAATTTACATCTAATTGTACAACACAAACTTGGCCTTACCGCTGGTTACTCCAACGGTACATCCATCGCTTCCGTTTCCATTGTATTTTCCGTTTTCATAAACGCACAGTCCACTGACGCTGCCTCCGTCGGCAACAATCTTCACTTTAAAGTTCAACGAGTCGTAATTGTTAGGGTTAGGAATCAATGACAAGTATGCAATACCATTGTCGTAACCAGCACCAAAATTCAATGGTGCCCAGTTACCCAAACCAGATCCTTGGGTACCCCACACACATCCCTTTTGCCAATCAAGACCAGCATTGTTGACGTAATATTGCGCAGAAGTAGATCCTCCTTGCCATTTGTAGTACGAAGCAGAGTCAACCACCGTGATAGGAGATGACGATCCGCCGCTAACAACAGTAGGAATCACCATGTTTTCAGTACCGGGGTAATCAGTACGGCAAATAGCCACTGTTTGTGACAATTGGTTTTCAACAGATGCCTTGTCAACACCCCATTCACACAAGTATTTAGTGTTGGTGTTGGATCTGTACAATTTCCCATTCTTACACAACAATCCTCCAATCGACACACCATTGGCAGGCTGGCTGCTGGGCCATTGAGTCTTGGACATACCCGATTGACAGGCGTACGAGCAGTACGAACCTTCTTTACAGTTACCACCGGTAGAACCGTCGCTGTTCTCGATACCAGACCAGCCTCCGAATCCCAAGTGGTCCAATGAGATCACACCTTGTCCCGAGGGGAAATCGGAGCACGAAAGCACACCGTCTTCAAAGGCGACGCTAGGATCCAGGAAAGCAGAAAGGTCTCCGGAAATACCTCCAGAGCCACCGCTCGAAGAACCACTCGAGCTGCTGCTAGAAGAAGTCTCCGATGAGCCCTGGCCTGCATTGGACGCTTGTTGCGAAGACTGCGATGGAGCAACTGCAGAAGTCTGTGCGGAAGGTTGTTGAGCTGAAGTTACAGCTGAAGTTGCAGCTGGGGATGCGGATGTTTCAGATCCGACCACCTTGTTTCCGCTTCCGTCAACGGTGACGGTGACGTAGGCGTAGTCGTACACTACATCTCTCTTGTGGCGATGGTGGGCGTGAAATTTGACATCAGCGCAGTCAGCGGCAGGAGCAGCCGACACCGCAACAGCCAAATAAGCGGCAACAGCAGCATTAAAAAGTTTCATGGTCTGGTATTAGTTTTTGTTTTCTGTGGTGACAACCTCATCATATGTATTAGTGGCCCCTGCAAGTTACCCCAGGATACGGTTGCACCCTGGAATACGCATTCTGCACGGTCGAAGCTCGCGAGAAATCCGCGCGCGCGAATTCGCGTTTGCTTGGCTGCCGGACCAAAACAACGGTCGCGACAACAATGACGAGGGCAAAAAGGGAGAATATATGGAAACAAGTTGAGATGAACTGAGACATATGGAGGCATGCTGATATGTATGGAGACATATTGAGCTGCGCCTTCAAGTAGAAATGTGCTTTTAAGCAGAAAATCATTTAAACTTTACACCATAAATTTGGTCCAAAGTTTATTGGTTCAGCTCTACTTAAGTTACCTCTGTCTTCTCATTCACTTCTCATTTACTCTCCACTGCTTTTCGTTCCTAGTTTTTCTACTTACCAAAGGAGTGACAGGTTATACCGAGATTTTTCTAAACCAAAAGTTGCGGGATCTCGTCCCTTATAAACCCCCCTGTGTTTACTATGCGCCAGCCTCCATGTAACGCGCGCCTTTCACGCCTGATTCTGTGCATGGCGATGCCGTTTTGGGCACTGCACCCGCTGCGCGCCGTCGTGTTTTTAGCGCTCGTGCGGCGGGTGTCACGTGTCGTGCTGGATGGGTAACTTGTGAGGAATGATCCAGCAAGTGAGAAAGAAACGATTGCATTGTCTCAATTTGAGCCCAAGAACAAACAGATAAAGTTGAGTTTCGGGTAATGTTTGGCCGTCTTTTTACGCTGACTTGGGTTTACGGTATTGTCTGTTTTTCCTAGTCGGTACTGGTGATGTCCTGCAGGACAATGTTTCAGGCGCGCTTTATATTACCATGCATGGCTTGGCTCAATCTTGGCTAAATCATGTCACGTTCTCGGCTACAGATTTGAATCAGCGGCTCTTTGTTTGCGTCACGTGCGCCCAGCCACCCGCACCGCATAATGACGAAACACAATCGTATGTGTTATATGCAGTGCCTCATCGCTTCTCATCGCGGCCGCATCTAGTAAGTACGCACGATATGCCCAGTGACACTGCTACAATAGAGAGCAAACTGGCGACGCTACCGGAGCTGGTAGATACCGAAACGGTAACAAAGACCGAGACAATTGAGGCTGATACAGAAAATGGTTTAATGGATGATGTGGCAGACAATGTACCAACTGGTTCAACTGATTCAACTAATTTGATTCTGAATGCGGCTGAATTACCGACAAATTTACCTGATTCACTGACTAATTCACCAGCTGCTGAACATTCTGGGCAAGAAAAAGTAGAATTGGCTACAGAGGTTTCAGCACAGAATTTGCTGCAAAATTCAACAAAAACTGATTCCAACGATGAACCCCTCAAAGATCTGACAGATACTGGTACAGTCCATAGTGACCTTCCCGAACCTCAAGAGAGCCTGGAAGTGCTGGAAAAAGTTGTTGAAGAAAAACAAGATGCACTTCCCCAATTCTCAGACGACGAAATCGAGGTGAGCTCGCAGCTGTCTTCAGATTCAGATTCAGATTCAGACTCAGACTCAGAATCAGCCTCAGACTCAGATTCAGTTTCAGATTCAGGCTCAGAGTCAGACTCAAATTCAGCTACAAAAAAAGAAAACCCAGTTCTCGATGTCGACGATGAAGACGAAGAAGCGGCTGGTGGTCCCATATACTCTAAGAACGAAGTCATTGAAGAAAAACCGCTTCTTTTGCCTGAAGACTATACAATTCCCGAAGGCGCACCATTGGAATATGTGGGAGAAATCAACGGAGTTGTAGACAAAAGTGTCATTATTAAAGCCAATACTTCGGGAGAATATAGAGTCTTGAACGAAGAGTCTGTTCTATGCCTCGAAGACAAGACATTGATAGGTCCATTGTTCGAAGTGTTTGGTCGCTTACAGGCTCCACTTTACAGAGTACAACTAGAATCGTCTGAAAAAGCCATCAGTTTTCGAGACCATATCGGTGCCAAAGTGTATTACGTTGTTCCAGATGCTAAATTTTTACTCACAGATACCATAAAACATATCAAGGGAACTGATGCTAGTAATTGTCATGACGAAGAACTTCCGGTTGAAGAGCAGGAATTTTCTGACGATGAACAAGAACTTGCATCGAAACAGGCCAAGAAAAAGAAAAGGAAACCCAAAAAGGAACAGGAACAACCAAACGCAAAGAAACACCAGCCTCAAGGATTCCAGCTGTATGGTTACCCCACTGCGGAAAAAACTTCTCAGAGTCCCCAAGTAAATTATGGATCTCCCTATGGCGCAAGTTATGGACAAGCGTTGCCGATAAACCCAAATAATCCACAACAAACTCCACAACAAAACACTCCACAATTGAACCAGACTTCTCAGTTTCAGAGTACTCCGCAGTTCCCACAAAATGTACTGCTCCCACAAACTCCACTGTTCCCCCAAAATGCACTGTTTTCCCAAAATGCACAGCTCACTCAAACTCTGCAGTTTGCTCACCAAGCTCAATTGCCCTCACAGCCTCCCTACAATGGTCAAGGTTTCCAACAGTACCCATATCCATATAACCAACATGCCAATCCATATGGTACGCCAATTAATCAACTTCCAAATAAACCTCTTGTTGGTCAACTTCTGCATCCTGTTGCACCTCAGCAGATGGGTTACGTACCGTCACAATACCAAAACCCATATGGTCAATTGCAGCCAAATTATGGTCAACAAATGAACATTCAGTCGCAACCTACGGCAATGTCGCATCCTCAGTATTCACCAAATCCTCAGTTTCAGCAACCACAGCAGCAAGCAAACCCAGCTCAGTTGCAGCAGCTTCAACAGCTTCTTCTCAACCAACTCCAGCAAAACCAGAATCAGCAATCTCCGCCATACCAGCCATAAATCAATCACGATGATGTTCATTCACTTTCCATTCTCTAGTCGTCAACATGTCGAGAACTCGGCTCGCTGTTTGCATAGCGTGGTCTGGAAAATTGGACATTCTTGCAACCTCGAGTGCATACGAACGTTCAGTTATGCCCGGTTCAAGTCGATGGTTCATGATAATCTGGCTGTCGTTTTTAACGACGCTTGTTCTGTAATTGTGGAGCTTGCGTGTATCAACACCTTCCTCTTCTAAAAGAGCCACAAGCTCTCTTCCAAAATGAGTAGCAAATAAAGTACGGCATTTGTTCACCTGTAGTAAGTGGATCATCGCAGCATAGGCCACAGCAAGACCTTCCTTACCACTTGTTCCTCTTCCAATTTCGTCAACTATAGCCAAAGATTGCTGTGAAGCATTTTTGAGGATGTTGCTAGTTTCGATCATTTCCACCATGAATGTGCTCAAATCATTGAACAAATCATCCGAGGCCCCAATACGAGTAAAGATTCGGTCCACAACGCCAATGGTGGCTCTCTTTGCAGGCACAAAACATCCAATCTGGGCCATGATAACTATCAATGCATTCTGGCGCAAAAACGTACTTTTTCCTCCCATATTAGGACCAGTAATCATCCACATCGTTCCATTGGAATTCAATTGAGAAGTATTGGGCACAAACATTTCTCCAAGCGACTTAAGTGCTGATTCTACAACTAAGTGACGTCCATCAATAATCTCCAATTTTGGCTGCGAAACCACTTTTGGACGTACAAGTTCCGTTTCGTGGGCTAGTAATCCAAAAGATGAAGTTACATCTAGGAAATCAACTAGCTGACTTGCAACTCTCATGGGCAAGGCAGAAGCAAGAACTTGTGTGCGCAAGCTGGAAATGACTTTTTGTTCCACCTCAAGAATCTCTTCAACCTTGGAATTGACGAGTGCTTGTAACATGCTCCATTCATATGGCTTGATAATGATAGTGCTTTTTCTTTTCTCGCGAACATCTTTGGCAAGCAAGTTCCCAACGGCTTCTATCAGCTTTGTCTTTCCTGATACATGGATCACGTTTGAAAACCGTCCGTGTGAATCTCGCTTGCTAATAGCCAATTTGGAATCTATATCGGTTATTTGAGCCGTTATTTGTTCAAGTAACTTATCCTCTTCAGTCAATAGAGTTTGGAGCTCCGAGTGTAAGAGTGCAAGTTCAGAATTAAATGAAGGTCTGACGAAGAATTTGGCCCCAACCCGTAGTTTTTTGTTGTCTTCTCTTTCTTCCAAAGTAGAATTGTCATTGATCAATTCGCTCAAGTTGAGCGTTTCGTCGATCTTTTCAGCTACCGTTATTGGCACGGAAAATTTGTGAAGAAATTCATCCCAGAGTTTCGACCGTTTTTGCTGCTTCAAGAGCTCTTCGACTCGGTCTAGTTTATACAAGCCATCGGCAATTGCAGCTAGATGAGAAACCGAATCACCAGTTCCAAATGAGAGTCGTTGAACCGAGCGAATAAAGTCACCCACTTTTGAAAGGTTTGCTCGTAAACCCTGGGTCAAAACTATGTCGGCTCTAAAAGCTTCAACAAAATCATAGCGATAGTTGAGAGTTTCAATGTCCAAAATGGGAGAGTTGATCCACTGCGAAAGCATTCTCGTTCCTGATGGTGTTACCGTTTTGCGAATGGTGCTCACTAACGTTCCCACGACGGACCGTCGACCAGCTGTAGACCTTTCTGTGAGTTCTAGCGCTTCTCGAGTTCGTGGGTCCATTCTGACGTATTTTTCGTTCCAGTACTGGGTTGGGATATCGAGCGCAGGATTGGCTTCGGGAATATTGACATTAATGTACGACAAAATCATGTTCATGGCGGCTTCTTCACGCACTGAGAGCAGCTCAATTGCCTTTCTCGTCGCTTGGTAACTCGAGGTGAACTGTAATTTCAAGTCTTTGTAGACTGTTTGATGATAGCGTAAGAAATAGCGACGAAGTTCAGATAGTGGAGTATACCAATTTCCAGTCAATAGACCAAGATCTTGGAACTCTTTGGGTATAATAATCTCAGAAGGGTTGATTCTGAAGATATCACTGACAACATCTTCCAAAGTTGTTCGTTGAACGTAGAATTCTCCTACAGAAACATCGACCCATGAGAGTCCCACTTCCATTGCTGGGTCAGCGATGGTTTTCGTACATCCTGGAGGCAAGTGGATCGCTGCCAAGTAGTTGTTTTGGTTGTAGTTGAGAAAAGTTTCGTCTACTAGGGTTCCCGGCGTAACTATTCGTGAAACTTTTCGGTGAATAATTGCATCCATGGTTCGCTTTTCCATGGGATATTGGTCTATAATCGCCACGTTGACATTATAGTCTTGTATTAGCATCTTGACGAACTTTTGGAGCTGGTAAGTGGGAAATCCTGCCATTGGAATAATGCAATTATTTGTCTTTCTTGATGCAACCTTGATGCCTAGTTTGGGTCCATATTCTTGTGCCTGGTCAAAATATATTTCATAGAAGCTTCCTACTTGTACAAGACACACACAGCCCTTGTTGGCATCTATGATCTTGTTTATGCTGGCATATAATGGCGTCAACGTGTCATTGTTCGTCTTTCCACCTCGATCCCAATCTGGTAAAGATGGAGATACGAGCTTTGATTCGAGTTTTGATTCGAGTTTTGGCGCGGAACTGGCTACTTTTGGAGGCTCAATTGATACTTTTGGAGCCCTTTGAGCAGTACTCAACCATCGTAGGCTACGGAAAGTGCCCACATTATACCTCTTTACTCGCCAGATTCGATGCATACATAAATGTGAAATGTTCGCGCGAACTTCAGAGGCTACTGGAAATTCTGCTGGTCGTACTCTATTAGTGTATGCTAGTTCAAATAGCCCTTACAGCCAGGGGCACCACACAAACAACGGATCCGTTCGTCGTCGTTCGTCTCTCTTTCGAATTTGTAGTCGTAGGTGAGTTCTTCGTTAGCTTCGATGTCTCGCAAAGCGTAAATGACAATTCTCTTCTTTCCTTCCACTTTGATGATCTTGGCAGTACAACTAGGGTTACAGCAATGGTTGATGAAACGAGCTATTCCGCCTTTTTTGGTTGCATCGATCACTGAATTCTCGTCAATTCGGAAAAGATACGACGACCCAATGCCTGTCTTCAAGTAACTCTTCTCACGGTGCTCGGCTACTTGCTGTCGAATACTCTCCCCAACGTACTCTATAATCATCTCCTTCGCAGCAATTGATTCCAAGGCGTACAAGCCCCAGTTATGGATCGCGGACCTCGCAAAAGTCACCGGTTTCTTTCTTTTCGTCAACGCATTGAGATCCAAAATGTCAGTTTCGCTTCCAAGCATTTGCTTCTGGGCACTTATATCAGCCACCAATCTTCTGTTGTTGGCACGGTTCACACGAGAGCTATGCACCGCAGTGCTGTTATTCGTACCGTTTCCATTGTTCGCAGAAGTCTCGTCATCTTCGTGTTGGACGGTCTTGACAGGCTTGTAAATTTTGCGCCGATGAGGCAAGTATTCGATCTTGTCAGTATCGGGTATTTTTCTGTATCCTTCACTGCGGAAAGAGCCACTTGCCGACTCAAATTTGGGTGCAAGAGGTTCAATTAGATGTACACTTTCGGCAATTTCCTCTGGCTTTCGAGTCTCTTTTTGCTTCCACGCCCAGTAGTCCACATTTGCTATTGTGGAAGGCTTCAACTCAGAAAGAATGCTCTTTGCAATGTTCAAATCTTCCTCGTCTTTGATGGAAGATTGGATATAATTGACGTCGAACTCGTCAACAAATTCATCCTCAGGGTACACCGGAACTGAAGAGTGTAATGTAGGTCTGAACTTGACATCCACATCGGCAAAATCGTCCACTTGGTCAGCCGCCTCCTCTGCATCTTCCATGACTTGATCTTCAGGACTGTCGGAAACTTCTCCTTCTGATGAGTCGTAAAGCAACATTGTCTTGAGCAGTGTTTTCTTTTTCTTCTTTGAGGGTGCTTCTTCGTCATAGCTGGTTGCTGGCAGGCTGCGTTCACGCTTCAACGCGGGAGCAGGAGTAGCAGAACGACTTGAATCGTCTTCTGAATCGTCCGAGTCATTTTCATAGTTGAGGACATGCTGCATAGGAATAACTCTCTTCTTCGCTTGCATTTTTATGCCTTCTTTTCTTTTGAAACTGGGTAACTGTGCCGCTTTTTTATTCATTAGAGCATAAGCACCTTCTTTATTTCGAGTTTCTTGGATTTTGCTTGCAATCGTTTCGGCCCTAGCGGCAGCAGCTTGTGCCTGCTTGGTTCGCTCTTCGTCCAATTGTGCCTTGAGAACAGGAAATCTTTCCGGGTTCAACAATTCCAATACTTGGGGTGCAATTACTCGCTCACGTATATCTTTTTTAAGGTATGCTTGGAACTCTTGTATGAGCATATTCGTTGCTTCTTCGACGGCGTCACCTTTGGTGGCAGAAGTTGTGGACTTGTCTTCAAAACCTTCAGGCACAGCCATCTCCATGAACATACGAAATTCATAGAACCTACGCCCATCTTCCTTCCAGAAACATCGTTTGCACTCCTCCAAAGAATTGAAAATTATGAAAAATCCTACCTTCTCGTGTAGGACTCGAGACCAGTTGTACTTGTTGAGCACACGCTTGATATCCTGGGCAGATACGGTCCGTGTGGAAACGTGTTTGTCGTGTATGAATAGATAGGGGTTGTCTTTGATGATATGACGAACTTCTCGTGGAAGAAATGTTCCTGGAATGACCTTGTTGCGATACTTGACAGACATGATGGTGGTGTTTGGTTTATAGTCGTATTTTTGGAAGGTATTGTTTTGTGATTCTTTCTGGCGTGCTTCCTCCCTCTGAGCAACGATCTCTTTACGTTTCTTTTCCTCTTCCATCTCTCTTCTTTTCTGTTCTTCCATCTCCAATTTCTGTTTCGATTGCCGAATTCGATTTTGGGCAATTTCCACCTTGCTACGGAGCAACTTTCCCTCATGGTCATTAAGCTCTATCTTGAGCACCACGCCGTTGATTTTGGGTTTTTCAAGGTGGACGAAATTGAGGAGATTCTTGGCCAAAAGCATTGATTTGTCAGGAGAGCCTTGGAAACGAAACAGCATAACGCCCAAAGGTACCGCATACATTGGGTCCTGGAGGAAGTTAATTTCGGTCGCATTCCCGTGAGATCTAAAGAAGTTTGTCACGTAGACCTCGCTGGTGGTGGATGGAATGTCCCACACCACAAGCTCAGTTTGCGGGGGAGGACCCACCGAGTTCTTGTCAAACACAAATCGCGGCTGTGGGAGTTGCTTGAATGGAAATTTCTTGGAGTTTTTGTTGGGTTTGGAAAAGTAGGTGGAAAGGATCTTTTTTCGTGGATCGGTGATATCGGAGCTGTGGATTATGGCATCACTGTATGATTGTGGGTCACTTACAGACGAGCCATTAAAGCGAAATACTTTGCTTTTTGATTTGTTGGTGGACTTGTTTCTGTGGGAATCGTTCTCTGGATCGTAGAGAACCTTGTAGTTTTTTGGAGGATCGGATGGTGATGAAAATTCGAGCTGGAGATGATCACGATGGAGCTGTAAAGTTGGAACTTTAAGGTCATGGGGGTTCACTCCGGTTCGGGGGTCTGTTCCCGTCACTTCCTCGGGCGCAGAGGTCACACTATTGGGCGTTGGAGGTTGGAGAGGCGATCGTGTGTGATTTTGAACATTGCCATGGTGAGAGTGACGGCCATTTTCTTGTTCGTGATCTGGCTTAAACTCTGGTTTTGGGTTTGTGGACGGTGTCTGTGCTGGCTTGGATGGATTTCGATGCTCCATGGGTCGGTAGTAAGCGTCTCTATCATAATGATTTGTGTTGTGTTTTCGTGGACCTGATGGTCGAAAGCTATCGTACAGATTTGAAAGTTTTGGAGCAACTTCACGCCGATACTTGTCATCGTAGTTGGTGTGGTAGCCCCCGCCACGATCATTACGGTCTCCACGATCTCCACGATCGGGACCTTTAAATCTGTAGGACATGAGAGAAGAAGGAACGGCGCAAATTCGCGTGCGAAGTGAGAAGTGAAGTGAGAAGTAAGAAAAGAGTGCGATAAAGAAAAATAGAGAGTCGAAAAATAAAGAAGAATTGAAAGATAATATATGAGGTGTGGTGAGAGTGGTACTGTTTGCTCAGAGTGTTCTTATGTTTGGTACTACTAATTTCTACACTGAATGTATGTTAGGTCGTATTGGAGTACAAGCCAAAGCTGATACTTCTCTCGTTCTCCTCCTTCCTTCTCTTTAAATAGCTCTCACTATCTCTCATTCCTACTAGTCTCTCTAGCTCTCACTTGATCTCGCCAGCTTCGCTGTCTCGATGCTCGCTGTCTCACTTCGTTCTAATATGCTTCAATGGACCCGCAGAGTGGTAAAAATTAGCAGAGTAATCCTTTCTCCTAAAATGCTTCACGTTGGGCTCTTGTACGTAGTGGTCCCATCCTTGGCTCTGGGCAAACTTTATAGCAGACTCCTTGGTGTCAAACTTCAACTGTGTTCCTTGCATGTAATCTCCACTGGATTGGTAACCAATTAAATGATCTTCCCAACGGTGCTCTTTTCCAAGCAAGTCCCAGTCCATTTTCCACATTTTTCCGTTGTGGTTGGACGATTGGGTGGCCGGTTTGGACTCTTTGAAGATCCGAACCACTCGGCTAGTAGACATCTCCGAGGGTGCACCCGAAATGATTTCGTACCTTTGTTGTCCACGGTCATAAACCTGGGGCGTTCCGGCCTTCTGGAGTGCTATGGTGGACCGTGAGAACCCACGACACCCGTTTAATGTGGTTTTAACGATGGCTCTGTTCATGGTTCCTGTTGTAATGAAAAAGCGCTCGCTCTGGTTGGTCAGTGTGGGAGTGCAGATAGCGCGCACCCTCAACAGCCCCAAATTTGTCTGCAGGTGGCTCACGTCTTCATGTCCCATCAAACGGCAAAGGCGCTCAGCGACGTTGTTCCGGGCCACCAGGGACCGTTTTCCGCGGTTGTCGTCAAGTTTGCTGACGCATTGTACAATTTGAGCGTTCAAAAAAAACCGGTTCTTCCGCAAAATTCAGAGGTGGCTCGCCAGCACATTTGTGCTTATCTTGCAGCCGAAAAATATCACGAACGATTGGACATGACGACTCCTTCGTTGAACATGATCCCCGTACCGCCAAAGGTAGCCATGCGTGTGATTGACGAGTTTCGAAATAGCCTTATGGGCGAATTGTCTACACCTTCTTCTTCTCCCGCATCCACACCGCGTGGAAAAAGAACAATAAATGTTGGTTCTGGTGGATCTCCTGCTAATGGGTCGCCTTCTGGAGTGTCTACTTCGGCTTCTGGAAGCCCCAGAAGACTTGGATCTGCCACACCACACAAAAGCTCACCGCTAAAACGTCTTCGTGAAACCGCTCAAGATCAAGATGGTGAATTTGAGTCGTCAAAACGAACCCAAAAGAACCTCCGAGACGTCGATTCGCCATTTAATCCCAAAACAAAGGATATACCTCCCTCAGGACGCGATCTGGAGTCGCCTACACCTCCCATTCTTGACGATGCTGCCTACAAAGCCCAGTACCGAAGCGAGAAAAGACAAATGTCACTTGTTGAATTCGTGTCTATGTGCAACCATTTCTACATTCCTGCCGATATTACGGCCCAGATGTTGCAAACATTCGTTGGTCAACGTCACAGATTCGCTAAAAAGAGCGAATGGTTGCTTGCCTGTGGCATGGTTCATGCTGCCTATGTTCGCATCAACCACCGACTACTTCGACTGAAAATGGGCGCTCGGAGCTTGTTTCAGAACCAGCTCTTCCAGTACCAAGTTGGAGGATTGGCAAGATGGAATATGCTCCTCTGGTGCAACATCGTCGATAATACTCTCAAAGACGAGCCCTGGATCAACACTATAGAAAACACCTACGTCTACAATAACTCCACCACGGAAAGAGCAGTACGGCTCCGTGAAGTCGAAGCCAAAAATGGATTAAATGGGCAATTAATGGCGAGATTTGGTGCCATGATCGATGCCAGCGATATGAGCTACCTGTCACAACAGGATGAATATTACAACCGCTGGACTGCACGAGCAAAACAAATGGTGGGCGTGGAAGCTGGGAATACCAAATGATTGAAGATGTGAATATCAAATGATTGCATTATTCACCAACATCTCCAACCTTAGCTCTTCGATCCCCACATCCACTGCACCCACAGGCACATTACCACTGCGGTGCGAAATTTTTCAGATTTACTCATGACAGTTGGCAAAAGAAAGCTTTCCAACGGCACTGTGAATGAGGCAAAGCGGCTCGACGACCATGTTCCTGTAGTGGCTCCGAGCACAAATCCTGATTTTGAAAACGCAAACGGCGAAGATAACGAAGACATAGATGACTACTCCTCTGAAGGTGAAATGAGTCCACAACTCGAAAATTACTTTCCACAGACCACATCGTGGCAGAAAACGATCACAAAGGTGGTCAAGTCTGTCGTGTCCATTCAGTTCTCCCATGTCAGCAATTTTGACACAGAATCCTCCGCTGTAAGTGAAGCTACTGGTTTCGTTGTAGACTCCGAGCGTGGATATATTCTCACCAATCGTCATGTGGTGGGTCCAGGTCCCTTTTGCGGATACGTGGTGTTTGATAACCACGAGGAAGCGGTAGTTCGTCCCATATACCGTGATCCTATTCATGATTTCGGGTTTCTTCAATTCGATCCAAAGGATATAAGATACATGAAAATTGAGCAGCTTGATCTCCGCCCTGATTTGGCTCAGGTTGGTACTGAAATCAGAGTAGTTGGTAACGATGCCGGAGAAAAATTGTCTATTCTTGCTGGGTTCATCTCAAGACTTGATAGAAATGCTCCAGACTACGGCACACTCTCTTACAACGATTTCAACACAGAATACATTCAAGCAGCTGCCAGTGCTTCTGGTGGTTCTTCGGGATCACCAGTTGTCAATAAAGAAGGATATGCCGTTGCATTGCAGGCTGGAGGCTCAACCGAAGCATCGACCGATTTCTTTCTTCCCGTTTACAGACCACTTCGAGCTTTGCAGTGTATACAACAGGGCCAAACCATCACCAGAGGTGATATTCAAGTGGAATGGCAACTCAAGCCTTTTGACGAGTGCAGACGTCTAGGATTAACTCCCGAGGCAGAAGCAGCTGCTCGTAGCCAATTTCCTGACAAAATTGGTCTTTTGGTAGCTGAGCTAGTTCTTCCTGAAGGTCCAGCTGATGGTAAGCTAAAGGAGGGAGATACTCTCATCTCCATCAACGGTACTCCCATTGCATCTTTTATCAGCGTTGATGAAATTCTCGATGAACAGGTGGGACAGAGTCTCAAATTTGTCATACAGAGAAACGGCCACGAAGTATCGTTTGATATAGTGGTGGGTGATCTTCACAGCATCACGCCTAGCCGGTATGTGGATATTGCTGGAGCTTCATTTAACGATTTATCGTATCAAGTTGCTCGTTGTTTCTGTATTCCAGTAAGAGGTGTTTTCATCAACGATGGTCTGGGGTCGTTTGAATTGTCTCCATTCGAGAAAAATGGTTGGCTTCTTGAGTACGTTGACGACAAACCAACACCGAACTTAGATGCATTTGTTGAGGTTATGAAGTCTATTCCTGATCGCAAAAAAGTGAGCATTTCCTACAGGCATGTGTCTGATTTCCACACTGAAAATATCACAGTTATCTACGTCGAAAGACACTGGCAGTCCACCTTCCGTATGGCTGTTCGTAACGATTCCACCGGCATTTGGGACTTTACTGATATTCAAGACAAACCATTGCCAGCAGAAGAACCAGTTCCTCAAAACGCAAAGTACATTGATATTCCTTTTGATGATCCCGAGAAATCAGGGTGCTCACAATTGACCCGCTCATTTGTTCAAGTACGTACCATCGCTCCTGTTCCAGTGGATTCCTATCCTTACCGCAGAGAAATTGGGTACGGGGTCGTTGTTGATGCAGCTAACGGATACGTACTTGTTTCCAGAAGATTTGTTCCTCATGACATGTGTGACATTTTCGTTATATTTGCTGAATCTGTCGAGCTTCCTGGTAAGGTTGTGTTTCTTCATCCTAACCAAAATTATGCCATCGTCAAGTATGATCCTAAACTCATGCTTGCGGATGTGAAAACTCCCAAGTTTAGTGATAAGCCATTGAAAAGAGGAGAGAGAGCGTTCTTCGTTGGCTATAACTACAACTTGCGGGTTGTCACTGACGATGTCAAAGTCAGTTCTGTGAGTTCTATCAATGTTCCTGTGGCAAGTTTGTCGCCTCGTTATCGTGGTACGAATTTGGAGTGTATTCTTTTAGACTCCAAGTTGAGTCAGGAATGTGACTCTGGAGTTTTGGCCGATTATGATGGAACTTTAAGAGCTTTCTGGATCACTTATCTAGGTGAAACTAACTGCGATCAGACCAATGATCGAGTTTATCGCATGGGTTTAGATGTCACCGATGTGATGAGCGTCATAAAAAGCTTGCACGAAAATAAGGTTCCGGCTGGTTTACGTATTCTTGATGCTGAGTTTGCCTCGATGACAATTTTCCAGGGAAGATTGAGAGGAGTTCCTCAAGAATGGATATCCAAGTTTGAGGAAGTATGTGAAGACGAAATGAAGTTTTTGGCAGTGGATCGTGTGAGTGCACCAGCACTTGGCCAAGTGGCTACTCCTCTCAAGACGGGTGATATTGTCATGTCGGTGAATGGCTCCATTGTGAAGACAATGAGAGACTTGGGTATCATGTACAACCAAGATTCACTTGACTTTGTGGTTATTCGCCAGAAAAAAGAGTTGCATTTGAACGTGCCCACCATAGATACCAGCACTTTGAATACCAGCCACGTTGTGTTCTGGTGTGGTTCTATCCTCCAGGCTCCTCATCATGGAGTTCGTCAACTCATTGAAAAAATACCTTCGGAAATTTATGTCACAAAGAAGAACTCGGGAGGGCCCGCTAATCAATATGGCATTGCCACAAACAGCTTTATTACCCATGTGAACGACACCGAAACCAAAACCCTTGAATCATTTGTTCTGGTGGTTAAAGGGATTCCTGATAATACCTACATCAAATTACGATTAGTTTCGTTTGACAGCATTCCGGTTGCCATCTCCGTCAAGACCAACTATCACTACTTTCCCACGTTCGAACTCAAGAAAGTGAACGGCGAGTGGGAGGAAACAGAACATAAAGTATAGACTTGTATAATTGCATTAATCATGAAAACTACAACCGATCGTCAAAATTTCGTATTATCGTATTTACAAGATTAGAGGTACCTCTGTAACTTCTTCAAGTGGTTTCCCTTGTTGGTCACTGGAACAAATGAGTCCAATTGTCTAATGGAATTGGCACTAAATCCTCCATTTCCATGATTCCGGCCGGCTTGTTTCCTTTTCAATCCTTGTCCGGTCTTAATAAAGCGCTTAGCTGCAGCTTTGTGAGTTTTCATTTTGAAGCGGGTCTGGATGAGCATGTTGGCAAAGGGCCGTTTGGTGAACACGAGCCTGGTGGCCGCCTCCAAAACGTTACCTAGCATACTTCAGACTTGGACCATGAAAAATTCGGTTAGTCGCACTATTGATTGGGCCGGGTAACTAGTCTTCGTCTTCGCTGGAGTAGCCTGAAAGGATGGTATTTTGGGGTTCAGGTTTTGGTTTCTTGGCTTTTTCGGGCTGAGGAGACTCCTTCTGTTTCCGTTTGATAGTTATTGATTTCAAGTTTTGCTTTTCTTCTTCTTTTGGTGCTTTTTTTTGCAATCTGCGAAATCGGTCAAGTTCTCGATCATCTTCTTGTTTCTTTAATTCTTCCTTTTCTTTCCTTTTTCGACTAAGTTCCGCGTAAAACTTTGCAGACTTGTCGTCTAGCTTGTATGTGGCATTCTGGACTTGAAATTTTTGCTCAAACTCGAGTTGTTTTTGTTCTAAGGTTAGTATGGTTTCAAAGTACAATTTGCAATCCTACATACCTTTGCTTTCCTTAAGTTGATCGTATAATGTTTTGCGCTCCGTGTCCTCTATATCTACGGGAGGGTTTTCCGGTTCCTTTGGTGGCGCCAAAACTGCATTGGGATTGGACTTTACAAACTCAGGCATGCCGCAAAATTACGATAACGAGATTATATGAGTGGGTGCAGGAACCGAACCATTGGAGGAAATGAAATAGATTATACTACTCAAGACTACCATATAGCTTCTACTGCAAATCACTACTACCTATACTTTCTACTTCAACTACACTCTAATATCAACGATTTTCAAAATTATATATTATTGCAAATTTTCCAGCTATCGCTTTTTCAATTATCGCGACTGTGCAAAGTACCGAGGCTCATCAAATACATGGTACCGATGGTCCCTTACCCCGTCTCCTCTAAACATCTGGGGCATTCTCAATTCTTCTGGAACATCCTCTTCATCAATAAAATGGTTTCCGTAGATGAGATCCTCGTCGAAATTGTTTTTCTCATCTTCTGTAAGCAACTTGAATTTGGCAATTTGAAGCTCAGTGTCGGTGATTGTAGAACGAGAAATCCGGGCATATGCCACTTTTTTCACATCCCTGAACAAAATGTACTCGCACCATCGGTCCCAATCTGTGCTATCAATATCATGCATCCCGGACGCTTCGCTAACATAGGTGTTGTAGTTACCCTGTAATGGCTCGGTGACAAGATAACTGAGAAGAACCAAAGGACGGTCAGAACTGCCCATGATTTCCGCCAACTTGAGACTTTGCAAACGACGGTCTTCTTCGTCTTCTTCCTGGCCCGAGTGGAACACAACAACGTCGACTTCTTCACCATAAATATCCAAAGTGGCATGGATAGCAGGCGCCAATTCTCCAACTGGCGAAGGCATCAAATGATGAGTAGACCTAAGGATCGGGAACTTGGACAAGAGCACAGCTCCCCAAGTATGCTTGTTTGGACCTGGTCCATAGTCGGCGTACATGCCTAGCTCGTGAGCTATGGTTTGACTGAAATCACGATTACCTCCAATGAGTCGTTGGGTGTCAGTTTCGAGTAAACCAACAATGTCCACTTGAGCGTCACGAAGAAGATTTAACATTCTTGTTTCACTCGACCACATATCGTTGTCGAGACCAAAATGGACACACCAGATTCCTGCGGTGAACGACCCCGAGCTTGGATTGTACGGCGTGAATTCGCCGACCGGAGTACGATTAAAGGTTACTGCTGTAGCGAGGGCCAAAAGAACAGCAATAAAAGTTAGGGAGTTCTTGACAATTGAACCAGTAGTCTTTTTTACTTGGACACTGGTGTTTTGCCAGACCCCAACCAACACCATCAAGAAAGAAGTTCCCAAGACTATATCGGTTCTTTCTCTCAAAAGAAACCCACCAGGCACGAATGCGTACGCAACGATCCAAACAGAAGCCAACGAAATCACAATTGTGAAAAAAAACGAAAGTGTGAAAAACGCAGCGGGATTGTGACCGCTGATGATTCTCCACACAAGCGGTGAAATGGAAGCGAGATAAAAGGTATACGAGCAAGAGCCGGCGTACCCCACCCATCCAGGGAAGTAGTAGAGCACAAATGCAGATACTCCTCCCACCAAAATGTTGTAGAATACCGATGTGAACGTTTGAGGATTAAGCTTCGACGCAGCAAGAATTCCACCGGCAAACGCACCAAAATGAAAGAGAGCCCCGGTCACTGGGGTTGGACCAGTAATGGGATATCCATCCCAGGCCCACATGATGAGGGTGGAAGAGTCGCCCAAAAGATATTGAAGCGAGAAAAAGTAGCCACCAAACCCAAGAGCAGACAAGAGGAGAGATGATCTCTTCTCTACTGGCTTCGAAGCAGTTGAGTACTTGGGGGTGAAGAGTGCTCCCACCAAGCACACAAAGATTCCAATCTCGTTATATCCACCGTTTTCTTTGTGCATCACTGGCCAAATAGGGTTATTGGAGAAGCACATATACTTGAATACCGAGGTAGCCATGAGTCCTAGAACTTGAGCTACGGCATATTCCTTCAACGTTTGAGGATCTGAGGAAGCCGCGGAGGATTCGCTGGCCAAAGAGACGACGGAAAAAGCGGTTCCAATGGAAATTGAAAGTAGCTTATGTTCTGGTTCTTCGATCTTGTAGGCTCCAATTCCAAAGAGAACCGCCAAAACTCTGGTGACCAATGGGTACGATGCCAAGAAGGACTTTAAGTGCGGAACTGCCAACAAAAAGTGAGGTACAAAGTAAGTTACTATGGCTGCTTCGTAGCCAGAAATACCCATATGCCAAAGGGGAAAGTACCACACAGCGAGGAACAATGCCGAGAGAACCGACCAGAAGGTGAATGAATTGACCACATGTGCAGCAAAGGGAAGAAACGAAAAAGACGAAGAAGTTGAGACAACTTTTAAATCGATTTTTGAATCAATTTTTTTCGACTCAATTGGCACAATTTTCTTCACCAAGATTCCACTGCCAATGGTGATCTCAATATCGGCGAAATCCACTACCGACCACGTATCGAAACCCACATCCAAGAGAATAAGGGCCCACTCGAAATAAGCATAGATGGAGTATGCTCCGGGACGAACATGGACCTTGTGTTGAATAAACCAGTACACCAAAGGGACCAAGGTGGAAAAAAATGCAATGGCGGTCCAGGTTCTACCACGGCGTACAATGGACCCTTTGGGAGAAAGCACGCTCATACACACTGTCCATGGAATGGTGAGCAAAATATAGGCGATCATAAAAATGTCATGCCAATCATGGTCATCGGTAGAGGTGATATAGACCCATCCTCCACATGTGAATGTTCGCATAATACCACAAACAACCCCAATAGTTGCGAGAAGCGGACCATTTTCAGCACATATGAAATAGTTCAATGCCAAAAGAAGAAACCGAGGTCCGGAAGTTACCGCTATCAATACCTGAAAAAGCGATCTTTCGGGGTACCGATCACCAATGGTGGCAGAGACACTCGGAAACCATTCATCTGGATATCCAAAGGAAGCATTTTTGACAATCTTGTGATAATGAAGCCAGCATCCAACAATTAATGCAGCAAAAAATGCACTATATGCAAAGAAGGCGTGTGCATACGCCACCCACAGACCATTGACGCTGTACACTACCGTCTGCGTCCGCTGGGAACCCCCAGAAGTTTTGGCATTACTCATGGATGCTGACCCACGTATTTAGAAGTGTTGAAGCCACAAGCGCAGCCAGACACCTGAAGCACCCCAAACTGCTAAGGTCGTGCGCGCACCGCCGCGCTCCTCCAGTTAAAAGTGTTGAAATTTGATATTACAGGTGACAGTATGGGTAAGTTTCACGATATACGATAATTTTACGTGACAACACCGGTTCTAACACAGCATTGAGCAACTACGAACGGCACCAGAGGCCAGACCTCGTGTCTTTTGACGATATCGATTACGAAAACTTCCCCGATGTCGACAAGGCCAGAAAGTCCATGCTTAGAGAACAATGGATTCGCAACCAAGCGCTCCGTGTAACCCATGAGGCGTTGCGCAAGTGCAAACAGTACCACGGAGATGATGCCCAGAGAAATTGCCGTCCTTTGATCTTGAAATACATGAAGATGATCGAGACTTATCCCGTCCAAGGATACTTGGGATACCAAAAGAATGACCCTCTGCAGTAAAAAAGCAACTACAACGAACATGGAGGAGTTTAGGGGAGCCGAGTATCCCCTGGCTGCTTCCAAGAACACATAAGTGGAGAATTGAGGCGTTTATGGAGTGCACTTTCTTATCTTTTTTTTAACAGATGCATTCGAAATCGTCACGAAACCACAAACGTGATCTGACTCATGGCATCCGCCACTGCATGTAATAATACACGAACCATATACAACTGCTCCAGTGCTATTTACTCTTAAACCACTCCCCCATTGCTGGGTTATCTGCACTCTCACACTCCAGGTCGTGTCCCGCCCACACTCCAGCCAATGAAATTCTTTCTGCGACCCGAGCCGGAACAAACGTCCTCACCACGGCCTATTCATCATGTTTCGTTTAGGTGTTGCACAGGTCGCCCGCCAAGGCGGAGCTAGGTAAGTACTACGCTAATTGAAGCGATAGCAATTCTTGGAAGGAAAAGCAATTGGATAAGATGGCAACTTGTAGAAATTGGATAAAATCATCGAAACTGTTTTATGGAAATTGCTGAAAAGTCGATGATGGTTCAAGTATTTGACGTGAATTGATTACTGCGATTGAATTATAGAGGTGGGACATGTGGTACGAAAATTTGGGGCATTTTGATAGCAAATCGCTGAGAACTATGCTGAAATCAATCATCAAGTGAATCATTAAATCACATAAATCCCTCGACCAAGTGTTAAAACAGAGGCTCTCGAATACCAAAATCCACCTTCAATGGAAAATGTTGACGGTCCAAGTTGAATTTCTTGTTCCAGTTGCTTATAACTTCACCTTCTCCATCCTATACTAACTCAGAAACTATGCCACTTTGCGTGATATTGAAATGCGTCTCAAGTCCATTAAGAACATTGAAAAAATCACAAACACCATGAAAATTGTTGCCTCTACCAGATTGAACAAGGCCCAGAGAGCCATGGCTGCCTCGAGAGTTTTCAACAAGTCTGACTCTGAATTCTTCGAGAACGCTGAGCCTGAAAAGTCCGAAGACGAAAAGACATTGTTGATTGTTGTTTCTTCAGACAAAGGATTGTGTGGTTCCATTCACACCCAGATCTCGAAGGCTGCCAGAAAGAGATTCCTGGAGTTGAACGGTAATGCTGACATCGTCACTGTGGGTGACAAGGTTAGAGCTCAATTGTCCAGAACCCACGCTGACAACCTCAAATTGGCATTCAATGGTGTTGGTAGAGAGGCTCCTACTTTCAACGAGGTGGCTTTGATTGCCGATGAAATTCAAAAAGTCGGAAAGTACGACAACATCGAGATTTTATACAACAAATTTGTTTCGGGTGTGTCTTTCGAACCTTCCAAGTTTGGTGTGTTTGCCGCTGATGCCATTGAAAAGGCTCCTGGTTTGTCCAAGTACGAGTTGGAAGGCGAAGATGTGTCTTCTACTCTCTCGGAATTTTCCTTGGCTAACTCTCTCTTGACTGCCATGGCTGAAGGTTACGCTTCTGAGATCTCGGCTAGAAGAAACGCTATGGATAACGCTTCCAAGAATGCCGGTGACATGATCAGTTCTTACTCCATTTTGTACAACAGAACCAGACAAGCTGTTATTACCAACGAATTGGTGGATATCATTACTGGTGCTTCTTCGTTGGACTAGTTTTTTAGAAATATAAAATGTCATTTTCTAGTGTGTAAATCTATTAATAATCTATTCAACCTTGAGGGCATTAAATGCCTTGTTGGCGTATATCATCCCTGCAATTATTCCAATGGCTCCGCATCCAATGCAGACGATTGCCGACACCAAGATCATGTAGGCAAAGTAAAGTAAAATGCTGACAAAGTCTCGCACGTAAAGATGAGTGAAGAAATAAACGACCGAGTAAGCAAGAATGTACCAACCCACACTGGAACCCACTCGGAAACATAACCAATGGTATGCTGGGTTTTTGTGGGCTGAGATGGAAAAGTAGGTAGCAATCACTGCCAACTCGGCAATTATGACAATTAGCATCAAAGCCGCTAGAAGGAGAAACCCATACATATAGTAGTAGGTAGTCTTCTCCAACCAAACCGAATTGAAGATATAAGTGAGTTCCACATAGATAATTCCAAAGGGTATCAACCCTGACGCAGCAGTGCTTACTATGGGATGCAAAACCCACAGGTTACTTCTCGGACCATCGTCAAGATCAGGACCGGAAAATGTAGGTAGTTTCTTTTTGTTGCCGTAGTAACCACCAATGATACCCAAGGGTAACTCTATCAATACGAATAACAACAAGAGGATGACAATGGTGCCCAAAGGTAAGGCATTCGAAGATGCCTTTGCCCAAACGAAAAAGTTAATGAATAGGACCACCGCGAGAACCAAAGCAGGCACAAATCCACAGAAAACCATCGAGAGGATATTGTTCATAGTAGTGTTATACTTGACGTCTGTAGAATTGTGGTGAAGAATTTTGTTGACAATGATGCCAACGTACGATGCTAAGGGTCCAGATCCCACTATGCAAAGAAGCGAGAAGGAATGAACCGCTCCTTGTCTGTTTTGGAATGCTAGAGAAAGATCATGGCCATCGAAGCTGATATCGACAAACAAAATCACTATGACTCCAACCACAGTCGTTATTATCTGGACTCCACCAGCGACAAGAACCGACAATAGTAAGGGCATTACTGGACGGTGGAGGCTCCTATTTGAATAGTGCTGAGGTTTATCATTTGCAACAGGAAGAGTGGCCGAAAGGGACTCAGAACCCAGAATTTTGAGTAGAATAACCGACATCACAATTGTAACGAGGAAAATTAACACCACAGAGTTGATAACTGATAACCAGTGTATTCTATGGTTGTTGACTGAAGTGTCATTTTCCAAGTAGAGGTCCCATCTGTGGGTGTAGTCGATGGTATTGTCTTCTCTCCAGTACACCGAGTAGGTGTATGGAATCACTGTCTTTTGAGTCTCTGATGTGTCTTTATTTTCTCTGGCTCCGAAAGTTATTGCAAAATTTTGATACCCCGTATTCGTTTTGGGACATTCTTCATTACTGACACTTTTCGGGTATACCTCGAAACCGACAATATGGTACTTTCCAGGAGCGTTTCGTGCTCTGTGATATCGAATAACCAACATTACATGGTTGTAAATGTAACTTTTGTCTTCCAGGACAAAGCCCAAAGGAAACCCAGCGGCATAATATTTGTTGTTTCTGTTATCTGACTCGAACGTGGTCGCTCCCGGCAAGCCATCGAGAAGCCAATGGACAAAATACCCATTGCGAATAAAGTGGTCTGCTCTCTTGAGAACGTGATCTTTGGCCACGAGGTCACATAGACGATGACATGGGTCATCTACTCCAAAATTGAGCTCATAAGTACTTTCCCAGAGACGGTCGCCACGAAGTATTTCCCCCAAGGAGAGTGGGAGAGGTTTTTTATCGCCCAGAGGACAAACAAATGGGAGATCATAATATCCATATGGAAGTTGGGTGTTATCAGATTCGACTTTATTGACGATAAGTTCGACTTTTTCGCCTCTCTTGTAGGTTGTGGGACCATGGAACCCTAGAGCAGCCACGAGCGGGAGTAGAATTAGAATTAGAAGCATGGTGGACTCGGAATGAATCCGATCAAATAAAACACGAAATTTGCAAAATCACAATTGGCAAGCCTAGAGTAGATTTGAAGCAATGTTAAAGGCACTCGAAGGTAGGACGCAGCTCAGGTACCTCCAGAACCTATAAATATGGTGGAAATATTTGCAAAATGATCGTGGGAACTGCGAGTTGTTGAGAGTAAAATGTTTCTTGCAACTGTTGATATGTGCGGCGTATGCAGGAGAAAGAGAAGCCAAAACCATTGATCTAGTGAAGTTGTAACGGCAAAGAAATAGAGAGATTGAACGGGTTATGTTTAATTGCTCTTGATTATGCTGTCATAGTAGCCTCATTTATTACATCAGTTCCATGGCTTCGCGAATCAAATAATTACCTTTGGGATCCAAGTTCAGTGCTATGGTGAATTCTCTGACAGCCTTAGCTTTTTCGTTTTGTATGTTGTACAACTGCCCGAGCAAAAACCGGACAGAGGCTTCGTCGGGTGCCAAGTCTCGTAGGATTTCAAAGGCCGCAAGCGCTTGTGAGTATTGTTGCATGGTGAACAAAAGTTGAGCTTTTTTGAAAATTGGTAGTGGATTATTAGGCTGAAGTTTTGTAGCAAGCTCGTATTGACGAAGAGCTAGGTGACGTTTGCCGACTTTTTCAAGAACCATACCCATGCAGCAGATCAAAATGATATTAATAGGGTTGATACTCACTGCTTTGCGGAAATGGTAATCGGCTCGTTGGAAGTCTCCTAGGTTAATGTACACCATTCCGATTCCGTATAGGGCATTATAGTGACGAGGATCTATTAGCAAGCTCGTTCGAAAGTTCTCGAGTGCCATTTCATAGTTGTCGTTGCCGAAATATTCATGGCCTTTGAGTGTGTAAGCGTAAGTGAATTTTCGGTCGGCACGAATAGCCTTGTTGAAACAGCTAATGGCGTCGTCGGTGTCTCGGTTTAGCGAGAAAAGGTTACCCACGACACACCAGGTGATAGGCGACTTTGCATCCACTTCGTGCAATTCATCAGCAAGGTACGTAAGATCGACTTTTTTATGAAGATGCCACAAGAGAGTCAGGTAGTATTCCATGTCTTCGAGACGAGTCCGGTCTATGGATCTCAATTGCACAAAGTAGTGTTCGGACTGGCGGTGGTTGACGATTTCGTAGTGAAGTCGACCCAATTTGCTGAGCACCCAGGGAGTTTCTTTCTCGTGAGCTGGTAACTCATCGATGGTACGAATTGCCTTGTAACAGTCGTATTTACACAAGCTTTTGAAAGCTCGCGCAAAAGTGGCATACAACTCTAGTAGAGCCTTGTCGCAATGTTCAATTTCTTTGCTGGCGAAAATATTGAGCCGGGTGGGTTCTGGGCTCGAATTTGCAATTGAGCTAGAATTGTTTCTCTTCAAGCTTCGACGGCTGTCGCTGTGTAGCGGCTGCGATACAAGTCTCGAAGTGATCGCTGAGCCCTTTCGATGGTCGGGAAACGACGGTTTTGTGAATTCAAACCGCTCGGTAGGACGTCGTATTGGAGCATCTGGCGGCACTGCCGAGCGGATCCGCGGTGTCAGAAGGTCTGTGGTGAACGGGTTATGGGGATACGGAGTAGCTGGGTCGTTTTGAGTTTGTGGCTGGCCTGGAGGTTGGGTTGTGGGAGCACTATACGCTGAAACCGAGGCGGTGGGTGCGGCTTCTGGTTTGAACAATTGCCCAACTCTAACTTTCACGCCTAGTTTAGCGACCTTTTCGAACGCCGTGAAGTCGAATGGGTTGAGACGGACCGTGTGTGTGTAGTGTAAAGCAGCATTTTTCACGTCGCCCAAGCCTGAATAAAGGTCTGCGAGACAGTGGTGAACAACCGAAGAATCAGGTGTGACTGAGCGAGAATTCTCGTAGGTGTAGCGCCGGTAAGGAGAAGAAAAGTCAGCAGTGGAAGCAGGAGGTTCATGAGAACGGGCACTGAAAGCTGAAAATGGTTCTTGTGCATTTTTAGGCGACGACAATTCGTCGTCTGAAATCGTAATCACTCGCAGCAACACAAATATACCCTCTTTGTATTTTTCCAACTCCAAACACAGCTGGGCAAACAAATAAGCACAACCAATGTGGTTTCGAACATTTTGGGTCCGATTGTAAACGGCCATGAATCGCCGCTGTCGAAAGAGCGTTTGGCAGTAGAGATGAAGCGAATCATTATCGCCTTGATCCATGGCTAAAAGCCGTTCGGCGGCAAATTCGGCATTTCGGAGGTTGTTGTGATCGAGGGAGTGAATTATGACCAGTCGGAGGTACTGTCGGAGGTACTCGTGGTCGGGTTCTTGGGACATTTTTGTGGAGGGAAATTGTGCTTTGGAAAGTGGGTGATTTGGTGGAGGAAATAACCTGAAAGTCTTTGTATGGATTGAGGGTATGCACAGTAGCAGATTTGTTGTGTTAGAAGGGAAAAAAGTTGGGCGGTGGGCCGCAAGTTGTTGGTGGTATAAAGCTCGATTGTATCTGATTCTGTTTATGTGAGGCTCCACTGCGCGTGTGTGCAGGACGAGAAGCAGACGGCTGGAGTTGAAATGGTTGCAACCAATTTTACATAACGAAGCCGTAAAGAGACAATTATCAATTAAGTCAGCTGAATTCTACAGCTGTTCTGCGCTGTTCCACAGCTTTTCTACAGTTGACTTCATGACCTTATAATACAACTATACATTAAATACTCAAAAGAGCTGACTAGACATAGGTCTCTTGTCTAGTTACCTTGATTAGTTAGCGGACGTGGTGAAGATGGACTGGTGGGAATGGGACGAGGTGGTAGCGGAGGAGCATTGATACGGCCAAGTGGTGTCATTGGATACAGACAGCAAAAGTTGAGTGAGTACAGACACAAATGTCTGTTCTTAGCGAGCGTCGAAACTAGAGTACTCCACCACTGTAAAGCATGGCTTTATGGACCAAAATTGTACTAGTCACTTGACTACTGTTGGGTGTGCCCTAGCACCTTCTTGCACCTCACCTGGAGGTACACCTACTTTGACGCTTTCAACACAAAGGTGTGGTTTCCCAGGGCATCACTGGCATACGAAAGCATCTTGTCGGAACCACGCTTCTTTTTTGGAGGATTGAAAGGGGTGTAGCCCAGCCCCTGGCTGACCACACGTCCATTGCTGCTAGAAAACGTCAGTTTTGGTGTGGTGGTTTCGGGAAAATATTCGTGTTGAGATCTCAGCCCCAGCTGTGGTGTCTCGGAAGGAGACAGATGAGTACCCAGTCTGGGCGACAACACTCCAGACGCAAGAAGGTAAGGTGACGAGAAACCACCACTGCTTTGTGACATTTGTGGTGTCTTGGGTCCCTTCAGAGTGTTTCGAACTGACGTATCGAGAGAAAGTTTTGGCTGCGAGCTCGATGCGGATTCGTCGTACGATACCATGGGCAGAGCTTCTTCCAGAGTTTGATCGGTTTCGTTTTCCAAATGGTTATCCATCGAAGTCTCCGTCATTATGTGGCTATAATCGGCCAGCTGCTCGTCTCTCAACTTGTTTTCTTCCCTTGCTCGTTCCAATAATTCTTGTGCTTTTGACAAAGACACCGTTGGTGTCAGGCAGCTGCTAACAACTGGAACGGTATCGTCGATATCAATGGTGGCCGTCATCAAAGCCTTGAGCCACCCACGCATTTCATCTTGCGTTTCTACAGCAAAAAAATGCGTTTTTGGCTGAGTGAAGGTGAGTCCCTTCTTGAAACCTGGGGCTGGAGGCACCAACTTGAAACAGTAACGACCAAATCCAGTGGAAGATGCGTACATCGCGATGTACTTGTCGCTGGAGCTGTCGTCACTATTGATAGGGATAACCTTGTGGGCAGTAATGTCGATGAGCCCACGCTCTTTCTTATCTTTCAAAGACGTAAAATACAGCAAACGTGTCCCATGTAACGTAAAGTAGCGAGATCGCCAGCCGATAGTAGATCCACTTTTCTTTGACATCCATCCGCTGAAAGAAGCCAGCTTGATTGCCTCATCAGGGGTGATTTGTCGAATGCCCTCGGTGAACGCAGACGTCTTCAGCTTTTTCAGCCCTGAAAATCCACGGAAATTTTGTGACGAAGCTGTTCTAAGTGTCTTGAGACGAGTGACATTCAGGTCCGAAGCGGCACGCTTATCGGCAGCTTTTTTGGGCGAACTTGTTCCGCCTGCCTTAGAGATATCTGCCGTTTCGTCCAACATGGACGGCTTTTCCTTTGCTAAACGGGCACTGGCAGCCCTCTGTTTTTCCTTCTCTGCCTGAGCTGCGCGCTCTTCTTTTTCAATCTTTTCCAACCTTTCACGTTCATTTTCGTTTCCAGACAAGAAGGAAAATAAGGACGAGTGCCGTTTATGGCCAGAAATGACCAGCGAATTTCTGCGGTGAGAAGCCAGAGCATTACGACTGTGGCCCACGCTTGGCTCATATATGGAAGAGGCGGGGCGCGACATGCCATTAATACCCAAACCAGCGCTCAGAGCATTATTTCGGGTAAGGTAAAGATGGTGTTCAGGAGCATCAGCAGCGTTGCGAGTTCTGGGCGTGTTTGGCGTGGTGGGTGTTCCGAACTCATCCTGAGCCTGAGCTAATTTGTCGTGATAAACTTGTTCATCAGGACTCAGAGGTCCGTGAGGACGTTGTGGTGCTACGAAAGGCATGGGTGGAGTTTCAACATCGTCTCCTTTCTCCCTCTTCCGACTCAACGGTGCAGACGGCATGAGACCGCGGTCATCATCCGAGTTGTTGTAGGAGTTAAAAGATTGCGACACCTTGGGACTCAAAAGACTTTCAGAAGATGAACTTGGCATGGCATTTCGAGCAGCAACTTCACCAGCAGCAATTTGCTTCAATTTCTCTATCTCCTTGTGTATCTGGAACCGAACCCCGAAAGAATCTATGTCCAACTCTTTGAGGTGACCCAAGTCCAACTCGAAGAGAATTGCACCGGTGATTTCGTGACGAAGAAACTTACCAGAGACACCCGAGTCGAAGCCAAGATGCGAAAAATACGCACTGACGTCCTTGGGGCTCCACGAGTGGGCCTCAGAAGGATTTGGAACCGAGCTGAGAGAGCCGTTGCGACCCAGCTGAGACGAAAGAGCAGGCTGTTGCTGGGGTTGAGAGCGTGACTGTGACAGCAGCTGGTGCTGTGTTTCCGGTGTCACCTCGGTACTATGGGACGCCTTTTTTGTAGCAGGTGTAGGTGGATCATTGGAGACTGGAGTAGGGAGTTCCTTTGCCGCATTTGCTTCTCTCGCTTGGAAACCCAGTGGCTGGCTCTGGTAAACCAGTTTTGATTCAACCGGCTTTATATCCTTATACGGGTTTTTAATTTCGGCTGGGGGTGTCTGGAGCTCTTCGAGAGCCCTGTCGATGTCTTGTACGGTATCGGTGGCAGCTGAAGAATTGGAATTTTTGGGGTTTTGTTCTGATATTTGCGTGAGTCCCGACTTGGATTCTTCGTTAACGGTGGGTTCTGCCGGTTTGGAAACGCTGAGTTTATCCAATTTTTCAGTGATATTAGAAGCACTCAAGCCTTTACTGGTCACTCTGCGTGATCGAGATCGAAGAAGGGACCCTGAAGGAGTTTGTAAAAGTTGAGTAAATGACTTTGGATAAAGTCCCACCTCATTTGTAAGCATGTTTTTGCCCATATACCACCCATCGTTGTATTCGCTGTCGTCAGCCAAAACCTCGACTTTATCGCCGATTTTTAGGTTGAGTTCATCACCAAGGCGGGCATTGAACTGCTTGATACAGAGATAAACTGCACCTGTAGACGTCTCAGACATGTATATAGATAAATATTCTGAACTCTGGGGGCCGGAAATAGGTGGAAAAACTTGTTTGCGGTTTCAGAAAAGTGGTCTGTGTGGCTGAACCGAGACGTTAGTAATGGCGTTGTTGTTCTCCAAACTAAATTTTAGAAAGTAGGCGCGACATGCAAACGACATTCCGCGCGGGGGGCCAGGCTGCGTCATGTGACGTGGGGCCTGACTATGCAGGGGCAATTATTATGCTGCGGTGAGCCACAGGGTGTTAGATAAACGATTTACCTGAAGGGTATAGTTGCGGCAACTTTGAAGCTGTAAAACGTTCGATTATTGATCTCTGTACTCGTGCTCTGCTACAGGGAAAATAAAGGCTTTTTGTATTGGTTGGGTGCTGTTTAATTTGCAGTGGAGTAAGGTCCAGCCAGGCACTAAAAAGAGACAAACTAAAGGCTGGTTATAAAGGTCTGAGTCGACTCGCACAGCATCCTCGAGCAAGGAACATTTACAAAAGAATCAAAAGGAGAAGGAAAGAGAAGAAAAAGAGAAAATCTCGAAAAATAGTTGACTTTATTGGTGACCCAAACTCCACCATTAACCTCAAAATCCTTATTGATTCAATTTTCATTTTTTGATTCAATCTTTGATTTTTGAGATAATCATTCCTTTCTAGCCGAATCACCCGGCATAATGCCCCCTCCCACAACCCCGGACCTGTCGTCGCTGTCGTCGTCGCCGCTACTTTCCGATTCCCCTCGTCTCAGCTCACTTTCAATCCTTTCCAATTTCTTTCTCCATCACTCCCAAATGGAGCTGGAGAACCACCGCAACGCCAGCGTCATCGACAACGAGCTCCACATCAACAACAACATGCTTCCGTTCCAAATTCGCAATCTCAACCAGATCCCCGAAGACTACTCCAGCACCGAGCTGGAGGAACTGAGATCCGATGGTCAACCGCACGAAAGGCTTCTCTTATCGTCAGCACGCCAGAACGTCACCAACCGAAATACGTTGATTTTTTCGCCAAGATCCGGTGGATTTCCGCTTCGTCGTCTGAATGCCATCCGGTTCGGAAGGTGTCCCCATGCGCCCAACGAGGACCCTCCAGACCTATCGGTCACATCCAAGGAGCTCCAGAAGTACATAGTATCGCTCCTCGAGTTTGTGGCCGCCAACTGCTCGTGGTTGGGCCAATCTCCCCTCTTCGTGGGCCATTCCAGCAAACACCACAAAATTGAGGTTCCGGCCCTGGAACACCTTTTTGCTTGTCTAGACACCACGATGGACGCATACATCTCTCAAAGGAACCAGGGTATGCTTTGGAGACGACCTACACCCGAACCGCTGGCTGGAGATAGTCGCAAACGACTGGCCGACCTGGCGGGTCCCCAACGAAAACGACGCAAAATCAGTGCTAATAACAATTTGGTTGAACCTCAAACAAAATCTATAAGGAACCCTGCGGACGGAGCCACGTTAGCGCTTTCCCAGCTTTCCTATAAGCAAAAACTAGCCATCATGAGCGTGGTATACACCTCATATCTACGAGACGGCAGCAATTTTTCACTTTTTGGCTTAAACAAGGCGCAATTGAATATGGCGTTTTCCTCGGTAAACTACGAGAAAAAGAAAGTGATGGGAGTTTTCACTCTGTATGGGCAACCAGACGAAGTGCTCGACTACATTATGGGGTCCACAGGCAGCTTAAACCTTCCCCGCGATCGAGCTTTGATCAGACGGATGCGGTTGGCAGAAAAAGTTGTCACTGCTGTCAAGGAAAGTGGCCGTGAAGACGTCAATTCTCCCTTTCTTTTTCCCTTTTCAGGCTCGATCATCGATTTTCAGCACAACGATCTAAGATTTCTTCGCCATATTCGAATGTCCAAAAACGTGCCCATTCGAAACCTCCATTTGGCCAGAACGAAGACCGCAAGAGCCAGACTTCAGCTCCAGGAATGGATGAAAATGAACCCATTCAAGCAGTTCAAAGACGTATTCTTGATGAAAACCTTGACAAAACTTCGCCGCAATCTTTGCAACTTTGACAATGTTTCGCTTGCTGTGCAAGAAGATACCTTGGACATGGCTCGTGGACTTCGAAAGCACCTTGATGTGATAGCTGGCGGTCTGGAACCGAGGCTTTCCAAATTCAACGATGCCGAAGCACATCGTGAAACATGGCACGATGTGTGGCAGGAACATTCTCTGAACCACGAATCGCCGTTTGTTCAAGAATGGGATAAGAAATTGAGCGACAAACTTGCCGAATTCTTGATGTGTGAGGAACATTGCTTGTTGAATGTGCAACTCAATTATGTGCTTTTCACCGTCAAAGTGGATACAGTGGACTTTCTCGATGCGTATATTCTACACCATCTTCTACTTCTTCCCCTGAACAAAAGAGACGAGTTCTCCAAGATATTGAACAAGGAACAGGAAACTTCACGAGTTTTACGAGCATCGAGAGAATCCGTAATGGTATGCTCTATTAATCGAAAAACCGGTGGACTCGAAATTAACAATACCCGAGCAGTGCTCAACTTTCGCAACATTAACATGCCCGACAGCCACTTGGCAGAAGATCCAAACGACCCTGAAGAGGGAAACTCATATGATTTTGCTGATTTGGACGATTGGCGCCATGATGGTGAGGAACGGTTCCGCAATCCGGACGATGGAGAATGTGCCCCCACGCTTCTCCGTGGACACTACAGACGGTCTGGAGGAGGATGCAGTGTTTATGGAGTGGTGTAGCTATGTAATTCCTATAATATTTATTTCACCATGCACCCCAGCCTTTCTTTCCTTCCCGTTTATCTTGTCGTTTTTTGTTGAAAAAGTCTCGTTTACATTCCTTATAGGCATCGAAAAAGTCCTGGCATACTGTCTTTTTGTCTTCTGGGTTCCGTATCATACAATTTATAGAAGCTTGTCTAGTTTCCTCACATGGATCATAGTACTTGGAAGGTTCTTTCATCGAAAACCGATATTTGTGTCTGTGATTTTCAGGGTTATCAGGATAAAATTTGAACTTGTCCACGCCGCCCAGAGTAAAATCGACTTTGGACTTGTCCATCTCCACGGAATCTGAATCTTTTGGGGGCTCCATAGTTTTCACCTACTTCCGGTCAATGCGATCGATAATGTGGGGCGGTGGTGAAAAACAGCCAAACACCCACACTTAGCCCATAGATTCCGAGGGCTCATCGGCATCGCATCGCACCATGTCACTAGCAGTGGAATATATCAGCGACAAAACGCCGTGTCAGCGGTGTTCTACGAAGGATGCTGTGTTGTTGGCGAGGCGGGAAAACTACTGTGGAGACTGTTTTATTCGTTTTATAAGAGGAAAACAGCGCCGACTGATGCAAGATGAGGCTTACAAGGTGAAGTATAAAACGGTGGAAAATCCTCATCGAGTGCTTTTGGCTCTTTCTGGAGGCTCCTCGTCGCTCGTGTTGCTCGATGCGGTCGCGTCGTTGCTTCAGGAGCAAGCTGGACAGCATGGGGGACGACAGGGCTTTGCATTGACGGTGGTGAATGTTGACGAAAGAGAGAGGTTGAAGCTCGATAAGAGTTTTCAAGATATAATAAGCGAATTAAAATCGAGATATTTGCCTGTGGATATCGATTTTGTCTCGCTAGATTACGACATGTATGTTGATGGACGACTTCTTCATCATATAAAAGTTGCATCTGATTTCTCATCATACAGTATTCCGTTGAATAAAGGAACCAATATCAACGATATACTCAAAGGGTGCAATAGTAAAAGCTCCGAGGAAGATTTGTTGCTGATAATCTTGAACGAATTGCTACTAAAAACGGCAATTACTCATCAGTGTGGAACCCTACTTTATGGCCATAGCATGACTCGTCTTGCCGACGAAGTTTTAGCATTGACAATCAAGGGTCGAGGAAGCACCATCCACAGCTCTGTATTGGACCACACAGAAGAAATTTCGGGCCAAACTATCAATGTAAAGTATCCACTTCGTGATGTTCTAATGGGCGAGATTGAGGCATATTGTAAGTTGGCCAAACTAGATTCCGTTGTCATGAGTCTGACAATCCCAGACCCAGTAATTAACAAGAACAAGACCGTGAGAGGGCTTACCGCTCAGTACTTTCGTCAATTGGATGCTACGGGCTACTCTTCTACAGCATCTACGGTTGTTCGCACGGCAGCCAAATTGGCGGCTCCAACAGTGGGCACAAAATCTGGCACCTGTAAAGTGTGTGGAGTTGAGATTCGCCAAGACCCGCACCAATGGCTCAGGAGGATCACTGTTGCTGAAAATGAAAAAGTGGAAAACAATTCTGAAGAATCTGGAGAAATTGGGGCCGATAAAAAAGAAGATGTTGGTGAACAAATTGACCTTTGTTACGGCTGTACCGTCACAATTGGAGACGCACCTTCGTTCCGATGGCCCTTGAGCGATAAGGATATCATTGCCGAATACACTTTAGATAGTGACGAAGACTAATGGCTGCAACTAGGTTGCAAACTTGCATATACACCCGTACACCCGTAATCTAACTAACGATTTTCGCATTTGATCAATAGTGCGATTATACTGTTGATTACAATTTAGATGTACTCTCCATCGGTGCTTTCCACCGATTTGTATTCGCTTTGGAGAACTCCCGAGAACGGGCTTTACAAAAATGGCGACGAGGAACACAAAAGTGGTCATAACCATCGTTCGTTATACGCTCCACCACTTCTGGCCTATTCTGCTGAATATCCAGGTGCCAGTTTATACCAATTAGAGTACACCATATCGACCCAGGAGGGTACTCGAGGGGCCAATTTGCCTCCACAAACACACAGAAAGCTAGAACGGATTCAGAGGATCCGAAATACTGGATATACTAGCTTAATTCCAATAGGGTTGAAGAAAACCATGCGACAAATTGACGCCGAAAGAGCTCACAATGTTGGTGGAGACGAAGACGATGAGCCGGAAATCACCCATATGGCGGAAAATGTGCCTGGAGAACATTTAAGGAGACCAAATGGGGCAGTTGAAGGTGGAGAATTGGCAAATGAAGACATGATGAATAACACTGATTCACAAATCAACTCCAACTCCAACTCAAATATGATGTCTAGGAGCAATGATATGGGCTCTTCAATTGATTTGGATGCTGGAGTGCCCAACATGGACGAATTGAATTCCAGTAATGGGACCTTTGTCACTGAAGATGACGAAATCGATAATGAAGAAGAACCAATTGCGCCCCATCTTGGGGACTTGCTCAATGAAGACGAGGGGTTTATGGCAGACGAAGTGGAGTACCAGGAGGATCATAGTTTTGCGTCGGAAATTGGCATTATTCAGCCACAAATGGAGGAGGAGGAGGGATGAACAAAAATCACTATTGATGGAAAGGAAACAAAACCACTATTGACTGAAAAGACTCTTTTAGGGTGTACTCTGATTAAAGTGCTATCTATACTGAGGTCTTAGGTCCACGAGACTACACCATGAGTGATTTAAATTGCCAAGAGCAATAATGATATACTATCCAGACGAGAGAAGAGCCTTTTACGAAGTTGACTTATGTGCTGACTGGTTTCAAGTATTGACTACTTTCATGTATTTTACGGTTCGAAGTCTACTTGCCTACTTACGACTTGTCTCCTTGCGACTCTTCTCATTCTACTCACCTATTACAAGTTTTTGGCTTCCTCCTGTCTTCACAAAGTCCACTTTTGCAGTTTGCACATGCAAAGCTGGGATCATCCACCTTCCACATGAACACCGAGTACCTTTCCAGCTATATCCTCCGACTTTGCTATTACATTTAGGGCACTGAAACTTCCCATCTAATTCTCCCTTTCCTTGAAGTTCGTCTTTCATCCAGTTCAAAGGCTCCGTAAGAAAGTAATGCGAGCACGATGGAGACGCTGGCTTCACATCGATGATTCGACGAGAATTTGGGGCTGTTTTTATGAATTGAGCTTGGCGAGAATCAGCTTCTGGTGGTACATGAGTTTCGATTTGTGAGCTCAAGGCAAGTACCTGCCGGCAGCGCTTGCACCTTAGCTGAGCATTATGAACTTTTGGAGTGTCCTGGGGGCTGGTATTGCTTCCATAGATGTCCATAAGTGATTTTCCGCTGGGATCTTTGCGAAGATTCAAGTTTACCAAGAGCTTTTTGTAGTCGGGATTATTTGTGTCTAGAGTGAGGTTCATGTCAAAATACAACTGGAGCTGCTCCATGAAGCCCGTATTAGGCTCTGCAGCACCATTCCGTCGCTTGACAGCATGTAGAGATTGCAGAACAGAGAGCTTGTAGTGGTACATCAAGTATGCCATCACCACTGTCACCGATCTCGAAACACCTTCTTGACAATGCACAAGCACTGCTCCGCCATGTTGAGTGACACCAGGCTGTTTTCCTTCAGGAAACAAAGCCCTGTCTATGAAATCATTGCATTCTGGGAAATATTGAATGATATTTTCCGTTGGAAGATCAAGAATTGGAACTTGTTTCCACTGGTACTTTGTAGTATATGATTCTGGAATTGGTCCAGGAACCACCGAAAGAATGTGTGTTATATTGTATGCATCGAGATTTTCGTTGCTCCTCAATGGCTCGTAAGAAGAGAGGTAGATGCCTCCAAGAATACGATGAAGCATGTGGTGAAAGAGTGAGGCGATGAGATGAGCTGCGGGTGTTCGGGTGCAGAAAGAGAGAAAGAGAGAATAAGAAAGTATTAACGAAATTGAGTTATGTGTTTGCATGGCTTTGTATAAGACTGATCATATTGTTGATCACTGGTCATTGGTTACGATCATTTTTTTTCGGTTCCAATACAATTGTCGGAGCAAGTCTTGGCTCCTATTCGCGGAACTCGATCGGTAAATCGTCTGGCGCACCCCGGATCCGGCATGCACGCAACTAACCCCGAACGCGCGCAGGAACGGAGATTTAGTTCCGGATGTCCGTAACCATGCGCCCGACGCAATGTTTTGTATACTTTGGAGCCGGAAAACAGATCAGATTAGGACCGGAAACTAAAGCGGTAATGAGATTCGAGTCAAATTTTGCGGTGAAAATTATTGAAAATTTGGCATGCAGATCCGAACACACCATTACGTCATCGGTAAGTGCAATTCGCACTCCGAAATCTGGGGTTAGGCCCGAAACCCCGGTTCCGATATTGCGCCGGGAAGTCAATTTCCGAGGATCGAATTTCTTGTAGTAGCAGAATTGGCCTGAAGAAACATACTGGCACTCTACTGATGCGTGGCCAAAAGCATAGGACCGACAATGGCCAATCGGATCTTTCTATCACACGCATATTCAGTCCGAGGTTTACCGGTGGTGCGCGCACGCCGCGCAGATTCCCGCTGTGATTGGCCGGGGCGAAACCGGGTAACGCACAGGCTCGGGAGGTGCATACCGCTATATAAAAGTTGCCGGATCCCCACGGAATTCAGGATTTTGAATAGTTTTCCTTTTCTGAACCTATCGAAATATTATAGAGATGTCTGCTATTCGTTCACTCCAGAACTCAGTGGCCAAGCGTGCCGCACTTGGTGTTAGAAGCTATGCTACTTCCGAGCCCGTAAGTACTGTCGACGAGCCGAGGATGTAAAAAACTTTTGTTTTATTTTGGTCAATTAGGAAGAAAATGGTTGTTGTGGCTGCCTGAGACTTCCCGGTAATCTTAATCGCCGTTTTTTTTGGTGATTTTCACATTTCTTCGTTTTTTTATTTTTCATGTGAATTTACTAACTCAGACTCTTAAAGCCCGGTTGGCCGAGATTCTCCCCCAAAAGGCTGAGGAGGTCAAGCAATTGAAGAAGGAACACGGCAAGACCGTGATTGGTGAGGTGCTCTTGGAACAAGCTTATGGTGGTATGCGTGGAATCAAGGGTTTGGTGTGGGAAGGTTCGGTGTTGGACCCAATTGAGGGTATTCGTTTCCGTGGTAGAACCATTCCTGACATCCAGAAGGAGTTGCCCAAGGGTCCAGGTGGCTCGGAGCCCCTTCCAGAAGCTTTGTTTTGGTTATTGTTGACCGGTGAGGTTCCATCGGAGGCTCAAACCAAGGCTCTTTCTGAGGAATTGGCTGCTAGATCCGGTTTGCCAAAGCACGTTGAGGAGTTGATCGACCGTTCTCCTTCTCACTTGCACCCAATGGCTCAATTCTCCATTGCCGTTACCGCATTGGAGTCGGAATCTCAATTTGCCAAGGCTTACGCTAAGGGTGTGAACAAGACCGAGTACTGGAAATACACTTATGAGGACTCGATTGACTTGTTGGCCAAGTTGCCTAACATTGCTGCCAGAATCTACAGAAACGTTTTCCACGACGGAAAATTGCCAGCTGTTGACCCCAAATTGGACTACGGTGCCAACTTGGCCAACTTGTTGGGTTTCGGTGAAAACTCCGAATTTGTCGAGTTGATGAGATTGTACTTGACCATCCACTCCGACCACGAAGGTGGTAACGTTTCCGCCCACACCACCCACTTGGTTGGTTCTGCTTTGTCTTCGCCTTTCTTGTCGTTGGCTGCTGGTTTGAATGGTTTGGCTGGTCCTTTGCACGGACGTGCTAACCAAGAAGTGTTGGAATGGTTGTTCAAGATGAGAGAGGAATTGAACGGAGACTACTCCAAGGAGAACATTGAGAAGTACTTGTGGGAAACTCTTAACGCTGGAAGAGTTGTTCCAGGTTACGGACATGCTGTTTTGAGAAAGACCGACCCTCGTTACACCGCTCAACGTGAGTTTGCCTTGAAGCACATGCCAGACTACGAATTGTTCAAGTTGGTTTCCAACATTTACGAGGTTGCTCCTGGTGTGTTGACCAAGCACGGAAAGACCAAGAACCCATGGCCTAATGTGGACTCTCACTCTGGTGTTTTGTTGCAATACTATGGTTTGACTGAGGAATCTTTCTACACTGTTTTGTTCGGTGTTTCCAGAGCATTCGGTGTGTTGCCTCAATTGATCTTGGACCGTGGTCTCGGTATGTCTATTGAGAGACCAAAGTCGTTCTCCACTGAGAAGTACATCGAGATGGTCAAGAACATTAAGGCGTGATATTTATAGCAAAAGTGTATTTATTACTGTATAGACATGAAAATGTTGTCAGGAAAGAGTATGGACTTCGCAGGAGTCCAATACGACCAGTGTAGTTGACTTACACTGAATCAGATTTTCCATTCTCACTACTCATTTCTCATTTTCAATTTCATTTCGCATTTTTCACTTTCTCATTAAATCTCACTTTGATCTCAACATTCGCTATATCAGCTTTCAGTTCAACTTCGCTTCGCTTCAGTTGAACTATGTCCATAAGGTCCTCCATACGACATAAGTCGTACTCGTCTACCCTCCACCTCCCCAAAACCCGGTTTGGGCCAAAAATACCCGATTCGGACAATTTGAACCGGTTGATAAAATCATCCAGTGACGATGTATATCAGCAACAAGCCCAATTGCTCGATCGAAAAAAGTTTGTATTGCACGACGGACCTCCCTACGCCAACGGGGACCTTCATATGGGCCATGCGCTCAATAAAATTCTCAAAGATATCATCAACAGATTTGAGTTGATTCGCAATAACCGTCGAATTATTTATCGGCCCGGCTGGGATTGTCATGGTCTTCCTATCGAGCAGAAGGCACTTGCGGAAGCACGAAAAGAAGATGAAACTAGAAACTTATCAAGTACAGAAATTCGTCAGCTTTGCAGAAATCTCGCAGAGACAATGATCGACAGACAGAGACAACAATTTCGTCAGTTTGCAATCATGACGGACTTTTCCGCTCCATACATAACGATGCTGCGTGAGTACGAGGCCAGACAGCTCCAGGTGTTCCAAAAGTTGGTGAAAAATAAGCTTTTGTCTCGTCAGCTGAAACCGGTGTGGTGGAGTTGCGAGTCCCAAACTGCGCTAGCCGAGGCGGAATTGGAGTACCGAGACCACAGGTCGGTGGCTGTGTATGTCAAGTTTCCTGTCAAGAATGCTGAATATCTAAAAGACAAAATTAAAATTGGGGATGATCTCAAGCTCTTGATATGGACATCCACGCCGTGGACAATTCCTGGAAACAAGGCTATTTGTGTGCATGAGGGTTTGCTCTACACTATTTTACAGGGCATGGGCGAGAGATTGATAGTTGCAAAGGATAGAGCCGAAGAGTTGCTCAAATTAAATTCTGACTATGAAGAAACTGACATCCTAATTTCTGGAAAAGATTTGATAGGAATGTCCTATTTTGTTCCAGGATCCCAAGACCTGTTTCCGGTGCTACATGGATCTCATGTAACTGCCACGGCGGGCTCGGGTCTCGTACACACTGCTCCAGCTCATGGTATGGAAGACTACTTGATTGGTCGATCCAACAATTTGAAAATTGCATCTGTTGTCGACGGAAGAGGCCAGTTTATCACAGAAAATTGCCCAGAACAGTACGCCAGTGTGCGTGGGCTTGCCGCTAACAAGCCAGAAGGAATATGGAAAGTTATCGGACTTCTTGAGCAATGGGGAATGATTTTCCACATTGACAAAAAATACCAGCACTCGTACCCCTACGACTGGCGGTCCAAAGCTCCGGTTATTCAACGTGCCACTCCACAGTGGTTTGTGAATGTGGAAAAGGTCAAGCAGGCAGCAGAAGATAGCTTGAAAAACGTGACTTTTGTGCCAGAAAATGGTATCAATCGTCTTTCACTGTTCATTCGCAACCGGAACGAATGGTGCATTTCTCGCCAACGAGCATGGGGAGTTCCGCTTCCGATTGTATATAGCCAGAATGGCGAAGCATTGGACAACCCTGAAGTGGTGGAATACATTGTTAAGCGCATAGAAGAGTTTGGCACCGATGAGTGGTTTGCGGAAGAGTCAAATATCCAAAGATGGATTCCGGAAAAATACGATGGTAATTTGTACAAGAAAGGAACCGACACTATGGATGTTTGGTTTGATTCTGGGACGTCGTGGACAGATCTTGGCAACGAAATCGCCGATGTGTATCTCGAGGGAAGCGACCAACATCGCGGATGGTTTCAGTCGTCTTTACTCAACAAGGTGATTGCTTCTGGAAAAGATGAAATTTTTGAACCTCAAGCTCCTTTCAGAAAGGTGATTACCCACGGGTTCACTCTTGACGGAAAGAACGATAAAATGTCCAAATCAAAGGGTAATGTCATTGTGCCCAGTCATGTGATGAATGGAGGTGGAAAACCCATGCTTTCCCAAAATTGGTGTTGATGGTTTACGGTTGTGGGTCGCTTCCAGTAACTACACCCTGGACGTCAATGTGACCCCTGAAGTCTTGTCTCGTGTGCATGAAAACGTCAAAAAGTTGAGAGTCACCATGAAATTTTTATTGGGAAATTTGGCAGGATTTTCTGGACCACTTGAACTCGAAAATCTTTCCAGACTCGATCGTCTACAATTATCCCAGCTTTACCATACTCAGAAAAGCCGTCAACGAAAGCTACTCGAAGCACAATTACTCCAAAGTTGTACAAACCATTAATGGCCATATGGCAGATCTCAGTTCAAAGTATTTCGATATGATGAAAGATTGCCTTTATACTGACGCTGTCGACTCACAGCAACGCCAAGGTGTCCAGACAGTGTTGTACGAGATTCTCAAGGTTTATGTTGGCATGCTTGCACCTATACAGCCTATATTGGTCCAAGAGGTGTGGGATGAATTTTCTCAAATCGACCATAATTTACCAGAATCTCCATTTCTTGCTGAATGGAACAAGACATTTGCTCTTCCAGAACACTTTGTCTCGAGTGAAATCGAAGAAGAATTCAGGCAAATTTACGGCCTCAGAGACCACATCTACCGAAGATTGGAAGACATTCGCACCAATATGGAAGTCAAGAATAAGCTTGAATTGCAAATTTTCATCAGTGGAAGTGGTCAATTGTACGATACTTTGACCCAGCTTCAAGCACACCTAGACAATTATATGCTAGTGTCCAAAGTAACTTTGGGTAAAGATACAGACACTATAATTGATCAAAGTGAATACGATGGTTTAATGGTGAAAATTAGCAAATGTACCGACCATAAATGTCCAAGATGCTGGAAATACGTTGCACCGAAAGAGGATAGTCTTTGCCAAAGATGTGACAAGGTTGTCCACTGTAAATAGCTGTACATAAGGAAAACCTTACAATAGAGATGACAAGTTTTATTCAACAAGGTCTTCAAAATATTGAGACAGTTTGGTATCTATTTTTCAGACATGAGTAGTTTGCTACAATATACTATAGGTTTGTCACACTTTCGTCGTCAATTGTATGTGATCTGACAACCGAGTATATAACTTGGAATGAAGTCCTGATATATATAAGCGTAGACGCGACCAGACACACGTAGATAGCTGCGCACAAATAATTTTAGGACCCTGATTTTCCGGTGCGAAACACAATTTGAACTGGAATCATATAGTTAAGAGGGGAACTATGCGAATTTACCGGAAAAAGTTAAGATCGTTGTCTACACAGACACCCGATTTGAGATATGCTCGAGGAGTATAGCAGACTTGTACGAGTTTCTTGAATTTTGAGCAGCCTAATGCTACCAACCTCTAGTTTTATTACCGGTTTTCTCTTTCAACCATTCTTTCATCAGTCTTTTGGGATTGACCGGAAACTCTCATAAAATTCGCGATAACCGGAAACTCTTATACTTTTTGAGAATATGCGCGGACACAACCGAAAATTTATGATTTTGAGAATCTATACGTCCTTGATGTCTTGTATGAATTCTTTGGAGCTAAACCTTAAGCAGCTCAATGCAATGATCACCAAATTCTTATCTTACCCTCTTCCGATAATTCCTTTAGTGCCAGATGTACTCTTTTTGCAACCATTTTCTATCGTATCTTTCGCACACATAAATTGATTTTCGTGGCACATAATCTATTCGCGGACAATGTCAGACAAACGTATATAAACCGGGCACTAAGTATTAAGTTTTGAGTATTTCCGTCACACGTTACGGTTATAAGCGGGCACTATACGTTCATGTGGTTAAATTCGGGTTAAATTCCGGCTAGAATTTTGCTATAGTTCAATTGTTTTGTTCATTTTTCCTTCTTTCCTTCATCAGGATTCTTGAACGAGTCGATCAAGATCTGCTCTGCATTCTCTCGAGCCTCGATATAAGCTTGGGCAATTTCAGGAGGATAAGCCCTCTTAACCAAATTGCAATAAACTTGCGAGCTGATTGCCTCTACGGGAGCATACAAAACGTACAATATTCCGAAAATCATGGGTTCAATTCTGATCACTGTATTTCTTACTGGGAAAATGTTCAGCAAAGGAGGCTATTTTTATAATTCGGTAATAGTGGCTTAGATTTTGCAGTTTGACAGCGTGCGGCTCGAGCATTAAATTTCGATTTCGAAAATCAAGAATACTTGTGAAATAAGAACACAAGCTTATTGCTCTTATTTGGTAAATACCAGTGAACCAGAATTGAGTCGAGAAAGTGGAGTCAGGGTGTAAATTCAGTGCTGTTTTACCTGCTAGGAGTTATAACCTCATGCACCAAAGCCACTATGCATACGTCTGCATCTAAATTATGCAATATGACAATCCAGATTAGTTTGCCACCTTATTTTTATGCTCCAAAAGATGCATATGCGGTAAAGCAGCTTCCAAATTACCAGTATCTTTTGGCAAAATTTTGACACATGCATCACTCGGCAGAACTTCTGAGCTGTCAAGTCATGGGCTCTACATAATCTCGGATAATCGAGTGTCAATTAGGAAAGCGGTATACCTATTTTGACAAGACTGCATTTGCATTGCAGGTGTCAAGAAGCATGCACGAAGATATAGCTCCTGGCTTGTACTCCTGTTTTATGAAGCAGCTTTCGAACTCAATTCCATGAACGATCTTTCTCTTAAAATGGATTCACAGTACAGTTGATTCTATCTTTCCTCTGAAATCTCACCAGTGCGAAAAATCGAAAAGTCAATGTTAACTGAACTGACCTTCAGATAAGAGAAACCTCTTGTTCGTTGGTAGAAAGTATCACTTGGATTAATGAGGAATTTGTATCAATTTTGAATTATTATGTTAAAAACATTTATAATTCATGCTTATATTTGATTTACCGGAATATATTTTCATACTGACACAACCGGATAATATCTACTTTTGGGAATCTATTTAGAATATGTTCGACACTATGTAACCCAATTTTTTGGAAGTATTCTTGCGAGTATACTGAGCAAACCTGGCCCCTAATCTTCTTGTATTCTGCATTCCTCCTTAGCGAAATTTCCATTTTCAGAAATTTGCAACCACTTTGAAAACCTAGATATGCTTTTAATTTATGACGATTCTTCTATACCTGCTACTTCGTTGAAGAGAATTAGACTAGAACAACGTTCCTGATAGACTTCCTTTCTTGCCTCGACTATAAAAATTTATGACACCTTATTATACAATATACGATATAATGCTACATACCACACAAACTTCCAACTGCTTCACTTCAATATTTCACTTCAATTGTTCACTTCCTTCGTCTACTGAATTGGTCTCTTTCCGCTCATTAGCTGAGTGAGCAATTGAGAACTTGAAGATTGAGCATTGTACTGCTGTTGCTGCTTTTCCGCAAATAAACCAGGAGGTGGTGGAGTCGAAGTTCCACGAGCCTGCTGTTGCTGAAGCTGATGTTGTTGCAGACCTTGGTGCTGTTGCTGAGCTTGCTGGTGCTGGAGTTGCTGCAACAATAAATATTGCTGTTGCTGTTGCTGCTGAAGTTGTTGCAGAGGTTGCTGGCGCTGTTGTTCTTGGTGAATTCTTTGCTCAGCTTGCTGTTGCTCTAGCAACTTTTTCTGCTCCATCAATTGAACCTGAGCCATTTGCATGGTTTGTGTGGGTTGCGGTTGAGCTTGGCGCATTTGAGCCTGCTGCTGAAGCAAAGCTTGCTGTTGAGTCACTGGGTGGTTCTGGTAAGCCAAATGGTAGTTTTTGATTGGCTTCAAGATATACCGTTCGATGATCTGGCGTGCTGCCAACTTGTCGTCTTCCAAAGTCAGTTCACCAACAGATGGTGGAGTAAATGCAAACAAGGGCAAAGTCGACGAATTGTCAAAATCAGCAAAATGGACCTTGAGTTTCTCAATACTGGTTTCAAGCAGATTGAGACGAGCAGCAATATCCTCACCCACGGCAACGGGAGAATCGTCCCAGTCGTAATCTTCGCCCAGCGATTCTTTCTTTGGTCTCGTTTTGAGCTTTGAATCCTTTTTCTGCTGCTTTTCCTTGATTTCGCCAAGCGTGGGAAACGCCGAAGCATTTGCAACCGCTCCAGTATCGGATCCCGAAGCCGAGGCAAGAGCCGAAGCGGCAGCTTTTGCCCAACCCGCGGCCGCTGGAAGCACAGTTCCGGCTGTCGAAGCAGCCGCTGGAGCCTGTGGCTGTGTGGGAGCGGGAGCAATAGCTACTGGAGGAGCGGGAGCTGGAGCTGGAGCTGGAACCGCCGAAACTGGCGCCGGAGATTCCCGAGCCTCTGAAGTAGCACGCTCTGTACTTGCGTGAGAATAACCCATACGTTCCTTTTCCTCGTTGTTGTCGTCGCCCTTGTTCATGCCCATCATACCCATTTTTATGCCCTGTTGAGTTGAAAGATCTTTGCGAGTGTACGAATCCGCTTCCTCACCAGGTTCATGCAAAAACATACAATTGGGGTTGGGACACGGATGACCACGCAAGTACGACAGACAGTACTTTGTGGTACCATGGGCAGCACGAAGAAGACGGCCGTCACAGAGCGAACCATCCAATTCGTTGATACATCGAAGAGCATCTTCCTTCTTTGCAAACGTCACATAAACCACCAATCCAGGATTCTGGTGATGACTGGTGGGGTTTTTGCGGTTGATGACGATTTTCAGAATCTTTCCGTACTGACCAAAGTACTTGTCAGACCGCAAAACAGAATGCAATTCTTCTGATGCGCAAGGCGGATTGAGACCTGTGACATAAACCAAATTTTTTTGTACCACACGAAGCCCAGCCAAATGCTTCTTGTTCGCCATCTCCGTCTCCTTCTTCTCCTTTTCTCTCTGCTTCTTTTCACGTTCTCTTTTCTCTTTCCGAATCTGTTGGAGTTTGTACTCTTCTGGCGAGATCGACTTGTACTCAACACTTTCGTCATCATAAAGCCTACGACACCCAGGACACCTTCCGTTGAGCTCAGGATTCAGCCGGATATTGTTATAGCAGAACTGACAGATCTGATACCCACAAGGACACGGTCTAAAATTCTTGTCGGAAATGTCCATTTCTTCGACACATAAAGGACTGGGGTTAATATTTGTTTTTGAAGATTTTTGAGAGTACTACTGTATTCAACGTACTCGCTTTAGTCGGAAACACTTACCAAAACTCCTCCTCCTCATCGCTAATGAATGAATCGTCTACAGAAACCATAATGTAGTAAGAACAGAAATGAAATGAGTATGGCCACCGCTGATGTAAGACAGCCGCCGTCTTATGTCAGATAAAGTGTATGCTTATGTAATCGACGCCTATTCTCACTTTCTCTGACATCATCTTCATCTTCTCATGTCGTTCATCGAGGAGTTGTGGCAGTCGGTGTTCACTCCGGGAACCACGCCCGCGCTTATCAAAGCCACACACGGTTCGTTTGCGCTTTTGATTGCTTCGTTGATATGGCTTATATATCTTAGCCGATCCATTCATTTTGTCAATTTATTGGTAATCGCGCTTCTTTTGTATGGCACTGTTTTCTGGTTTATTGGGGAGCTTGAGCGCACAAAATTGATGAGCAACGAGGAACTCGACAAGGCGAGCGAAAATGCGAGTGAAAAAGATGCAAGTGGGAGATCTACTGCTACAGAGAATACTGGTACAGAGAAGAAGACCACGAAACGGAAGGTGTAATCGTCATATAGCAACATTGAAGGTAATAGAATTAGAATGAAAATTTAGAATCGAAAAGTTATGATTGAACATTGAAGATGAGAGAGTAGGTGTGGGGTTAATGCGGTATTGTCCCCCACGATGTAATGCGACTGCGACGCAAGTAGTTTAGTTGAGCGCGCCTGGTGTGGTGTCGCGACCGGTGGCGGGTGTCGCGGTGGCGGGTGTCACGGGATTCGTAGTCGACACAATTGCGCTTTCCCCCACGTTTCATGTTTCGCCATGCGTTTCAACCGTACATAGACGACCCTCCCGCGCACAAAGCAGTGTTGTTCCACGACGAAACTGCGTTGATTGTGCGTGATGCATATCCAAAGTCAAAGTTCCACTACCTTGTGATTCCACGGCTGAAGAAAATTACTCACAAACATCCGTTCGATGTGTTCAAGAATAACCCAACTTTGTATGACATTATTGCAACATACGTCGAAAAGGCCAAAGATATGATCATGGAGGAAATGCAGCTCACGCAGCAGTTCGCATCAGATAGTCCAATGACAAATGCAGAATATCGCGCCAGATTTATCCGCGCTGGAGTCCACGCCGCACCATCTCTCGCCAACTTTCATATCCACGTAATCTCACAGGATTTTGAGTCTCCGTGCCTCAAACACAAGAAACATTACAATTCGTTTACAACGGAGTTTTTCGTGTCGTATGACGATTTGGAGCCCTTTGAAAACACTAGTTTCCGAGATTACGGATATGCATCTGACTCTGATGCAGGTGACGACTCAAGTGACGCAAGTGATTCGGAAGCAAATCAACCGTTGATCCGAGATCCGCACATTCTCAACAATATAATACGTGAGTCCCCACTCGTTTGTACGTATTGTGGGGTTAGCTTTGGTAGTGGCTTTTCCAGACTCAAGCTGCATTTAGCATTGGAATATGCAAAGCATTTCCGATCCTGTCCGACGGATCAATCTCGCTTTGCATAATTTGTACCACTCACTAAAAATGACGTGGTTGGTGCATGAAGGTGCATTGTTGAGAAAATCCATTAGGAAATCGTCTAGCAATTTCTCCGCTCGTCCCCACTTTCACCCCGTCTCCCCACTCCCTACTTATGCATGCTTACGCACGCCTCAGGACAATTTTTGCGCGATTGTGTCATTTCAATTTATCCGCGCAAGCAAGTTTATCCGAAAACTGACTTTCTTGTTTGAAAACGCTATTGAAGACCTGAGGATTCAAACAAAAGGGCCCAACACAACGCTACCACCATCTTGTTAACCATGGTATGATCTTCCGGAGCTGTCTTCATTTTTTTTGTTAATGCATATGCATATGCATGTAGCCCCGCATATGTACATGCATACATTCCCACATTGCTACAGGAAAAATTGGATTTTCCGACCAATCATAACCGGAGTTGCCCATTATTCTGACGCGACGGTTGCGTATTCGGGGCCCGGAGGATTTGCGGCCGGTTACGGCCTTAAGCCCACGAGTATAAAATGCTCCCTGATTCGCAATTATTCCCCAATACCAAATGAGTTTGTTGGAAACCAAACCCGGAGATCTGTTCAGTGACTCCGAACGCAAGTCAGTGTATGAAGAAACCGGCGGAAAACTCACCACCGACCAAGCTAGGTTCCATTTTGACTTTGATAAAGAACTTGCGGAGTGTGAGGAACTCGCGAGAGATGCCAAACAAAACAGAAGTTTCAAAGAAAAGCTTCTTCTGTTGGAATATGAGCTCAACTTCAAGAACAAATCGCACATGGTTTGGCTTCTTGGAGGATTTGCAGCCGCCGCAGGATTACTTTCCGGTCTTGACCAGTCGATTATTTCCGGTGCTTCTATTGGAATGAGACAAGAATCCGGTCTTGGTTTGAGCTCGGATCAGGAATCGTGGGTTTCCAGTTTAATGCCTTTGGGTGCCATGGCTGGTAGTATTTTGATGACTCCATTGAACGAGTATTTTGGCAGAAAAATGTCGATTATAATTTCTTGTCTCTGGTATACTCTTGGAGCCGGTTTATGTGCTGGAGCCCGAAACTATCATATGATGTACGCTGGTCGTTTCATCCTTGGTATTGGTATTGGAATCGAAGGAGGATGTGTGGGTATCTATATTTCGGAATCTGTGCCTCCCACGGTGAGAGGAAACATTGTTTCGATGTACCAGTTCAATATTGCACTTGGTGAGGTACTTGGTTATGCTGTGGCTGCGATGTTTTATCTGGTTCATGGTGGCTGGAGATTTATGGTCGGGTCCTCGTTGGTTTTCTCGACGATTTTGATGGTGGGAATGTTCTTTTTACCGGAATCGCCTCGGTATCTCGTTCATAAAAACCGAATTGGTGAAGCTTATAGTGTATGGAAGCGGCTTCGGGACATTGACGACGACAAAAACAAGTTGGAATTTCTCGAAATGAAGCAGGCAGCACTCCAGGAACAAGAGGCTCGTGCTACCGAGTCCCGAATGGAATTGTGGAGCGATTTGTTCCGGATTCCCAGAAATAGAAGAGCACTCGTGTACGCCGTCATCATGGTTGGTTTGGGCCAATTGACCGGAGTCAACGCCGTGATGTACTACATGTCCACGTTAATGGCACGCATTGGCTTCACCACTAAAAACTCGGTTTTCATGTCGTTAGTGGGCGGAGGCTCGTTGTTGATTGGAACCATTCCTGCCATTTTGTTCATGGACAAATTTGGTCGTCGTGTTTGGGGTCTCAATATTATTGGATTTTTCATTGGTTTGGTGTTGGTTGGCGTGGGCTATCTCATTGATTTGAAGACCCATTTGGCAGCAGCTGAAGGTGTTTACTTGTCGGGAATCATTCTTTATATGATGTTCTTTGGATCTTATGCTTGTTTAACTTGGGTTTTACCAGCAGAATCTTTTGACTTGAGAACACGGTCAATGGGTATGACCATCTGCTCCACGTTCTTGTACTTGTGGTCGTTCATCGTCACCTACAACTTTACAAGAATGCAAAATGCAATGACTTACACCGGACTCACCCTTGGATTTTATGGTGGAATTGCCTTTATTGGTTTCTTCTACCAAATTCTCTTTATGCCAGAAACCAAGGACAAGACGTTGGAGGAGATCGATGACATTTTTTCCAAGCCTTCAAGGCAGCTCGTGAAGGAAAATATTGTGGGAATGAAGAACTACTGGATGGGAAAGAAAAATTGATTAATGGTTGCAAATCTGATTATGTAAGGAAAATCAGATAAGAAATAGTCTATATGTGAAATTTACTAATGCAAGTTTCAGGTTTTCTTTAAATTATATCCACGTCTTACTTATTAGATTACTGCTAGTTCTAAATGAACCATTAACAAGAAATAGAATGGCCAAAAATATGTAGATGATATTCAAGAAGAGACTAGACGTTTCCTACATATTTGATAAAGATATAGTCCAGATTTTAAGAGAGAAATAAAAGTTATAACTTGCTTGAAATGAATATTTACGGTATATCAAACGAGAAGTAAATTATATTAAAAGTAACGTTGAAAAAATAAAACTTCAGATTATTTAAGGTGTAGATTAGGAACTAAATCAATTGAGTAGGTTTATCTTGATGTCAAGGTGTTGGAAGAGTTTCAAAGACTAAAGTTTCTTTCGAGAATAGTACATAATTTGGAGATCTTCTATTGAGAAATTGAGAATAACGTATGTAGATAAAATGCCAAACAAATTCAGTAAACGTGTCTGATGAAATAGACAAAATATCAAAGGATTCAAATTGTGATAATAATCTTGGTAGTATAATTGATACTGATCCTTTATTGCTACCCGCTTTGAGTCTTTTCTGTTCATCAATTTTGAAGTATTGATAAAAATTGAATTTTGCAAAATTTGCAATTCTGGCAATTAAGACTGCAAACTTCATCGAGAAGGAACGCTCATATTAAAGGAACAACACATTCTATTTAGTCATTGACCAGATCTGAATTTCTATTACATGGAAGCTGGTTGATGAAGTGAAAAACCGACTAAGGTAAGCTAAAATGGTTCAATTTCATCGAAGGAAGAAAGTGGACAATTCTAAAAGAAATAACGACATTGTTATTGCAAGCGGAAACTTTACACCAATGTATTGTAAATGATGTGGGGGCAAGATCCAATTTACCGGAAGTTGAATTTAGCTACTTAAAAGCATTCGATACCTTGGCAACTCAGAAGATTAATTAGTGTGTCATTTATAATTAAAGCAGGTCTTGGTATCAAGCTTGATGACACATAGAATAACTATAAGCCGCGTTCTCTAGAGTGTCCTCGTAGTAGCTTCAAAAAGGCTGCTATAGTTGCTGCGGAATCCTCATAAGATGTAAGTTGAAAGTGTTGCAATTTCGCAACTTTGCATCCTTGCACCAGAAGAATAATAATTCACGGATGCTCGTTGCGTCCGGAAGATATATTTATCCGAAAATCTATGTCCAAAATTCATGTGTTCCGGTAAAGGAGAACCCCCGTCCGAAAGATCGGATTACAAAAATAAGATGATGCTAATTGTTTAATCGCCTTATGTACATATATAATTGCACCAAAATATTAGCCTAGAACCTCAAACAGACATAAAGTCTTGTGTCCGGTCCGCAGACATATATAATATATGTGTGTCCGGTCGCTTCGCAGGCGCGCTTACATAACACACCGACACGCCGGGTAACTCATCGCATAAAACCAACCAGCTTAACTCCAAGTCTCTTCATCAATACACGCTTATCAACTTTTATGTAGATTTGGGCCTTTATCTCCATTTGCATGCCGACTCCAGGTGTACGTGGTAAACGAAACCCATAGAACGATTTGTGACGTCTGCAGAGAAGCCCTGTCTTTTTGGTGGCACGGTTTCTTTGATGATGTTGTACAATTTTGGATTATTTTTTTATTGTAAAAACTGGCTGATTTTCGACCCTACTGTGCCCATATGTTGTGGAACCTTCAAGTTTGGGTGCGGAACACAACATCTGGCTGAAAACTCGCAGTATTTGCATTTGGCCAAATCGTCAACACCAACCGGTTCACGTTTTCCAGACCAAAAATGGGCCGAGTTTTCGATAACTTTTGCAATATCTTCTTCGTCATAATGATAGTGCCTGGTGTCAAAATACTGCCCCGTGCGGGCGTTGTAGTATTCCACAGTTGTAGAAGGCCCGAGAAGTGGGTGCAAAATTTGGAAAAATTGAGATGCTCGAGCAGCAAAATACCGAAGTGTAAGTGGAGTTTTCCAGGTTTTAGCTATTGAGTCGGTGATGATTTGCGAGTAGTCGAATGCTGTATCGTTGTAGTTTTGTTCAGTTGCCATTTGGTGTGAAAATGAAGCAACATCGACAAAATCACCGAGTTTATATGGCTGTTCATTTTGGTGCGAATCGTACAATTTAAAGCCAATGGGCCTGCCGTCGGCTAATTTTGTAAAGTCGTCGTAGAGAAGATGGGGGTACTTTCGGAGCAATTGCAACGCCGTGGAGAACTCTATGGGTTTATCGATGTCGGCATGGCGAATTTGGGCGTTTCGAACCAACATGTTGTATCCGTTTTCGGCGAGGTTTTCGGTGAATTTTCGATAGATTCCCACCTGGTGTCTGGCCGCTTCGAGCACGGACGTCTGGGTAGGCAAGCGGTTGAACGAGCGGGTTTTTATGTCGCTGATTTGCAAGGTAAAGTTGCGTGAATGAGATGCGATAATTGAAGAAGCCAATGGAAAAAATTTGGTCATGTCCAAAGGCCCGTTGTGGAACTCGAACTCGAGGCTTTGTTGTATTTCCTCAAAAAGAGTATAGCCGTGAGGATCAGACCGATTTGTGATTTTCAAAAGATCGATAATTCCGCTAATCAAAGTGGACCTGTCAGTACACTCTAATTTGCCCGATTCGAGGTCCAAGTATCCATGAACCAATACCTCGCGAGCCTCTGACAACGTGACCAAGCTGAAGAGCCGACTAGTGATATTTTCACACCAATCGGCTGCAAGCTCGGATTCGATAGGTGACACAGGAAGAATTTCAGGATCAGCGTTTGCCACCAAAACCAGCAAATATTCATCCAAGCCAGAAGTATCGACTTGCTGGTGTGTATCCTGTTCCAATTGCAAGTGTAGGTCGGTTCCCCGTTCCATTTGGGCTGTTTTGGTGACGGCCGGACTTCCAGAATACACCCTATAGTAGTCGCGGAGCTCACACCACAGGCTCACAAGCAACCTGGTGACAGATAGTCGCGGCATGTCCACGTAGGAGGCGTCTGCGTTGATTTTGGAGTGAAATTGGAACGGTGGTTCGATATAAGGTGGCCGCGATAATGGAAGGCCCCCATTTTTGTCGATGTGGAAGTTATTTTGAAGTTCTCTGAGGGGTCCAGATGAATTGTGCTGGGTCGAAGACCCCAAAACGAACAGCCGTAGGATCTTGGAACCTTCGTTCAAGGAACTGGAGCTGTTCCATCTGCGCATTGGAGCGATTGAGCGATCGCGAAGCGATTGCGAATGCAAAAATGCGAAATTAGCGATCGCGAAGCGGTTGCGACAGAAAATAGATTGCGAAGCAAGTGCGAAAATAGCGAGTGCGACAGAAAATAGCGAGTGCGAAAATAGCGAGTGCGAAAATAGCCAGTGCGAGGCAAATAGCGAGTGCGAAGAAAATAGCCAGTGCGAGGAAAATAGCGGGTGCGAGGCAAATAGCGACTGCGAAAATGCAAAGATAGCGTTTCGATACAAACGGTTGCGAAAATGCGAAATGCTGCTAGAGAATCGTTCAAATGCTCCGATTATACACGTTGAATGCTACATCTTTTTCGAATGAATCCCTCCATTCATATACCCGTCTATTTAATGAATGCCTCGTTTGAGCTTCAATGAGTCCCGCTTCTTCTCGCTCAAGCTGACATTTGCAGGAAGATTGACATCCTTCTTCGGCTCCTCCTGCGGCACCACTCCGAGGAACAGTGGGAACCCCGATGCTGTTCCGTTCATAAAGTAGCCCACTTCTTCCGACGGAGTCGTTGCCGACATGAACGGAGAGTCGAGGGTTCCCGACTGGCCGTTGGCAAAACCATGCTGGTTTGCTGATTCGGTGTTGATGGTGAGTGGCCTGGGAAAGTTGTGGTTCAACGAGCGTGGTTGGTGCAACGTAATGTCGTCGAAATCACCAGAAAGTCCCGAGTTGATGAGTTGAGGGGTTTGGGCGCCAAACTGTCCGGAAGCCAGCGACGATGCAGACGATGGAGGAGTGTACTCACTGGACACCGAGCCCTTATGCGAGCTGGGGGGAGTCTGGTAGTCCATCATCATGGCATGGAACCCGGACGACGAGCCGTTGGGGGTAAGAGATGGATGGCCATTGGCGGATGTATGGGAATTTCCGTTTCCATTTCCAGCGGCACCGCTTCTGTTGATTAACGATTGCGGCACATAGTCTTGCATCGATTGCAACGAGTCGGTGCTGGTTGTCATTTCCTGGGGTGCGTGGCCACGAATGTTGTTAAGGTTTCCAACATGGAGCCAATTGGAGCCGCCCAGATGGGAATTGTTGCGAGTTAACGATTGTTTGCGAAGACTAAGAGAAGTCGACCGCGATCTTGTGCCGGAGTTTTGGAGCTGGGATGGAATTTGGGACTGGTTTTGTTGGTTTTGTTGACTTTGATTTTGATTTTGATTTTGATTTTGGCTGATGTTGAGTTCATTAAGCAGCAAATTGGAAATAGACGACTGGCGAGAGCCTAACGGCGGAGCCACCATACCGCCGCTGGCAGTTATAGACACGGTGGTGGAAGCAGGAACTTTGTGTGGTTCTTTGTTCCCCTGAGCAGTGCACAAGTCGAGAAACCGTTTCCGGAAAAGCTGAAGAAATACCGGCTGATAAGCGGCGCTGCGCAAATGGTCATTGTTGACGATTCCTGAACCGTCGTAAATGGGGTGGTTGGGCTTGGCGGTGGTTCTCATTAAAACATTCATGGTTTCGTTGCTAACTTTGGAAACCAATCCACTGGGCGGTATCATTCCCAGAAACGGAGTAGTGGTGGGATGAGCCATTATTTGCGAGTATATCGAAAGTACCAACAGGTCAAATTGAGGCGTGAACGATACCGTGTAATTGCGTACGCGTGACGTGTCTTCGTCCATTAACATATCATCTGACTCGTTGTAATGAGAATACAACAGATTTGTACTGGAGGACGCGTGACCACCATTTGCCCCCTGAAATCCCGGAGTCACGCCAGGAAAGTAGTTGCCGTGATTGGGCGCGTCCACGGGTGTTTTAAGTGTCTGGTCAAGTGGCGTATAAGGACCGGATTCTTGGAGCCCCTTGGCGAGGGAAAGATTGAGTTTTTTGTTGAGTTTCCGATTGAGCATTTTGGCTGAAATTTGGATTGTGTGGAGCCCAGGCAACGACGTTTGCTATAGCTGGGTTGGGAAGCTGTATCAAGTAGATAGGGTAGTCAAAAAGGGGAAAACCGTAGCAAGAACTCAATGGTTAGCGGGGGGTGTGGGGGATGAAAATTTTGTGTTTAAAACTTGACAGCGAAAACCACGGTGGCTTGTGATAGCGTTAATACAGGAGATGAAACTAGGGAGGTTTTGCGAGCCGAAAATATGTAATATTTTTTACTTGTTAACAAAAGGATAAAGAATGTAAAAAGACGGGAAACAAGTCGCGGGCGCGCGGGGGAGCACCTCCGGCCGGTGGCTTAATTGGGAATAATACCGCGTCGCGCAGGGGAAATAATGTGCACACAGAATGTGAGACATGGTGACCGTCAGTTGGTGACCTGTAACTCATGACTAGTCATTTTTCAACGTGTAATTGTCTGACCGTCAATTTTTAACCTGTAATTTTCCGACCGTCATTTTTTAACCTGTATTTTTCTGACCGTCAATTTCGTCACTTATCTATCCCATACAACTCTATACGTTCTCTATTGTACGGTAAACATGCCTGAACATGTTCAGGAACCTCTACGTCATCATTGGCAACCAAATAATGATTGGAATGTCGCAGGTCGGAACCCCCGGATCTTACATGACGTTCCAAAACAGTATTGGCATAAGTTTGGTCGTGGCCAAACTTCAAATCTTTTTCGGCCAAATATTCGAGCCACGACACATTTACATCCATTGCATCGGCGACATCATCATCATTAATGTCTTCATGCATATTGAAATGATTGTAATATTCCTGTCGTTCACGCAACCGGCGGCGTTTACGTTCTTGTTCCGACTCGGTCGACGTATCCAATTTCCGGCGCTCCAAAAGGTTCTGGGCCAACTCACGCGGCACCTCGGCCAACTGGCGTGATACCCGGAATTGGTCACTATATTTGACCCAATCGCGAAATGATTGTGCCGATTTAGGATGATAATTTTTATGCAAGTTAGATCCGGGGTCTTGAACGTATGCATACCGAGGGACATCTGACACATCCAACCACCCCTCGAAGCTATTTGGTTTTAAAAGTCCCACATCTAGCATGGCTCTTGTAATATCACGAATATCCATTCGAGTACCATGACGTTGACTTTGATATTTTAAGCAATTTTGAAGTAAAAGTTTTAAAAAATGGATATAAAGATCGGTGATTGTATTTAGCGTTGTCGGCTTGCACTTGTCAAACCCAGAAGCCTTAAGGATCTGGGCCATCAGGATCCGTAAAAGTGCATGGTGAAGGTCGTCCATAAAGAAACATGAGAATTGTCAATTGAGGATTGTAATGGATTAGGTAAGAAGAACGAGAAATAAAAAAAGAAGGTGATTACGTAAGCGACAATCCCTTGCCGTTGAATGATAAGAAACCTTTGATGAAATGGAGTAATCAAATCGTATGATTAGTTGGTCGGATTTGTTTGTTAGATTAGGTTTATATGACCTTTTGTAGTCATATCACTGTCACTAAAAGTTACCTAAAATGTGACAGATGTTATACTTAACGTGACAAATGTGACAAAATGTCCCTAATGTGACACTAAGATGCCACTCATTAACCTGCGATTCATTGAATCCTGTGGCTTCATGCATTTCGGCGATGCAACCGTCGCTAATCCCCCACCAATGCACGGACGCCCGGGCTCGTATGCAGTGGTGCCGCATCTCCAGTTGGCACCGTATATCAGTGCGACATTATGCAATCCGCCGAAACTCCTTTAAGTCAGGTATACGAACGCACGGCAAAATCGCACCCTGCTTACTCATTAACCTAAAAAGGTAAAGATTATGCGGGCGGCGATGCAGTTCGAAATATCTCCGAGACCCTTCAGTGATGATAGCAGTTTAAGTTGATAGTCAACACTTACTTGTTTGAATTATTACTTCTACTTTTCCTTCACAATTTCAGCTGAACTATTTCATCTGAACTCCATCGCGCAGCTCGCGTGCGTCCGCCTCGCGACATTTTTGACTTGAATGTAGCGGGGATAAGTCCTGCACACCGCAAAGACACGGCATTTCTTCCATTATCCGATACTATGGCTTGCGTAATTTACGATTCACCTGCGCAATCGTGATCTCGTGCCGTGCCATTTATGCACGAGCATCTGGTGGCTTTCTAATTAACAATCATGGTATAAAATGGGAAAAACTCCTTCCAAAAAAACAGTAACTAATTTCAATGACGAGCTCGGTAGACGAAAAGGTGCAAGAAACCAGCTCTCAAAAACATATTTCCATCGATACCGATGAAGAATATGACTTTGAGGATCCTCTTAATTACTCCACAAACTATGTGGACGAGTTTAATCCCAAAGGTCTTAGAAAACCAACGACTCTGGAAAAACAAACATTGAGAAGAGTTATTCATAATCTCAACTGGACGATTTATTTGTTGTGTCTTGCTGAGCTTGGAGAAAGAGCTTCATACTTTTCGGTTCAGGGTATTTTGTCAAACTTTATCCAAAGACCGTTGCCTCCAGGTTCTACTACTGGTAAAGTTATGCATGGAGAAGGCAGTGGAGATGTTTCTCCGGGAGCTTTAAATATGGGATTACCCACCACTCAGGCCATGACCAACTTGTTGACTTTCTTGGCTTATATCTTTCCTCTTTACGGTGGTTTTATTGCCGATACAAAAATTGGAAGATTTAAAGCAATTTGGATTGGAGTTTTTTCAGGTTTTATCGCCCATGTTTTGTTTATTATTGCTGCTATTCCCAGCGTGATTGCCCAGGGTCACGCTATCGTGCCTACTGCCCTCGCTATTATAACTTTGGCTATGGGAACTGGTTTTATCAAACCTAATTTGTTACCACTTTTATTGGACCAGTACAAGGAACAACACGATGTGGTTAAGGTTTTACCTTCTGGCGAAAAAGTCATTGTGGACCGTGAAAAATCTTTGCAAAGAGTCACTTTATACTTTTACTGGTCCATCAATATTGGATCTTTCTTCCAGTTGGCTACCTCTTATATGGAAAGACGCATTGGTTTCTGGTTTGCATTTTTCATTCCCATCATTATTTATATGATTGTTCCCGCTGTTTTCTGGTACTTGCAGTCAAGAATCACCGTCATGGATCCACAAGGCTCGGCATTGACCAACACCTCGAGAATCTTGCGGGTTTCATATAGAAAAGGCTGGATTAAACGTCTCAAAAATAAAACCTTTTGGGACTATGCTATGCCTTCAGAGATGGAAAAACGCGGAGAAACAACATATGGAAACAACAAACCCATCACCTGGAACGACCAATGGGTTTTGAACGTGAAGCAAACCATCGACTCGTGTAAAATTTTCATCTACTTCCCCATCTATCTCATCAACGATGGAGGTCTTGGTTCCGTGCAAACGTCTCAGGCTGGGTCCATGTCTCTTAATGGAGTTCCCAACGACTTGTTCAACAATTTTAACCCATTGGCGATTATCATCATCATTCCCATTTTGGACGTTATCGTCTACCCATTTTTGAGAAAATACAAAATCAACTTTCGTCCAGCCTACAGAATTACCTTGGGTTTTTTCATCGCTGCCATGTCCCAGGTAGCAGGAGCAATAATCCAGCACAGAATTTACACACTTTCTCCTTGTGGTAACAAGGCAACAACTTGTGATCAAGTGGCTCCAATCACCGCTTGGAACGAAGTTTCATTGTATGTTTTACAAGCCGCTTCCGAGTGTTTCGCCATGACAACCTCGTACGAAATCGCCTACACTCGTGCACCTCCAAATATGAAGGGATTGGTGATGGCACTTTGCTTATTTTCTTCGGCTCTTTCCGCGGCACTTTCCGAAGCCATTACTCCAGCTTTATATGATCCTCATATCATTTGGGCTTTCGTTGCTATGGCGTGTGTGGGTTTTGCGCTTGCAGTTTTGTTCTTTTTCCACTTTAGAAACTTGCACATTGTCATGGAAAGAGAAAGAGAATGGAGAGAAGCCATGGAACATGAAGACCGTGTGGCTGCTCTGAAAGCTGTGGAGACTGGAGAAGTGACATTTAGTAATCTTGAGGCTGTTGCGTCGTTGAGATCTGTTACTGCTACAAAGTAAATCAATGCCTACGAAGTAGGTATTGATGGTAGATGAAGAAAGAGGTGTAATATGAAGAATTTCAATAATTCTTGCCAATTGTCCGTTGAATATTATAACGGAAATTTCTGTGTTTCTTCATAATGGATAGAATGAGTTTGTATTAAATATTATAAGCTTAAAGCTGAGTTCTTCGAAAGAATGTCGAAGACTTCTTTCTAGTTTCTTGCAATGATTCTCTATTTTCAAGAAATGTTCTTACACTCTGATTGTCTCGAGGTACCATCTCGAGCCTATATCTTCACAGAATCACAAATCCTTACATACCTAACACACCCTTCTTGGTACTTGATCTCCAGCCTCATGGTAATTGACTCTAGCATTAACCTCAGTAGGATACCTACGAAATATTGATGGTAAGAAAGAAGAATATGAAGAATCGATAATCTTTCCTTCTTCCTTGATCACATCGATTTAGTTCTTTATTCATTTTAGTTTAATCACCTTCATACTTTACACTTCTCAGCATATTCTTCAATCCTCAATACAGTAAAACTTGAAGAATTTAAGCTTAAAATCTTCACTTCTTTATACTCAACTCAAGATACTCAAGAAACTCAAGAAACTCATAGCCAGTCTCACAATATCTTCATTCTCAGGCATCTCATACTAAGCATTCTCATTGGTCTCCCACTGCCTCCTTTCGGTGGCTCACGCCACCTCAGCCACCTCAGATTCCCTGCTGTATTCTCTCACTAAGCTTCTTCGATGCAAACGCAAATGCGTTCATAAGTCCCCGTTCCGAAAACTCAATCTTGCTCAGCAATTCTCCCGCAACCGCACTGGCACTAGGCGGGTTGGTGACCCGGCTCACAATGATCGCAGGGTCCATTTCCAATATGATTCCGTCATCTATGGCCTCATCTACACACAAACTCACCATATCGTACTTTTCCACCACGGTGGCCTTGTCCAACGACGAATTCAACAAAATCGTCAACGCCTCATGGAGGTTATTTGCCAACGAATACACCATGGCTTCGTTTTCCGCCACGCTGGAAACAACAACTAGCAACACGTCATTCGTTTGCTTATAAGCTATAAGATGATTGTCATATAATAAAATATCTTGATGCATTTTGTTGATTTTGGAAAATACCGACAGTTCAAATTGGTTCTGCTGCGCAGCATTTTTATAAGCATGGCTTGGATTTTGCGTCTGGTAGTACTTGGCAAAGAGCCGACGGCCCTCGTTGTCCAAAAGAAGACACGCCGTGATGGTATAAAGCGAGATATTCAGGGACATAGTGAGGTGTCCACGCGAAGAATTGATATAGAGGTGTGTGGTGCATGGGTGCAAGAGGAAGTGGGATGGACTGCATATAAAGGCTAACTGAAAGTGAGCTGCGATTGAGATACGCGTTCTTCAACAGTAATCAGTTCAGACTAAACCGCCTAATATTGGAGCCAGTTGTCTATATTACGAGATGTCCTAAGAGTGTAACAAGTGGAAGACAAAATTTATTGAATGGATACCAAAGGAAATTAAAATCTAATCCTACTATTTCTACCGGTGATTTAAATAATGCTTGAAACCGAATACGAGAATTTTCGTTGTGAATTACAACTGGAGTGAAGACCACAATGACAATCTACAACGCAATATGTCCATAGAATTTAAACGACAAGAAGAAAGCATTGCTAGGCACCTTACGTGGATGGCAACGCAAATGAGGGAGGAGTTGGCAACACAAATGAGAACGCTAAAGGAGGAGATGGTAACTCAAATAAAGGAGATGACAACGCAAATACTGACAATGCAGTTGCAAATGGAGAAGAAGTTTGCAGAGCAGAAACGCCTGATCCAAGAATTGCGCAGCAATAAAGATCCCAGAGAGAAGACTCAGAATCGTCAAATACGTCACCTCTTATAAGAAGACAACTTGGTCAAATTGATCAGGAATCGAGCGATACAGCAGCAGCAGCTGCTGCTGCTGCCGATACTCCTGGTAGCACACACTCAAATTCATCTGGTTCCACAGAAAATTCTTTACTGGAACAGACGGCGGCAGTAAAAACTACTGAGGCTGCTCTCCTTGAAATCATATTCAAAAAAGGGGCAAAAACAGTCAACGAAGTAGCTAATGAGTATTTCTTCAATGAGCATTGTATAAGAAATCTTGAAAAGCAATGCAAAGAAAAGGGAATAAAATGGGCCAAGTCTAACGCCCAACGTCAATACATTTTCAGGACAAAGCCATTGGTATCTTATATTGAGCTGAAGGTAGATCCTCATACACCAGAGGGAAAAGAATTGACCAATAAATTGGAGCATCTTCGGAGACTGAAAAATCTTCCATTGCGACAAATGTCGATGCATCTTCGGGAAAAATCAACTGAAGCTATCGATTCAATTGTGGAAATGGCAAGGGAACAAAGAGGCTCAAAACGACCAAAGACTTAATTCAATGTCAATTAACTTAGCAGCCATTTTGCAATTTTGCAACCTCAAATATAGTAGTGTGTGTGCCAAATTCCAAAAATGGACTTAAGTAGTATAGCTCTTACCAAATGTAACGGATAAATATGACAATCTCATTTTCCGTACTAGTATTGAAAAGCGCGATAGAGTATGCTACCAATCTACGTTTCTCAGCAGCTGATCACATTCAGCATACAAAAAATATTTGTCCCACTTTTCGCAAAAGTTGGGTGCAAAAAATTGGTTCGCGCAACCCAAGATGAAATTGTCCCGCGCGCGGTTAACTCGATGCTATCAAAAGTGCCAATTTGAAATTTCAAATTGAGGATTGCACGACCAGATTGGCTGCAATTTGTTTCTATTTGGTTACTTTAAAGTCATATTAAGTCTATTTCAAGTCTTTACTATTCATTTATTTTCTGTTTTTCGCAGCAACTTTGGAATTGCAGCCATTAAATTAGAGCGAACAAGCAAAGCGAGGAAAGGAAAATTGAAAAGCACAAGTACTCCAATATTCTCAATATCCGTCTCCTAGTTTTACTCCTTTCTTCATATTATTATCTACTGATTATCAATTATTCTCTAAAATTGACCTCTCACCAACCAGAACATAAGATCATGTACCTGCTTGTGCCACGGGTTGTTGGCATAAAATGACTCCGAAACAAAGCTGGACACTCCCTGAGCATTGACCGAGTTGGCAGCGGCAATATGGCGGAAACCAAGCACAAAATTCACAACCAACGCAGCTATTAATCCAAAAGCCACAACCAATGGGCCCACCACGTTATCGAGATGTGCTCCGGAACGTTCCATAATGATACTACGGCGTCTAAGGAAAATGTAGTATCCCCAAACCCCGCAAAATAATGTGAGACCAAAGTAAATGTAAGCCAAGATATTCGCAACTTGGGGCGAATTGGCACGCATAGATGAAGAGTAAATGACAAAAGTCAAAGTCGACATCAAGGTGGTCACATGGAGCCATCTGTTGAAGGTCCGTTCGTTGGCCATCCACACCTTTGGTTCGATCTTCAAAGGACCAGAATTCTTGATATAAGTTTCCGGTTTGGTTACACCGGCAGGAAGTTCGATTTCTTCTCCTTCTGAGTCAACATCAATTAATTTGGATACGTTGAGTCGGCCAGGAAGTTTGAGAATTCGAGTTATTCCCGTAGGCGAGTCGTCATCCGACAGTGGATAAAGATCGTCGTCTTCATTGGCATCTTCAATGCTGGCCAATGGGGCGGTGGGAGGAGAAGGAACCAGTCCGCTGGTCAACACCAGTGACTCTTTCCCAGAAATCTGAGGAGAAGCAGCTTCTGGAGCTGTCAAAACCGCACCGGAAAACGACTTGCTTCTTGGAGAAAACAGACTGCTGCTTGCAACCATCAGCTTGAATTTGGCAAGATTATCCTCGTCATTTTGCTGCTTGACAGACCGTCTTCTGGAGTCGATATACGCCTGTTGAGGATCAACCTTGATGTCTGTTTCAAGGTCGTGGTACCACATGGGAATGTTCTGAAGCTTGTCGTCTTCCAAGAATAAGACAGACACTCCATGAACAAATTTGGAAAAGTTAGGAACCTCTTTGACCAAGTGAGAATGAACCAATTCGTCGACCCAGAGAAGACGCTTATTGTTCTTGGACGTCTTGATCTTGATCTCCATCACCGAGTATGGAAATTTCGAATATTCACCACTTCTAAGAAGCGAGTATGGGTTCAGAATTTTGGAGTCAATGTCGGTACGATGCCATTTCTTAGGATCTCTAATGGGTCGCTGCTCGTCAAAAGAATCTTCACGAATGAACATCAAATCCGAGTCGATTACCACTCTAATCTTGTCGTCTCCTGGAATCTGGAACGCAGTTCGACGATATACACTGCGCACAGCAGGCTGCAAATGGTGTTCTGTTATGAAAGATTCCAAGTTTTGAACGGTATCAGCAAAATCCTTGCTATTTTCTCCACGTTTTTCCATCTTTTTGATGAGTTTTTCAGGTGAAAAGTTTCCCTTGACAAACGTATCCAAGTACTTTTCCTTGAGCACAACCTTCTCGTTGACATCAAACGTGTCGGAAGTAGGATCAAAGCTCTTTTTCTCCACGGAAATCTTGGGATTATCAAGCAATTTTCCAATCCATTTGATTCTCAAAGTCGCAGCATTAGCCTTCTTGATGAGCTTATCGTTGTAGAGATCAAAGTTGGGATTGTCAAAGTAAAGCGTATTGATGACCGGATCGTTGCTCAGGGCGTCATCGTCGTCATCGTCGTCCTCGTAATTATCGTTGTTGTAAACCAAAACAGGAAGATGACGAAGAATCGTCGCTTTCACCTCCATCAAATTGTCACGATGGATCCAAAATTTGAACGATTTAACGTCTTGCGTGGTGTCCTCGTTCAACAGCGAGAGATTGGAGAGCGTCTGGTCAATATTGTAGTTGTCCCTTAAAAATTGAAACAATGCGGAGATCTTATAGAGAAGAGGCAGGTAGTCTTCCGAATGAAATGGCAAGTTTTTAAGACGAACGTTCAACAATGGTTTCACCAGAAACTCAGGGTGGATCCGGTCATGTTTCTTGACAATCTTGGTGAACCCAGTGTAATTGAGTCTTTGAAACCTATCCAATTCCTGAGCCAATTCCAACGATTCCTCCAATTTTGTCAGAAATTGTGCCGTGTCAAACTTGCCTGGAGTCTCGGTTTTGGTCTGCAAGTCGTCCAATGTCTCGCTCAACTCGTCATATTGCTTGGTTTGAAAAGTATACACTTTTTCAAGATCGTGGTCCAAAGCACTAACAAAGTTTTGTTCGTCTTTATCAGTCCAACTATCTTTAAGTATCACTCCCTCCTTGAGAAGCTTTCTCAAGTTGTTGTAGTTCATGTAGTAGTCTTTCCATGGAGGATAGACCTCCTGGTCCAACTTTGAGCCAAAAAACATTGGTGAAGAATAGATTGGAGGAAGGTTTTAAGACTCCACGTGGGACTGGTGTGTGCAGGAATTGATAATGCGAACGGCTGATAAAAACTATTCGATAAACGAATAAGCTACTCGAAAAAAACGAACAAAACTACTCGATAATGAATTCACTACTGATTATAACTCTCGATATATTCACTCTCGATAATCACTCTCGACATTCAACCTCGGTAAAACTCGAGTTTATTAAAATCTCTCTTCCAACTCCTTCAACAAAGTGTCGGCATCCTTACCAAAGTTTCTGATACCTTGGGCCAACTTTTCAGTAGCCATGGCGTCCTCGTTCAACAAAAGACGGAATTGGGCCTCATCGTCAACGTATGAAACCTTTTCAAGATCATCACTCAGAGCCTTAGCTGCATCCAATTTCTGGGGAACGTCATCTTGAGAGTTGTACAACTCTTCCAACAACTTTGGAGCCACAGTCAAAAAGTCACAACCAGCAAGAGCCTTGATTTCTCCAACGTTTCTGAACGAGGCACCCATGACAATGGTCTTGTAACCAAACTTCTTGTAGTAGGAGTAAATTTGACGAACGGAAAGAACACCAGGGTCCGATTCAGCATCGTAATCCTTACCGGTGCTAGCCTTGTACCAGTCCAAGATTCTTCCAACGAAAGGAGAGATCAAGGTGACCTTGGCTTCGGCACAAGCAACGGCTTGCACGAAAGAGAACAACAATGTCAAGTTACAGTGGATATTGTGCTTCTCTTCCAATTCACGTGCAGCCTGGATACCCTCCCAAGTGGAAGCAATCTTGATGAGAATCCGGTCACGAGAAATACCTTCCTTCTCGTACAAGTCAATAATGGAAAGTGCCTTGTTAATGGTGGCTTGCTTGTCAAAGGACAACCGGGCATCAACCTCGGTGGAAACACGGCCTGGAACAATATCCAAAATCTTCTTACCAAACTCCACCAAAAGTCTGTCCAAGGCAATGTTAGCCTTTTCCTTCTTACTGGATCCCTTGTCCTTGGCGTAGTCAATGGCAACGTCAATCAACTTGGCGTATTCTTGTTTTTTAGAAGCAGCCAAAATCAAAGATGGATTGGTGGTGGCATCCTGAGGCTTGTACTTGGCGATGGACTCAAACTCACCGGTATCGGTAACAATAACGGTTCCGGTAGCTTTCAATTGTTCAAGAGAATTGGTCATGGTAGTTGCGGTATGGGGGGAATTTTCGGACACTTAAATAGTTCGCACCGTTGCAGGTGGGGGTCCTGCATCCAAGCGATGGGGGACCGGTGTCCGAGAAGGACACCCAAGAAAGAAAGGATTTGGAAGACAAAAAAGGAGAAACCGAGATAACAGGGTGTTTTGTCATTTCCTTTTATATAAGTTTCTGCTTCTGCTTTTTCAATTTACTTCTTTTCCGTGGAGTTAGTTACACCCATGCACCAAGCACCCTGTGGCACGTGAGTCGCCGGCTTAATAAGCGATCCGGCGCGACCGCTGGCGGTGACGGCTGCAACTACTGAGTCGGCCGCACCCGTGCACCAGCCTGCACAACCGCAGCAACAACTTGTAGCCCGTTTGCTCTGTAATTACCATGGTCAAGCGATTATTAATTCGTGCTGGAACTTCCTACAACCCAGAGGAGTCACAGGTGGTTCCGGTGAATTCAGGAAAAGCTGTTTCGGTAGAAAGTGATATTGGTTTGTTCAAAATTTTGATTAGTATCAAGAACTTTGATGGTGCAAAACCACATGTTGCAAACAGTTTTTACAACTTGGGCGATGGAAAGTATCTCAATGGAGAATCAGCAAACACCACAGAATCCTCAGAAACCTCTCCTCTTCCAAATCTTAGGTTGGACGTGAAATTCACACCCAAAACCGCCATCAAAGGGTCTGAACTTTTGTTCGGAAACGACTTTACAATTCCCATTAAGGAGTATGTTCCCACCACACTTTTGTCCACGGGACTCCGGTTTTTCACCTGGTTCATCAATGGCACCGTCAAGGGCGATATATATGGCGAAAAGCCGTATCTTTATTCTCCAGCCCTCAACAGCTTCACCTATATGGGGGTCGATTTGGATAAGAAAAATCCCAAGGAAAACCTCAATTCCAACACAGATAACATCTTGACCATCCCAGACAACCCTCCTGAGCGTAAAAAGTTCTTTACCAAACTCAGTCATTGTGAAGATTTTGTCTATAATGATGCTGCAACCTACACCCTTCAATTCGACACCAACTTTGTCAAAATGGCCGATTCCAAGTATTCTGTGAGTATTCCCACCTACGGTAACAGCACGTTTGACATTGATGTTCTTCGTTACGCCAACGAAAAATTGGACAACTTTAACTGGACCATCAAGCAGGGAGGACAAGATGGAGTGGGCCATGGCCGGCTTGGATTAATTGTCAATTTTGCATTGCGCGATGAGTAATAGAGCTATGAGTAGAGCTATGAGTAGAGCTATGAGAATTGACTTGATCAATATAAATGCCAGGTCTGTAATCTTTTCGGTATTTCTCTGTTACTGTTCCTTTCTGGGTGCAAATCTTATCGGTGCACGGGTGCACACAAAACTCGCACAATCAATCTCATCACAACAATAACCCATGGTGGATCCAAAGGACGACCCCGAAGCGGATCAGGACGATTTGGCGCTTGGGGCCATGATTGCCCAGTCTGTGCAATCACTCGCAGAAGCACAAAGCTCAGAAAACCCACCAGAAAGTCCAGAAAAATTGCATGTTGAAGACGATGACGATGAGCTCGATCTTCAAAAAGCCATTTCTCAAGCTATGCAAAGTGTGCAGGCGGAAGTGGGTCACAATGTGGAGCACACAAACGACACGAATAATGAAAACATGGCACAGAATGACCAAGACCGAAATAAAAATGACCAAAATAACCAAAATGATGAACCTCAAATTGAACCCCAAAATGATTACAACGACAGCTCAGCAGCTATTGAGAATGCTCTAGCTGATACCTTGATGGAAGAGGGTCGTCAGGGAGAACCCGAAGAGAAAGAGGTACACGGCTCGTCAACAACGAACATTTCCGAAAATTCTGCCAATCTTCCAAACAGTTCGAGCCACGACGACGAGACAGACGATGCACTCACCTCGGCCATAGGCGACGCCTTGCGCACAGTTGGCCGCTACGACGAGACAGACGATTTGGTACGAGCAATAGGCTCGGCAATGGACGGAGAAAAGAGCCACAACCACGACGAAAACCACCACGAAAAATCCACTTCTGACCACCAAGAAACCAACGACGACCACCTCAATTCTGTCATTTCCTCGTCATTGCAGCAGGTCCTCAAGCACGACCACGAAGACATGGACTCTGCCATTGCCGATGCATTCAAGAGTGCCTTGAGAGAGGAAGAAGATATCTCTTCCATTGTACAAAATATCGTGTCGCGAGCTACAGACACAGAAATATCCAAGGAAACTTTGCGAGATATTGCCCTGGAAATAACTTCTCAGGTTCAAAGACACGAGAAAGAAGTCCCACATATCGACGACCAGGTGTTGGCTCATTTCCAAAAAGAAGCATACCAAGACCATGACGACCATGTCGTGGACCCAGAACTAGCCAACTTACTGCGCTCTTCAACCACAGCTGAACCAAGCCACGAAGACCACCAATCGTCAGCACGAAGTTCAGCGGCCACAAACGCTTTACTTGCCAAAATACTCCCCTCCACAACTGCACTGTTTCTCGAATCTCTTGACACTTCCAAAGACATAGATCTCAAAGACAAGCCGCTACTGATCGCCGAAACGTTGGCTCGTCGCCGTGCCTCGATGCGCCCCGCTGGAACGTCAATGGACTCGTCCAACTTGCTTCAAACTTCGGGATCGGTTTCTTCTCTCATTTCCTCACTTTCTTCTCGAATCCATGCTGGTGGAACCAACAATTTACTCCAGGCCATCCGGCAAATGACATCGACTTTTTCACCGGCCAAAACCACCACCACAGACATCATTCTGTCCATGTCCACCCACGAGAGAGAAGACCTAGTTTTTCGGCTCGTGATAGCACAGCGGTTTTTACGCGAAGGTCCAGCGGCAGACTTGGTGACGAGAGCCATTGACCTTGTTCGTGGACCCGATCGCCTACCAGATATGCTGCAAGATAGCATTGAGAATTCTGTTTCGTCAGAAATGGTGGCAGCGTTGGACAGCTCGCTCAATTCTGCTTTAAGTTCTGAGCGAAAGCTGACGCTGGTAAAGCCAGAAGTCGACTCACCAGAGTACAAGGAACGTATTCGGATTGAGAATCGTGAGCGGAAAAAGCGATGGAGAGAAGAAAACGCCGAGCGGAACCGAGACAACGATTTGAGGCTGCGGGTGTTGAAGCGAGCATCGCTTATGTTTGGTGACAACGACAGCGCCGAAAAACGAGCATGGGCCGAAGAAGAGTTCAACCGGCGCAAGGTTAAGAGACTAGCAAAGCAGCAGAAGGAAGACGACAAACCACGCGAAAACCGTCGGCCAGAAAAGAACCCCGAACTCACCAAACCTCTTCATGATGTTTTCCATATATTGAGCGATCTCAACACCGACTCGTTTGCGTTGGTTCCCGCTGTTTCTGCCTGTACCGCTACCATAGCCTCGGTGTATGCATTCAGAAACGGCACTGATCTCAAAACTGTGGAACCGGCAGTTCTCACCACCATGGCCCAGCTCATGGAAGCGCAACGAATGAGGTGGGGAGAACCAGTGCAAAAGTCCGATTTGCCAGAACCCAAAAGATTACGGCCAAATTATAAACCCCACGAAGATAAACCTGAGATTTTAAATCCGCCAAACCAGCCAATGGAGACTCCCCATTACATTCAACACTCTCCAGCGCTTCCATCTTCTGTGATTTCCCATCATCTGCGTCCATTGAGAATGCCCAGCTATCGTCCAAAAGATCCACCACAACTCACCAAGCTGTCTCCATTTCTCTCCAATAAACAAGGAAGACTTGAAGCACCCAAAGGTTTGCGCAAACCAGGAAGCTTTCAGCGTCCACAGAAGATGGGTCGCTTAGGAACTCCCCCGGTGTTCAAGTAGACAAATTTGGGCATATGGGAAATCCCCCAGTGTTCAAGTGTACTATAGTGTATAATAGAGGAGAGAAAAATTTGATTAAAAGACTAGAAGTAGGTCAGTAAACTCAATTACACCAAAAGCAATTTGAAGTAATAACCAACACTGAGTAGACTTTAAACCAGTTATATCGTCTTCTCAAATAGTCAGAATACTCATTTTGCACTATTTGGCTATAATGGCCGGGTCTCATTTATCAACCATTTTTCTGCACGGTACTCGCCTAGGCTCCTCAATTTTCCAGCAAAAGTGGCCCGAATGTTGGAATGGTAATGGTTGATCCAGTCAATTTCCAGTCCACTCAAGTAATACTTGTCAATTAGCTTACGACAGAAAGGAACATGAGTCAAATATTTGAATGCCAACATTGGTTTTCCATTTCTGTCAGTGCTTGAATGCTCAATTATCTCCAATTCACTTTCTATTCGAATTCCAAGTTCTTCTTTTTCAAGATAAACTCCCGGTTCATCGGTTAAAATTCCTCCAACTTTAAAGACGTTTTGTGTTGAAGATCCACCAGTAGTTGTGGAGATGTACAAAGGACCCTCGTGAGCATTCCCAAAGCTTCCTACTCCGTGGCCGGTTCCGTGGTTGAAATCTAGTCCTTCGTTCCACAAAGGTTGACGAGAATAAGCATCTAGAATAGAACCACAGGATCCACCCGAAGGAAAAACAGCTGTTGCAACAGCCAAGTGGGACTTCAAACCTAGCGTATAGAGCTTCCTGAGTCTGTCCGTGACCCCATTGTAGCCAAATTTGTAGGTTCTGGTGATATCGGTTGTTCCCTCCAAATAATGAGCACCGGAATCAAGAAGAAAAACCTTTGTAGGATCAATTATTTTACAGTTTTCTTTGGTGGGAGCATAGTGGATGATAGCAGCGTTTGCTCCCAGTGGACGCTATGGTTTCATAAGACAATCCCTTGAAGTTGGGCATTTGTTCTCGAAGAGCGTAAATTTTTGAGGCAGCATCGAATTCGGTGATTTTTTGATTTTTCTCCAACAATTGCTGCTCAAGCCATGAACCGAGGATTATGAACACTAGAGAGTCTTTGTGCTGGGCAACTGTAGCGTTGAAAAGCTCGGTTTTGTTCTTGACGATCTTCAAAAATGACACCACAGAGTTGTACTGAGTATCCAAATGTTTGACTGCTTCAGAAACAGCATAGGTGGTTGATGCTTTATCAGGAAGTATAAGCGCTGAATCCTTGTTAAGCAGCTTCAAATCAGCAAGGAAATCAGAAGTATCTTTGCTTTCAAGTCCATCAATGGACTTTAGGTAATTTTTCACATTCGACAATTTTTCACGGTTGATGTACAATGTCACTTTTCGGTGGTCCACGATAATATAACTGAAAAAAACAGGAGAAAAAGGAATGTCTGTGTCAGCACGAAGGTTCAAAAGCCATGCTACTTCGTCAAGAGCCGAAATGATCAAATGGGTTCCTCCAAGTTTTTCCATTTCGCTGCGCACACGAGCGATCTTATCGTTAGCAGATTCTCCACTGTATTCAAGCGGAAGCTCATAAATTGGGTCGAGAGACCGCTGGGGCTTGTTCTCCCAAATCTCATCCACAAAATTGACTTCTAGAATTGGTTCAAACTTGAAATTTCCAGCCATGCTTCTGAACCGCTCTCCGGTGGACAAACTGATGAGTTCTGGATCACACGAAATCACGTTGCTAAACCTACTTTGCTCTGCTTTCCTCACAGCATATTCCTGCCACGTAGGGTAGCCAGCAGCACCTTGCTTCAAAAGAGTCCAATGATTTGGATCTAGTTCCTTTTCGGCCTGGAGAAAGTACCGGCCATCTGTCGACAAAGCAGCTTCTCCGGTGAGTTCTGAGGCATCATCTAGGGTCACCACGCATATTCCAGCACTTCCTGAAAATCCACAGAGATACTCTCTTCTTTTATCTGCCAAAGAAGTGTATTCTGACTGATGCTCGTCTTCGGAAGGCACCAAATATACACCCACTCCATAGTCTTTCATGAGCTTACGCAAGGCCCGGAGCTTTTCACCGCTCAGAACGTTGCTTTGCTTCAATTTGGGAGCCTCAAAAGCATGAAGATCATCAATGCTATCATATTCTCGGAAATTGTCTTCTTCGTTAAATCCAAGTAACTTTTCATTTTCCATCAACGAGTCATCATCCCCCTCCAATTTTACTCTGCTACTAAACAACTCCTCAATGGGAAGGCACGAAAACATCGGGAGGTTTTGCTGTGGCGTTCCTGTCAATTGTTATCAATTTAGTCTCAATCCTCATGGTAGAGCCGTACGCTCCAAGGCGCTCGGCCCAAACACCAACTACCCCAGATCAAATTGGTTATCCACCCATACACCGCACTCAAATTCAAATCAATGCAACGCGAAGACGCGCACAAAACACGTCTTTCACCATGGGCCGTTTAGTAGGCTTGGAGCTTTACAACTTCAAATCCTATCGAGGAACATGCAAAGTGGGCTTCGGGGACTCGTTTTTTACCTCCATTATTGGTCCGAATGGAGCCGGAAAGTCAAATATGATGGACGCAATTTCGTTCGTTTTAGGCGTAAATTCGTCTCAATTACGGTCTAGAAATCTCCAGGATTTAATCTACCGGGGAAGAATTGGTGGAGATTCAGCTGCAGATACAAGTTTCGAACACTCAAATCCAACTTCGGCATATGTAAAGGCCATCTACGAAAAAGACGATGGTCTGCAATTGGAACTCAAAAGAACTATAGGATCCAGTGGAAATGGAGACTACAAGATCAACAATAAGAATGTGACGGCGTATCAGTACTCCATGGTATTGAAAGAGGAAAACATTTTGATCAAGGCAAGAAACTTTTTGGTGTTCCAAGGCGATGTGGAGCAAATAGCATCGCAGTCACCTCGCGATCTTGCCCAGCTCATTGAGACCATCAGTGGCTCGGGAGAACTTAAACCAGAGTACGATAAACTCAAAGATGAATATGATGCCGCGCACGAGTTTACTACCCAGGTCTTTCTGCACAAGAAAACGTTAAACTCGGAATCGCGTCAATATAAAGAGCAGCTTGCCGAGAAGGAAACGTTCGAGACAAAGTTGCAGGAACGCGTCGATATCACGAAACTTCTTCATTTGTACAAGCTTTATCACAATGAGCAGAAACATGCTCAAATATCCAGTGAGATTGGTTCCAAAACTGAAGAAATTGCAAAGCTCGAACTGCAAATAGAAGAGAAGAAGGAACTCTACGACAAATTGGTATCGGCTCAAGCGAAAGATGTGCTTCGCCAAAAGAAGTTTTCTCTGCAAATCGCTTCTTTAGTGAAGAACATCGAACTGGAACGTAAGAATCTCATACCAATCGATGCTTCCAAAAGGTCTTTGATGGCCAAGGTTAACCAACTCAAGTCGAAGCAAAAGGAACTAACTCTGGAAATGACTTCTCGCAAGAAAGCAGTGACCAACCTTGAGAAACAGCTCAAGGATTCGGAGCGTCTTTACAAGGAGTTCCAAGACAAAATTTCTCTGGCTTCCAATATAAAAGTTTCCCCACAATGCCAGCAAGATTATGAGTCTTTGCGTGCAGAGTATCTCGCTTCTGGAGGCGCACAATTGGAAGAGAAGCTCAGCTTGGTACACAATGATCAAGAAGCCCTTGAGGTGACCTTGACTAATTTGAGACGACAACTAAAGACTGCTGAGTCAAGGAAGGAAAAACTAGAAATTACTATCGAGACTGAACTTTCCTACAAGCGCGATGAGATAGCATCCAGAATCAGCGATGTACAAGGTGACATTTCGTCTGCTGAGGTCTCTCGCTCCAAGCTTATCAGTCAAAAAGAAGAGCTTTCTCGCCAGGAACTCGACCTCAACTCTAAGCTTCGAGACGTCTTGTTAAAACTCGATGAACTCTCTTCTCGACGGAGGGAGTCAAACAAGCAGAAGGCTTTGAGAGAGAATGTCGCTATGCTCAAACGGCATTTTCCCAAAGGTGCTATACGTGGGCAGCTTTATGACTTGGTGAGACCAACGAACCAAAAGTACGAAGAAGCTTTGCTGACTACTTTAGGACGCAATTTTGACTCTATCGTTGTTGAGACTGCGACTATAGCCCACAAGTGCATCGAGATTCTCAAGGAGAGAAGATCTGGAGTAGCAACATTCATTCCGTTGGACTCTGTGACTAGCGACCCCATCAACTTGAGCCATTTGCGTTCACTTCATCCCTCTGCTAGACCAGGCATTGATATTGTCGAGTATGACGATCCAGAATTAGAACAGGCTATTCGGTATGTGGTGGAGGACACCATAGTTGTCGACGATATCAATTTAGCACGCTCATTGAAATGGGGTGGTGGCTCTTCATTGAAAAATAAACTTGTAACGCTCGATGGATCTGTGATTCTGAAGTCTGGTATCATGAGCGGTGGAAGACAGAAAGAAAGGTCCTCATCCTTTGTACAGTGGGATAAGAATGAGTGGAATAAGTTGTCGCAAGTGAAGGAAGAGCTCGCGGTGAAACTTGCATCACTTTCTGAGCAGCGTCCCAAGGAAATGGAGATCAATGACCTTGCTGAAAAGGTTATTGCGTTGGAAGATAATATCCAATTATTGACAGGTCAACGAGAAGCTATCGAAAGAGCCATCCAGGATAAGAAATCTGAGATAGAGTACCAGGATAAGCTCATCGCAGACGTGAACACATCCATAGAGGAAAAGATGCAATTGAAGCAAGAAATCGAAGAAGAAATCAATTCGTGCGAAGAGGAAGTTACATCATTGCAGAATAAGATTTATGATGGTTTCTGCAAGAAATATTCATTCGCTAATGGTATTACTGACTACGAAGATAAATATGGATCAGCGTTACGTCTGAGAGCCAAGGAGAGGATGCAGTACTCCAAGGCAATTTCAACTTTGAAGAACAAACTCGAATTTGACCAAGAGTCTGTGGAGGAAACGCAGAATAGGCTAGATGATCTTGCTGAGAGAATTTTGAAAATTGAGGGCCAGATAGTGGAAAAGTTGGATGAGAAGAGCCTTAAGGAAAGCGATGTCGACAAACTCGAAGCGGAATTAGAAGTTCTACAATCTGAAAAGGATCAATTTGACACTCAAGTTGCCAGCAAAACCAAAGCGGCGGAAGAAATCGACTCGCAAATCACAGATATCAAAGATGAGCTAGCGTCTGAATCACGAGCTGTTGCAGGTATGGAGGAGTCACTTTTAAACGTTGACATGGAGCGTATTTCCGTTCTCAAATCATGCAAAATTGATGGCATAAATGTACCGCTTAAGGACGGTCTACTCGAGACGTTTGAGATTGACGAAACCATGGATCATATTCTGGATCATATATATTCCATTGAGGTGGACTATGATCTTTTGCAGAAGCGGTTGCGTGACAACTATAGTTACAAGGTGGAAGCAGAAATGGCTGCAAAGATTGAATCGATAACAGAGGAGTTGGAGCAATTGGCACCCAACGCAAAAGCAACAGAGCGTCTAAAGGAGGTTGAAAAGAAGCTCAAAAGCTACGACCGGGATCACACGAAAGCACGACAAGCGGAGAACAAAGCATACGAGAAATTCAAAAAGGTTACTGAGAATCGACTTCGCATGTTCATGACAACTTTCAACCATCTTGCTGAAAAGATAGACTTCATATACAAGGAATTGACCAGATCGTCATCTTCGCCATTTGGCGGAGTTGCTTCTTTGACCTTGGAAGACGAGGAAGAACCATACAATGCTGGTGTTAAATATCACGCTATGCCACCAAGTAAACGGTTCCGTGATATGGATCTTCTTTCAGGAGGAGAAAAAACCATGGCTGCTTTGGCTTTGCTATTTGCAATCCACTCGTATCAACCTTCGCCCTTCTTTGTTTTGGACGAGGTAGATGCTGCTCTTGATGTTGCAAACGTCAATCGTATAGCGACTTACATCAAGAACCATGCCGGACCCAATTTTCAGTTCATTGTTATTTCGTTGAAAAACACTTTGTTTGAGAAATCTGACGCTCTTGTTGGAATTTATAGGGAGCAGCAGGGCCAATAGCTCAAAAACCCGTCACCTTGGACCTCCGTGAGTATCCAGATGAAGATGTTGCAGTCGATACTGCTGCTTGATGTTACCTGCAGTCCCGGAAATATTGATTTGCAGCCTGAAAAAAAAGCTGTGAGCCAAATGCTTTCTCGAGTGAAGTTATGCCGAATACGACATTCGCTTATTGTGAGATCATACACTACTAATACCTTTGCTAAATATCATGCTTACGATACCAGAACAAGAAGAACTATGAAACAAGCACGTAAGACTCGAGTGAAAAATTCGAGCTTCGCGGACTTAGCTGCAAGTGACAACATCTTTCAGATGGAAATAGCAGACTTTCTTTCACAACAAGCACTCAATCTCGAGGTTGTGGAGAATGGTTCGGACACAATTGAACAGTTTAATAATAGAAGATCAAGACCCGTTATTCAGCTTGACGCAACCGTACTCTACCAGACTGCAAACGGTGATGGATTAGCTTTAATTTCGAAAGGTGCTTACCTTGGATACGCTGAGACAGGTTTTACTGTGGTACAAATACCAAAAGCTCTTGTTGGTGATAATGTCAAAATTCAAGTTAAGCGTCTCTATCGTTTTTTTGCTGAAGCTGAGGTGATAGGCTTCAATACAGAGACAAGTCCACTACGTAACAACGATTTAATTGTTTGCTCACATTTTGACAGCTGCTCCGGGTGTCAGTTCCAAATGGTAAGCTACGACGAACAATTGAAATTGAAACAAGCTACAATTCAAAAAGCGTACAAATTTTTATTCCCTGATCAACCATGGTCGCCAGATACGTTTGGGATGGTTGTTCCTTCTCCTTTACAGTATGCGTACCGAAGCAAACTAACGCCGCATTATCATTTTCAACGAGAAAATTTCACCAATAAAACTGTGCCGAATATTGGGTTTCAGCACTCTAGCAAAGACAAGGGAATCGTTGATATTCACGAGTGTCCTCTAGCCACTTCCACCGTTGAAAGTGCACTCTCTGAAGTACGTGAAGAAACTCAAAATTCCATAATGGCCAACTACGAAAACGAAGCAAAGCAAAAAGGAGCCACCTTGTTTCTTCGTGAGAGCTTGCGCATAAACTCTCAAACTGGAGAATCGTCCAAAACTTGTTTGACAGACTCAAAGAAAGTGTGCACTGAAAAGATTGGAGAGTCAATATTTCAGTTTCCTGCCAATGAATTTTTTCAAGTAAATTCGTCAATTTTGCCGGATGTGGTTGACTTTGTTCGTTATTCGATGTCTTCCAAAGGAATCAGAAACATTGTCGATGCATACTGTGGCTCTGGATTCTTTGGCATATCTTTAGCTAATGATGTGAAGAATGGAAAGGTTGTGGGTATTGAGATTTCACGCCAGGCGATCAAGTATGCAACTCATAATGCTAAGCTAAATGGTTTAGCTGTACCGCAGCATGTGCAGTTCATAGAGGGTACGTCGAATGCTATCTTCAAGCACGAGAGTTTCTTGTCTGCTAAACTCAATCCCGAAGAAACTATGGTGATTATAGATCCTTCTCGGAAGGGTTCTGATGAAAGTTTTCTACAACAATTGCACGAATTTGGTCCCAAGCTCATCGTTTATGTGAGTTGCAACGTTTTCAGCCAAGCAAGGGACCTTCAGTACTTCACGGCAATGCTGCAAAAGTACACTGTTCATGAAGTTATTGGGTTTGACTTTTTTCCGCAAACGAAACATGTCGAGTGCGTAGCGGTGTTGGAAAGAAACTATGAATAAACTATTAATCTTCTGCTATTTATTGGAATGCTACACATTGTCGGAATTGGCAATCAATTCTTCAAGAATTGTGGTGGCAGATTCAATTCCCCATTCAACCCGTGCCCGCTGCTTGGCACTAGTGACATACTCACTAGTTTGCAACTTTTGAATGAATAGTTTGAGACCCTTCATCAATGTGGGCTCTTGGCTCATCTTCGAAAGAAGAGAGAGATGAAGGGAATCGTCCATGGACTTGCCGTGCTTGGATTTCTTGGCTACTCGGTCAAAGAATGTGACAAAAGCAAGCTCCAAGAACACCGTCAAGTCTCCACTTGCTGTTAGAAAGTTGACATTTTTGAGCAAGTGTAACGGAAGACTTTCCTCTGAAAAAAGGAACCCGAAAAGACGTCCCAAATTCAAGGCTCTCTTGAGTTGCTGTTCATCATCGAGGTCTTCATTGAGCGGAAAATCCTCAGGCTCAGAATCATCGTCCTGGGACCCGTCGAGCTCTTTTATCAAGTCCCACAACATGAACTGTAACGACTTTCTGTGTGAATGGCTCTCACATAGCTTGCTGGCTAGCAAGCCGTAGTATGGATTCCACGCCGGCTCCACGCTGGCACAGTGCATGAGAATTCTAGGTATATCCTTTTGCTGGGCTTTTTTGAGGCCTAACTTGTCCAACTTGGTAATAGCGTCCATATAGTCTTCAGCAGACATAATTGAAATAAAAACTGCCCTTCTGACATCTGTATTCATTCGTTGAGCTTTTGCTAGTTCTAGCCAATTGGGCTCTGAGAGATCCATATCGACAGGCTCGTTGACTTTGAAGTCTTCTTTTTCTTCTTGATTGCTTCCTTTCCATGCTGAACCGACCAACCACCATTTGCCAACGGTATCGATATTTCTGATATCCGAAATTGAAACCTGAATGGGATCGTTGAGCTTGGAGCTTTTTATGGATGAAAGGTATTTTCTGAGTCTGGTAATCAACTGGAAAGTTGCCTCGGAATGTATTTTAAGTTTATTATTTTTCAATGAAGAAATGGTTTCCACCAAAAATTGAAGTCTGGTTGATTTGAGGTCTTTTGGTATATTTGCAGCGGCTTTGTTGGTGAGAACAACGATTTCCTTGAGCGCCGAAGGGTCTTCGGACCGGAGCTGGTTTCCAGAAGTTCTTATTAAACGAAGCAAAATTTCCGCATTATCTTCACCGAGATCATTGATGAACAATTTGATAAAATCATAAATTAAGTTGGCTGAAACCAACCCAAAAGCATAGACAGACGACAAGAGCGTGATGAGGTTGAATCTCGCTTTATTCTGGTCATCGCTGGAATCATATTTTTCCACTAAAGTTTGAATAAAATAAGCTCCAAAATCGATGCCTCGAATGCGATAAATGGCTGCAACAACGGCAGCATGCAAATACACAAAAGTGTCTAGTAATCTTCCCTGCAGCACAATACTGTCTATGACAATACTAGTAATGGTTTCGTTGACAATTTGCCGAGGATTTGAAGAAAATTGTCCAATGATCTCATTGACAATAGATGATATGTTTGACTCCGAAAGCTTGTTCAATGGTCCTTTGATAGCACGTTTGAGAGCAATGTTCTCCGAAGACTCACTTTCCTGCTCTCTGCGAACTGCTGGTGGAATATACTTTGTAGGAGCCACATATGGATTTTCTGAGCCACCATCTGAATCTGAGCCACTTTCACTTTCAGACGAAAAAGATTCATTCAGTTCATTTTCTGACAAATTGAAATCTTCTGAGTTTTCTCCACCTTCTTCTCCCTCCTCAGCACTTTCAGCACCTATTTCGTCAATAAAATCAAGTCCGTCAAGTAAACCACCCACAACATCGTTCTCATCTTGTGCAGTCAATTTGCCTTTTTTACCACCTTTCAAGCCGAGTTTCTTTGACCAGTACGCTATATCTTGCTCGTCCTGTTCTAGCTGTCTCATAGTGTGGCTGTCGACCGGAGCAACCGGTTCATTTTTTGATTTCTTGATGGCCTTTCTCTCCTCTTTTTTTGAATTCTTCGATTCCTTTTTCTTCTTCTCTTCTTTGATTTTTCGAAGCTGCTCTAGCGGGTCCTCCTTCTCCTTCGCTTTGTGTGCTTTGATCTTGCGGAGTTGTTCCAAAGGATTGTCCACCATCTCAAGGTCACCATAGTCATCTTCATCGGACTCTCCAAAATCATCACCAAAATCGCTGTCAAAATCGCCCGAGTCATCAGCACTGCCAAGAGTATCTTGGTCATTCTCGTCGCTTTCAAACCCTCCAAAATCACTTTCTTCACCAACTTCCAGTTCACTTTCATCATCGTGAGCTTCTTCATTGGTTAATTTTTTACGGCTTTTTTGTCGTTCTTTCGTCCCTTTGACACTTTTGGGTGTTCTTTCAGCACCATAATTACCATTTTCATGCTTTATTGCGGACTTTTGTCCATTTTTCGTTCCATTTTGGCTCCTCTTTTGCTTCTTGATCTGCCGTTCTTCCTTGCGCTTATCCTTCCGGTTGGTTCTACGCTTCCTGGCTACAAACTGGCGTTCATCGTGCTCGCCGTTTCCGCTCAGCGTCTTTATTTGATCCAAAATCTGCCCTGGAAGCCGTATTCCATGGGTCGACATCTAGTATGTGAACTGCGATGAGCATCTCAGATAGAGAAATGGACTGCAGATACCTCACTATTCTGCAGTACCAACCCCAACACAATTTTTATCGCGATCGCAATTGCCACATGAAGCTCAGTGATCTCAAATTCAGGTTGGACCTAAAGGTTTTGAGCGATCTTTTCTTCCTCACGGGAGCAGGTCTCCTGATGTACTACTTGGTAACCCATCTTTTGGAGAGCGATGGACCTGTAGGAAGTAAGGAAAACAGAAAAAAAGGTGCCGGTATTTTCAAGCGACTTCAAAGTTCTCACCCTTCCTTACGGTCTTTGAAGCTCAACGAGTACGAGAAGCTGCTTCTTAACAACTTGGTGAGTCCGGAGGAAATTGCCGTGAATTTTGCCGATATTGGTGGACTTGAAGATATTATCAGTGAGCTTCAAGAACTGGTCATTCTTCCCTTAACAGAACCAGATTTATTTGCTGCCCATTCCACTTTGGTGCTGTCTCCCAAAGGAGTTCTTTTCTACGGACCACCCGGGTGCGGAAAAACCATGTTGGCTAAAGCCATTGCCAAGGAAAGCGGTGCGTTTTTCCTTCTGGTTCGCATGTCCACAATAATGGACAAATGGTACGGCGAGAGCAACAAGATTGTAGATGCTATCTTTTCTCTCGCCAACAAGCTCCAGCCGTGCATCATATTTATTGACGAGATCGATCTGTTTTTGCGCGACCGGTCGCTGTCGGACCACGAGGTCAGCGCACTTCTCAAAGCCGAGTTCATGACTTTGTGGGACGGTCTCGTATCCAATGGCCGGGTACTTGTAATGGGCGCTACCAATCGCCACAATGACATTGATCTGGCATTCATGAGACGGATGCCCAAGCAGTTTCCTGTCAGAAAACCCGGAGCCCGCCAGCGCCGCGAGATCTTGGACAAAATTCTCAGCGATACTATTTTGGACCCCAGTTTCGATATAGAGGCGGTGGTTCTGCGGACCAATGGTTACTCGGGATCAGACTTGAAGGAAATGTGCCGCGAAGCCGCCCTCAATTCCATGCGCGAGTACATCCGAAACAACTACAAGAACGGCAAGCGTGTTGGCGATGGAGAGGCCAAGGTGGAGCCGCTTCGGACCCAGGATTTCTTCAAGGATTTGGAAAGTGGGTTAGATTAGTGAAGGTTTCATCTTCATCCACCCACCATTCCTGCAGATGTTCGCGGTATAAAAGCCAAAAATTTTCGCAATTAGGTCAAAGCACTTTATGTGCCCGGCCTCTTCGAAGATCCCCGAACCTAACGGTGGTTCCGGGATTCAAAGCGAAGCCCAGAACAACCCGCATCTACTTCGGTTCGCACGAAGCGACCAATCGAATGATACCGAACTAGGGTGGAACATTGTAGACTAAGTACATAGAGAAGACACTACGGTGAGATTCAGTTTTTGACTTCAGGCTGATTAATACTTGTTACAACTGAAGTGCTCCACGACATTCAGGAAATAATTCGATATTGTGGAAAGAAGTAGGCTGGACGAAGTCAACTATCATGTAGTCAGTATGCATTCTTTATCTGATACGAATTTTTTCGACTGCAAAAGCAGAACATTAGAAAAATAAAAAGGTCGATACTGAAGTGAAGAGGGTCCTTGGTCATTTTGGCAGTGAAATGTTAACTGAATTTCGACATCAGATATAAGGGTAATCAGACTTTTTATTGACTCAAGATGCCTTCAAGGACATTGTAATTATGATTTGATACTGGAGTCTGACCTCAAACAATTGCTTAGAGGACCATGACTGATATCAGATGTATGCAATTATGAAGCGTACAACTCTGTAATCGTTATTGAGCTCAAATAAAGCAGAATCTCAAGCTCCAAATGAAAGACTTAAGAGCCACCAAAACTTCTTTTAAGCAAGACTAGAATTTGAGAAAAGATTTCGGAGCTATTCAACTACTTAAGAATCGGAAAATAATCAAAGAGCTAGTTTGGTTACAAAAATAACTACGATTTTCCGAATTCATTGACTGCAAATTATCAGAGAAAATCACTTTTTGAAAATAAAAACCTCAAAAGAAATCAAATAAAGGCTGGTCAAAACATATCAAAAGTCTGGTGCCTCGAGTCAGATGTCTTCAGTATTCCTCTAATCTTTTTTCACTTCTTTCCGTTTGACTTTCGTATCTCGCTTCGCATCTGTCTATTCCTGCACGTAGCGCAGCCGCTCCTCACGCTTATCGCAATCATCTTCTCTTCCTTGCCATGATTCGTACTTTTGCCACCATTGCCAATCGCGGTCCAGGGATCCGTTTGGCGACTTTGGCAGCGTCCAGGAACCTCGGGTATTCCTCTGGGGGCCGTATCTCATCTGTAAGGATTGAAAAGTTGCGTTTTTCACCGTTCAGATCGTCAACATCTTTGCGCTATACTTCCGACATCCAGCATGTTATGCAAGAAGCAGACTCGCTAGATGTGAACAATTCGGTGTCTAATACCGGGGTGTTGGATTACGACCGGAAAAATGCAGTGGTTTTGTATTTTGATCATATCTACCCATTCTCAGTGTCACGCTATTCGTGGAAACAGTACTTTACTTTGCTATTTCCGGTCAACAGGTGCTCTGAAGATGATATCCGTGAACGTGTTATGAATCTCTCGAGCACAGAAAAAGAACCTTTACCAAAAGACGTAAGAATTCTTGAACTTGTTCCGATGCGCAGAGACGGAGGAGTTTTTGTCAAATTTCAATTGCCAGCCACCATGTCCGCTCGCGAGCTTGTGGGCCTCATATGCCAGAATACAAAGGAGAACGAACAGGCTTACGGCGAAAGGTTTCTTGTTGGGCCATTGAACAAAATCTGGAACCATTTTCCTCGCTGTTTTCAAGTTAAAGGAACGCCATGGATTGAGGATTTGCGCCGTTTTCCCAGTGTCAAGCTTCTGGTCAAGTTTGAAGGTGAAAGACTCACCGAGGAAGAGTTGTACGTGTTGTTCCGTCGATATGGACTCATTATTGATATTGCTCCAGGTTCTGGAACCGAACCTGCTGTGATCCACTTCCGTAAAATCAGATCCGCCATTTGTGCCAAAAATTGTGTTACGGGAATCACTCTAAACAGCGGCAATACCGTGGTCCATATCCAGTACCTTCCTTTGAAAAGGGTCAACTACATTACTGACTTTATTGGGAACCATCAGCGGATTGCAATTCCTATCATTTTGGCACTCTTGGCCACGGCAGCTGTGTTCATTTTCGATCCAATTCGTGAATGGTTCATCATGCAGAATGTCTCTCACCGCCATGCTCTCGACTCTTACAAGGATAACAAGTTTTTGAAACTTGTCTCGTTGCCGTATGAACAGGTTCGCCGGTGGATCGATCTGGGCTACGACTACTTTGACCTGAAATTTGGGTGTGACGAAGAAGACGAATTTGGAGGAGAAAAGGGTGAAGCTCCCAACGATTTGTGGTCGGAGCGATACGAAAAGGTCAAGCAGCTCAAGTTGTGGATCTACGAAAATATCAACACATTTATCATTGTTAGAGGACCAAAGGGCTCGGGCAAAGAAGAGCTCGTTCTCGAGCACACTTTGCGAGACGACCCTATTTTGGGCAACAAACTCTTGTACATTGACTGTGAAGCGCTCGTGAAATCTCGTTCGGATAATGCCTTGATCGAAGCTACTGCTCAGCAATTGGGTTATTTTCCCGTTTTTACTTGGACAAATTCCATTTCGCAATTTGTCGATTTGGGTGTTCAGGGCCTTACAGGTCAAAAGTCCGGCTTGAGTGAGTCCAAGGAGACCCAGCTCAAAAATATGTTTGGACTTACGTCGCTGGCTATTCGCAAACTCGCACTTCAAGATTACGCCAAGTATAAAAAACTGGTTCTCAGACAACGCAGACGCCAACAAGGCGACTCAACTTCAGAAGATATACTCTCGGAGGACGAGTATCTTTCGCAGCATCCTGAGCGGAAACCTGTGATTGTCATCGATAAATTTGCGGGCCGTGCTGATGGAGACCAGGACTTCATCTTCAAAATGATTTCCGAGTGGTCGGCTCAACTTGTTCAGAGTAATTTGGCTCACGTTATAATTCTCACCCACGATGTGGGTAGCATGCTGCATTTGACCAGTGCTTTGCCCAACCAAGTAATGAAGCTGATATCGTTATCGGATGCTTCGCAGAGACTGGCTCGTCACTATGTGTTGAACCAGCTCAACAAAGAGAGCCAAGCTCAAGTCAATGAATTGGACTCGTGCCTTGAACCTTTGGGAGGACGAATGTTGGATCTTCAAGCCTTTGTGAGACGTATGAGATCGGGAGAAGCTCCTGGTGATGCGTTGGAAGAAATGGTGAGCCAAGCGTCGGAGCAAATCACCACATTTTTTTTGCTGGCATCGCTGACTCAGAACAGCTGGAGCACCGCTCAAGTGTGGTTGCTTATCAAGTTGTTGGCGAAACAAGAGTCCATTTCCTATGAGACCCTCTGCCATGATCCTCTCTTCAAGTCTCCTGATTCCTTGTCTATACTTTCAACTTTGGAGAAACATGATTTGATTTCCTTGATCTCCGACAAGGGAGTGTTGAACACAGTTCTGACAGGACGTCCCTTGTACAAAGCAGCATTCCGGTCGCTTGTGGAAGATCCCAAAATATTCCGCATTTACGAAGAAGACCTTTATAACAAGTTGATTGCATTGGAAAATGCCAAGATTGCCAAACTTGAAGATGAGTTTGCCAAGCTTGCGAGCGTGGATGCTAGGTTAGTAAGAAACCGGCTCGACTATGTTCTGAACAAAATCGTGGCTTCCACCGACAAAATCACCGATTACGAAGAAAAGATTAGCGGTCTTTCGAGCAAGAAGAGTTCGTGGTTTTAAAGTTGAAGAAAAGACTTGGTGATCATTATGAGGCTAACATTTGAAGACTAATGCATTATGAGACTAATTCATTGAAGACTAAATGCTTTATGAGACTAAATGGATTGGCAGATAAAAACTATGATTTGGCAGTATAAAGACAATGCATTTATGAGACTAATGCATTATGAGACTTCATTATGAGACTATTCATTAAGACTAGCTGAAGAATTAGCAGCATGAACTTGTGAATGCAATATGACGGATCCTGTAAACTTTTGCTCAATTCAACAACTTTCCCTGTATAATTTCGTAGGCCATTCGGCGCCGAATCACCTTCATGTCCCGCTGCCCGTAGGTGAGTTTATACCCTTTTGCCAAAAATTTAGCACAAGTACACATGAACACACCACAGTCGTAACCGTTCAGTTGCTGTGGAGCTTTTTCACTGGGCCGAATTTTGAATGTGGAATAGTCAATTGGCGATTTTTGCTTTTCAGCTTCCGCACTCATATACTGGCGAAGAAGCAGTAAGGCTTGAGGATTTCCATGAGACGAAAGAGAGTCAAAATACTGAAACTGCTTGTTTCGATTGTCAACCACCGCCAATGCCCAATGGATTCCCATGATATTGATAGGCACCAAAATCAAGTCTTTGGAAGTCACATCGACTTTCTTCCGTTTGGACCATCTTGCAACTCCAGCATAACCTCGTTCCTTCAATGTGGTATAGAAGTGAGTGGTCCAGCCAAACACATTGCTATTAGTGAACAAATTAAAGTAGAAGTCGATGACATTATCATTAAGCCATTGTCCATCGTTCAAAGTACTTAAGTCTCTTGCCGTGATATCTATTTGGAACTGAGACTTTACAACGGTGGAATTGCGTGCCAGCCAGTACTTTAAAACCAGCGCTAGTTGGTCCTTTTGTAGCGGTTCGATCCGTGATGTGAGAGCTTCTCGCTCAATGGTGATTTTATGCCGTCTTTGGTCTCTTTCAGTGTCTATCTTCGACACCTCATCTGCCAAATAGGTGTCCACCAAAGTGTCCACGAGCGAGTATTGCGACTTCAGAGGCGCCTGGGGCAAGTAATACTTCGATACAAAGTCGTCGTAGGCGGTTCTGGAAAGTTTCGGTGTGAATTCATTCATATCTCTTGACGATTTCAATGCACTTTGGGTGAAAATTTGGTTATATCTGCGGTCTAGTGTCCGAGCTTCTGTATATCGAGACATTTTGGCTTCGGTAAATGATGTCCCATACTGGGGGGTCTCGTGTGGAACCTCGGTGGTGTCTATCCACAGCTGGTGGAGAAATCCATCGTCTTTTTTTGCAGCTTCTTCCACGTCTTTGCTGCCAAAAGCTGGTGCTTTATCTTCAACTACATCTAGAATAATTAGTGAGCTGTCCGTATCAGATACCTGAGCTTCCTCCTTTTGCATTCTCGGCAAAAATTCAAAAATCCATACAAATATATTGATAATTGTGAAAAAGAACGTTTGGAGATTTTTGAAAGATGCAGATGGTCCCTCGGATGTTTGGACCGGTTTACCGGATTGTCTCCCGGCCGGAATTGGTTCGTCGTCAATTGAAGCTCCTTCTCGCGCCTGGTACCGCTGCCTTAGTCGCTGCCGCGCTACCAAAGGACTCTGCTCAAATGAAACCTCGGATGTCATGAGCTTCTTGGGAGAACCTGAATCCGTTAAGTATTGAGTCACGTGATAGTCACGTGCGTCTATAAACGTCTCGAATTAGGAGCCTTCAGTTTGTCATGACTTCGAGGCCCGAAACCAAGATTCCTGACGAGATCACGCTGCCATACCCTATTATTGGGGCCGGGACAATTGAGAGCGGGTTTGGGCGCGGTTCGGCCGAGCTTGGAATTCCGACTGCCAATATTCCAGTAACCTCGGAATTAAATAAATTGGAGACCGGAATCTATTATGGGTGGTGCAGATTGGTGCCTCGGAATCAAGAATGCGCCGCTAAGCAGCGTTCTGATGGGAAAAAAGTGTACTTTAATAATGGAACAAAACTTGCTGACGATGAACTTGAAACATTCCCAATGGCCATGTCGATTGGGTGGAATCCATTTTATAATAATGAGACCAAAACCGCCGAAGTTCATATCATTCACAAGTTCCGGGAAAACTTCTACGGTGCCGACCTCCGGTATGCAGTTATGGGCCACATCCGGCCCGAACTCAATTACACCACCAAGGAAGCATTGATTGCAGATATCAATAAGGATATAGAAATCACCAAAGACGCATTATCGAAGCCCAGTTATGAGAAGTATAGGACGAAAATATGATAGGAAAAAGATAATGTATATAGTCAGAAGATAGTCTATGTAATTACAAGCTAGCTCATGTAAGTGAAGCTTCTTCTGCAGGTCGAGAATGACTTGTTTAAGCGTGCATGATGCGGGCGCAGGCAGCCGTGCAGCGGAACCGATGATCTGGCCTGCAGACAAACTATACTTGCTTTAACCAGTTCTTGGCTGATTTTGTCTCTGTATGAACCTTTCCCTGGACCTTTCTATGGGGGGTTCTATGGGACTTTCTGTGTTCAAGAATCATGCCAGCGACATAGTTTGTGATATCCGTGGACATACAGATACTTGCAGCTATATTGCAGCACATTGCGACGGCTACTTTAATATTGCAAAATACTATTATTGTTCGCCTCAGGCGTCCTCGTGGTTATTTACGGTGTTTTTCTGCTTTGGTATATTCTTGGCATTGGTAGCACTCTTTGGATGTCTCAGCTTGATCGTAGCGAGTCTTTTTTTTCCAAATGTCAATTATTTCACCAATGCTTGTGGATGGAATAATCGAATTTTAAGTGTGATGCTTCTTCCATTGACCAATGCCATCCCAGACGTTGTCAGCTACTACGTTACACTACGTTCAAATTCGGTGGACTTGGTTTTGGGCCAACTTATAGGATCCATCATGGTGATGTTCACGGTGATTATTGGGTCGATTTCATTCTTTTGTCCTTTTACTGTTACCGATAGCAGATGGGTGCTTCGAGATTTCGCATGGGTCGTTGCGGTGCTCGTATTGTTCTTGTATATTCTTTCGGACGGGAAAATCACTACCGCAGAATGTGCGATAATGGTGCTACTGTTTGTGGTTTATCTTTTCTATCTAGGCCAATACGACCAGCTGGCAGCTACGCAGAAACAGGACAGGGAATATACTAGGGAATTGGCCCATCTGCCGAATTTTCTGCCAGGACTGCCAAAACTGCCAAAACTGCCAACTCTTCTGTCTCCAGGACTGCCAATTTTTTCCAACTTTTCCAATTCGGAGCTTCTTCGTCCCGTTCTGCCATTATCTCTCAAGTCCGGCTCTTCGGTTGGCTCTGACGGTCCAGTTTTTGAGGAAGTGGTTGATATTCTTGAAAATAGAGACGCTCATCGTCATTTTTTCATATGGATATTCCATCGCATTATTGATTTTGTTGAAAAATTGTTAGCGTTGGTTGTGCCAGTAGTGCTGGAAGAAACCTCTTCTACTCCAATTCTGAGAATATGGTTTTCCGCTGTGGTTCCTCTAGTATCTAACTTTGAATTTGGGTTCACGGAAAACTGGGAAATTATGGTTCCTATAGTTCTCGTTGCAATTCTTGTCACCGAAGCAGCATACCAGCACACTCGGCTGCGAAAAGTGGTCGCTTCCATAATTGGAGTATACATGTCCATGGTGGTCATTTCGCAGATCTCGCAGGCTGTACTTCGACTATTGAAGAACCTTGGGGTGTTGCTAAAGATTAGCGACTACATGCTTGGTTTGGTGGTGTTTTCCATCAGCAATTCCATCACAGACATCATCACCAATATCACCATTTCTGTCACTGTGGATCCCATCTATGGAGTCAATTGTCTGCTTGGATCACCCATCATTCTCATCTTACTTGGTATCGGCGTCAATGGACTTCTTGTCCATGCTGCTGGACAAACGTTGCAATTCCAAGTTCATCAAAATTTGATAATCAGTGCGTCGGGAGTATTGTTGGTTATGCTCTTTTACTTGGCATATATCCCGCTCAACAAATGGCATCTTGACCGCAAACTAGGAGTCATCGTGTGGTTGTGGGCAATTGGTATCACGGTTCTTAATTGTGTAATGGACCAATGAGACTTTGGTGGAACTTTGCGTCAAAATTCACTTCGTCTTTTGTATTTAATTCCAAGTTGAAATGGCTCCGGATCTCCAGTTTCAACTCCTCTGGTAATGTATAGTAGTTTAGCAACTCAGAAACTCGATGGTGATCGCTTTCTTTGAAAATTTGGAGAAACAAGTTTCGCATTTTGGTGCTGTCTTGTGTGTGGAACAAGCTTTCAACACTGAGTAACTTTTCCAATATGGGTATAGGTGTGGCCGCAGATTCCTTCACGTATTCTGTAAGGATGTCTCTTGCCCTTGTGTAATTTTTGAGGGATAACTCCACGTCCACAAGTTTTACGAGCAATTTGTAGCTCGCACAATAAACCATGCCGCGAGTGAGAACTTCAACCGCCTGTAACATTCGGTCCTGCGATATGTGGAACTCGGCAAAACGCAACCAGAACTCAGGGTACGGTGCGGTTATCAAGAGGCATCGCTCGTACACCTGAATTGTGTGCTGATGGGGAAAATTGAGTTCCAAAAATGAAAGGTAATTATGCCACTGTTTGAGTTGTGCTTGCGGTATGAATGTCTGGTCAAAGTATTGGCGCTGAAAGTGTCGTTCAAACGAGTAGATCTGGTGTGTCTTGGCCTGGGTGGTGATATAAACGTCTGTGAACAACTTTTTGAGCTTTATCGATGCTTGACGAAAATCTCCATTGTAGCTTCGAATGGCCTTGGGTGGAACTATGTAGCCAATTGTGGTTGAATTGAGGTTGCTGATAGCAGAAAAGAACATTTTGGCAAACAAATTGTAGTGGTAAATTGGCTGTTCAATTATAGTCCGAAGGAGAATATGGTACTGTCGTTCTGGGTCGTTTGTTGCGTAGCTTTTGATGAATGAAAGATAAAGTTGATAAAACTCGTGGGCATAAAAATGTCTTCCGATTGTTTTCCGGGCAGTTTCGAAAAGTTGTGCAATTTCCTCAACATTATCTGATATTGTATCTACTCGAAACTGAAGATAGTTGGTCCACAATTCGATGGACGCTCGCAAGTGAACCAAAGCTCTTTCATATACAATAATTGCCTTTTGGTGATAACCCAACCTAAACTCACACTGGGCATAACGGATCCAGTAATGGACAAGTAACGGAAACTTTTCGAGAAATGCATTGTAACAAGTTCGTAAAATTTCAACTGCTTCATCGGAAGAAACCTTGGATATTGGTACGCCATTTTCCCGTTCAACTTCCCGAATGAGCTTTTCCCATAAGTCCAAGGACTCGGGATTTTCCACGAGTGCCGCCGAAATACGACCCCAACCGGATTGTTCAGCCTCCATGTCCGATTATTGCCAAGAAGAGCCCTTGCAGAGAATAACGTGATTCTGCGGGCCAGCCAAACACCAGCGCGCGGGTCGAGCTTCTAGGTTACGGGAGATTTAGGCGAAATGAGGTCCGGGTGCGGCGCCGTCCCGGGCGTTTCAGATTAGTTTCAGAATGTCTCGCATTGTTATCGGAAAACAGGAAATGCGACATCTCGTATTAATGCGGGGCAGATCCGTTTAGTTATTGGTAGTTGCATTGCATCTTGTTGCATTGCATCTTGTTGCATTGCATCTTTTTGCATTGTCTAGTCAGTTATACACATGAATGGCTGGTGAGTGTTGAGCAGATCAATGGCTTTTTCTCCGATAGCTCCGATCGAGTCAATGGCCTGGACTCGACAGTTTAATTTAATTACGATCGTCTAAACTTGCATCTGGGAACGTATTCCAGCAGCAAGAAGTTTACAGAATCATAACATGTTACAGATAGAATTTTGATATTTGAACCAATGTTTATTATTTGAAGGTTCCAAACTATCTTGGCACTCTCCAGAACAGAGCCAAGAGACATCTTGACGAATGCTCTATAATGAATATTCAGGACTTAAGTCTCTTTAGTCTCCTTAATTACACTGCCCTTGATTGACTATGAGCTCGAGTTTCGAACCAAATTTTCGATTCAGTCAAAATCATGTCAACACTCACTCATCAAACTCACCTTGCAATCCATAGATATCGCTTTTATATCGATGACTGAGATATGTGATTAACTCCTTAAAACTTTGTGAGCGTTTCTTAATGATCGCCTTGAGTATTGGGGTTATGCCCGATAATTCGAAGTCTTCAAGATTTGTTGTTGAAAAAAAACCTCCTATTTTCACTTCTTTTTGTATGTGATTGAAATACCAGTTGTTCTAATAATAACTGACGCCGGCACACTAGGCAATCAAAAACTCATCACGTGTCTTGTAGCGTTGTTCTGTGGTAAACAGCATCGTGGTATTTTAATTATTATGAGCAACTTTAAACAGTCAGCTCATGTATGCCCGAAATACTTGAACTGACCATCTATGACTCATTTTCAACTTGATAGAAGTAAAAAGGACATCTTGCATATTGCAAAAAAATCAAGTGGTAGCAGTAAAATCAGGCGTAGCTTTTTTTGCTTGAGTAAAAGTTTCAAGTCAAATATTCAATGCAACCCTGTTCAGTGCTGGTTTCATATCGGCGGTTTAATGTGAAAGTTTATGCGTGGTAAATAATTGAATCCGGGTCGGCGAACTCAACATCAGAGCGCAAATTATGCAGCCACAGGGGGGGGGGCGCAATACTTATGGCGAATGCTGCATCCATGGAACTAATACCATATTTGGTAACGCCGCAATATGTCTGTTTGTGGCCAAAATACACTTCGCTTGCACCGACTATGGCGCAATAACTGACGATCTTCAGTGGAGTATATGCAGCCCAGTACGGCTAGTGCATTTCATGCAAGATATTTCCGGTGCGCCGCACCATGCAGCCAAATTAAAAAAAATTTTGTTGCATTTGGACCATAACCCTGCGTACTGTACCAAGTGATGGCATGGTGAAAAAAAAATAGACAATGATAAGCAGATAAGGGCCCTGCAATCTGCCCTCTCACAAGACGCACACAAGATACTAGCAGGTGACTTTGAGACGTTTTCTGTAAAGGTAAATAAACTTCTCGTATCTCACTGTAAATACGAACTGGTGACCTTGTTTTGAAACTGGTGACCTCTATAGTTAGCGGTTTCTTTTATTCAGGGATATTGTTCCTGTGTACCCCCAACGGAGTGCATAAGGCGAGTGCCGCATGGATGCGAGATTCATGCATACTTTCGTATACTCCTAGACCAGTTTAGTATCACACGTTTCCTGGCATCTCTGAAACATGAATGGGTTTCAGAATAGGTGGGTGACGCAATGTTGTAGCAGGTTTTATGCACCTTCGTCAGCTTGTTGAGACAGATTTTTCACCACACGTTTTCAATTTCCTCATTTGCGGTATTGTTAATCCGTAATTTTTTTTCCTCACCCCCAGTAAGGTATCTATTAGGTAAGAGATCATTGCCTAAGAGGTTTTTGCATGCATGCACTTTAACGTTTCAAGCAAGATGGAGTATGTGGCGCATTGCCAAGCACGAATCCGCCGGAATACGAAGATGTGTGGAATAGGACGGTCCTGAGCTCAAAGTTTGATTGTGGGTCTGCTATGATTAGCCTCGGACCATAACCAAGGGTTTTCAGACCTCGGATATCGGATGCATACTCCACAGGCTTAATGTTGCCGCCGCCCCTTGTATGTTTGGCCACCCGCATGCATATGCATGATCTGCATTTTTTATGCATGTATCTCATTATGCAATGTCGTATCACCCTCCCAAAACGCAGCCGATGGGTATAAAACTCCAATGTAAGTCCCTTTGTTTGAATCAAAAAGACAAGAAGGTTGATGGAATTTGTTAGCGACCTCAACTGGACTTATGAGCCTGAGCTCGACCCTATGTTAGCATGTCCTGTAAATCCAGCTCCAGGAAGACTTGGAGGACCTTTTGGATTTTACGTCGACTTTGAAAGTAACTGCCTCGTCAAGGATAATATCAACCTCAACCTCAAGTTGGGTCTGGCAATGTACTCCAGTCCAGTGCGCGGCTCACCAATGACAATAGATACGGCGACGTTTGAGCCGCATCCTCTCGGTTTGGGTATCGATTATTCTGGCGACCAAATGGCATCGAGTGAACTTGACCATGCGACATATTTCGATATTTACTCGAGACTCACTGAGTCCAGCAGTTCGGACTCTCTTTTTTCAATGTCCAATGACGACCTCTCGGAGCCAGAAACCGTACATGTCGAGGAATTAGAGCCAAAAATTCCAGAACCTATCTTGACAGGAGCAAGTCCCATAATGGAGAGAGCACAATATCGCCCTAAATTAGTGGATCTCTTGAGGAGCCAGTTTTCCCCAGAAGAAATAAAGCTGTTTGGAACCTGTCTTCTTCAATGTACTCACTGCACAGAAGAGTTCCATCATCATCTAGACTTTGCATTGCATTTGGATCGCATTAGACAAAATCGACCATTCAAATGCCCACTCAAAAGCTGCCCATGGAATGTGCTTGGCCACACCCGCAAAATGGATCTTCGTAGACACTGCATGGCACATTTTCCAAAGGGAAAGGCTGGCAGGGAAATCGAAACCGTGCTGCCTGAGGAACGCCAACGTATAATGGAAATGGTATTTCCATGCCATTTGAATTGCGGAAAGTACTTTTATCGGAAGGACTCACTCAAACGTCATATAAAATTGCTTCACGAGAACGAGGGGGCCAAGGCAAGAAAAAGGGCCAAAAAGTGAAATTTCGAAAAGTGAGGTTCAAAAGTGAGGTTTTTGTGCTGGTCGCAATTTGCACCCATTTCATAATGCAATTAATATTAATAATATTCTTCTCGATTTTGGCAGTAGTTTGTGCTGGAGCAGACCAGTCGAGGATCTGCAAGTCGTATGGTTCAGACGTCCCCTTTTCGGGATACAAGATCGAGTTTCAATATAGAAATAGTGGTACATTCCACTTGTACATGTGCCGCGAAGGAAAATCGATTGGGACACTTTTTCTCAACGATAGCATTCCATATGGCCAAGATCTTTGTGTTGTGGAGGGACAGCCATGTTTATTTCTTGCACGCACCAAGGCTGCCTCGAAACGGCAGAATGCCATGTTTTTTCCGGGTGATATTATCGGTGGAATCTTTCAAAGAAACGGGAAATCGCTTCTTCCAGTAGCGCCGCTCATTGCCGAAAACGCTCTAAAATTTCACTGGGTCGAGTTCAAGGGTTTGAAAAAGGCTATTATTCACGTTCCCATATTGGCCACTTTGGGTATTGACAGCACTAGAAACGGCGATACCATGTGGCTGGAGAATATTGATGTGGATGAGCAATACGGTGGGGTCGAACAGACAAAAATGATCATGAATCACATCATGGATAGGATTATACCGGGTACTGCCAAATTCATATTACGTGTGTTTAAAACTGGAGCAGGACTTGTCAATACCGTGGTCCGCGACGGCACCGCTTTACTCTGGAGCGGGGTGGCGCCCTAGATGCAGAAACAGCTGCGGTTTGCATTTGTGGTGCAAGTCTAGTTTCGTTAGCTTCAACACACAAATAGCACACATGTCTTCCAACACCGAATTGCCAGCACAAGCCTTAGTAGCTAGAATGACCAACAGGCCCGCACTTGGCGCTATCAATGGGTTTGCTTCTTCGTTCCCAGTGGTGAAAATCTTCACTTCGAACGCTGTACCCATCATGGTTGCTCGTGAGGCGCTGCGCAAGTAGTAATAAATGTTAAGCAAATCAATTGTAGCAGCCTAGATTTAGGTACTGGAATACAGTAGAGGATCTGGGTGGGATCCGGACATGAGATCGTTGTATCTTGGAGGGGATTTTGAACTGTGAGGTTTCTTGCTTCACGGTGATTTTCTTCCGCGGAACAGGCCGAGAAATCCCCACCTTCCGGACCACTTGTGGCCTTATAGGCTTGTTATCGGTCACCAAGCGAGTGCTTGCAACAAGTTTTTCAACCAGAGGCTCATTTTTGATCAATGGTTCGGATTTTATGTATGGCTGTGGCACCATTACTGTGTCGTTTCTTGCTCTAATCGCTTGGGAAACGTCCCTAACTGACGAGCCTATCTTCTCATCCACCATAACGAGGAACAGCTTGTTCGGGAGCTTGAATTCGTGCCCACTAGCCAACATTTCGCTCATCACAAAACCTACGGAGCCACTAAGAAAGTCACTAACGAGCAATAATTGAGTAGGATTACTGAGCTCAACTTTGTTATTCACCTCGTAGTACCTCAAGATGCCGTCACACCATTTTTTATCCTTTTGAACTATTCGTGTGGAATATAAAACCCTATATTCATGCACTATGGAATTCTTGTAAGGGTCCATAAAACGTGAATCTGAGGGACGCGAAGCGCACTTTATATAGGCAGGATGGTTGCAAACTTGTGCATACCTTCAAAAAACTGTGACCCCAACATGTACAACTATGCCGCCATTGCGCTTTGGTTACTACATTTGCCAATCGCTGCATGATATCGTGCATGAACGGCTGCATTCGTCACTATATAAGAAGAGGCTGCCGCCGTTATTTTTTCTCTATTGCTATTTACATTATGGGTTGTAAAATGGGAAGCCCATGGCACTGAGCAACACGCGGGCTTGCTCGTCGGTTCTGGCTGTAGTCTTGAACGTGATATGGAAACCAAAAAGGTTTGGAAACAATTCCTGGAAATTTTCGATTTCGGGGAAATACTTGACGTCTTCAGGCAGCAATCCAAACGAGATGTTACCTGATCCATCTCCACTGGTGTTCTTGATTCCCTGGAAAGTACGGACTCTTGGAAGCACCAACTCGGTCAATGTGGACACAAATTGGGTCATGTCTCTGCCAGTCAATTCAACCTTGGAGCCACATGGCCGTCCAACTCTACATCTCCACTGGAGAATATTGGACTTGTTGTAAAGTTGCTTGGGTTTCACGTTGGTGATCTGAGCCAACTGGAGTCTCAGGGAAATGTTTAACCATCCCTCTTCAAGGGCCTCGGAGTTATACGAGTTGATTGATATTCCAACGAGTTTTGGAACATTGGAAGGACCAATAGGATGTATATCTTGCGTGGGACGCACCAATCCCTTGGGCTTTTTCAATGTTCTGTACAAGGCATATGGCGAGTCCGTGCCCCACGATCTCTTTTTTTCTCCCTCGATGGTCTTGGCTTCGTGCTTGTAATAATGCAATAAGAGGTCCAGTTTGAGTGTATTCTCATAGTGTTCCTCCACTCGGTCTTGACATATTTCCGTTGGACGGTAACCTACCGATTCCACTTCGGTCTTGGGGATAACAAGAGGTTGATACTTTGGCTTCAAACGAGCCTTCCTTATCTTCACCAAATGGTGCACAGGTTCAACTGTGGAGTAGCCAGTCCGCAGAAGCCGGCTACCGCTGGAGAACGCTCTGGCAAACCGCATCATGGTGGTTGGTGAAAATTTCGAGACTTCAAAAACCTCAAAAAATCTCATAATTATGTAATCGCAGGTTGCAGGAAAAATCCATTCTTCCTCAACCTGTAAGCCATGCGTTTCGGCCTCCCTCCCGAGTTAGATGTGGTAGAAGATGCTCCTGCCATCACCATGCTGCGCTATGATCCATTGTCTGTGGCTGAAAAATTTGATAGGCTTTCGACTCATTGGATAGATCTGTTTGAAACTTCCAATGATGATTTCAGTACAGTAGTTTCTCAGAAAATGCTGTCTCCGTTGTCTACGCCGTCCTATTCGAGCCTGAGAGAAGCAGTAAAGCAGGCGATAGATGCATTGACCGGGCAGTTTGAAGCAGGTCTTCGGATTCAGCAGCAGCAAGTGCAATATTTAATCGATCAGGAACGTAAGCACAAAGAGGAAGAAGCCCGTCGACGAGCAGCTGAACAGAAGAAACAGGAGGAAGAAGAAAAAAGACGAAAAGAAGAGCTTCAGCGTCTAGAACAGGAGAAACAAAGGGCTCTTGAAGTTGAGCGAAAAAAGAAGGAGGAAGAAAAACTCCGGTTGGAAGAAGAAGCGAAGAAACAACGTATAATCGAGGAAGAAAAGAAGCGACAGGATGCACGTTTGGGTAAAGGCGTTTACAATTCTTCTGCTATTGCCGATGAGTACACCTGGCAGATGCAGACTATCGCTAAAATCAAAAGCACTATTGTGGAACCACTCGGAAAAGATGCTAACCTCAAAAAGGCGACCAGCGCTTTGAAGCGTAAAATCAATCCCAAGCTTGGACAACTTTCCAACTCTCGTTCGCATGTTTCAAAGCTTACCGCGGAGGTGATCAATACCATTCAAGAATCACGCTCACTCGGCGAACTCTCGTATCATTGGATCTTGAACTTCATAGCCAAGGCGGTGGTGGACCAAGCCGAAACCGAAGTCACTGTCAAGCAGACAGCAGCTTTGCCCCTTGCGATGTTTGTACAGTTAATTTTGGAAAGGTTTCCTGATTTTGAAGAGTTTCTTATGGCTCGTTTTGTCAAAAAATGCCCATTTATAGTCGGCTACACGAGCAAGGTTGATACGGAAGAAGGTCGTAAACGAATGGGCTGGCGCCGTTCTGAAGGAAAATGGGAAGATGAGAGCAAATATGACGAAAGAATTGCTGGTATCTGTACAGTTTGGGCAGCTATATCCGCTATTCCATCGGTTAAATGCTCTTCGTTTTCGAGCCAACGCTTATGGCAATTTCTCTCACGCATGGCTAATTGTCCAAAAGACTTGCTCACCAACGCACACTTTGCTTGTGTCGCCAATTGGTGGGAAGTCAGTGCTAATGCCTTCTCACTGGTATACAAGGACCAGGCGAATAAGCTTCTTAAATTAGCTGCAACTGACTGGACTGAACTGGTGGCAGACAAGAGGTTTCCCAGCGCTGCAAGACTTCGTATTCTTGGAGACGAGTGGCTTGAAACCGGCAAACTCAACTACATCAAACCCATGGATTATTAGCATGTTGTTAGCATATTGTACATTAATAGAACTTACTCAAAATCCGAGTCATCTATATCATCCGACTCACTCGAGCTTCCATCTGAATCATCCGATCCAACCTCCACATATGTCACCTTCTTTGATGAGCGTTTGCTGCTTCTAAGTGGCACATTTTTATTCACTTTTGGTTTCAGACGAGCTCTCTTCACTTTCTTGGTTTTGGTTCGAGAAATAGGTGGATCAACACGGCGTTTAAGACCACCAAACTTTGCTCGTATCGAACTTCTCAATCCAATCTGAATATTATCTGAAATGTAAATTTTTGACACTACCTTGTGTGCTTCCTCACTGGATCCCATGGGTCCATATATATCGCTGGGTAGATGGAGTTTTCCTGGCCATGTTTGCATGGAGTAATTTTTATAGTCGCAGACTTCTTTGATAGCCAACTGGCACAACTCAGCTATGCAATACAAAGCAGTAACCTTACTTTGACGAGGCTCTTCCTCATAAAGTTCTGGTGAAATGGTGCTGTCTCTGTATTGCTTGACACGACTGGCGAGGTAGTAGAGTAGCGAAGCATTTTCCATGCGCTCAACGCATTGCAAGTAGTAAATCACATAGTTGGCAGCAAACTCATAGGCGTTCAGAGGATCGTTTTCCAACTGTTCCAAGAACTTGGTTTCATGAGATATCAAGTGTATGAGTCTCACCAAGCTTCGCTCCACGAGAATACTGTTCTTTCCTTGTTCTCTCTTCAACAAAGACTTCACCCATGACGAAGTCAGGCTCTTCAAGGTTGTATTTGGCTCGTTGGCCACATAGAATACAAATGGAAGGAACTTCTCGGAAATGGCTTCGTGAGTAATACTTGCCTGTAGCTTTTTGACAAACCGACTTCTCACCTCTGGGTTGGAATCTTGAACCAAGTAGGCCAAGCACGAAATACGTTCATCAAAAAAGTGGTCGAGTTTGGAAATCTTTGCGAGTTTAAGTAGACCAAACCCAGCTGCGAGACGCAACCGTTGCAGATAGTTTTGCGGCAAAGGCTTGTTGTCACCCTTTGTACTAATAATGTCACCGCCGTTGTTGACGAGCGCATACAAAAGCTTGAAAACTGGGACTCCCACTTCATTTAACGACTCTTCATCTTTATCGGTAGTAGCCCTAACACGGTTCACGAACAAGCTTAGTGCTAAAATCTTTGAATTAAGTGAAGTGTGAGTTTTGACGTTTTCAATCCATGTATCATCACTGCTCTCGACGTCGTTCTTTAGCAAGATTTCTTGAATTATAGTGATGGTGATGTCGCTAGCACTGGTCTCAACCGCCATGGGATCTGTTTCGAAAAGTGTAGCGATGGAGGAGATATGAGTTGCGAGATGTTCAGACTTCGAGTCGATAGGTAACAAGTAATTGGATATCGCAGCTCCTGATAGTTCTTTCGTCTGGCTCTTACTCAAAATCTTGATAGCATATTTCGCTTCCAGCGGCGATCCTTCTCTTGCTTTTCGCTCCAACAAATCGTTATTGAGCTCATTCGGATACATGTTTGGGTATCTCTTCAAGAAATGGTATACCATTCTCATTATTTCGGTGTTGTCTTTCCCATCGTCGTCATTCACTAATTGCACAAGACTGTCAATACTAGACTTGAGTACTTCGGGGAAGTGCAGAAGAAACATCCTGCAAAATCGTTGTTGCGGTTTCATGATAAGGCCCGTTTCCACTTTTTGCGTACGTTATCAACTCATTAACGTTGGACACGTTGTGAATGAGAGGAGACGCACGGTACAACAAAAGCTTGAGATTTGTCACCATGTCAGTTGCCGAGACCACCAGCTTCTCATAATCAAGCTTGATGTTTTTAGGGTTCGAAAGTTTGTTGAGGAACTCTTTCATGGAGTTTCTGATGGAAGAGTAGTCTGATTCTGGCGAGATGCAAACAGTCATGAGGTTGAAAAACCGACGATTGTGTAAAAGTGCAAGTCTTTCAAGACAGGAATAAGTATCCAAACCTTCGGGAAATGAAGCGCAGATCCAGTTGATCACTTTTTCGAGCTGCTTCCCTTGTTGTTCCGGGTTATTCTCTTTATCGTCCTCATCTCGGGCTTCCAATTTGCTTTTCTTGTTATCGGCCACATCTAGAAGCTTTGAGACGACACCTGCAACCTGTTGCTGTCGCCTAGTAATTGCGAAAAATGCTTTTTGGCTCTTTTCATTTAATACGGACACAAGCTGGATGATTCTCTGGACTCTTTTCAGGGTGTTAGTTTCGAAAGGAATGAACTTTTCGAATAAACAAAGGTCGACAGCAGCATTAATGGATTTGTCGTTGATGTAAATCAAGGAAAGGACATGGTTTGGAATTTCTTTGACGATGATTTCAGACAATTCAGTACTTTCCTCTTCAGCGTGCATACCGTAATCAATGGCATCATTCTTTGAGATCAGAATATAATACAGGTTGTAGTAGTTTCCTAGTATCCTGAGAGACTGCTCTCTGACTTCTGAATGGCTCTCTCGTATCAAGAGTAAGAGAGTGTTCATTATGTTGGTCGACCCAATGGTAGCCGTGAATACTTCGAACGATATGCTAGAAAGGCATTTGCAAGCAGTCAAACGTACTCGATCATCGGTATCGAGAAGGCACTTTGTGACACCATTAGAAAGCTCGGTGGCCATCTCAGAAGTACAACTAGCATTGACGATATTGGGGATCAGTTCGAGCCATTTGCAGCGAACTTGCAGAGACACATCCAATGTCTTTTTGAGCCAGAGTTGCCAGGTAAGTTTGTGAGCGATTGAAAAGTTCAGTTTCTGCGTCAGACCAGAAGCGGCCACCATTTGGCCAATGGTTTCAGTCGCCATGGTGCGGAGCCGAGGATCATCGGCGTTCAATTCATCGTCTATGAGTCCAATGACAGCAGTCAAAAGCTCAGGCACAAACTTCCACACCTGAACCGTCAACGTGTGGATTTTCCTCAAGCTTTCTAATGCAGATGTGCGGTCTTTGTCGTTGGCACCGTCGGGAACAGCGTCCGCAAGAATCTCAGAGAAGAACTGAACAACCTGACGCGAGAGCCTGTCGACGTTCTGTTCGCAGATGTGTAATGAGAAGGTGAAAGCTGGGTTTCTGATATTAGATTTGGAGGATGTAAGGGCGGTGGAATCTGGAGCACTGGTCAAGAACTTGTTCAAGATCATTTTTAGGACTGGGTGGGTAATTTGGTCGGTTTCAGCGATTACTTCAGCCAAGATATCAGCTGCCAACGGCTCGAGACGCGCGGGAAAATTGGTGGATGCCACCGAATAGAACGTTTCAAACGTGGATTCGATGAGCTGCGATGCGTCTGGTAAGTCGGTGATAAGTATGATGGAACGAACTTCCGCGAGCCGTTTAAGCAAGTAGGATTGTTGCTGGAAATATGGGTTCTCCTGGTGAGAAAGTTGGGCGATTTGAGTGAGAAATGTTTTGAAAATCAAGCTTAATTCGCCTGCTGTGAACGGCGCATCCGGCGCATATACACGTAGAACGTCGGAAATTGCACAACACGTATATGCCTGTACTCCTACATTCGCGTGCTTCAACAATTTCTTGTTTACAAGTTCATTCTTGACGTTTTCGATCGAATTCAAATCAACGGAATCCTGGTCCAAAGTGGCCAATTCCTCCTGAAGGACTTGTAATCTGCCCAAGAGCTCCTTGAGTGGTATGGGGTCCTTTGCGGTCGATATGAGACTCTTTTGGAACTGCAACAGCCCCTTCTGCGCCTCAGACACCATACTTTGTGATGCGACGCGTTCTGTTTGATTTGAATTTGGTGAGACTTCCTGCACACGATGTTGTGTTCCTGTAGATAGCAGGGACGTTTTGGGTGTTTGGGCGTCGAATGTAGGGCCACCAATTTTCCAAACCACGTCATGTCTTACACTGTAATCGACTCGTATCGGGTCAAAGACTTGGTCAACACGCAAATTGAGTTTCGGTTTCCATTATCGTATGGTGTGGTAAACGGCAAATATGAATCTCTTGAGAAAATTTCTGTTGTGGGCACCTTGACCCAAACCTACGATGCTGATCTACACTCGAATTTGGGTACTATAAAGTTTCCTGAACACCCTAAAGTTGCCACCTATCTTCAGGGCGGCCCGGGGTTTCCCTGTGTTCAACCATTGACCAATCTGGGCTTCACTAAAGAGCTTTTAACCAGAGGTTATTCTGTCTTCTACATGGACCAAAGAGGTACTGGGTTCAGTACTCCATTGGAAGTGGGTACAATTGGTCAATTGGTTGTGAGGGAAGCGGAGGAGAGCACTGAGGCGTACTCAGAGCGGGTAGCGGAGTTTTTGACAAATTTTCGTGCCGATAGTATAGTTGAAGATTTGGAGCGGATACGGAAAATCCTCTTGGGTTCTACAAAATGGACTCTTTTGGGCCAATCTTTTGGAGGTTTTTGCAGCTTTACCTACTTGTCAAGATACCCTGAATCGCTTGAGGCGGTTCTTGTGACTGGAGGTGTACCTCCTATCCACCATACAGTGGACCAAGTATACCAGGCAACGTACCAAAGAACAAGTGAAAGAAACAGCCATTACTACTCCAAATATCCTCAGGATGTTTTGAAAGTTCATCAGATTGCTACTTATCTTTCCCAAAATGATGTAAAGTTGCCCAATGGTGGAACACTTTCTGTGGAGCGGTTTCAGCAATTGGGCTTACTGTTTGGTGGTACTGGAGGTACCGATACTCTCCACCAAATCGTCACCAAATTCCACCACGAGTTGATACACTTCCAGTCCCCTACCTACCATACTCTTTTCCGGATTGAATCGCAAATGAGCTTCGATACCAACATTTTGTATGCGCTTTTCCAGGAAGCCATCTACTGCGATGGAAACTATTCTCCCTCTTTCTGGAGCGCCGATCGGCTTCGGAAGTTACCACAGAACCAGAACTTTGTGTTTAGCCCAGCCATGAAGGAACCGCTCTACTTTACGGGAGAAATGGTATACAAGTCCATGTTTGACGATTACACGGAATTGCGACCCTTCAAACTGGTGGCTGATTCTTTGCACAACCGGAAAAGATGGACCCAGCTCTACGATGTGGACAAGCTCAAGCTGATAAAATGGAAAGATGTGCCCATTGTGGCGGCTAGCTACTTCTACGACCAGTATGTGGACTTTGATACGACGATGAAAGTCAAGCGCTCCATATTTGGATTTGAGAATTTAAGACAGTATATCACCAGTGAATTCTTCCACGATGGCATTCGAGCGGACTCTACGAAGGTACTTGGTTCGCTTTTTGATCTTCTCGCCACAGAAATTGACTAACGAAATTGAATGCATATATGATATTTTTATCTAAAAGTAGTTGCTGGGAACAAAGCCAACTCTCATATCGTCCTTTCCTTTCATGTACCCTACGAGCCACTTTGAAGTTCCCAAATCGTATGCAATTGAAACAACATCGCCTTTGCGGAACGAGAGATCGCCTGGCTCCACACCGTCAAAATCAAACTTGGCTGTTTTTGTGGTTCCGTCAGCAGCATCGACTAGCTTTGCAAAGTACACAGAAAGCAGAAATAATCGCTCGGTGATGTTAGCTGGAACTCTATGATGGCCTAAATCAGGCAACTCTGCTGTAATTGGGGCCTCTGTGATTTCATTTTTTGCTGAATTGTATAGCTTGGAAACATTCTTGTTGTAGTCGTCGTCCCTCATAGTTGACTCTGTTGGTAGAGAACTAACACTAGAAAAGGAAGAAATCGAAGAAGCTGAGGAAATTGAGGCCGAGTCCGAATCCGAATCGTTATCTGCTGGGACAAACCATTGTGAGTTATGACGACGAGGCACAGGAGGACCATTGTGAAACTGAGGAATAACCAGCTTACGAGCAGTATTGGTCCTGGGAGGAAGTGGAGGAGCAGCCACGGCAGATTGTGGAGGAGTTATGTCGTCAGCTTTTATGATTTTGTGAGGATGGTAGGTTTCTGAAATGTTGTATTTGGGATTGTTGAACTTTTCAAAAGACTGCAATGCGTCTGCTTCCAAGTAATCGGTGAATATTCCGTTCTTCTCGTCCTTTGCCTTGACTACGTGGTTCTTGTCCACTACTTTGTTGGTGACTTTGGTCCATGCATTGGAAAGTTTCAGGGTTTTGTCCTGGTCGTCGATCTCGGTATCAAGAAGTTCTGGGCGCTTGTTGTGGATTATGGAGATAAAAGACTCGATCTGGAGTCTAGTAGGAGTGACCGCTTCGTTCCAGAGGTCTTCGATTTTGTCCAATTGGGGTATATGTGGAGCTTTTTCTTTGGTATCTAACAAGCCCTGGAACTCACCAAAGTAACGAAGCGATGCGTCTATGTCTTGGTAGAGATCCAATTGCTTGCAGAAGGTGATTTTCGTGATATTTTCCACAAACTCGTCAAGAAGAGATAACGAGTGTGGAAGTATAGCCTTTAGTTTCTCGTCGATCCGAGTGAATATACGACCTGCTTCGAGCAATTCGTGGTCCAAAGCTTCTAGTTGTTTGCGTTCTTTGGGTTCGAGCTCGGTTGTCTTTTTCATGAGTTTATCCACCTTATTGTGGATTTTGTCGTAATTGGACTTCTTCTTGTTGCGTTTCTTGATTAGCTGAAGAATCAGTTTGAGATACCCAATCATCTCCCCCACTCGAATTTTCATCGACTCAGCATGGTAGTCCCACTCCCCCACCACGCGGTCACGAAGCTGTTGTATTGTAAGCAGATAGTTTCTCAATTGGTGATTTACACTTTCTATCAAAAACTGTCTTTCCTTTGGGTGCACCAGTGGCACGGTTTCTTCAGCCTGCCACGCATCAAATTGATGGTAATACTTTTCTATGTCTTCAAAATGCAAGGAATTGTCTCCAATAAGATCTATGAATTGTTTGCAAATTTTTAAGTTTGTTTTGAATAATTTGTTCCAGTGATTTTTTGATAATCGATGCATTTGAGATACGATAAACTTTAACCCAGAAATGGATTGTTTGATGTCATTTCGATAGTGCAAGATGATCTCATCTTCATTGGAAAATTGCAGGTGGTGGTGGCGAATTTTGTCCAGGACGGCGGAACCGAAAACATTCATGTTGGATTTGATTTTCTGCACCGACATGGTCGGAATGGTAGAGGAAATGGTCGGAAATCGGCCGCGACGTGGGTGACATCCGGAAACTCTGGAACCGCTTGTGTGCAGGTGCCGTGGCTGCGGAAACCATAAGGACTCAGCAAACACCGTAAATGAATCGCACTATGACTACGAAATGGTTTCTTTCTTTCTTTGAAATTTACGCAAGAAATTAGAGAGCAATCTGACTAATAAAACTGATGCAGTCGTTCCTATATTTCTAGATTTATTTTGAAGCATGCTAAGTTTCAGTTGGAGCCAGCGTTTCTAGTATCCTTCTTTTGATTTTCATACTCAACCGTTAGTTTCTTCACATTGTCCATATGTCCCATAATTACCACACGACTCCAACGAAAAAGCTTTATTCAGTCCAATCAGAATCAACCCTGCCCAAGTCCCTTTATCGGATTCACGAGTACACCATATACCGCAATAATGTTCGTGATTTTTTAACCACTCTTCCATGGATTCTAGAATTGCGGAAATTTGTGCCAGCTTATCACAGGTTTTGGTAGCTTCAACCAGAATATGCAAATATTTGCTGCCATCCTTACTGGTGGCCATTTTTTGGTTTATCTGACACGGTTTTGTTCGAAGCTGAAAGTAATTTGCAATATTGAGACTCACTTGCTTAATGTGAGCGGTTGCATAGTCAATGAAACGAATTAGTTGGTGAGTGTAATTTCGATTCGAGTGCTGTTTCTTGTAGTTGAAAATCGTTCCGTTCAGTAATGTTAACCGTTCGGGAACATTTTTGGTGATGTTACTTAATGCAATAAATTCTTCATCAGCAAGCATATAATGTGTCTCTCCAGGGCAATTGTACTGTAAAAATCGACCTTTGTATAAAACTGGAATCAATTGACATGAATCATTGGCTCTTTTCAAGTAAATCTGTGTGTCAATCGCAAGTACAAACCAACTGAAAATTAAGAACAATAATGGTTTTGCATAATTGAGCTTCATAGCGAGCTATCAAAGAACTAAATGAATAAAGAGTGACAACAGGTCATCCAACAATGTAACAACTAGATCTATGTAGGGATTAACATTATAATTCTGCGATATAACCTCCGATGTGTCTTTACCAGTGCGAAGAAGTGGTTTGATCTACGTCCGTTGGTGAATGGATGTGAATTGCGAAAACAGATTGTTGATATTAACTTTCCACCTTTGAGTAGTGACCCGTTCTCGTATGAGCTGATTATATCAGATCACTTTTCTCGCTTCTCTAGTCGACTTGGCATGAACGGGCCACTATCCTCTTGCGACATTCAAAATCTGACTTACTTAAAGCAATCTGGTTTGTATTTTTATCATTGGTTGCAAAATTTCAAAATAATAATTATTGGATTTGAAACCAACTATGAAATCGAAGCAGCCCCAGTAGAATTCAAATGATTATAGAAGCTGAAGAGTACTCAAAATGATGGTTTTGTTTCCATCACCACCAAGATTTTGTGACACAAACCGGAATGATGAGAAACTAGCTCATTCAATAAGTCTAACTACCTGATGGACTCAACAAGGAAGAATTAAGTTTCTCAACGTCTTCGCTCAAGCCACAAAAAAACTAACTGAAAGCAACAGTTTGGCTTCTTTCTAGAGGAAATGATTACAGTGCTGATGGAGACGTTAGGGAATTGATCGAGATGAAAGGTTAGATCAACCACATCGAGATCTTTTCACAGGGCTCTTGGCTATTATACGAAAATCAGAGAAAACGAAAATTGGCTATCTAATTTACTCAAGAAAAGCGAAAGCTCTTAAACGTATGAGTGTCTCGATTCTAAATGTGCAATTGTTGCCGAAAAATGTTGTTAATACTTGGAAAGTGGCTCCTTAAGATCAAGTTGCAAAAGTGACTGCCGTTGAAGCTCAGGAACTTGTTCAAGCCCAGTGCTCAAATTTTTCGCGCTCTTGATTTTCCATTTCACCAACTTTGACTTCTTATGAATTAAAAAATAATTCGCAAATTATCAACGCGAAACTAATTAATCTTGATATGAGAGAAGACAAACCATATGAGAGATTTGTCGCAAGAAAGGAAACTGCGAAGAGACGATATGTATGAGGCGGAATTCGAAAAGTTGAACAGAAGCATTGATGCGACTTGCGAACGAATTGGTGATATGAACGAGAAAATTAATGCTATGGACGAGAAATTAACGGCTCTAATGGACAAACTTACGAAACTCGAACATATGATGAGTGACTTTATAAATCAATGGCGACTGAAGCAAAGCCTGCAAACTACGCAAACGCCAATTGAAGACAGTACGCAAATCTCCCCAATTGAAGTTAGTACTCAAAGCCCACCAGCTATAGACCATAACATTCAAATCTCCCCAGCTATCGACAATACCCAAAGCTCCTCAGCTATTGACCATGAAACAAGCTCCCCAACTATCGATACGCAAATTGAGCATCCTAGAGTGATACACCCTCCTCGTGGTTCGAGCAATGGAAGAGCTTGCTTACCACAAAGTCCCCCAAATTTCAATGGCAGACCACGTATACTTGGTAAAGGCATAAAAACAGTTCCACTTTTGATCGAAGAGTTTAACCTTATTGACTCATGTAAGTGGGCAAAGTCTGCCAAAGAGAGACAATACCTCATGCGCCGACGGCCCACCGTTGAATATCTCAGGCTTTCTAAGAGTGAACCTCTTGCAAAGGAGTTTGGACAAGTGGACCTACTTGAACTTTATAGAGACAAACAGGGACTTACAATGACTCAATTGTCGACCAAGATCAAATCATTCAGTGACGAAACGGAAACTGCTGGTGGTAGAAAGAGAAGAAATTTCAATCTCACAAGCAAGGAAAAGGTTGATGATCTTCTTCGGGACTTTATTACCATATCGTCCAGGTACGGATTGGAATTGAGTTTGAGAGAAAGTAAACGCTCTAGAATTGAGAATTTGGAGTAAAGCGAGGCGTCCCTTGACAATTGGCTGAAAAAGAAAACGTAGAAGTTTCAATCATTTCCAGCAGAGTATCAGTGAACGTGGTACAAGTGTACCGGTATAATTCACTGGTATAAGTTACTGGTATAAGTTACTGGTATAAGTGTATATTAAGTGTATATGTAGAGAGTGTGTAATGTAAGTGTACGGTATACTATACTGGCTGGATAGTTTCCAGGTTGAATTTACTCGTGTTCAAATTGTCATCAGCCTCAAAACACGAATAAATTCTCACTATTTTTCACCCAAATATCCATACTTATTTCCGGGAGTCGTCTTATTTTGCAACCTTAAATCCGTCCTCTTTTTGCAACTATATGCGCGGCTTTAACGTAAAATCACTTTTAGGTAAGGAGAAAAGCTCCCATTCCAAGCTAAACCAGTAGCATATAAGACTAATGTGACTGGACTCCACGAGCACTAACAACTACAGAGCTAATTCCAAGAGCCAGAAAATGTTAAACTAGAATTTCTGGGGCCAATATACAGGTGTAGTATATTGGTAAAAGACTTCCGCTTTGGGTCACTATGGGTCTGGTGACTCTGCGTAGGCCAGACTATAAACAATGTTCTCACGTGAGTGTGGTTGTGTGTGGCAGTAGAGATTAACCTAGAATAGCTGCAACTTATTCTAGTATCTCGTTCATCAATCGTATATATTTCCTAGCTAGGGATATACGATATTTCTCTCGTTCAAACCGTGCTCTTTACCGCTGGTGGCACCTCCTTATATAGGCTTTCCCGTGAGGGGTAATATGCTCCAAACAGCCCTTCATGCTAGCAACCGCCTTGGGATCGGCGAAGGTCAGCTCCACCGATCTTCACTCGATCCTACATATGCAACATGTCGAGGTTCTGCATATTCTAACAGAAAAAGGTGCAAGAGCCTTCAACTTCGAGTGCAGTACTGCGAAATTGGCTGCAAATTATTTGGAAGCTCAATAAAGTAGTCGGCCGCAACTTGTCATAATGGGGTGCGCTGCGAAAGAAAGTGGAACCTTCCGAAGGTCAAAGAACCTGAAAATGACGCTGAGATGACTGATTCTGCTATCTTTTCTCAATTTCCTTATACTTTCCGATTACTTCATTCTCTCAATTTTCCTTAAACTTTCTGGATCTATCTCTTCTTTCTGATGAACAGTACGTGGGAAAAACATACATTACTAAAGACGAAAACGAGAAATAAGCGATAGCCACAAACTTATGAGAGCAGCTTACAGCAAAAAAATGAACGATGAACCTCACATTTCAAATCATTCTAAACACAGAGTAATTATACCTCAGCATATTCCTTTTTGATTGCATCCTTTTCGTTTTTGATTTCATTCTTTTCGTTTTTGATTTCATCCTTTTCCTCTGTGCTCTTCGGGGGTGGAGTTAATAGGATTGATATACTAATAAATTGAAAAATATCAGCACGAGTTGAATATTCTAGGTGGAGTAATACATCGATAATTCCAGATAGAGTTATCTTCCATGATGGGCTGAAGTAATTGAAAGCGGTGCAACATATCACAACGCACGCAACAACGCACACAACAACACGAATAAACCTGAGGATAAGTTTTAATGGCTCACGGGAAACCCATAGGGCACGCACCCCTCTTACACATATCACAAACAATGCACAACCGGACCAGAAATAAGAATTGTGTTTATTCGCTCTTATTTTTTCATCAGGGGATCCTTTCTGTTTTTTTAGCCATTTTTCACGAGCTTTTTCTTTCTTCAGGCAACCCGGAGTCGCCATAGTTTGTTTAGTCAAATCTTTGTCCAAATTAGAGGTGGCTGCGAAGCTCAGTTTTTAAGTTAGCTCTAGCTAGTAATCTGCCAAACCGAAAGAAAGTGGAAGCCTCTATCGAAGGTTCAGCCTACTGATTCTGATATCTCTTGTACTTAATTTCTTATTCTTTCCATTTCCTTCAATCTCTCAATTTTTCTTAAACTTTCTGTTCTATTCTCTCTTACTTACTCTCCTCTTACGTGATAGACAGAGTGTTGAACTAAGCAGGAGTTCTATTAGATAATCAACGTTATACTCCATAAGGGCAGTATCGCCGGATAATGGCTCCTGGCTCTATAAAGGGAAGAGAATTCCCAATATGGAATTTTAAGCGAAGAATTTAGATCTATTAATTAGGATAGTAAACTAATATAATATCTAAAGGACAATACGGTTGATTCCAGCAGGATTTCGATCGATAATTAGGGATCGGATACCTAATTAAGGAAGACATTATATCACCAATATAGTGCTAGTGTAAATTCCAGATAGCTCACACAACACTACACCCACGGTGAAGGATATCATCACGTAATCTGCCAATAATCCAACACAGAGCTCGCACTACTTTCGGCAGACTCGAGAAGTTACCGAGTTGCGGCACATTACTGGGCCTCCGTTCGTATTTGGATCCGGATCCCGATTATGCAAAACCTAAAAGAATTGCCGGTCAATTGTAAAGAAAATTAGTTGCCAGAAGTCTGTTTTTCTTTCCGTTGTTTGCTTATATCTGAATAAGTCTAGCCAACTTGTAAATCTATTAGAAATCAATAAGTAAACACTTACAAGAGACTTACCATAAAATAGGTGTCCTAAAATTTGAATATGAATTCTATACTACCATACCAACTTAATGATCTAACTTCTGATGCAAAACGTCCAGGATAAGGCAAAAAGAACTTGTCTTGCATACATCGTAGCTCGTGAGTATTGCAATGATTTGACAAGCCTACAATTCTTCGTTCTGATTGTGATGAACAGTACGTGGGTCAAACATATATTAATCAGAAAACATATTTAAACTAAGGAGAGCAAATGTTTGATACCCACATTTTTAGCGAAGGAAATGAACGGAGATCCACTCATTTCAAGTCATTTCTAGCCATTTCAAACACAAAGTTATTATAACTCAGCATTCTTTCACGTGTCAGCTACCAAATTGCTAATAATTCGAGCAGCTGAATGTACCGGATATAGATGGATTCTATAACTAGGTAGCAGTAAACGTAAACGAGATAACATGTAATAATGCACACAACAACGGAAAAAAAGTTGGACATAACATTTTCTAATGGCTCCTCACGTCGATAGGAAACGATTAAGGCATCCACCCGTCTTGCAAAATATATCACACAAATGACTAAGGTACCAAACCAGATATAATCCGGAGCTCTATCCCTTCTTATGCCGACACCAGGGGATGCCTTCTGGTGTAGACGATTTTCTTCACGAACTGTTTTACGACATTTTTCTGCAAGCAGTATCAGCGTTGCTTTCAACTCTGCTCTCCAGTTATTCAGAGTCATGGCCCTTGTTGTTGTAGTCGTATTTTCCATTTGTGTTCAAATAAATTACAAGAGGGAGCTGCGATCAATGGTCTTTTATATGTAGATCGTGTCCAGATCAAAATGCAAATCGAACGGCTGCATGGCATTGCATGCTTCGAAGGGACAACCCCTGCAACTATTCATGCAATTCACCTGAAATATTAAAAGCAAAATACTTGAAATATTATGAATCGAAATAATTTTCATTAATCGCACTTGCTTCAAGTATTTAAGAGCAACTAGAATGATTATACTACACTGTGAAAAGGTCCGGTCGTAAACGTAGTGGCGAATCTTTTGGTGTTACATGTACACCCTCTCCCTTTCGGATGTGCCCCTTACGTCATCTCGCAGTTGAATATGCATGCAGCTCGTATCGTGTGAGCTTAGCGAGCCGCGCCTTGCACTAAATAGGCTTGTTAAGTTCGCCAATCTTTGATGATTTTTATGAGATATCTTTCAATCTTAACATTCGGTGGTGACTTCTGAGTACCTTTAAGTTGCTTGAGAAACCTAGAATTTACTTCTAGTCCGAAAAACTATGCTTCTGCATTTATGCGGGAAGGGCGGGGGGAGGGTCGCTACCCAAATGCACAACATGCATGAAGAATGACCACCAAATATGTCGCAAATACAGTTCTAGACCTTGCTGATCTTTTGAAGCCCTCCATATGCATATTCGTGCAGCCTCGGATTTGATCTTTGTCGGTTTTTAGTCTGATTGAGACGAACGGTAAGTGGGTCAAACATATATTAATCAAAAAAACATGTTTAAACTAAGGAGAGCAAATGTTTGATACCCAATTTTAGCGATGGAAATGAACGGAGATCCACTCATTTCAAGTCATTTCTAGCCATTTCAAACGCAAAGTTACCATAACTCAGCATGCTTCATGATAAAGGGAATAATCACATCTCGACATGAAGCGTAAACATCATATCTAGTATCAACAGGTGAATCAAATGCCCTCTCGTGGAAGTAGTACGATATACACAAGCACGTAGCCAAAGAAAATAATCTGTATGATATTTTTTTTAATGACTCACGTTCAAAGGAAACTTGTAGGGCCCCAAACTGGTCGGTAGTAAGCATCGCACACCAGAGAAAACAAGAAATATCGAGTCCACGCGGAGCCTCGATCTCTTCATCGAAGTAAGTAGGGAACAACTTTGGCCATATAAGAAGTAATAAAATAATCCCGAATGGCAGCTTTCTCCAATAAAATGAAGAATCGGGCCCAGCTTCCGGTGTAGTTCCGGGTGTAGTTCCGGGCTCAATTACGGTCATTTCTTCCCATTGACGTCTGGACGTATTTTCCATTTCTGATCAAAAATTACAGAAGTATTAATGTGATAAAGGATTGGAATTTATCCCCTGGAATGGGTCCCATATTTATAGCTTGGCAAAGCGGGGTTGCCACCACTTTTGCCACCGTATCTGCAGCATGCGGGTCAGAGGTCACCCTCCTTATCAAATGGGGGTTGATGATGTACCACATTTTAGCAGTCATATGCACTGCATATAACACTAAATCCGGGAAATCCTACATATACCATCAACAAAAGCTACGATCAATGGTCTTTTATCACCTAAATCCTAGAAGCAGCATACTTGGATATCATGTCTCGAAATTGTTCATTGGCATCACTTTCTTAAAGTATTAAGAGCTCTAGAGTGATACCGTGAAAAGGTCGGTCATAAGGAACCCTTTGGTGTACTGGTGTACAATTTGGCTGGTAAAAGCCACTACTTCGTATGTATGCAGCCTCTTATCGAGCCCGCGCGCGGCTGAATTTGCAACCAAATAGAAAGCTATGCTATTTCAAACAAACAGTACGAAAAATACAAATACTAAACATAAACATATCAAGTTCACTGACTAGCTGCAAATATAAGTACTGAACGATGTTAACGAAGAATCTTTGTAGTTGTATTACTCTGCTTGGCAGTAGATATCGTAAACCCCATAACATGACAGAAGCCACCAAATAAGACAAGATAAGCTATATATCATACACCATGGATCCTCATATCGAGGGGAAGCTTTTACAATGTTTAACCATGTAGCAGTACAGATCACATGAATCGCCACACAACACAACCAGGCATATCCTCCAATCATTTTCATCAGCCAGAAGTGCTACCCAGCTAAAACAAAACAATATAATAGTATAAAAGTGCACTGTCTTCAACTTCAGCATGTCGTCTTCCATAGCTTCTTCAGTCAAGATTGCCCTCACAACTTCAAGCATTTTTTCTTCCCTTTAGGTGCTGCTGCGAAAACTCGGGTTTCTAAGTAAACGGTATACATGCAAGTAGATCTTGCCAACCTAGAGCCGCGAAAGAAAGTGGTAAGCTTCCGAAGGTCAAAGAACCTGAAAATGACGCTGAGATAACTGATTCTGCTATCTATTCTCAATTTCCTTATACTTTCCGATTACTTCATTCTCTCAATTTTCCTTAAACTCTCTGCTCTATCTCTTCTTTCTGATAAACAGTACGTGGGTCAAACATACATTACTAAAGACGAAAACGAGAAAACATGAACGGTGATCCACCATTTCTAGTCATTCTAAACACAAAGTAATTATACCTCAACATATTCCTTTTTGATTGCATCCTTTTCGTTTTTGATTTCATCCTTTTCGTTTTTTATTTCATCCTTTCCCTCTGTGATCTTCCGGGGTGGAGCTGATAGGGTTAATATCAAAATTAATACCCAAACTAAAACAAAAGTTGCATAGTCTTGGTGGAGTAATACATCGATAATTCCAGATATAGTTATCTTCCATGATGGGCTGAAGTAATTGAAAGTGATGCAACATGTCACAACGCACGCAACAACGCACGTAGCAACACGAAGGAACCTGAGGATAAGTTTTAATGGCTCACGGGAAACCCTTAGCTCATGTACCCCTCTTAAAATACTGATCAAACCCATCGACATACCAAAAAAGATTAAATACGGTATTATACTCGTTTCGACATCAGGGCATTCCTCCTCAGGCCATTCCTTCTGGAGTCGTTTTTTTTTTTGAATTTTTCTAAGAAAGCTTTCTTTATTCAGGCAACCCAGAGTCGCCATAGTTTGTTCAGTCAAATCTTTGTCCAAATTAGAGGTGGCTGCGAAACTCAGTTTCTAAGTAAATATATACAGCTAAACCGAAAGAAAGTGGAAGCCTCTAAAGGTTCAGCCTACTGATTCTGCTACCCTTTCTACTTCATCTCTTATACTTTCCCTTCATTCTCTCGATCTTCCTTATACTGTTTCTTATTCTTTCTCTTCTCACGTACTTGTCAAAGCTCGCACTATTTTCGACAGACTCGAGAAGTTAGAGTTGAGGCACATTACTGGGCCTCCGTTTGTATTATCCCGATCATGCAAGACCAAAATGAACCGCCTCATCAATTGTAAAGTAAATTAGTTGCCAAAAGTCAGAATTTCTTTCGCTGTTTGCTTAAAATGAACTCCTATTAAAGGTCAATAAGTAAACATTTATAAGAGACTTACCGTTAAATACTGTCCTAAATTTATATATGACTTCTATACTACCATATCAAGTTATCTTTTGATCCAAAACGTCCAGGATACGGTAAAAGAACATGTCTTGCATTTCACATCGTAGCTCGTAGACTCAAAGCACTACAGTAACAGCAAGAATTACAAGACAAATCCAACCAAATTTTACACTTCTAAGGCTCGCCGCGTCTGACTTGCGGTGATCTCTCTCATACTCACCCCTATATATCCCACAATAGTATGCACCCATAGTCCAATTGTAGTCATAATTGTATACCGTCAAGTTCTCCCACCCGCAATCCAAGTGCAACTCTCCCGGTACCTCTGGTTGCCACAGGGACATATTACAATTGAGTCAAAATACTATAATCAAAACATCGGCCCTTGATACTAGCAATAAGCCCCTAGACAAGATAACGACTAATATTATTTGTACTGAGCCCACTCAGCATGGCTCCAATTTATTATCGCGGAAATAAAATGCCCTAAAAAATACTGTCACAATTAAAAAAGTGAAGCTCACGGACTAGTATGAGAATAAACTACTATTCATTGTTTGCGTTATAATCTCAGTTACAATTTTTGAAATTTTCTTAGGTTGAAATTGCTACGAAATACAGTGATCCATGTTATTGAAGCTCGTCAATGTTATGGAGTCTTCAATATATGTTTGGTCAAAGTACACAATCGTGGAAATTGACTTTAATTTGAGTTCTTTATCATTTTGAATTTAAACATTTGGCACATTTTGCACCCAAATTGACATTGATACCCTTCGTGGTTCCGTGGTGCATTGATGTACAGTTACTCGCATTTGCATTTGCATGCATTTACGAGCATGTGGCTGATCAATACAAACCCTAATATATTTTCCGTTCAAAGTCACCCTTCAATAACACTACATAAGTGATACGCCTGTTAAGGCATAATGCTGTTTTAAGCGAAACAAAAGGAGCTATATTTACTTGACCAAGTTAGCTACTGGAGCTGAGACATCTGAGCAATAAGTCTTCCTCTTTCGGAATTAAAGTTTAAAGAGACTTACGAAAAATTTCATAACCGCGAACAACTCAATCCACAAAAGTGTAGGGCAATCCGTTTGCGAGAGATTTCAGTACTGATTAATCCATGTCAGCTCCCTCGTTGGCCAATTGATCTGCCATTTCATTTCCGTAGTCTCCGGAATGGCCAGCAACGTGTTCAAGCTTTACCGCAGAAAAGCCGTTGTCTTCAAGTTCCTTATTGATACGGTTCAAGTTCGAAAATATTCTTTTTATGAGGTCTTGATTAGCCACAGATTTCCCATAAGATGTAGTCCAGCCATTGGACTTCCATTTCTTGATCCAGACCGTAGTAGCCTTGATGACGTATTGCGAGTCGGTATGGATGACATACTCCTTATCTGGATTATATTCATCTAAGAAATCGGCAATATTGGAGACAGCATGGTCCAATGCGTGCAATTCTGCTCTTTGGCTCGTTCCTGGTATATCATCAACACTTGATAAGGCAACAGCAACATTCCGCTCATCTCCATCTCCATAAAAGACACCATATCCAGATTCAGGACGATCATACATTCCGTTTCCTCTACAAGCTCCATCAATGTAGATATGTTCGATTTCGTCATCTTCGTCGTCAGACTTTGTGACGGAATAATCACTTCCGTCATAGCCTAACAGGTAACTTTCTTATGAATCTGAATCCGAATATGAATCTGACTGATTTTCCATAAAAAATCCCATGCTTCATCCTCTGTTTCGAACTTTCTGAACCATGAATTGCTGTATCCCAAGACGGAATTTTTGCAATCTTGCCAGTTCAGTAAGACTCCTGTCACTCTACCGTTGATAATTGCATAATAGGGCATTACTGACTATTAAATGGAATCAATTTTCGTCGTGCGAACTTCTCCAAATGGCGTGTTTAAGTAATCTTTTTTGACGCAAGAAATATGCGCCATCCTGCAGACCATATGCCCGTACTGTATAAACTTATCGTATACTTTCGTAAAACAATTCGACTACATACGTAGATATTCACGTGGAACAGTATCTCTTCCTCTCAATTAGAATAAAAATTGTAGAGAGCTCTGTTGAAATAGGGGTACCTGGATCAGAACCGAGCAACTGCTTAACTAATGTTAGATTAATGTGGAGTTTCATATTAATGTGGATGTTTCAAGATATCCCTCAAAACCACATCTGACTATATGGGCTTATCAGACGGTGGAGCTTTGGCCCTCTTAGGCAAGATAGCGGATATTATTGGTACTGTATCCACTCAGCACGGCACCAATTTTAGTATCGCGAAAATGGCATCTTTACGCGAGGAAATTGGCTGCAAATTCGCAAGCTTATAGTAGATGATATCGATTGTAGATCAGTACGTAACTTAAAGGACAAAGTTAACAGCTAGAATTACAAGACAAATCCAAGACAATTTAGTATCTCTAAGACTCGCCCCGTTTGACTTGCGGTGCTTTGCCTCGTACTCACCCTGTATAACCCACAATATTATGCACCCATAGTCCAATTGTAGTCAAAAGTGTATATCGTTAGGTTCTGTGCGCCACAATCCAAGTGCAGCCCGTTCTCAGGTACCGCTGATTGACACGGGGTCATATTACACTTGAGAAAATTCAAAGTAATGCCTATTTTATATGAGATTTAAGCCCTCTATCATGATCCTAAATTAATAGTAGGTCGGAGTGACAGTTGGGATAATGTGGTTTTATTTCCATATCTAGTTAGAGGATATCTCACAATAAGCCTAGAGGCATTAACTCTTGTCTTGGCATCCTTGTCCTAAGGAAACGTATTAGCCTTAACTGCTTCTTTCAAGGTCTGATACCTTATCTAAGCAAAGATTAGGCTCTGGTGCAGACTCTCCACCTTAACAACGGCACTAAATATAGATATCGAGTGCCGGAGAAATAATTGCATATTCAGCGAAGCTCACTGACTACGTGAAAATTATTATGCATTGTTCTAATCAGAAATTACAATCTCGAAAACTTTTCTTTGGGCTTTCAACTTTGGAAATGCTAGTAATCCTTTCATTTTCTTAAACACGTAAAGCAATGTTATCACGCATGATGTGGAAGAGTCCATTGCGAATTCAATGTTAATGTCAAATCACAAATGATCATTTTCGGCTAAGAAAATTCACTCTCAAACCACCAAGTAAACAGCAAAAAGTATAACACAAATCCAAGCAAATTTAGCATCTTTACCACTTGCCGAGCTTGACTGGCGGCTTACCACGTACTCACCTTGCTGACCTCCACAATAGGATGCATTTAAAGTCAGATTGTAGTTAAAAGTGGTGTACGTTTGGTTCGAATTTTCTCCACACTGCAAGAACAACTCGCCCTCCTCAGTTATCGTAGCACCTGAGAGAACTGCAGGGAGTTTGCGTTTCTTCTTGTCTTTCTGGGAATAAAAAGTATCTTTTTGCGCACAATAGTATGCATCTACAGTCAGATTGTAATCAAAAGTGGTGTACGTTGTGCGGGTTGCCCCACAACCCACTTGCAACTCTATCATTTGGGGCCAGAAATTGGACATATTGTGAAATTATTGAGTGAAACTACTAAAAATTTAGATAATGCCCATTTTATATAAGAGATAAAAGCCACTACTTGATATTATTTAGTGAACTCGCACGGCACCAACGTAAAATAAATGGCATCTTTAAGCGAGTGCGAATTGGCTGCAAATTGATATCGTAACCGTATGGTGCGCAACTAATTTAGCCATGAATCACGATTTTGGTTTCAGCAGATGATTTTTGTCGATGGCTAGTGAAACATAGGCTCAGAGGACTATCTTAATAATAAGACAAATTCAGCCAAATTTAGCATCTCTGCGACTCGCCGTGCTACACTTGGGGTGCATGGACTCGTATATTCTCTTGCTTTCCCACAGTTTTATGCTGATAAAGCCAGATTGTAGTTAAAAAGTGTTGTAGGTATGAGTCCATTCTTCCCCACATCTCGTGTCAATGGAAATGAACTTGAGTTAAACAAAAATGAAAATAGTGCCTATTTATATGAGCTATAAGCCCTCTCTAACATTCGAGGATCCGGTATTATTTGTTGGAGTGACAGTTACGGAATTTCCAAAGTCAAATTTGATGAAAATCTTCATATTTAATCAAAAGGTATCCTACAATTACCCTAGAAGCATTCTTGGTATCTTGTCTTATTGACTTATTGGCCCTTACTCTTCTCATAGGGTCAGATGCCTATTGAAGCAGCTAGATCTAAGTTCTTTACAGACTCTCACATTCATCATCTCCACTAATTTAGTTATCGACTGAAAATAAAATGGCGCGAGTGCCTAAAAAATATTTGCACAACTGATAGTCAGCGACGCACGCGGACTATATGAGGATAAACTACTATACATCGTTCTATTACATTCTCATTTTCAGTTCTGAACCAGCTTTTCTTGGGCTATTTGCACTAATTTTCAACCTCGTAAATTTTATGTAATGCAATGCAATTAAGCTCGTAAACTCATGTCAAGGTTCTACTCACGCATAATGAAGCGAAATTGATCATTTTTAGCTAGTTCAGTAGACTCAAAGAACCAAAGTAGCAGCAACAACTACAAGACAAATCCAAGCAAGTTTAACATCTCTACCACTCCCCGCATTTGACTGGCGCTTTGCCAAGTACTCACCCTCTTGTCCCCCACAATACGATGCATTCAAAGTCAGATTGTAGTTGAATGTGGTTAAATTTTGAAACCCTTCCCCACACTTCAAGACCAACCCGGTCTCAGTTATCTCAGCGTCTGTAAGTCTCGCATTCTTCAACTTTTTTTTCATGGAATAAAAAGTCTGTTTTTGCCCACAGTAGTATGCATCTAAAGTCAGATTCAAGTCAAAAGTGGTGTAAGTTGTGCGGGTTGCCCCACAACCCACTTCCAACGCTACTATATTGGGCCACATATTGCAATTGAGTAAAACTTAAAACTACTATAAATCTGCAATACTCCCGTTTTATATACGCTACAGAAATCCCTATTTAGCCGCGAGGTCACCCACATGGTGTTTTATCTGTTGTGATAACGCCTAATATTATTTGGTGGTGGTTGAAGTACGATGGCCTATTTCGCGAGTGCTAAAAATAAATGCTTACGGAAGGCTTATTTCATTGAACAATGGGATAGTTAGCGAAGGTCTCGGGCTATTGTGAGGATAAACTATGCATTGTACTCGTGCAATCTTCCTTAAATTGGACATTTGTATAAGAAATTGAGTGTTCACCAAAGAAATGCGATGCTAGGCTCTCAACTTATGACAAGAAACAATCATACAATTACCAACTACTGTATCAGCCAGTTAAATTACAAGGCAATAGTTCGTTTCTGATCTCGGATCAGGATAGAAATCGAAAACTAGTTATTAACTCAAGGAAAACTAATAACTCTTAAAATACCTAAGAGTGTATCGATTCTAAATGTGCAATTATTGCCTACGAAGGCTTCAATGGCCTTTTAAGAATTCCCTAAATATCCATTGACCTTGTTGAATATCTCAAGACTTCATTTTCGTCATGCATGCAAGCTGGGATTTCGGATCAATAATTTGCAACCATTAAAACGCGAAATTAATTAATTTCTTGATAAGGGAAATGACGGATCACATTAATGATACAATTCAAAAAAGGAAACGTCGAAGACACGGTACGATTGAGGCGGAATACGAAGAGAGGAGCAAAAGCATTCATGCTTTTTGCGAAGAAATTAGGAAGTACCGAGAAGAAACTAGGAGAATCCATGAAGAAACTAAGAGGTACTATGAAGAAACTATGTGGATTCATGAAGAAACTATGAGAGTCCAAGAAGAAAATCATAGAGAACTTGTTGAAACAATCAAATCTATGATGAATCAAAAGCAAAGCCTGCCAACTACGCAAATCTTGCCAATTAAAAATAGTACGCAAAACTCGCCAATCGAAGTTGGTACACAAAGCCCACAAGCTATTGATGATGATACCCCACCAGCTATTGACCATAATACCCAAAGCCCGCAAGCTATTGACTGTGATACGCAAAGCTCCCCAACTATCGAAAATCCGCAATTCTCCCCAGCTATCGACAATACGCAAATCTCGCCAACTATTGATCATTGTGCCCAAAGCCGGCCAGCTATCGAAAATATGCAGATTTCCACAATTATCGATGATACGCGAATCTCCCCAGCTATCAAAAATACGCAAATCTCGCCAACTATTGACCATGATGTCCAAAGCCGGCCAGCTATCGAAAATCCGCAAATCTCCCCAGCTATCGACAATATGCGAATCTCCACAATTATCGACAATACGCAAATCTCCCCGACTATCGATAATACGCAAAACGTTCATTCTAGAGTTATCCACCTTCCTTTGAGCAATGGAAAAGTCCGTCCATCCCGAGATCCCCCAAATTACCCCGATGGTAGACCATGTATACTTGGCGTCGGTATTGAAACAGTTCCGCTTTTGATCGAAGAGTTTAACCATATTGAATCGTGTAAGTGGGTAAAGTGTCCCAGAGAAAGACAGTACATTCTGCTCCATCGATGTACGGTTGAATATGTGAGGATTTCATCGCTTACCACCCCGATTGTAAAGGGTTTTCTGCAAGTGGACCTTCTTGAGCTTTATCGAGTCATAAAGGGACTTAGAATACTGCAATTATCGGTGAAAATCAACACATTCAATGAATCAACAGAATCGGTGGGTGGTAGAGTGACAAAAAGATTCACTTCAAGAAGCAAGGAAATGGTCGATGAACTTCTTCGGGAATTTGTTTCCAAGTCGCCTGAAGTGTTCGCAACCTACCGATTACTCGATTCAAGTTATTTATAAGTGAAAAAAGGAGAGTTCTAGCTGCCTACTCAAAAGAATAGCAGTTTGAGTTTCAGCCCAAAGGAATAATTCTTAACGGCCAGAAACTGCTTTGCAACCATTTGGAACAACAAGAAATTACCTTGAATTTGAAGCCATGATGATAGTCTCCAGAACAGTGTGCTGCTTTTCTTTCGTGATTATTGTTCCAAGATTGTGCTAAGGGGATGTCCAGACCTCGCCAAACCGCTCAAAACTATGCAATTGCTGTGAAAAATGCAAGTGTTCCGCCAGTGCAAAATGAAATTGATGTAAAAGCATACGTTGAGCAACATCAATTCAGCCATACGTGGTACAAGGGAACTTCTGATGACTGATGTTTGCAAGTAAGGAAATAAAGGGGAAACGAAAATGTGAGAGTGGCCCTCTTCGAAAAAAAAGAAAATGGCAATCTCTTGATATCTAAGGGAGTTTGCTCAGATACGACTAACTTAAAGCTAATGAATTAATGATATTTCTGCTGTTTTTTCTCTGCACAAAGTAGCCTTTGGTAACAAAGCAATGGTGAGTAAACAGGAATACGATGTATCAACTGAATGCTAATGGGATTAAGCCAGCAATTTGAATGAAATCTCAAATAAAAAGCAGCATTCGATGTTCAAGTAGATTCATGAATTGAATGAAGTGAGAAATTACAAAATTCTGGAAAAATGCAAACCCTGAAAAATTGACCATTATCATTTGGTGATTTATTTTTGAAAAGTAATAAACAGTTACACGACAGTGGCTCCTATAGTACCCTTCACTAATTTCAGCTTGCTAGCTATGATTCTTTTTACGTATCTTCCATACCACCCATCACTGGTCTTGTCATAAGCAGTCAGATGAGCGGTTAGAATTCAAAAAGGATCCAAACTGACAGCTTCGAAACTCACCAAGAAGTAACTGGGCTCCTTCAACTCCTCAACAGAGCAATCTTCTTCACCACATTTCACAACCTAAATCAATTGTACCCTCTAGAACTGATAACGAGGTGCGAATGAAGCTTCGAGTCACAAGCCAATACTTCCATGGCAGATGAGATTCAAGGAGTCGGCTGGAGTTTAAGAGTAGATCAGAGAAAGTACCAAAGGTGGCACAGCTGCCAACAACTTCGAGTAGAGTACTCGCAAAATTGGCTGCAAATTCTGATATTGCCGGTGACTAAAACGTAGTTAGCCACAATTGCTTGAGATTACAAGAAGCACCGTAATAGAGGCTCTTATTGGGCATGAGTTAAGCGGTAAATCCAACTCTTTCTAAACATAGAACTCACAATATAAACTGAGAATGTTAACTTCTAGATAGAGTAGAAATAGAATTACTTTAGGACCTTGACATCTGCAAAAACAAAGGAAGTCATCAAAATTGTCCAACTTTCAAGAGCTAAACTGAACACCTATCAAATCACAGTCCTGTAAGACGTCTAAAAAGGTGGGAATAGGGCATGAATAAAAGTTGAAATGTTTTAGCTTCAGAACCATAGTTTAAAGGTCGTCCCATCCTCAATATTTATATGTTTATGAATAAGTCACCGGAGAGTCAAGGTATGAAGATGCGGAGAAGGCCATTTGAGTTACAATTTTAGTCTTTAAAGTTCACTGACTCCTCCCAGCTCATAGGGGTTATAATTGGCTGGCAATCGAAAAGGTCGTCCCATCCTCAATTTTAAAAGTCGAATTAGCACTTTTGAGACATACCAAACCTCTGGCGCGTGGGACAGTTTCAATCTCGGGTGACGTAGCTCGGATTTTCTCACCAAAAATTCGCGAAAAGTGGGACATATAAACAGTTAATCTGTCCCACTTTTCTAGATGCATGCGCGCAAAAGTTTGCAGCCGCGCGCTATAATCAAAATTTCCTCCCACTTTTCTCTTAAAAATGCCAATAGCCATTTACACTACAGTTACCTTTGGTAGGATGAGTATTCATACCAGAGACTATACTCTGATATATGTCTTTTGCAATATTTGAGAGAGTTGAAAGATTTTCGGAGAATATGAAACTTGACTCTAACCTTCCACTGAATCGATTGTTAAAAGCATGTTTACGAGACCTCAAGCTAAGTAAAAACTACCTAAAGTAAAGAATCGTAAAAAAGGGGAAGTCAATGGGATTAAGAATGGAAACGGTCAAATGAACCGGACCGTGAAATAACCTCTGTAGCCTAAAAGTAAAGATACTGCACATATGTGGTATCTTATTCGAAATCCCTGACAACTAACTTCTATAATTAACATCCCGCTTACGTTGGTCCCAGTCTTCTACCGGACCACAGCTGATAAAGCTAGGTATTGCCTCGCACTGTAGTACGAATTTACCATACTAAATAAAGTTTCGACCTTGGTTCGCTGACTAAAATGAGGGTCGAGCTGACATAAGCGACCCCGATTTCGACTAAATGTCAACTTTCCGGAGCCGCAAAACATGAAGATACAACATGCGTCACATTGACCAACTAGGTCAGCCGAACTCTATCGGCCGCTCCAATCTTGGAGCGTCCCGATCAATTTGAGAGTTTTTATCAACTCGTTTTTTCGACTAAATGTCAAGTTTCCGGAGCCGCAAATCATCGTAGAACAAAATGGACTGGAGTGCCCATCTAGTTCACGTGAGCTCTATCGGCCGCTACAATTGTGGAGTGCCCGGACCAATTTTGAGTGTTTTGATCGAGCCGTCGTCGCGGCTAAATGTCAAATTTCCGGAGCCGCAAATCATCGTATAACAAAATTGAGCACAATACCCATTTAGTTCACATGAGCTCTCTAGCCCGCTACAATCTTGAAGCGCTCCGATCAATATTGAAAAAATTTGTGTCAAAATTGAACTAGTTTTGAACCCATGAATGATGAGGTAATACTAAGCTTGTTATTATGTTATCAGGTTATTGTCATGTTATAGAAGGCTTCAATTCACGTATGGCGACGAGGAATAGTACATTTTGATGTATGAATCGTGTAGCATCACGCATCCTAATTTCGTCGATCTCAGTCTCATTTTGAACTTTGTTTGTTTAGCAGTATTCCGCACTGCATTTAAGGTATATAATAGGTTGAATGTCAAGGTTGTGCAATTGCAGATGATCATATTGCCTAATTGTTCAGCCTATCTTGTTGGGTTCTATTTCTTCTATACCCTTTCCTTTTCTCTGGGCTCAATTATATTATAAAAATTGTATTTTTCAAAAATTGCAAAATTGGAAAATTGTTACGAATATCGCTAAGTAAATCAAGTTTGAGCTAGAGCGAGAACATTTTGCAGAAACGCCCTTGAGCTTCTGCAGAATTCCCAGGGCTCCCGCTGGCTTTTGAACCCTCAAGTTGTGTAAAATGATTTACACTAGTTATCCGTCAAGGTGAACATAATTCAAACAATATACACAATGTAGTCCCGGTTGCGCGCATGTGCTTTAACTAGCAAAGTTTTGGACATTATACAAATGTGCGCACTACTGACCCGACACACGTATTGATCATTTCAATGGATATATGTCTTGGGGTGTCTGGATTTTTTAGTTCCAAGTAATTGTGAAGAGCACTGGGGTAATTGTAGTGATTATAAACTTTAGAGCATACTCCTTTATTCCCAAATTGGTCTATTCTAGCTTCAAGGATGTTGGCAGTTTGAACGATCACCACATATTTTCTTATTTTTGTTCCTGCATTGGTTCTTGTAGTGGAGGTTCTCTCTTACCTTTTTGCAACCTGACATTATATTCTTGCCTCGAAGTATTCTCTCTAAAGGAGAAACCGCTTAAGTCGGTAAAACTTCTCTGGTACTCTTTGGCTGTCTAAGACAAGTATAGAGCTTTATCGGAATTGACTCTTAAAAATCAACTAGAATCTTCACTTCAACTCGGAAGAGGAATCATTATTTCCTGATCTTCAAGACTCCATCGTTTATCTCAAGATTTTCGGTAATAATCAACCATATTTCTTCATCAATGCGATAGTCTTATATGATCGGCTAAATGTCAATGTTGTACAATCACAAATGATTTTACCTAACTGTTGAGGCATCATGTTAGCTCATCTTGTCGAACCCATCTCTTCCATGAGCCATACACTATCAGCTATTTTTAGGTCAACTTTGCAATCCAGTAGTATGTGAAGCCGCTTTATGCAGGTGCCGTGGCTGCGGAGAGGACTAGTTAAAAACTACCCAGACCGTATGTTAACATCTTAAGGACCCGTACCTGAAGAGGTGACTATCAGTGGTGACGGAATCAAGACTGAATCAAGGCTTACCCGTGTTTTTCTAATTTTTTCATTTTAAAAAATTTTTCATTATTTTTTCATTACTTGTCTACCACTTGTCTACCACTATCCACATTTTGTCTTTTCCCCTTTACATTTGTGCATAATACCACTCGGAATATCGTTCCATGCTTCACCTAAACCCGAGGTTCTGCAGCTATGCCTTCTCTTTCTTTTCTTGACTTTCCCTTTTCGTCCTTGAACCGCCTTTCTGTTTCATCCGCATTTTATCTCCTCCGCTTTTCCGCCCACTCTCCCCTATATGGCTGTTTCGGGTTTGCCCGTGGCCTGCCCGTGGGTTGCCGTCAGCTCTATATGCCCTCCCTTGTGTATCTCCGGGCACCATCTAGTTGCCCGATTTGGCTGCGAAAGGGTCGTCTGCCGCATCGAATGTGCATATTTCTCATGCAAGTTGAATGGAGAAAGAAGTGGTCCCAAACTTGATCCGAGCTTCGAAAACTATAAAGAGGCATGGTTCCGACTCATAACATCATCATCCAACAACATGAAGTTCTCAACTGCCTTCGTTTCTACTTTATTTGCAACCTACGCTGCCGCCGCACCTCTTGCTGCAGCATCTGATAAGATTCCAGTTCCCTTCCCAAAGAGTGCTGTCAACCAAATTGTGACTATTGACGAAACCAATGCTCCAATTTACCTCAACAACAGTGGAACTATCACCCTTTTCCTTGTGAACACCACCGTTAAGGAGGAAAGTCCAGAAAAACGTGAGCTTGGTGAAGTTGCAACCGGCTACGAATTCAATGCTGCTCAGTATATGAAGCGGGAAAGCTTTCCCATTGAAAACTTGGTGCCTGAGTCGAGCCTTGAGAAGAGAGAAGACAAGAAGAACTCGAGATTTTTGACTTATTGGTTTTTCCAACCAATTATGAAGAGAGGAGAGGAAGAGACCTCGGAAGTAGTGAAGAGAGAAGCTAAGAAAAATTCCAGATTTTTGACCTACTGGTTCTTCCAGCCAATTATGAAGAGAGAAGAAGATATCGTTGCTGGAGACGAGATGGTCAAGAGAGAAGCCAAGAAAAACTCTAGATTTTTGACCTACTGGTTCTTTCAACCAATTATGAAAAGAGAGGGAGGTAATGAAGTGGAAAAGAGAGATGCAAAGAAAAACTCCAGATTCTTGACTTACTGGTTCTTCCAACCAATTATGTAGTTTCTTATTGACTAAACAGGTATCACTGATATACTGGCAGGACTTCATTATTCACCTTCTTCAGATTGACTTCGGGCTTTGTGGCTTTTATTAATAAACTTGTTCAACTAGTTGAAAATTATCAACTCTCTTCTCTTTTCTCTTGTTCTCTTTCTCTCTCACCTAAACTTCGTTACGGCGAAACTTGAAAAAGTGCTTTGGCTGAGCCTGCTGTGAGCCGTAGGGCTCTACTGCCGTACGGTCAAAAGACGAAGACGAAGTAGAGCGTGCTGGCTTGTCTTCATAAGGTTCTGTTCTCTTTTGCACTTTGCGAGCACCAGCTGTTCCACTCACCACACACATGAAAATAAAACTCAAAAGCAAGCAAGCTACTGCTGCCCAAGTAATGGCAAACATCTTGACGCCGAGGTTTGCAGACATTCCTGCGTCTCTGAACGCATTTCTTCCCTTAACGTGAGCAGCAGTCATCACTGATGCACCGGCTGCCACGAACAATAAGGCAAGACCAACGGCCAATGACGAAAGAATTCCGGAAACGAAGCCAGAAAGACAAATCGAAAGCGCAACGGGAATCAATGCCACCACGGTGAAGAAAATACCAATAAGGAAGAACACATATGAGAACCGAGTCAAGTAGTAGTAGGTGTCTCTATGAGAAACAAACGACTTTGGAATGCCCTGTTTGGTGGAAAAGTTGTCTTGAGGCGAGAAAGGGTAAGCTGGAGCAGCCGACAAACAGTTGGAATTGCGACCGTCTTTGACTCCACACATATTGTAAGAAGTCCATCTTGTCTTTGGAAAGTTGGCCTTGGAGATGGAGCTGGTTTCGGCTTCAGACCAGTAGAAGTCACCAAGAATAGATGAGTTGTTGGCACCCACAATGTTCATGAAAACAAGAAGCAATGTCGAGCCCAAGAGGAGGATCAAGGGCACGATGGTGAAGATTCGTCTGAGCATAACGGTACTAAGTGGCTGTGAAAGACTGCTAAATGAGATAGGAAGTGACTGCTAATGAGACTGAATGACTGTGAGTGAAGTGACTGTTAATTCTGTCGCAAAACTCTTTTTCTTTTAATGTGACAGTTCTCAGACTGATACGATTACTGATGACTGTTAGGAACCTTGAACTGGCTAGATTAATAACAAACTTTTTCTGTCTCTGTCTTATGACTTTTTCTGAGTCTGTGACCGAGCCTCACCTTATGTACCTGATTTCAGATAGATTGCTGTCTGTTTGTTTTGGTCCTAATCGAGCTAATTGAGGGACCCTTTAATTTTTAATTTCTTTGCAAATTTGCTCTTTGTTTCTCACGGATATCGATGTTGTCAAACACTTGCAAACATCTTCTCCTGCCTTATATAGCCTGTTCACAGCCTCGCCGTGACCATAGATTTTCGCAGCCGTTGCTGTTGCCGTGACTAGCCAAGCCCCGCCGCAATGAACGTCGATGCACCGCGCGGCTGACTGCGGTGCAGGATCGGGGTCGCAACCGGCCGGCCGATCTGTCGCGCCGGTGCACGGGAGTCTTGCCCCGCTCACTTGATAAACTTTGCCAGTTGATGGTTGACCAATGTCCGTCAAAAAATGTTGCTGAACTCGTGTAAGCTGCCGGAAACGCCTGTGGTGTCCCCGAGGATCTCCAGGAATGGTTCTGGGCTCGATATCGACCCAATGAGTCCGGTTTCGGATCCGATGACGATGTCGCTGCCCACGAAAAGTGACGCCGGTGACGCTATGGACGACATGGTGGCCATTGGCAAGGACTACGTGAAGCTCTCGACCAAGCCTTTGTATGAAGGTGCTTGTGGCGTGCTTTACAAGGCCACGGATGCAAAAAAAGTGGGCACTTTTGTCATCAAATATCTCAAGCGACCGGAGTCTGAAAATCTCCAAACTTACCATGACCAGGTGTTACGAGAGTACTTCAATATGAAACGTGGACACCACAAGAACGTGTGTGTGGCGGTGGCGTTGGCACAGGACCCGAATGATGGCACTTTGGCTATCGTATTACCGTACTTTGCCCAGGGCGATCTTTTGGGATTTCTCTCCGAAGTTCGCCGAAACAAAAACGATATTCCAGGAAACCTCCGAGACGCCATATTCAAGCAGATTGTTCGCGGCACCGCATTTCTTCATTCGAAAAATATTGTTCATCGAGATTTGAAGCCGGAAAATTGTCTCATCGACGATGAAGGATGCATCAAAATCTCCGATTTCGGTTACTCGCTCGATCTAAATTCCGACCCCGAGGAGCTCTGGAACCTGGTTCTCGCAACCCGACAGTCCGTATGCTGTGGAACCAACTCTTTCAAAGCACCAGAACTCTTCAAATTCGAAGCCGCATTGGATTCTGCCGACTGCGAGAAAGATACCATGTTGGAGATTCGAACGAATATTAACTTCAAATCACTCGATTGCTGGTCGCTAGGCATTTTCTACTTTAACATCTCCATTATGACAGTTCCATGGACCAATGCCACCACCGACAACAAAAATTACGTCAAGTACGCGGAACTATACCCTATGAACCAACGACATTTGGTTGACGTTGCCCAGCAAATGGACGATAAAACTTTCAGTACCAAGCCCAATCCTGCTTTGGGGGTGTTTCGCAAGCTTCATTACGATGCCAGAGTGGAACTTCTTAAACTTCTTCACCCAGACAATAACAAACGTCTAGGGTGCAATGAGTTGTTGAAGTCTCAGTGGTTGACACAAGTGTGGGCCAAGCCCGGAGACTTGCTACGAGTTAACGAACGAAGGTACAGTTGAATCTGGTGACAATATATGGTTTGGAAATTGTGAGTGAAGAGTCATGACATGAAGTCTTTTCTCTTTTCACTGTTATGAGTTATGAGAAGAATGTGGTTTTGGTAAGTCTTGAGATTTTGGGTTATGAAAGAAGATACAGCTGTCATGGAGAATTGTATTTTAAGATTAATGACAAGGTATAATTTCATTAATTTGAAGTCTATGGTTGACGAATATGAAAGGCATAAACTGATAAATTGCAGAATCTTAGGTTAATGAAGCTAGGTTCATATGTATAAATGTATATACGAAGCTTATAAAGTATCGCCGGGCCCTCTAATATTATTTGTCAGTTCATTTTGTTTCAAGCCTAAAGTTGAGATGAAGTTTTTGTTTTTGGCTTCTAGTTTCGTAGCATCTTCGAAGTCAAGTCGTGAATTTGGCTAAAAGCTAGTTAATAGATTTGAACAAACTTTTTTGATCAATGACCACTCATCTTGTACTTTTGACCTACATTGAGTCTCCGTTATACATGAATTAGTTGATCTCATATAATACACACTTAAATTACACACTAAGCAACAAATTGAAATTAACTGCCGAGTTCTTATTTTATTTCTGGTACTGGAACCCATAGCTCACGCCATTGGCATTGGTGGTAGATGTACCTGTTCCTGGTACCTGATTAGCCGAACTTCGACGGGGGTTTCCTGGTCCACGAACTCCCAATGGATTTTTCGAAAATGATAACCGAATTCCTCCTTTGCCATTGCTTCCGTTGGGACGGGGAAGTGCACGTCCATACAACTCCGCCAAAGCACGGGTTGCATGGGCGACGTCTTCAAACTCAACGAAGCACATGGGCCCATGATTATGACTAGTAGCACTGCTGGGGCCAGCAGAAGACTGGTTTTTGGTGCGGAATGAAAGACGCCGGAACCCTTTTTGGGGCAGGAAAAGTGCCCGAAGTTCGGCTTCGGTAGCGTCTGGAGGAAGGTTTCCAACATACAAAGTATTGCATGGAGGGTTTTGGTCCGCGGGATTTGCTGGAGGCGGTACACGGGCGAGGAGCGACAAGTCAGGAACATCTTTGCGTCCCAGACTGGTTTGTGCACCTTGAGCAGACACTGGAGGCAGAGACTGTCCAGATTGAGATTGAGGCTGAGATGTAGGCGTTCCCGTGGTGGATAGCGTGGGGGCAGCAGGCTGTCTTTGGTTTTGTTGAGATGACGAAGGTGCTGACTGGCCACCGGTGGAGGTTTGTGGTTGGGATGGGTTCATTCCTTGGCTTTTAGAAGGTTGGGAAGCAGCGCCCGCTGATTGGCTGACACTTTGACCAGGTCCTTGGTTCTGTGGGGACTGGCCCTGAGAGTTTTGATTATCCATAAACTGCGAAGGAAGTCCTTGCATCATTGGTATGACTCCATTAGAAAGGTTAGGGTGGATATTGTTTGAGCCACTGAAGAAAGCCGACGAGGTTCTCCGACGGTCAGACGACGCTGGGTTGGAGGTCCAGTCAAAAGACGAAGACATTCCAGGAGTCTGGGGCGCAGAGGCCGCAGGAAGGTTACCCACGGACGCCAGCCAGGGATCGCGCACAAGGTTATCGTATTCTCGAGCGTCACTTTGAGACTCCATGAGCAAAAGCGACTTTCCGGTAATATCAGAAAGATCAATGGACGGTCCAGAACCGCCAGATGCCGATGCAGGGGCGCCCGATGTGAACGGATCGCTGAAAAGAAACCGAGACCGTTGGTTTCCCACGCTCAGGCGTTTGGGGAATGCTTCGAAACTGTGGCCCGAGGTAGGAGGACCGGCCAGGGCCGCGGAGCTGGACTCGGGACCAAACTGCTGGGGTTGTTGGTTGGTTTGGATGGAGAGAGGCGGCAAGCCGGAATTGGATAACCGCAACGAGCCAAGCATGGACGACAAACCAACACCGGAGGTCGCGGTGCTAGCAGCCATTGACCCATCATATTCGGCTCGAATGGCACCAAGTGATGCGCCAAAAATAGCCCTGCCATCGAGCATGCGTGCGGCTGTAGCGGCGGTGGTGGCGGATTTAAACCAGGCGTGCACCTTGTGGTCTTCAGACACCTCGACGGACTCTACATCGTCGTACACCAACAGAAAAATTGCGGCGGCTTCTCGAGGCGAGATATCCAATGGCACATTACTGAGAACGATATGGCCCAATTGGCCCTTTTGAGGCGGTTGGGGTTGTTGGGGTGGTTGTTGTTGCTGTTGCTGGTGGGGTTGAGATGATGGCTGATGCAGTGGAGGGGGAACATGGGCCGACGACGACGGAAGTGGAGGAAACGCCGCTTCGTTCATGAGTGAACCCTTCGATGCCACCAAGGAATACGGTCCCTCGGACGTCATTATGGGTTCAATGCAGTGGTTATGCAAAATGCGACCGGGAGGTCGATGCTAAAATATAATGGTTGGGGGAGGGTCAATAAGGAAGCAATGACCGGTAGGTTGATTAGGTTTGGGTTATAAACAATTGTGGCAATTTATGACCCAAAAACAACACCGAATGCAACAAGTAAAATAGGATTCGCACGCAAGATACACGCGAAAAAACGAGGATTGGATGAGCTTTGGGGACTGAGGATGTCGGTAGCACGGATCTTGATGATGGTTCAAAGCGTTTTGCAATAGGATTTCTGACTGTTGACTGTATATACACCTTGACACAAAGGTTTTAATTTTTTAATTGTCGCACCAAATTTGCGGTGCAGTCCGCACTACCAAAAAAATTATAATGGCTGGCGACCGGTCGCTAGTACCGTTTGGGCTGGCGTGGGGCGGGCTGGGGGGCGGATTACCCGGCCAACGGGCGTGCCGGTGCGTCGCACAAGCACGTGCAGCCTTCACGTCACGCGCCTCATATCACGTGAGAGTACATGTGATTCGAAATTGCCCACTTATCTCCCCATGAACGACGCCAACGTCAATGCCGCATGCTTAGACTTTCTCGTCCAGGAATTGGTTCCCACCGCGGTCCGTGTGTCCAGCAGGCTCCTGGAGACTTCCGGGCGTGATTCGGACGCGGATATTGCTACTCGTGTGGATCTGAAACTTTCACTGATTCCCAATGATTTTCCCGGTTCGGTGGCTGCGGTCAACTCACAGCTCGTTAATAGTGATGATGTGACGCTCCGAATAGAAAACTGTGGATATAACCTTGGAATACGGCTCGCCGACCTTTTGGCATATAAAGCATTTTCTGGACCGTCCAGTGGAAAAGTGGTGGATATTCTCGACATAATGAAGTTTGTTTGTCGCGATGTATGGAAGGCGTTGTACGGCAAGCAGATGGATAACTTGCGTACGAACCACAGGGGAACGTTTGTGCTTGTAGACAATGGTCATAGAATGATAGCTCATCTAAGCAGCTCCAAGGGAACTGCAGATACGTTAGCTAAAGCGCACACATATTTGTGGTATCCATGTGGAGTCATAAGGGGTATACTTTATAGTTTTGGAGTGGAAAGCGGAGTTAGTGCCGAGATCTCACAGTTTCCAGCAGTGACATTTAACATCCAAACGTCGATAAATAACTAAATAAAACCACGCTCGAAAACTGCATTTTGACATTTCGCATCGCATTGCATTGCATCGATATTACCTACATGATCCGATGCCCATTTCGGCTCAATCGTTATTTGACCACCGCCCCCAAACCACACCTCCATTTGCATCTTCTGACTCCGCTGCCACCATCGAGACCGTCGTTCAAAACCAGGTACATCGTCAACAACTTTTTCCATGCCGTTGCAACGAAAAATATCACCGATGCTCGCACCTACTTGCGACACCTTAAACTTAAAACCACATCGCAGAAGTCGCTTCCCGTATACATTGCTTGTCTCGATCTCTTCGCCACATACTTGCAGCAGGCGGGACCACGACTAAACCTTCAAGATATCAAATATATTGCCGATGAAATTTCGAGTTCAAATGTTGCAAAGAGTGAGAAAAATGACAATACAAACACAATTGCTTCCAAGTTGGTCAATTGCCTCGAGCAATTACGCCAGCTGCCCCGAACCTCGCCGGCACTCGTTTCTGCCATAGATGAATTTGCGGCTTCCATAAATGAAAAGTTCCAAATTTCACCATTACCTGCGACCGAGACGGCACTGGTCAAAGGTGCCGTAATGAACTTTAAGGACTTGTGTGACTATATATCGTCTACAAGGTTTCTGAAATATGGAACCGAGGAACCTATGTATCAAATTTACCAGGAACTTTCACCGGCAGAAAAGGAACAATTCATGTCCGAGTATTTGGCCCATAATACACAGCGACAACTCTATGTGGAAGCACACTGCACCTCGTTGGTAAAACGAGCGGTTCTGAAACGAAATCCCCATTCACTTTTGATTGATATGTGGACAAAGGAGTTGGAGAACGCAATAGCTCACTCTAGTGACGAAGTGTTACACACATATTCCGGTATACTTGAACTAATTCCTAAACCTACAATATGCACTGTTGTTGTCAACACCATCCACTCGCTCTGTGTTCGAGCAGATAAAGGGTACGCTAAGCTGTTTCGAGTGGTGGAGAAAATCGTGAACTCTTTTAATCATCTTGTAATTTCCCAGCCAGAGTTTGCTAATTTTCGCAAACATTTTTTCACTGTTTTCACAAAAGAAGATGGTATAAGGCTCTTCTCCCATTTGGTCAAGTTGGCCATTGAAAATTGTACTATTCCACCACAACTAGTGTACAAATCGTTTCCTAAAAACACCCATTATCTCTTGGACTCCAAGGGTGCATTCTCCAAGAATCAAGCATTTATTCTTCTGATGATCAAGTCGCCGGATTCAACCTCATATCGCCAAGTTGGCACCATAGTTCCACATCCGTTTCTTGTGTATGATTTTAAAGGCAGACAAGAAATGCCGGAAACAACATCCATTTTGCTTCCCATGTTAGTTCCCGCTCGTAACTGGACTTCTCCAGACGAAGGTGGGTACCTTGGAGATTTGCAGCCAATTTTGCACTCTGATTTTACTGAAAAATCCTTGCAATATCTTCGCCTAGCAAACCGTACCAGTCAGCTACAGTCCACTTTCAAGGGCCTTGACTATCTTGGCTCCCAGGCTTGGGCGGTCAACTTGTCTATGCTAGAGGTATTTTCAAGTGCAATGCAACGCAGCGATGGAATGTTGAATATAGTACCACCAGTATCATCCATGGAAGTTAATATTCCTCCAAACCCATCACGGAAAGATTTTGGTTCGGAAACGGAATATTATATTGCATTGAAAAACGTCAAGAAAGAACGAGAAAAAAGGTTGCAGGAATTCCACAACTTGAAAGGTCTTCGTGTGGAGTTGGAAACGCTACTCAAGGCAGCTCGAGCATTTGGTGCTAATGGAGATATGGTGTATCTTCCTCACCAACTTGATTTCCGTAGCCGGGCATACCCTATGGTATCTGTCCTCTCTCATTATCAAAGTGATCTCGTGAGATCTTTACTAACATTTTGGCATTCTAAGCCCTTGGGACCTGATGGAGATAAATGGCTCCGTTACCAATTAGCAGCACATTATGGCATGGACAAGTTGAGCCTTGATGGCAGGTTAAAGTTTGTTGCTGATAACATGGAAACTATTTTGAAATGTGCACAAAATCCGTTTGGTGAAGTTTGGTGGCAGAAAGCTGAAAAGCCCTGGCAAACCCTAGCAATGTGTTTTGAATTTGCAAAGCTTCAAAAGTATATCGCCGAAGGAAAAAGTGTCCACGACTATCCTTGTCGACTTCCAATTTCTTTGGATGGTTCGTGTAATGGTCTTCAGCACTATGCTGCACTTGGAGCGGATAAATTGGGGGCCCAATCTGTGAATGTAATGCCGAGTGAAAAAGATAATGGTGTACGTCAGGATGTGTACTCTGCGGTGTTGGAGATAGTAACTCAAAAGGTACTCAAGAGTGAAGCTGACGAACCCAATATTACATCTTCATTGGCCAAACATCTACTCTCCAGAAAACTCATAAAACAAACCGTAATGACCAGTGTTTATGGAGTAACGGCATTTGGAGCAGCAGCACAGATAAGAAACAGGATCAGTGATGTCATAGACCTGGCCGATAAGCTAGAACCTAAAATTCGAGAAGAGGTCAAAACTCACCAAAATAAAATCGCCCTCTATCTTTCAAAAATGGTGTTGGATTCCATCTCCGAGCTCTTCAGTGGTGCCAGAAGGCTACAGGACTGGTTACTTCTCAACTGCTATAGGATCATTTCGTCGTGGGATGAAGCAACTTTGGTTTCGTTGGAGTCGGAAAATATCGAGGTGGACTTTTTCCTCAACAAGTTTTACCGGCCCATGATGTGGACTTCAGTTAGTGGCTTTCCTGTTGTACAAATCTACCTCAAGCCTCAACGACAGATCTTGGAAACATCATTGCAAAGGTTCTCTCTTCAGAAATGGACAAAACCTTCGCCGGTGGATATCCAGCGTCAATTGAACGGAGTTGCACCCAACTTTATCCACTCGCTTGACTCTGTACATATGTTCATGACTTGTTTGGCAGCGAAGGCGGAAGATATAGCGTTTGTGGCTGTTCATGATTCTTTTTGGACCCATTCGAGAGACATTGAACGGTTATCGACGATAATCAGGGAAGAGTTTGCCAGACTCTATTCTGCTCCCATTGTCGAGTCGTTGTTGGAGGATATGCAAAATACCGTTCGGAACTCATACCAGCTAGTCTGGCTTGAAAATGAATCCAATGCGTCTTTAGTTCGGGAATTGGTTGTGCTTCGGGGACTCAAAAATAGACACACCAGTAGCGGCACCAATAGGGCTCTCAGACGAGAATTAGCCGACAATTCTCAGGTGGAAGAATTGCTCCAAAAGTACAAACCGAAATTGTACCACCAAATGGCTGGCAAACTTATGCAATATGACGATCCCACCAAGGTGAAAAATGGCTCCATAGGTATTAAAACCTGGACTCCGGTTTTCACAAGAGTAAGGCTTCTTGAGGCTCCACAGAGGGGAGATTTGCAGATCGAAGATGTGATAAAGAGCAAGTACTTCTTCAGTTAGTCTTAGCTGTACATAGAATCATCATTCGTCAATCATACGTTGCAATTTGCCGAAAATCTTATCACGGTGCAATGCCACTTCGTCGTCTTCGTCATGGGCGAAAAACCGTTGTCGTTCAAATTGCTCGTGTTCGCTTTCAGACCCATCTTCAACAAAGTTTACTGGGCTATCGTCGCCATGAAAGAAGTTTTCGTAAAGTTCATCGGTATTTCCGAGCTCGTCTGGTGCCTCTTCTCCATCCTGAAGTATCACTTCTGGGTCCAAACCCTCGGCATCTTCGTCGCTGGGATAATCGTTTTGGTAGAAAGATTCAGCATTGGAATCCTCGTCGTCGGAATACACCTTATGGGCCGTATCGTCTTCCTCATCGGACTGGTACAAGTCGTTTTCCTCGTCGAAAAAACGAACGTAACCGATCTGGGATTGAGGATGGTTGGCCGATGTCATCGGTTCCGAAAGGTGGTAGGTATCATAAACATATTCGCTAGGAATTTCAACAGGAGCAGAATTCTCAGCATTTTCCTTACGGTTTCTTGTCCTTCGTTTATGACTGGAATTGTTTTCGGAGCCATTGACATCCAAAAAAGACTGTACCATATCTGAGAGCTCATCGGGAACTGCTGGGTCCTCCCACAGCGATTTTGGAAGGTAAAATTTTCGTTTTTTCAGGGCCCCCACGTCTTCAGCGAGTACTGAGAAGACCGCATCGCCAGCTAATTCCGAGGTCCCGGCCAGGGCCAAGAGGTAGTAGCTGCTACCCCCGGAAGTTGGGGTAGTTCTCAATGGAGTACCTGGTCTCGAATTGGCAGGGGTGTTTTGTTTTGAACGTTTGGAAGCGGGAACATTCTCAAGCACGAGCGCCTGGAGAGGATCCTGACCTCTTTTCCGCTTGACTCGAAGCACATTGGGGCGGGAAACAGACATGGTCCGTTGGATAATTCGCCTGACGTAATATTTAGGTGAAGTCTCGCGAATAAAATGGCTTGTGTGCAGTCTGTTAGATTAAAGGTTTTTGCACCCAAAAGTAGGTCTATGGATCCGGAGTCGATCGTTTCATTTGCATGTCGTGCTAGCAATGGGCTTGGGGTGCTTTCATCCCGCTTTCTCGGACACCGGTACGACCCAAAAATGGATGTTGTACTTGTGACTGGTGGATCCCATGGGTTGGGATGGGAGTTAGCTTGTCAGGTGATCAAGTTGCAAGGCGTAGTAGTGGTTATGGATGTCCAGCCACCGCCGGAAAGAGAAGGATTATACTTCTATCAGTGCGACGTGAGCGACAAGAACCAGGTTTTGGAGTGCCAAAAGAAAATCTTCAAGGATGTTGGGATTGTGACCGTTCTTGTGAACAATGCCGGAATTACCAGTGGAAAAAATGTGCTTGATTTGACATTTGAAGAAATCGAACACATTATAGCGGTCAATTTGACCGCCTGTTTCTATACCGTGAAGGCTTTTCTTCCTGATATGATAGCGGAGCATCGAGGCTATATCGTCACCGTCGCATCGGTATTGGGATACATGTCTCCCGCCCAGCTTTCTGCTTACGGTGCTAGTAAAGCAGGACTTATAGCATTGCACGAGTCGCTCACGTACGAATTGGGACCTCCGTCGACCAGTCCCCGAGGAATCAAAACGCTATTAATTTGTCCTGGTCAAATTCGGACCGGGATGTTTCTGGGTGTCCACACTCCGTCGTGGATAGCTCCGCAGCTTGAACCTACGGATGTGGCAGCAGGAATCGTCACAGCCATTCTTATGGGCCAGAGAGGCGAAGTACGCTGGCCGCTTTATACCAATTTGTTGCCTTTTTACCGTGGCCTTCCATGGCAGGTCTCTGAAGTTGTTCGGTGTATGACGGGAGTCGACACCAGTATGAGCACCTATGCAGCTGACCAACTCAATTAGCCAACGAGATCGTTCATGTACAAGCCGCGGGCCGACCACATCGGCATCGACATGTTGTAGGAAATCTTCACGTCTTTTCTGTATAGATGCAATTGCAATGGCTCGTCTGGGTACTTCAATGTAGCTGCTTGGCCGCCCATGTGGGTATAGTTGTACTCGACGGAAGCGTTGTTGAAAAACAGCTCCAAATCGTCGTCTTGTAGTCTCACGGAAAGAGCAGTTTCTGGGTCGAGAACTTGCGAATGGGGTCGGTGATCTGAAATTATTATTTCCAACGATCTGTAGAACGGATCTCCCAACTCCACGCTATTTCCTCGCGACTGGAAGTACTGCTTTCCACAAACAAGCGTCCAGTCGTCTGGAATCGTAGCCACTACAAACGCATTGACGGTTATAGTGCGGCCAGCGACGTCCTCTTCCTTGGCGCTTAAAAGACGAGAGACCGTCCACAGGGGGACTACATCCTCTACTATGGCGCGGTGGTTACTGGCAGGCACCTCGGTTTCGACGACAGAGCTGTTTGTGGAAATGTTGGACTGGGCTGTATTGTAGGCTTGCTGAGCATTGTCGAAAGAAATGTGGTGTATTTCATCATTATCGTCATTATCGCTGTCACTAGGGTCCTGAGACGACCCCGTAGAGTGTAGAGGTGGAGTGGGCTGGCGGTCTGGAAATTGTAAGGACTCCGCTTCGGCAGCGGCTTCGAGCTTGATTTGCGACTGTGCTGGTTGTTCGGTTCTGTTGACCACCAGCTCCGACAGCGAGGTTTCAGTGGTTTTCAGCACAGGGTTTCCAAGTAGACGGTTGACCATATCGAATCTTGTTTGGTTTTCATGAATTAATTGTGGGTAAAGTTGATTTAGTTGAACAAGTATTCGAGACCAATTCTGGTGTCGCAAGTTTCCATCCGCCAAAGCTATATTCACAAGTCTCCCTTCCAATATGTCGTCGTATTTCTTCAATTGAACCCGTACCTTGACCAAGCAGAGCTGGTGAAACAATGGAATCATATCTTCGGAGGTGGACCCGTGCTCTAAGAGTTCCTCTCTGAACACATTTCGGTACATTTGGAAAAACACCTGGAATCTATTGACATAAGCGTCCACCTGGAACACTTGCAACGCGTCCAAGTGACCTCCAGGAAGGTCCATCGCGTTATACAAACCTATCTTTTCGTTCATGGTAAAATCAGTAATTGCGAGTCTTAAAGGTTTGGGTGCCGTATCCATTTTTATTCCTACAAGAAGCCCATAGACGTCCTTGTACACTCCCTGGGATAACTCGACATAGGGCAAGTCCGATATGAGACAGGAATCGTCTGGCATGGTGGAGAGGTGATTGAGATTTAGAGTTGAGATTTGAACTTATGAAGTATAACGGTTGGTATATGCAGTCTAAACCTTCACTTTTATATCGGTCATTTTTCTTTCAGTTCATGGCCATTCGTCTTTCGTCACGACCGGTAGTCGCCGTTGATGGTAACGTACTCGTGACTGAGGTCACAGGTCCAGAATTTGGCTTCCTGGCCTCCTCCAGTTCCGAGGTCAATTTCGATTTCGAGGTCTTCCAACTCAAGAATCTGCGCTGCCCGTGCTTCATCCACAGACTCAGGCTCGCCATCTACAAGTAAAGGCAATGGTTCCAGGCCGTCTGTGGGGACAAAAGTTACACTTGTTCTGTCGGGAATAATGGACTGAGCAGTGCTGACGTCAGAGTAGCCAATGGCACACAAAATACGGCCCCAATTGGCATCTTTGCCGAACATGGCGGTCTTAAACAAGGAGGAATTGGCAATTGAGGAAGCAATGGACTTGGCGTCTTTGTATGAAAGAGCATCTTTGACTTTCAAGGTGATGAATTTCGTCGCACCTTCACCATCGCGAACAACCAATTGTGCTAATTTTTGAGCAAAAGATGTCACCTCCTTCTGAAGCTCAAAGTAAGACTCCGCACATGACGAATTGTTGTCGATCAAGTCACCTCCAGCAGCTCCATTGGCAATGGCCACAATCGTGTCGTTGGTGGACATGTCTCCATCGACAGAAATGCTGTTGAACGATCTATCTGTGGCATACGACAAGATTTGCTGGAGAGCTTTGGCGGAAACAGGAGCATCTGTGACGAAAAATCCCAATAATGTGGCCATGTTAGGACATATCATACCGGCGCCTTTGGCCACACCAGCCATGGTATATGTGTTGCCATTGATCTCAAAACTCTTGCTAACAAGCTTGGGAAACGTATCAGTAGTGCAAATTGCATTGGCACAGGCTAACCAGTGGTCGTGGGAGTCACCTACTTGCAGTTCCAATTTGGGTATACCTGATAGTATATTATCAATTGGAAGCTTGTTTCCAATAACTCCAGTAGACATCACCAAGGTAGAGTCCTTATGGTCCCCAAACACAGAATCCGTAACCATAGCCATGGCTCTGGCATCTTCCATACCTTTTTGACCTGTAACAGCATTGGCATTCCCACTGTTCACGATGATGGAATTGATACCCACGCCATTTTTTTGCTTGATTGTGGCTGCCAGCACTTGCACAGGAGCTGCTTTGAACTTATTCTTCGTAAATACAGCGGCAGCATTGGCATCCTGGCCAAAAGTGTTGTGCAAAACTGCCAAATCTGGCGACTTTCCGTCCTTTTTCACTCCACAGTGAATGCCTCCAACCACAAACCCTTTGGGATACACACCCCCCGAGGGTACAAATCTCGCAGCCTTGGTGGATAGTAATCGAATACCTTTGTTGACAACCATATTTTTCACAAATTGTCCCAAGGAAAATTTAAACTTGAGCTTATCTATGAGTCAAGTCACGTGCGCACATTCGCGACTTTTTTTGTGCCTCGAAATTTTCAACTGTTTCAATCATGGCCAAGGTAGGAAGCACTGCCATGTTCAAGGGCCTTCCCAGTTCCAGGACATGGAAACAGGCGGCGAGGCTAAACCAGATCGCCGGAACGCCTCAAACAGCTTACAAATTCGATCCAAAGTACACAAAAATCGAACTTTTGCTCATCCAGAAAAACGTCTTTGCACCGGCTTTTGGACTTCGTCGGTTTTGGAGACAGAATCTCCCCACTCTCAAATTCCACAACGACGACGTAGACTTCGTACTCACCAGAATAGCCACCAAAACCAAGGAGGACTTGGCCAAGTGTCCCACAAAGATAATACTTCATCATGCCGATGGCTCGGTTCAAGAGCTTGATTGCAGCAACAAGCACTCAAACAAAATTCTCAAGGAGCTTGTAGCGCTCTCGGAGGCAAAGGCAGTGCCCAAGGAAGAGATCCCCGTCGTGAAACATGCCGGTGAGGAATTGTAAATAGCCCATAGTAAATGCATCATTCAGCTAGTCAAAAACTCCATCAACTGGTTCTTGCCCTTGATTTGCATGAGTTTCTTGATTTGCACCAACTCGCTGATCTCGTCTTCAGTGAGCTGTTTGTCTTTTTTTGAGAACTTTTGAAAATTTTCCGATTGTAGCTGGCTGGTAGCGACCTCCACCAACTCCGCAAAGTCAATCGACTTGTCTTTCTTTTCCATGCTCTGCACTTGTCGAAAATCTATGAGACCCAAGACGCCGTCCCGCTCGCTTTCATTCGTTTCCAAGCGACTCATGTCCTCGTAAGGCTGCAAATTGCGAAGAATATCTGCCTTTTTCGACTTGTTCACTTTTGTGAAAAAATCAAGAAGAATCAGTTCTTCTGGAACCCGATAAACGAATGAGCCCATTTGCTCTTCGTTGGTCAACGTTAACACTTTCTTGAGCCTTTTTCCGCTCTTGGCGTAGATTCCCCCGGCTCCAGCATAAGTTTGCAAATGATCGGGAATCTTAAAGTCGGGATGAACATCTCCATCTTGAGTGTTGGGGTTGTCCTGGCCCTTGGCGTCGCCAGCTTCAGACCGGAGGTAGTCCTGAAGAGCCACCGACCCATTCATATCGTCATTTATATACAGCTGGTCACGATACTTGATGTGGAAAGAATTGTAGGTGGCTATCTTGACAAAATGGTTGTGCATGCTAGCGTCGACCACGGTAGCGTCCTTGAATCTTCTGGTGGAAACGTAGTTGGGGAGAAGCTGGTCGGCGTGATTGGGGCACATCCACTTGCTTCCCATGGTCTTGGCAACACACATGGGTTCGCTTAAGCAATCTAGGTGCCAGTATGTGCCACAGTAGTCGCAGCATGTCATTGTTCTCCATCCATTTCTTGACTTTGGAAGTCCAGATTCCTTGCATTTGTAGCAGAGAAGTGGTTGACCATCTTTATCGTAGAGCGAGTCTACTTCGAGATTCTCGTCACGATTGAACCCAGGAATTTGAGAGCCGTTTCTTTTACTAAAGGACATTTCGGGTTTGAACCGGTCGTCGGTGTACGAGCCGTCCTCGTCGGTAGCTACACCAACAAACGATTCTCGAAGCCGTTTGGGAAGCTGGAACTCAGCAGGGTCCTTGTTGACGATGTGGTTGACAAGCTGGCCGAAAAGACCCAAGTAGTTGAACGTGGGTCGTGGGTTGTTCTTGGAAGTACATTCTCGACAGTTCCAGTTATCTTCGGGACACTCTTCAATAGGCGGATCACAGCAGAGAAAATGGAACGATTTGGGACAGGAATCACAGCATATGAACACGCCAGAACCTCCACACGTACTACAGAAGTCGTCGTTGTCGCCCGTCTGTTCGCTCTCGCTGGCGGCTGCGGTAATGGTGCCGTTGGACGACGGAGCGAGATTTGTAGCGGCATGTTTTTTGGGCGAGATCACCTTTATCCGCTTCGACCCTCGGATCAGGCGACGTCCCTCCAGTGCTGGAGTCACTGACGAGCCCCTGGTGGGCTGCTTGGGCGTTTCCAATTTGTTGTGAGTTCTTTTGCGACGCTTTTTGGTCTCGGGCGGACTCAAAGGCTTGAATTTTATCCGCAAAGAACTGGGCTCTGGCTTTGCTTCTCGTGCTAGCTGGCTCTGGTAGTACTTTTGTCTCTCCTCGAGGTCACTATCGGGAGTAACTGCTCGTCCTGACACACCTTTTCGACCGCCTCGACTACTTTTCATAGCCTTTGCTGGAGGCGGAACTTCGAGCGGGAACCCCGTATACACCGCCTGCGGTTCCGCTACGGATGGCTCGACGAAGACATGTTCTCCACCACGCCGTATGACCCCTTTTATAAGATTTTCGTCAACTTGGTTGGTCTTCTCGGTTATGGCTAAACTTGGTTGAAGGGTTAATTTGGGCTCACTATCCTTGTCTATGAGTCGAGAAGACTTTCTCTTTGGCTGCTGGCCCTTTTGTCTTTTCGTGTACGGTCTTTTGGACTTCTCTAAGGAATAATCATGTGGTGAATGCATTTGTGGATGAAGATCTTGGTGGAAATTTTGGTGGAAATTTTCGTGAACGTCCCGGGAAAAATTGTCCTTATTTGCCATATAGCTATTGTCCTGGGACGTGTCGGGAGACTCGCTGGCGTCAGCTTGCATGCTGGAGCTGGGCAAAGAACTAGCAGAGAGTAGACGGATGTTGAACGAAAAAGATGCGAATTTGCGAAAATTCAAATAGTTTCCCAGAGTTGGGTCCTACAGTATCTAGTAAGTGAGTGTATTTAGCAAGTAGAGACAGGGGCCATTACGCAGCACTGTCGTTCTTCTTGGCCTTTTTCTTTTTGGCAGACTTTTTGAGTGGCTCGCTGATCAAATTTTTGATTTCTTCGTCGCCAATGGTCTTGTCGGTTTCGTAGACCTCTGAGTTAAATGTTGGGTGAGTAAACTTGACGATTCCGTTGGGGGTAATGGCAAAGGTGGTGAAGAATTGCGCAACATACTCTCCTTCCTTTTCTGTCATGATATCGTACGCCAAAACCACCTGGTGGTTGACACACTCGATCAACCCCATGCGGGCTTTTCTGGCATCGTCGAGGTTTCTCACGTTGTAGGGAAAGGGACCGTTGCTCTTGGCCTTAAGCTCTCCCAAAATCTGGTGCGACGACTTCAACTTCAACGCATACGAGTTTCCAGTCAATTTGTACAACGACGTCTTGAAATTGGAAGGCTTCACTTTTCCGTCTTCAGACGTGGAAACCAACACATCCAACCCGTAAACCTCGTTGACCTCGAACCGGTGGGTGTCCATCTGGTTTTTGTTTTCCTTATTGGGGTTCAAAATGACTTCTTTGGGGCCATACAACACATTACGTTCTTGGTTATGGGTGAGCATACTTTCCACTGCCGTGCATCCAAAATCCTTCACCACCTTGTCCACGACATTGGTTACGTCCCAGTTACGATTGTTAGGCTTGAATGTTCTGATAGCAGCTTCAGAAGCAAGCCAAGCAGCATGGAGCAAATCAGCCTTCTGACCAGTCACCTTCGACTCTCCGGAAACCACGGTAGTATCGGCCACAATGGCTGGGAACCCGTCAATCTGGACCCCCAACATCACATTGACAACGTCTCCGTCCTTCAAAGTCCAGTTTGCTTCGTCATCGTCACTGACTGGTGAAAAATGGCCGGGAATTTGGTTGGGGTTCACACACGTAGGAAAGGCAATTCCCTTGGAAATCTTGGCAGCTTTCTTGCTGTTGTATATCTTGGCCAATTCTTCCTCCATCAAAGCATCTCCGGCTTTGCACAAGTCAAACACCTTGGCACCGGCCACCACCTGTTTTTTCACCTGGTCCAAAACCCGGCTGGAAATGTCTCCTGCGGTCTTATATTTGGTGATGACGTCGGGGTTGGCGACGGAATAGTCCACGGAAGGTTCTGGGGTTAGTGGGACGCTGGGAGTGCTGAAAACAAATACTTACGTTTCGACATGGTGGAGAGATGAAGAGTGCGCGAAAACTCACAGTCAAAATTCACTGTCGCACCAAAATCTCATTGTCCAAATCTCAAACTAGGCCAAACCGCTTTTTCAGTTTGGTGCACTCCAGTCTCTAAAATGGCTCCAGACAAAGAGAAGCGCCTGTCGCTGCTCGGACACCGTCTCTCCTCCATTTTCAACGCCCCAGACCTGGAAACTCCACTTTTACGAACGGCTCTCCACAACAAGGCTGCTGCTTCCCAGCCGGAAAAAAGCGTTCTGCCTGCTCCTACAAGAAGACGAAAGCCCCCACCCGACTTTGAAGACGCGTCTAATCCAGGAAATTATCCCGGAACTTTTCCAAATAGCCCACAATTGCACAATAACCAGGACTCACCAACACCCAACCCAAGCCAGTTTTCGAGTCCAACTTCCCTCCACCGCCAGCACTCCGCAACTGACCCAAACTCCTCTGAACTGTACCTGCCGGTGCTGACGCTTTACCTGGAGCTGCCGGCACGGATTCAGCACGAAACGTCGATATTTGGGCACCAACCATCACCGAGCCAATCATCCATTCAGTCACCAGTTCGGTCCCTTGGCTCGCTTCTGGGCCAGGAACTGTATGGCGAAAACAGGAGGGAAAACCTCTCGGATATCATCCAGACGTTGGAGTTGGAAATCGACAATTTTCAGTTTGGTGAGAATACAGAAAAAGATCGAAACACACAAAAAGACCAAGACACACAAATTAGAGAGAATAGAAACACAGAACTTAACACAGAAAACAACACAACGGATACAAGAAACTTGGGAGACATAACTAGAGACATGGCTGATATGTCGTGGCTGTCTCGAACCAGTGAAGCTAATCTGTCTGTTCGTCTGTCTGTTCGTCTGGCCAATCATTCACTCCAACTGCCGGTTATTTCTCAGCCAAGGTCACTTTCCCAGCGGTCTCTGTCCCAGCGGTCGCTGTCGCATTCCTTTGAGAGTGCTAATGCCTACGATGTCTACGAACCCTCGGCTCCATATCCGCTCGATTCTCCTGTGGTTCCATCGCCGGATTCTCCTGTTCCGTCGCCAGGCTACAGTCCTTCAAAATCCAACTTCTACTTTCCTGACGATGCCGCGGCCTCGCAGACAAGCTTGGCTGATGTGCCCGTCAACAGACCTTCACTTTCAGCCGTGAGCACAAATCTAACTGGAGTCAGCACCACATTGACCGAAAATTCTGGTGGAATTATGAGTCGTCAATCCGATATATTTGCCCAGCTGGCAGCACCTCCATTTCACCGTAAATCCACATCGCTCAGTTCCATCTACAGCTCCAACTCCAACAAAAACGTCAACTTGGCTACCCTCAAAAGGACCCTCGATCTCAAGCCAGGTGAAGGTGAACAATCTCGATACGTAGTGGCCCTAAGAAGGTATATGGGTACTGCGGTCAACGACTCTCCGCCGGACAAGTGGAAGCTTCCCACGGGCATTCTCCCAGTGGATAAACGGGCCAGTATGGCCAGTTCCAACGGCCGGTATCTTCGTCTTGGAGTGTCGCAAGGAAGGAAAAAAACCAGTGGAGTTGAGCTAAAACACGGTCATTTGCAACCACGGTTATTGGCAGCCGAAGTGGGTGACTCAAGACCTTATTTGGGTGGTTCCAGCTTGGCTTCTACTCACGGCTCGGCAAGAGATTCTAGAGCCTCTATCTACTCTTCTACATCGGTCACCGCTTCCGGCAATTCTGCCGTCGAAACTTCCAGCAGCAGCAGCCCGGTGCGCTCCTCGTCTAAGGAGGACGAAGCCAGGTCGGTGAGGACGTCGCTGGCGGCTCTGATACCGGAACTGATACCGGAACTGGTACCAGAACTGGTTGCTGATCTGGTGAGTAGCTCTTCTTCTGGAAGCATTGACGAGGTTCGCGGTTACTACCAACATCCAGCTTACACCGCAGGCTCTGACGAAGAATCACACGATCCAGAGCAGTATGTTTACGAGCCGCGGTTGGTTCTCGTCAACCCCGATGAAATGTAATGATAGTATAGTGAATAACCGGGTGCATGGATGCGCTATTGCTAATGAGAATATTAATTCTTGGTGTAAAGATGTCCTTTTCCTTTCTTCAATTCGCTCGCAAATAACACGTCTCATGTCGGATATAGGCTACACCATGATCTACGAGCCCAATGGGGCGTCGAAGGCATCGGTCAACGACTTCCGCAAGCTCCTCGAGAAGGGAAAAGACGAAGAAAAGATCGAAGCGATGAAACAAATCTTGATCACCATCCTCAATGGTGACCCTTTGCCCGACTTGTTGATGCATATTATTCGGTTTGTAATGCCGCTGAAAAACAAGGAACTCAAGAAAATGCTCTACTTCTACTGGGAAGTGTGTCCCAAGCTCGATGCTCTGGGGAAAATGAGACAGGAAATGATCTTGGTGTGCAATGCTATTCAGCGTGATCTTCAACATCCCAACGAATATGTTAGAGGAAACACCTTGAGATTTTTGAGCAAGTTGAAGGAACCTGATTTGTTGGAGACTTTGGTGCCCAACGTGAGACAATGCTTGGAACATCGTCATGCGTATGTTCGTAAAAATGCTGTGTTTGCTCTTTACTCCATCTACAAAGTAGCCGAGCATCTTGCTCCCGATGCTGACGAGTTGGTGTACCGGTTCTTGTACGAGGAACTGGACTCGGTGTGCCGGCGTAATGCGTTTGTGTGTTTGGGTGACTTGAATCGCGACGCTGCTCTCCAGTATATCCAGGATAATGTAGCGGTGATCGAGACTTTGGATCTGTTGATTCAGCTTGCTTTCATCGAGTTCTTGCGCCGTGATGCTGCCCGCAATCCAAGTATGAAACCGCAGTATACTCAGCTTCTCGAAGAGGTGATCGAGTCTCCTTCGAACGTGGTGGTGTATGAAGCAGCAATTTCGTTGACCCTGTTGTCTTCGAGCTCCCACCACATTCTTTTGGCAGCCAACAAATTTGTCGATTTGGCTACTAAGGAGACCGATAACAACGTCAAAATCATCACGTTGGAGCGTATCAACGACCTCAATCGTGCCAATCCCGGTGTTCTCCAAGACCTTTCGTTGGAGATTTTACGGGTGTTGTCGTCTCAAGACTTGGACGTGCGCAAAAAGGCCATCGATGTCACTCTTCTGTTGATCTCCAGCAGAAACGTGGAGGATGTGGTGAAACTCTTGAAGAAAGAACTTCAAAAGAGCTCGCTGTCTGAGGAGGAAAAGTCAGCTGAATACAGACAACTTTTGATCAATGCTATCCACCAATTGGCCATTCGCTTCGTTGAGGTGGCCGCTAGTGTTGTTGATTTGTTGCTCGAGTCGATGGGTACTATCAACACCGCTGCTGCCTATGAGGTCATCACGTTCGTCAAGGAAGTTGTAGAAAAGTTCCCTGATCTTAGACAGCTGATTATCACCAGATTGATCGATGCATTGCCCTCCGTCAAGTCAGGTAAGGTTTTCCGTGGCTCGTTCTGGATTATCGGTGAATACTGCGAAGAAGAAAAGTTGATTCGTGAAGCTTGGAAGTATTTGCGTTCCAGCATCGGAGAGGTCCCAATTGTTGCAAGCGAAAAAAGATTGCAAGAGAAGGACAATGAACAAGAAGAGGAATCATCTGGTAAACTGACAAAGAAACCAGTGGTTCTTCCAGATGGCACATATGCCACTGAAAACGCAATGACAGTGGATGTGGTTCACCAAGAGGAAGAAAAGCCTCCAGTCCGCAAGCTTCTTTTAGGAGGCGACTTTTATCTTGCCCTGGTGTTCTCTAGTACATTGGTGAAGTTGATTTTGAGATTACAACGTCTTCAAACTCCTGATAAACTCGTTAATGCATTGAAAGCTGAAGCACTCTTAATAATGGTTCTGATTTTGCGATTGGGAGAATCGTCGTATGTTACAAAGAAGATTGACGAAGATTCCGCTGATAGAATATTTTCGTGTATCAAGTATTTGTCCGATGAAGAAGATGTCGAGCTCATCCAGAAGAGTTTCTTGGATGAAACAAAGGATGCATTCAGAAGCCAGATCAAGATTAGTGAGGAGCGCAAGGCAGAAGCTGAAGCCAAGGATTTCCACGATAATGCAGAGCAGGTGGACGACTTGATTTTGTTCCGTCAGCTCGAAAAGGACGTTGCTCGGAACGTCGAAAATGAAGATGTTACCTTGATGGGAGCAAACAAGAAGGAAGACTTGAGTTCCAGATTAAACAAGATTCTTCAATTGACTGGTTTCTCCGATCCAATCTATGCTGAAGCATATGTTAAGGTACATCAATACGACGTTGTGTTGGATGTTCTTTTGGTGAATCAGACTACAAGCACATTGCGCAATTTGTCGGTAGAGTTTGCTACGTTGGGAGATTTGACGGTGGTCGACAAAGCGGCTAGTGCAAACATTGGACCTCATGGATTCCACAAAGTTCAAACTACAATTAAGGTGTCTTCTGCCGATACCGGAGTCATTTTTGGTAACATTGTTTACGATGGCCAGCACTCGGATGAGTCTACAATTGTCATCTTGAATGATGTGCACGTTGATATTATGGACTATATCAAGCCGGCGGTGTGCTCTGAAAGTTCGTTCCGTAAGATGTGGAACGAATTTGAATGGGAGAACAAGATCACTATAAAGTCGCAAATGAAGTCGTTGAAGGAATACTTGGACGTTCTTATGTCCGGCACCAACATGAATTGTCTTACTCCGGGAGCAGTGGTGGGACAAGAGTGTCTGTTCTTGTCGGCCAATTTGTATTCTCGATCCTCATTTGGAGAAGATGCTTTAGCCAACTTGTGCATTGAGCAGCAGAGTGACGGACCAATCATTGGTCATGTGAGAATAAGATCCAAGGGACAAGGATTAGCATTATCGTTGGGAGATCGAGTTGCGGCCATTTCGAAGAACAACCAGACTGCCAAGGTGCAAAAGGTTTAAAAGGTGTAAAATAAGCTATACATGACGAAATATATCGTGAGATTTCGAGTTGAGAAGGGTGTCGTTTTCCTGGGACCGTTTGTAGAGACCTGCACTGTTAACGTTGGCGTAGATGTCGGCTGGGTACAACTGTGCTTCTTCTGGAGCGAGAATGGACGAACTGGTGAGCACTACCAAAAAGTTATACAAGCTTCCCAAGTCGCCAGCGACATACAAAAGCGATGCTTCTGGGTTCAATGCGTAAGTACTAGACTCGAACCGGCCAGCACCGGCATTTTCCACCAAATATTTATGGGTTGCAATTGTGAGTTTTTTCGTCACCAAAGTGAGTGAATAGTTGGACGATTTTAATGTAAATGGTTGCAACCGAGCCACGCTACTGACCCTCGCGGCAAGCAAAAACGAGAGGTACACAGCTGCCCGCAGCACACATACCTTATCTCCACTTATATAGACAAACCTATCAATTGAGCCTTCAATTGGACTGGAGATGGAAAATTCGCCAATATTCAAATCCATTTTAAGGTGGCTATCCAACGAATTGTCGTTTACCAAGTAGTCTGCTTCGGTAGCAGAGACCAACAAGCACACTGTTGCTGAGTTCTGGCTCGTTTCCGTCTGTTTTGGACCGGATTTGAGTTTCTTGATTCCGTTGATCATGATTTCGTTTTCCGGAGTTTGAAAAATATCGGTGTCAGAAGTATGATTTTCGAGCAAAACTTCGCCATACACCTTCTTGGTGTCTTGTGGACGCTTGCGCTTGAGCAATTGGCCCCGCGACGGAATGCGGTCCCTCGGCATGGTGTAGTAGTACAACCACGATACGAGATTATGGGCATCTCATCGGGCGTGCGCGGCACAAGCGCACCGATTTTTGGATTTTTGAAATTTTCATCTTGACATAGCTAGTGCAACATGGCCAAAAAAGACAAGGTTTCCGAGGAAGAAGACAACTACGACAAGCGGATGGCGGCCATTTTGCCGTTTGCCAAGCCGTTGGCCCCAAAAAAAGTGAACAAAAAGATTCTTAAGACCGTCAAAAAAGCATCCAAGGCCAAACACGTCAAGCGCGGAGTCAAAGAAGTGGTCAAAGCATTGAGAAAAGGCGAGAAGGGACTCGTGATAATAGCCGGAGATATCTCTCCTCCCGACGTGATCTCACATATTCCTGTTTTGTGTGAAGACTCGAGTGTTCCGTACGTTTTCATTCCTTCCAAAGAAGACTTGGGTTCAGCCGGAGCCACCAAACGACCCACTTCTTGTGTGATGGTGGTTCCTGGTGGAGGAAAGACAAAGAAGAACGCAGACAAGACCGATGAGTACAAAGAGAGCTACGACGAGGTAGTGAAGGAGATTAGCAGTTTGGAGTAGGTAACATAAGACATGATGAATTGGCTACGATAATAAGCTTTGCTGACGATGTAGGTAATTTGTAGTTGGTTTTTGCTGTTCAGTCGGGACCGCGAAGCAATGGTATCCCAAGTCCGGTGGCTGTTTTGTCATGGTGAAATCCCTGGCCTGCTCCATGAAGATAACCACACGAACACTCGTTGGATTCTATTGTAGTTTTTGTTTCTGAGAGCACCATTTCGGTGTCTATTATGTCTGGTTCAGGACCTATTATGTCCATTTCTGTGTCCATTTCCGTGTCTTTTGCTAATTCTATTGCTTCCATATCGGTTTCTGAACTTTTGTAGGGTTCGTCTTTCAACAGTACTTTTTGTGAAAAATGGTATTTTTTGCCTATACTTTCTTCCCCTGCCACTTTTCGTCGCTTAGGCTCACTTTGGAGGTCCTCCGCAGCATGCGAGTTTTTGTAAAGTTGCCTGACCTCGACTACCACCAGCATAGAGTTGCAACTACGCGATGAGATGAGATTTTCTGGGGTAGTTTCCGAATGCGGAAGGAGGAGAGAGAGAAAGAAAGAAAAGAAAAGAAAAAGAAAAAGAAAAAGGAAAAGAAAAATGGAGAAAATTGAAAGAGGAGAATACGACGGGGTTTATGGTGGGGTAAGCATTGGTATCAAATGGAAATGACAGTTATCGAAAACTATACGATGGTCATTTTGGAGTTCTGTGTCACGTGACCACGTGTCAAAGGTTAAATACACTTTCCCAATACGTACATCTTCCAAATATCCCAAAGTATTCCAAAGTAACCCAATGTCACACCAATCGCATTTTTGTCTTCACCACTCTTCTCCTTCCCTGGCACTTCAATCCGTATTTCTTTTGGTCTCTTTTCTCTCTCTCCCACACCCATGCACCACCGCACGTCATACTAATTCGCTCCGCCTCACAAACTACTCAACCATGGGTATCAAGACAATTTTCAAGAAAAAAGACCCGACGGAGGCAGAGCTCGTAGAAGACCTCAACAAGATCGGTGTATCCACAAAATCAAACAAGGGACGCCAGGAAAAGTTTGGAGCTTTCAGGGAATATGCCCAAGAACGCCAGGCAAGAAAGCCAGGTTTGGCTCCACAGAATCCATATGCCAATGTATCTAGTGGCGGAACGGGGCCAGGTGGTAATCCCTATGTGGGAAATGGCTCTGCGGGAAGCTCGGCTGGGCCGTACGGTGGCCAAAATGGAAATCATGGAAATAATTCAAGTCCATATGGAACTCAAAATGGTGGATCTGGAGCTTCTGGCTCTCCATATGGAGCTGGGGCTTCAGCATCTGGTTATGGAGCTGGAGCTTCAGCATCTCCTTATGGAGCTGGAGCTAGTAATTCTCCCTATGATAGAGCTGGAGCCAGTTCTCCTTATGGTAATTCTGGAGCCAGTTCTCCGTATGGAAGCGCTTCTAATGGAGCTGGAAGGAGCGGAAATTCTTCTGGACCTTCCAAGAGTCCGTACGCACAAGCCACAAATGCAAATGGTCAAAACTCAAACGCTCGGAATGGACCGTATGCTCGCGCTACGCAGGTAGCTGGCTCTGCTGCCTCTCCCTATAAAACCAAAAGTGTTGCGTCGGATCGAGATGCCGACACAGAGTCGCTTGACTTGAACGCAATTCCACTGAATCAGCTGTATATGCGGCGGCCTCCGAAACAGACGCCAGACGATGCTACTTTGGACTTGAACGCTCTTCCCGAGGAAGACGACTTGAATGTAGAAGATGAGCTTCCAGAGGAAGAACAGGTCAACTCGGAAGACGAAGAAGTGGAGGGTATCAAGCAAGACATTCGGTTTGTAAAACAAGAGTCTTTGGCCCTGACTCGCAACACTTTGCGAATGGCCCAGGAGGCCGACGCATCGGCCACTAATACTATGGGCATGCTTGGGTCGCAGTCGGAGCGGTTGTATAATGCCGAGCAGAATCTTTTGTTGGCAGATACTCAGACGAATATTGCTCACGATAAGGTCAATGAGTTGAAACGGTTAAACCGAAGCATTTTCATTCCAGCACAAGGTAATCCATTCAACAGAAAGTCACGGCTTCGCCAACAGGAAGAGAAAATTAAGGCGCAAAAAACCCAGGAAAAATACTTGCGAGAGACCAATCGCCAGGGTGCATACGCCTCGGAACAGCGTCTTAAACAGGGCATAACTCTGAACGCCACAAACTCAGAGATCCACAGAAAGTACAAGGACGACCAGAGTCTCGCGGCCGCTAAGCGGTACCAGTTTGAAAACGACTCTGAAGACGACGAAATGGAAAAAGAATTGGCTGCAAATTTGGACCAAATTGGATTGTATCTGAAGAAATTGAAAAACGCAGCATCGACTATGGGCGTGGAAGTCGAGAGCCAGAACAACCGGTTGCGGGATATCGAGGAAAATGCCGACCGTTTGGATATCAATGTTCACATGAACAGCGCCCGGTTGAACAATATTCGCTAGTGTTAATAGTGTGGGTGCATTGGATGTGCCGTCCGCTGACGTAATGCAGATAAGAAATAGATCTCGAGCGATTTGATTTCGATCACTTTCGCTTTCGCCCAAAATGGAGGTTCGTCGTAATCTGCACCACAACATCCAGATGAAGGAGAGCTACCTTGTGGGCCGTGCTCTCCTCAACTTCACGTCGATTTTTGTGTCTTTGGGAGTGTTTTTGTTTGGTTTTGAACAAGGTTTGATGTCGTCCCTTTTGACTAATAGCTACTTTAAATCATACTACAACGAGCCGCTGCCTGCTGAGGTGGGTACCATGATTGCCATCTTGGAAATAGGGGCTCTTTTCAGTTCTTTTGAGGCGGGAAAGGTGGGGGACCGAATTGGACGATGCAAGACCATTCGGTTGGGGTCATTTATTTTTCTTGTAGGAGGACTTATTCAGACAACATCTGTCAACATAATCAACCTCGGGTTTGGTCGGCTCATTAGTGGAGTTGCCATTGGATTTTTAACCACCATTATTCCATGTTATCAGCTGGAAATCAGTCCTCCAGACGACCGCGGATTCTACGCTTGTCTTGAATTTACAGGCAACATTATCGGTTATTCGTCGAGTATCTGGGTGGACTACGGATTCTCGTTTTTGGAGAACGATTTTTCGTGGAGAACTCCGCTTTTCATCCAGTGTGTGATGGGATTTCTTTTGTTTCTTGGACTGTTTATCATCGTTGAGACGCCACGGTGGCTCTTGGATCACAACCACGACATCGAGGGCATGGTGGTGATCTCGGATTTGTATGCTGACGGCGACGTTGAGGACGAAGTGGCCAAAAACGAGTTTCGTAGTATCAAGGAAAATGTGCTTATTGCTCGAGTTGAAGGCGGAGAACGGTCTTATCGCTACATGCTCCATCGGTATGCCAAGAGGGTGCTGGTGGCCTGCTTTTCGCAGATGTTTGCCCAGTTAAACGGTATCAATATTGTGTCTTACTATGCGCCCATGATTTTCGAGCTGGCAGGCTGGATCGGCCGTCTGGCAATTCTTATGACTGGATTGAACTCGTTGGTTTATGTCGCAAGTACAATTCCCCCCTGGTACTTGGTTGACGGTTGGGGCCGCAAACCGCTCTTGATGTGGGGTGCTGTATTCATGGCAGTTCCGTTGCTCGTAATTGCATTTTCCTTGTGTGTGAACAACGAGTATACTCCTCAGGTGGTGGTGGTTTGTGTGGTTGTATTCAACGCTGCGTTTGGCGCCAGTTGGGGTCCAATTCCTTGGATGATGAACGAGGTGATTCCCAACTCGGTGCGGTCCAAAGGTGCAGCGATGTCCACAGCCACCAACTGGTTATTTAACTTTGTCGTTGGAGAAATGACCCCCATACTCCTCGATTCTATCCAGTGGAAAACCTACCTTATTCCAGCACTCTCGTGTGTTTTGTCATTTTTCTGTGTCCACTTGCTCTTTCCTGAAACCAAAGGCTTGACACTCGAAGACATGGGTTCGGTGTTCGACGACAGCTCGTCGATTTTCTCGTATCATTCTGGCGGGAGAACGAGCTACGGTGCCACTTCCGACAACACCGACCGTAGAACCAGCACTTCCGAGCACCATGCTAACAACGAAGCATTCAGACAATCGGCGGCGCTGTTGGCACGCAATCCCGCATCTGCCAACAGAATCGATGGCATTATCACCGGAACTCCTCCACCGCCAATAGCTACCACACCTCTTATGCCCACCAAGTCGGATATGTCTACGCTGCTGGCGGAACAAGACGTCAATGTCCACCCTCGGGAAATCGAACCGCCTACTTTTGATGTGATTTACAAGTATAAATTACAGGAGATGTCAAGACCCAATGTTTTCAAGAGGGCATTGGGATTGGGAGGAGGCCGTGATGAAGAGGAGTTGATGCAGTAAAAGAAAAAAAGTCAATCAAATGAAGAAAAAGTCAAGAAAAAGAAGTATTCAGTTCTGGGGCAAGAGTTGCAAAGAAGGTTAGAGAGTTGTAGAGAGAAGCTAGAGGTGCAATTGAATCGACTCGTGGAGATATATCGGACCACAGGCTGACTCGGTCTTCAGAATTTCAGTCAAAACAAGCAATTCCAGTAACAAAGGCTCTAATATCCATAGAAATATACCCGTCTACCCGGTGTGTACACGGTACTCATTGAATGTAGGACTTGAGCCCGCACTGAGCACGCACTGAGGGCACTAGTCAGACCGCTATTCGCGGAATGTCGCAGTTGTTCCTGCCATCAAACATGTACCTGCTTTATGTTGCGCCGGCTACGCCAAAGTGTTGCCGGATCGGGGAGCGCCGCCGCGCCGCATGCGGCTCATACGTTGTTGACACAATATGTATTATGAAACAATGTCGTTGCGCGACGCGGACTAAGATTCTTGTACAGCGCTAAAAGTTGGTAGAGCTTGTGGAAAGAAGGTTGTGGTTTGGGGTGTTGTCTTGGTGCGTTTCCAAAACCCTGGAGTGGAATTGATATATATTTGCAGTTTTTTGTAGGTTATTGATTGAGCCGTTGTCGCACATGACGTCACGTATGCATACCCCTGCCTGCAAGATTTTGCGTCAGTATGTGCCTGAAAAGACAATGGGTGTTTTAACGACGATTTTCCTTTAAAAGGACAGTTTGTTTCCTCACAAAAAAAACAGACCCTTACGCTCCTTTTTTCCATGTCCTTGCTAATCGACTCTTCCACAACATCATTACAGACGCCCACCACTCTGGCGTTAGGAAATCTTCAAATGGTAACATCGGTTTCCAACGTCGGCAATTTTAAAGCGCAGGCCGCCATCACCAATTCGGATTCTGACCCGTCTATGGACGAGTTATTGGTTGCTTCTGCGTCCGAAACCAGCGCCAAGGGTACGTTCAGCGAGTCCTCGGTGGTACATCACGTCACATTGTCGTCGGCATCGGTTTCCAGTTTGGAAACGTCGTCTTCGCAAAACGACTCATTTCGTCTGTCGCCGTCGTCGGTGATGATGGCTGCATTTTTTATGGCTACGTGCCTCGTGGGGATGTTGTGACCGGGTTCCGGATTGATGATTAATGACCGAGGGTGAAGATAAAGTAAACTAAGTTGAGAAAAATTGAAAAGTTTGAAGTTTTGTCGAAAATTAAGTCTCGCATTTTTTGTGTTCTCAATTTTTGTCGATTTTGTCTCCATTCTCAAATACATACTGCTCTAGCTACTGTAGTCCGATCACGGAAGAAAGCTTCAAACGCTTTGATTCCTAAACCCGCTTCTTTGTAGCCACACATGGCTCGAATACTGTGCATGGAAAGCTGGGGTAATCCCACGTCCACAACACGAGCTCCGGTCTCCACCGCCAAGATAGGGCCAATTGTGCTGCCGCTGGGCATGTCGTTTCGAACATGGAAGGTTTGGAATTGCAAATTGTTTTTTTCGGCGATTTTTTGCATCATGGCCGTACCGATGGAGTCGGTCATAACCCGGCCATTTGCATCCATTTTGATAGTTAGTCCCTTGTTGGGGACAGGATAGTGGTTGTCGAGGTACGCCAGTTTGAAATTGGGGTTCAAAGCATGGGTAACATCGGCACTGAGTATCAAGGAATTGGCAAAAGTGACACTGAGGTGTTGAAGTTGCAAATTGCGAGCCGATAAAATTCTTTTTAAAGTTGTGGAAAGAAACTTCCCCTTTGCACCCGTGCGGCTTCCTGAGCCTATCTCTTCGTTATCAGCCAATAAAACCATGTTTAGTCCATTCCATTGCTTTAAAGTTGTGGAATTTTTGATCTCTGATGCCGACAGAAGAAGGGCATTTATCGCAGCAAAAGAACACAACCGGTCGTCTATCCGGGGTGCAAACATGAACTCGTTGTCTAGACCTCCTCTGCACGCACTCTGGATATCATAGAGCTCCAAATCCACACCAACAATTTCTTCCAATTTGCAGCCAGCTCGAGTTGCAACATACCTCAAAAGTGGTAGTGGATGTTTTCCGTACAAAGGAGCACTTTTTTCGGTTTCTGACGCTTCTTTGGCTTCGCCGTACCCTATAATAGGAACCATCTGTGTCTCTTTGTTATAAGGACCATCGGCTACAGCACCAAAATGTTCCGCTAATGAGGGTATTCTCGCAATAGGAAACGAACCCGAACTCACGATTTTTCGAGAAACTTTGTCGTTTTTCTTGATTATCACCCCGCCTCCGATTCCTAAATCACGATCTAGCCAGTTTTTTTGAAGGCTTCCACTATAGTTGGCGACACCAAGCATTTGATATCCATCCACATTTGGCTTGATGGAACATGGTTTCAATTTTGCTGTCAAAGCATCAACATGGCTTCCTATGGCTCCAATACCGTTCTCTGGTTGCCATTGGCCCCCAATAATGAAAGCAACAAGCGATAACCCTCCTCTACTTGTGTAGAAACAGCCGCCCTTGATAATCGCCCGGGCAGTTTTTTCATCAATGGGTCGAGTTTCTGGAATATAAACAAATCCTCGGGCCTCAAGCATCTCGCTCATATACTGAACAGCATGGCAAGTTGTAGGGTTGTTGTTGGTGAACGACATGTACTCAGAACAGAAAGCGTCATAGTAGTCGTCTTCATCTAGAGGAAAAACAGCTTCTGAACTATCTTGAGTTTCCGTATCAAAGTCGTCCATATCTTGTATACTGCACTCTGCTGACCCTATCCAGCTGTCTACTCGTTCCCATCTGTCTTGGAGAGTCACCATTTTGGAGATATATTTGTGCTGGTTATCTGGAGCCGTACGTCTTTTGACACCTGCATGCGTTGCACTTCTTATCCACATCCAAACACCCACTGCTTTTGGGCATCGCCAAGTTGAGACGCGCTCGATGAACTCCACCACCCTCACCGTGCATTGGCACGACGAAAACCAGCCAATTTATTCGGTGGATTTCCAAAAGAACGAAGCCAATGGGCGATTAGTGACTGCAGGCGGCGATAACAATGTCCGCATCTGGCGTTTGCATACCGAGGGCAACCAAGATCCGGTCGCGCCAACGGTGGAGTATTTGAGCACACTTTCAAAGCATACTCAAGCAGTAAATGTTGCGCGGTTCGATCCTCAAGGTACGGTCTTGGCTACCGCCGGAGACGACGGAACCTTAATTTTTTGGACCAAATCTGATACCATAGTCAAGGAATACGGCAATGAAGACGACGATATACAGGAATCGTGGACGGTGCGGCATGTCTGCAGGACGTCCACATCTGAGATCTACGATATAGCATGGAGTCCAGATCTGCAATATGTTGCTGCGGGATCCATGGACAATGTCACACGTATCTATAAGGCGGCAGATGGTAGTCAGGTGGGTGCAATTGCAGAACATGGGCATTATGTTCAAGGTGTTGCGTGGGATCCATGCGGAGATTATTTGGCGACGCAGCTGGCGGACAGGACGGTGCATATACATGCATTGACACATTTGCAACCATTTACCCTGAAGGTGGTTCAAAAAATCGGCCGTGCCGATGTGCCCACACTGAGATCGGTGCTGGCCTCGTTCCGGCTGGCTCAACTATACTACTCGGAAACTTTGCAGTCGTTTTTTCGGCGATTAGCATTTTCTCCCGATGGCAGTTTGCTTGTAACACCGCTGGGAATCTACAGAGAAGAAGTAACCAATGAAGCAAATGCGATAAGCTCAAATTCGTCCAATAACAAAAATAAGGCTGAAACAGATAAAATTGCGGCTTTTCCAGATCCAGCTGCATACTCGAATAACGAGGCTAATGCAGCCGAAGAATATGCACAAACAACAAAAAATGCACAAACAACCAAAGAATATGCACTAGCAGGCAAAGATAATGCACAAACAGGCAAAATTTCACCCACAGCCATGGAAACGAAAGCATGTGAACAGAGCACAGCCAAAGCAAGTGCAGCCGAAACCCCGGAAAACGCCGGTTTCACCGAAGCCACTAAAGCGTCAGAATCGGAAGTTGCCGAATCAGACTCCACGGAAACGAATACAGCTTACATTTATACACGAGCAGGACTCCATCGACCTCCAGTATGTCATCTTCCAGGACTCAAAAAACCTGCCATAGCCGTGCAATTTAGTCCAATTTTCTACCGACGCAGAACCAACAATGCAGTATTTTCCCTTCCTTATCGAATGGTATTTGCAGTGGCTACTCAAGACTCGATAGTGTTGTATGATACCGAACAAATTGAGCCGTTGGGGTTGGTTTCGAATTTGCATTATCTGACTATCACAGATTTGTGTTGGAGTGGAGACGGAAAAAGCTTGGTGGTTAGCTCTGCCGACGGGTTTTGTTCTCTTGTGACGTTTGAGGATTTGGGAGAGGTTTACGAGAAAACTGAGAAAGAAAACTGAGAAAGAAAACAGAGAATGAAAACTGAGAAAGAAAATTGAGAAAGAAAAACTGAAAAAGATTATAGTTTCAAGACTAAACAGACGCAGATATACGATAGGCTCAAAAAAGTTTGGTAATACTTCAAAGTTTAAAATAGACTTAAGAAAAGAGTTTGAGAAAGACTTTAAAGACTGGAATAACATTTCATACTAATAGAGGTAAAGTCAAATTTACGACGGTTCGAAAAGTTCAGACTCCAGTAAAATTTTAAGAAATCGATCTCTTCTGAATTGTAGTCTCCTTTACTCTTCATTCACTATTTTACATCAATGGATTGGCATCAATCTCGTTGCTCAATTGCGCCGCCAACCGTTTCCGTGCATTCAAGATCATTTCTTCGCGTCTGCTACTAAGCAAGTCGATTTTGTCCTGATTAGTGGCCGAGTTGATCGCAGCATTCGACACATCCTGGTCGATTTTCGACTCCAATCCGTACCGCTCAATCAAGTTTGCTGGTTTGATACCGCTTCCTCCTTCGCTTTGATTGCTTTGGGCTTGGTTGCTTTGGGCTTGGTTACCTTGGTTACCTTGTCCATTTCCTTCAGTTTCTTCATCGTTTTGATTTTCTGGCATTGGCAATGTACCCTCCTCCATAAACCGGTCAATCGTCACCTCCACCAGTCCCGACCGCTCCAAGTCCATGCGGATCTGGCCCCGCGTGAGCTGCGGCGCAATTGCCTGAACCACGTCTATCATGCTGTCGGTGACCGGACGTCTAGACCGAGTGGAAGGCGTTGGTCTGCGTCCATCGCGTTGAGTTGCATGAGCAGCTGCTGCTTCCTCGAGCGGATCGGGAATGGGCGAGATGAGCCATCGCAAAATGAGAAAGCCGGCCACAATGGTGGCAAAAAAAACCACGGTGGAAGTCTCCATAATGTGGAATGAAAAATGCGATCAATTATTTGGGGGTAGCGGGTGTCTGGGTGCCAACTGAACCTGTGCTGATGCTGGTAGTAGTTTGCTTTCTTTAGGTCAGTTGAGGGTCATTTCTTCATTTTCTTGTGATGGTTTGTTTCGATGTAATGATTTGTGTTGTTTGCAATGATTTGGTTTATTAGTTTTTTGGTTTTTGATTGTTTTTGTGTTTGATATTTCAATCTTTCTTTCTCTCATACATCAAAAAGTCAACTTAAAGTCCCGGTCCTGGTTCTTCACCTTGTACAAGAAGTTGGTGATGATCTCGTTTTCTCGAAATGGAAGCGCCAAAAAGTGATCTCTCATTTTTTCCGCCAACTCTCGTTTTGGCATCAATGTTTGCAGCGACTTTTTATACGAATGCGTCTTCTTCCCGATGTGCAGATTGAGGATATCTGCATTGAGCGACGAAGGTTCCGGATACTGCAACGAATGCTTGGTCATATACGATCGAATTGCCTTATCTGGAAGACTGGAAAAATCGAGCGGATGAACTTTTGGTTTATCTTGAGGTCCATTGCTATTTATATGACGAGCCAAAAACTCCTGCTGAGCAGATTGGGCTGCCTGAGATCTGGCTTTGTTCGCAGACCGCGAAACCGGCTGTTTCGTTTCTGTTTCTGAAGTGGGTTCTCTACCGCGAGGCATGATGGAAAGTAATGCAGTGAGAAAGATTAGTGTGGTGTGTGGTGCACGGGTGTATTTGCAGTGGGGTCTCTGTACTGTAGCGGTGTACTGGTGTGTACACAATTTTTTGGGGTGCTGTTGTGTCGGCGCACCAAGTTCCCTTTCGGAAGCCGGTCCGGGCACGCTCGGCGTCTTCCGAACGCCGCAAGGAAGCCTAACGACAGATTGTCGAGCAGCGGCATAATCCGATTAGGACGCAGCCGCACGTTTCACATAGCAACTTTTGGAGAATGCAAGACGCAACACGCCAACGACAGCATGTATCTACTTACCCCATACGGAAAGTTTTTTTTTTTCGTTTTCGGAGCCACCCGCCGAATGCCGTTAAATGATAAAACCGAATTTTTAAAGTTGATAAAAAATGAAATCCCATGTTGAATTTATCGGTCGTGGAATCAAAAGTCTAAAAAAATTTTTATTCACGGCGTTTTACAACTTGTAGGCCTTTCCTAAATTGGATATGAAATATCCTCATGCACGATTGTGGTTGTGCGGCGATAATCCATCTTAACTGCGCTTTGCCCGACTCGTATTTTTTACCACGCAAATCATCCGGGTAGGGACCACTTTTGACCAATAAGAATTTGGGACTCGGGTGAAAGATGCGACGCACCATGCACGTCTCAGGTATATTGCTACTCGGAGACTGTTATTGTTTCATGCAAACATGCTGACATCGTACAGATCAGGCACGTAAGGCGCATGAAATTGCAGCAACCTCACATAATTGCATCGAAGCCATTGACTCCAATAGAAAATTGTCATCGTACGGTACATGCATGACTTGCGCTGCATGAAAACTATATAAAATATCCTCGATCCCCTTCATTAAAACGGATCAACCAGTATTTCTAGATCATACATGCGTTCAATCCCCATGGCATGCACATCATCCCCGAATATAATACTACATCGGATGAAATAAGCTACCTGGGGGCTTTGGTCACTGCGTTCGATGCACTCTTGATTCTCGAAGGCTGCCGTCGTGGCATCATCCCGGAAATTAAACGTCGTCTTACATCTCATCAGCGTGATAATATTGTTCCATACATGGTTTATGCATGGGATGAAACTGCTTGCGGTATGAAACGATGGACAGATGGCAAAAATTGGCTGGCTTCGAGGGTTCAGGGTCCTTTTCTTACCTACCGAGAACTTGACAGTGAAAGAAATACAAAACCAATGGGATTAATCAAACAAAGTTTTTCCGTTACTACAAAGCAAAATCATCGCCTACATGTCATTGCATATGCTCTCCCAATGGCAGAGCCTCATTCATCTAATAAAAGCCTCCCCAATGCACCGCAGCTGCCACTGCCACCGCTGCTGTCGTCCAATCCTTGCGGCATTGCAGTGCCTCCGTACGTCAAGGTGCCTTCGCGTGACCCTATGTTTGCCGGATTAACCCCAGGACCCGACATTTATCCTGAAACCGTACTTCAACTGTCCGGATCGGGTACGATGACTCCGGTAAACATGCAATTCCAACACCCTCCTTATGCATACCATCTTCCCCAACAACCTCCCATAATATATCAGCCGCCACCTATGCGGTGGATGCCAATGCACTATCAGGTAGAAGCCCCCATTGACCTGCAACTGCTGTCACCAAATCCGACCGGATTACGACCAGCAACCTCACAAGCATATGTGCAACTGCCAATGGCTCCGCATCATCCTATGCATCCTTCAGCGCCTTCAACGCCTCCTCCTCCACCACCTCCTCCCCCTCCGCCTCCTCCTCCGCCGCCAGCAGCAGCACCGCCGCATTCTTCATCTACATCTACATCTACATCTACATCTGTGCCTTCAACTACGCCGCAGTCCCAATTGAGTAACATACATGGACTTCTACAATATGGTCCCGGACGTCCAATGTCCAATCTTAATAGACCCGACCATGACGAAAATGCGTTGAAAGCTTTGGATAAATCTTTCACTAACACTTGATCAAAAGGAGCATTTACTTGATAAAATGGAATTCGAACATAGCATAAATGTGATGGTGCAAATTTTCATATAGGAGGTTCCACTATTCCGGAGTTTAGTAGTATTAAAAAAAATATTAGTGTATCATTCTACTGCATACATAATGCAAATGCGGCCATTCTTGCTGCAAGTATTCTTCATGCAGCCCTTTTTCTGCAGCGTTTTTTTACTGTAATTTGATCATGCATATCTTTCATGCACTGCGGCGGTGACAAAAAAAAAATACAAGATCAATAAAAGATCTGCAGCATGATAGCTAAAGTAGGCTATTGTTGTTGCATAGGTGACTAAAAAATAGTGTTTCGTTTGCGACGCGAAATAATCGTATTCTTCTATTTTGCTCTTTCAACATTTAGCCTCGCCATTTTGAATTTTTCTCCCATGCATATTTGACCGACTTGGTAATGCCCGCAGTAAGTACACCTTTGAGAGTTTGAATGGCTGCAGGTATCCTAACTGTTTGGCGCACTGCCAAAATTAGTCGGCTGCGGCGTTTCTTATCCAATGCAAATTCCATCGCACCAGAAGGTGAAGTGACGCCGAGGGTGCGTCTGAACCCAATTGGCAATTGCTGCACAAGGCTGCTAACGTATTCCGGCGTGAACTCCTTTTTCTCAAACCGACCAACCTCACCCCCGGTTCTCACCAATGTGTGACCATCCACCATGTGCTCCATGATCGGAGCATATAAATGGCGGAATTTTGTAAATTGTTTGTTCACAATATTTTGTATTTTTTTGGGATTCTCGCCCCCAATTGCCATTCTGGGATCTCCCATATACGATACCAGGGTTATGGTTTCGTATAGCTTGACTTCATCAAATTTGGCTGGTGCCAATAATAATGCTAATGTGAGTGCACTCTTCAAGTTGTACTGATTAACAAGTTCAATATACTTGTTTTCTTGCCGCAAAAATTTGACCGGTTTCTGTAATCTGCCAGCAACATAAAGCGAGTTCCACTCACACAAATCTCGAAGACACAGCTCTAATGTGGTGACACCATACTTGAGAAGATGGGTTTTGCCGCCACTAGCCATGGCCACAAATGGATTAAAATAAACTCCGCCACCCCACTGCTGGACTGCCAGGATGGTGGGGGCTCCGCCCAAATACTTGAGACCGGAATAATGGTTGCCGAACTGTCGCAAATTGGTGGTGTGGAAATTGCAAGCATCATCTACTACATGGATCATGTCTATTTGCGGCTTTGCTCGCTTCGTGTACCCCGCCTGGTCAAACACCCCGGACCCGTAGCCAAACGTAAACTCCACCGGACCGTCAAAACGCCGTGCGAGCGCCTCCAAATCGTCGTCGTTATCAGTGACAAATTGCTGGTTAGAACATTGTTCAGGTAAAAGATTTTTCACCGCCAGATATCCCGATGTGATGATATCCTTGTATATTTCGGGGTGGTACAGTGTCTGGGCTGCAGTACTGTATTGGCACACACCGGTCAGAATGCGTAGTCGAAGCATACAGTTGTTAGTTTGTCGTACGACAGGATCTGGTTACGATTTCTCACGGTTGTGTGCAGGAAATTTCAATCGAGCCCATCACATGAGAAATCTGAGGGAGATTACTTTTAACCCGACCATTATGAACTTACGACCTTAGTTCTGTTCCTTGTGAAATCATTCACATGTTTGGTGAAAAAGTCTCGTACATCTGAAGCCATCACAGGATTGGATCTTGTATATAATGACAGCTGTCCTGTATGAAGTCTGCCATGAAGAGGTGCTTCAAGTCAGCATGATGATTTTGAAGCATTGTTTATACTTCGAGCGACTTCAATAAAGGTAAAGGGAAGTGGTCTCCAGACAGGTCTTATAAGATAACATGCGGTGAGTTTGGATGTTTTTATTAAGTCAACTGATACTCTCAGTCGCATTGTAGCTCCGAGAACCTCGTGAAATCGTTCTATTGTTCACTTGCACTGTTTTCACTAGCATTTGAGATACACGAGGATAGTACTTCATTAGTACTTAGTACTGTAATAGTGCTTTATTCGTACTTAAATAATACTTCGCACATAGTTATACTCCCATTTATTTTTTCCTAAACTTATGAACCCTCCTAATTCTGCTGCCTCTGATGCTATTTTTGGTTCGCATTACTTGCGGCAGTACTGTACCCTTAAACCAACTCTTAGTGACTTGATTGGTTTATTATTAAAAATCGGGCTCTCTGTTTCGAACTGGAATTGATGATGTAACCAAAGAGTCAAGGTGAGATAGATTAAAAGTCATTTTCAAGGAAATTACCTATAGCTGCAATATACATGCCCACTAAAACTCTAACGAGTCTACATAGATGAAATAATTTGCAGCCATTCCACAAAGGTCGTCCCATCCTCAATTTTAACTCGAATCGATACTTTTCGAGGTTTCAAACCTCTGGCGTGTGGGACAGAGTATATCTGTGCTTACAAAATACCTTGTCCTCACCAAAAAATGTAAAAAAAGGAACAACAATGTGTCCCACTTTTCTATATGCATAGGCGTGAAATAACGCAGAATCGCGCGATAATCAAATTTCGTCCCACTTTTCTTAATCTTACTCCAACTTTCGGCTCAGCTAAAAGAGCAACACCAAAATTCTGGTTACTCCGCAGCTACTTATCTTTGAGCAACCAAACTCCTAAATGGAATAATTGCCAATTACTATTTTCTTTTTGAGGTCCCTGCCATTCGCCGGTCAGGCACCCACACACCGGTACCGGCGGTTGTCTGCACTCCGCGAATTTTCCAGTTGTGAATCATCTCCAATATCTTCAACATGTCTGCTTCCCAGCGCTATAGATCGACCCGCTCGGCCAGCGACGCCTCCATCTCATTTGAGGAGGCGGTGATGATGGGCTTGGCCAAAGATGGTGGTTTGTTTGTACCTTCTTCGATTCCTGCGTTTCCTGACTCATTTTTGACAGAATGGAAAGACTTGTCGTTTCAGCAACTTGCGTTCCAGATCATGAGAAAGTACATTTCCGAGCAGGAAATTCCCAGTGATGACTTGGAGAAGTTGATCGAGAAGTCCTACTCGACTTTCCGTGCTCCAGACGTCACTCCTTTGAATCCTATTGATAAAGAAAATGGAGTATATTTGTTGGAATTATTCCACGGTCCTACCTATGCCTTCAAGGACGTTGCGTTGCAATTTTTGGGTAACTTGTTCGAGTATTTCTTGGTCAGAAGAAACGCATCTGCCAAATCAGAACTGGATCGTGAAAAAATCACCGTCGTTGGTGCTACCTCTGGTGACACTGGATCTGCTGCTATTTACGGATTAAGAGGCAAAAAAGACGTTTCTGTGTTCATCTTGTACCCCACTGGAAGAATATCGCCAATTCAGGAAGAACAAATGACTACGGTGGAAGACGAAAATGTTCATACCTTGTCGGTGAAAGGTACCTTTGACGACTGTCAAGACATTGTCAAGCAAATTTTTGGCGACAAGGAGTTCAATGACAAGTACCATGTGGGAGCTGTCAATTCCATCAACTGGGCTCGTATTTTGGCACAAATGACCTACTATGTCTACTCGTTTTTCCAGTTGCGCAAGAACCTCGGCACCGATGCTGCCTCCAAAATTCGGTTCGTTGTGCCTTCGGGAAACTTTGGTGACATTCTTGCAGGCTACTATGCCAAGGCAATGGGCTTGCCTGTCGACAGGTTAATTATAGCCACCAACGAGAATGATATTTTGGATCGTTTTATGAAATCGGGTCGTTACGAAAAAACTGCTGATAACTCCAAGCCTGCCGAGGTGAAGGCCACATATTCTCCTGCTATGGATATCTTGATATCCTCGAACTTTGAGAGACTTTTGTGGTACTTAATCAGAGACAATTTGGCTGAGGGAGATGACAAAAAGGCAGGATCCATATTGAACGAATGGATGACACAGTTGAAATCCACCGGTTCGGTGGTTGCTCCAGAGTCGGTGGTCGCTGCTGCTCGCCGTGACTTTGATTCGGAAAAGGTCACCGATTCCGAAACTGCTTCTATGATCAAAAAGGTTTACCACAACCACCCAAGGAAATATGTGTTGGATCCTCATACTGCCGTGGGAGTCACAGCCACCTACAGAAACATAGAAAGAGATTCAACAACCAAAGAGTCTGCCAAGTACATTTCGTTGTCGACTGCTCATCCAGCCAAATTTGCTGAAGTGGTGAACCTGTCTTTGGAAGGAGTGGATGGCTACTCTTTTGAAAAAGATGTATTACCCGATGAGTTGAGGGTGTTGGCTTCCAAAGAGAAGAGATTGAATCTCATTGACGAGGCTTCTGTCGAAAAGGTCAAGAGTGCTATCATCAAGGCATTGGAATCTGCTTAATCAAAGAAAAATATCACCTAATAAATCTATTTGCGTTTTTCGTACTCTATTTTCCCGTCATTAATCTTCACCTCGTACCCTACTTCCTCCAACACCTTGTCGTCAACCACTTGCTGAGCTTCGAGTGATCTGACAAAATTTTGGTTTCCTTCATTCCCAGCAAGAAGCTGTTTGATACACACTATGGCCCTCTCCTTAAGATACGGATTGTTGTCGTCAATTGTGCAGCACGAGAGTATTATCTGGAGACCATGCAAGGAACGAACTTGTTCCTGAACTTCAAAAGTATTGTGTGCTAGATGGGCTATAATCTCAATTATCGCAGACTTGACTTCTGGAAAAGACTTGGTATTTTGTTCTGTCTCTTGGTCCTTGAGAGTCTTTCTCTCTACGTTTTGGTGCACCGAAGCTAGTAAATGGATCAAATTTTCAACAGCTCCATAGTGTCGGAGAAACTGTCTTGTTGTGTCAAACATGCACAAATGTGAAAGGCAGTCTAAAAGACGAATTAGTATGGAATGACAGTATTGTAACTCAATCCTGTCGAAATCTTGTGTGGTCAATTGTTCTTCAGACCGCTCAGATATTTCGACAAACAAATCATACATCCAAGCGAGCATCGCAGCAAGCTGATATTGGTCCCAATTTTCTTTGGAAGTTGCAATTTTTTGGCCTGCTTTTACCAAAAGTAGACTCTTGTCCTTATCATTTTTGTAGGTGTGTATCCAATTGTTGAAGCTTTCGCTACATATGAACTGTTCAAACACCTCTATCAGTTTGAATTCAAGCGGCTCTTTTATGTCTGAAAAACTGGAAACCTCAGCAGCAAGAAAGCACACCAAAAATGATAGTTCTCTTATAAGAAGAAAGTCATTCACGGTGAGATTTTCGAGAGACTTCACTATAATAGATACTAGAGGTTGTCTAGCTTGCTTGGAGGTGGTGAGTATGTTCCACATTATTGGACTTTGAAGTGCATTATCAAGGTACCCAAGGTCCTCAGACGACAAAATGTAGCTCTGTGAGCAGTTTGAGCAAGCTTGTAGCCAGGAAATAACTAGATTTTGGCCGATATCGTTTTTTTGGATGTGGACGTTTTGTACACTTGAATACACAATTTTGAGGTCAATTGGACAATTTTCAGAAGCCAAGTTTCGTACAAGAAGATACACTCCTCTCAACAATCTATAGTAAGATGCAGTTTTGTCTTCATTTGATTTAATTTGTTCTAAAATGGTAGAAAGAATTTCCCACAAGTCTTCTCTGTGTGCCAAATTGTGTCGTATTTGATGATCATTGACTGTATCTCTAAGCAAGGATCCTAGACTGCTTATCTGAGCCTCTATTTCTTTATTTGAGCTGCTGTCCAAAAGTACAGATTTGACTTTGTCTAGACATTCTAAAACAGAATCAGTCATTGCACTGAGGAATCGCTCATCGCATCTGTGAGATGGGCTGGATGCAGGATTCGAAGTTGCAAGAGAATTAATGGTTTACAGTGGGCCATAAAAGAGATAAACATAAACTTCAACTCAAGATGGGAAGCATTCTATGGACTTCTGTGCTGTCGACAACATTCACTTTTTCAAAATTTCAATTTTTGCAGCAATTCGAAATCATGAGGTGCTCGTGAATCCATCACCTGATTAACATACTTTACGAGGCAACTTTTACGGAAGGAAACTCGGCGAATACTCTACAAAATAATCTATATTCAAACTGTGGTTGGTCAAGGTGGCTACTTTATGCATTTTCGCGCCTCAGCCGCGAGCACGTCATATGTGTCAACGACGAAAGAAATGAAATCATCTAGATACACCCAAAATCGAGATCAGTTCAAGTTGCTTATCGAAAACAGACCTCAAATATCATACTACTTGCCTACCTACTTAGTGCGCTTTCCACTTTCCGCATCTCTTATCTCCCTGGCGCTTATCTCTAACTGCGCGTGCACCTGCACCAAAACGCCGCATCTCCTGCCATTATGCACCGAACAAACGTCAAGCCACAGTGACACAAGAATGGCATATATTATTCCCGAGTTGCGCCAGCACGATTTTTAGGAGTGCTTTGTTCGGAAAATGTCAGAGAAGCTCGAGAAGGTTATTGTTGTTGAGGGTGGGGACAATTCTAGTGACTTCTCTTACCTAGAGATTCCCGATAATGATCTTCTGTTTATCGAGGGAGATCCGTCGATGATGAACAATTCTCCTTATCCTGAAGTCCGGGCAGCGGTTTCGACCGAGGTGGATCCAGATATCAAGCTCAACCACTGGAGAACTTGGTTTTTGACCACGATCTTTGTGATTGTATTTGCTGGTGTCAACCAGTTTTTCTCCTTACGGTATCCTTCCATCACCATTGGTTTTGTGGTGGCCCAGGTGATCTCCTTTCCCATAGGTAAGGCACTTGAGAAGTTGCCGGATATCCAATTCAAGCGGGCTCCATTTTTCAACTTGAATCCAGGCAAATATACCAAACAAGAACATGCACTTTTGACCATTGTGGTTTCACTTACGTCGTCCACGTCGTACGCAATGAACATTTTGATTGCCCAGACAAACTTTTACAATCAAGACGTCTCGGTCGGGTACCAGATCCTCATGGTTTTTTCCACTCAGCTACTTGGATACGGTGTAGCAGGACTTACTCGTAGGTTCATTGTATATCCAGCACACATGCTCTGGCCGCAAACTTTGGTTACATCGACTGTTTTCAGCGCCTTGGCAAAGTCAAATCTTGCAGAAAACTTTAAAACCAGCAGAGTTAATTGGTCGAGATACAAAATGTTTGCAGTGGTAACGATATTTTCGTTTGTTTGGTACTGGTTTCCAGGGTTCATTTTCAAAGCTCTTTCTTACTTCAATTGGGTGTGCTGGATAGCGCCCAATAATATCGTTGTGAACCAGATCTTTGGGGTTTCTCTGGGATTGGGAATAATTCCAATAACTTTCGACTGGACTCAGATTACCCAGGCTTTGAGCTTTAGTCCACTTGCAACTCCATTCTGGGTGGCTGCAAATACTTATGGTTCGGTATTTGTGTTTTTCATTGTCCTCTTGCCCATACTCTACTACACCAATACGTGGGATGCCAAGTATATGCCCATGATCAGCTCGTCCACATTCGACAATCGGCAACAGAAATACAACATGTCCAAAATCATCACCAAAGACTACAGAATAGACCACCAGGCTTACAAGGAGTACTCTCCGTTGTTCATCCCATACTCGTACCTCCTAAACTATGCAACCAACTTTGCTGCCGTGATAGCCATCTTCACGCACACCGCACTTTACAACGGTAAAGACATAGTTGCAAAATTCCGCAACTCGAAGCATGGTGGAGAAGATATCCACAAACGACTCATGAACTCGTTCAAAGAAGTGCCAGACTGGTGGTATGCGGCGGTATTTGTTGTATCTGTTGGCTTGGCATTTGCAACCGTTTCTGGGTTTCACGAACATACCCAAATGCCTGCTTGGGGCTTGGTAATAGCCTTGTGTATAGCATTTGTGGGGTTTATTCCCCAGGGTCTCTTAGAGGGACTCACCAACCAGCATGTGGGATTGAACGTGGTGACGGAAATCGTGGCAGGTTACGTCTTTCCTGGAAACCCATTTGCAAACATGTTCATCAAACTTTATGGTTTCATTCCAATGAGACAAGGCTTGGACTTTTCTCGAGACTTGAAGTTGGGACAGTACATGAAGATTCCTCCAAGAGTTCTCTTCGTTTTTCAAATCTATGGTACCATTCTTGCATGCTTGGTTAACGTTGGGGTTCAGCAATGGATGCGGTTCAACATTAAGAATATTTGCGAGTCCACCAATGAATTTTCTTGTCCAAATGGAAGAGTGATATTCAATGCTTCCATATCATTTTCGTTGGTCAAGGAGTTGTTTTCACCGGGAAAAAGATACAACCCTCTCTTGTACTTTTTCTTGATTGGTGCAATTTTCCCCATATTCACTTGGCTCTTATGGAAAAGATACCCAAACCGGTGGTTTGGCCGTATTAACAGTCCAGTTTTTTTTACCGGCCCAGGAAACATCCCACCTTCGACATTGTACAACTACTCGCTTTATTTTGCAACCTGCTTTGTCTTCAACTACTACCTCAAGAAGTACCACAGTTTCTTCCATGCCCGCTACAATAATGTCATCTCTGCTGCATTTGATGCCGGGGTAGCGATATCAGCTATCATTATTTTCCTCTGCGTTTCGTATCCCGGCGGAAAATTGGTGTGGTGGGGAAATACCGTCTACCAGAATACCAAGGACTACAAGCTGACACCGTTCTATACCCTCAAAGAGGGAGAAACTTTTGGCCCCAGTAAATGGTAAGTACATGTTTATACTAATATGATTTCTGTAACGATATTCAAGCTGCGCCGTCCACGACAACAGCTGCAAAATTTTCAGTCTCCGCCTTGACCTCTAGCTTGGCCACCACTTTACCTCCCGTAGAAGCCAAACGCACCAATGCGGCCACTTTGCCGCCCCATACATCTTTTCCAAGCAACTTCAACACATGCGACGTTGTGTCTGGGGAAACGTAATCCAGACCATCTAATGGCATCATGCCCAAGTTCTTGGCGAGCTTTTCAACCGCAGCTTCTAACGACTTGATTCCAGCTAACGTTATCACCGTTGAGGCATCATGTGGTAATTGATCGTAAAGTGCCGTGAAGTTGGAGTTGTATAATGGGCTAATGAAGTCACCAGGTAACACCTCCAAGTCTTCAATTTGGTATTCATCGGCCCAACCATCGTCTGAAGCATCGTAATTACCCTCATTGTCAATAGTCTCTCTGTTGATGTAAGACATCGTATTTCCAAATGCGGCAATAAGTACTTCATCGTCCAACGATGGAGTGGTGAACGACACATACGCAACGCCAGTTTGATTGGGCTTGAGCTCATCGATTTGAATCACCACATCCTCAACATAAAGTTCGTTGTCTGGCTGCGCTGCGATAGATACCTCTTGCAAAACAAGGTTGTTTAATGTGTTTGTGATATTGTACTGCAATACCAACTTTTGCGACTCGATGAAAAAGTGTTTGACAACCGATACCACAAACTCATTCTCCTTGTCGGTGAGGAATGTTGGAGTAGAAGAAGATTTGGTCAATTTTCCGTAAGCAGCAAATTCAGGTATGGCGCTGATTTCTTGAGCGTATTGTTGCATTTTCAACAATTCGTTAGCGTTGTCGTCTTGTTGGCTGTCCTGTGCCTTAGCAGCAGGTGTACCTTCCTTGTCATCTCCACTGTCTGCGGCAGAGCTCTCAAGCTTCTCGATCTTAGTCTTGTATTGACGAGACTTCAACTCTTCTTCTGTCAAAATAGGAACTTCATTAATGTCAAATTTCACATCGAAATTAGTCTCATCGTTCAAGTAGTTGGTCAATTGGCTTTCCAAAACTGCCAAGTCGTAGCGAGAGGTTGAAACAATCAACTCTTTGTGTGCACGATCAATGAAAGCCAATGAAACAGCAGCTCTGTCTCTCACTTCATCATCAACGTCATTCAAGCAACGGCCCAATAAGATCTTTATGTTGCGAGCAATGTCGCCACCACACACAGCAGCAAACTTTGCCAATGATACAACAGCCGATGATCTAACAATGGAGTTCTCCAACACAAGACGGTTGTATATATGTCTGATATAGTAAGAAGGATTGGCGGTGGAGGGTCCCTCTTCTCCTAGCAAGTGGAGAATACGAACAGAAAGTTCAGTAAATTCACAATCTTCGATAAACTCACACAAGTTCATCAAGATGAGCTGCTTGGCACTGGCATCTGGAAGGAAACGAATCAAGTCGAATAAAGCATCAACAATGCTGGACTTGAGTTGCAAAGAGCCATCATCGCGCAACAAGTCGGTGAGGAATGCTACCAACTTTTTGTGTTTTGAAGGGAACTTCAAGGCTAAGTTTTCTATGGCGTCAATAATGACTGACTTGAAGTCCTCTGTGATCTCATCCATAAGGGTTGTCATCTTTGTGATCAAGCGGTCGACACTCTCACCTCCGGCAACCAAACCAGACAGCTCTACGGTACCAGCGCCCATTGTCTTCAACAAGGTGGTGATGGCAAGCGTCGAAATTGAACGGTTAGAATCATTTATCAAGTTTTCCAATTCCAAATTGACCACGACGATCTTCTCTGGATGCTTAACCGATATTTTGTTAATTAAGCGAATAGCAGAAAACCTGGTGGCGGTGCGAGGAACACCAAGAAGTTTTTGTAAAGTCGACACCACATTCATAAATTGGTCTTCCTTAATCAAGTGCTGAACACCAATGAGAGTTCTGCAGGCTTCAAGCTCGACCATGTCGCTCTTGTTCTTAAGGAAACCCGCGAGAAGTGGATACAACGGGTTGATGAGCGATGGATCGTCGGCCAAGATCTTATTGATATACCGAATCAACTGGATGATAGCCAACGAATTCTTCAAGGTACCGGAATCGGCCAAAGACGTAATCAACTTCATCAATGCCATTCTATCGTGATTTCTCAAGTGATACAACAAGCCTAGCGCATGGTACTGGTACATATACGAGGTCGCTGGCAAGTTGGTAGTCAGATGACCATAGTACTCGTGAAGCAGGAATTGGTCTGCTGGAAATTGTTTGTACAGCAGCACCGTTTCCAATGCCTCATTGGTAAAGCGTTTCACCACGTCCTTTGCAATTGGGAGCAAATTGTAGGTAGATATCAACGCAGCAGACGACACAATTGGATTTTTGTCAACCAAACAATTACGGAAAAGACGTTCGGATGCTGAAACAGTGGTTGGGTCCAACACCTTAGAAAGAGTCCGGATGGCATTGGGTTTGTACACCAACTCGCCGGACTGGATGTCTTTCATAATCGACGAAGTCACCATCAAAATGTCCTGCGACGTCGCACTGAGCTCTTTGATCGTCAAGTAAACAAGTTGACGAAGCGCAGTGTTCTTGTGCTGGAACAACTTCGAAATGGAGAAGAAAAGGGTGGTGGCCTCGTTTGAAGGGAAAGTTTCTCCGTGGTAGATCAAACTCAACAATCGAGCCAACAACTTGCGGCACTTGGCGGCGTTAACAGGAGACGCATTGAACAGTTGTAGACACTCCTGGAACACCGTCATTTTATCGGGAACCCCCGACAGCGACCCGGAATACGCGTCTGCTTTTTTGTACGAATGGGTGGACATGACGACGGTGGTTGAGATTGTTTTTCGTGTCAATTAGGGTGCTGGTGTGTGGGTGTGAAATTCCAAGGAGTTTTAGTGCTTGTGGTGTGTGGGTGCCTATATCGTAGATTTTTGCAAAACCTCCATTATGCTTTCTTTGGTTCGGGGATCGGCGGTGCTTTATAGGGCCGCGAGGCCGATGGCGCATATGCAGCCACGGATGCAAACCATGTTGGCCACGCTTCCGCGCATGATGGTCGGAAGTGGGTCGGGATTGGCCTCGATGGTGATGCCATTCCGAGGGTTTAAAGTTCGAACTTCGGTCAAAAAGTTTTGCAAGGACTGCTATATGGTTCGCAGAAAGGGCCGAGTTTATGTTTACTGCAAGTCGAACGGTAAGCACAAGCAGAGACAGGGATAATGTAAATATGCTATAAATGTACATAATGAAGCTTTTAATTAGCTTTTAATCAGCTTTTGGTGTAGTTTTGAAACTTTGGAGAATAATTTTTCACTCAAATGTCAGCTCAATTTTCTTCGTCAACTCGCTCTCTGCTTCAACTTGACCGCTCGCGTGGTGGGTGTTTGTGGAGAGCGCATATTGACCGACGCTCTTTGGTTGGTGGGTCTTTGCTGTTTAGGAGCAGTTGAAACACTTGAAGAAGATGCCAGAGACAGAAGCAAAGCCTGCTGCCAGATGCGATTTATTTGCGATGAGACTTCGTGTTCTTGCTCAGCGGTTTGAGGAGAGAATTCTCGGAAACTATTGGCATTTCCATTTGCATTGGTTTTGGTTTGACGCTTTTTGGGCATCTCCACTTCGTCTTTGAGTTTTCCCAAGCGAGATAAGCTTTCACCAACAGGATTCAAATGGCGCCGAACGTTGAGATATTCTCTATTGAGCCTCTCGAACTCGGTCCGGGACTGAATCGAGTTGTGTCCCGATTGTAGCATCCTCAAAAGACCACTAATACTGCTGGATGAAGCTGCTCCAGGATCACTTGGTACTCCGTTAGATTGCTGCTGGTTTGGCGTATTGGAATTGACCGAAGCCGCTCCGTTGTCGAGATCTTTGATGTTTCCCAGACTGTAGTTGTGAGAAAACATGAGCTTGTTGAGAGATAGCGACGAAAAGTTGTGGTTCTCGGCGACATCCATAAGTGAATTTTCTCGCTGAAGCCATAATCGCTGCTGTGTACGGGTCTCGATATTATGGGCATGGTCGCTTTGATTGTTGGACGTTAGGTAGTTTTGCAAGCTCATATTTTGTTTGCGAGGTGCATTATATTGCGAGTTTGTGCGCTGCAAATTGGAGTAGATGGTCTGTTCCGGTTGATACGAGCTGGGTGTAACTGCATTTTTTCCGCTGACGACTGGCTCGGCAAGGTTGTGGTAGTTTGTGGACTCGATAGGATTCGCTTTGAAGGAAATACCGCTCATATTCTCCAGCGAAGTGGGCGCTACGGCGGTATACGGATGAGCATGGTCCACTTTTTTGGTAAGTCCCGTCAGTTGGGAGAGCAAGAGTGAACCCCCATAGAGGTTAGAGGACACACTTCCACCCAAGGGAGCGGCAGACTCAGAACGAAAGTCCTCAGAGCTAGCCAGGGCACCCGAAGTGGGACGATCAAGCTCCAGAACATTCCGGGACTCCTGGTTCGTTTGAGCACTTTTGGAGTCATTGTTCTGTTTTTCGCCTAATGCTGAACGTTCACCAGTAGCTGTGGCATAGTTTTGCTTGATAAAGTCAGAAGCCTGAGCATTAGCCTGAGCATCAGCCTGAGCATCAGCCGGGGCATCAGCTTGACCAACCAGGACACTATTCACATCTTTATTCTGCAACACTTCTGATTTATTGAATTCTTCTTGAGATTGTTCCTGCGATTTTCTGGACTCAACATCAAGCTCAGATTGAGATTCGGTCGGTGGTTCAGAAGGAACACTCACATCTGACTGAGACCGGGGCTCAACCAGTATACTTATTTGTGACCCAGATCTCGAATCCTGGCCATCCTCTTGAGACTTATGCTGGCGTGCTTCATTGTCATTGCCCTGAGGGCCATTTATTTCAGAAATCTCATTACTCTTATCTTCATCTTCACCATCTGCGTTTTCCGTATTGATATCTTCGTAGTCTTCGTTATCCTCATTTAGCCTCAAGATAGCCCTACCCTTGCGTGTACTGGTACGTATACCCCCTGAGGCTGGCGCCATACCTTTAAGAGAACCGCTGGACCGATTTGTGGTGAGCAGTGGTCCCAGTGTCGTCTTCGTTAACGGCTGCAATCCCGTCAATAATCCCATCAGACGGTTATTTCGGGTGAGATTCAGACGAGACAGCGGCCGGTTGACACTGTCTGTGGATTTGGACCGGTTTAGATTCGGCCTGAGTACAATAGTGGGACCGGAAGAAGAGGTGGAAAGTCGGGTGAGTTTGTTGTGGGACGAAGAGCGGACCATGGGTCTAACTCTGGATCCAGCCTTCTTCTGGTGCGTCGTGTGAGCCATATTGTGCTTTTTGCGCGCTTTCAGACCTTCCGGGGGACCTGTATATGTCTCCGAAGGTGACATGTTAAGCGGAGTACTCTGCGGTGCAAACGAAGGTGTTGATGTGTGTACTACATATAGTAGACGGTTTCGCCTAATTTGCAGCCAAGAGTACTGCTATCATTAGTAGAAGTATTACTTGTTACTTGTACCAGTTTCTTTTCTTTCTGTAATTTTGCCGTGTATTCTTGCCTACTTGCAATATACGTAATAGTACAATTTCTCAATATTCTCCTCCGGAGTCCTACGGACTCCTACGGAGTCTATGGTCTATGGAGCTCGGAACCTTCGTTGTTGTCCCTCCATGTATACCTGGTAGAGTACGGTCTCCAAATCTCCCGTGCGGGTCAACTCCTCGTGCTTTTGAAACAACATCAACGCCGTATATGCATCTTCCACCGAATCGTGGTTACCGGTTTGCACTTTTTCCTTGAGCAAAACGTACGCCAAAAACTTCAAACTAAGCTTCCTCTTAAACTCGGGAAGATAAAAGAGATCGGCCGTATCACGGACTTGAGTCTTGGGGACAACCAAGTTGATGCATCTGAAGTCGTTCTGTAAACCGTGGCCCACAAAGACACATCCCATATTGAGAAGCAACCATAATTTGCGGTAAACGGTTTGAAGCGTCACTAATGCTTTCTTAGACACTTCAGGATCAAGATCGCCAGGTTCTATGCCAGAAAAGCTGGTTAGATAGTCTTCAATGTGGCCGGTCCATACAATATAGTCGTCGATAAATGGGACACCTATATTTGGTCCGTTCCCTCGAAGCACCGACACTCGAGCCAACGTCAACTTTTTGGGTTTGATAAGCTTCCGTGTACCAGTGTATCGTATCTCCAACTGCTCAGGTTCCGAAACTACGAATTCCGCATCGATAGCAATTAGGGTTCCAATTTCGGGTGCCTCTTGTTTCGTAAGGAGCTTGTACTCTTGGCGATGGCCCTCTCTGGCGGCTCGTACAAAGTGGTCTCTGTATATGATGGAGGTGTCGAGGTCCTGAATCTTTTTGAAAGTTGAGGTTTCAAAGTACAGAAAATCCTGGCCTGGTTCGCTGTAAACTATAATCACGGGTTTTTTCCACGAGTATGAAAGATTGAGTGCTTCTTCTTGTGCAATGGGCATGACCAAGAAGTCATTGAAAAGATACCATTGGCCTTTAATTTTGACAAACGAGACAAGATTGTGGGCTCCGCGCTTTACACCCGGACCATGACTTATTTCACAAACGTATCCCAAAAGTTCGTACTTGCGACCCCTTCCAGCGTCGACAAACCTCTCATCTTCGCCGATATGAAACTCAGGAACGAGCCATCCGCGACAATTGTGGATCTGTTGGAGCTCAAAATTGGTCATACTCAAGTTGATCAGCAATACTTTTGGTAAACGAACAACCCGCTGTCTGGCATTGACAGCATGGGGTCTTCCTCGTGCTTCACATTCTCTGCACGACGCCAGTTTGTACTGGTCCATGAAATAGTCCATATAAGATAATATGGTGATCTCGGTTTTTTCCGCTCGACGAAGCATTGCTAGTTTGTTCAAGTACTGTTCGGGAGGACTGGTCAAATCAAAAATCAATTGCGATCCCGTATGTGTTTCCGTTTCAGTGCACTGGCTCTTGATTTGCATTTCGAGTTTGATACCCATGATATCTTCGATTTTTTCCGAATTTGTATGGCGTCTCTCTCGTTGGTTGCTGGTGAGCTCAGATAAGAGGTAATGGTTGAATCGAATAATGATTTCCCGAAGACCATCGGCATTAAGACTTTTCTCTTCGTCGGTATTGATGACTCCAGCGGAAGCAGCACTTGCACTTTGGGTTAATAGCTGGGAAAAATTGGCGATTTTGACATTGCGGCCCTCGGCTTTGTGCATCATGTCAAAAAGATAGCCTAATTCTATGAGCAAAGACAGGCCCTGGGGGTTCCACAGGATGATTTCGGGTCCATTGGGCAAGTATTCGGGAAGCAAGGACTCCACCACAGAATTGTAAAATGCCGGAGCAGCACGGTACAATTGCAAAAGTGCATTGGTGTACGAGTTGTCGAGGTGGTTTTCAAGCCCACTACATGCTCCGTTCGACTTGTTGTAGTAGTCAAAATCAAAGTCATCCACCCCGAACTTGGAGTACTGGATCTGGAGCCGTGAGTAGCAATGTGGCACCGAGGTGGGGGATTTGAGATGGAAGATGGAATTTTCAGCGTGGATCATATTTTCGTTAGACTCGCCGTCCCGTTCACTGATGAATCTGGGAGCGTTGCTGTTGCTTCCTGGGGGCTCCCGTAGAGATTGGTATGGCTGCGAAATGTTTCGTGGTCCGTGCGCAGTTCTGTCGTATGGTACAAATGCACCATGACCGAGGCTAGTGTCCACTTCAGCAGGAACCTTCAGAAGCTCCTTGGTGAAGACCATGTCTGTGGCATAGTTGGAGAGGAGGTAGTCCTTGTAGTAGGGCATTCCTACCGAAGACAAAGGGACGGGATCGTCGACCTCAAAAGGCGGCGGAAGTGGTGCTGGTATATCTTGCTCTTCGAGCGGTGCAGGAAAGTTGACAAAGTTGGTATCGCTGGTAAACGACCAAAGATGAAGCAGACGGCCCTCGCTGCAGCAAATATATTCTCCATTGTCGCTAATTTCCATTCGCGAGATTCCTGGCGATGCCGGCGACATGTTCACTTGATACACATTCAATTTCAGCTGGTCAAATATATCGACAAACTCAAGCACGCCGGTGCTGGAGGCCACTATGACTATATTGGGGAGCTTAGGATGGAAGCGGACGAACGAGGCCCCATTGGGAAAAGGAATGGGTGAAAGCGATTTCATCATGCGAGTATCGATAAGATGCACGAGCGGATCTGTGATGTACGAGGTGCCGCCTGCGGCCGAAGAATTCTTGTGGTCGTATCGTCGGCGGGCCGAATAACCGCATGTTGCTATGTAGTTTCCCTGCACCGCCATATCGCTTAACAAGCCAGAATGAGCAGGAAAAGATTTTACGCTGGAGTTGCTGGCGGTATCAAAGAGCTCCACAGTCCCATCTGTGGTTCCCAACACCAAAGTCTTGGCCACAGAGTCCACAAACGATAAATTTCCACTGTGGTCAAAACCAGTTGCAACACATTTTTGCATATCTAGGCTACCAAGTGAGTGAGTTCCTCCCACAATTATGTCGTTGCCGGTCCCTAGAGTCGTCATACATGACAAATTACGCAAAACATTGGCCGAATCCGTCACCGAAGCCGCCGTAAAAGTGGCCTGAGAAAGTCCACGACGAGAATTGAGATTGACACAATTTTGCAGAAGCGAAAGTATGCCACGCAGATGGTTGCGCTGCTGCACGACCGGAAGTGGCAGCGTAGTGGCAGGGAATTTCGTATAAGGATAAAGTTGGAAAGGATAACCTGCGTTGGGTGTAAATGAACGAGCCAGACCCAGAGAGTCACCACACCATAAAAGGTTATGAACACTATCAAAGAGGAGGGAAGTCACCGGGTCCTTCGAGGCCGGAAACAGGTATAGCTGGCGTTAGTTTTGAGCCACAATGGCTGCGAGAATACTTACTTCTTCCCACCCCTCCATTGTAGAGGTGATGTTGATGAATCGCGAACTTTGGTGGTGTTACATAAAAAGGCGTAGTTGGTTACGTAAGCGGGAGTTTTCTTATCGCTTACATAAGCGTTGCTCACAGTCGTTTCCTTATCGCGCCAGCACACGTTTCCCTGCATGCTCCACCCGCAGCCCACGCTTTTGTGGCACCGATAAGGTTGTTGTTCTTCTTTAATACCGTTGTTTATTTCTTACAACAAGGTTGGGCGTCGTTTTCGACATTTTTTCTCAACCTATTCCACTAGTTGCATCCGCACTAATGTACAAGTCGTTTCCATCATTTGTGGTGCCTTGGTTCAAGCGTAAAGATTCCGGCAATGATAAGCCATTGAGGGCGGAAGATGTGCCCACCAGTTTCACCATGCCTGTTCAGAAGCTGGACGGGGCGGGCGTGAAGCTTTTGAACGTGTCGATGAACGACCTGGAGGATGCTTTTGTTGATATTAGTTGCCGCCAGCTTCTGTATGCTGAGGCGGCGCAAATGGGAGTCGAATGCCCGGGATCAAATGTGGGATTGCCCGAGGTAAGAACGGGGACCAAGTCTCCAAAGGGTAACAAAAAGGCGCGTTCCCAACACGAGGATGCTGATTTGGGCCAATCTGTGGTTTTTGCCGAGAAACTCAAGTCTGACGCTGCGTACAGAAACAAGAACAAGCACAAGAAACGGAGAAAGTAGCATAGTAAATCGATGATGACCACGTAGGAGCAAGCACTGGAGATTGTGTCTATGAGAGAATTCGAGAATTTGAGAGTTTGAGAACACGAGAATTCTCGGTGATTCCACTTTAGCTACGAGAGAACTACTATGGTACCAAATGACGCATCCACCAATCCGACCCTTGCCAATGAGACACCTTTTGCTCGAAAGAGTCAGGTTTCGATCACAATGCATTGTTGCGCATCAATGCCAAATTTGGTTGTGGTCATGATGCTGACCACGTTGCGGTGACCCACCTCCACGTTTTGAGGTCACCGTTTTTGATCGGTTGCGCGTGCTCGAACGCGACATAATGTGGAGTGCATGAGGGGTCCCTCGGATGCGACCGGATCTTGAGTGGACCAAACTGACCGGATGTGACCGAGTGACCGAGTGGCCAGAAATGGGCAAAGTGAACCAAATGGCCAAATGTGGACCGGAACTGAAAATCTTCTTTTTGACATATTCTCGTACTTCTAATAATCACCTATCTGTTCTTATAGTGTTTCGATTTGTAGAATTGATTTGAAAGCTTTCCTCAGATCTCGGAACTCGATTTTATACACTTTAATTCTTTTCAATCTCTCTTGTCCTATCGCTACACTGTGTCTTTTTAGTTTTATTGACTAAATAGAAATATTTTTTTTTGTTTTTATATATTTTTTAAAATTCAATCACATCGACTTTTAGTTAAGCAATAACACAGTAGTGAGCTGGGTACCCTCTTCTAACATGCTTGACAACCTTTCTGTTGTCTCTGGTCTCGGCTTGAGTGGAAGCGGAAGTGGAAGTAGTTTGAGCGGCCATTGTAGTTGTTGTTTGTTTGATAATGATTTTAGAGGAGGGTAGCTGCTCTTTTATACCCTTCGTGACGTATAGACACACACTGGATGGTTCGTGCTGAAGGTTCAGTGCATGTCAAATGCAAGCGTCAAGGTGAAAAAATTGCCTATTTGAGCATCGACAATGTTTCGCAGCCAAGGCACTTTTGCCAAAATAGTTCAAAATGAAGCTTATCGCCGCGGAATCAGTTTCAGCTGCCATTCGGTGTTGCACCTTGTGTTTCAGGAGATTTTCAAGACCTCAGAAGTGATTGGCAATGGAATTGACCATAAGCCTTATGTCGAGCTGATAGGTTGTCTGCCGCGGCCAGTGCGGCGCCCCTACTGCACATCGCTGCAAATGAGATGAGCTGAAAATTTATTGTGTAGCATGGGTTCCAAAAGAAAGCACGAATCTGGCGATGTGGAGGTGAAGAAGCCCAAGCACGACAATGAGGTGAAGGGAAAGGAGAAGAAGGAAAAGAAGGAGAAGAAAGAAAAGAAAGAAAAGAAAGAAAAGAAAGAAAAGAAAGAAAAGAAAGAAAAGAAAGAAAAGAAGGAGAAGAACGAGAAGAAGGAGAAGAAGGAGAAGAAGGCGAAGAAGGAAAAGACTGAAGAGACTGAAGAGACTGACTCTACCGTTTCTACCGTGTCGTCCTCTTCTTCAGGATATACCCAGGCCGCGGAATTGACTGCGCTTCCTCAGAGCGAAATCGATGAGTTTCTCCAGACCAACGAGGTTACCGTTGAAGATCCTCACAAACTTGGGTTTAGACCAATTCTTTCGTTCGACCATGTCCAGCTCCAGCTGAAGATAGCACCTATAGTGACGAAGTTTCCCAAACCAACTCCTATTCAATCTGCTTCTTGGCCGTATCTTCTCAATGGTGATGATGTAGTCGGAGTTGCCGAGACCGGGTCGGGAAAAACCTTTGCATTTGGAGTGCCTGCCATCAACAACATCATCACCGACAACAAGAAGGGCCTTCGGGTTTTATGTATCTCTCCTACCCGTGAACTTGCGCTTCAAATTTACGACAACTTGACCATGCTCACCAAGAACTGTGGACTCACTTGTGTGGCTATCTATGGAGGAGTGCCCAAAGACCAGCAGATCAAGGCGGTGAAGACTGCCAGTGTTGTAGTTGCAACACCCGGAAGATTGGTGGATCTTCTCAACGACGGGGCGGTGGATTTGAGCACAATTGACTATCTTGTACTTGATGAAGCCGACAGAATGTTGGAAAAGGGTTTTGAAGAAGATATCAAAAACATCATTGGATGCACCAACAAGCAAAGACAGACACTCATGTTCACAGCCACCTGGCCCAAAGAAGTTCGTGAGCTCGCGGCAACATTCATGAACAAAGCCGTCAAGGTGTCGATTGGAAACCGGGACGAATTGGCTGCAAATAAGCGGATTACCCAGACAGTGGAGGTGATGGATCCTCGTGATAAAGAGCGCCGATTGCTCCAGTTGTTGAGGCAATATGGCTCGGACCAAAAAATCTTGGTTTTTGCCTTGTACAAAAAAGAAGCCACCAGAGTGGAAGCCATGTTGCGTCGTTCCGGGTTCAATGTTGCAGCCATCCACGGCGACTTGCTGCAGCAGCAAAGAACTTCTGCACTTGATTCGTTCAAGCGTGGCGACTCGAATCTTCTCTTGGCCACCGACGTTGCTGCCAGAGGCTTGGATATTCCCAATGTCAAAGTGGTGATAAATTTGACTTTCCCACTTACCGTGGAGGACTATGTGCATCGTATCGGCCGTACTGGGCGCGCGGGCCAGACAGGTATTGCACACACCCTTTTCACCGAGCACGAAAAACACTTGAGTGGAGCATTGATGAATGTTTTGCGAGGAGCAGGTCAGCCAGTGCCCGATGAGTTGCTCAAGTTTGGCGGTCACACCAAGAAAAAAAGCCATCTGGCTTACGGTGCATTCTTCAAAGACGTCGACATGACCAAGACGGCGAAGAAGATCAAGTTTGAGTAGCTACAATATAATTTAGAGTAAGAGCTATAGACTAAAAGAACTATACACTATGAAAAGCTAATATCTACGGATCACACAATAAAACTACGCGCGCGTTGACGTGTCCTCGGGTTGTATGCAGTACCCATCGGTTCTATATGCAGGCGTGGGCTTATTCATCAGCGGTTGCAAGAATATTCCAGACAGCATTATATAAATCATCCGTTGACAATAACACCTAATTTTTTTCAGGTTCTGGTCGCATAGAGCATTCTCATTTTTTTTAGTGTGCCACACCATTTCATGTTAAGGTCTGTTATCCTCCTAAGTTTCTTTTGGCTTTCGGTGTTTGCCACCTTCAGTCCACTCGGAACTCCCGAATTTTGCTCCCAAAACATCACCCTGTCATGTAATACCACATTATCCTACATCAGCAGCCTCAACCAGGCAGTACGGCCTCTTGTCTTGAGTCTTACCAAGATGCCTTACTTCCGGTACTTCAAACTCGACCTCGACAAACAGTGCCGGTTCTGGGATGCCCAGCACTTCTGTGTCACGGAAAACTGTGCTGTGGAGGTTCTTCCCGAGTTTAATTGGACAGATGTGTCCAGCGAACACCAACCGCTGAAACTCGGCCAGATCAACCGTCCTAGTGCCACGGGTGCTTCCGACGATAACTCGGAAACTTGTGAAGATTTGGACTATTGCCACATAGACGACGACCACCACTGTGTGTTTGTCGACTTGGTGGAAAATCCTGAGCGTTTTACAGGTTACGGAGGTGCCCAGGCTCATGATGTCTGGCATGCTATCTATGCCGAAAATTGCTTCCCCAACACCAACCCGATGTCGATGACAGAAAACGGGTCGCCCGAGCTGTGTGTGGAAAAAAACCTATTCTACAGAATGATTTCGGGAATGCACTCGTCCATCTCGGTGCATTTGTCGAACGAGTACTTGCTGCCTTCTGGTGACTTCTATCCGGACTTGTCGGTGTTCATGGAAAGAGTGGGCTCGTTCAACGATCGTTTGTCGAACGTTTTTTTCAACTATGCTCTTGTCAGTCAGCTGATTGTGCGGTTGGCGGAAATGATCCCCATCGCAAAGTTGGCGTCGGACGAGTCGGAGCAACTGCTTCTCGCCAACAAAGACGCCGCTATCCGCGATGAGTACTCGCTGTTGGTGTCGCAAGTTGTCTCCAAATTGGGAGAGAATGAACTTTTCGACACATCCTCGTTGTTTAAAAACGTCCCTACTCTCAAAGAAGAGTTCCGTGCCAGGTTCAAAAATGTCAGTGCCATTATGGACTGTGTGGGATGTGACCGGTGCCGCATGTGGGGTAAGTTACAGACCATTGGCTACGGTACCGCCATGAAGATCTTGTTCGAGAACGATAACCAAGCTCAGCTTAAATTCAGAAGAATTGAATTGGTGGCTTTGTTCAATACATTTGAGCGTCTATCCAAGTCCATAGACGCCATTGACAAGTTCAAACAAATGTACTTGGATCACTTGGAAGACGTTCGCAAGGGTAAAACCCAACCAGGTAATTACGAGACCCCTGGAAGTAAGAAGTTTGACTTCCCATTCTTCTCGACACCGAACATTCCTGCGGCACCGGCACCAGAAGTGAAGAGAGCAGCGCCTCAAAAACCCAAAATTGTGAAGCCCACTCCCAAAAAGAAGAGGACATTCAAAGAAGAGTGTAAGGCTTCTTTCGACGAGGTGATGGACGCTTTGAAGTTTGTGCTTAGTAGCTACTACAAACTTCCTATTTTGCTTTACCAGTATGCGGTGGTGATAGCCGCCAAGGCGTGGAAGATTTTCATTGGAGTGGACCCCGAGTGGGACTACTACACGCAATCGCCATTGTTTGTGGATTACGGTACATGATGTATATATGAATAGAACATTAGACATAAGTATGGACGAAAGTAGAGAAATAAGCATGAATGTTTCGAACAGAGATTAAGGAGAACATAGCAGTTCAATAGTGATAGAACACAGACTGGTTAGTTGATCAGCAGCCGCGATTACAAGTGAGAAAACCAATTACCATTTATTAAACATTCCCGATGTTATATCTACAACAAGACAGCAGCCAACCCAGCAAATCCGGCAGCACCAAGCATAGCCTTTTGGCCAGCAGCCTTGGCCTCGAAAGTGTTAACACCAGCAACGGTGCTATTGGATGCAGCAGAGTTGTAGTACGAGGTGAGGGTGGCCTGAGAGGTGATGGTGGCCTCGACACCGGTGGTCTCGTAGACGGTAGGAGTCTCGGTGACGTCGACGTAGGTGATATCCGAGTCGGACTCTTCAGCAGGAGCTGGCACTGGGGCCTTAGTTCCAGGAGCAGGAGCAGTAGTGGCTGGAGCTGATGAGCCAGGAGCAGTGGTGGCAGGAAGCTCAGATGCAGGGCACACGGTGGTGTAGACGGTTTCCTCGCCGTTGACGGTGGTGGTGAGGGTGGCAGTCACAATCTCTTCTTCAACAGTGGAAGCCGGAGCCAAGGTGGAAGCGGGGGCCACGGTGGATGCCTCTTCGGTGAGAGGGCAAACGGTGGTGTAAACGGTCTTGACACCATTGACGGTTTCGGTGACAACAGTCTGGGTGTGAGCCTGGACGGTGGTGGAGCAAGCGTCGTGCGAGCAGTGGGTGACGGTGACATCGGTGGTATGGTGTTCGGTGACGGTGTCGACGGCAGTGATGGTGGACTTAGCGGCGACCATAGAAGCCAAACCCAAAGCAGATAAAACGGTGTATTGCATAATGAATGTATGAGTTTGTAATGAAAACGAGTGGAAAGATGTGAATGACAAGATCCAAGGGGCTTACCGGTCCCCTTTATACTTTTTCCATATGGATCGCGATTCGGTACCAAAGATGAAAATTGCTGCAAACGCGGTGTCCGTATTCCACCCCCTTGCGAGGTGCGTACGCGTTCGTGGGACGCGTCCCAGGCTGAGACAAGGAAGCTGCAGTGATGTGGGCGCCTCCAAGGCGGTGGCACGCGAAAAAAACCACCAGGGAAAACGCGTTGTTTGTTGTGTAAACGTCTTTTGTTTGCAAACATTCGCGAAACGCGCCCCCACACAGGCACCTTCGCGCGCAGGCACAAGAATGCGACAATGAAACGAGCAGAGATGCTAACCGCAAAACGATGACGGGACGGAAAATTTGGAATAGTTTGTTGACGCGACATATCGGGACCCGGACCCCTGGCAGCCGCGATATTGGGCCCCAAAAGCCGCGATATGGCGTTTTCGCGTATCTCGCCAAGAGGTTGCAAACCGGCTGCGAAAATGAAGTGAAAAATAATTTTGATTCGAGCTTTCTTCTTGTAAGTGCTTCTTGTACACTATTGTAAGTGCTTTCTGTAAGTGCTTTCTTGTGTTGGTCTTTCTCGTGAAATTCTTGCTGGCTTCCTCAAGTACTTCCAGTACATCTTGTACATCCTCTGTACATCTTCTTGTAAGTACTAACCAGTACTTTCTTTTTTTTTTTATTGGTTCAATCCAACATCAAGTTCATTTCCCAATCCTTGATCACACTGACCCAGTCGTCTCTTGTCTCCTTCACCTTTTTTCTTCGCCAAACCTCCAACATGATCTGCCGCGCTCCCCAGTAACTACCCAAGTACTGTGCTATATCAGCACCCCATTTCTTGAACCCCAATTGTAGCTCCGACGTGAGTGCTTCACACCCAGCAATGAATCCTTGCCAAAAGAGCGGAATGATAGACGCATCGCCTTTTTTTATGAGACTTTGAATCGCATTGAGATGATTCAATGTTTTCTCTACATGGTGCTGTATTTCTGCCGGCTTGACTCCTTTGACAAGCCGACTGAAATATATTCGTAGCGCATGGTAGAATGACATGATATGGTGATACGTGACTTCGTGCATGGGACTGGTGAATTTTTTTTCATCTCCTTGGATGGTGAAGAGCTTCCAGTCGACTTGCCAGTTGCAAAGACCTTGGTCAACCTTTTCTACTTTATCTCCTAGGTCGTCTGGAAGCGGTTTGTTGCTCTCGGTATAGTAGATTTTGGTCCGAACAAGCAGAACCACATGGCTGAAGAGCACAATGAGTGAGTTGGGGAGCCCATAAAGTGCATCGGTTGCAAAATTTTCGTCCTTCTTCATGGTATTGATGAGCTTTTTGTTGACAAACAGCGGCGAGTTCTGTTTGGTTTCACTTCCACCCGCTAGTCGCAAGTTCCGATCTCCGCTATTGATGATAAAATCTATGGTTCCTTTATCTTTGCGGTTATTGGTGTCGTACTGATCGCCGTTGATGTCGTAGCCGCTCTTGGAAAGCTGGGTAAAATCGTCCTGGATGTTTTGGAGATCAAGGCATGTCAGGTCCTGGATCAACTTGAGCGACAGGAAAATGCGGTGGAGCACTCGTGCTTTGGAAGAAAGCTTTTTCTTGGTTATCATCTTCGCACTGATAACTCGGCCGCACCACTTGATGTAGAAGTTGGTGTCTTGCATTGTTCCCCAAACCAAGTCTACCGAGATCATAGACATCACCGCACAAAGCACATCCTTGTACTTTTCGTTGTTGACACAATGCTCAATGCCGGCTTTGGAATCACTATGGGACCCCAATAAATTTTTCACGAAAAGACTGGCTTGGTTGCGAAGTCTGATCCCGAGATTAAGATAAAACTTCATGGACTCGGAGTTTTTCGGGAACTTTGATTGCAAATTGAACGCCAGCACAGCGAGTAAGGCATTCAAAAGGGCATTTTTGGCATCGGATGTCTTCCCCAATGCCAGAAGCTCGCCTATAGCCATGAGCGCCCGAGGAAAGTAGATCATTTTCCAGGGATTTTCCGTCAATGGAATAACAGTCATGAGATCAGCTACCTGGGTCACATAGTAGTTGAGGAGGTACCTTGTCAAAGGTTGCACTTGTAGAGCTGTACTTGGGATACCCGCCAGAGAATCTGGAATCGAAAGCGCTGCGATGAGCTTGGGCTGTAATGGAGCCTGAACTATACTCATTATACTTGCGGGCATTTGTGTCAAGTTCATGCTATCACCTTCTACCAAACTCGAGGAATCATCGTCGTCGTTTGTTGTTGATGCTTTTGAGGCATGCAAATGAATCTCAAGACTCTCGTTGAGCTGGTATGGGTTGCTGTAGAAGTAATTATTGTAGTTGGAATAATTCGAGTGCACCCCAGGCTGGTCCATGAAGCTAGCATGCTCGGTATCGAGAAGCTGAGCATTTTCAGCACCTGGAAAAGCGTTGTGGTTTCGATGAAACACCAAATTGAGAAATTCGTTGTCGTTGGCCAAGTTGTAGTTGGAAGTGTTTCCAAGATCCGATAAGTCGTTTTGGCCAATGCCCGTGATAAAGTCAAGGAAATGCGAGTCTCCGTTCAAGGCGGCTGCGGTAAGCAAAGCGTCGTCTCGCAATTCGTTGGAAAGCCAAAGTTGGTCGTGATTTTGTTCAGCGACAACTGTGTTCGCAACTGTGTTAACTGAGTTAGCAACTGAATTAGCGACTGAATTAGCAACAGAAGCAACAGAATTAGCCACAGAATCAGCCACGGGTTCCACAGCCAGAACTTCCTTATTTCTTGGCTTTCCTTTAGATTCGACAGCTGGAGCTGATGGCTCGGCCGAGCTTACTTTGGTGCCATCAAAAACACCAAAGGGCCCCAAAAGTTTCGTCTTCAGTTTCCCATGCACCATAGGATCGTTCACAGAGTTGTGTAGTATCTTCAAATCGCGATCCATATCGTCGTACGACAAGTAAGGTCGATGGTCTTCGTCCTGGCCTTCCCATCGCACAAACCCAACATGGCGCCGGTGAAAAATATCTGGAGTTGCCTCATCGACGCCTTTCGAACCCACGTCTACTCGCTTACTGGGACCATCAGCCGTGCTTTTGTTACGTTTTCGTCCTCCGGTGTCAAATATTGCTGGCTCCAACCATCGAAGCTTGATGTCGTATCCGGCACATATCACCTCAGCTTTCAAGCAATTGTTGCATGCTGGACGCCTCAAGTCACACCTCACCTTTCTGAACCGACACGTGAAACACCCCACAAAAGTTTTGGATCTTTTTACTCCATTATGCTGCGTCAATGGTTGATTGGCTTCATCCACATTTTGGTTTGTGCTGCTTGTAGGCTTCTTAACATCATCTTCCATCGTCAAAAAATCAACCCAATGGAAGCTAGACCTTCCTGTGCAAGTAGAGTTATTGTCCTGGTGCACCAAGTTCCAATTCTAGTATATAATACGAGATATGGGATCTCCAAAGCTATAGGTTCCGATGAGCTGCGTGACCGATTCGGCAGGAGATAGCGGCTGTTGTATGCAGTCGCTGGGGGTGGTCCGATTTGGGTTTTCCAGCGGTTTGCGTACGCGCGCTTGTGGTTGCGGCTAATGGCGGCTAATTTACGAGCGGCGCCTCGCTACGGCGGGTGGTGGGGGCGCACCCCTCCCCTTTTCAAGGGTTTTTGGTGGGGGCCTCGATTGCAATTGTCGGTGGGGGCTTGCAACGTTCGACTACTGCCACAAGGTCAATTATTTGTGTGACAGTACTCAAAGAAAGCATGAAAATTGTTGTGCTTTCCCAAGGCAATTAGAATATTTTTGTGCCTTTTTTTTCAGGGCCGCTAGTCTTTTCTTGTGCCGAGCAATCAGACCTCAGCCTACTCGTGTGCCTGCATAATAGCTTCAAGTAGATATATAAGGGACAGGGCGCTTCGGGAAAGCTTTACATCTGCCCAATTGTAGATTCTTACTCAATTTTCAAATACTGAACTAAAAATGACGCTAGCAAAGCATTGGAAATACGGGAAAGATGAAGATTTGACTTTGACTCATCTCCGCGGTTTGGCAGCTTCAAACCCCACAGTTTCTTTGATTCCTCTGGAAAAGGTACTTTTCAGCAAAACCTCCGATACCAAATCCAAAGTCACATTGATCAGCGGTGGTGGCGGTGGCCACGAACCTTTGCATGCTGGTTACGTTGGAGATAATCTTCTTGATGCTGCTGTCAGTGGCTCTATATTTGCATCTCCTTCTACTAAGCAAATTATGGCGGCGGTGAAAACCAAATCAGACAAGAAAAAGGGTACTTTGATCATTGTGAAAAACTATACGGGAGATGTTTTGCACTTTGGCTTGGTTGTCGAAAGGGCTAAGAGCGAAGGATACAAAGTGGAACTCTTATCAGTCACAGACGATGTTGCAGTTGGCAGAAAACAGAACGAAATGGTAGGTAGAAGGGCGTTGGCTGGCACAGCTTTGGTTCACAAGATCACTGGTGGATTGGCTGCAACTGGTGCCGATTTGGAGGATGTTTTCAAATTGGGTCAGGCAGTGAATAGCAACTTGGTGACTCTTGGCGCTTCCTTAGACCGCACTTCTGTCCCAGGAAAGGCACATGAGGAGATTGAATTTACTGGTGAAAATGAAGCAGAACTTGGATTAGGAATCCACAACGAACCTGGTGAAAAGATGTCTCCCATACCTAACATTGATGAGCTTATCAAAGATATGTTCCACAAGTTGTTGTCCCCAGAAGACAAAGACCGTCATTACGTCAATTTTGATCTTGAGAAGGATGACTACGTTCTTCTTGTGAACAACATTGGTGGTACTTCGACATTGGAAATGTATTCGATCACGGAACATATTATGAAGAATCTACCATTGTCCAAGAAGCCAAAACGAGTACTAGTCAGTGACTTCGTTACCTCCTTGAACGCTCCCGGCTTTTCAATCACCTTGCTTAACTTGTCTAATATCGCCAATGGTGATGCTGGTGTATCATCTGACGAAGTGTTAAAATATATTGATGCACCCACAAATGCCCCAGGCTGGAAGCCCAAGACTTTTGACTCCAAAGCTTGGGACGATTCTACGGAAGAAATCGACTCTCCAATGGCCCACACAGACGTCGTGACCAGTGACATAAAAATGGACCCCAAACTGTTTGAATCTGGCTTGAGAAGTGCATTGAAGCAATTGAAGGAAACGGAGCCAAAGATCACTCATTACGACACGCTAGTGGGTGATGGTGATTGTGGTGAAACTCTTGTGGATGGAGCAAATGCTATATTGAATGCTTTGGAAAGTGATGAGAAATTTAAATCAAGGTTGTCAGATCCAGTAGCGACGTTGTCAGTGATCACCGAGTTAGTTGAAGACAGTATGGGCGGTACCTCCGGTGGCTTGTACTCAATTTTCTTGACGGCTTTCGTGAAACACTTGCAAACTATAAAAGAACTCAATTCTAAAGCAGTGGGTCAGGCGCTTTATGATGCATTGTACGATGGCTTATTCAAGTATACTAGAGCTCGCACTGGTGGTCGTACTCTCATTGACACTTTGCAACCATTTGTCGACTCGTTAAGGGAAGATGGTGATGTTAAGAAAGCAGTTGATAAGGCTAAAGAAGGATGCGAGTCTACCAAAAAATTACAGGCCAAATTTGGAAGAGCTTCGTATGTCAATGAAAAAGAGTTCAAAAGTGAAGAGGGTGGAATTCCTGATCCGGGTGCATTAGGACTACTCAGTGTGATCGAGGGCTTTGTTAGCGGCTATTGATGCCTTGAACGTGACCTCTGTATCTAGTTTATTCGATTTGCTCACATTACCAACCGCAGTAGTTCCAGTCGTCACCTTGGTGGTTCTGACCCAATATCATAAGTGGAGCCCGAGGGGGAGTTGATACCCATCAATGTCACAAGAATTGCCCACGTTTGAAATTCATTCAGATTCCTTCAAGGAAGTAATTGTCGTTGGCGGCGGAACATGTGGTCTCTCTGTATGTGCAAGGTTGTGCGAAAGATGTCCCGCTTCGATATTCACTGAAGACGAACACCAGAGAGTTCACTGGTTGCATAATAGAGGTGCTAAGGTTGATCTTATCAAGCGTAGACTATCAAACACCAAGTATGGCATGCTCAAAAAACCAGATCGCTATGTTCAAAAAAATTTTGCAGCCAGTGATTTGTTAGTCCTTGATGCATTTTCAGACAAATTTATGGCCCAATGGGATAGTCAATTTGAAGCCTTTCGTATTCCCTTCCTTAGATCCCCTATGTTTTTTCATGTTGACCCGCAGAATGTTGATGGGTTGGTTTCCTATTCGCATATGAATGGCCGAGAGAAGGATCTCAAAGAGATAAAGAATGTGGTAGGTAAAGAGTATTCAAAACACCAATTGAAGAAACTCACGAAGAAAAAAATGAAAGAAAAAAGGTGTCCCGCTCCTAGCGAACAGGACGACTTCAATCATGACAGACCAGGATTAATCGATATTAATATGCGTGATTGGAAAGACTACTACAGGCCCTCGACAAAATTATTCCACGAGTTTTGTCACGATATCATCAACAAGTACCAACTCAAAGATATCGTGAAGAAAGATCGAGTTGTGAATATTCAATACGGTTACATTGAAATGCTTGACACCAATCAGACAGGAAAAGGGTTTTTAATCGAGACTGAATCGGGCAACAGATTCGGTTGCAAGGCATGTATAACCGCATGCGGGCACGAAGGAAAACCTGCTTATCCTATAGCCCCTTTTGTGGAGGCTCCACATTATCCTTATGGAAGCTGCCACACTTCACATATTATCAAGAAGCAAGTTTGCTTTCCTTCGCCAGAGTTGATCAAGAAAGTGAAGCAAGGAAAACAAACAAAAGTTGTCATTGTTGGGGGCGGTTTAACTTCTGCTCAGCTTGCAGACACGGCGATAAAGGAAGGTGTTGGCAAAGTCTACCTCGTCTTGAGAAGTAATTTGAAAATCAAGCATTTTGATTTCCATTTGGACTGGGTTACCAAGTTTAGAAACGTCAAGAAGATGTCATTTTATCTCAAAGATACTGACGAAGAGCGCTTCCAAATGATTCAGGAGGCAAGGGAGGGGGGCTCAGTCAACCCAGAATACTACAAGATTATCATGAACCACATCCAAAGTGGTAAATTAGAGGTACATATGTATACAAACATCGTGGATCAACTGTGGAATGCAGAATTGAATAAGTGGGATTTAAGGCTCGAGTCGCGGGACGAGACCTCACGGCGTCCTCGATTCAACGAAAAGCACCAAGGGACTTGGAGCTTGGATGAAGTGGATTATATTTGCTTTGCAACTGGAATGCAAGCTGATATCCATGCTCTTCCTTGTTTCAAATCCTTGATGGAGTCTCACCCTATCCGCACGGTTAATGGTTTACCATGTCTCACGGACAACTTGCAATGGAACGATGAAGTTCCTTTATTTATGGTTGGTAAGTATGCCGGGCTACGCACTGGGCCAGCTTCAGCTAATTTGGATGGTGCTAGGCTTGGAGCAGAACGTATAGGGTGGTTTATTCAGGACATGAGGGAACGGGGATTTTTTGATTGGAACATCGAAAACAAAGATATCTATTCCCTTAGCAACGACGACTGGCAAGATGCGGATGCGAGCCAATTTCAGCTATCTAGTCTCGAAAAAAGGATGCAATTGGCAAGTGGACAAATGAACTGGTACTCGCTCTTGCAAGAGGCTTAGGTTAAATCTCCTGCGCTGTAATAAATAATTCAGTAAGAAACAAACTCGGCATCATCAGAACCATCAATGGGCTCTCCATTGTCACGCTGGCTCCAAATCTTCTTGGTTCTCCTAAGTGCAATCTGTGCTCCACCAGATCCATTTTGACTCGAATTCTTGAAAAATTTCATCATTGTGAACCTACGCTCCTCCCCTTTGCAATTCATGGCTGCTACCAACAGAGGCCATTGGATCATCATCCCGGCACACTTTATCGCTGCAGGTCTCTCAGGGACAGTAACCAAAACTTCAACGAAGGAAACAAGAATGGACGTTATCTGTTGAACGGCAGGGGAATCATAGGGTGTGTTCAAGCCTTTGGTCAAGAGAGTTAAGACACCTCCCAAAACGTATGCCTGATGGCATATGTCCATCCAGCTCAAAATCTTTTCTTGCTTGTTAACAAAGACACGTTCCAACAAATGGCCAGTCGTAGGTTGTCCAGGTCTCAAATCACTAGGTGACATAATTCCATTCTTATTGATGAATTCGATTTCAGTTTGCTTGTATAGATCCGCGACAACTCTGAGAATCTCAAAAGCATCGACAGTTTCATTTTGTCTAATTTTGTTAAGAATCTTGACCAAATCTCGAAGATGAGCGACACAACTGTTGTGGTAACCGTAAAGAATATTGAAACCATTCTCTTTTATAAACCCTAAATCCTTCATCACTTGGATCTCATATCGATTACCAGGGTTCATCAAGGAGTCGATTTCAGAGTTGGTCTTGAGAGTACCGCCTTTACTTGAACTGATTCCCGCTAGGACTTCGAAGGATACAAACCAGTATTTGCAAAATACTAAAATCTTTGAATTTCTCCACTTTCGATTGTTAGAAGTGTACTTTAATAGCAAGTCCTTGGCCCCTCTCAAGTGCGGTCGCCAATCCTGCTTCAGATTCGATGCATTGGCCGAAGTCAATAGCAAAACTGTCAAGAGCACAGCCTCAATGTTAGATCGAAGGTCCACGGTCTCCTTTTCGTCGCCGTTTCCCAACGCAGGTCCAAGTAACTTGAGGCACTTCGACAAATAACTGCAATAAGCTTCTTCATCGGCTTCATTTCCGTGCCTGACAAAGGACGTCTTTGCTCCTTGGGCAAGAACCGCAGCTAGGAGAAATGGTTCTTTAGCCGCTCTCTGAAGCAATATATCACGAGCAGGATTAACGTAGGTATTAGTAGTCTCATCCCAAGAGCAAAAAGGAAGGATAATATGAGCAAAATGAGTGTAGAACTCCTCCAAGTAAAGCTTTTCATGGGGGCTGCTCACCTGAATGTAATCAAAAGCTATATTTTTCAGGTCTAAATCAGGCTGGTGGGGCGAGCTGGTCCGCATGTTCCCGTCCTCCTTGATATCGCTCTTGAAGTTCGCAGCATCGAACTTTCCATCGTAATTAGACTCAAACATGATGTTGCTCACGATGTTGTTAAGGTCAGATGCTAATAAATTGAGGTCGTCCTGGTTGAAATACTGGTAGTTGTCTAGAATCATCATGTTGTCATTCTGTGTAAAATCGGATACTGCGAGATGGTTTTCATCTGGTTTGGGATGATGCAACCCAGGAGTGGTATACATGACCGGCGAATCTTGGGATAAGGATGATCCGGGCAGAGTGTTACCTTTGGAAGTGTAAGACGAAGAATGATCTGAAGACAGTAAGCCATTCAGCGTGTCATTCAATAGATTCAGAATGGAAGATGGAATATAGCGGTGCTGTGGTATTCCATATGGTGAATAGTGATGGGGCGGGAGCGGGATAGGGATGCCATGTTGTTGCTGGGGTTGAGGTGGGTGTGAAAGATGATGCGGTTGCGGTGCTGCAAAATGTTGCTGATGTTGAGGCTGTGAAACTGGCACATGAGGATAATGGGCATAATGATTGGGCATTTGTAGTTGATTTTGAGCTTTATTTTGAGGTAAGCTCTGGCTCGGAGGATACTGTTGATGACCATTCGGCTCATTAAAGCCTCTTGATTCTTGATTCGGCACGTTCATGAACCTGGCAGGAATTTCAGGCTTGATAGCGGTAGTACTGTGAGCCGAAACAGGTTGTGGTGTTATCTCGCTTTTTGGGGACGAGCTTGAGCGGGAGGTCACAGACCTACGTGCAACTCGAAGTACCTTCTCACCAACATCGGGATACGAACATGACTTTTTTAAGCGCTCACACTGCCAGCAGCTGGGTTTTGCTTCATCACATTTGATCTTTCGACGCTTGCACTCGCGGCACCCATTCTTCGAGTAGTGTCGTTTTCTCTCCTTGGTTCTATGAGCAGCGTTGGTTGGACTGGTAGCCATTTCGGAAGTGTGGTCTTGAGTATCTTGGTCTAACCACATAGACTGTACGTCGTAAGCAAACCCGCCACAAGGATATCAGTGGCTGTTTTGAAACCCCAAGTCACTGTCGAAACTGTTGGTTTGCTATGTTGCGATTACTAGCCTATACTCAAAAAACACAAGGTGGTTTCAATTTCTTCAATATGACTAAAGTGCGCGCCGTGGGTGCAAGGGGTGCTAAATTAGCGGCTGATCGGAAAGAAGGTTAGAAGTCCTACCGGTCCGAGGTCGGAAGTTTAAAGTTTAATATGTGAGGTTTTTTTTTATCCGCCTTCCCATGCAAAGAGCCGTAAATGCACTGCGCCGCAGCTTCTGCATTCGACACTGTCACACGCTTGGGATCTGAGCCGTTGAGTGCCGACTCGAAATATAATTGCGCACTTGCATGAAAAGCGCAAAAAAGAACGTCATCATAGTGGGGGAGAAGCTGTCAAGAATTTTTACGGCCCAACAGAGTAATTCCGCCGCCGATAAATGAGAAACAATTGCTCGGTTTCAATTGATATCGGTTCGGATGGTGAATTTTTGACATATTGCCAAATTTTGTAAAAATTGGAAAGTGATGTATTGACTCTAAATAGAATTACGCACTGTACAAGATATGAGCCAGCTCATTGTATTAGGTTCGTCACAGGCGTTTTTGCTTCTTGGTGGCTTGTGGCTTGGTTTGTTGAACATTTCTCTTCTTTGATTTTTGAGCCGCATTATCTTGCGGGCTCTGGGGTGTGGCTCCGGAATTGTAGTTTTGGCTAGAATTCAAGAACTCGTTGACATCAAACTCATCAAGGTCATTCTTGGGACTAATCTCTTCAACAGTGCCTTGATTCTTCTGCTGGTCTCTCTGCTGCTGTGATGCCAAGTCTTGTATCCAATCTTGAACTTTTTGTAGAGATTGACCCTGCTTGTTGACATCCTGCTCTATTCCATTTATAAGGTCGTGGGTGGAGTTCCCATTGGCCTCGATTGGTGATTGCGAGCGGTTAGGGAAGTATGATCCATTGGAAACAAGTTCAGGGAAATAATGGCGAGGAGATGATACCGGTCCTTCCTGATTCATGATTTGTTGGTACATCTTGCTCAAATTGGGACTGTTTGTAGGCGCGCTATTAGGTGTATTCTCGTAGGACCTCATTATCTCTTCAATGGAGTCAGGGCCAGAATTAGAGCTCAGCCTACCCTCATCTTTACTTGAAGGACTTCTCTGGTGAGCTTCGTTTGTGAGCATTAAACGAGGCTTACTGAATGGGCTAGGAGATCTCTGAGGATATGGATTGAATTGCATTGATGCCAGCTGACCCTGCGGCTGTGATGAAGGATAGGTTTGATTTGGATAATACGCAGTCATGTAATGTTCTCCTTCAAAAGGTGCGTTGTCCACCTCCAATATCTTGCCTGTGTTATTTCCATAAACTGCGGCTAAGAAATGCAATATCTTGTCGAGTGTCTTTGCCTGCTCTTTCTGCGCCTCACGAGTTCTGTTGTTCTCAGTCCAAAGGGTCTGATTGTCCTTGCGAATTCTGCGAAGATCTTCACCTATAGCCATTTGATTCATCTTTATTTGGTCTAGTTCATTCATGACCAAAGCAAAGTTCACTTGACTATCATTATTTTCACCTTCTTGATTTCCATTTCTGTTCCTCACAATCTTGTCTAACAATTCTTCATGGCCGCGAATGAAATTGGGGTTTTCAAACTGCCAAGCTTCATCGTTGCCTCTTTCGTCCTTTTGGTTATTCATAGTTCCGCTAGTGATGTCTTGCACTTTATGCCACCCGTACATATTCAATTGTCTCACGAAACTGGCAAAGTTGTTATGTTTGAAGTATTTAGGAAGAACCAATTTCATGAAATCTTCTCGATGGAAAACTTGAAACGTTTTTCCGTCCTCGTTCCACCTGATATACTCGTGGTTGGCAGGATCGTTAACCATTGACCAGAGCTTCACAACAAAAGCCGGCCTAGTTTTCGGACCCGTACTCTCTTTTTTCTTCTTAGGCTGTGTCATAGGCCGCCTGTCAGGAATATCAGCCTCTGGTTTTCCTTTTAACGCAAAAGGTTGTATTGTGAGCCCATTAGGTATAACCGACTCCGAGAGAGGCTGTAATGGTGGATAGAATTTAGGCTGGTTAAACGTTGCAAGCTGTTGGTTACTTGGGAATTCTGTGCTCGGGCTTGGAGCCAACACTGGAGTATAACCTGTTGGAGTGAACCCAGAGGGTTCATAAGGAAGTTGCTGATAATTGTTGTTCTCGTTGTTCTGATTGTTTCCCTGGGGCAGATCTACGTAGTTGCCATCATTATTGTATTGGAGCTTGGGTGTTCCTATAGTGAGCGGGATGAGATTGCTGGCCCCATCGTAGTTGGATGTGTCAGGGAGGTTTCGATCTATGATGTGAACATCATCTTCATTGGCCTCCGGATGAAATATTTCGCCAGTCTGATGCTCGCTGTTGAAGGTCTCGGACATGACTCAGGTTCCACGAAATGGTTGCAACTTGCAGCTGATGTCCCGGGCTTTAAACAAAGATTTCTGGAAATTGCTAGAACATTCTACCGCAACCGCGGTGTTTGGGCCTGCCTATACTAGTTGCGAAAAGAGCCGAAAACGTACACTGTACATGAACACTCATACTATTTCTTATCTCCACTAATTCTATTTACATATGCTAGGTGGTTACTCTAAATGAACTGCACTAGAGCAACAGCGCGCAGGCTCTGTTTTTACCTGAAGTTGTTCGCGCTGCGGACTTGGATTTAGCGTGGCTGCGAAAAGATCATCAAGGTGAAGGCCATCAATGATTCCATGTGTTTCGCAGTTTGGGCACTCACAGGCCCCTGGGGGACAGATGCATTGACCATCGTTTGGGCCACTAACACCTTCCTCATTTGCAATGCTCAATGTGCTAGACTTTGTCATATCCTCATGCGAATTTGATGGATTATGTTGAAGTTGTCCAGGTATTTGCATCTCAGGAGATGAGAGGGAGCTGAACATCATGTTGTGGGAATCTTTCATAATCAACAGGTTGATATAGTTGATGTACTCATGGTTGAGATTGGTGTTGTCTACTTTTAGAGGACCGGTGCCAGAGTTGCCATGCACCATGCATCCGGCGCAGCCACAATCGTCACCACAGCAGCAAGAGCCTGGAATAGTGCAAGATGGAACTTTCAACACATCAAAATATTGAGTTTGGTCACCAGAGAGACTAAGGTCATTGCTTGAGGTTGTGGAAGTTTTCTCGGCAGTGCTAGATGAGGGGGATTGTTTGCGTTCCTGGGATTGCTTAGGTATTTCATCAGAATAGTCAATGAACTGAAGCGCAGGCTGCTGCTCTCGCCTTCTTTTCAAATACGAGCTGACGATTTGTGACTTGTTAACCTTACCTCCTCGGTTAGGGCAACAATTGCAGCCTTTTTTAGGCTTGACTATGCCACCGGTCTCGCAGGTAACCGAGTTAACAAAGCTATCCTCACTTATATATGGACCTGTTGTTTTGGGGAGCGTGCTCTCATTTGAGTCACCTAATGGCCGGAGTATTTTACCACTGTCAAAGTCGATTATATGCTTTGCAGATGCTTTGAGGATAATAACAGGGTTTGATTTGTTACATTTGGACCCATTCGCGTGGGGCAAGTCAGGATCAGACTCTATTTTCTCGGCGAATACCGCTATTCTGTGATTCTTTTGACCGCTGGTATGAGTGTTAGGTCGTCCTTTGGTTCTTACTTGTAATAAGGGCCTCCCATAATGGCGACAGGAACTAGATCTGTGACCCCGGATACATTCTAGACAAGAGTACTTTTGCTCGTCTATCAAAATCATATTAACATGAGCGCTTAAGGATGATGATATCAATTAAGCTGAGTTTGGCCGCATGTTCTATTTGGGGCCATAAAATGAGCATTTTTTCCTGTACCAATATATACATACATGCAGGATTTGAATCAGTAAGTTACCTGCTACTAATATAGTTAGCTGGGAAAGCCGAAACATAACCACCACCTTAATTTATGTATCCGGAAGAAAACCAATAGATAGACCCCAGTGCTCTTAGAACACAAATTTTTGTGTAAATCTCGCAAGAAAAAGGGATTACTCCTTCCAAACTTCCTTTCAAACATCAGGTCAAAACGATATATAAATTGCCTTTGGGCTCATTGTCGAAAGAAAGATTCCACTCGCTGATACCTCTGTTCAGCACAGACTAGAGTATACATGGCAGAAATAGTATTTTGCATCCAAGTCGCACGACGCACTGTTGGCACATTCTTGAGCTTGCACGACCTTCGTTTTTTTCATCCCTCGAGCACACTTGATGCATGATAAGGACGTGTTCGAGATTTAAACACAATATGTCTACTAACTCTCCTATCATTTGGCCCGCGTCTAAGGTTCGCTCGACCTTCTTGGACTACTTTAAAGAAAAGCATGGTCATCAGTTCGTCCCATCTTCATCTGTGGTTCCCCACAACGATCCAACGTTGTTATTCGCCAACGCTGGTATGAACCAGTACAAGCCTATTTTTTTGGGTACAGTCGACCCTGCCTCTGAAATGTCGACCTGGAAGAGGGCAGTCAACTCACAAAAGTGCATTAGAGCAGGAGGAAAGCATAATGATTTGGAGGATGTTGGTCAAGATTCATACCATCACACTTTCTTTGAGATGTTGGGTAATTGGTCATTTGGCGACTACTTCAAAAAGGAAGCAATTGAATGGGCATGGGAGCTCCTTACAGACGTGTACAAATTAGACCCTGACAGATTGTACGTTACCTACTTTGAGGGCGACGAAAAACTTGGTCTTGGCCCCGATCTTGAGGCTAAGCAATTTTGGCTCGACCGTGGCGTTGCCGAAGATCATATACTTACCGGAGATGCAAAAGACAACTTCTGGGAAATGGGTGACCAAGGACCATGTGGACCATGCTCGGAAATACACTATGATAGAATTGGTAACAGAAATGCTGCTCACTTGGTTAATATGGACGATCCTAACGTGCTTGAAATTTGGAACTTGGTGTTCATGCAATATAACAGGGAGCCAGATAGCTCTTTGCGTCCCTTGCCAGCTAAGCACATTGACACTGGTTTGGGTTTTGAAAGGTTGGTATCTATTTTGCAACAAAAGTCATCGAATTATGACACTGACGTATTCCAGCCCATCTTTGATAAAATAAGAGAAATTTCCGGAGTAAGACCCTACACTGGAAAATTTGGCTCTGAGGACAAAGACGGAATTGACACCGCATACAGAGTGATTGCTGACCATGTCAGAACGTTGACTTTTGCTATCACTGATGGTGGAGTACCAAACAACGAAGGAAGAGGCTATGTTTTGAGAAGAATCTTGAGAAGAGGGGCCAGATATGTTCGTAAATATTTGAACTGCCCTATTGGATCTTTCTTCCAGCAACTTGTTCCCGTGGTTATAGAGCAAAACTCGGAAATATTTCCAGAAATATTGAGAAACATGCAAGATTTGAAGGAAATTCTCAACGAGGAGGAACTTTCATTTGCTAAGACTTTGGATAGAGGTGAGAAGCTTTTTGAGCAATATGCTATCATAGCATCAAAAACTCCCGAACAAACTTTATCGGGAAAGGATGTCTGGAGACTCTACGACACTTACGGCTTTCCCGTAGATTTGACGCGTTTGATGGCAGCAGAAGCTGGCCTCAAAATAGATGAGGAAGGTTTTGAAAAAGCAAGGTTGGAATCATGGGAAGCATCCAAAGCTTCTTCAAACAAAGGTTCTTCTCAGTTGGTCAAGTTGGATGTTCATGCTTTGTCAGAACTTGATTCGAACGCTAATATTCCAAAAACGAATGACAGCTACAAATACGGATTGGACGATGTCAAAGCTGAGGTTGTTGGGATCTATGACGGATCGTCATTTGTGGATTCAGTTTCCGAGGTGGGACAGCAGGTCGGTATACTTCTTGACAAAACCTCATTTTATGCCGAGCAAGGTGGTCAAGAGTACGATAAAGGAAAGATTGTGATCGACGGATCTGCCGAATTTGAAGTTGATAATGTTCAAGTTTATGGAGGTTACGTGTTGCACACAGGGTCAATAGTCTACGGAACTTTGAAGGTAAAGGATGAGGTTCTTGCTTGTTACGATGAATTGAGAAGGTGGCCCATTCGTAACAATCACACAGGTACTCATGTTTTAAATTTTGCATTGAGAGAGGTTCTTGGAGATGGTGTCGATCAGAAGGGTTCATTGGTTGCCCCGGAAAAGTTGAGATTTGACTTTAGTCATAAGCAGGGTCTCACTCCAGCAGAGCTTACTAAAGTTGAGGCTATCTCCAACAAATATATTTCCGACAACAAAGAGGTGTTTGCGAAAGATGTTCCATTGGCCGATGCTCAACAAATAAATGGACTCCGTGCGGTTTTTGGAGAGACTTATCCAGACCCAGTCAGAGTTGTTTCGGTCGGTGTCCCCGTGGAGGATTTGCTCAAGGATCCGAAAAGGGACGAATGGCACCAAGTATCTGTCGAATTCTGTGGTGGAACACACGTTGCCAAGACGGGTGAGATCAAGGATTTAGTCATTATTGAAGAATCAGGTATTGCCAAGGGAATCAGAAGAATTGTCGCGGTGACTGGTACCGAAGCACATCGCGTACAGAAACTTGCTAAAGACTACGACAGCCAATTGAGTGAAGCAGAAGCCATGCCTTTTGGTTCCAGTAAGGAACAGAAGACCAAAGAGTTGGGAGTAGCTATCAAGAAGCTAAGCATTTCCGTGTTAGACAAGCAGATGCTTAACACTAAGTTTACCAAGCTTGACAAATCTATTAAGGATCAATTGAAAGCGAAACAAAAAGAGGAGTCTAAGAAAGTGCTTGAGGCTGTTAACAATTGGTTGACATCAGAGGACAGCTCGGATTACTTTGTCTCTCATATCGATATCTCGGCTAATGCTAAGGCGATCACCGATGCTATTAATTTGATCAAGAAGGAGCACAACTCGAAGACCATATATTTATTTGCCGGATCAGACAAGGTTGCACATGGGTGTTACGTATCGGATGATGCAATTTCGAAGGGTGTTAATTCTAATGACTTGGCTGCTCTTGCATCTACAAGTATTGGTGGAAAAGCAGGTGGTAAAGGAAATGTTGTTCAAGGAATGGGTGATAAGCCCAGTGGAATTGAAAAGGCAGTGGAGGATATCACAGCGGCATTATCGAAGACCCTCTGATACTGTCGGCTACATAAGTCATTAAATCTCGTATATAACCATCAAGGTCATTAATTTGGATCCAGAGTAGTCAATCTATCCTCTTCTTCTTGACTGATTTCATGAGCAGCTCCTCCTATGGACGATATAATCTCTTTTACAATGAGTTTCAACCTGTCCTGAGCTATGTTGCTATCTCCAATGACACTGATTGTATTCATGTTCCAGTTAAAATGGGGATAGCTTCCAAGCTTAACGGCATTAATACCAAATTCGGAATTGCATCTCCCCTGCAATTGAGAGAGAAAGGGTGCTAGTTCGCTCTCTTTTGTGTCTGTTCTGATGAAGAAACGATGCTGGATGTTGGACTCAAGACGGCCCTTAATATGGTCAGCTAAATAATCAAGAAGCTTTTTGAAGAGCTGAGGAACTCCCGGTAATATATATACCTGTTCATCTATTCCAACAATTGGAACCCAAAGGGAATCGTCGCAATATATCTTTTCAACAGAAATCTTCTCAGTAGCTTGTGGTATTGTAGCCATTCGGTAAAATGCATCCGCTTGTTGCGCAGATAAAGTTGAAATGTAATCGTTTCTCAATTGCTGCATCCGATCTTTCACACTTGAATCAATCTCACATTTCAAGTCATATGCTGTTGCAATGGCTTCATAGGTTATGTCATCGTGAGTAGGTCCAATTCCACCACTCGTTACTAATAAGTCATATCCCTCTTGCCTCAATACCTTAATCGACCTTATGATATCTTCTGTGTCGTCCCCACAAACGATAGTTTTACGGAGAGGTATGCTTAGTCTATTAAAGCAAACCTTGGCAAATTCATGGGAATTGGTATCCAAAATTTTGCCATTGAGCACTTCATCTCCAATAATCAAGCACGCGGCACTTCGTATTGATTTCGGAACGGATTTACTCATAGTTGAACGAAAAATCGGCAACATTGAAGGTATCCTCTCTCAAAGAGTTTCCACCCGCACACCGATTTTTCACGTGCCAAAGGTCGCGCGATTACCTCTTTGCTTTTCGGAGCCGAATTAGCGAATTAATAATTCAAAGACTAGCGCTAAATTTTCCAACAGATATTCGTCATTTACTTCCGAGTATTGTTCAGTGGTCTTATACTATCGAAATATGGGAAATAGCCCGTCTAAAGATGACCCCCTGCCGAGAAACTCAACCAATGAAAATTCGTCGTCTGGCGTCTCCTCAGGAGGCGACCTAGAATCAGACGACTCACCAGCGCTATCGCGTCAAAGGAACAAAAGTTCCTTACCTGAGAGAGGCTCACAGAAGTCTTCTTCAGCTATTGAAATCGAAACAAAGTTTTCGAAATCGAACAATAAATTTCACCGCAATAATGTCCAACGTTCTCGGTCCCGAAGCAGTAATTCTTCAGTACATCAAGGTGATGGGTTTGATGTAGAAATGGGAGTTGAGCTCGCACAGCTTTTGAGCCTGTCCGCTTCTCCCAACACTGAGGCTCATTCACATCCTTTCAACGATATTTACGAGTCAACGTCTGAGAGCTCCAAAACTGACTCTTTTGCTTCATCTCCAGTATTCACAAATATGTGCGAAGAGAAGGAAGACGATCTGTTACTGTCCTTAGGATCTTCCCCGGGGAAGAACTTCATTTCAAAAGCGCGGTTTTTTTCCGAACAGGAAAGCTTGGACCCTATCCACGAATCCTTGGGGGAGATTCCTCAGTCCATATCTGGGGTCGAAAGTATTGAGGAACCTAGACCTGATATCAAACACGGATCGCCCAATTTGTCATCGCTTGGACGCCCGGGTGTAAAGAAGGACCCTTTTAATTTGGACCCCATTATCGAAAGTTTGATTCAAATGGGTCTGTCAAAATATCAGGGCCGTCGCGCAAAGGAACCGTTGCCAATATCCAATCAGCAGATCAAGTATATTCTTCAAAAGTCCCGGTCCATATTTCTCGAGCAACCCACTCTTCTCAGGCTTTCACCTCCGGTGAAAATTGTAGGGGACATACATGGACAGTTCAGTGATTTAATCCGCATATTTAACAGCTGTGGTTACCCTCCGCATACGAACTACCTATTTTTGGGAGACTACGTTGACCGTGGGTGTCAGTCTCTAGAGACGATTTTACTATTGTTGTGCTTCAAGATAAAATACCCTGAAAACTTTTTCATGCTCAGAGGAAATCATGAGTCTGCCAATATCACTAAGATATATGGTTTTTATGACGAATGTAAGAGACGGTTGTCCAGTTTCACTGGGGGGCATAAAGTTTGGAAGAGCTTCATTGATGTCTTCAACACACTTCCCATAGCTGCCACAATTAATGACAAGATCTTCTGCATTCATGGGGGATTGTCACCAGATTTGCATGACTTGAATCAAATTGAAGAGTTAAAACGGCCCACTGACATTCCTGATAAGGGACTTTTGGCTGATCTTTTGTGGTCTGATCCAGATCCACTGATTAAACAATTTTCAATGAAGAATTGGCCCAAGAATGATAGAGGAGTATCCTATTGTTTTGGCCGCAAACATGTTGACTACTGGTGCTCGAAATTCAATATAGATTTGATAGTGAGGGGTCACATGGTCGTTGAAGACGGGTACGAGTTTTTCAACAAGAGAAAGTTGGTTACTGTGTTTCTGGCTCCTAATTATTGTGGGGAGTTCAACAATTATGGAGCAGTTATGAGTGTTGATAAGAGTTTGTGCTGTTCCTTTGAATTGCTCAAGCCGCAATGATGGTACATAACCAATGGTGAAGTTTTTGTTCTATCGATTGTGCACTGCAATCACGATTATGATTGAACGATTCACTTCTTACGCTAGATTGATTTTTTTACAGGTTGTAGTTATATAACAACGTATTGCTTTATTGAAAAATTCGTGTATGTAAGAGCGACTTGCCTGCCTATGAAGCAAAATTTTTAGAATAACGACGCTTCAAATGAGGCGATGAAGATCCATCCACACTATAGCCCAAATGGTCATACATCGCTCTAGTTCCTTGTCCAGCAGTTTCAAATACCTCATCTTCCATCGCATCTTCGTCTTCTTCTTCGTCGTCAAATATGTCATCATTGCTTTCATCTTCCAGTACTCCATCTTCATCAGAATGCTTGATCTTGTATGTCGTAACTGATGAACCGTTGGATGGTTGTCCCATGAGCGAGACCAACTGAGCATAATACAAGTCGAGGGTAGTTTTGGCGTATTTTATGGAGAACAAATTGTTCTCGCCAACCTTCCCTGGCACGCAGCGCCAATCGACTCTTTCAAGAAAGTCTAGCTCCAAGCAGTTCAATTCGCTGACAGCCACACCGCCCACTTTGGCATAATGCTCGTTTGTGTAGAAAAAATCTTCAAGCAGCTTTTGCGATAGCATCGTAGCAACTAGCAAAAATCTATGCACAGTCCACGAGTTCAATGTGAAGTACGGCTGATAATGATGAGACAACAAATCTATATAGTATATTGTTGTCAATAACGTCCCGGGGTTCAAATTATTAAAGCGTGTGAGACGAGACAAGTAAGTATGGGCTGAGATGGCAGGAGGCGTTCGCGAGTGATATCTGGTGAGTATTTGATTTGTGGCTTTAGAACCCTTCTGAGGATTTGAGATCGACGGGTGGACATTCTTATCATTCAACGCAATAAGCGACCGCAACAACCTGGAAATTAGGTCTATCAAGTTATTTATATCGCAATCCATGAAATTTCTTGGGAGATATGTGATTTCCAGCTTTGAAGTTATAGGGTGGTCTAATGATGTACGCTGAGGTGTAGTTGAATCCGTTTCGCTATCGATCCTCTTCCTGGTGAAATTGAGTTCATGCGAAAGGTTGATTTCATCGTGGGTCGATGTTTTTGCTGGTTTGGTGATATGGTAATTATCCTTTTGAATGAGGTATTTTTGGTATAAATCAAACAGCTGACTGTTTAGATCATCCTTGACCGATTCGAAGAAAACGTTGTGATAATTGAATGGTGTGTTTAGATGGGGAGACCTGATATATCGGGAAATGAATGGGTCAATAGTGAGGTCGGTATAGGCTTGTTGCCTTTCAAACTTCTTATACGATCGATTTACATCGGCTTTCTTGTACTCATCACTTGATCTCTCAAAATGTGGTCCCTTATGATCCACCTTCAGATGTATCTGTGGGCCACCTGGGCCACTTAGCTGAACGCTACGATCATGAGGAGACATGAATGGAGACACAGTTTCTAATATGCTCATTGAAATATTTGTCCGCTTAGCACAGACAGTCTTCTGGCCCTTCTCTTGAGAGATGTTTCACAATAAAATATATTTCCAGTTTTAGATCTTAGAAACAATAATATCTGTACCTTCCATGTTTTGCGTTCGTTGCAAATATTAAGATAAGAATGTAAGACACAGCGAACGTGGGTGATGGCTTTCGCAATTAGAACTATGATTACATAATCACGCGGCCGACCCACGTGGACTTTAGGACTTTATGCTATGTCGCCTGGTGCATTTTCGACTTCTCTCCTCGAACTTGAGCTACTTAGCGCATTCTAGATAAGGCGCTAACGACACTTTCAGCTTTTCATTGCACTCACGACTATGCATTCCTAGAAAAATGTTTATAGCAGCCAAATGCATGCAGGACTACAAGCTGCTGTACGGTGTAAGTTGTATCGTAAATATAGTCCTAAGTCGTTAAACGACCTAAATACAGTATTTTCCACAAAAAATCCGCATCCGGAAGCTTTTAAATTCGCGGGCCGAAGCTTCAAAGTCGCAGAGTCGCCGTTGTAAATTCGTCGTTCTCATCTCATAAAGTCGCTCGCAAGGATTTCAAGTTCGCCATCAATACGATCATTAAAGTCACCTCAACTTGAATTAAATTCGCTACCAACCAGTGAACAATTACGCTCAACATAGAATTCAAATTCGCTCTCTGAATTCTGAAATTCGTTCACGACAAGAGCCAAATTCGTTGTTTGTTTGCAGTACATACGAAATGATTATGAAGTTCTACGAATCTTGCTAAAAAGTACAGTATGCTGACTTCTGGTTGAGTCTGCCGGTGTGAAAATACAATTAAAAACAGTTTCGCAGGTTCACACAACTGAAAAAAAGAGGTTCGTACTGCGCACTTTATTATAGTAATTAAAGACTTTTATAGACACAAGCCGGGATCACGTGTTCACTGTCTTCTGATACGAAGCACCATTTCATATGTCGTTCTGGAATTCGACGGGATATCTTAATACGTTGAATTTATGCCCACTAAGGTTACAAAAATAGCGCTCTAGTCGGGTCGTACGATCAAATGGTAATACTTTTCCATTATGCGTAATGCAAGCATGCATTCTTCATGCATCAAGTGCGGCGTGACGGCACTTTGACAGGAGAGAATTCATGCATATCATGTGGCACCTGAATGAGTAATTAAATAACTATCGAATAGAAAATTTTAGACCTATAATTAGATAACTATCGCCTTACAGTCGTCTGATCGTATATTAAATTCACCAATAACTTTTGCGGCCTAAATACACACTTTGACTTTTAGCGTCTGCACAATGGGTGGTTAAATTTAGATGCAGACGCATTATGCATACCGATTTCAAAGTCACTGCATAAATAGTACGCATTTACCTTACGAGCAGAAATTTTAGTGCATGAAGCCATGAATTTCCTAACTATCATCCCTTTGGTAGTATTGACTCCCCCTTACCTTGTTAGTTCGTTTATATACGGCTTCACAATAAGGTTGGGCGTAGACCAAGAAACTTATCAAAAACATTGCGAGATACGAAATGAATCTTTAAGAGTACTTATGAGATACTTTTTGGGCGATAAGGGTGATGGAGGTAAGCAGTAAATGATAATAAGAAGCTTCGTGTGAAAGAAGAACTTGCGTAGCTCTGCAAGAACGGTGCTGTAAATTTTGACAATTCGCTTAATCTATTATACACTTTAGTGAAAACGCAATAGCATTCATGAAAGAATACTCATCAAGTTGTGGAATATTGATACAAATGTAGAATAATACGCTATACCCTAATACAATTGAGCCGATTTCATCTAGCACAGTGGCAAAATTCTATTAATAGTCGAGCCTGTATGTGATTTTTTGACAGATAATCACGTTAATTCCCGCAAATTATTCCTTCAGTATTTTCTTTTTGTATTTCCTCAGCAAAGCATCGGTAAATTCTCATCAATGACAAACTGGGACCTTATATCGATTGTACCTTACTTGCTAATGACACCGTTTCATGGTATATTGGGGTGTGTATATGCATACTCGGTAAAGTTGGCCGTAGATGATGAAACATATCGAACATTTTGCGGGAAGCAAGGTGAATCCTTTGACGTTATAATGAAATATTATGGATATGATCCGAATGAGTATAAAGATGAAGACAGTAAACCAAAAGATTGAGACAAAATTGTAAATATTTCAAAACAATTTAGAAATCAAGTGGACCAGTAACTAAGAAATTAATGAATATTTTTAATTGAATCCAGAGTAGTAAACGAATTAGTTCGATAATTAGCTCTGTACGCGAGTAGGAACTAACGAAAGTATGCCTATATTGGATCGTATCACTATATAGTTTCATAAAAGACCAATTTCAAAAGTCATTTGTGAGAAGTACTCCATGGTTTAGATTCTCAAGATAAGAAGATTTTAAAGTGGTTGCAACATCTCCTAAATATTTCGCAGCCATTGACCAAGTCAAGAAATATCTACTCTTTCACTACATCCGTATAGAGACTTATAGCCGTACACACATTACTATTTGGTTGATAGTTGCCTGATCTAATATCTAAAGTTAGTTTTTCAAAATACGAAAAAGTTATTCCATCTAACATTAAACCATCAGTACCTTCACTTATTTATTTATCATATCTATCTCTATTAAGCAGCAATTGGCTCAGGCTTTCTATTCTTACCGGCTTCTTCATCTCTAGGGGGCTCTCCATGGAACGAGTACGTATTGTAGCGGTAATCGTTGCTTCTATAAAAAGAGGGCCGGTCGTATGGTTGGAGATCCCAGCCATTTTTAAGCCTTTCAACCAAATCAGGATTGGAGATATAGTAACGACAGAAACCAATGACTGTTCTATCGTTAGCAAGATCGGTTTCAACTCGTTTGAATTCTGGGGCATCATAAGTGTATCCACCCGCTCTCAAAACTGTTCCTTTCCCAAATATCGTAGACAAACGAGTTATCACCAACTTGGTTTTCTTTCTTGACGGTAGAGTTTCCATCGACTCTAGGCTCGATAATGGACACATAGGCTATTCTGTTTCCCTTCTGAGCTCTCTTTTCCAATTCGTGTAAAATGTAACTGTAAGTGGTCAATGGGTCGATCTCTGCACCTTTGGTCAGCATGCCCTGGAATGTCAACCATGGAGAAATTCTAAGTCCAATCTTGTCGGCACCAATCTCAGCGGTCAATTTGTCAATGATTTCCAACACAAATCTGGCTCTATTTTCAATGGAACCACCGTATTGGTCAGTGCGCTGATTACTGGCAACGTCAATAAATTGGTTGGGAAGGTAGCCGTTTGCAGCATGGACTTCGACATAGTCGAACCCGGCTCTGAGAGCATTATGGGCAGCTTTGGGGTACTTGTTGTTAATAATATCGTGGATTTCATCCAAGGTCATTTCTCGCAAAGGATTGCCAGCAGCAATGGCAGCTTTTTTCGTTTCCTCATCATGGTAAATAGCCGATGGAGCAACAAATGGATGATTCTTGTTGTCTGCAATGGTTGGGTCGGCTACACGGCCCGAATTGAACAACTGGAGTGAAATGAAAGATTTGTTCTGATGAACTTTATCGACAATTTTTTTCCATGCTTCAATATGTCTTTCAGTATAAATTCCTGGAGTTCTTTCCCATACTTGACCCTCATCATAAGTGAAAGTTCCTTCAGTTGTCACGAGCGAGCCGGGAAATTTGCTTCTTTCGTCATAAAGTTGCAATGCCAAATTCGATGGAGTACCGTCTTCTAAAGCCTTGAGTCTTGTAGTTGGGCACATGAAAAGTCTATTGGAAAGAGTATTCTTTCCCACCTGTATAGGCTCAAACACCTTTGTGTCCCCGAGGGGTCTAACTTTGATTGCCAGCATGAGGGCGTTACATAATGGGATGGGTACAAAATAAAATACCTTGGTGGATATACCGTTGTAGTCGCGCCCTTAAATGGTGCGACGGTTGCGGCGGCTCACATTGACATTTATAAGCCGACGCGCGATGAGGTAATGTCGGTTAAGATAACGGCACAAAGCTGCAACGGAGTTAGCGAAGAAAGAAAAGAACGGTACAAAATTGATTAGAGAATGACGGAAGAGAGTCGAAGTAGTCAGATTAATTAGCAGAATGAAAATTTGGATTTTTCGACCGTTTAGTTTCGGAGTCGGAGCTGTCAAAATTACTCTGTGCAGGTAAGCGCCGTAGGCCCTATAACGGCGTTAATAACGGCGAAAATATAACGGCGTTTAATACTGCAAGATTTATGACGTAGAATAGAAAGGGGTAGTATACACTTTACAAAGAAGTTAGAAAAAGTACTTATTGGCATTATTCATCACATGCGACAAGTAATGGTAACATGTAATAGAAATTAATGCTATTATCTATATAATGTGTCTAACTAAAGTGCACCCTTTCTTAGCTTTCTGATGAAACCCAAAATGACTCAGAAATACTCCTGTACCAAAGATCATTGTATAAAACTCGACTATAATTCTAGAATTAGCTCAATGAAGAGATATAGAACGACTGATGAATCTCTTCCTGCTAGTTTAGCATTACCTGGAGTTTTTCTTGAAGCCCAATTTTTGGCTGCAAATTCTTGGTTCACCATAATTGACTTTCCAAGGTTACTCCATTAAACTCCACGTCTTTGTCTCACTTTGTCTTTCCACCAGTGAGATTCTATTGTGGATTTCTTGCGACTAAAGTGGTTTTATGGTTGATCAAAATTCTCATTTTGAATGGAAAACCTCCAAAATTTTGGTAAAATTGTGCTTGTTCTCGCCTCAGAGAAGTTATCAGAGGCTGAATCGTTAGTTTAGTGTATGTACTATGAATTAGAAATTGGCTTTGAAAATTACCGAAACCATAACAGGGCCAGTGTACTGCACACAGAGGACTGCACAACTATTTTTAAATCTCTACACTATACAGTACTTTTTAGCAAGATTCGTAGAACTTCATAATCATTTCGTATGTACTGCAAACAAACAACGAATTTGGCTCTTGTCGTGAACGAATTTCAGAATTCAGAGAGCGAATTTGAATTCTATGTTGAGCGTAATTGTTCACTGGTTGGTAGCGAATTTAATTCAAGTTGAGGTGACTTTAATGATCGTATTGATGGCGAACTTGAAATCCTTGCGAGCGACTTTATGAGATGAGAACGACGAATTTACAACGGCGACTCTGCGACTTTGAAGCTTCGGCCCGCGAATTTAAAAGCTTCCGGATGCGTATTTTTTGTGGAAAATACTGTACAGTACGGTACTGTATAGAGATAAAGCCACACGCGAAGAGACTAGGTTCCGATAAGGCGCCTTGATTTAATTTCATAGCATTATGCTTAAGGAGGTGTAAAGCTTATGATGCAACGAGATAGAGCTGAGTAGTTCTTCAAGGTTCAATCGCTGATAGTGTTCTGTCTATGATACCTTGCAGCAGAGCATTTTGACCGGGCTGCGAATCAGTCTCTATTGGACACTTGCCACATTACAATTAGAGATACAATTTCCACGTCCTATCCCTATATTGTTACAGGGAGACATTCTCTCTCAAACTAAAGGACAATACTCATATCATTCCTCACATATCAATTTGGGTCTTTATTAGTGCGACCCATCTTTTTCCACTAATGACATGCTACTAAGAATACAATGACTTCCTCCAAAAGAAACGGTGAATGGAGGCTATCTCTCTTTCTTGGATTTTTTGTACAAACGTGTTGGACTTGTATTGGAGCTGTTAGTGGGTCTCACCCAACTCACTTATCTTATAATAAAGGTTCTTGCCTTTTCTTCTAAACGTTTTGCCCAACAAAATGAAGATTAGAAAGCTCCCAGTAACTCCAAGAGCGATCAAAAACATCATCCAGGCCATTAAAACTAAACCGTCTCGTTCCATCCAATTGCTGATGAAAAAGGTAAAGATTGTCGCCAAACCATTGTTGACAAATGATATGAACACGATTCCTTCGTTGACGAGATTGGGGTAACTATCTGTGCAATACGTGTACGCAATACCCGTGATAGATGCCATTGAGAACCCGAGACATCCTTGTCCAAATATAACTGGTAGAGCCCAACTGAGCTGGTTCAGAATTCCCAAACCATAAGCGAGTAAACCAGCAAGATTCACAGCAACTGGCACAAGCATACTCCATAAGCGAAACTCAGGCTCCATGATACCCTTGTTCTTCCTTGCTAGGTATATGGTCATCTTATCAACACACCAACCACCATAGAAAATTCCCAAAATAATTCCGACTAAAGTGGACAAATTTGTTAAGCCTACCTTGGAGGTGGAAAAATTGTAAGGTTTACTTGAGTAAAACTCTGATTGTGTACTCAGAAGCAACGCAAGCCACATCTGTTGAACTGCTTGTAAAACTCCACACCACACAACAATCGGAAAAGAGCACAACAAGAAAGGCTTGAACACAATCCATCGTAGCTTTCGTGGATCTGCATGCTCAGTCGAGAAGATTCTCATGCGGCGCCAGTACGAAAGTTTCGGTATTGTAGAGTCAAGGGAATCATCATCATCGACATTGATTATCACCTCGGACTTATCGATCTTTGGAGAGCCAACCTTTAAAGCTTCAATCTTTTGGCTCATGTGACTTCTAATTTGCTCCAAAATGTTACTTTGAAGATCTTCTGGTGTCTCCAATCTTCTGTATGTTGAATCTTCCAACGTAAAGAGCTGGACAATAAACATTATGCTGAAGATAATGATCATGATGTATGGACACCATTTCCACCCAACGCCATCGGTCACGTACCCAGTTGCCAATGGGCCAAGAGCAACTCCACCATAAAGAGAAAAGACGACATAGGAAATCTTGAACGCCCGTTGGTGTTGAAAAAAAATGTCTGTGCATGAAATTTCGATCAACGAAAACATCGGAGCGGACGCAAATCCAACTATCGACGCCGCCGCGTACAACTGGCTTACTCCCGCGGTATTTGCGTAGACAACGTTTCCCACTATTTGCAATAAAGTGCACATCAAATATACGAAACGCTTTCCAAGTTTCAAGGCACATGGCTGGAGAACCACGCATCCCACTGCAATAAAAATAAAACATAAACCACTCAGAGTGTTGAGCTGGCTGTATGTGATACCAAATTCTTCAACCCATAGCGACCATATCGGTCCACTCCAGACGGTTGATACCGATTGCATAAAGCCCCAAAAGGATAATAAACATACTTGATACTCCTTTTTGATAGGCAGCCAGCGAAGTGGGTCATTTAAGTCGGAGCTTGGTTGAGGGTGCAAAATGATTTTACCATTGGTACCCTTGACTTCAAGCACACCTTGCATATCAACCAAGTTGATGGTACCTGGTACCTCTTCTATAAGCTTGGTGTCTTCACCTAGTCCAAACATATTGGTCGTACGTCGGGACTAAAGGTCTTTTATGTGTGATATTTTTACGTCGCCCGAGTTAGGGGCTTGCAATACAATCGGCATCACCTTGGCGGGAAATCCGTGAGACTAGCGGAACTTCTATAAAGAGGAACGGAACTTTTCTAGAGGAAAGATGCGATAAGATAAGGGTTGTATACGATAATCGCAGTACCCAAATTTTCATCATTACTGCTTTCGAGTCAATTGGAAACTAAATCTCAATGTATGAAGAAGAAGGTTTACAAATAGCCGGTCCGTTATTCACTTGGAAAATTAAGTCGTTCGCTTGCAGTTTTTTACTGATGGCTATCGTTTTCATTGCAAAAGCGGAATCTAAATGCGTTATCATGCATAATCCGACTTCAACGATCATACATAATCAAGTCGATCTCAATAGAATCTGCCAAAAATTTATACATACGATTTTCAGCGGTGTGATAATCGTTTCAATTATGAGAACGCAGATCTACCGAATTGTTGGTCACGAACTACAAAAGTTTACCGCTATCGCTCTCTAGTGCTGCTCGCAGTGATTGTAGTCCGTAAATTGAGTAAAACTATCGATTCTTGGGCAGTATTTCAAATATCTACGAACGGTGTAGAAGCTAATTTACGTTAACATTTAAGTTTGTTTCTGATATCTTATGCTCTTTTATGAAAGGAACGTAATCAGCTGCATGTTTTCTACCAGAGAAATATGAAACATTTTGCTCTCGAAATAGAGTGTCTTATTACCAATGCAAATTGGGAACAGCAAGTATGAATTATCAGAGAGAAAAAAGAAGGTACGCGAAAACTTCAAGACCGTTTACCTCTGTTCCGTCTCAACCTTATATAATTTGTACCCTGTACAGGTAAAACCTGTAGCTATCCACTCAACCAATGGGTATGCAGTGTCGGATGCGTGTGAAAGTGAACAGTCAACAGAGCTTCCATATAAATGACACACGTTACGTAGAAAAAGCTAGAGTTTAGGACCTCAGAAGAGCGTTACGATACCTTGTCGGCGGCAACATTCTGCAACACAAGAAAATGAGACGCATCACGTATGTCATATAACTGATGAAGTAACTCTGCAGAGAAAGTTCATCTGCATCCTTCTATTCATGACATCACCTAAGAATAACGTCCTTGGTAATGTAAACAAAGCTTTTGTGTTAGGGGCTCTATTAGAGCTCAAATTCACCTTTATCGAAGAAAAGGACCAGAGAAGCAAAAAACTTTGAGGCACAACAAATAAGCGCTCAGTATGTTAACCATTTGAAGCAAGCGATCAATAGAATATGTACCAAAAAATTGAAAGAGGCGACTAGAATACATTGAATATATTCCCTTAACAGTGGTTCTACTCCGGTTAAAACTAGCAGAAACTACTAAGCACGGTATAGTAGACATTCTCTATAAGATATATATAATAGACATCACTGATGCAAAGTTCTGAGAAGGACCAGAGAGTGGCTTTTTAGTTGCCTCAATCAGTCAACATGTCATACATTGTTTGATCGTTTTTTCATGTAAAGTTTGCGATTCAAACCAATCATATGATGATACAAGATTGATTGTCCGGTGTAAAATAAAGTCATTTTCTAATAATTTTCATCAAGCACAACTCCTTTGAAAATAAGTATGTCACTACATATTTGACTAAAACTATAGAATGATGACTACTTTTCGATGAACATCACACATGAAAGATGTGTTTCTTTCGTAAAAAGAAACAAGCAATTCGGAACTTACCTGCGCATTATATTTTGCCAACCACATTAGAGCCTGGCCGTTGTTAAACTGTCATTGTACAGTTCTCGAGCAAGCAGTTGCCGTTGAATTTAATATACGATGATCCAGCTGAAATATACCCAATTGGACCGAGATGGATTCAACAAATGGGTATGTAAGAGATACCCTTATCATTAGCCCTAGTAATGTATGGCTTTAAGGTAGGCGAGCAAGCACGTGTGTGTTATCCATCCACGGTCCGAGACTCCTGAACTATAATGAAAGAACTCGACTTCTAGTGAAGAATGAAATTCAAGGGAGGTTACCCACTTTGGGCGTTTGCCTCCTTGAAACTTACCAAGGACTTCAATTGGTTAAGTCTTTTTGGTCATTCACCTGTCAACAAGAACTAGTAAGACAACTTTCTGGATATCATAAAAGCTTGAGTCCAAAGTGGGGGCTGTCTTTTCTGTCTTCGATAATGTACTGAACTTCGGGGGAAACTTTAGGTCAGGGTTGAGGTGAAGCAGTTCCTAGGATTTGCAGAGTTATTACTAACCTATATAATACAATTATAGCTACCGGTAATTGGTCAATAAAGCAACATGTACGTGCGTTAGGTTCTCTCATTTTCGCATTATGAAAGAAACATGGATTCAGCACTGTTAGCCATAGGTGCGTACAGCACCTAATATTGGTTGGTTGTTCACTAAGCATCTATGGTAACGACATTATAGTGTGTAATGTGTGGACAATCTCACGGATGAAAGAGAATATAATGAGTTCATCCTGACTGAGAACCCAAGGATAGAGGGCTCACTTAGACTGACTTACACTAAGAGCGAAGTTGCAAATGACATATGTTGATTCATTTTCAGTTACAATCTGGCAGTCGACGAGTACGATTTTGTCTTGAAGTTATGTTTTGACGCGTGTGATTGGAGCTAACGCTACGGTTTGGTGAGTATAGCTTCTCTCCAAGCTTTATTCTTTCGCCCAGATCAGTTTTTATTGCCACTGAGTTTCTACCCAATGTCACATCCTCTTTGTCAAAGAATGGAATATTCGGGGGCAGTTTATTTTACCAACCACTGACTTGGTTCAGATATATATTTTAAGTGGTACTAGTTTCTTTTATGTAAATATTCAGAGCTATAGTATACCCTTTCGCCATAGTAAGTCTTCTCAGATCAAAGAAGATTTCTACTCCTTCTCTTATACTTTTTGGTTGACGTGCCGAGTAGTACAGTCATGTCCATTGTATAGTAAATTGTGATATGCCGGGTTTGCCGGTGGTTCGGTGTTCGAGCCATGTAAGCACTGGATCGTGTTCTAGGTCTTAAGCTATATTATATTCAACCGAAATTGATTGTTCACGTATATAATATGTCGTTGAGTTATCACGACATTTCCTCTCTGGGACTACCACTGTCGAGAACTTAGTTATGTAATTCGTACAGGTTTTATTATGATTTTCAATTTTGAAATGAGGAATGTGCTTGAATAGCCGTTTATTGTCGTCATTAAGGTTACTATCTCTTTTTATGTGAAGAGAATGTCAAAGATTTGCCTGGATTCATTCTTCTTAACCTTTTGGCTGGCTGGGGTCCATCATCATCTACAGAATTAGGGTCGAACGATCTCTTCGTTTTCTTATCTTTCTTTGTTGCTGCTTTCGCTTGTCCCAAGATAGTGGAATCTGAGTAGTGAAGAACGTCATCTTGAGCAATGTTCCTTGCTTCGACATTTCGGTTTGGATTACGCTTTCGCAAGGATATGATTTCGTCGTCATTATCAAGCAACTTTTTGGGTGCAACTATGCTCTTTACTTCGGCCTTCTCCAAGTGATCATTTTGAATGTGGTCTTGTTCGCTTTGTAAGGTTGTAGATTCCGGTGTAGGTGAAGAAAAATTCGTCAAGTTGCTTTCCAACTTTTTAGTTCTTTCGCGAAACTCATCATCAAGGTGATAAATTGGCTGCCTATTGCTAAGGTCGAAGCTGATGGCACACACACTGCCTATATCTTCTCTTCCCAACAACTGAGAGCCTTCGGCAAATTCAAATGCTTTTTGAAGAGCTTTCGTGTGCTCGGTTACAGCTGTCTCAAAGATTGAAGCAATTTTCTGTGCACTTAGGGATTCTTCTGATGAAAGCTTTCCCCCCTCTGGGCTTCCGTGCCAATTGTCAACGAGCGCCCAGTCTGAATCGGATACTTGCTGCATGACAGAATTTAATAGCGTGACGAGTTCATCAACACTGTTTCGCACCTGATCCGTTATGTATGGGTTCCTCAAAATCGTTTCTTTATCTACCGGAAGAGCTAATAGCGAGAAGTTCACGAGCAATTGGTTAGGCATAACGTATCTAACCAGCTCATCACATTCTTTAGCTTTAGCGTCCCTCCATAAGTATAATGCTTCGACGATTGGCCGCGTGTGATTAGGAAGGTTGAACTGGTTCATGATGGAACTATACGGTTCCTTTGCATTTGGTGCCATTATAGGACAGGAGACTTTTGATCCAGAAACCAGAGTTGGCCGGAATCTTGTGAATTCGAATCTCCTCTTTGCAACTTGTCTCGATTCATGAAGAACCTCTTTCATCTTTTGGCTTCCACTCGATAACAATTGGTTTCTTAATTGGTCATAAACGTAAAGAAGAAAGTGTGTGTCTGATCTTGCGTATGAAAGCATGGGTCCCAGAAGGGGCCGCATTCTCCAGTCTGCTAATTGATACTTCTTGGACGTTTTGAAATTCGCATAGTTTTCCAACAAATATGCCAAAGAAAATCGGGGGAGCCCTAGCTTTTTAGAGGCATGGTAAGTATCAAATAGGGATACAACGTAGAGGCCCAAGTCCCGTTGTAACCAAATAATATCCATGAACGCGCCATGAAATACTTTGACAATGTTTGGATTTGCAAAAATCTCATTAAGTACGACTAAGCTGTCGCGTAGCTTCAAGGTATCGATGATCCAGTCCTTCTCGCGGCTGGATATTTGCATTAGGCAGACGATCCCCAAATATGACCGGTAGTCGTGGTGCTCAAGATCTACAGCTATTTCTGTCTGGGACGAGAGATCAGAGACCATTTGACTCAAATCACTCTCGGTCTCCACCCAAATAGCGCTCGTAGACGTCCAATCCTTGGGTTTTTTAGGCTCCAGGATCTCAAGCACCAGTTCTGGATATTCAAGGGTGTCTATCTCGTACTCATAAGGATGCGGGAAATAATCTGGATCCTTGCCGAATTCCGTATCAGCTCCGCTTCTTAGGTTGCATGATTCTTCGAACGATTTTAAGGCATGAGGTTTACTGGTCAATTTCGGTTTGAAAGGCGCCAGCTCCGAGTTATCAATTTTGGTTTTGAAGAATTGCTGAGGTTTGATGATGCGAGATCTTGCAAGTGCATTTGCGGCTTCCATATCATGCACTTCACTATCCAAGTGAAGCATGTTTTCTTTAGCCTCAATAGTTGGATCCTGGGTGTTGAGGCGATCAAACATGTGCTCTACCACTTCAAAAATATTGTCTAGTTTATTGGAGTACCCCTTCCAATCCTTTCTGAAAACCAGGCTTTCTGAACTGTTAGGTTTCCTTTCACTGCTAGAAACAAGCTGGAGCATTTCGTCTGCCAATCTCTTAAGCCGATCCGATGTGAAATCTAAGTGCTGTGATAAATCTTGAGAAAGAGTCCTGCTGAAGGGTATGTCTTGGGCAGCAAGTGATGATGCAGACCTGATAGTTTGAACAGATTGTCTTATTGCATCATCCAATACTTGTATTTCAGAACTACCCATCGTGTGATGATGATATTGTATTTCAAAGCGCGATGAGGTACCACATAATGTTCCAAGCTAGCGAGTCTGCATATACTGTACAGAAGTTTCAGTGATTATGTAAGTATACTATTAGAACGAGTTTCTTTATGGCACAAGGTAAATTGTAAGCTGCAAATTATGCCAATGTGGAAGAATAACTGCAAGGTTCGTTGAGTACCTCTCTGAGCTGTAAGATTAACTTTCTTACAGATGCATATGGTCTCTAGGGAGCTCGAACTACCTCAATCCAATCTGTCGGCGTTGGTAAGATGATCGACCATGTTGTTCTAAGAGAAGCCCGATGAAGCCCCTAGTTACGCGGGAGATTGCCATTCTCATGTGCAACACCATATCTATCTTGATATCCAGTAATACTTTGTTTGGGCTACAAGTGTGCTCGCACAAGAATGAATTGCACTCTTAATGGCTGCGTGGATACTCAGAAACGGAAATGGATTCGGCCGCCGTGGAACCTTCTTAAGCATTCAAAGAGGAAGAGGAGACGATTAAGGGTGGTAACTCTCAGTTCAATCGAAGTGGCCCTCAATCGTAACCTTGGAAGCTCCTTATATATTTTCCATCATCAATCTCAGCTGCATGAGAAACACTGTTGCCAGCGTTATCGAAAAGGAGACTCCACTTTTCTCCGATCACATTGGATGATTAGTCTGAAAACGCTTTAATGATTCTAACAGAGCCAACGTCTGTGTCAATCAGCTCAAGTTTGAAGAACTACCCCAGCCTTCATCCAGGAAAGTCTTCGCACACCTGCAAATGCTATGTTGCCGCGCTTGACAAGCTCGGTTGCCAAAAGATAGCCAATCCCCGAGAAAGCCTTGGCAACCTGCGACTACCTTGCGTCCATCTACAATCCGTGGCGCTTCTACGGGTAAAGATTTCTGTTCAAAGCATACCGGATCCAAAGTGGTGGGGGTGGAGAAATTTTTTGGTGGGGGTGGGGTAAAGTTGCAAATCGGTCAACATCAGGATATAAGAAGCAGTTCCTTGCTCCTGAGAAATGGAGATATGGTCGCGCAAAAGTAAGTCGTCAACACATGATTTAACAGCACATACTAATGTTTCAGCTCAACTGCTATTTTGAAATTCTATACTGGACAGGAGATTCCCGCTTTAGGTTTGGGAACCTGGCAGTCGAGCGAAGAGCAAGTTTACAATGCTGTTCTTGCGGCTTTGAAAGTCGGTTATAGGCACATTGACACCGCTGCATGTTATGGGAATGAGAAGCCAATCGGTGATGCTATAAAGGCGTCAGGTATATCAAGAAATGATCTTTTCATCACCACCAAGTTGTGGAGTACAGATCACACAAGAGTCGCAGAAGGTATTGCAGCATCATTGGAGAAACTAGGAACAGACTACGTGGATCTCTACTTGATGCATTGGCCTGTGCCTTTAAATCCCAATGGTAACCATCCACTATTTCCTAAACTCGCAGATGGATCTCGTGATGTCTTGCAGAATTGGGATTTTGTCAAGACGTACGACTCAATGCAAACTTTGGTAGAGAACAAGCAGGCCCGGGCGATTGGTGTATCGAACTTCACCGTAAAGAACTTGAAGACATTGTTGGAGGCTCCATCGACTAGAATCAAGCCGGTTGCAAATCAAGTAGAAATGCACCCTTACTTGCCCCAACCAAGATTACTTGAATTCTGCAGACAAAATGAGATTTTGATTGAAAGTTACAGTCCTTTGGGTTCGACCAACTCTCCGTTATTGACGGACGATGTGGTCCTCAAAATTGCCAGCAAGTATGGAGTTACACCTGCATCAATTCTCATCTCTTGGGCCGTATGGAGAGGCACAGTTGTGTTGCCCAAATCTGTGACGCCGACTAGAATTGAGTCAAATTTCAAGATTGTTAAGCTCGAGGATACCGACGGCGTGGAATTGAATCAACTTCACAAGGTCCGGGGAATTAGTAGATTGGTTTCTCCCGATTGGGCACCTTTCGTAGTATTTGATTCCAACGAGTAAATATTCTACGTAAAACTAAAGAGCACCCACATAACCCCATTTCAGCCCCCCAAATATATGTACTAGTGAAGCACCGGTACTGCATCTTTTTGTCAGCACCGCCTTGCAATTTTTTTCTCCACCCTTGATACCCACCAATTTCGCAGCCGATTTTGTCTCATTCTTTACTTGATCATGTCCAACAAAAATGCAAGATAATTACGTATGTGAAGAAACTGGCTGCGGTAAGTGGTTCTCCCGCTCTGACCATCTAGCGCGTCACAAAACTACGATCCATTCTCCAAAAGTCTTCTTCTCTTGCCATTGGCCAGGTTGCGTCAAAAAATTTGTAAGGAAAGACGTCCGAGATAAACACGAAGGAAGGCACCGTGTAAGGGAAGAACGGCGCCGAAACTCCAGAAAAATAGGTGCTAAACATGAAGAATTGTCCGAGAATTACAATATAGAAGCTCAAACGAGTTTGGGGGGCATGGTCATACCCAACGCCTTGGATCCTTCTTCCCCCACATTTTTCAAGCAGAGTGGCCACAACGTCCGTAGCCTGGCCGAGGAGACGGCGGAGCTCTCTACAGTTGATGGAACGATTTCGGGACAAATAGACTTTGCGTTAAAGCCTCCAGATTTAACGCAGTGGCTCTTCAACGATGAATCGTTTCTTCTTCAAAGTGGCAATTCTAGTCCAACCAATACCTACCTTGCAGCTCTTGACTCCCAAACTGAAAAAATGTTGGAAGATGCGTTTTGCATATCACCAAACTTCCCAAATCCTAACTCACAGGTCAGCGTTGACGACCTCGTTGTTGAGAAAATGATTTCATACGTTCCAGCCTTGGCTCAACTCGGATTCAGCTCCGCCAAAGCAGAGAGAACATTATCTATTTACTGGGACTTCTTTCATGTCCAGTTCCCTATTCTACATAAGCCCTCCTTCAACACCTCAGCCGCACATCCGTTACTCCTCTTGAGCATGGTCATGATCGGCGCTGCGATGTCCCCATACTCCGAAAACGATGAATGGCCAGTCCTAGGAGATTCCCGGCAACTCTTAGAGACAATTGCGTTTCCCCTTCGATGGCTCATTAGCTCCTCCGATGAGTTTTGCTCGCCAGCAAAGCCATGGATTCTTCAAAGTTTAATAATCCTTGAAACTTGCGAGATTTTGTTTTCCAATAGAAGGCTACACGAGCGTGCTTACTTACATCATGGTGTCAAAATGCAGCTTTTGCGTAGAAGCCCTCTACTTGGAGGTGATCCCTTAAATCGAACTAACGATGATATCGAACTCACAGAGGAGAAAGACGCATGGAAGAGGTGGATAGAAGTGGAATCTCTTAATCGGGTTGCATTGGTCTCATTTTATTTGGATACAGTGAACGCTACAATATTTGGGCATCAAATAGTACTCTTTGCCCATCAGATCAAACTACTGATGCCTTGTGACGATGTGCTCTGGGAGATGTCAAGCATCGACAAGAATAACCCTCCTCCTCAAGCCGAAACGCCCAAGTTCATCACTGCTCTCACAAAGCTCTTGCATCAAGAAAAATTAGAGGTAGGAGCATTGGGAAAGAAAATACTACTAGCAGGTCTACTCAGTATCAAGTTTCAAATGGAGCTTAAGGATCTTGAAGTTACTTTTCTTGACTGGAAGTCTGTAAAAGAATCCTGGAAAGATACCATTTACCGAGCGATAGAAGTTTGGCGTGACGATATTTGTCAAGAAGACTGTTGCGATTCACGAAATGCATACTACTTGCCAGTTCAACCAGATGCAGATGTGCCTAGTCCATTCCTGTCCTCCAATACTGGATGCAAATATCCAGCTTATCATATCTGTCAGACGTTCATGGGAATTAAGCAGTACGACTGTATCATATACGTCGGAGCTTCCAACCGAATGAATGTGAAGACAACAGAGAAGGATTACCAAGTTGTCAAAGAGCGTATTCAGGCATGGGCAAATTCTTTGAAGGGTAGGATATCTGTATTACATTGTTATATGTTCTTGCATGAGCTACTTTTCAACGGGAATGAGAAATTGTTGTACGATCCTGCTACTGACCCTATTTTTCATCGTCCCAACGTCGTAGCTTCGTCCTTATTCGTCATCTGGTCTTATAACTATTGCCTTTTTGGACCTGAATCTGAAATAAGTATTGGATCCCATGCTCCAGATAATGTTGTCAAGATACGAGAAGATGGTTATGCATACATAAAACGGATATGCTCCCATTTGCGTGACATCACACCGGAAGGCATTTTATCGAACCGGTTTCTTGATCTTTATGCGGAAGCACTCGAGAGTTTGACAAACACTCATTGCATGGCGGGCTTAATAGCACTTTTCAAGGATCGGTTCAAATATTGCCAGTCGGAGGTATGTCGAGAATACGCGGGACTACTTGAAAATTGTATGGCCCGCAGTATGGGGCAACCTAGAAAGAAATATGGTATTTAGAATAGCAATCAAGATAGCTAGTTTGTTTCTAAATAATGCTCGAACAGTACGTTCTCTAAAACTTTTAGTTGAAAACTTCAAGATCTAATAGCTTGTTACCAATAGTCAAAAAGTAGTAGTCTGCGTATACTAAGCCATGATTTGCAAGCTGCTTTGGAGCATCCGGATTGTTATTGATGGTGGAAGCGTGCAAAATTGTATCAAAGTTTCCCAAGGTAACCTTCCCTCCCTCATGCAACTTTGACTCCTCGTTGTAAGCAAACCTAGTGCAGTTGTCTATAAGCTTGAGGGCCAGGTCCAAATACTTTTTATCCTTGGTAGATTCATAAATGCTAAGCATTCCAAGCGATGCAATCATTCCCGCGGAGACATCCCGTACCTCTTTGTTGGGAGCTTTAAAGTCCCAAGCTGGAACTCCATCCTCGGGTAATTGACCCAAAAAATAGTCAGCTAATGAAATGGCAGCGTCTAAGAACTTCTTCTGTTTAGTGAATGCATAAGCATCGGCATACCCCATAACGGCCCATGATTGACCTCTTGACCAAGCAGATTCATCGGCAAAGCCTTGGTTCGTGAATTTGGCGATGACTTCTCCGTTCCTTTTGTTATAGTTGAGGACATGGTAGCACGACCAGTCTTCTCTGAAGTGGTGCTTCAAGGTAGTTTCGGCATGACGAGTAGCAATTGATGACAATCTCAAGTCTCCAGTCTTTTTGGCAACATAGTACAACAAGTCTAAATTGCACATGTTATCAATAATGACCAAGTAATCCTTCTGAGTATCTGAATAGTTGTAACGCTTATTGACAGCAGTGTCCCATGATCTTATACAGCCAACCGTTTCGTCGAATCTACTAGCTAAAGCATTTGCTGCTGTAACTAGAATATCTAAGGATTCCTTACTTCCTGTAAGTTCGTGTTCCCTAATAAACACAGGGGCAATTATAAAACCCAAATCATGGGTATCAGTTCTTGGTGCCTCAATTTTCAAGGACTCCGCCCACCATTTGGCAGCATGCTCAAGCTTGAGAGGATGAAGTTTCGACCCAGGAAAACTGTCACTATATTTTACACTCCGCTCGCGTAGAGCATAAAGTGACCCCGGAAAGAAACCACATGTCCAATACTCCATGTCACGATATGTGTATCCTTTGTCGTCAAAAAAGGAGTACTCGGGCATCTCCGTTGGCGGGTTTGCATCATTGAGCTTAGAGGACGCAACTCCCCAAATCTTAGCGACTACTGATTCGCTGTACAATTTTTGCTTCAACTCTCTAAAATCGGACATCACTTAAATCAATCAACGTTCTATTGGTACTAATTTGATATTAGAAGGTATTCACTTTATATAGGGGTAAAGAGATACAACTCCTCTCATTCGTACCCCAGAGAATTACCCCCGCCCCCACCAGTTTATTGTTAACAAGCCCATACATCCCCCACCAAGTGGGGAGCCATACTTTCGGTGGTTGCAAGAAAATAAAAATATCACGAACCATATGAGTAGTTCAGCGTGTTATGGTTTGAAGGTTGTTTATCGACAGCTGGAAGATCCTCCACTAAACTCGTTCGGCTCAATAGTAGTGGGAGCACCTTATTGTCGTCAACCTCTGCATGAGGCTGACAAGATCGGGTTTGCAACCGTTTTCGGCATCAGCAATACTACAAGCATAGTGGAAATGAGTATACTGACTAGAGTTTTTGTTCGTAATCTAACAACCTCTTGATATCTTCAGCGTATTTGTTATAGGCAGTGAGGTTCACAGCTTTACTCAATGGTGGTCTCCCTGAAAGGCACTCACCAAAACCATATATCAGGTTTAAAGCGTGTTTCACTCCCAACATGTTCAACTCGGTGATCATCAAGTCAACTCTTGTAACCAAAAACTGCAAAGTTGCAGCCTCCTCATACTGACCAGCCCTATAAAGTTGGTACAACTTTACCATTGATTTTGGGAATATTCCTGACAAGCCGTCAATGGTGCCGAACAAGTTTACTGATAGCGAAGGAACCAAAACTTGTCCGAGTCCAGTAAAGGATCTAAAGTTATTGGCCTCAAAAGAACTGTCGTAACCCAACAAAGTGTACATGTCAAAATTGTAGTGGGTCAATTTGACTCCGACAATGTTGGGATGCTGAGACAATGTAGCGAACGTTTCAATGTTGATATTAACATTGTTGCAAGTGTTTGGATAGTTGTAGATAATTATCGGGAGTGCGCTTCCACTTGCAACGTACTGAAAATAATCCACAATCCCTTGCTGGTTAACTAAATTTGGCCCGAAATATCCAGGAACTAAGACAATCAAAAAGTCTGCTCCGTTATCGGCAGCAAGTTGCGACTCTGCAATCACATCTGCCACATTAGATGGTGGAACACCAGCAATCAATTTGAAATTGGGGTCAGGAATGGCATCGCGAATTGACTTCAAAGAGTTGCACCTTTCTTGAAGAGTGAGATTGGTTGACTCACCCATTGATCCTGAAACAACCAATCCAGTGATGCCAGCCTTGTGCAACATTTGCGCATGCTTAACGGTGGTTTCGAAATCAACTGCAAACTTCTGGCTCTTGTAAAATGTAGGAATAGGAGTGTAAATTCCTTCTGGAACCGATGGTGCAGATCGAATAGTCATACTTGCGACTGCAGAAATTTATGTTAAAACAGGGAGAAGTTGGGAAACAAAATGATCGTATTCTTTGGGGTCGGGACGATACTTGAGTCCTGGCTGTCCGCCCCTTTTAGACTACGAACCCCTCCAAGGCCAGACTATTCAATATTACTCCGATGGTAGTGTGCCCTTGGCTCCTAACCTGTGCATAACTATTTGGTGGGGGAGGGGTTGACCTCGATGAGATCTGGAATGCACGAAGAAAGAAAACTGTGAGGTGGATTTTAGTGTCCCCATCTTTGAAACGACTCGTTCATGCATAAGCAGAGACTATTTCATCAATCCTCACGCTTGATCATTCATCAAAGACTACAGACTTTAGCTGCTGCTACAGTGTAGTCCAGGCTGTCAACTATTCTGATCATCAAGTGGGACACTTTGAAGAACCATTTCGGGGCTACCAGGCCCATCATGACCCAAAAGGAAGTCTTGTTGTCTCGATAAATACAGCTTGTATAGTGGTATACCCAAAAATGATAATTGATGAAAGGATGATTATGTAATGATAGCTCATGATGATGTAAACTGATCACCATCTCGTGTCACGTGAGTCTCATCGCACATTTCAAAGCAGACTTAATTGAAACCATCTGAAACAATGCATTATACTTGTAACTCTTGTAAGCTAGAGTTTTCTGACCTGCAAGGTCAAAAGGAACATATGAGGTCAGACTGGCATAGGTACAATCTCAAACGTCGAGTTGCCCAGTTGCCACCGGTTGACGAAGAGACCTTTCGTTCGAAAGTTAGCGTTCATGCCGATGGCGATGCCTCTGCAAATGAACCTAAAGACAGAGAATCCAAGAAAGAAGCACGCAGAAAAGCTAAGGAGTCTATTCGCGAACAGAAGCGCCAGTTACTTGAAACGGCTAGAAGATCAATGACGGAAGAATCTAATGTTGAAAATCCTACAGTTCAAAAGTTGGAGCTGAAGGAGGAAAGTCCTGTATTACAACAGGATGAGCTGAGCATACCCGAAGACATAGTTGATGAAGAAACTTCACCGGAGCCAAGTCAAGAAGACCTCATAAAGGAGAAAATGGAGAACAAGGTTGACATACCACCCACTACATGCTTATTTTGCCAGAGAAAATACGGGTCGAATTTTGCTACGTTAGATGAAAACTTAGAGCATATGCGATTGAAGCATGGTTTATTCATTCCTGAAAGAAGGTATTTGACTGATATCCAAGGATTGCTTCAATACTTAGGTGAGAAAATAGGCTTCGGTAATGTTTGCTTGTGCTGTCTGTATCAAGGAAAGGACATTGTTGCAGTCCGTGACCATATGCTCAACAAGAGACACATGAAGATTCCCTATGAGAGTGAAGACGAGAAACTAGAAATCTCTGATTTTTACGACTTCTCATCAACATACACGTCAGATGTTCCGGAAGGTGATGAAGGCGATTGGGAAGACGTTGAAGATGCATCAGATGATGATGACGAGGACATTCTGGGGGCCACAGACGCTATCTATAGGGACGGACTTGACCTTGTTCTTCCTTCTGGCGCCGTTTTAGGAAATAGAGCCCATGCTCGTTATTATCGCCAAAATCTTGCTCCGGAGCGGATCTTAAGCGAAGGTCAGGGGACAGTCATTGCAGCTGAATCGAGACACATGCTGGGCTTCAAGGATCGCAAGGAACTTGCCACTCAAAAACGTGCATGGGTCAGAGCTAAGAAGAGAGAAGATGTTAATGATAGACGAGCCGCAAAGTTCATCAACAATCAACCTCATTTCAGAGACCCTCTCTTACAGTGATTGTGTTATCGTTCAGCATTCTAAATTAGTAGTGTTAATGTTGACATAATTAGCTCCACGAATAGATTCATGAATACAGTCCAAACACCAAAATAGAGTAATTTCGGGGAAAACACTGACCAGATGAATAAATGATACCTGAGGTTCACACAAGATCCTGCCAAACTAACGGCGGAAAGACTGTAAAACAGCAAAGATATACCTGCTTTGAGTAACAATACCTGATTTGTTAGCGACTTCTTATCAATCACCGACCGCTCGTAATTCTGTTGGTACCGTGCACTGTCGGGATCAAAGATAAGTTGGTATGATGATAATACCCAGAATATAGGGCCACTGAAGTTAGATGCAAATGTGAGAAGTCCAACTATTATGACATCATACGAGCTGACACCGTTATAAGCATTAGATAGATCGACGGTCGCTAACAGGTTCGTACCTCCCATCGAGAAAAAGCTCAATTGTTGTGCGCAAAAACTCATTATGCTTGTCAAATAAACGCGCTTCTGTAGGTTTGATGATGCGATCTCTTCTTTTTTGATAAGCCTTGCGAATAATAACCTGAGAGCAAAAAATACAAGGAACATCGGTATATGCTCGACTCGAGTTTGATGTAGAAGCAATACCGTCGTAATGTTGGCGACATCTGTCCACATCCCTGCTTTTAAACCACGAATCTTACCTAGCATAAGTCTCAACAAAAGCAATGATAGCACCAACCAGGCTGTACTTCTCGAGAGCTGTGTGTTAATGACTTGAAAATCATGCTTGTCTGCCGTAGAATAATCCACACCGTATGATTCACAGATCCAATTCAATATACCGTAGCTCATATTGGGCACACTATGTCCGTCGGTAACCCATTGGCATAGCTTGAACAGAAGTGAAACGGAACAAGTGACGAAAATCAAGATGAAGGCAAAAAGCGTGCCGAAATCCCTAACCTTATCCGTCATGTTGTCAATCCTACTCAAGGTCAAGCAGTCAATAAAACTGCCCTGGCAAAAGATACTCACAGCAAGCAATGCATAAGTGATGGTAACTAGTATCCAAAGAACGTTGCTATTGTTGAGTAATATCTCTCCGAGTGTTAGTTGTGTTTTATACTTTTGTCCCGAATTGCTCCATGTTCGTATTATTCGAAGACATAGGAGAATCAATGTGCAAGAAAGTAAGTTTTTAAATCGACCAAGGTAACAATAAAACGCCAAAAGTGAGATACTGATGAGCCACCAAATTTGATGTTCCTCTTCAACCAAGGAGGATGCATGAAAGTGAACAGAATATAGTCCCACTATTGCGTAATGTAAAGCAACCTCGAAAGTACTGCCTTTCCAGAAGGAAGCGAATAAAGCAAAGGAGAGAAGCCCCCCGAGAAGTAAGCCAAGTAATCCGCAAATGATGTCGAAGTATTTGTATTCTGTAGCAACGCTTTGAAGATTTGACAGAAGTTTTTTCAATTGCTCATACAATTTCTCTTCGGAATCTGAATCTTTCACGGATGTCCATATATCTTCACCCGCCAATTTTGCAAGTTGTACGAGGTTACTCTTTAAGATCAGAAACCTTTGATCATTGCTCCAGAGGTCTAAGACCTCTTGGATTATCACCCCCACGCTATTTTTAGGAATCGGGAAATTCAATAGCGATGCGAGAGTAGGCACCAAGTCCACCTGCGAGATAGTCCTATAATATTGGTAATCCTTCGTTTCTGGTATAGGAGCTTTGTTATTGTGTCTTAAGTTTCTGAATTTTGGTGATGCAAATAAAATTCCAGGACTTGTCTCTCCAGGGGACGAACCACCATGATTGCCTATTTCATTCATGCCATGGTCACCCATGACAACTAATAACGAATTGGTCTTGGCAATTGTTTCGTAAACTTTTTTTATTATGCCGTCCATCTCCTCCTGTTTCTCCTTCATATACGGAGAACGAGGGCCACCTTTGTGACCAATGTGATCTAAACCAAGGTAATGCAAAATCAAAACATCATTACCATTTATACGATTCAATTCCGAATCCAAATGTCTTGTTACATTATTATCAACTTCAGTAAAGTCGCTGACAAAAAATGAATTTGTGCCTTCATATCTATCGAAATACTCCTCTGGTGGGAATAATTTGAGCCATGTATCGTCACCATAGAATCTCAAGCTCTTACCTTGTTTTTTAAGCTGATTCAACCAAGAGTCACTTCCAGTCATACCCTGTGTATCATCGTTATCGTCAGCGATATTTAAAATTGCATCAAGAAAACTAGGGGTGCTGCCAGAAGTTATACCTTTAAGTCGTGGAAGTGTGACCGTTGGAGGGCTTGCATGCGCCGTGAAAGGTAAAGCATCACCTTTAGTAACTAGTTGATGTACAAAAGGCATATGAGAAATATCTCGATTATACATGAAGTCTGAACGCATGGCATCCACCACAACTAGAACCAAGTTATCGAATTGTGCATGGCCCTTGAAAAGATACGGGGAAACTTCATTGGGGAAAATCAGATCTCCAGGTAGTACTGTCTTGGCAGGGAAGAAACCTTTCAAGAACAATAGATAGCCAGTTATATGCAATGAAGCAGCCAACAAAAGTACTATGCTGCGTCGCACCAGTGAGGTTAACATACAACGTTTCTAACTCCACCGGCGACCTATACGTGTTTGTACTGCATACGGCAGTATGCGTGGTACCACGATTATAACCCTCGCTCTTTAGATGTCAAGGACGTAGTGCTAGCATTTCCCGTTTTTTCGTATCTCATCAGGGGTAAGATTGTTTTTCAAACATGAATATTTTGCCGAAATGTGTTGTACGGCAATACTTTTATTTTTCTAAGATGAGGCGAGGGGTAAGTCCGCGCAGGCTTCGATGAAACTCGTTAGAATTTAGATTGTAGCGAGCGAGGTGCACGACTGCATCGATCCTCAGCAAAAGTACTCCGGTTGTTGTCTACTGCGGTCCAATGAAATTTTCAATCGACGACTACGGTTACCCAATGGGACCGTTTCGGTTCTTACGATTAAGGGCTTGACTATAACTGCCTAATCTTGACACTTGAGATTGGCGGTTCTCCTCTTTTGGATCCGATCTGAAGCGCCGTCCTGCAATCTTTTTTTTCGCTATCAGTGCGACGCATTCGGCAATTGCATGCGGCCCTTATCGAAGAAAGGTTTTTGTGTAACTTGATGGTGTGCCTCTTCTACTTCTAGGTATTATATAAAAATACCGATGCGGCCACAGACCCCGCAAATACGGTCTTTCCCGAGATTGTATGGTGCTTCAGCTAAAACTTAGAGAAGGATGCAATTAGTGAACTCGAAGAGGCAAACACCAGAACAAGGCTTAAGCCCTATTGTTTCGCAAGTTCACGTCGATGACTTTCATGTTACTAGTATACTATCAAACAAGGACGTAACCATCAACTTGGATCATCAGGTTACTAAAGATGAAGCTCTTATCCTTGCTTTGGGATACAAGCAAGAGTTTCGTCGTGAGTTCAGCTTATGGTCGATTTTCTGTGTCTCGTTCTCGGTTTTGGGATTATTACCCTCTATTGCTGCATGCTTCGATTACCAACAATTAGTGATCGGAATGTCTCCCATTCCGTGGATATTGGCGATTTTGTTCATCACAAGTGTTGCCCTAAGTATGGCGGAAGTGGCTTCTGTTTGGCCATGTAGCAGTGGTACTCCGTACGCAGTGTCGCAACTCGCACCGCCAAAGTATGCCCCAATACTTACATGGTTAACATGCTTCAGTAACTGGATGTGTCAGATTACTGCAGCCCCATCGGTTAATTACAGTTGTGCTTGCCTAATGTTGGCACTTCACAGTTACAACAGTCCAGGATACTCTGCAACAAATGGCCAGATCTATGGTCTTACAACTGGCATTCAAATAGCCCATGCAATCATATCCTCCATGCCAACAAAGTTTTTGGCCAGATTCAACAATATGGGTACCATCTTGAACATGATCTTCTTGACGATTGTCTTTGTGATGATTCTTGCTGGCAATGACAGACAAGCATTGTATCCAGATATTCCCAAGTTCAACTCAAACGCAACAGCTTGGAGTTTAACTAATCAAACTGAATTCCCAAGTGGAGTTGCAATGTTAATGTCCTTCTTAGGTGTCATCTGGGCCATGTCAGGGTATGATTCCCCTTATCACATCTCAGAGGAATGCGCATCACCAGAGTTAGCGGTTCCCAGGGCTATTACTCTCACCGCAACCTGTGGAGGTGCTATAGGCTTTGTCTTTATGTTGGCGATAGCCTATACTCTAGTCGATTTGGACACAATTGCTGAGGATCCACAGGGCTTGGGACAACCGTTCGTCCTGTACTTGTCACAGATCTTCTCAAACAGAAAACTTGTTGTGGTTGCAACATCCATGACAGTCATCTCCTCTTTCTTCATGGGTGGATCTTGTATGTTTGCGGCTTCGCGTGTCACTTACGCTTACTCGAGAGATGGACTTTTCCCATTATCAAGATACTGGAAATTGGTGAACAAGACCACTCAAACACCAGTCAATGCTGTATGGATAAACATGTTGCTTGGACAATTGTTGTTGTTGCTTATGTTTGCTGGTGATGTTGCAATTGGTGCCATTTTCTCCGTTGGTGGTATTGCAGGTTTTGTTTCCTTCACAGTTCCCACTGCGTTGAAGATTACAGTAGCTCACAAGACTTTTCGTCCAGGACCTTGGAACTTGGGAAGGTTTTCTAGACCCATCGGCTTTGTCACTTGCGCCTTCGTTTTGGTGATGATTCCCATTCTTTGTTTCCCTACTGTTAGAGGTAAAGACTTGACTTTAGATGAGATGAACTGGACTGCACTTGTCTTTTTTGGCCCCATGTTGCTTTCGCTCATCTGGTTCTTGGTCGATGCTCACAAGTGGTACAAGGGACCCAAATCGAATCTTGAGCCTGAAACCATTACCTATGGTGGATATGAAGTTCCTCTGGGGCAGGCTTCCTCGGACGAAAAGGTCGATAGTCACATTGACGTCCTGCCACTTAGAGATTCGAAAAATTAATGTGCTACATGAGAAAGATTAGGTGAACAATATATAACTATTTCGCGAGTCAATTATAAAGGGTAAGGTATCATCTATGCCTTGTAATGAGCTGGAGGTGGACCTTCTGGTCTAGAAAAGTCATCACCATTAACATTGTATTCTGCTTCTCTATTGTACCCTTGTTGGTACGAGCCACTTCCACCATAACCTGGTTGTTGGGGAGGATATGTGGAGGTATCGCCGTAGTTTCCACCTTGCTGACCATTGTAGTATCCTCCAGCTTGCTGAGTCTCGTAGTATTGGTTATTAGGTTGCATAGTTACCTGACGATTTCTTCTTCTTCTTCTTCTCAAAAAGAAGAGAGCCACGAGAATGAAGAGAACCGGGACAAGGATGAGCCAAAGTAACCATCTGTAAGTATACCAATTACTATTTCTGTTTCGGTAGTTGTTGTAATAGTATCGCTTGTAAATATCGTCCAAATACATAATTGCTATCTTGCTGTCGATAGTTGAGAATGAAATTCGATAAAAGCAAAGTCGAAGAACAGCAAGATACTGACTGCACACTAAGGCACATGACCGCACAGCCGTTTCATCGCATAAACTCTGGGGATAAGAAAAGTTATTTCCACATCCGTTACACCGTACATAACTTGTGCAGCCTTATCCATCTGACGTAATCGCAGTATGTAACAGGGCCCTTTGTAAGGAAATACACATCTTTCGTGCAGAAAAATTGTTGCGTATAATTTCCATGAAGCATTTGAGTCCCAATGAGATAAAAAAATGCCAGTACATCCCAATTTCGTCCTTCAGGTTTAATCTTTAGAAACTCAGATGAGCCACTCCGATAAAATAATGTAAAAAACTCCAAACACCCATAAACATATGCAAAGCGGGAGTGAGAGCCAATCGTAATAATCAACTGATCGGCTCAAGATGAGTTTTTACATCGTCCCATCGATGCTGTATCAGACACAGCAGAAGCTCAAGAAGAAACCATCAAGTAGTTCCGGCCGTCATCGAAAACATGGAAAGTCATCCGCGAGTTCTACAAAAGCGGAGGAAGACGATGCAGCCAGTACACATTCAAGTGCACAATCAGTCAAAACAAGTAATGACGACGTAAAATCGGCGGGACCTTACAATGGTGTTGATTCCAAAGAGCTCTCTCATTCACTCCAGAAACTAAAAGAGACGGCTCCCAGCGAAATTGTTGTACCGACACCCGTAGTCTCGTCTAATTCTCCATCCGATTCCCGCACCTCCCCATCAACAAAAAGGCTGGACTCAGACAAGAGCCCCATAGCCACGCCGAATGATGCTTCCAATGACAAACACCGCTCAGGCTCAACGTACTCGACTGTGTCGGGATCTTCTGTTCCTTCAAGTTTACGAAAGGTGTTCCGTAGAAACAGTTCAATGACTTCGTATCAATCGTACCTGCTGGCAAGGTCCTCCCCCACGGCTACTCCCCCATCCGTTGAGGTAGAAAGTATGATCCCCAATAGACCCCTGGATCTCAAACAAAAGAGAAGTTCATCATCATTAGTTTTTGCACACGTTTTAAGCCCCTCCACAAAAGTCGACCTCAGTCCGACTCTCCCCGACTACATCCCAATCACAGATTTATCCATCATGAATTCCATTGAACTGGTCAATCGCTCGTTCCTCAACCCAGCATTTCAAATACAAAGGTATCAGAACTTCATTGAGTTTTTGAAAGACCATCACGTCTCTGATCCCGTAAACTTCGCATCTGTTCGGAACCATTGTTTGCTGAAATTCATCAAAGAACACCTGATAGCTGTCGATTGGCACCATTCTAATGAAGCCCAGAATTTCAGGGACATGCATCATTATGAAGCGCACCTCTCGTTTCAATTACTTCGAGCTCGTAATCTTGTGCGGCGCATTTTAAGACAAGTTACTGCAGAAGACCCTAATAGGTCTCCAATGATCAACTGCGAAGAACTTATTCAATTGAATTATATCAATTATGTGAGATACTCCTTCAGTCTTCCTAGCACGTTGCCCTCCTCGGAAACACGATTGAATGAATTTCAAAGGGCACACTACGAGTATAAGGAATGTATCAGTAATATCCAAAGGAGCTTGGAACTGTTGAAACGAGAGGAATTGGGTTCAGATATCGGCACAAGTGGCACGCAAGCTATTTTGAACATGGTTACGAAAGTTTCCTATGAGTTTGTCTTACTAGAAAAGTATCACATTCACATCCTATCCAAGTTGAACAATAACTATCTCATCGAGAGCAGAAGTGTTCGTCGTATATTTGAGATGTATAAAGCTCAAGTTAACGACAGGAATACGAGGTCGCCAAAGGTGTTACTTTACAACAACTTCTACAGCTCACAGTATACTTGGCATTTGTCTCTATCAATTCCCTTCGCACGAGTATATCAGATGAGCATTTGCAACGAGGTCCCCGATTTTTATGTCAATTACGGTACCGCTCGCAACGAGCAGGAGTATTGGAACTATGAAATCGATGACGAGAACTTCTACAAGTCGTACCTTCAACATTTGAGTATAGAAGACTTCAAGACCTTCCAACACTATACTCCCAAAAATTTAGTCGAGCTAGTTCAAGATGTGCGTTCTAAGGGTGATAAATCAAATGGTGGGGCAGACGACCTCCAGCCATTCAATTTTCAATATTACCCACTGTCACTCGCATCCATACCTTCTAACACATTCGACATCATCCAATCAAGAGACCTAGCCCTACAACTTACACCGAAGAATTTTAAAGTTGTTTTGGGTGAGTTTTTCAGAATCTTAAAACCTGGGGGATCACTTGAATTGTCCGTATTTCAATTCGGAAAAGGAACTTTGGACCTTTTCAGTTGTGAGATGTACGGTGACTTAGACCTAACGCAATTGTACGATATTATTCCCCATTTCATTACAGTGGTGATGCAAGAGCTTGTGAAATTATTCGGTGCTGACAATGTGTCGTACTCGGTGGCCTTATTGAATCGGAATAACGAAGTCACAGACTTTCTTATGAAGCATTTGGGACTTGTATTATACGATATTTTTGGCAGGATTGACGACTTTTGCGTGAATGTCAGGGACTCAGAGGTGGAAGAAAAACTGAAACCTAACACGAATTTGAATCAATTAGTGCACATTAGGGCCGAGAAAAGAACTACTTCATAGACCATTGGCAAATTCTCGTACCCTGCATATACACACTGACTCATTTGAATAAATCATTTCTCATTCATCTCGTACAATAATGCCTCACTTAATACACGTTATTGACGTTGAAAGTGGAAACTTGCAGTCTCTAACCAATGCTATCAAGTACATAGGCGATTATGAAGTAGAATACATCCACAATGGGTCTGAATTCGAGCAGAAAAACTCAGAAATAGAAAAATTGGTGTTTCCTGGAGTAGGTAATTTCGATCATTTTGTCAAACAGGTCCACTTAAGAGACTTATTGACTCCAATCAGGGAGTACATTAGAAGTGGACGTCCCCTAATGGGAATATGTGTCGGCTTGCAAGTATTTTTTAGTGAAAGTGAAGAGGGAGTGAGTGATTACCGTGGATTGGGCTACATGAATATGAAGCTCCAAAAGTTTGCTTCTTCAGATCCTATATTTGAGCTGAAAGGGTTGAAAAAAGCAGTTCCACATATTGGATGGAACTCCGTAAATGAAATCAATATTCAAGGCAAACAGTTGGCTGCTGACGAAGCTTACTATGGCATGAACACAGTGAATAAGTATTACTTTGTTCACTCTTATGCCGCAATCATTAACAGTGAAGAGAACAGAAGCCTAATTGAAAAAGCTCAGTCTGAGGGATGGAACTTTGCCTTTGCTAGGTATGGCACGGAGAAATTTGTCGCTGCCATGGCTTTTGAAAATTTTTTTGCAACCCAGTTTCATCCTGAGAAATCAGGAATTGCTGGACTTCAAGTCTTGAAATCCTTTTTGACTGGCAAGGTCTTCGAGCAAAACGTACAATCCCAAGTACAAAAGGGGGAAAAGGCAATAGTTTCATCGTTGAGTGGTGTTACCAGACGTATAATCGCTTGTCTAGATGTACGAACAAATGACGAGGGTGACTTGGTTGTCACAAAAGGGGACCAATATAACGTGCGAGAAAGCAGTGGCGAAGGGAACAGCGTAAGGAATTTGGGAAAGCCAGTGGAATTAGCCACACGTTATTACAGACAGGGGGCTGACGAGGTTACATTCTTGAACATCACTTCTTTCAGAAATTCTCCTATCAAAGATCTTCCGATGTTAGAAGTATTGAAACTAGCAGCAAAAGAGATTTTCGTACCTCTTACTGTGGGCGGTGGAATAAAGGATATGACTGACCCAGAAACTGGCCTGCTCGTGCCCGCTGAAAAGGTAGCAGATCTTTACTTCAGATCTGGTGCTGACAAGGTAAGCATCGGCTCAGATGCGGTCACTATCGCAGAAAAGTACTACCAGAACAAAGGCGTGAAGTCCGGTGATTCGTCTATAGAGAGAATTTCTGCTACCTTCGGCAATCAAGCGGTTGTTATTTCCGTTGATCCCAAACGCCGGTACGTTCTGTCGCCATCAGATACAACGATGCAAGTTGTGGAAATTACCGACGGGTCAAAGTATGGTCCAAATGGTGAGCGTTTTTGCTATTATCAGGTTACCTCTCAAGGTGGAAGAAAGGTTCATGATTTGGGTGCGGTAGAACTCTGCATAGCTTGCGAGGATTTGGGAGCAGGTGAAATATTATTGAATTCCATCGACCACGATGGATCGAACAAAGGGTTCAACTTTGAGCTTATCAACCAGGTTAAGAGAGCCGTATCAATTCCTGTTATCGCTAGCTCTGGTGCTGGAAATCCCAAGCATTTTCAAGAAGTGTTCGAGCTTGATTGCAATGTTGATGCAGCATTGGGCGCTGGTCTTTTTCATCGGGAGGAATACAAAGTAAATGACGTTAAGGAATATTTACAAGAAAAGGCAGGTATGGATGTTAGATTAGAATCTCGATTCGATATTTGAGTCAAATTATTTATAGAACATGGCTCGCTAAATAAAAACTAAATTGAGATTTTGCGAAATTTAGTAAATTCCTCAATGACATGAAATGATGCTACCTGGCAAGCCCAATGGAGAATATACTACCGAATCTGATGGTGAAGGCAATGCAGCAGATGTGGAAATGATGTACGTACCATCATCCTCGAAGCAGCGAGCGGGGTTGCTACCTGTTTATTCAAATCTTCCTAACCAATTGATCAATTTAAGGGCCAATGAGACCAAGGGATCTTTCAATGGAATGAGTGATTGTGTCGTTACTAAAGGCACCATTAAAGATTTGGTAACAAGTAAGGATAATAGTGATCTTACAATTGTAAGCGAATCTTCGACATTCTCTAGTCTAAATGATAGGTTAGAAGAAATGAGGTTAGAGGACAAAGAACATACTAGTTCAGAACTCCATAGAGCGATGGAGCGCTACAGGTCTATCACACCATTTTTGCATGGAGGACTTCCCCTCTTGAAAGTTTCCCAAAAGTCTCGAAAGAGAATCTTACTTCAGGTTGATCCCAGTGAATTCAAAATACAGTGGAAAATAACCGCAAAAGCATCTTCATCTAATGGAATATCAGGTTTTCAAAAGCTTTTGAACACAGCATCCGCTCACAACAATAAGGTCCACGAGTTACCGATTACTTGCATCAAGTGGGTCTCATTACAGGCTGATGCAACTAGCTACCGAGAAGAACTACACATTTCCAAAGAGTTTGAAAACCAATGGCTAACAATTTGCTACTTGGACATGAAAAAAGATAAACTTAAGACTTTGCATTTGATTACAGACACAGAACGCGATTTTAAACGACTCTCTGGCATAATAGACACCTTGAGGAGAGTGAGGGAAGCGTTGACAAACAACTTTCTACTTGGGGCCGACAACATAACGGAATTACGAGAATCTCTTCTTTCCACTCCACAGCTGGAAGGACCAGTGAAAGAAGTGAGAGAGCTACTATATTTGGAAGACATACTAAAGTATTCGAGGAGACTAAATATCAACCTCGACGAAGCTTTTCTTAAAGACGTCTTCGACAACGTGATAACGAGAGTAGCTACAAGCTCTGAGCCTAAGGGACTCAGCTTTGAAGGTTTTAAAGAATTTGTTTCAATTATCAAGCGACGAGATGACATTTCACATATTTGGGAAGCATGCTTTTCTTCTCTGTCAACAATTGATTTTGATAAATTTTGCACCTTCATGATAGAAATACAGAAAGAGGAACACAATGAAGAGCATCTAAGAAAACTATTTGTGCGTTTCAGTAAGAGGGAAGACAGGCTGATTTGGACAAAAGAGAGCTTCAATGCATTTTTGCTTTCAAAATATTCAACAATATTCAAAAATGATTTCAGTGACGATTACTTTGATCATCCCCTCAATGACTATTTCATATCCTCATCACATAACACCTATCTCATTGGAAGGCAATTCGTCGGGGACTCTTCAATTGATGGTTATATAAGAGCTTTCCAACGTGGTTGCAAATGTGTTGAGATAGACATCTGGGATGGTATGTCAATTGATGGCGATCTAGACAACAATGAAAGCGAAGGAATTAAGGGCCCAATTGTTAACCATGGTCGCTCCTTCACGTCATCGATTTCCTTAAAGAACGTATTACTGACTGTTAAAAAATATGCATTTAGTTCGTCGAGCTGGCCCGTCATATTAAGCTTGGAAGTACACTGCAATGCGGAGAATCAGCTAAAAATCAAGAAGTTGCTCAAGGATATCCTAGGCGAATCGTTGGTCACCGACATGCTAGACAATGATTGTGTGCTACCCAGTCCTCGCAAATTGAGAAGCAAGATACTTCTCAAGGTCAAGAGAACCAGTGCACGAACATATTCAGTTTCTCAGGATGGCCAAAGTGCACTCTCAACTTCTACGACTAGTACATCGTTCAGTGAAGATAGTGGTGCTGCTCAAAGACGTGACTCTTTTTCAATACGACGGAGGTCTGAACTGACAAAAATTGTGACGGAGTTGAGTGATCTTGCGATCTATATTCAGGGTATCAAATTTCGGAATTTTTCGCTTCCCGAGTCGAAGACGTTCAACCACTGTATTTCACTCAGTGAAAAAAGCTTCAACTCGTTGTTGAGTGACGAAGAAAAGCGACTTTCACTTGCCAAGCATAATCGTAAATTCTTGATGAGAGTATATCCTTCGAAGATGAGAATTGGATCATCGAATTTTAATCCTATAACTCAATGGAACTATGGAGTACAAATGGTAGCCAGTAACTGGCAGACTTACGATGTTGGCCAACAGATTAATGAAGCATTGTTTCAGAGTTGTGGAGGAACTGGATACGCTTTGAAACCCAAGTCTCTTAGGTCACCTCTCTCTAAGAAACGCAAACCAGAGTTGGTACAGCGACCCTTGATGAGATTTTCGTTGAAGATCATTAGCGCTCTTCAGCTACCTAAGAGTAAAGGATCAAATGCCGCAACCAACCCATTCGTCTCCGTTGAAATGCACGGCTGCTCATTAATTCAGTGGGATGGTGAAAGCCAAGAGCCAAGTACACTGATAATTGCGGCTAATGGCTTCAATCCGATTTGGAACGAGCAGTTTAGTTGTATCATGTCCGCAGAGAATGATTTAGCATTTCTCAGAATAGTCGTCAACTCTTCGCTGAGCGCAACAGGAAAGGAGGATATCCAGCCACTAGGAATAATAGTGCTTCGAGTCGGCTGTATTAAAGATGGCTATCGATATTTACCTATCAATGATCCTTTGGGCGAAGAACTAGTCTACTCCAAGTTATTAGTGCGTATAGACAAGGATCACGATATAGGTATTTGAGACGTTCTGCTCAATTAACCTATATACATAATTAATGAGTGACGCAAGAGTTGGGCTTTGTAAGCGCCAGTGTAATATTAATTATCAGAAATAGAATTTTAGGTATTTGACATACAATACTCAAGGCTTTCAATTTGCAACCACCCAGCCGTGCACCAATTTTTTTTTTGAACTAGACCTCATCTCGAAGTTGCAATATTGACAAAAATTCAAAATGGGTAAAATAAGAAATGAGTCCATAAAGAAGCAGAGGCACAATCCTTTGATGAAGGATATATCATCTCAGGGAGGAACTTTGAGGGAACATACGAGAGGAAAGGCAAAAAACCAATCCGAAAATGATGCAGAAGACTTCATCGATGCAGCATCGTCCAGGAGGATCTTACAATTAGCCAGAGAGCAACAGGCCGAAATCGAACAAGAAGACGAAGCAGTAAACACGAATGAGAGTTCAAAAACCTTCAGTCAAGAATGGCGATCCCATGAACTGGACGAGGGACTGGATGATGAAGAGTACTCTGATTTCGAAGCTCAAGAAGAGGAGGACTTCGAAGAGATCGAGGAAGAAGAAGTTAACATAGACGAAAGCAGCGCTGAATTGTTCGAAAAATATTTTAATGGTGGGGCAAGTAATAACGGCACTATCAATCTTGCAGACAAGATCATGGCCAAGCTCGAGGAGAAGGCTGAAAAGAAGGAAGCAGAGAGCCGACAAGATGCTGTCTTATTACCACCAAAGGTCTTCGTTGCATATGAGAAAGTTGGTCAAATTTTATCTACCTATAAGCATGGCAAACTTCCCAAGCTTTTCAAAGTTCTTCCCACCTTACGCAACTGGGAAGATGTTCTCTTCGTGACCAATCCAGAAGGATGGACACCACATGCCGTATACGAGGCAACCAAGTTGTTCGTTTCCAATTTGCAAGCGAACGAGGCACAAAAGTTCATTGAACAAGTCTTGCTTGAAAGAGTGAGAACGTCGATCGAAGACTCCGAGGACCACACCTTAAACTACCATTTGTATCGTGCTATAAAGAAATCACTTTACAAACCTGGTGCATTCTTCAAAGGGTTTCTTCTTCCTTTAGTCGACTCTCATTGCACAGTCAGAGAAGCGACCATCACTGCATCGGTGTTGGCAAAGGTTTCTGTGCCCGTATTGCATTCGTCAGTTGCATTAGCTCAGCTTTTGCAACGTGATTTCACTCCAGCTACCATTGTGTTCATTCGTGTTTTAATCGAGAAAAAGTATGCTCTTCCTTATCAGACTTTAGATGAGTTGGTCTTTTACTTCATGAGATTTCGGAAAGCAGCCCAAAACCCTAATGAAATGGATCTAGATGACAACAATGGAAAGCTTCCCAAGCTCCCAGTTGTATGGCATAAAGCTTTCTTGGCATTTGCTCAAAGGTACAAGAATGATATAACAGATGACCAACGAGATTTTTTGTTGGAAACAGTTAGACAGCAGTTTCATCATGCTATAGGCCCAGAGATAAGAAGAGAATTACTTGCTGGCCAATCAAGGGTTACGGGTGAGGTAGCTAAAGACTCGTTGATGATGGAAGCATTTTAGGGTCGCTTTCATTATTTTACATTTGTAGAAGGTATATACTGCTATCGTAAAGGTCTTAACGTATTTCTAGCGAGCATCATTAGACACTCTTTGGGTGACCTCTCTGCAAAGTTTTGGATAGTTAGCGGCCAAAGCATAATAACTTTGAACAACACCGATTATAGTCAAGGCTAACAAACACCCAATCCAAAGGCCATCAAGCTTTCCCTTGATTCCCGAATGAAATGCAAGATAGTATGACAAAGGAAGACCGACGATGTAGTATGATACAAAGTTCACGATACCACCTATTTTTGTTCTTCCCTGACCTCTGAGACACCCTGCTGAATTGGCGTTCATTCCATCTGAAACTTGCATCAAAGCAATGAGCCACATAACCTTGGTCAAGGTCAGAATGACTCTTTCATCCAGAGTGAAAAGTAAAGCAATATGACGCCTAAAGATGTATAGGAAAACAAAACTAGTCACTGATGTAGACGTTCCAAAGGATAAAGAAACCTTCGTTGAAAGCTTGGCCGCATCGGGTAATCCAGCACCTAAAAAGTTTGCAATTCTCGTGGAGCCCGCAATTCCAATGGCGTAAGGTATTTGATATGTCAATGCAGCTACGGTGGAGCCAATTGATTGCGCGGCCAAAGGAACTGTACCGAGATAAGAAGCCATTAAAGTCATGAATTCGAAGTAAAGAAATTCGGCTTCCAACATAATAAGCCCGGGGATGGCTAATGGAAGTAGCCGAGTCCAACCTGAAAATGCGTCAGTAATGTTGAGACCATTCCAACACACCAAGGGGTGGTGGCCAGACGGAGTATTCTCAGGCTTAACCAAGTAGAGCGTAGAGAAGAAGAGACCGAGGCACATTAACCAATAGTTAATGGCCACCGCTATCGGGGCACCAAGATAGCCGATGTGTTTAACAAGTAATATGTTCATGAATGCGTTGAGTGGTGCACAGACGAAGAGCACATAAGTTGAAATGTGATAAATGCCTTGCGCTTGTAAATAACGCTTTCCACTCTCAAATAGGATGTACGCCGGTATACCAGGGGCAATATAAAGCAAGTAGGACGAAGCCAATTTAGCAGTGCTTTCATCGGGCACTATAAGCCTTACAAGCTCGTAACCCACAAAGGTCCATATGAGGAGTATAGGCACCATGACAACGGTTGTTAGCGCAATACACTTTTGAACATACGATCCCACCAAATGGTATTTAGATGCACCAAAAGCCTGAGGGCATAATGTATCAAGAGCTGTAGCAATTCCCTGAATAGTAGCATAACCAGAAATATTGGCAGTCATGGAGCCCAATGAAGCTGCTGCAAGCTCTGTGGCTCCCAAATGTCCGACGCTGAATACGGAAACAGTTGGAAAGGAACTTTCGAGCAAGAATGTTACTACAAGTGGTAATGCCGATTTTATGAGTGCCACAAATTCGATCCAGGTATTGGTGGATATTCTGTGGGCAAGTACGGCGTCTTCGAAAGAGGCAACAATTTCCCCATCAGTCTCTCCATCGTTCATTGGGTAATGACTGTACTTTAACAAGTCCCTCTCCTGCTCGAGTATATCATGGTCATACAGCAGATGACGCCTCCCTTTGGGACCGTCGTCACCTACAGCAAGCAAAGGGCTGGTCTCTTGGGGCAAAGTATTTCGAGCTTCAGAGGTCGACTCTTCGTCTCTAATATTTCGATTGTGGATGAAATCTTGTGGAAGAAAAAGCCCAGCTTTTCCAACGGAGCCGTGAACCACCGAGGCACGCCTCTTTGAATTAGAATGAGTAAATTGATGGCCCATTTTATTAGCGGCAAGGCGAGAATAATTGTTAGATAAGAAAATCTAAGTGTGTAATATTGAGAGCGCGACTCGAGGGGATAATGCGAAGGATCGAACCGCGCACATCTATGGACTTATAATACATAAAAACCACGAAGCGACTGGAAGTCACCTCTGGTCATTGATGTTGGACAAAAGCTGAGCCAAGCAGCGTTTCGTGGCTACATCATCTTGTAGTATAGATGAGAAAGTGCCATCCCGCAACGGTTCGGGAAGTATTGTGGCTAAAGCTTTTCTTGCCTCGAGGTTATCAGAGAGCCGCATGTAGCACCTGACAACATGCTTCAAAAGTCTTCCAGAACTGTTGGAGGACTGCTGTGGGGCTTGGGATTGAACATTGGTGTTGAGGCTAAGCTGATCAATCATTTTGGATAAAACAGAAGCAACAGTATGAAATCGTTCGTAGGTAGTACAAATGTAGGATAGGCCTTGATCGTCGAGTAAAATTTTCTGCAAGATAAAGATTGCCACAGTTTTCGAGAGTTCTGATGAGATTTCCATGATGTTGAGACACAACGGTACAATCTCCGTCGTGAGAAGAAAGTTGATGACTTCGGGGGTATCATTTTTGACCAAGGCGCCAATGACTCCTAAGCTTGTCAAACGAAGATATTCAAATGACCGTTGTCTTGAATTCGTTGAAAGAAAAGGGTACAAGTAAAGGGGAAAGTTAGCACTTAGGAAAAGGCCCCGGGTCTGCACATTTGAGGCAACGCATTGAAGCAAGGCCAACGCATTGCAAACTCTGTTGGAGACAGAAGCCGTGAGCACAGGTGGATTTAAAAATGGATACACCGAGACTATTTCCTCAAGCAAGACCGTCATAACTCCAAAAGAATTCCACAAGACTAATGCCAAGTCATCGTACTGTTCTCTCTTCTTGCCTAACTCCAAAAGTGCTCTTTCTCTATTCGTGCCTCTCACTAATTCAGAGAGCCATTGATATATTTGTTCGTCGTTTAATGCTCTATTTTTCTGATTATTCTGCTCCTGAGGAACCTGAGGTGCATGGGGCACCTGAGGCTGTCCCTTGGCAACAGCTGCGTACATGGTGCAAAATAGGCTCGAAACTGGAAGTTAAAAATTGCTTGTTCACGCGAAATCAAAAGTTGGTGCGACTAACCAAAAAAAAACGACCTCGGAGAGGATTGAACTCTCGATCTTGCGATTAACAGTCGCACGCCTTAACCAGCTTGGCCACGAAGTCGTATTGTAGTTTATTTCGGTCAAATATCAAATTTAATATTTTTACCATATGCATGGGTAGAGTGCCTTGAAGCAGTACCTTCACCTTCAACGTCAAAGACAAATCCTCAATTACTTTTATATAGTACAATCTACTAACCCTCCAACTCCTCGTACTTCTCTAAACGGTCTTCCGCTTTATCTTCATCATCAATTTTAATTCCTCCACTGATGGAGAATTGTCCTCCACCTGCGATTAACTGAATGTCCTCGTGTTTGGTAGCAGTGTTCACAATGCGAGTTGGCACCTCAACGTCAGATTCGACTGGGCCTAGACCTAGAGCATAAGTATCAGCAAATCCCCAAGCATATACCATTCCATCGTCGGTCACAGAAAAGGAATGATGAGACCCACATCCCACTGTTTTAAATTTCACGCCATTCTCACCTTTAGCTCCAACCTGGAGCTTTGTGGGAACTGGAACTGCTCTGACTTTCCCATGCGCATCTTTGAAGGTAGACTCTGGCAACTTGTCCTGAGGAATTCCAACTTCCTTCATGTCGTACCTGCCCCACGTATAAACGTCTCCGCTTGCTGTCAATGCCATCGAATGGTGTTCTCCAGCAGCTATCTCTTGAATATTCAAATTGCTTAATTTTTCAATCACCGTTGGCTTAGAAACCAATGAACCGTCTTCAAGTTCTCCGTTTTCGTTCGTGAATCCACACTGTCCAAACTGATTAAGCCCCCAAGTATACACTCTATCATCATGGTCAATTGCAAAACAGTGAAAGTCACCACTGGCAATGTATTTGATGTTTGTTAAAGCCATAGCGTGAGGCTCCAAAGTCTTGTAACGATGTCTCTCCAAAATCTTACGTCCTAGTTGGTACTGTTGTCCGTTACCCCATGCATAAACAATACCTTTCAGATCCAATGCTAACAAATGGTCTTTACCGGGTGCTAGCTGAACTATGTTTTTCAACCCAGTAATCTTCATGGGGCTTCTTTGTATCTTGATCTCATCTCTCAAAAATCCCAAAATACCTTCATTACAACGGAACGATCCCCAGGCGTATACATCACCATTAGAATAGAGTAGAGCACTCAAGTTGTCGGTTGCTGCTAGTTGCACAATCTTGGCATCAGCAATCGGAGGAAGGCCCTCCACCTTACCGGGAGTCGATTCGGCTACATTCAAGTCGCCATCTTCATCATCAGAGTCAGAAGCATTGTCCAAATCTTTAAGTACCTCTGCACCTGAGGTGTCTCTACCCAAAACTCCCCCGTCGTTTCCGCCCCATGACCACACATTTCCTGCGGAATCAAGAACTAAAGTGTGCATTCCTCCAGCAGCAAAATCCACAATCAGCTCGTTACCAAGTTTTTCCTTAGTCAAATATGGATTTAATCGCGGACGTTTAACCTCCTTGGTGCTGGCTGCTGGACCGAGTCCCAACTCACACATAGACCCTGTTCCCCAAACAAAAATGTCTAAAGGTTGTGTTCTCCCAGGAAGTCGAGTATTGATATCTGGAAGCGAAGAATAAGAATTCAAAATGGAAGAGGAAGTCACACCCTTGAGTCTCTTAGCAGAAGAGCCATTAGGTAGCCATTCTGTGGTCTCTTTCTATTTAACGCAACCATTGCTTATGTTAGTGATATGAAAAGTCCGAATCAAGACATCTCACAAAAACGTCGTGCGAATATCGGCTACAAACTGGAGTAATCATGACGAATTGATATATTTCAATTTAGGGTATTAGTTACTGGAGCAGAGTAGCCTTGCCTGCTATGCGACCACTTGTTCTTCGTCTCCACTAAGAATCTAGCAAAAGTTTGTAAAAGGTATCCGATGGAGCCCACTGAACGGAATAACGCTAATAATGCAACAGTCCAAAGAATGAAAGCCAAGTAGATATTCGTTTCTGTTTCGCCAGCCTTGTAGACCTGTAACATAGTCATGATGAATATTAAGTTGGCTAGCATCCAAATCAATACCACTTTGGTACGAACATCTTTAGCATAGTCTTCACCCTCCATAGGTGGTGGGGCGGGCTTCCGAGACAATACCTTCTTGTTCGACCTCTTGGACCTGATATTGTATAATGTATCGAGATAGACCTCATCAATGTTCACATCAACAACCACAGCCTCAAATTCTCCTTCTTCGTTCTTTTCAATGATATACTGGGTTGAACTTATCTTCCTTTGGATTATTGTCTCCCTTAGTACCCCAGGAAACATCATGGGTATTACAGAAGGCAAATATCTGCAACGTACAAGTGTACGATGGAATCATCAAGAAGTATTGCACGGAACACGTCAACATATGCCATGGGTCCATGTATAAGATGGAAACAACGGTGTACATTCCATAAGTGGAAAGCAACGAAACGACAATGCTGACGAACACATAGTTT